ATGGCCTTTTTTTTTTTTTTTTTTTTTTTTTTGATTTTTTTTACTCATGTATAAATTCCTGCTTTTCCTTCTGCATCATCCTGGTCAAATGTCTAGCTCAAACGATTATGGGATTTCTGTCCTTCATCAATGGTTTTTACACACACCAGCAAAGGCTAGTGGACCACATGTCAAATCTAACACCAAGGTTTCTATCATCCTTATTATGATATATGAGGAATTTTTGAACATCGTCAAGTGGAAAAAACAGGCAAAGGTATCAAAACTATGTTTTATGGTCTAAGCTTGGTTTTTTTTAATGCCATTGTACTTTAGGAAGAGCCGCTGCTGGCATCAACTTCAGACCAGGCCTTTAACACTTTGTTTTTGGTGGTAAGTCTAATTTTGCAATTGTCACATTTGTGATACTAATAGAGTGCATTATCAGCTGAATGACAGAGTTGGCAAGAAGAAAAAAAGGCCAGCTAATATTGGAGACTCAGAAGATTTTCCTTCAGGTGCTAAACTATTTCATTCTGAAACAAGCTATAGGGTAGTTCCCTCCCAGCACATTTTTGCAAAACCTAGCAAAGCTCCACCTACTGCTCTAGTATCAAAAAAGACTGTTTCCAAGTCTACTTCAGAGCACCTAGGTGTCCAAGGTTCAGTTGCAGCATCTATTCAGAATGGTGCTTGCTCTTGGCAAGCTGCATCAAAATCCCATGAACTTTTGGAAACCACTTATCCTGTAAACTCTCGGCCTGCTAGCAGTTCTGCTGGTGTGGCAGAGCCTGATACCAAGCAGGCTGTAACACAGTGCTCTTTCCAAATTCCTGATGTATCTATATTTTAGCAAGCCATGGCAAATCAAATTGATATTTTAAGTAGTGTGCAAGCCTTTCATACACTAATTTGTAAACTTGGGTGTTTACATTATGTAGTACAATACGAGACTTCTCAGTTTGAGATTGCCCCAATCCCCACCTTGGACTTTGCCAAAACCTTTCAAAACCCCCTGTCATTCACTCCTAAGTGAGGCAAAAAAAGCAATGTGGTGGTTATGCTTGCTATAGATACATCTAAGGCATTTCTGATTGGTGATCCTGGAAGCTTCAAAACGTGCCATCCCGCTGATGTTTGCTCTATCATCCAGCCTAACAAGGATGCCCTTGTTTTAGCTTGCAATCTAGTGGCAAAGCGGGCTTTCCATAGGGAGTGTATAGGAAATGGCGGCTTCAAGTTACATTGCCTAGCTCTGAAAGATAATCTCGAAGCCCTTGCTCAAGAGGTGAACTGTTTATACTGGGCCAATGGACTCATGGACTTGGCTTATGGTTTTATCAATGACAGTTTGCAGAAGCCTGGTGTTTATCTCAGGGGCCCACTTCCTTGTTTACGCATGGTTCATGCTGCTCTAGCTATGCCTCAGGGAGAGACAAAAGAGGCATACTTGCTGGAGGAGCACATAGATGATCCTTTTGTAAAGTATATCAACAACAATAGTGCACTGCCTTGTGATGGGCTAGAGCAGGATGAAATGGCCATCACAGTCTTTCTGCTGTGCAACACATCCAATATAACTGCACAGGGGGGCAGGCCATACTGACAGACTTTCAAGGTAAGAACAACCAGGTGTCCTCAATCACTTTCTCAAGTGCATTTCTAACTGGACATCACAGGCAGTGGTGATCTCCTGCCAGATCCTCAGGTTTTAACTGCCCATGAGTTATTTGGGCTGCCTTATGCTGCTGTGATTTGTACGTGGTTATTAAAATTAGCTGCTAGTGATTTTGTGAAGAACTTTGGCAAAGGAAATTTGCCTGATGCTCTGCTGCATTTTCCTTCTAGCCATCAGTGCAATGTCTACTGCTGAAGGTTTTGGCTTGAGCCGCTTGTGCAAAAGCCATCTAGAAAAACTGTGAGTAGGGCTTCTGGTGCCTTTGCTGGTGAAATACTCATGCAGTAACCAAGAATACAAAAGCAGAGACAAAGGCTGCAGATTCAGAATAACTCAGCTGCATTCACATATTTGATGTTTATGGTGCCAGGTTTTTGGCATCCGTAGGTGTCCTTAGGTAGCAAGGTGTACCCTATCATTGATGTTGGGAGTCGTTAATGCCTCGTAGTACAAGCTTCAATGGGAGCATAAGTTTATTAAGTTAGATAAATTTAAAGCTGGTATTTTTTTCTGCACTTTGTGTGATGAGATGCCTGTGACAAAGTCTAGCCAGTCATTTGCAATGGGTCCTAACTCAAACATATGGGCATTTTGAAAGACCCATTGTGTGCTTATGAGGCAGCAAAAAAAGGAAATGCATAAAACTGAACCCGCCGTGTGCATGGGTCAACATAAAGAACAGGAGGCAAAATCTGAAAAATGGCGACTCTCTTGGCAAGCCAGTAAACAACAGTAGCTGCACACCAGGCAGAGTGACTGGAATGCTGGAGCGGGGGGTTTGAGAACAGCGTAGCTGAAGTTAAACCCGATGAAGCACCATCTCTCTCAAGCAAGCCCATGACTGCCAATTTTGCAGTGCCTTTTGTTCATGCTGTGGGGGTCTGAGTTGGCTTTTCATTTGCCTTTTACCCAGACCTCCCTGCAATAGCAAGGCCAAGGCGGCTGCTTAGGCTAGCAGCAGCAGGGCACCCTCAGTGGAAATGACAGCAAACAGCAAAGGCCTGGGGCCTCAGAAGTGTTGCAGCAGCTTTTGAACCTGGCACCCTCAGCCTGTGCTGCATGCCAACCTGCCCATCAGTCTGGCTGGTCAAAGCATGCAGTTGGGCTTCATTGTGTGCACATTGACAGTGGTGGTTGGCATCTAAGTTCAGGTGCAGGCTCGGTCCTAATAAAAACCCCAATGCAGGGGCATTTACATATGAGAAGGCAAAGTGCATTTAATGCCATGGTATACCTGCAGCCATATTTTAAGAACCCATGCACATTGCAATTCAACGTCAGCAGAGCGCAGCAGTCCGTCACATTGGTCCAGTACCAAATGTCCACCATACTTCAGCTCCAGGGGTGCCCACGAGGGCCTTGGCTTTTTGCAGCCCAAGCAGTGCTGCATCTCATGTATAGCAGTCCGGACTCCATTCCATCTGCTATGCCAAAAAGTCGGGTACTATAGCCCACCATCACTAGTTCCTTCTATTATATTCTACCCTGTTCCAAAGCCTTTGATATGTGACAGTTCACTTTAAGGAACGTTCTCTAGCATATGGCCACCTGCTACTTACTGTTGCTGCTGTGTATTGTATAGGAGGGCCCGCATCGAGTTTCTCGACCTTTATTCATTGTCTTTAGAACAGTTCTCTCCCCATCTGAAATACTCTGTGTGTTGGCACCTTTAGTCTGGTACTACAAGGGTGTTGTCACATCATGCTACCTGCCATAGATGGCAGCACTGCCACAACTCTTGCCTGCCATGGCTGGCCACCAAAATAATGTGCTAATCAGACTTGGTGCACCATTTTTTTCTTACACTCACGGGAAACAATTCATGGTAATGACCGCAAATTACTTGAAAATTACTATAAAAATTAAGTTGAATGGATTTTGATAAGTAATCATCTGTTACCAGAAAAAACTATACAAATACCATGAATTGGCTCACAACAGGTGCAAGTGCAGCATATTTTTTCTTGGTAACAGGCAATTAATTATCAAAATCCATTCACCTTAATTTTTATAATAATTTCAAAGTAATTCATGCCTATTATCATGAGTTATTTCCAGTGATTGTGTCCCATGATCTGGATTTTATTTCAAACCCAGCCCACGATCCACAACTCAGCTGATACTCCAACTCCACCCACAATACACAACCCAGCTGAGACTCCTGTTGAGTACCACAATCCAAACTTCAATATTCAATTCAAGCCAGCCCACAATCCATGCTCAATTTCAAACTCAGCCCACGATCCACACCTCAGGAGGTAAAACTCCAACACACCTCACAATCCAGAAAAAACCTTTCACAACTTGGGCTGCAAACAAAAACACCAACCTGATGGTATTATAAAAATTACACAGCATTCATTGAAAAGTAAATAGAGACAGAATTTGGATAGTAGTACACATGTCATATATAGCCATTGGTAGATTAGAAAAAACACATGGAGCTGCAAAAAGCTATCTTGCCACAACCTTTGCAAAGTCTAGACTATATCTCTCAAACACCAGATTCTTCTCTAATCTCATCAGACAAATGCCTTTCTGCCCCCTTCTCTATCCCATTTCCCTGCAGAGCATGGTGGTAACAGTCAAGAATGCGCCTGGAGAATGCAAGGGTCAAGGAGGGATAATGAGCACCATCTCAAGCTGTAGTCCCATGGCTCAGGTTTGGCTTGAAAGCAAGCATGGTACCACAAGCCTGCTTTACCACTACCCCCAAGCCCTCCTCAACAAAGCTGCCTCCACCACCAGGAAAGTCTGTACATGGCTGTTTGCCATCAGACCTGTAAGCGAGGTTAAGTATATATTGCTGTGTTGGCCTCAGTTCTTTCCACATTAGACATCAGTTCAATCCCGTTTCCACACCGAAGCATCTGGGCCACCTCTACCCACCAATCCTTGGCAACGTGTCCTAGGCCGGCTTGACCTAGAGCAGCATACTGCATAGACACGACCTGTTTTCATGCACCCCAATTCTTGCTAAGTCCATTTTCACACCCTCTAAGCGAGCGGACTTAGAAAAAGTCAACCAAATCAGTGCAGGTTACCAGGCAGAAGTTGAAGTTCAATTTTTGCTTCCTCTCTCTTCTTCCCTCACCACCACCACCATCGCAAGTCCCTTTGCTGTTCCATGTCCACTCATCCCCTCCATCTTTCCCTTCCCTTTCATCATTACACCTCCCTCTTCCCTTACATCTCCTTTCCCTTACATCTCCTTTCCCTTACATCTCCTTCCTCCTGTACCTTACACTCACTTGATGTGGCTTGGCCCTGTATTGCTGGCTAGGTGAGTTCCATATGTTGGATGGGAAATTGTTGCTACATCCCTGTCTTGCTGTGTTTTCCCCTTGTCTCCTCTCTTGTTTTGTTGATGTTCCATTGTCCTGCCCATTTGAGCCATAGTTATAGTATCATCATTACTGTTCATCCCATATATTCTATTGTAGTTGATTTAGTTGCCACCATTATACTATGTTGTAGTGTTGAAGTACAATTCTATGAATGGTTTTTATCATTTTATCGGATCATTTGAAACAAAGCAATAATGGTAAATATCAAATAAATTCAAATTATGTCCTCCTAAGTTTGTCCAACCTTGAGGAGCTTCTACTCCAAACTGACCTCATAGACTTAACCTCAGACTGGCATGGAATCCAGGTCCGAATGACATATTCTGTTTGGGGTTGATCTCATGCCTGTGAACAAACAGCCATGTAGGTATGTCTCCAGAATCCACCTGGAAATTGACACACCATGACAGCGCAAAATCACAGTAAGCTGGAACAATGTGAGCCCAGCTGGCAATTTATGAGCAATAATTAGCCTGTCAATCATACTTCAACTTTACAAACACTCACACCACATAGTCTTGAGAAAGATATTCCTCTGGGGGGCTATGAGGCACCTGAGGAAAATGATATACAACACCATCATGGTCCTGAATGGACCAGCCAATATCTACAGCAGCAGAAAATTATTAATAGTTTTGAAGTTTTGTATACCAAATACTCACCTTCAGGTACGTTTCTTGTTTGCATGTTTAGAAGTGACTGAGCAGCAAGCTTAGCACTGATATGATCAATGACATTGCAAGGCACAACCACACCTGCAGCACACCAGAGAAGACTCAGGGTGGCCAGCACATCCTCGTCATGTGCAATCATAAGAGTGGGAGAAATTTTCCTTAGCCAACTTTTGGCCAAGCCAAACACACAGCTATCCCGTGGTCCAGCATTGTAACCTGCCTGAATCATCACACCCAGATGATCAGGCTGAAATAATTGTCAGTCAAAGCATAAACCAGAAAATATAAGCCAAAAGATCACATACTCACACATTACACTGATCATTGCAGGCATAACTAGCTACATCCGCTAGTCACATATATAGATGGTCTGCAAAAGGTGTGTGACCAAGAACATCACATGTTACAGCCATCTCAAGCTGTGGTTTTCCTTCTGCTGATAAACAGGGGATTTACTAGAATATTTAAATAAGCATTTACAGTGTTCACCATTTCTTGAAATAAAAATAGCCGACTCATTCTCGGGCAGAACAAAATAACTATTTGTAGCAGTAGCAGACCATGTCCGAGTACCTTTGTGCAATGACCGGTCACTTTCTGTGTACCACCTCCATGCACCGCACCTGTAGTCTTTCTGATGCTGACGCTCAATGATTCTTGGAAATGCTCCTGCAGACCAATCATAAACCATTGTGCTGACAGATGGAAGATGGGCACTTGCGTGAAGACCCAGATGGTAAACTTGACAGTAAATAGTTTTTTTACCAGAATATGCAACATATTAACAGAAACTTACTGCGTAATGCTTGTTCTGATGTGTTGCCACCTTATCGTTGATAGCACGTGCCTCTTTGAGTGCACAGTCAAATGACCATAAGTAATGCAGCCCATCCACTGCATTTTTATTAGTATCAGTATACTTTTGGAGTATAGGGCAGGCCTGCTTCAAGAGTTCTTCACACTAATTAAAAATTAATATAAGCACATTATCATTAATCATTAATCATTAAACACAGAACATACACTGGATATTTTTGAGGATACTTTAGTTTCGAAGTCCTCAATGAGCGCATCCATGTCAGCTTCTGACGAGTCATATGCCATTTTGGTGAGGGTTTTACAGTCCAAAACCCATGTGGTAACTGAAATTTTGAGCAGAAATTTTAATTAAGCCAAAATAAATGAAGAATGACAGAGGGTATCATACAGGCCTCCAGAACCTCACAGTTGCTGCTCTTGACACTGCTGCTGGGGAGGCCAGATGCCATTGCACTAGTACTGTGAGTGAATGATGGGGGGGATACATTTGTTCACCCCAGCCCCTCCTGCATTAAATGCCCCTCCTGCATTAAATGCCCCTCCTGCGTTGAATGCCCCTCTTGCGTCAAACACCCCTATTGTGTCAAATGCCTCTCCTGTGTCAAATACCCCAGCCCCACCTCCGCTGAGCATCCCGGCCCCATCTGATCTGAATGCCTCAGCCTCCACTGCGTCAAACGCCCTAGTCCCACCTGCATCAAATGCCCCAGTCCCCCCTCCTGCGCTGAATGCCCAGCTACCCCCTGCGTCAAATGCTGCCATCCTCTTGCCTGGGCTATTGGCATGCGCACGTTGATGGCCACGTTTGCAGCAGACCCACCGTGTTGCTTGCTGTCTGCGTTGTTCACTGTCTGTGCTGCTTGTTGTCCATGCTCCGGCACACGCTGAGCATGACACTGTCAACCTCCATTGCATGCAGACGACCAGCCCATTGGCCAGGCTTCTGGCTCCGGCTCGGGATTGGGGCTGAGAGGTGTTGGCCTCAGAACTGCCATGGGCACCGGGTACATAGGCGCTGTGGCACATGGTGAGTGGGGTATTGAGGGTGCGCACAAGCACAATGGATGTGATTATGGAGGGGGTGAGAGAGCAGGAGGTGCAACACTGGTTATTGTACAGTATGGGCTGCTGGCACTACCCAGTATGACCCATGATCAGGAGTTTGGTCATATCTTGTTTTGTAAGTGTCTGGTCATGTCTATGGAAGACAAAGGAAGGGAGCTGATGCGTGTGTGAATAGTGACTATGGGTTGGTAGGATTAAACCTCAATCCAGGCCATTTCTCTCAGCTGAATATGTTGCAAATGGCTTGTTCTACTGTAGACAGGCGCTAATGAAGATTCAATTTACAGTTGTATTGATGTGTCTTGCTCAAGTTGTGTAGAGTGGAAAGGCACTGGCGGCAATGCACCCAATGACAAGAGCAGCATCCCGAGGCTGTGCGAGGCAGAGAAAATGAAGGTTTCTGCTCATTGCCATTGAATACATCATGGATCTTGATCCACACTATGATCTTGCTGTGATTAAAGGTTAGTCATTACACATTGTGCAGATGTACATACATACTAAAATCACAATCTAGCTGCTTCATTCAACAACTTCCTCAATGCAATAGACAGCACATACTATACAATGGAGGCTACGAAGGTACAGTACACACTGGGCATGGTACCTCCTTTTGCAGTACTCATTGCACAAATCATCTAGGTCCCCAGGACTGTGCAACCCCACCAATGCCATCTCCATATAGTATGCATACAATGGAGCCAACCTCACTGAGTTCTATGTCACATGCCAGTGTGCTGAATTGGGCTCATGAACATTGCTGTACTCTACAGCTCCAGTAACTACAGTGTCACTGGCAATGACACTGTTTGCCTGTTCTTCAACAGTACATAGTCTGTCAATGGTACACTGTTCAGCCTGACATTCCCTGGCATGTGCCCGTACGGTGGCCTGGGCAAATTGGGTCTGTTTGTCAAGTTCATTAACTGTTGTCCTCAGGTGGTAAAGCACATTTACCTTGGTCATGCACAATGTTGAGACCCTTGTGAGTGTGTACTGTCTTTTGCCGAGGTTTTGGTCTTGTTTTTGTGGATGGTACTGTTTTCTGCTTGAGCTCTTTGGACACGCTTCCCTCAATATATTGGCTTCCTTCCTGCTAATCCTTAGTGTTGTTACCACAGTTTGAAGGCTAACAAACCTCGAAGTTATCATCATCAAATTCATGCCCATCGTCCCACATCTCGGGCATCCCTGCAAAAAGATTACATTGATCCTGATGGGCTCCTGCATCCCTGCCCCACTGTTTGCTGTTTGTAATCTGCCACACCAGCTTCAAGAGTGCTGGTAAACATCCGCTCCTCTAGAATTTTGAGACTTTCATGGTTGACATCTTTTTTTCACAGATTTGCAGTAAGTTCCATTTGACGAGCCTGATACAGTTGATTCCATGACATGAACCAAAGCCACTGCTGCTGGACCTCAGGAGCTGCTTTATGGGGAAATTCTGTATCTTGGCAGAGTTCCTTATCATGCAGCAATGCATAGATAATTGCTGATGCATGGCTATGCGGCCACTTATTAAACCAGTCCTGGTGGTCAACATGTGCTTCAGGTACATTGTGAAAAATCTGGTTAGCCACTTGGGCTGCCATGCTTGCTGAAAAACTTCCTCCATGGATTGGAGGAACTTCATCTGGATGTTCAAACACCCACCTTGCAGCAGGTAGCTCCAGAAAATTGATCAGGTAGTCGCATTGGCTGACCATCTTTGCAATATCATGTGCATAAGGGTGTAGTGCTTGAACAATATCCTCCCTGGGCTCATAATCCCTGTCCATGAAGTTGCCAAGAGTGTTTTCATCATTCTTGAGGTCAACATTCCAAGAGTGCCACCATCGCCCCAGCTAGTCATTGATGACAGTGTCAACTACAATTATATTAATGGATGGTGTAATATGCTCACCCATATCTGCTATTGGGCTTTAGCCTCACCCCACAGGCTATCCACAATATCTTCCTGGACAATTGTCGCATCTAGTCCTGGGGTGGGCTGAGTGAATTCAAAGATGTTTCTCTGCCACCACTTCACCTGCCAGTATGCATTGCCCATGAAATCTTTGGGCTGAATAAGTTGGACCAGATACCAATACTTTCCCCAGCGAGCCAAACCACCTTTTCCAGGCCTACACATAAAAGTTAATAAATGAAAGTCAATGATAAGAGTTAGAACACATACTTGAGATGAACAGCTAAGTCTTGCTTGGCCTGTACTGCTCACTTTGGTCTAAGGCCTGCATAAGAAATATTTGGTTTAGATGAGAGGTACTTCACTCACCTATCTATGCGAGCACCAAGAAGATGTTTGACCTCTAAAGCAGAACAACTGTCACACTCAAATAGTGCATGTGGGCCAAGGTCACTAATCCAGCTATCATGCTGGTATGCAAGATGTGACCAATTTTGACATGAATCACAAAGGATAACAGGCTTGTTAACATTCAACTTATGCCCGTTACCTTCAAGTCCACAGTGGCACACTATTGGAAAAGGTGCAGATTCTGGAGGTCTCCTATATGTTTTGGTAAAATAGTTGATGGTGGTGTCATCTGCAGGGGCTTGTGAAGTTGTTGGTGCTGCATTGAACAATGGGGTTTGTGCTGCCAGGTTTGATGTCAAGTCACAAACAGACTGGCGGACTGGTGATGCTGCCCAGAGAATTGGTGCTGCCATTGAAAATGGAGCATCATGTATTTCTAGGTCAGCTGAGGAAGCTGGGGAATTAATCCGCATTGTATGCTTGCCATGTTGAACTACGCCTGTGGTACTAAAGATTCCTGTGGTAAGTTGAAGCTCTTGTCTGTTGCCTTTAGGAGTAATGGGATTATGCTGCGGCCCAATTGCAGAGTATTTCAAGGTAGCACCCTGTTTATGGGAGCAAAAAATACAAGACTCATTGATTAGTTGGCTATGAGTAGGAGACATGCCAAGAGGATGTGGTATAACATCATCAGCATCATGAAGACTGGCTGTCAACACCGTGTTTGCCCAGGGAGAACTGGGACATTCAAGCTATGCTCCACTAGGGATACCATGTCCCAAAGATGCTAGCGAAGGTATGAAAAAGTATGGAGATGGACCAGAGGTGAACTGGAGATAGCAAAGGTAAAGGAGATGTGCATAGAAGCAAGGAGAAGTTGCTAAGTACAGCAGAGTACAATGGAGATGACAAGTCAATGTCAAGTCAACTTGGAGTATGATTTGGATAGAGATGACAAACACAAAAGAATGTCAAAGGTCACAGGAATGTTGGGGCAGGAGTAAATTGATATTCATACTATTAAATACAAGTCAAATGCTACCACTATTTATATCATAAGTCCGGATCTTTGGATAAGCTCTGCATAGCTACTGGCATAAGTGTGGAGTATCATAAGTAATCACTGAAGATGACTGAAGGTTGTAAGAATAAAAAAACATGACAGGCGTAACTGCGGGATAATGACAGGCGTAAAGTAATGACAGGTAGAATGTGGAGTGAGTTGGTCACAAGAAAATATGCTGACTGATAATTTTTGAGTGTGCTGGCATCTACTCCGTAGCTGCCAAAGATACTGAAGCAGTACCGAAGGAGCAAACATGAATCAGAGTTTGACCCGAGATGCATGGGTGTGACACTGGCTGAGGCTACCTCTAAACTGATATGGAGTTCATCTTGGAGAAAAGCAGTCTGTTGTAAGGCATAGTGTCTTTGTGTAGAAGTTCCACCCTCCAGATGATAAAGCAGTGCACATGTATGCACAGTGTTGGGTAGCCCCAGACTTGTGTCAGTTCCAGCAAGGCGCTTCAGCACAGACAACTGAGGGATAACAAAGGCAGAACCTCCATCCCTGCCATCATAGCAGTAGACCTTTTGATTTGCTGTGACACCTCTTCCAGTAAAGTGAGGATTATCAGAATGATAAAATGCTCAGCCACTGAGTTGGTAAAATCAAGTTGTGATTTTTTTCCTGCTGCCTTTGAAAGAGGCCTAAGCGAGAGAGGACAGTTCCACTGAGGTGCACCAGAATACAAATCAGCTTCATGCTCTGAGTTCACAATTTTGATAATTAGCGATACAGGGAGATGAATGCAGATTTTGTACACTGAGGCCTGTCCTCGGCATCCAGCATCAGCTGATGACACACCACTAGATGGTGGTTGGCACCAGCATGCTGCCAGAGACCTGTGATTGGGCCTAGAAAACTTGCCCTTGAACCAAGTTTCTATCGATCCAATGCACTTGACTGCCAAGCTGCAAGTAAACTGATGACAAAATGAGAGCTGAGGGAGAACTGGGATTTGCCAGTGATTTGACTGGAGCAGAGCAAGTGAGTTTGTAGAGTGACCTGTGCATGAGTGGATAACCACCGAGTGTGCTTGAAAATATGCATGCAGAAATGTAGGCTGCCGACCTTGAGGTGTATTAAGCAACAGTTCAAACCAACCCTAATATATTGATATAAGTCAAGCAGACAACACAATACTACAGCAACTTGTGTAATGTACTCACCCATAAGCTGCCAAATGCATTTAAAGACTTGATAATACCAAGCCCCATCAAGTCACAATGAAGAGTATTACGCTGTTCTGATAATATCTGAATTTTCTCAGAAACAGGCAAAGAGATGCTAAGATTGTGCCAGTTGAATATTGCATGAGCCAGGACTTGCATACAACTGTCATGATCAAGAGTATCTGGCTGAGTACAAGGCCCAAAGTTTGCCTGATAGTTCACAAGAAAGATGGAACAAGACACGAGTTCTAAAGGGGTATCAAGCCAGCAAGAATTATCAAGCCAGGCATATGTGGGTTGGCAGGTCTTGCTCTCCTGTGGTGTGCTATTGACACAAACTTGCCAAGATTTAGGTGTAGGTGTAGCTATCATTCCATTTGAATGTGACTCCAAGTCTGGATCTTCTAGGCAAAGTTGGCCTGAAGATTCGGGGGGAGCATAATCTGATCGTGAAAATAGTGTTTTACTGGCTGGATCTCGGCCTGGCTTGGTTTGTCCATATTTTTCTTTATTGTCTTGCCACTGGTGAGTTTGTTTGTGCCTGATTAACACCCCACCTTTAACAAGAATAAAAAATAGTGAAGGTTTCAGTTGGGTTTTAGGGGGAAATTCAAAACTTACATGAACGAGCAGAAGCACACAGCTCAAGATTGGCCAGAAAGCCCCGCAGTACTTGCCAGCCAGGAATGAAATTGTGCTTTTGGCCAACACTAGAATACATTTTGTGGTGCATTGCCTCTTGAGCATTGATAGTATCTGGAAGGTGGCTCCATAGCTCATCAGAAATATTGGTGCAGGTGCAAAAAAACATCTGTATACAATCGGCATGAAGCCACCAAGCCAGGGCTTAATAGCTGGAAAGTCTGTAACAAGGCCTGCAGCAGAGTTTTCAAAATTGTCAACAGTACCAGCATGAAGTAGATGCTTTGCACACTCTTTGAATGCCTGAGCCAGGTCAGGGAATACAGCACTTACAATTTTCTGAACTTGCTGTACTGAAGCACAAAAGTGCTGCTGGCATCCTTTGAGGCAAGAGCGTGCAGCAGCTTCAAGCTCTTCAACAGTGTGAATGTCATTGTCTTGATCTTGCCAAAACTGGATAAAAGCTGCAATAAACCCATTACGCTCAGTGAGGCTGAAGTCTACCACATGTCAAGGCTACCAATGAGAAATGCTGCATCATTAAATCATGTTTTCTTACATTCACCATCAAATTGTTATAAATCTGTTCTTGTATTTTCTGTGAGACCTGCCTTCAAGGTGTTGAACAAAGCAAGAAAGTGTATCTAGTAATGGGCTGTGGTAGCTCCATTTGCATATGAGATAAGAGCAGGAATCTATTCCTCTAGTTTTTGGCAATAGATAGAACTTGTAATGAGGAGATTGTTGCGAGAAGCTCAGAAACTGTACGAGGCATCTGTAACAATGCCAGCCTGGCAATCTTCTTTTACAGCAAGCTGAGATTGCATAAAACAAGTCTGGGCAGACACAACTGAAACAGGACCCAGCTGTGATATTTGAGTGATGATAAAATCTGGATATTCATTCTGAAGGTCTACCCATTCAGCTTCAAATGGTCACGGGAAAGTCTTCTTGTATATTTTCTTCTGATAGATGATTCACAAAGGATTGTCTAGAACTGATGAAATGGCAGCTGTGGATTCTCGTGGACCATGCAGACCCCGACGGCCAGTAACTAGCTCTGCAGGTCCAGTAGCTGGGTGTAGCGCTGTGGTAGAAATTATTTTGCCCGTGTTAGGTTAGGTTAGAAATAGCAACGCTCAAGGCGCCATTTATAACAAGAGTTAATAACAAACTACCCAATAACAGTTACTAACGTGTTAGAAATGAATTAATAACAGGTTAGAAATGTTAGAATTAGTTAGAAATCATCAAAAAGTCCTCAGCACTCCAATCGTCATTATCATCGACCTTTACGATCTCTTCTGCCTGCTTCTGAGAGTCGTGGGAATCGGAAAGCGTGTCCTTCGAAGGTTGGATGAGACCAGCAACAGCTGGGCTGTCCAATTTGACATAGGTTGTTATGGCCCAGCAAGTAGAGCTCCGAGCCACTGGTGATTGCTGTTCAGGTTGATCTTGATCAGTAGCAATGGTTTGATCAACACAATCTGTTTCTTCGAGGTCATAAGGGTCTGGGTGGCTGAAAAGAACATCTGATGCAGCTTCTTGCTCTGGTCCATTATCTGTAACACGGTCGTCATTCAAAAGATCCATGAGTGTTGGTGTAGAAAGGAGGGTAGGTTGTCCATCCATGCTGGAGAGCTTAACGTTTCCGGCAGCAGTATGAGTGTATGTGCCTTCGGTCAAACCATTCTTGTACCACTGTGATAACTGGGCACATTGGATGAGGTTCTCCGGTGTCATGGAGCTTCGTCTGGCCGAGTTAATCCATCCAAGCAGAGAAGCTGTACGTTCATCACAGAGTTCTGAAGGTGAGATTGAGAAGATTATTGTGCCGATTTTCTGGAATTAAAATAAGCAACTCAAGCGATTAACGTGAGGTGTATCTCAGCATAACTTACAGCAAGTACATCAGCATTTGAGTCGTTGCTGACCATCTGCCAGTACTTGAGGGCGGAGTCCTTGTTTTTGAAGTATGCACGCTGCTGGAATGGGGGTTGGCCATAGATCCAGCCAATAATTTGTTGTACAAGGCGTGCTGCTTCTGAGCTTCTACCACTTTTCTTCTCCATGCGTATCTGTTCACCTTTGAGGATAGCCAATGCCGAGTTGATCAGCTCTTTCAACAATAAAGGGTACATTTCTTTTCTCAAGGTCTCTCCATCTTTCAGATCGGGTAAATTAAGTTGAAGCCCACCACGAAGGAAGTACACTGAAAGGACCACATCAGCAAAGAATAACACCTTGAAATAAGTATATCATGAGACACATACGAGGATGGAGAAAGTATGCGAGCAAAAAGACCCCATGGGACGACTCAGACATCATTTGCGAGAATCGCTTGTTGTATATTTCAATCACTTGTTGGCGCCATGTCTCCAGACCAAGCGTTGGGCTGCCTAGGACGTGTTCAAGGTGCCATGCAATCGTCACCCAAACATAGAAGACGTCGGCACAATTCGTATTTTGACCCTCAAGTGTGGTGATGCCATTAGCAGCGCCCTCGAGGAGTTTGACCATTGAGTCCACTTGAGAAAGGAAATAAAAATGCGCTGGACCAGGTGTGAGGTATGTTGTCAGCTTTTTCGTCTGGAGGAGTATTATCAGACTACGCTTAATGTTGGATAAATTTTACATACTGCTTTGGTCTGGAAGACGATAGCACCAGAGGTCACACACTGCACAATTGCAGGCATACACCTCATAACTGCTTTGGCTTGTTGATGCGTAGTTCCAAATCGTGTCTCAGATGCCGATTTCATGCCTTGAGTAATTCCTTGTCTCTCGCGTTCAGCTGCAAGTTGCGCAGTACCTATATTAGATTGGCCAAAATAGTTTGATATGGCAGATATGATAGCCAGCTCCTAGAATAATGTGAGTAAGGTAATATACAGTGGTCAACAGTTCAGAGCACTCACCGCTTTGAATAAAACACCAATATCCTTGAGGAAGAGGTTCAAATTGTGGCATGGGTCATATATGCTCAGGAGCCATGGAAACTCCTTTACAAGTGCTTTCTTGCTGGCTCGGACATTGGGACCACTGTCACTAGTTGCTGCACTATAAGCTTTAGCTGTGTAGCGATGGAATACTTCTTTCTTGATTGTGTCAACCAGAGTAGAGCCGGTAACTGATATCCCTCTGTAGACATGCCCAGATGTGAAAACAGAACATCGACTGGGAAGAGTGGTGTGGAATGTGTAGATCTCATCATGCCCTCGAGAACTCCAGCCATCAAATGAGAGAGTGAGATATTGACGTCCATCCAAGAATTTAGCCAAAGCCTCGAGAAACAAAGCAAATTGTATCGCAATATGCTCAATAAAGAAGGAAGTCCGCTCCGGGGTGCAATATCCAGGGATAGCAATCAACAAGAAACTGACCAGCCAGGGATTGCTCACGAACGAAAAGGGCAAAGCACAGCACAAGACGAGCTTGAAGAGAGCAAGATCAATAGCAGCTTGATGTTTTTTCGTCATCTTTGGCAAAGTGTAATCAGTTATCTGCTCCTGCTTGAGGCCCTCACCGATATTGGGGACGTTATCACTTGACTCAGCAGAACTCTTTGCCTTTGTACGGACTTGCTTGACAGTTTGTTTACCCGCATTAGCACGCTCCTTGGTGAGAGCTTCAAAGAGCTTCGGAAAATTCATGTGAAGTGGCTAACAAGAATATAGATTGAGTTATATGTGATACCAATTAATTAGAAAGAAAACTAACTGTGCATTGCATAGCATGATGCTTGATGCGATAGGCCTGGCGATTAGCTGCACGCTTTAAGCAGCCTATGCAGTAGACATGAGTGATAATCTTGCCACTGGTGTTGGGCTCCATCTCTTCAATGATGAGATCATCAACCAAGTCGCCACGGGTGCGTCCAACACCTTGCTTTGCTCCAGAGCGAGCCGGTCCAATATCCCTGTTAACTGGTATACCATCCCATTCCAGCTTTCTTTGGTTTCGGATACTCTGAAAACGCGCCTCCTTGTCTGAGGGAACCACCAAAGCTTGGACAGGATGGTCAGTGGCGGAGGCTTTCCCTTTCCCTTTTCCATTGGCTCCAGTGGCTCGTACACCCGTATCATTGAATGTAAAAGGTGCCTAAACAAGAATCAGAGTAAGGTAATAATATTAAAATAGGGAAAGCACACTTCAGGAACTTCTCGATTCTCCTCCTGTGCTGCTAGTATCTTGTCAATATAGCTTGTCCATTCAATGTGTTCCTTGCTATGCAATTCAGTATTAGAATCAATGACTCCAATGAAATGAGGGATTTTGAAGCCATCATCTTCGATAAACTGTCGACGGGCTTCGAGTAGATTTTCTAAAGCCTGATGAGTTAGAACCATTTTGCTTAATGAATATTGTTGAATCTTTGACGACTTATATACAAGAGAAAATGCCTATGTCAAAGCAACGGATGCATCGCATTTTCAGCCGCAAAACCGTGAATCAGTCCACTTAGACGCTACCGCCTTCAACGTCAGCCACAAAGGCCACAGCCACGAGCACAGTGTGATTCAAACAACATAGCAAGAGCATAGCCGCCAGCTTTGACTCCGGCCCGGTTGCTTATGCCGCTTGTCATGGTCCGGCCAAAAAACGCGCCGAGGACGCGCATTTTTGCCAAGCAACGGTGGCAAACACCCTCCGATCGGCCGGGTTTATCTGTGCACTGCCTCGCGAATTTCTAACAATTTCTAACACTCTTCTGGGACCCCCAATGTTAGGGTTGTTACTAACGTGTTAGAAACGTGTTAGAAACTACCCTGTTAGTAACATTCTACTTTCTACCACAGCGCTAGCTGGGTGGTCTTTGAAAAGTTCATTCAGCTTATCTCTTTCTCCCTTAGTCAGGTGAACTTTGTGGGCAAGGCGAGGATGGCGATGAGACCCATTGTTATGAACATGGACACCCTGCTTGTAAAACCACAGTTCAAGAATGACTCCACAGGGGCAATGCTGCATATTGAGACATTGTGCTTTTGCAGCCTGATCTTGAACTATGCGTAAGGGCAAAGCAAGAGGGCAAAGCATGTACTTGCAACCTTTGGTGGAACAGACAATAATTCCACTGCAGTAGCGCCTTCGTATTTTGCCCTTCTGCCAGTTGTCTGCATTGGCTTTACCCTGATTGCGAGGTCACCCACCAGTATAACAGGCCCAATCAATCATAAAATTACTGTGACAGGAGTCATCTACATCCTTGAGAGATAAATCTTGTTTGAACTGACCATCAGGCCAAAGGTGCCAAATGGTGCCACTGGGAAGAACAACATGGTCGCTGCTATCAGCCAAAGGCTGCTGTGGTGGTAATGTGGTCTTAAGAGGTTGAACCAATACTGAGCTAGTCAAAACTGGAACAGTAGCATGTGAGTTGATGGGCTGTGATTTGTTTGGAACCTGATAGGGCTTTTCAGGTACAGGGGGATTGGGGGCACAAGCATGATTGGCAGGCTTATTCTCTTGATAAGTGGTAGTGGGAACAAGGGGGGGACAAGCAAGGAAATTGGCTGAGGATAGATATATGGGTATACAGATGGTATAGCAAATGGAGACCAAGGTGGTAACCTTTGCGGTACAAGGCTCTGATATAGAGGTATTGAAGTGGTGAGAGGAGTGATACAGGTGGGCACAGTGAATAGGATACTGCCTAAGGCTGAGCAGTGGGTATAGCATCAAATTGAAGGTTATATGGATGATTGTAACCACCAAGAGAACTGAGATCCCAAAAGCCATGCAGCTGCACTCTAACTGCATAGGATATGTGATCAGTTAAATTGCCTGGGTGGTTATTGAATTTGATGCTTACAATTGATTGCCAAGGGATATGAAGAACCCCTTTTGCTCATGATTGAACAAGAGCTGTGTGCTGTGTTAGGCGATGAGCAAGGTCAGACTGCTGATGTTATGCAAAAGGCCGTACTGTTGACATTGTCTGCAGTGCCTTGTGTTTTGCTGTATGAGGCTGCGGACGGTCAGTGTGGGGAGGGCTTGGGAAGGCTGCTAGTTGGCGGATTTGTACCACCAAGATCCTTGATGGCTGATTTTAGTGGATCCTATTTTATATTCAGCATTCAAGTGGTCAGCTGCTCTGTATATGGACTGACTGGTAGCATAGTGACTATAAGAAAATATCATTGAATTAGATTAATATAGACAATGTACTGCATGAAGGTGAACAACTGGGAAAATACTAGATGGATATGTGTGATAACATACACATAGATAGATGGGCTGTGCTACTCTGAGGATAGCATAGGCAGCCAGCCAGAACCTCTCTAGTCAGTCGTGTATGGTGATGGTGCAACTGGCAATGCTAGCTGGATAGGTCACCAAATGTAATTTCAGGCCTACATCGAAATCCACCAATCCTTGCATTTACCGCCAAAAGCAGCAACTTCTACAGCCAATTTTTCCTGATGTGTGTCACAACTACAATTAGTATTTGACCCTTTGCAGCTTTATTGGTTCATCCAGAAGCCTCCTTTACGGCGATGTTCCTCTACGAGGTCTACAAGTAAACACCGCCTTCACACGTCTACATGGTGCTAGGTACCCCAATAAGTAGTATTAGTGCCTTACGCAATCACGCACTTGTGTGGCTCCGCATTCATTGCACTGAGCCACGTACATAGCTTACGTAGCCATCCTGCATTACCGTGGGATTAGGACTATACAGCTTCACAAATACGGTAGTGACTTCACACACTCCTGTCATATATATACAGTCGCTACCATGAATATCATTCCTAAGTCTTTCTTACCCAAATGACTATCATTGTCAGCCTACTAGCTCAACAGCTACTAACTCAACCTTCAACCTAACGGCCGGTGAGTCTGTGCAGTTATAGACTTCCTAGCTATACTCGTGTTTGATCTTTGACAGACTGTGGGTTGTGGGTTGTGGACTCTGATTTGTGTCCCTGTAGGCTGGTCCTCAACATTTGACTTGAAAGTCATTGGTTACTTACAGGCTCCCATACTCTAAAGTAAGTTCTTGTCACAAGCCTACGTAAAATGTCCCCTATCGTGAAAATTGTTGACTCCTAAATTGCAAAGCCCCAACAGCTCTATCCTACTGACACCAGTGACCACTGTGGTCATCAATTGTCTTGAGCAAACCATATGTATTTGCTGCAGTGAGATCTCATAACACATTTTTGCTGACTATTTGCTAACTACTGCTAGCCTGTACTAGGGTTTCTCTTTGCTCTGAATCAGCAATCTGCTTCTTGATTGGCACAACTCTGGTTTGGCTCTTGCTCTTGGCTCTTGCTTGACTCTGGCTGTTGGCGCTCGCTCTTCAAGTTTGCTCTTACTCTTAGTTTTTCAGATTTGCAGCTGCTCAGGCATACTTCTTCTGTGTCTCTTGCAATTGTTACTAAGGTCAAGCTTAACCAGTAAGCCCCATCTGGTTGGGTCTCATTTGATAATCAGTATAATATACTGATTTACCCTTAGCATTTTAGGTGTGCGCGTGGTAGTAACCAGCTATTTCTGACAATTACAATGAAGTGACATTACATGATTACGTGCAATTATACTCATTTGTGTGTATTAACTGACACTTGCTCACACCGGCACAATCATGAATACAACAGCGACAACAACATTGGAATTCATACGGGTATACATTGTAAATGAGAGTATATACATCTAATCTGTCTCCGACTCGGGACCAGTGCCAACACTGGAGGTGGACCAACTACAGTAACAGAGGATGGCATTGTAAAGGCATCATCCTCCAAGGGGTCAGAAGTGTTGGGGACATCCTTGTCTGTGTCATCAGAATTGGGTGCAACACCAGCATGAACACTAGTAAAATAATAATGGATGAGTAAAAGCACGATAGAAAAAAATAAAATGAATGATGCACCGTGCAGCCCTCAGCAAATCTCTCCTGATGACGTCAAAGATATCTGAGTCGGCATCAACGGCCACGCATTCGAACTTCTTCATATTGCCAGTGTGAGCCTGGAGGTGCTTCCCATACCCCTTGCATTTAAACTTGACAGTCTGGCACCTGCTGTTGCTCTTCCACTCGTCAATCCGGCAACAAATCTGTAGGTATTGTGATGAGTAGAGTAAGATATTGATAATGAACTCAAATACATACCGCTGTCCAGAGGAGAGCCAATGCAGGGATAGGGAGAGGCTTGAATAGTTTTGAATGCTTGACACCTGCATCGGAGCTCCCACTGAACCAGGCAACATTGAGAGCCTTCTGAAGAATCAGGTGCTCATAGAGCCCATCGCGCACAGCGTACGTTGAAGTGGTGTTGATGTTCTAGCCAGCATGCAGCCCATTAATATTTGTCCCTTGGGTAGTAGTTTCATGTGCTGCATAACACATGCCAAACCTGTTGATGAGGCGCTCAGCAAGTGCCTTGTTAGCAGCATGGATCCTTGCATCAAAGTCGCTGTTGACAAAATGATAGAATGAGTCCACATGGCCTGCGACTGATACCTTGACGTTGCCCATGGTTGTTGATATGCAACACTTCATCTAGAAAAGAAATGGTTAATAATTATCTACATGACCGAAAAAAGATGGTACTCACCATACCCAAGATATTATAGTCGTAGGTGATATTGGAATCAAACTTGTCACAGGCAGTGCCCCAGGCCTCCTTGGCCCAGCGGATGAGGGTCAGGTTGTTGGCCCATATGCCTCGAGTGATGGCAAACACCAGGAAATAAGATGTTGCATACATGAAAAGGGTCTTGACAGGCAGGGCATAGTCAGAGATGTTCGAGCTCTTGCAGTTGAGGTTATGAAGCTTCAGTGGCTGGATGAGGTTGGGGTTGTCCTTGTCCTCATCCTTGTTGCCAAGGTTTTGGTCCTCGTTGTTGGGTGGCTCATCTGCCACCTCAATGAGTGTGGCTGTGGAGTGAGCAGTGCGATGGCTGGAGGGCATATCATCACGACAGCTCTGGTTGCGGTTTTGATACTCCTGGCCATTGTCATTGTCCTCGCTGTTGGAGACAACCACCCTGAGGCCTTGGCTGATTCCTATAAACAATAATAAGCGGTGGCCTACTAGTAGTGAATGAGTAAATTTAACATACCAACAACAGATGAACAATGAGTCGCAGACTGCACCTGGTGCTCAATGTTGGCATTGGCAACTAGCAATTGGTGCTGATCAGTGCGCTCAGGGCAACTGCTAGCAGCTGGTTTATGGTGTCCAAGTGACTCACAACCACCCTGTAGTCACCGATTAGTGGTGATGTTGATTAGAAGAGTAATGCGGCTGCTTACCTCTTGCATACAACAATTTGAGGGGATCACCTGACAATAGTCTTGAAGAGGTGGAGGTGGTGGGTAGCACCTACCACAAGCAGCAAGCTCATGCTGAAAGGTTGCCGGAGACTGCCTGGCTACCTTTCGCTTTGGCAGAGCCACATCTGATGTTGAAAACTTGGTATACATGTTAGCAGCAGTCAGACATGAGAACTCAAAGCATGTACATTGGTAGAACGAGGTTGATGATCTAGCCAGTACATTAATCAAAGAAAATGCCAGGAGAACAGTATGCTTACTCAATGTTCCAGCACTCTTAGCCTTTGGTGCACAAACTTTGCCTTGAGTTTTTTGAGCTAAGTTATCCTGCCGGCATGTCTCTTTCTGGTGTTTCTCGTTGGCTAGAGCAATTGAGTGAGACGTGTTTAGGCAAGAATGATGAAGAGAACAAGTGCTCACCTTTGTACTGAGCTCACTTGGTGATTTTACGTTTGCGTTGGCCTGAGTTGTCAGTGGTAACGGAGTCCATCTCTGTGGGACATTAGTTCAAACTATTGAAAGGGCAGGTATAAGCAAACTTACGCAGTGGTATGTCTTTTTGTGTAGCCATGTAGGGAAATTTTTGTGGGGGTGAGGGGCAGAAGCAAGAGGAATTGGACGGGCGAGGGGCAAAAACTGTGTGGGGCCAAACAAAGCACGCAGTTGAGCCACCCAGATGTGGCTCAGGCGAGCAGCCACACCTGAAATCAGGTGATGGCCTGGCAGGCAAATACATTAGCATGACTGATCCCAATAATCATAATCAAAACTAGCAGCCGCTCACGTTTGTCCTGTCCTCAACTTCCCTTCCATTACACACCATGAAACCAGCACGAACCCCTGCACAGTTGCAAGCTGGCAAGCCCAAGGAAGCGCCTCAAATGAATCCAAATTTATACTGTCCGTTTTGCCTTGATGTGCCATTTTGCTCTCATAAGGCCCTGGGGATCCACATTTCCAAGAAACACCAGTGCCGCACAGACAGGGACACTGCTTGTTGAAAGGCCAAGACCACTTCAACCACAGACCAGCAGACTCTACCCCTTCTCAGTCAACCGATAACATCATATGACATCCCACTTGACGACATACCTTTTGAAGAAGACGAAGCTGTGCCCTCTAACCCACACAACTCAGGAGCCGAAGGTCCACCACCTGAAAGTAACAGTATGCATGCGAGAGTGGGTGAGGAGGAGGATGAAGACCACATCCGTGAACAATTTGTGCAATTGTACCCTGGGATTGTCGCATCAGGACTTGGTGTTGCACAGACCATGTTCAACAACTTACGAGATGAGCAACTGGCACTAGGGTTGGATCTGTGGGCCCCTTTTGACAATGAAGAGGAGTGGCAGCTTGCACGGTGGCTTGTGACCAACGTGGGCAAGACAGCAATAGAGGAATTTTTGAAACTACCAATTGTGAGTGTTTGTGTGCGCATGCCAGATAAATCCTGACCTTGATACAGGCTCGGAGCTGACTCAGGACTTCTTACCAGAGTGCTTACACACTATTTCAGAGGGTTGACGCACTCCCACACGGAGCAGACTGGAGACTCAAGAACATTGATGTGACCGGTAATGTCGCAGGCAAAGATGACAAGCCCATCAAAGAGCAGCTGGAGCTCTGGCTCTGAGACCCTGTAGAATGCATTAGAGACCTATTTGGTAACCCTATGCTTTCGGACTTGATGGCATATGCACCGGAGCAGCTGTACAACGATTCAGAGGGGAAGGTGAGGCAGTACGAAGAAATGTGGATGGGGAAGTGGTGGTGGGAAATGCAGGCAAGCTAGACATTGTTTTTATGTACTGCTGCATGTACTGACACAATGTGTGGGGTTTCAGGGGAGATTGCCCACCGGTGCTGTGGTTGCACCCGTTATTCTCACATCTGACAAGATGGCTCTCTCTACCTTCTCTGGGAATAAGATGGCATGGCCAGTCTATCTGACGCTTGGCACCATCTCAAAGGCAGTTCGTCGCCAGCCCTCAAAATGTGCTACGGTTCTTATCGGCTACATACCTATGACTAAATTAGAGTGTTTCTCAGAGGACGTTTGGTCTCAGGAAGGATATCGGATGTTTTACCATTGTATGGATGTGATTCTTGAGTCTCTCAGGGATGCAGGCACCCATGGCATTACCATCACTTGTGCTGACCGCGTCATACACCAAATATATCCTATTCTTGCGGCATACGTTGCCAACCATCCAGAGCAATGTCTCATCGCTTGTTGCAAAGAAAACTGTTGCCCAAAATGCATTGTTGACTGTGACAAATGCCATTCGGCACCGAGGACAGTCCACTCTTTTCTCTCCAAGGTTCGCGAATTGGAATCGGGCAATATGCGTATGCAGGAAATTGAGGATGATCACGGACTTCGATGGATCTGTAATCCCTTTTGGGAAATGCTCCCCCATTCCGACATCTTCAAATACCTGACTCCCAACATCCTGCACCAGCTTCATAAAGGCATGTTCAAAGATCACTTTATGACATGGTTTCTTCACAACAATCTGCTTGGCAAGGACGGTCTTGATGCTTGGTATCAATCCATGACTCTGTTTAATGATCTTCGGCACTTCAAGAAAGGCATCTCTGTGGTTTCTCAATGGACAGGGACGGAACATAAGGAAATGGAGTGCACTTTTGTGGGAGCCTTATCTGGTCTTGGTCTTGATTCCGATGTACTTGCTGCTGCCAGGGCACTCCTCAATTTTATCACTCTGGCTCAATATGAATCATATACAGACAAACCCTTGGCGGCCATGACCAAATCACTTCATGAGTTTCACAGGCGGAAGGATGTCTTCTCGCATCTTGATGTCCAACACACCTTCAATATTCCCAAACTCCATGCCATGCTACATTACATTGAGTCAATAGAGCTCTTTGGCAGTGCAGACGGCTTTAACACTGAGTCCCCCGAACACCTCCATATTGATTTTGCAAAGTGTGCTTACCGGGCAAGTAATAAACAAGACTACCTGATTCAGATGACAACATGGCTGCACCAACAAGAAGCTCTCCTCATGCGCACATCTTACCTGGACTGGCTCCAGAGCTCACAGCATTATCTGTCACCTACAGGCAATGACAACGCAGATACTGACCCCGAGGACCCTGATGTTGCTGATACCCAGCTAGCGGCACTTGCAGATACACCAGAGGCAGCGGATGGTATGCCATCGCTTGATCTGGAGCTCAACATGACAGCCGGTGAGCTTGCTGAGCACCTCTCCCATTTCACCCTTCTCAATGTCATTGGTTCGCGCAGCTTCTACCTTCCTCGCAGGTGCCATCACCGTCATGCTCGTCTTTCACTTGTTCAGAGTACACACGCTGCTCCTCTACTCATTGAATCCATAAATAGCTATCTCGCCTCGACTCAGGCTGGCTCCCAACATATCCCTGAAGTTGGGCCATCTGCATCCATCAACATTTTCCATTACATATCAGTTGTTGCCCCCGCTCGTCTTCACTCTAGCCCATCAAAACACTTTTGCAAGATCCGAGCGTATCCTGAACATACAGCTGCTAATGCTCGTAAAACCATTGTTCCCACACAGTTTGGTCCAGCGGTTTTAGTGGAGGATGTACCCCCATTCGCGTGTGAACCGGATGCACTTGCCGGTGAGAGCCCTCATTCTCTTTTTTTGCTGTGTTTTTATTATGGTCTCATGATCGCTGTGTGCTGACACTGTCTCCCCCTTGTAAGGACTACTTGTTGGGCATGTGCACATTATCTTCCACCTCCCAGAGTATTTTGGGGAGAAGGAGGCACTTGCCTACATGCATTGGTACCGCCCATTTCAAACTATTGATCCCTCAACATCTATGTTCAAATTGGAGCGGTCTACTTGCCTCCACGGACCCCATGCGTCTGTTGTTCCCGTCTCCCACATCCTCTGGTCTTGTCACCTCATCCCATATAGGGCAGGTGAGGACGGAAGCTTGTGGACCAGGGAAACAGCGCTTGACATGGGCAAGCAATTCTTGGTAAACCACCGCATAGATTTAGACTTTTTTGAGCGCATTCAACTCGAACATCTTCAAGCATGACACAATATATAATATTTTAATTGGATATCTTTGATATTATTTGCAAAATATGCACCAGTGCGGGCCAAAGCGACAACAGGCATGTATCAATCAACGTACTTGGCATACACACTATGAATACAAGGCAGCCTTGCTCCGCTGCAGCACTTAGGGCTATCTTCCTACCATTTTTCTCAGTGAGAATCTGTTGTGGACACAACAGGGGCGGTACTCTAAACTCCTAAACAGCTCCAAAACTTCGGAGGAGGTCGGAGGTAGGCGGAACGGAGCGGAGCGTAGGAGCGTAGAAGCGTAGACGTACAAGTGGCCGAAACCACAAGGCTAGGTGATGGAGGATCTCAACGAGTGCCGGCGGTGAGCACGAAAGCACTAGTCCCAATGACCAAGTCAATAAAGCATGCTATCTACTACAAAGTGAATGCGCACCTAGTCCCAATGACCAAGAGGTTGAGATGGGGGACTAGGATGTGAACCGCTCAGTATATAAACAACTCCAGTGATCTTCGGATCCTGATCATGCTACTGATAACCATCTGCTGTCACGGAGGTAGTACAGCGCTGCTGTCAAGCGTCCGCATGGTCTGCATAAAGTCCGAATGTTGTCGGGAGTAATGCTCGAAGGGAAACATAAGAGGTCCGAGGTAACTCCAGACGTGGAGCAAACTCCAAAATCTTCGGAGGGTCCGAAGGTGTCCGAAGGTGTGCGGAGATGACCGGAGGTGCGCGGACCTGGCTCTAAGTGTGGAAAGGAGAGAGAGGAGGAAAGAGAAAAGAAAGAAAAGAATAGGGGCCTTGGTCGTCTTCACGACAGAATCACTATTCCATTGTACTGGAAAGGAAAACTCAAACACGAGTAGCTAGACCCGCTGCCTGTTGATATCTGCCATGCAATCTCAAGCCCAACATCCTAATGTCAAAGCGAGAGATATACCACAGCCACAAAGCCAAACATGTACAATGCCAAGCTGGGCATAATTTTGAATACTGTACTTTTACGACCATTCGCTCATCCCATGTCCCACGGGCCAGGTGAACGAACAATTTAGGCGGGACTGTCCCACCTCTACGACAACTTACAAACAAAAAAGTGGGACATTTGGTAAAATAGCGCAAAAATATAGATAAATTCAAAAAAAAACCCTGGAGCAATTTTCAACATCTAATGGCCTAAGAACACATCGTACTTCTTATTAGATACCTTATGACACTTCCCTTGCAATTTCTCCAGCTCCTGTATGAGACTTGCATTGATATCAGTGTCATCGGCCATCCCAGGGCCAGCATCACCCCCATGCATAACATCCTCACTGCCAGGGTGGAGGATCTGAGCCATGAGGTCGGAGCACCGGATCCATGAATTGTTGTAAGGTGCAAGAGCTGGTGCTTCCTGTGGCAGCTCAGAGTTCTTGTCATTGAGTTGGGGGTAGATGTGCTCCCCAAGGTCGCAATCAGTGCGGGGATGTCACAAAGGATCCTGAAGGCCTTGGGGCTGGATAACATCTTGTAGGAGACGTTAAAGCTGTGGCAGTGAGTGAATGCCTGTAGATGGACAATGGGCTTCAACTTGACAGAAAGAACATTTGTACCTTTTCTTTACTACTGTAACAATTAACGCAGAAGTTCCCATCCCATGTCCCACAGGGCCGGGAACGGAACTTATACCACGGGACAGTCCCACCCGTTGGGGTCTTGGGAACTTAAATGCGGGACAACTAGTAGAAACAGGAAAAACATAAAATTTGTGCAGCATAAAATGTATACAGCCTGAATGATGTATCTAACGTCCTACAAAGTCCCTGTACTCCTGCAACCAAGAGCTTCAGACAACAGGGCAAGCAAGTGAGCAATTGGAAGACTAAGTAAGTAGATTCCTATCAAGAGAGGGAGAAAAGACTCATCTTTTATCCATGTCCTGAAGCCCAAGGTCAGCATCGCCTCTAGTTGCAGTAGAACAGAGACAGGTAGGTGAGGCAAAGTGGCAATGCAGCCCAGTGAGAAGACTGTGCAGCCGGCAACTGCTATAAAGAAAGAGAAGGTAAGTAACAAACAAGAGGATGGTCCAGTAAATGATAGCATCCAACACCAAAATTATGCACATGTACCAAAACCCAGGACACGGCCTGACCTTGTCCCGGCCTGGGAACCCTGTCCCACCACCACCGAGAGTAGGGAACCTATTTGCGGGACATACTGTTTAGGAAGGTATGTTTAAACTCCGAATTCTCACGCCACTGGGAACTTTTGCATTAATTGTTACAGTATGTCAGCAACAGAATGGAGACATGGTAAGGGCTATGTGCTGCCAACGTGACACCCAAGCCACAGATCAGACCTAGAATGTCAACTGTTTATCAAACTAAAGGCAATGGTTGACTTACCGTAATTTAACATGCTCAACAGCGCTGATTACCCTGACGTAGCCAATGTGCACCTCTTATATCATAGTTCAAAGGGCAGAAGGAATGGAGAGGTGGCCGAAGCGCTGATATGTCCCAGGACGGAGTAGGCTAATTAGCCCCTGATGAACACATGTCCCATGTAGATCTGGAGCCACAAACAAAAAGGCGGGACAATCCATATTAGGAAGGTAATTCCCACAAGCAAACAGTTGTAAAAGTACAGTATACAAGACATGCCGAGCTACGCTCCGGCTCATGAGTTGAAGGATGGTTGACTCAATGCGACCCCGATGCGACCCCCTGACCCTAACCCTCATGTTGTTACCAAATGTAAGCAAGAAAAAGTATAAGCCACGCCTCGTTCCACTGTGTAAATTGTGTGGCTAAGTCTACGTTGATGTATTAGTACAATACAAATCGATCGCAAAATACAGCAGTGGGATTCCGGATCCTGTCACGAAACGCACCCGCTTACTATCACCCTTTATCAAGGAACACAAAATATGAGGCACAGAAGCAGTGATATCAGTATGACATTGATATGTCACGGTAAAGTATATTGTAGATCAGGCACTGATTGTCACGAAAAGGCCTCGTATACCCCACATCCCATCAGATTGTTCAAGGCGATCACCATCAGCCTGAGTCTTGGCCTGAGTGCAACGAAGCGATCACCAAAATGAAGGCACTCATTTATCATTGATGCAGACTCCAACTCCCAAGTCATTCCAGCTCATTAAGTGTAACATTTGCGGAGGGAAAGGACAATGCACAGAACTGACCAAGTTTAAATGTGTATAAACATGGGTGTCTCGTAATCATACCAAATTAGCGAGGGCACAACCCAGGTGTTTCCTTTGTATAACAGACAGCAGATGCCAACGGCATGCATGGTAGTAATCAAGGTGCAGCCACGTTGCATTCCTCATCAATGTTACATCAGACTCAGAATCCTTACTATGCAACAGAGTTTTGTTCACACCTAAGGCCCGTAGACTTTGACACGCCAAGACATCCTTCAACGTGGGATCAGCATTAAACTAACATACATTGAAATCGAGACAATTTGAACATTTAACAGAACTACTCTACCATAGGAAGCTATAGCTGAAAGATACTTACATACCTACCCGTAAGCACAATATCACATTCAATAAAAGATAATCAGTAATATCGGAAATGAAGACCAGCAACAAAACCTACCACGGCTGGGAAATGGGATGAGAGTGATAATGATATGCAGCCGCATATTAACTATGAGGGAGTGGAACGGCACCGACCTGCGGTCAAGCGGTCAAAGATACGCTGCGAGAAAAAGCAAAGAAAAAGACGAACCTGCATCATAGTACCGCTTGCGAAACACTTACCTAGACCAGCGCTGGGAATCCCAGATACGCGGCAGAGCACACTGACATAAACAGGACACACTGGCACGTAGGAGGATTTGGGCGTGAACTCGCTGAACGTGGGTTGCCAGTTTACCCTTGTGGAAGGATAGCGTAAGAGCAAGGGTTTGGCCATGGCCGGGCCAGCCAAGGCGCCAGGGACGAGATAGGGCATGCCGGGCGGCGGGGCACGAACTGACTGTGGTCGAGCATGAGCTCATGGGCAGCGAGCTCAGGTCTGGTATGGACAATTTTATCGGTGGGGAATGATGTTCAAGTGAGAGGGCATACCTGCAAATTCTGCATCGGATGCAATGATGAAGGAGGGTCGTGAGCAAAATGGGAGTAGAATTGGATGGAGGCAAGGTGTTCTTTGCGAATATCAAGCGGAATTGGGAAGAGGATTATCGTCGTCTGGGAGCAGGTTTTCGTGACCTCATAGCCCAAAAGCGATAGATATGGTACGCACCGAAAACCTGCTCTGTAGTCCTGGCAGGGCTGAAATAAGCATGTGTAAACATTAGTGAACTTGAGCAACATACCAGTCCTGTGACTGTGAGGATCCACAACGCGAAAATGGGGAGGGGAAGAAGGTGGGGAGGAAAGGATGGTGACAAACGAAGCGCCAGCTCAGGGACCATTATCTTATCAACGGGAGTATGGCCCAAAATGATTGAGGATGTCTGGATCGAGAGTGGATCTGATCTCAAGGGGATTTGATCAAGAGCACAAACAAAAAACCAAACAAAAGTGGGCAGAAATATTGAAGATACGAGTAACGAGTAATATGATGCGTGGCAACACCAGACACGGCGAGCATATATTTGCCTCTGCTTGGTCACGCATTTCAAACTCCACCAATATAGCCCAACGCGCGCACGTTGCTCTCTTCAACATCTTCTACCACCACTTCTGGAGGTGGGCGCAGGTGAGAGAGAGAGAGATTTCTATATTTATACCCCGCGTCAAACACGTGGTCATGTTAAGTAGCGGCTATGTAGTGGTGTAAGGTAATCTAGGTATGGTGTGTAGGTGCTGCGATGTAGATGAAAGGTAGGCTAGATATGTATGTTGATAGTGTGTGCTATGGTATTGGCTTTTTGGCCAGTGGTCTATCGCATTACGGTGCGAGAGAGGGCTATATGTACTGCGATGATAATTAGCGGGAGAAAGGTGACAACAAATAATGATAAATAGAAAGATTGATAAAAGAAATATGGGGCATGCAGGAGCAGGTCCGTGTTTGTCTGTGGGTTCTACTGTGAGGCTAGGGGGTCATCCTCTTCCTCCTTGCTTCCTCCTTGACGATCTCTGTGGCCTTCCTGAAGGTTTTTATTTTCTGAAGGAATTTTGTGAATCCTTCAAGTCCTGCCTTTGTACTGAGGACATCCGTGAGGGTGATGTCCTTCCCAGGCTTGTGTAAGTGGTGTTGAGCATGCTCATGGATGGGGCAGTGTTCAATTATGTGTGAGTGTGACTGGTATTGGGCACTGCAAGGGCAGGATTGTGTCTCTGAGTGGATGAAGGAGGCATAGTACTCGCTGGAAAAACAGTGTCCTGTGTGCGCCTGCATCATTCGCCCATAAATCTTGTGGTTGTTTTTGATGAAGTGGTGTCGGGGTTTGAGGGCAGGCGGGAATTGGTTGGCTGCGTGGAAGCGATGGTCTTCTCTGTTGAGTTTTGAGTGCCAGATGCCTTTCCATGTGTTGAGGGTGTTCTCCTTCACTATGCAGGGCATGGCTGCGAATGTCGGTGTGTCTGTTTCCAGGTCCAGCTCTGTGCCCTCCTTGGCCAGTTCATCGGCCCTCTCATTTCCTCATGTCCCCTTGTGTCCTGGAGCCCATTCCAGAGTGATCCGGTGGGTGTGAGGTGGGCGCAGGTGCCCCATTCCGCAAACCTCACGCATTTGTGTTCTCCGGGCTGTATGCCGCTCAGGGGCACCTTTGCCGCTTGCGGCCGGCTCTGTGAACATGCGCTGTGGTCAACGTGTTTTCTTCACAAGTCAGTTGCGAGCATAAGGCAAGGTGCACCTGCAGCCTAGCCGCCGGACCAGGGGGAACACCTCCTATAGCCACCCCCTGTCGCGGGTGTGAAAGCCGTGCAGCAGACACGTGCCGTGCACGCATGTCTGTAGTGCACACGCATGCACACACCATACATGCATGCCCGCAGTGCACACGCACGCACGCACATGCCTGCAACAGACACGCACACCTGCAATGGACACGCACACCCATATATACATATACACATACAGCTTAGATAGTATGTGTTATATGCTGGTAGTGTCGACAATATATATGAATCAATTTCCCTTGATTGTTGCAATTACTGTAGTTTTTCGACCACTCGCTCATGGGAAACACCTTCCTAATCCAGTCTGTCCCACTTTTTGGCTCACGGGTCAGGACCAACGTGGGACACATGGCTCGTCAGGGGCTAATTGTCCCGAAGTCACGGGACGTGTCACGTCACCGCGGGACACCTCCATTCCCTGGTGTCAAGGTAGGTCAGGGAGATCATCAGTCGACAATGTTCCCGACTGCGCGAATTGCTGTTTATGACCACACCCTTTGTTCTTAGATTGTTCGAGTGCTGCACTGGAGGGCATTCGACCTGCCTTGGTCTTGGTTGATTGGCTAGCTTGCATTCTTCGGGATATCTGTCCGTGTAACAGAAGTGAGGTTTGGATGTATCTTCGTTGCATCCCTGACATTCTGATGCTATGCCACTATTCAAACCTCGCTCCTCAACATATTCCCCTGCTCGTGAACTCTACATGTTTGTTCAAGACATCCTTGGCACGCTTTCTCCTCAACTACAAGTGTAGGCTTGATTTCTCCGTTACCCTTCATACATGTCTCTACCCTGTCTCATTTGTGCTGCATTTGACTATGCCGCTCAGATACCCAGTGGCACTTGAAACCCTTTGTGAGCTTTCTTATAGTGACTCCGCCTTCCTCACTCGCCTTTCTGTTTCTTCACTCAACACTCACGATCTTTCTGCCCCTCACGAGGAAGTTGACCAGTAAGATCCTTTTGCACATCATGAAAATATCGACAACAACGCTTGGCTTCATCCTGAAGGTGTCATGGCACAGATCCTCGATCTGGACCAAAACAGCGCAATGGGTTCATCTCAGTCGGGTCCAGGCTTGCCCCGGACCTCGACACTGACTTGATAGAATTGCCGAGAGGGAATAAACCATGCCGAGGGAAGCAACGCAAAGTTTCTACCCGAAAGTACAACGAGTTCATAGGTCATTAGATACTCCTTCACGTGTCGTAGATTTTTTTATGGATTTATTTCGATTTTTCAAGCTATTTTTACCGAATGTCCCACTTTTTGGCTCATAGGGTCTCGGAAAGGTGGGACAGTCCCACCCTTTTTGGCTCGCTCGCCCGGTCCGTGGGACATGGGACAAGCGAGTGGTCGAAAAACTACAGTATATTCCCACTCATAATGAATGGACCTACATGGGCAACTCCTGCATCCCGACAATTGGAGAGGGCATCTACAAGCACCCAGAAATCGATGCTGACTTAGAGACAATTACCATTAATTCCTACAATCGTAGTAATGGACAGCTGCCGCTACATCCAATTTCCGAAACCATTTTTCCTGATGCAGTCCACAACCCACGATCCATGGTCCAGAATCTACAATCCAATGACGATGAGTGTGGCCTTAAGATAACGTAGTTTGAGGATGGTATGAAGCGAGGACAAACAAGTTGTTGGCTGGGTTTAATGATGGCGGTACCCTTCAGGTGGTGATTTACGCTATCTGAATTCTCAACACGGAATTCAAGGCCGAATCGTGGGCGGATCGTGGGCGCGTCGAGTCGGAGTTCGGATCGTGGAGCGGGGGTGCGGCAAAATCCTAATGCCCGCGTTCGGAGTATCCCTCCCACGTGAGCGCGTTTCACGACGCGTTAACGTTGCTAGCTGAGACATGCCACAAACATTACAAACAGTTCACGCCGGTACTATCTCGTCACTTCCTGGACAAGTTCTATGGACTCTGACAGCTGCTTTCTCCACATACAGGAAAAAAGAGGACATTAACCTCTGCGATCGACAACGAGGAAACGCAACCCACTACGAAAGCACAGAAGAGTTTGTAATTCTCCACATAATCGGGCCATTTACTCATTACGCGTATGAAGTACACCCATTCTTCTCGAAACATGAGACCTCGGATTCCGCATTTCAGTGGAAGAAGTCATTAGGGGCCAAGCGTACCTGCCTCCATGGCGTTCATCTCTCCCCTGAGAGTCGTCCCAAGGTTGCAGCCTTCGACCTCGATGGAACAGTTATCAAAGCAAACTTGGGAAAGCGAACGAAGGAAACCGCAACGCAGTGGGAATGGTGGAGAGATTGTGTTCCAAACAAGCTGAGGGAGTTGTCTAACTCAGGGTGCGTTACACTTTTCTAATGCTATAAATGCATTTCAACATATCCCTAGCTACACTGTCGTTTTCATCTCGAACCAGGCTTTGAAGTCCCAGCAAATAGATCTTTGGAATCTGAAGATACCCTCCATTGCAGCAAAGGTTCATGACAAGACCCACAATAGCATATTCGATCTAACAGCTTGACAGCTTTCTGACGTCCCTTTCCACATCTTCGCGGCCACCGCCAAAGATGGTTTCCGTAAACCCATGCCAGGCATGTGGGATGAACTTGAGAGGATATTCGGCGAAGACAGCATGCAAATAGGTGGGTTAGTGTCTCTAGCGGATTCCATGTATCCCAACCAGTGTGCCAGACAAGTCGGCGTCTTTTTTTGTTGGAGATGCTGCCGGACGCTCTGTGGACTTTGCGTCCACTGACAGGAAGTGGGCCGAAAATCTGAACATTCCCTTCCATACCCCAGAAGTGAGCGAAGCCGTCTCAATACTCCGTGTCCATGGTACTAACATTGTGCACAGCAATTCTTCCTCGACCTACCAGCAACGCCGTACGTGCTCCCTGGGTTCCGTGTGTCTGACGTTCCCGAAGGTACGTTGCTTGGATATTTGACCATGCCCACTTGCAGAACAGATCCCAGTACCTCGATTCTCCTCATCGCCTATGGAAGGAATCACTGGCCAAGAGATCGTCATCTTTGTGGGCTACCCATGCTTGGGCAAGACAACATTATATCATCAACACTTTGCGAGTGCTGGATATGTCCACATTAACCAGGACACTCTCAAGACAAGAGCGAAGTGTGTCAAGGCTGCAGAGGAAGCCATCCAGTCCGGCAAGAGCTGTGTTATCGGTAAGTCGCTCGACTCATTTAAATGGCTATTCCACCAACCCCACAACGAGATAATACCAACAGGGATAAGGCCACCCGCAAGTTTTATGTACAACTGGCTGCCAAACTAAACGTACCCATTCGCTGTTGTACGTTCTCCGGTTCCATTGAGCTGGCATGGCACAACAACTTGTACCGCGCTTTTGCTGCAATCCCCAAGTCGGACACGGAGGTATGCAGCGCAAGATAACATTGAATTAAGACAGCTCTGACATCGCATGATCGTAGGCCAAGCGAGATCTCGTACCCTACCTAGCATTCCTGAGTTTCAAAGAAGCCTATGAAGAACCTGAGCTAGGCGAAGGCTTCTCTCGCATAGACACTGTGAATTGGGCCTTTGAGGGCAACGATGCGGAGCGAAAGAGGTGGTCTATGTGGTTACAAATTGACGGGAAGTGAAGCTCTCCGCCGAACATATAGCCCGCGGCTGGGGTATCAGGATCGAGTGCAGTGTCTAGTCTTCCTCCTGTTGCAACCCGCTCAGGTCTTTTGTGGCCCTGGTTGGCATGATGTTAGTGATACGAAGAGCGAGTAACAGACAGAACATCGCACTCTACGGGGGTACCGAGGAAATCGATGCCATCGATTCTTGTCTGGTCCTCGTCGCCATGGTTGGAGCTAACGAAGATCTAGGACGCATAGAGTCAGGATATGTGAGATAGCCGCGATGATAGAACGTACATGAATGCTATTGACACTCTGGAATCGAACGTAGCGCAGCGGGATTCGTTGCCCCTGAGTGACCTGCGCTTCCGATAAAGAGAAGACCTGTGCTGCATTGCGATCAGCACCATCCGAGTCTACATCTTCAAATCCTATTGAAGGGTGGTTGACGAATATTTTGATATCTCGAGGAGCTTGAGCGGTATTGCTGGCCTTGATGACTATGGCACGAACGCGCACGGTTTGATTGAACTAAAGACGGATACATGTTCAGTCGAAAGGGACATTAGCAGTAAACATACGTGGACGCTAAGTAGGAGCTGCTCGTCAACATCGCTCAAGACGTATGCTGGACCAGAGTTGAGCGCCTTGGATTGGAGGATCGATTTGAGGTTGTGCTCAGAGGACTCGTTCAAGCAGTTTATCTGAGAGCTGTCGAGGTGTGAGAGCAAAGAAGTCTGTAAAGGGGGGCGTCAGTAGATAGTTACAAAGGAAAAGATGGGGCTAACGTCTGCTGAAGAATCGGCCATTGTGTGCAGTTGAAGGCTTGAGTTCAATCGCTGACATGAATGTTACCACTCGGCGTCAGTACATTCTTTTGGCCAGCTGACGTCACTCGTATCAGATTTATAGGCGGCTAATTGGAAAGCATCCACGATATCAATCAATTGCAACGATAGTGTATGTGTAACGTCCAGAATACATAACAAGTCATGCGCATGGGAACAGAGATCTGGCAAGACGATATTATAGCAGGAAAGCAGAAGAAACAAGCTACTGAATTCGAGAGCGAGCGTCGCGTTAGCAAATGACACATTCGTCCTTTGCTTGCTGCCGGGTCGGGCGGCCCACTGCAGAGCGCTTGTTCCCCGCCCGCTTCATCTCAGTCAGTCGATTCATCGCTCGTTTATTCCCTTGCGCTGCAGAAACACCTCAATCAGAACAACGAGCGGGGCTTGAAAAGGCAGAGCTCAGACTTACCTGCAGCTCTCATGTACCACCGCTTTGCAAACTCAATGTCCTGCTTGATTCCAATCCCAACCTCGGCGTAATATCCAACCGCATACTCCGCCTTGTGAAGGCCCTTGTTCGCAGCTTTCCGCGCCCAGAGGTACGCCTCGGAATCGCTCTGCTTCAGCACGCCTTCACTTCCAGTCAGGTACCATCCACTGAGCGCCAGCTCTGCTTCCGAATACCCCTTCTCCGCAGCCTTGGTGTACCAAGCTATCGACCGCCGAGGATCGACCGGACACGTCAAGGTTCCGTACTCAAAGCACTGTCCTAACTTGTATTGTGACTGCGTGTATCCGAGATGAGCAGCCTGGGTATACAGCGCCTTAGCGTAAGCGGGATCGTAAGGGACAAGCTGGGAATTCGGCATCTCGTGCAGCATGGCCAATTCATGGAGAGCATGGGGATTCTCCTCATCGGCTTGCTCTGCGGCACGTCTCAGCCAATTAATGGCCTCCCGCGGATTCTTCGGCTGTTCAAGCGTCCCCAGTAGGAGCAGCATCCCGAGCTTGTACATGGCCGCAGTATCACCAAGGGAGGCAGCCTTGCGATAGAAAGCCGAGGCTCGCGCCTGGTCCCGTCTAGTTCCTGCTCCGATCTCGTTGCAGACGGCCACTCGATAAGATGCTGAAGGATGGTTCTGCTTGGCGGCCTGCAGATAGAGGTGATAAGCGCGCTCGTGGTCGACTTGAAGCCCAAGGGTCCCAGTCCCATAGCAATTGGCCAGGAAGAACTGTGCCTCGTCATAGTTATCCTTCTCCGTGGCTAACCGTCGAATCGTCTTGAGAGATTCCTGGATGAGGAGATCCCGGTACTTCTTCACAGCTCGCTGGTCCTTGGCGTCCGCTCCGATCTTCTTGGCTGCTTCGATCAGATACTTTGCGTACAGGAAATGGGCTTCCGGGTCAGGATCGGCCTTGATTCGGTGACGATACTGGTCGATGTATTCTTTCGTAAACGGAGGAGCAGTGAGGTCCACCGCCTTGGTTTTACGTGTCCTTGGGTTGACCGAAGCAGTCGTTCCCGAGCGACGAAGGGTGGGCCGCATCTCGAAATCTGTGTCATCAAAGTTTTGTGACATGGAGGGATTGGGGGGTCCACCCATAGGGTAGGGTGAGAGACCGGGGCCAGGTTGGTATGCACCTTGGGCCATGTAAGGAGATGGCCCGTTTTCCGGAAATGGTTGACCGAGGTATGGGTTTCCCTGGGGGTAAGTGGGTATCGAGGGATGGGCGCCCATGGGAAGCGCCTCGTGCGTATTACCATAATCGCCTGGGTGCTGGTATGCAGGGTGGGTGCTCATGGAGTTGAGGCTTGTTTGCGAGCCTTGCCAATTGGGCTGGTAGTGATAGGGTGCATGCTGGGGAGGGAATTGGTTGTGATAACCGTTGGTGGGGTATTCTGATTCGTCATAAGTATACAAGCTAGCGATGTCGGTGTCAGCTCCTGCAGCGTCGGCTGCTTCAGCATAACCACTGTCGTGACGACTGGTTGAACTAGAGGCAGAGTAGAGAGACGTTTCATCTGGGGCATGGCGCGAGTCGGCTTGAGGATAATGAGGGTGGAGAGGTAGAGTGGAATTAGGGGCAGGCGGGAGACCGTTGGCATAATGTAGGGGCGCGGACTGCATGGACATGGAAGTCCCAGTTCTCTGAACGGGATCCAAGTAACTTGGGGCCAGCCCTTGCTGCTGGAGAGGGTCGACGATATGTAACGAGTTCATTTGATCTGCAACTGCTGAGGGATCTAAGTGCTCTGCAGGCAAGTAGGGTGGGGAAGGGTTCGGAGGATGGGCTAAAAAGGTGGGCTAGTTAGCGCTTATATTGGATGGACAGGGTGTTGCGACAGGAATGAATGGAATAAGCTCACCGAGGTCAGCGGAATGGTAGCTATCCCCAATAGATGGGAAGACCTCTTGACCTCGAGGGGGCAGAAAGCCATAGCGATTGGAGTGTGAGTTGGGGAGGTCGTCTACGGAGTGTTGAGATTCTGCTGTTTCAGCTGGGCTGCTGGCTGGAGGGTCGTAAGCGAGGTCAGACATGGCTATGAATTATTCGACGGGACAAGGGGGAGGAGGTGAGGTGGTGGGTAGGCCGAAAGGGAAGGATGTTGTGATGGCCGGAAGGGTCTTGAAGCTTGAGGTTGAGAGTGGGACACGGAAGTGCGGGGCGGCAGAGTAGCTATGGAAGTTGGCACGTTGTTAGCAGCTACAAGTCGACTCGGTCCACTTTCCTCTCACGTGGACGCGCTCACTTCTAGCACAACAACCCCTGCAGCATTCCTTCATTCACAGTATCGAGATTATCAAGAAATCTAGTATCTTATCTTAGTTTAGCAAAGCAGTAATAAGCAACCCAACATTGGCACTCTAACCATCCACCACCATCTCGTCTGCTCCTTCCTCGACCTTGGGCCCTTCCTTGTCACCCCCATCGACATTGGCAGGCCCATCCTCATCGTTGCCCTGGGCGTCCGAGTGGTTTGTCCGCGATGGCCACTGCCACTTTTCCACCGTCCTTTCTATCCGTTGCCTTTCCAACCCTCCCTCAATCTTTCGTACCTTCACCGTCAAATGACGCTCCCGCTTAACTCGCCCACCACCTTTTCCGTCTTCTCCTGTCATAAACGGTTCATCCACCATCTTCACCCAAGCTTCAAGCGACTCAGTCCCATCCTCAGGCGGCCGAGTATCCACATCTCGGCTATCCTCCTCCCGTGGTAGCGTACGGACCATGTCCCATGATTTGGGCTGGAAGTTGAGGAATACGGGTGGTTGGCTCTCGACCTCTTCTTCAGAACTCGACCGTTTCCGTTTCATCCCGTTAGCAACAGGTTCAGCACCATTGGTGCGCTTCTTCTGCCACCCATGCCCCGCATCTTCATCGTCACTCGAACATCCAGCAGCAAGCCGGACTCGCCACCGCAGTTCTCGAGCTAGAGCTGCAGGGTCCTTGACCCGCTCGGCAGGAACATGTTCCCTGCTATCCCGCTTGCCATGATCGGACCCTTTCTCCATCGTCCGCACTTCACATATGAGGTACTTGCACAGTGCGTCCATAGACTCGAGCACTCGCGGGGAAAACTCCTCTTTGCCCTTCAAGTCGCGGAGCCATTTGTCCGCAACATACCAACATAGTCTATCAATGTGTCAATCAATGGTTTCAAGCAATGAGGCAGAGAAACATTACTTGGTAAACAGTGGAAAACGGAATTTCTTTGGGACATGCGTAGACCTTTCTATCTCTTGAACTCTAATTTCTGTGGTGAGATGAGAAAGGTGTGAAAGCGTAATCCCCCAAAAAAAGGTCAACATACGAGTTGCCACATTATAGGAATGCAAAAAGTTGCCTCCAAATACCAAAGAATCTGTTGGTGTATGCTTTCCATACTGATGTAAGTCCATGATCTCGACAAACTAAACACAGGAACATACAACAGCATGTATCCATCCCGTAGGGATAAACATCGTGTTCCCTTCCTGCAGTGTCACCTTGATGACTTCGTCGACCATGTCTCCTAGCCATGTCGTCGTCTGCATTTCCGTTCCAGACCATTTCTCGTATGCGGCAAGATTTGCTGGTGTTGGGCGGATAAAGTAAAACACCTGATATACGCGTCAAGATCCTGCGAGACATCATACATGTGCAGAGTCTCCTTACCTTCGAGCCCCGGAGAATGTGATAATACACAGACGAGCCTGCAAAATCCACATGCCAATCCTGATACCGGTGAGAATCCAGCAAGGACCGATAAGAGCCGTACATACAGTCCAGGCATTTGCTACACTCATCAGACAATACAGCTGCACCTTTGGATACGCATGACCCTTGCCTCTCCGCGTACTAGGCCAGTACCGCTCGACCCAGTCGAGCTCCCTCACTAGGCGCGGCGGCAGCACTCGGTCAGCCAGAGGCGTGTCAGAAATCTCGAGAGAAATCACGTTGCGGATCTTGTCACGCGAGCGAGGATCCTTGTGATAGTATTCGGCCCACTTCCCAAGTGTCCAGCCCGGTGAATTCGACTGAGAAGCAACATCTAAACGCATGTCACCCATGTCAACGCATGAGATACATGAAGGCACACACCTATCACCTCCACGGGCATGTCGCGTCCGACAATCTCAGCGACGTCATTGACAGTAAAGTCGGGGCCGGGCATCTTCATACCTAGGCCTTCCGGCGCTTCGACCACGATCGGCTCGCGCATAGCTTCCTCGTCATTTTCGACCCACTCGACACCGACTTGGTCTCCTTGCATCCGCCTGAACCCGTCCTCGGATATGTGTTTAGTCTTTACGACGCGCATCCAGCGATTCGGATCCGACTCGACGCCCGAATTGAGGTTCGCATAGTCTAGCTGAGTCTTCTTACGGGATGACTTGCGCGCAGGAGGCTTGAACGTGACGACACGGGCAGGATTCTGTTCAGTACACGGCGGACAGTACCTGAGGCTAGTAGTTGGGGGGCTGTGGCAACGGCAAATTTAAGGGGAGGCTTACCACTTGTCTATAGTCTCAAGATCGCCGCCGTTGCCTGCACAGCGCCAGTGATACCAAGTCTTGCATGCATCACAGCGAACCCAGCTCTCCTTTTCCGAGTCTGGTGGGTTTGGATCCCTGCCTGTCTGACATGCAGGACATGCGTCCTCAGCGACTTTGGCACTAGTACTGACATTTTCCAGTGCAGGTTCGGGCTCCTCGTCCTTTACCGGAGTGAGGGACGAACGGGCTGAGAGTGGTTCCTGCTCTGGCGCAGGGGTGGGCTCTGACACAGGAGTGGGCTCTGGCGCAGGAGCGGGCTCTGGCTTTTGCTCTGCGTCGGCCTCCGGCTCCTGTTCTGAGGATTTGCGGTTGCTGGACCTTGTAACCCGCCTTGATCTGGTGTTACGAGCCATAATGAGTTTCACCTTGTCCCCTGCTGAGTGAGATGGAGAGTCACTTATGGGTGCACGTGCACCGCGGCTCGCCTCTTTCCCTTCTCGGCTGGGGGCAATTATGGACTTTTTGACTGAAAACATGCCCAAAATCATCGAAAGGCACCGAGGCAATTGCCTGTTAAGGCATGAATTTCCACGTTTCTAGCATGTTTTTAAAATATCCCGCTAAAGCGTCCAGTTATCTCCAAGGCAAGCAATGTTGCCTATCGCCTTCGTCGTTATACAATGAATAGGGTGATTGAATGAATCCTACTATACAGCAACAATTTGTTCCTCTAGTTGTATACATAGTCTATAGCCGCACACGCCTGCTGCCTCCCAGTCATTTCTCGCTCAGCTCTGCCACTCCAGGAAGCACCTACATGATACCGTCAACAAATCATGAAACTAGTCAGATCAGATCCTAGTTTGTCACTTACCTTGCCCTCAAGAAGCTCCAAGCTGGCACCTCCACCGGTACTGACGTGGCTCAGCTTGCCCTCTGCGCCGTACTGTGCCGCCACAGTAGCAGTGTCGCCTCCACCGATGATCACCGTCGCACCCTTCTGCGCAGCTTCAATGTTGTCATCCAACAACGACTTGGATCCTCCAGCAAAAGCGGGGAACTCAAACACGCCAGGAGGACTTGAATGATTACCCAGTCAGCAGCACATCTCCAATTGCCACCCGTACTTACCCGTTCCACAGGATCGTTTTTGCCGCCAAAACCGTCTCGCGGTAGAGTTCACGACTCTTCGGGCCGGCATCCAGACCCATCCAGCCATCCGGAATACCTTCCTCAATGGTGGCAGTACCGGTCTTAGGACATTATTAGTATCATTACATCCGCATGATTCCACATCTAGTTTTACCTTTGCGTTCTTGTCAAACTTATCGGCGGTGATAAAATCGACGGGGAAGACCAATTTAACGTTGTTCTTGGCCGCCTTTTCCACCAGAGCCTTGACCTTCTCGGAGCCAGCTTGATCGAACAACGAATCACCGATCTAGACAATCGTTGTTAGATTGTTGCTCGACTTTGCTCGGTCAGTAGACATACCGAGACATTGTTCAAAGTCTTGGCAAAAGTGAAGGCCATTCCTCCACAGATGATCAATGAGTTGACCTACAAAAATTCCATTGATATCTCTTCCTACATCCACTGTGCTCGCAGCATACCTTGTCTAACATGTTCTCGATGAGCTGGATTTTATCGGATACCTTTGCACCACCAAGAATGGCAAGGAAGGGGCGGTCAGGGCTTTCGAGGGCCTTGGCAAAGAACTCGAGCTCTTTCTTGACGAGGAAGCCAGATGCGCGCTGGGGCAGCTTAACGCCGACCATACTTGAATGGGCACGATGGGCAGTACCAAAGGCATCGTTGACATAGACATCTCCAAGCTTGGTTAAGCTCTCGCGGAACTCGGTGACCTTGGCCGCATCAGCCTTAGTCTTTGTGCCATCCTTGTTCTTGACAGAGCCCTCCTCCTCAATATGGAAACGGAGGTTTTCGAGAAGAATCACAGAGCCGGGAGATGCGGAGTTTACAGCGTTCTCGACATCGGGACCAACACAGTCGGGCAAGAAGGTGACGGATTTGCCAATGAGTTTCTCGAGCTCTACAGCGACGGGCTTGAGGGAGTATTTCTCGACGACCTTGCCGTCAGGACGGCCGAGATGGGACATCAAAGTGACAGTCTTGGCCCCTAAGGTTATCGATCAGGCGCGATCTCTGGGGTAGAGGGGGTCAAGGGTGTACCGTTGTCAAGGGCATACTTGATGGTAGGGAGAGCAGCAACGATACGCTAGAGGAAAGGAGAGAGGGGCGAGATGTCAACGTGAGGGATGCAGTAGCGCATTGAAACTCACGGCGGGATTGGTGATCGCGCCATCCTGCATGGGGACATTGAAGTCGACGCGGATGAGGACGCGCTTGCCCTTGAGGTCGAGGTCGGTGATGGAGAGCTTGTTTGCGAGGGACATGGTGGACGGCGGATGCAAAATCGATGTTAATGTTATTTATCTTATTTATCTTATCACCTCCATCCTAGCAAGTATCCCACGCTCACCTCGGCGGCTTCCCCAGTTCCAAGTCTGTTGCAATTGGCACACTCGCACCATGTCCGCGGCTCCCTCAAATTCGCTCGGCCTAGACTTTGACCGCCTCCAGGTCAAGGATGACTCTACGGCCCCCGCAGAAGAACAGCAGGAGCCCGTCGATGATCAGCCCGACACACCCTCAGGCTCAGCAGCACCAGATGACGCCCAAGACAAGGACAGGGAACCCAGGGAGCCAAAGGATCGAAAGAAACCATACGTCAACCCGGATCGCGTCAAGACAGGCGGTGCACAGCGAGTACGTCGTCCTCAGACGCGTCCTCTCAACCCCATTGATCACCGGAACTAGGATAAGCTAACCGAGGAAGAGCTTACCGAGCGCATGCAGAGGATCAAGGAGCAGAACGAGAAGATCAAACAGAGGAGACTGGTGAGCTTACCACCGTCGCCATGAGGCCTCTGTCTCTTCCTGACTCACGAGGCACAGGACGTGCAAGCCGACGAGGATGCGTTTAAGAAGACGCAGGAGGTGGAGCGCGTCAAACAGGCCAATACGCGCAAGGTTCAGGACAAGGTTGACAAGACGCGCGAACAGAATGCGCGTCGGAAGATGGACAAAGCCCAGAGTCGGGAGTGGGATTCAGGAAAGTCAGCACCTGACTGGAAAAAGAAGTCGAGTGAAGGACAGAACACGGAGGAGGGCACAGAGGCCTCTCAGCACACAGTCTCTTCTAGGGGAGGTGGACGTCAGCTCAGAGGAGGCTTCCGTGCGGTTCCAGGGCGGGGAAGAGGACGTGGACGTGGTCAGGTCACGAATGCATCGCCGACAAGTGCTGTGAATGAATCGAGCGCACCCGCGGAAGACAAGGGTAGTGGTGACACGGACGGTGTTGCCGATGCCACTGCAGCCACCGACGAACCTGTCATTGCCAGCGATGAGACCGGTCTGGCTTTGTGATACTCGTCTTGAGCGCTTGTACTTTAAAGTTGTTATCGTGCTACTTATTTCTGTACATGTATTTACTTGCAGCTGGATCGCTTTCCGCTGTTGCTGAACCAGATAGGAGGTTCTCCTGATATGGCTGGAGGATCAGTTACATAAGCGATAAAAGTTATGCGGTCCGAGATCTCGGAGGCTTGTCAAGTTCACTGTCCAGCGACTAGCAAACATGGGTCGGGGTATCCTCCTCACCTCGAATCTGCCCCAGCTTCAAAATCTCATAAAGCGCGACCCAGCCGCATACAAGGAAGAGTTTCTCCAGCAATGGTCTCACTACGAAAGCATCCGTCAGATTTTCCAGATCAATCCGACCGACCAAGCGCACCACTTTAAGGAGCTCGTCACCTTCATCTCACAGGTACACTCCAGCTCTCACAGAGTAGAGCATACATGTTGCTGAAGAAACTTACTCTTAGGTATCCCAATGTTATCCCAAAGAGACTGCCAACTTCCCCTCCCATCTCTCCTCGCTCCTCATGGACAACTATACTTCCCTCTCCCCAGACATTCGCAAAGCCCTCATCCAAAACTTGGTCATGCTCCATAACAAAAATGTTATATCTTCCATTGAGTAGGACCATAGTCTCGCTCCCTCTTACCCTGCTCATCGGTCCCAAGGCTCCTCAAGACTCTGTTCCCTTTGCTTCCAAAGACAACTTCCTCCAGCTTGAGAACGTTCATCCGCAAAACAATCTTGTCTGACATTCGGACGGCCAATCTGCGGTCTAAAAACCACAAGCTCAACCGCGCAGTCCAGGCGATGCTCTTTGGCATGGTCGAGAGAGGTATGGAGGCCGAGGTCATTGGCGACAAAGGCAAGCTCCGCGCTGTTTCCTCACAGTCAAAGCCTGAACACAGTGAGGATGCCATATGGGCTGTCATCCTCACAAAGGAGCTGTGGCGGAAGGGCATATGGTACGTCCTCCACCCTACGCCATCTCGGCAGTCACCCTGATGTATATTCAGGACCGACTCGAAGACTGTTTCCATCATTTCCCTTGGCTGCTTCCACCCGGTGCTCAAAGTGCAGAGTGCATCCGTCCATTTCTTCCTGGGTAGCGATGATGAAAAAGAGGACAGTGACGATGAAAGCGACGACGAGGTCAGTTTCTACATACCTGTTTATTTTGCTTCTAAATCAGCGAGAAAGGGCCCCGACGTCAAAGCACTTCATCACAGGCGAGAGATCAATAAAAAGACACGCAGTGGAGACAAGAAAATTATGAAGCAGCTCAAGGTTGCCAAGAAGGTAAAGCCATTGCGCAAGTTTCGTTAACTTACTGTCCTAACTCATGCGCGAACGATAGAAAAAGCACGGCAAGAACGACCCTACAACTCCTAACTTCCCGGCTCTTCAGCTACTGAATGACCCCCAGACATTCTCTGAGAAGCTTCATGATATGCTCAACCGATATGACAAGCGCTTCTCTCTGGACCACAAGATATTGCTGATGCAGCTTCTGTCTCGCGTCATGGGTGCACACAAACTCTGCGTGCTCGCTTTTTATACCTACATCGTCAAATACCTCACCTACCACCAACTCCGCATACCCGCTATCTTGGTCTCACTCGCACAATCCGTTCATGACCTCACGCCGCCGGATGCGCTGCAACCTGTAGTTCGGAAAATAGCGCAAGAGTTTGTCCACCCTGGAGTTGGCAGCGAAGTCATCGCTGCAGGTATCAACGCTGTAAGGGAGGTATGTCGGCGACAGCCTTGGGCTATGGAGGAGGATCTTCTCGGAGACCTCATCGAATATCGCAAGAGTCGGGACAAGGCTGTAACGGCCGCCTCGCGAGGACTTTTGCAGCTATACCGTGAAGTCAATCCCGGCATGCTCAAGCGCCGAGAGCGAGTAAGTGTTTTCTTCATTGATTGCGATATATCCAAACTGACTCCTTGCAGGGTAAAGAAGCCAGCTTAGGCATGAGTGGAGGGAAACAGCCCTTGCAATACGGTCACACTACGGACGCCGCGGTAGACATTGAGGGCCTTGCTGTAAGTATGAAGTCGGTGCTTCTGTGGACACACCGGCTGATTTTCCGTAGTTGCTTGAAGATCACTTCCAACAGCTGAGGGAAGAGGATGTCGGAGATGGCCAGGAGGACGAAGATGACGACAAGGGCTGGGAAGGCTGGGAATTGGAATCTGACTCGTCAAGTTCAGATTCCGAAGATTGGCATAATGTCAGCTCAGATGGCGACGATGATCTGGTGCTCAGTGACAGCGAAGACGAGAAAGAAAAGCCTCCAGCAAGCGCAGAACCGAGTGTCGAAAGTCGAATATCTACTCTGGCCACCACCAAGGTATGGTTGAATCTCACTTGTTCCCTCACACACGCTAACGCCATTTCCCTCAGATTTTAACCCCCGCGGATTTTGCTCTTCTCAACGACCTCCGGATCAAGGCAGCGTCCAAGGCTGTCGAAGCTGGCGGTGGCTCCCACGCAAAGCGCAAGCTTGCAGAGCTGCAGTCTCACAAGCACGCTATGGAAGCGGGGCAAGACGGCACTTTCCTATCCGAAAATGATATCCTTGGTCCCAGGAAAAAGGCCAAGGCCGACTATGCCGAGCGCATAGCATCAATTGAGAAAGGTCGCGAGGGACGAGAGAAGTTCGGGTCGTTGAAGGGGAAGAAGAAAAAGGAGACGCCTAGTAGCTCCACGAATAGGGAGAAGGCTCGCAACAAGCCTATTATGATGATCATGGGTAGCGGGGCCGTACGAGGTAAAAAGAAGGCATCGCTGAGAGACAAGCAGCGGAAGCTGAGGGCACACATCGACAAGGCGAAGAAGGCACGATGAAGTGTTCCATGCTATTACTTTGGGCCACTGCCTGTCTATCCATCGCTGGCGCTCGGCCTATAGTCCCTTTGCAATCCTCTGGGCCAGATTGTAGCCCGAAGCTAGATGAGATAATCTGGAATCTACCACGAATCCCTTGAGGAATGTTCTCGTCAATGGATCCCAGGACATATGCGTCTATTCTTACCTTCTTGTCATAACCTAACGATTAGGCTGCGATGAGTAATGGCGCCAATTGTTTCTTAAAAGGCTCATCTTACTGATAAGTTCATCATGCAACTGGTCCAGAGCTACAACCCGCTTCACGATGAATTCACCATCGTCCAGCTTGGAGTCAGGCGTTTCGAGTTTATCATCGAGTAACACGTTGGCCACTACCAGCTTCATGTTGGCTGTTGTCATGCCTGGTCCGCACCATATCGCTCAAGGGGTCATGGTCACACCGTCCTCAAAACACATACCTGGATCTGCCACTGTCACAGGGGAGGACTCAGCTATACTATCAGCCTTGTAGCCGGTCTCTTCCTCGAGTTCACGTATGGCGGCCTGTTCGGGCGTTTCATCCTTATCAATGAGTCCTATAATGTGTCACAAGTGGTGCTCACGTCCACGGAAATGTGGACTGGGCCTTACCGGCTGGAAGCTCTGCCGCAAGCAATATGGTGTGATAATGGAATCACCAAGTGTTACACCTAGTGGCACTAGTGGCTGGAACCATACACGTACCAATGACATACTTCCCGGCAGGCGGTCTGAACTGTTCGATGATTACAGTAGATAGAGGAAACGCGTTGGTCTTTGACTTCAAGAGAACGAGGATGCTGACAGCTTCGAGGACATGGTCAGTGAGTTTACCCAGTGTTCTACCTAATCTAGAGAAGGCACACCATCAACGCCAGAGGCGCCCCTTGTGCGCCGCTCGGCACATTCCCAAACTCGCTAGACGAGAGCTAATGTCAAATACAAACGCCCAACGGGCAGGGCGAAACACAAACCGATCTGCCTTCTTGATCTGTATAGTGAAGCTTTTTCAACGAGATCCACCTGTCTCTCGAGCGTCAAGAGTCCCAACCTTTTATGCCTGCGTCGCCCTTGACTTACTTTGCATTTGAGCTTGCAAGCTCTTCGGTGGAGGTCACTTTCGGTTCGAAAAGTTCTGGCATATGTGTCGCAGGCCTGTTGATACTGCGAGATCTAATCAGCGAAGGCAAAGACCGTCGCCGAAGAGAGAGTAATATGCGTGACATGATCACGAGTGCATACCTACGTCATTCTCAGCTGCTTGGACACCTTGCACCAAACAACGTGCTACATCTGCATATTGCCTTATTTCTACATCGGTATACCTACTTTATAACTATAAATCACATATAAAAATCGAACGCGCACTATGCGCTTCTATGGTCAGCATCTTATTGCTTTGAGAGATAGTGCACTTCAGAACACTCCCTCAGCCGCTTGGCTGCCTGCTCCGGTGTCAAGTCACGCTGCGACTCCGCCATGACCTCGAAACTACACATCCCAGCGTCAAAACAGTCCATCAACCACAATAAACAGAGAGCTTACCTGGCCATGAACTTTCGGACACTGGCACTCCGCAAGAGCGGCGGCTCAAAGTGAACGTGTAGGTGAGCGACGTCCTGTTCGTCTGCCACTAGTTTACCATCGACTTCCTGCGCAGGAACGGGCCGTTGGTGAATGCCCATCGCATATGCGAACGAACAAGAGAACAGGTTATCGTAGCGCTTCGTCATCCGTGAGATGATCTCAGCGTAGTCCCTCTTCTCCTCCTCAGTCAAGTGCTGGAGGGATGGCACATGTCTCTTGTAAGGAAGCACTGCAAACTAGTCAGTGTGTATGTGTCCGAAAGCTGTTTTCTGGTACTGACGCATGACTTCGTAGGGCCAGTACGCCCACCAGGGGACAAGTGCAACCCAGTTGTTGTTTTTGATAACAATCCGACCTTCATCCTCGGCTACGCCAATTTCATGGTGAACGTAGTCGCAGAGTAGACAAGCTTGACCATCGGGACCCTTGGGCGCACCCTGCTGGGTGTTTTGCTTGGATGCGTAGGAACGAAGAGCGTTCAGCTCTTTCTCAGGCAAGGTTGGGATGACCGACAAAGACCAGGCTTGGCTGTGAGGGTGAGGGTTCGAGCAACCCATGATTGCGCCCTTGGTCTACAGAATATCAGGAACATTGGAAAAGAGCATGCATCGTAGTCATGTCAAAGACTTGCCTCAAAGAGCTGCACGTATTTGATGCCTTCCTGACGACCCCTGGTGAGATATACCTGAGTCCATTGATCAATGACTTTCTCGATGTCGGGGATCTGGAGGGTGGGGAAGCTGAGATCATGTCTGGGATGAAAACAAATGACATCGCATCCGCCTTGAACGGGTTCGACCGTCAACAAAGGATGAGACGCGTCGGGGGCAGCGGGACCGGGAGGTGGTAAGACGGCAGCGAAATCATTTTCGAATACCAAGGTGGAGGTGTACTTGTCGTTAACTTTGCCTCCAACACGGGTGTTTCCAGGGCATAGGTAGCACTCGGGGTCATATTCTGGGAGGGTGGATAGCTGAGGTGCCTCTGTCTGACCGAGCCAGGGGCGTTTGGTGCGATGAGGAGAGACAAGGATATGGGAGCCAGTCAGGGGATTGACTAAAGCGGAACGAAGATGAGATGAGCTGTCAACACGAAAGCCAGACACTTACACCTCCTGTGCGGGTGAGATGAAGGATCAAAGTCGACCATTTTGTAGAGAGCTACTGTGTCTCGGGGGAAGACAGAGGAAAAAACGGATGGACTGACGGGACGCCGTATAAGAGTATCAATCGATGGGTCTCTTTACTTACCGGGTTTATCTCAATCTGTCAGCTGGGAGTTGTCAATGCCAACGGGTGCCTGCGCCGATAGCCCACCCCTAACCCTAATCTCGGAGTCCGCGTCGAGTAACCCAAGTCGTCCTCACTCTGCCTTGCCCAAGCCTTGCCTTAGCGCTTAGCCTTGTCTTTCGCCTTTCCCTATGGACTCGGAATTAGCATCAAAACGTCGCAGAGTCCAACGCTCTCCGTCTCCGACCTTCAAATACGATGATGAGGACGACTCCTATGAACCCTACGTTCCGGTCGCCCAGAGGCGTGCTGCCAAACTCGCTAAACTCTCCTCGTTTGGCGTAAACTCGGACAGACAAAAAGCTAAGAAACAGCTCGAGGAACTATTGGAACTAGAAGATGCAGAAAGAGAGGAGGAAAAACGGCGTGAACGGGCACGAAAGGAGAGAACCCTTCTCGTGGAGGCACAGGAAGTCCATTCTCGCAGAGCAGTAGAGGGTGTGTTCATTATTCCCTCATCTTCGCGCGTTTTCCCATATTGACCTCTCAGATGCGAAGAAAACCGAGGTCGAGAAAGCAGAGGAGGCTGATGCTGAAATACTTGCCGCCATCGCCAGCCGACGCAAACTGGCTTCGGATATGGAGTTGGCTAAAGGCATCTCATACTTAGAGTCGTTAAAAACGACGTCAGTACTACTCTCCTCTTCTCCTCTTCTCTCCTCAATGTCTCTGCTTCAGGTGGAATCCTCCCAAGTACATACTGGATCAGACGGAGGAACACCATCGCCAAATTCGTGAAAAGTACCACATTATAGTCGACGGTGAAGACATTCCACCTCCCATTGAACACTTCGCGGTAAGTAGGTACAGTACGCTCTTTGATTCATATGTTTATGAGTAAATCAGGATATGAAAATCCCACATGAGCTTGTCGACTTCTTCAAGACAAAGAGAATCGTAACCCCTACCCCAATTCAACTTCAAGGCATTCCAACAGCGTGAGTCGTACTAGTTTCCAGGGACGATATCCCTCACGTAGTCTTCAGTTTTGCCGGCCGAGATATGATTGGCATTGCCTTTACAGGGTCTGGGAAAACGCTAGCTTTTTGTCTGCCTCTCATCATGCTTGCTTTGGAAGAAGAAGGCAAGCTTCCGTTGATTCGTGGTGAAGGCCCAGTTGGCGTTGTATTGTGTCCCTCTCGCGAGCTTGCTACTCAGACGTACGAGAACGTCCTCGTCTGGACTGACGCCCTTGCCAAGGGTGGCAGATACCCGCAGCTCAATACCCTCTTGTGCATCGGTGGTATCTCAATGGGGGAACAGAGCCATGTGATGAACAAGGGAATGCACATTGTCGTAGCCACCCCCGGTCGCTTGATTGACATGTTGGAGAAGGGAAGATTCAACTTCAAAAGTTGCAAATATCTTTGCATGGATGAGGCTGACCGAATGATTGATCTCGGGTTTGAGGAAGATGTGCGAAACATCATGAGCTTCTTCACAGTACGTCGCCAACGATTCACATTCCCGAACACATATCTGACCTATCTCAAAGCGACAGAGACAAACGCTATTGTTCTCTGCCACTATGCCCCGCAAAATCCAGGATTTTGCTCAACAGTCGCTTGTGCGTCCTGTCCTAGTCAACGTAGGACGAGCTGGAGCCGCCAATTTAGACGTGCTGCAAGTAGTGGAGTACGTCAAACAGGAGGCCAAGATGGTCTATCTTTTAGAATGTCTTCAAAAGACTGCACCACCTGTCATCGTATTCAGCGAAAACAAAAACGAAGTTGACGGTGGGTCATCCTATGGAATCAACCATATCATGAGTTTGGAGAGCTGACTGATCCATAGATATTCAGGAATACCTTCTGTTAAAAGGTGTTGAGGCAGTTGCTATACACGGTTCCAAAAGTTGGTCACCCTTTCATCACTTTCTTTACGCGCTGGTTGACAAAGGCCACAGCACAGGAAGAGCGTCAGTATGCAATCAAGTCGTTCAAATCCGGAGCGAAGGATGTTATGGTGGCATCTGGAGTGGCTTCCAAAGGTCTCGACTTCAACGACATCCAACATGTCATCATCTTCTCAATGCCTAAGGAAATTGAAGATTACGTCCATCAGATCGGACGTACTGGCCGTAGTGGAAAGACTGGTATCGCGACAACATTTGTGAACATGTCCACTCCAGAGCAGACCCTCTTGGATCTCAAGTATCTATTGATGGAGGCCGGACAGAAGTAAGTTGAGCCTTCTGCTCATTACAAATGTAGCTGACCAAGTGTTAGAGTGCCACCCTTCCTGCAATCCATCGACGATCCACGAGCCGTGCAGGGTGGGTCTCTCAAAGGATGCCCTGTCTGTGGTGGTAAGTGTTCAGCTCCTGGTCCCTTCTGCGGTCTGACGAGGATATCAAGGTCTCGGACATGCCATCTCGAACTGCCCCAAGCTCGAAGACACGCAAAGACGGCAGATGGCCTCGCACAGAGCAGCAGACGATGGCGGTGGATACTAAGAGACAACGATCGGTCCTGTGGCACTTTTATTGCTTTTGACCTTGAGGCCTGTCACGTGTACTCTATAATAACTTGTTTGAGCTTCTTTCGGTTCTTGGTCATGACTCTATGGACAACAATCGCCCCACTGCCTTGCGCCAAGCTCGTCACAAATTTGTATCCACACAAAAAACATTACAAAATATGCCTAGACTATTACAGCATCGGAATGTCTATCAGAACGACCTGAGAGATATCTGTGGTTTGGCAGCTTGTTGGTTTCCCTGTCCGTTACCTCCCAGTGCTCGGCGGAGAGACTGCTCCAAGGGCTCTCGGGCAGAAACATCAAGATGATTAGTTGCTTCTTTGAACGCATCCGGCGATGATGTAGCAAAACTGAGCAGCTGTTTCACAGTGATAGAATGTAATGGGCTCAGCGTTGACTGAGAAGGTCGCAAACATAGAGTCATTGTCGGCAATATGACACCCAACAAGCGAGATCCTGCAATGAAACTATGAGCCAGCCATAGTTTACACGATAGCGTCAACTAACGTTTGTCTTGTGGCAGGGTTGAAATGAAAGCGTTGAATGTCTTCCATGTCTCTTCGACGGACGTCAATTGTTGCTCATTCATAAAGCTTTCGTCTGCTTTAGGAGAAAGCCTTGCTATATACTCTATAAGTCCAGGGAGGAGGCTGCGACTCGAAGCTCGCAACAGCTCATTCTCAGATGCAGCGATCGCCACAGTTTTAGCGCAATGCACAGCAATGAGTGCCATCTAGAGGTCAAGAGAATCAGTTTCAAGGTAGTCACGTAAAGTTGATTGGTATATACCTCTTCACCCTCGTCAAGTTTCTGCGTGATGAGGAAAAACAGGTGTTCGACCACACCACGAGCGACCTTGATAGAACGAGGGACAATGGTAATGATAAGGACTGCAGCCAAGAGATTACTTTTCACTTTCCGAGTTGATATCGCGCCCTCTCGTCCGCTACAACGGGTTAAGCAAAGTTATGCGGGGATTAGTAACGATACAACTAACCGCATTTCATCTACGTTAAGAAGACAGGAAGAAAGGAGGCCATATATGAGTTTGCTGTATACGTCCTTTGCCTCTGGGGATGAGTCAATAGGAATGGATAGTAGTGCCTTCAAACATGGCAACAAAGGTGTGTTCAGGTCGAGCTCGCGGGTTTCATCTTTCAGTAGCTCTGCAATAAAAGTCACCAAGCGGCATATCAATACGGGCTCAAAGCTCAGCTCACCTGCAAAGAGCATGCAAGCAACACCGCGAACGTCTTCTCGTACACTTCCGCTCAAGGTCTTAGCAATGGTCTCAAACGTCGAAAATGCACCGTTGATCATCTTCACAATATTGACAACATCGCCTTCTGTTGCATGTTCAGAAGAGGAACTCATACAGGAAGCGAATGACGTACGGATGGAGGGCATGCTGGAAACTTGGACGGAATGTCGGATCATATGTGCGCATATCTTTGAACAGTGCATCCGGATAGAGTCAGGGGGGAAGGCCTCACTATTATGGGGGCATGTGTGCATTATACCAATGGTGCACTGCATAATAGAACGTACGATCCATGAGAGCCATCATCAAAGGACATCACCAAAGTCTGTAGGACCTCCGTGAGATAGAGAAGGGTGCCTGCAGGCTCTACCATAGCAAGACGGTTGCAGAGGCTGATGAGTTCTTTGAAGACTGTTGGTTCTAAGAGCGCTTTGCCTGAGTACCGGGGGCTTGCAAGACACTTCAGCGTTCGTAGAGAAGCTATGGAGATGTCTTCGTGAGATACTGAGTCAGGAGGGGATGTAACTAATGCTTCATAGATTATTCCTAAAACTATGAAGAATGTGGGCACTGGTTCGTTCGTGTTTCTGGCGGGAGCTGCTGGCGTAGAGTCAGTTTGACCCGCCATTGCGTTCAGCATGTGCTGCTCGGCCTCTTCCATGTTCTTGCCGACCGCTTGCAGGATAAGTGGCCAGGCACTGTTATAGAACTTGACACCATTGTGAGTCATCTCACTGCGCTCCTATACAACGTCATGACTTACAGGTAGCAGTACAACCTTCCCAAGTTGCGTGTAAGAGGAGTCCACAACAGACGACGTGTCATGGACAAATTCCGAATCAGCACGAATCAGCGCGTAATCTCGTAGACAGGCAACCCATTGAGGTGCGAGTACAGAACGATAGGGCCGTATGACGTCTTGCAGGTATAGTTGCTTGGTGCTAGCGAGCTCCAACTGCGCCCAAGCAGCAAGAACGGAGATTCTGAGCATACCTGAGGCAGTCGGGCTCATGTCAATAAGTTTGCCAACGGAAAGGTTGCCAGCCTCTACAAAAGTGTTAACAATGCATACACCTTACTCTGACAGACACACCATCAGTTTGCTCCAAGGCAGACGTTAATTGCTTCAAAATTCGGCCCATACGTGAGACGTCCTTGACGACGCCGGAGCCGATGAAGACTGCACAAGCATCGATCGCAGCAGCCACGATCTCTGGCGATGAATCAGCAGAAAACGCTGGGGTGAGTGCAGCCGCAATAGGAGCTTGGTGCTGCTCCAGCAGGAGTGCCTCTGGATACTCTGGATCGGGAGCACTGCGAAAAGTCTGGACATATCTTAGTGTCTTTCGCCACTCTCGTCAAGTCATCAGGATGGGGACCTACCTCAATTACATCCTTCAGTACAAGTAACCCTTCCAACCTGATCTCAATGACGTATGCTGCTGAAGCGGTAAACGCCATCTTAATCAAGTCAGGAAGCCTCGAGACTAGAAGCCCTCGAGTCGGAATCTGGAGACGTTTTGCGAGAAGTAGATCTATATGCTCCATGCGACCTGAGGTTGTGACGACTGTACAGATGTCGTGAAGGCAATGCAAGGCAAAAAGCTGCGTTCTCCAGCGAGAAGTAAGAGCAACCGGCCCATCTTGACTACGACTTGAGTCCTGAATAGACACACTAAGCGACTGTCCCTCATCATCCATCGACGTGTTGTTGGTTTGCAGCATCTGCTGAGAGGCAGTTGAACGCAGCATGATCCGCTGACAAAGGTCAATCCATGCAGATGGGTTGTGGATTGCAGTCTGCTGAAGCCACGAGCTAATAACCTCTCGCACCCCGCCAACGGAAGGGTCATCATCTAGCATAGAAAACAAATCTTCTACCATACGATCACCTCCGAGCTTTGACATCTCCAGAGCATCTTTCTGTACAAGCTGATATAGAGCATCGATGGAAGCTCGTTTCAAAGGGCGCCTGGAGGAAATTAGGTGACTCCTGAAGTACTTCACGACTTCTGGGATATCGAGATGCTCAGGAGAAAACATTAGGAGGTGTTGGATGCATTTGATTGCCTCGATGGATACCATTTCGTCTAGATCAACAGTGAAGCCATTGACAAGATCCAGAATGAGGGTCCTAGTTCGTTCTGATTCGTGCATATCGGGACCCAACACGGTAATGATTGCGTCGACAATGCGACAAACTACAGGAGATGCCTGGAGCTCGCCGCTCATATTAGCGTTGTTTAGAGTGCCTCCTTCGGTCTCATGGTGCTCTGACAAGTAAATCTTCAACATCAGAGTCAGAGTGGCTGAGATGAAAGGTGAGAACGCCAAGTTAGCCGCGTGCACCACGCGTGCTAGAGCCACTAAAGACCAGAAATGCACTAGTGGATGAGGATCGTTACTCAAAGACATTAAGATATTGACAGTTGTCTTGAGGAGGGGGCCAGCTGCAAGACCACCAACATGGGAGTAGATCGCACCAAAAGCAAGAGCACAGCCAGCCCGACCTTGCGGGTCACGCTTATTCACGACGTGATCTACCAATGTCTTGGTCTGATTCGTCAGGAAAGCTGTCCCAGCGACGTTGGCAAGGCGCCCGAGTGCTTCACTGCTGGCCATCCTCAGGCTAGAGTCCGCATCTATCAGTATGTCCTGGAGTAGAGTTGCAGTCAACATTTACTGGTCCTCTTTAACACGCGCTTTCTTACCTTCAAGAATGGCGCCAACACCGAAGTGACTTGTGGATTTCCTAGAGTCTCCTTTGCCTGACGATAGTGAATCGTCGTCGAAAGGCGTAAAGTCTGTAAAATGGCAACCATTATGTTAACAGTCATGGCGGCCTTGCGGCCTGGACTTTTCTCTAGCTTTGGAGACCGTAGTGCCTCAACCAGCCCACTGATTACACGAGCGGTGGAAGTCACATCTTGCAGAGGGAGTAGTTGAGAGAAGAGAACGATTGCTTCATCCACGACTCCCGTGGTGGGCGGCGGGATGTCCAATGCCAAAACTTCCTCGAGAGTCGGTAGGCACAGCGACAATGGATCGTGCTCACATGCGCCTAAAATGGGTCTTCGAAGCTAGCAGCAATGCATTGAGCAAGGTACGGAAGGATGTTTCATGAAAACCTACCAGGAGGGTTAGGGAACCCTCGATGAGCTCGTTACCTTGACCGGCCTTGTGAATGTTCAAAGCCGCCTTATTGGTATCTACATCTTCTTCGTCGACTAACGGTACGGTAGTTACGCCATACGCAAAGCCATCAGTTACTTGCCAAATTGACGTGAAACTGCCAGAAGAAGAGGCGATCGCTGCCTGCATTGCAGAACCTAGCATACGCCCTTCAGGATTGGCAAATATTGTAGTCGCAGACTGCAGGAGACTTGACTGAGTGGACTCAGTGACGGTCGATAATCCAAGTGCTGTGAAGCACTGGTATATTCTGCGCCGAAGAGCCGCCTCTCGCGCGCGAAGAGAAAGGCCTTTTTGCTCCAGGGAAGGTGCTTCACTGTCCTCAATCGACTGGGAGTCGAAACTGTTGCTGAAAGCAAGAGCGTTACTAAGCAAAGACGATACTCTTCTGCCGACGTCTAAAGTAAGCAGAGTGGCGTTGTGCTTCAAGAAGCACAAGATGGCACCAAGAGCACTCTCTCTGACATGCAAGAGGAATTCCCATTCCGACGGACTACGGTTCATAGCGTCCTTGCTTGTTGCCTTCGGTAGAGCATTTCGCCAGAGAACAAGAAGTTGTGGTAAATGAGGGCGAACAAAATTCGGTCCGAGCAAATTCAGCGCAGCAATTAATGTCCAAGCTATCTCAACTTCGGCGCCTGCGATACGTACGTCGTGTTCGCTAGCGCGCTTTAGCAATTGCGTGGCCGTATCGAGAACATCAGTGGCTGCATCGAAGGAAACGTAGAGGGGATGGAGGGGTATGATAGCCACTAATGCTGCGAGCCCATACGCGTGACCTAGGGCACGCTTGTCCACATCGGACGGAGCAGCTAGCGACTGCATAGATTCGATGTCTCTTCGTAGCAAGTCCGCGACCGAATGCATTGCTTTCTGCAACCGGAGAGGAGTGGAGTGGCAAAAACACCGCAGAGTCCAGCTGGCGTTAATGCGGACGGTATGGCTTGGATGAGACAACAAGTTCATGAGAGGGTCAAGAATGGCATCCTAGCTCGTGAGTTAGCCAGGCAAAGAATAGAGGAAGTTTAGGTAGCAACACACCTGCAGAGGTGGTGGGGCATTTCCCAGCTGTTGAAGCAACGCAGAAACCTCTTGTAGCGCTAATGTGAGAATCAGGGAGCTTGGCGAGGTTTGGCCAGGCATAAGAGCGGGCCATTTCTTCAAATAGGCGGAGCTCAGCTCTTGAATAGCAGCGATTTGGCCTTGTTCGCTCAGCATCCGGACAGCTATCAGTTCCCTCAAAATGACGCCGACAGCTTTGCGAACAAAGAGTTTATCAAATCTTGTGGCAGACGATTTCGAGCTGGAAGCGATCTCCGTCATGAAATGACTGACAATGAGAGAATAATTGGTCTCAGCAAACTCAGAACCAAGCTTTTGAATCAGAGCCACGTAGAAGTCAAAGATACTTGCACGAGACTTGCGAGACGTCTGGTTCTTGAGGAAGTGTGTCGACAACTGCGAGAGCATCTCCGAAGGCGTAAGCAGTGGTTTCTTGTTTTCCGCCATCGCATGAGAAGGCGTGGACTCTTCCGCTGCATCCTCCCCTCCCTTCTTCGCTTTCGGAGGTTCGGGGATGGGAGCCGACCTTTCAACTTGAGTAGCTGCAAGTAGATGTCCCACCAGCTGGGCCAAGGCTTGTCTAGTCAATTGATCTGCATTCTCTCCACTTCGGACGCAAAGTGTGATTGTGGACTCGACATCCGCCAACGTTACGAACTCTTCAGGGGTGTACATGATGGCCAAAGCCTATAGATGAATCAGCGAGGGCCCTCACCCAGAAGTAGGGTAACGCACGTTTGCTGCAGCTCGTTGAACTGATAGTGCCTTGTCATTAAGCGCGTTCTTCAGCTGCTTGATCACATCTTTAGCCGTGTTATCAGGGAGTGCTTTCCGAGCTGTCTCGAGTGCTTTGCGCATAGAAACCAAGGCATGATATCGTATATGAGGTGACTGCGACAAGACTTAGATCAAGGTGGCTTGAAACCGAAACTGAGGAGAGTCATACGCTGGATGATTTCAGTGTTTTCTGAACAATGACGGAAAGCTCCGCCATGAACGACATGTGCTGTCAGATGATCAGCAACGTAGACAGATTCTGTTCGGAAGGTCTAACATTAGAACCAAAAGCCAGCATAAGTGCTCCAAGTGCACTATAGGCTGTGCTTTGTTGTATCGTCAGCTTATCAGAAGGATAACCGATAGGAACGATGTGCGCACATCTTTGTCAAGTCATTGGGTGCCTTCACATCGCCCGCAATCTTGATGAAGGTCTGGAATGTGTCGAACAGGCTTCGCGTGTCCCCTCGAGTGTAAAGTGTTACATAGCATTTGACTAGAAGATCTCTCAAAGCACGCCCAGGGGGTGGATAAGGTTGATTTCCATTGACAACTTTGAGTAATGTAGCCTCGATCACTTGCTGTTTCGCGTTGACCTCATCCTATCAAAATGGCCGTCATGCAGCGCTCGAGATCAACTTCAATGCCACTTACAGCGTGAACAGCTTTCAGAGCCTTCTCAACATATGAAACCCATTGGAAGAGATAAAGTTCCCCATTATCGCCGGTAAGTTGCGACTGGGCACGTAGCGGTTAAGGATCAATGGCCATACAATGCGTAGATGACTTCACCTCGTCGATGTCGTCAATCACCGTCTCCGAGCCCTTCGCGAACATCCTCCTGCAGTCCTCAGAGCCCTCAGTTTATGGAGAACGAGTAATGAAGCCGTTAACACGCGAAGGGACACAAAAGGTCGTCGGGTAACCGGTCGTGTCAGTATGTGCGCGCAGCAAGTTACAGAGTAGGACGAAATAGCCCCTGAACAATCCTTCGGTTATCTCCTGACTCAGCACATTCACATAAACAAGTAATATTGTAAAATCGGTGTCGGGCTAGCAATATGTAGAGTCACATCGGAGTATAGGGAAGTTTCATGAACAGACATACAACCTAGTCCTTTTTATGGTGTAAATAGCTCGACCTAAGAGAGGAACCAATTAAGATCCACCACGAAGTCAAACATAAGATACCGAGTACACCTCCAAGTGCTATGTGACTAACTACAACACGGGAAAAGACAGCTTGTCGCCCGCTTTCTTCAACTGCTTTCATGACAGCGGCGCGACGTGCATAAGTCTCAATCAAGGTATATGAGAGCCACACCATGGCCACAAAATATTTATGAGGCAAGGCAGCTCGCCAGTCGAGAGGCCGACCTACGTTCAGGAAATAAGAGCTTGTGAACTCCAGGGCATAGACGATGCGAGCGCTAAGGTTGATAATGTTGGCATAAACAAGAGCAGCGTCTCCAAAACCCAGGGAATATAGGGTTATCGCTGACGAGATGTAGACTACCGAAAAGGCAATCATCCAGCTGAGGATATTTCAGAAACCCATCGCAGTTGAGAACGTATGGACACTCACCGACTCTGGCTCCTGACCTGTGAAGGAGTCATGACGCTAGATAGAAACGCTTCTAACCCTCCGTTTATCGCAAGGAAAGGGATATACCACACCCAAGCAGAGAGCACCTGAGGGGCACTAGTCGCGAGGTATTGTGGAGGCAGCAGCACATGCAAGGCTATGGGCAAGTATGAATGCCCAAACACGAGTACCAGAGCGGAAAAAGCAAGCTGTACAGAAATCAGCGTCATCAAAGCACTCGAAGCGTTTGCTGAGTCTGATTCTCGCTGAGCTTTCGCCTTGGAAGTATTGGTTTCTGAAAGCAGCTTGGAAAAGTACAGTCGACAAATTTCTTCAACAGGCTGAAATACAATCCGAGCAACCAAAGAGCCTGATGTGTTCGGACGTGTCAACTAATTCGGCATCATAAATGCATTGTTAGATGGACGAACCGTAGTTCACAGCCAGTGCGTAACCACCCTGACCATCGAGGGGGCTCCACCATGAGACAATGACCTTGTCACCTTCAGTCAATAGGTGCTTTATTAATGAATGATACGTCATTGAAAGCGCGAGCTGGAGGGCCTCGGTATTGAAGAAAGATGAAAACTGGGCCGTCGCCGATTCTCTGAATAGAACTTAGCGAATGCTAGCGAGACGATTGGAAAGACGGCGAACCTTGGGAAGATGCCAGTCAATCGCACAGGCCAAAGTTGAGGCCAACCCAAGCGACTAGAATATGCCACAACGACAAGGACACTGTACGCAAGTTGCCCAAGCCCGAACGCAAGCAAGGCGAGCTCACCACCATAACCACTCCACGAGTCAAAAAGCAACATGCCACAGGTTGCAAGAGATTTCCCGGTTATGCCGAGGCCTTCTGCGCTAACCCTCACACTGGTAAGACCTTCTCCCATAGCCCTGAAACATTTAGTTGAATGAGATCAACAAATGATGACGGCTTACTGGTTATGCAGAGGCTCGCTCATGAGCTCAATAACTGCAGCAATAGCGTATGTGAGGACTGCAGGTTGGAACAGTGCTTGGGACTGTGTGTCTTTGGAGGCCGCGAAGATGTATGATAAGGTGGTAACCGCAGCGATAGGGAGGCCGACGACCAACGGAACAGAGGCCAGATTGAGAGCAGCATTGTAAGGGCGAGAGTCGTGATGGGGGGAAGTAGGTTTCTGAGGCCAAGCTCTGAGCAAAGCGTTGCGAACACCCTCACGACTGAGGAAGAGGATGGTGCTCAAGATGAGCTCGAACTGAACAGCAGCCGTTCCATAGGCTTCGGGAGATGCATAACGGAAGAGAATTTGATTGAAAGCGAATGTGGCAATACGTGAAAAGAGCTGGAGACCAATGAGAGATGAAACGGAACGCAATGAGGCCTTTCCATCCAAACGGGCAGCAGGGGCCCGCTCTGGAGTGGACATGGTGTATGTTTCCTTTACCGTATAGGACTACAGTAGAACTTGCTAGCAAGGTTGCTTCAACTCAATGCTAGGCGCTTAGCCCCTGAGTACAACGACTGTGACCATTGATCTCATGTTGTCATTAGGCAGCTATGTATCAAGACGCCCTACTAGCATTTGTCACTGACGGTCAGAATGAATGACCATGCCTTCAGAGAACGCCTTGATGAACTCCAGAATTCATGTTTACTGATATCGTTCATCCGAGTAAGCTGGACAAACGAAAACAAAGTCATCCAAATGTCTGTTTTGGAAGCCCGAACACTAAATATCTTACAATCTGTAGTACGGCTACTGTACACGGCTTTAGCATGTGGTCCGCAGATGTGTACGTTTGATCTACGCGGATGAAAGGGTTCAGCTGATGTGACTGGAACTACGGCTGAAGACTCTCAAGCCTCAAGAGCCCATTGAGGGAGCCATTCCTCCCAATCATCCCAGCTATTCTCACTGGCCGCCTGACCCTCTCCTGCCCTTGGGTCCAACAGTGTGTCAATGACGTGAAGAGCCCCGTTCCTTGCAGGGATGTCATATGTGACGACCAGCTTGCCGTTCACATAGAACTTAGTGAAGTGGTACGACGGCCCCGGAATCGAAGACTTGGTCTTATATCGGGCGACTTCGACATAAATCTCCTTGCCCTTCAACAGCGTGGGCAGTGTAGCATTGTAAGAGTAGACAGGACGAGGAAGCCTGGGTCTGAATAGCTCCGCGCCAGCGTCAGAATCGTCGACGACATCGTAGGGAACCATAGCTAGCTGCTCAAACATAGGCTCCGTAAAGTCGAAGGTCATCTGGGGGGGAGCAGCTTTTTGCTTGACATTCTGTTCGTGAAAGTAGTCTACAAGCAATTAGCACGAAAAAGCTGGTTACATCTTTGGCACATACCTGAATGGAATACAGTGTTGGGTACGATATGGTATTGTAGAATCTTTTTGAGAGCCTTTTCACCAAAAGGCGAGAACAGGTAGAGCTGAAGTTTCTTCGGTAATATCTGAAATGCGGCTGAGGTAGGAACAAATGCAGTAGTTGCGGCGGCCCCCATGAAGTTTCCTTTGCCTTCGCCCGCGTCTTTCGTGTACCAGCGATCAAGCGCACCCGTCAAATCAACGCGCTGAACAGCAGTAGTCTTCATATCCATTAGTGCCTATTGCTCAACACTGGGAGGCAACGCACCGCATACGAGAAAATCAGAGGCACCAGGAAAGCCTCCTGAAAGATAGACGGGGGCGGGAGCACTGGAAGGTTAACAAAGTGGATCACTCCTAACCGGATGTAAGTAAGCTAACGACTGTTGAATGAGGCAAACTGACCATTTGTCGCCATAACATCACGTCTAACAATGTCGACCACCTTGTTGAGGCGTAGCCTCGGCGGGATATTGTCGGACTGTACTGAAATGCGCAGAGGCTTGTAGTCCAAAGAACCGTCGGAGAGTGTCAAATTCGTCGCGTACGTAGAGTTCTTGGTTAAATCGTGAGCCACAAGTTTCTCTGGTATGATATTGTACTCCAAAATGCGCCGAACAATTCGAGCGAGGGATTGCTTTCGTTTATCGTTTTCGAAACTGCAAGGAGCTTTATTGAGGTCCTCGGCATTGACGATGAGCCTTCCGAGGTCATAGCCATTGAGATTCGTGGGACCATATGCATAGTCCTCATCAACGTCAGGGCGCTCAGAGGGTAAACCCGAGTTAGGAACGGCAAAAAAGGTAATGCTGAAGGTGGTGTCATCGAAAGAGAAAAAGAGAAGCAAAGACACGCAAACGACTTACTCCGCGTCATGATCATCCAGACGCGCAACCACATCGTCATTGAGCTCAATAGCCTTCACCAACCGGGAAAACCTTTTACATCCTTAGCGGGAGAGTCAGCGTATCATGTCACTACCAACTAACCTCTTCTGCGACTTGAGGGTCTGATATATGGTACGTTCTTGGGACGCCGACGCCCCTATACCGTTGTCAAAAGCTCCTGAAAGAGGCACTTGTAGCCCGTGAAGATCCCTGGGAGGAGCAGAAGCTTGTGTTGCTAGAGGGGCAGAAGCCCATACCAGAGGAACGAGGAGGTGCAACAGTTTCATTGAGGGTTCAGAAGCAAGCAAACGATGCCCTGGGGTTGCTCTTCTTATAACCTGCTATATGACCCAGCGGAGAATGGACGCCCTGCTCAGCAGCCATTCGCACATGTTAGGAGTTACTTCATACATTCATCATAGAATGACGTACCTTACCATATAGTGTCCGATCCGATGCTTGAACCTATAACAATCGGTGATTCCGAACAGAACAATGTAGCTGTTAGACTGTCAGTAGCAGTCAATGTACACAAAAGGCTTGTTAAGCTGCAAGGGGCTCTTCGTCGTGCGTTTCAAGAACATGGACGTCACCCTTGGTTAGATGGAACGTGCTGGAGTGCAGCTGGTCCGTCTCGTACAAAAAGACAAGAATAATCCAGGTCAATAGCAGAAAAAAAACTAGAATTAAAATACGTTATCGGAGACAGAGGTTGCAAACCAAACGAGGAGCGAACGGTCTATTCTACCATTTGACGGAACTGCTCTTGGATCTCCGTGTGAAGGGCGTCCAATTTCTGCTGAATTGAATCCTGGCCTTGTGATGGAGACTTATATTCACATGAGCACCCGCCATTCATCGGTGAATAGGACCGTGAACATACCTCGAATTTCATCTGCGACAGCTTGAACATAAGATCGCTAGCGGAGTCCTTGATCTTCGAAAATGTGAGATCGCCCTGCACAACAGCCTTTTGCGCCGAATCGTGGAACGAGACAAAGTTGCGAAGCATTGCGCCTGTCTTGTAGAAAGGGCAAAAGCGATCGTATTCACTTATGCCATTCTGTTGCAGGAAGTCGTCTTTAAGCATTCGCGCAACCTCGAGCGTGATCTTATCGTTCTCTCCGAGAGCACTCTTGCCAACGAGCTGGACAATTTCGGCAAGGTCTTCCTCCTTCTGGAGAATCTCCTTTGCCTTCATACGCAGCTCCACGAAGCCCGGTGCCGTGTTCTCGTAGTAAGGTTCAAGCACCTTAGTATACTTGGAATACGAAAGGTTCCAGTTGACGGATGGGAAGTGCTTGCGTTGGGCCAGCTTCTTATCCAAACCCCAAAAGACCTGCACAATACCGAGTGTTGCAGACGTAACCGGATCGGAGAAATCACCACCAGGAGGGGACACGCTGAGGTGACCATAAGGGGCCAGAAGACGTTCGAGCAAGATGAGACACTCACGCTCCAACGATAGAGACCGTACCTTGCCGCTGTGGGCTACCGAGGCAGCTGACCTTGCCTGCTCGCTCATAGAAGCTAGCAAGCTTAGTACCAAGGTATGCAGGGTAACCCGAGTCGGCAGGCATTTCAGCGAGACGACCAGAAATTTCACGAAGCGCCTCAGCCCACCGGGAGGTGGAGTCAGCCATCATGGCAACATTACTGCCCTGATCACGGAAATATTCTGACAGGGTGATACCGGTGTAGATGGAGGCTTCACGAGCGGCGACAGGCATGTTGGAGGTGTTCGCAACAAGAGTCGTGCGTTTCATGATAGGTTCTTGGCGATCGCCAACTTCCATGGTCAAGGTAGGGAACTAAAACACTGATGTCAGCAGAATGTTAAAACACGGTGCTTTGCATAAGCTTACCTCCATCAATACTTCAGCCATCTGACAATGCCAAGATCAGTTCACGTTCATAAAGAGATAAGAGCAATATACCTCATTTCCTCGTTCACCACAACCAACGTAAACGATGATGTCGCTGTTAGAGAACTTGGACAAGGCTTGGGAAATAACCGTCTTGCCACAGCCGAAAGCGCCAGGAATGGCGGTGGTACCACCTTGTACGCAACTGAATTGAAGGTCAGCGACAGATAACTATGCAATGCCGTGAGCTTACGGGAAAAGAGCATCCAGGATTCGCTGACCAGTCAGTAAAGGGAAATCGGCGGTTTGCTTCTCGGTCACGGGACGAGGAGCACGGACGGGCCAGAGCTGCATCAGCGTGTGCTTTGTCGTCTTCCCTTGGAATTCAGTCTCCATAACCACATCCTATCGCAGAGTTTAGCCAAACATACACAACTAAACATGATCTTGACAAAGGAAGACTAACATCAACCGCATAACTACCTTTCTCGGCAATGTGCGTTATAGTACCCATTGCGCGAGGTGGCAGCATGATTTTGTGGTTGTTAATGAGCGAATTCTCGTAGACTCCACCGAAGATATCTCCTCCAGATACATGGTCACCGACCTACGGATGCGTGAATATCAGACGAAGGCAGGTGGCTCGCTGGCAAGCTACCTTGAAGGAGGTAGGGGTGAAGTCCCACTGGAGAGATCGATCAAGGGCTTCGGTGTTGATACCACGGGGAATGTAGATGGACTTGGAGACTTCTTGAATGGCCTATTGCATCTCTTGAGCAAGAGTTCCCCTGATTGACTAGATTCACTTACGCGAAGAGGCCGCTGAATACCATCAACAATGTTACCCATTAAGCCTAGTGCGCGTTAGCAAGTGTGATTGTGCATGGTACTGGGAGAACCGACCTGGACCAAGTTCGACACTGAGCGGCTTTCCTGTGCGCATGACAGGATCGCCGACAGTGACACCGGACGTCTCCTCGTAAACCTGGATAGTGGCCTTGTCGGCCTCGATACGGATGACCTCTAAGCGATCAAATGACTGAGACGCGTGAATCTAACATTGGAGTGTGGACGAACCTCCGACAAGTTCGTCGTGACCGACGCGTACGAGCTCGTACATAGCTGCGCCGGTCATGTTCTCGGCGACAACGACGGGACCGGATACGCCATAGACCTGGCCGAATCTTGATTCCCTGTCCTCGTCTCTGATCTTTGGAAGATCGCGCTTTGCATTCTGAAGTGCGCCAGCCATGGCGTGGTATTAGTCACTCGTGTGTGAGTGGAAGGTATCTGCTGTCGGTTGTGTTTGCAGACAGCGACTACGACTGTCTGATGCTCTCCCAGTCTCGTTCCTCAGTCAGGGCCTTGTGGCCGCTGCGACCTAAAAGCGGACTTTGAACGCCCGCGGGAAATCCCGACGCGCGCAGCCTGCCATTCCTCACGTGGCTGCTTTCTCGAATAAGCAGGTCAGCGCAAAGGGACGCGTCACTTCTGGGCCACAAAGATACCGCGCGCTCTTCATCCCCGTCCTCCTCATATCCCTCCGCGACAGACAATCAGACATGCCTCCGAAAGCGTGCGTCGCTGAACATATTTCTCCTTCACCACAGCTGACTTACTTCTCATCTCCAGTGACTGGGAAAAGTGTATGTACACACCCAGACCGATGTCTAAATGCACTCCTTACGTTCGTGTGCAGATGACAAGAAGGTTGACGAGAAGGAGGAGAAGATTCAGGGTACGGTGCTATTGCTAACTCACATGTCGTCTATCTCACCTCATCCTAGCGTTGACTGAGGATGACATTCAGATCCTCAAGACTTACGTATGCATACGCTGCATTCTCTATAGATCATAGCTCACTGTGCTCCAGGGTCAAGGTCCCTACGCGTCCAAGCTTAAGAAGATTGAGAACGACATCAAAGATGTGCAAAAGCGCATTGATGAGAAACTTGGTGGGTTCAGATACCTTCCTGTTCTGTGCGATCAGTAGAATTCACCCCTGTTTAGGTGTCAAGGAGTCCGACACTGGCCTTGCTGCTCCCAACCTTTGGGATCTCGCAGCCGACCGCATGCGCATGGGCGAACACCCCCTGCAGGTAGCCCGTTGCACCAAGATAATACCCTTGGACCCTAAGAAAGCTGAGGCTGCTCGCTCTGTCAACCCTGCTGGAGCCGCACAAGGTCAAAAGGGCGCTGACGAGCAGGACCAATACGTCATCAACATCAAACAGATTGCCAAGTTCGTGGTTGGTCTGGGTGAGCGTGTCGCCCCGACCGACATTGAAGAGGGCATGCGCGTCGGGTGAGCTTAGTCAATTGGTCCATGCATCTTTGATATAGTGTTCCTAACCCGCTATTGTAGAGTAGATCGTACGAAATATCAGATCCAGATACCCCTACCGCCCAAGATCGACGCCTCGGTTACCATGATGCAAGTCGAGGAAAAGCCCGATGTCACCTATTCCGACGTCGGAGGCTGCAAGGAACAAATCGAGAAGCTGCGCGAAGTGGTGGAGACACCGCTTCTCTCCCCAGAACGCTTTGTGAAGCTAGGTATCGACCCTCCCAAAGGTGTCCTGCTTTTTGGACCGCCTGGTACCGGCAAGACCCTTTGCGCTCGCGCTGTAGCAAACCGAACAGACGCCACTTTTATCCGTGTCATTGGCTCTGAGCTTGTCCAGAAATATGTAGGAGAGGGTGCCAGGATGGTCCGGGAGCTGTTTGAGATGGCACGTAGCAAGAAGGCGTGCATCATTTTTTTCGATGAAGTTGATGCCATTGGTGGTGCTCGGTTTGATGACGGAGCGGGTGGTGACAATGAAGTGCAGCGGACTATGTTGGAGCTCATCAACCAGCTTGATGGTTTCGATCCTCGAGGGAACATCAAGGTTCTGATGGCCACCAACAGGTAAATTCAAATTGAAATGTTCCATTATGACTAGTGTCCTAATATGCCACAGGCCTGATACGCTTGATCCTGCACTCCTTCGTCCGGGTCGTTTGGATCGCCGGGTGGAATTCTCCTTGCCCGACAACGAGGGACGGGCACACATATTGAAAATCCATGCACGAAGGTGAGAGCATCCTGTGATCCCATGTGCGAATTCACTACAACTCTGCGTTAGTATGTCTGTGGAAAGAGACATCCGTTTCGATCTGATCGCCCGTTTATGCCCTAACACGACGGGTGCTGAGCTGCGGTCGGTGGCTACTGAAGCTGGTATGTTTGCCATTCGGGCGCGGCGGAAGATGGCTACAGAAAGAGATTTCCTGGATGCAGTCGAGAAGGTGGTTCGGCAAGGAACGAAGTTCTCCTCCACGTCAGTATCCTTAGTTCATTCAAAGTGGGTTGGATGCTGAATTGTTCCACAGGCCTCTGTACCAGGTGTACAACTAGATTTACCTTATATTCAATCCGGCATCGTTACCTATATGGACATGTAGCAGCATCTCACAGTTAATAAATGTGTTCATAGCAGATGTAAGACGTCAGAAGTTCGAGCGATTGCAAGATCCGGTTTTGCGTGTGCCAATTGCAAGGCATGCAAGGTAGGACGGGGCTGTCAACGGATGCCAGTTCCGAAGGGAACCCTCACGGATCCGGAGCTGTCGTGGTCCGCAATCAGGAACGCGACATATGACGCTGCAGATCCGAGCGCTCATAATCAGACTTAGTCGAGTGACTCGAGTCGCGTATCCGAGTCCCTAGAGCTTCAATGAACCACCCATTCAGACGCGTTCCTCGAATTCGCTGTCGATCCTCAACGTTAACAGCCAGTACTTCTGGTACTTCTCTCTCTACTCGCGGCTACCAGGTCCGGAAAGCACCAGAACCTCCTTCGGCTGAGCTCGCCCAGCTGCTCGCCCATCATGCTTCTCACCTGCCGCTCCCTCTCACGCTAACAAATCTTGTGGCATTTGGCCAGCCGCTCACCGAACAGTCTATCCTCAAGTCTGTTACCTATGTTCTCTCTGAGATTCCTCGCAGACTCGCCACGCGCGTTCGCAACCTCGAGGCACTCCCGTTCATCGTTGGCACAAACCCTTACGTAGCTAAGACCCTTGCAGCCTACAGAGAGAGCTTTCAGCTCATTGCAACACATCCTCCCGTCTCGTCTCTCGAAGAGAATGCCGTGTTCACCACCCAGCTCGAACAGCTAGTTGAAACCCACCGCAATGACATCCCAACCATGGCAAAGGGGTATGTCGCTACATTGCTCCCCTTTAGCATACTTTCTTTAAGGCTAAACCTCCTTCAGCTTCCAAGAATGCTCTCGTTACATGTCACCCACGCAGATAAGCAGTTTCCTTGACGGTGCCATCCGAAACCGCATGGGCGTACGCTTGATAGCAGAGCAACACATCGCTCTATCCAGAGCTCTGGAGCTCTCCAAAGGAGATTCCTCCTTCCACCACGGTGTCGTCAACATGCACTGTTCTCCAGCAGAAATGATAAGGATGTGTGGCTCGTTCGTCAGTGAGCTATGTGAAGCCACCCTTGGAACAGCCCCGACTATCATGATCAATGGACACCCCGATGCCACCTTTGCGTGCGTTCTCTGCTTTTCATGAGGTCATAAACGCTGACGAACAAGCAGATACATCCCTGTCCATCTTGAATACATCCTCACCGAAATCCTCAAGAACGCGTTCCGTGCCACTGTAGAGCGACACCACAAGCACCATGGGTCGGCGTCCTCCAGACCGCTCCCTCCCGTTCAAGTCACGATATCGCCATCTCCGGGCGAATCCATTTCTTCACCATTCCTATCTCTGCGGGTCCGGGATCAGGGCGGTGGCGTCTCGCCTGCCAATATGGCGCGTATATTTTCTTATGCGTTCACAACCGCAGGACGCAACGACCAAGATGAGGATATGGGAGGTCCTTATGCAGCTCAACACATCGGTGGGAGCGCCATGATCGATGGCGGAGGGACCTCGGATGGAAACCTGTTCGGAGAGATCACCGGCAAGGGTGTGCAGGTTGGCCTCGGAACCATCGCTGGTCTGGGATATGGGTTGCCAATGAGTAGGCTTTATGCAAAGTATGTGAGCTCACAAACTAGCCTCTTCCTCTTTAACAGAATATTCGCAGGTACTTCGGTGGCTCCTTAGACTTAGTCTCATTGGATGGATGGGGTAGGTCATCAAATCACTCCGATGCAAAATATGATTCATGTTTTCTTTCAGGAAGCGATGTTTTCGTGAAACTCAGAAGCCTCGACTCAGCTGGTGATGCAGAGATTTAGGGTACTTAGCTTCGTACGCAACGTTCGTACGCAATGGTCATGACCAGAGATAGTCCTCAGACAGTATAAAAGTAATATGAGGTCCTTTGGACAGGTTTTAGTGTGTGTAGCTAACTTACGAAACGTTGTAAATAAGAGACTAGTTATATTGAGAGTGCGAGCATTATGGTGAATATGCAGGGGGACGACATGCAGAGAACAAGGGTAAAATACAGCTGACCAGGGTATGCTGAGAAAAAAAGACCAGCTTGCTCAAGAAAAATCTACTAATTACTGAATTTCCAGACGAGATGTGTGAGAGCAAATGTGGGTGGGATCATCTAGTGGTACCCGACGACTATCCTGATGTTAGTATCCATCACTCTCCACAACATTACAATGACGTACCGAATATCCGCCAAGAGTCCGACTGGAGTACTGGGAAGAAATGCCATGGACCTGCGACGAGCGATAAGACCGAGAAGACAATCCTGTCGTTGCATGTACTGGAGTGGCTGGAACACCTCCACCTGAAGTTGCAGTGCGCGAGCTCCGCGCTGTCAGCGGTGTCGGTGCACTGATCAGCGACTTCTTTGGCGTCTCAGGGACTTTCGACTTCGATAATAATGTCTTTGAAGGGGCGGGGGAGGGAGCTATCTTGGACTTGCGTCCACCACGGAGGAAGGGGTGCTGAAGTGCTGCTTGAGGTTTCATACGCCTCTCTGGATCCCAAATTAGGCAGCGTGCTACGAAGTCGACGAAATCGTCATCTTGGCAGCGTAGGACTTGCGTCAGACTCTTAGAACCTGGTCTTCGCCGACGACCTTTGGAGTTAACCACAGGAATTGGCGAACCGTTCTTGTCTGGACAGGATTTTGTTAGCACAAAGTTGAGGTATGTTAGCGCGCGTACATACCAAAGAATATGCGCTTTCGTGAACTGCGATTGATGAAGTCCTTGTCTGGGGTCCCAAGAACCTCCATGATGCAGGAGAGCTGCTCCTGCTCATTCTCGCCAGGGAATATCGGGAAACCGGTGTAAAGCTCAGCTAAGATGCAGCCCAAACTCCACACGTCGATCGCCATCGAGTAGTCCATGCCCAGGATGACCTCAGGTGAACGGTAGAAACGACTTTGAATGTATGTATAAACTAGTTGACATCAGACGATGTCGAGAGCCACGAGTACTTGTGATACTCACTCTTTTCGTTCGCAAAGCAACTGCTCCCAAAGTCAATGACCTTGATGCCGCTTTTCGCTGGATGCCGAAGGAGTACATTCTGAAGATTAAAAGGTAAGCTTAGAACTTGTGCTGATAATAATAATAAAAACTCGCCTCGGGCTTCAGGTCACAATGGACAATCCGATGGTGTCTCATCAGGCAGAGAGACATCACAATCTGGCTAGTAAAGCGTCGAATGAGGACAGTCGTGAAGCCCGCGAAACCGTTGGCCTTAATCAACTCGTAAAGATTGATACTGAGTAGTTCCATAGCAATGCACAGGTGATTCCGGAAATAAAAATGTTCGGTCATCTTGATGACGTAGTGCTTCTCCTCGTGATCCTACAGAGACAATGAGAAATGCAAGAGAAATGCATAAATTATAACATACCCATTTCCTCAAGTTGTCCAAAATCTTGATTTCGACGAGGGCTTGATGATGGAAGCGCTTCTTATTCCTAATAATCTTGATGGCAACAGACTGTCCAGTGCGATGATCCCTGCAATTGAGTACTTGTCCGAAAGATCCTTTACCAAGGATATCAACGACCTCATATCTATAAGCCAAATGATCACCGTTGATAATCTGGTAGTCGCCACGGTCGTCATCATAGCCATAGTTGTTGGTCGGGTGATCCGGAGAAGCTTGTTTCTTTCCACTACCAGCACCAATATAGTAGACGTAGTCGTAGTTCAATACCTCCTCCCTTTCGTAAGCGGAGAGGTGCTTGGCGTCACTGCTCTTTAGCAGAGCTGCAGAGTCAAATATTTAGTCTAATCAAGATAATCTTGGTTAAAATACACGAACCATCAGGTGTCCATCCCTCTTTAGGAGGAATGGGCTCGGGGAACTTGAGTAGCTCGTCAAGTTCAGCTTGAGTGGCGCCATTTGCCATCTTCTTCGCCTGCTGTCGTCTGATGTACTGAATCATCTCTTCATCACCAGCCAACTCCTCTTCGTCAACAGAGCTTGGCACCGGCGATGGCGTGGACAGAGATTGCCGACTGGACGATGGTGTCCCAGCCATGGCTCGATGCACGCTTGACGTGGAAGAGTTATGGTTCGATGAACGAGAAGTAGGGAGAGAGATCTTAGGGCTAAGCAACTTAAGACTCTTCGATGGAGACAGTGCTGAGAACCGATGTGAATGGGCCTCCGCAGGCGCAGTGTTTGGTGCAGATGAAGGAGCAGAAGATGTAACAGACCCTGCGGATGCTTTCCGAAGCCCAGTAAACGACACAGATTCACGATTGGGCTTCCGAAGAGCTGTAGCTGATGACGGACCAATGGATTGCCGAGGCGTACGAGTAGAGGGTGCAGCTGTGACCGTTGTAGAGGGCGAGACGCGCACAGATTGTCGGTGCGACGTGCTCCCCTTAGCAAGCGATCCAGTATCAGCGGGCTCCAAAACACCAAATTCGTCCGTAGAATCAACAACAGTAGGCGAGGGATCAGTCGATGGAGCGGTCACGCTGAGGCTGATGCGCCTGCTAACAACTGTCGAACCACCGTGGGTGGGAGAACCTGCTGCGGACGTCCGGCTAGAGATCCGCGGAATCTTGGTCGGTGTTTCCTTGACCAAGTTACTCGCAGCATTGTACATAGCTGATGCAGGGAGGCTCGGCTCCTTGAATTCCCTGTCCTCTTTCTTCGTAGCTGAACTGCCAACAGTTGACACAGACGGCGACCCTGCAATGGTTGGAAGCTGGTTACGACTCCGTAGCGAGGTGTCAGATTGCTTCTGCATAGAGCTGGCGGTCTGTAAAGTGACGCGTGAAGAGGTCGCCCGAGTGATGGTCGAGGAACTGGAGGCTGAAGCGTTAGATCTCAAGCTCGCAACCTTTTGTGCAGTGGTGGCAGGCAATGCGTTCATGTGCATCGGTGGTAAATTTACCACAGTGCTGGGCTTCTTTGAGTCCGTGGACGACAACGTCTGCGGGAAACAGTAAGTCGAGTATTAATTTCAGTGAAGTCGTATTACACACCTTGCCCCGTCTACGACCAATCAGCGCAGAGATCCTGCTCTCGCTCCTATCCCTTTCATGCTTCGACTTTTCCTTCTCTCGGTCAGAGTCCTTTGCGCGGCTTTCCTTGCCCTCCTTCGCGGAATCGCTCTTGTCTCCGTGCAAGCTCCTGCGGGAGCTCGAGCCCTTGAGCAAAGACGGGAAGCCTAAACTAAGCCCCATCTTCTTCTGAGCTGAGCCGGGAGCGACTGGAGGTGCAGCGCGGCTACCTGTCTCCTTGATAGGTGAACCGCCGTGTTTCGTGCGGGTGCGAGGAGAAGGAAGGCTAGGCACCGAGGACTGACTTGGCGAAGTTGATGTTCCAGATGCATTCGGGGGCATTTGCATGCTCTGCGAAGAAGACCGATGGAAAAATGGTATGGATGACGGCGTCAATCGTTTGCTTTGATGACGACGTACCGAAGAATTCGGACTAAGCGGACCATTCCGCGGCGCCGAAAGCGCAGCATTTGTGTCGTTGCTCGCGCTAGAACCTGTTCCACTCCGACTGGGTAACCGATCAGGCGTTTTGCCTGTGGATAAAACGGCAGGGGACTTCGGCGTTCGCGCTGAGCCTATTGATGACATGGATGCCAGAGAAGCGTCGGATTCCATGGCTGCACGTTGACGGGTCGGCGACCAGGGATCTTTGGAAGAAGCGGGCGGGGACAAAGCTTGCTCCTTGGAAGCCGCCTTCCGTAGCTGTTGTCCAATGGTTGATCGAGGACTCAGTGGGAACGTCGGAGATTTGGCCTCTTTCTCCTTCATTGATGACATAGACGGTGAGGTGGTAAGCTTGATGTTTAGTGCATTCGAAAAACTCCACTTTTTGGAAGGAGTTTTGGTCACATGCGTCGCACTGTCAGAATGGGATGCATAAACACTGCCGCGTTTGCTTGACCCACTCGGCTTCGACGTAGCGGAGGGTGCGTCAGACAGGTTAAACACTTGCGGGATCGCTTCTTCCGAAGTAGCTGGAGGAAATGCAACGCCATGAGAGGAATGTGTTGGGGACCGATAGGCTGATAGGTCCTTGGGCAAAGGGGGGACGGGAGGAACAACGTTCTCGTCCATGATCTCCCCTGCAGCGCCGGCAAAAGAAGATGGCCTATCCCGTGTCGTATCTAAAAACATCCTTGAATCACTGTCATTAACACTGTCAGGTCTCAGCTTACCCGCACCGCTGGAATGCCGTCCGGATCCGGGAGGTGTTGAGATGGATGTTGCACTAGTAGCAGCCGACAATGAGACCGAATCATGAGAGCTTGTCGGGGTGCCCGTATAGTTCGTGGACGAAGCCGAACCTCGCTTTGGAGTAAAACTGAGGCGAGTAGCGGATGAACCATGCTTCTTTGTTATCTTCTCAGCGCCCGATGAGGTGAAGGCTTGATCGTCACTGCTAATTGCAGCAGCGACGCCTTCCTGGGACACGTCCGTCACCGACGATATAGCGTGATGACGTTGAACATGATCCTTTGACTCCTTGTCTTTCATGCTGCTCCTACGACTTATCTTTCCCGTTGCTTCGCTCGCCACGCCTTCCCATTGCCCAGACTTACTGGTTACGCTGACAGGAGTACCAGGGCGGCTGAGGCTGGATGGACGGCCAAAGCTGCCCACACTAGCACGAGGGCGAGCGGTCTTGCCAGAGAGACCATCCAACTTCCACAAGGCCTCCGCGGTGGCATCATCATTCATTGTTGACCATCCCTCCTGGGTCCCGCGAAGCAAAGAATGAGCAACTTGCTGGGTATGATTTGAATGTAACGAGTCCTTTGATGATGAAGAGGGTCGGAGAGATGGTGCATGGGTTGAAGACGTAGAAGCTTGGCGAAGGAAAGTCTTCATTGATGTATTTGACGGGGATGGTGGGAGATGCGAGAAATCAGTAGTGTGGACACGGCGGGACGAAACCACTTCAGTTGTGTTTGTGGATGATGAACCCGCAGAGAGCTGTCGACCGTGTGCATGCCGCTCTTTCCCAGAACTAGAGCTGCCACTGAGGTAACCTGGGCCGGAAGAACCCTTGCCCGTGCCAGCCATGGCAAAACTATCCCTCTTCCTATCTTTTGCCCTCTCCTTGTCCCGAGAAGCGCCTGAACTTGAAACGCTAGAGTTTAAACTCCTATGCTTGTGCAGACCCGACGCCTTCTCTTCTTTTCCCGACGACTGTCTCTCATGATGTTTTGCGACTAGAGAGCCAGACTGATCGAGCTCAAACTCATCGGACGTTCGCTTCTTGGCCTTGCGTAGAGGAGTAAAGGCACTTGGAGGCGCTGCCGGAGTCTCGGGAGGAGGCGTTTCCGGCGGCGGAGGTGGCAAGAAAGCAGCAAGCTCCCCGTCTTTGGCAAGGTAGTCAACAGCCGGCGGGGAAACAACTGGCTTGCGAGGATAAAGGATCTCTTCGCCTCCACTTTCGTCGCCTGCGGAACGTTTACTCCTGACCATTCGAGCAGGCGGAACTTTGTCCTGCTCCAAAGTAGAGATTCATGAGATACGGCTAGTTGAGAAAAGCCATAAATGCGATGCTTTACCTCTTCCTTTTCATCCGACTCTCCGTCAATGGCTTCAATAGTCCAAGGACTATCTGGGCTATCTCTCTCTCTACCGTTGTCAACTTCTGCACCATCATCGACTTTGAGCTGTTCCTCAACACGTCCTGCGGAGGGTAATGGAGGGTATGGTTCATCATTGCCGTGGCCGAGCACCTTTGTCCATCGAGGCGTGGTGAGGTCGCCTACGCCCACAAGGCCCTTCCTGTCGATCGATGCAGGATCTTGAGCAGGCGTCATTGGAAGGCTGGGCACGTAATTATCTGGCGTAATGTTCAATAGGCTGCGTGGGTCAGGAAGGGGAGGTGCGGGTGAGTCGCTGGGGGAACGTTCGCCAAAATAATAAGGGTCCAGGGACGAGTTGGCCGAGTTCGGACGCGACACGTTTTCCTGGCCTCTAACCTCTAGTGCAGAGTCATTTGCATAATGAGATACGTGCAAGTGAGGCTAAAGACGGCGAATTAGAGGATGGAATGGAGTGGAGCGCGAAAGTAAACATGCCTGGTTTGCGTGATTGACAGGACGTTCAGCGTGTCGTTTGGAGTCTTGGGCTGGAACTTCGCGTGCGATGGTGGTGGAGGTCGTCTGGGCGACGCGATGGGGAGACGCCGTGTCAAGTGGGAGACGGTGGGAGCGCGGATCCGAACTTGAGGGAGCAGACATTCCAAGACGAGGGCGAAGGGAAGGAGAGAGCTAAAGGAGAGTAGAAAGGTCAATGTGGAAAACGAAAGGGAGCCGAGGCGATTAGGCCTGAGCTGCAAGGCAACGCGCTGTCTGTGTTCGTCGTCGTTGGTTGAGTCTTGAGGGAGAATGCGTCGTCGTTGTCCACGACGATGGACAGAGAGCGGACAGAGTCTTCCCGTCTGTCACCCTCAGGCGTCCCGCAAGGCGTGGCGCGGATTTTGGGGAAATGGCAATGGCCGAGAATGTTGACTTCTATTTGCACACAGTGGCACCGAACGTGCAACAAAAACAATCGGCGGTTGTCCTTATATTTGAGCACCACATTCGAACGTCGATGGCTCTCATACAGTAGAAATTATCCATCTGAAGCTCTGCCTGCCTCACCCGACTAAAATAAAGGCTTGAAAATGTGATGCCTCTAGTACAGTTGTTGTAAGTTACGTGTGTTTTACTGCCAAAATTACGTCAAGTTCGTAAGCGGTATGATGCATATATGCATTTCAATGTCATTGCACTGCGGACGTCGACGGACTAACCTGATAATCCATACTTCAGCCTCCTAGTCGAACACTCATCAGTACCAAAGATGGTTACGCCCGGGACTTTAGCTTCATTCCCCAGTGAGGCCCGAGGGCGGCTCTCGCCGGATAGATCACAGTGACTGGGATACTTACCAGAACGGTCAACTGCAACAGGGTTAAGTTATTCGCTCCGTACATACCGTTCTTACGGCCCATAACACCGAACCCGCGTGGTGACGTGCGCATTGATACTTACCTTATGAGGGTCTTTCAAAGCGACCAAAGGAAGGCTGGATTACGGAATAAAGACCGACGATGAGATAACTAATAGCGTCACGCCTGGCACGAGGGAAACATGTTGCGCATGGGTTGCAATTGAACGTACGGGCGCCCGTATGGATATGGGCAGAGATATTATTGGCTGCGAAAAGCGAGTAGTGAGCGTGGAGACGCTGAGACAGACTTACCCCAAACGTATTGTGGAATTGATAACTTTGTGTTCATCTCACAGTAGCTATATCCAAAGGTGTAACCATCAGAGCGAGAAAGAGGAACTGGGAACAAGATTATCAAGGGATTATGGGCGTCAATATATCAAGGACGGATCCGCGGATGAGGGGCTTGTGAAGGGGTGATCGGTTAAGAAGGGGGCGAAGGCGGTGATGCGGGGTGTGCGGAGGATGAACTGTTCTTAGTCGCGGTGTTGGAAACGAGACAACAGGTGCGCGGAGATGAGAACCGGCAATTAGAAGGTGTGCCGGACGACGATAATATGGCATGGCACGTCATGATAAGGGCCGGAAGGTACACAGGCTGGACAGGCTTTCTGCACACAAAATGCTTATTGGTGACAGCCGCGGGATCGTTGGGTGTCATTGTCGAGGGCGACGATGGAGCGAGGCATTGCAAGTATGTACTGAAATACACTGCTGATGGTGGACGGACCGAATACTAATAGAATGAATTATGAATATCAATGGGAGCTGGCCAAGGGCATGGGCATGGGATGGGAGGAATCCAACGCGCGTTAACGTGAGTTATTTCTGCCTGGAATAAATTCTGAGTCCGCTTATAAAGGATGCCCCGCGAGTGTCCGTCCTCTCGACTCCATCACCCGACTCTCTCTCCGCCACTCAGCGACTCCCCGCACCCAGTCCGTCCAATCAAATCAGAGGTAAGCAGTGTCCATACCCCAGCCGACGTCTCCGTCTCTCTCCTCCCCGCCCGTTTGTCATGCCCCCTCTCACATCATCCTCGCGCGACAGTCTTCCTCGACAACGACGCCGACGCCTGCCCCCTCGACGTCGACAACGCCCTCCGCGCCGTTTCCTCACTTGTCCAGCGCCGACACGTGAGCACTGGCAGGGCGTTTCCGTCTACCCAAACGCTCGGCTACCAACTCGTGTTCCCTGACCGTATCCCCCAGTCCCTCAGCCCACGTCACCCCCACCCTTCTCCGTTCCCCCTTCTCTTCTCGTCCGCGCTATCTGTTGTCCTCTTATCTACCTTCTCTCTTTGATATTTCATGTCGGCCACCGAACGTACCACCACCCCCGATGGGGAGGAGCAGACTCATAATACAGATAATGTCCAACCCCACATGACTGTTCATCCGGTAGGGGGATACTCTAGCATGCCTATGCACATGTACCCCTTCCCTCCCGGCCTCGTCCCAACCCAACCCCTCCGTTCCAAGCGCAGACAGGTCAAGAATGCCTGTACAAACTGCCAGAAGGCCTGCAAGAAGTGTGATGATGCCCGCCCCTGCCTCCGCTGTGTCAAGTATGGCATAGCCGAGGAGTGCATCGACTCACAGCGCAAGGAACGGAAGAAGGGTGTGAAGAGGGGTCCTTACAAGAAGCGCGATGGAAAAGGTGCGTCTATTTCCTGCGCCCTCTACCTATCTTCCGATCCTCTTATCATGCATCATGTATCTCGACAACCTATTCCTTCACTATGTCACTTCAATATGCAAACATATCTGCTCAACGCTAATCATGTTTAGATCGCGCAGGCAACAGTGCTGAGGCGGTTGAAGTGCAAGAGCACCCGCCCATGCACCCGCCACAGGGCATGCCACCCCAGGCTACCCCATCTCCCATGCCGCCCTACATGGCGGCCTCGATGGGATACCCTCCCGGTGCAGCTTTCTACGGGCAATTTCCCGCCCCGCCGACGCCGAAAGCGGGAGAAGCAGGCCCAGGTCCGGCTTACTACCCCACTCCGTTCTATATCACACCCGTTCCGATGGCTGCACCTGGTCAGAACGGACACGAGGGAGACTCTCAAGTATATCCGCAGCACCCGCAATTCTTCCAGGCCGCGATCTTGCCCTACGGCCCGCCGCAAGGCTACGGCCCGTACATGATGCACCGTCCCGACGGCACAATTCAGATCCCCAATTCCCATTATGCTCCTTTCATGTACTCGAAGCCGCCTTCTGCCGGTACCTCGAATGATGTGGGGAACATGAACGGCCGCGTAGAGCAAGGTGACGAAAATCATCGCAACGAGTAGGTAACGAGGTTCAACGTTACTCCAATCATCCATTTCGTATCTCTTTATTATCTGTACGAAGGCTCAAAGTGGTCCGGTCATCATAGGTCATCATGATGGTGACGCCTGTACTATTAACGTGGTCTCTGGGACTGTGTCCTTTCGACAATGCTATCGCCGTTCCCTACCTGCTTTCCGCGACGCTTTCTTATATGTTTGTTTTGATACACGTTCTGAAACCAATAGTAGTTTTTAAAGTACTGGGTACTTCTTTGTGAATCCATGTATTATCTAGGTGTTGTCCGGGTTTTTTGAGGATCAACGAAAGTCAAATGAATTCAGGCAGGAGTCCATTGGACTTGGGACTCAAAGTCAGATATGCCACAAGCTTATCAAAGTCACATGGAGACGTCAGACGCGTCCAGGCGACCCAGTACTTGTCTAAATTGAAGTCCTTTCCCCAAACCTGTACTACACTCACACAGCCATGGCAAACACTACAGTTAAGGGTGCATTGTCTATTCACGGCCAGAATCCTCAGGCAAGTCTCTCAGTCCTACACCTCAGACTCGAGCTGACCTGAACAACTAAAGTTTCTTGTAGAAACTGTTATTCGATTGCGCATATGGGAATCCAACTATTGGAAAGAACACTGTTTCGCGCTGACTGGTATGGCCCCTTGCACTACAGAGACAACACGTTGACAATGCGTAGCCGAAACACTCATTGACCAGGCAATTGATGTTCACTGCATTGGAGGCGTCTACGGGAACCAGCGGCCCACAGAGTTCATCTGCCTGCTTCTGAAGCTACTGCAGCTCCAGCCAGAAAAAGAAATACTGGTAGAGTATCTACAAGCGGACGAGTTTAAGTGAGTGGAATTCGAACCCCTTGGACCCCTTCCCTCTGACCTAGACGCGCCCCCATAGGTACTTGCGAGCTCTAGCAGCCCTCTATGTTCGATTGACATTCAGAGCCGTGGACGTGTACGAGCTGCTGGAACCACTGCTAAAAGACTATCGGAAACTACGACAACGAGACATGGGTACGCGCCCTGCCCCACTGTGCTTGCCTCACACTGACCATGTTCTTAGCGGGGTATGCGCTAATACACATGGATGAATTCGTTCACTCCCTTCTTACCGAAGAGAGAGTATGCGACATCATTCTACCCCGAATAGCCAAACGAACTACGCTGGAGGAGAACGGCGAGATAGGTCCACGAAAGAGCCGTCTCCTCGATGCCATGGAGGGCAAGGATGATCAAGCAAGCTACCGGAGCCGTAGTTCCAGCAGGAGCAGCAGTCGGTCCAAGTCTCGTTCTCGGAGTCCCGATGGCAGCGTTGGGTCACCTAGGAGTCCTGACTCACGGAATAGCCGGAGCCCGTCGAGAGCATCCATGCGGCCAAAATCGAGGTCCCGATCCCAGTCCGTGGGCTCTGCTACGTCGTATCGGTCGCGCAGTCGTAGCATTTCGCCAGACAGAATGGAGACGTAGTCATTGTTAAGAGCTATAATTAATGTAGGGGGCGGACAAGTATATAGTGCATGCTATTTCTTAATGTCGAAGGTCTGCTCCTTGAATTTGAGCAGCTGCTTGGAAAGTTCTTTCCAGCGGTCCTGCTGGATCCCCTCCGGCATCTTGCCCAGCGCCTCAGGCGACAAGTAAGCTCTGTTACGCCACTTCGTGTACCACACTGCAACAAGAACTTAGAATCAGATAACCAGACAATATGAAACTGCCCTCACCAATGTCCGACCGCCGCGTTGGAGTAGCAGACGTGCGGTCGTCGCGTCCCTTTACGCAATCCTGGAGAGCCAGAGGATTATAGTATTTGCAAAACACGTAGCCGCCGTTTCCCTCTACAGCCTTAATCGCGCTTTGGGAGGCCCTCGAAGGCGTGATGTAGATAGGCGTCTTGAAGAATGCGGCGCCCTTCGGGACCAGTCAACTCAGAACGCATGGAATGCAACAAGAATGAAGACATACATCTCCCAGGAGCTTGATCCCGTCATGGACATTGTGCACGCAGCCACTAACAAGAAGCTCGCGGGCCGTTATAGGCTTTTCCGGCGAAGAGTGGAGTCTGCCTTGTTCGACCCAGTGCTGAATACGGTCGAGGTTGATTGGCGCATACGTCTTGTCGTTACTGCATCAAAGTCAATGCTTACCCGACAGTTTAGCTAGACAGAGACTTACAAGTTGGTGAAGCCTCTCTTCGGGAACCGCTTTGTTATGGGAGTCTGGCCGCCTTCGAAGCCAGACTTGGGTTTACCATTACCAGAGCGAGCCTTTGCACCCTTGTGGCCTCGACCGGCAGTGCCGCCATAACCTGAGCCTTGACCTCTTCCGACGCGTTTTTGCTGAGAAAGTGAACAACATAAGTGTTAAAATGGGACGCGCGATGTGCCAACATACCGAATGCTGAGAGTTCCTACCCGGAGCGAGATTTGACAGAGATATCCGTACCCGTGCCGACATGGTGCTTGGTCGAGAGACTGGTGGTCCGAATATGTCAGACAGAAAGCACTCTAGTGCTTCCGTCAATACTGGCCCAAAAACGCGACACGCCCACGAGACCAGGTTGCCATTCGCGGATAGCCCCTATCAGCTCTTTAAAAAGTACTGGGAATCGAATTCACTGCAAATTCACTAGTACTGTTTCCTACTCCCAGCCTCACTATGTAGCATTTATTCCTTACTCCACATCAATTGATACTAAATAGAATGATAGATAGTCAGCATGAAGCAAGATCTCGGTACAGAGATGAATAGCTCAAGCATCTCCCTCACAAAGGCAGATTGTAAGGATAATCAGGATGATTCAGGTCGTTTCGAATCATCTCCAGCATAACAGGCTTCAGCTTCTCATGTACACCAAGCCAAACGTCCACCGCTCCATCTGCTGGCTTCCATGACCCATCACTCTGAAGCTCAGGGTTCGATTTGCTCGTCCGCAGGTACATCGTCATCCAACCTACAGTGTACATCCTCGAACCATCCGGAAATCCAAAATGCGCGGTTTGCCAGTCAATTCTGTGGAATCCCCCCGCGGATGAGTACGTGTAATTGTCGCGGATTATTGTCGGATACTTACGCTGCAGTGGAGTTGGAAGTCATTACGCCTTCGTGCGGAGCGAAGAAGATCGACAGTCCAGCCGTGGCTGCATCATACATTAGTTCACTGACGACACTCATATATTCTGCCAGATATTCGGCGTCGCGACTTCTCTCAAGAGACTCCCGGAGGGCAATTGTCACGTCTACCACAGTAGAAGGGAGGTTGTCTGTCACCACCTGCTCAGTGCTTGCATGTCAGACCAAGACAACTCAACTGCGCACTTGGGACTTACATTTTGGATAGGATTTCCAGCTACGTCGGGGTCAGCAAACGGCACCTTGAAATGACGATACTGAATGAAGAGCGTCAGCGTAAACACTCGATGGCATAGAAAGAACGTACGTTCGCGGCGCTGGTAAATCGGTGTAGCTGCGTTTTTGAGCATCGGTTGACTAATGAGATCATGTATGCGTTCAAGCAGTCTTGAGTAGATGCCTTGGCCGCTGGCTCTCCTCCTTTAGCTTTAATGGCCAACTGAAGCTTCAGCAGATCCTGCCTCCCAAAACGCCATTCCAGTCTTTCCATTGACTGTAGGGCTGCCATGTATCTCGCAAACACCTCTGGTATGGGAAGTACAGCATGCAGTTGAGGCACTAGTGAACGGTACTTCTCTATATGTTCCGCAGAGGGTTTCACAAAGTGATGTTTATCAAACTTTGGAGCAGGGTCATCGGGCAGAAGCTGCTGATATAGCTGTGAGAGCGCACGAGTGAAGCGATAAAAAACCAGTAGGTCGCCTGGAAGAATCATGTTAGCATTCGCCGTTCCACTATCCAGCTTTGCAATATCACCTAGGGTATGGTGCCAAGAAATCCCGATACAAGTTTCCTTGCCATATGATGTTACCTTGAAACGCACAAGAGGTACATCATTGTTAACTTCTGCCTGTCCTGAAGGTGCGCTTAGTAACGAGGACATGTCATCCTGAACGACCCGTGTTCCTCTTATAATCGAATCGGGGACATGAGCCAGATGCTTCTGATCATAGAAGTCAACAGGAACGCCAGAATTCGTAAGCTCGATCTGAACGATGGCTTAATTCCTTGCTGTCTACGCTGTCTACGCCGATTCATGTGCAACGCTTACCGTCCAACGGCCTTGTTCTTCTCTCAACCGCCCAGCGGCATGCGGGTATACCTGTAAACACGAGGAGACAGCTTCCCGAAATTGAGCTTCATCTAGTTGCCCTTCAATGACATGGACATGGTCAAGCTGTTCTCCGTTATGCTGCTGGCTTGCTGGATTTGAGCTGAAGAACTCACCATATGTAACCACAAGTCATAACCTGGGAGGTCTACATGGTCAACACCGCGCAATGCAGTAGGATGCTTGGGATAGACCAAGGCCAAGCTATGCACCATGGTGATCTGAATAAAACCTGAAAAGCCCCGAACTTCTGTAACATAAGCGAGATATGTATGGAGACTGGCACGTGTTGGCATGACCTTTTCAGTTGCTTGTATAGTAGGGCGGGGCCCGTTGCACTACCGTCTTGTACTTAGAGTAGGATTGTCCGCCTTAGGGTTTCATTAACCCTCCTGGACATTACTGTAATATCATTCATTCATTCATTCATTCATGTATGGAGACTAGGTCAAAGACGAGCGATTAAGCAGCATCAATGAGTCAAGGTAGATGCCCTGAACGTCAGAAGTAATGAGGGGCCGTAACATGGAAAGACGAGAAGTTGGGAGTTGCAAATATTATGCCCACAGGCTGAAGTTACCTACAACGGTCGGCACCTGCTACGAGGAATCAGTGCTACAGCGGGGCTCATGATGAAAATTCAACTGCCCACATTAACCCTGTACGACTTAGTATCCGGGATGATAGCCAAGCTAAGCAACTCAAAACAGCACACGCTGCGTTCGGCAGGTCCAACAAGACACCACAAGGGAGCTCAAGATCCAGATACAATGAATGATGATACGATAGTTTGCGTTCTGCTGAATAAGACTGATCTAATAGAATAATGCCCACTCTAGTCTCTAGCAGTCGCCGGCTCAGAAGCACGCGGACATCTATAACGCGTATGAACGCTAACCGGTTGTCTCATTCAGCCTTGTTACTCTTCTTTCGATGCCTTTCTGTAGAAAGATGTGAGCATAACAATCGCTGCGCTGCCTTCATAAATCCTCACTTGTCTTGGACATTTTAGGAAGATAGGCATCGTCACCTGTGTCCGAGGTCAAGCCCGAGATAGCGCCAAGTGATAAAGGGAGCGAGTCTTGTCGACGAGTAGACCGCCGGGGACGGCCCTCAGTTGTTGCTGGAGTGGCCGATTGGCCCGTTGAGGGAGGGGCTGGTATCGACTGATTGGATTGATTGGAAGAAGACTGGGTTATTGCACCAAGTCGAGGTAAACGAATCTTCAATACGGGAGTAGCCGAGGGGCCCGCCTGAGAGACTGAAGCCGTCGGCTTGGGTGTGGCGGGAGAAGCAACAGTGGCTTTAGTTGATACGGGTGCTACTACTGTGGATGTTGAAGGACCAGCGACATTGATGGAGGTAGCAAGAGCAGTGATATCATCGTCAAGGCCATTAGCAAGGCCAGAGGCAGCGTAATCTTTCATCTTCTCGGTGGGTTTCACCTTTCGGCGCTGACGGGCAGGCTGAGTTGACTGCTAGGCGTAATCCGCGCGTTCAGGATTGAGAAACAGCAACATTTTGATATCTACAGTGCACTCACCTGATTACCGTTATGCTCCACGGACTTGTCAGCGGCCAAGACCTGCTCCTCTGGTTCTTGTTTTACATTAACTTTTGCTTTCTTCGTTCTCGTGGACTGTCGATGACGCGCCGTGGGAGTAGATTCATCGATGGAAGCTTGTTCGAGCGCATTGCTGGAGAACGACCCGATTTTACGCTGAAGAAAAGTGAGCAAGATGTAGCTCGTCAACTTATACAACCTGACCTTGGTTCCGCGTGAACGCAACGCATGATGATGACTGAGCTCAGCCTCTGTCTGGATGCCAGTATCTACCAAGACCCTAGATGTTGAAGCGGTAGCTTGACGGTCAGGCACAGCCTTCCTGCGCGGCTTTGTCAAGCTACATAACATCTAAATCACGTTAGCCAACGCATCCCAGTGAATGAGGGCGACAATACCTGAGCAACATCCAGCTCGTCTGGAGTTAGACTTTCTGACGGCTGAGGGAGTTCGTCGTCTAATGAGCTCAGCGAAGTTAGGGGCGACGACATCACAGATTCTGCGGGCTCCATTCTGATAACGTCAAGGTGAGAAAGCATAAGATGGCCAGAAACAGACCCAACCTTCGCTCTGGGTGTCGGACCTGGCTGATTTTGTTCCAGAAATCGAGCAAAATGACCTTCTCTGGTACCCGATACCGCCGACCGTTTATCAAAATCTCGTCGAGCGTCGGCTTGTCAGGCGGAGGCTCGCTGTGATCCGGAACGACTTCAATGTTCCCATTGTTGACTTGGTTGGGTTGTGTTATGTCCAGAGGTGCAACAGCTGATTTGGGAATCCGCCGCTTGGGCTGCTTTATAGAGGGTGAGCACCTGCATAGCCGAAGTTGATTTCCTAGGAACATACCAGGACTTGATCGGCATGGTTAGGACACATCCACTTTTTTCCAAGCGGAGGCAAAGAAGTCAACGGAGGATCCAAACAGTCGAGGTGCCAGTGCAGACTACAATAATCACACGAGATGATGCTTCTCCAGACTTCAGATGAGTGGGCCCGGGAAGTAGATCTTTTCGGGCGCTTGGGAACAGGTGGTCCCGTACCTATGTTGCTTGGAGGTAAAGCAGAAGACCCACAGTGGAAGCAGAGAGCTGGCATGCCGTTTCGATCCTTCAGTCTATGTGGATCACGGTCTTCTATCTGACCAAGGCGACTGAGGTAGAGGTCAGTAAGAGGACAAAAGTTTGGGGATGACCGCAAAGCATACTTCGTTCGGAGTTGCTTCACCTCAGAAGAGTCTACATATGCGCCTTTAGACCCCGTTGTCACTATCATCGTAGTCAGCAAGTGAATGAACGTGTCTTGTGACAACTTACCGTCTTTGAAGAAGCTTCGGATATCGTCCGGGAGCTGATACTCCCTTGGGAGACTATTTTGCACTTGATGGATAAGAGGCGACATGAAGGATGGGGGAGGCTTTGATGGTGGATGCTAGTGGAGTTACGATATATGGGTATGTGATGGGATCAGGCCAGACGGCGAGTAAATCGGCCTCACCTTGCGATTCGTGCACCCCGGGCAAAACCATCGCTCGCCATCCGGGTATTCCCCCGCTTCCATGGGAGGATCTAAGCACCACAGATGGAAGGCCCGAGGGCACCCGTCACAATATACCAAAGATCCAAGGGAGCGACAAGCAGAGCAGTGGTCTTCGTTGACCTTTTTGACCGATGTTTACACTATGAGACTCTGGATATAGACTTGTCTCAATACGACGCACCTGCCCTACGGAAGGATCTGGTGAAAGTGAGGTCGTGCCTGTGGGCTCCTCTTTGACCTTGAGCTGGGCACCTTTTTCAACCTCCTTGCCCTTGCCCTTGTCTCTCCGAGATGTTTTGGCCCTGCCGTTGGCGACGACTGACGCTGACATCGTTGGTTCTTCAGACGCGGGAGCCGAGTTTGCCCGAGAGGCAGTCGCTAGGTCAGAGTCGAATGGAATGCTGAGAGGGTCAAAATCTGAGTCAGGAGCGAGGCTGAGCTGAGGAACGCCGTCGTCTAGGACCGCTGGCTCTGGTGGAGCCAGCGAGCTGTTGAGATTCCGCGCGGAGGCACGTTGTGCACGACTAGCAGCAGTTCTGCGCAGTAGGAACACCATTTTCGCATCGGTTACAGGATCAACAGGATGCCGTAGCGGACGGGAAAAGTAGAGACACGTTAGCCACGAAGAGGAGTACCTAGAGGCAGTGACGTACCCTTTGTTCAACCTGGCACGCTTCCGCCGAGGACCGTCCACGTCTGAAGCCGAGGTCGTGGAGGGACCAGCCACCATTAAGCCAGAGTAGGTAGTGCCTGGATCAGATGTCGGGAGATAGGACAAGAAAGCACCAGGCTTTTTGGGGTCACGTCTGGTGGAAGCTTGTTGTACAGACAACAGACTAGGTGGCCCTGGAAGTATTTCAGTTGAAAGGGCCGGATCAGACAGACCCTCTAAGTGGGCGGGCTGTAAGATGGATGCTCCAGGTAACATATAAGCTGGGACGTCCGCAATGGAGGCCATTATTCCGGCGGATACAAAAGAACGTTAGGGAGGACCTAGGCGACGGAGCAGAGATGTGACCAGAGAGGGGAAATGTGTGGTGGTAGTGAAAGCCGTCCGCTCCGGTGGCAGCACCCGCCAAAGTGTCCCCGACACCGCTACCGAGGTGGCGGACAACACCTCACTTAGCTACCACTTATTCAAAAATTACGCATCACAACACTCAGGAGGTGGACAATATAATATATGACTGCATATGTGCGCGTGTCGAAAACAAGTGGCTAAGTAGCAAAGTGGTGAGGTACTGCATCAATAAGCGTTCCAGAGCTCAAAAAGTAATTCTTTGTACTTTCGTTTCTCGACACCTAGCCAACGTTCCTGCCAAGCATGTCCAATGAGTGAAAGAAGGACTGAAAGGCCTACTTCAATGCCGCAGCGTTGGAAGATTAGGTTGTAAAAGCTGTGGATCCCTCCAAACTAAACTCGTCTTCCGCTTGGGTGACATCTTCAGCTTGACGTGCTATCCGGTGTGGAGTTGCTGTAGACTTGGCCAACAGGCGTCGATGCAGTCGTGTTTTCGCATGAACAGCCCACTCCTTCCCCTCCTCAACCATCACTGGCTGCAAGGGATCAGTTGAGCATATCGGGCACACCACTTTCCGACGAGCTTCTAGAACTGCCGTAGGGCTTCGCATACGTCATGAGCTTCTTCTGCCATCAGCATGACCTATGACAAAAAGCTTACTCGGTCAGCTTCTCTTCAACAGCGAGCATTCTTTCAGCGGTATCAGACAATGAAAGTGGGTCTGGCAAGTCCTCGTCCTCAACAAAAGCTACAGATTATCTGCTGTGAAAATCGGATGGATACAAGCATGAACTTCGGCTCACCAATGGAAATGGCCTCAGCGCGTTCTCTAACCTCCGTATCCCACTTTATGCCAAGCTCTGCAAATGTATGAAAAACCAGGCATTTCTTGAAAAAGCACTCTGGCGTACCATTTGCATCGAGCAAATAAGTCGGGGTCAATGCCTCCTTTAGACTGGAGCACGTCGAATTGACACGATTGACGACAGGTAATAGCTTGTTGCGTATCCAGCTTATCTGTCTTTTGGCATATTTGCGCGTTGACTGTTTCATGGTTTCAACTGCAGCTTCAAATAACTTTCCATCGGGTATTGATGCTTCTAGGTATGTTTGAAACTCTTTAAAGCCTGTGACACTGAACTCTAAGTCTTGACATATGGGGACGCAGAATGATTCTTTTACCTATACTCTGGAAGATGCCTTTCGTGAAATCGATATTGGACATGTCGATTTGCTTTTCGGGTTTCCCTGGGTCATTATGAGCAGCATTCATTGTTGCCAGTCTCTGCAATGACCTGATTTCGTCAACCAGACCGAGCTTGAGTACACCAAGCCAATCGTCAGTATCCACTTGAAGAGAAGAATTAAATATCATACACGTATCATCTCATCCACACGCTCATCTAAGCGTGGGTTGATTATGGGAAGGTCTGCGTAGAGCCAGAAGCACAAAGTGCGATATCTGATGAGTCTGGTCATCTTGACACGAATGGACGAGGACAATCACTGCTACCTTGGGACTACCATAGTCTGAGACTGCTCATCAATTATTTCGCTTGGCTTTCTGCTAGAATCTTTAGCGATGTGGAGACTACGGAGGACTTTTCGCGTGTCTCGCCAGTGCCATCGTGACGCAATGCGGTCATCCAGCGCTGAAAGAAGGCTATGCAACGAATACGCGGCCTCGGGATCCACAGCTGCGGAAGGCGGGACTTCCGGAAGGTTGTCATAGAGTTGTCGGAGAGTCTGCGGGAGTGCCTCGACGCTATCTGCAAGTTCGGAACTTGGGAGTGCAACGCTAGACGGGCTGGGAGAGGCACTGGGAGAAACGAGTCGATTGGGGAAGATGAGATGTTGTATCCAGTATGATGTCCCGCCAACAACGATGGGAATCTGATTTCTGCGATGTGTCTCGTCAATCTGAACAACAGATCAACTCTGTGAGAAGACTAGGGCAACATGCTTGTCTAACGGGGAGACTCACTATGTCTATGGCATCCCGCACCCACTCTCCTACGACATATTGTTCCCCAGGTTGTTTGATATCCATGAGGACATGCTCGACACCCTGCCGTTCTGCTAGGGGCACCTTGTTGGTTATGATGTCGAGACCGGTGTAAACCTGCATGGAGTCCGCATTTATTACCCTAGCACCAGTCCAGCGTCCTCCGTAGAGCTTCTCTGACAACTTGAGAGCGAGCTCGATGGACAGCTTAGACTTTCCTACTCCGGTGGTCCCACATATTGCAATCAGAGGATTCATTTGAGGTCGCAGCTTGACATGCTCTAGTGCGGAACAGATGGCCAACAGATGGTTACATCGAGGGGACCCAAAAATGAGATGAAATTGCACCTGCCTTACAGGGGATTACCAGAATGGACTGTAGCCCCTGTTTTTTGTCGACAAGCATTCAGGCACTTTGATATAGAAGCGACAATCTTTGAGTTGCATCACTGGAGTGACAACTGGTAACTGTCGATCAGACAACCGGTCACAAACGCGTCCCCTTCATAGCCGGACCCGACTGATGGCGATGCCTCCTCATACATAAACTCGTCCTCCAGCATCAATCCATGGCCAACCTATACCTTGTTTTCCCTCTTTTCCCCCCACATCCTCTTCGAGTTTTAAGGGTTGCCCCGCCATGAGGATCATCAAGTCTCTCTACCCACCTCTCCCCCCAGTTCCGGAGCAGAACGTCCATCACGTTCTCCTCAGTCGTCCAGACCAGGCTCAGTGGCCAGACTTCACGTTTCAAGTTGACGCCTACACAGGTTTGAAGCGCTCTTTCAGCGAGTTCAAGGGACGTGTCATCGACGGTGCAACTGCACTCGCAAGCCCCGTCTCACAAGGCGGTTTGGGTCTTTCACCCGAGAACGGCGACCTCGTCGGCTTGCTTAGCGAGAACTGCCTTGTATGTCGTGCCCTTTTTTCAATGCTGACTCGAAAGCAGCTGAAGTTCTTCGTTAGGACTACATAACCCTTGCTCATTCATGTCTGGCGACTACCATCCCGTTCTGCATGTTCTCTTCGTACGGCACGCCCTATGAGTTCCAGCATACCTTCAAGCTCGGCGGCCCAACGTTGCTGTTCGTCAGTCCTAAAATGCTCTCCCTTGCCCTATCATCCGGCATTCCGAAAGAGAAAATATACGTTCTTGAGGGTTCAGTAGCGGGTTACACTAGTTTCCAAAACTTGCTCGATCGCACGAGCAAGCTTCCTCGCGTGGCCGTGAAGCAGGCCAAGAAGGACACGCTCGCGTATCTCGTCTTCTCTAGTGGCACAAGCGGACTTCCGAAAGGTAAATTCATCTACACGCTTTACTTGTTTAGGGCCATGCTGGCTTTTCAAGATTCAAGATACTGACCTGCGTGCTCGTGCAGCTGTGATGATCTCACATGGTAACCTGATCGACTCGTTAATGCAGGTTTTCATTTATGCCGCTGAGGGAGCCAAGGTCGCACCGGTACGTCTCAGCGACGCTACCTCACTTACAAGGCTAACATTCTCCTTTTCACCCGATCGCGTTCTATCAGATGCCAGAGTGGAAGAGCAAAACCGGTCTACAGACTATTCTCAACCCACTGCCATTCCATCACACCTTCGGTTTGCACATGTCCTCGTTCCGCGTGTTTTTCCTCCCCGTGACGGTCATCGTGATTTCGAAGTGGAACATCGACACTTACTTCGACGCGATTACCAAGTACAAAGCGACGACCCTCTACCTCGTTCCGTCGCTCGTACATCAGATTGTGCATCATCCACGCTTTGAGAAGACCGACTTCAGCACCGTGTCCCTCGTCCATTCTGGTGCTGCATACCTCCCTGCAGCACTTGCTGAACAGCTGCGCTCTCGCATTTCTGGAGCCCCACGAGTCAGTGAGGGATACGGCATGTCCGAGACGGTATATCCTATCAGTGACATCTGTTGGCTTGTTGCTTACTATCTAATCTAGACTATTTCTGTATCGAACAAGCCACAACCGGGTGCTCTGAACGGACGCGCGAAGAATGTCCTAGGCTCAGCAGGTATATTGTTGCCAGGAGTGGAAGTACGTGTCATCCGCGAGGATGGGAGCGATGCAGATGTCAACGAGCCCGGTGAGCTGCTCGTGCGCTCAAAGTGCGTCGCCCTTGGGTATTGGCGAAATGAGGAGGCAACGAAGGCAACGTTCCGTGGCGACTGGCTTTACACCGGCGATCGATTCCGGATTGATGAAGATGGTGTTCTTTTGTACGTGTTTCCGATTCCTCTCGTAATGCCACCTTTAATCAATCGAACCGTTTGTACTTTAGCTTCGAGGACAGAACCAAGGTTGGCTGCCTCTCATATTACTTGTTAGCTCGGATGAAACTAATACGTCGTACAGGACATCCTCAAGGTTTCTGGAATGCAGGTTTCCCCTGTAGAAATCGAAAACACGCTCATGGCACATCCATCTCACCTTCTCAAAGACGCGGCCGTGGCTGGCGTGAGTGGTGGGCGGACCTCCGACGAAAAGATACCGCGTGCATGGGTTGTGCTGGACGCACCAGGACGCAAACTTGGGGCCGCAAAGGTGGTGGAGACCCTCGATGCATTCATCAAGGAGAACTTGAGCAAGTACAAGTGGCTCCGTGGCGGCATCGAGGTCGTTGATGAGGTAAGTATTCCAGACTATCAGTATCAGTAGCCTCGGTGCTTACATATCCCGGCTCCAGATCCCGAAGAACCCAACGGGCAAGGTTCTCCGCCGAGTGCTCGTTGAGAAATTTGAGCAGCAGAACAAAATGCCAAAGCCGAAGCTGTAGACTTGACCCTTAGATGTCTGCCCTTGAGCTCGCAGCTAGCTTGTTATCTATTGCAGATTTTCTGGCTATAGATTCATTAAGTTATAGATTATATTCGCTGTATTCATGTCAACCTAATTATTCGATATATATCCACAATATCTTGTATGGGTCCGTACCGTGGCAGACATGCCACATCGTGCTCATGTCCACGAACATAGCAGGATGCCTCGGACCGTCTTCCGATCCGCATTACGGAGGCAATAGTATGTGTTATCACTGTCGTCATGCCTCGGCCTTGACCTGTTTGGTCTTCCAGTAACGGATAGGACTAGTACTATAGCACTTCACAGTCACCCGGTATTCTTGAAAGCCGCTCTGTGACTACCAGCCAGCAGCCTTTCAAATATCCCCCTGCTCCTTCGTAACATGTCAGACCTAGAATCCTTGGTCAATGAATGGCTTCGCCTCGATCGCGTAAGTAGTAGAATTCGTTCTTAGCGCCCTCACCGTCTTAGATGCACGGCGATCTTAGAACGGTCAAACACGAGCGGAAATAGAGATCCTATGGCAATACGGAAACACACAAGAACTGGAGAGCCGACTCAGGTAATCCCGACCATGCAGAAAGCGTGGTATCATCTCTGACTGACTTGAAGGAACCGCATCGAGTTTGGGACAGCAGGAAAGCTGATCTCCGTTATTTTGGTTGAATATAATTGTGACAGCCTCTCTCCAGGTCTCCGCGGAAGGATGGAAGCAGGTTGGGCCCGCATGAACGATCTCATAATCATACAAGCATCCCAGGTTCGTTCATTCCGTTGCAGCATCGCTCTCATCGTCACTCAGGCGGTATCCTTTGGCCCAGGGTCTCTGTGCTTATGTGATCCGAGAAGTGGAAAATGCCAAAGAACGAGGTGTTGTCATGGGTCACGATCACAGACACAACTCTGCGAGATGGGCTCAGCTAGCCGCCGCCGCGTTCATTTCCCAAGGCGTGAAGGTATACCTGCATAGAGGTCTTGTCCACACGCCACTGTCAGCGTTCACGGTTCCCATCCTTCGAACTGAGCTTACGGTTGTGTAGAGTTCCATTCTCCGTCAAAGCGTTGCGGGCAGCTTGTGGTGTTATGATCACAGGTGCGCAGATGAACAAGCTTCTCAGCGCGTGTTTTAGCCTAAAGCATAGCCTACAGCCAGTCATAACCCAAAGGTACGGAATGATTCAAATACTTGACCGTGTTTATATAGCGCTGAATTCTATAGGACGACAATGGATACAAGGTATGGCCCAGAAATATGCACGCCCGCTACTCAACCTGATAGTTTTCTCTTCAGGTGTACTGGGAAAACGCTGTTCAGGTATTAATGCGGTGGATAATATTTACGGTGGTCACGCATTCACTCATGCCTCCGCAGATTATCGAGCCTCATGACAAAGGTATCGCAACGTCAATCAAGGAGAACCTTGAGCCACGTACCTGGGATGTTTCTCTCACCAGCGACCCGCTGTGTCTGGATCGAACCGAAGAGATGAAGAAGATGTACTTCGAAAGTTTGCAAAAACTAGCATCATCCATGTTCGTGGTTCAGTGTTATGCCATGAGTTCTACCTTATGCGAGCCTTTCAGCTCAACTAATTCTGCTTGCGCCACAAAGTTTGTAAACACGTCGATGCATGGAGTTGGCTATCCCTTTGTCGCACAAGCGTTCAAAATCTTCGAATTTCCGGCACCTATATCTGTTCATCAGCAGCAGGACCCAGACCCAGACTTTCCTACCGTAGCATTCCCTAATCCAGAGGAGAAAGGTGTTTCCTGAACTGACCTATTTTCAGTCTACGTTCTTGCTGACCGGATCTTTCAGGAGCTCTGGTTTGTTCAACAGCATCCTTGACTTTCACGATCGCTGAGCTTGCATAGGACCTGGCTATTAGCACCGCAAATGAGCAAGGTGCTTCATATGTTCTGGCTCAGGATCCTGATGCCGATCGGTTCTCCGCGGCTGAGAAAAGGTGAATTTGCTTTTGAACCATCAGAGTCTCGTTAACATCGCCGTGGACTAGAGCCGACGGTACATGGAAGGTATTCACCGGTGATCAGCTCGGGACTCTATTTGCCTGCAAAGTTTTGGCTACCTATAAAGCTAGCGGAAAGCCCCTTGGTAATTGTCGTTTTTACATCAATGTTTCGATTCGATTTTACGGTCTGTTTAGATAAGCTGGCGATGGTTGCGTCGACCGTGAGCTCAAAAATGATCGAGACAATGGCCAACGATGAAGGATTCCGCTTCGTAGAATGTTTGACAGGTAAAATGCCATTCGAATCTGGCCATGGAAACGAGCTAAAACCATGTTCCCGTAGGCTTCAAGTTCATCGGGAACACAGCCCTTGATCTTGTTGCCCAGGGGTATGATGTCCCATTTGGGTACGAGGAGGCTATTGGGTTCATGTTCGGCGAAGATATTCGCGACAAAGATGGCGTTGCCGCTACGGTACATAAAGGTTGATTCCAAACGTCACTTTGGCCTGACTCCACTCTAGATGATGTTTGCTGAATTGGTGGCGTCCCTTTCAAGTAGAAACCTGACACTGCAAGATTATCTTGAAGAGCAGTATGACAGGTCAGTTATAGTGAGTTACTTAAAGATCCATAGTTGACGATCATTTCATGATAGGTACGGCTACTTTGAGGTACGCGTCGTTGAACTCAATGATGACAATACTAATGGATACGCAGACAAATAACAGCTACTTTATCTGTTCGGATCCTGCCGTCATAGACAAAGTATTCACATCGATTCGTACTTATAATGAACAGCAGGTCTGTCCACCCCCACACTAGGCCACACTTTTTTCAAATGCGTTTCGTATAGCCGTCAGAAAAAACTGGCACATACCCCACTGAGATAGCAGGCCTTCAAGTAACCCGTGTTGTAGATCTGACGTCCGGGTACGGGTTTGACAGCGGCAATGCACCCAGTTTCCAGCCTAGCCTGCCATTGTCTTCTGGACATATGATACAGATCAGGGCTAGCGCAGGTTCGGGGAGTGGCCTTGACATCGTGCTCACAATAAGGTATGGGCATACATGTGTTACCTGGGAGGCTAAACCACTAAAAGATTAATCACTCTTCCCCAGAACAAGTGGAACCGAGCCTAAGGCACGTTCTCTATCTTTATTCTGCGGTCTTTCAGTTTAACTCAGCAGTAATCTCAGATCAAGTACTATCTAGAGGGTAAAGGTGAATATCGCCAGGTAGTACACAAACTGTTACCGGAGGTCATTTCTGCCCTGAAGTATGACTGGATGAAAGCAAGCGAGAACCATCTTGAGTAGGCGGGAAGTTTTCGCCTACAGATACTTCATAATTGTATGAGTACATGTATTGTAGATCTCATGAGGACGGGCTGGAAGTAAAATGCCATGACCTTCTATCATCTGTAACCTATGCATACCTCGCCCTTCTTCGCGCCTCAAGCTCCTTTGTTTTCCTCCATATGTCAATAGTGACCTCTTTTTCGTGATAAGACAGCGCCACAAGCCTGAAAGCAACTAATCAGCCATATGCTCTAGTATAACACGAGGTATCATTACCTCGCAACCCGCATTGAGAGGATGAGATCGTCCACTGAAATGGAAGTGTCCTTGTTTTGTCTTTGTTTGACAAAGTCTTCTTGAATAAACTGGAAAATGGTGATTGAGCCGGCTATGGGCTTGCGTATGGGAAATTTCAAACCTGGGAGGTCTCTTCCGAGATGTGAATACTTCCAGATTTTGCAGATGAGATGAGGTCTCGGAACATCTTGAAGGTGTCTTGTGGAGGTGCAGTCGGCGACACCCTATAAAGATCGGCTGCCTCCTTTGGTTGGATAGGCACGTTTACACTTGTCTAAAAATATGTAACATGAGCCAGGGTGCCTTAGCCTGATCACAAATCCTACCTGGAAAAAGGCACTCTTTTGTCCTTCGCTGAGAACGATCATTGAGATGTCGGTCGGAAACGAGAATTTACTAAATGGAAAGGTATAGTCGAGAGTCTGCCCGATCATAACCTCCTGTACTGCCCGGATGTTCATAATTCCTTTCTCCACCAGCTGCCCTTCGCTAACCGCTGATTCAGTGAGTAAGATAGTGCTCCCTTGAGGTAACTGCAACATCCCTGAATGAAGGTTCTCGTCTTTGCTCTCTGCGATGAAGTTGGCACTGTTCAAAAGCTGTAAAGAGAGCGGAATTGTTGCAAATAGCGACAGGATATCTGACAGAACATAAGAAAGTGTCGGTGTAGTTGACAGACCTGTGGGGTGAGGAAAGCGAGAAAAGGTGAGGGATACGGGAAGAAGAGGTGGATTTCGAGACTGACTGAAATTAAGATGCATAAGATGATAGCAGAAGTCAATCTAATGATATCACGTACACTCTTGATATGCAGGCAAGCAATGCCCATTCCGCAGCGTCTGTATCACCGCCTAAGGCTGATTCTGCTAACCAGTTTACGAAATCCTGCCGGACTTGGGTAATGTCCAGGGGAAGGCGCGGTGATGCGCACAGTGCATCTGTGTTCTGATGAAAAACGACATGGAGAGTTGGAACTTGAGGAGGGTTCTCTTGCTCTGATTCAGACAGCCGTCTGACGATCCCTGTCAGATTGTGTGACCGCGGGCCGATACTCCGTACCTACGGTTCGGTGGTGAGAACACCAACAAACGTGACAATGTCGGTTGCCTTCAGTGGTTGGTCTGTGTCATTGTCATACACCTGGAAACATGAAAGTCAGCGAGAGCGAACGCGAACTTTGTCAGGATCGGACCTTGACTTGCACACCGATGTACGATGCGCCTGGTATAGGGTACTTCTCAGGGAAAGCGGGGTCGTAAGAAGATGGAGTACTCGGCTCTGCTATTTGTGATATGTTAAGATGTCGCACCGAGACAGGGGTAAATGAAACCTACGAAAATCAGGGCCCGCGAACTCTGCTGTCTGCCAAGCAGGCTCACCGGGAACAGAAACTGCCCACAGAGGCGTGCATTCCTTGAGATGGCTGTAGTCGAGTCTCTCGGGAACCGCACTCTCTTCACTTTCGGTGAGTCCCCAACCTCCGCACTTGTTGTTTGTTAGATGTGCAAGGTACATTTCGGGGGAAGGGGAAGTGTCCTGGACCATTGCACGAAATCGGACGAGGGAATGGTCGGCATAGTGACTGGGTGGGTGATGTATGTCGAGAGGAGGTATCTGAGCGAGTATATGTCTGGGTTTCTTCGGAGCGAGATAGAACGCGTACCTCATGGAACGTGTCTCGCGACTTGAGAAAGATCTGGGAGAAATGTGAAGCTACGGTGCGAGGGAAGTCATCTGAATTGTCCCTGTTGTTCTGGTAAAGTTCTTGGATAGCCTGCGAAGGATCCTTGAGAGCATCGACGAGGAGAGCGGAAACCATCGTGTGCAAAAGAGATGAGGACAGGACTCGACGCGATCAAGACGCGATTCACTAAGGGTAGCTGACGCGGTACAGATGACTAAGCACGGGAACGGACACCGGAAGCAGTGTCTACTGTGACTCTTAGCTTCCCTACACTCCCAGCTCTCCGTAGCGTAGTCCAGCGCAACCCGTAGACGTGACAGTCATGGCTCTTTTCAAGCGCAAGAACCAGCGCAATGACTCAGAAGACAGCGAGCAGTCAGAGCGCAAGAAGGAGAAAGGCGGGTGGAGGAAACCAGCCAGTGCGTTAATCTCTTGTCTTTTAGAAGCGTCTCATTCATTCTCTCTCAGACACCGCTTTCAAGCAGCAGCGTCTCAAGGCATGGCAGCCCATCCTCACTCCCAAGACAGTCCTCCCCACTCTCTTCATATGCGGTATCATATTTGCACCTATAGGAGCTCTTCTCATATGGGGCAGCAGCCTGGTATGTTATTCGACGATCACTCTAAGTCGCACAATCGGTTGAGCTGTCATTTTTCGTTTCCTCAGGTCTCTGAAATGACTTTTGATTATACCAATTGTCAAAACCTTCCAAACTCTACTGCTGGCGCCATTACCTGGACCAACATGTCCTCCTCCGAGTTCTCTTACAACCTGAAATCCGCTGACAATGGCAAGGTTATCACAACTCCCCAGTATGCGCACGTCGACAACTCAGCTGCAAACAACGTATCCACAGCAAACCAATGCTACATCAACTTCCAAATCGTTTCTGATCTCGAAGCTCCCGTATTCCAGTACTATAAGCTCACCAATTTCTACCAGAACAACCGACGCTACGTACAAAGCCTCGACACTAGTCAGCTCAGCGGCAAATACGTCAGCAACTCTGATCTTGGCAGTGGGAATTGCAAGCCATTAGCACTCACTCCTGATGGGACTCAAGCATATTATCCCTGTGGTCTTATAGCCAACTCGGTGTTCAATGGTTCGTTCTTGACCATAATGGTATCTGGATTCGAGTTAATCGAGCGATAGATTCTTTCAGTGGCTTGATCTCGGAGTCAGGTGGCAGCAACTACACTTTCTCTCAAACAGGCATAGCTTGGCCGGGAGAAGCGAAAAAGTACTCCGCGTTGCCTGGGAATAACTTGAGTGAACTTGTGCCTCCTCCGAACTGGGTAAATCGCGTTGGCGAGACCTGGAACGATTCAAACATATGGAACCTCCAAACGGATGAACATTTCCAGAACTGGATGCGGACAGCTGGCCTCCCTACCTTTACAAAGCTATATGGGCGTAATGATGGTGACACCCTTCCAGCCGGAAACTATACCGTTATTGTCGACATGAGTTGGTCAAATTCTTTGAACCTGCGTGCAATCCCATTGACACACTTTCCCAGATTTCCCCGTTCAAGGATACAAAGGCACAAAATCCTTGGTGATATCGACCGTGTCATGGATAGGTGGCAAGAACTCGTTTTTGGGCTGGGCATATGTCGCTGCCGCCAGTGTTTTCATCCTCCTTGCCTTGATAGGCACCGTACGACATCTTGTTAAGCCAAGGTACGCCGCATCATTTGCTCTGTTACTCGATGTGATGATTGAGTCTATGACAGACGCTTGGGAGACATGTCGCTGCTTTCGTGGAACCGCTAGATAGTACGTTAGCCCTCAAGCGCACATGTTTACTTACATATGTATTGGGATCTATCAGTCTCGTCTTTGTAATTCACTATCGGACAATCTCCTATAATTGTAATTTATTGAATTAAGGCCGGGACTACTAGGGGCACTCAAAGGCAGGTTTATACCCTATTCCCTCACAAGCGATGGTATGTGCACCCGACCCGATTTTCTCAACGGTAAAACGAGCTGTCGTCATCAATTCTGCGACATGAATCGCGGTCCTGAATAAGAGTCGACGCGGCGTCAGTGTAAGCTACATATGCAGGAGTAAATAACATGCGCGTACCTCGTATGCTCAGTGAGAGGGCCTGTCCTTACAGTTGATTTCCCCTCAGCAAGCGCCATGAATATGATCATCTGGTCCTATATAGGTAGAGGACTGAGCTCATCGTAAGTGATTAAGTATAGGGAGCAAGCTCACCTGTAGATGCTCGTCAACACATTCGTCGTGCTGTAGATTGTCCAATAATGACTGCGCAGCCTCTTCTCCGACTTGGGAGGGATCCTTGTCCCTTGTACTGACGCAGCTTCCACCTATCACGCAACCATTTTCGGTTTCTGCCCAGAGAACAATGCCACCGCCACTGGCCACTGCGTCTTGTTGCCGTTCTCGCAGCGCATCAATCCTGATGAGGCCAGAGGACAGCCCTTTTGCAATTAGTTTGGCCTCTGCGGCAGCTTTCATCTTATTTGCGATGACCACCGGCAGCCCGCCAACGCGCGCCTCTCCCCATATCTTCTTGATGGGTCCGCGCTCAAGAATTGTAATCGCCTGAAGAGGCTTGCTTAGCGGTGGTATGGTGCAGTAGATGCTGCCTCCGCCCTTGGGAAAGTATCCGCGCTGGACGATTTTTAGACCGATGTCGACGCCGAAACGTCGCCGAAGAAATGGAAGAAAGACTTGAAGTGTGTAGTCAATCTGTGGGGCCATGGAGGCATTTGTGCCCCCTCTGAGCGTCAATGCAGACTCTATAGACGTCGACGACGAGAACAATAGACACGGGAGAGCAACTTGGAGTAGAAGTGTCGTTGAGCCTGCAGTGCCTGGATCGGCAGCGAGAACTCGAGGTAGCTCTAGTCGACTTGGCGTGAACTCGACAGACGTGGATCCTTGGTGCACACCGACTGTTTTGGCCGAAGCGATGTCCGCTGCAAGTCTGATTCCTGGCAACATGAAGTGGACATAGACACACACCCTTGAGAAGATTGGCCTGAGCCAGTCACTCACCAGCTTCGTGCTGCTTCCGTAGCCCTGGGGGACGCCTATTGAAGCGAACATTTTGGATGGATATCGGTTTCGAGAGAAGCGTCGAAAGCGAGACTGCATTGCGGATGATCTGGCCACCGCCCTCTCCGAAGCTTCCGTCAATGCAGCAGATCGTCTGCGCAGCGAGCATACTCATACAGAATATGATGCTGGAGGTAAAGTATGTACGGTAACCGTCGTATTAAAGAGAGGTTGTCTCGCCATGTTCCGGGGGAGGAGGTAAATCATCAATGTGTCACTACAGCAAGTTTGGTCGTAGGCGAGTCATTCACACGGAGTCGATGTAAGTCATACAATGTCCGAGTCAAAAGCTTGTCACAACTTAAACGCAAATATTAATGAATCTTGCACGTACAACACGTCTACTGGTATATACATGCGGAAAGCTTAATGGTGACTCACAAAAAATTTGACCGAATCTTGTGTTCCGAGATCAATTGGATAGCAAACAGAAAGACCATTGGATAGCTATAAGACATTGAGGGATTGAAAGAAAGAAAGCTCCGCAGTAAATCATGTATGAACATGGGCATGTGCAAGATGTGGCACGGTCTGTGGGTATAATCAAACCTCTAGTGGTGGGTTGTGTATGTATATTGCCTGTCTCCGCTACCGCTTCAAAGCGTGCCCCAGCTGTTCGAAGGGAATGGATAAGGGGTTTATGACGGATTCAATTTGAGGTGCTCACGTTTTTCCGCTGCTGGCCTAGCCAGGCAGTAGGGCCAGCGCGACTTCCAAGGCTTCCGTCTCTTAGTCTAGGCATTGATATGCTATGGATCGCGCTAAGCATTAACTCTTGCTCTCGAGCGTAACGTTGTGTCATTTCGTTGATCACACGCTACAAGTCAATCAGTATTTATTATCATTGTGATATGCACAAGTGCTAACCTTCAAACGCTCAACCTCTTCTTTGGTCTGCGCACCACCAGCACCCAGCTCAGAAATATCCTATGACCAAGTCAGTACTCACTACTTGACACCTTACGATGGCTTACGGTCAAAATGCCACTAGCTAGCTTAGCCTGAGCCTCCTTATAAAGCTTATCTTGCGTCTTGAGGAGCTGGAAAGTTGCGTGAACTTGCTATTCGCTGGTGACACAGGCCATCCTCACCTGCTTGGCCTTGTTAAGCTTCTCTTGGGCGGATTTCACCTGTTCTCTCAAGTTGAGATTGTCCTCGTGCATAGCGAGTAATCTTGCTTTGATGTCCTCGGGAAGGTCTTTGCCACTGATCGAGGCACGTAGATCGCTAAGGAGTAGCTTGTGAGTAGAGCTATTGGACACGGAGTAATGCCATTGTACCCAAAGTCACGTTCGCGTTGCAACATCTTCTCTCGTTGACCAATCCCGTCGCTTTGCAAGTTGACTTTCTCGAGCAACAAGGCATTGATCTGCTCCAATTGCATCCGGTTCTTCTCCTTGATCTCCTTGAGCTGATCTTGGAGTCGATCGATTTCAGTCTGCAAGCCTGCCTTATCTTCATTCACAGACTCCCGCAGGCTAGACAATATGTCTAACTGGTCCTTGTTAACGAGGTTTACTGGGTGGGGATAAGCAAGGCTGGACTGTAATGATACAAAAAGTTATACGCACAATCGGACTTGGCAATGGTCAGCTCCTTGGATTGGGTCTCATGCTGGACTTCTAGTTCCGTGTGTGCCTTGTGCAAAGTATCAAGTTCGTCGACGGTTTCGTTCAGCCGTTGACGAAGGGCTATGGCAGCTTCCGCACTGTTGCGTTGCCACCTGTCAGTATCGGAACGACATGCTCGAAAAAAGACTGACCCATCGCCGAGTGACTTGCCACTCCGGATTTCCTCTAGGTCCCTCTGAAGAACCAACTTCTCGCGGTGCGCAGAGAGATAATCACTCTCATAGCGGGCCTTCATACGGTTTGCGTCTTCAAGCATGTTCTCGAGGACAAGGATGCGGCTGGCATCAGCTTCATTCTTCTTAACGGCTTCTAGCTCACGCTCCAGCTTCCTAATCTGAAGTTTAAGGTCTGTAGTGGTCGTTCCGGTAATAGCATCGTCCAACTCTCCTCCCAAATTGAACGATTCGTGCTCGCCCAGCAGCTCAGCCTCGGTCATCTCTGTTTGATTACCGCTCTCATCTTTGGTTTCTTCAGCGGGTTTCGCCGAAGGTATTGGTCGTGTAGACATGAGCTCCAGTTCGCGAACACGTTCTTGATAAAGCTCTAATGCTTCCGAATCCTTGGTACGTTCTTCAGTCGTGATCCTGAGCTTTGTCCGGCATTGTTCGAGCTCGAACTTGAGGGATTCAAGCTCTTGATTGCGTGTAGATGCTTTGTTCTCCATGTCGGATATCTGTGATCTATAAGACTCCATGAGGGGTTTGAAAGCAGCGACCTTTCGATATTCTTCCTCAAGAGAGGCATTTTTGTCAACGAGATCTGCATTCTGGTTCTCTAGAGACTACGAATTGTAAGAAATGAAGTTAATCAGTGTACCTTGATAGACACACCTTGACATGTTGACGAAGGTCGGCGCTCTCTTGTAGCTTCTTCTTGTACTTCTCCATGACATTTTCAGTCTTCTGAAGCTTGTCTGCCGCATGTCGATACCTTCCCGACATTGGTCAAGAAAAGTGCTGGAAACGCAGAGTACCACATACTCATCAACCTGGTCTTTGAGCCGCACGGCTTCGTCTGCTTTGCTCTGCAGCTCATCAATACGCCGTTTCATATCTGACACTAGGGATACGTTCTTGTCAAGCTCCGCCTCCGCCATCGCCAAGTTATCCTCGCTCTTCTGCCTGTTGCCTCCGTTATCTCAGACCCACATGTGCAAGTAGGTCATACGTAGACTCACAGCTCAGATCGTAGTCGGTCAATCTCCGCACGCATCATAACGTCCGCCTTGTCGCTACGAAGCGTATCGATATGCCGTTGGGTGTCACGCAGCTGAGCGAGAGCGTCATCCTTCTCTGATACGGCGTCATCGTAGTTTGTTTGCAGAGTCCGGTGTTCTTCGAGAAGCGACTGGTACACCTTCTCCAGAGTGTCTTTCTGGGTGAGGGCCTGACTACGCTCTGATTGAAGAAGGTAATAATGATCGTCCCTGGAAATCATCGTTCGGAAGGTGTGCAAGGAAGCACATATATCACTCACTCGGTCATGCCAGTCTCGCTTGCGTCCCGTCTACTAGTCGTGGAGTCAATCTTCGTCATAACCTAACCAATTTTTAGGATAACCCACAGGAAATGTCGTAATATGTACCTACCTGTTCAATAGCCTTCATTAAGTGATGCTGATCACTCTCATTCAGCTTCTGTATTCGCTCGATGATCTCCTTGTTGTTCTCGCACTGTACAGCAACGGCAAGTGTCATGCGGCACATAACGAGGGTAGCTAGGCCATTGTTATCCTTTGCAATGGCCTGTAAGTCGGGGACCTCGAGACCACTCGTCGGTTTGTGTAGCACATCCGCGAAATATTGGGTCAATAACCTGTATAGACGTTTCAGACCATTGAGACGAATGACCCAGTTATCCGAAGGCTCCGATGACGGCTTAGTGGATTGTCTGAAGTAGTCCTCATCGCTGGTATGATGTCAGTTTCTGCTTGCGGCGCGGTACAATGTTACTTACACCAGCGCGAGCACTTCCAGGAGTGGGGCACCATCGCTCAAGTCAGCAACGGTGGCGATAGCCCGGGTGAGATCAAAAGTTGCAAAGAACGAGAAGAAAGCGTCAATCTCAGCCCTCGCAGCGCTGCCAGCATCAGCCATGGTAGATCGAGGGAGCAGCCGGTTACCTAGTGCCTGGTACCGTAACTTGGAGAGATCGTGTTTCGCGACAGATATGTATTACGTAAATATCCCCATCTACAATTAGCCCCTATAAAGACGCGAAAATACGATGGCGCAGACACATAGAACCGCCGCAAATATGTAGAACACCCTTCCTTCCTTCAACGGATCACCGGAAGAGAGCGAATTACGAAGCGGTAGGAACACAAGTCCGATGATGAAGTTTGAAACCCCTGAGTCAGGGTCAACACCCAACTCTCAAGTCAGAAACAACTAAGAACTCACAGTTCAAAGACAGCGCAACAGAGGAGATCGCGGAGGAGACATGAGAAGGGGAAACCTCCGGAATCATCACGAACGGTATTGGGCCAAGACCGACGGCGAAAGACCTACATGTCACTGAGTCGCAAGCACTGAAGGATGGCAGTAAGACCTACATCACGAAGGTAATGATTGCGACGCTAGCTAGCGTGTTCCGTGCACCGTCAAGCCCATAACCAACAAGAACATGCGAGACAATGGCGCAAAAGATCGAAAGCTGCATGAGCTTCTTCCGCCCAAAACGCTGAAAGGCAGGTGTGAGTAGATGGAACAGGTGCAATATTGAAAGTTCAAACATTGATAAGAAAGATGGGAGGAAAGGTCATCAAGAAGTTGACCACAGTTATGCCCAAAGACACAAAAGCGGCCAGGTCTGGGAGCGCCTTCGCTAGAATGCTGTTGCTGTAATATAAGACTAAACAAAATGGTCAGTAGCGCTACAAGGACGCGTATGTCGCATATCTTGCCTGCGTTGATTCCTTGGATGTAATACTTTAGCTAGAGGACATTAGATCACTGGGAACGCATTTACCTGAAAGTTGCTGGCAGAGCATAGCCGAAATGATGATAAGCATCGGTTTACGATACTCGTGTGAGAACAAGAGGCGAGATACGGAGAAGACGTCCTCGCGAGGTTGGGATCTATCCTCATCCCCAAGTAATGGTTCTTCACTGGCACTTTCTTCCGCTAGATTCAATCTTAATCAGCTATTGCCTCCCATAGTCGGAAACCTCATACGATCAGGACGTAAAGGAGTTTTCCCGCTCCATATTTTATTCATGGCCACTTTCTGTCGATCCAGCTTGCCAGTCTGGAGTAGGTAGACCGGGGATTCAATGATGAACGGGCTCGTTACAAGCTGCGTCAAGGAGATTGCACTAGAAAGCAGGAGCACTAGTCGCCACTGTCTAGGGGTTGCCCACGCGACGCCCACACTTTGAGTTACCATAATGCCAACAACGATGGCTAGCTGCGTCAAAACCCCTGATGGATGTTATTGGAAAGTTATTTAGCTGACTCGCGTTGGCGTAGTTCCGCTTGCCTAGATTGCCTTTTATCTTCGATGGAGCTATCTCAGCTAAATAAATAGGCCCTATGCACAGCCCTAGCCCCGCACCCAGTCCAACAAAGAACCTAGGAGTGAAGGTGACAAAGTTGGTGCAAGCTTTGTAGTTTTACTCACCTGCCAAATGCAAGAGAAGAAACTGAGGCTGCTACTCCTGACAAGGCAGCGCCGAAGGACGTTGATAAAGCGCTAACCTGGCAAGCCCCTTTGCGGCCTAGACGGTTTGTTGCAATGTTGGCAGACAAGCTGCCGACGAGTCCTCCAATGGTAAAGATTGAAGTGACGACAGAGAACGTAGTGTCAGACATTGGCACGCATACCGGAAGCCCATGATACAGAGGACTCGTATCATTCACATTCTGACAAGTCAAGACTGCTTGAATCTGATTCAAAGCTGAGATGTGGTACCCGTACTGTAGTGAGGCTTAGTGAGTGAGACACAACGGCGGTTGGATAGACGCACCTGAAACGAAACTACAAGAACCCATACGCATACAGCCCACCCATAAGTGGTGAACGTTTGGTGAGTGTGCTCTGGAGCCATCCTGGTCTGTGTTTACTCAAATCCAGGTGAGAGCTTGCGAGCGGGCATATAGGAACTACGTAAGGCTCAGGATATGCTCCGTGGTCCATTCACTACGTTTTGGGGCAAAATCGGCGGGCCGGTATTAGCACACGTAGTGCCGGCTCGCCGGACCTAGTCGAGGGCGATTCGCAACGTGAAGTCTTCTCGATCGGGCGACGTGCGCCTACAACACGTCGCTTGTTCTCCTCACCCCCCCATCCTAGATCATATTCTACGGTGCTCTGTACTCCCCTCTATATACTGCTATAACATATATTTGATTGTTTGCTATCTAAGTGCAGGTAAGCAGTTGACCAGGCCTAGCTAGCTCAGGTAAGTACGTAATTGCAACAGAATATAACTTACTTGCATGTATAGGTGGCTCAGAGAACCGGGGGCGAGCGCGATGGACTTAAGCTCTCGCTCGTCGACCTCTCTCCCTTGTCTCTTCTCCCTCGTTGTCTCCCCTTGTCTCCCCTCGTTTCTTTTCCCTTCCTCCCATCCATCCATCCACGCCCAGCTGTGTTGTCTCCAGAGCTGCTCTATCCTTTCACCATGTCTGACCCGGTGAGATGCTGTATTCTGTCCGCTGTTTGACGCCTGCTGACACATTTACAGCGGGGGCATGGGATCGCACCAGCTCCTCGAGCATCCGTCCCTCCTCTTCAACCTCAGTCTCAAGTCACCCCTCTTCGCTCGCTCGTCTTTCAAGGTAAGCTTCGTGTGTATATGCTCTCATTCCTTTGTCTAACGCATGCACGTCATGTACCACAGCCCCTTAGATGTCCCCATGAACCCATTCAACAATGATACCGCTGCCTCGATGGAAAACTCACGGCAATCTCAGCTTCCACCTCCTTCCGTCGTGTTCGCATTCAGCGCACCCAGTCCAGGTAAGCAAATCATCTTTCTGTCAGCTGTTGCTTGGTATGCTAATGAAATAAGTACCAACAGCTCTTTTCGAGCGGCTTTTGCACCAGTGCGAAGGGAATTAGGTGCGTCTTTCACGTCCTGTGCGTCCGCGTTGTATGTGTTGATGAGATCTTCCCCCGGTGTTGGACCATTCCGTCCGCCTCCGCGACTTCTGCAACCTCACCCACCTCTCGCCCTTGCTCCCCTTCCCTTCGCACCTCTTCCCCTGCTCCCTCCACCATTCTCCGCCTTGTACGCGTCAAATTCGCGGCGCATCTCGTCGAACTTGCCCTCCAAGGTTTTGTAGCGTGGGCCGGGAGGCGAACGTGACTCGCCGGTACGTGTATCTTGCACTGGTCGCTCCGAGGGCGATGGCACCCTATTGACGGCTTCTTCAGACCAAGTGTCTCGTGTGCGCCCGGTACCCGTACGCGGATCTGGAGAGCGACCACACGTTGAGGCGTGGTCTCACGCGCTGTCCCAGGAGGACTGGAGCCTATAACAAGTAAGTGTATGCGCATATAATCATTGGCTTGGCTTGCTTACTCGGGAACAGACGGCCTGATCACACTAAAGGGGTTCAGCTCGTCTGGGCCTGCATTGGTGGATCGTTCTTGCCAGTGGATCAATGGTACGTGGGCGCCCGGTGATCGTTTGATATGTAATAATGTTATTTTGCAGAGACGGGTCGACAGCAGCTTGAACCGGGAGGGAGCCGCAGATTCGCGCACATCACCTTCTGGGTGTCCTCAGACATCCCTGCCCGCGTCTGATCCGAGAACAGGACCCCCATGGGACACGGGAGCGGCATGACGAGCTGGGTGGAGAGCTGAGGGTGGTGGATGGGCGGGTATGCAGCGAGCAGGAGCAGGCGGGTACAGCAACGCGATCGGGCGCGCCCCATTCTATACACATGTGACTCTTGATTTCACGTAGCCTCACATAATACATCTATTTTAGATGATCTACGACGACCAAGGTTCTCGAATTAAAAGGGCCTTCTATCTAAGCTAGCCAAACACTCGATTCACGCCTGTGCGACGTCATCTAGTCGCTTCTAAATTGTTTGATTACTATGTGAGCTCAGTTTTCTATTCTAGTGTACGGGGCGCGGCCTAGCCGTAGCTAGTTTTTTTGTATATACTACACAGCTCTATCTACCCTAGTTCCGCCCCTTCTAGACGCGGTCGCGACCTAGTGATTCATGGCGGGTACACGACCACGTGCCAGAAATACTTCTTAGGGGCCTGGGTCCACACGAGAGCCTGAATGTTGGTGGTACTGCAGCTGGTCCCTTCCTGACCTCGCCTTGAACCCACAAGGTTGGAGTGTAGTTCGCAATACAAGTATCACTGTTTGAGAGGAAAGAACAAAGAGAGGGCGCCAGGATCATGATACCAAGCCCCTATCCCGTATACATTGACATCCGACGCGTCGCCGCGTTTCAGCAGCCATACCCAGTCACACCGGCGCGTCTTTTTTCTTAGCATGCACTCCCCAGTGAAATTACAAGCATGTAATGTATATCGTACATGAATGCAATGAGTCAAGCCTGGTCTCGGCCGATGCGCCACTGAGGGTTGTTAGAAAGTGGGGAAACGATTGCTTTCGCCACCGTATTTAATCTCCGCCTGAAATGCGCCACCATCGTTCCGCGCGTTTGGCTGGATGCTGTCTGGGACCAATCCTGCTTGGACTCGGGCTACGTGTTTTTAGCCCTTTTCCTCCTTTCTCTGCTTATCAAAACGGCGCCTGGCAGTTTGAGTGTTGCTCGCCGCCAGGACGCTCCAATTCGGACACCGGCGATGGATAATTCTCCAAACAATATACACACCATTGTCAAGGCTCAGATCGTTTTCCTGCTTTCGACTTTGACAGAGGACAATTTCGAGAGGAACCAAGCCGAGATTCGTTCTGTAAGCATGTAACGCGATGCTTTTCATCAAGCCGAATGCTAATTTATCTCTCCTTTAAGTTGTCAGAGCAGCACGGAATAGACACCTACCTCCATTTCATACGCCGCCTCATAGGTCACTCCCAAGGCCGAATTACATCCTCCGCTCCCCCATCTTCCTTTGACACGTCTAATGCACTCACCTTTCGCCTTCTTGTGCAAGAAACTCAGCGACTCGCGCACGATCCTTCCTTAGCAGATCGATTCCGTGACGGCATAGACAAGGGAGAGGGAGAGGTCTTTCGACACTTCGATTTCCAGCGATTCGCCGATCGAATTGCCCTTAGACCACTTGAAAGGGTTATACTGGCTTCTTCCATCATATCTGCACCCACCCGTCGCGAGCTTGTCGCCCAGGCTGCAAATGTAATTCGCTCGGAGTTCGATAGTGCCTTGCTTGCCCTTTGCCAACATCCATCTTTTGACCACGCCGACCTTAGCCCATCCCAAGTGGCTAAGCTCATGATGAATCTGTTCTCGGATACCACGAACGACATTCCTGTCCTGGACTTTCATCAACGCCAGTCGCTCATCGCCGCAGCGCAGGCTAAGTACGGGCCAGACATCGTAGCTCCTATCTTGCAGAAGATATTCCCCACCATGAGGTATAACGCCCTCATATATGTACCATTCAGCTTGCTCACCTGTCTTGTAGCCTGCCACCAAATGCCTCGCTTGTGCAAACATTGGTTCAGTTGGGGCCCGAAATCACGAGTGATGCAGATGTTGTCAAAGCGCTACTAATGCGATTCAACATAACGGAGTCGAGTCCCCCCCGTGAAGCTCAGGTGACGGAGATTGTAACAAGCCTTGCTCGATTTGTTACGGAGGGCGTCCCGCTTTGTGATGTTGGTGCTTTGATTCGAGCTCTGAGCAGCTTGGTGAGTGCAATATATGGACATCGTGGAGTTCCGGATACTTAGTTTCCTGAAGCAACCCACCATGAACTGGGTTAATGTCATAAAATCATTCGACAGGCCCGATAGGCACGGTGTCGACACGGCCACGCTCAAACTCATCATCTCAGTCCTCATGAATTCCCCGCTTGAAGTCACTCCCCATGCAGTTTCGGGGTTCTGGGAGCCCTGGTCCAACTCTTTGTATCAGCTAAAGTTGCTAGATGCTCTCCTCTCGTTGCCTGGGGATACCTTCAATTTCGTCTCACTGCCTGGTAGGAGAGTAGTTACAGTGGACGATGTCGCCTCGGCTGGGCCAACCATCAAAGCCCTTGCATCCAATGTCCAGGTACATACGTGGAATTCCTTGGAGCTATTTGAGGTTCTGGTCTCCTTAGCGGACTCGGAAAGCGCGGATACACGCGCTTTTATTCGGGAGATGCTCGACAAGGCGATCAAGATCAGTGCTGAGCTTGTTCACATGGGTCTTCTTCAAGTCCAGGTATGTGTTGCTATCGGCTGCAAATGCACACGACTAACACAGTATATAGGACGGTAACTGGAACGAAATTCGCACTGAATACTCGAGAAAGTTGCTGGGACTGTTTCTTGCTGGCCATCCAAACCACCAACTTGTCTTCATGCGTCTTTGGCAAATTGACCCTACATATCTTCTGGATGCTTTCCGTGATTTCTACAATGAGAATCCGTTGAACATCACAAGAATTCTTGATGTCGCTCAGGATCTCAAAGTGAGTCCGGTACTACTTTCAATGACTTCTCATTTTTAAACTGGCCTAGATTCTGGAAAACCTCCTTGAGGCCCAGCCGTTTACATTCGCATTGGACGTCGCTGCTCTGGCATCTCGTCGGGAGTACCTTAATCTTGATAAATGGCTTGCGGATCACGTTGCAGAACACGGTGCCAGCTTCCTACACGCTATGGTCTCTTTCTTAGAAATCAAGATGGAAAGCGAGAAAACAGCAAGGCTGTCTGACCCCGCTGTTGAAAGTCGTACCATACCTCTCAGCCCACAATCTGTGACAGTTTTCCTTCGCACTCTTCGGTCCAAGTACGTGTCATGGTTAAGGGCCTCGAATAACTGCTAATCATCATCCAGTACTTCTGTTATGTCTCGGGAGGATATCGACTACTGCCTCGAAGTCCGCAGCGCTTGTCTGCAAGTCTACCCTCGCTTGATGTCTCTCTTGCCTGGCACCGAAGTTGAGCCTGGGTTCACTGTTGTGAACTACTCCCCAGATATAGAGGCTGAGGTAGACGCCATCTACAAGCAGATGTATGACGAGCAAACGACGATCGACGAAGTCATCGCGATGCTTGTTCGTTGCAAGGGTTCATCCGATCAACGAGATAGCGAAATATTCTCGTGCATGCTCCACTTCTTGTTCGATGAATATCGGTTTTTCCAGTCCTACTACCCTGCACGCGAGCTTGCGATGACCGGTTACCTCTTTGGATCCATCATCCAACACCAGCTCGTCGATTATGTACCTCTCGGCGTGGCTATCCGATATGTAGTCGACGCTCTAAGCTGCCCTGCGGATACAAATCTGTTCAAGTTTGGACTTCAGGCTCTTGGCCGCTTCGAGTCTCGCCTTCCGGAATGGCAACCTCTTTGCCAAGCATTGCTCAGGATCCCCACACTCATGGAAGCCCGTCCGGATCTCTCGTCGGTAATCCATCGTGCCATAGCCGCTGGCAACGAGGCATCTTCATCCACTGCAGACATGCGAGGGATTGCTACAGGGCTAGCCTCCGAACCTGTCCCCGTTTTCACTGCGCTCAAGCCCGACACACTTGATGGCGATATGCCAGCACCACCCGAGGAGCTCTCGGACAAGATTCTATTCATCGTAAACAATCTCTCACCAAACAACCTCGAAGCCAAGCTTGCTGAGATGAAGGAATACTTCGACGACGCATTCGCTCGATGGTTTGCGAATTACCTGATTGACCAGCGCGTCAGTACCGAACCTAATAACCATCAGCTGTACCTTCGCTTCCTCGATGGCTTGGACCGCAAGGTTCTGTCTAAATTCATCCTTCATGAGACCTTCGTCAAGTCAGCTTCCGTTCTGAATCATGAAAAGACTATGCAACAAACATCCGAACGACACATCCTGAAGAATATTGGCGCCTGGCTGGGTACTATCACTCTTTCCCGGGACCGGCCCATCAAGCATAAGAATCTGTCGTTCAAGGATTTGTTGATAGAAGGCTATGACAATGGTCGTCTTATGGTCGCGATTCCTTTTGTTTGCAAAACCTTGGAGCCGTGCGCCAAATCGAAGGTCTTCAAACCCCCTAATCCATGGCTTATGGCCGTCATTAGCCTTCTCGCCGAGCTGTATCATTTCGCCGACTTGAAGCTCAATTTGAAGTTTGAGATCGAAGTGTTGTGCAAGGGTCTTGACATTGACCTTGATACGGTAGAGGCCACCACGATGCTGAGGACTCGACCCATGACGGATACACTCGCGCCTCCTGCGATCCCGGATTACGTCAACGAGTTAGAATCACTGCCATTGGGAGGTTACGATCCCGCTCAACTTGGAAACGACTCACAAGTCCTGGGCTTGGACCATGCAAATGGGGATACTTCACTTGACGTCGGTGGTCACATCGAGTCAATCCTTCAGGGTCTTTCGCAGCGTGTGGTCATCAATCCTCAGCTCGCGCCTTTGCATATCAACCAAGCTTTCAAACGTGCTGTGCAGTTAGCGGTCGATCGGTCTGTTCGGGAGGTAAAGCAATGGTGTTATTTGCTTTCAATGCGCTAACAATTGTTCAGATTATTGTACCCGTCGTAGAGCGCTCTGTCACCATCGCAGGGATCTCAACCCGAGAACTTGCAACCAAAGATTTCGCCACTGAACCTAGCGAAGACAAGCTGCGGAAGGCAGGTCATTTGATGGCTCAGAAGTTAGCTGGAAGTCTGGCATTGGTAACGTGCAAAGAGCCTTTGAAGAGCAATCTGGCAACTCATCTGCGGTCGTTCCTTGTTGACCATGGTTTTAACGAGGTGAGCAACACATTGGTTGACCCGGCGCACTCACAGTGACCATCCTCCGCAGCAAACACTTTCCGATCAAGTCTTTGCCATCCTTGTTCAGGATAACTTGGACGTTGCTTGTTCTGCCATTGAGAAGGCTGCGATGGAGCGTGTTATTTCTGATGTTGATGAAGGCTTCGCCGCGTCGTATGATCTGCGTCGGCGCCATCGCGAGGTTAGCGCGAAAAGCAATGATTATGAACTCATGCTAACTGCTTGCTTTAGGTCCGCGGTGGACAAGTGTTCTGGGATTCAGCGGCAACATCATCTAACTTTACCATCAATCTCCCCGATCCTTTGCGCATCAAGGCGAATGGGCTACAGGCAAATCAATTTGCCGTCTATGAGGATTTCTGTGGGTTGCTCTATGCATTGTTTTAACAAGAAACTTATCCTCCCGAAGCCGTGGACACTAAACGCCGAGCGCCCATGAGTCGTCCCAGCTCTGCAGTGTCGATGTCTCGCAACGAGCACTTGACGCCTGCACTTTACGCAGCTTCTCCTGCTCCAGAATCCAACCTTACTTCCCAAAGCTCTCTGGATCACCAGACAGCAATGGAACGCTTTACGGTCAGTGTTCGAGCCTTTATCCAAGTTGCCTTTTAACACCTGGCATATAGGCTATCCTTCGGGACTTGGAGGCTCTCATGACACAACTGCCGATCCAGTCACTCGCCTCTTTACCACCTAATCACGATGTTCGCCATCTCGTCCGTCAGATTCTTTATCTCGCAGCAGAGTCTACGGATCGCCACCGGACTCCATTAATGATGTCTCAGAAGATCGTCCAGCTTTTGTACAAGACGTCGTCCCAATTGGGACGGGAGATTTACGTGGCTTTGCTCGATCAGCTTTGCCGTTCATTTGAGGATGTTGCCAAAGAGGCGATCACATGGCTGGTATATGCTGAGGATGAGGTAAAGTCATTTGACCAACGTGTCTTTCCGTTCTGACCATGTCAACAGCGCAAGCTCAACATTCCTGTCACTGTGACTCTCCTTCGAAGCGGTCTCATTAGTTTCTCTCTGCAAGATCAACAGCTTGCAAAGACTCTATTTGCTGATCCTCGTCCATCACTGCTCAACTTCGCTGCTGGCCTTATCAGGGAATGCCTTTCAGGCGATCCTGCAGTAGCTTCGGTCAGCCAGTTCACCTTCTCCCTCGAAGTTTTAGGTCAGCTCGCTCAGAACGGCAAGGCTAACGATGAGTAAGTTGAAGATTCTTGTATCTAACCTCATAATTTATTCATTATCTATATCAGAGCCAACCATCTGCTTGATGACATCCGAGGCGTCCGCAGGCTAGGGCCTAGTGAAATACGCCAGCCCTCACTGAAGCCAGAGACCGAGCAGCTTCGTGAGAAGTTGTTTATCTGGTTCCAGCAATGGGTCCAAATATACCAAAGGTCACATACCCCCGAGAAAGCGTTCGTGCCTTACATCACGCAGCTCACGAAGCAGGGTGTTCTCAAAGCAGAAGACGTATCCTCGTTTTTCTTCCGTGTGTGCGCTGAGTCGGGCGTGAACTCGTACCTCAAATGTGTCGCAGCTGGTGACTATGAGCATGCCTTTCAAGCCCTAGATGCTTTGTCAAGGCTAATCGTCTACATCATCAAATACCACGGCGATGCGTCGGGAGTCAACAACGACCAAGCAAAAGTGCACTACTTCACCAAAATCTTGTCCATTTTTGTGCTCGTTCTTGCCAACATGCATGAAACTCAGGGGGTTCAGTTCCAGCAGAAACCTTTCTTCCGCTTCTTCTCCAGCCTTATCAATGATCTACATGCGGTTGAGTCTCACCTCCGAACAGCGTACTTCCAATTACTCCTTTCCATCAGGTTAGTTTCACTCTTTTGGCTGTTCAATTCTTGACATTTATCATTGCAATTATGTAGCGATACACTCAGTTCGCTCCAACCAACATATTTCCCTGGCTTTGCCTTCTCGTGGCTTTGTCTCATCTCTCACCGACTCTTCATGCCCAAATTGCTTCTGTCAGAAAATCGCGAAGTGAGTTGGCATAGTTTACATGAAGTTAATGTGGCTTAATCGTACGTTAGGGATGGTCCGCTTTCCACAGACTTCTGCTTTCCCTCTTCAAGTTCCTCGCGCCCTTCTTGAAGGAAGCTGACCTACAGATCGCTTCACGAGATTTATACCGCGGGTCCTTGAGGTTGCTTCTCGTTCTTCTTCACGACTTCCCCGAATTCCTCAGCGAATACTACTTTACCCTTTGCGACTCTATTCCTTCCCGCTGCATTCAACTTCGCAACATCATCCTCAGCGCCTTCCCCTCTACCATCACCCTCCCTGATCCACACCTTCTCAACTACAAATTCGAGTCCCTCCCTGAAATGGGGCCAATCCCTCCCATCCTCTCTGACTTCACGTCCAATCTCAAGAACGGCGACTTGCGCACCCATCTCGACCAGTACCTCCTCAATCGCGGATCACCGACCTTCCTCCCCTCACTGAAAGATTGTCTGACGCTTTCAGGAGTTCCCGAAGGTGTACCTGTACCTGATTCATACAACCTTCCCTTGATCAACTCCCTTGTCATGTACGTCGGTGTATCGTCGGTGGCGCAAGCCAAGGCTAGGAGTGGTTCATCCATTTTCGTCTCTGGAGACCCTGGCGTCGTTGCGTTACATTACTTAGCTACTAATCTAGATGTTGAGGGTAAGCTCCGAACCTTGCACGAATCACATTCTAATCGGCTAACTTGTGGACAGGACAACATCACCTCCTTAGCTCCATGGTCATGCACTTACGATATCCCAACGCCCATACACACTGGTTTAGCTCCTTGCTCCTCTATCTCTTTGTTGAGGTACAAGATGATCATTTCAGAGAGGTGATGACAAGGGTTCTTCTGGAACGCTTCATCGTTCACCGACCCCACCCATGGGGTGCTCTCGTCACCTTCATCGAGCTGTTGCGGAATCAGAAGTATGAGTTCTGGAGCAAGGAGTTCACTCGTGTTGCTCCCGAAGTCCACATGCTTCTCGACAGTGTAAGCAAGCAGCCCCTTTTTGGATTGAGAGATTCTAACTTGATACGTGCAGGTGGCGAGATCCATTTACTAGTCAAACTCTTCCTGCTCTTGACACTGCTATCTGTCTCGCATATCATTTATTTTTCGTTGGGTTTTCTTCACCGCAATCACTGTACTGTATCATTGTTCCATTTTTGTGTTCAAGAGTGTACCATCTGGACCTCGATGATATCATTCCTCCTAAAAGTTCTATACGACTACAATACTATGTACACTGTAGACAGCATAGCATGTTTAATTTGGCCACGACAGACGAGCATTGCATCTCCACTTCCAATTGTTTGCCCTGAATGATTCCCAGTACCCAGCAGCCTCCACGCCCGCCGCACCAATCTTGTCAGCGTGCTTGCCCATGAAGACATAGTCGGGGAGAGCAACGCCTGTGCGTATGGGGAAGAGGCGGGCAGCTTGTTCAAGGCCGACGTCGTCACTTCCCATGAGTACAAGAGAGACACCTCCGTCATGCCAGGGATGCTGCTGCAGCGCTAGTCCACCTGCATGGCATCACCAATTGTGTTGTAAGCAGTTATTAACAGGCATCCAGAGATTACCTACCAGTGGCTGGATCATTAAAGCTCCGGTCCCCAAGCGACCAACCTGAACCTTCACTCCACGTTAGCCCAGAGCCCGATTTGTGGAAGATCTCTCTGGTGACTGCGGCGTTGTATCCCCCGATGACGACGACGTTCCCGCGCATGTACGTCCACACGTCGTGGCCGCGCAGCACGTCCATCGCGTCGTTGGCGCTCATGATCAGCGCGTCGAGCTTGTGGAACGTGTCGAGGTCGTGTGCAATGCGTAGCGCGATGCTCAGCTCCGTGCTCAGCTTGGGCGACTCGGCCTCGAAGGGCACGACGAGGACGATCGGGCCCTGGGTCGAGAGGATCGCCTGGGAGCGCCCGAATCGCTGGATGGGGTAGGCCTCTGGCGTGACGTCCTGTTCGACGAGCTACGTGCATTGGGTTTAGCGGTCACCGTCGACGCGTGCCGTCAGCATGGCTCCTTTGGGAGCATGAAGGAATGGCGCTCACCTTATGGCGCCAGATCCCTGTGTTGATGTCGATGACTTCAAGCCACAGTATGCCCTTACTGGAGAGGCCGCTCTCGACGAGACGTCCGTTCACGCTCAAAGTATCAATGGGCCCGAACCGGCCGAGATCGACGGACGCGGCATGCACGTTCGTAGTCTTGAGCTCTACCTTTCCGTCCTTGTTCGTCACATGCAAACGCGCTAACCTGGCAGCAGCATGCGTCGCGTCAGTTTGGCAGGAACACTAAACCTATCCTCGGCCGATAATGGTTCTTACCGTCCAGGGACTTGCAGTAGATTGATCCTCCAACCATGCATGGTGCCGCTCTCCGCCGGAACGACGGTCGTAAGCGTGAAGAACATTGACCGCGTCGGTGGACACTTTTCGGACGTCGAGACTCGGTCTATAAACCGCTGCACGTCCTCGTGAAGGAGCACGTCAGGGTACCAGTGCGGCTTCCCCTTGTCTTCGCGGAAGCTAAGGCATCCATGTCAGACTTCCATGTCGCAACGATCATTGAACAAGTAGAAGCATACACTACATCCGCGTTAGGGTTCCATATCCTCAGCGTGTTGACCAGCTCTCGAGTGTGCCAAGTTGGCACATTTTCGTCCTCTCCACTGGATCCGGGTCAACAGATCGCAGCGACGAAAATATCTGGAACATACCCATGGATGGCAAGGACAGGAGTATCTACAAGATTTGTCACGAACAGGTCGTTATCATCTGCGGTGAGCGAAGAGTCGAGAATGGCTCGAAGCGAGGGGTCGATGAAGTGAGCCGATCTGAAGAGTAGATATGGTAGCAATGTTCAGCTTGTCTGAACTACACTCACCTGGACATTCCCAGCGAGACGTAAGCCTGTGACTTGACATAGCCTGCCGCAGGTATCACTGCAGAGGACCGTAACGAGGAGCTCAAAGAAGGCGACGCATAAACAGCATACCTCCAAGTACTCTGTCAGGGTATCGCTCCGCCACCCACCAGGCGCCCTGTCCGCCATTGGAATGACCCATCAATACGACATTGGCTTTCTCCTGGACAGCCCACTGTTTCCAGGGTGAGGCTGATGTCTCCGTCAGTTCATGTAGCGCATCAACAGCGTTCCATGCATCTTGTGCGCTGGGACCGTGCCAGTCGAGGCCCTAATTCCCAATAATGAGTCGGATAGCCCATGATGATAGCTCTCAACTTGCTCATTACCCAAGACGTCCGGCCTGTCGGTATAACAATCCAGCTGCGTTCCTGACGCGGTAGACTGTCCGCGAAGAACGTCTGATCAACTACATCGACGCCTGCGCCATCTGGGCCGGCAATGTCAGGATATGCTACGAAAAGCAGCGAGGAGAAAAATCATCTTACGCAAAGCTAGCAGCGGCGGGCGGGGTTTCTCCTTCGAAGCGTTAGGCAGCTTCGGAGGAACGAGCAAAAAGTACGTCGGCATTGTATTGCCGAAGAGATACGTCGCCTTGATCGGCGTGCATTCCTCGGCTGTCCACAGAGGTATCTGGCGTATGGGCAAGGAAACGACCAGTATCTTCCTTTCTCCCCGGCATTCTGCATCAAGTCGGATGTCAAGTTTCTGCAAGTCTTTAACAGGGAGCGTCTGAGTGACAATCAGAGGTACGACCCGCGTTTGAGTTGGCGCAAGCCGCGTATCCCTGGTGAGATGAACAGAAAGACCCTGTAGAAGTAGAATGAGTCCTCAGAGCAAGATAACGGAAGCGTGATCTGTCTGACCGCTATGCTAAAGTCGGGCAATGACGCAGACCGGATCGTCCACCAACCGTCGACGCTCTTCACACCGACACCAAGGGCATTCCCGAATGCGTACCCGTCCACAAAGTCACACGCGACGTGATGTGTGGCCACTTCTTCCAGCTTGGGCGGGGTATATGCGTCTAAATCCATGCCGACTTGGATATTCAGGCTCAAGGTCGGAGTCTGCGAGTGATTGACAAGGGGATCTCCAAACAAACGGATCTGGGAAATGAAGACAGTTCAAGCAACGGAGGGTACCAGCCAGTAAAGCATGACGGTGTACCTCGTAGTCGCCGCTGACGTAGAGAAAGAATTGAGTCGGACGATCTTCATGCGGCATATATGGTAGCCCAAGGGTTTGGGGGGCAGATCGGCCGATGGTATAGATGTTTCCTGCGAACCACCTTGGAACGAGGTGGTCGACGTGTTGAGTGGGTGTTACAGTGAAATACGACCCTTGAAGAAGTTCGACACTCAGTCGGGGCACAAAGAACGGTGGGTAAGGAGCGTTTTCAGGATCGTCGACTGCAGGAGGGGCAGCGCCTGAAGGTCGGATGGTCAGAACGGTGCGAAGAACGCTGTGATGCTGGAGAGCAGCCCATCCTTCGGTTGCACGAAGGTTCTCCCAGCTGATAGATAATAAGGTGTCAACATTAGAGATATAGTGATAGTTACACACCGAATGTTGGGAAACGAGACTTTGAGATTGCCTTGGTTGTCAGAGCGTGCTTTGGACCAAGTGACCGCGCCATTGTCAGCGTAGGAAGATGGCCATGCTGACCGCTGCAAGTCGTGAGGATCGTGCGGCGATGTCACTGTAAAATCATCAGAAATAGACGAATAAATATACTGAGGACAGGGCTGACAGTCAAGGGGGTATGAGGGAGAGAGGTAGTGCTGCTCTCTTGCGTGGATGGGGAACGGGCCAAGGACCTTCAGGGGTCAATTGCAACCTGGGCAAGAGAAGGGGAATCCGCTCACGTCCCAGTCACGGCCGACCTCGACAGTCCACCTCGGGTCTGTGCTCTCGATCTGGGTCATCCGGGTCAGCGTTGGATCGACAACCCCAAAGTTGTTGTAGTGAATGTGAACAGAGGCACGGAGACCCGGATCGCTTGTGCCACGTGCTGCGACAAGAAGAAGCAAACATCTCGACATTGTCACATTAGGATACTTGCGAAATTGGCATTCCGGAGCAGACGTTTTCTGTCCGCCCGTGCCATGTTCGCCCAAGCCCGTCTCGCAGCATCCAGGCAGCCAACAAAAGGTACCAGTTTTATGTTCAGATTACTTGCCATTTTCTAATAAAATATCAGCATGTCTCCGTCGTTTTCTCGCGACAGAGGTCGACGCCTCCGTCGCGTCCACCTCTGCATCCCAGACGCGTCCCGTCCTCAACACCGCCGTCATCCTCAACCGTTCCCCCATCATCACCCGCACCCCGTCCCCCTTCGAGCGCGCCTACTACAAGTACCAGGCAAACATACACCGCGCACTCCAGAACCCCTTCCCGAACGAGTTCTACTTCAAGCAGGGCTCCCCCCTTGAAGCACGCTTCAATGTCGAGGAGCAGCGCAGAGAGCGCGCCGCACTAGGCACCCCCTTTGGCATGCAGGAAGGCGAAAAGTCAGAGGCCGTTCTTCAGGCGGAGCAGACCATACGCGACGAAGAGGACCTCCGCATGCCCCGCCAGCACGAAGCCGACACCAAGAACGACTTCAAGGACCTCAACAGGAGGGGGCAGCGCAACCTCTACCTTGCCCTCCTTCAGAAGGAGGGCGACAAGCACGTCTGGAGGTTCCCGCAGGGCCCCGTCAACCAGGGCGAGCTGTTGCACCATGTATGCACTTAACCCTACCTTGCGCTTCCACTCACTTACATCTCGGTCGGTCACAGGCAGCAGAACGGGATCTCGAGACCCAGTGTGGCGATGGTATGGACACATGGATAGTCAGTCGCAAGCCCGTCGGCGTCTACCACCCTCCATCACCACCAGCAACCGACCCCGCTAAGAAGGTTCGTCTCCGCTTTTTTGTTCCCTGTACTCCTTGCTCACTCGACTATTTTTTGCATAGAATGTAGTCTTCTTCTACAAAGCTCACATCATGGCAGGTCAGGTCCAGCACGACCCCAAAACCACCCTTGACTTTGCCTGGCTCACAAAGGGAGAGCTCAGCGAGCGCGTCGAGCCAACATATTGGGAGAGCGTCAAGGATATGCTGTCAGATTTCTAGTCTAGTTCTTGCCTTAGATATAATTGGTTCACTATAGACCTTCCTCTCGAGTATATCCGTTGTTCCAATAATCCTACGAACTAATGCGCCCCTCGACATGTTCACCGCGGCGCCGAGACTGCCCGCCGCATCTCTGGCCGCTTCTGTGCGTCGTCGAACCGGCGCACGATCACCTCGCACTTGGTCGTTTTGCAAATGTGCTTGGACTGCGCCTTAACCGCGTCAGAGAAGAGCGTCAGACCCGCCGCTCGCTCGACGGCCTCCACGGGTGTCACGAATGTCTCGAAAGAGGCTTCATCTGGAATAATAGCGTTCGGGAGGACGAAAGCGCCAGTCGAGATCTCGTGTACGTCCGGTTTTGAGGGCGACGACGGCCGAGAAGCCAGTACGACTTTTGCGAAATGCGTCGGGACAGCAATGTTTGGCGGCGAGCCAATGACTTCGTGTGTCTGCAGAAAGCATGGGTGGCTGTCAACCTATGCGTAGTGTTGTTTGGCTCACCACTCTCCACTTGCCATCCGGATCCTGGCGCGGTAAGTACAAGGGAATGGTGAACACATACACGTCCGAGAATGTGCCCGTCAGCCCTCTACACCAGTTCTCGACGTATGCCCAGTCTAGCGACAAATCCACTTTAGCACGAGCATCCACGAAAAAGTTTCAGAGGCACATACAGTGGCGATTGAACCCCACACCAACTTGAGGCGCGATATTCGAGAGGAGAAACGTCTCGTCCATCGCCTCCTGGGACATCTTCGCGTCCGCAGCCGGCACCCTAGCAATTCCGCCCATGAGCACACCAATGCGCACGCAGCCTCGCGGAAGAACCTCAAGAGCGACCTACATGTGTCCGCGGTCGTACCCGCTCCGGAAGTAATCCTGAAGCTTGGCACGGAACACGGCAGGGAGCGACTCGTCCTCGACGAACGCCGAGTTCGTCCTGTCCCCCCTCGCGTCCGCCGGCGGTGCGCCTTCGACGCGCGACTTGCCGAGCGACGCGAGCGTGAGGTGCTCTGCGGTCTGCACGATCGGAATCCGTCAGCTCCTCCCCGTACATCCACGTAAACGAGCAGGAGTAGAAAACGCGCGCACCCAAGCAGGATGCCTCAGCCGGCGGTCGTACCCCGCAGTATACGCCTTCCTGACCAGCAAGTCCGATACAGGACCTAGATATTCGCGAGACACACTAAGCTTAGCTTCCACGCGTCCGGGCGGGGAGACGTTAACTTACCCGGGTTTCCATACTTCAGAACCGCACCGCCGCTAGTCGGAACGACACCGGTAGCAGACGCGATCTGCGCGCGCCCAGCGGGGGTCATGTCGATGACGGGAGGGCTCGCCGCCTTTGCCGGGTCGGCAGGTCTAGAAGGAACGGGCAGAACGATGGGCTGCTGTCTGCGCGAGGCGACCGCGCCCATGACGCCGCCACCGACGACGGCGCCGACAGCAAAGCAGGCTGCATGTATGACTGTTGCACTGGGCATCCTAGGTAACCTTGATGTCTGGTCAAAGAAACTTGTAGCGGATATAAGCAGACCCAGAGGCTCTTCCAAGGCGCAATTTACGCGCGCGCCGGTCGACCACGCGACACTGTCACGCGTTTACTCCCGCCCCGAGAATCACTTCGAGTTGTCAGTAGCGGAAACCAATTGACAGAGATCTAGCTCATCGAACACAAATCTTCATCTGTCCATGAACTGACAACAAGAAGCGGCATCATTGCTGCGTATGCAGCCTCAATGTCTCAACTTGTCCAAAGAACCTGCCTCCAAGGCCCCGACCACTCAGAATCCCCACACAATAATAAATAGTCTACGCATAGCAAAGATAGATTTATTCAACTGATGACTATATTATATATAAGGGACAACGGGCCGAGGTTGTAGTGTGAGACAACGGGGAAGGAAAAAAGAAAAGAGCAACTGTTTTCCAGAGATCGAGTGATCAAGTACTGTGAGGCAATATATGGAGATAGAAGAAAACAAAAGTAGGGAAGGAGAGGACTGACTATACTTACTGGCACCACACAAGCAGTACCATAGAAAGCGAAAGCATTCATATGACCAAATGCTCAAGAAGCAGGAAAAGAAGAACAAAAGAAAGAAAACATCAAGTCAGCATAGTGTGAACTGTGGTGCATGCGGCGTGGTCGAGGATCGTCAACGAACATTACGGCCACGGGGGTGACGAGGATGCAGTCATATGCGGTATAACACACAAAGACTCAGAAAAAGAAAGAAAAAAGGGTTAAACGAGAGACATCAGGATGGAAGAAAAACCCGAGTTGATTAAATGATTAATGGGCCGAAGTGAAGCATATAAAAACCGTTTGTGATATTGATCGATAATGGGATGAGGATGGGATGGGATGGATGTATACAGACCGTCCGTGTGCGCTTCGCAGCATGCCGCGCCAGAAGCCACAGTTTTGATTCCAGTGAGTACTATGGGTCAATCGTGGTGGTCGTGCGTTCGTCCTTCTTCTATTACTTAGATCTCAAGCGGCTCGTGAGAACGAGCCTCGAGCCCGTTGCCTCTCTCCGTGTTCGTCCCCCGACGGCTAGCGAATCCATCGACACCCGGGCCACGAGGCTGCCTCATGACACCGCTACCCGGTCCTTCGTTGATACCACCGCTGTTGAGAGAGCTGACGCTCGCAGGCAAGCTTGGAACGGGCGGAATGCCACCGCTGCTTCCGAATACACCGGCGTTGCCGAAGAGGGCTCCAAATCCACCAGGTGAACGACGAGCAGGAGAGGCAATGGTCGCATAGCCTTCGCGAATGTTTCCGTTAGACGCGCGCGACGCCAGCCTCGGGGATTGGGTATGGAGCGTCTTCATGTCCGGCATAGACTTTTTCATGCGCAGCGAGCTCGCCATCTGCGACTGCGAAGAGGTGGGTGAAAGGTAGGCCGAAGGGGCCCGCGAGAGCGTGCCCGGCTGTCGCTGTGCCAACAGGTTAGATACTCCACACACGAAGCGACATCGTCGAAAAAGCGGACATCGTGACTCACTCTGTTAGGGTCGATACGGGTAACGACGGCATAGCGCTCGTCGCCCTCGCCGACGGAGTAGTGGTACACGCCCAGCTTCTGAGCAATCAGATGTACAACCCTCCTCTGCTTGGGAGAAAGAGTGCGGGAGAAGGCGAGTTCGTCGCGCATGGGATCGTCCTTGAATAGCAAAATGCGAGAATATATTTCCAGAGTAGAGGGGTCGTTGAGATCGAGCTCGGTGTTGGCAGCGGTCTTGTCAGACAGGTTCGGCGTCGAGGGGCCGACGGGCGGAGATGCAGCCGAGCTAAATGGCGAAGTCGCGCTCGGGAGCTGCGAAATAGGCGGCGGGGAGTACGTCGACTGCTGATAGGACGACTGGGAGTACGATCGCTGAGGCGCTGGCATGAAGCTGGGACTGATGGCGGCGCCGAACTCGTCATACGGACCATGCCCAGGGACCTGCTGCTGGGCGGCCTGTTGTTGTTCCTTCTCGAGCTGCATGGAGCGCATGCGCCTGAGGGCCTTTTCGCGCTCGATGCGCTCCTTCTCGCCTGCCTGGAGAACCTTCTTGTACTCGACGCGGAGTTTGCGTCCCTGGACGTCAAACCCGTTGAGGGCGGCGACGACGGCATCTGCATCTATGGCCTGGCGGAAGTTGGCGAAGGCGAGGCCACGGAATGCGCCCTGCTGGTCCAAATGGTAGTTGAACGCGTACGGTGTGGGAATAGCGAGAGATGCCTGCGGAAAAAGCAAGTAAGCGATACAATCTTTGGACGGAGGTGATGGGACGGACAATTATATCGAGCAGGGTTTCGCGTTTGACATTGAAGGGGATGTTCTTGATAACAATAGCTGTGGGTATGATCTCGTCGTCGGGATTGCCCTGGCCTGGTGTGGGAGGACCAAGCGGGGGGGCGGAGAGGTGACCTGAGGGAGGCGATCCACCGGATGAGGAGAAATCGGACGCATTATTGGGGGAAAGCGAGCGACTGTCTGGCATCATGGTGTTGGTGTCGAGCCATTGCTACAAACAAGCAAGGAAATGCGGTAAGAGAAAGCGGAAAATTGGGGAATATATGCGGGTGCGCACGGATGGAAGACCGCTCCTGGCCGGCTTCATCTTGAGAGGAGACGGACTGATGCCCATCGGCGAGTAGCTGTGGCTCTGGAGAGGCGGGGAGGGTGAGAAGTGGTACTGCTGTTGTCTGGCCGTTGCTGCCTGTTGTGCATCGTAATCGTGAGTGTCGTGGATGCGCTGGGCGTTGAGGGAGAGGGCGGAGAGGTCTGGGGTGGGGGAGGACATGAAGGGAGGGACTGGAAGAGGAAATTTAAAAAGATACTGTGGTTAATGCAATGGTTAGCTTTAGCTGATTGTCGTGACGAGGAAAGAAAAACGAGCTGCCTCCTTCAAAACGCACGCAAACTCGGAAATAGCAGCATCAATCCGCCTCAGATCATGAGCACACGCCACTTCTACTAAATATTGCAACAAATATGTACATTCTTGAGCACCAGGCCGTACTGTACAACATTCCAGATGTCTATCCTACTAAACAATTCCTCACGGAATATACGCTGCTGGCTTGGGCATCGCAAGCAGACTGTCAATGTCCACCTGCAGCTGCTCCGATATACTCGACGAATGTTCCCACGGACCTCGGATCCGCATCCCAACCGGCGACGACGAGGGTGACGACGTTGGCGTCGACAGCGCCAGCGATGTCCGCGAACTGTTTGCTTCAAAGTCGAATGGCATGTCCAGCGGGGTAAGCTCCATGCTTCTCAGCACAACCTGACCAAACCGACGCGAGCGCGGCGGAGGCGACGGCCCGCGTGGCATTGCTTCTTCTGGGCAGAATGCTGGCGGTGGCAGGCAAGGCATGACATGCTTGGGCTGCGACCGTGGCGGGATGGGACCTTGAACGAGGCGGAGGGCAGAAGGGGGAGCACGACGAGGCATGGTAAATTGTAGAGCGGTCGGTTGGTAGCGAGGGTGTTGTGAGGCTGCTTGTCGGTGACTCTAACCGGGGTTTGGATGAGAGAGCGAAAAAACGACGGTGTATTCAAGCGAGTGTGCGAGAGCCTTTCAAAGTAAAGATCTCAGATGAGCTCGACGATCAGCAAGGCGTTGGACAGTACTTACAGTGATAGCAAACCAATGCAACCGGTGCGATGGTCAAAGGGAGGAAACAGCGAGTTTTATACAGCCAGGGTGTCTAGAATAAGAAGAACACCCAGACCTCTCAAATGAAGGTCGAGAACGAGGCTGGCGTTTATGGAGGGGGCGATATGTTGGGGGCTCCTCAAGAGGCTCGAACAGTGCAATCAGACATGGCACTGCGCTCTATAAACAGGAACAGGGGGTGGAGAAACTCACCGTCGCCAAGGCACTCGTCCACAAGGAAATTATCTCACTTGCCCCTTCCTACCCACAATCACAAGTCCTCGCATTCAAGCTATCGTCATAGCATGTGTGTTCGACGTGGACTATAACAACCAGATCATATAACCATACATCCTGTAAGTGCTACCGCGTGCTATGTAGTATCTGTGTACCCAGCGGAAATAAAAGTCCCTCAAAGCAAGAACCCGGAAACCATACAAGATGAATTTAGATCTTTTTACCAGCTGGGGGTTTATCATCATTGAGTGGCCGGTAGTTCTTCATCAGCCGCTCCTTGTACTCTGGAGACGATGAGAACATCGGCTTTAGTGCTTCCCTAGATCGACACAAGCAGTGCTCTCGCTCACCTTTAGGAGAGCTCCACGTGTTGGCAGCATCAGTGTTCAGTGGCGAAGCATTGTTCGGTTCTTTGGATGGGAATAGGTGAGCACGGGCTCAGTGCTGTGAGGAACATGATGCTCACCACCGAGCAAAGACTGGAGGGAAAGAAGGACGGTCTGAACGCTGTACACGGCTGACCATTTGTCCTGGAAATGATGCAAGTGAGTATGAATGACAATAAACAATTCGAAAGAAACACGTACTTGAAGAATGTCTAGACAGATTGCACCGGTCGCGAGATCTACATTTGGATGATAGCACGGGGTGTCAAACTTGATGGTCGGGGCCGCGTATGGATAGTTGCTTGGGAATGAAATAGACATGCGGAAAGCGAGCCCCTCATAGATCTAGCGGTGCGAGGTGTACGCGTCAGGTCTGTCCCACATAATATAAAGGCGGGCGGGCTCACAGTTCCTGTTGGACCCTCTATTGTTCCAGCCCAGTCGAACAAGTTGGAGTCGGATTTCGGGAAAGCAGACTAGAGAAAGATTGTGAGGACCAATTTGACGCGCAGCAGGGAGAATATGCTAACAATTCCTGGTGATGAAGACATCTTGTATCAAGGGTTATGAGGACGAAAGACAAGGCGAGTAAGAGTTGGTTTACCATCAGAGTCATAAGTTCATTGCTCAGGCTGTGAGCAGCATTCAGCAACTAGCAATTTTGATTAGATGATCTATAGGCGTACCGTTTGGTGACACTCCCTGGTGCCTCAGCAGCAGCTGTCGTGGTAGCCATGGTGTCTGGGTGGTGAAGCAGGAGAGGCGAGACGCGACGCGCTCATCACGTGTAAAGAGGATGGTCTCTGACATCATACCGAAAATGAAAATGATGGAAAAACGGGGAGATTGGTCCGAAATATGCCCGAAAGCGGAAATGGAAATGGGGATTCTGGCTGCGGCCGACCTCCCGACTCCAGAGCCAATCTCACCATTACCATCTCCTCCTCCTCCCGCCTCCGCCCTCCCCCGCACGAGCACCGGCCATCGACAACATGGCCAGCACCTTCAACCCGACACATGCAGAGCTCGCTCTCGTGAACCACATATTCGCAAAGGCAGACACCCAGCAGATCGGCATCCTCACCGGTGACGTTGCTGTAAAGATATTCGGCGGCGCAAAGCTCCAGGCCAGCGTACTCGGAGAAATATGGGCCATTGCAGATGAAGACAACAATGGCTTCCTCACAAAGAAGGGTGTCGCCGTCGCAGTTCGTCTCATGGGCCACGCTCAGAAGGGCGAAAAGGTTTCCACCGCGCTGCTAAGCAGACGTACGTTCTTTGTCCATGCCGATATTCTTCTCAACTAACGACCCTTCTAGCCGGCCCACTTGTCAATATCGAGGGCTTCCAAGCACCTCTCGCTCCCCAAAGCACCGGAATGTCGATACCCAAGTCCCCACCTCCCGGTCTTCCACCTCTCACTCCTCAAGACAAGACCAAGTTCCTCCGGCTATTCCAGAACTGCGGACCGGTCAACGGTCTCGTAAGTGGTAAGCGTTAACCCTGGTTGATTACTGGCACTCCTGTTTCTTAACTTTGTCGCCCACCAGGTGAGAAAGCTCGTGACGTGTTTGTAAAGTCAAAGTTGCCAGTCGACAAGCTCTCTCAAATATGGTTGGTAACGTTCCTAATCCACCCCGGGCACTCGACTCACGAGGATTCGTAGGACGCTGTGTGATACACAAGATCGAGGATTACTCGACTCCACGGACTTTACTATAGCCATGTATCTAATCCAGGGCACCATGTCGGGCGCTCTTTCCTTCATACCTACAACCCTTCCTCCAGGTCTCTACGAACAGGCGGGTGGCCGACAGCACGATGGCGTGGCCTCGCATGCCACCGGAAGCTCACTTCACAGCCCCGTCCCGCCCGGCGGCGCGTTCCCGGCCGCCCCGAGGGCTCCGCAGCGGCCTCTCCACCCACAATCGACCGGGCCCGCCGCCCCGCCTCTTCCGTCGAGACCGCCGGCTGGAAGCAATTTCGCACCAGCCGTACCTCCGTTCCCCAGCATACAAACGAACAATATGCAATGGGACGTCACTCCGGCAGAGAAAGCGAGCTCTGATCAGTTCTTCGACACCCTCGACACTCAGAAACGAGGGTTCATCGAGGGTGACGTCGCAGTACCCTTTATGCTCCAGTCCAAGTTGTCAGAAGATGTTCTGGCACAAGTATGGTATGTGACCAGATGCTTCGATACTTGCGGATGCGTGGCTGACCATCTGCGTACAGGGATCTCGCCGACATTAACAACGATGGCCGTTTAACGCGCGACGGTTTTGCCGTCGGGATGCATTTAATACAAGGCAAACTAACGGGCAAGGAGGTGCCTTCCAGCCTTCCGCCTTCGCTCGTTCCGCCATCAATGCGTGGTGCCAACGCGGGTGCCATGTCATCACCCTTTGGTGCCCCTGCTCCGAAGCCCCAAGAACCGGCCCGCGATCTGCTCTGGGATGATTCACCACCGCCTTCGGCAGGTGTCTCCCAGCCACCCAGTATCTTGCAGCCGCAGTCGACCGGTACCATGCTCCAACCGCAATCGACAGGCTCTATTTTGCAGCCTCAGTCGACCGGGCAGCGCGGACCGTCTGCTCAGTCGTCGGCGTTCGCCATGCCCTCGTCGTTTGCTCCACCTCAGCCTCAGCCTCAGCCCCAGCCTCAGCTTCAACTGCAGGCGCCAGCTACTGATCCCTTCGGTAGCTCCTCGTTCGGCAACGACTTGCTTGGCGACGATGACGACGTGCAGCCTTCGCAGCAGCCCGTTCAAGAGAAGGCCGCGGAAATCGGCAACGTTCAGAACCAGCTCAACTCGACCAACGCGTCCGCCAAGTCTGCCAAAGCCGCACGTGAGGAGCTTGAGGCGACACTCGCTGCCCAGGCCTCGCAGCTTTCTGCCCTCCAGACCCAGCTCACCACGGCCAAAGCCTCGTACGAGACGGAGATGAACTTGCTGTCGACGCTCCGCGAGCGCCACACTGCACAGACGGAGGAGATCAACAAGGTCCGCCAAGAGCTGATCAGCGCGGAGAGCGACCTGAGTGCTATTCGCGTCGAGAAGACCGAGATCGAGGGCGCGTTCCTCCGCGACAAGGAGGAGGTCCGGGACCTCAACCGTCGTATGACGGAGACGACCGCTGGGATCGCGCAGATCAAGGGCGAGGTCGAGAAGGCAAAGAAGAACGCCAAGCAGCAGAAGGGCTTGCTCGCTATCGCGCGCAAGCAGCTCGCGACGAAGGAGACTGAGAAAGTCAAGGCGGATGCTGAGCTTAGAGAGGCTGAGGCTGAGGTTGTCGCTGCTACCAAAGAACGCGAGGAGGCTGAGGCTGAGGCACAGAAGGTCGTTGCCGGCGGTGCTGCCTCGGTCGCGGCTGCCGACACGTCCATTGATGGCATGAGCATCGGGCGTTCCAAGTCTCCTGTGGATTCGCTAAGCATGGCGGTCTCGCAGCCGCTCCCGCTCTCCCCTGACGTGACCGGCGGAGTACCCACGAGCCCTTCAGCGTCTCTGAAGAGTAACAACCCGTTCGAGAGGCTCGCTATGACCTCTGGCTTGTCGACGCCCCGCCCTCAGTCGCCCTTTATGCCATTTGCGAACGCTTCCGTCCCTACGCCAACGGTTCAGCCAACGCCCGCTAAGCCTGAGGCTGAATCGGAGGACGACCCGTTCGGCCTGTCCTCGAGCTTCTCCGCTGAGGAGCCCAAGGTAGACGACAAAGTCCCGGAGCCCAAGACACCCCAGATGCCGGGTGGCATGTTCGGGGACGACAGCGACATAGTAGCTTCGCCGACGACCGACAGCTTCATGACGCCGGGCACGAGCCCCGCTCAGCCCAAGCCTTCTACGATGGATCAGGCGGCGTCGCAGTTCCCAGCGCTCGAAGAGATGTCAACAATGGCCCTGACGCCCAAGGCCGAGGAGCACGAGACCGATCTGAATGCACACCTGAAAGAGCTCGATGTAGATGAATCAGACTCTGACAGTGACAGCGACGACGACGACAAGCCTCTTTCGACTCCCAAGGCCCCCGAGTCGGAGGCTGCGAAGGCCGCTGCCGCTGCCGAGCCGGCTCCGACTGTGACACCTAGCAGCGCGTTCTCTTTCGAAGACGCGTTCGGTGCCGGCGAGGCAGTTCAGCCGGCCGCTCAGCCGCAAGCCGAGGAGGCGCAGAAGGCTGTACCCTTGGCTGCCAAGCCGGCGGCGGATGTGTTTGGTGCGCCTGCTGAGAAGCCGGCCGCGGCTGACGACTGGATGAGCATGGCCAACGGACCCAGCGGTGGGGCAGAGCAGCAGAGGAAAGGTAGTGCGTTGGAGAACTTCGACGAGGCGTTTGGCAAGATGCCTAGTACGGGGCATGACTCCAACGACTCGTCCAAGTTTACGTTTGATTCTACCTTTGACGACAACTTTGACTTTGCGTCCGCGTCGGCAACATCCGCTGCGGCTCCAGGCGCGGCATCGGCTTTCCCCCCGCCGCCTGCCGCTCAGCATGCGAATGGCCACGCATTATTTGGTGACAAGGCCAGCATGCCGGCTGGCGCTGGTCAGCCAGCAGCCAACGGGCAGGCTCAACAGGGCCCGGGCCTCCAGAACCAGACATCGATTTCGTTCGACGACGCGTTCATGGTCGGGTCCCCGTCTGCTTCCGCCCCCGCGCCGTCGGCGCAAGCCGTCAAGCAGGACGCGCCTGCGATCTCGTTTGACGACGTGTTCGGAGGGGACGGTGCCAACGCTCTCAAGCTCGACAACTCGTTTGCATCGCCGACGATCCCAAGCTCCAACCCCACCCCCACCTTCAATGCCAACGGGGGCGCTCCAACGACGAACGTCTTCGCTCCTCCGCCTGGGTCGCCGCCGGCTTCATCTGATGGCGCGAGGGCATTCCCAGGCGCGTTGACTCCTCCGACATCACCCCGAGCGTCCTCGTCTCGGAGCAGTGGGCCTGAGAGAGCCGCGTCGCCACCTCCACGGGTGGGATCGCCGAGGATTCAGCGACCTTCGACGTCGTCGTCCCAGAAGGACGGCAAGGAGCACGACCACCCGCGGGAGAAGCCTGCCCCGCCTCCACGGCACTCGAAGCTGAGCGTGAGTGTCTCCGGGCTCTCGGATTGACGAGATGGCAGAACGGACTTGTGTTGATTAACTTTTTCTCTTTTTCGGTTTCATAACGACAGATCCGGCTGCCATTTGGGAAGAAGAAGAAGCAGGACGCTGCAGCTGCAGCATCAGCTGCACCGCCCATGCCACCATCCAGCCTTGGGCACCAGCTGGCCCCCTTGGAGGAGCCATCGAATGTCACGCCGGCAGTGGAAGATGACGTCGAGCCCGTGAAGCAGCTGGCCGCGATGGGCTTCTCACGAAACCAGGCTGTCGCCGCGCTCGAGGCACACGACTATGACGTCCAGCGGGCCCTAAATACCCTCCTCGGCGCCCAGTAGGCTGGCTGGGTGACTTGTGGTAGCTGGCCAGTCGCTCATATTCACCATCCACCGACACATTAATCTCCCGTTAATCTGGCTGTGCAGTCCATCTATTACCATTCGTATTCCTGTTCGATCTGGCACAAGGCAAACGTGCACAATACGCTACGCTCGCCCCGGGTCGCGCCCTCACACTCGTTATACACCGTTTCTTTGTTTTTCGCTTGCCTTCTGCTGACAAGGCCAGCGCTCTATGTTATACTGTATATGTCCCTTTTGCCTGGAATACAACGACACGGACACAGCTCGTTTCTTAACTTGCAGGCGCTCAGTTTGTTTTCTCTCGCGCGTCTCCTCTCTCATACGGTCGCTCGCCTTCTGTTTCACTCCTGTTTACGTGATATGAATGCAAGCGTGCGTTTGCAGATCTGTGCTGCCGGGGACGGACACGCACGAGGCATCAAGGGCGGAGAAATGGTGCGCAGCAGGCTCTTTTTTTACCTTTTGTGCAGGGCTGTCTGTGAGTGATAGGGGTCCATGTGCGTGCTGAGCGGGTGAAGGCTTCATTGTCTGTTCGTTGAGGGGGGTGTGCCTCGCAGGTGTGGAGGATCTGCGGGTGGATTGAGAAAACAAGCATGGTGAAGCGTGCCTCCCACGCGTGCAGGTAGGGGTCAAGTGTTGTTCCGGATTATGAGAACAAGGTGGAAGTGGGTGCTCAGATGACTAGAAAAAAACAAGCGAGAAGGAGATGGTGCAGGCAGTGGTACAAGGGTGGCCAGATGAGAGTGGTCAGTATGTGTGCAAGCAAGTCAATAATTAATGAAGAGGCGGGCGTCATAAGGACGTGTTTGCAGTGATTAAGTTAGTGTGACTGGTGGACCCACGAACAGAGTCCGAGAGCAGTCGCTTCCCTCGGAGGTCCAAGTAATATAAACATCCGCCTACCATCCTCCCCTCCCCAGCTCCCCTCCCTCCCTCCCTTCCTCCTCCCCCACAATGCCGGCCTTCGACATCATCGTCGTCGGCTCAGGCGGCGGCCTCGACGAGACAAATCTGTCAGGGTATGTACCTCGCACACACCCCACCGCGCGCTCGCCGATCCAGCAGACCTTGGCAGGTATCTACTCAAACCAGGCGACGCAGAATGGACAGACGGCATCATCGCCCTCGAGGCAGGTCAGCATCCCCTCACCGTCGCGCTTTATCGCGTTTATCCACGCCGCCATCTCGCTTTCCAGGCTCGGGCCACGGCGCGCTCAGAAGCATCCTCAAAGCAAGCCCAGGCATCTTTGGCGAACAGCCCCAGACTGACCCTCCCGGTCCCTGCATGACAAACCCCTTTCAAATCTATTCTCTCGTTCGGTGTGTCCATGCGCGCTCATTTCCATAAAGCATTCCCAACCTCACCTGGCGATATATGCACGCGACAAAATCTGCACAGTTGTTTCCTTATCACCCACGCGCACATCGACCACATCGCCTCTCTCGTCGTCTCGGCAGGAACCATCGGCGGCGGAAGTAAACGTATTTACGCGTCCCCGCAGACCCTCAAGGATCTCGAGACCGTATTTGCCGATCGTGTCTGGCCGAATCTTGCAACATGGGATGAGAGCAATCCCCTGTTCAGACTCGTCTATCATTCGTGCGCGCGATTCAACATATGCCTACCGCTCAGCTAACACCCGGTCCTTTGGATTACCTCCTTGTCCTCCCAGGATTCATGCCGACCGGAAATACAAAGTGATATTCCCCAACGTCTCCGTCCGTAACATGCCTGTTAGCCACGGCAAGAACGAGTCCGGCCCATACGAGTCTACCGCGTTCTTCATTCGCCACGAACCCTCCGAACACGAGTTCATTTTCTTCGGCGACGTCGAGCCCGACTCCGTCGCCTCCAAACCGCGCAACATCGACATCTGGCGCGCCGCCGCCCCAAAAATCCCGCACAACCTCTCCGCGATCTTCATCGAGTGCTCCTACCCAAAAGGACGCCCGTCCGACGTCCTCTACGGCCACTTCTCCCCAGAGCACCTCGTCAATGAGCTCGTCGCGCTCGCCACCGAGGTCGTGATCGCGCGCCGCACGCCAAAAGGCAGCGGCCGCTCGCGCCCGCGCAAGAAGCAGAAGAACAACGACCCCGTGCCCGCGGACGAGCTCCGCGGCGTGCTCGACGGCCTGCGCGTGTACATCATGCACTGCAAGGAGCACTTCAACACCGACGTGCCCATCGCGCACTACATCCGGGACCAGGTCCGTGAGCTTCTCGAGCCCCACGGGCTCGGCGTCGAGCTGCTCAGCGCAGATCAGGGGTCCAAGATCGGTAAGCCGTCCAGCACCGCTCTTCCACGCCCATCATCATCCGCCGTCTTCCCCATATTCCCGTCGTCGTCCATGCATAGTGGGAGCTTTCTCAGCTGACGCACACTCTGCTCCGCGCTTCCACCCACAGTGATATAATCGTGCTCGGCTGGCTCGTGGACGGACACGTGCTTATTCTTGGGGCTGGCGCTATTTATCTTGAGGAATCTCACTTTAGATACCCGCTGTATACCTACCTACCTACTTACTCAGATACTGTAGCCTTATAGACCATTCGCAACTTCTTCCTCTCCCCCTTTAGCCATAAGCCCACGCTTTATCATCTCTCGCATTGGACACTTGGATCATATAGCCTTGGATTTATCTATAAGTTAGCGCCCTCCGCTTTCTTTCCTTCTCTTGCAAACTACACCGTTGCGTTCCTACACATCCCCAGATCAAAAGAAAACACCTGAAGAAAGGTCATGATTGTCATTGGCGAATAACATTAACAGCATTGAACAAGCGATAGCCGAACAAAGAAGATACGACGGAAAAAGGAAAAGAAAAAAGAACATGTTGCCTTCCCGTCCTTGGATGCGCGCGTGGGGCCTCATCGAGATTTCGAAAGCTTCTATTGTATATACGATATATTCATCGGGCCTTGTGTGCGAAAGGAAGGAAAGAAGACGTGCAACGACGGGGCGACAAGTCCGCTGCAGAACAGATTACCCGGGCTTACTGATTACGACGAAGAAAACAGCTTGACGACGCCGTCGGCGCCCGCGCTGGCCATGAACGGCAGCGAGGGGTGGAACTCAACATCGAGCACCCCTTCGCGCGCCTTCTCGCGGTGCGTCGTGATCTCCTGCGTGCACGTCCGCGAACCGAGCAGGTCCCAGAACCGCACCGAGCAGTCGTGGCTCCCCGAGACGAGCGAGAAGCCGGCAGCGTCGATGGAGAGCGACGTGACACCGTCGAGGTGTGCAGGCATTGCGTGCGTGCATTGTCCTGTTGGAAAGATTTGTGTATCAGTACGGGCCCCGGTGCGGCACTCCGCAGGAGCACAACGAGAAGAAGCATACGTACCTGTGATGATGTCGAATATCCGTATAAACTTGTCCTCGTGCGCGGTAACGAGGAAGGACATAGTCGGATGCGAAACAATCTTGTTCACCTGCGTTGCAGAAGTGCCATCTTCAAATTTAGAATAAAAAATGTGCACCTGTGATCAGCTTTTCATGGGCACAACGACAACCCAGGAACACGCACCATACGTCGCGTCTGTCGCCAGCTTGACGAGCTCCCTACCACTCTCAATCTCAAACACCTTCACGACCGCATTCGTGTACGCCACGGCAACCTTCTTCAAATCCGCCCTGATAGCCTCGACGGCGGTCGCACCCGGCGCCTCCGCGTCCTCCGATTCGGGTTCCGTGCCATCCAGCCCATTGTATCCCCACCTCAATTTTAGCGACCCACCGCCCGAGGGCCCGCTCACGTCCCACACTCTAACCATCCCCTCAGCCCCACAGCTGATCAGCGTGCTTTCGTCCCGAACAAGCGCAAGGTCCCACACCGCGTCGGTGTGGCCGACCAGCTCGCCGCGGTGGCTCGTCTCGTCGTACGGCGCGTATGTCGTGTGCGACGGCGAGGGCAGCGCCCAGATTCGGATCGACGAGTCGAGCGACGCGGAGTAGAGCAGCTGCTTCGATGGCGAGTGGACCAGACGCGTGATGGCGGCCGAGTGGCCGCGCAGGGTCAGCTGGGGTTCGACCTCGGTGGTTGGGCGAGCGCTGATTGAGACAGAAATAAGGCTATTGATACCATGAGAAGGGAGCTAAACCATACGCAGATGATGTGAGGCTGGAAACATCCATCCTCCATATTTTCACGGTGCAATCGTCGCCACCAGTCGCCAAGCACAGCTCATTCGGATGGAATGCAAGGGCACGGACAGCGTCCAGGTGACTGGGAGCACCATCAATAATCAAACTAAGGGCGCCGCTGACAGCATGAAACTCACTTTCTGAATGTCCGTTTCGCCTTCCACGTCTTTGCGCCCTCTTCACCAATCGCTGTGGCGTCATCATCGTCAAGATCAGTCTCCTCCTTGGTTTCCTCATCCTCCTCGCGAACCCTCCTATCCCATGATGATACACCGGAAAGTTGTTCCCCGCGTTCGTCCCCAAAGCCTCGGTTCAGCTGCTGCTCGTAGGAGGATCGGAGCTTCTCCCTCCATTCGCCCTTGTCATCCGGGCGAAAGATGGCCGTCGTCTGGTTCGCCTCGAAGTTGTCATCCTCCCTCATAGGCTTCTGCTGCTGGCTTGGGACCTGCGGGGGCGGCTGCTGGGGTGCAGGCTGCTGCTGAGGTGGTGGTTGTCCTTGCTGCGCGGACGCGGGCCGCTGGGGCATGTTACCCTGCCCATTGTTCTGCCCGTCTTGGCCGTTCGGATTCTGAAACATACTTCCGAGCGGATTGCTGCGCTCCAGCTGGCCAGACGCAGGAGCAGAGGATGGACCGGACATGAGGTTCATACCGTTCATGACAGGGAACTCCTTGCCCGCCTCGGGCATCATCTTGCGGGGACGACCATTGTATATCTGATCGAAGGCAGGAACGTTAGGCAGTGCGAGAGGAAGCGACGAGTTGTTAAGCAGCGGGCGGTTCGGTAAAGGGTTCATGGCTTGTGGGGATGTCAGATAGGATATCTCTTGCAGGCATCTGAGGCACGAGGTTTATACAGAGTAGAATGAGATGACTGCCGACGCACTGCTTGAGATAATCGCGACTCCTCGCCCTGTTCTTCGGGTCACGACCTGGAGGTGGTTTGCCCAATGGACCGTGGGCGCCGGGCGGGCCAGCTTGCCAGTTGCTGCCTGCCCAAGATGGCGGTCGACCGGGAGCGACGCCATTGCCCATGCGGCCCTCGGGTGGCAAGGGCGAGTCTGGACGCGGGGTGATAAACTGACCGTCGCGTCCAGAGAAAAATTAATGACACGAACCTTCACTCCTGGGTGAACTGCCACTACTGCCCTCCTTGTGGCTTCCTTCGTCCTTCTGCGACGATGAACCTTGGGCCTGAAGAATGGCGAGTTTCGAAGGGGGCACGCTCTGAGAGGCAGGTTGGGAGAGCTGTTTTGAGCTACAACGTGTTAGTCGTCTGACCGCGTCATACGCATGTAAGGGGGAGTGAGACATACCGCTCCATCCTGAGTGCGTACTCGAGCATTTTTATGCGGCGCATGAGATCAAGTTTGACATTTTCGAACGAGCGGCGCTCTCCCTCGAGGAGGGCGATGCGGGCCTGGGGGTGGCAGGAGTGAGCCGCGCGTTATGTGGGCCGAGCAGTATACATACCCTCATCTCTGCGCGTTCGATCTCCCACTCGTTCCTGTCGCGCTCGTATCTCCTCCATTCTGTCTGGAGAAAGTGTAGAACGCTGGAGAGGGTGAAGTCCTGGCCATTCTGTGGCGGGGGCGGGGGGATGCTGCCTGGCTGCTGCTGCTGCTGTTGTTGCTGGGTATTTTGCTGCTGCTGTTGCTGTTGCTGCTGCTGCTGCGGGTTGGGCTGGAGGTGCTGGAGGGAGCCCAACATGGGGAGCTGGATGAGCTGCGGCGGGTCGAGTGGCTGATTTTGACCGTTGTCTTTTGGCTTGGAGTTTGCGGAGGACAAGCAGGCAATCCGCGTGTCAACCAACATGTTTTGACTCCAAACAACGTCAACACTTCACTAATTCTAAGTAATAGTGGCACTAGTACAGACTAGCACTCGAGACTATAAGTACCTCGCCCTTCTTCACCTCAACCTCGCCCCTGCCTGCTGGCTGCAGTGCGCTCCCAAAGGCGGCCGAGTGCGGACACTCTCTCATTGTCTTCTCTACCTTGGTAATCCCGCTTCAGGCCCCGTTTTCTCCATTCAACACTTCGGCCCATCTTCCGTCTCCGGAGCTTGTTCATTCTTTACCGCAAAGCACTGGTTCATCCAAGATTTTAGGGTAAAAAGGCGTCTTGAGACTCCCATGTGTCCGATCGCCCGCACATATTCAAGCTCGAGTTCAAAAGAGAGAAACATACCCTTATAGATTACCTGAAACCTAAAGCACGCACGATTATCGCGCGGTAGAGTTGGCGATTCCGTTCAGAAGGCGCAGGGCAGTACGCTCCTTTCAAGGGCAAGGCTGATCAGGTGCCCAAGCCACAGGGCAATCTTGCATCTGGGTGATATCGCCGTGCACATATGCCACTGGTATAACATGGTACCATATCTACATGGCTTATTTCTTGCCTGATCTGAAGAAGAGTTCGTTAGAATGCGCAGCAGCCATACGGACATCGGCGAAGAACGCACTTCTTGATTCCACCCCCAGGTGCACCACCTACACAACGTGAGCCTGGAAGGCAGTGACAGGAGTGAACACTCACCCTTCAAAGCTGTCAATATCGTGCATCGATGAGTGAAAAGCATTGAAAGGATCAAAGCCAAGAACAAACCTTTGTCCTTTGCTGCTTTCAAAGCAGCCTCCTCGGCCTTCTTCCTTTCCTTGAAGGCCTTTTCATCTTCGTCGTCCTCCTTCTTATCCTTCTTAGGGGCCTAGGTCCACATTCTAGTTAGACGTGCCTCCATAGCTTTATGGTAAATGAGGCACCTTGAGAGGCTTGAGCTTTCCGCCCTGTCTGGACATGGTGATGATTGGCAAGAGCTAATGTGGCTTGAATGCGGCCTCGAAATTGTGCTGCCAGTTATCCATTTGCTTTCAGACAGAATCTATGACAGATTTGGCAGGATCCTACTCAAAGTCTAAACTGGCAATAACAGTATTGGTGCTGTAGCGCACAAGTACGGTGCTGCTAGTCCACTGGTCATCGTCCGCCATGTCGCTCTCCCTCGTCGCCAACAGCTTTCTCGATGAAAGCTCATCAAAGATACGCACAAAGGCAGTCCCATGGGAGGCCAGTCCACACTCGTCACGCTCATAATTGCGCGCGTCTCATCTCCGTTGCAGGGGTACCAGCGCGCCGACCTCGTCAGCTCAGACGAGCTCGCCCTCATCAAGAAGGTCGAACGCCAGCCGCGCGCAAAGACAGAGTCCATACTCGTCTCCGATGGCCAGACATACGTCAACCTTTACCTTGGCCTCCTCAAGAGGCTCCAGCGCGTCGATACCATGCAATGCCTTCTCGTCCTCATAGCAGACGCTCTCGCCGGTTCGTCTCGCCCCTCAATGCATATATCGCCCGTTCCGTACCTGCTCACATACCTCCAATCCTAGAGCACGAAGAACGCATACCACTCTTCATCAGAGCATCCCAGACTGACCCTGAGCTCCCATACATCCCCCTGCTACGGTATGCCCTTCCGCAGCGATCTCAAGGAATCACCCATAACATCGCAGATCGGTTCTAGAACCATTGAGGCCCAAGATGAATTCGTCCAGCTCAAGTCCGCCCAGGTCCTGACTGCACTTCTCAGGTATTACCCCACGCGCGACATCTTAACTCGTGATTGCCTCCGTCGTACTCATATTCCATCTCAGCGCAGAGTCAATCCCGCTCCAACAACAATACCTCCAACCGTTCCTCAAAGTTCTCAGTGGCTTGATCCAGGAGCACTCTGCGAACAAGCGTGATGTTACTGTTCAGTGTCTCGAAGCTCTCCTTGCCCGACCCGAGTGCCGGATCGCTGTGTGGTCCATGTCGCCTATCATGAGCGGGTGCGCATATTCAGACCTATCCTTGGCGAATTAACCCTGACGCTTTGCCAGCCTCGTAGATATCCTTCGCCACAGACCGACCCCTCAGATGAGCTACCAGGTCGCGTTCTGCTTCTGGCTGCTCTCCTTTGAGCAGGTTGTTTCGGAACAAGTTAACAAGTAAGGTCAATCGTGTTTCAGTGTGTCGGCGTCTGATAAGAAATATCATGATCTTAGGAAGTACGATATAATACCCCTACTGATCGAAGTTGCCCAGGCAGCAGCGAAAGAGAAAGTGATCCGCGTCATCATCGCCACCTTCCGCGTAAGCATTCGTGATTCCACCTGGCTCAAACACACATCTGACTCGCGCTTAGAACCTGATCTCGAAAGCGCCGTCTGCCAACCTCCCTGCTATGCTCGTTGCGCAGCTGCTGCCCTTCTCCAAGAACCTGAGCACGCGCAAGTGGTCTGATGAAGACATCCTCGAAGACGTCCAGTTCGTCCGCGACGAGCTGGAGAACAACTTTGAGAGTCTGACCACGTACGACGAATACGCTTCTGAGCTCGCCTCAGGCCACCTCTCGTGGACGCCTGTTCATGAATCGGACGAGTTTTGGCGCGAAAACGCGACGAAGCTCAATGACAAGAACCACGAGCAGCTCAAGTATGATTCTTTGTTCATACATTTACGTCAGATACTGATTGCATCGCAGGACCTTGCTCAAGTTGCTCGAAGAGAGCGAGGACCCTCTCGTGCTTGCCGTCGCAGTACACGATCTTGGGCAATATGTGAAGCATCACGAACGTGGAAAGAAGTAAGCTCTCCTCTCGTGATGGGAGTTCAAATTTTAAAACTGATGGTTACACGCAGAGTCATTACGGACCTGGGGGGCAAAGCGCGGGCCATGGAACTTATGAGCCACGGCGACGCCAATGTCCGCTACCGAGCGCTTCTCTCAGTCCAGCAGCTCGTCAGCCACCCATGGGTTACTGCATGATATGTAGCAACCATCGGAAGCATGTGACACGAACCAGTACTATTACGATAATGAGCATTTATTCAATGACGACCTTTTCCACAACGTATGTCACGTCAAGGATTGACCCATACTTCTGCCACGCATTCGATCTCCTTCAGTAAGCGAGGCTGGAAGCTACCCTGACTGAGATGCTCGTTCAGCTCAACCTCCTCGTCGATCAACTCATCTTTCGTCAGAATGATGCGTACACCTCCAACCCGTGCAAACCCCGTCTGAGTAGGCATATACGCCAGCGTGAACTCCCAGCTGCCAGCACCTTTGGGTTCAGGCCCGTCTGTATCCTCCGTCTGAGCATCCGAAGCCGAACCTTCGGGGAGGGACAGCTGAATCGGCGGAAGAACCTGTGTCGACGAGCCAAGGAAATGGCAACTCGCCGAGGCTGCCGTCCCTTCGATCCCCGGCCTGTCATCATACGGCGACGGCAGCTGCATCCCGCCACTCATGTGCTTCGGGGACGCGTACAGCGGCCTCGGCGATGCCTCCATAGCTTCCGCGATTCTGGACATCATCGTCGGCGACGGCGCGGGGAACCCGAACGCGTCCACACGCGAGACCGACGTGAGGGTGCCGTCGGGCCCGGGCACCAACACAGCGCGGCGCGTCTGGACGTGCTGCACGGCCACCTGCACGATTCTGCGTTTGCCGGTGTGCGTTCGTGGGGCGGGGCCGCCGATCGAGAGTCGGAACGTCGCGGTGAACGCGTGCTCGACGCGGATATCATCGCGGCGCATGTCGAGCAGCACGAGCCCGATGTCCAGGTTCGGCGGCTGCGCGGTATATGGTAGGAGGTCGGGTATTGGCGGGATCTGGGGCACCGGTGGAAGGCCCACGCTCGTATTGCTTGGTGACTGAGCTCTTGGTGTCGCACGTCCCTTGTTGAAGGGCGATCCTGGTCGAGAGGGAATGCTAGGTGAGGTGGGCCGCGATGGGAGCTGCGGCGAGAGGGCGCGCGCTGGGGAGGAGGGTGTCGCTGGTGAACTACGGTACAGATACGACGGCACAGCAGAAGCAGGCTGGTGTGGCTGCTGCAGCTGCTGTGTGGTTATTGGAGGAGGTGCACGAGCCTGCTGTGGTGCCGGTAATGGGATACGTCGGGACAACATCTAGAACGGACGTTCGTTTCTGTGAAATCAGAGAAAAGTATAAGCACCCACAGATGTCAGCAATCTCCCCAGTTCACCAAACTGTGAGCGCCATGAGATGTCCAATCTACCCAATGCTATCACTGTGCCCGGCGGGTGCACAAGGGGAAAGGTCGACAAAACTGCCGGCACCAGGGTATATATGTACTGGCGGACATCCTGGGGTTGCATCAGAGACATATCGTCTGTGAACAACTCCTCGTCGTAGCTCTTGGACGGCTCGGTACCAGCCGTATCGATCGCTTTCCACGACTCAGCGCACTCAAACCGAATCTTCTCAAACCAAAGTGGCTCTTGCGTCAAGTTCTGCACATGCACCTCGAGAAAGACCTTCTCCCGCTCTGCCTCCAACAGGGACGCGGTCGGTGATTTGGGCACGTGTACCTTGGTTTTCACAGACAGCGGGTTGGTTACCTGTGACAGGGTTGAGCAAGAAGCTGATGATTGAGATATGATGGCGTAAGTACAGCAAACTTGTAGAATTTACGAAGGGTTTGAAGGTTCGGATCGGCGCCAGGTGCAGCAGGGACTGCTGACGGTCGCGTGTGGGACGGCATCCGGTACGAGACTGCACAGGCCAGTACGTGTTGCCCGAGCTCCTTCACCTCGTGCTGGACGACGTGCTCCAGCGACTGCCCAGGAGTGAGCTTGAAGTCGGGCCCACCAAGTTCGGCAACGAGTGTCTTCGTGTTCATCGTCTGTATCTCCACCCGCACGGTGACAGCCTCGATGTCGATATTGACTTCATTGTTGACGGAGAGGCAGCTGGAGAAGGTCTCGCCTAGCTGGATAGCGCCAAAGGAGGACGGAAGAGTGAGAAACTCGGTTGCGCTCGTGAGATCTCGAAGGGTCTTTGGGTGGCCAATAAGTGGTGCCTTTCCTTGAAGGGAGAGGATGGAGGCAGAGGAGTGGGCAGAGAAAGACGGTGAGGTGGAGAAGAAAGGCTGCCATGCGCTCGCGAGAGTTGGCCGCTGGAATATGCATGCTACTTGTTGGCGAGGTGGCGAGTGCGGACTCAAATGCAGACACGCACCGAAACTCGCATGACCTTGAGCGAGAGGAGGTGCTCTGACGGCTCCATTTTGTGTCAGGCAGAGTCCTGGTCGATGGATATGTTTGTCGTGGGTGGTCGACTGGATATGCACGATGTCGAAACCGGTCAGATCTGCATTGTGAACCCCTAACTACTGTAAGCGCTCACAACTACACGTGTGCATGGGACAACAAGCGCCCAGGTGTAGCGCCAGTGTACTGCAGTATTGAATGATGACATTTTCTGTCATAATTGCACACAACCGTGCACCCAATTCACCTCGCAATGCAGAGACGTTATCCTTTTTTGAGGGGGAGAGAGTAGGTTACCGGCCCATATACCAGTTTTTGCACAAAACGGCCTTGTTTCTGGGAGAGTTGGTATGCAAAGATACATTGTGATAAACCTGGTACCGGAGCGATGAATACACTTACGGATATCTATGGTTATATATTACACGCGTAGCTAGTGTTGTATCGTCATGAATGTTTAGCAGTATCACCCTTCGCTAGTACCTTCTTGAGCTCTGCAGTCCGCTTGTCCAGTTCCTGGATCTTTGTCTGTGCAGCAGCAATCTTCTTGAAGAGGTAATCACGGCGCTCGGAAGAGGCCTTGCGTCTGCCCCAGAACGAGGCGCGCTCTGTGCTTGAGATCTCCTTCAACGTTGCAAGCTCTGATTCACACGACCGAATCGTTGACTCTTGCGAACTGATTAACTTGTCGTTGAAAGCGATATCTTGGGTCGCTTGGAAGATTGCGTCTTTCAAACGGTCAGAATGGCTGGCGTGAATGCCAAGCAAGAAAGCTAGACTAACCGTTGACGAGTCGCTCAAAGACACATCTGAAGACGGGCCTTCCTGGGCGGATGGTAGATGGACGACCTGCGGTAGTGCGATGTGAAGCTGAACGGTCTGGAGGTGCCAAAAGCTAAACTCACCATTAGACGTGCCGATCGAGATTAACTCGGAGTGCTCCATGGCACGCAGAGATGCCTCATCGCCCTTGAAGGGGAACTCAAGAAGAACGTTGTAGTAGGGTATCTGGGATAAATAGGTTAGTATTTTCAACGCCCGTACCTATTGAAATTGCCCCACCTCGTTCTTCTTGACGAGCTGCTTCAGGACAGTCCAAGCTTGTTCTCTCGACCAAGGCAAAGACTTGGCGTATTCAATGTCGTCACCAAAAGCATTCTTGCGGAGCTCCCCCACCGCCCGTGCAATGATGTCCTCTACAGCCTCCTCCACACTCATTCCGCTTTTTACCTTGTGGATCATCTATCAGGAGGGCGGTCAGTGGTCGGACGGACTATGTGAACGACCAGGGCGCACGCTTTCCAAGTCACTCGCACGTCCACCAAGACGCTCAATAAACGCGGTTTCTCTCCCACTTAACTTTGCCCCGACTCCTGCGTCATAGAGTCTCTGCTTCACAAAGGCAAGTGCACTCGGTGCATCAGCGTCGTAAAGAGCGATCGTGTTCAAAGGTTTCGAGGGCAACGCTTCGAACAGAAGTAAGAAATTGCAGCATAGTAATCGCCTGGCGTCAAAACTTACCTCGAGCCAGCTGCTTCGAGTTCTCTCTGTTGTCACTGACGACAATCACATGCGCAACCTTGGAAAGCTGTGAGTTCGACTTCATTATCATACGCGAGAAACCTATCGGAGACCTGGTTCTCGACAAGATTTGCAGCCCATTGCGCCAATACAGTCTGAAGCTCCTCTCGCTTCGCGCCTGCATTGGTAGCAAAATTCTTGATCACAACGACAGGGAGAGCTTGGACGGCCTGCGTCTCCTGAACCCGCTTTTGCTTCTTTGCCAAGTCTTCGTCCCGCTGCTTCTCGATCATGCTTGCAAAGGTCAACTTCCGCTCATCGACGAAAGTATTTATCTTCTCGATGTCCGTCTCCAGGAAAGGCTCGTCTCCAATACCTAACTCAGACATGACGCCGTTGCCTGCGACGCAGTCGAGACGGCCGTCGTGCCAGGAGCCGTTGCGGATACGTTCTCGCCAGCTCTCGGCTTCAGCTTCCCGCCGTCTCAGCTCATGTTCTGCATGAACTTGGTGCAAAGCTTCTTGGCGAAGGCTGGCGTTGGTCTTTTTGAGCGCAGTGCCAACGACTTCAAGTAGTTCCTTCAGCTGATCCTGCAGCGATGTGGAAAATCCAGCTAACAAAATCCGTTGGCCATCCGAATGCAAAAGGAACGAGGGTGTGACTAACCTTTCTGGCCAATGAGACCAACAGATGCCATGTCAATCATGTTGTTCACGGAGTTAAGTGACGCGAACACAGGCCAGTAGCCAGTTTGTTCGGCAAGGCGCGAAAGGAGCTGTGCATCAGATGTGGCTTTGTTCAGCGGCTCGCAGTCGATGATCAAAGTTTTTCTGAATTGAAAGTCAGATTGCGACACGACATACTATAGTCAACTGGTGTTCACCGATCAACGTCGCCAATTACGTTGGTAAGCATGCTCGTCTTTCCACTTCCTTGTGGTCCGTGCACAAATGCCACCGTCGCTTGAGACAGGGTCGAATCAATACTTGTTGACAGGCCGATAACTAGACTTACTCGGTAGGTCACTTAAATAACTTTTCAGTAAACCCTCGGCTTCTTTACGTTCCTTCCAAACATTTGTGTATTCCGGGGCGCTTTCATGAGCCTTGGTTATGAAGGAGAAGCGACCAACGGTATTGCTGCGTAGCCATTTGTACAGAGCATATTCTAGGGCAAAGTTGAGGTGAATGAACGTTACTGAAGGTCTGCGAAGTTCTTGCCTTTGTAATTGAACCAATTGAGAATTTTTGCTTCAACAAGCAATGTTCTAACAGGGTCAAATATCTACAATGAAAGGAAAGTATGTGATAAGGAAAATGGTGTTCTTGAGGATTAAACTTACCGTGTAAGTCAGTGTGCCTAGGAAGAACAGTATGACCGGCAAGACTATGCGTGGGTGACTTGTCAACCAGTCGCGAACTGCGTGAGCATGCAGAGGTGGAATATAGAGGGTATGAAGCCGCGTCATCGACTTTCCATCAGAGTACTGGTGACCGTGCATGACATTGCGTGCGGCGACTGCAGACCGCACGCGGCGGAAGGTTATAGATGCAGAGCGGAATGCTCCAGCTGGAACAGGCGTAGGGGGAACGATATCGGTTATGCGACCGTAGGGCTGAGAGAGTATGCATAAGTCAAAGCATTCCAAGTATTGTTTATGGGAACCGCGTACCCGAAAGATATCATAGAGGTCTTCTTGCTGAACATCCGGTCCCTCAAAGTCGACCTTGAGAACGTTGGATGGGAAACGGTTCATGTCCTACATTGAGACAAACTCATTAGGAGTTCATAGGAAGGACTTTTGGCGCCGCTTGCCTCCGTCCATGGCCTCCCTCTGACAAGCCAGACATTGCCCTTGCCAAAGCCTGTCCAGGTGGGTAACCCCTCGTGCTGTGTGATATGCTGTGTGATATCACTCTTGATGGTCTGGAGTGCTAGCTCCGAATCTGCGCTGGTGTACGTAAAGCGTACGAAGACACCACCATCTTTATGATATGGTTCGAGAGACTGTACGCGGAAGCCATGGGCTTTGACTTGCGACAGGCGTGTCTCTAGCATTGAGAGTAGGGATTCTTCGCGGATAAGCCCAATGTAGTGACGAAGGCTAAAGCAGATGGTTAAAGTGTGCTGACCCGAGAGTTCACAAGATGCACGTACTCGAAGGCACCAAGGCGAATTGGAAAGACAGAGTCGACGAAGAGCCATGCTTCTCGATCGGACTGCCATATTGATCACAATGTGATTTCCAATGAAGAAGGCCGTATACGCACTGTCTCTATGATGCTCTGAGTCGACTCTCCATCTCGTGTAGACTCTGCCGTAGTCACGAGGGACCGTGTTGGGATAGTGGTACGGCGTGGTAGAGAGGCATGGCGTCTCGCGAGGATGGGCTGGAGTCTGGAAAGGGCTTTGCGGGAGTGCACAGTGTACATGTCACCTCAGGCTGCACACTGAGGCTCGAGCAAGAAAGTGAGGATGAATATATGCGTGCCTACAAGTGCCTATGCCTCAAGGTCGCGTTCTTGTGCGCGGACCAATCGGACGACGTCATGCGACGGCAGTGAATCTGACAGATTGGGTAATGGGAAAGAGCTTCCGAAAGCGGCGAGCCAGGGCGGCGATGCGCAAGTTTGCAAGTCTCCGTTCTTGTTCTGCACTCGACCACCGCCCACCACGGCGACCAAGTCCACCCCTCCGACGTCTTCCGCGATGGACTCGAATTCTCAGCGTGTGCAGGCCACAAACACCTTAGGACGCTCTGGCTCGTTCTTTGGTGCTCTCAAGAGCATCGTCGCTGCGCCCTTCCAGTGGTTCTCAAACACGGATGACGAATTCGAGGACACCGCTGGAAAACGTCGCCGTCTCCCTTCTCCAGCCAATAGGCCAAGGGATACCGGCGACGAGTATCAGAACGCGCCGAAGAGGATGCGCATAGACACCCCAGAGCCTGAAAAACGGCAGACTCACTATAATGACCCTCCACCCTCTGCCTTTCTCCCGAGAAGGTCGCCCCGCCCACGTTCGTCCAGGGCGACCTTGTCCCCACGCAAGACTCTCAGGCCACCAGCTGGCTCATTTGCTACCTCCGTCTCTGCTCCTAGAGGGCGCCGCACTCTTTCCCCTCATCCTGCTGGAATTCATGGACCAGCAGGCATGTCTCGAACTATGTCGCTTGATCCACCATCCAACTTCAGCACGCTCAGCGGCCCAAAGAGACTGTCACGCGACGTGACCATGGAAGACATTGGCAAGGAAACAAGCTCAAGGGATATGTCTGTAATCCGCGATGTCTCACTGGAGCCAGGCCGTCGTACATATATGAGAACTTCATTGACGCCACAGCCATCAGGTTCCAACTTCGGGCCGAACGTACCTCCTCGTCGCGAGCGTGATCCTTCTGAGCCTCCTCCGCTGGCATCCCTCATTTCTAACCCGACGTTCATCAAGCCACCTCAGAACCTTCAGAAACAAGGAACCACCGACATGTCACAGCAGATGACCCTAGGTTCTTTGGCTCAGTCGAGGAAACATGTACTATTTTTGCTTTACGAAAGTTGCTTTTTGCTGAGATATGTTGTCCAGGGTAATTCCCCTAGCCGTCAGGGCTCTCTTCTTTTTGGTTCCAATGCACCCGCAGAGTCATCTTCTAGTACGTCTCTCTCCTCTAAAATATATGCCCTTTGACACTTATTGTATCAGCACCTCTGTGGCCGGTCAACGCGGCAGAGAAAGCTCTTCACGAGCTAGATGTGTACAAGACACCTCTCCTTCCCACTCGCCTGCGAGGGTCTTCTGAGATTCCGGAGATGTTCATGCCGAAGAAGAAGCATCAGATCACCCTTATGCATGACGATCGAGATGAAAGACCTCGCTTGGGCACGAAGGGGAAAGGTAAACGAAAGGTACCGGACTCGCCAGCGAAGCCATACGCCGGAGAGGGAGGTATGAAGAAGTGGTTGGCGAGACGGAAGCGGGAAGAGGAGGAAGCGAAAAAACGAGAAGAAGAGGAATTGATGGATGATGACAAGCCATTGGAGGAGCAACGCCTTGATATTACAAACACCGTGGAAGCACTCCAGAAGAAGGATGCGATTGCGCCTCCCGACCCAACTTTTGAACCCGGTGTTCCATTCACAAGCGGCCTGGAAACGTCGCTTAGGGTGGGTCGCAGCCGAAGCTCTCGCAATCACATTGAGCGTCCGTCGTCAAACCGCATGAACAAGTTCTCTGCGGCATTCGATGTAGACGAGGATGATATGGCGGATGATGCAAGGGCCGCTGATTTCAAGATGTTGGAAGAGGCAGCTAAGAAGGCGCCGGTATTCGAAGTTCCTACTTCGTTCACATTCGCTAAAGAGGTGAGTATCTTCGAGTTCATGGCATCACAAATTTCTAACGATATCGTAGACACCGATCACTCACGATAGCACCAATGCCAAAGAGCCTCCAGTTTCTTCGCTGCCGTTCTCGTTATCCAATGCTGGGTCATCTCCTGTGAAGGTCACTCCTGTGCAGACGTCCACCCCTCAAGTGTCAAAGACAGCCCAGGCTTTCGAGACTCCGGCATCTGCAAGAGCACCGGCGCCAATCATCCCATCTATCTCATTCGAGCCTCCGACTCCTCAACCTCCCAAGCCATCAAAGCCTGAGGCAGCACCTTCGGCGTTTGACTTTAACAAGCCGCCTGCTCCTGCACCGTCAGTAGCATCTGCACCGGAGTCCAGTAAAAAGGATGGTATTCCCAACTTTTTTGCTAGTTCGTTGTCCAAATCTGCGGCCAGCAGTGCCCCCCCGCCTTCCTCTAACCTTGCGAGTTCTGCACCGTCACTGTTCGGGATTCAGGCGCCAGCTATCGGCGGCAAACTAGCAGAGGCTACTCCGGAGCCCTCCAAAGCCCAGGAAGCAGCTACATCTTTGTTTGGTACAACACATAAGCCTACACAGCCATCCTTGTTTGGGTCAGCAGCTCCAGCCTCTACTTCATTGTTCGCCCCGCCCGCAGCCGACAAGGCCTCTTCAATATTCGGTTCAACCTCGTCGGCGATTTCCCCATCTTCGACCACGGAGTCGGCACAGGCCACCCCATCTACGACTACATCACAAGTTGCCGCCCCTCCAGCCGCGGCGCCGGCGCTATTTTCGTTTAGCAATTCTGCCCCTGAAGCGTCCGCGTCGAAGTCTATCTTCACAGATGGGGCTAAAACAGCTCAACCCGCAGAACCAAAGCCATCGCCGCTAATGTTTGGGTCTGGTCCATCCACAAGTGGCACTACTTCGGCACCATTCAACTTTGGACTTCCCTCACCCCACCCTCCTTCCGCCTCCGAACCATCGAAGCCTGGTTTCTCGTTTGGTCAAGCCGATGCACCAAAAAACACGTCCACTAGCACGACGTTGGAAGCTCCAAAGCCAGCATTTGGTAGTCAAACTCAGCCTGCGTTCTCCTTTGGTCAGCGGCCGAGTTCGGCGCCGTTGGATCCAAGCTTAGAGAACAGGGCCACGAGTCCCTTCTCCTTCGGATCGGCTCCTGCCACACCTCCTGCTCAAGAGAAAAAGCCAGCACCGTTTTCCTTTGGAACGCCAACGACCACTGCGCCAGCTTTCAACTTTGGAACTCCAAGTGCGAGCAATGGTACTGCTGACAACAATAAGTCGGTGACGTTCGGACAATCGACTCCGGCTCGTCCTATTACTCCGCCCAAGGACCAAGAGGTTAGCATGGACGAAAGCCCTGTTCGGGATGCAAACGTAACCAACGACGGCAAACCTGCTGAACGACCCAGCTTGAACTTTTCCTTTGGGTCTGGCAGCGTGCTATTTGGGAACCAGAGCAGCAGTCAGCCTCCTTCCGCCGGAGGATTTGGGTTTAATTCTCCTTCTACGCCGAATGCGTTTGGCTCGAAGCCCGAAGAAAAGTCCACAGAGAACAAGACTGGGTTTGCCTTTGGCCAATCGTCAACCAACTCGCCATTTTCTTTCGGCAAACCTCTTGATAGCCCTGCAACTGCAACATCAACAAATGCACCCTTCTCATTTGGACAGTCGTCTCCTAGTGCTGCACCCTCTTCGCCTTTTACCTTCGGAACGCCTGCGAACAGCAGTCCATTTGGTGCCGCTGCTAGTCCTGCTTCAGCGCCAACTGGCCCTTTCAGCCAGCCACAGTCGACGTTCACGTTCGGAGGGTCGAACAATACACAGCCTTCAAGCAACGGTGCTTTCACCTTTGGAAGCGGTAGTCAACCAGCGTCCCCTGCCAACAATAATGTACCCCTCTCTCAGCCAGGTGGATCGGGCGGTGCCTTCGCGTTTGGCCAGTCCAATGGAAGTGCTCCGAGCAGCCCATTCGCAGCACCCACCCCTCCGCCTGCTGAAGGTGGAGGTGCCCTCTTCACGATTGGAGCAGCACCACAAACCCAAACGCCGCCCGGACTCAGACAGATCAAGAAGCTTCCCAACAGACGAGGAGGGCGCCGATAACTTATCACGCAACTGCACAAACATCTTCTCTCAACAAAATTAACAAACATTTTACCATCTATATCTCGATTGGCGACACCTGCTTGCGACAGTTTTGCATAATCATCCCCCGTCTCACCACATACCATCACCACCACTGAATTTTCTGTAGCTTGTTAAAGGGATTTATGGGTGGCTGAAGGCCACTACACATGCATTTTTACTCACGAAGGCTCAAGGCCATTAGATACACATCACATATTTGCATAGCCTCATTTGACCTGCTGTTTTCTCGTCTATTGCCTCAAATACTGTCGCCAGTTTATACGATCGCTTATTGTCTATAGTACTCCCAGGCTTTGTTGCCTCTGCTTTCGATAAGTTATCAAGTGTTGTTTCGGACACTATAGTCCTCTGACGCGGTGTGACACACCTGAGCTTTGTTTGTTACTTACCCCTAGCACTCGTCTGAACGCGTCGGGCATCGCGAATTGTATTGGAGCATGCCCCGAGAAATTGTTACAGTTCAGCTAGGACAATGCGGGAATCAGAGTAAGTCAAGCATCCAGCATGCCACACTCTGATGCTGATGGAACGGCTTGTTATAAGTGGGGGCGGTCTACTGGCAGCGCCTGTGTGCCGAACACGGGATCAACAAGGAGGGCATTCTTGAAGATTGGGCGACCGAGGGCGGTGACAGAAAAGACGTGTTTTTCTACCAGGCCGATGACGAGCATTACATTCCACGCGCTATTCTGGTCGATCTCGAGCCCCGTGTACGTGCTGGACGCGTCTTGTGCTCTCGTACTGACTGCCGCAATGTCTCATGTTGCACATAGGTAATAAACAACATCCTGACCTCGCCATGGGCAAATCTCTATAATCCGGAGAACATCTTTGTGTCCCAAGATGGTGGTGGTGCGGGTAATAACTGGGCGAACGGGTTCGCATCTGGAGAACGACTTTATGAAGAAGTCATGGAAATGATAGATCGTGAAGCAGAGGGCAGTGACTCTCTTGAGGTAAGATAGCATGACGGGGCCGATCCGAATGCTTACACGGACCTTTTCCTTCTGAAAGGGCTTCATGTTGATGCACTCGATAGCTGGTGGGACAGGGTCAGGTTTCGGCTCGTTCCTCCTCGAGCGGCTAAACGACAAGTTCCCGAAGAAACTGATCCAGACCTACTCTGTATTCCCGAACGCCCAGGAAGGAGATGTTGTCGTTCAGCCATATAACTCATTGCTGACCTTGAAACGACTGGCAAACCATGCCGATTCTGTGGTCGTGCTGGATAACGGTGCTTTGGCGCGCATAGCGGCAGATCGGTTGCATGTCCAAACGCCTTCCTTTGATCAAACCAACCAGCTTGTGAGAGGACAGAATCTTGAGTATCTCGGCAGGCTTACATTCATGATTAGGTGTCAACAGTCATGGCAGCCAGCACGCAAACGCTGCGCTATCCTGGGTACATGAATAATGATCTTGTTGGGATTATTGCTTCCCTCATCCCAACGCCACGATGCCACTTCCTCATGACTTCCTATACGCCATTCACAGGCGATCAAATAGACATGGTAAGTCTATATAAAATCCTCCGAGGGCATCCCTAACTTGCAGTCAGGCCAAGTCCATCCGAAGGACAACAGTGTTGGACGTCATGAGACGACTCCTGCAACCCAAAAACCGCATGGTGTCCACAACGCCAAGCAAGACTGCGTGCTACATATCAATCTTAAACATCATACAAGGAGATGTCGATCCTACCGACGTGCGCGTTTTGTCTCAGTCCCTATGTTCTATCTTATGGGTCTGTCTAGGTTCATCAATCCCTCCTGCGCATACGTGAACGGCAGCTTGCCAACTTCATCCCATGGGGCCCTGCTTCAATCCAAGTGGCTCTGACCCGCCGATCGCCTTATATCACGACAAATCACAGAGTCAGTGGATTAATGTTGGCAAACCACACAAGCATCGCCTCGGTACGTTGAGTTGTAGGATTGGCAGGCGAAGCTTATGCATTCATAACCTTCACCGTAAAGTTGTTCAAGCGCATGTTAGATCAGTTTGATCGTTTGCGAAGACGAAACGCCTTCTTGGACCAATACAAAAAGGAGAAGATGTTTGCTGACGGGCTGGAAGAGTTCGACGATGCACGGTACGTTCAATCATCGATCCGGACCTGATAATGCTGAATGTTACTCTCAGAGCAACTGCCGAAGAACTGCTTAAAGAGTACAAGGCCTGCGAAAGTGCCGACTATATATCATATGTAGGTACTCAAACTCGGTGTGAAACATGGGCTTATGATGGACTTAGGGATCAGCAGACGGGGAGCAGGCCTCTTAAGCTCGGCGTTCATTATGCTATGCCCGTGTATTACTATACATCTTGTTATCTTACTCTGACGCACACCATGTTTGGCAATCTCCTTTCCAACGCAAGTGGATCACACCCAGGCATCATTACATTAATCTATGGTCACAGATAGCAGTCTACAATAAGTGTCGGATAGAGGTGCGACTACGGAGGGGCCAAATTACGACTTCTTCGGCCCCTCCAGCTTCTTCCCAATGTCTGCACCTGACCAAAACATCAGACCAGAATCAATTTTGCGCATAAAGACACGTACCACGCAGCTTGACTCCAAGGATGCGCTCGAATTTGCTGAGAACCTGAGGATTAGGGATGGCCTTGCCGGACTCGTAGTCCTGGATGACCGAAGGTTTCTCGTTGGTCTTCTGAGCTAGATCTTTCTGTGTGAAGCCCTTTTCCATACGCGCAGTTTGAATGGTCTATCGGATCACTCATCAGCACTGGTCGGCCGCAGACTGATGACAGATACAGTACCTTGCCGACCGAAGCGGAGATCTTGGGGGGAGGAGCGACCTCGTTCTCGCGGTCCAGCTTGGCAATCTTCTGGTGGTCAGGCCCTAGTGGAGAGAAATTCTCAGCTTGGAGCAAGCGCACGAGAAGCTGGGCGTACCAAGATGACCCTTATTGCCACCCACAGTCTTCTTCTCGGTACCCACCACGGCTCCTGTTCGTCGCGCCTAATATGAAGTTCTAATCAGGATCAATATCAAGCTCATCTGAGAGCACCTACAGCTGAAGAGAGAGGTCAGCCAAAGATGAAGACAGTCACAGATATGTCAGAACATACCATTCAGATCCGAAGCGTTGCGGGTAACTTTGGGGGCCTTGGCCTTGCTGCCAATAACGGTCTTGCTGTCCCAGTCTACGTTGCTCATGATGCCGTCGAATAAAAACACAAAAAATGGAGGGGGGAGTGTAAGTGCTGGTGGGGGCGTGCTGTGTGTGGGGTCCCAAATTTCGGGATTGGTTATATACCGTCACGCGTGTCACAAAGGCGCTGCCGGGCATGCTGACTCCAGGCTGACTTGAAGTTGACTCCGCCGGCATCAAGTCGGGATTCGGCAACAAGATATGAAACTGATCTAAATTCTCGAAGGAGAGAGAACCTTCATAAAAAATCCAGGGAAACCATACGCACACGGCTTGCCAGCATTCACTGGCTTAAAGCAAAAACACTTTGCTAGTACACTCATTGATGCATGGAAAGTGGACACCGTCATGGGTATGCAAGGCTCAAGTACTAAAGCACACAGCAGACGTCTCAACGCCATTGTGAAGAAGTTGACGTTCAAGCTACCCACAGTGTAGACATGTGTCATGGTATCATGGTGGTATTTATAGGGATCCTTGTGAGTTAATGAAGGGAGCCAAATATTGTCAGCACTTGGGTATACTAGTACGAGCTTTTCGCGTCGTCATCGAATGTACAGACTGGTCATTCGACGAATCAGTATACATTGGAACCAAGCCATAGCGATTATCTTCATCCACTGGCATTCATATCAATGATTTTTATGGCCGCCTTTCTTGGGATAAAGCTGCATATATATCATTAGGGTGAGCATTCCTACTTGAGCTATATGAACACTGTTGAACAGTACCTTCCCAGGGTTGAAGAGGTTCAATGGGTCAATAGCTCGTTTCACTGTCCTCATTAGTTCGACGGTATTCTCGCCCAGTTCATCATCGAGGTACTCTAGTTTACCAACTCCTACACCATGTTCACCAGTGCCTAGACATGGTCTAGTCAGGGAGGAAACTCGGTCGGAAATGTTTAAGAACTCACAAGTTCCATCAAGCGCGATGGCACGGTTCACCATGCGGTGAACTGCATCGCTGACCTTTTCCAGCTCCTTGTCATCGTCAAAAAGAATGAGGGCGTGGAAATTGCCTAGACGTAATATTCACGCGTCTGCACGGTGTCCAAACAGCAACACTCACCATCGCCAACATGTCCAACAATTGTAGACCTCAGTCCCGCCTTGGCAAGATCTCGCTTTGTTTCATACACCAGTTGAGGGAGCTTGGATACCGGCACACTGTGCCAAAAACAAAGATAAGTGACTTCGGCTCCACTTCATAACGTTGGAGGATGCTGACCAGACATCAGTTGTCCAGCACTTTGATCCTGGGTGAGTGGACATCGTCGCCATGAGAGCGTATTTACGATTTTGCCAGAGGTCTTCGGCCTCCTCCTCAGACGCTGCAAACTGGAAGTGTGTGCTTCCGTTTTTTCGGACGATCGATTGAATGACCTCAGAAGTTTCCTTGATACCTAATTGAGATCCCTGCAACTTGAAGAACAGAGTATCCTTGACAGGGTAAGAATTCTCAACGTTTCCACCTTTGTTCAGGGCGTCCATCACTATGCGTTTGCATTCAATTAGTAAGCACAAGCCGGGCACGCGATAATTGCTCACTGTCATCATCAAGAAGTTCAATACACTCTATCGTAAAAACATATCAGGCTTTTGCTTTGCTTCTTGCCAAACCGCCACTTACGAACATTGGGGCCATGAGGTGTCTTCAGGATCTCTTGGACAGCATCGACTGCTTTCTGAACATCAGGAAACTGTGCCATAGCTACTCTAGTCGGTACGACAGGTGCAAGTCGGAGGGTGGCTGAGGGGAGGTTAGTGAAGCAGACATAACACTGCTGTATGCGCATTAAGCACCTTCGGTCACGATGCCCAAGGTCCCTTCAGCACCGATAAAAAGCTTCGTAGTGTCAAAACCGGTGGAAGACTTTCTAGCGCGACGCCTTGTTGTCGCAACCTCGCCATTTGGAAGTACGACCGTCTGATACAGCTGTTGTTAATCAAAGAGAAATGCTCAAAGATTTGGTACTGACAATGTTCAGGAACCATTCAGCTTTCGCAGTGCCATAGCGCACGGCATTCGCTACAAACGAGTGTTAACGTACAATCATCGAGAGTCATGCTTTACTAACTCCCAGAGCATCCCGTAGAGATCATACCGCCTATTGTCTTTAAAAGATCAGAACGTGAGGCGTAGAACTACGATCAAGACATACTGCGCCAGGTCCTGGGTCAAGCTGCCGCCATTAATCCCACATTTCGCCCGAGACTGCAAGTTGAGTTGCTCACAGGAAAGAAAAGAGGGATGCCCTTCTCTTTGAGGGTTTCGTTGATCTCCTCCCAGCCTGCACCGGCCTGGCATCTCAGATCACCATCGGCCTCTGCATACTGTCAATGACTCCAAGGTTCCAACTTTCATCAGATTCTCCTTACCATGAATTTCCAGGATCTTGTTCATAGCCGACATGTCCAGACATATGCTTCCTGTAGGAACCTGGCAAGGTAGACGCGTCCCAAACTCAATCACAACTTGTAAGCCTGGTGGGCTACCAGAATTCACTTACTCCGTTGAAATGTCCCTCAATACTCGTTGCGCCACTGTAGGGCACAATTGGAGCTCGATACTTCCTGGAGATGTTGACAATCTTGACCACGTCCTCAGTGCTGAGAGCCTGAACCACGACTGCATGTGGCGCCGTCGGATGATAGGAACTAGGAGAATAACTATGGCCAACCAGAGATTCTTGGTCCGTCAAAACTTTGCCTTCTTCAGGAAACGTTTCCTTCAATTCCGAGATAGCTTGACGCAGTTCATCAGCAGAGGCATAATGCGTCCCTTCAGACGATGTCAGAGTCCCCTCTGGTAGCCCGTCAGAAGACCTGAAGTGAAGACCGTTGTCCAATTCGGAGTCTCGTTCACTATTACCGTCAGAACCGTTAGCGGAACCATTTGCAAGATGAGATAGGCCAAGCGTCTGAGAGGGAAGGGAACCTATTCCACTGTGGTACGCGAAGAATCCAGCCGCCATGGCCATAGACCATCCCAAGACGAACTTTCCGACGGAACGGGTGTCATTCCGTCCCGACCGACTGAAGGTAGAATAGGCAACGACGCGCCTGGAGACGAGAGGTAGGCTCTTTCGAGCCGCTGGCTGCGCGGACGCGACACCAACTCTGGCGTTGGTTCGCACTAGATGTGCGAACAACATGGAGGTCGAAAATGAAGTCGCAGAAGCCGGGGTCTCGGGGTGGGAAACGATTGCGGCTCAGTAATCATCAGGTTGAAGACGATACATGTGAGGTCATAAGGAGGCCGAGTTCAAACTAGGGAGTGCCGCAACCTTCGCGCCCAGGTGCATATGACTGTTCCGTGTCCAAGTTCTTCATGTCGTGCTGGTCCTAAATTTGTGACGCATAGCTATAGTCTAGGGGCTATATATACGTAGGCGATTGGAAAGGTTAGGAACTCGCGCCAGAGCGGCGCCAACTCGGGATCAGACAACCCGCCATACGGGACCGTGGACCAGTTCGACAGTATATCAGAATATTGACGGATGTGTAAGCTCGAATGAATCCATGCTGGACCTAGGGTTGAGGCCTGAGGCTACAGTATCCGTACATGTAACTCATCATGACCATAAGGCAAATGTGGACACTTTTTCTTGCCTGTCGTCCTAAGGTAGAAGTACCACAAAATTGTTTCTGTTACCCTGCCGATGCACGGTTTTCCTTCGAAATTCTTCACTTGTCGCGTCCTTGCGAGACAAAGACATATCCTTTCTAAAGAGCCAATATGCCATCTTTCCTCCTTTCCTCCATCGCACCTTGATTTCAGCGAACCCTATCGCCCTCATAAGGCTTTGCAGAGTATCGAAAGTGGTATAGCGGGAATTATCGACGCAGGGTAGTGGCAGCTGTAAAAGAATCATTAATGAGTTGATGGCTTTGCTAGCGAACTTACGGCAAGGAAAAGGAGCCCTTCTGGAGTCAGCATGTCCCAAGCCATCTTGAGCATGCGGCCTGAGAAACACATGGAGATTTCATCAGACTAAGTATATCAAAGCACGCTCACCTCGATCCTTCGCATCCGGAACGAAGTTAATAACGAGACTAAGACTGATTGCATCCCACTTTTCCCAGTTCTCCGTCTTATCCATCAACAGGAAGTCTTGTTCCAAAATGGAGGCATGCCTACTGCGCAGATCAATCGGGGTGTTTTCTATCCATGAAGACCACGACTCGTAGTTGTCTGGCTTCAGAGCTCCGACTTCCAGCAATCTAACGCGGTCAAGGGTCATAAATGCATTGATCTGTGTAAGGCGTCTTTGAGTAACATACCGTAATTTCTTTTTGCCTTTCCTTTGATCCCGCTCTCCTATTTCATGCAGCCACTTAATGAAGACCTTCTCACTGCCACCACCACGGTCGTTGCCCTGACCGACAGCAGACATACGCTGGTACGCGGAGAGACCGCCTAGCTGCTGGATCTCATTGTCGATTTCGGTGAGCTCTTGAGATATTGGGGCAGTGGTTGGACCTTGCTGAAGTTGGTGTTGTCTCTTGAGCAAGACGTGGAATCTTCTGATGACAGTGCGGCTTGCGTGAGGGTTACTGGAACTTGAGCTCGAGTCATCTCTGCTAATGTCAGTGACTGGCGATTTTCTTTTCCGGGTTTTAGGCATAGCGAGGGTATTATAGTCTTATTGCCGATAATGGTCGTTGAATATGCAAGGCATGATGCCTCTACAGCCGGCGAGCTGGTCGTGCGATCGGTCAGAGGAAGGAAACAAGAAGGTCTCTTCGACCACTCCTTCGGGTACGATTTGAAAATCCAAACTTTCATAAGAAGAACTTAGGGGTGATGCTAAAAAGGGAACGTTCGTTCGGCTGGGCAACAAGTGGCGGCGTGCGTGAGATTATTCCCACAGGGATATTAGCAGAATGCCCCTGACTCAGACGCGACACGCGCTGCTCGAGTCAAACAGCTCGAAGGCAGTACAGTTGTTCGTTTCGTGGGATGGACGTGAATGAGAATCCTGGATCGCCCTCTGAGCCCTCTGAGCGTTTCTTTCCTTCGTTCATCCACATTCGTGTCGCCGTGCCCTTACGCCAACCCTCGCGTGCTTTCGAATCCCGGGCTCACGCTCAAACGCCTTCCAGCCTGCTACTACAAGTCCATGCATTTGCCTGATCTTGCTGTGCTGCAATAGCTTCATGCTAATGCTTTCAGGATTCAAGCTCAAGCGTTCAAGCCTCAAGGCACCACAGATCCTTCAAACCTCAAAGCACGCTCATCGCGTGTAAGCAATATTAGTGTGTATTTTTTAGTAATATGACTATTAACAGCTGGCGTAATATCCTCTATAAAGTGCCTATTAACGTACTGAGAGTTTGACTTTATCCAAGCAAGCAGCCATGCGGAATGTATGAGTTATGCATTTGACCCAAGGCTTTCAAGATTAAGGAAGGCGGTGGAAATTGGCCGGAGACAGAAATGCACCTTGACAAATCGTCAAATGAAGACTATGTGGACTTTTGCGGCAAGCTTACAAGGTTATAAGGTGATATCGACGCCAGCGGCAGCGAATCATGTTTTCTTCGTATTTCTGGCCATTTTGAGAGCAAGGTCCTACAAGAGAAGCGGGTCAAAATGGGTCAAGGAAGCTGGAGGTTACGCTCACAACAACCAACGTAGAAAAGCTTATATGCCAGAACATGCGTACGTTGCGTTTCGTAAGGTTATCCTGTGACTGTCGTTCATCCCCGTGAAGTGCTGCGTTGAGAGCGATGCAGACGGATTTATCGTCGCCGTCGACAGGACTTGCAAGATGCGTTGTCTCAAGCTGTGTGATGTTATTAAATGGTCTACGGCGAAAAGTGTGGTTTCCTGCCTGAGTCACAATCTCATCGGTTGTCGCATAGCCCTGTGGCTGAATAACACGTCAAACACAGATGATCAGGGAGAGAGAATATGAGTATGCGCACAGAAGTCATCGCATGAGCGATGATTGACTCCTCGTCCCAACCCTTTCTCGGCCTGCACGGAACTGTGACTGTCCTCCGCTGACCACTGAGATGAGACAACAGGCAATAGTGAGTGATCCGAAACTAACTTTGTGTCGACAAAAGGTTCTGGAGTCGAGGGTCGGATAAGGGCAGTAGCGGACAACGAACGCGGTTTTGTGCAGAGACATCTGCTTCTTGTCAAGATATGCGAGATAGTAGATTGCAGATGAAAGAAAGGGATAAGAAGTGTCTGAGGCACAGAGGCGAGGCTTCACCGACCTTTGAAAGCGACTGAAGAAAAAACGGGGAGCAACAGAAAAACGCAGGCAAAGAAATGGTGAAGCGAACTAGAAGAGCGGTTTCTCTTCACATCAGTTTGCTACTTACTTGCGGATTTCAGTTCACCACGGCACCTTTCATGTCATAGACAATTTGCTTCCGCGCGCTGACCAATACGTACGTATGGAAATTCTTCACTCCCTTGGTTTCTGACACTTGAAACTAGCACTAAGCACTAGGACCACATCACGGTGTAATAACCAAAGAATGTTAGTATTTGTTCCCTTTCAGCCGGATCAACGAGAAACAGAGAAACAGAGCGATGGAAAGGTGGCTTCTGCAGTGCATTGAGGTCGGGCTCTTGTCAAATTCTGAGTGAATAGGCGGGCCCGTTGGCACAGAAGGCACAAGCTATCCTGCTCCTAGTCAACGTCGATAGTGAGTTATGTATCTGTCAACCGTAGAAGTCTCTAACGCGGCGAGACAGAAAACGCAGACAAGGCCGCCTGCAGAGACGCAGGTACGAGGATGACCGCAGATCGCTGATAACATTTGGTTCATCTCGCCTGGCCTCAGTTCTCTTGTGCAGCGCCAAGTCTTTTTGATTCTACTTTGGATTCGCCGAAGATCTTCGCGCTTGCCTCCTTGTTTTACCTCCACCCGCCTGCTCCTATGATCACTGTGACACAGGTGTGACTGTGTGACATTCCGAAGAGTCACGTCACAACGCATGTGTCGTCCCGTCGAAAAGGCTGAATGTCACGACGTTGAGCGCCCCGTGAATGCGAGCTGAGTAGGTTGTTTGTGATACTTTGCTGAGTGCAGTAAAGAGATCAATAGCCAACACCGGAAGTATAATGTTGTGCCGGGGAGAGATCTCCTTGTTTCGCCATGATCAAGTAGAAAAGATCAAAAGGGTCTCTCGCAGCCACTCCAGAATCGAGTCCTCAACGGAGTCAAGAGCCATCTGTGTTGCCATGATTCATTCAAGGATGTGTCCCGAGTCAGGTAGGTCTCCGTACTGCAAGCAAGATTGTACGCAGCAAGTCTCGCAAGAAATATAGGTCGTTCGCTTCACAAGCTTTTGGATCATCAGGCGCTGGAATTTCTAGACCCCGGCTCCAGGCTATCAACTCGATAGTTGTTCCGCATGTTCCAAAGCAGCCAGTCAATAAACCAGGATTTTTTCACCGTTGAATGGTTGCCTAATCAACATCTGCTAGGCGGTGAAAATCAGCCGTGCTTGAGACCTAATGGTAAAGGGATTGAGAATCTGGTCGAGAAATTCCTCGGGCCGAAAGTGCAAACGCGAACTCTGGAAACGGGGAGGCGTGACTGCATAAAACTCTGTGGCGACTAGTGGAGAGCAATGGAATAGATGGGCTACCCACAATGCATCAAGAAGAAGAATGCGAAGGATAAGATTAACCAAAGGGCGTACCAGCAAAACACCTCATGTGCATGGTCCCTCTGCGCCTGTCGCTCAAGAACTGCTATGTTCCTCCTGATCGTCCCACGCAAACCCTCCTTCTGCAACCTGATTGCGACAGTTGGCTGTCCGCTTTACGTCGAGGCTCGAAACAGAGTTGTCAAATGCCAAAGACAGTGCATTTAGATTTGTGTGTCGCCGTCGTGTCAGTGGCATGACGAGTATGCTATTGCCGCTTCAAGTGAGTCAATTACAAGCGGCCTGGGTTTGAATCCAGTCGGTCGCTTCACTCGCCAATTCGGTTGCAAACGACCTGAGACGCGTCAACGTTTCAACTACAGCGGTCGATTTCTAGGGGAAGCTTCCGTGCACCCTCTCAAGACCAAACGAACACTCGTCCCCTAAAGCTGGTGTGATCCTGGATGCGATGAGATGTCAACGTTTCAACCATCGTCGGTCGTGACGGACCCCCCGGACGAGATGATAACGGTTCAGTCCATCGTATGATTCGTATCAAACTCAATCAAACTTCATTCCAAGATCCTTCGCTTTATCTGGCAGTAAAGACGCCCATCTCGTTCGCTACCGGTAACTACTTTTCTATTATCAAACACATGGACTAAACAATTCCAAACTGAAGGCCACCCCGACGTCATTGCTGTCCAGTCTCAGGCTGAACCACCGCGTCTCCTCGCCAGCCTAGCAAATCAATGCTAGAATGCTTGAACCGTCGTGAGCCAGGACAATACCATGCATCATTCACAATGTAGCCATCATATACATGGTACGACGCGTTTGCATGCGTCCCTCAGCGCCGAGTCCAGACAAGGATCATTATTACGGGGATGCAAACTTAGTCAAGCAGCTACAAGGTGTATTATAAGAAGAATGCATCCCAACTTCAAAGCAGACGGACAATTTGATCATAAATTTCCCAGTAAATCGTCGATCATCGATCATCTCTGCCTCCCAGGAGTAGAAGTCGACAAGCACCGCAATTGTCATGCATGTCATGTTGCGTTTGGCTGATGAACTGGACCCAGTGCTCCGTCAGGCCTGCTCCTCTATGAACCATGATGTTCACCAAATTTGAATATTGCGACGCGTCCTCGGGGGACTTTGGACAAGAAGCCCTAGCCTACTAGTAGGTTTGAGGAGCTCCATCCTACACCGTCGTCACATGGCACTTTGAGTGAAGTAAGCGATAAAGTAGTATTTAGCTTCCACAGGAGCTTAAGCAACTTAAGGCTTCAACCAACGTTCAAGAAAGCCGCTATGTCTGAAATAAGCCTGCTGTATCGATTTAAGCTTGAAGCTGCCTCGAAGAAGAGTTCGAAATATAATCGTGGCTAGAGGTCCGAAACCCGGTCAGGAGTAGCATAAGTTTGGCATAAGTACAAATAAACCCTTTGGGTCAGGCTGCAAGGTTAGCCAACTTTCAAGTCGTAGGTCAAATGATTGTCAGTACTAACCACTGCTGGATGAAGCAGCCAAACAGGGATTGTTCGTGCAAAGAAGGCTATCTTACACGTGAAATTGCCATGAAGACTGACCATTTCCAACCGTCTGCCTTTGGCGCACGTCGCGATGCGCGTCTTCAGGACACCCTTCTCAAAGGCTTTCATTATAAATGTAAGAGTACAATGTCACAACTAAAACCCAAATAACATTCCATTACCCTGATGCGGCTCGCGCACTCAGGGTTTGCGAATACAAAGCTAACGTCATATGAGAGCCAGGAGCGGCCGGAAGGGAATCAAGTAAGAACACCCAGGAGTATGTACTGAGACTTCATCGAATGAGTGTTATACACAGGCCATAGTGGCCAGATGAGCTTGCACGCGGAGATTACTACACCGTTTAAACGAAACCAGTTCCTCCGCGTTTGGCGTCAATCTTCTCGAAGCGCTGGAACTCTTGGCGCTAAAGAGAGAAGATAAGCGGGAGAGACGGATAACGTTATAAAGATTTGCTCACCCTCTTGATGACGCACATGTTTGCGAGGAAGAACCCGATGATAATAGCCATGAAGCCATAGATCTATGGATAGTTGAGCCAACGATTCAAAATCACTCAATAATATGCGCACCGTGCTGAAGATGTTGTTCAAGGTTTCGTCGGCAAATTTGGTAATCGGGGTGACGCAGAAGTTGTTGAGGGCTTCCGCAGCACCTTGGCTAGTACAGATATTCCCACCGATTGCGAGCTCATCGGTCGCGCTGAAGTAGCCACAGCATTTCAACTTCATTTGAAGGGTTGATCAGATGAAAAGGCCAGTAAGTGTGATAATGCTTACAGTATCTTGAATCAATATCTTAGTCGCATCGCTTTCATTGCCAAAGATGGCATGGTAGTTGTTCCTCTCATGGAGGGTGTAAATCCAGAAAAAGGTGCCAATGATAAGGATCAAAGACCCATTACCAAGGAGCACCCAGTTCAAAAGATATAGGCGGAGCGTAGACGTGTTCCCGGAGACTATACATCCCAGAGAAAACACAAAGGTGGAGATGAGGACAACACCCAAAATCGTGCCAACTAGTGGGAACAATCAGTTAGCAACGAGTATGTGAACAGAAGGCGTAGAGAATGCTCACGGTTAAGGTCCGTTGTTGATAGAGTGAGATTCAACAAGAGGTTGGGAGCTCGCCAGACGAACGACAGAGCAAGGGCAACGATGCCAGCAATGAGAGTGCAAAGAGCGAAGAATCCCCAAGCACCGAGCAAGCGTTTGGACATCATCTTGACTTGACAAAAGGAGAGTGGACTAAGTACCGATCAAAGGTACATCAGCTATACGCGAGAGGAAACAGAGCGAGAATTAGGTACATACCGACGAGAATGAAAGATATTTGGCTATGACCTGTCGAATCAATCGAGGCGAAATCTCTTCCAGAGAGGCACAAGAAACGAGAGCACCCGGCTAAAACTCAAGGCTGTTGTGACAAAGTAATGACGATCAACGTCGGGAAGCTGCTCTGCAGTGCCCAAGAAAAGAAGAGGAAAAAAGTTAGAAAGAACGGAAAAGCCGAAGAGGGGGTGAAGGGTGGGCCTTGAGGGCAGACGGACTCACATTGCCCGATGTTATACTCTGCCGGCTATGCGTGAGTACCTGGTCTGGTCCCGAAAAGCTGACAGGCTGACAGGTCGGTCAGGAAGCAGATGCCTTGCCCTGCACAGGCTTTGAGAAGTGATGCGTGATGGGGATTTGGTATCAAGAGCATGAAGCTGTGGGGAGGCTGCTTAAGCATCTTTCGGCGTGGTGGTTACGAACCGGAAATACATATCTCCGTGGTAACGGCGTGCTTTTAGCACAGACGCACAAGGCAATATCGAGGCCGTGAGCCCCTTGTACGCTTGCCAACGCTGGGACTTTTGCCATAGCTGCAGTTGGTTTCTGAGCAACGCCTCCCAAGTTACCGCATTTCCGGTGAGTATATTCCTTCCAGAACGCGACATTGCCCGACCGTTCCCATCACATACACCACCCCTCATAGGCCTCTAAATCCATAATCATAAGCCCTTCTCTTCCGTAGTGTTGCATCGCGTCCTCCAGCCATCAACAGGAACATGCCCGCCGACATAAGCTCTCTCACGGGAGGATCCCTCCTAGTTGCCTGGCAGCTCAAGGACAAACACGTTCTTATTGTTGGTGGTGGAGACGTTGCCTCAGGTCGCATTGAATCTGTCCTCGCAGCAGATGCACGCATCACCCTCATATGTCCTAGTTCCGGCCTCCACCCCCTCACAAAGCGCTTCATCGAGGCTACGGACCGCATCACCTATTGTGACCGAGTCTTTGCTGCGGAGGACGACCTAGTCGGGGTTGACATGGCCCTCACAGCCATCGACCAGGTGGAAGAATCACGCAGAGTCTGTGCACTTTGCAGAGAACATAAGATCCCGGTCAACGTCGCCGATATTCCCGAGTCTTGCGACTTTTACTTTGGGTCCCAGATCCGCGACGGTCCTCTTCAGGTCTTAATTTCCACCAACGGTCAAAGCCCCAAACTTGCCAACATCATCCGCAAACGTGTAGAACAAGCATTGCCCAACTGTGCGGGAGACGCTATCAGCAAGGTCGGAGAGCTTAGAACCAAGCTTAAGGAACGTGCTCCCGGTGTGGGCGGTGAGCTGGGAAAGCGACGGATGCGGTGGATGATCGATATCTGTACTTCATGGGAAATGGAAGACCTGGCGTTGATGGACTCCCCCATGATGGACAGACTTCTCGATGATGGGTGGGAGCAAAACGTTACCCCCAACCCCGATCAGTTCAAGGCTCTACGCGGCCGTCGTTCGGGCTCGGCGTCCCACGCGACCAGCGCGTCCGGCGTCCTACTCCCCATCCTTGCTTTTGCAACTGGCGTGATATGCTCTGGCTTGTGGATGTCGCAGCGGGTCCGCTAATTATTGTTGTCCCTCGACCCCCAGGCCGCCATATACAGGAACATTTAACTTTAAATCATAGATGCATTTCATAGACATGATTACCTCATTAACAGCAGCTGCCTTCGCAGTAATAGTAACGGAAGACTGCAAATATTGGAACATTCAATCACTATTTTGCCCGAAACCTACAAGCACATCCATGTCGGCTCACGGCAAACTTATCAATCATAACGCTACAGTCTTGTGGCTGTTGCGGCCGGCCATCTGGCTACGGTCGGACCCTGGCAGTGGCCTAACGGTATCTTATCGTATGGACGCGGACGTAGAACATAGTGTTGATTGTTTGTGTGAATCTACACTCGTGATGCACAGCTAATTTATCTAGAACAGTTTCACCTTCAATATTTCAATGGTCAAGTTGCCATGCAAGCAAAGTACATTTATCATACGTGTGCTGATGCGGTGTGCCCGCTATGAGCGTACAACGGCGCCAGTGTCGATACCTGCCAGCAACGTAGGACAAACTAATAAAGTCACAGATGAGAATACACCAGCCTGGTCTGTTTTGCATCATCGTTGATGTCAATAGGGCTTAACGTTTAACAGAGTCGGTCAGAAAGACTCAAACCTGCGAATAAACCGTCATGAATTATGAACCATGTTATCAATCGCTTTCTGATCATGAGACGAACAAAAGATATGTACAAAATGGTGATGCCATGCGGAATCTAAACCGATGGCAGGTATGTACTAGGCACTTCCTGAGCATGGGCAATGTGGAGCTACCGTCGCCGTGAGTCATTACTCTTAAGTTAACACGCAGGGATCTTGCATAAATCGACAGTCAACAAGCCATCATCCAGCCATTATAAAAAGAGAGTAAGTGGACCATCAGATAACTTGCACTACGTGCAAACTGCCATTTTTCGGCGGAGAAAAAAGAGAGAAAAGGCATGTAGGTGAAAACCTTTTTCGCTGAGTTTCCACCGCGAGAAAAGTCAAAGGAAAGATTATCATTGAACCCGAGAGAGCGGCTTTTCTGGGTGAGAAAAGGATAAATGTCCAATTATGGATACCTAATTTGGTAATTTTGCCGATTCTGGGGAATTGTTAACCTTTTCTCGCCCGGAAGGCGCTCTCTCGGGTGCAATGGTTATCTTTCCTTTGACTTTTCTCACGGTGAAAACTCGGCGAAGGGGGTTTTCACCTCCACGCATTTTCTCTCTTTTTTCTCCAGCAAAAAATAGCAGTTTGCCCGTGGTGTTGCTAAGAATAGTTGCATATTTATGAAAAGCGATGACTGCATAGCCTTGGACCAGCTGCTAGTCTCTGCTGGTACTAGCGCTCATGTGGCAGTGGTCAGACAATAACCGCGTAACGGTCCATCTTAATCGAGTCTCGGGCTTGAGGTCATGTTGAACGTTAAGTACTTGGCGTGGTTGTTAGAACTTGGCTGGAAGGTCAATTAAACCCTAAATAACCTACAAATAGGCCTGCCGGCGGCTTATGTGCTCGATGCATTGAGCATTGACAGGCATTGACGTTGAGAACGTTGGGCCCGGGATTGATGTGACGTCAACTTCAAGGCCCAGACGTTGACCTACGTTGACACCGGCGTCAAGGTACTATAGCCGGTTTCATCACACGCATGCTTCCCCACTCAGCGTTCAACGTTCAACGTACCATCGACGATTGTTTTGGGTCTCGCCGATAAAGAGATCACGACATGACAGAGCTCTCAATCCTTCACTTTAACGATGTCTACCGGGTTACTCCACAAAAGCTTTCATCGAGTTCATCTGAGACTGTTGATGTAACTCAGTTTGCATCGCTGCTAGAATCTGTCCGAGATCAATGGTCTTTGCGTTCAGACGGCAAGAAGGATGGTCTCTGCTTGTTTTCTGGGGATGTCTTTGCGCCTTCTGTAGAGAGTACAGTAACAAGGGGAAGTCATATGGTGAACCGCTATACTCGTGCTCACCATCAAAGTCATCGCTAAAGCATCGTCTCTATCCTAGGTGCCGGTGATGAACATCCTGGCACCAGATGTATCTTTAACAGGTATGATCGCATCATATCCGATAACTTTTTGACATCACTGACACATGTCTCAAGGAAATCACGATTTTGACTTCGGTAGGCTCGGCTTCTTTACTAGTACTTGAACGCGAACCTTTAATCGCCCAACTTCTTAGGTTACCCTCATCTATCTAAATTGATCCAGGATACCAAGTTCGTAAGTGGGATAGATTCCTCGTGCACTAGACAAAATCTACATGTTTTTGCAGCCATGGGTGCTCAGCAATATCATTGACGAGAACACGGGTAAAGTCCCAGAACATCTGCACGCGTTCCAAATCATAGAACGCAAGGGAGTCCGTGTGGGTATCATTGGACTCGTTGAGAAGTAAGGATTTCAGAAGCAGAGGGCTCAAGCATATGCATCGTGAATGCTAATGATGAGATAGGGAATGGATTGCCACAGTTTCTTCTTGGCCAGACAACTTTAAATACCAGGACATGGCGGAAACTGGACAAGACCTGTCCAAGCAGCTGCGTGACCCAGATGGCGAGCATAAATGCGATATCATTATTGCACTGACACATGCCCGGTGAGCATCGAGTGGCGTACTTCCCCTTACGCTACTCATGCACACCTAGTGTTCCCAATGTATGCATATCGATTTTTAGAACAGATATGCCCCGCCTTTGACACGTAGAATGTCGCCAGGATCTCTCTCTTGCTAAAGCACTCCACGCATGCTCGCCATCTGCACAGCATAGTGCGTCCATAGCCGACCAACACGGAGCTGACATTGTTCTTGGCGGTCATGACCATCTCTATTTCGTATCCAAAGGGACTGAAAAATGGGAAGGATACGATCTCGATCAGAAGGTGTTGGGTGCCGAAAAGGATGAAGGCGACGTCCTGGTGATAAAAAGCGGGACCGACTTTCGAGACCTTAGCGAGTTTACCCTCACATTATCTGATACACCGGAAGGCAGTGTGAGACGGAAGGTCATCAGCGGCATTTGCGGTACGCATTTTGTGTTGTTCACCTCCATTGGAAACTTATCATGCATGACAGGGAAGTATCATCGGACGCGATCTGACTTACCGTCGCATATGGCACTGAAGAAAATATTGGGATCCTTGCTGTCGGACGTTTCTGAATCGCTAAAAGCACCTGTATGCATCACCGAAGTTGAGCTGAATTTGCATTCAGACATTATTCGCACTCGCGAGGTATATCCTATCAGAGATTGGCGGCTACTCTTTACTCAATTCACAGTTTAGTCAGCTGCACCGAACTGGTTCGCAGACGTCTTGCGCCATACCTATGATGACGCTCTTAGCAGCAATGGGGAACGTACCGAAACTGACGGCGTTTTCATTTGTGCAGGCACTCTTCGGGGTGATTCTGTCTATGCCCCTGGTAAGCGATTTTTCCGAGAGCCCTGCCGTTTCTGACTTGGACCTAACCTTGTTTCTAGGTGAAATCACGTTGGGGAATATCATGGAGATACTTCCATTTGAAGATCCCCTTGTGGTCATCGAGCTCGATGGTGCCGCTATATGGGATGCACTTGAGTCAGCATTGTCGACGTGGCCAGCTCAGGAAGGGTAAGGTTTTTGAATTTAATTGTTGCACGATCTGCGCTAAATCTGGCCTTCAGGCGCTTCCCTGTAATATCAGGTTTCCGAGTATCATGGGATTCTAAACGCCCAGCTGGCCAACGGGTACTTGGTGTGTGGCTGATACCCGAGTCAAGTCCCACTACGCCGGCCGACAACGAGTCGAGGCCCCCCAATGAAGGGGATGCCCCAATTCCTCGTAGTCGTGAGGGTCGCAAGTACATAATGGTGACCAGAGAGTATATGGCTCAAGGCCATGACGGATATGGTGCCATGAAAGGGGCGAAGTATCTCATTGATGACGAAAGTGGGATGATAATGAGCAGTGTTGTGAGAAAATATTTACTGGGTGAGTCCTACATGGCTTCCACGGTCCGCGTTCATTCGGATGAATTTACTTCCAGGCTCCCGCTTCGTCAGCCGGATGGCTCGCCTCAAAGACAATGAAGGCGGCGCGCCACCTAAGAGTAGCGTCGACAGCAAGGATGGCACTAGTGCTCACGGGCATCTCCATCACAAAACGTCGAATATCATTGATCGCGAAATGCACCGCCAAACCGTAGCGCGGAAGTGGCAGCATGCCGCGCAGCTCGCAACTCGAGCTATTAAAGATCTACACCATCATCCCCACAGAAGGGTTCGTGATCACCTTGGGGTATCAGGACGCGAACATATGAGCGACGTCGATTGCTACGACGGAAGTAGGGCAAGGAAGGGTGAAAAGTCGCTGCCATCAGTAGGACAGGATGAAGACAAAAGCAAAAATCCCATAGAAGATCTCCTGGTGATACACCCCGAGGTCGATGGTCGTTTGAAGGATGAGTCCGCAGCAGCTGCTTGATTGAATGGAATGTTATTCAATACAAATAGCTAGAATCTACAAGCTGTAACTTTGTTGAGACCAGAGAGGAAGATTACCAACCGACAGTCAAGGAACTGGGACATATTACATTTTGCTCTATTGCATGCAACGGGTTTGCCATGTTCTAGTAGCTAGCTACCACGAATGAAGCGTAACCAGACCAAATAAAACTCAGCTGATTCTGTGCGAGGATATGTCACTAACGTGCAGGGCGGACGCGACGAGTCCCGCAAAGGCCGAGTGTCGTCAAGCGATGGGCGTTGGAGCTATAGGGGTGGTCGGGACATTTACTTTCGGTGGTGGTGACCCAGAAAGTGTGCGCGCGTAATGTGCCACTAGCCCAACGGCAGAGCCAAGGCCAGCGCCTCCAAGAATAACTATAGAAAATAAATCACGGTTCCCCCGGCACGAAAAGGCATGAAGATTAACTGACGGTTTGCAACGCTAGCACGTTTCCAGAGTATTGCTGGGGTTAGTACGGCAGACAATATCGCTCCTATAGTGGCATGATCATCTGCACGAATGGCGGAGGTCTGTGAGGGGAATGTCAGCTGAGTTGGTTGGTAAACAAGAATGCAGGATGTACGTCGTATGCAGCTTGCATTCTTCGCGTTCTCAACTTTTCTTCTGGGGAGCTGCTGCTACGGACATACTCAACCAAACCACCGGCCGCGATTCCTAGCAGAAGACTACCATGAACATACAACTGATTTCAATTTACGCGGGAAAATACACACCAGAAGCTCCTCCCACCCAAGTAGCCCTGAGCAAGCGGTTCAAAGCGAAGGTCGAGCGCCCCTTGCGGTAAAGCACGAACGCTGCGTATGCAGGAGGGGTAAGCAAAGACAGGATCTGATAACCATTGGTCATGCCGCGACGAATAAGGACTTCTCGATCTGCACTAGCAGCCATTATAACTTCGTGTGTGGTTGGAGGGTAATAGGTTAGTAGCAGAATGAAAATGTAAACAGCATGTTATGCGAGCTCTTCAAGCCACGGGCTAGTGCGCGTCATAGTCTCGGCAAGCGGGTGTGAGAAAGCAAGCCACCCTTATTCCCGCTTAGTCATCTTGTCCATACCCAACCCTTTTCCTCCAACACAAAGCCGACAGTACGTTAGGCGATGGCCACAATGATGGCAGACACAGTCGACACGCAGATGTCCGACTATGACATGGACATGCTTATGCAATCCGCGTCTAACGAAGTTCTCGCAGATGCCAGCATGGACCACGACGGGCACGACGATGACGCAGTTTCCGTCGAGGTTGACATGGAACACTACGATGAACAGCAATACGAGTACGACATGGAAGATGCTGATCACGCAGAAGAGCACTATTCGGAACATATTGATGCTGAAGTACACGATGCTCCTCCCATGCATCCCTTTCCAGATATGCCACAATCAACTTTTCCCCCGTCGATCAATCCTTCGCCCCACCTTGGAGCAACACTCTCCCCAGAACATCCAGACATCCCACTAGAAGAATCTCTCCCAGTGGAAATTCCGCAGAGCACTGAGAATCTCCTGATCCTCGACCATGTTCCCTCTGCGTCGTCCGACTCTGTAGAACTTGAACTCGCACATTCTGAGCTTCCTACGGATTTACCCACAAGTGGAGAAGATAATTCACATAACGAAGTGCCGGTCTATGGGGAACACTCTGAGGTCCTCTCGAACCCGCTCCCTCATGTGGAAGAACCTGCTGACACCTCGCACGCATCAAATCCTTGGCACCTTTCAAGCGAGGAACACAATGAGGAACACCCTGAAGAGCCTGCGCAAAACTCCAACGTTCCAGTTCCACCCGAAGAACATGTCGTTCCTGGTAGTGCCTCTCACGAAGAGGTAACCACTGAGGAACAGGCTCAAGATGGCGGAGACCCGCATGAAATATCTGAGGGTGTCTACATAGACCCTCCTCCTCCAGTGATACTGAGCATAGAGGGATATGAGACTGGTTATACCCTCTTCAATCAGGCAGTGGCTGACGCTGACAACTCCCAAACTCAAACGCAGTCCCAGTCTCAGTTGCAAGATAGTTCGACTGAATCTGATCCATCGGTGATATTGCATCAGCAGCCAACGCTCTACTACGAGCCTCTGAGCACTGTTGTTTCTGCTCTGCGGGAATGTTACTCTCAAACTATCCTTGCGCCCCTTGTTCGGGGTGGCGCCGAACTAGTAGTAGATGTTCCAGTGCTTGAGCTCTCCGTTTCTGAGGTATGCACACATTACATACACGTCACTTTACCGCTCAACCGAATTTTACAGGATAATGTATACATTCGGGAGATTACACTTCACGACCTTAACATACTCCATGACTTCCGCGATGGTAACGAAGGTGAACTTCTTCATATTCACCTCCGAGCTGCACCAGGTCCTCGGTTTGTTGCACGCTACCATGCTTTGAGGGAGCAAGTAGCTCGGCTAGGGCTTGAGGCCGAAACCGAAGTTGAGAATGCCGCTGCTGCAGTCGACGATAGTGGTGAGGAGGAGGGTACTGAGGGCTCAAGTGATCATCAGGAAGGTGAAACCGAGCGCGATAATCGTCGCGGTGAGTTACACAGAATGTCAAGTATGTCAAATCATCTAAGCTATTTACAGATAAACCCGATGAGCATCCTTATCAGCGTGCAGAGGATGATCACGAGCATGGTGTTTCTTTGGATACGCCAAAGACTTCCCTGCCACCTGCTTTACAAAGTTCAGACAACTTTCAATTGTCTGATGACGCTGCTTATCATCCGGTGCATAATGACCACAACACAGCGGAAGCCCTTGAAAACGAAGGCGACTATGTTGAACAAGTACCCGATAATGCCGAAGACCATCAGGCTGTTGAAGACTTTAGTGTAGAACAAGCCGCTGAAGCAGGCTCGCACACGGAAGATCAAACGGGTACTGTTGAGCCTCGGGCTGAGGGTAACCGCGATGATCTGGATGCCGCCGTGCAGCTGGTCGATCAAACTGCAGGCCTGCAGCACACTAATGGGCAGCAGTACGGCGGCGAACATGCCGAGTATGAAGATAATGTCGCTCCAGAAGAGTACGAGGAGGATGGTGTCAGTGCCAGCGTTGAAGGTGTTAACGGAGGAGTAGCCGATGATGATGAAAAGGTCGAAGAGCATGCAGCCGGCGCTTCCACGACAGAAGGTGTTTCCACAGAAGAAACCAGCGTCCCGTCGACAGCAGTAGATGAGACTCAGATTCCGCTTCCTGGCACCGACGCTGACGATGATGAGGATTATGGGGAGGAGGGGAATCTTGGAACTTATTACGATCCAATAGTAGTCAATGCTGGTACGTGCCGTCCAATACCTCGATTGTTACAATCACTGATAGCAAACTCCAGCTGAGGAACTGCAGGATGCAGAGGATCAATCTTCGGCAAACATCAAGTCGGGTGGCGCCAAGAGTGAGTCGTTACAGTGTGCTTTTTCTGGCCACTGACTTACCCTCATGGTCATAGGTGATGGTTTGACCAGCAGAGAATTCGCTATTTCCGCGGATGAATCGGATTCCAACTTTGTAGCATTGTTGGAGAGGGAAGCTGACGAAGGTACAGACTTTCGATATATGACTGCCACCTCATACTAATACCCCTCGCAGCTGCAGAATTGAACCAGGCCGCCGAGAATCAGTTATTTGGTGATGCTTTAGACGATGCCCCAGATGAAGGCGCCAACGAGGCCGATGAGGCGTCGCAAGAAGGTTTAGAACAGGTTGACAACGCTGAGGATCAGCCTTGGGATGACTCCGACGCAGATGGCGAAGAAGACTGGGGAGATGAGGATGCTGATGAGGGCGAGGCCGATCCTCCAGATGCTGACTCTCCCGGAGATGCTTCCTCCAGCCAGAGTTCTGGGACTCTTTCTAGCGCTGGTCAACTGGCACGAACAGCATCACCCTTAAAAAGTAAACGGACTTATGATGAAGTTGACTATGAAGACGAAGAGCTGATAGAGGCTGACGATGAACCGCTGAGTTCACCTGGTACGTGGTCCTCGGTCAGTCGTATGGGGCTATGTTAACACTCGTTTAAGATACAAAACGCCCTCGCGTCCAGTGACGCACTAGGATGTCTTAAAACTCAATGTGCCTCGCTCGGCCTACTCGGACACGCTGTCAGTTGTCCGTATCGATTTCTCGGCTCCCGATCAGTGGCAAAATCCCATTTTACCCCTCACTTTGGAACTATTGACAAAAGGCTAAGTTGAACGTCTCACGGTCAAGGATTTCATGGTCTCATGCATCCTCTTCTTCCTTAATTTTATCAACTCGTATTGTTGTTTTGGCTGATTATTTTCATCCTGTTGCTACTAATGTTTCTAGCAAACCCGAGGAGCCTGTTGGGTTAGGGATTAACAGGGAAGACCTGGGATGTGGTCATGAAGATCACTATGCTTGCATGTCATGTAGTTTTCTGTGAGATGCTGTCGGGCTGAATAGAATGTAACTGTAATACAAAAAAAAATCGGATAGTGCATTAGTATGAGTACATAGCTGCAATTCAAACAGCATAGTATCCCAGTCACAGCCACGTCAACATCTTCGGGCCAAGCTTCGGGCCGGAGTGCGCCGAACAATAGTGACGGAGACATCAAATCTTGACCTGTGAATGAGTCCAGCCCAAGTCTAACCGGAACCTCCTGAGTCCTCGCCAACAACCATGATTCTATAGCGCACTTCTTCTGTCTGCACGCATCACTTAACATTTCATGCAATATGGCAGACGCAGAAACGGCTAAGCTCTGCGTACAAATCATAGATTCGCACTTCGGCCCTCTGACAGCAGTGGGTGTGATCACAATTCGTTTACTGCCTCAACATGACTTGGTGATTTAAACAGTCTCTTGTATCTACGCTTCTAGCCCGTGGCCGACTATCCCTCCCACAACTTATTCGATTCACCGACCCGTCCCCAAAACCCCGCTCAGTTCATGCTGCTGTTCTCTCACTCATACAACATAACTTGCTATGGCACTCTGTCGATGATGCAGGAGGGCAGGAGATGCTTGAAGTGAACACTTTCGAGTGTTTCATGAGACTGCGCTTTGGCAGATTTGTAGCGCTCGCAGACGATCTATTTGGCTCGGCAGTGGGTGATACTCCAACGTACATCCCGTTTGAGCTCACATTCTGTCGGTCACTAGGGCACCGAGATTGTGCAGCTTGTTCTGGACCATGGCAAGGTTCGACCACCAGATATCATCTCACAACTCTCTCAGGGCGATAAAAAGAGTCTGCCAACAACGTACAAACTAGGAGCCCAGCTGCTGACACTGCTTTATTCAGATACGTCCGCATACAAGCAAACGCTGCACAAATTGGTGGACCGCTCATACCTCAAGCCTTCAACCGTTCTCTCACATCAGTCTCCTCACGACAAACTGATAGCATACGATGCGGAAGAACGTCGACGCATTGCTGGTTTCCCAACTGCGAAGCAGCTGCGCGAGGCCCGCGAAACGGCGGAAGCAAGGCTTAAACGTGAAGAAGAGGAAGCAGAACGTGTTGGATTTGTGAGTCAGCCTTCAGGGATTTGAACAGACTGATGCTGATACATAGGTTCAAGAAACGGAAGGCAAAGGACAACATAACGCAGCGGTCTAGCAAGGTAATCCAGTCATCACCTGCCCCAGTTATTTCGCTCTGACGACGTCTCAGCGCAAAGCTGTGGATGAGGACGCTTTAGATGTACGTGCATCAAAAATCGCCGGTCTAAACGTCCTCACAAATTATGGCTTCCTCAGGATGATGTATATTTCCGTGTCAACTACGACAAATTCAACATACACATCCGCAATCAGGTTTGCTTACTGTCGTCTGATTCTTGGGCTATTGTTTAGAATTCATCCGCAGTTAATTGAAACGCTTGTGCGTGAACGGTTCAATGAGAGTGCCGCCTGCGTAGTGCATGCGACACTCAAATCAACCGAATTAAAACAAAAAAGCATGACTGATGTTCGCTCTGGTACGCTATTTGTTTTCGTTGCTTGGATTTGATCCTTATGTTCTGTAGATCCAACATCAACAGCCTCAATAGCTATGCATATACCTGATGATGCCCCTTTATCAGCCGGCCTCGCATCTTCCTCAAAAAAGTCTAATCCAGCATCATTAGCGAAGGAGTTTCTTACTCTAATGTCATCCTCAGCGAACCCTAGCGCTGCATCATTTGTCTCCATGGGGGAAAACAAGGTGTATGTAGAGTTCGAGACCATATCAAGGCGAATGAAACGCCATGTGCTGGAAGAGGTGACCCGCGAAAAGCACAAGGATGAAGGCGTGCGGATTTTACGTCTTCTTCTCGATGTTGGGAAAATGGATGAAAAACAGGTGCGTATACTTTACGCTCGCCTTGTACCACATAAATCAAACATGCATTGTAGATAGCAAAGGTCGCGATGCTGCCAAGCAAAGACCTGCGTCCCTTACTGTCAGCTCTCTCGTCAGACTTCATCATATCAACTCAGGAGGTGCCGAGGAGCGCAGACCGCAATCCAACCCGTACCTTTTACCTATGGTAAGCTATGATCCGTAGTGATTCTATAATCTTTGATGTCGTCTGCCTAGGTATGTCGATCTGAACAGAGCCTATACCTCCATCCTTCGTTCGCTCTACAAAACACTCTTCAACATAGGTCTTCGGCGCTCGGCCGAGGCCAGAGAGCCCAACGTCGCAGCTGTGCTGGTGAAGCGGGAGAGGACCGATGTCGCAGCAGATGAGGTGAATCTGCTTACTCGACTAGAGAGGGAAATCCTGAATTCCTGGGAGGCGAGGCGGGAGAGGCTTACTATTTTAGAGGCGAGAGTTGAAGAAGCAGTCTTTATACTCAGGGATTTAGTGTGCTCTGAAGAGAGCTAAAACCTTCTTGTTCCTAGGTTCCGTTTGAGTGCGTCTGTAAGTGAACTTGAAGCGCGACACAGAACACCGCTAGCAGTTTCTATTGTCTACGATTGGCTCAGTATGACTAGTATATCGATATCGAGCACTCCAGCTGCATCGCAATAGTCGCCTCGGCAGTCAGAGTTGCTAGGCGTGAAGGTCAGCCTTCAGATACACTCAAAATGTGGGGGAAGGACTGAGAATACTGTAGTTTTTCGACCTTAGGTTCGCGGTGGCGTGGAAAGTCGGAGTTTCAACGCACCTTCCATAACCGTCTGTCCCCCCCTATAGGTTCGGCGGGCCAAACCGAGGGTGGACAGTTAGTTCGTGCTCGCTCAGCAGGCCTCGACACCGACAACGAAAATGATCATAATGGAAAATATAGGTGCTGTATACACTTTGACTAAGGTCCTGGTGGCGTTCTCAATAACGTTCCCGACATCGACACAAACCAAACCAACCTCGAGCTGGTCATTGGCACAGGTGTTCAAGATGTTGTGCTCACCCCTCCGACCCCGCTATGTATCAAACACTTTGCACTCATTGGTTCCTTGCCGGTTTATACAGTACTCAACATGGTCGAGTTCCCACAGTCTCGTTGATTGAGTTCTGGGGGCTCTGGGCTCCGCATGGCCCCTGCCATGGACAATGAGCCTGATGTGATCTCCAATTCTCTGCGAGTACCTGGATAGAAGGAATCCCCTGAGAACTTAATTAGCTGGGGTGTTTATATACAGCAATGGTAGCATAGGCTATCAGAATACTTTGAATAGGATTTCTTTAATATTTCCTAGTAATTTAATCATATTTATGCCTATTTTACGGTATGTCCCCCCTGTTAAGTTCGTGGCTTCAATTATGGGGTGGACTGTCCCCCCACGTTAGGTTCGGTTCGTGGGGAGGGGGGGACAGGGGACCGAACCTAAGGTCGAAAAAGTACAGTATCGCTGTTCAGATGTTTGAGCAAGTATGCATGAGGGTCAAAACTAATTTCGTGGTAGGATACGGTAAGTATGCATTACATTACCTCCCCGCCTTTTCAGTTTAACAGGGTGATTTCACCGGCGCCAACTGCACAATGATGATCGAAGGTGATCATATACATTATTTAGGTTCCAGACGTACCCACATCTCCCTACTGATACTCCGGTCACCGTAGACTCAGCGAAGAGGGCATAGAAGTCTCCGGATGTTGACTCAGCTCATTTCTAAAGATCCGCAAGGTTGGAGATCTTCGATATCGCTAATTGAGATATTGGTTAGGGATGGGATGATTGTCGTCGTGACTTCGAAGTGCAATAGCGAGCCATAAATGGCGTATTAGATCCCATGAAGCCAGACAAACCTAGTAAGCATTTTCCAGGCGACGAGCACTGCAGGGCAAACTGTTGCCGCCATCCGTTTGAACCAAGGTCAAGACATGTCCGAGAAAATAATGGTCACTCACCTGTACAAGCACTTCAGTAACCTTGCACTCATCAAACTATTGCAGACCCATGTTCCACTGAAGGGTGAGAGAGAGTCAAATGCTTTTCAAGTAGTCCGTCTTCTCGACGCGACAACCAGTCAACAGTATGCAACTGTCACTGGTCAAGGCGTTAGCTAGGCGTTAGTCGGCGGAGAATAAGAATTAAATATAGAGACTGAGTGTCTCCTGAGATATCGAGGTTCCATTTCTGCCCGACGCGCTGCTGGTGGTCGCAGTGACGAACAATCAATGTCAATGTACCTCGCGCAGTCAATGCGCAGAATCCAAAACAGAGGGCGTCAGACGGGGGTTCACGGTCAACATGCGTTGTGTCCTCGTTTAACGTTGGAATGTTGAGCAATGTCTTGAGGGAATTTCATCGTTTGTGGGCGACGGGTGCCCTTTGTCGATGCGTTGGAAAGTCTTTTATTGAGACGCATTTTAAATAGGAGCATTCAGGTTTCACATGTTCATACACGAGGGTATTGGTTACCACCGTCCGACTAGGGCGACAAATTTGCATGCGGCGACGAAACAGCATGGTCAGGCTGAAGCTTGAACGAATAAAACTGGGGATCCAGGTTCAGAACGTTCAACGATGATCGATGAGCGGTGGATAACATCGATGAACCGTCGGCAAATGTCCAGCGAAACAACCGCGATGACATCCGAAATTCGAATCCCGAAAACAGGGCAAACGGGCACTTCGCTTGCTGTATCCACCACACCCTAATTCATTTCTGGCCATGCCTCTCAATCATTTGCCATCCACAGATTTCACTTGACGCCGTGGAAGACTATTTTTTCCCTTCATTTCGGCCATGTCAGCAAACAATGCACCACGCAAGCCGCCAGTTGTCATTGCTGATTCTTGCGGTTATGCCGAAATGTTCAAGCTTCGTTTCGCAACCCAAAGGCTTTTAGCTTGACCAACGCGGCCAGAAGATGTTGTCTCTCTCCACCTCGGGATGCAAAATGAACACCAGCATGGAGGATAGTTGACGAGCAGAGAATGTGTCGCCTGAGTGAGTCATACCATGTCCTTCGCTTCTGAAAATGGGGGGCAATAGACGCCCCAAGGACCACATTCCGCATGCTATCTCGATGAGTCCACTGGATGATAACACCGCTGAAAAAATCACGGACTGGTCTCTTCTTGTGCACTTTACCATCCTTGCCCTTATCTCGATCTCTTGTGTAGACGACATCCTTCCCAGACTTTTGCGGTGTCCTTAGACTGTCTGGGAGCTATGGTCTACGGAAACTTGCATACTGTGCAATCTTCCCCGGCCGCCTAGGCAATGTATCAAGGTATCCATTAATCTTCAGGCTGATCCTCAGAGAATTCTGAGCTGGTTATCGAACGCTTCACCTTGGAGAACGAATAATACTCAGGAACCGACTTACCATGGATTGTCTAGTGGCAGTGCTGCGTCGAATGTCACGTGCTACAATGTGACAAGCGCTTGAATTTGCGTACCCACTTCGGCGCTTAAACCACTCGAGGCAACACTTGGAGGGGATCTGAAAATGCACGGATGAATACATGATGGGGACGTTTCTGATCTGAAGCTTGTCAGAAATGAGCATTGGCTCGGAATGTTGCTCGTAGAAGGAGTCGTGGTTGAAGGTACTTGCTGGAATCCCATCTCGGCCTGTAGATGTCCTCAGGGCTACTGGAAACGATGACCGGAATGCTCTGCGGAGCAAGAAGCAACTCATCTTCGTGAAGGCCTCACGCTGAAACCTACTGGGGTATCGTTCCGCGGAAAGGGCTGACCACGAGGGCGACCTCTAGTGAGTTAAGCTCGTGTTGACCAACATTACGAGCTCAACCTGGGAGTCTTGATGCTTGCTGTAGTTCGTCTGTGCGGCAGTAGCAGAAAAGCTTAGACGTGTCTTCGACTTCCACGACCCCTGCTGGCAATTCATGGGCGTCGTTTTCGTTGCAATTCTGTGCAGGTGCTTCGACATAAACCACGGGATACTGGCCTCTTCGCCCCGAACGAGGAGCCAGGCGGCCAAATTAAGAGGCAATATACTGGCCCAAAAAGAGTCATTGTTGCTTAGCTGTTAGCTCACTTTATGTCATGGGGCAAATTTTAAGAACCGCGCCTTCACCGAATTCAAACATTTTTCTTCCTACTATCTCCATCCCATCCAGCGCATGCCAAACCAGCGCCGCATCAGAGAACCTTCCTATCCATCCTTCGCAGCCGCCGTTTACTACTTGGTTTTTCTTGAGAGAATGCGCGAGTCCCAGCAGAGAACCATCCAGACGATGCGATACTCACCGTACCCATCCGGCGAAGCCCTCCGTTATCTTCGAGTAAAGGTGAGCAGGGACTGTTGTAGCTGAGGACGTCTTTGTTTCTGAGTGTTTTAACGTTTAACATCAGAACCGCTTGGAAGAACTCAGCGGTTCAGCCATGGGGCCCACGGGAACGGGTAACCCCGTGGTAGAAGCAAATGTAGCTTTGGTATGCATAATCATTCTCTACAACCCGTGCTTCCTTCATCTATTTTTCCTGTATTCCCAAATCCAGGGTTCCGAGCCGTCTGAACAAGTTTTGGCGTCGGTAAGCTTGCGCAGTCAGTAGTCCGTCAGCGTGTTCGTGCTGTTTAGACGAGGATTTCACAGCCCGTGGATTTTGACGATACAGAAAGCGTTGTCTTCGCTCTTGACGCCGCTCTTCATGAAACCGAGAGACCTTCGCGCAACCCGTTGAAGCGTTTTGGCTGGTCCACGTTCTTGACGTTGGTCGTTGTATGTATGCTTGGCTCGCTCCCGTTGACTCTTACTGATAAAAATGGTTTATAGGACATGGCCCATAAGTTAGCCAGAGACATTCGGCACACCAATGGCCACCCTCGCACATAAAAAGTCTCAGAAATTTTCACTCGAGCTCACTATCGTTCTTGTTTAATCTTTCATGTACATGCCCATTCGTTGTAGTCGTTCATTCGTCTTGTCACTCTCTTGATTTTTCTCGTTCTTGTGTTTCACTCGAAGTTGAATAGCATATTCTTGAATACTGTAATCACTTGGCTCTTGCAATCTCATCTTGACGTCTGACTAGCATTGGACAATGTTTTTAGGACACGCAACCAAACTACACTCTGGTTGTATTTGAGGTGGCGGTACTCTTGATGTTCAGCACACCGCGCTGGAAAATCAGAGGGTTCAAAGAAAACTTCATATTAAAGGGTACGATCAAACGGAAGGGAGGAGAGCGATGAAAGACAACAATTTGGACGGGGAAGATGTAGGGCGGGCGAAGGGGGAGCTGTCACTTCCCTGGTCCCAGGGGCTACTTATCCTCGTCTCATTGTCCAACCACGCCATTGATCCGCGCCACCACCCACAAGCTCACACGCGTTGGACGTGACTCGGCTAATGTCAATGGGTAATCGGGGTCCGGGTGACCCCGGAGCAAGCCCCTGAGTGACTCAGGAGGGATCCAACTTTCAGGGAGATTCTTTCAATCTTCCAACTTGAACGCGCCCACGGCACCAAAAATGATACGCACCATGTGTGCCCCTTTCCATATGCATTGCAGTGGACAGCGTTGGATCCGGACGGGATGGATTTAGTGACCAATTAGGCCCTCTCACGCCCGAGCTCACGCCGACTCATGTTGCTGTGATGGGGCTGTATCTCTTGCCCGAACAGCTACTATCCTTGACGTTCAGGTTGACATCGGTGCAACGTACGGCCGCTGCATGTAGTCATCTGGTGTGGTTCCGGTACATAATAAGGCTGGCTTCTGAGATCTGATTCTCAACTTGTTCTCAGCTGATTCTCGAATCACTCCTAGTCACCTTTAGCGCTTTGGCCTCCACGTGCATTCCTTCAGCTACCACATCCTCGGACCACCACTCAGAAACACGCCGATCGTCATGTCGGATTATGTGAGCGAGACCGCCAGGGTATACACTGATTTCGGCAGCAGCCTTCCTCCGCACCCAGGCAAGGGTTGGACCAGATTCGTGTGCATATCAGACACCCATTCTCAGATAGTACCGGTTCCGGAGGGAGACGTCTTGATTCATGCTGGGGATCTGTGTAGCTGGGGGTTGTTCAAGCAGCTTAAGCCAACGTTGAAATGGCTAGTGTCGCTTAAGCACCCGGTCAAGGTGTGCGTGTACTCGGACCTCACAGATGTTGTATCAACTAAGCGCTGAATTTCCTTTAGAGCTGTCGCAGGCAATCATGACGTGAGTAACAAACGTGCACTCTTCCACAAGCATCTTTGTGCCTTACGTTCTCCGTACAAGCTCTGTTTAGACAAACAATGGGCCTCGTACGGTCTTCAAGGATTAGGTCAGAAGGTGCGCATGAATCCATCAATGCGGCAACAATCTCTTATTGCATTACAGGATATTGAAGAAGCTCGCGCATACATCCATGGGAAGTCAAAGAAGAAAGGTTTACATTATCTCGAGCATAGTCCGTTCTCGTTCAAAAGTCCTTCCGGTCGTGAATGGAAGATGCATGGGTCACCTGTAAGCATGGCTAATAGTAGTGACACAGGAGTGTTATTCATCAAAATAGGCTGCTCCGGCGTATGTCACAGGCTCGTTCCAGTATAGTACGCAAGAGGAGGCGAAGGGTAAGAGAACACCGAAAAATGAGAGCTCATCTGAGACTGAACCAATCTCAAAGCTCTGTACGATAAAATACCAGACGATGTCGACATCCTCGTCACCCATACCCCACCTTCCAACACACTGGACAGAACAAAGAAGGGCACACACGCTGGGTGTCCAGTATTAGCTGAACGATTAAACCAGCTCTCCAGTTGTCGACTTCACGTCTTCGGTCACATCCATGAGTCGCATGGCGCCGAAGTATCAGAAGACGGTAGGGTATCGGTCAATGCCGCCATGCAGTCGGGCGGAAGGCCAACAGTGGTAGATCTAAAGGATTGATGGTATTATGCCTGCTGCGACATCTCTTTGTTATATAGTATAAATGAGATTGTGCACAAACTCCAAAACAGAAGGAATACACACTACACCGCCACTTTAGGCTTCTTAGCCACTTTGATTCCCAACTTGTTCTTCAAATCTAGCTTCGCCTTCTTAGAAGGAGCTGCTGTTGCCTTCGAACTTACGGAACCTCTCGCAGCTTCGGGTAGGAGGCTTCGGACGTCGGGCTCGACATCGTCAGCTTTGCGTTTTATAGTGACCACTCTCGTTGAGCTTTCCGTCGGAGAGCCATCCGATGGAGGGGTCCCAGAGGAGCGAGAACCTGATGCAACAGGCATGGTGACCTTCGAGAATACTTCTCTAACAAGCCTTTCGTCCTCTTCTTCAGCCAGCTTTCGTTCTCTGTCTTCTTCGGTTTCTATTTCTTCTCGACTTAAAGTGGCGGCAATGTCAGCGGAGTGTCCAACACGCTCATTACGAGCGTTCCGCGCTCGGATGTCGTGCAAAGCGTCCATGATATCCATCTCGCGCTTCGCGTCGACTGTGCGATTCTCAAGCGCTTTCATGGGATTGTTCTCCTCTTCCTCAAGGCGAGCGAGTTTGTCCTCCTCTTCAACCGCTTTCTCTTCCCGCCATGGCTCAAAGTTGCGGGACGCTCCGTGTTCAGCGGCGTAGTCAGTGTTCTTGGGGTCGGTCTTGAAGGTGATCTCGGCGGAGCATAGGGTGCTAAAATCATGTTAGAAGGCATCCCAGCTACAGAAGGAGGGAGAACGTACCACTTGATGTAGAAGCGGAAGATTTTGATCCCATAGTAATCTTCACCTTCAACTGTCTCTTTGCGAGCGTTGAACTTCTTCCCCTTGTAGATATACTCGCCACATGTATTACATCTCCTGCAGCGATCCGTAAGCAAACAGTATTTCAGCATATGTATAAGGCTTACATTGAGAAAGGTGCCATTAGACGTACGACCTGTTGAGAATTCTTGGGCCCCTTTCTCCTCGGGATGAGGGAAGGATCGAAATCCGGGGGGAAGTACTTGTTTAGCACTGTGGAGGTACATCAGTCAAACAGCTTGAGAAGACGTCTCTTCAGCTTACCTTTACGTTCAGACATGGTGTTTCAATAGAGTGGAAGGATGCGAGGGTTAGAGTCAACAGATAGAGTCAATAAGTCGAAGCGTGTGGCCAACGTTGGATATGGATGACGGGAGAAGTAAGGACCAAAGCTGACTAAGCTGAGTCTCTTGTCACGTAACGCGTAGAAAATTCCCGCCATTGAGACCAACGCGCTTTCCTGTTGCTTGTGACCTTCAGCCTCTCCGCCCTACCTTGACCTCTGCCCTGCCCATCACCATGCAAGTCGAACTGAACAAGGCGCAGTTTAGCTCGCGACTGCAGACGATATACGACGGGTGGAATGTGTGTTTACGTTTCTTGCCCTAAGACCGAATGTCAGACGTGGTTGACTAACCATAAATTCGCGACTTTTAAGGGATCGGGTCATGCTGAAGAGTATGGACCCATAAGCGACGTGGAGGGATTGCTTCTTCTGTCTGGCGATCCTGCAGGAGAGGATGAGCCGATACGAAAAGGGACTGCGTTCCAGGCAAGTCAAAGTCAGGGTTTCGCGCGTTTCCAAGTGCGATACTGACCTAGAGGCGCCTCTAGACGTGGCTTCTTGGTTATGAATTCCCCTCCACATTCATTCTCTTCCTCAAATCTAGAGTGTTGATGCTATGCTCGGCCAACAAAGGTGCGCGCTTGGATCATCGCATCACTGAGACTACTCACCAATACATGTGCCATCGCCAGCCAAGCATCTGCAGCAGGTAAAAGACGCGCACCCTAATGTAGGGGTTGAGATATTGTCCATGGCGAAAGGAAAGGAACCACCTTCGGACGCGTTGCCCAAATTTGTGGAAGCATATTCGGCATGCAAGCGCGTCGCCTGTCTTACGAAGGAGACCTACTCGGGCAAAGTATACGCAGAATGGGAGAAGGCGTTGGGCGGTCTAGATACGAAGCCCGAGATTGTCGACCTAGCGCCCGCTATGTCCACTTTCATGGCCGTGAAAGATGATGATGAAATTGTACGTTCCTTGCCTGCTGTGACCTAATCAGAAGCCAGAACCTACTGACGGTTTATCCCAGAAACTGACTCGAACGGCAGCTGCTTTGACTTCGACACTGCTGACTCATCACATCGCGGTCAAGTTGGAGATGATTCTGGACAAGGAGGCCAAGATAACACACGAGCAATTTGCCGCACAAATTGAAGGTCGACTTGGGTCTGGTGAAGGAGATAACGCAAAAGGACCTGACATGAAGGTGTGGAGTAAGGGCCGGGGACTCAATGATGTATGTGCGACATCTCGTTAACTTCCAGAAAGCGAATCAATGACTTCTCTCTCCCCTCCTTAGGTCGACTGGGGCTCGACAGAGTTTTGTTATTCGCCCATCATCCAGTCACGGTCAACAAACACTGGATATGACTTGCGTTCCACTCACGAGTCAACAGACGATGCCATTGCTCACAAAGGCGTATTCTTGATTGCAGTTGGGATGCGATACAAGAGCTACTGCGCTAATGTAGGCAGGAGTATCATTGTGGACCCATCGAAGGCAAGTCCCGTCACGCAAAATGCTCCCTCCAGCCGACTTAAGAGACGTAGGAACAAGAGGAAATCTACAACCTCCTGCTTTCTCTACAAGGCGAAGTGCTTAGGGAGATGAAGAACGGGGTAAAGGCTCGAGAAGTTTATCAGACAGCCATTGACTTTGTCCGGTCGAAAAAGCCGGAGCTCGAAAAGAACTTTGTCAAGAATATTGGTTCTGGGGTGCGTTATACTCAATCCAACCAAGCCAATACGATCACAGTGGGCTAAGATTCGTACGTAGACAGGGATTGAGTTCCGCGACTCTGCATACTTGCTCTCACTCAAGAACTCTCGCCCTCTCCGGACCAACATGATCTTTAACCTCACCCTCGGCTTTTCCGACCTTGTCGACGAGGGCGGAAAGAAGTGAGTCAATCAGCCCATTCTTCATTGCGCCTGATATTGACAGCAGATAGATATGCCCTTCATTTAGTGGATACCGTCCGAGTGAATGCTGACAAGGCCTCGTTGATGACGGAGGGCGTGCGATCTACCAAGGACACGCTTTTCTTCCTCAACCCTGAAAATGAGGATGAGTACGAAGAAGAGCTCTCGTCTAAAGCCAAGGGTAAGGCTCCTGCAAAGTCGCATGCCAATGGGTCACCTGTGAAGAACAAGACGGCTGGTGGCAAGGTTCTTCGCAACAAGACTCGCAGCGCTGCACAGGAAGAGGTCCTTCATACTGCCGCTGCTAGAATCAAAGAACATCAAGGCGAATTGCATTCAACTTTGCAGAATGAGGGTCTTGCAAAGTACGCCGAAGGCGGTTCTGCTGGCGCTGGGAAGGAAGGGAAGGGTTGGAAGCGATTTCAGAGTTATAAAGGCGAGGGAGCCCTACCCAAAGACGTGGAGAGTCTGCGGGTAAGCCAATTGAACTGCTCTTAATGCTATATCTACTGACGACTGTCTAGATTGTGGTTGACCGCAAGGCACAAACGATCATCCTGCCCGTCCATGGATTCGCCGTGCCCTTCCATATCAACACCATCAAGAATGTCAGCAAGAACGACGAGGGCGAGTTTACATACCTCCGAATCAACTTCCAAACGCCTGGTCAGCTTGCTGGCAAGAAGGAGGATACGGTATGTATTGTTCATTATGCAAGTCCACACGTCGCTTAACATGTCACTTGCAGCCATTTGAGGACCCGGACGCAACGTTCATCCGTTCGGTTACTTATCGGTCGACTGATGGACATCGCTTCGATCACATCTCAAAGCAGATCACGGAGCTGAAGAAGGAAGTGAACAAACGCGAGCAGCAGAAGAAGGAATTTGCGGATGTCATCGAGCAAGATACGCTGGTCGAAATCAAGGGCAGACGGCCCCAGAAGTTACCCGAAGTGTTTGTACGGCCCGCGCTCGATGGCAAACGATTGCCAGGAGAGGTCGAGATTCACCAGAACGGTCTTAGGTATCAGTCCCCTATGGGATCCCAAAAGATCGGTATGTGGTCGATCTTATTCAGAGAAACTGACTAAGATAATCTTCGTTAGACGTTCTATTTAGCAACATCAAGCATTTGTTCTTTCAGCCGTGTGACAAGGAGCTCCTTGTCATCGTTCACGTCCACTTGAAGGCTCCGATTCTCGTTGGAAAGAGAAAGGCTCACGACATCCAGTTCTTCCGCGAGGCATCCGATGTCCAGTTCGATGAGACCGGTAACCGCAAGCGCAAACATCGTTACGGTGACGAAGACGAAATCGAAATGGAGCAGCAAGAGCGTAAACGGCGGCAAATGCTAAACAAGGAGTTCAAACTCTTTGCTGAGCGAGTTGCGGAGGCGGCGTCGACTTCAGTGAGCCTCACTTGCCACTAGCACTGACATCTCTAATGCGTCGCTGTTATAGACAGGTGACACTCTCGAAGTAGATATTCCTTTCCGAGAACTCGCCTTTGAAGGTGTACCGTTCCGGACCAACGTTCGTCTGCAACCCACAACGGAATGCCTTGTCCACCTCGTCGAGCCTCCCTTCCTTGTCGTCACACTGTCAGACATTGAAATCACATCACTAGAGCGCGTTCAGTTCTCGCTGAAACAATTCGATATGGTTCTCATCTTCAAAGATTTCACCAAACCGCCGCTTCATATCAACTCCATACCAAGTTCGCAGCTGGATGATGTTAAAAATTGGCTTGAGTATGTTTTCCATTCACTGTTTATCTGGTTGTAAAAGTTGACATTGCCCAGCTCCGTAGACATCGCTTTCAGCGAGGGCCCTGTCAACTTAAACTGGGGCCCTATCATGAAAACCATCAATGAGTCACCGTACGACTTCTTCCAACAAGGCGGGTGGACTTTCCTCGGGGGTGGTGGCGCCGAGGTACGGCTTGCGCTTTCCCCTTCCCCTACACTCTCATACATTCAAGCAGAGCGACAACGAGTCGGATTCAGGGTCCGAGTCTGAGTTCGAGGCTGACTCCGAAGAACTTGTTTCGGAGGAGAGCGAAGCGGCGGAGAGCGAGTATTCTGACTTCTCTGACGCCAGCGATGACTCCGGTGGAGGATCGTTTGACGATGGCGATAGCGATGGTAAGTTCTCATATAATTTGCATAATGTAGTTTGCTCATATGAGTCTAGGCGATGATTGGGACGAGCTCGAGCGGAAAGCAGCTAAGTGTAAGTTGATCTCTTATTCAAACAATCCCGTGCTAATGTTTCCAGCCGACGCCAAACATGCTGAGGTCAAGGGCGGTCGTGGGTCCGATTCCGAAGATGAAAGGCCCAAGAAGAAAAAGGGTGCCGCTGCTAGTGGGTCCAAAGGACGAGCCAATGGCAAGCCTGCCGCTAACGGCAAATCGAAGCGGTGAATGCCCAGCTCTCTCCTGTCTCATTAACATTGGTCTTGCGTTCTTGGCAACCCTTCAAGCTTCAAGTCTGCCGTCTATCTTACTCGAATCGCATTTTATTTTGCTTTTGATCCATTCGTAGTTACAATCCCTGATTTTGCAATTGTGTTATGTACCTGTACTCAAGTTCAAATTTTCCGTTCAAACTAGCATATACAGTTCATGCATCATATGCAGTATTGAGTGAATTTGGACGACTCCAAGGCCACGAGGTGGTCGATCCCGAAGGCTTGTATTTTACTTCCGCGCACCCGGTGTCGTCGATGCTATAATGGGCCCGGCAACGTGAAAGTGCCTGTTCCCCGAGCACACCGATGTAAACATGTGCGTTGCCGGCGCTTTAGAGCTTTAAGCTATATTCTCGGTCTCGCGACCTACTAGCATCTCCGACACCATGGCCTCTGATCCATCCCCTAAGGATGCAGAACTGGGTGACGACTACGTGACCTTTTTCGATCCATCCACTCGTACTCGGCGAGGTCTCTGTCCTGTGACTGAAATACGGAACAAGGGAGACCCGTTTGAAAGTCACTCGCTGTACTTTGAGCTTCATGGGACTGGACCTCAGAAGATCGTGTTTATCATGGGGTAAGATCATTTCAGCCTTTTCATTTCAGCATCATACATCTGTGTCTCGCAGTCTCAACAGCACATCTTTCGGATGGTCACCACAAGTAGAGCACTTCTCAAGGCTGAGTTCTGGTTACACCACGCTTGTGTTCGACAACAGAGGGGTAGGCATGAGCGGTACGCCCAAGGGACCCTACACGTACGTGCTTCATTATGGTCTTTCCGGTGGCAAGCTTAGCGAATGGATAGAACGAGTGGCATGGCGAAAGACGTCGTTGCTCTGCTCGACTATGTGGGCTGGACAGCAGAAAGGGACATTCACGTCGTTGGTATCTCACTTGGGGGCATGATAGCCCTAGGTATGCCGGTTCATGTTGCATGCGCACACAGGCATCTCAACATCCCTCAGAACTTGCTACCCAAATTCCCGAGAGGATTATCTCCCTCAGCCTGGTTGTGACGACTCCTGGAGGACGCCCTTGGTCCAATTTACCACCTGTGAGTCCTGAGGCCTGATGCACCGACTTGGGATTTCCCGGACTGACGGTATGTAGTGGAAAGGTTTCAAAGCTTTAAGCAGGTGATCACTGGTTTGTGCTGCATAATCTGAAGTCCATCTGGAGCTGAATCTTGAAAGGCTTCTTACGATGTCTGATCCCAATGCCAAGATACCCATAATCATGGCCATGCTTTTCCCCACCGATTGGCTTCCCTTGAAGGCCGAAGATGACCCGCAAGGCCGCACTAACTATGAGATCCAGGCAGACGTGCGTACCATATCCAATAATGCCTCCATCTCAAAATGAACAATCCATCTTCAGTCCTACGGCAGGCGGTTGGCTATAACGAGGGTGCAGTCACCCGCCGCTGCCGTGTCGCAAATGGTTGCAGGCCTCACCCACCATGTCACGCCCGAGCGCCTGCGGAAGATCTCCTCCTCAATACCGAAGGTCCTTATTCTGACCGGGGACCAGGACAACTTAGTGGACGCACGGAACAGCGCAACCATCAAGAACGACATGCCAGAGGCTGAATACATCGTGTGGGAGCATACCGGACATGGGATTACCGCCCAACACCAGACGAGATTCAACGAACTACTTGAGAAGGTGTTTTCAGAAGGCGTTGCGGCATTGCGTCAATAATTTGCTTCGACGCTAGAACACAGCTACTTCACTAGATGATGTGATGCATTAGATTTCTAGTTGCGAGAGTCGTGCATTATACCAGTGTAAATATGAGATTGTACGAAATGCCAGTACCAGTGCTAGTGGCCATGTCTCTGAGAACTAGAAACACCGAGTAGTAGCGACGAAGCAGATTGCAAGAGTGTTATGGATCCTCGGGACGGTTGACGTTGACTGGAATAAGCTCACTCAAAATAAGGAACGACAGCATGAAATCACTGGTACGCACCGGTATGGGTCAAGGTCCTACTTCTCGCGTAGCAAATCCTTCAGCTGTTTCCTGACCTCCGGGGCAGCCTTACCAATGGCAGCCCGGGAAACACGAGGCTCAATGCGAAGGTTTGAAGGCCATTCTGAAGCCTGCTGTTCCTGACGTTTCATGAGGGTATTCAAGATGGGCTCAATCCGTGTCCGATCCTCCGAGCGAGTAAGAGGTGGAGGCAAAACTTGCTTTTTGGGTACGGAGGACTTCGGAAGGACATGCAGGAAGCGAGCGACTGTTGTGCGCATCTGCGTCAAAAATTGTTAGATAGAGCTTTTGCCAGGATGAGCTAGAGTCCCTGCCTTGGTACGAACTAGCTTTTACTCCAAATTCGAAGTGAGCGCGGGCTTACAAGTTGCTGTCTGGTCCAGGTAATTCACCTCGGTGCCTTTTGTGACTGACGCGTCTGGTCACAAGCCAATTAGGGGAAACGCGCAAGGAAACGCGTCCTCAGCGCAACCTCAACGTCCCACCTAATTACACGGTGCCCCCAAGTGCCCCCAAATCAATTGGTGCACTTAGCTTTTATCGAAGCGAGACCAGACTCATAGCCAAAAAATCTTACTAAAGTGCCCTCTATGCCACCGAAGCGCAAGGGAGTAGCCGATAAACCCGAAACGAGTAATGGGCAGCAGTCCAAGAAGGCGCGTGGCAAAGAGAAACGAAAGGATGAATCTACATGGCCAGCTTATTTTCAGGATGTAAGTGGAAATCACTGATGTGTTCGACAAAACCTTTCTTAACCCATCTTTACGACAGCTTTTCAAGGTAAGCCTATGACCTACTGAGGTTGATTGGCTTTTCTCAGTAACGCGTCGTAGGTCTTTAAGGTATTCCTGAATAACCTTATTTCACGCCCTAAGCTCATATGCCCAGGCCATGAATACGGTATTGGCTTTTGTTTCGTCGCGCAAGCACTTGGCGACGACCTTTCCGGTCGTACGATCTTCCGTTGAAGGGCTACTAAAACGGTGAGTGTGCCATGGTTATTCAGGTAGAGCTAGCGGCTCAACGTTTCCTCGTAGTCCTCTGGAGCTTGCCAAAGTGGCAGAGCTGAAGTGAGCTGAGCTTACCGTAGCTTCCTCGTATGCGTGGCGACGTCTCACTTTCAAACCTCGACATAGAGCGCTGTTGCCAGAGCTCATCAAGTTTGCCTATATAGCCAGGAACGAACTACGTATTCACGGAGATAATTCCTCGCAGGCTCGAGGAGGCAGGAAGAGTCCCGACTTCTCCTTTTCTTCTCAGGCAGGAACGTCAAGCTCCCAATTGCCTGGGCTTGAGGAAGAAGAACACGTCCTTCTCCTTGAGTTTGCGGAGAACTCGAAGGGTAAGAAGGATGCACCGTATGTATTCCTCGAATCGAATCAGCGGCTCCCCTCGACGCTAAAAGTGATTCTTCTGTTAGACAAGGCTTATTCACCATGCCTCCTGCGATGACCCCAGCGGCAGTAAAGAAGCTTGTGGAGCAGCGTAACGATAGGTTTTATGATGCTGTCAACGAGTATGGGCTTCTACATCTCATTCTCTTCTGGATATCTCTGTGATGCTTACATGGTGCTATCTTAACAGGCTCCTTGAAGCTACACCGCATGAAGAGGACCCCGTCTTGCTGCTTCAAGCAGCTGCCGAGGAGCATCTACCTGTGAATCCCTCTGTAGGCGTTCCGAGTCAAGTAGGCGACTTGAAAGGTGGAAACAAGCGCGGAATACCCGAGCCGCAAGATAGACCTACGATAGATGAAATTATAGACAATATACAAGAACAAGAGTGGTACCAAAATCAAATTGTGCACCGCCGCATCGTTGAGGCTAGGCAAGCCACGATAGGTATGTGCAGGTTTAACATGACTGTTAGCACGCCATTGTAGATATTGAGATCGATCTTCAGGGGACTTGGTTACTCCTCTCTCAGACAGCTTGAGACAGGCGTTATGGGACTCAAGAAATATTACTACTTTATATCGACATCAAGCTCAAGCGATCAATGCTTTGGCTGCTGGACAGCACGTCATTGTTTCAACGAGTACTGCGTCCGGGAAAAGTGTCATATACCAGGTGTGCCTCTGTGTGACTACTTGGCGAGACAGTCCAATGATTAGGAAATGTTAGGTACCTCTCATTCGATGCCTGGAGGAGGACCCGTCTGCGACGGCAATATTCATATACCCCACGAAGGTGCTTTGGTCGTCTTTGGGAGCTTAGACGTTACTAAAGCATTGTCGAAGGCTTTGGCTCAGGACCAGAGGACGGCGCTGGAATCACTTCTCTGGGCGTCCCCGGGGCTGCACCATGTGAAGGTGCTCTAACCTTTTCTGTCATGATCTCACAATCCTCATTAGTTCAAAGGTGTCAACCTACGATGGAGACACACCCCAGGATGAACGAGCGTGTGCGTACCCACAACGATTCATATTCATGGTTCTCATCCACATAAAGCCATTCGTGAACAGGCTTCTGTGATTTTCACGAATTTTGTACGGTTTGTTACAAAGTAGCGCACCTCAGAGCTCAACTTATCCAGGATATGATGCATGCTTCAATCCTTCCCCATGAAGATGACTGGAGAACGTGAGTTCGTTGGTTATGCTGTGGTAGAATCACAACCATTTATTTCTCATGTTCTCCTTAGTTTTATGAAAAATCTTAAGCTCGTTGCCGTGGATGAACTACACTACTACTCGGACATAATGGGAAGGTATGCAAACAAGTTCTTACGCGGCTACGGTGCTGAACCCCGTTCAGTCATGTCGCGCAGATACTGCGCCGGTTTCGACGAGTCTGTACCGCTGTCGGGAGTGTGTGCCTCGTCTCCTGGGTGAATTGTTGTAATAACACCTCACACAGATCGTCGAGTACGATTTGTGTCATGCAGCGCCACCATCTCGAACCCATTACAACATATGAAGCAGATGTTTGGTGTAGACGTAAGCATCAAACCCTCCTCCGCAACTAACGTATATAAGCTAGTTTGATAGAACGTGGAGGCAATCACTGAAGACAGCGCGCCATCTGGCCGAAAGGACTATTTGGTCTGGGACCCTCCATACATAGACTCTGGGGCAGCAAACCTTGGAAAGAAGAGCTCCATTGCAGAGGCGACGGGCCTCATGCGCTTTTTGATGAAGCAGGGTGTCAGAGTAATCCTGTTTTGCAAGGTTGGTTCCTTTGATTTATCTTCTCCACTTTGGTTAACTAGAAGGGCATAGATCAGGAAAGCATGCGAGCTGGTCAGGACATCTTTCAAAGTTGTACCTAGGTTACTCACGGAACTGTAGGCCATGAAGACTCTTCGTGCTGACCTCAGCGCTGAAGGTCGACATGATGTGCTTGCTAAAGTCATGCCATATCGTGGAGGTTAGTTTATCTTCCCCTTCCTACTGTTTGTAGATGTTCATAGAGTTCTTGTCAGGATATAACCAGCAGGTAGGGCAGCATTCCATCGTAAGCCAGTTATTGGCTCACTTTCCGTCTCGTAGGACCGGAGACGGTTAGAGAAGGAGGCTTTCACTGGTAACTTGCTTGGCATTGTGGCGACCAACGCGCTCGAGCTCGGTGTGGACATAGGCGTCCTGGACGCCGTCATCATGCTAGGTTTTCCGTTTGGCCTTGCTTCTTTCGTACGTTCGACATCAGACATTGACTCTTTGTCACCCAATGTGTTGACTTGATTCAGAGACAGCAAGCTGGGAGAGCAGGCCGCCGCTCGCGCGATTCACTCGCAGTCCTTGTTGCTGACGGTCTTCCTATTGACCAGCACTATGTCAATTTCCCCGACGAGCTGTATAACAAGCCCACGAAGGAGCTTATCGTAGACCTAGAAAACAAGATCATCCTCGAAGCTCATCTTCAGTGTGCCGCGCAAGAAATGCCTCTGTCAAAGGAAGAAGACTCGATTTATTTCGGTCCGATGCTAGGCGAGCTATGTGACCAGAAGCTCGTCAGAGATAAAGAAGGCTGGTGTGTGGACTCGAGGTTGGACTTGACGCTCGCTGACCGCTTCCAAGGTATCATACACACCCCAAGTTCTTGCCTTACCCATCGAAATTCGTCTCGATACGCGGCGCAGAAGAAGAGAAATACATCGTCATTGACATTACGAAAGCAGAACCCAAAATCATCGAAGAGATTGAGTTCTCCCGAGCTCTATTTGAGCTCTACGAAGGCGGGGTGGTACGTGATTACACACACTAAATTGTAATAGTTACACTCACACGAACTGATCCTTATTGCACTGACAGTTTATGCATCAAGGTCTAACATTCATCGTGCGTACTATTGCATTAAGACAGATGCAACGCTGACCTCCAATTAGGTCAAAGAAATTAGTAACGAAATGAAGACAGCCAAAGTTATGAGGGCTGATGTTAATTGGATCACCAGTCCAAGGTGCGTGCTCGATGGTTGGCATCATGCTGTGCGTGACCCAGCTCTAACCTTTTGCAGAGACTTTACGTGAGTTTGTCTTGAAAATACCAAGCATCAGGCTCATAATGTACTTCAGCGATGTTAATGCCGTGCAAGTGTACCGCATCAAAGAGATTGCAGGCTCATCTCACAGAGCATACTACGGAAGTGAGTAAATTATTCCGAGGCGAGAGACATGCCCACTGATATCGGGCAAGGGGTGGACGTAACAACTATTGTATACGGTATGTACGAGCGGTATAATACCTCTGATGGTCGTGTTCTGACCGAGTGCCAGGATTCTACAAAATAAGGTGAACCATATCTCTAAGGATGAAGAGCAAAACTCTAACCGCCTGATAGGAACAAGCAGATCCTCGACACCGTTGAAATCGACAGCCCTCCATGGGAGAGAAGCGTGACGGGGCTATGGCTGGACGTCCCCAAATCTCTCCTTGGCCTGTTGCGGGCGAAGAACATCAACGCGGCCGAAGCCATTCATGCAGCGTGTCATGCATGGTTGAATCGATTCGCACTTGCGGTAGACCTAAAGACCGAGTGCAAGGCGGCAGAAAAGGAGTACAAGTCATCGGAGTCGGCGCGCAAGCGACCAGCTAGGTAGTCATTGTTGCCTCTGGAGGTTGCCACATCTGACCTTGTTCGGCAGGCTAATATTTTACGATGCTGCAGCAAAAAGCGGGATGTCAGCCAAGGGTTTCGATCACGGTAAAGCTTCCCTTTCATGTGACTAAATATCCAACGCATCCTGACGGTCATCAGTCAACGACGTACTTCGACGGGCACATGATACTGTCGAATCGTGTCCGTGTCCTGACGGGTGCCCCAACTGTAAGCACGCGCTTCATGCTTCGCAAGGCGTATACTCTAACACCAGTGCATAAGGCGTACATAGCATATCATGCAAGGAAGGAAACAAGGTCGCCTCGAAGCTCGGAGCATTTCTCGTCCTGCGCAGCCTACTCAACCTCGAGATCGAAGCAGACAGCATTCCCACACAGCACGACGACGCAGAGGGATTTAGTACAGTCACTGAAGCAGGGTTTATCCGTCCCGTCGAAGGCGTTGAAATAGAGAAGGCTTCTGGTTGATGCCTACTTTCCGGTTGGAACACTGAATTAATATGTAGTATACCATGACCTCAAGCTACTCGTAAACCAAATCAACCTCCGTATCACTGAACAAAATCAACTAAGAAATAACAGCGCATCACCCGTGAAGCATAGTATGACATATGATCCGACCACGTCTACTTCAATGGATCGAAATCGCCCTAATCATTCGACGATGGAGGCTTGCTCGGCGTGCTAAGTCGTGATGGCTGCATCGGCGCCATCATACTGCCCATATTGGCCATCCCCATGCCGCCCATGCCACCCGCAGGGGTCGACGGTGTCGACGCTTGCAGTGGAGGCGCCGAGAATGATAGCGGCGGTCCAGACATGGAGGGTAGCGGTGGAGGGCTCGGTGATGAGAGACCCATCATGGGAGAGAACGAGATGTTGTAGTTGGGCTTTGGCGGTTGCTGCGGCTGCTGCGCCGCCTGTGACGTCGCGGTCATTGGTGAAGTAGACAAGGAAATGTTGTAGTTTGGTCGTTGTGGCTGCTGCGGCTTCTGAGCGGGTGCCGAGGGCGGCGGGGACAACCCGAAGCCGCCGGAGCTTGAGGGTGGCGAGAGGGGAGGTGGTAGCGAGCTGGAGTTGGGTTGTGATAAGTTGTTGAATGCGCTATGGAAAGAGGAAGATGAGACGGGCTTCGCCCCGAGTTTGGACGGCCGGGCGGGAGCGGTGCTGATAGTCATGCGTGGGGAGGCTGGAAGAGATTGCGAGCTGGTACTCGCTTGGAACGAAGACTGTATGGATGGTTGTGGCTGCATAGGCTGCGAAGGCGATATTGCTGGGCTTGAGGTTGCCGTCTGGGTGAAATTCACAGTCACTCATGAATACGATGCGTGGACAAAAATGGGACACGTACCTCAGCAGATGGTGCAGGAGCATTGAGTATGCTCCCCCACATATCATCGTCATCCCAGCCCTTGCTTTCAATCGCACTGTCCTGCTTGACAGTTCCGTTGGCGGCTCCTACTAAACTCTCAAAGTCCATCGGGCCGCTTGTCGCAGCCGAGCCATTGACCGCGATTGTGGGAGCAGAGGAAGAGTCGACACGATGAGCGTCACGAAGGAATTGTCCGTGCTCCCGTTCGACACGGTCGCCGAGTTTCTTGATAACCCCCATGAAGCGGGTGAACTGCTCCACCGTAAGCACTAGAATGACCGAGATGAGATGAATGAGCTAGTTCGGAGGCACAGGTTACTGACATGGTCCTATCGACATTGCCCAGAGCTGAGGGAGCACGAGGGTAGCGACAGCCTCTCTGTCGACCTTGAAGCCCATGGCTTCCTGAACAGCCAGTGTCGCCATCTTAGAGTGGGAAGGTCAAGCTAAAGACGTGCATGCTTTGAAGAAGGGTAGCTGACGCACCGTGACGGCAGGCTCCTTCGTCCGAATCTTGCTCAGGAGAGGCACAAGCTTCTGCGTCAAGCTTGTCTACTTCCGAATCAGATTTGTACTCGTGAATAGCGGGCGAGAACGGAGCACACCTGGTCAAGCGTCTTCACCATACTATGGAAGGTGACCAATGTCGCCACTTTGACACTCAAGATTTTCGTCCGAGTAAAGACAAGCTATATGACGTTGTCAAAAACATATCGGCCATCTCTTCTCTAAGATGCACTTACAGCGACGCGCGGGAACAGCACGCTCGACACCTCAGCGTAGTCAATGGTCTCGCATAGATCGGGCACCGTCTTCAGCGCCCGCTCTTGAACCTGTCGTTGCACAAACGTCTGAGCACAAAGAAACATACCAGCTGGTCACTTAGACGTACAATAGAGTGCTCGCTCTCAAGGGCGTGATACACCAGCGGCAGGACCTCTGGTGATCGCCATCACTCACCTATCTACCCTTTCCATACAATAGACTACTCACCTGACTGGAATATTTTCTTTTCCGTCTTCTCTTGTAGCATGGTGAGATTATCGAGCAGTGTGAGCATACACTGCGGTGGATCCTTCAGCGCAAACAGTGGTTTCAGCTTCGGGAGCACTAGCGATGCGAACTGGTTTGCCGAGATGATGTTCGCAATCGCGAAGATGTTTGGAAGAAGATATGGGAGCAGCTGGGTATCTTTCATCTATGTATTGCGACAATGACGTTCAATTCGGCACGAGAGCGTTCATGGGGATGAGAACGCTTACTTCCTCAAGCAAACTTGGCAGGATCTTGCGCACACGCAGACCCTTGGAGAAACGCTCGAGTACACTGGTAAGCCCACGCATGAACGTGATCTTCTCCTCGCGTGTCTTCGTCGCGAACGTCGAGCGGTCCAAGAAGCTAAGCGTCGAGATAGGCAGCGACGAGAAGAAGCCGTACGAAGGCAGGTCAGCGGGCGAAGGACGCGATGTCGGCTGGCGTGTAAGAAGCACACGGAGAAGGTCTTGGTCGGTCATCAGTGCCGAGCTAGACTTTAGTAAGTAGAAAACATACTCTGTAGGTCCGGGTCAAATCTTTCGACGTCTGCCACAAGCCTTGAGTCGTTGGCATTATCTCGCAATGAGCTCAGAGAGTTGTGCGTCTTTAGAGGTGGGCTGCCGCGAGCGTGAACGGCATACATCAGGCAGCCAAGCGAGTACATGTCCGAGAGCACGGTGTGCTGCTCGTCGAGCGCGTATTCGGGAGCTTTGGGAGGAATGGGTCTCAGCCAACAATATCATGACAAGAACAGCGCACCCATATAGTCGAATGATCGCTGCACATATGCTGGCATACGTCCGTCAAACGTTGGGAACTCCCATCGCGTTGGTCTGCCCTCTGGGGAGGTCAGGGGTATAGTAAGACCCAGACCAGAGATCTTCCAGTCACCCTGTACAAGGATGCAACAAATCACGAGTGGATAAGCCGATGCATTGACAACAGGAAGTTGATAAGAAGCAGTGCAGGTGTGAGAGAATTATCCACCATGGCAGGAAGATGTAACGCACGGCATCGTTGATGATCACAGTGTCGGGGCGGATGTTGGAGTGTATCAGACGCGCAGACGTGTGGAGGAACGAAAGACCACTGCATAGTTGTATAATGCCCTTCTGGATCTGAGCAGAGTAGTTAGAACACGGTGCCGCAAGCGGACCCGCGTTCAGGGCCAGGGGCTACTTGTTCTCACCTCAACTTCGTCCAAGTCTAGTGATGATGTAGAGTAGGTAGAGCGGGAGCGATGAGAGGACGAAGAGGTGATGGCGAGTTCGAGGGGAGCAAGTATTGGTTCTGTTGCGAAGATGAGTTCTGTCCGAGTATCCTCAAGAGGTTCGACCATCTCTGTACACAATCCGGATGAGATCGTGATGAGCAGGCACAATCAGCACGGCATACCGAGAATACATGGGTGCCTAAATTTGCTGAGTGCCGACGACTGAGTACGTTATCCTAGCTTGAGCTAACAGATACAGCACCAGCAAACGCAGCTGCGCACCTCTAGCTTGAGCACCTCGAGAACCTTGTCGCGTGCAGCGCCGGTGAGGCCCTCGAGCTCTGTGCTTTTGTTAAAGCTCCAAACACTGACGCGTTTATTGGTGACCTTGTGTGTTGCAGCCTGAACTCTCCAAGGACCAACTCTGACAGCAGGGGTGGGTGCCGTAGAGCCCGGAGTGGGTGTAGAGGAGCGACTTCCATTAAGCGAGGAGGAAGCAGAGCCAGAGGAGAAAGAGTATGATTGGGATATTGCGCTCCTGGAGAAGAACGCGCTCGCCGCCGCAAACATTGTTCTGCTCCCTCGTGCTGTGTTGTTCTGCTCAAGTGTTTCTGCTCGTTACTTCGCGTCGTGGCACTGCACGCGCCGAAATCTTTGCCCCTGTATGGTAACCGGCGCTGCTTTACGTAACGCAGTGCTATGACATAGTGCGTTGACTGTGCGCGTCCACCTGTTTGACTGACAGGACCAAGGTCCGGATAGCCGAGCGTCGGCGCTCTCAGTGGACCCCACACGCTTCTTCGTGTCCTTTCCACCACCTCTCTTCTCCCTCATCTCGACTGAGCACGATGCGCCCTACAGTTCGTCTCCTCCAGTCCATCTCCCCGGCTGCTACGACGCGCCAGAATGCGGTCGCTTTCATCGGTCTTGGCCGTATGGGTGCCAACATGGCGTACAATCTCTTCTCCAAGACTTATGCTTCGAATCCGGCTACCAAGTTCGTACTCTGCGACGCAGTACCCTCTGTTGCACTTGATCTCAAGCGCCGTCTTGAAACTGAGTTCAATGGTCTTGATGTCCAAGTCGTGCTCAAACCCGAGGAGTGAGTAATATAACTACACACTCCCGCGCATCATCCACATCTTTGGCCGAGCAACTTTCGTGCATACCACCTGCATGCACCTGATTCTGATTCATCTCTCAGGGCTGTCAAGGCTGCACAAACCGTGTTGACAATGCTGCCATCCTCGCCGCATGTCAAGACTGTCTATACCGAGGACGGTGGCATTCTCCCCACACTTCACGCATTGGCGTCACACCACACCTTACTCATCGACTCCACAACGCTCGATGTCGATGTTGCACGCGCCGTTATGCGTGATGCCGAGAATGCAGGCGCCAAGATGGTTGACGCGCCTGTCTCAGGGGGTAAGTCCTCTTTCAGGCAATCCATGACTTGAGCACGAATATCAATGTAAAATCGTGTAGGCGTGGCCGGTGCAAAAGCAGGTACCCTATCCTTCCTTGTTGGTGGCCCTGATGCTACGTACAAGCTCGCACACCCGTATCTGTCGATGATGGGCGCCCGTATCATACACTGCGGGCCGGCAGGCGCGGGTCTCGGTGCGAAGATTTGCAACAACCTCGTCCTCGGCGTCCAGCAAATTGTGGTTGGCGAAGCCATGCTGCTTGGAGAGCGTCTTGGGCTCGATGCTGGTGTGCTTGCTGGCGTGATCAATAGCTCCACCGGTGCGTGCTGGTCGTGCCATACGAACAACCCGGTACCCGGTGCGCTGAAGGAGAAGGCGATCGAGCCCCCATGCGAACGTGATTATGAAGGCGGGTTTGCGACGGCGCTGATGCTCAAGGTGCGTGTATTATCCATGAGCACATTAAATGGCCGTGCTCAGCCTAGTTGCTGCATGATACACGATCGTTGATGCGAGATGCACGCAGGACATGAACTTGGCTACGCAGGGTGCCCAGAAACACGGCACTGCGCTGCCCATGGGCACTGCAGCTAAAGAATACTATGACCGCATTATCCAAGCTAACCCTGTTCTGGCTCGGAAGGATTTCTCGAGCGTGTACACTGCGCTCAGAGAGGACAAGCCGTCGGCAAGTCGGGAAGCCGGATCAAGCGGACTGTCATGAGGCTCAAGCGGCTATAACCGTAATCGCCTGGTGGGGGGCAGGCGCTGATAGTGGGAAGGACTGAACTGAGAAGGCACCGCTGATGTATAGATCATGGAACTTGAGAAGCATCGGCCATTGCATGCTTCACACCATGATGTTATCCCCCGCTTCTGCACCAGTTGGAAGGCCCCGGAAGAACAGGGGGTCTACCAGGTGACCGAGCCGTTGGGTGTATATCACAAATTGTACCATAAAAGGATAATCTTAGTCAGCGCATGGGACGAAATTTACGCTCCACGTGATGCGGAAGTGATCGTGGGACGGCCTGTGATTGGCTGGAGGGCAATCTGGCCAAAGCGGCTTCGAATCATTGCACTTGGTTGTTTCCTTGCAGCTGCAAATTTGGGTTTCTCGTCTTCTTGTCTGCGAGCGATTGGCTTTCCCTGTTCCCTTCCTTTTCTCGCTCCTGTCGATATAATCTCCTTCGCCTTTCCCTTCCGCCGTGTAGGCCAGACTTAATATTCACCCATCCAGACGAAACGAAACTGCGTCACAGCCAATTCACCCAACGACTCGAGACATTTACAGGCAGCCATGGCCGACAAACCTTCTGCCATCATCTTTGGTGTGTCCCCGCGCGCTAACAGCGTCGCCCGTCCCCATGTGCTAATCTCGAATCCCGCAGGCGGCGTGAACACGTGTTCCCGTGCACTAGTCGCCCTCCTCGTCCCCCTAGGCGGAGACCCTCTCGTCTCCCATCTCCGCATCGTCGACAAGTTCTCCGTCTTTCCTCCCACTACATACATCGGCGCAGAGTTTGCAAAGATCCTCAATCAGGGTGGCCCCGTCGAGTATCGTCAAGCTAATCTGACTGTACCTGGTATGTCTTACCCCTCACCTTGGGCTCATCAATGAACATTTTAATGTGTTTCTTGTCTTGATTAGCCGCTGTCGCCCAGGCTTTTGAGCCGCCGCAGGGAGTCGCACCCTATAGCCTCGTCTTTGATCTCACAGGCGAGATCAACTATGACCGAGGTGAACCTGTGCGTGTCCCTCTCGGTCGTCGCTCTCCCGGATTCTGACCATCTGGTACCTGCCATCTGAATACGCGGGGCATAAAACGTGGTCATATAGATCTTCATCCAGACGACTTTCACTGTCGCGCGCCATATTGCGCTCGAAGCGACCAAGCGCAACGTCGCAGCGTACGTCCGTCTTCAACTCCCCGTCTATGAGTCTCCGGAGAAGGGTGATCACTCCGAGGCCGAAGACGTCAAGCCCGTCACGCCGCGCGATACGTGGTGGCATGAGACGACGCGCATGCTTGCGGGGATGCCTGAGTGAGTGAACCGTTCAGTCCCTCCTGCATCTCCCCTCACGGCGTTCGATCGTGCTACTCCCAGGTTGAACCTGGTCATTCTTCGCATTGGCTTTGTATACGGTCCCTATGTCGATTATGGCCTCAGTACGTTTTTCCCTCATTTCGGCATTTACCACCCGTTCGTATTCTGATGTCCCCACGCAGTGGCGCAAGTCATCACTGTCGCATCCGTCTATGGCTACATGTCGAAACCCATGAAGACGTTGTGAGTCATCCGTTACATTTACTTCTAGTTATGACCGGAATTTCTACCTACACGTTCTCATCACTTCATAGGTGGGGGCCGGGTAAGGATCCTATCAACACCATACACGTCGATGATGTCGCTGGTGGGCTTTGGGCATGCGCAAACTGGATAAAAGGTGTGGGCCGGAAACAGGCCGACATTGAGGCCGGCGTGCCGGTCTTGTTCCACAACGATAAGGCCAAGGTTGCTGAGGTCGAAGGCACCGTTTCTCCCAAAGAGAACCCCATTGCTCCTGTATTCAACCTGGTAAGTACGGCGCCCCGCATTATGCCATTCCTGTCCTCATGAGTTTTGCTGGGGCTGGTCGCGAACATATCCTAATAGGTCGATGAGTCCGAAACGACCCTTGTCTCTGCAGGAAACACGATCACCTCGTTCTTTGGGACTACATTCGAATTCTACAACACTTTGCAGAATACCGTTGCGCGCTTCCGGCTTGATGACGTTGTGGACGAAATCAACGAGCACCACGTTGGCACCTGGACTCAGATGCAGCAGATGTCGCAAAAACCGATCACCCACTCGCCGCTCAACGGATACATGGATCGCTACGCACTGTCACGGCATCGTCTCGCTTACGACGCATCCAAGATCAAGGCTGTAGTTGGGTACAAACTGAAACGGCCTACGTTCTGCCGTGAGAACATCCGCGAAATGATCGACAAGTGGAAAGAAGATGGAGTCTGGCCCATCCTAGATTAATCTCGGGCACCCACATCGTCTTCTCTCATGGTTTGGATCCGGAAGTCTAGATTGGTTTCGGTTTTTCTCGGGTTCCGCACGACAATACCCCCTACTGTACTGGCAAGCAAGATAGGCGACCATGCATACTGATGGAAGACGAACGAACGGAAGCGACGCGGTGGAGGAAGGAGGTTGCCTAGATTGCTCAGCTTTCATGACGCCAACAATACTACCATGCCCTCGTTCGTGCTGGAGCTGCGTGTTCTATGAACGCCCCTCACAGTTCTAACCTGGCGCACACGATGCATGTTGGACTCGAGGAATGTGCTAATTGCTAATAGTTACTTCTGCCTGCTTTTTTACATCAATATTTCAACCCTTGTTGCTTCAATTTTATCTCACTTCTATTTCACCTCTACGTACATGATCTTAATTACGCTCGGCAGAGGCCCTCGGTCGTGTCTTTCATCCGCACATTCACCCTCATCTTTATCCTCATTTATTCTCTTCTCTCAGTTCATGACCAGTTCTCGGCCTCTGGATCTTCTCGTCACCATCACCACCATCAACAACAACAACATCAAACGTAATCCTCTATCACTCCTCATTTCAGCTTCATACCTCTATTTCCTAGTCTGCCTTACTACGTCCCCTCCTGTTGTCTCACCTTGTGTTTTAGTCGATAATGCCGCTTTGCTTCACGTGTTCGGTAATGGATCTATACGTTGTCTCTTTCTGTTGATTGTTTTCCTCGTTATGATGCCTCGGTACAAATGTGCTTGCTCGTTCAGTGTACAGCTGGAAGTGTGCTGGTATGTGTCTCTTCAGTTGCTATTAGTTTGCCATGGATACAGGATTACTATCTATGTCGCGAACCTACGCAAATGGTAAGGCAGTTTACAGAGCGCAGAGTTCAGTCCATGTAGTAAGGTTTTGTTTGTGGTTAAGAGTTGCTATGAAGCCCGAATACAAAGGTAGAATTGTATACAGACCCAACTTCAGACGGTCATAACCAGGCCTTGAGCCAATTAATTACGAACAGATCAATGAATTAACGGCTACATCTAACAATCCGTATGACCAACACGACAGAAACGACGCCGACGATGAGTCGATGTCACAGAAATGATACAGTATGTGATGGGAGTTTCAGGCTACACTTTAAAGCATGCAATATTAAGGAGATGTAGGAAAGGGCCAGACGAAGACAGTGTGCTGTATGCACGATCAGGTGGAGCGACTAACGTTCGCCTATTAAGATTAGCCACGGTAAGAACAAAAAAAACCAGAGGAGCGGCGCAAGGATGGAGTGACGAAGAGCGAAGTTGGTTCGAGATAAATATAAATATATAAATAAGTAAGAGATGGGAAGGACGGCAATGTTATTGAGGGGCTTTCAAAATTCGAGGAATTGGTAGGCGCAGGGGTCGAAACGCTGGTGGACAGTGGGTGGGTTCTCTTCCCCGTGGATGCCTGGCATGTCGTCCAAGGATGGATAGGGGAGGTGAAGGAAGTGGCGCATGTCGTCGACGGAGGTGGTCTGCGGGATGATGGGGGCCTGCAATCGAGGTGAGATACATTCACCCGGAACATAAACGACACCGCCGGACTCACCCTGATCTCACATCGCTCGAGCGCTTCCCAGTCGACGCCCCGGAACCAGGGATGGTCGAGCACGTCCTGTGGCCCACCGCCCATGTTTCCAAGCCGCTTGCTGCGATCAGGATGGAGGAAGCCTTTGATGAGCTCTTTGGACAGCCGGTCCATCGTGCGCGGCCAGTATATTTCTCCCCGTAGAATCTTTTCGTAGATGCCGTAGGCCGTCTCGTCGAAGAAGGGGGGATATCCGACCAGCATCTCGTAGCAGAGGATGCCGCAGGCCCACCAGTCAGCGGCCTTCCCGTGGCCGTCCGACTGTATGATTTCTGGTGCCAGGTACTCGGGTGTACCACAGAGGGTCCAAGTACGATCGTCGACGATCTTTGCAAAGCCAAAGTCAGTCAGCCGGACGTAGCCACGAGAGTCCAAAAGGAGATTTTCCGGTTTTAAATCACGGTAAATGATGTTGAAGGAGTGGAGGTATTTAAGCGCCATGACGATAGTGGCGAGGTAGAAGCGAGTGACGTCGGGAGTAAAGCGTTGTGCGCGGCGGAGATGCGTGAAAAGCTCGCCTCCCGGAACATAAGACATGAGCATATAAATGTTCAGGCTGTCCTGAAACGTCGCAAAGAGATCGACGACAAATGGGTGCCTGACACGCGAAAGAATGTATCTCTCGGCATTGACGTGCTCGACCTGGCGCAGCCGGACGATCTCGCTCTTACGTAGGACCTTCAACGCGAAGATGCTCTGGGATCCGGGTGTCGCGGTCTTGAGACGGACCAAAAGGACACGGCCGAAAGTCCCTGTCCCTGCAGATGGCTGAGTGACAAACATTGAATAGCTGACGGCGCTCGTACCTAAGGCTCCCCTGACTTCAAAGTCTGTAAGCTTGAGCTCTCCAGGGCGAGTCACATGGACCTGTTCGTCTTCCAGTTGTCTGGCTGGGAGGCGAGGTGGTGTTCCTGGCCCTTGTGAGTTCTCTGGAGTCGGGTTACCCCAGATGTAGCGAGGATTCTGCTCGGATGTAGCCTCTGCCACAGGCCTGGTGTTAAGGGCAGATGGCGTATAATCATCAGCCATGTTGACATCGCGCACATCACGTTCGCTGTGTCCAGGGGAAATGGGAGGGGTCATCGGTCCTTTCGCAGGGGCTGAGGGGTTTGGATCTCCACGTTGTTGGGATGTAGTAAAGGGGTTGGTGAAAACAACGCCGACTGGGGCAGTAAGTCTTGGGGAGTCCCTGGGGTGATTCTCCATTTAACTGGAATTTTAGTGAGTGATATGAACTTGACATTGATGTCCACATCAGCAGGTCATAAAGTGGAACTGACACGAACAAAGGTGAGCAGGGTGGACCAGTCGGGTGTCTAAGGCAAGTTAGTCAGCTGCTGAGAGACCTAGGGGTGACCGGAAGACCCTGATGATGAGGTAGGAGAGAAGAGAATTCGAAGGAAGGCTGTGGACAAAATACTGAGCTAAATCATCAAAGTGATCAAGCGGAACGTAAATGTGCTCACATTAAAGAATCGGACGGCCTGGGTGATATGGCTTGGGTTTCTGTGATAAAGGAGGGGGAGGGGGGAGAAGTAGGAGCCTGGTGGGAGAGTCACGGACTCGCCAGGCTTTAGAAGGCCGTCAGAGCTTGCAGCCTGCCAGGAAACTGCCTAGGGGCGAGATGATTGACGACGGCCCACGCCCACGTGGATACCAACGACGTAACCGGACCCGAACTTTCAACGAACCTCTCTTTCCTTTCTTGGCAGCCAGCCACCGCGACCCTGCTCCTTCACCTGCATAAGTTTGGGAAATGTATTAGCCCAAGGCTGGCCAGGTTGCTTGTCGACACCTGGAGCGCACGGTAACTATACTGATTGAATTCATTCCCTCAATGTCTCCGTATTCTTTGAGCAAAAGCCACGTGTCGGCATGGAGCCTAAGAATACCCATGATTTTCGGATGAAAGATACCCTATTGTACACATCTGTGAGAGAGCGGGCGTCGGGCACTGTCAATGCATACATCGGCTGCCTTGCAGTGATGCTTCTTCATGTAGACGAGCATAAAAACAAGGCGGGCGTTCTGTGACGGCCCAACTCCGCCGATGACCCGATGCAACAGCTGAGCGGGGTCAGGGGCTTTCTCTACTATTTTGGGAATGTCACTTCAGTGCATTATTACGCGCCGCGGGAACCGGATCTGTCACCTTGCTCCTTACCGCAGTGAACGTTGACTGCAGCTTGCAGGCTACACCAGCATCAGAAGAACCGCCACTTCCTTGACAGAAGAGCACGCAATGGCATCTAGACCGAACGTTGGCGGATGGTTAATGGGCAAGACTATCAAAAAAGGTGGAGGAGCTACCACAAGTGCGCATCCGACGCGATCTTCTACGCCTCAGGTGCAGAGCACGTCAACTACTGTGTTCGGTGGAGGGGTCAAAGATCCGTCAGGACGAATCTCAGAGTACTCTGTGTGTTGTGAATGCACAATTGTAACCTTCTTAGCTGACAGTTGCTCAGTCTATGGACGATCAGTGTCCTGTGTGCAAGTCTGACCGTTACTTGAACCCCAAACTGCGTCTGCTCGTAAGCGCATGCTACCACAAGATGTTCGCCTTTTCACAAACACGAGCATCTCTTGGCTCCTCTAACATACGTGTGTAGGTGTGAGTCATGTATCGACAGGTTATTCACTCTGGGGCCTGCACCTTGTCCCATATGCCAAAGGACTCTACGAAAGCTCGCATTCACACCTCAAACATTTGAGGACTTGACAGTCGAAAAAGAGGTTGCAGTTCGAAGACGAATAGCGAAAGAGTAATGCGCTAAACAGACCATCCCTTCAGAAGCCTCACCCACTTACCTAGATTCAACAAAAGACGCGATGACTTCCCTGACCTTCGCGCATACAACGATTATTTGCAGGAAGTAGAAGACCTCAGTAAGCCTAATCCCAAATAGGAGTTTGTTCTGATTAATCTTTATGCACTTCTAGCTTTCAACCTCATCAATGACATCGACGTCCCGCAGACTGAAGCTCGCATTGCGCAATACCGGGCCGAGAATGCAGCCTTGATAGAACTGAATATCCAGAGGGAGGAACAGTATGCACAAGCATTAAAAGAGCAAGAAGAATACGAACGCCAAGAGAAGGAGCAGCGTGCAGCAGAGGCACGTCGGGAACAGGAAGAAGCGCGCGAAGAACGAGAGAGGGAACGTAGGCAAATCATCGACCGCCTGGAAACAAGTAACAAGGACGCGGCGACGGTCATCGCGAAGACGCGCGCTGAGACACAGAAAAAGTCCTCCGCCCGTGCAGCCGTGGCACCCTTCAGAAGCAACTCTCAGCTTCTCCGCTCACGCGCTGCACAGAGCTCAACTGTTCCCGATGTTCCTCACGTTCCTCTCCAAGACGACTGGGATGCATACGAAGGGATGTATACATTGAGGGACAACTATGATGATCCACCAAGCGAAGCCGTGCGTAGAGATCGGGAGGGTATTATGCGTGCAGGTGGATATCGCGTGGAGGAGGCATGGGAGAGAGCATTAAGATGCGCTGTTGCTGGCCTGGAAATGGCTCCGTTGACTAGTGTCGCTGGGGACAGTGACATGGACAAGCTCCGTGAAGTCCAGGACCTTCCCACACCAGCATGATCTACTGCACGAATGTCTGCATTATAATCAGAGCGTATTTTATGAATGCTGCTTGGGATGTTGCAAAGATGTGTATATACGATAGAGTCCTTGAATGCAAGTCCAGATAGTAAAAGTTTAAGCACTACATCAGCCGCTCCTAACGCTCGTGACGACTTTATGACTCTTGCGTTCTTCGGGCGTCCAAGGATCGTCCATCGGAAAGGACAAGATCTGAAATTCCTTATGCCTGAGTGTCTTCAACCTGAAGAAATTAACAAAGTCCTCGTAATCCAACCCTCCATTCCCTTCTTTACTCTTCCCGTTCTTTGTCTTCCTGTTTTCGCAGATGTCAATATCTTCATCCTCGTCCTCGTCCAAAGTGCCATCGTCTTCAGAAGGATCCAATATAATGACATCATCTATAGGCCCAGAAGATGGACGGATTCGTTTGATGCGCGGAGGAAGGGACGAAACAGGAGTTTTGCGCTTCATTGCTTGAGTAAAGAAATTCTCGAGCCGAGGACCGGGCTTCTTGAACGGCTCCCATCCCAGAGACGAGTCTCGCCAGTCAAGTGCCGTTTTTCGTACTTTCGAGGGCAGAGAGCTGCGATGGCACGGCTCAACATCGTAGTCATCGGCTCCTAAACTAACTTACTCGGACGGGTTAAACTGCAGAAGGAACGTCTCATTCTTCTTCGTTTCCATGTAGCCAACAATGGTCCTGGAGTGCCCTCGGTGCTGAAGAATTAAGGGCATCTTGTTGGTGGATTTTACCGGTGACGAGGAGCGCAAGATACCATCAGTAGAGTCAGCGGTCTCGGCGCTAGATGTAAAGTAGTCCTTTATCCACTTCTTCATATCCTCCAGACCTGGATGCAGCGGATGGTTTATTGAAATGCCTGCCGTGCTGAAGCATCCTTACTTACCCTGCGCCGTGTGTCCATCCTCAAACTTGAAATCCACTAATTTAGAACTAAGAAGCCTATGAGGGCAAAGGTATAACACTTTAAAATTTGACACTTACGGTACCCCTCTGAAGGTGAAAGCCGTATACAGCTCTAGGTGCAATTGTAAGATAGAGGAAAGATATAGGTCTGTGTACGTACCTGCGGTTCCTATCCACGCCTTTGTTCCGGATAACCCGTCCTTGAAATCATTAGCACCCGCGGCATCATATCCTGGGCAATGATTTAGAACATACTCCTTGTACCAAGCAAGAGCAGCTGACCTTCACGCCAGGCTGCCTCAATCCATTCCTGCAAGTTGCGAACTCCGGGACTTATGGGTTCCCCCAAAAGGTCCGAGTAGCTAGGCTGTATCTGCTGTGTCATTAAGGCTGAACAAGCCATAAGAAAGTTTCGATACCTATATTGCAATTTTGTAAGCCAGTTGATACTTTCCTGTCACGTTCACTCACCCGCAACCCCAGCTACGGTCGAAGGGCTCGACATTGACCAAAACGGCTTCTTCATAGCATAGCACTGCCTGACGAATGTCCCCATGGGTGTGCGAGTATTTGAGCGCCATCTTGAGTAGATGTATCAGTCCTGACGCGTAAGTCAGTTATGTCAGACATTGGGATCACTTAAGCCTGACCTGGAGTATAGTTATGGGGAGGAGGTCTAGACTGAGCAGGGATCCAAAAATCGGACTCAGACTTCATTTCTTTGTATTTTCCCTTGATCTTGGAGAAGGAACTGCTCGGGGCACGAGGTGCTGGGCTGGCAGGTGGGCGACGAGTCGCCCGTTTGTGACCGTTCGACTTTGCTACAAGACCATGCTGGCTAAATGTAACTGTCACCATGAGGTAAAGTGTCACGCACGATCATCTATATTATGTTTCTGATCATAGTGAGCTTGCCGCTCACGCGGAGTCAGATTATCAAACTTGAGGCTACACAGTTGGCAATATACGTGACTAATGTCGTGAAGGGTAAAGTGAGTTATATCTGAGAATCCTAAAGACAGCAGGACGCACGAAGACCCCGTTCCATTCTCATTATTATCTATGATTATAACATCGTCATTACTGGCCGCCATGGTTGACGAAGAAGAGAGGGGTATAAAGAAAGATAGAGGCAGACGCGTCAGAGGCCGCTCAAGCTGGTTGGCTTAGGGGAAGTTTCTTGACACTGACAAGGAAGCGTCATTGACACGCGTCTCAATTAGTATACTAGATTACATCAGCTACTGCACCCGTGCCAGACGCGCGTCCAGCTCGAAGACTCCGGAAGAGGCCAATCTAAAGGTGCACTTGGACCGATCGCGTTCCTTCACTCTGCCTAAACTTACTCCTTCATACCACCATGTCAAGGTCCTACGATCGAGGTCAGTATTGATACTCTGTATACTATATCTCTGCTCTAACGCTCGATCATCCAGCTCTGACGGTCTTCTCCCCTGATGGCCACTTGTTCCAGGCAAGCATACACGCGTCATCCCCTTGGTAGACCCTATAATTCTCAGCCTTGATGTGTAGGTTGAATACGCGCTTGAAGCCGTTCGCAAAGGAACATGTGCCGTAAGCCTTAGCGCGTTCTCCTTCCATTACCCAACCTCAACAGTTATTAGGTCGGCGTACGCGGCAAGGATGTAGTGGTGCTCGGAGTCGAAAAGAAATCGGTGCTGCAACTCCAGGATCCTCGCACGGTCAGAAAGGTTGTCATGCTCGACGACCACATATGTCTCGCTTTTGCAGGTAGGAGCCTTCATAACTCTATGACATGATGCATTGACGCGATTGCTTTCTGTGCAGGTTTAACCGCGGACGGTCGTGTCTTGATTGACAAGGCCAGAGTTGAATGTCAGAGTCACCGTTTGACCGTAGAGGACCCAGTGACTGTCGAGTACATCACCAGACACATTGCTGGCATTCAGCAGGTGATTATCTTTCAGCGGCTCCGAGACAGTTCATTCAAAGAAGGATTGATTTGTGCGCTTTCAGAAATACACGCAATCTGGTGGTGTTCGACCTTTTGGTATCTCAACCCTGATCGTTGGTTTTGATCCCCACGACACTCGGCCACGCCTCTACCAAACGGAGCCTAGCGGTATCTACAGCGCATGGAAGGTACGTCTTCACTTCCTTGGCCAACTTGATGACTTGAATTGATGTCTACATTAGGCGAACGCGATCGGCCGCTCATCAAAAACTGTACGGGAGTTTTTGGAGAAGAACCATAAAGATGATATGTCCCGGGAAGAGAGCATCAAGTTGACCGTCAAGAGTCTGCTTGAGGTCGTTCAGACTGGTGCAAAGAATATCGAGATCAGTGTAATGGAAGAGTATGGCAAAGTGACGGTACGTTTGTCCTGTCAGTTGTACTCTAGGTGCAAGTTACTCATGCGTGATCAGAACCTTGAGCTTTCCGAGATTGAGGCCATTGTTTCAGACATTGAACGAGAGAAAGAAGCCGGTATGTGGAACGTCTCATCTACTGCTATGCCTATGACTGAAGCAATTCATAGAGGCGGAAAGGAAGCGGTCACGGTTGGCTGCGACTGCTGCAGGGCAAGCAGCAATGACGACGCGTGCGGACCAGGGAACGTCCTCGGGGCAGTAGATACATCATTTTGTACCATGTATTCATCACCAAGAACTGGCAATATTCCACCATCAGCCGGAAGTAGGGTAACAAGTAACAATTTGGTACTGGTGGGAGGTTGTGATCTTGACACCGCCACATCTTGAGTTCGAGCAAACACGTCGTATGAGTTTGTCCACGTCGGTACTACGTCGCGTGCGGGATCGGCCGTAGTACTCATCTCGCGGTTGCATACCCCCTCTCCACCCCACTCACCAGGTCCTCGCTTGATGTCGTCTGTATCGGCCAAGCATGTCTTGCTATCAGAAATCCTCACAGTCACCTCGGTGATGCGCAAGAACTCACGATGGGCGCTCTCAGTACACACCCTGACAGCTCGCGACTCTGCTCTCGCTCGCGACCTTGGTCTTCGACGCGCGAGCCCAAATCCCGATGCAGAACGCGCAGGATATATCAGCCGCGAAGCTGATCTTATGCTGGGATTCCAGGAACTGAAGCGGACCATTCGTGACATTGAAGGTATATATACGCACTACGATACTCTCGAAACATGACATAACACGCGCCCACTTCACAGATATTACCACTCTACCATTGCCGGCTCTCCTTGGACCTTTCTTGGCTCTCATTCGCTCGCCATTGTCTACTGGCCCGATTACGTCTACTGCCTTGTCATCGCTCCATAACTTCTTTGTGTGTGGACTCATTTCCGGCAACTCGCAATCTCTGGATGTCGCCCTTGCTGAACTCAGCAACTCGGTCTCTCGATGCAAATTCGAAGCAAGTGACTCAACTGGGGACGAAGTGGCACTACTCAAAATCATGACAGTCATCCATGACTGTATATGTGGAAGCGACATAGGCGATCAACTAGGCGATGCAGAGATTTGCGAGATGCTGGAAACTGTTCTAACCACCTGTTGTCAGATGAGACTTAGTGGTACGTGTTTTCTTCCCTCACAAATGTAATGGTTTACAATAGAGTCCAGAAATCCTTAGGCGCTCCGCGGATTCCACAATGCACATGATAGTGAGAAGGATATTCTCAAAGCTTCATACCTTAGACCCTGCCACGGAAGAGGCCAAATTACAAGTCAAGGACGAGACTGGGCAGGAAGGCGAAATCAAAGTGTCAGTATCCGGTGGTCTTCCTGAAGTGGCACAAGGATCGGCGGAGGCTCCGGAGCCACAGAAACCTGAGACCGAGAAGGAGAATGACGGCTCCACTGAGGAACAGGCCGAACAGACTGAGACACTCTCACAACATCAAGTACCCCCGGAGCATCCAGGACGGGAGCCTTCCCCAACTGAAACTCCGACATCTGCACCTATACGCCCTTGTACGTATCTTTTATCCGTCTTATACTCGTTCTGAAGATGCGGTTTCGTAGATGGCCTGTTCGCTCTATTAGAGCTTCTCCGTGTCGTTGTGAATATCTTAGATCCCAATGATCAGATTCACACTGACTCGACGCGGCTGATGGCCCTTGGCCTCTTGAACGCAATATCCGAAACTTGCGGCAGCAGACTTGGCGACTTTCCATCTCTATCAGCCCTCATCGTTGATCCTGCCTGCAAATTCCTGTTTCAACTTGCTCGGTCGGACAATCCTTCTGTGCTGCAGGCTGCTCTTCGCACTATAACAACTGTTTTTGAGACTATGCGACCACATCTCAAGCTGCAACAAGAACTATTCCTGGCCTTCACTATTGATAGGCTAGCACCCCCTGCATCCACAAAGCCACCCATCTCCAAAAGAGCTGCTGCTACTGCATCACCTCGACCTGGAACACCTGTATCAGCTACCCCGGACCTTAAGATTGCTGATGAGGCAGATGCGGAAAAGGGTAGCTCTGGGCCCTCACGACCTGCCGTTGCACCAGCGCGGGGAGACAGTCGGGACTTAATGTTAGAGACTTTGAGTCATATTTGTCGGCATCCCAGCTTCATGGTGGACTTATACGTCAACTATGACTGTGATATTAACTGCGAGAACTTGTTCGAGCGTCTCGTTGACTTTCTCACAAAGGTGCGGAAACAACGCTGTATTCACCATGAAATGCTAATTTAGCCTACTCTTCAAGGGAGTGTATCCATGGCAGTCTTCGACAGTGTCGGAGGCACAACAGTTGCATTCACAGTACCTCTGTCTCGACCTGTTGCTTGCATTTGTAAATGACATGGCAGCGAGAATGGAAGGGGTACGTATGAACGTTACGCACGCCGATGAGAAGGGTTTGCTGACAATGAACCAGTCTGCAGAGCCTTGGCCAGATGTAAGTTATTGCGATGAAACACAAACCACAACGCTCATGTGCGATTAGCACTTCACTTCTCCGGACGAGCTCATGCAGAAACGGGCTCAGAAGAAACTTGTCACCATCGGCGCGGCCAAGTTCAACTCCAAGCCAAAGCTCGGCCTTGCCTTCTTTGAAGAGAACAAGCTCATTTATTCAGACCAGTCATCCGATATCTCTCGTGCGCAGAGTCTGGCAAAGTTCTTGAAGAGTTGTACACGTCTAGACAAGAAGCTGCTTGGAGAATATATCTCTAGGCCTGAAAACATTGATGTCCTCAGGGCATTCCTGGAGCTCTTCGACTTCAGAGGTGTGAGTTCGGTCTCCTTACTATATGGATATCTTTCTAATAATGTAAATAGAAACACATAGCTGACGCTATGCGAGAAATGCTGGAGACTTTTCGCTTGCCTGGTGAAGCACAACAGATATCTCGCATCACTGAGACATTTGCCTCGGTTTACTTCGCCTCAGAGCCTGGTATGTTCTGTACAACATGAGTAAGCCTCACGTTACTGAATGGACGTAGCCGAAGTCAAGTCTGAGGACGCTATTTACGTGCTTGCATACTCGGTGATTCTGCTGAACACGGACTTGCATAATCCTCAAATCCGGGCGAGTATATTCAAACTTGCTTTCGAGTCCATCTAATAACATGACTATCATAGAAACGTATGACCATCGAGGACTATACACGCAACTTGAGGGGCGTGAACGACAATTCCAACTTTTCGCCTGAGTTTTTGGTGAGTAAATGCTTGTTACACACAGATAGCATCGTTTGATCCGGCGTAGCAAAGCATCTATGACTCTATCCGCAAACGCGAAATTGTCATGCCGGAGGAGCATACTGGTCAGCTTGGGTTTGAATACGCTTGGAAGGAGCTCCTTGCGCGCTCAAGGCAAGCAGGTTAGTGCTACTACAGATTATGAGAGCTCGAGCTTAGTTTTACCAGGCTCTTATCTTATGTGTAACTCGCCTCTGTTCGATTTGGATATGTTCAAGGCTGTTTGGAAACCTCTCATTTCCGCTATCGCCTACGCATTCATCAGCTTTGACGATGAATATGTCATACAGAGGGCAATCTCTGGCTTCCGTCAGTGCGCAACGCTGGCAGGATACTTCCAGCTTCCGGATGTATTCGACTTTGTTGTCGTGTCTCTTTCACAGGCGACGAGTTTGTTGTCGGACGACATTCCTGTACTCGTGCCGAATTACCCGATAGTTGACGTTGAAGGGCAATCAGTGACTGTTTCCTCTGTTTCCGTCAAATTTGGGACCAACTTCAAGGGTCAGCTGGCTGCCGTTGTACTGTTCAATATCGTTAACGGCAATGGCAATGCGTTGCGGGAAGGCTGGACCCAGGTATTGCATTTCAAAAGCAATGGCTCATCGAACTCATACTGATAGTCGAAAAGATTTTTGAAATGTTCCAGAATCTATTCATCCATTCTTTGTTACCTACAAGGATGTTGCAGATGGAAGACTTCCTCGGAGGTGTTTCCATGATACCACTTCGCGGAAGCCAACCTTCCAAACCAGCTCCTAGAAGTGACGGAGGATTGTTATCGACTTTGTCTTCTTATTTGATGACACCCTATGGTGCCAGTGGAGATAACCTTGTGCCTGAGGCTACTGATGCTGGGATAGAGAGCACGCTGTGCACTATTGACTGCATCACATCTTGCAGGCTAGATGAGTTGTATGCACAAATCATGTAAGGGTCTTCAGTTTTGTTTGGTAATCGCGTCTAACTGATCCCTTCCAGCGAGCTTGATCCCGAAGCACTTGTTGCAGCCATCCGGGCCCTCGAGGCCTTGGCACATGACAGGACAATTGCTAGGCTGAAGCAAGAAACCGACGAAGATGGCGCACCTTTCGAATCTTCGACCACCGAAGGCGGACCACGTATTCTCCCATATGACCCTGCATCTGTCTTCTTGTTGGAGACTATGGTTAGCATTGCAAGCCAAACCTCTCAGCACATAGAAGAATTATGGTGCGTTATAGCTAAGCGAAGAAAACATCGAACTTACCTGCCGGATATAGGCCTATACTCTTTGAGCATTTGTCGGCACTGCTTTCGGCGGCTTCTCACTTCAGTGTTCTACTCATTGAACGCGCGGTAGTCGCACTATTGCGATTATGCCTTATCATCACGGAGAAGGTGATACCGACTTCATTAAACCTAGAAAGTAACTGACGACTTGACATCAGAATGCTCTACGTGACCAGCTCTACCTGTCTCTCGACTTGTTGGCAGGCCTTCCTGTTTCAGTCGCAAACTCTGTCGCCGAACAGGTCGTTGCTGGTGTCAAGTTGATAATGCAACACGAGAATATCATCAGGTAAAGTAAGTTACCCCGCGTCTTGATGTTGGACTCATCTAGCCCTCACAGCTCGCAAACTGAATGGAACCTAATCTTTGCTGTACTTCGGTCAACGATCTCAAATCCGGAGGCTGCGAGGTCAACATACGACATGGTGGTGGCGTTGGCAAACGACAGGCCTCAACAACGTGTAACACCAGACAATTTTGCCGGTCTGTTGACTGTTCTCGATGGATTTGCTAATGGCGCTGGCGTAGCTGTTACCGCTAAACAAGTTAGGGGTCGCCGTGCGCCAATCCAACCCCCAGCAAAGTACGTGCTTGTGACTCTAGACGCACCGCTTCGTCTGATATTCTACCAGTACTCCCGCTATTGAACGGGGGAAAGCTGCGATCGACTTGATCTTCGAACTCAAACGATTCTTCGCCACATTCGCTGAAAACTCCCAGTTGTCGCCTGGCCAAGGTCGGTCCTTAGTAAGCCTTACTTTGGTTGAACTAACAAGTTGTTCGGCAGTGTGGCATCAATTTTGTCTCCCGCTAGTGTCAGTGCTGGGGAAACAATCCTCAAATCCCTCCCGCTTGGTGCGACACACATCAGTCGGGCAGCTACAACGTGTGCTTCTTGGCCCTCACCTCAGCTTCGACAATGGTGACCACAGCCAAGTGGAAGAGATCTTTAACAACGTCATTTTCCCGATGCTAGACGAGCTCCTTAAACCCGCTGTCTACCAGCTTGATCCCCCAGGCATGTCCGAGACACGGCTCAGAGCTTCCGCTTTGCTGTGCAAGGCCTTCATGCACTTCGAAGTCCGAGAGAGCCGACAGAAGACGGACATCAGGGTTTTGTGGATCGAGGTCCTCGACCTCCTGGACCGGCTCATTCAGGCGGAGAAGAGTGAACAACTCGTAAGTTCCGCTCTTCATGACACTGAGGATCAGCTGCTCATGCTTGAGCAGTACGAGGCCATATCCGAGTCACTCAAGAATGTCGTGCTGGTCATGAACGCCGCGAACATTCTTGTACCCCCTTCATCCCCCGACGAACGCGACGAACACCAGCGGACTTTGTGGGCTGCAACTCAAGCGCGTATAGATAGGTTCTTGCCCAGGTTCTTGAGTCAGGTGCTTGGTGTAGGTGCCGTGCCCGTGATTCCAGATGTTGAGATTGTCCCGCCCACTCCTTCCACGGCTTAAACCTACAGAGCTCCTCGACTCAACTTCAGCGAACAGACAAACACCCTTAGCGTCAGCCGTCCAATAGCTTTACATTATACCTACTGGAGTAGCTACTTAATTGTCAGTACGAATGAGCGTCCAAATCCGCTTCCAAAATCAAAGAGCGTTGCACTCTTGCCGTGCGATCCGTCTAATCCATCTGGGATTCGAGATATGTCGGAGAGGTCTATGTGAGCTTCATCTTGGATGTTCTGTAGCTAGTAGTGAGCGCAGTCCCGATGATTTTTGGTTGGCGATTTCACCTTATCCGCAAAGCGAGGGCGCCGATTACCACCGGTGGTGCAATCCAGTATGCAAGTACACGTATGATGACGGGACTGTTGTTGACGGACCAAGTTGACGATGATCCGCCGAGAAATGCTGTCAGGAGTAGAAGAACAAACAAAACGTAACCCGACAACCTGACCAGCGTTTGTTACCAGAGGATTCTCAGTGTTAGACGGTACTTTACCTATGATACTTCCAGACTTTCTTGGCACGCATACCACCTCCTAGGGCCATCCCGTCGAACCAGACACTTGCACCACCTAGAAGGATCTGGCCAACGAGCCACACCATGGCTATGATGCCGAAAGTCTCAATACAACAGAGTCGTCAGAACGATGAACGAGCACTCGCACAAGGACACATACACCATGCCATGTAGTAAAATGGCTAGCTCCATGCAGCGACTTGCGAAAGAAGATAGCTGCAGTCCCAAGCAGTATGGAAGGAAAGCCCAACAGGAACATGCCCGTCTGATGTCTTTGGAGACCTGCAACCTTCGTTTTTGGCTGGGATGTAGGCTGGAGCGTGATGATGCCTGCCAGTGGAGAAAGCAGTTTAGCACGTACATAGCATATGCAGGGGCTTGATGGTGCACGTACCGTACGTGAAACAAGCTATGGCTAAGCACTGTAAGAATGGATGCCACGCGAATAGGCCCAGTGAGAAGGGGCCACTTCCGAGGAGGATGAGCCATGTCAACCCAACCAATGTCTGCACCGCGTGAATTATAGGCAGCGCGTATGCAATAAAGTTCTTACTGTGATAGCTGCCTGACAAGGATTGTTGGTTACACGTAACACGATAATTACCAGAAAAACAATGCGTACCGTCGCTACTAACATAGCAAGGTAGTCACCATTACGACCTTCGGGCCTCACTATATCGTCTGATCCCATGCCAGCGTCTAAATGATTGGTTGGAAGCCCTGGATGATTGTCAGGTTGTTCGTCTGGGAGAAGCTCAAAGTGTTCGTCGGGGCTCGCGCTAGGATCGGGAGAGCGTCTGTTAGGAGATCTGGACATGTTGAAGGCGGATGAGAGGTGAAGTTGCAGTGCGCGTACGATACTTTATGACGACGCAGCGTAAGGTAACACAGAGGACGCTTAGGCTGTTATTTATGTCCACATGATGAACGTTTTGAGGCTAGTAGCGCCACGGTGGCTGGGGTTTAGTTTTATGCCATTTCAAACGTGACATAGCAAGCAAGCCGTCCCAGTAAAATAGAAACCAGGATGAAGTTGGAAAAACTTAGTCACTCACAAGGGCAAATATTCTCGATGGCTTATTTGACTGGCCGTATGAGTATTGTACCAGTGTAAGACGCTCGCCAGTGCACGAACGTCATAGACTGGGTCAGCTACAAAAGGAAAAAAAGCCCCTATCACAACGGGCGCGTATGCGCTTACCCCATCACGTGGCACAATTTATCTTTCCGTCTTCTGCGTTTTCGTCTCTCGAAATCGGAGTGATAGGTGTGTTAACATGGCGCGCCGCCGAAAGACAAGAACACACCCCAAGGTCGACTCTTCAAAACAAGATGAGGGTGTCCCGAAATCTTTCATTATAAAGCACGGGCAGGTTGGATCGTCTCTGGCGCAGCTCGTCCGTGATCTCCGAAAAGTTATGGAACCCAACACGGCTTCCCGTCTGAAGGTGCGTTTGTCGCCCCTCCTATTAGCTTCACACTTGAGATGAACTAAAAAATGTGAAGGAAAGAAACCGCAATAAGCTTAAGGATTATTTGATCATGGCACCTGCCTTGAAGGTCACACATATCCTGGCGTTCACCCTCACTGATGTTGCTCCTTCGCTGCGCATCGTCCGACTCTCTGCGGGTCCAACACTCAGCTTTAGGATCGAGAGGTATAGTCTTATCAAGGACATGCTCAAGTCTTCGCGTACCGCGAGAAGCATTGGCATGGCATACCTTACTGCACCGTTGGTACGCTTTCCTCTTTGTTATGATATCAGACAATACCTACACAATGCATACAGCTCGTCCTAGCGTCATTCCCTCCGCCTTCACCCACCACACCGCCTCATCTAGCACTAGTCATGAAAGCCTTCCAATCCCTCTTCCCGTCCCTCTCCCCCCAGACCATGTCACTCTCAAATGCGCGCCGCATAGTGCTCGTCGCGTACAACGCCGATCGCGGAACCATCGACTTCAGACACTACGTCATCACCGTCAAGCCCTATGGTGTATCTAAACGTGTCCGACGGGTGCTTGAGGGCGCCACGAAAAAGTCCGAGTCCAAGACTGCTGTCTTGGATCTCGGGAATGAGAAAGACGTCGCCGATTTCCTGTTGCGCCGGCGAGGAGAACCTGGGCCTGACGGGGACGGAGGGTATGAGTCAGCCGCGTCGTCGGCCTCCAGCGTGGCAGGCGACGAAGGTGAAGCAGTATCGTTAGCTGACGACTACGTCGGGCGGAATAACCGGAAGGGATCCAGGAAGGCCGTCCGACTGGACGAAATTGGTCCTCGGATGGAGCTACGTTTGATCAAGATCACGGAAGGTGTCCCAGGGAAGGTGGGCGCTGTCATGTACCATGAATTTGGTATGTGTTACCTGCAATGTTTTTTTTCAAGAAAGGGCGACTGATGTTTGTGCAGTCAAGAAATCCAAAGCGCAGGCGGCTGCTCAAAAAGCAGACCATGCTGCAAAAGAAAAGCTGCGTGCTCAGCGCAGGCAGGAACAGGAACGCAATGTTCAGCGAAAGAAGGACGAGCAGGAGCAGGAAAAGAAAAAGAAGCGGGGAGGAGCAAACGATGGCGACGAAGAGGATGGTGAAGGTGAAGGTGAAGGCGACGGAGATGAAGGTGACGATGGTGACGAAGACGGCGAAGAGTATGAAGATGAAGGGGGATGGGACGAGGACGAGGAGATAAGCGAAGGGGAAGACGACGAAGAGGATGAGATGCAAGAAGACAGCGATGCAGAGGACAGTGAGGTTGAGAAACCACCACCACCAAAAAAAGTAAAGACTCGAAAAGCTTCGTAGTCTACTCCGCTATACCCCATGCTTGATCATGAAGGTGCTGTTATGTATTATCCTTACTGAGTTGTGGATAGCATTATCTACAGTCATAAAATAAGGTATCACGCGAAGTGTGCCCACCTGCCGTACACGTGTAGTCTATGTTTTATCTTGACTCACTTCTACCAGCTTTTCCATAACCCCTCCAGACGCATCTTCACGCCTTCCCAGCTGTCCAGGGCTGGCCGTACGTCCAAGTAAAATGAAGGATTGCTAGAGGGCCCTGACCCACGCCCTGTGTAAAAATCAATGACGTAGCGTACTTGGGTTCCGCATCGGTCAACAGTCCAGTCGTGTCTGTCAAACGGAGCCGTATAGCTGCAAAAAGTCAAACCACGGAACGTTACCTCGCAAAGTCTACACAACGCACCCTAGCCAAGTCATCATGCGCGCCTTTGGCGTCAGGTCCTTTGGCCGCCCCTTGAAGTTGACGAGCTTCACCCCGCCACACTGATCTCCTCCTTGTCCGGCCTCCCACTTGAGCAGCTCAGACCAGGCGCGCTCGTTGACGGCGTTGTGTATGGGTACAATGGTCTTCATGTCCGAGGCACGCGGATTATGATTTTTGCGTGCCATGGCGGCAAAGAACTGCGCCTCGGAAGGATAGACCCATTTCCCTTCATCTGTTCTGGGTATGGTAGAAATTTCCCTTTCGCTTGAGAGAGAACGAGTATGCGCCAGAGTCGAGGTCGAGGATTCAGCAGAAGAGGTGGCCGAGTTGCCCACTAGACGGGACCAGATAGAACGCGAGTCATGGTCAACGGGACATTCTGTGGCGGTCGAGGCAACGCTGGAATGGTCAACAGGGCATTCTGCAGATGCCGAGGGTGCAGATGCTACCTGTTTTTCGTCGTGGTCGACTGGGCACTTGCTCGCCATTGCGGACGGTTAGTAATGGACGCGTTTTGAGGTTTGGTGGGAAGCGGCACAGCACAGCCACTGACCCAGGGGCCGATCGAGCACCGGAGTCGGATGTCGTCGTGTAGCCGGAGACCCGAAATACTGGTCGCATCAATGTATGGGTCTTGACACCCAATCACTCTCGTTAAATATGGGGTAGACCAGCTGCCTCCCCTACTCTCTCTATTCTCTCCTACTGTCACGCAGCCATGCCCTCCTCAGCACCCGTCTTCTCCACGCCGCTCACGAAGCTTTTCAAAATTAACCACCCCGTCATGCTCGCAGGTGTGTGCCTCGAACAGAGTCTAGTAACTTTCCCCGACCCCTTGGAGCTGACAGGACCACCAAGGTATGAACGTTGCGGCTGGGCCAAAACTTGCTGCCGCAGTCACAAATGCGGGAGGTATTGGCGTCATTGGAGGCCTTCGCATGAACCCGAAGATTCTTCAGGAAAACATTGACGAGCTCAAGGGTCACCTGGAGGACAAGAACGCGCCATTTGGTGTCGACCTGCTCCTTCCCCAGGTTGGAGGCAATGCTCGCAAGACCAATGTGAGTGTACAACCGCTTAGAAATATCGGACGGACTTTGATTGTCGCGGACAGTACGACTACACCAAAGGTCAGCTTAATGAGCTCGTTGACGTCATCATCAAGAGCAAGGCTGCCCTCTTCGTCTGCGCAGTCGGCGTTCCACCCAAGGAAGTTGTTGACAAGTTCCACAAAGCTGGTATTGTGGTTATGAAGTAGGTGGTCACTGCGACATCCAAACGCTCGTGTTCCTGAACCGATTCTGGACAGCATGATCGGCCACCCCAAACACGCACCTAAGGCTTTGGCGCAGGGTAGGATCATTCCCAAATTAACCTGAATATATGATGGGTTTGTGCTGATTGCGGGTTCAGGTGTGGACATTATTTGTGCCCAAGGCGGTGAGGGCGGTGGACACACGGGAGACACACCTTTCTCCGTCCTTATTCCCGCAACTGTCGACCTCTGCAAGTCTGCCAAGAGCCCACTGACCGGAGAGCCTGTTATGGTCATCGCGGCGGGTGGTATCGCGGATGGACGTGGTCTGGCAGCATCATTATCGTAAGTTTTGTATCTCGAGACCTTTGAAGCTGATAGCTAAGCGTGTGCCCTAGGTATGGTGCCGCCGGCGTTTGGGTCGGCACCCGCTTTGTGGCCTGCGAGGAAGCCAGTGCACCTCGCAAGCACAAGGAGTTGCTCCTCTCTGCAGGATACGACGACACTGTCCGGACCTTGATCTATTCTGGACGTCCATTGAGCGTGCGGAAGACGGCCTACGTCGACGAGTGGGAAACCAAGCGGGCCGCTGAGATTCAGGAGCTTGTCTCCCAGGGCAAGGTTCCGCACGAGGTGGAATTGGAGAAGCGGCCAGAGCGGTCCATAGAAGGACAGAGGTGTACGCTATTCTTCCCGCTTATCTTTCGTCCGAGGACAAGCTATTGATAACGAACGTATTGCGCAGGGCTCATGGGTAAGGTTGCTGGATCAATAAAGGTAATGGGATTGTTCTTTATCTCGTTACTCGGAGCTTATGCTGACGCTTCTTGCCAGGATATCAAATCTGCCAAAGAAATGTGCGTCCCTAGTCGAAGCCCTCGATCATCTCGTGCTGAGAATTGATCTCACGTCCAGTGTCGACGAGCTTGTGACCACGGCTGCTTCGAGCCTGAAGAAGGCAAACGAGTTTGTCCTGGCCAAATCCAAGCTCTGAACATGGGATTATCATATGATGAGCAGTTGACGAAGCTTGCCATAGTAATAAGCGAGGTCACTTTCCAGCTTTGGGAGATATGCTATCATCTTCAGGGGCTATTTATGTCATTATCACCATCGCAGCTTTTTGAATTCAGTCATTTGCGTCCTCCCATCAGGCAGGGGGGAGCCAACAAGCGACATCAGACGGCGGAGCCAGTGAGAAAGGAAAGTGGTCAGCCGGTTGGGTGGTATGTATAATAAGGGCCCAACTTATGCATGGCCCACTTAACTTCGACCTATTCTGCTCTCTGGACCTCAGCGTTATGCCTACCTTACCTGGAGAACTTGCCGTTCTCGTATTCCTCGCGGCAGCCTGGGTTACACTGACTTCATACGATGGAAATCAACCTATTTTACACAATATACGGCAACGAGCAGCCCGCATGCTCGGTAGAGGGCTGCCAGACTATGCAAAGCTGTCGGGAGTGCCATTGCCCAAACCTCTGCCCAACTTCGACTACACCAAGGCCAAGCCTCGCCCATACCGCCCCTTCCGATGGGAGTACCACCAGACCATGTGTTCGTCTTCCTATCTATCCCGGTCCGAAAGACCCGCATACTGAGGTTGAGTTTGGTAATTCAAACTACAGCGCTGAAGAGCCTCGACCCTGACTTCTGGCTCGAGATCGAGTCAACCTACCGCGAGCGCATGACCCAGCGCATCCAACTGTTTGCTAAGCATGGCCGCCGTATTGTCGACTACATGCCCGGCAGCGAGGACGCCTGCAAGGAGCTGATGGAGATGGCCATCCAGTTTCTCTGCGCGCGCTACCCGCGGCAATTCCGCTACGACGCGTGGACGGGTGTGTTCTACAACGACATCCTGAGCTCTCAGTCGGACACGCGGAAGCTTCACCCGCTGGTTGTCCTACTGCAGAACGTCCCGGAGGATTTTCTCATCACGCTGGAGGACAAGGAAACTGGACTGTATGTCATGAGGGCTGGTGTCAGCTGCTCGGCTGTCGGTTGGAACATGTCGGAGAAGATTGGCAGACCATTGCACCAGATCCACGGGCCTGTTCCGGACTACAAAGAAAAGATGGCCTTCTCGATGGACAGGTATGCACGCACCTTTTCATATTTCACACAAACCCTCCAGTTGACCCCATGTGACAGATACTTCTCGAAGATGCCAAACAGTAAACCAATCCAGCGAGGCTCCTGGGGCTTCGAAGTCGGAGAGCCGCTCTTCCTTCAGACAGACGAGCCTGAATGGGGAGTACGCCAAAAACAGGACCCTGACGTTGCTATATCAGACTTGTACATGCGTGTCGACTGGCAGACCCTCCGCCGGCTGCCTCGATCCCGAGCGATCGTCTTCAACTTCAAGGCCCTGTTCACGCCCTTAACCGACTTTAGAGATGAGCCGTACATCCCGAAGCTGGTGCTGAAGGTTCTCAAGGAGGGAAAGAAGTCAATCATGGAGTACAAAGGTACATGGCATGTCGAGCACAAAGTAATACCTGCCCTGGAACAGTGGTCCAAAGAGCAGGAAGACAAGGGCATGGTTCCGAAGGACTGGAAGGTGAGAACTTTAGACGAAGATCCGTTCTATCCAGGTTGGCAAGAAAGATGGAATCAGGCATAAACTTACATGTTTAGCGATTCGAAATATACATCTATACACTGCATCTGTGCGGGGTTATTTCTATTCCATTAGTTCAGCCAACTCTCTTTCTTCTTCTTCTGTGAGTTTGGATGGATCCTGTGCATCGCCACTCGGCTCTGGCTGTAAAACTGCTTCGGTAGGATGAGGCTGGTTCAAGGCACCCGAGCCTTGCGTGTTTGACGTGAGTAGCTCTGGAGGAGGTAAACCTTTTTAGCTGAACGTCGCGAAGATTGACGGGCAGCGTACCGCCGAGTCTCCACTTTCGTATGGTTCCATCTAAACTCGCAGACACAATCCATGGCTCAATCCTCTTGTTACCTTTATCATCTTCCGACACTTGTATCCATAGCTTGAGGGCGGTCACGTCGTGCCAGTGCCCGTCAACTTCGCCCACGACCTCGGGTTCATCTGGGTGAGCGATGTCGTAAAGTCTGATAATGTCCCCGAACGCCACGGCTAGGTACGATTCCTCCAGTACGGTCTGCGCCATGGGCAAAATGGCGCGAACGGGCTGAGGTAGGGCGATAGGAGGCGGATCCTTTACCCCTGAGGTGGCTGGGTAGTGAATGATCTGCACTGTTTCGTCCGCAGAAGCTACACACGTCCTCTGAGCGACAGAAAACAAAGTTGTTTGGAATGACATACCAGTCAGCAGGAAGCCTGATCCGTAATACAGCCCGTTTATCCGCGTCCGATGATGGTCGAGCGTGTCCTCCAACGTGCTCTTCCATAGCGGTTCAGCATCAGATGTCTTCTCCAGTTTCCATACTTTGATGATTCCCATAGTATCCCCCGTAATCAGTGTGACAGTCGAATCCGAGTGTGCCTCTCCCTGTATGCACTCCACTGGCCGAGTGTGCGCAGATATCGAGCCCATAGATTTGGGAGGCTGGCCTTTGCCAACATTAGACATGTCCCTGTTCCCATTGTCAAAACAGCAGCTCCCGATCAGCGCAAAATACCTTACCAGAATCTCACTATTTTGTCGGAGCCACTGGAAATAAGAAGGTTTGCGGCGGGCAGCGAGAACAAGGTTTTGACGAAGTCATCATGGGCCTGGACAGTTGATAGAGGTTCCTTCGTCTTACCAAGAATTTAGAACCCCTCATTAGAGAAGTTGTTAGTCATGAATGGACTCACCTCGGTGTTCCATATCTTGATAGTCTACAGCGCGCACATGACTTAATAAACAGCTATGGCCGATCAGCATTAGAACTCGCCTTATCCCAAGAGCCTGACACAACCAGCTGCTTCACGCCCGAATCCGTCGCCGCACGATAAAGCTCCACACAAGTCACAGGCGCGGAGTGACCACGATATACCTGGACCGTCTTCCCTGTCTTCGCGAAAAGTCAGGAAACCGACATACCCCAACCTGAAGCGAACGTGCCTTTAGATCAATCTTTTTGATGACGTGACCGCTTTCTGCTATCCACGCGTAGTCGCCCTGAACATGCAGATCGAGCGCCTTCCCTGGCAGATTGATAGCGAACCCCAAGTTCTTGACCTTGTCCGCCTTCTCCTTGCGTGCCTTGAGGTGAAGTCGCGGCAGCCATCGGTAACTGGTGTCTGGGGAACAAGCGAACGACGACACACCTCGTTCAGAACCAGCTCTGCCTCGGACCTCATCAGGTTAGACTCTGCGTCAGCCATGATGATGTAGTAGAAAAATAGTCGATGACAGTGAACGTTTAGTAGTCAATGAGTCGCGTCTTGAATCGGTGCCGCGCGATCTAATCATTACGTCACATATTTGGCAAGAGCTTTAGAAATAAACAAACGCATATCACCTTTCCCAAAACGGAAAGTCACTTCACTCAATATCGGCTAGCAAAAGATGAGCAAACGCCTGTCATCGTTCAAGGGGCCATCGACTCCCAATTCATCGCCTGCTAGGCAGGTCAACCAGCCCGAATCCCCGTCACGCCTCGCAGAGTCCACGTATCATCGCAAGATCCGTGCTTCTCTCCAGGAACTACGGCTAGCCGCGCATACATGGGATGACATCGTGCTGATCGACGGTTTGAAGGCGGCCAAGACCCTTGTCGACTCAAGGACAGAGCTAGAGTAAGCATGACGCCCTTTTCGAGCTACTATGTACGACAGTGGACTCATTAACCAGTCAGCAATGCTCTCGCCCAGATTCCCACTGACAGCCAGCCTCGGACTCGATTAGTCGAACCCAAGCTTGCCACTATGGACAAATGCATCGAGCAGCTAGATGCAGTACTAGTGAAACTAGTACGTATCTATCGCCACCCTTCGCCCTCTAGCTGATCACAAGCAGCGAAGACAATTCCGTCGAATGTCAGCCGTAATCGACGCAATGGAGTCCATCCTCTTCGAAGCCCACGCGACCAAGGGCCCTCAGTGGTGTAAGGAGCAGCCCCTTTGGATATCATGGTCGCTAGAGAAATTCGGTGGGTGCATCCGCTACAGGCCAGTGTGGTTGACATGATTATCATACCCAGTGACCTCCGTGTCCGACATCCTCCTGCCTTACCACCGCTCCCTCAACATGCATATCGAGATCGTCGAGTCACTCCGCCCGCACTCTGCCACATTCGAAGTCTCAAAAGATGCCATACGAAAGTGGGTCGACCAGCCCTTCCTCGAGGATGAGAGCTGGGATGCCATATGGGAGGATCTATGTGCTGTGGAGGTCCATCGTTGGGACACAGCATAACGACGGCCAAGCAGTATGTAAGTGATATTAAAAAGAGGCCTACGTTTACATGCGCTACAGTAGAGGTCATACATCTTCGTCGTCGGATATGTGAATCTCGTCCGTGTTGGCCACACCCACCGCGCGCGCCATCGGCTGATCGCCATCCTCCGTTGGCCGCAGAGCAGTCTTTTGTGCCGCAACAAAACCATTGGCTTTCCCAGCCTGCTGCTCCGCAGCGGCCATAGGGTCCACATCAGGCTCATCGTCCTCTTCCACGACACGTCTGCCGTTATCCTGTCTCACCGAATTTGTTTGGGCGGCGAGATACGAAGCCTCGGTGTTGAACTGTGCCTGCACGCTACGCTTGATGCGGAGCATTTCGCGGAACGTGTCTTCTGATCCCGTTTCAATCTCGAAGCTGTTCCACTCTGACCAGAATTTGGTGTTGGTCCGAGGGTCGCAGAACTGCGATGCATGAGCATAGACAGCGCGTGCCCGATCGATTTCACCGAGCTTCCGTTCGAGAGCTGCGAACCGCAGGCACATCTCTGCAGTCTGCTTGTCTGGCAGAACCTCCAGAGCGCGCTCGTATATAGGACGCGTGGCGGGGAGACCGTAGTTGGCGGTTGCTTTAGCGATGTAGATGGTGTACATCTAATTTGCGTTGAGTAACAGTGTACTTTTATCGAGCGACGAAGCACTCACTTCGAACTTGTCTTCGTCTGCTACAACCTGCGTTGCCCGCTCGAAAATTGACATGGCTCTCTTGGCGAGACCGTAGTCCTCTTCGAGTTTGGCGTACATAAGGAAGAGAGGTTTGCATGATTTGTCCGGGCACTTCTCCAGAGCTTGCTCGAAGAGGTCGCGAGTACGTTCAAGTTTCGAGCCACCCTGCATGATGAGTTAGTAAATGTTTTACATAATGACAAAGAAACTTACATATCGCTTGATGAACTTAGACAGGTATATATTCCAAATTTCAAACGATATAGGGAAGGTGAATACTTCAGTGCCTCTTTCGTAGACCTACAATGTGTAAGAAAAGGCTTGCAATATAGGGTAACAAAAGACCACTCACTCGGAAGCTGTCCTCCCAGTACTGGTTATCCTCCAGGAAGCATGCATAATTGACGATGATCTGGGCATTAGCAATCTTGAGGTCCATGATCTTGTCGTATACCGCCTTCGCAGACTCCACAGTACCCAAAGACTCCTCTAAGTCCACATAGAATGACCAGAGCTTCAGAGACTTGAACAACCTTGCCTGAACGGGCAGCGCCTAGAGACGACTTAGTCTTGAGCAGCGGTACAAAGCGATTGGGACATACGTGGTCATGATAGTTGATTTTGGTATTCTTGGGGATGGCTGCGGCGCGTTGCATCACTCTAATAGCCTCATCATAGTTGCTGTAGTGTTGTTAGCCGTGAGCGTTCATTATAACGACAGTCAGACGCACTCATGACGAATCTCGAGCTCTGCCCACTCGATCCAGATCTCGGCAAGGTCTTCGACTGTCTTGAAGTTCACCTTGGTAGCCTTCTCCAGTATCTTACGGGCGCTGCTAAGGTCGGGCTCGGCAGAGCCAGACGCACCACCCTCCTCGTAGAACTTGGCAAAGTTGACGTAGAGCAAATGCAGATTGGCCGTCGCTTTGCGGGGGTTGACCGTTTCCAGAGCCTTCGTATAAGTCTCCGCGACCTACAAAATTCATATTCGTAAGGAGCCATCTCCTTGCGTGCTTCGCCAATACACTTACCCGTTCGTCATCCTCTCCCCAAAGAGCAACTCTCTTTTCCCATTCAGTGACATCATTTGGATTACGGCGGATCAGAACGTCGTTCAACAAGAACGGTCTCCGGTCCATGAGCGCTTCAAACTCCTTCATCTTCGCATCGAGGTCACGTTCCGTCTCTTTGACGTCCTCCTCATCTTCGTCGTCGTCCGGATCTTCCAAGCTCTCCATTATGGCCGCAATGAGCGATTCGCTGAACTCGGCGTAGGAGTCGAAGATCTGCGTGAAGTCACGGACGGTCATGACAGTTGCCAAACCCGACTCGAACGTCTCCTTCGCCCTGTCGAACTCGCCGCGCTTGATCCAGTAGGTGGCAAGCCCGGTCCAGAGCCTACCAGCCTGGTCCTTGTACACTTCCAAACCGTCTTTTCGAACGATCTGCTCAATGTTGAGCTTCCGCGAGCTGAGAGGATCTTCATCTTCGGCATATACTGGCGCAGGCTTGCCCTCGGCGGTGACATTAACCGGAGGCCCACCCATCCGTATAAGCTGGCCGTCCACGGATACCGGTTCTGCAGATTGAGCCTTCTCGGCTTCAGCAGCCTGTTCCGCGGCCTCGATGGCCTTGTTGTCCGAGACAGTACTCTCGACGTCCAGCCCGACATCGTCCGAGAACTTCTCGACAATGTCCAGGAAGTCTCCAAGAATCTGGTAGGGGCTCTTTGCCTCCGGGCTGGTGTACTCGCCTCGGGAGGCTTTCCGAGCTAAAGAGAGGAGGAGCTTTGCAGCCTCAAGAGGACGCGGAGGGCCATCAACTGGGGCAAGGAGCAGGGTCGTATAACGCTCGGTGACACTTGGATCAACTGCGAGGTATCGACGATAAATGGAGACAGTGGTCTGGCCGCCTCTGCTTTCGGCCCACAGGAGGTACCGGACCCATATCCGGGAATGAAGGGATGGGGGAAGGGTGCGAAGGGCCCGGTCGAAGGTTCGTCGTGCATGAGTATACGACATCACCGACGGACACATTGGGTGGAAGAAAATAGAGGTATACATGAGCCAAAGTCGCGGCATCTACGAGGGAACGAAGTATTAGCTGGGGCCAAAGATACAAGGGGGGCTGTTACGGACCTTTGGTAGCCACATGAGCGCCCTCTCAAAAGTCGCAATCAGTGATTTCCACTCCTCCCAGCCTACCACGCCGTCGAGACCACCCTCCCACTGCTCAATATCCTCCTTTTCATCCTCAAGTGCATCCTTCATTTCGGGGAATTTCTTCTTTCCCCCAGAGCGCTTCTTCTGGACAAGCCTACCGCATACATAGGACATGCGCACATTCAGATACGCTTTCCATAGTTTGAAAGAGCTGGGGAACTGAGTGAGAGCAGACTCGTAGAGGTAGGTTAAGCACTGGAGCGAGCGCCTGCCGAGAGGTGTGGCCAAAGGCCCAAGCAGCATAGTAGCTTCATCAGGAGCAGAGGCGCGTTGCTCTTCCCTGAGTTCTGCGGTGAAGGCTTCGCGAGTAGCCTGAATGGCAGACCACCATGCGCGGAAGGACTCAGGGTTACGGAGGAGGTCCTCTTCTCTGCTGAGATCCTTGACAGTAAGAAGGTCGGGGTGGGTAAGAGGATTGGGGACAGGATTTGTGACGGGAAAAAGAGAAGAGAGGGAGGCGAGCGAAGGCGACTTTTCTGCGACTGAAGGCATCTTGTCCGGGTCTAACGCGTGTATGCCTTTGCAGTGGTCCACCGGCCACTGGACGTTTGCGCGGTAGACCGACACGCGCGATCGAGGCAAACTTGGACAGGCACGTGCCACTTGCCAAATCAGGCATCCCTCCTGTCTCCGCTCGGAGGACCGGACGCGTCGTACCGTCTGCGCAATACTGCGACCCGAACCGACTCGTCTCCAGATCTCCTAATCACATCCGACAACGATGGTGAGGGGAAAGATGTCCTCCAAGTACTATCACTTAAGCAAAATCAGCACGGCGTCAGAAGGTCCAAACAGACACCACAGGCAATCGCTACTAGAAAGGAACAGGAGAAGGCCGAGATTAAGAGCTATCTAGCCTTGTCAGACGAGGTACTGGGAAAGGTATCAACTGCGCGATGTTTACACTATGGCCATCTCATAAAAGATATCATGTAGAAGAAGCTCAATGATTGGAGTAAAGATGCTTTCGAGCTCACTCAGCGCGTCCTCCGCCGCAACCCCGAGTTCTATACGGTATGGAACTACAGGCGACAAATTATGCTCAACGGGCTCTTCCCTCACTCGTAAGTTCATGCTCAGATCGAACATTTCAAGCTTTCAGCTAGCCTCTATCTATCACAGAACGCCAGAGGATATTAACTTCCTCCTCTCAGAAGAACTTAAGTTTACCTCCCTCGTTCTCAGGACCAATCCCAAAGTATATTGGATCTGGAATCACCGCAGATGGTGTCTCGCCAATATCCCAGAAGGACCTATTGTCGATGACAATACTACACAGGGCTGGAGACAGGCAGCATGGGATGGTGAACTGGCCTTAGCCGAGAAGATGCTGGAAGCAGACGCCCGAAACTGTAAGTCCACTGCCTCTTGTGCCATGCATTTCACGACATTCAAAACCGGGTGTGACAAGTCCACGCATGGAGCTATCGCAGATACATTCTCGCTGATATGCCCGCCAAGCGGCCAGAAGCGACCGAACTGGCGTACACAAAGAAAAAGATCCAGTCCAGCATGTCGAATTTCAGCGCCTGGCACCAGCGATCGAAGACGTACACGGCTCTGTGGCAGTCGGGGGCACTGGCGGAGGGAAAGTTCGAGCCTGAAGGTAGACGACACGTAGCATCCTGCTGCGCTACCTGTGCCTGATGCGTTCTCACTAGAGTTTGATCTGGTCCACAGCGCACTCTGGACTGATCCAGCCGACCAGAGCGCATGGATATATCACAGGTGGCTCATAGGACAGGGTACGATCAGCATTGATATCCTTGCGGTATGAGCCCGATAACGAAACTCAGCTCGTCCAGGCAAAGACCGAGCGATATTAGAAGCGGAGATATCCCTCATAGAAGAACTGCTCCAAGAGGAGCCTAACAGCAAATGTAAGCCTATCGGCACCTTTAGCCGATCTGACGCTGACTCTGCTTCAGGGTGCATGGAGTCACTGGTACATTACAAGCGCCTTCTGTTAAGGAACCACGAGCCGCAGTCGAGTGAACTGCTCAACAGCTGTCGAGAGCTACTTCAACGTCTGCAAACGATTGATCCCCCACGGAAGCAGCGATACCGCGACATCGGTGAGGCTCTATTAACAAGAACATCCAAGTCTTTTCACTAAGTTTCTCGCACAGAGTTGGAACTGAGCGCATGAAGATAGCACAATGTAGTAGAGGACTGTCATGTATCTCTAGGATATGTATGCACTGTTTTAGGGATAACGAGGAAAGAGCTCATGTAGTACTACACCTTGGTTGGGCTCACACAGGCTCACACTCCATCTAATACTTTCATTCACTCATCTAACAAAGATAGAGATGACAAAAAAGACAGAAAATGCATTTGAGAGATACAGCTAGCACTAGTGCGAGATCTACAACACCAACGGATAGCAAAAAAAGAGAACAACATATGTATGCGTCGACTGTCCAGAAGCCGTAAAAGATGCGCAAGATAAAACAAAAAACAAACAGAATTGTGGATGTGAACGAGCGTCATCGACCCGGAGTCCCAGCCGGAGTCGCATGAGCAGACAAAGCGTGAATGACAGAGGCGTGGCAACTGAATCCAACGAGAGCAAGGGAAGCAGCAAAAAGTAAAGACATTAGGAACGAAGCGCCAAAGCATGATGACGTGACAACATATGGATCATTTAATTTTCGTGGGTTCGTCAGAGCTTTCATATGTGCATTGAAGGGAAAGTTGGGCTATCGACATAGGTTGAGGTTGACTTTCTTGGTGACATGTGTGCAAGCCGAGAAATACAAGGTTTTACATCGGTTTTCGGCTGAGGATGTCCTGGATGTCGGAGATCTGGCGACCTGCCGAGTCCATGAGCTGAGGGCCACCCGGAAGGATAGCCAATCTCTGCTTGGTCGTGTTTAGCATGGACAGGACATTAGGAACGACGCGAGAGCTGTAAGGCGAGATAAGGCCGTCCTGTTGGAAAGAAAATCGTTAGGTTGAGACCCTAGAGGACCTGAAAAAATCACGTACGCTGGTGTTCAATATCGAAGCGGCGCGCTGCAGCCACCACAGCGAAGACTTGAAGTTCTCGTCAATCGGAGGCGTCTCACCAACGACACCGGCCAGCTAGATGCATTATGTCAGCTCCAAACAGATAATAATGAACAACTATGACGTACACGATGCACCAACGTCAAGATCACAGCCTGCGACAACGGTCCCACCCCGTTCATCGGCATAATAATTTCAGGGTTCGACCGCGCGAGAACCTCGCGAAGCTGCTTCGAGTCCTGCGAACCTAGCACATGCAAGAACGTATCGTCCCAGTCCTCAGACTGCGACTGCGACGGGGGCGAACGCTGAGCGATGGGCTGAGCCGCCGGGGGAGGGTTAAGAGGATGCGACGCCTGAGGCGCAGCGATGGGAGACGAGTACCATTGCGAGCTGGCGTTCTGCTGCGTGGGCGGCAGAGGCTGGGGGTACGTAGGGTGCGACGATGGCGCGTACTGCTGGTTCGCATGATTCGAGGAAGCCTGGCGGTGCATTCCGCCGGTCGATGCCGGAGACGAGTTGCTCGGCACACGAGCGTGGTGGCCCTGGCCTCCCATGTTGGCGCTCGAGGATAGGGAGAGGAACTTGACCTGGTCCGACAGCAACCGGACGGAATGCTCCAGATCGCGAATTAGCGACTCTTGGTTCCTCAATGCTTCAGTCTGCCAAGCCATGGAGTCCTTCTTCACATTCAGAATTTCAGATCTCATCTCGCGCAAGATGTCCTGGTGCATCGCAGATGTCTGCTGAGAGTAGGCGGGTACGAACGATTTGTTGATAGCTTCCTTGACCCAGCGCTCGATCAAAGGGTTCAGGTTGTTCGAGAGGATGCTGGCGAAGTGGCCGGAGATGTCAGGGCGGAGAAGCAGTGTCTCCATTTCATTGGGCAAGTTCTGCAACATGATAAGCCGTCGAATTTTTCTCTCATGCATAATGACTCACATGCTGGATGTATTCGTTCAGACCCCGTCCAACGTGGTCATTCAAAGCTGCCCTGACTTCCGATCGAGTGATCTGTTCGAGGACAGGCAAGACAGAAGCCTGGACCTCAGCCTTGACGGCCATCTCGACGACCCGGGTCGTGTTCCGGGTCAACTCAGTCGAGATCAACTTGAGTATCTTTTCTTGGCGGTTGAAGTCCTCCGCCTGCTCGTGAGCGCGTGCTTCCTCCAGGCGTTGATCTGCGAGATAATTGATCAGGCATAAACACCAGGGTATTGGACTGAACAAGCTTACTCTGCTTCTCCATCTCCTTGCCGATCAAACGGCCAATGCGGGTGTGTAGACTCTCCTCAGTCTTCCTGATCTCCTTAGTGAACACCGCAGTGATCGCAGAGTCGCTCATCGAACCCGCATCGGAATTCTTAGCGTTCCTCTCCTTCTCCTTCTCGTCCTTGTCCCTGAACGCAACATTCTTGCCCTTCGTGTTCTTCTTGGGCTCAACAACACGAGCCTCCTCACGGGCCATCTCAGCCTCAATCTCTTCAGAGGGCGGTGTCCTGAGCCTGGCAGGGACAGCACTTTGCGACACGCTAGGGCCGGTCAGAGGAACTTGGGAGGACTGACGCGACACCTTGGTCTCCACCGGAGCAGGCGGGGTGTAAGGAGGGAACTTGGTGAGCGCGCTGTACGACGCGCTGTCGAACCACTCCTTCCGAATGAGAACCTGGTCGACACCACTGGGGTGCACCGAGAAAGCGACGAGCGCCAGCTCGCCCGGAGGCACCTTGGCAGCGACGCAAGCCGCATGCGCTTCGTCGCCCGTCGGATCCTGATCGGCGGACAGGATAACGAAGTGAATGGTGGGCTTGGGTCCGCAGAACTCGAGGATCTGCTCAAAGTATCCTCCGCGCACAAGGTCGCCCGAGGGTGATCCAGCGACGTCATATCCGATGCGAACCGCAATCATACTATCGCGACGGCTGTTCGCGATCCAGAGCGTCTGGATGCGAGCATCGTAGTTGATGTGCCCAAACATATCGGGGTCCTCCCGGGGACCATTGACGAACTTCAGCGTTGAAAGGACATTCTTCGTGATAACAGATAGGAGCTGGAACACCGTCCCGTTCCTACGGCCAATCACGATGCCGTCATCGATGAAGGTCAAGGACGACGGAACATCGTCGCCGCGAACCTTGTGAGTCCAGAACGGCTGCCGGTCGTGTACGTTCCAGAGTGTGAGAGTAGAATCTTCAGCAATGGTGGCAAGGGCGTAATGGGGTACGTCGAAGTCGAAGGCGACCAAGCGCTAGAAGAGCAAGTCAGGTGCGAAGCCAAAACAAAGCAATATCAATAACATACCGAAGGAGAAGAGAAGACTTGCGAAATCCGATGAAGCTCGGACTGGGGCAGAGGGTCACCTCTGAATATCCTTGCGGCGTCCATGAGATCAAGAAGGTACATTTTCATCTCAGAAGCGACTGCAAGAGTATCCGGCTGCTTAGGGTGCCACTTGACAGATTGCAGTGGCTCTGAGTCTAGTGTGGGCATTATGCATAAAAGTAAATGTCCCCTGTGAACATCAATGAGCTAAATTTGCTCAAGAGTGGTCAAACAAATGTGACTTACGGAACATCGTCAGTGATGACCTCTGGCAGCTCCCAAATCACGAAGCCACCATCCGAAGTCACGCCCGCGAGCCTATTCCCGAAGACTGCCATATCGACAACAGAAGTAGAAGGAGCAAAAGCGGGAGGAAGTTGGAGAAGAGTGCGGTCACCGCTCGACCGCGAGATGACACGGACACGCCCCTTGGTCATTGCGTACGCAATCCAGTGCGTCGCGCCAATGGTAGTGCCGGGAAGGAACACGGCATCTTGTCTGACAAGGGCAATGGCGGTCGACTTGACAGCATCACGGGGTGCTTGGATCTCGTCGAGCGCTTGAGATACGTCGAACACGATCGTCTGGGACTGGGCACTTTGAGGAAGTGTCAGGGCAGCGTCGATAGTAAAGAAGAGTAAAGGACGCTAACCTTGGGCTGGTATGCTTGCTCTTGCGGCCCTTGGGCTCGTTCTTCGAGTTGACACGGGGAACTGGAGAACTCTCCTTGTCACGGCGGGCAGCACCGAGCAGCGGAGAATCGCCAGACCGGTTCATGTCTCGACGCTGAGCAATGCCTTTGTTTGGAGATAACCGGGAAGGCGAAGGGGGCCTTTGCGCTTTAGGAAGAATGGCCGAAGGCGGCGGCGCACCGCGCTGCTGCTGGGGAAGTTGCTGAGGAGCCACAAGACTGGGGTCAACCTGGGAGTACTCTTCTGGCATACTGTAATGATCATAAGAAGGTTGCGAGTTCTGGACCTGGGGCTGACTCCGGGTCAGCTGGTCAATGAGATTCTCCACAGACTTGCGCTTAGGATCGGAGACCATCGGCGCGTTGGACCACGAATCTTCGTTGCCGCTAGAAGTATCGGCAGGGCCCGAGGGCACAGGCTTCTTCTTCACCGAACCCGAGTTGCTTGCCAGAGCATCAAAGGGGGAGGCGAAGTCGAAGATGGTGTTGCGAGGCTCAGAAGGATCCTGCTGCTGCTGGAGGGGCTGGGGAGGTTGTTGGGGTGGGGGTTGAACCTGCATCGGCTCGCGTGCGGGTTCAGGGGGACCGTAGTTGATTGGCGGATATGGCTCCGGTTGATTCAGAATTTCAGTGGGTGCCGGTAGATACTGCGGGTACTGGGGTGTGTGTCCGGCACTCGAGTTGTGATCGGCATAATTATTCAGCGAAGTTCTGTGTGGCGAGTCAGCGAAAAAGGTATCAATGTACTCCCAAGAAGCCATCGAGGGAGTGAGGAGAGATAGCACAAGAATGAGCGAATGATAATAAGCAATCTCATGCTCCTCGTGGCTGCCTCGAGGCAAAGGTGCCTGCTACCTCACGGCTCTCGGCATATAGCGCCTAAGCCACGAGCAACACAGCAAGGATTAGGAAGTAGGGTACCGAATTCCATGTTGCAAGGCTTCTAGATAACCAGATGACTGGTCATAGAGCACAGCAGACATAAAATTGGCCGATTTGGAGAATCAAAATAGAAAAAGAGGTTTAGTGAACACGTACCCAGACATGAGCTGCTCGAGAAGGATCTTGCCCTGTGTTTCGCTGTTGTTGGAAGGGGACTGGCCAGATCGCTGGGAGGAAGCGGGAGGAGTGGGATTTTGCTGGGCAAGCTGTGAAGATGGAACCGCGGGAAGGGCGCGGCTAGTAGCCGAGGCAGTAGGGGGTGCGTTAGGGTAGAGAAGCGATAAAAGGGCGCTCTGCCTGTCGGCGGCGGTGGTGACAGGGGCGCCGACCGATGTTGAGTCGTCGTTATTGGGCATGCTGGGTGTGGCGGGGGCCGAGTTTCCGTATGGATTGGGGGGAAGGTTGTTCTGGAGGTGGAGATTGTTCGTGATCCCTTGAAAGAGGGAGTCGATGGGGTTCGGAGAGCCGTTCGGCTGGGGGAGACCGATCGCGAAATGGGATTGAACCGGCGGTGGTGTGACGGAGCCTCGCGAAAAGAGATTTTCGTGGGTGTGATCCATCGTGCTCGGTTGTGCTGCACGCCTAGGGGATCGAGGGGGAGGAGGGTAGGAGACAAGAGACGTATCAGTCCGATGCCTCGAGAGCGAGAGGAACGTGCAGGTAAGTTGAGCAGGACGTAAGCCTCGTTGAGGCCACGAGGCGTTCGGCTATCCCCAGATCTAGAGAACCCCAGACAGGCGCCCAAGAACCCTAACTCAAACAGACCTCAATACCCCCTATCACGCGTCCACCACTCTCCCTCACACATCCTATTCTTGTCCCTCTCTGTCTAGATCTGAACTACCGTACGCGCCCCCCTTGCTCGCTTACTAGACGCGCGCATTCAGCAGGTATATAAACTGCCCTGTCGTCGGCACATAGATCGTCGCTCCAAGCTTGGGCTGACGCGTCTACCATCTCACCGCTGAAGCAGGCAGTACTTCGCGCCTCGATAACACCATGGCCGACGCCACTAGTATTCGTCATGGCACCATGGGCAGGAGAGTCATGGTGAAATCAAACATGTTCTCGCTCAAACTCAAGAAAGCATTGAATATCCATCAATACGACGGTGCGACGCTCTCCTTGTTACCGAATCTTGGTCTAACTCTCTCTTATGGTCTCTTTCGGAATGCTAGTCGGTAAGCAGTCATCTGCTCTAGTTTTTCCCTTCTGACACTCTATTAGAAATTAAACCCGATTTCGTCGCCGAAAACTTCTCATTACCGCCCAACAAGCCGTTAGAAATCATGACCCGCCTCCAGAATAGGGAAGCTGGGCAATTCAACCCTCGTGGCGCCTTTGACGGCAAAAAGATATTCTGGTCTACCGTGGATCTTCCCTTTGGTCCAAAGGCTGAGGTGAACAATCACTATATACGCAAAGCAACATGTTCGCTAATCGGGATGATGATGTCAGTTCACTATCGAGCTTAATGAGCAGGACCCTAATCGACCACGAGACAATCCTAATCGCGTGAAAGTCCTACTGGTAAAGGTCGCCGTCATTGATAACCAGCTAGTCTTTTCTTTCTTCTGTAATCTACGTGACACTCACAACTTTTTTCGAATAGCATGCTTCGAAATGTCGGTGCTGAGGACGCTGTGTTCAATCCACGCGCAATGACCGCATTGAACATGATGAATGTTCTGCTAAGGATCGCACCAGCGAGGCGAGCTTCTTCTAGACGAGTCATATTCATCCTTACACCTCTCGTTTCTCTTTCGTAGCAAATGGCCGCATAATGCCAGGTCTTTTTACACAAACCATGACAAGATGGACCACCAAGGACTAGAGTTATGGAGAGGCTACTTTCAGTAAGATCACAGCTTTAGCTAGATCTTTCCCAATGCTGATACGCGATTTTAGGAGCGTTCGACCTATCATCGGAAACAATCTGGCGGTTAATGTTGATATGTCTGCGGGGGTCATGTAAGTTTACGCATCCCTCCATTAGAACTCGTGCATAACCAATCATATCTGCTCCCATCAGGATTCCAGCGAGAGCACGGCTTATAGATCTCGCCATGCGTTACTTGGGTTTGCGAGATGCACGGCAGCTGTCGGATGAGCGCAACTTCCAACGCCTTCGGTCTTTTTTGCGTCATTTGGCTGTCGAAGTCGATCTTCCTATGCATCGCGGAAGGTTTAAAAAGGTGGTGGACATCGTTCGCGGGGGCGGTGCCCAAACGTTCACGAACAAAGACGGCGTGGAAATCACTGTGGAGGTACGAGATTCGCGTCTTTTATTACTTCACCCTGCTGAAGTAGATGACAGCAACACTTCCAACAAATTCACAACGTTCGAACCCAGTTTAGAGATTTACCTGGCATTCGCGTCGGACGATCGGACATTTTCCCGATCGAGTTCTGCCTTACAGGCAAGGCTCAACTGTACCGTAGCAAACTCAGCGGGGAGTTCACTACGAAGATGCTCACCTTTACATCTCAGAGACCTGAAGCCCGGCTGGCACAGATCTGCAATGGATGGAACGTGAGTTTGCAAGAGCTCGTGGTTTGTGGCAAGATCGCTGAGCCCCTGATGATAGGACCTGGAATACCACAATTCCGACTATGTCTTAAACGCCGGAATGGAGATCTCAAACACCCCGGCCCAAGTTAAAGCTAGGGTCCTTGATCCTCCCGGCATCGGTTACACTGGGGATGACGTTAATATGGTAGGTTCACCTCCTGGGTATTAGGAGCCACCGATCACCGATTGATGGTATCTAGAACCGCACACCAGGTTCTTGGAACGTCTTGGGCAAGCGATTCTTCAAGCCTGCTAACTTGGAGAAATGGGCTGTCGTGCGTGCTGCTTTGTCTTCCATAAGCATCTTGTAATTCACTAGGGTTAAATCCTTCATGCAGGTATCGTTTGCTGGCGAGATGGCAAATGATGGAGCTATCGCCGCGTTTGTGAACACCCTTGGATCAGTCCTGGTAGAACGAGGTAAGCATGCAAAATTACTCTATTTGATGTCATTCATTGTTCTATCTTCCACCCTGCTTTTTAGGTCTGAGTAAGTACTTGCTTATTAAATAACCAAAGCTTTTGTGACGTTTTCCCATAGCTGTCGGCAATCCCGGGCCCACTATCTTCCAGCATCCTGGTCGAGTTGAGGCTGTGAGCAAGCTTTAGTCGTGTTATCGCTTGTATTCTTACCGCTATGACAGGCTCTCGATGAAGTCGCCAAGAGATACCCCAATGCTCCAGGACAACGCAAAACCATGATATTGATTATCCTTCGTGAAAACTCTCCAGATGCATATGATCGTATCAAGATGTGGGGGACCAGTCGCCAAGGGTATATCACCTCATGCGTTGTAAGTAAACTTGCGACGAGAGCGCGATAGTGCTCATAGCCATTGGATTTCTCGCTAATCGATCTGTCAGAGATGGGGCAAGAAAATGAATAACCAGTATTGTAATAATCTGGCGTTGAAGTAAGTCCATGGCCCTTGTTGTCTTCGACCCATACCTCTTACCTCAAGTCAGGATAAACGGTAAAATGGATGGAATCAACTCTATCCCGCAGGATCGCTGCATGAAGGAGTTTGCGTCGTTGCCTACCATGGTCATCGGTATGAGAAACTGATATATTGCTCGCATACCCGCGTAACTCAATGTTTATGGATAGGAGGCGATGTGAGCCATCCCGGTCCAGGGGACAATTCTCGTCCGTCTATCGCAGCTTTAGTTGCCTCATACGACGAAAACGCATGCCGTTATGTCGCCGATATTCGACCTCAGCGTTCTCGAGTGGAAATCATCCAAGAAATGGAGGCCATGACAATTGTGCGTGGCATTTTTCCGGCCCCTTGCCACCCACTGTCTTGACCGCATACTTGCAGAAAATGCTGGACAACTTTGTCCAAAAAAACGGAATTCCTCCAAAACGCATTGTCTACTACCGTGACGGAGTATCTGAGGGCGAGTTACCTACAGTCGGAGACCACGAAAAGGAAGCAATACGGGGTGCGTAGGATACGCAAATATGCGGGCAGCCGTACTGATAGCTTCCCTTGCAAGCGGCCATCAAGAGCAGATACCCCGCATACGGCATCCCAAACCCAAACCCGGACGAGCTAGTGGGACTCACTATGATTGTCGTCGCCAAGCGTCATCACGTCCGATTCTTTCCTGTAGACCCCAGGGACCTGAATCAGGCGGACAGGATTTCACAAAACTGCATCGCCGGTTCCGTTGTGGACCACGATGTCGTTCATCCCGGGCTGAAAGATTTCTACTTGCTATCCCATGCAGGTATCAAAGGCAGTAAGTTTGGCTTTCTCTGCTTATATCCACTCTTTCGGCTCAAACGCTCCTCTATCAGCAAGCAGGCCGGCGCACTACATCGTACTCTCGCATAATAACGTCTTCTCTAAGCTTCGTGGACAAGATGGTCGTCCTGTGACGTGGAATATTGACATGTATGTTCGGGGTCACTACGTCCGATGAAAACATTTGCTCATTTGCCAATAGGCTTCAAGGAATGTCGTTTGCGCTTTGTCACGCCTACTTCCCTGCGACCCGCTCGGTTTCCATCCCGGCTCCGGTCTACTGTAAGTCTCACTTTCTCTGCTATTACTGAAAGCAAGCTCAACTTCACAAACCTAATGACATGATAAAGATGCGGACGTAAGTGATGTATTTGGCTTCACCAATCTTATGATCTCGCTGACGCATGGGAATTCACTTTTAGAAGGTATGCCAGTTGGCGAAGACGCATTTCGCCAATTGGATCGACGACACCAGCTCGGTCATGTCGGACAAAGTACCCTCCTATGAGGACTTTGTTTCAAACTTCCATTCTGTTCATCCAGCGTTGAGGGATAGCATGTACTGGTTGTAGAGCTCGATGATCTGTTCCAAGGACAGCACGGTGTTTCTTCTGTTCGCGTTGATTCGTAGCGTAGCAATGTAAGATTAGCATACCCCACTCAATCTCGGCGGAATATACAAATTGGTTAATTCTTACGTCTTCTCTCTTGCAATCGTCGGTGGTGCATAACAAACATACTGACTGCAAATACTTGTTTAAAAGTCTGGGGAGGCAGTTCCAACTTCCAAGGCAGTTCAAAGCGGTACTAGTAAAAGACCCGGGGTCGATAGTTTCGGGCTAGCACCATCCGCGACGCCCGCGCACCTGGACCGCAGCCGCGGCTCGTACCTTGACGCTCTCCCTACGCCCATAAGTTTCACGACCACCATCCGCTGCTGGAACAGCTAGCTCACCCACCGACAATCAACACCCTTCTAACGACTTCATCTTCCGCTTTTGTCAACAGCCCTATCCAAACCACACTCGCGCATTCTTGAAACTCGATTCTCTACGACCACCATGGCGAGCAAGGGATGGTTCAACCTCGAAGCGGCGGGCGGGATGATCCCCGACACCGAGTTCTTTGAAGGGGACTCCGCCTTCAGCTTCCTTGGCCTCACTCGCAAGCAGCGTCTGTATGGCTTCGTGGGATGGTGAGCCGCCCTTGGCCTTGCGTACATGCGTACGATGTCTGACGTATTGCGACCCCGCGTCACCCCAGCCTCGTCATCGGGTTTGTCCTCAGTCTTCTGGGGACCATCCTTCTTCTGCTTGGCCAACTGGCCATCTTTGCCTGTGAGATCACCCCCTGTCAAGCTTCATCGCCTGAGCTCGTCTGACTTACGGATGTCCCGCAGTGCTGTACTCAGTTGGCATCCTGGTGTCCCTCGCGGGCACAGGGTTCCTCATGGGCGTAAGCACGCATCCCGACTTCATTGCTAGTTTGCTAATTCATGTGTCTCTCGTGCCAGTTCCCGACCCAAATCAAAATGGTTAGCTGTCGTCGATGATAGTCACGAGCGACCCCTCAAACTAACATAATTGCCACAGATGTTCAAGCCTGTCCGCATCATTGCTACGATTGTCCTGTTCGCGACCATCGCGCTGGTCTTCGTTGGAGCATTCGTCCTTAAGAATGGAGTGAGTGCCATTGCTATCTTTCATGTCACTGCCTCGCTCACATCAGCATTGTCTAGGTCCTCTGTATAAGTACGTGTTGTGCCAACATTTATTGTCCCAGCTGACCATTTCACAGTCTTCGTTATCATCGAATACCTCGCTTACACGTGGTACTCGATCTCCTACATCCCCTACGCTCGCGCTGCCGTCCTTAAGACCATCGGTATGGGCTAAACACCGCCCATTTCGTGTTTCGATTTCTTCCGGGGTGGCTTCTGGTTGTGAAAAGTGCGTGTAATACATATCATGTCTCTATTGGCTACATTTCCGCGATGAACGGTACATCTACTCCATGTATATTCGTATTGACAACCTCATCAAGCAATTTCTTCTTACTTCCTGACTAAAGATGCGACGCTGTAGGTCTGAAGCATGCTTAGTCAGTCCTTCGCGCTATCTTATACAGTCCGGGGACACGTACACAAACGCCCGCTACTCACGCTCTGAAGCTGTTCTTCATCTCGCGAAGCTTGTCCATGACGGCAGTGGGCTCGGACTCGCCCGTTGCTTTCCTGCAGTGCTCTCTTAGCAACCCGTTGCACAGATTATCAAAACTCACGTACTTGACCGCGTCACTGTCGAGGCGCATGAAAACGTTGAACTCCTTCTCGTCCTCAATGGTGGTAAGCCCACAGGTGGCCTGGTTCTGCTGGGACATCTCGTGGAGCTTCTTGATCGCTGCGTTCTCTGGGTCCACGGATCTCGCGAACGCAACGTTCCCTGTTGTATATTCGTGGCCATTATACACAACCGTCTCGTTGGGCAATCTGCCCAGCTTGGTCAACGCAGCATGCATCTCTGCTCCATTGCCCTCGAAAAAGCGTCCGCATCCACCTTTGAATCGCGGGTCAACGTCGCCACCGTGAGAGTACACGTGTTACGATGCATACCTTGGAATAGTGTGTCGCCAGTGAACACAGCCCCAGGCTGCGAGGGGTTGGAACTATCAGTCACATAGTAGCAGATAGAGTCTCTGGTGTGGCACGGGGTTGCCAGACATCTGTCATGACAGAGTAATGAGCGCCTTGCGCCGTACAGGGGCTAATGGGGCATACTTGACACTGAGGCTCTTGCTGATGGTAAAGCTGTCGTTATCACCGACGATTTTGTTCGCGGCAAGTACTTTGTCACTGCCGCCGTAAATTGGGGCATCGGGAAAGGCGGCGGCCTGTACGTGGAGATGGACTGAGTACGTAACGTTCGCGCATCACTCTGAAGCCGACACTCACGAAGTCCTAACCAAGACAAGAACACTTTGTCAAACGCCGAGTTCTTACAAGGTTACATCAAGCGCATACCTTGTTTCCGCCGCTGTGATCTGGGTGGTGATGGGTGGTGATGCATGCGATGATGCTAACACCGAGTTCCTGTGCAGCACCGCGTACTTTGGAGAAGTTGAGGGGGTCAACTACCGCTGCTTCCTTGCTGGTCTCGTCGATGACGAAATAGGCGTAGTTGTCTGCGCTAACGAGGACGGGTTCTACCTTCATTCTGGCGACTGAGGAGGATGAGAAAGCACGTTGCTGACTCAGGCGGAGGATACGGGGGACAATGACAGAACGGTGGAAAAGGAGCATGGAGGCTCGAAATAGGAATTGCTTCCGCCTATTACGCTGTTCTTCTGACCAGTGACTTTGGTGCTTTTGCTCCCGAGATGCGAGATGTGCTGCGACCACCATCGCCGAGTGCCAGCTGTTTCACGTTCGAGTAGTCGGAGAATCGCGACACAGGTAATGATGACTCCCTCGTTCGCAGCTTTGCTATACCCGCTCGACGATCTTGAGAGGGTTTTCCGTATCTCATAAAGGTGAGAGCGCACGCCCACTAGATGGCGTCTATTTCCAATGCCTGTTCTACGACTCCCTCCAAATGTTGGCGCTATTGCTCCAGTAAGTGATTTGGATATAAGAAAACAAGCCAGCTGATCAAATGTAGAGAGATGATCCTCCATCGCCCTGCTGGCCAGAGGCTTCACGCCCATGGCCTTCATCCTCGACCGCATCTGCTAGCAGTTTGAGCACACTGTCGTCCACCAGTACCTCATCGGTGCACACTCCCTCATCTTGGAGGTCACCAAGTACATCTCAGGCAACTTCTTTGCTTTCTGGTGGTACTCAGCCGCCCAAAGATTCATCGCCTACACCTTCGATAGGCATCCCAGCTTCATCAACAATTACTTCGAACACAACTTCTGCTCCCCCCTGCACTCTGAATGAGGAGTGCACTAATGCTACACAAGTCGCTCTCGCAATTTCATCACGCTCAGATGGGAACAAAGGGGCCATCATTGGCGGAGTGATAGGCGGACTAGTTTTGCTTGCCGCTTGCGCTATCGCAGGGCTCCTACTCTACCGGCGAAAACGCAGACGCAACAAAGCGCCGTCATCCGAGTTCATGCATTCAGCTCGTAAAGGGCCTCCGCCGAAGCCGGCGGAATTCTCTTTCCTCCCACCTTACACGCCAACACCCGACCACGTAATTCAAAGCGAGCCTCGAAGACATTCGCCTTCACCTCCACCTCCACCAGTACCACGAAAATCATGGCTCATTATTCCTGGTGGTTTGACTATCATATCGGCTCCTGCAGACCGCCGCCAGTCAAGAATATCCGGGACATCAAGTGCCCACTGCCCCACCTCACCTTCCCCACATCTTCTTGTCGCGCAGGAGCACGACAGATACGACATCGACGAACTGTCCTCGGAGGGGCATGACTCTACTGCGGAGCCAGACGAGAGCGTGGTGCAGCATGATCCCAGACCGTGTCCTTGAACCGTCTTCAATAGTACCCATTGCGGCTTTGCTGGTCCGAGTTTTTCAATTTAAGTGTCACTGTGGCGATGTATGCGAAGCATCTTGCGTGCTGTTGCGTTCCCAGCATCTCAGAAGCAGTGATATCGAGTCTCGTGATGATCGGTGCTCCATTGTGGACATCTGAAGAGGTCATACACCCAACGTTGGAGGCTCGGTGGGCAGGATCTTGCTGTACCTCGCCGCACTGATCTTCTACGTGTACCTGTAAGCGCCTCCGTTATTGCACAAATCTCTGAAACACTCTCGGTGAGGATATTCCTGATGATCTACCCGTTCGTACTGATCAAACAGGCTGTTATGGTCACATCAAAGGCACGTCTTTGATCCACTTCGCATCTCTCCCACCCGGGAACAAAGGTCGCGCTCAGCACTTTTGGACCAAACCCATGTCGAGTTTGGGAGCTCCCTGTAAATAAGCCAGGATCCTGCTTGATACGGACAGTGTACAGGCGTGCTATATTCAGAGGCACATGTCTATTGACCGGCTTGTAGCGACTTTCTGATACGTTCCACCGCAGTTGGGGCACCTTTGATCATCTTTGTAGACACAGCCTGGTACAGGATGGTCTCTCTCACGACATTGCTTCCCCGACCAAGACGTTATAAGTGTGAGCCACTGTTCTGAGTCCCATGAGGGTCATTTACCCTTGACGAAACTATGTCCACTGGGCTTCGGCGGGTACGTACCGAGCGCAGACAGCCAGCCATGTTTCCAAGGGACAGTTATCAGTGGCAGGAGCGGAGTGGTAACTGTTCTGACTCTCAGAATTCGGTAAGCGGATTCGTTCGAGGCTCTTGGTAGTACCTTGACGTATCTCTAGCTTGACCGTACGGACTGCCCAGGTGTTTCTAGCAGCACTAGTCCTAGCAGAGACCCAACGACCACAGGCCTATCCACCATCAGTCCAAGACCTACCACGCCTATTAGCACGTCTACCGATCCATCTACATCCAATTCCGGATCCTCTAGCATAGCGCCTGATTCTAGTGATAGTTCGTTATCAGCTTCGCAAACTCCGCTTGTGAGCTCGTCTTCGACATCCCCCTCTTTGAATGGTGCAACGGCCGTTTCCTCTCCCTCCTCCTCGCCTGTGTTCAGCACATCCTCAACATTAGATGTATCCCCGCCATCGAGTACACCCTCCGCGGTCTCATCCTCATCTCTTTATGCACAATCCTCCAAACCTAAACGCGGTGCTATTATCGGTGGTGTTCTTGGCGGGGTCACATTTCTGATATGCATTGGCGTTGCATTGGTCATATATCGTCGGCGCCGACACAAGGCACACCTTGCGCCTTCATCGGAATTCATGCAGTCCCTGCACCAGGGAGGAACACCTCACATCTTCCAGTTGCGCAGCGGTCAACAATATATTGCTGCCATCTCTGATACTCCCCTTCCGCGAAAAGACACACCTGTCTCCTTCATGAACGACCTATACAATCAACCTGGCAATGATCCCAATCTCATTGAATCAAGAGAGATCGACCAGGACTCGAACAGCTCTTTCATTACTGAGTCACGAGCAGGTAGCCCATATTCAGACCACGAATATCCTTCCACCGAACGTGCAGAACCAAGCGAGGAAACCTCTGGCGAAAGCGGGGCAAATCTCCTGCGTCCAGAGCCTACGAGGCAGGAAGTGGGATCTGACGTAGCGGAACAAGGCTCTCATGAGCCTACGTCGGAGCGCGGTCCGCACTCATACCCCTCCCTCTGGAGGTTGGCCAGTGTACAGACAGCAACGCCAGCACCGCTCCCTAGACTATCTATCCAATCAGCAGAAAGAAACTCGTGGCTAGTAAATCGCACGAGGCCCAGCACGGCTGATGGCAGCGGTGGTGCGAGTGACAGGAATTATTGGCATACCAGTGCTATAGATGATGGGCCTCGGACTTCCTAAAAACACTGCTATATATTGATTCTGTAATCTATGTATGTAATAAATGTCTGTATCGATATGTCATATGATCTCTCTCTTGGGAGCCCGCCGAGTCAAGCAAAAAGTCGAGATGAAAAGCCTCACTTGTACTGTGTCTGACGCGAGTCAGGGGCTAAAAGCGAAGGCTTTGAGCTGCACAGCTTTTCGAAGCTTAAAAGGCTTACGTAAGCACTTCCTTTACTTCCGGTGCCTGGAGCGACCCGCGCGTCGACAGGACAAGCTTCAGCTGCTTCTTCCCCTCTCTATTGCAAAATGTTGGATCACTGTTCTATCTCACACAAAGGTGAGCCTAGACGAAGTTTACAGCAAATATGTCTGGTGTCTCACTGTTTGCAGGTGGTTTCGTGCTCTGGTCGCGATCGTTCACACCCGAGGTGGCCCAAACCGCTTCATCTTCCTCCTCGCCAGTCAATTCCCTCATCCGCGACGCTCTCATTGAAGGTCGCAACGCCGATGACAAGTACGACAAGGATGGATATACCGTCAAATGGACATTTGTCAACGACCTCGAGTTGATCTTCGTTGTGCGTCTAGGCGTGGACTCGCAGTTGTGTCACAAAGCTTAATTCTTCACAGGTGGCATACCAGCGTATCTTGCAACTGACCTACGTGGAGGACCTTTTGGCAGCAATAAAAACTCTATTTATGAAGCTCTATGAACCTTTCCTGACCACTTTCGTCGAGTCCGTCCACGCTATCAGCAACGGCAAGGTTGCTGGCAAGGATTCCGCAGTATCCTGGAACTTTGCAGAGGCGTTCAAAAATTGGGACACCGTGTTTGACAAGTTGCTCAGAAACTTTGAGGAGAAAGCCGCTCAAGTATGTTTACCGCTTCATCTATAGTCATACGCGATTCCTAATAGCTGCATAGGAGCGCAAATCTCGATATCGGACAGCGGCCCCCAAGGCTCTGGTCTCGGACTCCACCCCTCCTTCTGACGATGCTAGCACCAGTATGCAACTCGTTTTCTCGTATATAGCGCTCCGCTGACGCTGTACAGTACCTTCTGCTGCCCTTCCCCAAGATGAGCAGGCAATAGCTAGAACCCATCAGGCGCTGAAAAGTCGGTTACGTGCACGAGGCGGTGCCCGTGGTGGTAGGAGAGGGGTGGCCAGGATGGACTCTGAAAGCGGGAGGGACAGCGTTCACAGCTCCGAGTAAGTGGCACATTCATTTGCCCAGAGTCTCAGCACTGATATGCTCCAGCACGGAGACTGGCAAGAAGAAGACCAAGACGAAGGTGCAGCGCAAGTGGGGTGATCAAGTGCCCACAGAGGAGGACATGGCTTCTCTAGACTTCAGCTCAGATAAGCCAAATGACGCCGGGAACATTGGCTCCCATGACCTGCAGGCGCTCGTTGACCAGGCGTCCCTGGGAACTAGGACCAACGACGGTCTCTACGAAGTCAAAGATTGGGAGTTCGACTCTCAAACGGACGAAGCAGACGATGTCATCGCTCGTACCATGGGTTCTCAGGTTGCTGAGCAATCTAAGGGCTCGCTGGGCGCACTGGGATCGTTCTTTGCCCGTTTTACTGGCTCTAAAGTCCTTACTGAGGAAGACTTGAAGCCAGCGCTGGAGGGCATGAAACAGCATTTGATGAAGAAAAACGTTGCGAAAAACATTGCCGATAAGGTTTGCGAAGGAGTGGGAGAAAGTTTGGTTGGCAAGAAACTCGGCTTCCAAAGTGCGTCATCACCATCTCGGTCCGAACTCCTCATTCTGACGATAATGCAGCCACGGGCAACGCTGTTCGAACTGCTCTCTCGACGTCCATTACACGTATTCTCACTCCAAAGACTTCGACGGACCTCCTGCTCTCCATTCGCACGAAGCTGTCCACGCCAGTGCCATCAGCGCAGCAGAGGATGCCATACAGCATCACGTTCGTTGGTGTCAATGGCGTGGGCAAGAGCACGAATCTGTCCAAGGTCTGTTTCTGGCTGATTCAGAACGGATTCCGAGTCCTTATCGCTGCTTGCGACACCTTCCGGTGCGTAATTGATTTGGGTCCCCTCTTTGTGCTGCAAATGGCTTACCATTCGCAGGAGTGGCGCCGTTGAACAGCTCCGTGTCCATGTCCGTAACCTGGGGATGCTTGGCGTCAATGGCGCGACGAACAGCAAAGGGCGCGTTGAGCTCTTCGAGCGGGGGTACGGAAAGGATGCAGCTGGGATCGCGAAGGAAGCCATCGCATATGGTAAGGTGATTTGTCATGGACAGTGTTCGTAATTTCTCACTGTCAGAGTTTAGGAAAAGATAATGACTTCGATGTCGTGCTGATCGACACTGCTGGTAGGATGCAAGACAACGAGGTAAGTTCGTGGCCCTTAGCATTAGCAATGGCGTAACTAAAAACATTCTCAGCCGCTCATGCGCGCTCTTGCCAAGGTGATAGCGTATGATAATAGAATCGAAGTAACGCGTGCTGATACCCGTCTAGCTCGTGGCAGTAAACAACCCCGACAGGATTATCTTCGTCGGCGAGGCACTGGTCGGAAACGAAGCAGTCGACCAGCTCACCAAGTTTGACCGTGCCCTTCGTGATTTCTCGTCTGCCTCAGGGGCAGGCAAGGGGCGCGGGATTGACGGTATGCTCGTCACGAAATGGGATACCGTCGATGACAAGGTACGCGACCCCTTGGGACCTAGCTTCCTCCGTCTCGCTGCTGATACAATAAAACTGTAGGTTGGAGCTGCTCTGTCGATGACATATGTGACTGGCCAACCTATCTTCTTTGTGGGCTGTGGGCAGACGTACACCGACCTCAGACAGCTGAGAGTAGGGAATGTGGTCAAGGCAATCCTCAGCGACTGATTTCGCCCTATGTATGTGCCAATTGTTGTGCTTGGGAGGATTTCTAGAGTAAAGAACGGATCAACAAATGGACAATGCTGAATCCTATAATGTATACGCAGTGGTGCTGTCAGGTGCTGATCACCTTTTCTTCTATGTAACTGCAATTGGCATGATGTGCTAGCTGTCCCGTTAGCTTCGGCGGAATATCGCGGAGAATGTCGACAAGACGTTTTCAAGTTGTCTCGCTCGAGTAGGCTCCCATTCATCAAGCTGTGTATTTTGTCGTCGGATCTGCTATTCAAGTTGGCGAGTGGATGTTAACTCAAGGTATTGCTCAACAACATACTCTCAAGACTTAGAAGAATGGATGATTTATGATAAGAATCAAAACAGAGCGCACAAATCCAGGGCACGGTGACATGTACAAACCTCCAACTTTACCGCCCAACATTGCATCCGTGCCGGAGCCGCCGGGAATGCGAGTGAACATCGTCAGACGTCGTTCCTGACCGAGCTGTTGTTTTGGTCGCGTCGGTGGTCCGAGACAACGCCGCGACAAGCTGTGTTCTGCGGGGTTTGACGCGTCTTGCACCATGAGGCGAGTCCATGATCGATCATGAATGCATGACATTCCGCGGCTGATACTAATCTATATCATTTAGTCGGACCCTACAAGGATGTGAATGGTGTCGAAAACTCTCGGACGAAATATTGATGACCTGATCAAGACCTCCCAAAAGTATCCTCGACTCGGACTATCTTCGGTGCGGGATCCGTGAGCGTTCTATGCAAGTGCAGCGCGTTCTTTCAGTTCACAAAGCTAACTAAGCAGAGTCACTAGCCACTACCACGCTCTGCCCAGCTCAATATTCGTACAGCCACTCGGGCTTCATGGCGATGCTCTCGGCTGCCCAGTACTTCTCGTGTTTACAACAGCATGTGGCAGATTCTCATCGTTGGCCGAGACACCGAGCTTGGCCGTGGCCCAGGGGCCGTCAAAGATCCCGCATCACTCGGACTCCGTCTTGAACGTCTCTGTCACAAGTCTGTGCTCACTGCCACCTTATGCACTCGCTGTCACTTAGTGTTTAATTATCTGTGTCAAGGTCCTGGTACGCTCTCAAGCTTTATTGCTTGAGGCTTTGTGGTTGTGCGCTCTAGGAACCTCAGCAATGCCATCGTTTCGTAGGCAACTCAGAACTCTGGCTTCGAGGAGGCCGATCCGCCGTTCCTGGTTCCCCGCACTTGAAACCTATTCGTTCCGGCGGCTCGGGTGCCATCTTCTTGATCGACAGACCCATATGGGCGTCTGATGGGCATGGCTTTCCTTGCCATTGCCAGTGCCTCGAAGCCCGCAAGCGAGCACATCAGTGAATAGCAGTTACATTGCTGACATGCATACGGCAGCCAAGCCTGGTGCCCTGGAATGAAACGGTTTCCGGCATCATAGCCAGCGGCTGTTGGAATCCTCGCCAGGACTTCAAGCATATAAATACAGCGAGGAGAGCATGCGGCCATCCATCCTCCACCAGCATCCCCGCTTTCGACATGTTCTCTTCTGCTATTGCTGCTCTCGCCCTCTTCACCGCTGCCGTCCAGGCTGGCAAGCGCGGTCTGACCTGGACCTACTGTGAGCCCACTCATTGTTCAAGGCATGAAACGTATTCATCTAAATGGTTCCGCAGACGACAGCTCTCTTAACCCCGCACTCTTCAAGACCAGCAGCGGCGAAGTCGTAGCTATGTAAGCACACATCCCCTTCCCTTGCTGGCCCCCGAATGCTGATGCTTGACGGCCAGCTACGACTACGAGACGTATGCTCCTCCCTCCACTCACGGCAATGGTGGCCTTGGTTTCGTTGGCATGCAGCGCTGCTTGGACTGCGACTCCAGCCCCATCAACCAGCTTGCTGCTCGCCAAAAGCAGCAAGGATGGGCCAGTATGTCCTCTATGTCAGAGTCCTTTTGGCTGGCCACTGACAATTGCATTGCACCTCGCAGCCGTCTTCACCCTGAACGAGCCTGACATCAACGGCATTTCGCCCTCGCAGGCGGCGTCTTGGTACAAGCAATACGTCAACCCTCTTGTGAGTTCTTTATTACGAGGTCTAGTGGATTGATACTCAAAAGCTGTAAATGCCGTCACCAGCCCATCAAGAAGGCTCTTCCTGCCATCACGTCCAGCACGGATGCCGGCAAGGGGTTCGACTGGCTTCACTCCATGATCAGTGCTTGCGGTGGCAAGTGCTCCTACGACTACATCAACCTGGTGGGTATAAGTTCTAGCCTGAAAGCGAGCTCGTAAGCTAATCCATCTGTCTTCTAGCACTGGTACGGGTATGTAACAAAAACATAAAGTTTCCCGGCTCGTCCCTGACCAATTCCTTCGCACTCCAGAGGCAGCTTCGCTGACTTCAAGTCCCACGTTCAGAAGGCGCACTCGGAGTTCCCCGTATGATCTTTAATCCTGAACCTGGCGTAGACCACTGCACTAACTCCTCACGTTCACCCTCTGACAGAACTCCAAGATCGTGATCACCGAGTTCGCCCTCCAGAACCCCTCCGGCGGCCAGTCTGCTCAGTACGTCATGCAATCACTCTCATTTCTCACCCATTGCTCGCTGGTCTAACTCCGTACTACAGGGTGAACTTCTTCAAGCAGGCCTTCAGCTTCCTCGACGGCGCCGACTACGTCCAGCTCTACTTCCCCTTCGTCGCCACTTCCCCTGCTCTCCTCCAGCAGAACGACGCCGCGGCTGTCGGCTACGTCGGCACTGGCTCGTGCTTGTACAACAACGATGGCTCGCTCTCTGCTGTCGGCAAGCTCATGATCGCGAAGTAGATTGCTCACGTAGACGTTAGTATATGATGTATACGTTCTGAGATTGTTGACTTCCATTCGCTGAGGAAAGGATTGTTTACACATAATGATTACTCTATGGGTACCGATATCATGCGGCAATTAACTTGTCTCGTTGAAGCCCTGCTTCCACAGTTATGAGGAGTGGCGGAGACCAAGACTATCGAAGTTTGGGTGATACAACTTTATAACGGCTCTTCAATTTCTCCACACGTATTTGCGTGAGTAGGACATTTCTTGTATTCGCCCTTGTTTCATCTGGGTGAAGTATGTCCACTTTAAAGAAAGACAAGGTCACGAAGGATGGAAAGTTGACGGAAAGAAGGAAAGACATGTGTATCGGTGATTGCCGGCTTATGGCCGGATATTTTCCCACGAAATAGGCACAGCTTACACGCAAAAGTAGAAGTGCCAAGCACTACGTTTGGTATGATCCGCACGCAGCTGCTTGGTGGCGCAAACGTGTTATGTCGCAGAAACCTTCACATCCACGAAACCTGGAGACTTTCAGCCAGGGTTATTGGGAAAAGTCGACGTTTGGGTCAAGGTGCTTCACTGCCTGGAGGTGCATTGCCAGCGACGAGCTTACGAGAAATGACATGGCATGCAAATGGTCTTCCCTCCGATCAGCCCACCAATCACTGCATCTCCAGGTACATCTCTACACAGCCTAACATCCCCGTAGCGAAGGTGTACCGCCCTTTATCGTCGAATTCAACAGCGTTCAAGCGACAGTTACCTGCTGGCAGCTTCTCTTTGTGATTCAGCATCCTGCCTTGCGCGTCCTGCCAGCATGCATCTCAATGGATGCATCCCCGGTGCTCGGTGATCAGTCGCGTACTTGCAAGTCTGTGGAGCTCGTCGTAGATCCTCTTCGTTGCGCTCCACCGTGTCGAGGATCTGCAAGGAAAGGACAAAAATATCCCAATCGACACCGACCCGAGGTCGAGCACGCTCTCGGATGTTCTCCACTGGCACTTCCCCGCACTTGTTGTTCCGTTTAAGCCACAGTTTCACCCGTCTGCCCTCGTCTGCCCGATCCACGACACCCCGCATCATCCGGCTTCATGTCAAAGCGACCATGTGGTCCAGGGTGCCCTGTGACCGTCATCATCTCGCCGCAACCGCCTCATCCTTCATGTCCTACAGAGATTCGCCACTAGGCCCTGCGCGCAATGTCGCTGAATCAATGGACGGACCTCCCTGCCGGTCCTCGGCCATCACGCTCTATCACGCCCTTTGAGCTGATTCTCGGATTCTCGCTCGCTGTACGCGCATCCATGCTCACATGTTCAGCGAAAGCGATGCATGCGCGCGCGCACTGATCCCGTCGCACTTCGCTGCGTTTTATCGCGGCTTCTCTGTCCCGTCTCTGGGCAGGGGCATAGCTGAAGAGGGTGCCTTACGACGGGCTGCATACCGTCGTTCTAGGTGACTTGCGATCAATGGCCACCGCTCATCTACGAGGAGAAGTATAAATACGGTTACTCAGGGTGGAGAGAGATGTATCCTCCCCCATATTTCATCTTTTGACAATGCTTTCCTCTGCTTTCGCTGCCCTTGCCCTCTTCACCGCTGCTGCCCAGGCTGGCAAGCGTGGTCTCGCCTGGCCCTACTACAACGGCGCTCTGTACGTACCATCCGATTGACGTGTTTTCATCCTTTTGCTTACCAGGCTTCAGTGACCCCGGCGTGTTCAACAACGGCGATGGTGAGGTCGTCGCTATGTACGTCTGAATTCTGCTACCTTGAGAAAGTAGCATTGATTACTTACTATTATTCTAGCTACGACTACGAGACCTACGCCCCTCCCTCTACCAACGGAAACGGTGGCCTCGGCTTCATCGGCATGCAGCGCTGCACGGACTGCGACTCTTCCCCCGTCGCCCAACTCGCCTCCCGCCAGCAGCAGCAGGGCTGGGCCAGTAAGTCATGTCCAGGCGCACCCTGCCCAAACTCGGAATCCTAACCTCCACCCCTTCCAGCCGTCTTCTCGCTCAACGAGCCCGACAACAACGGCATCTCGCCGTCGCAGGCTGCGTCCTGGTACCAGCAGTACATCAACCCGCTGCAGATCAAGAAGGCGCTCCCCGCCGTCACGTCGAGCTCGAACGCGGGCCAGGGCCTCGACTGGCTCTCGCAGATGATCAGCGCGTGCGGCGGCAACTGCTACTACGACTACATCAACCTGCACTGGTACGGCCCCGACTTCCCCACGTTCCAGAACTACGTCGAGTCGGCGCACAACCGCTTCCCTGTACGTGTCTTTTTTTTTTGCTCTTGGCCTCTGAGCAGGCGCTCATCGTTTGGCTTTCACACCTAGAACACTCAAATCGTCATCACCGAATTCGCGCTGCAGAACCCCTCCGGCGGGCAGGGAGCCCAGTGTGTTTCTTCTGCCCATTCACCGTTCTCCTCCCAGTCCTCACTAAACCGCTCCGCAGGGTCGACTTCTTCAAGCAGGCCTTCTCGTTCCTCGACGGCGCGAGCTACGTCCAGCTCTACTTCCCCTTCGTCGCCACCTCGCCCGCGCTCTTCCAGCAGAACGATGCCGCCGGCGCCGGCTACGTCGGCACCGGCTCGTGCCTGTACAACAACGACGGCTCGCCGTCTGCCGCTGGCAACCTCATGTACTAGGCGCCGTGTCGTCGTGGTGTAGGGATGTAAAGAAGGTTGCTGGTTAACTTATTCCTTTTGGGTACATAGATGGACTGTGTATATTGCGTGCACTTGGGTTATAAATAATGGGATGACAATGTACACCACAACCTCCGCGAGAAGCCAGACCACGATGCGACGGGTGAGTGACATCGAATGAGCCAGATGTACTTGACTGCGACAGAGGAGGGTCATGACGTCGGCGCCGCCCGGCTGCGGTCAGCATCATCGACCGCGACATTATCTTCGAGCCACTTGCGCACGTCCTTCTTGTTCAGCATGCCCGCGACCCTGATGCGGTCCGCGAGAGGCCGCGGGCGGTACAGCCGCATGATGTACCCGCAGACGGTCCACACGTCGTCCCAGGGCGCGTCGAAGAGGTCCCACCAGCACACCGGCGGCTCTGACGGGAGCGCGATGCCGAGGTGGCGCGCGGCGAGGAGGATCGCGGCGCTGACGATCGTCGGGATGGCGTAGAGCGCGTACACCGGGGTCTGCAGCCTAAGGAAATGGAAGAAATGCGAGCATCCCTGTATCATTTTCAGCGAGCTGAGCACGGCGAACCACGTACGCGTCGTTGAGATACCCCCACGCCTTTTCGCACGCGCGCTCGTGGCCCGTGAGACCGAGCACGCGGAGGTAGTTGATGAGGGTGCCGTACGGGAGGACGACGGCGACGTTGAACCCGAGGCGCTTGAGGATCTGCATCTCGGCGACAACGACGGCGTCCTTGAGGTCGTAGAACGTGTTGCCGAAGTAGGACATGGGCGCGTACGCGAACCCCGCGCCGGGGTCGAGGCAGCCGGGCGCGAAGGCGTGCGTGAGCTGGTGCGCGGTGCGCTGCAGGAGGAGGTCGTAGACGTTGATGAGGTCGCGCATCCGCAGCGAGCACTCTTCGAGCTTCGAGGCGAGGTAGAGGGCGCCCATGGAGACGTCCTGCAGCGGGGGGATCGGCTGAGGTTGCGAGCGCGAGGAAGAGAGGGGGCTTACACCGATGCTGAACTGCTTCATGGAGGTGACGAACCAGAAGCGCTGGAAGAGGATCTGGGCGGTGGCGACTGCGACCTGTTTCCTGCAGCTTGAGCTGTCATATCGGAGTGTCTTTTGTGAGAGCTCGACACGCACTGTTTGAGCAGGATGCCAGCTTCGTGTATCAGCTTGCAGCCGTACGCGCGCAGCTCCTCCTCCAAATAGTCGGGCACGCCATCTTGTCGTGAGGGCGTCGACTCTACCTGAGCGAGCGACGCCAAAGGGACGAGAGTGACTGACATAGCCGTGCTCATTATGTCACAGGAGAAAGAGAGAGTTCGGCATTCGGATGCAGTAAAACTTGCTCTTTCTTTCTTCCCATGTCTGGTCTCCCCCCAAAACCAACATTCGACGTCGCCCAGCACCCAGAACGCCCACGGCCAGACGACGACCGACGCTCTAGCCGCCCGCCGCCACCTCCGCCCGACCGATGGCGCGACAGAGAGCGCGAACGGGACGACCGGCGGTATCGAGCCCGTTCGCGCACGCCTCCGCCTCCGCCCCCGCCGCGCCCTATGGACACCTACATCGCATCCGGCTCTCCGCGCGATGAAAGGGCACCTCCACGCAGGCCACCGCTGCGCGAATGGGAGCGCGACGACCGGCGTGCTCCGCGCGGCAGCTTTCCCAGTCGCGGGCCTCCACCGCCGAGGAGGGACTATCCAGAAAGAGACAGAAGTAGAGAGCGGGAGAGGGAGAGAGAAAGAGACAGGGACAGAGATAGGCGGGAGTGGGAGCGCGATCGCGAGCGGGACAGAGTAAGGGGCAGAGACTATCCGCCGCCGCCGAGGAGAGACGACCGAGACCGCCCGCCGTACCGCAGACGGCGCACGCCTTCTCCATCACCGCCTAGACGTGGTATGTCTCCCTTTCTCATTACAGTAATGTATTTATTCTGACATAGCTCGATGATAAATCTCTGTAGCACCTCCAACTCGCGACTATACCCCCGAAAGAGACAGAGATTTCCGCCGACCACCACCTCGATACAGATCACGTTCGCGTTCACCGTCAGCAGCATCCCGCCACTCGTCGCGCGGTCGACCCACCGGTGAATACCTCCAACGCCCCCCTGCCTCGCGTCCGCCCCGACGCTCTCCATCAAGCAGCCCGCGGCGCCGGCGCTCACTCTCACCGCGATCCCCGCGCAAAGACTTAAGACGATCACCATCCCCTCCGCGTGCCCCGCGAGACAGAGAGCGCTCCCCTCTTCGCGCCTCTCGCCAGGGCAGCGAGCGAAGCCGGGAAGATGGCCAAATCACGCCAGTCAGCCAGCGCCCCTCAGAGCCACCTTCCAAGCCCACAGAACGAGCAGCCGAACCGCCCGCAGTGCCCGAGCACCAGCCCAGGAGGGATGGCGACCGCGACAACGACGTCAAAATGCGCGACCCCTCTCCTGTGCGCTCGCACCCGGCACCGACAACACCGGCTGCGGATGCCCACGCACGCTCGTCGCGTTCCTCGCCGCGTCCGCACGCACCACCACCGCCGTTCGCCAGGCGTCCGCACTCGCCGCCGTCTGGACCGCGACACGGGCCCTCGGAAAAGCATCTCCCGAGGCGCCCCGCCGAGTCGCCGAAGCACGGCAGCTCCCCTGCGCCAGCACCGGCACCGGCACAAGAGACGTCGCCCAAGGGCTTCGTCATCCCCATTCCAAAGTACGAGCCTCCGCCGAACTTGACTTTGCGGGAAGAAGAAGAGGTGTGTGCGCTCGTCTAGTCCCATGGCATCAACCTTTCTAATGATACGTGTGTCCACGCAGATCGCGAAAATCGAAGCCCAGCGCGCCCGGCTCACGGCGGACTACGCGCACCTCGCCAGGGCGACGCGGCGCGCGCTGCACGAGCTCGATATGACGGGCATCGAGCTGCGGTCGGCGCAGCAGCGGCGCGAACATGCCGAGGCGTTTTACAAGCGGGCGAACGCGGGGCTCGTCGAGGTTGGGGTGGATGGAGTGTGATCTGACGAATAGAGGACCAATGATAATTCTCCCCCCGTAATAGACATAGGACGGGCGCGCCGTGTTCGCGTGACATTGCACGGGTAGCATTAATTAGTGGTGTATACGGAGGCGGACGCAGGGTGTACCGTGCCATGTAGTCGTCGAGTAGGCAGGCTATGAGTCCGGTATCTTTGTGCACACCATGTGTGTCCGGTTCGGGTCCATCGGCAGCGCACAGTAGAAGCCACGTTTCTGTCATCACAAGCGAGAATCAGCTTCGGCGTGCATGGCGTAGCAGTGGATCCGAGTACGAACCTGCATAACCTCGAACATCTTGGTCGAGTACATTTGCAGCTGGGGTTTCAATTTGACGTCCGGGGCCACGACAGAGTGTCAGCACGCGAACATCCGCGAAAGAAGAAGAAGAAGAAAAAAACGACGAACCGCGATGCACTCGCGCTGGTTCCTGCTCTCGCGGCATATCTCGGACTGCGGCTGCCCGCGCTCGCCGTCGAACGTGTACCGCGCGTTCAGGTCTTTCTGTGGGGGGCCAACAACGTGTCCTCTGTTCAGTCCCCTGCCCTCTGAGAATCACGTCACGGTAGAACACGCACGTCGACAAAAGCATTGAGCGCCGCCTCGGCTTCCTTGTGCTGCTGCTGCTCTTCGGATGGTGGCATGTTCTCCTGTGAGTGTGGGATGGCTAACACGGGTTCTCGGAGTAGGACAAAGGTGGAGGTTACTGTAAGCTAACCAAAAAGCTAACCTTTGAGGCGTCGATGAAAAGTCAAGATGATGCCCCGCGCTATGCCGACAAATTGTGACGTATGCTGACTAAGCGCTCCGGCAACTAACTTTCCAGGACTCGGAAGCGCCCACCCGTTTGTTGCCCTTGTTGTCGTTGGGCGTCTACTTAGAATCAAGCAGCATTCGCCGACTTTGCTACTAGTATCAGGGGAAATAGCCGGACTCGCTGCGAACGACGCATCATATCGGGCTGCATGACCTTTTCCGATTTCGATGGTAAAACTCAGTGATACCGGGCTTGAGCTTGAGAACCCCGGAGCACTAGCTGACCATTGCCCACTGACTATTGCAGTAAGTATGCCAACTCACGCATACATCACCCATCTGCCCTGATCCTGCATTCGCGTGGTATTTTCCACAAACCGTTACCCGCCTGATCTCCAACCACTGCAAATCACCCCACTACCGCACATCCAACCTGACCTCAGTTTGATTTTTTTCGCTGTTAATTTTGCCCATCACGCTTCGTGATCAACACGCACGCTGCTGCCCGACGCACTACGAATGACCGTCCAGAAAACCTATATCCCATACACTGTTCTTTTTCTAGCCTACCATAGTAATAGATAGTACAACGTTCATATGTGCACAGCCTCTAACCCAGTGTGTATACACAACACATACTTTTATTATGATACGCCCCTTGTCACACGGGCACAGGCGCCCTGCGGAACCCAACAACGACAACGCCTGTTGAGGGTGCCTTGCCATTCAAGTGATACCAGTGAAGAAGGGGATCATTGTCCACGGGTGGCGAGACGGCCGCCCTTCAATTTGTCGTCGCTGGAGACAGAAAAGAACGCAGTCAGCCTCTATCGCGCATGCGGGGTAAAAACACCGTATAGAACACCAATGACGCACATCGTGAGACCAACCATCGCCGCACCAAGATCCTCCGACACCTGCGAGCATAAGCACAGCGTGAGATCACCACACGACGGAGGATAGCGGTTCATTTTACCTCTGCGAGGAGCTTCGGGTTGTTGTAGTGCGTAACCTAGAAACTCCGTGAGATGCGGTCCTGTGACCAGCACAACACTCGAAACTTACCGCCTGGACGATGGCTCTCGCACGCTTGGCGGGATCGCCGGACTGTCGTGGCATGCGCAGCAAAACAGGTTAGCCCTTTGGTCACCACGATAGCGCGATATGGCGTACGTGGAAGATACCAGAGCCCACGAACACTGGAAGGAAAGACGTATAATTAGTCCAGGGGCACAATACCAGCCACGTCCCTGAAACCCCACACTCACCTCCGTCACAGCCCAGTTGCATCATCAGCGCCGCATCGGCTGGTATCAATCAAGCGTTAGCCACTTCCGGAGAAGAAAGACACTGATATCAACAACAACCATGTGCACTCACCGGGCGTCGCAATACCCCCAGCCGCAAAGTTGACCACCGGCAGCCTCTTGAGGCGTGCCGTCTCCTTGAGCAAATGGAACGGCGCCTGCATCTCCTTTGCGAACGCGTACAGCTCCTCCTCGTTCATCGAGCTCGCGCGGCGGATCGCCGCGCTCATCGCGCGCGAGTGGCGCACGGCCTCGACGACGTTGCCCGTGCCCGCCTCGCCCTTGGTGCGCACGAACGCGGCGCCCTCCGAGATGCGCCGGAGCGCCTCGCCGAGGTTGCGCGCGCCGCACACGAACGGGACCTTGAAGCTGTGCTTGTTGATGTGGTGCTCGTCGTCCGCAGGCGTGAGCACCTCCGACTCGTCGATGTAGTCGATGCCGATCGACTGCAGGATCTGTTGGATAATGATGTGAATCGCCGTTGCGAGCGAGTGCGGGTGGACAGGTGCGCGTACCTGGGCCTCGACGAAATGGCCTATGCGGACCTTGGCCATGACCGGGATCGTGACGGCGTCGACGATGGCCTTGATCATCGCGGGATCGCTCTGTGTCCGCATACGTCAGCCATACAGACACCTCCTACCGACGCGCTCGAGCACGCAGGCCCGAATGGCGCCACGCAAAGCATAAAGAACGCACCATGCGCGCAACACCCCCCTCTGCTCTAATATCTGCAGGCACGCGCTCGAGCGCCATGACAGCACACGCGCCGGCCTCCTCAGCTATGCGTGCCTGATAAACCCAACACGACCACGATCAGTCCCCCTTCCGAGGCCAAGAACAGAACCAGAGGATAAGCCGTACCTGTTCAACATTCACAACGTCCATAATAACACCGCCCTGTCAGCCAAGCAAAGAAAACTTGATTAGCACCTGTCCTGCTGCATTTACTCAATCTCCCCAGCCACAGGAACCCAAGCGCGCACGCGACCACGCACAGGCGCTGGGCTGGCAAGGGGGAAGCGCACCTTGAGCATCTGTGCAAGGCCGGACTTGACCTGGATGACGCAAACGCACAAAGGCATTAGCAAACATATATTAGCTCGAGATAGATGGAACGTAAGATGAACGTACACCAAAGGTACCGAGGTTCGTGCTGCCGCCATCGCGCTGGGCAGAGCGGGCGGGGGCAGCGCTGGCGGTGCCAGATGAGGGCGTGGCGGCGGGCGGGGTGGCAGTGGGCGCGCCGTTGATGGAGGGAGTGGGGGTGCTCATGTTGGCGTTGCTGCTTTTTTGAGAGATCTAAGATGACAAGCAAGGGGGATCTTATCAGCGCCGGATAAGGAACAGATGTGGAAAGCCAAGCTCTACAAGAGATACGGGACTAGTCAAAGTTAACTGACTAGAAGGACAACGAGGCAAGCTTGGCCTGAACGAGGGAGATCGGATTAAGATACAAGAAAAGAAAGCAGAAATTTATGGTGGAGACGAGTGACTCGATGGGTGACTCAGTGAATGCAGCTCTGGATCTTGGGCTGCGTGCGGAACGGAATCGGCGGGACAACGATATCGATATTTGCCTATATCCAGCTCCTCCCCACTCCCCATCCGAACGCACTCCACCCCCAAGGCTTTGGCTTCCCTGCACTTCACTGTCGACACGATGGATCCGATGGGCCAACTGTTAGGACAATGCCCGCAAGTCCACACGCCCGCTTGCTTTAACCTGTCGGCATTACTCGGCTGCAGCAACGTGCTGGCGTCACCTCGGCCTTCCGTCTCGCTTCGAGAGGCTTCGAGGGGCTTGCCATTCCACATATAGCGATCTTGCGAGAAGTCGAAGTACACGGGATCGGAAACGAGGGTGCTGCAAATCTCTTTGGTTCGGACGCGAGGACGATCAACTCAACTCTAACTTCGCAACGTTCAACAGAAGGGCGCCTGACAACAGAAAGAAGCTCGCTTCTGTACTAGGTTGTGGGTCGTGGGTGGCACTCGTGAGTCGTGAGGCCGACGTGGAAGTTTCGATGAAGATGTGTGTGCTATGTAAGTAAAAGCACCAGACCTGCCGACGTTAGCGCGCGCCATCACACTTCACCATGATGCTAAGCTTATGAGCAGTGCGATTCTCCCCTAGTACTTGCGTTCGCCAGCCGATCAGCGCACCCTAACATCAATATCGCAATCTTTTTATTGCGTTGAGCCTCGACATTGACTCGTCGCTCTACTCCTCTCGATCCACAGCGACCACCCCCAGGAGCTCAGGCTGAGGGTCCTGGGCCCGAATCCTAACTAACTGAAGTCAACTCTGCTCGAATGTATGCGTCCCTGTTCCACTCCGGGACATGCCGCCGGCAACCTGAACCCCCCGGAAGCACTCCATGTATGTACCTCTCGGCTAAATGATCGCTAACGTGTGGCCGATGGTGGATCCACCAGGCTCGGCCAGGTACACACAACCACCATCTCGTCACTCGTCAGGTCCTCTTCTCAGATCCGCTCACCCGAGACCGACGGACGGCGTCGGCCAAGCTTAGTTAAGAGGCACCAGGGCAGCTAATCGCAACCTCCTGGCTCGTTCTTAGTCCGGGACTAGTAGACTGCGGGGCGACTCTCGTGGGCTCTGTCTATTGGTTAGTAAAGGGGGGAGGAGGCTAGGAGCGACAAGGTCATATTCATGCTGCGGAATATCCGAGTATGTCCGCAGTCTGTTTAGCAGCAATATCTGACACGGAGCTGGCGCGATAAGGGGCGCAACGCACGTATCAGCCTGGCAGCAGCTGTATCAACGCCTCCTGCCTAATCCAAGGGCGGATGATCACCCCGGGCGACGCGAGGGGGGCGGCTTCTCTGCCTGGCCCATTATCAGGTGGGCTAACCTCATACTGTAGCGGGCGTGCATGTTACACCCCGTTACACCTGTGCCACACGGGCTCGCGAAAGCACACCGAGGTGGAGACTGGAAACCGTCCATGATGGGTGCCAGCGAAGACGCGACGCCCGCCATCATCCACGGGTCCGGCGAACGCAAGTTTCAGCACATCAATCGCGTTGTCTCAAGTTGCCTGCTAGCTGGCGACGCGCTGAAAGCGTTTTGCTTGCGCGCCTTGGAAAGCCGTGCTGCGCCTCGTGAAACAAGCTTGTGGCCGAGGGCTGTACGCGTGGCTCTCACACACAACATCATACCGGTACTCGTGACGTCCATCCATTCCCGAGATCATAGATGCTCAGCGACGGCTGCGCTGCAATAATACATTTAAATGCACAAGGCGTGTCGCCGACGAGCACTCCGATGCATTGCCATAGTACGTGCGTGTACCGAGGGAATCTCGGTCTTCACGGGTTTTCGACGGAGCGCTGCGCTCCTATGAAGGGGTGTACTGACATCAACGATTCGCGTGCGCGACGGCAGGAATAAGGCTGGGTGAAACATAACTCCGCATTCCACCACAACGATACACGCGCCCGGCCCGCGTGTTTCTCAGAACGAAGAGCAGACGACCAAAACGTTCACTTGTCTGACCGGCGGCCCACATCAGCTCCGACAGATAGTGGCAGAAGGGGGGCAGAGACGAGAACTAGAAGATAGAGAAAAAAGGGAGACAACGTGGAGCGATTGCGAGGGTAGCTCATGTCGCGTGCGCCGGGCGTGCGCCACTGGGCCACAGGACACCGAGACCAAGGTGATCGCCTGACGCGAGGCGACAGGGTTCGAATAGCTTCGAATTCTGTGGAAGCATTAATGAATTGCGCAGCGTGGAATGGTGGAACTGTGACGGTTCTAGCTGTATTGATTAAACGGTATATGTCGAGGGGGTCGGTCATGGAGCCCTTTCAAAGTGAACGGTCTGTGACGGTCAGAAGCCTCGGTCTTTGAGCCATTGCATCACGTCGTTCTTCCATTGGCCGCCCTTGATCACGACGTGCCGCTGGGAGTGGTCGACGGAGACCTGAAGCCGCTGCGCTTCCGGCGTTCCGGGCTGGAACAATGTCCGTTTGAGTTCCTCTGCCAGGGCCTGGATATGCATGAGCGTTTGTTGTGCAACGTCGCGTCATGTCACAGAAGGATTGAAGAATGAACAATGGAGCGGCCAAATTAGCACAAGACCGAACACGACAATGAGTCAGAGAATGACACGACACGCACGTTGGCTTGGCCCTCGACGTGCCGGATGAGGACGAGATAGCGGGTGCCACCGTTGCGTATGTCTGTGTAGACAGGGAGGGAGCCGCGCGAGTTTCGGCGCAAAAACCACGGGTAGCGAACAAACGTGACTTCTGACGACGCGCCGGGTGGAGCAGATGGTGGTGATGCGGGCTGGCGGGTAGCGACGCTCTGGGAGAGGAAGCGCGTGTGCCTCGCTGTCGGACCGAGGGGATTGAGTCTGGTGAGCTGTCTGAACATGATGGGAGAGGAGACTGTTCGGAGGCAAAGAGCCAGGTATGTCCGTATGTAAAAATTTGAGGAACGAGTCAGCAGAAAATGTGAGAATGTGTAAGAGGGTAGTATGTAACGAGGCAACGTACGGTGTGGGACAGGACACAGGAGTGTTTGGACGAGGAGTGGACCTGGTGGACTGAGGCAATGAAACGGAGGGCCCTTGTGACAAGAGGTGAGTTGCCATATATGGGATATGCAGGGGTCGAGTGGCTGGCGTGGACGGAATCATCATGGCATCGCTCACATCGTGCTAACAAAAGCCCCCCTTGATCGTCTTGGGAATTGGAGCATGCTGCCCCCCGTTGCCGCAATTGCAAGATAATATGTACATGATCATTCATATTCATTTTCATCCGGACACGGCCAATTTCATCCATCGCCTTCCTTACGTATCCCCGTTCCTGCTCGATGCCTTTTTCCGACCTCGGCTGTCTCACTCCAGTGCCAGAACCCATCATACATATAAATCATGAACCGTCCTGCCCTTCCTCCTTCCCTTCCCCCAGCTCCTCCGTTCCAGCCAACATCCACCACCTAACATGCAGCGCTCCCTTTCCTCAGATTTCCCGCCTCTTGCCGCCTTATCTCTCTCTGACCCGAACTCGCCGCTATCATCCACAGACAGCTCATCCCTTCTATGGGACCAGCGCCACTACCCGACAAACCAGCCTCTGCCCTTTTCGAGCTCTTCGGACTGCATGTACTCGAGCCAGTATGCCAGCCCCCAGCAGCAGCCGTCGTTTCAGCAGCTGTTCCGGAGGACGATGAACCCTGCCCCTGAGTCCACTCAGCGCTTCTACCAATTCGGCGCATATGGTGGGACGTCTTCGTACTACCCCTCTGCATGGAGCTTGCACTCGCAGAATGCTGGCAAAGCGACGAGCAGCAACAGCATCCCTTCGCTCGCGCTCCACATCCCCGATCTGACATGTACGTGCATACTTTTGCTATTGCGGTTCTTGACGCCCCCGAATTTCGCTTGCTAATTATAGCCTCCGTCCCGCAGTTCCCCCCTCTCCGGCTGCCAGTAGCACGGACAGCGCCTCGTCCCTCTCGACCCCGTCCCCAGGCCCACGATCTGACCCCGTCCGTGTGGTCGCAGACGTCCCCCTTCTTGCCCCACGACCGCTCCCATACCACTCGCCCACCTTTCTCCAATTCGACCTGCTCCCCGATGTGGATGACGATCTCTCACATCCACCATACACGCACAGGCCCGCCAAGCGCAAGCGAGTAGAAGAACCCGAGTTCGACCCATTCGCCTTCGGCTTCGATGGCCCGCGCGCAGCAAAGCGTCCTGTGCACCACCACGTCAGCGAGCGCCAGCTGCACCCCATACACCCACCGATGGACTACGCCTCGATGTACCCGGCTGCCGTCGGCGGCGGCGCACACCGCATGCAGCACGCCAGCAAGCAGCGACGGAGATGGAGATAATGGTGATCAGCTGGCACACACACACATATCCGCAATCTTTGCTCCAGTCCAGTTCGCCTCGAGGCGTTCATCTCCACCGAGCGCGGTGATATCATCGCCTCCCCGCTGTACTTCTATCTGGTACTCGTCCGCGGCACAGGGCTCGCCCGGTCCTCCTTGCTGCTATGAACTTCTAGTCTGTGCAAGGGGTGATTGGGCGGGGACTCCTTCCGCTTTGCGCTGGACCCCATCCTCATGTTCCTAGTATGCAGGCCCCACTGAGACAATGGCGCACAGCACGCCTTGTCCCGTCCGTATATGCGTATCCATATCCGTACTCTAATCCAGCGCTAGGCCCAGAGTTTATCGCGGCGTCCATCAAATGTTTTTGTGTCATTCCTGTCAAATATTCTTATTCGATTCTCTGACTTCGATTGCAACGTTCCATCCATCTTCTGTTATGTCTTATTGTCGCATTTGTCCATTGTCTACACGCGCACACGTACTGCAACAACAGCCCAACCGTCTTTTTCCCGCCGCAACCCCTTCCAGCTGTGTATTATCTCTGTTACCGCGTTCCGTCGGCGCTGCACTGAGTCAATAACTTCCTTCGCATTCAATGGACCTTCTCGCATCACACGCCATCATCGTGTCGGCCCCACGCACACCATCCGCACATCCGCTTGCTTGCTTATCCGTGCTTCGAGTTATGCATCGCTTATAATCAATCATCGTAGCTAGCTGTTATTATTATTATGTTTGCTTGTCGTCATATCATACATATCTTACAGTATCATATCTGTCATCAGCCACATCACCACATATCCGCATGCGTCCGTTCCTGCACTGTGAGGATGCACTTGAAACTACATAGCACTGGAACAGTCCTCGTTCGCGTTCCTGTCCTGGTCCACATTAATCATAGTGCACCGTCCGATCGAAGGTGACTGGTGACCAGTGATTCTTCAAGGTGGCTCAGCATCTGAAAATAATATCATACGACTGTTGCCGTGCCGCGACGTGAAAAAATTTGCTCCAGTCCCCTTGACTCATATATACAGCTGTACTGCGTCCATCGAGTCGGTCGGTTCCAGATTTTGACCCTGCCCTGGTGGTTTATTATTAATGCACATCAGGCGACGTTGGACGAGTTGCAACGCTAGCTTTTTGGCTGCGCGGCGCAACTGACGAGATCGCGCACTGAGCCCACCGGTGACCGGTTTCGTGTTCTGTTGCCAGTGCAGGGTTTCGAAGCTAAGCTAAGACAAGTCTATCGTATCTATCCATGGGCCGTGGGCCGTGGACCGTGGCGCGCTCTTATTTCCGACGCAACGCCACCGAGGTTAACGCCTTCGGACGAGTCTTCGAATCAGTGATACTACATCGAACCTGATTCAAACACATGTCCTGCGCGTCTGATGAGTCAACCTCTTCGAAACAAACACACCATCGATGTCTCGGAGTCGCATGCTGCCACCGTGGAAAATTGCGCGCAAGCCCCGAAATATCAAAACGCATAGAAGAATCATAATGCACCCTTAAATCTGAGTCACAGCGTCTATCACGTTTTAGGTAGAACAATGCACGTTTATAAGTGGGGGGAGTCAGGGTAGGGTCGCCTCGTTTCATCTCCACATATATATTGCATGTCCATTGTCCATCGATGGACACTAGCATGACGCCAGAAGTGTCACCTCGGCCACGAGACCCTCGGCCTAGCTGATGCCCAGAAAGTAAAATGATTTTTGGTCTTGGTTCTGACATGTCGACAGCTCCGACGCGACACCGCCAATCAGCTGCGTCTTAGCGAGCGCCCGAGCCGTCACCGCGGCATAAAACACCCAACTGCAGCGGCCCACACCAGAGCGCATCCAACTAAGGTCGCAACCAGGATAGCATAAGAGAAACTAATAAATCGCGTAAAACAACATGTCTACCACAGCAAGGTAGTGTATAGTCGGAAATACGTATGTATAGCGCAAAAAGAGGGGTCATCCCAGGCGACGCAGGCCTCCATCGTCAACTCATTAGAAACCGCGCAGTCTAAAGAGGTAACATGGCGAGACGTTAGGAGAGAAAGGAGTGTCTGCGCCTGGTTCAGCAGCAGCCGCTGGACTGCTGCTGGACAGACTGGCCGGGCGTAATGGTAGTGGACTTGGCGCCGCCAGCGGGCGTCGAGGTGGATCCCATCCTGAACTGCAGTCGGCAAAACTCTTTGAAATTTGATAAAGTCAAGTACGCACCTGTCCTTGATCTGCTTAGCCATGGTCAAGAATGCCTGCTCGACGTTGGTGGCGTTCTTAGCAGAGGTCTCCAAGAAGGGGATGGTGAGTTGGTCGGCGAATTCCTGGCAAGATGTTAAGCGATCTAATCTTCAGGGGAAACAGTCTAGTGATAAAAGTACCTTGGCGACACTGTATTCAACCACCTTCTTGCTGGTCAAATCGGACTTGTTGCCCACAAGAAGCTTGTTGACGCCTTCCGACGCGTAGCGGTCGATCTCCTGCAGCCACTGCTTGACGTTGGAGAAGGTGTCTGAAATGACGTCAGCCAATTTAGCTTCGGTGAGGTATCAAGTTACGCACCGTTGTCCGTCACATCGTAAACGACGATGATACCATGAGCGCCGCGATAATATGAGGAGGTGATGGTACGGAAGCGCTCCTGGCCTGGGTAAAGAAAAGGTTAGGTTGCTCGATAATCCAGGGGAGGAGTAACGTACCTGCAGTGTCCCACTAAAAGGAGACGGCGGGAAATAGGTTTCAGCACATTGGGACAAGTCGATAAAAGAGAAACCGTCGGCTATAGTGGCAGGAAAGTCCGCCACAGATATGACAAGCCATGCGCACGCCAGGACGGAGTACCAGCGGCGTTGCAGGGTTGTCGCGGGGCTCGAAGCCCAACGCGCACAACGAAGCAGAAACGGTTGCGGGCGAACACTCACAATCTGCAGCTTCACGGTCTTGCCCTCGAGCTCGATAGTGCGAATCTTGAAGTCAACGCCAATCGTGGAGATGTAGCTCTCCGTGTACGTGTCGTCCGCGAAACGGAGGAGCAAGCAAGACTATATCGACGCAATCCCAAGCCAAAGTACGCATACAGAATCCGATATCGCACGCGAAAGCGCCGTCACCATCGCAGCAGGGGGCCCAAGGTCAGCCATTGATAATTGTGGTTTCGGGGAGATATGGGAGGACTCGCCTTGCCGACACCCGAGTCGCCGATGAGGAGGAGCTTGAAGAGGTAGTCGTATTCGCTGGTGTGCATGGTGGGCTCGATGGGGTCGCGGGAGGGCGGGTGGATGGGGGAGGCGTGCAGGAGAGAGCGGGTCGGTGGGGAAGGGTACGTACTTGCTCAAAGGCGGTGATTCCTGTGTGTGACAAGCACAAGTTACGCCTAGACCACCGTGACGCACGTGATGCGTGACCGCGGAACTGCCACTGCCGCCGCCACAGTGCCGTCGGCCTTCTTCCTCGGCGGCTGGCACTGCGTCCCGGAAACCCGAATTCATCTCGACGACTCGTTCTGCTATCTCGCTTGGTCTATTGTTGGGAGAGCTCTTCAAGAAAGACTCGGTCTTATGGCTGACTGCGCTGATGGGCGGTCGTTCAACTACCTACACTTGACGTGACTTTTAGTGGCGTCACAGTCTTCATGCAGTTCCGCCCGGGGTGAATGAATGTCGCCACTTGAAGACACCTCCGATCCCGAGACCGAGGCTGGAGCTCTGTGGTACCTTGACAACACATGCCGCCAAAGTCTAGCACACATCAAGCACCATGCGCAAGGAATATTGTGCTGCTATCGCTCTGTGACATCACCAAACAAGGCTGCTCTATTGTGATACGGACCGTCAGTGGGCCGACTTACCAGTCGTGCATTTGTTGGTCGCTAGCTCTACGCCGTGGTTTATCTCGCTGGTTATTCACCATGAAACAGGTCCGACGAACTGTTAACGGAGCTCACGAGCAAGGTACCGGCCAGAATACACGGATGCGCCTTCACCGGGTCAACCGCAAACCCACTCAGATACTCAGCAATGGTGCGCCTATGTACAGTAGTAATGAGTAGTGAGTAGTTCCAGGCTTTACCAAGCAGGTGACTGAATAAGATAGCGCATACCTTGTCAACGTAACGTGAGTGAGACGCACACTCTGCCGAACACTTTTACATAGGTACTCAAGACTGGTTCCTTGGATAAAGGATTGGCGGCCAAGGGTTTTGGGCTATGTTTGACACGGGATCGTCAGACCTGGTATGTGCGCGCTTGAACAAAGAGTACTGACTCGCCTGGATACAGCTGATGAGTGACAGTGGGTAGTGTCGTCAGACTGCACCTCTCCGGACTGTCAGGCTGTGCCGCGTTACTCCCCATCCTCAAAAACGCTATCAATAAGCGACCAACCGTTCCAACTGGACTACTTGTCAGGCTCCGTCTCTGGCAGAATAGGGACGGAAACTGTGGCCATCAATTCTTTCACAGTGTCAAATCAGACATTCGGTGCGTTTATAGAACTGAATACTAACCACATCACTTCTAAGCGCTGCGTTTCAATCCGCTCCTTCGGCAGCCCTTGTAACGAAAACGGACGGCCTTGATCTCGAATCGACTGGGAACTCTGGTATTCTGGGGCTCGCTTTTCCCGGCGCTTCTTCCATACCCGCGAAAGTTGGCACGACGCTTCTCGACAGCCTCTTCTCTCGCTTCGCGGATGACTCGGACCGCCTTTTCGCATACACCCTAGGGCGAAACACCAGCGACGGCCTTCTTGACGTCGATTCCTCCTTTACGATAGGCACCATCGACGATGATATCGTGCCAGACCCGAAACGCATTGCATACACAGCCGTGACGCCAGCTGGCAAAGACGACTTCGATTTCTGGAAGATGCCGCTACAGGGCATCACACTAGACGGCCAGCTCCTGCCGCTGACGCCCTCTCGCATATCCGGGGTCTCTTCGCCGATAGCTGTTCTCGACTCAGGGACGACGCTCGTCCTTGGTCCAAAGAAAGACGTGGATGCCTTCTGGTCCTCGATTGGCACGGGCGGCTCTGCCCGATATAACCAAAGCCTGCAGTTCTGGGAGGTTTTGTGCAACCGTGCTGTCGACGTTCGTTTTATTCTGGGCGACGAAAAAAGCGCGACGCATTTTCCAATTCACCCCGAAGACGTCAGCTGGGCGGACAGCGAGCAGACGACCGGCTGGTGTCTAGGCGGCATACAAGCCAACGACCGAGTAGGTTTCAGTCCACGTAGTCGCCTGCAAGTCGACGAGCGCTGATCGTGGTGAAACGCTCACAGGTCGATTCAGGCGACTGGCTTCTTGGAGATGCCTTCTTGCGGGTGACTATTTTCCTCATCCTACCCTGAGCCTTGTGCTCAATTTCGGTCACCTATTTTTTGCCCTTGCTAGAATGTCTACGTCGTGCATCAATGGGCAACATCGTCCCACCCACCCATGATCGGTCTGCTGAACCTGACAGACCCAGATCTCGCGATGCAGCAGATGCGGCATGACCGTGGACCGGATTCAGCGCCACCAATCTCAGTGCAACCCCTGCGGCAGGTCTCCGATACATCCCCAACAACGACGATTGCTTGTTCCGTGGGTGCGATCGGCGGTTTTCTTGTCGGTGCACTGGTAACATCTCTATACCGACTTCGAAAACGTTCTGTAGCACAAAAACCAAGTCTCTGAAGAAGCCGATCCCTTGCACTCCCTTTGTTCTAATTGTCCACATTATATCCCACCGGTGAGATGACCGACAAACGTGATGGAATTGTGCATGAGTAGGGAATACAACGCGCATAGATCTGACACGGAGATATATTCGAGCTATTGTCCAAGAGTAGAAAACATACATATGATCTTTGATGCGACAGAATTAAGCGGAACGTGCAGAAGGCAGAGCAATGTGGACAGGGTGCGGAATAGGATATGTGGTAGATGATTTCAATGGACTTTTTCCCAGCGCCTTGATCAATTGTGCTTGGGCGTGCCGGGTTGGATATACTGAGGCTGATAGCCGCCCTGGTATTGGGACCCACCGTAATCACCCTGCGGTCCCCAGCTGCCTTGCGGGGGTCCTTGAATCCCGGGACGTTGGAAGTTCCCTTGGGGGTGTGCCACGGGAGGCTCCCATCTGAGAAGCAGATAACGGCGCTAAGTTTGAGTCACCCAACAAAGGCATAATGGGGCAGAAGCCCGGCACTTACCCTTGTTGAGTGTCCACCTGGAGCTGGCAGATACTGCACATCCACACGTGTCGCGTCTTGAATGGTATTAGGGGCACGAAGCAGAACTCGAACCACTGTCGTGATTTCGCGGCGAACATGGAAGCTGTATTGCGGTGATGTCCAGGAGAATGGTGCGCCAATGTTAGTCATGATATGCTCGAAGTAGGCTAATGGAGGAACGTTACGGACCATTATGGCACCGGGGGCAGATGCGTCCCCCCTGGTTTTCGCCTTCGGGCTTGATCTTGGTCGGACATCCGACTGCATTTCATGTGAAGAATTAGACAACTGGTTCACAGATGCCACCCTCGAGTCAGGGGCAAGGTAACTCACCCATAATGGGGATACAAACTACGAGAACGTTATCAGACCATGTCGGGCTTCAAGAGTACCGACGGCACTTACAGATGAAGTCCATGATGTATGAATGACCTTTGCCCTCCGTAAACAACGAGGCAGATTGTGGTGGAAGAGAAAGCCGGTTGCACTGCGGAGAGCTCTGCGATTCCGGCAAGTATAAACTTGGCGTGGTGGAGTTCGGTGGCGCGGAAAGGGGCTTTAATTGCTAATTATAGCACATGTTTAGTAATATCGCCTTAGTACATCTTTTCTGATTGTCTGATTACAAGTAAACTAACAAGGTATTCACTATATTGTATCCATCCGAAAGAACAGCTCAGCTAACAGTAAACGTACAGCTTTCAAGAAAAACAAAGGTATTGATACAGGAATGGGTACCGCATACTTCTCCGATGTGCGAGGTTTTCACGGAGCTTCGAGGACAATCTACACACAGTTCAGATGTCATCGTACGTTCAAAGACAAAGAACTTGACGTACCGTCATGAAGTCCTGGTAGTTAAGAGTGGCCCAGCCGTTACGGTCCCTGTCATGCCTTCGCATACATGTGAGCAAACGTAGTGCGCTGATCAGAAACTGTGTACTTACTTCTGGAAGGCCTCCGTCAACTGCTTCACGGTCACACATGCTCTCACGAAACGATCGAACGTGATACCAGGCGGCGGACCATACGCCGATGGCGCAGCGGCAGCTACTGCCAAAATCAGCACTCACGTCAATGACAATGACCTTTGAAGCCCACAGTATTTGCGCTCGATCAAGTTGATCATCTGCGGAGACAGATCATACCCAAACGACCTGAAGGCCTCCGCCAGTTCGCGGCTCTCGATCGTGCCAGAGGCATCTCGGTCAAAATGCTTGAACACGTTCTGCCAATCGGCAATGTACTTCCAAAGACCAGCGAATTCTAGGGTGAATTAAGTTTGACCATAACGTGGTACCAGGAACGAGCTCACCATAGAAGTTGATCGTGCCGGTCCGGTCGGTATCCTGAGTGGCATAAATGTGTCGAACAGACTGACAAACCATCCATATCACTCACGAAGGTACCCATCAACATCTTGATCGTATCCAAATCGAAGTCTACAACGGGATTCTAAGCACCCAACTATCATGATCGCAGCGTCAGATCTTACGAGTCCAGTTCCCTGCGCAGAACAGGGAGATGTCAGTGTCCTGTCCCTTATCTACATCTCAATCGAAGCTGCTTACCGTTCACAAGTGCAGTCTGGAGCTCATTCACGCTAATATTGCCCGACCGGTCAGTGTCGACAGACGTGAACCACGTCCAGAGCTGGGGATCGTAGCCTGGGGGTCCGCCAGTTCCGTGCGAGTACGGGTCTGCCCCGCCGCGACGATCGCGAGACCCGCCGTAGGAGCCTTGATGATGAGCTTGATGCTGACTTTGATGCTGAGAGTGCTGGGCCGTGTAGCCTGCACTTTGCTGACGGCCAGCGCCGTATCCGGGGTTCTGAGCGTAGTAAGACATGGATGTTGTTGGTGCGTGTCAAGGAATGCTGTGGCCGCTGGTTGAGGCGCCTTAAAAGGTGTCTGTGGCTGTGCTGTTCCTCTGACTGGATCCTCCCGGCAAGCTCGGCGTTCTTTCTCGCGCAGCAAATGGAATACACAGGAGATGTAAGCTTAAGCTGTAGACAAAGCCTGGAAGGATTGCGATTAAGTAAAGACTGAGTCAAAGCTGTAGAAAGCGATACTTGCCTTGCGGCACCGTAATGAGGTCGATCCTGTCAAAGGCCTGCTCTTTGCGGACCCCCATAGACACACCCATATGGCGTCATAGACTCGGGGAGAATAACTGACATGTGGTTGATGAGTCACAACAATGACGTTACCAGAACTGGCTGCTGTCCTCGCTACGTTTACCCTGAATATATGCCAAGTGCGCGTAGAACGGTGAACACTCCGAATTCTCAGCTTCCTCCTGATCCCAAGAACCTCTATATACATCCCCAGAAGACCCTCGAGCACCTGGATGAATGGCCAGCGCTCCCACACCTTCGCATGGAAATCGCCGGCCCCGATAACAGCAAACAAGGGCATGTCCAAACTCAATCATCCGAATCATAATAATCATTATCCCTCGAGCCACAATAAGAACGCATGCCGAGCCAATGGCAAACGCCGCTTCTCCGTATAAATTAAAAATGTTTGCCGAATCAATTGAATGCCTCCGTCAGTCAGCCCGACCCGCCTCTTTATAGCGATTATAGCCCACGCCACTCGGCTTCTTGGATGAAAAAACCCCGCCTTAAATTGAACAAGGGAAAACACCTGTACGGACTTGCGGACCTGCACGCCACTCGATCAGTCTTCATCAGCCCTTTGTACTTTAGTCGGTACAACATATATTGATGGCATGCGGGTACTGGAATATTTGAGTGCGGGTAAATGCGGAATACTAATTAGTTCTCGAGAGCTAGGTATATGACAACGAAAGCGATTCAGTCCTAAACTAAAAATCCAAGAATGTGGTCCATAGAATGCAAGAATGGTACGTATTAGGCGAAAGCAAAGGAGAATGCAATGGTATAAGCAAAATTACAGCGAGAAAACACGAGGCGATGGAGCATGGATAATAAAAAAAGAATACAAGACAAGATAGCCGAGAATCAATAGAAGTTGGTAAATTGCTGACAGCTTTCCGTGCCCGCTGAAGTGGACGGCGGCGTCAGCACGGTGTTCGAAGTGGGGAACATAACGTTGGGATCGAAGAAGGCCTTCGAAGAACCCTGGCTATAGGGTGAAGACCACGGACCCTGCACAAGCACCGGCTCCGACACGATGGTGTCGTCCACATCGTATGCGAAAGGGTTGACCTCCACACCATAGGTGTCAGTGTCCAGGTTGGGTGCCCCGAGCTGGGGGTGCTTCAAGGTGGGCATAGGGAGGACGTGCGGCGAGCCCGAGCTAGTGGAGGACGAGCTCTGGCACGTCATTGAGCCGGCCGTAGTCGGCGGGGTATAAGGCGGCCACGCACAGCTGCCATCACTGACTGCGGTGTTCGGCGCGCTGTCCACATGTCCCTGGGAAGACCCAAGAGATAGCGGGGGAAGGTGCGGGCGGGATTGACCAGCGGCCGACACCAGCGCGAGGGAGACTTGCTGGTGGTATTCCGTCGGCATCGGTGGCCGCACGGCAAGGTAATCGTGGTTCTGAGAGCTAGAGTAAGTAAACCTAGCGGCCTGGTTGTGGACGGGGTCCTGAGCGTTGCACTGGCTACGACGCATACGAGCACCCCAGACGGCGTGGATGGTACGTTGGCGCATCTCACTCTGTGCGTGTGCCCATCCCAGCTGACGAAGAGCACGAAGACAGATGTCAACTCCTTCCTCGGCTTCGACATCCCAAGAAAACCCATCCTCGTTTTTAGGAAGGATCTCGCCATCGTTCTCAATATCGCCCTGAGCCAGTATAAGAGCAGCGAAGAAGATCCCGTCGCATACGAGGCCAGCCTCGTAAGCGAAAAATCCGCTGGTAGAGACCTCAAGGTGTCGGCCAACAATGGCGAGGATGCGGGGGAGCATGATGCGACAACGACGGACGGCTTGGGAGTGTAGATGCACTGTGTAAGAGTAGGTCGACGATGCTGATGACGAGCGTCGAGGCTCTGAAAAGTTGGGGCTCCCGGGAGGTGACAGGGAGAGGATGCACTTCTTCAACGACTCGCGGATGACGTTGAGACATTCAAAGATGAAGATCTGCCAGCTGCTGACGAAGCGCTCAACGTCTTCACCACGGACGAGATCCCCCATGTTGCTAGAGGCACTACGGCGAAGCTGTTCAAACTCTTCCCAGCTCTGCTCGATCTCGTCCCAAAGACGAGTGAGGGCCTCCTGGTCGACAGGGACTCCACCTTCACATCTACGCCTGGCACGAGGGCCAGTAAGGTGAACGTGGATCTCGCGGCATATACGAGCAACGGCAAGCGTGTGGGAGAAATAGTGGGATGTGATCTGGAAGACCAAGGACGCCCGAGGGTGGTCCATGCTGCTGATATGCTGGCTGATGGGAGATCCCGGGAGCGTTCCCGAGTGTGACGAGCTTGGCCGAGAGAGGGGAGACGACATGGCGTATTGAGGTGGGAGTGAGTTTTGAAAGGCGAGCAGATCATCGTCGTCGCTACATGCTTGCATCAGTGACGCTGTCGACAAGGGCAGACGCATTGAAAACACGCACAATACTAGGCGGCCGTCTCGGAGACCCTGAGTGATCGCCTCTTGCACGTTTGCGTACCAAAAGACGCGCGCACGGACGAGAGGCTCGCAAGGGATAGCATTTTCTGCCTCAGGGGACGGAGGGAAGCAGAGGGTGTGAACCTGAGCTAGGGTTGCCTCTTGCATAGCCTAGAAGTTAGACGGCAAAGGAAAGTAAAATTAATTATCAGGGGTGAGCGCATTTGATTGTTGGGATAAACGTACAATCCTCTCCATCGGGCTCAAGATGCCTAGACATAATTATCAGCCGCAGTCATGTACAAAAAGGAAGGAGCCCACGCACCTTGAGTGAGAGGGAGAATCAATAGAAGAACCCTGACGCCATCCCATGTTGGGCGACGGAGAATACCGTGGATATCAATCAGTCGCAGGGCCTCCCTGGTCATGGCGTCTGTCCTCATGGCACGAACACGGCGGTAGGAATCATCGTCTTGGCTGGTGGCTGGGTGTGTAGGGCTGATGGGTGAAGGAGGCTCAAACTCTTCGACATCGATACCGCATTCGTTGACGCCGAAGGAAGCCGCCCAGATAACGAGGAGCATAGCAATCATCTCGCCCTCGACGCCGATAGAGGAGGTTCCCTCGACATGAGCAAAGTACCTGGATGTAAATTCCGAGGGTTCAATGATAGGCCCTAGAGGAACGTGTTTAGCGCGAGCGCTACGAACGGAAACACACATGACCTACTTTGGATGTTGAAACGTCGGAAAAAGGGCGAGCGGAAAAACTCTAGGTTTAGTTGGGGTATGACACTAGGCCCAGACGTATTGATAGGAGAGGGTATTCCCACTGCCGAAGAGGTGGCGATACTACGTGACATCGGACCATCAGACGCGACTTTGCCATACACGGCCCTGTCAAAATTAACTGTGAGCCACACAAAGGATTAAGCTGAGATAAGGACGCACTCGACTTGTTGTAGACGGCGACCTCGACGAAGGTTTTTGACAGCCTTGACCTCGGCGAATTCATCGCTAAGAGAACGGGCCATGAGGAAGGGCAGGATGATGTGATGCTCGAGGCTACATACACGCATTTAATACCGCGCTCCTTGCAGTTCGAACACGACGGCAGACTTGTGGGGTCTGCCATGGCCACGTCCTTGAGGTCGCAACGAACTCTGAGAGGGGAGTCGATCGATGGATAAGGACATGGCAATGATGAGTGAAGGTCGGACGGCAAACCTTCTCATTCTGCACGCGCCGCACGCGGAGAACTGTTGCCTCGACGACTTGGGCTGGCCCGTAGCGCGCTTTGTGTACGGAGCGGAGGGGGTTGAAGACGCGTTGCGAGATGCCCTGGGGGACATTGGGAGGACGCGTCTTGGAGAGTGGGGAGGGGTGGGGAGGGAGGAGAGGAATGACGGAACGTGCCAACAGGGCAGCGTATTTGAGCGGATGGCTTTGTACGGCAATAGACGATGGAAATCTCATTTGAACGATTTGGCAGTTGACGTCGATGACCGGCAATTCGATGGGCTTGACCAAACTGGCACAGCATGAAACAGGTTCCCGCATCCAAGACCCAAAACAGATCCGGCAAAAGACACGAGAAAAGCGGATGTCGTAACTCGAAGTCGATCCTTGGGAATTCCTTGGGCCCCGATATTGCGGGTCCTTGACAGCTCGCTTAGCGGGGCAAAGATCCAATCTCGTTCGCCTGCCATTTTCGATCCCTCCATCGTTTCTCTATCTTCCTCTCTCTACACCATGGCTAAAACACCGTATGCCCTCGTATATGCCACAGGAACTCTCGGCAGAATGTCCTACCTTGTCACAGCCGCGACCTCACCCCGCAACGTTCAGCCCTTGTTTTACCCTAATCGAGATCCCCACCGGCAGAATTACAATACGAACATAGGCACGCCACGCACCTTTCCTACCTCCGAGACGGTCAATGGGTCTGGCAATACCCGGATTCCAGAATGTCAACACCCCACCATGCATGAGCCACCAATAGCCGCATCGAAACGTTATCCCGGCGCGGCATTTGCGGCTTGTTCTTGCCATATAAACAAGTGTGCTTCGCGAGAACGTCCGCATTGTCACCTTAATAGCCAGATCGTCCTACCGATTTGGACGCCCACCTAGCTCACTTGTCGGCTTTGATCGTGATACACACATCCTCGCGGGAGCACCCCATGACCTCCATTTCATTAAATGATGCAATCCACCTGCCTTGAAATCCTCCGTCACGTTCCAGACTTTCAAACATGCGTTTTCCTCTGCAGAAAACACAACATGTACTGGCGTGTGCTCCAGCATCTAAGTGCATCATTGTCGAGCAAGCTCTAGAATAAAGTTAGCCTAGAAATCGAACCGTGGATTCATGGGGCTCGAAAAATGAATGAATAGATCAAACCCCGTCCTCGGGTCTTCTTGAGCGCTTGTCGAGATACCCAATGAGCCGACAGATATCCACTGTGATGATCTTCGCCAGCTCTCCGGCGGCGCCCAGACAAACGTGAGTATCCGTCACGTTCTCTTGGTTGGCGAGGCCTCGTGTAGTCTCAGACACGTTTTCGCATGAGAAGCAGCAAATTGCTAGGATGTACGTCGCCTAGAGGGCAACATGCACAGACGACAAGGAAAATAACGACATTGGAGGAGGCGTCGCATCATTCCACACGAGTGCCCGATTAGGAAAATATTAGCACAGCTTTAGGAATTTGCAGCGTTCCGGAGAAGAGCGTACATGCTTCCTTATTTCGTTCTCGATCAACCACTCAACTTGTTCCGCGGACCCTGACGGGACAAATGAAGTGTCCGGACGCGCCACATGTCCCTCCCTTCAATCAATTACACCCGTGGGGGATATTCGCCAACTTATGTCTCGGGTTGACAGCCAACCCTTGAATTTTGCAAGACACAGCGACTCGTCACCATTTGACTTTACGTGTGTGCGCGCGCCTAACAGTCGCTTGCCGATCCGACACAGGTTGAACCTTGTGGATGTCTAAGGAATAAGCAGACGTTGTAAGTGGACAGGACGGATACAAATGTTGGTCTGTCAATACTGTCATCCGTCAGTGAAGCTCCAACCCTGCTTTCTTCAGAGCCCGTCGCAACTCTCCGACAGTCTTCTGCTCTGGGTTCAGCCGCCTATCCCGCGCCATCTTCTCAACGTCGACCCCATATTCATCCACAAGGCGATCAAGATAGGTCTTCTCGCCAGATGATGTATGGCGCATAGTCCGTGATCCCGATTTTGCGAGTAATTCGAGAGCTGGGGTGGAATCGTGTCAGTGAGGAAATCGACGCTATGGGAGTTCCGCATCGATCGCGGAAAATGGGCTCCGTGGGCATTACGGACGCATCCAAGTAAAAGCGCAACCGCCCGGGTTCGCCGACCCAGCAATCTGCGCCAGCACATATCATTGGGCTCCTCGCGCGCCAGGGACAGCGATTGGTGGGATCCCACCCAATGATGCTGTAAAGGATGTAAAGGATCCGCTTACCATCAACTACACTCGTTGTGGAGCCAGTGCCCAGACCGGAGGCCGAGTGGCTCACCCACTTATCGGCGACCTCGTCGTCGATCTGCGCCTCCGGAAGGGCATCATCGTCCTCGTCCATTTTTGCCCCCGTATCACCGTTGTCCTCTTCCGGAAGCTCAATCCGGAGGACATTGCCATCCTCGTCCCGGACTATTCTTCCGAATCCCCTTCGTAGCTTGTCATCTGATGATGGGGCCGGGCGGGCTTCTTCGATTTCTGGCACCTTCGACTGTCCACGGACGAGCTCCTTCTCCACACCGCCCGATTGCAGCGGATTCAATGAGCTCTGGAGGCCAAGCGCCGCGTAACTGCACAAGTTGGACAATAGACAGTCAGCAAATCAGAAGTGACGGGCTCTTTGAGATCATATGGAAGAGTTCGCGCCCGCTCCGAGTCGGGACTTCGTGATGGGAGGCGTGGGTGAATGCGCCTCGTCCGAGACAGGGTACTCGAGCAGAAGCTAGAGCAGCGCCAAGAGGTGACAGGCCGACAAAATTGAAAGAGAAACAGGGACGTAGGTGTCTTTACTGATACTGACTTCTGTCGAACGGTCTTTGATTTGTCCCATGAATCCTGGAGGATTTTGGGTCCGCGGATCGCTGCAAAACCGAGAGGCACAGGGAGATCAGTAAGACTGTCTTAAATTTTCCTTCACGGACCAGCAGAACTCCCGCGACACACATCCAGGGGGACGGCGCCTCAGGCCTCAATCTAATCCATCACCCTCAAGTAGTATGTATGCACGGAATGGGGGTCTGCAGGGTTCCTGGGCAATCGTATGTAAGACTTGCCTGGCATCTTTTTCTGCATCTTTTTCGCGCGTCTCGCATGGTTCACGGGCTTATATGAGGAGGACTTGCTCTTTCGCCTTTGCCGTGGGTTCGCCATCGTGTATTAGCAGGTCTGGATGGCACTGGTGTTGTGTGCTTGCGCTGAAGCTTTTGGGCTGAAGACAGGAGCAGTGTGATGTTTTTGGAACTCAGCTTCACTAATGAATAGCATTGCTCCCGCGCCCGGTAAGCAAGTGCCCGTGGTTCCGCTCAGGGGACGCTACAAGGCCATGCACGTTTACATACGGGTATGTTACATACCTATGCAGTAGTAACCACGACCTCCGACGACCGCTCTTGCTCTGCTACCTCCTCAGCCTCGTCTCGATATCCTAACGCGCTCTGCTCATACGCCACGGAACGCTCATAGGGACCTCCAATTCCGATCATATTAGCCTCTCTGCCGCCGGCCCACGCTGATTGCTCGGTTCACGACAATACGACTCCTCGAACGCCGCTTTTCTAAATCGGAAACCTGACACCTATAGTAGGAGCCCCCACGCGAACAAAAGGACACTCCTAGTACTAGAAGGCCACATACCCAAGCCCGATCACGATCGCAAACTTTCACGTCCTCTCATGACCTCCCCACACCTCAAGGCCGTCATCTTTGACGTACGTGCTCCCCCGCCGTCTCTTCTGGCGCATCCGTCTTGACAGAACGGAACCGTACGGCAGATTGGAGGCGTCGTCTGCCAGAGCCCCTTTGTGGCAATCGCACAATACGAGCGCGAAAAGGGCCTGCCCCCAAACTATCTCAACGTGTCCATGTGCGTCCCCGCCGATATGAATTCATTCGTTCACCCCCCCTGCAATCGGAGCTAACGTATCCCGGATACCGTCCTTGGGCTTGCAGTAGCGGACGGGGCTCGGCAGGCGCATGGCAGAAATTTGAACGCGGCCAGCTTCCGCTCCTTGAGTTTTACAAGGCTTTTGGCGCCGACTTGTCAGATACCGTAAGCGGGAACGCATGGTATGCAAGTTATTGCAAACGGAAAGGCATTTGTAAGTCAGATTCGTTGTGGAGCATGAGCGAGCTATACTTAATCATGCTTTCGAAGCCTGTCCACCGCTCCCAGTCACGCTGAGTGTGGATGGCCGTGAGGTAGGCCTCGAGTCCTCCGATAGGCAGGATTGTGTCTCAGGGATAATCAATAATGCATTCAGCTCTTTGGTCGCATGATGCATCAGTCAGTCCAGTATGACATGCACGTTCTTCGAGCCATGGAGCGGCTACGCGGTAAGTCGTGTCATAATGACAGGGCATGTCATAGGTTTTGACGTGCGTGGTTTAGCATCCGGGCGGTGGAAGCTGATTGCTCTCACGAACAACTTCAGCAAGCACAACGTCTCTGCGGATGGAGTAGAGGCAGCGATACCAGAGTCAGAGCTCCAATTCCTGGGCTGGCATGATGGTGCTGTCCCGAGCCATCTGCGTGATCTATTTGATGACTTCTGTGACTCGAGCACCCTTGGCGTTCGGTATTTGCTACAACTCCAACCAGCTTTCTGGTATAGGCTTGCTAACGAATTCTTCTGAAGGAAACCTGATCCAGAAATATACCTGATTGCATGCAATAGAAATGGAATCAAGCCATCGGAAGCCATTTTTCTAGATGACATAGGAGCGTACGTGCTCTGCCTTATTTTTTAAGCCAGGCTATTATTGACAATCGTTTGTCCTATCAGCAATTTAAAGACAGCGAGAAAGCTGGGGATGGAAACAATCCGTGAGCGCCCAACCATGCCAAACGTCAGGCAACCAACTTATGGTTTCGCAGATGTTCCTATTGGACGCACTCTTCACGCTGTCAAGCAACTCGAAAGCAAACTAGATATTGATCTTACAACCTCGGATGATATACCAAGAGCGAAGCTTTAGCTTGTAGTTTTGATTACCCATTCAAGTTTAGAGCATTGATAGTGGATTCGCAATTCAAAGGGCGTGCCCTAATATTATTGCCAGAGATGCAGGGTAGCTGGTGTGCGGGATGCTATGTCTATTGTTACGAGGCGGTCTATCACAGTTCGGCGGCGGAAGACATGGATATATGAGCCGCATGTGCTAGCGTGTATTGTTTAGAAGGGCTTGTCGCAGGCGGGGGTCTTGTCCTCGTAATAGCTGCCGATCTACGGGTACACAATAAGACGTGAAAAGACACGGAAGACGCGACTGGTCAGCGCATGCGGCTTTAAGATACAGAGCGGAGGTGCTCACCAGAGGCAGGTTAACGAGCAGGCCGTTCTTCACAACAGGCGTCACAGAGAGAAGCTACACATTCGTCAGCTCTTCCGGCGTGTGCAAAATAACCGAATGTACCACTCACGAAGACGGCGGCGGTACCAGCGCCGAAACCCCAGATACCAAGACTTGGTCCCCAACGCTTGCCGAACTTTTTTTGGTGGACCTAGGTTAGAGCAACCTAGGCAAAGATAAACTGAGGAACTTACGTTGACCAAGGGGGCGTAAGGAGGGGGACGCGAGTAGCTGAGACGGGCCATGGATGCGATGTGTTTTCGTGCAGGGATGCGTTGCTCGCCGTCAGGCGTTTCGACTTCTGCCTCAGTGCGATGCGGCTCGGGAAAGTGCGGAAGGGTTGGTCCAAACCAGGAAGGCGTCGGGTGTAAACCGCGCCTCCTTCATCCGGCCCGCACATCTCCGCGCACGCACGTGCAAGAAGGTTTATCTCTTACATCATCAGAGATCTAGATCTCCGGGAAAGGAAGCTCTTCTTCCCGAACTCTCAAGATCATGCGTAAGGTTTGTTGCCAGATCTCTCCGAGATTCGCGTCGCAGCTTCGACGGCCCCGATGAGAACATAAAGCTAATTAGTCTATCCATCTTTCCTTTCCTGGCCTTCGTATCATCTCCGCCCTTTGTTCACCAGCCAGGTGCATGTAGTATGCGCTGTTGACTCGCGGCTATGTTTGTCAGGGCAGGATCTACACCAGAACCCGCTTCGCAACGAGAACGAGCTCATATGTCTATTTCAGAACGTCGGTGAAAGTCACTCGCCGGCATTCAATTTGCCAGAAGCTTGTCATCCAATCACGGGGCCATTACCGTGTGCTATAGGCGTCAACTCGTGCGCGCGCACCAATACTTCGCGGCATCACCATCGAGCAACTGTTGAATGTACCCCAAAGCAACCCCAAAGTACTCCGAGTTCTGCACGTTCAGAAGGCACACAGACCTGGACTAGTGCCACGGCTGGACGCACTTAACTTTATCCAGCGCGCGGGCATTGTTTCCTCATGCCGCGCCTCCTTCCTCGTACGTCTGCATTACTGCCTTTTTGATGAAAACCCACCTCTCTGGGCTCTGATATGTGACGCGCCATGCGGTAGTTATAACGGTGGGTTTCGTCGTTTACGCACTCACATGTCAATACAGGCATCACAGAGGCCGCCGAATGATTTGGTTTGCAGGTCTCGTAAGGCTATGTGCCCGGTCTTTGTGGTTTCCTGGCGCTCACGGCGGCAATTTGACTCAGAATAGTCCGGCAATGAATCGTAGCCTTGAATCGAGACGGCAAAACAGCGCGATCCCGCGACCCACTCTATATGCCGTACAGAACATGCGTGTGGTGGAAATCGAGAGGTTGGTTACTCACATAGCCATCTTCTTCTGCATCCACCAATGGAACACCCTCGACTGACACAGGGTCGTAACAGGGTGGAAGCTCTGCGTGAGCTGCGGGCTCGGAATCGCACTTTCCCTGTTTCTCGGAGGGAATCAAACCGATACACACCACTTTTGTCATTTACACGTTTTCACAACTCCCCGCAAGCCTGACACGTACGGACACATGATGGGTCCGAGTCGGACTGACGAAACTTCGACCCCAAAGCATGAAACGCCCCACTATATCACAGCATATTACCCGTCGAGCCTGCGCGATAGCCCCAAGCTCATGATGCACTTCCCGGGAAGCTCCCAAAGCATCTGACGAGGTCAAGAAGCTGATCGGACCCACTGCGGCGCACCGAGACGCATCTCCCCGCGTCACTCCGGTGGCTGGAAGCATCGTGCGCTGCCGTGAACCAATGGGAGACGTGGAGCGGGCCGTTCAGGTTCGCAGCTAAACCAATAGGACAAAGACGGGCTCGCCGGAGCCTCCTTAAGCGCGCTGTATATATGTAGCTTCGCTCTACGTGCTTGCTTCTAGTTCTCGATTGTCAAGAGAGAAGGTTCAATGAAGATAGTGGCGAACACGGGTTTTTACACGGTCTCTGCTGATAGGGGCCCACACGTACGTGCTCTTACAATATCACCTGTACAAAAGGAAGCAATTCCGAAATGCAGAGCTACTAAAACCTGAGCCGATTCTATGGCCTATAGGATTTACTTGCTCTCGTCACGGCAGGAAGGTGGTCCATCTTGACATGCTTGACAGCAGTTTGACAGCCTCTTTACTTGAAAATCGCCCGCATGCTTCACGGGAGTACCGCACTAGGTGTATGAAGACGGAGGTACGGACCCGATTTCGATCCGCAAGGAGCTAGGTAGGCCAGCTCGAACAGAGTGTCAGAGATAGCGTCAGAGATACCCCGAACTACGTTTGTCAAGTGATCACAACACGCTTTAGGCCACGAACTTGGTTTAGTCTCCGTGTCGAGGAAACAGGTGCGTACATATTGGGCACGATTTTAATTGGCTGAGCATAATGGCTGGTTCACTCAAGGTTTGCTCGTAGGGGCCGAGCTTTGATCTGCGTTGGATCTTCCCGTGAATCCTCGAGCTCGTGACGTAAAGATGTGCTTCTCCGATGTCGCTGATCGTGACAACTGTATGTAAAGCCGGCGGCGAACTCGAACAACTTCCTTTGAACTCGATCACTTTATGACAAGGGAATATCTTTCCCGCTTTTTGTTCGAAGCCTTCCTTTGTGCTCCGCGCAGATATATAAAATCCAACAGACCGATTGAATCGCAAGTGCAGAAATGGTCCAAGGAGAGCGCGGCGATGTGATCCCAAGAAGACGCCGTACGGGAAGGTACTCTTAAACCCGAGGTCACAAGAATCGAGCGCCATCGAACTCGAGATTAGGCCTCGACGGCCTCGACGTCCTTGGATCACCATAAGGTTTTCGATCCAACCGCGCGAAAACTACAGGTAGCCAGCGTACACACAGAGCTAGCGTCTCACCATAATGTATGCATTTGTATGAAAGCTGGTGAGTAATTACTGTATTCCTGCTGGCGAATCATCTGCAGGGATAAGCCAAGGATGGAAATGACTTGCACGATATCATTAACAATTGGAGTGGAATAACCTACGACACATATGGACCAACATATTGAAAGTTGCCATCTGCACTCTGTTGCGGCAAAATCCGAGATCGTCCAATCCCTCGGAGTCGTAGTACTATAGTTCGAGTCGAGGTCAGGTTTCAAGTTCGGATATGAACTATGAAAGCCCATAAGGGCTGGCATCAGAATCCGATACCGGTGCCATGCCCAAACGATCAACGACGGGACAATAAGAGACAGGCTTTCCCCAAGGCTTTCCCCCTAGATCATTGTCTGAGTTTTGAACACGGGACAAACCCTGCTAACGTCCATACGGATTGATCATCAGACCACACAGTACACTCCGCTCCATTTTGTCCTACGTACGAGAAATCAATGTATTAAAGATAGCCACAAACTCCAAGTGGCCCCAAGTTTAGCACTCCATTTCCCTGCACTGCCAGCAGTACCCATGCGTTCACATTTCAACTAGAGACCCACGCCACCCCGGATGGCGTCGAGGAGGATGTCGCTGTAGTCTCCTGCAGCGTCAAAGATGGAGAAACCTTTCAGACCCGCCGAGTTGATATAGTCGCCCTTGGCCTTGAACGACTGTGCATTGTCATACGAAATGAGGATTTCGTTCGTCGGGTCGTACACGAACGGCTGTATTTTTGGGAGGGTAACTCGAATGAGCCTTTGCCATGTCCCGGTACAAAACAATCAAAGGAGCGCACCGTTTGTGAGCAATTGTCAAAGATGCTCAAGAGGCCACTTGCAACGCTCCCATCGTCGTTCAGGAACTTCGCCTCCATCATGCCCTCGAACTCGTATGTGCCGTCACTCGGACTGGTGCTGCCGAATGCCATGCCCGGCGCCGTACCGTCGAACGAGCCGTACAGCTGGATGCTATCGCCCGCGCTCGATCCCGTCACCTGCTCGCGGGTCGCCTTGTAGCCGTACCCGTACGCGGGCACGCCCAACACGAGCTGCGACGCGGGGAAGCCGGCCTCGGTCCACGTCTCCACCGCCATCTTCGCGGACTTGCCCTGCTGGCCGGAGGGCGCGCACGAGGAGTCGAGAGGCGCGTTGGGGCCGAAAACCTTGGTGTATTCGGGGCCGTACACGTCGTAGTTCATGATCTCTGCGAGGTACACTGGCGTCAACTTCGAACTTCACCAGATAAATGTATAAATAGGTGGTGAATATGACGCACCCACGTAGTCAAAGACTTTGGCAAAGCCAGACATGTCGGCCATGGGGTCGCCGTTGGCATCGACGAACGGTCGGTCGCCAACGGCTGCTGAAAGGGTGATGTCGCTCGCACCGTCCTGCTGACGGAGGACCTGGAGGAACTTAAGGAAGTTGGCACTGTCCTGCGGCGACTCCGTGTTACCGTCCGCGCCCTGCTGCTCGGGGAACTCCCAACTATACCCGTCTTCAGTCATACGGTTTACGAGTAATAAGGAAGAGTAAATCGCTCACTCAAAGTCAATGCCATCGAGGTCATACTGCTTGACGAGCGCCATGATGTTCTGTGCGAACTGCGCGCGTCCGCTGTCTGTCGAGCAGTCCTGCGAGAAATACTTGGAGCCGCCGTATCCGCCGACAGTGAGAATCGCTTTAACGTTGTTCTCGTGCGCCGCCGAGACAAATTTCGGGAGGAGGTCCTTGTCCGAGTCGGATATCGTGACCTCCCCGTTGTTGGCGGTCAGCCTGTACCGGTTTGCACAGACGTACAGTATGTGGTTAGTCAATGACGAATGAAGTGCGCAGCTGCCAGCATGATGACGCACACAGAAAAGTAGTTCATCGTCGTGTACTTGCTCCACGAAACTTTGTCAACCCCGAACTGGTCGCTGTAGTAGTTCGGATACCACGCTATTGCGACGGAGCCGTCTCTTTTGGCGGGTGCACCAAGTGCTGCACCAGCAGCAGAGAGCAAGAATATGAGAGGAAAGGCACGCATTTGAGACACAGGAAGGAAACGAATGAACAAAGGTTCGAGAAAGAGCGGGTCGACAATTGCGAGAGTGGAGATGCCAAAAAGCAGAGGAGTTCAAAGCACAGTTGTTGTCTTCGACATCCATGCCAAGGGCCTATTTGTAACTGGGCGAATGCGGTCCCGGAGAGTAAAGTTCCGTCTTGAAGCTACAGTTGCAGATCGTCAGAGAGCAACGAAGTGATTGCACCGCTCTGGCTCCTCGGGTGCGATTTAATTGACACGTCCAAGCATGACGACTGACCGGGGAGGTAGGCGCAGGATTCCCATATCCGGCATCCCGAGGCATCTGGTGCAAGGCCAAGGAGGACACGGCATGTGCTGGCTTAGAGTGTGCATTACGGTCAAAACGCTGTACACACAATGCTGGAGGCAGCTTACCGTAGCGACGATCGGATAGGGGATGTAATATACCATGACCCGGCGACTGGTTCGGATGATCGGTTCCTGGGTAGTGCTGCATGTTGAGAGCTTATACCCGCTGGCAGATACTGTCTAAAGCTGTTATGATTGGCGTACTTGCTGTACATACACCTACAGAAGGCTGAGATCAGCTTCCGACAAGGGTAGTGTGGCCAAAATGAATGAAGACTGCCGCCTTTCGCACGGCTCGACCACACGGCAGCAACCGCGACGGTCCTCAAGGCGAAGATCAGTGCAGTCGCAGATAATCTGCTGGGTTTCGACATTGGCATACAACTTTGATACTACGTCCGATATTAGAGCTAAAGTAAATTAACCTAAAACAAAGCAGCACTCAGCATCATAATAAACGGCAGACAAGCAACTGCCAGCAAAGGATGCACACCTCGAGAAACCCCACCACCGCTGCTACTCTCCGTACTCCCCTCGCCCGAACTCGACAACGTCACATTCTGCGTCTGCACCCCGCTCTCCCCAAAGATCGCCACCACCGTATCCCCCGCGATCGTACACAACCCAGGCCAAAACGCCGGCGGCCGCGCAACACTCGTCTTCTCCCCCCACGTCGCACCCCCATCCCCGCTCGCAAGCATCTTCACCGTCTCATTCGCCGTCCCCGGCGTCCCCGTATCCTCGTTCGTCATAAACACCGCAACAAGCGCGCCACCCACATTCGCCACCTGCGGCGACTGCGCATTGAGCCCGTTCGAGGGCCGGTACACCGTCCCGCGCGGGCCCCACGTCGCCCCGTCGTCCGTCGACACGCTCCGCTCGACCACGAAGCTCCCGTTCGGCGCGCCCGACTCGAAGATCGCGAGCAGGTGCGCGGACGTGGCCGTGCTCGCGTTGGACGAGGCCACGCCGAGCGGCGCGATGCCGACCATGCCGTCGCGCGCGGCGGAGCAGTCCGCGCCGATGGCGACGGTGGGCGCGGACCACGATGCGCCGTGGTCGGAGGAGGAGGAGAGGATGAGGTCTTGGTCCGTCGCGTTGTTCTCGCGCGAGTAGTAGATCTGCACGGCGCCCGACGTGGTCAGGCGGAGGAACGGCTCCCAGAGGCCGTTGTCTACGAATAGCGAGTGAGGTCATTCATACATTGCATCACGGAAAGAAAACCAGGGAATAACACGCACTGTACGGACTCGGCTTCGCCGCCTGCTCAGCCGCCTGACACAAAAACGACCACGTCTGCCCCCCATCGTCCGACCCACAGACCGTGATCCGATAATACGTATAATTGTTCGTGCCGTTCCTGTCGTGGTTGCGGAACGACGCGAGCACGCGCCCGCCGGGCAGCTGCAGCAGAAACGCGTTGTCGATGTCGTGCTGCTGCGTCGCGCCTGTCGCGATCACCCCACGCGCGGCCCACGACGCGCCGCCGTCCGCGCTGGCCAGCGCCTGCACCGTGTTGTTGCCGTTGCCGGTGAACGTCGCGGAGCCCAGCAGCGAGCCGTCGAGATCCGTCGTCGCGCGGCCGTAGCTGGTGGCGTTGGCCATGCTCACGGGGCTGCCCACGAGCTGCGGATCGGCGGCCACGCGCCGCTGGAGAGACGGAGGAGATGAGGCGCCGCTGGCGCTAGCCAGGCCGGACGCGGCGATGGCGGTGATTGTGAATGAGAGAAAACGTAAAGGACATGCGAGCTTCATGACAGACAGCAAGAATTGGACGATGGATGGAATGGAAGGATGCCAGACTTCGTAACATTTTATACAGACAGACAGCTATTAGGTCAGAGCGAGGCAATGAATGATATGCACAGATGAGACACGTTGCGACGTTCATAAATAGAGACGTGGGGTCCTTCAGCGCCTGTGACAGATAAAAGAAGCCCGAGATGACGACATGAGCAGCTTGGCCAGTGCACTTTGTTAACCTTGGGCGTTGGAGATTGCTGATCGTCGCAAAGTCCTTCAGCGCCCCATGGCAAAAGAGGCCAGTGAAACATAGCAATTCCTGTTGATATGTTTTTCTTTCCATTCTGTTGCGACCGCCCGGATCCACAAGAAGTAACAATGACGTCCTAGGCGCAAACTCTTGGCCACTTTGAGTTGACATTGAGCCTAAAGAACGGAAGCAAATTGAGATGTGTTCAATGAACACCGAGACGTGCCGAGCAGCCACGAGACCTTGAAGCTTGAAGCTTGAAGCCCGAATCTCCGTCAACGCAAGGCGCCCGCGTCAGACATCAGCGTCACCTGTCTCCTGTGTCCATAGCCCGAAGATTAACCATCATCACCACCAGATCTCAGCGCTGCCCTCACCCCCCCTGCACCTCCCCCGCCTCAGCATCCCCAACGCACGGCCCACGCCCCTCCGCGCGCATATCGAGCTCGCGCCACATATTACACGTGCGCCCCTCGTTCTGCAACGCCGCAGTGCAGCACCACCAATACCGCTGCGCCTGCCCTCGTTCTTGCTCGTGCTCGTGTTCGTGCGCTTGTTGCACCTCGTCGCCATCCGCTCCCGCCCCCGCCCCTGTCGTAGTGCTAGAACCAGAGCTCCCACCAACACCACCACCGACACCACCGCCACCACCACCAGCACCACCGCTCCCGCCCACCGCGCCCGGCCGCCCCTTCATATCCGCGCGCAGCACAGCAGGCACGCCGCACGCGCACCGGGGGATGCTGGCGGGCCGGAAATCGGGGCGGTAGAACCGGAAGGTGATGTTGATTCTGCTCGTCGTCGCGTCGATCGGCGGCGGTCCTGCCTCCCCTGCCCCCGCCGCTATACCCGAGTCGGGGGTGTGTGTGGCGGAAGGTGAGGGTTTTTCCCGAGTCTGAGTCTGACGGTGAGCGTGCTGGGGCTGGGGCTGGGGCTGGGGCTGGGGCTGGGGCTGGGGGAGTGGCACGTGGAACGCGTCGATCGTGCGTTGGGGCGGGATGGAGTGTTTGAATGTCTCTTGCGACGGTGGATGCATGATGGTTAGCTGTGTATGTCAGTCCATAGGTGTGAGTCTTTATCTGGCAGCTGGGAGAGGCGCTGACCGAATTATGCGTTAGAGGGATGTTGAACGTCCGTGCGGAGCGGGAGTCGCGTTCGTGCGTCGGGATGACCTCTCGCAGTCGAAAAAGACGCGTCACGCCTGCACACCGCCACATATTAAGGGGTTGTAACGACTCAATATCAGAACTACAGACGAGCAGACGCCAGGAAACACCATACCGAGACTCAGGGACGCGATAGTAGGATACGGGCCAAGGTACGTCATCTGGTCCGCGTGGGGACCGACGCTCTCCTTGCCGCCCGTGTAGCAGTTCGAGGCAGCGACGTTCGCGCGCCACCGCCAGCCGCGCTCGCCCGCCTCGCCTGTACCGGCCCACTCGAGCGGAAACCGCGGTCGGTTGGCGAACGTGTCGTTGACGACGCGTTCTACGTACGCGCACGCTTCCTCCATCGCGTCGGGGAACACGGCGGGCGGCTCTGTCGCGCGGCCGTTGTACCTGCGAGCCGTGATCGTTCCAACGGAGTCAATGATACTGGAATCGCGGCGACGGGAGAACGGATGACGCACCAGTACTGCGCGGCCTCCTGCCAATCTTCATCTGGATCGACACCGTCCGTCCTGCGCGCAAAAAAGGACGTCCGATGCGGGCTCTCGACGGCTCGGCCGAAAAGCCACCACGTGTTGCGCTGCCACTCGCGCGCGTGGTCGAGCATGGTGTGGAAGAGGCGTGCTGCGAGTTCGGGCGGGAGGACGGAGAGGTGGAGCGTGCACGGCGTGTGCTGCTTCACGAGTGCCGGGGTTCCTAGGGTGAGCGGTGCGAGCCGCGGGACCTTTTGAGGAGATGTCGGCGGAGGACGGAGAATGGAGAGAAGATCGACGGGCTGATGAGGATTGCTGCGCGTGCCAGAAGTGGATGTAGGCGTGGTGGCACGGTGAGCGGAGGCATCAGAGGCGGTGGGGGCCAGCGACTTAACACTGGCAAGAGGTCGAGACCGAGAGATTGGCTTTCGGTTAGACTGTTGGTCCGGAGCTGCACTGGAACAGTGTTGGGAACGTGGATCTGCGTCAGGATTGCTGCGTGGTGCCTTGGATGAGGACGAGCCTGGAGAGTCGAGCCAATCTGCAAGGGAGAGGGGACGTTTTGTTCCACGTTCGGGAGTAGGTGCAGGTGGGTGCTTCTGATCGAGGAGGACAGCTGCAGCCTGAGGGTCGCCATCAGAAGAGATAAGTGCATCTAGAATCGCGTCGGGCTGTGGTGGCTCATGCGCTGAGCTGGAGTCGAGTAGACTGTAGACAATCGCAATGAGGGTGTCCGTGTCTGTCGCGTCAGCCCGCGTGACTGCCATGAATTTCGAGGAAGAGAGCGACAGCAAGGCTAGAGTTTTATACACGTTAACACCCCGCTGAAAGCGCAGGCCTTCCGAACAAAAGGTGGTGTGTTTGGGAACGAGTCTGAGTCATTGGCGTGGTCGAGGACGAAAGGGGAACTCGAAGGAGCCGCGTGTGTTTGCCGAGGATACGCGACCCTGCAGTGGGTCGGGATTCAATATTCAGCAAGATGTACTTGTACCATGTTCCCTGGTAGCTGTGCATGTAAGCTAGAATAATAATCATATCATAATGCACACAGCAAGCCTAAACAGGTGTCCTATTTTCAGTAGTCAGAGTCAGAAAACCTATAAAGTGGAGTGGGGTCGGGTCAGCAGCCAGACGATAACCCGCCCGCCCATTGATAACCTCCCTCTTACCTCACGTCGACCAAGTCATGGGTCGCCAACAGTCTCCTCTCGCACCCTCACCGTGCCTTCCCGCTCCTGGCTCGAGCAACGCTCCGCAACGCTCTCGTGCCTTGTTGCCGAGGTTCTTTGTACGTGATGGGCGCCCGTAACGTCATTGATCTCTGGAATCTCAATTCTCTTCTCCCCCAGGTCGTCTTCACACTCGCTGTCCTTGCCCTGGTCCTCATTAGCACCCACCACATCATCACCAACACCGTTCTCAGCGTCCTCCATTCTCATGGTATCTCTTCCACCTTCACCTACGCCACACACGCAGGCGTAAATCCCTCCCCCTTCGCCCACCTCGCCTCCCACTGCGCCTCTGTCCCACCCATCACCACCACAGAGTTCCTCGCCCGCCAAGACTCCCTCGCTCGCATCCTCCACGAGCAGGGCGCCACCGCGTACGTCGCCGAGGCCGGCCCGGACGCTTTCTTCTTCGCCAACATCTCCCAGGCTTCCTGGCACCTCTCTGAGCGCCCCTTCCTCCTTATCGTCACCCCCGACATCGTCACCTCCGCCTCCGCCGATGCCACCGTGCGCGCCCGCGTCACACTCCTCACCCCCGAATTCGAAGAGACCCGCGCCCGGACACTGCCCGTCCCCGCGCGCGAGCTGCACTACGCCGCCTGGCCCGAGGACGGAAACCCATACACCGCCGCCCTCGGCGTGCTCCGCCACGCTCAGGACGATGATGCCAACAAGGCCACGATCCTCGTCGACGGCAACATGCGCATGTTCGTTGCGGACGGCCTACGCCATGCCGCAGGCGAGGGCGCGCAGGTCGCGCCTGCTACGCCGGAGGTGACCGCGCTGCGCGAGCGCAAGTCGCCGGCCGAGATCGCGCTGCTGCGGTGCGCGAACGAGGCGACGCTGCTCGCTGTGCGCGCGGCGCGCGAGCGGATGCGCATAGGCATGCGGGAGTCCGAGGCGCGTGCGCTCGTCGAGAGCGCGCTGGCGGCTGCGGGGCTCAGGGAGGGGTTCGCGCTCACGTTGTTTGGTGGTGAGTCGATCCTTCTTTCTTACTCTTCGTCTTCGCCCCCTGCTTCTGCTTCTGTCGTTCTTGCTTCATGATCGACGGTGGCGCTGAGAACGTCGGCTGATTCACACCGTTATATCCGCAGAGAACGCTGCGCTCCCGCACGGCTCCGGGACCGACCGCGTGCTCGGCGCGGAGGACTTTGTGCTCGTCGACACGGGCGGAACGCTGCATGGGTACAGCAGCGATGTCACCCGGGTGCGCTATACACACGTTCTCACTGGCCCTTCCCCGATGCTGACGTCCGCACGGCGCGCTTTGCAGACCTTCGCGCTCCCCGATAGCACGATTCCCCAAGCGCATATCGACCTCTGGCACACCGTGCACACCGCACAGAGCATCGCGCTCGCGACCGCGCACGAGGGCCAGGCCACGGGGCGCGTCGATGCCGCCGCGCGCGCGTGGCTCGAGTACAAGGGCTACGCGCGGTACTTTACCCACCGCCTCGGACACGGTAAGCCTCGACCTCCCTCCATGATCCCTCCATGACGTACGGTCCACGATCCACGATCCACGCACGCTCCCCACCACCGACAATGCCAACACTACCACTGACACTGACACTCACCCACCACCCCCAGGCATCGGCATCGAAACACACGAATCGCCCTACCTCGTCGGCGGGAGCACCGACACGCTCCGCGCGGGACACGTGTTCTCCGACGAGCCGGGCGTGTACATCGAGGGGCGCGTCGGCGTGCGCCTCGAGGACTGCTTCTTCGTCTCCGAGCGCGGGTACGCCGTGTACCTCACCGAGGGCGTCGGCGGGCAGGCGGGGGATCCGTGGAGTCCTTGATGTCGCGGTGGGGCGGAGGGGGAGTTGAGAAGGAGGAGGGGATATGTACGTGTGTAGGATGGGCCTGTGTGTATGTAATGATGCTTTTCTTGGATAGCCCGTGTTGTATGTACATTATACCAGATAGCCGTGATACCGATATGATTATGAAGGGGGCTAGAACACCGGCTGCGTTTCTAGCAGCGCTGCGCAGAATACGAGCTCAGTATCTACTCTCTACCGTCCTCGGTATCGGAGCACCTCCACCGTGATACCGACACCATGCACGATGTCAAGTAAACATGGCTATCCCACCATCTCCAGGATCATCATAAGCACAATGAAAGCATAAACAATCCAGTGCAATTCATCCAGAGCCTATAGCGTATGCATATAACCTATAAACCAAGGCGCAATATAGCACCTTCATCGCGGGACCGGTTGCGCGGTCCCTTGCGCTCAATTTACATAAGCATGGTGCAAGAATCAGAAAGAGAAAAAACACAGACACCTCTACGTAATTAAACATGTCAAAAAGCATGCATGCATGCGCGTTGAAAGAAGGAAACACAAAATCAATCGCGATAGCGCACACTGTATCCACAAACGGACGAAGCAAAACGGATGAGAGAACTTGAAGAAGAAAAAGGTCGTACAAGTACAAGTACCCAAAGCCAAGCCAAGTAGCACCAGCACCAGCTCAGAAGAAAAAAAAAGTGTAGTAAAGCGTCATAAATTATCAGAGCCGAGCACCGATCCTCGAGAGCTCTATGCATATAGAATGTACGTATGTTATGTGTTTAATCGTATTCAATATATCAATATTCAATCAGCCAATCAGCCAATCAATCAATCAGAGCGTGAACTCGAGAGCCATATCTTGCAGGTCCGGCGTTGCAAACGTTTGAACGGCGGCGGCGGCGAAGACGAGGGCGGGCCAGTAGGATGGGGGGCGTATAGGGAGACGTATAGTACGATAGGAAGGGGAAACAGAGACGGACAGAGAGACAGAGAGGCGGGGAGATGCGATAATCCAGGGTCGGGGTGGTTAAGAGTGGGTGATACTACAAATACAAGAAGGCGGTTCCGGACAGACTCGAGACCAGAGACTATAGATGAGAGGGGAGAGACCGCTGTAAAGACAGGACGGCGAACGCGTGAGAGCTATCGCCAGATGTATGTTGCTTGTTACTTGAGGAGAGGATAAAGTGGGTCGGCGACATCGAGTCGTCAACGCTGTAAATCGGAGGGTGAAACCGCGCGATCTAGTACGCCTCAAGAAGCTCCCCAGGCGTCGGCGCCGGCAGCGGCACACTCGCGGGGGAGCACGGGGTAGGCGTACCGGGCACCTCGGACGTCGCATACCGCTGGAACGGGTTACGCGTGTGCATGCGCGAGACGGGCGAAGCTGTTCAAAACAAGAAATGGGTGAGTTCACATGTCAACTGCGTTTGAACCTCTCATAGTTCCGTCTCATAGTTCCGGGCGGAGCCAGGTAGGGTGCTTCTGCCGTCATGGGGCCAAATTTTTCAAAGGAAGGCAAAAACCGAGGACTTACACAGCGCATGGGACACCTGCCACCTCGACAACAAAAACATGTCGCCCTCGTCCTCGCCGGCGAGCTCGGGCAGCGGAGCTTGCATTCCGTTCGGCGAGCGCGCCACGGCCGTCGTGTCGCCGCTGTTTTCGTCCGGGGCGGGGCCGCGCGAGAGCAGGATGCGGGGGCGGTAGCTCGCGGGGATGGCGAACGCAGGGCCGCCCGAGCGGCGGGCGGCGCGCGAGCGGGTGCGGGAGACGGGGGAGGCGCACGGCGAGAGGAGGGCGGGGCGTAGGATGGAGAGGAATTCTTCGAGGGCTTCGGAGGAGAGCGTCGACCTGGCGAAAAAGAGAGAAGGATATGTTAGAAAGAAGTGAAACAGGATAACAGATGCCGGGAGAACGAGGCAGTGATCGATCGGATCGACAAGGCGGAGAGACAGGGGGCGATAAGGAAGCCCATGTCCAAAGAAGTCCGGGGGGCAGGCCCCAGGACAGCGGAACGAAACGGGGTGGAGGTGCGGAGAAAGCAGCACACAATGCAAGAAAGCCCGGAGAAGGATTGCTGTAGATTCTGAACGGACGCAAACATACCTGGGCGAGGGCGAGGAGATCTCCTTGTCGACCAGCTCTACCGGCTTCTCCTCCTGGGCATTCTCGTTCAGATCGGAAAAGAGCACACGCTCCTTGGGAGTGGTAGATTCCGTCTGCTGAGGGGGAGCAGTGACGAGTCGGATGTGTGTCGGGGAGCGGGGAAAGGTGTTGGAGAAGACGGTGGCGAGGCGAACGGGGCGGGGTGCGACGAGGACGGGATTAGAGGGAGCATTAAAGGTCATGGCTGGGGATAGATGGGTAGAATATAGCTAGGCAATTGACGTCTCTGTGTAGAAGGAAATTAGAGCGACTGTGTTGAACAGGTGAGATGAGAAAGCGGGAGAGTCAAAGTCAGACGATAGCCAACACAAGACACCGGGTCTCAGACTGCACCCGATCAGCCCACCCGCCCCTGTTTGTACGTGCTTGCTCTCTGATGCAGCCACAGTTCATTTGCGCGTCTATCACCCGGACTATCTCATCACTTGACCACCACCACTTCCATTCACCCTCTCTCAGAGGTCTAGCACATTCCAGGATATACATTTGAATGAACGGATTGTCGCAGCACTGAGAATAGTATGTCTACACCGCTCGTGCCAGCTCTCGAGACATCACTCTTATAGGAAGTCTCCACCGCTGGGCGAACTAAAAACTCGTGAGACCGTAAGAAGGCACCCTCGCTTCTGAAATGAACCGTCACTGGTGGGACACACCGTCCACCTTCCTGACACCCTGCAGCGAGGGCGGCACGCCGTATCGCCTACTTATCGCATGCAGATAAAAATCAGAATTTACTGCACGATAGCTCAAATGACCTCACAAGACAGCCTGGACCAGCACCGTACATCAATTAACAGGCTGCCGCGGCTGCGATTCAGTACGTTTACTTGGACCGACCGCCCCGTGCCCCCGAATCAGCACCAAGCCAGCAGACCCGGCCGCAGCCAGCGTCGTATGTTTGTCTCCGTTGTCTGATGCTTTTTCGATGTGATTCGAGAATCCCCTTCGGCCGTTCGGCGCGCGGTCCTGGTCCAATTTCAAAACCCTATGATTATTACCTATATAATCCCGCTCCCCTCCCTTCCTTGCCGTTCACCATCTCTCTGAGCCCATCATCTCCCTCTGCCCGCTGCGGTATATGGCCCTCGCTCCCGTCGCTCGTCCCGAGTCTGCTTCTACTCTTGACGAATCCCGCCCGCTTCTCGCAGGAAGCGACGGCGGCGTGGTGACTGTGAATGAGAATGAGAACGGCGATGCTCCAGTCGCCGTCCACGGCTGCCTTGAGGCGCACAAGGCAAAGCCCAGGGTGACTCCCATCCCCGTCGGCCAGCTGCTCGCCCTCTGCATTGTCCGCCTGGCGGATCCGATCGTGTTCACCCAGCTGTTCCCTTATGTGAATGAGTTTATGAGCGATCTGCATGTTACTGACGACCCGTCGAGGATTGGGTTCTACTCTGGTCTTGTCGTATGTACTGTTATTTGTTGTCTGAGGGGGTTAGGTGCTGACGGTGTCTTTTGCAGGAGAGCGCCTTTGCCATCTCACAGCTGTGCTCCATCTACCAGTGGGCCCGCATCTCTGGTATGTTCTCGATCATTCTCCATGCTGTAGGCCGCAAACTCACTAGTCATCTTTGCAGACGTCGTGGGCCGCAAGCCAGTGATCATTGTAGGCATCCTGGGCATCGTGTGCACGACGCTCGTCTTCGGTCTCTCCACGTCGATCGTGACGGTCCTCGTCTCACGGTGCCTCGGGGGGCTGTTCTCTGGCAACATCGCCGTCGTGCACTCTGTTCTCGGCGAGCTCACGGACTCGACGAACCAGGCGACGGCGTTCCCTATCTACGGCCTCATGTGGCCCGTTGGCTCGATTATTGGGTTAGTGTGTTTCCGTTTCTTTCCTTGTTCTGAACCCCCGCTGTTCTTCGATAGCCTTTGTATGTCTAGTTCTGATGAGCTGACGTCTTGCTTCCATTCTTGTATGTGACACGGCTTCTATCTAATCTTGGCATGCACTTTTGCCGCTGGCCTGTGATACCACGGATCGACGCTGCTGCCTATCTTGAACGTTGTACCTTGATGCGCGCTGTTATCTAATTCTGTAATCTCCGTGCAGCCCCTTGATTGGTGGCACATTCTCCCACCCTGCGGACAAGTTCCCCGCGCTGTTCGGCGGCGATCTCTGGAAGACACACCCTTACTTCCTGCCATGCCTCATCTCCTCCGTTATCGCTGTCGCCGGTGCCTTCTTGGGCTATGTTTTCCTCGAGGAGGTCTGTCTATTCCACTTCACCCTTGATAATCATACTGATAGTTTACTTCAGACACTTCCAAGCAAACGCAAGCCTAAGAAGACGGAAAAGGACTTGGTCAAGCGCGCCGAGCGCCGCCGCGCCTACGGTGCTACGGACAGCACGATGAGCTCAGGCAGCACGACGCCGAGCGAGTACTCGTCTGACTCGGAGATCTCGCGCCCGCCTACGCCTCTCACCAACGTCATCCCCGCAGAAGAGCTCCCCGCCCCTGCTGACCCCGAGAACGTAAAGGCGCTCGGGGCGGCCAAGCTCTTACACGTGCCCGCCATCTGGACGCTGTCCAGCTCGGGCTTTGCGCTGAGTTACTTGGCAGCGTCGTTTGATGTTGTCTTTGTCCTTTTCTCTTACTCGGATATCGAGACGGGTGGGCTGGCGTTCACGGTGAGTTTACTGACCAGCCATATTCACCCCATGAACTTTGTGCTGATCCTGTTGACCCCTGGTAGGCTGCTGAGATCGGCTACTGCCTCGCCACCTCGGGCACGATCGCTGCGCTCATCCAGGTCCTCCTGATGCCGTACTTGCTGCGCACGTTTGACTGTGCGCGCATGTACTCGTTCTGCATGAACATGTGGCCCATTGCGTTTATGCTCCTCCCCACGCTCAACCTCATCGCGCGCGCGGGCATGGAAACCGGCGCCGGTTTCGTGGAGGCAGGCGGGGACGTTGTCACGTCGGAAACCCGCGCGCTGCTCTGGGTGGGCGTCGCGGTCGTATTGGGCCTGGCCAAGGTCGGCTGTGTCGCGTTTGGGTGAGTGAAACCATCCTCCCCTGCACAACCCGGCTGGATACTGTGATGACGCCGAAACGCTAACTTTTGTTTTTATTTACGCAGGCTCTCGATGATCCTCATCAAGGACAACTCTCCAAACGCGGCCTCGCTCGGGCAGTGCAACGGCATCGTGCAGTTCGCGATGTGCTTTGCGCGCTCGTTCGCGCCCTTCCTCGTCTCGTCGCTCTTTGCGCTCTCGGTCGACAACAATTTGCTCGGCGGCTACCTCTGGGTCGTCGTCATGGTCGTCGTGTCTCTCGGCGGCGCCCGCGTGTCGCGCAGGATCGCTATGAACACCAAGCGCGCGACCTAAAGTCCTCAGGGTCTAAGGGCGCTGTTGATCCTGCAATCATCCCTCCCCGCAGGCCCGCTGGATCCTTTCTAAAAATCTACACCGTTTTCTTTTCTGGCCACATGGTCGCTCCGGGACTCGAATCTGTGACATAATTTTCCTCGCCCTCATAGACTGAAAAAGCTTCCTGGCGCCATTTTGCGCCCCTCACTACCTCGACGAAGCACGTACATAAGCTGCCTATCTTTATTAACTTTCCTTTTCTTTCCTTTGCTCAGGACACTGTTTACAAACTCACGAATACCATCACGTTGCGCATCATATCCTTTTCTCCCTCTGTCTCATCAGCATACCATTTTTCTGGTTTTCTCCATCTCGCTTTTTACATAAATTCCTATTCCTCTCTTGTGTCGCGTCTCGTCTGCGTTACGTCTTATGCGAATTGCTTGCTTGCTTGCTACGTCTTTATCCGAGATCTCCTTGTTGATTTAAATAGATAGAGAGATGTATTAAATGTACATAGGCATCGTCGTCGTTGTTGTATAAAGATGTTTTCTGTAGCTCGTTCGCGATATGAGCTATCAATCAAGTCAATGAAATACAGCTTTCCCAATGAAACAAAGGAAACCGTGATAATCTATGCATCCCGTCCCCCTCGTTCTCGTCCTCGTCCTCGTTTCCGTTTTATATCACCCCCTTCTCGCCTGGTTAGCTTAGAGCTTGCTGCCCGACGACGCAGGCTCGCCGAGCGCGTACAGCGCATCGAGCTCCGTCTTGAACTTTGCGTACGCGTCCTTGCGGCGCAGCTTGAACGTCGGCGTGAGCGTGTTGTCCTCGACCGAGAACGGGCTGAGCGAGAGGTGCAGCCGCTTGACGGTCTCGAACCCCGTCAGCTTGTTCTTCTTCGCCTCGCGCGTGAGCACGCGCAGCGTCTCGGCGACCACGCGCGGGTCGCGCAGCGCCTTGGTCAGCGCGGCGGTGTTCTCGGGTGTGATGGAGGGGTCGCCGGTGGTGGAGGCGACGAGCGGGGCGAATGTGCTGGGTTCGGGGACGACGACGGCGGTGAGGTAGGATTGGAGCGAGTCGCCGTGTACGTAGATCTGGGATACGAGTGGGCAGGCGCTGTATAGGTTTTCGACTTTTTCCAGCGCGACGTATTCGCCTTGGGCGAGCTTCATGATGTTCTGTACGGGCATGAGACGTTAATCGGGAATCAAGAAAAGGTAAAGGGAGGCGGAGAGCGCACCTTGACGCGGTCGACGATGCGGAAGCGACCGTGCGCGTCGACCTCGGCGACGTCGCCGGTGTGTATCCAGCCGTCGTGAACCGTCTCCGACGTGTTCTTCTCGTCTGTAAATAAAAACATGAATTCCTATCACTCACACACCACCCCAGAGAAAACACCCACCCTTATAATACACACTAAAGCAGTTCGCCCCGCGCACGCACAGCTCGCCGCGCGCGTTCGGCTTGTCCTTGGACGTATAGTTCATCGACGGCACGTCGACGAGCTTGAGCTCGTTCACGGGCTGCGGCGGGCCGATCGAGCCGCTCGCGCTGCGGTCGTCCTTGACCGTGTGCGTGCACGTCCCGCAGTTCTCGGTCATGCCGTACCCCTCGACGACCTCGCACCCGAGCGCGATCTTGAGGAAGTCCATCACCTCGGCGCTGATCGGCGCCGAGCCCGTGCTGACGAGCATCAGGTTGCCGCCGAGGACGGCGCGGACCTGTTGAGTTCGGTCGTGTTAGCAAGAGGGCAATACTGTTTTTTTTCACGCGTTTGTAAACAGACCTTGCGGAACACCACCGCATCCCAGAACGTGTGCGTCGTCGCGCCCGTCGCCTTGAAGTTGTCCATCTTGGCCTTGACGGCCGCCCTGAACAGCGCGCCCTTGATGCCGGGCAGCTGCCCGGCCGCCATCGCGGACTGGTAGATGCGGTTCAGCACGCGCGGCACGGACGGGAAGAACTGCGGCTTGAGTTCCTGCACGTCCTCGAGCAGCCGGAGCGGGTCGCCTGTGAAGTAGCCGACGCAGCCGCCGGTGGCGATGGTTGCGAGCTCCATGACGCGCTGTACATGAATCAGCATTCCGCCAGGTCTGTTTTAATGTGTATTTAGTGGGTAGTGGGAAGGGGATTCGTACCTCGTAGATGTGGGCGAGGGGGAGGTAAGAGAAAAGGCATGAGCTGGGAGGATACTCGAGGCCGAACAGGTTGGAGTAGGCAGAAAGGGCAAGGTTACCGTGCGTCAAGACCACGCCTTTGGGGTTGCTCGTTGTGCCCTGTCAGTGCAGAGCGTTGAGAAGACAGCCGTTGGATTTTGAGTAGAGGAAACTTACGGAGGTGTAGCAGATAGATGCAATGGTTTCGGGCGTTGGGATGATGGGATCAATGAGGTTGGCCTGGCCAAGTGCCTCCACTGCAGGATTCTCAGCAGAGGGCCTTTTCACGACAATGGTCACATACGCTCGCTCAGCTCGTAGATCTTGATGCCAAAACTCTCACCCCACGCATTGAATGCGGTCCGAGCTTGTGGGTTCAAGGCGTCGAGCGACACGATAGCCTTCATGGTGGGGCATTTCGGGGCAGACTTTAGCAGGGCGGGTATATGGTCGGGGGTGGTGAAGACAATGCTCAGTTGAGCGTGATTAATGCTGTGTAAGGTTTAGGCGTGAAATTGCACGAACAGCGCGAACTGGAGATGGTTCTTACATATATTCTGCATAGTTCAGCATCAAAAGTATCCGCCAAAACCGAAAAACTCACCGACTGAATCCTTTCCTAGCGTATCATACAGACTAACGCCGACCTTGTCGTACGCGTGAAGCGCGAGCTCGACGATTTGCCATTCTATCACATGCTCAGCTTTCCAGCCGACTTCAAAGTGGTAAACGACCTACCCGGCCTGTTCTGCGCCCAGATTCCAACAGTCGGCAGGTCGTGAGCTTTGAGGTCGCCCTTTTGGAAGAGATGGTGCAGCGCACTGCCCAGCCGGCGCCTCCGGACGTCGACCTCCTTGTAGGTCTGCCAGACGTACGGACCGAACTTGAGCGGGCTGTCGGAGAGCTTGGGGCGGTGGCCGAGGAGGCGGGCGTTGGGGTTGTGCGCGTAGCCGTTCTCAAAGATCTCATAGAGAGTCTTGAGCGCGCCGGGCGTGTCGACGCTGATGTAGCCCCAGACACCTGGACGTGGGATGTTAATGGGGATGCTTACCCGCGTTCTCGTTCACGCGGGCGTGTGTTCGAGTAAGAGCTGTGTGTACACACCGTTGCGGTAGTGAGCTGTTCCAAGGAAAGTTCAGTTACTCGTTCGTATGTAGAGTCTTATGTGGACGCACGAGTCTGTCCGGGTCGCTCAGTGCCGGGGACAGGAACGCCCTGGTTCTTGTAGTCGAGAGTGCTGGGGTACGGGATGGACGTGACGGGAGCCATGGCGTGTTGAAGAGTGAAAGAGTCGAAGCTGAAAATCAAGAAAGCAGTGAGGGACAGCGACACGTCCAAGTTGACTTAAGATCTCTCTTCTCTCCTCGTTGTTTCCCCGGTCATAATCTCCGAACCGGTGCTCTCTTTCCCGAGCACACGTGAAATTGACATACCCGACGGTAACACTCGGCCCCATTACTCGCTCGAATTTACGTCCACACAATGACGAAGCCTCTTTATTACACCATCGCAATTGCAAGATCGTTCTTTACAACAAATAACCCTTTAGCATTGGATACAAAATATCTTTATCTAAATCCTGAGATATGTTCAGCCTGCACAATTTAGCTGGGAGGGTCGACGATCGTGCTGGTCAGATAGGTCGTGCCGAGCGCGTTGGGCTTCCCGCTCGCGTCGAGGAGGTCTAACAACGCGGGTCAGCAACTCGCTACATGAGACGGAGATCTAACGGGAAATACTCACTGTAGTAGGAGGTCCCGTCGTCGCGCTGTGATACGGGTCCAGAATCAGTTCACTAAGCTCGCACATATATCTTTCTCTGGGTACTTACGAAGAACGCGAACCAGGAGTAGCCCTGAATCCAGTCCAAGCTGTCCATGTAGGCGATCGACGCGTTGCAGAAGCTGTTAACCTCTGTGGACGACAACGAAAACATGAGCGAGTCCCGGTCTAGCATTCTGCTTCACAACCCAAGTACGCACCGGTCACATTCGTCGAAGTCGACGCAAACTCGGTCACCCAGATCGGATAACTGGGGAACTCGCCGTGGAACTCCCAGATGTAGTTGTAAAAGTTGCCGACGCCGTCGCCGTACCAGTGCAGCGGTATAAAGTCGAACGTGCAGCTCGTGCAGTTCCCGAGGAACTGCTGCAGCCAGGGGATGCCCGATGGCGCCGCGGTCACGGCGGGCCCGCCGAGTGCGACACCGTCCGCCTTGAGCGGCTGGATGTACTGTTCCCACAGCGACGCGGCTTGAGCGGGCGCCAGGTTGGATTGGGAGGAGAAGTCGGGTTCGTTGAAGCCCTGCACGGTGTGGTATTATGGCTCAGTTCACCAAAATAAACAAATAAACAGAGCAGACGTACGAGAACGGTCTTCGCGCCCTGGGCCTGAACGGCAGCCTGGAAACCCTCGATGCCGCTAGAGCCCCACTGCATAGGGATGTAGGTGAGGCCCGAGTTCTTGAGGTAGTCGGGCACCGTCTGGCCCCAGTCGTACGTCCACGAGACCTGGGTGTTCTCAGCTACGGAGATGTCCCCGGTGTTGTTGCTGCCCTGGGACCAGGTGAGGCCGCGCTTGGAGTTGGACGCGAGCGCGCCCTGCGCGAGGGCGAGCGAGAAGGTCGCGAAAGCTACGAGACGGCCGAACATAACTCAGACGGAGGAAAACCAGCGGACGAGACGGTGGGCTTGATGGTCTCTTGCTCGAGCATCGCAACGCTATTTAACGCAGAGACGTCGTCCTTGAAAAGCACCCATGCATATTTAGTCGCCATTGAGAAGACAAGCTCACGAGCACATGCCAGCAAGGCAGCGAGGTAACCTTGGGACAAACATTCAAAGTCTTGATGATGATGACGAAGTAACAACTGCCCGAAAAAGACACTTGCCCCTGAGCGTTCAAGTTTTCAAAGGCACCCGGTGGCAGACGCCAGCACGAGCGGAGATGGTGCCGCGACAGTTGCTGGAGGGCTCGTGGGCGGTTGTCACCTGTCGTCATAACCTTTCCCATGACCCACGAGAGTCTGAAGATGTTCAGGTCAGGGTCCAGGTACGTTTGCCAAAAGAACAAACCATCCTCTGTTTCGTGAATGCGAGCGACCATCCTGTGGACGAGAGCCGTTCACGCGGACGCGCTTCCATGTCAAACCAACATCGAGGCATGAGAATGCCTTGGCCGCGAGCGCATGCTGCAATGCCAAAGTTAACACACAGAGGCGAATGCCAGACCAGAACAGGACGTTTGTATTGCATTTCATAGTGGCAGGTTCGCAGCCCGGTCCGAGAGGCGTTGCTGGCGTTAAATGTTGAACGACCGGCTTAGAGCAGTTTTTCCGGCCAAGGAATATGACAAAGGCAACTCATCGACGCAACAGAATCCATGAGAACGGTCACCATGTGAGCAGATGCGCTTGAGCTCATAAACCTCCGAGTCGGACTCGCCAGAGTACCTCTGAATTTCTGAGTGAGCGGGCTGTATGTATTAAATCTCTATAAAAACCCCTATTATGCAGTTAACATCGTCACATCAACATTCTCACCGACCACTTTAAAAAGGCAGCGGGAAAGAACAAATCAAAACAGACCAAGCCCGCTGAACATCCTCGAGTCGCGCACTTCCCTGCCCTTGCCGCGGATGCCCCACACGCCCCAGTTCGTCCGGATCATCACGCGCGGGTCAAAGTCCGCCGCCTCCCACTTCTCGCTCCCGAACGGGTTCTGCCCCGGCGTGACCAGCCAGTCGAACTCGCCCGCGACCTCCGGCGCCGTCTCGATCGACCGCACGTCGCGCTCCAGGTCCGCGGGCGAGAACCCGGTCATGAAGATCGGGCAGCGCGTCTGCAGCAGCGCGGGGATGACGGGGCCCCATTCGGTCGGCGACGCGATCTGCAGCAGAGGCTGGCTGTCGAGCTCGGATTTGGACTCGGGCGAGGGGAAGCCGAAGCCGGGCGAGAAGAGGAAGAAGACGTCGCAGTACGGGTCGAAGGTGCCCTCGAACTGGGCGTGCACGTCGGCGTAGTTGGCTTGCATGCCCGTGATGGTGAGCTGGGGCGTGAAAGGGACAGTGTAGGAGGGGACACCATATAGCTCCAGGGATGAGCGCGTGCGTTTCAGACGCGCGATTGGCGCCGGCGTTGGAGGTTCGTAAATATTGGGTACATATGCCTGCTTCGTAGCCTCTTCTGTCTTGGTGTCCGTGACCTCTGAAGTGGTCTCGGCAGTCGAGGACGCTGGCTCCGACGAACTCGAAGCCGACGCGCTCTCTTGAGTCGAGGATCCAGATGTTGAGCCACTCTGAGAGGAAGACCCGGGCGTTGTGCTACCAGGGGGTTTTGGTAATGATACCTGCGGGCCAATGAAGAAGAGGTGGAAGTGACATGACGGGAACAACATCGTAAGTTGTTCCCATGCGTTCGGCGGCAAAGAGGACTCGGCCCTGGCCCCAAGGCAGAAAATCCGAATCTGAGGTTTTGACACACCAGCTTCCTCGGTGTCGGGTGCGCCTGGCGGTACGTGCAAAGTCGACCGAAGCGCTATATCAAAGGATTAGAAATCAGGAATTGAGGACTCGTCCATGCTAGCAGTCATGATTTACCAGCTAAAGATCGGCTGCCCTCCGAGGTTACGCGCTGGTTGTTGAGCGTGAGCGAGCTGTTCTGGTGCAGGACAGAGCCGATAGTAAGAGGGTAGGTAAGCAGCTTGCTGGCGTGCCTCCGGGCGCGTTCAGTGTCCATGGATGGAAAACCACGCGTGTACCAAAAGACATCCCAGTTTGAGAACGAGACTGCTTCCTCATACCCCTGCGGTCCTATGAACGCCACCTCGGCCGTCAGCCCGCCGAAGCGACGCGCGCGTTAAGGGGAGGAGACGGAACGCACCTGGCAGCTTGAACTCGTGCATCTCGCGCCCGCTTCTCAGGTCGTGCTCGTCCTCATTGACCTCCCGCAGCCTTGAACAGTATTTAGCATGCTCCTCGTCCGCCTCCCAGTGTTCCTCCGAGCAGTGTGTCGGAAAGCCGCAGTCTGGGCACTCGAATGCGACTGACTTGGGCTGCACCTTGACATGCGCGTGTTCTCCCTCCGAATGCGTGTGCGAGGTCGGGCAGACAGGGCAGGATGCCAGCGACTGTATCGCCTCTCCGCGCCCTTTCAAGGCCGGAAACGGGGATTTAGAAAACGGGTGAAAGAGGTCATCCTCGCTCAGGATCGGCTGGGGCTTTTTGTGCGGCTGCTCGCGTCTGAGAAAGCTGAAGAGGTTGCGCCTGAGGAGAGGTGCGCTGCCGGCGACGCGCTGAGTGTGTGCTGCCCACTGACGAGCGTAGAGGGAGCCTGCACTTGTCCGCTGACGGGCGAGACAGAAAGCCATACGCTCGGAGGTTATGCAGTTGCCTTGTATGGATTCACCCTTCGCCGTCGTCGGCGTTGTTTACGCTTGTTGTCCAACAGCTTCTAATATTATTACCGCAAAGTCAATTTATGTCCAAGCAATCCTCCCACTCCCGCACTGTGCGATAAGTCTCTCTCCTATCCGGTAATTCCTCCAGCAAACCAAAGACGATCATGGAAGCGCGCACGGCTATCCTCTCGCGCAAGACAAACGAGACGCAGATTGACGTCTCCATCAACCTGGACTGCACACCAGGATCTGGGAACGCGCAAAAGATCGACATCTCGACAGGGATCGGCTTCCTCGATCACGTATGTCCCAAACGGCAAATCTGAGCGCACTCAAATTCAACCCATGACCGCAATGGCCGAATATGTCATCGCGTTATTGAACCTAACAGATGTACCACGCCCTCGCGAAGCACGGCGGCATGTCCCTCTCGATGCAGTGCAAGGGCGATCTATGGATAGACGACCACCACACCGCAGATGAGTCCCCCATTCGCCAGAGCGGGATCTTCTGAGCCACCCGGTGCTTATCCCTAATGATCTCCGCGTCTCCACAAGACAGCGCCATCGCTCTGGGAACCGCTTTCAAAGAGGCCCTGGGCGAGATCCGAGGTATACGCAGATACGGAACGGGCTTTGCTCCCTTGGACGAGGTGCGCATGTACCCTATGAGATAAAACGCCCGCGCACCCTAATCTCTATCTATCCGCTCTTCGCGCTCATCTCCCATTTCTGCTGTCGTCGGATCATGGCAGGCGCTCTCGAGAGCGGTAATCGACATATGCTCTCGTCCGTACTGCGTAACGGATCTAGGACTCAAGCGCGAAAAGATCGGCGACCTCTCTACGGAGATGATCCCTCATATCTTCTACTCGTTCGCCATTGCCTCAGGTGTTACCCTGCACGTCGACGTGCTCCGCGGGGAGAACGACCACCACCGGTGAGTACCCTCCCAATCCTCGAATATCCAATCGAGTTGGAGCTCACCGTTTCACCAGCGCAGAGTCAGCTTTCAAAGCACTTGCACTTGCCATCCGCCAAGCAATAGAACGAACGGGCGGCAACGATATCCCAAGTACCAAGGGCGTTCTCTAGGCCCCTTGCTCACAAAAAGCCATCGCTGGGACAGAGCTAGAAACCATATATTGAAAATAGATAATGTACAGCGAACCAGAACTATGCATAAGTGTGCGGAATGTTCGTTTGACAATGCATTCAGAAAGCAAAAAATACTGGAAACTACGACCAGAACATGCACCGCTTCTCATCCGGCGGGTTGAGCTACAAAAACACAAAAAAAAATCGCATGAGATCCATATCATATGATCGGCGGTACACCCAAGTGCAAAACCCTACCTTGGCCTTCGCAGAGCACTTGAACGCCTTCGCAAATTCAGGGATATTGGAGACAGTCCCTTCCGCCCTGTACTTGTTGGGCGAGTGAGGGTCCGAGCGCACACGCTTGACCTATCACACAAGATATCAAACCTTGAGCAACGCATCACCAATCACGCAAGACAAAAACCCAAACAAACCTTATCAGCAGCCCGATTGTTCTGAGCCCAAGTCCTCGCCCAGGATATGAAGAACAGCTGTTCCCTGCATGGAGTGACGCGGTGGACAAACTCTAGATCAGCGAACGGAGCACAACACAACAACACCCTGGCTTCGCGGGATCAGAATGAAAGATTACCTAGTGTAGTCGAGCCCAGGGAGGAGATACTCATTTCCGGCGGTGAGCGCATCTTGGTACTGGGCCTTCCACGCGCGATACGAGTTGATCAAGCCAGAGTCGCCAATGTTCTCGCCCGAAGTCCTACAGCGTGTGCATGACGCCGATCAGTCAGGGACACAACGTCTCGAGAAAGGGAGGGAATGCAGGAAGGAAGGAGCACTCACAAGTTTCCCTGCAGGAAACGACAAACAATCAGCGATCAGGGGTCGACGGCAGCGGTATTGCTGTATAAAGTATAATGCACTTACGTTGACGTGGACGTACCCGCCCTTGCCGTCCTCCACCACGTACTCTGCACAGTGCACGCGCGGCAGTGTCAGACACGTGTGTTACACGATAGGCACAAGGCAGGTCTTACCAGAGTACTGTTTCACGATACAATCTTGGTGCACCTGATAGGCCGCGCTGGTCTCAGGCGTCCACCACTCCTCAAGCTTCCCGTGTTGGTTGTAGAGACGACCGGCAGAGTCGAACGCGTGCTGAAAATAGAAAGAAAGCTATGAGCCGCGTAGACAGAAGTAGCATCGGGAAACCGAATCTTACAGTGAGCTCATGGGCAGCCACCGCTCCGAAGGAGCCAAAAGACAGGTATCCGGGCCTAATCAGATGAACTTAACACCAAAACTTTCCAGCAGTTTGGGAAGACGGGTGGGCTCACCAATTCTTGGAGAAGAAGGGAGGCTGCAAGATACCCGCCGGGAAAACAATCTAATGTCACAGTTAATTTCGTTATTTACTGTCACGCACGGATAAAGTTCAAAAAAGGAACAAATACACACCTCGTTGGCAGGGGGGTTGTAATATGCGTTCACCGTCGAGGGATACATTTCCCACTCCCGGTGGTCACGTTGCTTTCCGAGCCTCTGCCACATCCTATACGTCTCGCTCTCCCTAAAGACGGGACAAAGTCAGTGAGTGAAACAAATGATTTATGTGCTTTGATACTAACGAGGCGCTGAGCATGTTCTCGAAGAACGTATCAATGTGGATCGTAACACGCGAGTAGTACGACAGGATCGAACGCGGGTTCAGCGTATCGGGATAGACAGGATACCCGACTTTCACGTCGAGCGCATCCGCCTTGTCAGCGGCTGCCTGGGAGGATTTCTTGTCCATCCATTGGACCTTCCTGAGGGACTCCTTGAAGGTTTCGATGACATCTAAGCAAATAATCAGCGCACACGACAAGATAACTTAGTTGAGCGCCCCGACCTTCAATAACATTCGTCGCCTTCTCTTTGGAATTGCCGCCGAAGGTCTCGTTGACGAAGAACAAGCCCAGACCAAACCCAAGAGACTCCTCGACCTTGTTCATACAGAAATCGGAACGCTCGCCAACAGCGCCCTTCTTCAATCCACCGAGCGTCTCCTGCAGCGTGCGCACAGCCTGCCACGCTTCCGTCGACTGACCCAAGTCAGGAGCATACTCAAGCGCAGCCCGAACGACGAGGTAATTCTCAATGACATCGTCCGGCGTCCTGTCCAGAATGTCCGACAGCGACGACGCGTACGGCGGGTAGGTGACGATGACCCGCGTCGGGTACGCGCGCGGCGTGAACGTCGCGAAGTAGTCCGGGAAGTTGATCTGCTGCAGCGTGTTCTTGAGCCTGTAGATCTCCATCGGGTTGTACGTCCCGAACGGGTCCTGCTGGAGCTTGTCGAGGTCGAGCGACGCCTCAGCGATCTTGGCCTCGAAATGGACAATGTCTCGGGAGAGTTGACGGGCGCGCTCTCTGGGGTTCTTGGGACGGGGCTGCGGGCTGTCGCCATCGTTGCCGTCGCCATCCCAGGGCGGCCACGGCCGCGAGGGCCAGTTGTGGTCGTTATCGCCGAGCTGCAAGACAGTTTGAGCGGGATGCGCTTGCTCTTCGGCCACATTACCACTGCCGTCCAACGTGAGCAGCAGGCGCTCAATGACGCCCTGGTACACTTCTATAATAGCACGTTCCTTGTAGTACTCCTGAAAGAAGGGTGAGAAATCGCCACGAGGAATAATTATCTGAACAAGTTACCTTGGCGGGCAACCCCAAGCTAGGTTGGTTGAACCAAAGCGTCATCTTGTCCGGATCAACACCGACATCACCATCAATGGAAAACTCAAACAACCCGCCAACGCCTGCAGGGAATCAGCACATTGCAGACTATAGAAAGAAGTGTACTCACCCCGAGAGTGGACGTAAGCCAGAGCATTGCTGAGACCTTGGTTGGCCTTTGCGTCATCAACTCCCGGCGCCGTGCTGGAGCCACTGTAGAGCTTCCTGATAGTATCGACCACGTTCTGGAGAGGCTCTTGCCCGATGTAATTAAGCTTCGTCTCGTCCATGCACGAGCCATAAAGCGTGCGCAGCTTGAGGAGAAGTTGGTCATCATACGAGTCCGTGAGCGACTTGTCGTCCTCGAGGATCTTACGAAGGACCAGCAGGTTCTGGTCGGAGAGCTGCGAGAAGCTGCTGACGCCGGACTTGTCACCGGGAATGGGGTGGGACTCGATCCAGTTCCCGTCTGCGAACAGCCCTAATCAGCCAGGGGACGGGGATGACAAATATGATACGGTACTGACTGGCAAACTCGAAGAAGTTCTCGCACGGGTCTTGGGTCGTGTCAAGGGCAGACAGAATGGAAGCCGATAGAATGATGCAGTCGGGAGTCGCGCATACATCCTATGAAATCCATGAGGATTACACGCACGAGGGCGCTAGACTGATAATGTGACGCACCGAGGGTGGGGCAGGACTCGGAGGACCCGTCGGCTCAGGGCCAAGTATAACAGTCGTCGTCTTGGTTTGTGTGGACGTGGACGTGCTGACGGAGGTCTCCGTCGTGGTATATGTAGAAGTGCTGACGTCAGTGGTGGTCAGGACGGAGGTCTTGGTCGCCGTAGTGGTGTACGGCTGGGTACGCGTGACCACATCGGTCTGGGTAATGGTGAGACGCTCGCCATCACCACCGCCACCACTGCCCCCTTTGTTGAGGTTAAGTTTGTGCTGGGCTCCCGCAAAGAGGCCGATGAAAACCGAGGCAATGAGGAGCAAGATAAGGACCTCGACGAGGAGAACCTTTGTGAGACCGGTGAGGGGCTCTTGGACTACATCCGTGAGTCGCTTTGCGAGATTCCTCTGTTCTGTTGGGCTTGGCTCTTCGGAACCGTAGTCCTCGTCTGTGTGGTGTAAAAGGGGTGCATGCTCTGACCGGTCCGACATGAGTATGGGGGGTTGCAAGGTTGTGGGTTTGACTGACCTTGGTCCGTCGAAGGACGGGGATAGTTGTCTCGTTCTGCCATGTTGGCAGGGATAGAGTTTGTGCTGCCCTCTGTGGGTTTATGTAGGAAGAGGGGCGTGCAAAGAGGACGGCCTACACGGGGTTACGGATCAGAGCTCCAGACAACTCCCAGGAAAGGAAGCGAAGACACTCAGAGCTCGACGTGACGTGCAATGTAACATTGTCACTGTGCACGTGCTACAGACGCGCTGTGTCACGCGTTCCCAACGCGTTTACTCGTCACGCCGCGTTCACTAAAGTTACGTCTTCCTCCTCCGCCCAATGGTCTACCTTCCCCCGCCTCAGCTCGCCTCCGCGTCAAGACCGTCTTATGCCGAGGCATACGCAAAGATTCTCGCCTCCCACCGGCGCTCCCCACTCACATCCGCCTCGTCCGTTATATTGCTCGTTGCACCAGACGTAGACGCGCTATGTGCGGCCCGTATGCTCGCAGAACTGCTCAAGCAAGACGACGTCATGCACCGGATAATACCCGTATCAGGGCACGCAGAACTGGAAGACATGCGCACGGAACTACTCTCATACGACGAGGTGCTTACCCCAAATGGCCCGCTGGTTCACACCGTTCGCTCACCTTTGCAAGCGTCCCCTAGCTTCACACACTTATATTGCTCAACATGGGTTCTATCCTGACCCTGACGTCTGACCAATGGCTAGGAGAGTTCAGCGAGAGACTTTCCGTGCATGTCATTGATTCGACACGACCACGAGATCTGTCAAACCTCTTTGACCCGAGCGAGACGGGGGAGCGCGTCATAGTATGGGATGACGGAGAGGCGGAGAATATGGAAGAGATGAAGAGAGCTTGGGAAGCCATAACTGTGAGCAATCCGCTGTTTGGCCTATCATTTATTCTCACTTCTACAGTATGAACCAGAACCAGACTCGGACGAAGACGATGATGTCAATGAGGAGGATGAGGTAGAAGACGAGGACGAGGACGATGATGACTACATGGATCGGAGTCCGTCTGGCAAGCGAAAGTCACAAGATGACGATGACCGAAGATCGAAGAAGCGGCGGAAGACCGATGTGCGCAATATTAAAATGACCTCCCTATTATATCGCTGACCAAGGCTTGCAGAATCCAAATCGCATGACACGAGATCAATACGACGAACACGCAGAAAAGCTAGCCAAATACTACCGGTCGGGTGCATCCTACGGTCAGAGCGCAGCTTCGACAGTCTACATCCTCGCCACCGTTCTAGAACGCGTGGACGTCGATCTCCTATGGTATGCTCCACCAGCGCACACACATACCATCTTGTCTCACCCTACACCTATTACAGGCTCGCTATCCTCGGCCTCACATACCAATACTCCACCGCCCGAATATCCCGCACCGACTACGACAAATACCACACGATCTACTACGACGAAGTCTTCCGCCTCAACCCGATACCGCTCGCCGCGAACGGCGGTGGCGCGGGCGCCACGGACACGCTCACCGCGCTGAGCCCCGACGACCTCTCCGTGCGCGCGACAGAGGAGCTGCGCTTCATGCTCTTCCGCCACTGGAACCTCTACGACGCGATGTACCACTCGAGCTACGTTGCGAGCAAGCTCGGCATCTGGAAAGAGCGCGGACGCAAGCGGCTCACCGGGCTGCTCGCTAAAATGGGGTACGCACCTTCTCACCACCCTCTTCATTCGCGGCAAAACAGAACTCGGCGGAAAGATGCTCACGCGACTGGTTGATGCAGGTTCTCGATACCACAAACGCAGCAGCCCTACACGCACATGGACCTCGACCTCAAACAGCAGCTACGCACCAAGCTCGACGCCATCGCGCCCGAATACGGCCTCGTCGAGCTCTCCTACCCCTCCTTTGCCCGATGCTTCGGATACCGCGCACCGCCATTAAGCGCGGCCGACGCGGTCGAGGCCGCGAGCGCGCTGCTAGACGTGGCAGGCGGAATACGGATGGAGGTCGAGGTCGAGGGCATGCGCAACGGCGGCGAGTGGTTCGGTGGCGGGCGCGTATGGGAGGGCGGGACGCGGGCAGAGCACACCGAGAAACCTTCGGGGCAGCAGCGCCGGCAGAACGGTGCGGATGCCGGCGGCGGCGCCAACGGGAACGCGGACGCGCGTGAGGATGGCGAGGAGGGGACCGTGGAGGTCGCGTGGTGGGTGAAGAACTTCTGGGCGGCGTACGATGCCCTCACCGAGTAAGTCCATCCCCTCTCCACATGAACGTTCTCCATTATAAAACGCGAAAGCTGACCGCGCCCTCCCAAGCATCGTCCCCCTGCGCGAAGCCCTCTCGCTCTCCATGTCCCTCCACCGCGCCATCATCCGGCAGGGCACATCCATCATCGACAAGCAAGACATCCGCACGATGCGCTCGCACCGCGTCGTCGTCCTCACGCAGGGCCCCGACCTGCCGCTCTTCACGCACCCTGGCGTCCTCTCGCGTCTCGCGCTCTGGCTCGTCGACGCGCTGCGGGACCGTATTCCCGGCACGGCACTGCCGAGCATCCGCCCGGGCAGCCGCAGCAAGAAGAGCCTGCCGTTCGTCGTCGCGTGTCTCAACGAGCGCGCGGGGACGTACGTGGTTGTCGGTGTCATGGGTGCTCTGGAGTTCAACGACGTTCGCAAGAAGTATGTCGAGTCCCCGTGTCATTATATGCTCGTTTCTGATAAAATCACAGCGAATTTGGCGTAGCATTCATGGACGCAAAAGAGCGTTGCAACGCGCGGACCAAGCATACCACGTTCGATACGAATGTGCTCGAGATCAACCAGGACGATCTAAAGTTCTTCCTCGAGACGCTTTGTGAGGTTGGGGACGGGTACTAATACCTGTCTATTGTACTTTAGTATTATTGTAGCCCATCACTGATGCATGTACGGCTTAATGACATTAGTTTATTGTAGCTAACACGGACCTCTAAGCACTCCGTATGCACCGCTCTATTCCTCTCCCGAGCTCCACCACATGGGCAGCCCCAGACCGTGACTAACAAGGAAGCGTCAATGCTCAAGTTAATGAACACTAACCGAAGTGACTTACCCTCCTTCCGAATGACGAGAGAAGTAGTCATAGTCGATATTCACTAAGCAGAAAATAAGTAACGATGCAAATAATTCACCAATTTCTATAGATCACGAACCAGCTGAAGATAAAACCAGCTATTCGTAAATCATGTCAGAAATGTATCCTCATCTTGAATTTGAACGCTACGCACTGCACGCTCATCTAGAGTGAGATGTCGCCGAATGTCTGGCCGCGGGGCCGTGGGGTCCGATGGGTCCAAAGGAGGAGGACCGAATGTAATGAAGTATTGACCTGCAAGGCATTCAGTATGGTTCCCTCTTTATTTGACAAGCAACGGGCACGTACCAGAATCCGTGAAGATTTCCCGCCCAAACCCTCTGAACGCCCTGTTCACGCTCGCAATTACACTTCCTTCTGCATCACGCATGTTAAAGTGCCACGCCCACAGGCCTTCGTCGACCCTAGCCATTTGCGAGAACGAGTTGAAGGTTTCTTTTGGTTCTGGCTGAGGATCCGACGCCAAGGAGAGTATTCACCGAGGTGCGTCTCTGCGCACATAAAGTCAGATGAAGACAAGTCACAAGTGCGGTAGACCGACCGTAAAAACAAGTCATAACGTCTCCTCCATAGATGCCATTCCTGCTGCACCTCACCGAACGTATCCAGAATTGGCTCGCCTTCGGGGGTATATGCCTTCAAGTCTTTCAGCCTCTGGACGAACATACGCGAGTTGATCCAAGAGAAGGGTCTGCGAATCTGTGTTATATGTTAGGAGACCTATACAAAACTCGGGGAACTGCACTTACCCACAAGATAGGTGCTCCTTCGAGGTCCATGACGATGGCACGGAATGGTCTGTGAGTACGGAATATTTGTCTCGCGAACACGGACAAGAATCCGCGGGGCTCTTCAGCAATATATCCCAGCTGCTCTCCTTCGAGGTTCGCTAGATCATGTCACCATGTTAATATGCCCCGAGTCGCAACTGCGAGAATTGAAGCAACGCACTGATCACATATTTGTTGGCCTGTTCAAAGCCAGCAAAAATGTTGAGCATTTCTAGCTGCCTTTTATAAATCTGCGTGAGTGGCTCCTTTCGCCAGCGGATGATGTCACAGCAGCTTACCTCGTAACCACCAAAGTATTGTTGGCCATGAGCAGCCTGGTCAAGCCTTCCTCCGGGTTGCTAGAAGGCGTCCGCTGGTTAGTTTCCCACATCGGAGATTCGTCCATCGACGGCTTCTCCTCGTTGTTGAGTAGCCTCTCGGAGTCATTGTCGAGCTGACGTCTATTGTGAGCCTTAGGCTTGTCACTCCTCCCAAATCCCGTTCGGCGATCCGGAAAGCGTGAGAGGGCATAGGTCCTCCTAGACAGCCCAACGGCGCATGTAGCAGATAGACTAGATCTTTGAGCGTGTACGACGCGCAGGGGAATTGCACTCCATGTGCTGCGTAGCATACGGTATGAGTATGAGCAAGCTTGAGGCTGCAAGAAACGTCACAGGTGGGCGCGTCAGTAATCAGCCGAATGCCGATCGGAAGCCCCTTTTATGCCGTATCCATATATGGGAATGCTAATTTTCGGCAATAATGGCGTTGTCCGGGTCGAGGACGACTCTGCAGCAGAATGCGACGCGGGTTCACTGGTCTGTCGCGCAGAAATTACTCTGCCACGGCAACAAAATCGAAGGTGCGTATCTTTTTGGGTTGAGAGTAAGGGTTTCTCATGTCTATTTTGTAGTTGGTTTCATGGGACACCACTTCGGTCAAGCCTCCGGCGCCTAACCTGAGCAAATGGCAGCGGAATGCTCCCCCTGCATCCGCAGGATCAGGCTCAGGTCCTTCCTGTATGTCTAGACATTGAAGTATGTGAACGGGGCTAATGTTACGCTCCAGCATCACCACGACCTGACTACAGGTCTCGATCAGGTCAGAATGGCTCAGGTCTGCTCGGCCGTCGATCCCAGACACCCTCCAGGGGGCCCTCTTCGTCACAGCAGCAAGCCCCTTCTCATCCAGGCCAGCGAAACAGGGACGGCTTCCCACCTAGTGGTCAATCATGGCGGAACAATGCAATGCCCATGGACCGTCAACGGGCACCGCACATGGACAGGTCGCCTGCTCCATCTATGTCCACTGCCCGACTACAGCGACGAGACTGGGACGAGAGAGGAGAGAGGGATGGGGACAAGCAAAGCTCTGTCTCAGAAGCTAGAGAGGACTCACCTCCGCGCAATCTAGCTGAGGCAATAGAACGAGCACCTACCACCGCGCCCATCCAACACCCGATATTCGACGACTTTGCCGAGAGAGGCCAACATCGGAACCCTCGGCAGCAGTTCAAATCCCGTCATTCCCTCACGCACTCAAAACGCGGCGAAGTTGTTATTCCCGGGCCCAGACGGACTGAGCAGGAGAAGGCAAGGGCTGCCGTTGCCAGAACGAGGAAGCCGAAACCACTGAAGAAGCCAAAACTGGACGTTTTTATCCCTTCGACTGCTTCAGTAGCTCAGTTAGCCCAATTACTGAGCTTGCGACTACGTGAGTGGACGTGGTTTACGTGTTATGGCACTCAACTGACGTGACTAGCTGTCCTCCAGCGTAAGATGAAAGAGGTGGGAATGGAGAACGAATCATCGCCTTCCCATGGTGAGTCCTTCTCAGTTTTCTGCGCCTCCTCATGGTTTAACATTTCCCTAGTCTTGACATCGGAATACGCTGCTCTCTTGGCCGAGGAGTTTCACCGGAATCCAGTAATTAACGACGAGGCTGCTTTTGACTTGTATCCAAAGTACGTTGTCCTCTATAATTTCTAGGTGCACAAAACTCATCACAGCATAGGCCTGCTCACCTGTCCCCTGAGACTCTTCCTGCTCGGCCACCCATCGTCACTATCATGGGCCATGTCGACCACGGCAAGACAACTCTCCTTGACACGCTTCGCTCTGCCTCTGTCGCCAAAGGCGAAGCAGGTGGAATCACACAACACATCGGTGCCTTTTCCGTACCCGTAGCGGGATCCAAGGACGAGCGCACCATCACCTTCCTCGATACCCCAGGACACGCCGCCTTCTCGGCTATGCGTGCGCGCGGTGCGAGTGTAACGGACATCATTGTCCTGGTAGTTGCTGCAGACGACGGCATCATGCCTCAGACGAAGGAGGTTATCAACTTGATCAAGCAGGACGAGGGCAAGACTCAAGTTGTCGTGGCTATCAACAAGATTGATAAGCCTGATGCCGACCCCGTGAGTTCACAAACATCATAATATAATCAACGGCACTCCTGACAATATAATGCAGGAAAGCGTTCACACTGCCCTTCTTGTCGAGGGCCTTCAAACTGAGGCCATGGGCGGTGACATCCCCTCCGTCGAAGTTTCCGGCCTCACAGGCAAAGGCCTCGACCAGCTCGTCGAGACACTCTCCGCGATCGCCGAAATGCAAGACATACGCGCGGAGCGCGACGGCGACGTCCAGGGCTACGTCCTCGAGTCCAAGGTGCAGAAGGGGCTCGGCCCCGTCGCGACCGTGCTCGTCACGCGCGGCGCGCTCACGACCGGCTCGCACCTCATCGCGGGCACGTCCTGGGCCAAGGTGCGCGCGATGAGCGACAGCACCGGCGCGCAGCTCAAGGGGGCGTACCCGGGCATGGCGGTCACCGTGTCTGGCTGGAAGGAGCTGCCGAGCGCGGGCGACGAGGTGCTTCAGGGCGCCGAGGGCGAGGTGAAGAAGGCGATTGCGAACCGCGTGCGCAAGGCGGAGATCGAGGCGAGTCTTGTTGATCTCGAGGCGATCAACGGTGCGCGTATGCAGGAGCGCATGAAGAAGGATGAGGACGGCAGTGAGGAGGCGCCGGTACAGAAGGAGGAAGGCGAAAAGAAACAGCTGAATTTGGTCATCAAGGGCGACGTGAGCGGGAGTGTGGAGGCCCTGCAGGGTGTGTTGGAGGAGATTGGGAACGACAAGGTTTCGGTCAAGGTCGTGTCGACCGGTGTCGGCGAGGTTTCGGATTCGGACGTCCAAATGGCCAAAGCGACTGGGGGTATGATCGTCGCTTTCTCCGTCAAGACGCCTCGACCGGTCGAGAATGCAGCGGCCTCCGCACAAGTAGCTTTGTATTCCACGAATATCATCTACCGGGCCATGGAAGAGGTCACGAACCGCGTTGTTGGTCTCCTCCCTACGACGACGGAGTTTAAAGTCCACAGCGAGGCCACCGTACTCCAGGTCTTCGACATTGGTATCAAGTCGAAAGTTACCAGGAAGGTCGCTGGCTGCAGGATTACAAATGGTGTTGTCAGCAAGTACACCAAAGCCAGACTCTTGCGAAAGGGCGAGGTCCTCTTTACTGGTAAGCTCAGTTCTTCTCTGCCCCCAGACTTGGGGATCAAATTCTTCGTTTTTAGGCTCGATAGACACACTCAAGCAGCACAAAAACGACATGACTGAGATCAAGAAAGGCTCTGAATGTGCTATCGGTCTTGAAAACTTTGGAGACATCCGCGAGGGCGACACCATTGAAACTTACGAGGAGATCGAAGTGCCTGGCGTACTATAACGACAGTTCTCCTCTTTTTGTTTTCATACAACTGTAGACTTGGGTTGGTTCACTCCAGCATACCGCATATCATCGCATACAGCGCGCACCGCGCGTTTCTATAGATTAATCCCACTCAACCCTTTTAGGATGTTACTCTACTTTTGTTTTGGTCATCTAATACGACGTTCTTCGCGCCGATCGTGCCTGTCCTGCCGCCCACGCCGAAAGTCAGACTGATATTGCCGAGATCATGAGTCGTTCGTTCGAGGACTGTCCAGCTGCGATTATCCAGCTTCTTCAATACCACCTCGACTTTCGTGCCGTAGAACTTGTGAGAGGACACCTCCGGATCGACCGGGCCGAACAAGGTTATCGTCTTTTTAAACCGCTTGGAATTAGGGAGGACAAGGTCGAAATGAACCTGCATTTGTGCATCAGCATCCTGTATTTCTCTCGTCACTCTCGTCACTCGAGCCATTACCTGGGACTCCTCTATCTTAACCAAGCTCTTCTCTTTATCTGCCTGCTTCGCGAACACAGTGACATGGACTTCCTGAGGCGTTTGGTAGTGATCCACGCGGCAGTCCGTCAGCTCTTCACTAGGCTGCAAAGAGTTAGCTCGGGGAAGCATCCGGGGCCAGACTGGAGAACCCACAGTGTTCAGCTTGCGTTTCGGGGCGAAGACATGACGTCCTGTTTTGCATCCCGGAATCTTCAAGAACTGGTCGAACTCGAGGACACGCGGCTTGCAGCACAAGTAACCCTTTGACAGATAACGATCAGAATACAGTCCAGGGCTGTCATACCCTAACCCACCTTGCTGCCTTCGTGGAAAATGGGCTGCGAAGATAGCGGATCAAGGAAAGAGTTTCAGTCGGAATTGCTCATTACCAGAAGTTTGGACAGACTTACGGGAGCAGGGTGATATGTGCAGACGGTATCTTCACCATCCCCTACTCGATGGACCTCATCGCTCACGAATTCGGCGCCGCAACCCGTTCGGCGACATATCGTACCCGCCGTGACGGGAATGGACGTGTCATCCTCGTCCTCCACAATCACCGGGGCGGGCTCTACCGGTGGCGGCGCGTTTTTGGGAGCAGCTGAAAAGGCCGAGGGTTTTGCTCCCACTGTCGTAAAGACCTCCTTGCCCGGCTCGACCTCCGTAACTGTGACGTTCGCCGCGGGTTTCCTAGGCGTAACAGCTGGCGGCGGCTTGGCAGCCTCCTCGGTATGCGATCCGGCCGTGCAGCCCTGCGCGCAACAAGTGAGGCGCCATATATGCGTTAGCGCGACGTGAAGGATTGATGATGATTGACAGAAAGTGCATACGTACGGGGAGTTTCATGAACTCATCAAAGTCGAGCACGGGCTTGTTCACGGTGTTACAGCAGGACCATGACTTGAGGCCCTCGTGAAATACCTGGTGTCGATGGTCATGTCGTTTGTCGATCCCTCTTGCAGTGCAGCCGAGCGAAAAGCGCTCACCGGACCACCCGGGTGATATGAGCAGCTGGTCGACGTGTTCTGCTCGGCGTCGTACTCCTGTCCACATCCGTTGCGGGCACACTGGGGCATTGTTTCAGGTTTCTACGGTCGAGGTGCTTTCCGATGTTCTTGGGTATAGCAGCGATGGATGAACTTATCGATGTCAAAGTCAAGGATAGTGTATTAAGGTCGACGACCTTTCTAGAAGGAACGACTCACTTCAGACTACATAGGGGCGGCGCTTAGATAATCTCCCTCTTTCGGAAGGTACGGGGTAGTTTTATGAGTTAGTTGTCACGTAGCGTAGTCAGCCAATGTCACACCGTTAACGTTACTGTTAAGGTAAGAACGAACTCATAACGTCGCAGGCATACCATCGTCATATGCATGCGTCCTCCTCACCTTTTGATTGATTTTAGTGCTCTCTCGGCTGAACCTCCGACCCTCTTAAAATCTCGGCTGTCAGCGCATTCGTGAGAACTATCTTCAGGGCATCTCTGCACACCCGCAAGCGCGACGTCGACTGGTGGAGTCGACAGTCTATCACTCACATAAAACCTAACTTTGCCTCGGAACAGGCCGCCCTGTGATTAGTGTGAATTTTGACATTCATGCCGCGGATAGATGCTATTTTTCAACGGGGAATGCCAGGATCGAAGGGCTCGGGTTCCTTATTCTTCAACACCAGTGCCGAACATACGCCCCTCCCCGTGCTGTACACGCAAGCGAAGCGAAGGAGATTGACAACACGTCTTCAATATACGTGGAGTCGGAGAGCTGCAGAGTTGAGCAGTCAAGAGCCAGGGATGGGCTCAATGGATAGGGCACTTCATACGCAGTTAATGGGCCCTCGAATTGTGCCACCGTGGTGCTCCGAGTCTGGTAGATGAATCAGCTAGAGGATTGTGCCCGGGACCGCACTTCAATAAAGGTCATAATGATACAAGGTGATTATAATCAAGCGTTTCCAGTGATCGGACAAATGATCGGACGCACTGATACGTACTGATTGAATTGAGTAGCCTCCGGCAGATCATACGTCTCGGGCACCTCTGGACAGCAGCGCCAACGTGCATGCTGCACATGCACTTCCCTGACGGTAAGTAACACGCATTCCCTCGATGCTTTCTACTTACCCAGAGCGTCTATGTATAACTCAAAGCATGCAGATGTTGAGCGCGACCCATTCGGTTCCGTTGACAACGAGTAGATCTTTCATGGGACATAAAATCTGAAAATCCTGTTGGTATAGAAAATGCCAACAACATCAAGAATAGTTTCCAAGGTCTAGACACTGGCACTGACCAGCTATGAAAATGTCCCAGTGTTGAGTAAGCGTCTATAAGCTCCAGACGTAACAGAAGCAGGCTGCTAAATCGTTGCTAACATAGTGGGAAATCAGCTGTGTGATCTGTGTTCTGTTAGGCACCTATCTCAAGCGAGAAGGGGGTCTTGCATTGAGGCGACGCCGAGGACGGGCTTTTGAAGGTACGGATAGAGATTTAACTAGAGATCGTCACACACGCGCGCGGAACAGCGCTCTCATAGTCATTCGCACGGCGTTCAACGCTGCAACTAACTGCGTCGTTAGTTTACCGCCACAGCAGACACCATTCTTGATGAAGATACATATCATTCTGGGGTAAGTTCTCAAGCTCGGCGAATCGACACAATTTATCGGCCACGAAAGATCTGCAGGCTTGAGTGCATCTTTGGCCAAGACACGAGGTAGCAGCGCTGGATGCAAGGTTGGGAGGATGCATTTCGGAAACGCAGCAACCGCACATGCGGGAACAAGCGGGAACGGCGCCGATTTCCGAGTGATGCGCGAGCCTTGTAGGTACATGCCGCGGAGAAAACTCGAAAAAGAGCTTTGAGGGCAAAAAGATCTTCAGCCAGAGCTCTTAGATTTTTGACGGCTGTACTTTACTTTAAACGTGGTGGAGAATGCCCAGCACCAGCACATGGCTCGGCGGGCCGATTTTCGCTCCTGAATCCTCATGGCCACTGCCAACCAGACATTTGATCAAGCGGAGCTGCGCCGTGTATGAGTCCATGAATATTGTGAATATTATGAACATCAACTGCATGTTTATCTCTGAGCGTAGCGAGAAAACATACGTCATGATATTGATCTCGACCTTCATCATGACCCCACTCTGGGCGTATGGCTTTTCGTCTAGCTCGCAAGGCAGACGCTCGATTCAATCGGTTGGTTGACGTGACGAGGATATCAGCTCCAAAGGTTCCATTGGTGCGAATCCTTACATGATAGGTCTATGAAATTCCAGGTCCAAATGCCTCCCACACCAAGAACCCGACACCCCATGGACCCACTCTAGCTACGGTCCTGGCGGCATTGTATCGCCAGCGAGAAACCCCGACCCGCGGTTCTATCTCTGTCGTGGCAGCGTTGACGTCCCGAAAGAAAGCAGCAAAGCCTTCCTCGCGAAACTTGGAGGTGACAGCACGAAGCGGTGACGGGGTATCCGGATGAACGGTGCGATCGACCTGGATGGCCTTCCGTGCAGCATCCCAGGGTCGACCCAACATTTCGTAACAAACCCCAGCAACCACTCCTCCGCCGACGAGAGTGACCCCGTGAGCGACGCGGGGAAAGTGTCGATTTGCAGATTCGAGCGGTTCTTTCAAGAAAGATGAGGCAACCAAAGTCACATCCTCCGCGACGGTCTTATTGACTTGGGCGAAGCGACGTGTGACATCAAAAATGGCGAAAAATGCAGCAAAACCTTCCGACAAGCCGATATTCAACAACCGGGTCTGAACAGAACAATATAGCATACCGAGCATGTCTTTAGCACACCCCCAGCCCCATCCATCCCACCCTCGCCCAGCCATGCCCTTCACGTCCCTCATCCAGGCTCTAACGTCGCGTGCGTCTTTAACATTAGCTTCTTGTTTGATAGGCGCGCGAGCGGCAGTATTGCGAAAGACCTCTTTCCACGCATGTGACCATCCGCGGCCTGTTCCCCCCTCAATGACAAGCCGGACGTTCTCAACGGGAGCAGCCGCCAAAGATTGGACGCCACCTGCTACGGCGCCAGAAAGAGCAGATACAGTCGTTGGATGCATATCAAAGTTGTCTTCTAGGAGTTGCGATGCCTCTGCGTATGAAGTCCAGAGTACCGTTCCAAGCGCGGCATTCGCAAGCATCGGAGGAAGAAAGTGCTTTGGGACCACCGCCCACTACAGCGCATATACATAAACCAGTCCAAAAGTGTGACATGAATGAAAGGGAACTACACCTTGTTTCTGTAGTAGGGATGTGATATACTGTGGGTTGAGTTCCTGTCCATTCTTGAGGGCATGTCCACGCAGCGACTGCCATCCCGACACTGACAAATTATCCACATCGAGGATTACACTTACCAAAAAGATGCTAAACATACCTTTGGCAGGCCGGAAGAGTCGGACGGGTCGCGAGAAATAAAGCGCTGCGCTTCTAGCCGCTGTACGCGCTAGCGCAGCGTAAACGGAGTTTCCTTGCTGTTCTTGAGATGCCACATTATCGGATAGTGATGCTGACATGCATTAAGATATGGAAGAGAGTTTTGATTTGTCGTAAGGATTATGGCGAGTTGATTAGTGAAGGTGGTATCAATTGCCCGAATGTCGGGTGATATCAGTCGTCTATGTGGTATGCACGATGGCGGTGGTATGATGAAGAGCGTTGAGACTGGAGCTGGAGACCCAAAGGAGTTGGCAGGACTTGAAAGTGCTGTTCTCGGTTTGGAGACGTCGCAGCTTCGGCTTCGGCTTTTCCCGCATTCTTCGGACCAGCTTGCTGTTGGCTTGCTGCACCTTCCGCGCGTTCCGCCAACGTTCCGCTCGCTGAGGCGACTCGGATGACTACACAGCGCCCACCACGCCTACTCGCATCATGTCATTCGCAATTCGCACATTAGTCAATCCCTGCTTTAAGAGAGCTTTGGGCTCGCTTGCTTATACCAGACATCTTCCTCCGGACTTCACATTCTTGCCTGGGTTTCTTTCGTTGCAGGAGCAACGAATCCTTCTAGGAGTTGCTCTGCAGAAACTTGACTCTATGGAAAACCGCCGTACCCGTAAACGACAGAAAGAGTACCTAGCCCAAAAGAAGAAGATTGAATCTGTAGAAACGCTTAATGACGTCTTTCTACCTGATGAAATGTATACATTCGAGGAGGTGAGTCGAGAGCTCGGTGAGTACTTTAACTTCAAGTTCCTGCAGCACTCATTATGCACTAGGGCCACTATGATGGCGTGATACGTAACTATCGTGAAATGCACGTCACATCCTGGCCCGATGATATCCCTGGTTTGCCCAATGTTCTTGAACGGCTTCGCGAACTCTACCCTTCCCCAAGAACGCAAACCCATGCCCTCCACTTGTCCTCACGAGGCATCATTCTTCCCCACGTGGACAATATCTCAGCCAGTGGGACCTGGATACTGGGTGTCAGCCTTGGTGCAGAAAGAATAATGCGTCTGGAGGAAGCCGATAACTCTGGCAGTTCCTATGATATACCATTGCCTTCCGGGAGTGTCTATATACAAAGGTGCGTTGCACAACCTAATTCTGTGCTTCCGAGCCAACCTGGTGGTAACGATAATTTAGAGATCACATCCGTTTCGATTACAACCACTCAATTCTTGGTGCTGGTCCACGTGTAAGTATAATGGTCAGGGTAAGCGAACTCTACGTTAGGGAATAAAAAGAAGGATTGATGTAGGTTCTTTCAGGACTTACTTGCTGGTGCCGCTTTATAAGCCGGACACTCAATTGCCTCGGGTCGGCTGGTCGGCTACTAAACTCAATTACTTCGATCGAAGCGTATCGGGCACTCCGGGGGACCATTTGGCATAACATCACAACGTCTAGCTGCAATATTAGCTTCAGCAAGGCACCGGTCTGCATAATCTTGATTTTCCTGTTGCTCTGCACGCCGGAATGCATGTGCATTTCGCCTAGGCATTCTCAGTCATGAATACATGAATTGAGATGCTGTGGTGCCTCGGGTTTTCTCCAATCGCACAAGATTACACGATCTCCCGTTCCGTTGTATCAACCATACGTCATGGTGATGTGGAAGATAATCCTTCGTGCGTACAAGCTGCTGATAACCTCTCGTCGATCGCTGCCGGTAGCGTCGTACGATAAATTAATGAGCCAGTCTGTCAGATATCGTGGAGAAAGCGAAGCGCTTACGGCCTAGGCCTATACTCCTATCCGACAGACTTTCTTGTGGCGTTAGAATAAGCCCGTGCGCTTCCACAAGAGCAGCCAAAGTCAGCTGCGTATCTATTCCTACTGTACCATGCGTCAGAACAGCGTCAGGTACCCTAAGATCATTCGACTCCAGCCTTTCGGATCCGTCAACCAGTCGATCTTCGATGCAAAAAGGTGCGATTTGATGTTCGCAAACCTACCTGGTCATTTTTACTTATCCCGAATGGATCTTCTTGACTTCGACTGCTTCGCGTAGGACGTCTACCATGACGTTGACCTCGGTCTGATCTGGTAACCCTTGAACTGCACCAAATTTATCAGTTGCTATAAAGGAGCCATCTCCTATGGTTGAATGCGAAACGTGCTGAGTCCATTGACGTAAATGAAGCCTAGAACTCAAGGAAACTGTTGACTTCATACTCTCGAGGCGGTCTGACCCCAAAAGTGCCAGAGAACTGATTGAACTTCTATATGCAAAAGCCAGGACACGAGGCTATAAGAAGCGAGCCCGACAGATCAGTCGCCAATAGCATGGTAACTCTCGCATCAAACAGGCCATGCGGTGGGTAAGGAACATATGATTGCTTGTAGATAATTTACCAAGTGAGGGAATACAATGCTTGCTAACAAATACATATGCAATGCAGGCTACAGTGTGAATGCGATAGGTTAAAGTCTTTGTGCCAATGCGCTATGGTATTACGAGACTTTATGCGCCATACTTCTATGCTCAAGGGAGTGACGGATCCATTATCAGCAAGCCAAGGACTTGCTGTTCTATTGGACTTTTGATAGGGTGGTCACCCTACATGTACCGAGACGGTCAATCAAACGCGATCTTTGTAAATGTGAAGAGCACTCACGGAAGGCTTACGTTCCCGCCGCCGTCGACCACCAAGTTGGCAATCTGGGTTCCCTATACGCGCTCAGTCAGGACCTTTCCCGACAGAAAGGTCTAAATACTCACATCTCCCATGCGATTGGTGGACGCCACGGTGCCATACTTGATGTCACCATTCGCAGCCCAAAAGAAAACTCGTGTTCCGTTCTATAATGTTTGAAGAGTCAGATGAGCAAGACAAGGAGGAACATTGGGCATACAGGGAATGCGTTCATAGCCAAGACAGTAGGCACTTGTCGAGTCTGAAGACCTGCGAAAGGATGGGTACTTATACCAAACATGTTCCTATCGCCGACCCAGCGGTAGGGAGTTCATTGAGGAATTTGAAGGGTGCCTAATGGAGTGGAAAGACAGAGAGTTCGCTTCGAGAGGGACACCTGAGTTTGGGATCGAGCAATGCCATTTAATTCATTACACAACCAAGATGTATTAGGTTCGAAGAAGATGCGTTGGCAAGATCAGTGGGCTCGACCGCAGGGTACCACAGCTCCGAGAACAAGTCCTTCGAATAACGTGGGGAGGAGTGGCCCAGCGTCGCTTCGCGGATAAAACCTCGGGTGAGTATTATGGCTGAGCATATATATCGGTGCGACCTGAGATTTTATTAGAATCTAGAACGTAATAAGCCACGCATTGCCAGGTGCAGGCGAACGAGCAAGTGCGATCGCGAAGGCAGGTCGGATGGCTCCAGAGATCACGACGCTTCAACTGAGAAAATCCGAGCCGCGAGATCCAGAGAGCTTATGTCCTCGGGCCTGTGGTCCCTGGCAGGAATCCATGCATCAGTCCTGACGTCGGCATTTGACACAAGGGTACACGAGCAATCTCAGAGCGGCAGCCAGGAAGTACTTAAGTAAGGAAAGCTTAAGGACCCTTCGAGGCTCAGTCGCCGGACTTCGGAGTTGCAATAAATAATCGCGCGCAGCCAACTAGTATTCAGATAAGTAATACCGTGACACGGCCTGTCACACTCTGAGATAATGCCTGGTCAGACAAACCCAGAACGTGGTCAACTACCTTCCCCGCGATATGACATGTCGGTCATCCTAGTGACGGGCTCTTATGACCATGAGATCAGATTCTGGGAGGCTTGGAGTGGTATCTGTTCTCGCACTATCGCCCGGCCTGGCGAATCTGGTGTATGTTCCTTCTCTCCTCGGTCGCATGTCTGCTCAATCTAATTGTCTTCTTCTGAACAGCAAGTGAACCGCTTGGCAATATCCCCAGAGTGCGTTCACGGTATATGTTTTCGGAAACTTACTTATCCTCGTGGACTAGCAAGCGCCTGCTTGCAGCGGCCATCCACAAGAAAGTGAACATTTACGAAATTGCAAGCCCTTCCTCTACTCCGGTGCGCCGAGAAGTCACTGCCCTCGACGTTAGGGTGCTCATTATCCCAGCTTATCTCCTTGGATGAGCACACCATGAACGTTACATCTGTCTCCTTCCATAGTGAGGGCAAATGGCTTGTCACAGGAAGTGAAGACGGCACAATCAGAATTTGGGACTTACGGTCGGTCATTATCTTCGTTTCTTTTAGTACTTTCTGGGACATCTCGTTCCTAGGAGCAACCAAGCACACAGAACTTATAACAACGGGGCCCCAGGTAACAGTCACCGACCAGAGTCCAGAGCCTTCGTTAACCTGGTTTATCATAGTCAATGACGTATGCGTTCACCCCAATCAAGGGGAACTAATCTCCTGCGATCAAGCCGGATGCATCAAGCAATGGGATCTCTCCGAGAATGTGTGCTCTCACGAACTGGTATGTTCATCCTAGCCCCAACGCGAAGGTTTCTAATACGTTAGCCAGACTCCCGCCGGCGATGTCCCGATTCGCTCAGTCAGTCTGGCCGCGGATGGTTCGTGCTTGATTGCCGGGAACAACAAGGTACGCATATAGCCTGAATAACGACTCGTTTCTATATGGAGAATTGTAGGGGAAATGTTATGTATGGAAGATTAACGACGAAAAGTCCAATCTTCCTCGTTATCAAGCCGTTACAAAGTTTACAGCGCACAAAAAGTACATTACGAGAGTCCTTCTGAGTCCAGACGCGAAGTGAGCTGTTTTGACCTTTTCCAACGAATTTGATTGGACCTGTTTAGGTATCTAGCAACCTGCTCGGCAGATACTACTGTGAAGATATGGTCGATCTCGTCGAACTATGAATTTAGGCAAGAGAAAGTTCTTCAAGGGCATCAACGCTGGGTTTGGGATTGCGCATTCAGTGCCGACTCTGCCTATCTTGTTACTGGTGGGGAATAGCTCGTGGCCCTTCTAAGCCTTTTGCTGATCGTTGCTTACCAGCCTCATCGGATCATACTGCCAGGCTTTGGGAAATGGCATCGGGGGACACTGTGCGCCAGTACAATGGGCATCACAAAGGTTTCGTATACTATTTAAGCACCCATTTCAGAGTAATCTAACTACTCCGCTTTAGCGGCTGTATGTTGTGCACTCCACGACGGTGCTGGTTAATTTCCTCTCGGGAATTTCCCGATCTCTACACATGAACACCAAGCACTCTCAAGGATCTCGTCGATACCCGATATTCAGGATAACAGGGTGAATCTCAGATTTCTTCCGTTGCTACCACGATCTGGTTTGTTATCTACTGCAAGAAAGGTTGGAAGATTCATTGCCATTTTTGACAACTTGTGCCTCAATATTTCAGCCTTGTACACAGCAATGCAAGAGACCGATCATTGACACTGCTCAGATTTCATGAACCCTGAATGTGAATGCCAACTAACTTCAATCCAAGACTACGGTTTCAAGGCCACTTCGCGTAGCCACGAAATGGGGCCCAGGCTGCTGGGAATGCGATACTGCTTCTTGCATAAGATTGTTGATCCCATCACTAAATATGATGCATGCAACTTTACTAGACCTTTGAACAGACGTCAAGGCTTCCACGGGCTTGGGACCTATGTCAATCGTGCATGAATGTATCTTGTAGACCCTGCCGCGAAGCAGAGTTCATGATTCACAAATAGCTCAAAAACGTGGACCGCCTTCTCGTGAGATACTGTGGTAACATCCAGAAGCGCTTGTGTCTATATCATCTATACGTACGTGTTTCCGGATCTGCTTGCTCCCCTCGGACTGCCTCTCGGAATCTTTTATTCGAGGCCAGCGCTGCTGGGCTTCAGTCGCGGACTTTGATCTCCTTCCGAGGGTCTTGGTATATTTAGGCACGACGTTTAAGCAGTGCGGAAGTGAGTGACTCCATGTATAACATGTCGTTTAGGGGCTTCCGCTGGCTTGCGGGCCGCCCGCGCAGATATTTCCGTCGGGCCGCTCCCAGGCTTGTAATACTACCTGTTTCCAAAGGACTAGATCTCAATATCATGACATAGGTAGCCGATGAATTTCCGGTGCGCGTGGTTGCATAAGGCTGCATAGCTGGTTGGATGGTGGTTGTAGAGTGCGTTGTTGCCTTTCCGAGGTTTAGGGCCCTGTGATGGTATGGCTTCTAGGTGTTCTGACGACGTAAGATCCAGGAGACTCCCCAATCCACGTCGCAGACAGAACAACCCTTCAAACTGCGATGCGCTTATATGCGTATGTACTTCGGGGACTTCCTGGGTGCAGCTGTAGATCCAGTCAAATAGATCAAACCCGAGAAAGGACGTAGAGTGCTTCAAATGCGGTAACTTGCGTGCCTCAAAGCCCCTGGACCGGTAGATTGTCTCTTTCGAGTCCCTTTTTGGTGGGGAGCGGAAACAACAGGAGTGGAGTGATCTTCGGTGTTCCGCGATTCCTTTTACCTTAGCCTCATCGGTTGGACGGTTCGCCGTCCTGGTCAATATTCACGCCAGCTCAAAGTTGAGTTCCTCTTCCGTAATTAGAGGCGCTTGCTTGAAGACGACTGGAGGCGGCAATAACATGCGAATGTTAACGTGGAGAGCGTCACTCGCCCACAGAACCCTCCAACGCCACGTCTCTTCGAATCACGTGTCCACCATCCTACACTGTATGTATGTGAATATCAGATGGAAGGAGGTGTCAAGATCTGTCAGGATCAAGCCAAGAGTCAATTGTCGTACAACTTCGCTGTCAGGAGTTGGCAGGGGTTAGCACGTTTTTTGACAGGAGATGGCGCGATGCCACTTGAGTCTTGGATGCAAAGGAGCAACATCGGGACACCGTTCAGTGCACGCAGATGTACGTGAGTCTGTAGAGTTAAGTTGACCGCAAACGGCTAGGAAAGTAAATTGTATGCGCAAGGCTTGAAGCCGAATTGACACCGCCGGCGGCATTCTTGTAACGATGGGTAGAGTGTTGATTGCCCGCGCAAAGAGGATGACAAGCTGGAGGTCTTTGATTGGTGCAAGGTCTGTTAAGTTGGAAATGCCTGCGGTCGCTGGTTATGCAAGTCATTGACAGCGGGTGATCTAGGAGTGGCCGGTGATAGATCTAGGAAAGATCGGACGAAGGGAAGGCGCCATCGGGATTTCGGGAAGCCTTTATCTTTCCTGATTAGGAGGAGGGGATGACTCCTTCAAAGGAGATTTTTTGTTCGTGAACATGATTTCGCCCCTTGCTCCCCGACTGCAACCATTCCGCCTCCTTCCTTTCCTCCTTCTTCTTGATTAGCCCGCCGTCGGCGCAAAAAACAGCCCCCCTCTTTGTATCCTCGTCGTTCTATGGCAATCACTGATACGGTGAACTCAAAGGCTATAGATCAAGACTCCTTACCTCTCGTCTCAGAGACTTCATCTCTTGCAGATACCGGGTTCGACGCCGTAGAGCGCGATCCTGAGTCATGGGCAGGCTCTCTACCCGCTAACCAGGGTCTCTACCTCAACGACCAAGAAAAAGATGCCTGCGGTGTAGGCTTTATCTGTCATATCAAGGGCGAACCTAGCCACAAAATCGTCTCCGATGCTCGCCAGCTCCTCTGTGCCATGACCCATCGGGGAGCAACTGGTGCGGACAGCCGTGATGGCGACGGTGCTGGTGTCATGACTGGCATACCCCACGACTTCTTCAAGCGGGAAGCCGAGCGGGACATTGGCTGCGTCTTGCCAGAAGCAGGCGAGTACGCAGTGGGCAACGTCTTCTTCAAGGCGAACGACCCCATACAGCTTCAAAACCACCAAGCCATTTTCTCTAGCATCGCCTCCGAGCATGACCTTCGGGTCCTTGGTTGGCGAGAGGTCCCTACCGATGGTACTATTCTTGGCCCCGCCGCGAGCAGCAAGGAACCTGCCATATACCAGCCATTCGTGGTCCTTAGGGCCCACTATGGAGATGGGAGCCGCAGCGCAAACGGGCCTTTTGATGCCAAGCGTTTCGAGCGTCAACTCTACGTTTTGCGTAAGCACGCAACGCATACCATGTTTGTCACTTTCCATTTACTCACTTTTCACGAACCATGCTCAATACTTGTTGTAAAAATTCATGTGTATAAAGCACTCTCGCCAAAGGCTTTTACGTCTCCTCCCTGTCGTCGAAAAACATTGTGTACAAAGGGCAGCTTTCGCCTCCGCAAGTATACAACTATTACCATGATCTCAACCATGTCCTGTATCGTTCGCACTTTACATTGGTGCATTCTCGATTCTCTACAAACACCTTTCCTTCTTGGGACCGTGCTCAGCCCATGAGATGGGCCGCTCATAACGGTTAGTGCCTGCTTATCAGATTGTGCCGAGGTAAGCCTGACGAATGCAATCGCCAGGTGAGATTAACACCGTGCGTGGGAACAAGAACTGGATGCGCGCCCGCGAAGGTGTCTTGTCATCCACCCTCTTCGGCGACCAACTCGACTTGCTCTACCCCATCATTGAGAATGGAGGATCCGATTCCGCTGCATTCGATAACGTTCTCGAGCTCTTGGTCGTCAATGGGGTCATTACGTTACCAGAGGCGGTCATGATGCTCATTCCTGAGGCATGGCAAGGGAACGAGCACATGGAAGCCGAGAAACGCGCGTTCTACAACTGGGCTGCTTGTCTCCAGGAACCCTGGGATGGACCCGCGCTCTTCACCTTCAGTGACGGTCGCTATTGCGGTGCCAACCTTGACCGCAATGGCTTGCGTCCATGCCGATACGTCGTCAGCAACGAGGATATCATGGTTTGTGCCTCTGAGGTCGGTGCGGTGTATATCCCTCCCGAAAAGGTTGTCCAGAAGGGTCGCTTGAAGCCCGGTCGCATGCTTCTTGTCGACACTGAGGAAGGTCGTATTGTTGACGACAAGGAACTCAAGCACAACACGGCTACTAAGCAGAACTTTGCGTCTTGGGTCGAAACTCACGTCCTCCATGTTCCCAACATCGTGAAGCGCGTTCTTCGCGCAAACATCCCCATCGCTCCCGTCATCGACGATGCTCCCTTGAGTAACGATCCCAAGTTGCTCGCCTTCGGCTACACTGTCGAACAACTTAACCTGCTGATGTTACCTATGGTGGACACCGGGAAAGAAGCTCTCGGATCCATGGGTAACGACGCTCCTCTCGCCGCCATGGCCACCCAACCCCGCCTCATTTACGACTACTTCCGCCAGCTGTTCGCCCAGGTCACCAATCCTCCCATTGATCCCATCAGAGAAAGCGTCGTGATGTCTCTTGAGGCCTATGTGGGTCCCGAGGGTAATCTTCTCGAAATGAGGCCTGAGCAGTGCCACCGCATCCTTCTTCCATCCCCATTAATCTCCCTTGAGGAGATGAACTCAATGAAGAATCTCAAGCATGCATACATTGGATGGCCCTCTGTCACGATCGACATCACTTTCCCCAAGGAGGACGGTCTTCCTGGTTATCAGCTTGCCTTGCAGCGTGTGTGCAGCGAGGCCACTCAAGCCATCGAGGACGGAATAAAGGTGATCGTACTTTCGGATCGCGCTACTGGTCCATCCCGTGTCCCCCTCTCAGCGTTGGTCGCATGTGGTGGGGTTCACCACCACCTGGTGCAGCAGAAGAAGCGTGCGAAGGTGGCCCTTATGGTCGAGACTGCTGAGGCGAGGGAGGTCCATCATCTCTGCGTGTTGGTTGGCTACGGTGCCGATGCCGTATGCCCGTGGTTGATGATGGAGACTGTTCATAAAGTGGCTCGTGAGGGACTGTAAGCGATTCGTTAATACTCGGTGATTTACACTAATATGTGCCTTTAGGGTCAAGAATGACACGAGCCTCGACGATCTCATCGCGAACTACCGGCACTCGGTGGACAACGGCATCTTGAAGGTCATGTCGAAGATGGGCATCTCCACCCTTCAGTCATACAAGGGTGCTCAGATCTTTGAAGCCCTTGGGTTGCACAACGAGGTCGTCGATCGCTGCTTCAACGGTACCGCATCTAGAGTTCAGGGTGCTACTTTCGATCTCCTCGCCATGGACGCGTTCGAGCTTCATGAGCGTGGCTGGCCTTCGCGTGAGACTATTCTCCCGCCGGGGATGCCCGAATCTGGAGAATACCACTGGCGTGACGGAGGCGAGGCGCACATCAACGACCCCGCCGGCATCGCGAGCTTGCAAGACGCGGTGAGGGAGAAGAACCAGGGAGCATACGACGCGTACGCTCGGAATGCCAACGAACAGACGAAGAGCATTCATCTCCGCGGACTTCTCGACTTCCGCTTCGAGAACGCCACACCCATTCCCATCGAACAGGTTGAACCCTGGAACGAGATTGTTCGACGTTTCGTCACTGGCGCTATGTCTTATGGATCGATCTCTATGGAGGCTCACTCCACACTTGCCATCGCCATGAACCGTCTTGGCGGAAAGTCCAATACTGGCGAAGGTGGAGAGGATGCCGAGCGTTCGCAGTTGATGCCCAATGGCGACACGATGCGGTCTGCAATCAAGCAGGTTGCCTCTGGTCGTTTCGGTGTCACGTCGAACTACCTTAGCGACGCAGATGAGCTGCAAATCAAGATGGCCCAAGGCGCGAAGCCGGGTGAAGGAGGAGAGTTGCCTGGGCACAAGGTGTCGGGCTCAATCGCTCGGACCCGTCATTCGACCGCTGGCGTCGGTCTCATCTCTCCACCTCCCCACCACGACATCTACTCCATCGAGGATCTCAAGCAGCTCATTTATGACTTGAAGTGCTCCAACCCCCGTGCTCGCGTGTCCGTCAAGCTTGTTTCAGAAGTCGGCGTCGGTATCGTCGCAAGTGGTGTCGCGAAGGCCAAGGCCGACCACATCCTGATCTCCGGCCATGATGGAGGTACAGGTGCTTCTCGTTGGACTGGTATCAAGTATGCGGGTCTGCCTTGGGAGCTCGGTCTGGCGGAAACGCACCAGACCCTTGTTCTTAACGATCTTCGTGGTCGTGTCACCGTCCAGACCGATGGTCAGATTCGTACAGGTCGGGATATCGCAATCGCTTGCATGCTCGGAGCTGAAGAATGGGGTTTCGCGACGACACCTCTGATTGCGATGGGTTGTATTATGATGAGGAAGTGTCATTGTAAGTCATTCCAGTCACCTGGAATTGAGCGATTGCTTACGCAACCCCTGTAGTGAACACCTGTCCCGTTGGTATCGCTACTCAGGACCCTCAGCTTCGCGCCAAGTTCGCCGGGCAGCCCGAGCAGGTCATCAACTTCTTCTACTATCTCGCGGAGGATCTCAGAAGCCACATGGCTAAGCTGGGCTTCCGCACAATTAACGAGATGGTTGGACGCGCCGATATGTTGAAGGTCAACGATAAGATACGCACTATCAAGACTGCGCACCTCGATCTGTCAGCTGTCTTGAAGCCTGCTTGGCAGATGCGTCCGGGTGCAGCAACGTACCGCGTACGCCAGCAGGACCACAAGCTTTACATCCGCCTCGATAACAAGTTTATCGACGAGTCTGAGCCCGCTCTCACAAAGGGTCTCCCTGTCCACATCGAGTGCGATGTCACCAACACCGACCGTGCTCTCGGCACATCGCTTTCTCATCGGGTATCGAAGCTGTACGGAGAAGAGGGTCTGCCCAGGGACACGATTCACATCCGCATGAGAGGGTCTGCGGGTCAGTCCTGCGGTGCATTCCTCGCACCTGGCATTACCATCGAACTCGAGGGTGATGCCAACGACTACGTCGGCAAGGGCTTGTCCGGTGGGCGCGTTATCGCTTACCCTCCCAAGCAGTCCACGTTCAAGGCCGAGGAAAACATCATCATCGGCAACGTCTGTCTATATGGTGCCACCTCGGGAGAGGCTTTCATTCGCGGTGTTGCTGCTGAGCGTTTCGCCGTCCGTAACTCAGGAGCCAACGCCGTTGTGGAGGGTACTGGTGACCACGGATGCGAGTACATGACTGGTGGTCGTGTGGTGGTTCTCGGTACCACGGGACGCAACTTTGCCGCAGGAATGAGCGGCGGTATCGCCTACGTTCTTGATACCGCCCACACCTTCGCTTCCAAAGTTAACATGGAGATGGTGGAGCTGGGCAAGGTAACCGATCCCAGAGAGATCGCCGCTTTGAGAGCCCTCATCGAAGACCACCGTCACTTCACTGGCTCTGAGGTGGCAGACCGTGTGCTTCATGACTTCCACCACTTGTTGCCCCTCTTTGTTCGCGTCATGCCCTTGGACTACAAGCGCGTTCTGGAAGAGCAGGTAGCGAGGGAGAAGGAGGAGAAGCAGCGCATGAACGTGATCGATCTTGTTCCTTCTCGCACCGCCAGCCAGGTTGATCTTGCCTCTGAAGGGCTCGAGGACATTCTCCTGCCCAAGGAACCCCCGACTCCCACAGTCCCTGTCAAGCGTCACGAGCCAGGTCTGCAAGATATGGAAGACTCTCTGGTCGATGAATCGACGACGAAGCAGCGCCAGCACAAGTTTGATAAAGTCCGTGGCTTCATGAAGTACCAGCGCCTCAACGAGGCGTACAGGCCCCCTCGCAAACGTGTCAAGGACTGGAAGGAGATCTCTACTCGCTTGACCGAGAGCGAGCTCAAGTATCAGTCGGCACGCTGCATGGACTGCGGTGTCCCCTTCTGTCAATCCGATTCTGGCTGCCCGATTTCCAACATTATCCCGAAGTGGAATGACTTGGTTTTCAAGGGTCAATGGCGCGATGCACTCAACCGTCTTCTCATGACCAACAACTTCCCGGAGTTCACCGGTCGTGTGTGCCCTGCCCCTTGCGAAGGTTCTTGCGTTCTCGGAATCAACGAAAAGCCTGTTGGCATCAAGAGCATTGAATGTGCTATCATTGACAAAGTACGAGTATCTTCGTGCGGTTCCACGCCAGCAGCTGACATTATTTCAGGGCTTCGAAATGGGCTGGATGCAGCCGAACCCTCCCGCGTTCCGCACCGGAAAGCATGTCGCCATCATCGGGTCTGGCCCTGCTGGTCTGGCGACCGCAGACCAGCTGAACAAAGCCGGCCACTATGTCACTGTCTACGATCGGAACGACCGTATGGGCGGCCTCCTCATGTATGGAATTCCGAAGTAAGTGATATTGATTTGCTATCGCTCCTGTTCTCACATCCCGAATAGCATGAAGCTTGACAAGGCAGTCGTGCAGCGTCGATTAGATCTCATGGCAGCCGAGGGAGTGGTATGTGTTTCTTGTTTAATTGGAATCAACTCATAATTGATGTATTGGGCTTTAGACATTTGTTCCAAATGCGCACGTCGGTGTAAATGTTGATGCCGCTGAGTTGCGTGAGGAGAACGATGCGGTTGTCGTGTGCACAGGAGCTACGTGGCCTCGCGATCTCAAGATCCCCAACCGTCAAGTTGATGGTATTCACTTTGCCATGGAGTTCTTACAGGTAATCTCTCCCGGCACCCGGAATAAGGTTCAAGTCTAACCCATTTCTTTATTAGCTCAACACAAAGTCGCTATTGGACTCGGAGCTAACAGATGGAGGATACCTCAGCGCAAAGGGCAAAGACGTTATAGTCATTGGAGGAGGAGACACTGGAAATGATTGTATCGGTACTTCCATGCGTCATGGTGCGAAGTCCGTCACCAATTTCGAGCTCCTACCAAAACCGCCTGGGTCCCGCGGTCGTGACAACCCATGGCCTCAATGGCCTCGGTAAGTTCTAGATATTGGTATTGTATTGATTCTGTTCACTCACATTCATCAGCATTTTCCGTACCGACTACGGTCACACCGAGGTGGCCGCTCATTTTGGGAATGGTACGAGAATTGCCATATTTTCAAGTTTTTTTTCCCGCTGATGCATCTACATAGATCCACGTGAATACTGTATTTCTACCAAGGAATTCGTCGTGGATGACGAGGGTCGCCTCAAGGGACTTAACACTAGTACGTACCTAAAGCTCATCGATGTCTCAGTTTTCCTGATGACCCCTTGCGAATAGTTCGCGTTGAGTGGACCAAAGACAGCGGCGGCCGATGGAAGATGGAAGAAGTCCCCGGATCCCAGAAGTTCTTCCCGGCGCAGCTCGTCCTCCTTGCTCTTGGATTCCTCGGCCCGCAAACCGAAGTTATCAACGCGCTCGACGTGAAGCAAGATGCTAGATCTAACATTCAGACGCCGCCCAAGGTTTGCTCTCTCCACTTTGCCAGCGTGACAGAGCCTAATGAAGGATTGTAGAAATACTCTACCAACGTGGAAGGCGTCTTTGCTGCAGGAGATTGCCGTCGCGGTCAATCTCTGATCGTGTGGGGTATCAAGTAAGTTTGTAAGCCTCACTATGGCGAATGAATTCTCAAAATATATCCTAGCGAGGGACGTGGCGCCGCAGCCGAAGTCGATGCTTGGCTTAGCGATGGTACGACGAGACTTCCTAGTGCTGGAGGGTTCAAGACCAGAGTAAGTTACCTCAGTCGCCGTCCTTCCGTCCTTGCTAAAAATGTCGTATCGCGATGCAGACCTTCATTCCCCCACCCTCTGGCCTTCCTCAGACAGTCAAAATTCAGGCTTGAAAGACGATCTCATTCAGGACACGACCATTCATGAACGTTGCAATTTACCGGGAGCTAAGTATTGTAAGCCAGGAACCCTTGTTTGTACACTACTGTACTCGTTGCATTATCATCTTAACGTATGTATCCCAACTACCTTTTTCCGGGTTTGTCACAATGTATCAACGTTCTCACAATTGTGCTAATTTGAGGCGCCATGAGCACATATGAGAAAGGTATATTTCGCCCAGCCGCTCCGTCTGTACCCATGACCCTAGAACATTCATGACCGCCCAAAACGGGACCTTCAGGCAAAGAATATAACAACAATGGTGCCATCCTTACTCTCTTTTCTTTCGACAGATTTCAATGGCGCGCGACGCTGGGACCGCGCGTTCGGGCAGAAGGAGCGATGCCATGAAGTCGTTCATGACTAGTCTTGGCCTACGGCCAACCGACGCGGAAGAATTTGATGCAATTAAGGTGAGTCCTCAAACAATGCGATTACTACAGCCTAACTACAGTCTTACATGCCTTTAGTCTTCCATACGTAAAATCGCTCTCAGCGTCTTTGTTCAGGGACTAGGAGCTTCTGAGCAAAGCGACCAGAGATGGTCAACATTCAAGACGCATGTCAGTCTGCAAACTCTCCGAGTTTATACGTATTCATCCTAAAATCCCCAGGTTTTGGACCACGTTCCAATTCTTGTGGCTGCTCCGCCCAGAGCATATGAATGTCTTTACGATTACACATCGAAGTTCTTGGCAACGCGTAAACACGGCTTTAAACGACGGCAAGCAAGATTGGAACATTCCGTTGCCTACCTAGACAGCAGTGGCGGAGCTGATGCTTCGCATCGAGGGCCTTTGACACGGAGAGATGCTACTTACCGCTTGGCCAGGGCTCGAACTGAGACGCAGGTGGAGATAAGCTCTAGTTTTTCATCTCATGCTCTTAGCTGACGCAAAAGATATTGTATTTTCAGACGGTCCCATATGAACGTTCACCCTCTCTGGGCGGCGAGCCCGAACCTGAACAGCCAACTGATGAAGATGCACCTAGACTCGGCTCGGCTCAAGATGCTGGAACCCAACCTGTGCAGCCTCCATCATGCAACTCTTCTATGGCCTGGGAGCCAGTCACTCAACCTGAACAGCCAGCTGATGAAGACGTGCTTAGGCTCAGCTCAGCCCAAGATGCTGGAGCCCAGCCTGTGCAGCCCCCATCATGCAACTCTCCTATGGACCGGGTGGTAGTCACTCACACTGACACGCGTCGTGCATCCAGTGAAGAACATGCCTTGCACTTCGACCTCCGCGCGCACACGACGCAGATCACCAACCATGATGAGACTGTTGATGATGAGTCTAGGTCTGCGTCCCGGCCGCGATATAGATCCTCCGAAACGGCAGTTGCTCTATCGTGTCGCACCACGTCCGCTCAGCCTGAAGATGTGTCGTCCGACGCAGCGGCACTTAAGGGGAATCAGCATAATCCTGAGTATTCTGAGCAGCCCACGGCCGAGGGCACGTGGGCTGTCCGCGCCTTCCTCAATGTTGCAAAAGTACCCCATCTCATCCCTCTCTTTTTGTCGCTCGGCGTGTTCTCAACCACCCACCTCGACGTCTTGACAAAATATGATACCATGAGGCGGACGCGCTTCTTTGGCCCAAACATCACATACATGGACGCTGTGATGCTCGAAGATGCATTTGAGGAAAGAAAAAACAGAGGGCGGCAGGCTCAGGGCGTCGCCGCCCCCGAGCAGATGGAAAGCGACGAATTCATCGACGATTCAGAGAAAACAGACGAAGCCATCAACGATGGCCAATCTGACGTCTAAGCTCTTCCCCTCGCATAGTAAAACTGTAGTTGTCCGTTTGATCTTGAGTTCGAAGTGCGCTATGTCTGAGTTTTCTGCATGTGACTGATGCATTAGTTGAGACTGCGAATACATGAATATGACTGAGATACAAGGATATCGTGCTGTCTCTATTCTTCATAGATCCTTGCCGCACCCTTTCCCCAGGCTCTCATGACGCCAGCACCAGCGCCGGTCGGCTGAGTAAATGCGATTTCCCCCTTAGTAGGATCTAGAGGACAACCTCGAACAAAAGTCCGCGCGGCAACAGACAAAAGACGAGTGGCAATACCAAGACGACGGTGTGTGGTAGGCACAAATAGACGGGGGATGCCCATGGGTGTAGGAAGTTTTTCAGGGTGGACAAATAGGGAGGTGCTCGGGTCGACAGGAATGAGATCGGATAATGGTTTCGATGATGATTCCGGGGATGCGACCTCCATCGCGGTTGATATACGCTGGGCAATCACGCAGCCAGCTATTTTCTCCCTACTTGGACTGCCTTTGCTGCGTGACAAGAAAAGATAGGCTTTCGAGGCTTTAAGTACCTCGGGGGTCAAGGGTGGAGAGGACAACGTCAAGTTTATGGTTTCGAGCAGGACCGCAAACTACATGGATGTTCATCAGCTTCTGGGAGATCGACGTATAGATAGAACATTTCGCCTTACCTTAGAGCCAATCTTTCCTCCTACATCTGCTCGAAAGCATATTATGCGCCCTTTCGTGCCGTCACCGAGAACAACATTACGGCCCACCTCTTCGACGTTGGCTTTCTCGACCTCTTTGTGTTCTTCGCGACCCCACTCCATACCGCGTTGTACCCGGATACAGTGAGCACGGTGGAGGGACTCGTCGTCAGGAGCACCCTTGGTGTACGACAGACCGCAAGATGGACAAGTGCGCAGGACAGAGGTTTCAAGAGAGAAATGTAGCTGGGTGAGGGCCCTCTGGGAAGACATCGACGGTTTCTGTTTCTGCTTATCCTTTGGTTTCGCTTTTGATTTCGTTGTGATAGACTGGCTGGAGAAGTTGAGTCGAGTCAAGGGGGTAGAAATGATGCGTTTCTTGCGGGGAGGACTGTTCGCGTTCTCATCATCGTGGAACTTGCGCTTCGGCGGCGACGATGGGGGAGACGACGGCAGAGAGACGCGAGAGCGCGAGGAATAGGTGCGCTTGATTGTGGACATAGAAGATAGGAGGGGTGGGTGTGTGGCACAGGCTAGGTTGTGGAGAGAGAGAGAAGCGCTGGCGGTTGCTGATCAACGCGCCGCGTATACAAGATCGCGATCACGTGGGCGGTCTTTGCCGGTGATTCCACACTCACGATTGGACGCAACTTGAACTTGAACGCAACCTTGACGAAGGCTTGACGATGACCATTGTACACATTGTCGCTATGCTTCTCATATGCATCCATATTGGCCAGGTTGACAGCAGGGTTGTTTGACGAATAACAAGGCCTTGGGATTTTGTTCGCTTGAGTTTTTTAGCGCATGTGTGCTGAGTATCAGGGTTAGCAACATCTAAAAACACCTAGGCGTGGAAGATAGGTAAGCAATTCGATGACAACTCTTCTGGGGGAGTCCGCATATACCCTGTATCCTAGGTCCATGAAGCTCTGAATGAGTATATGCTACCCATGACGATGCCTTGACAACGTAGGGCGTTTCTGGCTTCTGCACATTCCTCTAGTAATCCAGCCTTTTCTCCAAGAACTGGCGACGAGAAAGCAAGGAAACCAGGTGGGAATACCTTCCATTAGTTCTATCTCAGGCATACGCTTCAGAGCACGCCGAGGGACGATTGTAGCTTAAAGACTCTCATGACGGCATGAAAGCCTTGGTACCTGGCCCTGACGATATATCGAGGTGGCTCTGATCGACGGGCGAACAGGTAAGCTACCCATACTAGCTGTGATCCGAGTCGTTCACACCGGCGCGTTTCTCTGCAGAGAAACTACTGGCTGCAGTCTCGGAGCGTTCACAGGTCATGAGTACCCTCGATATGTTGGTTACTTCAGCAAGACCTTGTCGTCATGAGCGATGTAGGTCACATCCTTTTCTGCGCTCGGAGCTGTTGACTCTCTGATGTTACGGGTAGCGAGTTATTTGTGTCATTAATTACCCCGGTACACCTGAAAGACCCTACGTTCTATACGTGGGACTAATGCCAAGTCAGATCGTATGGGAGCTGCTATTCAAAGGCCTGTATGAATTCCACTGCCGGTTTCTGTTCACATCGTGCCGTGCACATGTCCTCCGCAGCAGTCATTCTCACTCCGGAGGTCGTTTTTCTATGCCTCCGCCGCTGTGAGGCGGCCATCAGGACAACCGAAGGGATATATAGCTGCGGAATGCTGGCTCGGTTTAATTTCTCTCGCATCCCTCCTTTGCCCACCGCTTTCTGGTTGTTCGCCGACTTCCGCAAGCATGCATTTCAGTGTGTTTGCTTTTGCCCTGAGTGGTATTCTCGCCGCTCCTTCGGTGGTCGGCCTAGGAAGTGCGTGTTCTTCTGAGCTAGCTGGAGGAACGGCCGCTCCTGGAGCTCCATATTGGCTCGAGAATATCACGCACCAGGGGTACGCGCCATATGCTCCCAATCCAAGCACATATGCGGTCTATCGCAATGTCAAAAACTATGGTGCTGTGGGCGATGGAGTTGCCGATGACACTGCTGCAATCAAGTGAGGCTTGCCATTTTTGTTTTAGTTATGATTAGTTATCGGTTTTCCTGACAGCGCCGCAATTTCCTCTGGAGAACGGTGTGGAGAGGGCTGTCCATCTTCAACGTGAGTGATCACCGAAGTCCAGGGCGCCTTGGTGTTAATATTTCTTCACAGGACGACGCCTGCTTTAGTCTACTTTCCCTCAGGGTGCGCCTGTCCCTGAGATTTTTTGAGCCGGGGTTCAAGAAATGTATAGCACCTACCTCGTCTCGACTCCCATCCTTGCCTACTATTACACTGCACTTATTGGTGACGCACGCACACCACCAACGATTCTTGCAAGCGCAAATTTCTCGGGTCTGGCTGTCATTGGTCAGTACTTCAGTCTCTTCAAGCTGTATGTCTATGTGCATCGCATCTTACCTCGATCCATCGACAGACGCGGACCCATACGATGCCAGTGGCGCAAACTGGTATGTCAACCAGGACAACTTGTGAGTTTTCTCTGGCGTCTACGTATGTATCGAGCCATCCTAAATAAACATGCCAGCTACCGATCCGTTCGTAACGTGGTCATCGACCTCACCCAAACACCTTACAACGCCACGTCTACTGGAATACACTGGCAAGTATCCCAGTCGACATCACTCGTTAATGTTGTGGTGAACATGTCAACGGAGAATGGTACCGCCCATCGAGGTATGCAATACTGTATCCAACCATCCTGAAGCTGTTTGGAACATCACGCAGGTTTATTCATGGAGGATGGAAGGTAGGAAACCTTTTTGTTTTGTGAGCGTGGCGCCACTCATGCTTGCCATGCAAAGCGGTGGCTTCATGGGAGGTATGTCCTTGAGATTGTATGCTTGTTTCCGACACCTGAGTTTGTAGACCTCATATTTAACGGTGGACAATACGGTATGTGGGTTGGAAATCAGCAGTAAGTGCCTTTACATTCTCTACATAAGTAATAGCATATGCTTATTCCTCGCGCTAGATTCACGGTCCGTAACGTCACGGTCAACAATGCAAATACTGGTGAGCCACTGGGCCGATGTCGCTTCTACCGAGTCTCATGTGTTAAAAGCCATATACACTGGATGGAACTGGGGTAAGCTTATATTTCAAAAAGTAACACTTAATCTCAGATCTCAAATACCCTTGAAGACTGGACATTCCAGCGTATAGTGATCAACAACTGTCAGGTCGGCTTCGAGGTTGTCACTGGCAGCGTCGGCGCTATAGGAATCATCGATGCTGTTGCGACCAATACTCCTGTTTTCTTCCAATCAACCGAGCCCAGCGATGGTACAGAGGCGACGGGATCGATTGTGCTGAACAACATACATCTAGACAATGTACCGGTAGCGGTCGGTGTAGTCAACGGGACAACCGTGCTTGAAGGCGGCACGACCACCATCGAATCCTGGGGTCAGGGGAACGCTTATGCTGGGACAGACCCGAACGCGACATTCGCGCAAGGCAACATCTATTCCGCATACAAGGACCCCGGCTTGCTTGATACCAATGGAATGATATTCTCAAAAGGGCACCCGCAGTACGCGGATTATGCAGTTGACCAGATCATGAGCGTGCGCTCGCAAGGTGCTGTGGGTGATGGCGAGACGGACGATACGGACGCGATCAATGCTGTCTTTGCGAAAGTGCGTGCTGCCATAATTTCATGCTTCCATCGCGTTTTAACTGTATTCCAGTACGCAGGGTGCTACATCATATTCTTTGATGCCGGCGTCTACAAAGTAACCGACACGATCTACATTCCGGCAGGGAGCCGCGTCGTGGGCGAGGCATGGTCCGTGATCATGGGCTCCGGGTCCGAATTCGACGACGAGACCAACCCGCGCGTCGTCGTTCAGGTCGGCGCGGAAGGCTCCTTTGGCTACGCTGAGATTTCGGATATCGTGTTCACGACGCAGGGACCGACACATGGCGCGATCGTCGTTGAATGGAACGTGCACGACCCCGTGGGCGTGCAAGGTGCTGCCGGCATGTGGGATAGTCACATCAGGTACGTCCCTCCGATCGCGGAGGACTTGAGACCTCGAGACCTTGAGGTGCTTATCGCTGAGGGCATTTGAAAACTACTAGGTTAGGTGGCGGTAGGTCACATATTGTGAAGTTGTGGTTACACGGTTGCTGATGGGTAATGCCGCAAAGCCATGGGAACCAATTTAGAGCTTGCCGAATGTCCCGCAGGGTCTGAGTACAGTGATTGTACGGCTTCGTTCCTTGCCTTGCACATCACGGCAGGGGCAACGGCGTACCTAGAGGTCCGATTTCCAGCTACCTCCCCAATCAGCGTCTGACTTTGTCTCCGTAATGTGTCGCTGAAGGGTACCTGGGTGTGGCTGGCTGACCACGACTTGGACGGAGACGGCTCGACACAACTCACGATCTTCAGCGGCAGGGGTATACTCTCGAACTCTGCGGGGCCTGTTTGGATGATTGGTACCTGTGAGCATATTCTGTTGATTTCCACTGCCAGCGGATGCTAAATGCGTTCGGTCACGCGTGATTTGTCGAATCAAATAGCGAGTAAGTCGAAGCGCAGATTGGCGTTTGAGCAAGAATGCGTTCTGATAATTGTACGCAACCTTATAGGTGAACACCATGTCATGTACCAGTACAGCCTTGTCGGTGCCAGTAACCATTACATGGGGCTCATCCAGACAGAGACGGTAAGCCTGTCCCTGTCACAAGTCAGCGGACTCGAGGCGATTGACGCGGTGCCGCCAGCCATATTACCAGCCGGACCCTGCGCCACCTGCGCCGTTTGAGCCAGAGACATCATACGGCGACCCATCCTATGAGAACGGGATGAACATGGCTTGGGCGGTTTGGCTAGATACGGCCACAAACGTTATCATATTCGGTCTGTCTTATCACCTCTCACCGGAACGAGAATCTGACGTTTAGCGCCCGGGATAACAATAGGCGCCGGCCACTACAGCTTTTTCCAGGTCAGTCGGCCATACGGGGATACCTGAGAATTTGTTCTGAATTCCTTTTTTCAAACACAGAATTATACCCAGACGTGTCTGGCGAACGAGACGTGTCAGGCGCAAATTGTGAACACCGATCTGAGCCTGCCGACGATCTACAGCCTCTCGACGGTCGGCGCGACGTACCAGCTGAGTGTGGAGGAGAATGGGATCATCTATTGGGGCGGTGACGCGGATGGTTTCGCTTCCACGGTAACAGTGTGGAGTCCTTTACTTTGACATCTACTTACAGCGCGCGCTGCGGCGTCGTGAATGGACATGATTGCTTACTGAAGCTGGAGAGGAGTTGAAGAGAGAAACATTCGGCGAGGAGAGTTCGGGATCGGACGCCCGGCCGCCGTTCGCCAGGACTGGAAGTGAAACGGCGGGGACCTCGCGGAAGGCGACAACGAGGCCGGATGGGAAGGCCAGGGAAGGCCGCGGTTGAATTGGCTACATTGAACAAGGCACAGACTCGAAGCCTTGGAAAGCCGGAAACTTCGGAAGATCAGCCGAATATAGGACGTGTAGGCGCCCGTTGAGCTGTCGGTTGGACCTCGTCCGTCGGAGCTGAAGCTGAGACTCTTTAAATGCCATTTGTGCTGATTTGGTACAGATGCCGGAGTATGAAGCTGTACGAAGGTGAGATGTATTTTCTTCGTCTAAGTTTGTTTCGCCATCGCGTCATAACGAGGTCATAGAACTTGTGGTCGGCGCTTGCGGGTCTAATGATGCCGAAGAAGGTTATTACAGTTTATCAGCGAAGATGCTTCTGCATGAAGCCATCTGTTCCTTCACTTCGCACACCTCGCCGGAGCCGCTGAATCGGATGATCGTTAACACTGAGACAGACATAGAACAGACGTTCATTGGGTGCACTCTGTGTCACAAGGCCTGGGAGTGGCGAGCTGCTTCGACGGCGAGCTGGCGAGATGGCGGCAGATAAACAGGTAAGGGTGATTCGGAGCATGCGGCCTGTCAGTGTCAGAGGCCGGAAGTGGAAGAGGCGTGTTTTGCTCGGCCCTGTCGACGCGGCTGTGATAGCCCGGATCGGAAGTCGGTCACGGGAGAATTGGTCACGTCACGTCGGCCCAAGGACCCCGCACGGGGGAGGAGACAACGCTCCCGATGGAACTTGGCCCACCGCTTTCTTGATCTCGTCTTCCCCTCTAGACAGGCCCTCGTTGGCACCTCACCCTCCCCTCGCTCCTCTCCCTCCCTTATCCCCTCCCCGTCGTCCCCGAGGTTATTCTCTGACTTTTTGAACTTTTAGTCTCTCGATCCTGAGGACTACATTAGCCGACTCGGGGCTTCACGTTTAACGCTCAGCGTCAAATACCAAAATCTTTCGACCCAGTAAGTATCTGCATCTCCAGGATTATATGCACCACAGCATGCCATTACGCCATGCCATGCCTCAAGCTGGTCTAGCGCATCTTTTTATGGACCTTCGGTCTTTTCTGAAACTCCTTGCCCCGACTTAAACAAGCCCATCGCTAATCTAAACGAATCTTGACAGCTAAACACAGTTTGCCGCGCTTATAACCATGTCGCATAATGGCGGAGCTCAGGATATTCATTACGACCCCGTCCCTTCTAACCACAACCAGGACAGGGACTGGTTTTCCTCCGAGACTCCTTCTTCTCCCTTCACCTCTGGCTACGACACTCCACCTGTAGAGATGTCCAACCTCAACGATGCACCTGCGGCCGCGCTCCCTCCTGGCGCTGCAGCCCCTATCCCCCGCTTCATGGGTCACGCTGCTCGGGATAGTTTGTTCCGCGGTTCAGTAGGTTCGGAGAACACGTACCATACCTCCCCCTCTGCCGCTGGTTCCTCTGTCTACGCCCTCAACCCAGATGGCGGCCGTGCTACTCCCAACGAGTATGGCGTCTACCACGATAACCACTCGGCCGAGAACCTTGACGAGCAGGCCGGCGGTGTTGGTCAAACCCCGCAGCGAACTTACCTTGCAGAGAAGCGTTCTGCCTACGCCGCCCCTCCGCGGAAGAAGCGTGGTATCATCATTCTTGCCGCCGTCGCCGGCCTCGTCGTCATCGTCCTTGTCATCGCCCTTCCTGTCTACTTCACTACTAAGAAGAAAAACAACGACGACCTTAGCGGAGGCGCTTCGGGGGGATCGAGCTCTGGCGGTGGCGGCGGTGGCAACCCTGGGTCCAATGCCGTCGTCACCGGTGGCAACGGAAGCAAGGTCACACTCGCAAACGGCACCACCTTCACTTATCAGAACGACTTCGGCGGTACTTGGTATTGGGACCAGAACGACCCGTTCAACAACAACGCTCAGTGCAACTCGTGGACGCCTCCACTTAACCAGACGTTCGTCCCGGGGACCACCAGGATCTTTGGGTGCGTACTCTGACACGAGGCCAGTCGTACGGAGGGGTGCTCATATTTTTCACAGTATCAGTATTGGCGGTTGGCTCGTGACCGAACCTGTATGTGTCTATGTTCTATGTTTACTTGCAACCTTCTGACCCTAGTTTTTAGTTCATGTCAGCACGCGTTTTCGATCTATTTCCAACGCGGTTACTGATGGAGTTATCTTGACAGTGTCCCTTCTTTGTACGAGAAGTACATCAACGCGTCTACCGTGGCGGTCGATGAGTGGACGCTGAGCACCAACATGCGAGCCGATACGTCGAATGGCGGCATTAACCAGCTTGAGGACCACTACAAGACGTTTATTGTAAGTGTCTCGACCTGCCGCTCGATGCCTTGATTCTGAATTACGTTGGACGTCATAGACGGAGCAGGACTTCGCCGAAATGGCTGGCGCTGGTTTCAACTACGTCCGGATACCTCTCCCATATTGGGCAATTGAGGTCTGGGATGGCGAGCCCTTCCTCGAGGGGGTGGCATGGCAGTAAGCTTCAGATTGTACAACTATCTTTAGTCCGGTCCGTACTCACAGGCGGCATAAATAGATATTTCCTCAAGGCTATTCAATGGTGCCGCAAGTACGGTCTTCGGATCAACCTTGACTTCCACTCGCTTCCCGGGAGCCAGAATGGCTGGAATCACTCTGGCAAGCTCGGCTCAATTAATGTCCTGAACGGCCCGATGGGTGTGGCCAACGCACAGCGCTCGCTCGACTACATTCGTATCCTCGCCGAATTCATTTCGCAGCCCGAATACAGTGATGTTGTCACCATGTTCAGTGTCACCAACGAGCCTGCTGCAAACGACTTTGGCCAGGATCCGCTGGAGAGATAGTATGTTCTCAGACCGTGCATTATAGATCTGATTGCTGACTTGCTTTTAGTTACGTTCAGGCCTACAACATTGTGCGGGAGGCCAGTGGTACCGGAGCAGGCAAGGGCCCATACATTGTCCTACACGACGGTTTCGTGGGCCTCCCGCAGTGGACTGGGTTCTTGCCCAACTCCGACCGCGTTGCTCTTGACGAGCACCCTTACCTGTGCTTCTCTACTCAGTCCGATGCCCCGATCACCTCGTACACGAGCACGCCCTGCAACGCGTGGGGCAGCGAGTTCAACACCTCGAACGGTGCTTTCGGCCTGACCATCTCCGGCGAATTCAGTAACGCCGTTACTGACTGTGGCAAATGGGTCAACGGCGTCAACCAGGGCTCGCGCTATGAGGGCGACTACTACCAGGGCAGCTGGCCTACCATCGGCAGCTGTGATTCATGGAATGATTGGCAGAGCTGGGATAATGCCACTAAGGCAGGCTATAAGCAGTTCGCTATGGCTTCCATGGATGCTTTCCAGGTAAATATGTGTAGTTTTTCATAAAGATGTCACTGCTAATGTTTGGTTTTAAGAACTTCTTCTTCTGGACATGGAAGATCGGTGCTTCGTCTGTCTCAGGCACTGTTGAGGCACCTCAATGGTCATATCAGCTTGGACTGCAGAACGGATGGTTGCCAACCGACATCCGTCAGTCGAGCGGCATCTGCCCGAACCAGAACATATGGTCGCCACCTTTCCAGCCCTGGCAGACTGGAGGCTCGGGCGCCGGCCAGATCCCCGCTTCTGCCACCCAGGATCTCACCTGGCCGCCGCCGACTCTGTCGAACTCCGGCTTCGCCACGAATGCTGCCAGCTTCCCCACTTACACACCCACCGGGACGCTCACCACGCTCCCTGGCCCTACCTTCACCACGTCGTCCGGCAAGAGCCAGGGCACCGCCAGCGCAGGCGACGGCTGGGCGAACCCATCCGACACGCAGAAGGCCATGACACCCGTCTCAGGGTGCAGCTACCTCGATCCATGGGTTGGCCCCACGTCGCCACCTGCCAAGTGCAAAGCTGGCGGTGGTGGTGACCGTCGCCGCGCCTATCCCCCGACGCCGTCTCCCACATGAACGGCTCGCTCTTTCATATCGGGATTGTAAGACCTGGGAATTTGGGATGTGACTTTTTGGGCTTTCAGTGGTGATGTCGAACGTGACGAATAACCTTGAACATGACAAACGAACGTTGACCCCGGACCGAGACTTATACGCGCCCTCACCCTCTCTTTGCTTTGCGGACAATTTTTTCTTCTTTTGTTATATGTTTTATATACCTTTCGGGCGCATGGACTGACTTTATAACAGGAAGATGATAAAGGGAGATGATAAAGGGTATCTTTCTTGCCTTCTGATAATTGTCCTGGACTCTTCCCCTTCCACAACGCCTACTAAAACCTCGCTTCGTACCTTGACATCGCTTTATATCCAGCCGCAGCTTGTCGCTGATACCTATCGCCACACGCACTTACTCACTCCCGTGTCCTGTTCTATACCTGTTTCCTCCTTTACCCATCCGCTGCCTCCCATCATCGATGCCCTCAAGGTTCTGGAGGAGCCTGTCATCATATCTTACACGTACTATCGTCATCTTGCTTTCAGGACACTGTTTTGTTCCCTACCCCAACCGAGCCTGACGCATATATACAGTATACATATATTCCCGTCGATGTCGCTATATATCCTACGTTATACATACGTATGCTAGAACGCGTAATATTCGGGCTTGCATACCACCTACATCGTCCCAGGTCTTGAAGCTTGCTGAGCAACGTCTTGGTACAATCACGATGGAAGCGATGGTGAATTCAAGCATCTGGTCGTTGTGACCAGGGTGACCTGAATTGACGAGCAGGGGTAGTACATTGCAACCGGCTTATTATACATGATGCGCATTTCTTCGTCGTTAAGTTAAGCACTATACAACGCAATTTCTTACAGCGTCCGAGCGAACGGCGACTCCGAGTCAGTGAGCGCCGTATGTGGTCGCGTAGCGGTCCTCGTAGTCCTCCATGCCGCCGTAGCCGCCTTCGAAGTCGCGCTCCTTCTGCTGCTGCGTGCCGACGCTAGCCTCAGCCTTCGTCCCGGCGGCGGCGTTAGGATCGAGAGTGGCAGAGGGATCGCTGCTCTCAGCGGTCTTGTCCGAGTTCTTTACGCTTTCGCGCAGCGCTGCGAGCTGTTCTTGCTCCTGATGTAGATATCCGAGCAGAGATTGCCGGCGGTGGTATGTGAGTGTCGTGTCGAGAAGTCGAAGCGAGGAAGTTCGAAGATCGTTACGGAAGTTAGTTTGTTCGGTGCAAGGTTGAGTTAGGCGCGGGCGGTTCAAGGTTCGAACGTTCGAACGTTCAAAGATAGAGATTATTAATATGAGTGATGCTGATGTGTATGCTTGGAAGCGTCGAGCTGACCTTCTGGCGGATGTACTGGGCCTCTTCGGCTTGCTCTTTCGACTTCCAGTTCGGGTCCTGGCAGTGTTTCCCGGTCAGTAGCGCTTCACTTTGCATACAAGGGTCGTCAGTAATGAGGCTAAGGTGGGGTACATACCTGGGCGGTGTATCCGGTTCCTCCTGATGTCATCGTGGTTGCTGGTAAAGTGATAGTGCTCGCAAATGCAAGTCAGGGATCTTCGGTCACGGTGGAGATGATGTGACATCATTCGATCACAAATAGCGCCCACTTCATTTCGCTCCCAGCTGCTCCCGTCTGTACCGCTGATCTCGCCCCATGTTAGGTAGTAGTGTCTACTATTCCGTTTTCATTTTTAGGCAGGACAATCCCAAAAAAAAATTCGCCACTGTCAGCGCAAAGCAGGTGTTCCCTTTCCGAGGTGTCTGCAAGTGGTAACTGTGGCCTCATGGTGAACATTGACGGTAAGACCCGTAATCTGATAATCGCGTTGGCGCTCGACTGCATTGGGCGGCAAACAGTAACAGGCGAGGTCTTGAGGTGCCGAGCACAGTTTCGGCAATTTGCGCTCAACAACGCGAAAGCTATGACAGTACACCTACCTCGTTCCTTCGGATCCAGGATCCCGGAAAGAAACGCGAACATTATGACTTAGGTCTAAGTAGCAAAGAAACGTAGGACCCGAAAAGTAGGAAGAAGAATAGATACTCTCTATAAACCTGGTTCCCTCGGATGCACGGATCCGCAACGAACGCGAATATTATGACAAACAGTCCTGGTTTCCTCGGATCCAGGTTCCGGAATCAAGGCACCGTGATGCGTTCTTGACAAGCCTGACGCGTCAACTCGGCTTTCCCCACATCACTCCAGAGTACGTGTGTCCATTCGTTCCCAGAGTATAGTGGTTCGTGAAATCTTCGCCCGTATCCAGTCAACAGATGCTGCGCCGCAACAAGGATGCCGTCGCGGACGTGTTTCTCCGGCTCGAAGTCGACACGTTTAGACACGCTAATTAAGGTTTGCATGGGCACGTCGGGGAGAGCGCAGTGATGAACGCAGACCTTCGACCCACCTGGTCTGCATCTGAGGACGTGTCTATTGACCTTATCATAGGCACTCCTGAGGTTTAAAGGCAGGCGTGAGCCAGGTGGACATGTCAAACACCATTTACCCCACTCATTCCTACTTCCTACCACCATGAGCGAGTCCAAGCGCTTCAGTGTTATTGTCGCTGGCGGAGGCACGGCAGGAGTGAGTCCAGCTTTTCATAATCTTAACTCTGGCTAACGATGTCCAGGCCAGCGTTGCTTTCTTCTTGTCTCAGCTCAACGTGAACGTCACTGTTCTCGAAAGTCGCCCGGGCCGCCAGACAGACCAGCGAGGCAGTATTGTCATTCTGGGACCCAACGGGATGAACGTAATGCACAAAGGACTTGATGCCTCGAACGTGCTGCTGAGCCGTCAATGTGGTCTTCCTGTCCCACATATCTATCTCCACGACAATCAGGGCAGCGTCCTTGGCAGCGTCCCGCAGGGCACAGTAGAGCGCTTTGGGTTCCAAAGCCATGTTGTTACACGGTGGGACATACAAGAAGTCATCATGGACAAGCTCGAGACCTCAGGGGGAGAATACGTATGGAACGCCAAGTTCGAAAGTTTCGAGGAAGTCGAAGATGGAGTCGTTGTCCGTTGGACGGAGGCCGGCAAGGCGAAGGAGCGACAGGTTGACTTGCTCATTGGTGCGGATGGGATTTGGAGTAAAGTCAGGACAAGGTACAGTATATCACATCGGTTCTTTGAATTCTTGCTCACTCTCCGTTTCAGTTTGCACCAGAAGCTGGGGCTCGATGTCCCTAAACCACGTTATAGCGGACTCGCGGGTTTTGGTGGTGACCTCGAAGCTGGAGAAGTACCTGGGATCAGCCAGATTCTCACGAAGGATAAGCCTGTGGTCATGTATCGGGGCCGCACAGGGTTCATGGGTATTGGATTACTCGACGGGCCATTGAAGCGCATGTGGTGGTAAGGGCTCGTTGGTTTTTTGGACTCGATGACAACTAACTACAGATACCAGGTGGGTCACAAACGAGACGCCTGACAGGCCTAGAGAGGAGTGGAAAATGTCCAGAGACGAAATCTTCAAAGGGGTTGGTCTTGAGAATGCTATTGGAAAGTCATGGGATTATTAACCTGCTTTGCTCTTAGATCGACAATCGCTTTGGTGATTGGGCTTCTCCCATACCAGAGATTCTTGCTGCTGCAAAGAGGTCCGATAAGGAGATATTTGTCTGGCCAATTAACGAGTTGGGGAAGCTCAAGAATTGGCACACTGATCGAGTGGTGTTGATCGGAGACGCAGCACACGGTTTGTGCTTTAATACCCGTCCCATTGTATGACTTGCTGACTTTGTGTGTATTCAGCAATGCCTCCTCACTCAGGGCAAGGCGCCTCGCAAGCCCTTGAAGACGCTGCCTACTTTGCTAATCTCCTTCGAGATTTCCTCGAAAAAGGACAGCGAGGTGGCGAGGAGCTCAAGGCAGTGCTCGCAGCCTTCCAAACAGGCCGCCAGCCACGCGTCAATATGATCCTCGATGAGGCGAACAAACGTGGGGATAACAAACGCGATATCGGCGCTGTGAAAATGTTCCTCATGAGGTGGACGGCGAGGTTCTTTTTCATGTTTGCGAGTGACAGCTGGTTCGATACCTGGTTTGGTTACGAGGTTCCTGGGATCGACAAGTGGGCTGAGTTAAGGCAGGGACATGTGTCTAAATCCTGAGGTATTTCTGAATGGGTTTTAAGGCTCCATCTACAGTGCAAGAAATTTAATGTGCGTAGTTGCACGACTTGTAATAATTTTGAATTATTATTTTGCCATAACGTCGCTCCAGCTTTGATGAGTGTGCGGTCCGAGTGGTTTTGCAATGCAATTGCGCAGTATGGTGCGACAATACAGATGACACTTACTAGTAGTTAGGGTCGGTAGAGTGAGTATAATTGGGCCACAAACATGTAAAAGTTCAACGTAGAACGACAATAAAATGATCAAGCAAGAAGCATTGGCTCAACTCTACAGGGCGATTTCGGTTTTGTCAGTACGAGGGTCCGTATGAGACTTTTTCCAGTGGTGGCGAATTCGAAGTCCTTCAATATTCAATGATGATGTTGTTCGAGAAATTGAGACCACTTATATTTGGTTGTGCAAGGCACACTTGACGCGATGCGTAGTAGTCGAAAGAGGCTAAGGTTAGTAACGTTGTAAGGCGCGGACGCGATTTGTTCTTGCTCACTGAGTATCGTACCTCGCGTACAAACGCTTCGCGCTGGAAATCGGTTGGACACAACAGCCAAGCCAGCTGAGTCGCCTTGCCCATTACCGCCAATGTAGGTATGTTCTCGCCAGCATCATCTGCTGGGCCCGATCAAATACCAAACCCTGCTCACGTACTTTAGATTCATTCCCGGCGACTTGGCTTACCATGTCCGTGCACGCCCAACTCCCTTGTCAACATGCAGAGCATCTAAGCGTTCTTCGTCATACGATATAGATCCGACGATTGAGAACCGTTTCCTCCAATGTCGGCCGCGTACCGCACAGCACCCCCAATCGCCACCCTCCATGATACGTTCGCGCAACCAGTCAGCGCCCTTTGCTTTGATCCAGTGTCAGACAGTATCTGGGCCGGGACAGAGACAGGGACGGTTGTTGCCCTTCACTCGATCCAAGGGATCCGGGGCGTGTCTTTCCCCGTAGGCGGTGGTCACCCCGTCCGGCACATCTCAGTCGGGAACAACTTCGTTCGGGCATATGGCGTAGCAGGAGTCGGCGTGGGCTCTTGGGCGAAAGGCGGAATGAACAAGTGGTTTTACCAGTGCGCGATTATATCTTGATTTGCCGCTCATATCTCAAGTAACCATCGTCTTGACTATCCAGACCCACAGCATCCCTGGCCGCCGTCTCGAACAACACATACGCGACCAACGTGATCGCCGCATCGACGGAGGACCAGCATGTGCTTCTCCTGAACTCGATGACTGGGGCGGCGCTTCGCCAGGCCGCCACCTCATCTGTGGTGACTCACCTCCAGTTCTCTTCGTCTGCCCTTCTCGCAGCATCGCGAGATGGGTTCATCCGAGTGCACGACCCGCGCAGCGGCATGCGGCGAGAAGACGGAGAGAGCCTGATCCAGCCACATACGACAGGGATAGAGGATATTCAGACGTCTGGGAACTATCTGTTTACGATTGGATGGAGCATGAGGTACATTTGTCCATGAATACCCCTACGAGATAGGATCGCTAACATCGAGGTTTGTCTAGGCGGGGTCATGCTTTTCCTGATCCTCTGGTAAAGATGTACGATATTCGCAATATGCGCCCCCTCCCCCCAATCCCTTTCTCGGACGGCCCAGCGTTCATCAATGTCCTGCCCAAGCAATCTTCGAGTTTGATTATTACCTCCAATCAAGGACTTGTCAACGTAGTTGATGTTTCTGATGTTGCTAATGCCAGCAGTTTCAACCAGGTGAGCAAAGTTACGAGGGGTTTGAAGATTCTTTTGTTGATGCAATTACCAGCTTGAGACAGGCTCGTACATCACATCCACCGCGGTATCCTCCAATGGGTCCTACGTTGCCTTCGGTGACGCATCCGGCGCGATTCACTTGCTTACCGCTACCGAAGAAAATGGGGACCAAGAAACAGAACTGTTCAATGGGTTTGAAGGGCAGCCCGCTGAGTGGGCGGATGTACCAGAACCTGTGCCCGAGATCACATGGACCGATGAAACGTGAGTTACACCGTTAAGCTCACTCTGTGTGATAAGCTCAAGGTTTGTAACAGACCTCTGAATACAATTGGCATGCCATATTACAATGAACTACTGCTCTCGTCATGGACGCCTGCTTTGGCTACATCACCCTGTCCACCGCCTACGAAGATCCCACCACAAATATTGAGCACAATGAAAACGAACGACAACGTCGCATATGCGGCTCTGCCAAAGGAGCTACGCGGTCGGCGGAATCGCGTTGTGCAGACGCAAACTCGCGAGGCACGGTTTAGAAGTGATAAACGGCGTAATGAGGTAAGCCCTCGATCCGTTATAAGGCGTTTGTGAAATAGGACTGACGAGCCTTGTAGTCTATCGATATGGAGTCGCTCTCACTTGACGACAGCGCCGAAGAGGTACCACGTCTCTATCGCAAGGTTGAGATTGAGTATTCCAAGTTTGGTGTTGAGGACTTTGATTTCGGGTTAGTATGGTGCCAGAAAAATTATACTGCTTTGGCTTACGTCCTGAACCAGTTTTTACAACAAGACGCCATACAGCGGTCTTGAGACCCATATCCTGAACTCCTACACCAATGCGCTTGTTCAGGTACTCAACTATTCTCCTACGGTCGCGCGGCTAGGGAGGTCGCACATTACAACTAATTGTCCCCGAGAACAATGTCTGTTGTGCGAGCTCGGCTTCGTGGTGCGAATGCTGGAGGATGCTCGGGGTACGAACTGCCAAAGCAGCAACTTCTGCAGAGCTGTGGGACTGCTAGCACATGGTTCATACTTTTTTATCCTTCAATTGCAACGATTACTGAGATATCCTCCAGCGCAAAACCAACTCGAACTCATCGACTACGGCGGCGAACCGAACGAGATTGACTATGCACACAAGATTCAGGCCTTCCACCGTTTCCTGGTTGATCATCTCTGTCTTGAGGGCAATGCTTTCCCGCATAACCCGGAGATTGTCAAGCCATCAAATTCACCGTTTCAGTCCGAACTCCACTCGCCGACGCAGTCGCCTGCTGCAGCACCCATCACGCAGCTCCTTGGTGTAGACGCTAAGAACGTCGTGGTGTGTACGAACTGCAAGGCCGTGCGCGAGAAGGAGAACATGACGCACGTGGTGGATATGATCTACCCCCGCAAAGTTTGTCTCTCGCTCGCTTTGCCTCCCTCTACAAATAAATTTCTAACCATCTGCTTTTTGTTTTCACATCAAAGCCGCTCCCTAATGAGCCGATTCCAGCAACTGACTTCGCAGGCATCCTCCAGTCCTCGCTGGTCCGTCAGCTGTCCTACAAGGCGACGTGCCAGACGTGCAAGTCCTTCGCGACATTCCTGTCCCAGCGCTCGATCCCAACACGCGATCTGCCTCCGGTGCTCGCTGTGAACGCGAGCGTGTACGGCGAGGACAGCCTCAGGTTCTGGATGGGCGGGCCGAATGGCGAGCCGGCGGGCGCGTGGGGGCGAGCGAGGAACGAGGGTGTGGGACGGGGAAGGAGGTTCCTCGAGGAGAGGGTCGAGATTTGTGGGCATGTTGAGGGTGTGGATGATCCGGATACGGTCGAGTATGAGCTCAGGGTCAGTTTTCTTTGTGTTTGGTTGTTGATTGTGTGAGGAGAGCTGAGTTTGGTGGTAATTCAGGGTATGGTGGTGCAGATCACAGCGAAGGACAAGAGTTCGCACCTCATTGCTATCGTCAAGGGTGCGCCGGATGATACCTTTCAGCGATTACTTTTACTCAGATTTTTTGCTCAGTCCCCGACGCGAGAAGCGAGAGCCCGTGGTATGTCTTTAATGACTTCGTCGTTCGCAATGTTAGCGAGGACGAGGCGTTGAGCTTCCCCGGGGCTTGGAAGGTCGGTGTCATTATTCTAGGTCAGGGAACTCCAAGCTCACTTTTGTTGCTCAAGGTTCCGTCCATTCTGTACCTCGAACGCGTGGATATTCGCCCGAAGCTTGATTTCAGTGGTCTGCCTGATGGCCTGGACCCTTCGATATTATGCCAGGACACGAACATTTCTATGTAAGTCAGATCTGTTATGCCGGGCTCAATCCTGACTAGCATCTGTCGATATAGCAATCGAGACCAATCACTAATTCAACACGAGTGCTTGAGGTTTGAGGAATTACCTACGCCTGGCACGCTCGTTGCCATCGACGCTGAGTTCGTCTCGATGCAGCAGGTCAGTCTCCTGCTTTCTTGATACAAGAATGCAAAGCTGAATTTATTGTGGCAATTTATAGGAAGAAATCGAGTATCGCTCGGATGGAACGAACCGTGTCCTACGTCCGGCGAGATTAAGCCTGGCGCGTGTGTCGGTGCTTCGCGAGGGCGGTGTGCCCTTCATAGACGACCATATCCACACTAGCGAGGCGATCGTCGATTATTTGACCGAGTTCAGTGGCATACGATGTAAGTTTTCAAGAGTGTGTGCAAGTTACCAGGATACTGAGCAACTGCTAGATGGGGACCTTGACCCACGGCTTTCAAGACATACTTTGACCCCTTTGAAGGTTGTTTACAAGAAACTCCGTTTGCTCGTAGACCGCGGGTGTATCTTCATTGGACATGGGTTATCGAAAGATTTCCGGATTATCAGTGCGCTTAGCTTCCCCCCATAAATTTCACGATAAATCTAAATTCGTTAATTTGTTCAGATATCTTCGTGCCCCCAGAACAAGTGATCGACACCGTTGACCTGTACTTTTTGCGCTCTCGCCAACGCCGTCTCTCGCTTCGGTTCCTGGCATGGATAATGCTGAACATACGCATTCAAGGCATCGAGCACGATTCTGTCGAGGATGCACGAACTGCACTGTCATTGTTCCAAGCGTACCAGGAGCTCGAAGGCCGAGGCGAGTTTGATCGAAAACTCGACGAAATATATCGGGAGGGCAAGGCGACAGGATGGCGACCACCGCCAGTAGAGGGTGCACCAAGTTCACCGCCCATTGGATCACCAGCTGTTGGATCGGGTCTTGCTGGTGCCATGACACCAACGACATCGCCTCAGCGCGGGGGAACTCCTCACGGGACACCCCAGGGATCTTTCGTTGGCGGCACAGGTTCAGGTGCCGTCAGCGGCGGTGTTGTTCTCGGTCGAACGCCAGGGTTAAGAGCGCTACAGGCTCAGGCTGGGTTTCCGTCTGCAGGGCAGCAGATAGGGCACTCGCGAGTGTTTGGAAGTGGAGGTTTTGGACCTGGGCAGGGCGGAGGTGTGTTTGGAGGCGGCCAAGGCATGCAGGGATCATTTGTAGCGCCGGGTCAGCAGATACCTGTGATGGGTGCGTTGCACGGTGCGTTTGCTGGCTTTAACGCCAATTTTGGACCGGGAGGTGGAGGGGTGTTTGGGAACGGGTGGGGAGGCAGTGAGGATGGCGGGTCAGGAAGGAGATGATGCTTGTGTTGTTTACTGATTTTGACTATGTATCGGTAGACATTCCTCTTGTCTAGTTACTGTCTTTGATGATCTATACTCCTTGTTCTTTGGTTGATAAATCATGTTGGCTGTTCATGAGTTGCAGCGGAGCGTGGATTCCGTGGGATGCATGAGGTCAACGTCCGCGGCAGTACTTGTCCCTGAACGGATTCGGTGCACTCGTCCATAATACCCTGTGCTTCTTCCCGCTGTACAGCAGGTACACTCTCTGTTCGACGACTTTGTTCTTTCTGCCGAATATTTTCCCCATCGACTGTACATCATCTCGCATTTCCTGAATTGAAGAATACATTTGCTTATTCGCGGGATCGCAATGTCCTCATCCCCAACGCCGGTCGCGGTCCCTTACCAAGCATATAGAGTGCGTAGCTTCTTTCACTTCTTGGATAGTATCCTCCACCCTCTTCGCCTTCATGATGTCTGCATTTTTGAGTAAAGCTGACTGACGTCTCTAAATGGCTCAACTCCTATACCTTGAATTGTTTCGTTGATCATCTCCAATATTGGCTGGGCCTGAATATTGAATTCTTGGCACGTAATGCAGTCCAAGCGACATGGGAGAACTTCGTCCGCAAACTTCAACAATAGTGCCCCATCTTCCCCTCCCCTCCAGGCCTCGCGCCCTTCAAGCATGGTGTTCGGTAGCCCCGGCCTAAACGGCAATGGTGGTTTCTCCTTGACGAATGGTGCACCTAATGGAAACGGCGTCGCACCACTAGCTGCAGCTGCAGAAATCTTCCCCGTCGAGAGAAAGGCTCCCATCACACCAGAGGCGAACAGCATTATCTCAGTTTTCCAAGAAGAGAAGCCCATCCCAACACCGACGCCAACTCCCGAGCCTATCTCTATCCATGTCACCCCGCACATCAATGGGCCCGTTTCTCGCACCGAAGACTCCCTACTTCCTGCTCTCCCAATAATCAAGGTGGAAAGCGCATCAACTGCCCCCATAAATGGCGACGCGAATCCAACGGAGAACGGCGAGGATGGGGAGGTAAAGATAGACGTTGATTCGCCAACTACGCCCACTGCCCTCGCAAGCGCCGGTGCTAGCGTAAACGGACCTCAGAATGGCAAGGACAAACGACCGGAAGTTTCAACTTCTCCACCATCCTCGAATCCCCCAGTGGCCTCACCGCCATTACAAGCCTCTGCCATGCCCTCTTCGCCTCCAAGTTCATCGACATCAAAGCCTTTGCCAGGCTCACGAAAGATATCGACATTCAGACGCGTACCTCTCCGTCCATCACCACTCAACCCCGAGGGGTCATCGACATCGCCGCGATCCGTGTCCACTTCGGTGATTCCGTCTCCTCAGCAAATACACACCCGCCTACCATCAAAGGCTACCCTGCTGCCGAGGCAGCTCGACCCACCTGCTCCTCCACCCAAGCCTGCTCACGCTCAACCCCTCATGCACCAGCGTACAATCTCGTCAGGCTCTTCAACATCGCCTCTCGGATCGTCTCCAACGACCATATCCCCTCTAGGCTCGCCGTTCTCGCCTACCCCTCCCACTGGCTCGCTTATGCCCTCACCAATGCCGGGGTCCTCTCTCAGAAACTCTCCCTTACCCTCCCCTGCGTCTGCACGCGCTCCGATCCTTGGTACCCAGTCTCCTCCAGCTCGCACTCCGATTCCACAGACCCCCGCTGCACTGGCCGCACCTTACGCCGTGCGCACGAATTTACACTCGACCACGCCGTCCTCTTCTGCACCCGCCACGCCATCTATGCCACTGCCCGGCGTCGCTCCACCAGGCAAAGCAAGAACTACGGCACCATATCGTCCCGGGTTCCAGCCAAAGGGCGTGTACCGCCCGCGAACAGACGCGTTCATCGAGGCACGGAATGCACATCTCGATGAGGCGCGCATCGAACGCACGAAGCTGGAGCGACGCTTTGAGAAGCTCGTGACGCTGCATTTCCCGGCCGAGGAGAAGGAGAAGGGCAAAGAGCGTGGGCGACTTGGGTCGGGATCTGGGTCGGGATTCAGTGGTTCTGCGGGAGCGGCGCCGGCGGTGGCAGCAGCGGTAGCGGCGGGGCAGAAGAGACCGGGGGTCGGGCTGCGCGGGGGTCCCGGGGCGAAGGAGGTGGTGAGGAGGTCGAGCAGTTTCTTCGATCCGGAGACGTGGAAAGGGCTCAAACCGGGTGAGCTGTGGAAAGGTGTCGTGTCGGGTGGGGAGAAGGACGAGATCAGAGGTGAGTCGTGCAAAGTCGAAATTGTTACATCCCGTTTTTCCTTTGTCGTGCAATTATATTTGTCATAATGGGCGGCAAACTGACGCTCTGTTTCATTCATGCAGTCGCGGAGCAGCGCATAGCACCCTGGGCAGACGACAGCAGCGAGTCGGCCTGTCCGATTTGCACCACGTCTTTCCATCCGCTTACAAACCGGCGGCACCACTGTAGACTTTGCGGAAAGCTGGTGTGTGCATCACCGCCTGCACCCGGAAGAACCGCCTGTTCGATCCGTTTCGTCGTTGACGGGCGCACGCGCGCGATCGAGGAAGTGGGCGAGGGCGTGGATTATGGGGTGCGCCGGCGCACGAGTTCGATAAGCGCGGGTGATGGAAAAGGCAAGGGCAAGGGCAAAGAAGAGGACGAGGACAAGTTCTTAAAGGGTGTGAGGGTGTGTGCAGAGTGCCGACCTGTGCTGATGTGAGTACAATTCATGAGGCATCTTGAGGGAGGAGTGCTCATGGTTTTGCAACAGACGACGGCAGTACTATCATTCAATGAGTCGGATACCGCCATTCGCTCGGTATTACGATGTACGTGCCCTTGGATTGCCTTTCTATTTTTATTATTACATGAGGCTTACCTCCCTACTCTACAGGCTCTCATATCCCTGGAGAAAGAGATTGGTGAGGACCTACCTCAATTTCAGGAGCTAGTCCTCAGCCTGTCGTACGTATCTCATTTTCTTGGTATGCTTTAATACTGATTTCATTCATGAAATAGGCAAACACCTGACGCACATCCACCCAAGGAGGCAACGGCAGCACGGAAGCGTCTTCTTGACGCTTTCTCATCCTACGATGCACTCTCAAAGCGAATCTTATCCCTACCCACCCCTGGCGGCCGTGGCTCATCGCAGGACCGCGTCCAACGTGCGATTGGGATGCGCGCCACCGCCTTCTTGCAGCAGAACATGGTCGGGCTGCAGGCACTACCTAAACCCACCCGGCGGGCCACCAACGGCTCCGGCACACCCAGCACTCCCGGTACGCCGGGCACGCCTGCGACAGAGGTGTCGGACGGTCGGGCGGATGCACTGGACGAGAGCGCGCGGGCGCTGCAGCCGCTGCTCGAGCAGGAAGCGCTCCTGGAGGGCTTCGTCGAGGAAGCTATGGCGCATCGCAAGTTCGAGGACGCGAGGACGCTGAGGAAGAATCTGGCTGAAATACGCGGGGAGATCTCGAGGATTGTGGGCACTGGTGGTGTCGTGCCGCCGTCATAGGCAATGCGGGCGTGGTTTTCACACCTCAGGATGGGTCGACATTTGCGCAGCACCCCGTTCCACCCTATGCCACTGTCGGTGCCGTCATCTTTAAATGCCTCAGTTTTGCTTCACCATCATGTGGACGTCATTCTAGATGCAAAGTCAAGAATAGAGAACATGGATCCATTTGTTAATCTTACATCACACTTCATGCAACCGGAACACAGGCATTCTTATTCATAGGTAATATTTATCATGGATGCTAGATGACCAGAAACAGAGCAATGCGACTTTATATGCCTTGCTGTTTACGCTCAGTGTTCTGCGCCTGCGGATAGAAGACGACAAACATAGGTGCGTGAGAACTGTGTACGGCAGCCCCTGTGACCACATAAATTGGACGAAATGACCGTGGACCAACAAATCACCACTTGTTGTTATCCTGAGACGACCACATACCTAAGCTACACTTCATGGCCAGCCGACATCGTCCGCATGCGATCAGTCAGAACGAGTCGGTTTTTCCTCGTTATATGGAGAGTCTGAGGTCTTCCGATAAAGATAAGTTCGAGGCGCGAATGGTCAAGCTCACGGGCTGGTTTACTTCCCCGAAGGCTTACTATGAGGAGAGCAAAGCATGGGCTATCAAGCTCCTCGAGGTTTGACACGTTCGATCTTTTTGTGGACACCGTCGTCGCGTTAACAACCCCGCGTTCGTACTCTAGGCGGCTCGAGAGAATATCGAGACAAACTACATCGGATCCAATGCCAGCGTTTCCACCGATGCGGAACAGCTCGAGCTTTTGCTCAAGCGCTTCTACGAGATGGCGAAAGAGATATGGTATTACAAGTACAAGTTTGACGGGGATCTGAGAGGTATGTGGCACTGAATATTTTGCCCTCTTCGCGCCACGCGTACTGGCAGGCTGACGCGCATGTCCCGTCTTGTCAGGTCGCCTCGACGCGGTCATGCAGGCCGCGACGCGATTGAAAGAGTCCGGTGGGGAAAATGTCGACGCGAATGCTTCCGCTGACATTGAAGTCGATGACGACTCGGTTACGATGACATCGTGAGTCGCGACGTCCAATTGATCGCATGCCCCTATCACGTGAAAGCGCGAATCTTGCCCAACATTGCATTCGACGATCATTGAAGCTTATACGTGACCTCGCTACTTGCAGAGATGGGAACTCTACAACCTCTATCGAGGAAGGCGAGATAACGGACGAGTATGACACGACCTCCACCACATTCACGACGCCGCCGACGACCTTCTCAACATTCGCAACGCCTTTAAAGCAGTCATACTCTATACTAGCAGCTGGTGGTCTTCCCGATTCGCCGCCTGATCCAGATGCTCTCCTTGCCGAGCTCGAGAAATGCACCGATCCTGCGTTTCATCGGACCATGGAGGTCCTGCGGAGAGGCTCCCATTGGCCTTCTGTGTCATTCGCCGAACTCGATCGTCATTCGCCTGTGTACAGTGAAGAACACGCCGCCTGCCAGTGGAAACCTGCACTCGATGGCGGTTCCTTGGGCGCAAAGTGGGTTGAGACCCCAGCTTCAAAACATTTGCTTGGTTCTTTCGGCGACGACGACCATGGCCTGGCCTCATCGAACATCATTGCTGAGCCCATGACTTCTCCCTGGAAACTCAGGAAAGGTATCTCTGGTGACCGAAGAACAGAACAGATCCAGCCAGATTCTCATGAGGTTTCTCCGCCAACGATGTCTATCGATGAGCTACTGAGCGAAGAGTACGTCTCAGAGGCTGCAGAGTTGGGAATGCCCCGATTCCCGGAAGAAGATACATTTGTCCTCTGTGCTCCCCGGAACAAACGCGACGACGAGACTGAATTCTCGTTCACATTGGACCCTGAGCAGTACGCACGTACGCAGCTTTGGGCGTCGCGTAAAAATGGGCCTGTGTAAGTTTTCTTACATTAGAAAATAGCTGCATTCCTTAAAGACAGCTGATGCCAGGAACGTGGACGGCGCGTTGTGCATTTCGCTGGGATGCTATCGCCAGAGCACTTTCATCGAGCTGATGAACCTTGGGACACACATATGGAAAGATCTCAACAATCTCACCAATCGTATGACGTGCGAGTGGCCAACCGAGCCCGCTTACGTGCAGGCGTTATTGCCGTCGAAGTGCACGAATATACCCATCTGTTTGCCCGGATTCGACATTGTCGTACGTGTTGACCCATCGCTTGTATGCCCTGACCCAAATTTGACTTGAACTCCGCACCGCTTTCGCTTTGGATATGGTTTGAATGTACAAAGCGCACGCCCGAAGGCTGTATCGACATCACCGAGCACGCGCGTGCCGGGGTGAACAACCTCACCATCGTCAAGCAGGGGCCCGTTGAGAGCCGCGATGATTTTCTCCTGATCGTGCACGCGCATCGCCCCACGGAACTGCAGCTTCAGCAGCTAGGCAAGCGCGCAAGGGTCCACAGCGGTTTCGCTCGCTTGATGACTGACATCCGCACTCAGTACAGTACGATCCCAGCTGAGTATCTCGCCCTATAGGATTGATGGCTCCGCACAACTTGACTTGTCGAATCGCTGTCGTTTCTTCGTTCTTGTACTAGCATTTTTGAGGATGTTCATAGGAAGAGTCGTTTTTGCATGACGAGGTGGAAGGAAGTACATACCATTGTAATTATACCAGCATTACACGCACATACCGAGACACCTGACTCTCCTCTTGATAATTGACACGGACACTTCGCTTATTGGTCAACATCGTCGCTTGATTTATTACGACAGATAAGATTAAGGCCATGCCAGTCACTGTGCGAATCTGCCTCGCAGAGACAGACGTGATCAAAGCAAACGTGTAACTAACAATAATGAGCTAGTAGGTATGAGTGTCATCAATGCAAAGGGTAGTGCGCAATGCCAAAAAAAAAGTGCAAACGGAGGACAAGGTCATATAGGTAGAGGGAGAGAGGGGTGTTTTGACGATGGAATGAGACCGCAAACCACAAAGGATCATCGACACTCGAACGAGGAAAATGGTGTGTAGAACTTGAAAGGCGTATCAGACGCAAAGGTGCCAGCCAAGGTGAACATACGAAACCAGACTGTGATTATACACATAATGAACAGAGAAAAAATGCAAAAAAATCGCAGCGGCTGCCACTAGCCTTCTTGCACCTGGGCGACAGGCTGAGCGATATTGAACGACATATGAGGCAAAGCGCTCCTGGGAACGTCATGCAACATGGGTGCATTCATAAGCTTGCTGCGTGCCTGCTGCGTGCTACGGCTGCGCGATAGGTTGGCGCCCAATCTGATGTCTATAGGTGGCGAAGCACGCCCAAGGCGGGACGGCGGGAACACCGAGGTTGCGGGTGATGCCGATGCCTGCGTGGTCATGGGCGAGTACCCTCGGGGTGTAGCAGGCGTGAAGGAGGACACGTGTAGCAGCATGGTAAATTCCTGCGTCGCATTCGTGAGCTCGACAACCTTTGCCCGGAGTGCCGGGAAGAGCTCGTGGCCGCTGCCGTGCATCTTAATTATGTTTGACAGTTTAACGACAGCCTATGATATTGAAGCGGATGTGAACCAAAGAAAGGTTAGGTTGAGGTTTGATATAGTTGAAGCGGAAAGCAAAACGCCGGTCAGCGCCCATCTTTATCGGAACAGAGCGAGACACATCACCTTCACAAATACATGAGCGTCCTCCCGAAACCCTCTCTTATCTGCCCCTGCTTCCCCGTCCCTGATAGCTCGTATGTGCGCCTTGAGCATCCCTGTTGTTTCTCTCGCTCGGGCAATCGCCTTCTGAACCTCTTCACTTCCGCCAGGCATGTCCCGTAGGTCTTCGACGATCCTGTCCATCATCCCCCACACGGCGGGGGCCGACTCCACCGCAACCTCCATAGCATCCAAGGCATCCTTATCAACGAGCGTCCGGGATTCTGGTATCTTCAGCGCATGTGGCTTATTCGGAGGCATCATTGGCGAGGACGATGCCGAAGAATTGGTCAACGACGCCTGCGACAACTGTCGCATATGATTTGTCGACTGTGCAGATGAGATGAGATTTCCTGTCGAAGCCGAAGCCTGTATGCGTACAGCGTTGTACCCTCCAGCCAAGCGCGAAGAAGCCAAACTTGCCGATGATGCAGATGTCAAAGCAGGGTGCCTGGGTCCGGTGCGCACCATAGGCATAGGACCGCTCATGCCGCTGAAGAATGCGGAAGACATCGCCGGAAGATCATAAGCAGGTAGCGACCTGCCAATCTCGACGTCTTTCGAGCTGAAGGAACCTGCATGCCGCCGAGACCTTGCTGCCCCCCCGAGCGAGTTTGGTTGCCGAGGGCGAGCAAGAGGCGCGCCATGCGGTGGCGGTGATTCCAGGGAAGCAGAGTTAGGACCATCCGGACTCGGCACGTTGCCAGCAAGGGGAAGAGTATGGGACCTAAATACGGACGGGCGGCGAAGGTCCGAGAGCAAAGGTTTAATTGCGTCAATATGAGGAGCCATTGACTGCCATGCACAGGATATCTCAGTGGTCGCTCCGTAAAAGGTTAGTATAAGAGAGCGCATATAGCGGTCATCGTCTTTGGACGCGAGAATCTTCAACTGAAGAGCGAGGACCCCTATTGCCTTCCCAAAGACGGCAACGGTGTCTCGACAACATTCTACCAGTCCACGGCACACTTGCGGGGGCGGTGTTGGCTTTTTCGCCAAAGCGTCGAAGCGGTCCAGAGAGCTGTTGAGCTGTGTCATATAGGTGTGCGCAGGGTCCGTAACCTTCTTCAGCACTGAAGATAGCTGTTGATCAATGGTGTAGGTAATGTAGTGTGATAACGCTTGGTACACCTGAGACACAGAGAAGTAGATGGACCGAGCACACTCGGCGAGATGACGTAGCGAAGGTGCGAGATTATTCGTCACAGCACCCGCAGGCAGAGAAGATAGACGCCTAAAATATGCGTTCCGCGCCTTGTCCACCTGAGGAGCAACTCTTTCGGCAGACCTCGGCGAATCCGTAGGTGGCGTGTACACAGATCTCGAAGGCCGCTGCTGACCAGATTCATCAGAGCCAGAGTCCTGTCGGTGTGACTGAGGAGAAGGCATTGAATATTCGCTTGCTGCATCTATTGAGAATGACCGCGACGAAGTTGAGATGGATTGTCCCCGTTGATCATGGTGTTCGATGCCGTTAGTTTCAGGCAGTGTCTTCTTGCTAAACAAAGCTGGCCGGCGATCACGAGTACCATTGACGGAGGACGCATTGCGGCTATGAAGGGGAAGGTCTGGAACTGCAGTGTGCTCCTCGTCGGTGGACGATACAGATTCTTCGGGAGTCGGGAGGTAGCTCTCTGGTGAGGCTGACCCAGAAGGGAGGACATACGAGCGCACCGCCTGCAATCTCAGTGGTGGTGGCCGCTCGTAACGTGGGGTGACGGGTGGCTTGGGGAGATCAGGGACTGCCGATGCATCAGATTCAAGCGAGAATGTGCGGGCGTGCGGGGTTACACCAGGATCGGGGTCGGGGTCTCGCATATGAGACCATGACTGGATACTGTCCTCGCTGAATGCTGGTGAGGACAATTCGCTCGAGTCAGGGAAAACTTCGCGCTCACATCGAGTCATCGAGAATAGCCTGCTGTTCGAGGATAGAGTCCAGACTGGGCTTTCGTTCGTCCACGTTAGCGCCATTGTCCCTGATCCACCTTTGAACTGACGCAATCCAGTCTTTCATGCTCTGGGGATCATCAGGGCCGACTAAATTGAGAGCACTTGTTGGTGGCCACTCGAGCGGGTTATGGTCTATCTTCAAGATGTCTAGATTCTGGAAATCTGCCAAGTAACTTGGCAGACGAGTTATCTTATTCCGCGACAAGCAGAACACCTAGGGTGTGACATGGGTTCATCTCGTAATTCAAGGTAATGTTGATGAGACGTACATGAATGTTGGCCAGCGTTCCAGGTCTGCTGGGTAGCCTTTTAATCTTATTACGACTAATATCTAATATTTCCAAGGAGGGCATTACGGTTAGCTAGGAGAGGGAGCGTAGAAATCAGCTTTGAATAGTTGCATTGATAGTCGAGAGGAGACGCACCACATCAGGGAATACAGAGAAACTATTGTTCTTCAAATTCAAATATCTCAACTGTGAAAGCAGCGCGAAAGCGGTTGGCAATGTTGCCAGTCGATTAAAACTAAGAGCAATTCTGCGAGGCCAAGATGTGTGAGACAAGCATGATGAACGACCGCGTGGTACAACGCGGGGTAGACGGTAGCGCACCGTTCTATAGAGCTTTCATCCTCGAGGGAATCACCTCTTCCGAACGTGGCCAGGTACTCTGCGCCATCAGCGCTCACGTCCGTCAGGTTGTGACGAGAGAGGTCGAGGGTTGCGCCATCGTCTGGGGAATGGAGACGGGCATCGACAATGTGCTCTTCGGTGAGAGAGGACTGAACGACTGGTGCAGGTTTGGATCCAGCGTTGCTCGGAGGTGCAGACGGCGTGCGCCCAGCTACACGGTCGACATCCGAGAGGGCCATTAGCAGTGGTGGTACAGGTCGACGGCTGGGCTGGTGGCAACGTCGAGCGGGGTGCCCATGCAACACACGCAAAGTTGACCTCTCCTCGCTTGATGGGTCGGTCCTTTTAGGCCTGTCTTGTCGGACATTACTCATCCCAACGCAACTCAATTCAAGCCCCAAGTACAGCGATGCTAATTACGATGGTTGAACGTGCTGCATCTCCATTTCACTATCCAAATCCCCATCCATTGTTTCCTACATATGGACAATATGTCTCAAAACCACATCGACACGGAAAAACTCGTCTCCTCGCTCCGCATCGCATGCCACCAGCCAGGAGGGAAGAACAGCAAATCGCCTGGTTCCAACACGGTACATAGTGCGGCCCGCGACGCCTCCGCCCAAAAAGCCGGATGCTCTTCCCTGGAGCGCTCTTCCATTTCTTTACTTCGGGGGAAAACGTCAACGCGTGAAGTGTTGCTCATCGAAGGATTCGTGTGATTCGCGGCAGGGTGGCTACTCTCTTTCCCTGCGTAAGGATACATGGACTCGGTCACCTCTGGAGGCGCCAGCCAGACAGTTTTTCTCCCTACTACCTGAGCTGAGCGTCAATCAGTACGTATATTTAGCAAAGAAGGTGGCGGCCGTATCACCATAGCAGTTGAAGTAGGGGTCCTACGGGTTGATGAATGTCAAGCGTCAAACGCCTAATAAATTTCGACTATGGCACGGTCGCACTCACCGTATGTGCCGGAGATATAGCTCCGGCTGGACCGAGCCAAACATTTATTACCAGCTGTTCTTCATTTCCTGGGGGCTTGTACTGCAGGAAGCTGTGAGGCGGAGACAACGTGGAATACACATAGTCGGGGATGATAATGTCGTCGCGCAACTGAGGAAACTGGATCATTAGATTGTGCTGGGCCAAGTATAGCACATCATCGGAATGTGGATTCTGATCATCACGAGAAGATATGGCGCTAAGGAAGTTGTCCCAATCCAGCAGCTTTTGTGTCCAGCTATCCGACCTATAGTCAGCGCCAACTTCAACAGGCACGATCCTGCCGGGGCCAGCTAGTGATTGCAAATATTCAACGGAGCGCCAGGGGTGGTTCGTGAGAGCAGGCCAATCAGATACATGTCGCCGCAGGACGAACGGGGTCTTTGACCATTGCTCCTGAAAAGAGAGAAATGAAGGAGCAGATGACAGGGAAGGAACATCGCTGCCGCAGGGCGTAGGGCCATATGCTCCCACACGAGACGAAGGACCACCAAGTAACCGGCCGGAGGCGCTCGCTGGTTTGAGATTCACTGACTGTATCTGACATATGAGTTCGTGAATCAGGTCCAAGCGACCTTCCCCTGGTGCGGCTGCTATGATAAGAGCGGAGTCGAGGGCTTTGACGCTGGCCAGCGCAGCTTCCTCGGTCACGTCGTCTCCACAGAAGGTAAGTCCGCCAAGGGCTCTCAGAATGGATGTCTCCGTGTAGAAGCGCCTCCAGCCGAACTGAGCGGCGGCAGTACAGGAAGCTATCTTGGTATGGGCAGTTTGGATGACCTGGTCCAGCTGAGCGAGCGTCTGAGTCGTTGCCGTGCCATTCTGAAGCGAGCGAGCAGCATCGAGGAGAGCTGAAGCGACCTCTGGTTCCGAAGACGCCAATGCTTTTGGTACGAGATACAATCAGGACACTGCTCGATGCATCATTACATCCAAGAGCGTGCCACTGATACAAAACGTATTCTTACCTGCAATGTGCGGGTCCTTCCGTGACACAAGCTCGTCAACCAGTTCGTCGAGCACCTGGATGTAGAACGACATCGGTATGTCTTGAAGTTGCCAGTGATAAGGTAAGACCTGTTTGGGCGAGTCAGTGTCAAGGAATTCTCGTGTAACTCCACGTGGGAATCGAAGATCTGTCACAGTCACGTGAATGGTACGTGACCGACATTTTTCTTTTTTCGTCACGGGGGCGAGAAGATAAAAAGGACAACGAGGAAGGAGCCGCCGTGAGAAAGTTCCCCAGACGATCATTTCCTCCCAAAGCGCATTTCTTCAGCGGCAACTGCCGACGGCGTAGACCGCTTTCCTTTTTCGGACATGACTTCTAGGTACGACTTCGTCTACGATGTATTATGGCAGAATTTAGTGTTAATAAAACATACCCTCCAGGTTGGACCGGCTCCTCCTTCTCCTTGACACTGGCTCGTCATCCTCCGTGAGGAATACCGCAGCAAAGCAGCTTGCGCAACTTGCAGCAAAGAGCGTTATCAGCGACGTTGCAACCGAGGATGACATCAAGACCACCCGCCAACGTGCCTCGCTCGAGGATTCATCTGCATGGACGGAGTTGATGTCAGTGGTGGCGCGGGTGAGTGCAAGTGCATATAAACATCACAGCTAAGGCTATAATGGTCGCCCAGATATTACCATACTTGCAGTCAAGGAACTTCGAGACTCGCTCTGCAGCATCCAATGCCCTCTCACAAATATTTTCGCTGGTGCCTGTATGGCGGCCTCAAGAGACGGACATGAAGGTTGACGGAGATTCATCTCCACCCGAATTTCCTGCGTTCTCTGTCCAGATCTTGATGCAGGGCGGAAAGCTCCTCCTCGCATCGTCGGGGAAGGAATTCTCAAAACCACAAGGGATTCTTTCCAACCCTGTCGAGCTGAAACGTGCACGGAAGGAGGCGATGGGGAGGTTGGGCTTGGACTTCCTGGACAGCGTAGGTGGGGCGGATGAGATGGACCTTGACAAGGAGTTGGGCATGGAGGAGAATGGGGATGCGGAGCCAGAACCGGAGAGTGCGGTGAAGATGGAACTGACTGTGCCTCCCATGACGCCAATAGAGGTGGATCCGCCAGTCAAGAGAGAACAACCTCATGCGATCCAGATCCAGACGTCTGGGTCTACGCCATCCTCCCCTCCTCCAGCTACGCCTTTAACACCTGCCGGCGATGGCCCGGATCTGAGCGGACTATCTGCTCGCGAACGGAATCGTCTCAAGCGCAAACGCAAACCCGGCAACTCCGCGTTTGTGGCTGCCCCACCTCCAACGAATGCACCGGGGGCGAAATACACACCAACAATTGCAGGACCATCGAATAAGTGAGCATAACGCATATACTTATCTGGATGAATCATTACTTACATTCGTGATTAGGGTTCGACTAGTGTCAAGCGAGGAAAAGGAGCTTCCTGCAGCACGAAAGGACAGCCCACAACCCGCACCCGCAGGGCCGTCGACAGACAAAGTCGTGGTGGACCCTACCAAAGGTGGTGCAGTGTCGCCAAAATCACCACAACAGTCCAATACTTTGGAAGTGACGCCCGGTGTATGGGTATGGGATAGGATCGTGCGGCTTTTGGAAATTGATCTTTTCTCGGCCAACTGGGAGGTCCGGCATGGTGCTGCCCTGGCGCTCCGGGAACTTTTGAAGGTGCAGGGATCCGGCGGCGGTATGCAAGGTTAGCTCGTTCGACTTCGTGACGTGCGTAGGTTGCTGAACATTTGCAGACGACGCAAGTCACGAACAGAACGAGTTCAACCATGAACGGTGGTGCAATGATCTAGCCGCGAAGCTTCTATGTGTTTTTGTTCTTGATAGGTTTGGCGACTTCGTGTCTGATCAAGTAAGCTGAACCTCTGTGTATCTGTGATTTATTAACTCTCAGTAGGTCGTTGCTCCTGTTCGCGAAACTGTTTCACAAACATTAGCATCGCTACTAATCCATATGCCCCGACGTTCCGTCAGCCACGTCCATTCAAATCTTCTTCAAATGATAAGGCAAGATTTCGACCTGACGAAAGATGCTATCAAGGATGGCAAGGGACATGTATGGCAGGTTAGACACGCCGGTTTGCTGGGAATAAAGTACGAAGTGGCCGTGAGATCGGACCTTTTCCTTCCCAGCGAAGGTGATTTGCAGAGTCAAACCGCGAAAGAGATCCTTCAAGGCGTGGTAGACGCGGCTGTCTTGGGGTAAAGTCTTTTCCCTCTCCTTATATGACCAAGAATATTAATTTCTGCTGTATCGTTAGTCTCGGTGATCATGACGATGACGTTAGGGCTGTAGCTGCTTCCTGCCTCCTACCTGTGGCTGAACAGCTAGTCCATCAATTGCCAGAGTGTTTAGACCGAGTCCTAGTAGTTTTATGGGGATGTCTCGGGGACATGAAGGATGACCTTAATTCAAGCGTTGGCGCTGTAATGGATTTGCTAGGTCCGTCGCCCCGCTTTCGAGCAAACGACTTTTTTTATTGACCTTCTTTAGGCAAATTGGTAACTTATGATCGAGTCATTGACATTCTCGCGCAAGCCTCTGTTTCGTGCGTTTCAGCTATCAATATCCTTTTCTTGCCTAATGAGCGAACAGTCTACCTCTCACTCAATTGGCACCTACACTATTCCCATTCTTCCGACATACCATACCTAATGTCCGCCTCGCCGTAGTTAACACCCTTCTTTCCTTCATGACCGTCCCCTCCCTTCCTCGTGACTGGATTGTCACGCCATTCCTTTGCTTACTCTTCCAAAATCTCATCGTCGAAGAACGTCGAGACATTCGGACTACCACTTTGAAGGCTTGGCAGATCGCGCTCGAGATCATCTCTGGGACGCCGGGATGGATGAGAGAGGTGGCTCACCAACAGGTTGTCTTGGATTGGTATGCGATCATTATGACGCCGTTGGGAGTACCCATCAACAATGTGACGTTCTTTAACCCGGTTACGAACACCGATGCGGATGGCGAGAGGCACAATGTCGACAAGAACATGCTGGCGCAGGATCTCTCCCTCGTTTCTGTCGAGGTCATCCTGCAAGCACGAATAGCAGCAGCTACGGCGTTGGCATACTTGATTGCATATTGGCCAGAGAAGGTAACCTGAATAACACCTTTTCTCAATCCTGTCGCTAACGAAATCAACAGGATTCCTTCGAGGAGCTGTTCCAACCAATACTGATCCACTATCTTGATTCTACGAGTATGCTCCAGAAATTCTTATCCGCAATCATTGCAGAAGAATGGGCTCGTTCTTCCCCTCCGTCTGTTATTGAGAATTCTTCTCTGGCACAAGACCTTAGCGCACGAACTCTGGCCTGGCTACAAGGTCCTCCACCAAACGCATACCACGAAATGGCCCTTACGTTACATCGCATCCATGCTGATTGCTTCTCTCTGCTCCAAGGCTTCGCTACCGAGTGCAAACTTCCTATTTCTATCATACCCAAACTTGGAACCGAGATCGACATCATGGGAACGAGGGAGGATTGCTTCACCGTTGACAAGGCCAAGGAAGCCGTCGGCGAGATGTACACGGAACTCAAGAACAAACTCGGACGCACGAAGAAGCGCGAGCTCACACTTCTTGCTGAAAAGCGGGCAAGTGTCGTCCAGACCATCGAACGATATGGGGAGATCAAGGCACAGCATGATGTTCGGGTCTCAGCCGCCTTTGCCGCAGCGTTTGTTGCCTTCAAGAGCACGCCCGACAAGGTCAGCCCGGTAGTCAAAGGCATCATGAACGGCATCAAGGTCAGCATTAGTCGCAGTTGCCCCGGAAGAAACTAACATTTACTCTAGAACGAGGAGAACATCGATCTCCAGACTCGCTCGGCAGCTGCTGTTGCGCTCTTCGTCGAGTTCTGCGTCCAGCACAAATTATCACAACCGCCGGATAAGATAGTCAAGAATCTGTGTACATTCCTCTGCCAAGATACCGAGCAGACACCGACGTTTGCATACAGCCGCAATATGCTGAAGGGTATCTTGACTTTCCAGACCCTCAACAAATCGGAGGTGGTGCGTAACGGGAAGGACCACGACAAGACCAAGGATGAAGGAGGTGTCAACAGCCGTCTGTCAAGACGTGGCGCGTCCCTTGCGTTCCAGAAGCTGTCGGTCAAGTTTGGGGCCAAGCTCCTGGAGACTATTCCAAAAATGTGGCATTCCATGGCTGGTGGCCTGCTGAGCGCGTGTTCCACGGAGTCGCCTCAAGAAGCCGACCGCCTTATCGACAAACAGTACGGGCAGGACGTCGTAGACTCGCTTAGCGTTCTGGAAGCTGTCGCACCCACACTGCACGAGGACTTGTGGCCAAAACTTGCTGAGCTATTCCCGATGATGTCAATCTGCCTCCGGAGTCGCTTTTCTATCATACGCCAGTCCGCTGCCAAGTGTCTTGCAACAGCATGCTGCGTGATGACCTCAGAAGCGATGCGCTTTGTTATCGAGAATATCATTCCTCTCCTTGGTGATCCCGTGGTGCTGTCCAATAGACAGGGCTCAGCAGAGCTGATATACCGTACGGGTCATCTAATTTGAAGCTATGCAGTATTATTGACTTATTTGTCAGATATTGTGCAGAAGCTCGACATCAAGGCACTGCCCTATGTTATCTTCCTTGTTGTTCCTGTTCTTGGTAGAATGAGCGATCCCGACGATGACATTCGATCTACTGCAACGAACACCTTTGCGTCTCTGGTCAAGATGGTGCCTTTGGAGGTATGTTGACGTAGGTGTTCGTGCTTATCGAGATTGACCTTTCTCCAGGCTGGATTGCCAGATCCCCCTGGTTTCCCGGAAGAGTTGCTGAAACGTCGCGTGGAAGAACGTCAGTTCCTTACGCAGCTTCTGGATGGCAGCAAGGTCGAGCAATACGAGATCCCTGTCAAAATCGATGCAGAGCTACGGAAGTACCAGCAGGATGGTGTTAACTGGCTGGCTTTCCTCGCCAAATATCAGCTGCATGGTATTCTATGCGACGGTAAATTTTACTCGCAAAGTGACAAAGTCATAATTCTGATCGGGACTCTCCCAGATATGGGTCTTGGCAAGACTTTGCAATCAATATGTATCCTCGCGAGCAAGCACCATGAACGAGCTAAGAAGCACGAAGAAACTCAAACTCCCGACACTGTCCACCTTCCCTCTCTCATAATCTGCCCACCGACACTAACAGGCCACTGGTACTACGAGATTCTCAAGTATGCCGAAAACCTGCGCCCAATCCTCTACACTGGCAATTCTCGTGAAAGAGCAAAATTGATCACCAAAATTGCCAAGAAGGACATCGTCATTACCTCCTACGAGGTAGTCCGCAATGACATCTCCAGCCTGGAGGACATTAACTGGCTATACTGCATTTTGGACGAGGGGCATGTCATCAAAAACGGGCGGACCAAGCTCACGAAGGCGGTGAAGTGCATTCAAGCCCAGCATCGTCTCATTCTGTCGGGGACTCCGATCCAGAACAACGTGCTTGAATTATGGAGTCTCTTCGACTTCCTGATGCCCGGCTTCTTGGGTACGGAGACATTATTCAATGAACGATTCAGCAAGCCTATCCTATCAAATCGCGATGGCAAGGCCAAAAGTGGTGAAGCAGGTAATTTTTTTGCTGCTTATTCATTTATACCTCATCTAATATTGCATTAGCTGCACTTGCTCTGGAAGCTTTACACAAACAAGTCTTGCCATTCCTGCTGCGCCGCCTGAAAGAAGACGTGCTTCACGATCTCCCGCCAAAGATCATCCAAGACTACTATTGTGATCTTTCCGAGGTTCAGAAGATCTTGTATGACGACTTTGACAAATCTCAAGCTAAGAACGAGGTGGAGGGCATCGTCCAAAAGTCAGGACCTGCGCCGGATGGAAAAGGTACCGGTCAACAGCATATCTTCCAGTCGCTTCAGTACTTGCGGAAATTGTGCAATCATCCATCACTCGTTCGCAAAACGAACGAGGGCGCTGTTGTCAAGGCTTTGGGGAAGGTGGGTTGCGATGTGAAAAACCTGAGTGACATCCAACATGCACCGAAACTTTTAGCTCTCCGGTCCGTTCCATTAGTTTTGCTTCTCAGTGAAATTCACTGATGTTGTTGATGCTTCCTAGTCAACTTCTGACAGATTGTGGTATTGGCGGCGGCTCTGGCGGCGGTTCTGAGAAAAACGAGCCAAGCGAAGCTATCACCGAATCTGCTGGGGCTTTCTCTCAACATCGCGCTCTCATTTTCTGCCAGATGAAGCAAATGATTGACATCATTGAAAACGACCTCTTCAGACAACACATGCCATCGGTCACGTATATGCGCCTTGATGGAAGCACGGATGCGAATAAGCGCCACGCTATCGTGCAGACGTTCAACGGCGATCCCAGTATCGACTGCCTACTTTTGACCACGCATGTTGGTGGCCTTGGTCTTACGCTCACGGGAGCGGACACGGTCATCTTCGTCGAGCATGACTGGAACCCGATGAAAGACCTCCAGGCTATGGATCGTGCTCATCGGATTGGCCAAAAGAAGGTTGTCAACGTTTACCGCCTCATTACGAAAGGCACTTTGGAAGAAAAGATCATGGGGTATGACCCTCTTGTTCGCGCATCCTGTTTAGTTCCTGACTTTCTTCCCCTAATAGTTTGCAACGCTTCAAGCTAAACATAGCAAACTCAGTAGTCACTCAGCAAAACTCGGGCCTCGCCTCCATGGACACCGAACTTGTCCTGGATTTGTTCAAGCGAACCACTGAAGAAGAAGACGCGGCTGCGGCCAAGAAGGCCAAGGAGGCAGCTGGGCCGGTCAGCCAAAAGGCCATCTTGCAGGGTCTCGAGGACTTACCAGCCGAAGACGAGTACGAAGGACTCGATCTACCTAGTTTCATGGGATCATTGGGGAGTTGAAGTATGTGACGTTTCCTATGTCCGTTCGCGCTTTCGTGTTCATGCTGCACTTGCTCTCGCATTACCACTACAACCTAATTCTGGTTATCTTAGTCGCCTGTACATGTACACTTACCTTGCAATAATGTATAGTGTAGCCCTATATACAATAGAATGCTCTTGCTCTGATCGCTTGCTCTAGATTTATCGGACGGACTGTACTCAGACTGTACTATTTACTTTACGTGCGTCATAATGAGCAGACCTATTGATATGTTCCGCGGCGGGCTGTTCTGGGTCATTGACTACGCGACTTGGACCGATTCATCATAATTATCACGATGAACGGGCTTTCTCCTCACACCGTGACTGAGTCTGGAGGCCTGGCCCCAGCTTCCGCGTCATACGTCGTGAACATCTCATCTACGATTTGCCTTCAAGATGTCAGCTGCCTCTGGAATAGGGATTTCACCTGAACTCTCCGATACTTTCAGCAGCGCTGTGGACTCCAAGAATATTCGATTCATCAAAGTTGCCATTCAGAATGGTGTGTACTAATGCTATCACCTTTCGGGATCATCTGGACCTTATCCTATAACGGACAGAAACATTGGTGCCGGTAGAGACCATTGAAGTCTCGGGGTCGTTTGATGACGATCTGTCACAACTTCAAACACTCCTTGATGATAAACAGGCAGTTTATGTTCTCGCTCGTCTGGATGAACCACCATCGGAATGGCTAGCTATAAACTATGTCCCTGATGCCGCGCCAGTGCGAGAGAAGGTACGATATGTGCCATTCAATTTGTCCGATTAGCAACTGATGACTGGGATCCCGCATAGATGCTCTACGCGTCGACCCGGAGCTCGCTCACCAAATCACTAGGATCGGCCGTCTTTACCGATTCACTATTTGCAACATCGAAGGATGATCTGACCGCCGATGCGTATGCTGCACACAAACGCAGTCTGGCCGCGCCGAAGCCCCTGAGCGCGAGGGAGAAGGAGATGGAGGACATCAAGGCTGCAGAGAAACAAGCAGGATTCTCGTATGAGGGAAGCAGCGCTCGAAAGAATCACATTGGGACGGGCCATAGCTTTGCCTGGGATCCGGAAGCGGAGAACGCGATGAAGGAGCTCGGTGCAACGGAGACGAGTCGTCTGGTTGTCCTCGTGAGTGGCACTTTTGAACATGGAAGGTATGCACTGATGGATTCTAGGCGATCGCAATGGAATCGGAGACGTTGGAGTTGCATTCTTCTTCTGAGGTAGACATCAATCAGGTGGGGGCAGCTTTGCCAAAGGATCAGCCTGGTGAGCTGGGAGATCATGCTCGTGAGCCTGTGCACAAAGCTAAATTATAGCCACAGCATATGCTGCATTGGCATGGGTGAACGAATACTCCGAGACCGGACGTGATGTTTGTGAGTTAGCTCTTCATGCTAGCTACTCCTTCCATTTGACTCATCGCATCACAGTATACATTTATTCATGCCCAACTACCTCTCCAGTCAAACTCAGGATGACGTATTCAGCGGGTTCTGGCTCAGTGGCTCGAGCGATTGAAACGATCCTAAAAGACAACGGGTCGGCGTTTGTGGTGTCCAAACGAAAAATCGAGACGTCGGATCCAGCAGAAGTGGACGAAGCCTTCCTGAAGTCGTTATACGAATTCAATGCACCGCGATCTGCAGGTGGTGGTGCTGTTCCAGAAGTCAAGCCAGACAGGGGCTTTGCGCGACCCAAAGGACCTGCCAGGAGACGGTGATGAATGGTGGTACGCGGAATGCACTAGGCGGAGGCCATGTACTAATACTACGTGTCACTAAATCTGTACGCTACTTATGAATCATGAGAGGTCGAAAGGTGCTATATGACCACGCTCAAGGTGTTGGTGTTGGTACTCTCATTGTTGGCCGATAACCAGAGCACGAGACCACCAGAAAAGCATCCGGATAGCCGAAGGGTCCGGGCCAAATGTGATGCGGCCAACCTACGGACGGAAGAGGTCCGACGCGCTCCCCGAGTGAACAGCTACCACGGTTGTGGTCACCGGGAGCCCACTGTATAAGAGCCAGCTGTTGAATAAGCAGTCTATTCTCCTCCACCGATATCGTCCGACCACCCATTCCCGGCACGACGATGTTGTCGGTGCGCCTCGCGAGAAGCGCGCCATGGGCCGCCCACCACACGCGAGCTACCTTTAGCCTGCGAGTCTTGAGATGCTTAAGCACGGCGACGGACGCGATTCCGAACAAGCCCAAGGTCTGGGACTCTGTAGACGAGGCTATTAAGGACGTCAAGTCGGGAGATACCCTGCTGTGCGGAGGTATGTCGATTCCTGTATATGGCACTATCCCATCTTATCCATACGTATTACTTTAGGCTTTGGTCTTGCTGGTGTCCCAGGTGATGGACACACAGTTTAATGGGCGGCGGACACGGAACTAAACTACGTGATGTGTGGCTGCAGATACCCTATTGGCGGCTCTCGTGAAGAGGAAAGACGTCAACAAGTTGACAGCTGTGTCCAACAATGCCGGTGCCGGCGACTCTGGCCTCGGTGTGTTTTACTAGGTTGAAGCGTGCATACATGCTGAACGCCTCCCAGGGAAGCTGTTCAATAGCAAGCAGATTGAGAAAGTCATTGCTTCATACCCTGGAGGGTGCGTCCACAAATGGTTTCTCTCGTGCTCCATCTATTGATACACTTGGTGCAGGAATAAAGCCTTTGAGGCTCTATACCTCAATGGCGAGGTGTCCATGGAACTTTGTCCGCAGGGGACGCTCGTTGAGCGTATCCGGGCGCACGCGGCGGGTATCCCAGCCTTCTTTACTCCCACTGGTGCATCGACAGCCGTAGAAGAGGGGTCCATCGCTCAGCGGTACAATGAAGGTGGCTTCAAGAGCGGTGTGAAAATCCCCGGTATCAAGAAAGAGGCAAGGGAGTTCAAGGGCAGGCGCTATGTCATGGAGGAGTCCATTGCTGGCGACGTCGCTTTTATTCGGGCTTGGAAGGTAGATGAGGTTGGAAACGCGGTTTTCAGGTGAGCCCGTGTCGTGTTTTTAGATACCTTTCTTTTATTAACGCCCTCTAGGTATACCCAGAACAACTTCAGCACGGCTATGGCAAAGAACGCGAAGCTTACCATTGTAGAGGTGCGTTGAAAGTGATATTGTTAGGACAGGTGGGATGTTAATCATGATTTCAGGCTGATAACATTGTCCCGGTTGGCTCCATATCTCCTAACGCTATTCACGTCCCCGGCATCTACATCGATCGTATTGTCCAAGCGACTGAGCCCAAGCGAATCGAGTATACCACCCTTGCACCAGACCCGTCCGAACAATCGTCTTCTGAAAGTCCTGAGAAGGCTGCAGCGAAGCAGCAGCGCCATAGGATTGCCAGACGCGCGGCCAAGGAGATCAAGGATGGATTCTACGTTAACCTCGGTATTGGTATGCCCACACTCGTCCCGGAACACTTGCCACCCGGCGTCAAAGCTTGGTGGCAGAGCGAGAACGGTATTCTTGGCATGGGTCCATACCCCACAAAGGACCAGCTTGACCCGTAAGTGATCCGAAAGAAGGAAGGAGTGTTCAAGTCTGATTTTGTGCAGAGACATCATTAACGCCGGTAAGGAGACCGTCACGTTGCTTCCTGGTGCCTCTATATTCGGTGCGTAGCCTGTTCCTTCCGTGCATTGTTCGTGGAGTTAAACATTGTGAACAACACTGCAGATTCTAGCGAGTCTTTTGCCATGATTCGTGGTGGCCACATTGACATTGCCATCCTTGGTGTGCGTACCTGCGGGCAGAAAGGTCAAATGACATAGGCTGACCTTCTCTTTTTGATGGCAGGCCATGGAGGTTTCCCAAGCTGGTGATATCGCCAACTTCATGATCCCAGGGAAGCTTGTGAAGGGTATGCTGTGGTGTTAGATCGTGTGTTGTATTCACTCACAAATGCGGCTTTACCAGGTATTGGCGGTGCCATGGATTTGGTCTCGAACCCGGACAAGACCAAGGTCATTGCAGTGATGGAGCACTGCGCAAAGGATGGCAGCCCGAAGATATTGAAGGAGTGCAATTTGCCCCTGACGGGCTCGCGGGCCGTCAGCCTGATCATCACCGAGCTTGCCGTGTTTGAGGTTGATCGGAAGGATGGCGGTTTAGAGCTGATTGAGCTGATGGAAGGCGCTACGCTCGATGAAGTGAGAGCCAAGACCGGCTGTGATTTCCGGGTTAAGAGGGATTTGAGCAAGCTTTAAAGCGTTCGAGAAACTCCCTGTTGTATTCATAGTAATCATTATCGTGTTTTACCGCTACCGTGCTGAGAACGAAGTAGATGGATTTCACTCTTGTTTGAGCAAATCGCCGCGGTCCGCAAGCAACACAGGGGCGTGTCTTGCGTGGTAGATCAATCGTGATTGCGTTATAAGCGCACTAACTTCGCGGCTGCCTTCAGTCCAGCCCCGGAACCAGAGGGTAAACTGTGAAGGTTGTGCCGGCGCACGGCAAGTGCGGCAGCCTATGACAGGTGGTTACGCTGCTGACTCTAAAGCGGAGTCACATTTCTGCAGAGGTCCGAAGCATTTCAGCCCCAGCGAACTATCATTCAGACGCCGATCTACGCGATTTGGAAGGTCGTGCCGCGCGACTCCAGACTTTACCCACTCTCTAGCTACATCATACCGTGTTCACACCTCCGCAAAAATACATGCCGCCCCCTCCAGAACCTTCAACAGGGGCGCCGTCTCCGATTTGCGAAGCTCCCCACAATGGCCGAGCGTGGGCCATACGAGGAAGAACGAGGGGTCGTGGGGACATATAAAAGACACAAATCGGCATGCCGTGCACATTCCAATTCTTCTGCATCTTTTCTCCCCGCTCGGTTTCTTGGATCTGCTTCTTATCTCTCTCAAAATGTCTTCTATTGCTGCACTCGTCTCCAGGTCGTCTCGGACCGCGCCGCTGGCTGCCAGCGCGCGGTGGAGGGCCGTTGCGTCGCGGCGCATGTTGGCGACGGCGGTCACTGGCGCTGCCCCGTCGACTCGCAAGGTATGGGACTCGGCCGAAGAGGCTGTCAAGGATGTCAAGTCCGGGGATGTCATCCTGAGTGGAGGTACGTATTGCGTATGGTGAGTAGGCGCTGTATGTGCTTATCGATGATGTCAGGGTTTGGACTGTGCGGTGTGCCAGGTGTGTTTAGCATGTCATCACTCGTGTGTGACTGTGTGCTCATATGACATGATAGAAACTCTTCTGGCCGCACTTTCAAAACGACAGGGTATTACTGGCCTGACTGCTGTGTCTAACAATGCTGGCGCTGGCGATAAAGGTCTTGGTGTGTAATGTCATGTGCGTTCAATGCGATGAAATCTGACGATCTTTCTAGTTCACCTCATGCGCGCCAACCAGCTTGAGAAGTTGATGATCTCATATCTTGGAGGGTAAATTTTACTAAACTATCAAGGTAATTGCTGTATTGACATTGTGACTTCAGAAACAAGTACCTTGAGCAGCAGTACCTAGAGGGCAAGATGTCTCTCGAGCTTGTCCCCCAAGGAACTCTCGTAGAGCGTATCCGCGCGCATGCTGCTGGTATTCCTGCTTTCTACACCCCAACTGGAGCGTCGACACCTGTTGAACTCGGTAGCATACCCATTCGATTCAACGACGGCGGCTTCAAGAGCGGTGTTAAGATTAAGGGCAACCCTAAGACATCGCGAGTTATTGACGGCAAGAAGTACATTCTGGAGCCTGCTATTGCGGGTGATGTTGCCCTCGTTCACGCCTGGAAGGCAGATGAGGTTGGCAACTTGATCTTCAGGTACCTCATATTCTCTTACATTTCCTGAACATCGCTAAATACATATTCAGATATGCTGCCAACAACTACAATGGTGCTATGGCACGAAACGCCAAGTTGACTATCGTCGAGGTTTGTGACCAATTTAGGTGGTCTTGAACCATTCACTCACGTTATTACAGGCGGAAGAAATTGTCCCAGTCGGTTCTCTCGATCCGAACGAAGTCCACGTTCCTGGGAACTACGTTAACCGTATCATCAAAGCCACGGCACCAAAGCTCATCGAGACCTTGACCACTGCACCTCCCGAAGGGGCGACCAAGGGTGGCCCTTCAGCTGACGACCTGCTCACCAAGAGTGTCCGCAGGCGGATTGCCAAGCGCGCTGCGCTGGAGTTGAAGGACGGCTTTTACGTGAACTTGGGTGTCGGCATCCCCACCTTGGTGACGGAATACCTGCAGCCTGGTGTGAAGATTTGGTTGCAGAGCGAGAACGGAATCCTTGGCATGGGCCCCTTCCCACCTCCACACAGGGTCGATGCGTGAGTAGCGAACATGCCGGGCTCTATCATTACGACGCGATGCTAACGGCGGGCTTATAGCGACGTTATCAATGCTGGCAAGGAGACTGTCACGATGCTGCCCGGTGCGGCAACCTTTGGTGGGTTTCCCTCGGAGACTTGAAGTTGAAGCGTGTTCTCACCAAGGGCTTACAGACTCTAGCGAATCGTTTGCAATGATTCGCGGCGGCCATGTCGACGTTTCTATTCTTGGAGTGAGTCGAATTGGTTAAATGTGTGCTTTACTATTGAGACTGACCACATTCAAGGCCATGCAAGTCTCGCCGGCAGGAGACATTGCCAACTTCATGGTCCCAGGGAAGCTTGTGAAGGGTGAGTAGCGCCGGCTGTTGCGATGTTCTTGAGCTTGAACTGAATGCGGCCTAAAATAGGTATTGGTGGCGCCATGGACCTCGTCTCCAACCCAGACAAGACCAAGGTGATTGTTGCGATGGAGCACTGCGCAAAGGACGGCAGCCCCAAGATCGTCGAGAAATGCACGCTGCCTCTGACTGGCGCACGGGCTATCAGCCAGATTGTGACTGACTTGGGTGTCTTTGACATCGACCGGCAAGCTGGCAAGATGACGCTCATTGAACTTGCTCAGGGCGTCACTGTCGCTGAGATCAAGGCCAAGACTGGTGCGCCATTCGAGGTCGGGAGTGAGGTCCGGGAGATGATCTAGATAGGACGATAGAAGCGTAAATTATGATGTATACCAGCCATTTTCTTTCCTTGTGTTTCCCATGCATAATGTGTTTGTATCGTACCTTGGCATCGTGGCATGCAATTTTATTCTGTTCTGCATCAGAAGGAGTGAATTGGGGATAATTGCAACAGGGGAAGAGCTGACCTGTGCGTGTTCCGCAGCATGGAGGTGTGTGGCGCGTGGCCGAAATTAGCAAGTGAGTGGATCGAAAATCAAAAGACCCATTTCCCTCTTTGAAGCTACACGGTTCCGCCGCCGACAAGCTGCAGCAAGACGTGCCGACTCCCCACCGCCTACCCCACGCCGTCGCTGGCCGTCTTCTCCAGCGATGAACTGGCTAACAAATATCTTCTCGCCAGCCTCAAAGTCAAACTCTGGCCGCGGACAGGCCATCTCCAACACCGACGATGCCTTCTCCCTGGGATCCCATCCAGATGCATTCAACCCAGACACTCTCCAGGCCCCGGATCCGATGAGCCCTGCCTACACCTACCCTCCCCAGTCACCCACCAGCGCGTACGGATACGCTCCTACATCGTATGTATCGCTATCCTGCCCCTCATCTCGCTCCAATTCCCCTCTGACGTTGTCATGTTCCCAACCTGCAGCACCGGCTCGCGGTCCCGCCCAACTTCTCTCCTTCCCCTACACAACGCTCCATACACTGACGCCATGACCCCTCTTCCTCCCTACCCGCCCCTCGCCCACACCTGGGACCGCCTCAAGATTTGGCTCGCACGTGAATACCCAGAACTTGGCGATACCCTCAATTACGGCATCCTCCAGCAGGACCTCGTCCAAATCGAGATGGCCATGGGCGTCCCTCTGCCCTCCGCCGTGCGCGAGTCCTACCTCGCCGTCGACGGACAGGAGGCCGAGTCCTCGGCCGGCTGCTCTGAGGGGCTGTTCTTCGGCCTCTCGCTTCTCCCGCTCGAGGACGTTCTCGAGGAATGGCGGTTCTGGCGCGAGGTTGACGAGGACCCGGCCACGGGCGCCAACCCGCGCCTGAAGGAGGTGATGCAGTCCGTGCCCGAGGGGTGGGTCCGGAAGGAGTACTCCTCGCGTGGCTGGATACCGCTCGTTGTCGATAAGGCGGGCAATTATATCGGCGTCGACCTTAGTCCCGGCGAGGGCGGCCAGCCGGGCCAGGTTATTGTCTATGGGCGTGATTTTGATACCAAGGTTGTGCTTTGGCGCGGGGAAGGGTCTGCGGGGTGGGCGCGGTGGTTGTCTGCGTTTGTCGATGAGCTCGAGGCTGGTGAAGGGTTCGAGATTGGAGGTCGGGATGGGGAGAGCGAGGGAAGTGAGGACGGTCTGGGCTATGAGACTTACTTCTACGATGGCAACGGGAGAGGGCAAGGAGAAGGAGGAGGCGAGGGTGGCCTTGGTGGCATCCGGTTTACTGGGGAATACCGCGGATGGAGTCCCCTGGAAGTCTGGGCTGATCGGAGTATCAAGAAGTGGATCGAGGCTGGCGTCTTCACAGGCAACTGGTCGAACCAAGGAAAGGGCAAGGTGAGTGGCAGATCAACCAATTAGACGCATCCGATTGTACTTTGGCTAAAAAGTATGATCACTACAGAACCCCGAGATGGCTGTCAATCCAGGGCTTGGTGTACTCCGTGTAGACAGCTCAGCAGAGGTGCCAATACCCATCGTCTCTGCCGAGCCTGAAATCGAGGACGAGGACGCAACCGCAACGGCCCCTCTGGTCGGTGACAAGGAACGTATAACCCAAATGAACATTCCCGCCATCTCTATCACGAAACCACCCGCGCCCCTTCCTGTCGGTCTCCCTACTGCTGCGGATGTTGTCCCCCTACCATCACCCCCAGACTCGAATCGTTCGTCGCTCGAGAACAACCTCGAGGCTGGACGGAATCCTCCTATGCGAGAGGCTGTCCCTACGATTGTTACCCCACACTTGCCGTCACAATCTTTGGACCGCTCTCCGGTTGCTGTGACCCCGCCCGAGGATGTACCCTCGCCCAAAATACCCGCACCTGCACCCCTGGTCAACGGCATCGACGTCTTTGCGGATTCTGCACCATCGGAGATTGTCCCTGTGGTTCCTCTGAGTCCGTCTACTGTCAACCTGAACGGCGGCGAAGCAGTACCAGTCGTAGCTGAAGAAGAGCCCGAAGCCAAGGTTGAGGATGAGAAGGAGACCACGCCGGAGCCCGAACCTGAAGCGGAAGCGGAAGCTGAGCCAAGTGATACCATTCGGTTAGTGGGCGGTGGCGGGTCGGCGGGGGCTGCTGCCGATGAGGAGAAGAGCGAGGAGAAGAGCGAGGAGAAGAGCGAGGAGAAAGTAGAGGAAGAAGAGCCCATGGACAAGGCCGCTTCTGAGGCTGCCGAAGTATCTTCGATTGCGTCGGTGGACTCAAAGACGTCCAAGAAGCAGAAGCGCAAGTCGAGTCTGGCAACGGGACTTAAGAAGCTGGGTAGCATGGGCAACATCAGCGTGAAGAGCAAGCGGAAGACGGATTCTGTGTCGAGCACAGGCACCAAGGAGAGCGCATAGCCTGCTTCTGTCTGGTCGGACGGACCATAAGCGTACGCGTACGAGATGTGGCGACCACACATGGACCTCGGATTAGGTACTACTCAACGGGTGCTTGGGCGGTGTGATGTTGCTGGTAAGGATAATAGTTTTGATTTTGTTGATTCGATTGCTTCGCGGAATTGGACGTACATCTCGCTTCGTCTTCGTTCGTTCGTTCATTCGTTTACTCTACTTTCCCCCACTTCCGTTCGTTTACTCGGCGTCGGGTACTGGTGCGCGGCATGCTAGCGGGTAGGCTGGAACTAATCGCAGACTCGATCCTCATCCTCATCCTCATCCTCATCCACACCATCTCTCATATACATCGGTTTTATCACAAGACATATACAATCCATCGCCCATCATTGCTCACCGTTATAGTTAGCCACGGTTTAACCCAGCCCTTTTTTCACGTTCATGTTCATAATTTGTAGTTGCGTTTATCACCTTGCATGCTTCGCTCGCGTGTTCGTTCGTGAGCGTTGCAACAGCTGCACCGTGACGGTTTACGGTTTACTTCGATTTTTCTTCTTCCCCGCTCGTCGTGTGGACTAATACTGCGCTGATTTGATATACCCCATACATACACGTAGGACAAAACTGATATTGGACATGCTTTTATAGAGTTCGGGTTTTGAGTAATCAAATAATATACAGGAAAATTAGCGTCGTTCATCTATAGGTCGTTGCGTGAAATTACTGAGCAGTGTAAGGAGCTGATATCGATGTGTGGAGAGTGATAGTGAACTTCACTAGAGGGTGGGTTTATTGATTTAGGAATCGTGGAGGACACTCCAATCGATCTCTGCGCCTTCGCCGTAACGCTCGCGGAGCCAGTCGTTCGCTTGTTTGAAATGCCCGTTGCCGAAGAAACCACGGTGGGCTGAGAGCGGGGAAGGGTGGGCGGACCTGTGTTGAGAGTTCTCGGTCAGCTGTGGAAAGAATTTAATGCGGTAGGAGTGGGAGGCTGACCTTAGAACCAGGTGCTGCGTCTAGGTATTGGCGGATAGCAGAATAAAGCGCATGAGATGGAGGTTTCGTTGGTAAGGATAAGAGCGGCCAAAGCACGCACCTCGTCGACGCCTATACGGTCGAAAGTCTTTTGCGCGGGCATGCCCCACGCGAAGAACACGACGCCGCGCGAGGCTCTGTCCGCCTTGAGCTTGATCTGCTGTTGCTGGGGCGTCGACTGGGTCAACCGGGTCGCGTCCGCGTCCGCATCGTCGCCGTCCGCGCGGGGGAGCGCGTTGAGCTGCGTGAGGTCGGCGACGGACTCGCGCGCGAGGATGGCGCGGATGACGGCGTCGGTGAACGTCTCCCAGCCTTTCTTGGCGTGCGAGTTGGCGGTGTGCGCGCGCACGGTGAGGCAGGTGTTGAGCCAGAGGACGCCGGCTTTGGCGAGCGGGGTGAGGTCACTGAGGGTTTAATAAAATCAAGGTTGGGATTGAGTGGTCACTTTTGGGTGAAGGAGCACGGATAAAATAGAGAAATGGTAGGTACCCTGTTTTCTTCGGAGGAACGAAGGATGGAACGTCGTTCTGGATTTGCTTGTAGATGTTCTTGAGGGAGCCGGGGAGTTTCGTTGGCGGGAGGACGGAGAAAGAGAGTCCTGTGAGAGGTAGTGTTAGGTGTGTGGAATAAAGCAGCTAGGACGTCACTTGCCATGCGCTTGTCCAACGTTGTGGTATGGGTCCTGCATATCTGCATAAGTATAACATATAGGAAGAAACGGGACGACCCGCCTGTCCAAGGACAACTATCTTTACGCCTTCCAAGGGAGTGAAACGCGACCAGGAATATATGTTTGACGCTGTCGAAGGTTGTCAGAGGAGGCTCCTTCCAGGCGAGGTTTGGAGCACACCTTCCGGATAAATGGTATTGGTTTTATGCTCGCTGATGAGAAATTCCTTGAGCTATAGCAGTCATCAGAAAGTCACTTCGGCCCTGAACTTGGAGCAGTACTTTGCGGAAGTAGGGCTTGTTAAACTCGGATGAGAGCGCGTTCCTCCAGGATTCGCCCATGGTATCGCGTTCTAGGTGTATTAGAGTGCTGTCTGAGCTAGAAGAAGGCGAGTCTGCATCGTTGTCTTGGACTGCAGGCTTTTCTGTGGTGGACTCCGATGTAGCTTCCGCAGCGCTAGTCCTGGTGTCATCGCGAGACATTCACGGAAGGACAAATCACGTACCTTTTCGACGAAACTTTCCTCTTTTTCTGCGTAACGAGCGTGGATTGCACGAGGGCACGTTTCTTTGTCGAGGTGGATGCCATGGCGCGTCGCAAGTTCATCTACTGTGGACAGGCAGCAAATGACCGCGTCGCGTCCAGGGTCGCGTCGTGGTCACGTGCATAGCCCCTAAATGCGGAAGGAAAAGTTTAGGTGGCGGAAGTGCAAGTTCGACTTCAACTTGAAGCTTGCACCCACAAGCGCTCGCTGCGCCTGCAGCCCACCACCACTGCCATGCCTTTCTATTCTGCTATATTCCATCCTTTACGAACACTCAACCTCTGGCTTGAGAACGACGCCAACGCGAGTGTATTTGATGTCGTCTTCCTCTTCTCTGTCTTCTCCGCCTTTGGTATATGGCTCGTCTTCGACAGGTACCAGAGGAAACACAACAACCCTGTACCGTTCACATGGGACGCTCCTGACGTACATTTACCTCTTCTCTCAATATTTGCACCGTGCTGATCTAATACACGCAGCCCGCAGACCCGATGTGGAAGTCGGTCGTCATCAAAAACGCGAACCTCAAGTCACACCTCGAGTACCCGGACCTGATGCCGCTGCAGCACCCGGACCGCGACTACATCACGAGCTACGACCCGGCGAGCAACCTGCACATCGGCACGTTCCACGCGGACACGCGCGCGGACATCGAGGACAAGATTCTCAAGGCGCGCGCCGCGCAGGAGACGTGGCGCCTGTCGACGTTCCAGGAGCGCCGCCGCGTCATGCGCAGCTTGCTCAAGTGGCTCGTGGACAACCAGGACGTGTGTGCGCGTGTGGCGTGTCGGGATACGGGCAAGACGCGTGAGTGCCGTTTGTTGTTTTTGTTGTCGCGTGACTGAGTGCGTGGCGATGTAGTGGTCGATGCTGCGCTGGGAGAGGTTATCACGACGTGCTCGAAACTCGAGTGGATGATCAATCATGGAGAGGAGGCGCTGAAGACGGAGACGAGGCACTCGAATTTGATGCTCTGTTACAAGACTTCGGAGGTTATCTATGAGCCCAAGGGAGTTGCGACTGCTATTGTTTCATGGAATTATCGTACGTGTCAATGTTGTGCTACTCGACTCGCGTCTGACAATATTGCAGCTCTTCATAATGCTTGGTCGCCCATCATCGCTGCTCTGTTCTCTGGAAACTCCGTCGTGATCAAGTGCTCTGAGCATGTCCAGTGGTCAACGAGTTGGTTCGTCGGCGCTGTTCAGCAATGCCTGTTTACGTGTGGTTTCCCGGAAGATGCTGTCCAGGTGGGCGAATTATTTCTGACTTGCCGGAAACGAACGCTCAACAATCACTTATAGCTTGTGTGCTGCTGGCCCGACCAAGTCGAGGCTCTGACGCGGTCACCGCTCATCAAGCATATCACATTTATTGGCTCTGAGGAAGTTGGTCGCAAGGTCGCCGTCGCCGCTACTGAGCACCTCACGCCTGTTACGCTCGAGCTCGGTGGAAAGGACCCTGCTATTATTTTGCCCGGCACCGACCTCAAGAGATGGATTAGTATTTGGATGCGTGGTGTATTGTGAGCCAGCGCTCGTTCTAGTGTATTCTTTGCTAATAATTCCTGCAGCCAAAATGCTGGTCAGAACTGCATCGGCATCGAACGCCTAATCGTACACTCTTCGCAATACGACGCTCTCTATGAGATGTTCTGCGAGCGCGTCGCGAAGCTCCGCCTCGGCTCTGTGCTTGCGCCCACCGCTGAAGGCTACATCAACACCGTGGATATGGGCTGCATGGTCACCGCTGCCCGGTTCCAGAACTTCCAGGACTTTATCTTTGAGGCGCAGAACGAGGGCGCTCAGATCGACATTGGCGGTAAGCCGGCGGACCATGTGGTTACGGAGAGCAACACGTACTTCCAGCCTACTGTCGTCGGTGATGTGGACCCGAAGATGGAGCTTGCGCAAAAGGAGAGTGAGTATTGGGCTTGTCATTTAGTAAAATCCTCAGAGCGCTCATGAGATGTTTGTAGTGTTTGCCCCAATTGCGACCATCATTCGCTACGATGATATAAGCGAAGCTGTTGAAATCGCCAATGGCACGCGTTATGGTCTCGGTGCCAGTGTATTTGGTCCCCACCAGGATACCTGCTTGGAGGTTGCGCGCGAGCTGGACTGTGGCATGGTTTCTATCAACGACTTTGGTGTCTTTTACGTGAGTGCATACACGTATCGCTATTAATCGTGTCTTACAAATTTATTCATTACAGCTGAACCAAGATCTTCCCTTTGGCGGGAACAAAGCCAGCGGATACGGACGTTTTGGTGGACCAGAAGGTTTGAGGGCGCTCACGAATCCCAAATCAGTTATGTACGACCGCTGGCCATCACTCATCCAGACTGGCATTCCGAAGGTGTTGGATTATCCTATTCGTTCGCTTATCAAAAGCAGGCATGTTTTTAAGCCATTACCATACAAGCAATTTACTGACAGCTTTTAACAGAGATTTTGTCGAAGGGCTCATCGTGCTTTTGTATGGAGACACGTACCGCACGCGTTTCAATGGTCTCTTGCAGCTCTCGAATGCGGCGAGGCGGTAGAATGTCTGAGGGCATTGTGTGGACGATCTATTGACGGATTCGGGGAGGGATACCTTATGGGCATTTTTGGGGAGAGTACTAATCCATACCCTGTCGTAGTGTATATGTTTTGCAATGCTACAGCCAGTTTGATGCACCTGGGACTGAGCGGGAGTGAGGTGTGGTTTCCATATTTGGACAGCCACCAACGCCGTGCAATCGACCCTCACCAAGGAAAGCCAAGGTCCGCGGTGTAGAGCACAGACGGAGCTTTTGGGATACGTCAAAGACTCAGTTGAGCGAGTGCTGAATGTCAGAGAAACATGAGAACTAACAGACGTTGCAGAACGACTGCCTGAGCTCTGCCAACGAACGACTTGTGTTGCTGCCTGCTGAACGGACACCGCTGAAGACAGCCTGTTATTACCCCGTTTTTGGCGAGAAGGAGTTAGCCGTCGCGGAGGCAAAGAGCACCTCTCCTGTCTTATGCCATCACCATCTCCTCATCCTCAGGATCTCGTCGAGGAGCGTGTCACCCAGCTCAAGTGCGTCCTCTCCCCCACCCCGCCCTCCTCTCCCTCCTGCCCATTCGCTCGCTGACCCGTCCGTCTATTACCTCCTCAACCGGCTCCTGCCTCGTTGCTTATGCGCGTGTTTCTTGTGGGCGTGTGGCGTACACACGATCTCCTGCCTTGTCATGTAATAACAACCGTGCAGTGCTATAACCCAACGCCGAAATGCACTGCTCAAGGAGATGTATCATATGATACGCGTACGGAACAGTTATGGCGACGTCCTCGAGTACGATCCCGCCGACGACGCGGACGATGAGAACGTCCAGGGGTTTCTGGACAGATTTGATATCAACAAGTGCGTATTTCTATTATATTTCTATTTCTACTGTTGCTTTGTCCCTCCTGTCTGTCCGGTATGGCTGAACAGTTTGCCACTCGTGGTCTGCAGGGCAAGCATCATGGACGTCCCCGACCTGACCGCGCTCGTGTCCCCACGGACATCGCCCTCGCGTGCCCCGTCCAGCGAGGCGCAGGAGCGTCCGGCGACGGTCGGCGTCGTCGACTACGACTCTCCTATGTCCGAGCCACCCACCTCGCCTGCGTTCCCTAAGCGCGGATACATGGAGAAAGAAGAAGAAGAGGCGCAGGAGCCGAGACAGAAGATGGAAGAGGAAGAGCAGGAGGAAAGGGAGGAAGAGTCGGACGATGCGCTCGCGACGCCCCGCCCCGGCAGTGTCTCGCCACACCGGGGGCGCTCCGCATCGGACTTGCCGCACGATAAGCTCAAGCGCGAGGACGAAGAAGACGAAAGGGAGCCAGACGGGCTCGATGTTATTGATCGGTTTACGCGGGAGGAGTCCACCATCAAAGCGGCATCGGAGGCAAGGAGCGTCTCGTCGATGCACCGGAGCTCGCCTGCTAAGACTCCGAGGCCGGCGTCGCCCTCGCCACAACCAGGCGTTGAAGAAGCTCAGGTGGTGAAAGTGGTCACCGCGACGCAGCAAGAAGAGGAGGAAGACGCGGAGGATGAAGATGCGGTGATGGAGGACGTTGTTCCAAGACCTGAACGCGAGCAGGAGCAGGAGGTAGAGGCACAGCTGGCACCAGCGCCCGAACCGACGCAGCCCGAGGCCAGGCCAGAGCAGTTGCACAAGCAGGAGCAGGAGGAAGAGCAAGAGCTCGAGGACATGGAGGAGTCGCCGCCGCCCGAGCCGGCGCCTCCTCTGGCGGAGGTCTCGACCTCGACAGAGCTCATGCAAGTCGCCGAGTCCTCCAACGCCGCTCCCGTTGCAAGTCTCTTCGAGGTCCCGTCCCAGTCTTCCTCCCGGCTCATTCCCGCACCCTTGACATCGATCACGCCGAGCTACACTTTCCTGGACTTCACTGCGGAAGAGCAGCCCGAGACACTCGCTCCGCCGGTGTACAAGAGCGAGCACGCCGATCCCGTTTACCCACTCCCTTCGCTCAAGATTCTGCCCGCCGAGTTTTCGCGCAAGACTCGGTCGGCCAAGCAGCGCAAGAAGGACAAGGACAAGGACAAGGACGCGAAAGGAGGGGGCAAGGACGAGTGGGCGCCGATGGGCGTCGCCAAATGGGGCGCGACGATCCGTGCCAATCCGGTGTGGAAGAAGGTGTCGAGGACGCCGAAGTGCTTGAGCACGCGGGATTGGAGCGTAAGCGACTATTCATTAATCACGAGAAAATGTGATCGTTTTAACAGCAGTCGACAGGTCGCAATTACTGAGCTCAAGATTACACGGGCGCTTGAGCGCGTTGAGAGCTTGCAAGGTTCAGGCAAGTGGAGCTTCCGACAGCCAAAGAAGCAGCGCACGGTGGGTATGTTGCCCAAGAACCACTGGGATTATATGTTGGACGAAATGGTAAGCTTTTTTCCATTTATCACGAAACTCTGTGATATCTTACAATTATGTACAGAAATGGATGCGCACCGACTTCCGAGAAGAGCGACGCTGGAAATATGTGCTCGCGTTTAACTTGTCCACTGCTGTGCTGGAGTGGCACGCCGCAGGCAGCCGCGAAGAGCGCATGCGGTCCGGCATATGTGTGCTCTGGAAACGCCCAAGAGCCCGGGTGGAGAGCGGGCAGTCCATGGATGTGGATAATCAAGCTCCCGATAACTACTTCACGCCGGCTGCGGGCGCAGACGACGATGAGGACAATGACGACGAAGACGAGAACGGCGAGGCGCGGGTCAACGATCAGCTCGGCGCTGCGGAGGCTCTGCAGGACGCGCTCGACACCGCTGGACCGAGTACGTCGGAGAACAGTCAGGTGCAGACGCCAGCTCCTGAGCGGCTGCAGCCGAAGATCGAGGAGCTCGAGGATTCATCCGCGCTTCAGTCTGGGGCAAGCGGTGAGGACTCGAATGCGATGGCTGTCGACAACTCCCAGGAAGGCCAGACGGAGGGGGCGAAGGCAAAGAAAGAGGACAAGGCGCCGAACGAGCTAGCCGGGCTCAAGACCACCTCGAACGATCCGGTGCTCGTCATTGCGGACTCGGCTCCGGCAAACGGCGAGGTGGGCCCGTCTTTCCCCAAGAAGGCGTTGAAGACGCAGGTGTACGCGCCGCTGCGGGAGCACATCGCGTACACCGACGAGCAGAAGCTTTTCCTCGAGCTCGACGACTTGGATCTGAACCAGCGCTTCTCTGAGCTCTCCACTGCGGACAGCGGTATTAACAATATTGGCAATGATAACTTTGACCTGGGCTCGACGGTGCCCGACCTATCCGATATCTTCCCCGAGCTGCAGCCGATGGTGCTCCCCGACGTCGTCAACACGACGATCCCGTCCGTACTGAGCGAGACGAAGAAGAAGTCGGACCGCAAGGTGGACAGGGACGACAACAGGCGCGTGGACGAGTCCGCGTACAACAAGCTCGTGCCCGTCGGCAGGTTTATGCATGCGAAGCCGACGCTGCTGAGCGCGTTGCAGCCCGCGAAGCGGTTCAAGGACGGCGTGTGGCTCCCGGTCGAGGACCCCGTTGTGTGCATGGATTATGCGGGGCCGCCTGGGAAAACGAGTGACGACTCGCTCCTCGGTACGTCCCCTCTCCTAATTCTACTTTATTTCCGGGAATAAAAATGTGAACACGTCCCAATCAGAACTGTTCGACGGCAACAAAGCATCGAGCTCCGCGATCGTCGCCCCCGCGCACATGCAGTACACGCGCGACGCCAAAAAGCGCGCCGAGCACAACTGGAGCGCGGGCGAGGACGCGCTGCTGCGCAGCATCGTCGCCAAGTACCCGAGCAACTGGACGCTCGTCGCGGACACGTTCAACGCCTCGCGCGTCACGATCTCCATCGACAGGCGCACGCCCTGGGACTGCTTCGAGCGGTGGTGCAACCGGTTCGGAGGCGGCCTGCGCCCCCCGCCGCCGCCGTTGCAGGACGCTGCCGCGGATGGGGCGCCGGGCCCGTCGTCGCATGGCGGTGGGCAGATGACGACGAGGGGCGTTAAGAGGCTGGCGAGCGTCAGCATGGCGGCTGGGGCTGGGAGTAGTTCGGCGGGGCAGACGTCGGATGCGAAGAAGCGGAGGCGGCATGCGCTTATGTACGAGACGATGCGCAAGGTGTCGAAGAAGCGGGAGGCGGCGCAGAAGACGGCTGCTCGTGAGTTCCTCTTTTTTTGTTTTGTTTCTAGCACAGAAATGTAGTTGACTGGGATACATTATAGAAAATGCGAGAAAGGCGCCGGCGGTACATGACACGCATGGGAAGTACAACAACATGCCGCGGTTGACGCCTGCGGAGCTGAGCCGTATGAAGGCAGATAAGGATGCTCGAGATAACGCGGAGATGATGCTAAGGAGGCGACAGCAGGATCTAGCTCAGCAGCAGCTACGCGCGCAGCAGCAGCAGCAGGGCGCACAGGCGGTATGTCATTAGGTCAATAACCCTTAGGAGTAACAAAAAGTAACAAACGAATGGCATAACTAGGCTGGACAGCCAGCGCAGGCGGGCCAGCAGCAGGCAGTCAACGGAGTGGCGCGACAGGCGGCACCGGCGACGCCAAACGTGCCGCAGATGCGGGCGGCCGTGCCCCAGGTTAACATTTCGCAGCAGCAGCGCATCCCGACGCCGATGACGGCCCAAGGCGCGCAGCGGATGTCTCCTCAGCAGATGCTCCAGGCCCAGGCGCACGCGATGGCTCGCCACCAAGCGCAGGTGCAGGCGCAACAGGCTCAGGCTCAGGCCCAGGCCGCCGTCGCGGCGAGTATTGCGAACGGGAACAACGGCGGCGGCAACGGCCAGGCGGGTGCGCATCTGTCGCCGCCGTATCAGTCGCGCGCCGCGTCGGCGTCGCCCAACGCTAACCCGGCACAGGCGTCGCCGCCCCAGATCGCCGCGGCGCTCAGTGCTGGCAGCAACAGCAACAACAACGCGGCCAACGCGATGTCGCCCCGGCCGCCCTCGGCGCAGGCGCAGCTTGCGACGATGCAGGTGCCCGGGAACGCTCTTCCGCGGCCGGCGAGCAGCATCCCGGCGCATTATTTCCCGGTTGTCAATGGGCCTCAGATGACGCAGGAGGGGTTGGAGCAGGCGATGCGCTTTCAGAGTCTTCTTGCTGTAAGTTGAAGTCTCTCGCGTTATCGTTGCGTTTCTTGTGCATTTGTTTTCTATTCTTGCTGCAATTTTTTTTTTTACAATGCGCTGACGACAATTGGGTCGGGCAACAGCAGCGCGCCTCCATGAACCAGCAGCAGCAGCAGCAGCAGCAGCAGCAGGCGGCCTCGAACAATGCGTATCCTAGTCAGACGTAGCGCCTATAGCTCTAGCAGTTCTCTGTACATATATATTCGTTTGGGAACAGATATTGTATGATTGTTTCGTATTCGCAGCTGAGTGTGATGCTCCTAATTTTGCGCCATTGATACTCACTATCGAGACCCCGTCAACGCTCGGCCGTACAGTACCTGACAGCCCCAAGTTAACCTCTTCGAATCAAGATAGGACTTGTAAAGCAAACACATTCAACGGATCATGCCACCCCGCTGCACTGGCCTACGTGGTCGCTCCTCGCGGGACCTTAGCGTGTCAATTGGAGTATTCAAAATACATATACATTAGGTACATGGTCCCTAGCTGAGGATATATCCAGGAAGCAACTGTTCTCCACGATAAGTCCAGTGTAGGTGTCGACTATTTGGTCTATGCCAAAATGAACCCTAGACGTAAGTCTCCACGAAAAATCCCCATTTCTCAATCACGGGCTTCACTATGAGCTCCCATTCTTTGTTTTCATAGTAGCCCTCCTCTACGCGCTTGAAGGAGAAGATCTCCTTGTGAACCGCTCCACCTGCATGGCGTTTCTTCTGTTCATTGTCCAAACTCTGCACCGGGAAGAAAATTACTCACAGTCCAGGCAAGGTTGATGATTCTTCTTATACAAAGCCGTCTTAGCGTTCTTTTTGGACGAGACCGCGAGATCGTCATGATTCACGTTCGGCCAGTGCGGGTCGAGATACGGCGTATGGACGACCAGGTCTGCCAGCTCGAGATGAATGAGTCTTTCGAGGCGGTGGCATAATGGGCCCGCTGGGCCCGCCTTGATGAGGCCTCTCAGCAGGCTCCCTTCATCGCCATCAGCAGACGCAGGCCACCAGCCGCGAACGACCTGTTCCTTCGAGCTGCACTGTTTCTGCCACTGGTCGAGGCGCTGATTGAGGGTGGTAGCGCGTCCGACCTTCAGGTGCACCACGTCGGGGGTATGCTTGTCTGATGCTACCGTTAGCCGACTTGCATACTAACATGGGCGCCAGGGATGTCAGTTACCTCGTATCTCGTAGGTATAGATGTAGCCGTCCTTGTCACTGCCCGACTTGGGTTTCGCCATCACCGCGCGCAAGACAGCTTGGGTATCTGGATGCAGGTATTTGGGTATCCAGGCTATAGAGCATTTATTAGCGTGTACGATGCGAGGCTGCGATGCGCCTTACTATCAAATTCCACGTATTGACCGTTCTTGAAGGCAGTGAAGCCATTTTGCTTCCCGATCTCGTCCCGATGTTGGTGGCAGAAGCGTTCAACGTCGAGATCTGGATCCAGCGTTGCGAGCGCAGGTCCGACTTTGACCATACGCTTGCAAGGCTGACTAGCCTTGGTGAACCCAGAGCACCTTACGCTGTCCTTACCCGGCGACGAAGTAGCCGCGGATAAAGTAGGCGAAGGCGGGGAAGAGGTAGCGCGCTTGTGACGCGGTGGTGTGCAAGGGGCCGGCTCGGGTGTCTCGGTCGGAGATGTCGATTTGGCCTTGCGCGTCTTTGGGGACTTCACATTAGGTGGGGAAAGTGCAGAGTCGGAGGAAGGGCGAGGACGATCAAAGGCCGGAGGTGCAAGTTTCGACGGGCGTGGTGGAGTACTCGGCGCGGGCTGTTTGGGGGGTGACGCGCTCTTGGGTGGGGTGGGTGGTGGTGAACCTCCAAGAGCGTACTGCATTGTACGGGACCGTGGCACTTGGGGAATCGGCATCGAAACAGCTGCATTTGGGACTCGAAATGGCCCATTGCTGTTTGCAAGGCCATAGTCATCGCGCTGTATTCGGCCAGCATCAAGTGAGGCGTTCAAGGCCATGCGTTCAGGGCTGAAGCCGCCGACGAAGCCATTGGTATGGAGGTTCGTGAACGCGTTGTTCGCTGATGTCCCGAAGCCGGCGTTATAATCTCCGCTGCCTTTCCGTTGGTTTGGGCTCGGAGAGCCCTTCAGCGCCATGGCATTGAAGCTCTCAACGAGGTCATGCCTCTTCGGCGGCAGTGGCGGCGGGCGACTGGAAGTCATTGTCGCGGGAAGATGTTGAATTTCAAGTAGGACTGCTGCTGCAGTTGGCCTTCACAATGATCAGGGTGAAGAATGTGATAGTCGTCGAGCCCTGTCGAGACCCGCTTGGGAATACAAAGCCAAAGCTGTCAACTCAACTTGGGGACAGCCGACGCTGGTGTTTGTTTGCTGCACCGTGCACTGACTAGTGACTATCGAGAACAAGAGATGGGTTTAATATCCGAACCTAGGAGGCACCAGCTCCTTCAAGGGCTGTATGCGCATGGGAACGCGGTAATCGCCCCCGCATCGCCATTTGCGACCTGACGATGGCCACCTTGAGGGCGGGAGAAACCGAATGTGTCGAGTCTCGTCATCTGACTTGTTGAGTTGGTTGACTCCATACATAAGAAGCATCGATTCAATCATGTCCATCATCCACCCGCGAAATGCCTTTCTTCCTTTCTTCCACCACCACCATTCCCTGCGTGAGTCTGACTCGGGAGGGTATAGCCTTGACGCTGTGTGGCATCGCCTAAAGCGTTCGCCCTGACTCGATCTGCACGTGCGTATTCTTTCCCACTCTTATTATCCTTTCGTTATCTTTTCTCTTCGGATGAAACGCACTGGGCTCTGAATCTATGAGATGTCATGCACTACGCTCTACGTGAGCGGCGGCTTAGAAACCCGTCAACTGAACTTTCTTACACCTTTTGTCTGAGATGTTTGTTGCCACACGACTACGTTTGCTAACCAGACGGCGGTACATCCAGCAGTTCCATAAACGGAAGGTACTCCCAACAAACTTTTCCTCTGCGGTCAACTCGGTCAAGCAGGACCCCCATCCCAGCCTCAGTTGTCTACTCCCAAGTTAGCTATCTACATGGAGGATCAGACCAATGATACGCAAAGCGAGACGATATGCGGTCTTTTGGACGATATGACGTCCAGTATGGCTTCAGTACGCTCCAGTATCCAAACTCTCCGTGAGAAGTGAGTCCTTGTTCTTGTTCCCCTGACCTGAGACTGACAGCTTTTGTAGACATGCCACCACGGAAGAACTCGACACAAAAGATGGCATCTCCTTGTTGTCCCTCAAGCATCACCTGCTTTTGTCGTACCTTAACTCGTTGGTATTGGTGTCTGCCAGACATGCAATCGGAGACTCCCTCAGCGAACGGTCCTTGCCATCCTTGCCATTCAGCAGCGCCGAGAGGGATCAACGAGGGTCTGGTGCGGGTGACCTTGTCGATTCCATGATTGAAGGACGAGTCGCTCTTGAGAAGATTAAAGTTCTGGAAAGCAGGATGCGCTACCAGATTGAAAAGCTCGTTCGCCTTTCGAGTGAGCAGTCCAGCAAGGACCTTGCCAATGGTTAGTCACTTCACTATCCCACCGAAATCACTTGTATTGACTTCAGCAGATCCCTTGGCCTTCAAACCTAACCCCCAAAACCTTGTTGATGAGGAGGACGCGGAGGAAGATGAATATGCCGATGACGCCGACAAGGATCAAGACGGTATCTATCGCCCTCCCAAGTTGGCTCCCATGCCATATGTCGAGCCAACATCCAAACGCTCCGACCGCAAGCCTGTCCCCAAAGCATTGTCTTCGCTGATCTACAGTCAAGATCCCTCTCGGCCGTTCGTCGAATCATCCTCTGGTCTGGGTGCCCTCCAATCGGATCGCAGGCGTGAGCTTGATCGGATGCGGGAGTACGAAGAGGAGAATTTCACACGACTGGTGATGAAAAAGAAAGATGCAAAGAAACGTGCTCGCGACGAAGCTAATGTGGCATTGGGCGGTGGTGCCCAAGGCAACAATAGACGACGCGGAAGAGGGCTGGAAGACGAATTCGCGGACGTTTTGACTGCCGTCGGGAGGACGCGTACTGGTGTCCTGGGAGATGGTTACGAAGAATTGAGGCAGCGGGGTAGGAAGGCTGACGTTCTTTCACGCGCACGGACACGGCCGCGGGAAGAGATTGGGGGCGCTGGGGATGATGGACCTATCGCGAGGAAGAAGACAAGGTTTGAGAAGCAGAGAGTCGCCCTGAGCAAGAGGGCCCGTGCTAAAAGACCGTGAAGGTCCACGCGAGAACGTTGTTCTGGCTCTTGTATGGTAGTTAGATTCGCAGCATCAATGTATTGAGTTGGGAACCTGACTACTGCTTTTTCGCCCCGTTGTTGAGTAGACGTCCAAGCGCTGAGGCAACGGCAATTCGGTGAAGTCATGCAGACGGGCAGCTCGGGAATGAGCGATTTTCCGGTTGCGACCTCGCCGCTGCAATGCCGACTGGCTAACAACAAGTGTGCAGGTGACATTCCGAAGAGGGAATATGATTTCCTTGAATGGGTGCCTTCAATTGCGAATCGGAAGTCGTCAAGGACGCGTTTCCCTCTCTGCCAGATCGAGACGTTAGGGGCTTATCTCTTTGTCTTCATTTCACGGACCACTGTTGTGGGGTGGGTGTATGTGTCGCAAGTACAAAAAGCCCTTCCAACTCGTCGCCATGCTTTGTCCACCCGTTTCTCTCTCTTTTTCCTTCCCTCTCTTTCCTCTGCTCTCCCCTCAACGGTCGCTGCGCGCCGTCTTGCCCTATCGTCTCATCGGCTTGACGCCTTCTGTCACCTTAACGCGTAGTAGTTCATTGCCGCTGGCCGCCACCCTTTTCGCTTTATCATCAGAGAGATGTTCGGCTCATTCACTTTCGCAACTGCGTTGCCTCTGCTCGCTGCCTCTTTCGTGAGCGCCGCCCAGTTCAATGTCACTGTTGGCGGTGGACCTCTTCAGTTCAACCCTTCGTCGGTGGTAAGCACGTACCTTATTTTCAACACTTGCATGTAAGCTAATAACTCGATGCAGAACGCAAATCCAGGAGACACGATCTTCTTCACCTTCAAGCAGGCGAACCACACGGTTACGCAGTCTACCCTTGCTAACCCATGTACTCCCATGGCGGGTGGTTTTGACTCAGGATTGTAAGTGTTTTATTTCAAAAAACTCTACTTTGTACCGACCAGATATTCGCAGCATGCCCGTTGCGGCTGACCTCACCGATGGCCCCTTCCCAGCTGCGCAGTTCACCGTGCAGAATACTAGTCCAGTGTGGGCGTTCTGCCAGCAGACTGGTCACTGTGCGAAGGGCATGGTGTTCGCCGTCAACCCCGGCGACAAGATGGCCGCCTTCCAGGCTGCAGCTATGGCCACCAACGGCTCTACGTCTGGGAGCACGGCAACCGCTGCCACTGGCATGACCATCACATCCGCCTCTGGTTCTGGTGCAACCGCCACTGCTAGCGCCAGCTCCCCCACGTCTTCGAGTACTGGCATGACTCAGGATCACCAGGTCCAGGTCGGCGCCGGTGGTCTCACCTACACGCCCTCCAACATCACCGCTCAGCCTGGCGACACCATCACGTTCAAGTTCATGGCAAAGAACCACACGGCTACGCAGTCGACGTTCGCTGATCCCTGCAAGAAGCTCGACAACACGACCACTAACCAGCTTGGCTTCGATTCTGGATTGTAGGTGGACTTACTTTCGAGCACAATGTCTGAAGCTGATCGTTACGAAACAGCATGCCCGTGGCCAACGGAACGACCACCTTCCCTACCTACACTGTCCAGGTCAACGACGTAAGCTTTCGCATATAGACGCTCGTCTTCCACTGGCTAATCAAAGCGATTTTTAGACCAAACCCATTTGGGTATACTGCCGTCAGACTGGTCACTGCGGCATGGGCATGGTGTTCTCCGTCAACGCCGTCGAGTCCAGCGCCAACAACTTCGAGGCCTTCCAGGCGCTCGCGATGCAGCTTAACGGCACTGGCTCGTCCACTACAGGAGGTGCTTCAGGCGCTGGAGGCGCCGCGACTGGTACCACCGGTGGCGCATCACCGACTTCGACAACAAACAGCGCCGGCAGCTTCAAGGCTAACGGCCGCGCTGGCTTCATGCTCGCCCTGGTCGGCGTTGCAGTCGGACTCGTTCTCTGATTTTCTTGCGACTATCTTTTTTTGTATGAGATGGACTTGGGCGGGGAGCTAGCTCTTTGCGCCTTTTTTTTCCTACTGCTTCTTCAAAATTACGTGCTCCTTCATTTTACATTTACCTTTATTGCTTTTGTCCTTTCATTTGGGTTCCGGGTCGTTACTCGCGTTTGCTAGTGGTCGACTTACGCTTGACGTGTATCATACATGTAGTCTAGCTTGCCTACTAATGCCAATGAGTAGGACAAATAGCCTATATGCTCGCCACAGCATATTTCATAATAGTGCGGGTTTTTCACAGCAAGATTTTGCTCTGGTATATACCGGGCAGCAGCGATTATTCACGGTAGCTAGAGAAAATGCAACAGAGCTACGCAGATCGAACAAGAGCATCGTGCGACTGAGAACAAGGGCAACGACATGTGCGAGGTTCGGCCTTTGCCGACGTGATCTACTGTGATCTCGATCGTTCCATTACCTGTCAGTCACCCTTACTCGTTGGTTCACAAGGTCGCACAGCATATCGGCGTCCATGGACAACATCCAGCTCCCTCAGGGCCTCTCACAACAACAAGGCGGACAGAACAATGGCGAAGAGGAGTCCAAGCGCCGAGCCGAGGATGAGATGCGGAGAGATATGATGGCAACCGTCCTGGACCCGGCCGCGCGCGAGCGACGTCAGTGCTCTTGTTCCCACTGCTTTGCATATTCACGTTGTCTGAACGCGTAAGTTCTATGAACTTAGTGTCGCGCATTGCGCTGGTCAGCCCCGAGCGGTCGCGGCAGGTCGAGACTATCATCGCGCGCATGGCGCAGAGCGGGCAGCTGCGCGGGCGAGTGAGCGAAGAGCAGCTGATCGAGCTTCTGGATCAGGTTCGTCTGCTTCGCGCTTCGTGTCTTTGTGTCTGATATCTGGCTGTGTACTGCCCGTTTGTAGATGGAAAACTCGCAGTCCCAGGCGGCTGCGAAGAAGACCACTATTGTAGTACGTCCTCCTGCCCAATCGTGTCTTGTAGGCGATAACTGATCGTTATTCAGTATCAAAGGAGGCGAGACTTTGATGATGACGATGATTTCTGATATCTACTGCTCTTGGTCCTCCTTATATTACTGCTTGCCTCACATTGTAGCCTAGTATCTCCCTCATTTATTGGATCTTGCCATAAATAGCACAAGTGTGTTGCAAGTGTTGAGATTCTGCGCATCGACCCCGCTCATTCCATCAGGCAGCTAAGGGTGCTTGAGGCGGTCCGTTTCGACGTCAAAGTGGTGGACCTCGATCCAACTACAAAGTCATTCTTAGCGATCCGTGCATGTTTTCACAGGCCAATGACTCCTCGATTGTGGCAGAAGGTATCTATCAGTTACCCGATGCGGCCACCGCGAAGGATCCAGTTTATATAATTATAACAAAATGTCCGATTCAATCATGCGTAGCGATTATGAGCAGTCTGAGAATTTAGCTCGTGTCGGTAAGGTAGCTGTTTCCGAGGGAGTCGACGTTGCCGCTCGCATCGAGGAGCCCTGTACAACCGTCAGCGAATTGCGTTCGTTTACATTGTAGTCCGACTTACAGGTGTCCAAAGGACTTCCAGCTTCGGGGCGCTGCTTTGCAGGTGAGTCGTATGAATTTACAAGAGCTAGCAAATGACTTACAGCAAACGCAAACCAGGAGTACTTCTGAACATACGATTGCTGGTCGAGCCAGTTAACGGTCTGTGTCAGGAATGTCGCCACCTCTGTTTGGCAATTGAGTAATCGGTTTGACGAAGTTTCAACGAGACAAACCGGTTGCGTCCGTCGACGTCGAACCAAACTCCGTGACCCAGATGGGGTAGTTGAACGTTTTGTGGAACGCCGTGACGTAGTTCTCAAAGTTTTCCGCGCCGTCGCCGTACCAGTGAACGGGCACGAAGTCGAACGTGCAGGTAGAGCCACACGCGTTGATGAAGTTCGTCAGCCACGTCTGGGAGCCCTCCGAAGACGAGACGGCGGGTGCACCGAGCGCGACGCCGCTGGATTTGAGCGGCTGGATGTACTGTTTCCATAAGTTCGCTGCGTCAGTGGGAGAGAGGTTGGATTGGGCGCTCATGTCTGGCTCGTTGAAGCCCTGGAGCAAAAGTTCAGTAAGAGTCTTGGGACAGGAGGGTAGGTGAGTTCCTTACCAAAATAGTCTTGGCCCCGAGGGTCTTGACAGTGGCTGCAAGGCTCCCAATATCAGCAGAGCCCCACTGCATGGGGATGAAGGTGAGCCCTGGGTTGTTGCTGGGCGCATTAGGGGACCAGTTGTACACCCAAGACGCCTGCGCGCCGCCCGCCTTCGCCAAGTCGCCAGCGGGGTTGCTCGCGGGGAACGCAATGCCGCGCTTGTCGTTGGCAGTTGCGCTGTGCACCAAGGCGATAGCAACAGTGGAGAGAGTTACGAGGTTGAACATGATCAAAGATGCGGCTGGGAGATGAGGATGATTCGACCCAAAGCAAGGCCGTATTTATGCGTATTCTGCCTCGGCGGCACGGCCATTTCTTTTCACCAGCGGGTGAGTTGTCTCGTAGGGAACGGAAGCGGGCCAAAAATTGAATCGCTAGCACAGGTCCTGTACATGATCGAGACGACATGCGCAGCAATGGATGATCAGGGTCCTAGTATGATGCCGCCCGAGTTGCTCTTGCCACGTCACGACCCACAGCAAGCAGGATGAGTGCAAAGAAGGCGAACGAAATGGAAATGACCACTCCACAGGTATACTGTGGGTCCCGGTGTAGCTCAAGTCCTCATAGGTTCCGATCCATCTTGTGAACCACCTCTTCAGATATTCTTTCATACTGTTCACGAGGTAAAACCAAGGTCTCCCAATGTTTATTCGCGAGGAAAACGAGGTGTGGGTGGGTTACGGTTTCGTCATGGAGACGCCGAGCTATAGTAAGATAGTGGATCCACACATAGCTTTGAATTGCCGGACATAGACTAGAAGAATGATGCTCAACTAGCCGCGCAAGTGAGATGCGATCAACACGAGTGTTACGGCAATCCTGCTTTGCTTGTTCAAATACTGAACTGACGGCACCGAGCGCTGGATGATGTTTTCAAGTTGTTGATTTTGATGTTAGATGAGTGCCAAAAAGTCAACCAGAAAGAAGTGTGCAGCCATAGGACACGAGAGTGTTGCATCGCTAACGATGATGACGGTCTGTGAGGCCATCCTGGAAGAAACCAAACAAAGCATGTGCTCAGTGTCGCTGACACTGAGCCTGAGCGCTAAGCGTCGGTAGTAGTAGAGCCAATGTAGATTTGATTTGGTGCAAAACTGCTATGATCTTGTGTCTTCACGAGAAGCGTGGAAGTGGAGTACGAGATGAGCGCAAGAATAGTCTTTTCGTTGTGCTCAAGGTTGTGCTTGCGTTTCGGAGTGTGGAGAGTCCGTTGGTTGCGGAACCGGGGAGTGGAAGCTCGGATCCTCGGAGGTCGGAACGCTCGGCTTCAGCCGAATGCCGATCCTCTTGTGACGCAGCACTTTGCTCGCACAACTGTTGCACATCTAGACGCGGATACGAAGAGTCATGGCACTAATCGAGGTATGGAACGACGCTCAGATCAGGACAAAGCAATGATCTAAAGGAGCTTCGGACTAGGTCATCGCTAACGATAGGTTGGGTCGCAAAGGTATGATTCCGATGTTCAATATCCTATGTTTTCGTCGATAGCTCATGCAGCATCCAGTACGGGTGAAGTGCAGCCCCGACGACACAGTAGGAGACCTCAAGAAGCTGATTGCTGCACAAACCGGAACCGACTTCCGAAAGATCCAGCTCAAGAAGTGGTACGTACATCGGCCTCTTATATTGCCCCTGCCCGTTGGAGCAGGGTATACTCATGATCTTGTGTAGGTACACGATCTACAAGGACCACATCACGCTGGCAGACTACGAGATCCACGATGGGATGAGTCTCGAAATGTACTGAGTGATTGCTGTGGGGATTCGGACGATCATATGTAACTATTATCCTGCTGTATCGATTTCTGACTGTTTCAGCATCCTCGAGGATGATCTTCAATGCAACTTCAAACATTTTCTTTTGGGAGGGTGACACCTGCCCCTCAAAATTCATCTCATTCCCTAGGCATCTAACTAGAGTATGCGCAGTGAGTCTAAGGCGATGCGCTCGGGGCCTCTGAAGATCTGAGGTCTCTGAGGCGTCAGTAACGATCATTTGCAAACTTCTTGAGTAACACGGCATATCTTCAAGAGACCGAGAGGCAAACGATCATATGATGGATTATATTTTCTTAGTAGTGAACACATCAGTACAATGTGCGATGAATCTATGATAGATCTACGTAGAACAACACTCGTAACGTCCAATTTCCAGACAGCGGCACGCCACCAGAAGCAAACAAAATGAAACAAAAAGTGGCGTGGGAATGCGGACATGTCGCCTCAAGGCGAGTTAGGTGGTCGCGTTCAGCTGTCTTTGACTTGTTTATCATCTGTTTCTTCGTTTGACTACCCACCGCCCCCGACGTCCTTGCAGAGTCACATCTAATACATCATCCAAATGACGACGTTTAGAAATCATCACCATCCATCTCTCCCGGCGCCCGTCGTGCACAGCAGCTTCTCAGTGCAACAGTCAAAATCCCATGTCCTCGCAGGGGTTCAGGACGCGTATTGGAGTGACGATGACGCAGTATGCCATCCTCATCTTTATACCATCTGATTGTCTATCTGACTAGGGCACAAGGACGATGCGGAATGCCCTCTTTGCCTCGAGGAGATGGACATCTCAGACATAAACTTCAAGCCGTGTCCATGTGGTTACCAGGTCAGATTTTTCTCGCGTAATCGCACTTTCCCTCAGCCCATCTAACTCCTGATCAGATATGCCGATTCTGTTGGCATCATATCAAAGAGAATCTGAACGGACGATGCCCCGCGTGTCGTAGACAATATACCGATGACGCTGTGGAATTCAAGGCCATAGCCAAGGACGAGTAAGCATGTGCATGTCCTATTCGCTCGCACTCCCTGATGATTCTGAAACACTCAGCCACAAGCGCCTTACGCAACAGAAGAAGCAGCGGGAGCGAGAAAGGAAGGAATTGGACGCGTTAGGTCGCCGCCAACTTGCCAATGTGCGGGTCGTACAGCGGAACGTTGTTTACGTTGTGGGAATTGGCCCCCGATTCGCGAAGGAGGACGTGAGCATTGAATGGATCGCGCATGCTTGTTGGGATACTGATCCTGTCGCAGCTAATATCGACTTTGCGTTCAAACGATTACTTCGGTCAATACGGGAAGATATCGAAGATGATTTTGGTCAAACGAACGCAGTCAGGAGGTGGAGCTCCCGTGGTCGGGCTCTATATAACATACCATCGGCGTGAGGACGCTGCTCGGTGCATCGCAGCCGTTGATGGCTCGCCCTCTCCCGGTGGTGGGCGCGACGTCATGAGGGCTAGTCATGGGACGACGAAGTATTGCATGGCATTTCTGCGCGGTTTACCATGCTCCGATCAAAGCTGCATGAACCTTCACGAATGGGGTGACGAGAAGGATTGTTTCACGAAGGAAGATCTAACTACGCTGTACGCTCTCATTATTGTGATGGGGTCTCTGTCTCATAGCTATGCGCCTAGGAAACACGCTATGAAGGACACGGAGACTCGTGCTCGAGCTACGCCTATACCGGCACCTCCAAAGCGCGAAGAAGCGGATGGTAAGCTTACGCCTGAAGTTTCCTTCAGTTCCGCTCACACTTCTGCTAGGTCTCCCTCGTAATGCAGCGTGGGGATCAAAAGCGCCAACTATCCTAGCATCTCTCGGACTTCCATCCTCTAATGCTGCTGCTGCCACTCAACGATCTGGACGACGAACCACAACCACCCGACAAACACGTGCCACGAACAACGTCTCCCACACAGAGACAAAGCCCGCTCGAGCCGTTCATGAACGTAAGACCGTCGTCACGTCGGTTGGTGCTACAAAGACTCCCTCTATCGCCTCGTCCTCTCGGCCATCAACTCCAGCAAACGCCATGGCATCACAAAGGCCTGCAACTCCCCCTGACGTTAAAGCCCTCCGACAGAAGGCATGTTCGCCTGCTCCATCCCCGTCCCCGGCACCATCTACTGCTGTGGAATCCGATCTGGGCTCTGGGTCTCAAGACGTTCCTCCTTCTCCTGCGCCTCGGCCTGCATCTGCAGAGTCCGCCCCATTTTCCGCACCGACTACGCCAGCTGTGCCTCCTGGTTTGCCCAGTGCACCACCTGGCTTGCCTGGCCCCCCTGGCCTGCTGCACCCTAGTAAATCGAAGACTGATAATTCACAGCCCTCGTCTTACCAAATTTCGACTGCTGCACAAGCATTACTGGACGATGTCAAAGCTCGCCGTGTCAACCCGAACCCAGCTTCGAACGGCATCAGTCCTTTCCCGGACCTAGATCGCACGTTAAACTCGATCAGTGGACTGACGAACGAGCTTGGTGGCTTCAGCTTTAATCTGGACCCCAAGCTTGCCGGCAATGACACTGATGCTACGATCCCGGAGCTCGAAATGGAAGCGATGACACCCTTTTCTGGTACCTTCATGGACGCATTTCCTGCCGTGCGGCCTACCTCTCGCCAGCAGTCTCAGTCATTCATAGCTCCTCCCGGTCTCTCATACCCCCACAGTCCCAACCGGTCCATTTACGACCCCCTAGCTATGCGACCATCACCTATTGAAAGACCGTCTACCGATAGCCCTAATTATTCAGGTTCATTCAACCCTTTCTCTGAGTCAGCAGATGGGGCCTCAAGAGCAGACTTCCCAGACGAAGAGAGGAGGGTATCACGATTTAATTTCGCACGGGGGCGTCAAGGCTCCGCCGCTCACTCAGGTTTACCCGCTGAGGTATCCGCACTCCGCTCGAGTGATATGCGTCAATTGTCGATGTCCTTGAATGACAATGTGTCATCTCCTCAGCAACAACAGTGGAACATGCATCGTGATGAAATGTACAATCACACTCATTCCCCAATGCCCCAGCAACATACCCCCAACGTTCCAGTTCAACAGCAGATGAACCGTTTCCAACCCTTTGACACTAGCATGAGCCTTAGCGAGGCGCAACTCCGAGAGTTTATTCAGTCGAGCCGCCGACGCGATCCTACAGTACATTCAAGTGTTCCAGGTAAATGTTCTTATTCTTGATAGCGTGCAGAGCTTCTTGTTGATGCCGTTTACTTTTCCTCTAGCCCCAAACCTTTATCAATATCCATCAAACCAGCCTTTCAGCGATCCTGCCATCATGTCTGCTAGGTTCGCTTCCCCTACGCTGTCCAGTGCTGTAACTTCAAACGGCAACTATTCCAACTCGGTGCATACTCCGGGATCCATCTCCTCTCATGGGCCTCCTCCTGGCCTCTCGTTTCCTCCCGGTATCCCACTGGGTTCTGGCGCCGATATCCACGCACAGGGAAAGACTCTGGACTCGTCTCTGAACATGGACGCATTCCACCTCACTGCACCTCCAAACGGTGAGTTTTCTCATCTTCTCAAGGGGAGGGAGTCCCAGGTCAGAGTACCGAGCGCCGTACTTCCAGTGCGGAAATACTATCATCGGCAGTAATGATCAACGCGCCGGTCGTCATGCATGTTATCCCTTTATCATTATGCTTCGCCGTTATGGAATAATTTCACTCAACAAGATACAAGGCTATGGGCGCCAGGTGATGTTGCGTTGATGCCGATCTCCCTCCCTTTGCTCTCTCGGGTGCGGTATGATCGTCGTACTTATACTGACGACAATCCTCTTTGGCTTTGTTGTTCGGTTTTTCAATATCATCAAGTTCCTGAGTCTTCTTCACCTTCGCCTTCTCCTACTCCCGCTCTATCAAACACGGACTTCCCTGCTCTCGGTGCCGACACCGGTATCGCTAGTGCCCATCCTGAGTCAGATCTTACCAGTGGTACTCAGACTTCTGATGAAACTACGAAGGATATGTCCAAAGCTGCACGTAAGGCAGAGAAGAAAGCTGCCGCTGCTCAGAGAGCTCTAGAGAGACAAATGGCTGCCCAGGAGAAAGCTGCGGCGAAGGCGGTTGAGAAAGCTAAGCTTGCGCAAGAAAAGGCTGCGGAGAAAGAGAGGGAGGCTGAGCTGAAGGCGGCGCGGGAAGAGGCGGAGAACGCGAGACTGGCTCATGAGAAGGTGGAGAGGGAGAAGGCTGCGAAGGAGAGGGCGGAAAAGGCGGAGAAGGAGCGTCTGGCGAAGGAGGAAAAGAGGCTGGCGGCGCAGGCAGCGAAGGAGAAGGCACAGAAGGTTGCCAAACAGGCTACAAGTCAAAATGGAGTGAAGTCTGCAGCTGGGGCTGGCAAGGGACAGCAACTCGCGACGGTGCAGGAAGAACCTATCCAGGCGCCCGTGATGTCCAGGATGCCGAAGAAGAATAAGCCTGCCTCTCGCCCCATCCGTATTCCCAAGGAGGACGACGTCCCTCCCGACGAAGCTTCCAGCGTCCCTTCCGCCGCCTTGTCAGATGCTGGCAGAGCAGCTAACCTTCAAGGCACGGGCTCCAATAATTCCCGAGCCCAGTCGGTTGACCATTTATCACCCTCAGAGCCGACCTCACTTGCGGAGCTCCTGGACGAAATTGAGTTGAAGAATCCGAATATGGATCTGCCTAATCACTCCTTCTTCGATCTGCATAAGATCAACCCGGCCGCGAAGATGCCACTCGAATATGGACCTCTCGTACATGCGCTCTCTGCGCTCTCTGTCGGAGGCGGCTCGTTTGCGACAAACATGCCTTCGGGGTCCATCGATAATGCGGTGTCGTCATTTCAGCAACTTCTAGAGACGTTGACGCAGACCATATCTGATCTGCTTCGCCTGCTTCCGAGGACAACCTGGGATGACAGCTCTTCGTTTGATGGCGTTCTCCGCGATATGCTCAAAGGCGACGATTTTCTGGATGAGGCGGGCGAGGATTCCAACGGGAAGGACGACGAGGTAGCTGCTCTCACTCTCGCTTTGGAGCGTCGCGCTCGGTGGATGGAGGTGCAGCTGTCAAAGCTGGAGGAACTTCACCGCGATATTAACAACGCTGCTGTACGCGCAGTGCTCGCACTTAACGACGGTGGCTGGGACCGCCACGGCTTCATGCCGCGCTCGCGCAACACTCTCCGTCGATTCGATAACATCGGGTTGATCGAGCAGGACGGGGATTGGCGCCCGATGAACGCAGACGAGCTGGAGAAGAAACTTATTGTCGCGAGGGAGGCAGCCGTGTTTGCGGAGACTGAGCTTAGGGAGGCGATGGATAGGATGCAGGACGTGAAGCCGATGGAGCTCGAGGAGTATTGATGAGATTACGGTGGTCAGTGCGACGAGTGTCGTAGGGCGAGTGCATGTGTCGATACTGCTACTCGTACTATTCAAGTTGGAATTCGAGGGCACGCGAGGGTCTATTGAGTTTCTGTCACGTGTGGTCAACGCGTCTAGGCCTTGGTTTGCGTCGCAGCGCGTCTTGCAATGCACCAGTGCGCAGCTTGAGGTTGACGCCGACAGCAGCCCGCTGAAGGACAAGTCAGTCTACCCTACCGCTTACCCTCACACATCTCTACACTCATCCTCCGTTCTCTTGACTCGGACATTGAAGAGCTAACATATTCAACCGGCTCACTTCTGGCTAAACCACATCCGAGATGTCTACTTTCCGGGCGAACCACCAGAAGTCTAATCTCAAACGAATCTTTGTCCTCCTACCATTTCTTCTTATCGCCTTTCTCGCCCGTGATATCGTGCAGACGTATTCTCAGAGGTTCAGCGAGCTCAAAACTCAGCGAGAAACGCACGAACGTACTCAGCGGATCGAAGGGAGATGGAAGACAGTCGCTGCAGCTCTGGACCTAGCTTCTCTCCCGGACACCATCGTCTTCCCCGACAAACGTCCTCCTGCAGCTATTCAGCCGCGGCCTATCGCGACGTTCTCTCAGCCTCGATACTCACGCTTTGATCTGAGGAGAAAGCGGTCTGAGGCGCGACTGGATCTGGAAGAGCCATCTCATCGGCAGGTTGTTCTTGCTCGCCCCCTACGTTTCGCCGCCGATGTGCAGGATAGTCCGTCAGTCTCGCTGGAAAGTCTCGCCTCGTCTCTTCGCCACCTCGCCTCGTCGGAGCAAGGGTCGGGCACCTCCTCAAATTCCTCGGGCCGCGCCAAAAGGAACGCTGCCCCAAGGAGACAGGCGCGCAAGGGCAGCTAACAGGACCCGCCTCACAATATTGACATTTGATAACAACTAAACTACTAGCCGTGTTCGGCTCATCATAGTTTTGTAGAACTAGCACACAGCTTACACACACACACACACATACGAGCGACTATGCATCCCCATGGTGGACTACAATCTGATTATGCGGCAGGGTTGTATTATACAGTATGTGTGTCGTATCGTGTGCATCTAATGGACGAAAGAGAGCGCCGGGCGACATTCTCTAGGGAATCATGAGGCCTGGGCCTGTGAGCCTCCCGCCTTTTTCCACGCCACGAAGTCATCGAGCACTGTGGGCCAGGCCTGCAAGCATCGAAGGGTCAGGTTTTAGACAGCTCCGAAAGAGCGGAGAACCGTGCTCACCCCGTCCGCTTCATAGTTGTCTAGCGAAGGGTCGACGGTGCGGCAGAACTCGAGCATCTGGGTGACGTTATTAATGAACGATGAGATGACGGTGGACGGAGAGAAAGCGCTCGACGCACCATACTCCAAAGATCTTTGTTGGCCGCTTTGTAAGAGGATTTGGCCTGTGGACGACCCGATCAGCAATGGCCGAACACACCGAGACGAGAAGGGTGACCAACGTTCAGGAATTCTATCATTTCCGAGACTATACTGAAGCTAGGCGCTAGTAGGACGGACCAGAAGGCGATTGCGGTCTACACGGTGGTCACGTAAAGTGTGAGATGGAACGAAGAAGCACACCCACCTCCATTTCTATGTTTCGTGATTGTCTGATCCACCCATACGTCAATTCATCGAATTCATAAGTGTTCATATTGAGACTCACGGAGGCTTCGCCAAGACGAAGCAGAATTGGTACAGCTCGGAGAAGGCAGCGTTCTTGTCCTCAGCGTAGCCAAAATAGCGCGAACGATTGTATGGGTCCTTCTGTGCCGCACCGGCAGTTGCACTCGTGCGCTTCTTGGACGGAGCGGCATTCGAAGCCGTCTTTATTGGCTCTGCGTCACGCACGAGAAGATTCTCGAGATCTCGTAACGCATGGCCTAGAACGGGCAAGGAAGAGATTCTATACGCGCGAGAAACGCGAAAGGAGCGTGGTATTAGTCACTGTGGCACAAGTAAGGGCACACGCCCGCGGAAGAGACGACGCACTGCAGTGCACTCGTTCCCTCTGTCCACTCGTCCTGCTTGATCTTGCCCATCTCGCTGGCCTTGAGCTGCCAGGCCAATATAAGGGGTTGAGCGCCTTCAAGCGAAATGCCAGCATCTGTGCACAGGCGCTCGAACCCTTCGGGGCCTACGACGGAAGGGTCGTCTTCATCGGTGTAGGACGCGAAGAGCTCCTGAGCGCGATTGGGGGAGTACTTTTCGTCCAAGGACTGAGACTGACAAACGTACGAGCGGTCAAAATCGCGGATGAGCCAAGTAGCTGATTATGACTAAAACAGTGACTTGCCTTGGACACTTTACGCGCGTCGGGCACTTCGTCACTGTGGACTGACGTGTTAGAAACGCAGCACAGCAACGAAAAACGCATCCAGTGCGAAACAAAATGTAGCGTGCGCGGCAAGGGGAGGTAAAGGAAAGGGACGAGGTACGTGTAAATGAGACGAGGCGGTGGTGGTGGCCAGTCGTCAGGCGGGCAGATGGGATGGAACCGGACTTACTGGTTCAGCTGGCCGTGGCCGTTCCCGTGCAGGGTCGCTGCAGACGCGTCGGGCTGCTAAATTGATGCCGCGGAACGGAATCAATATCCTAATCGGGGGCTGACACCGGCCACGTGGTTTTACATACATTGGCGCTCGTCCTATTGCGGAAATTTGGGTCCGGAAACAGTTGTGTTCGAGAGGTTGAGCGGCGGGACAGACGCTAGCGGCCAGGAGGACGCGAGGTTGACACGCACCCTGTCGCAGTCTTGCTTTTCTGGGGTGGCTTGGGTTTTGAGGCGGTCTTCTTCGTGGCTGTATTCCTTGATTTCTTGGGAGCTGGCTCAGGCTTATCGACAGGGGCGGAGGTGGGTGCCGGTGAGTACCGTCATGGGCAGGAGGACACCACTGGAATCCACATACATCCGAGACGCTCTCCGACCCAGCTTTCCTACGAAGCACACGGACCCTGGGGTCAACAAAGACAGCCATATGACGAACCAGCGGGGCTCACGCATCGGCAGTAAGGGGAGCCGCGTTACTAGTACCCTTCTTTGCTGCACGACAGTTTGTGTCAACCACCCAGCCCTGCGTGCGTCACAATATACGAGCGTACCGGCCGTCCGTGCGGATGTACGCGTCCCTCTGGATTTCGGCCCTTCGGTGGTGGCATCCGCGGCATCTGCGTGTTTCCGCTGGGCAAGTAGCATTGCGTAAGTAAGCGGGCAACAAGGCACGGCGACGCCCTAGTGACTTACTTTTGGCGGCATCTCCGAGTATTTTGTTGGGTGCGATCTAGGGGGTCCTTTGGAGGGGAGTTTGAGAGAGTTCGTACGCGTGCGGTAATGAGGAACGCGAAATCCAAGGGGAAGTTCCGTCCATTGACGCGTTATAATTTCCTTGTCACGCGTCACGCGGATTTTGGAAGCGGAATAGGGGCTGAAGGCACCGATCACGTCTCTGCTTTCTAATCTGACATCCTCTCTTCCCCGAAACCACGACCCCGCAATGAACGGAGAAGTATTCAACTCCAACCCTACCGTCTTTTCACCGTCCAGCCGGAACACCCGGAAATCAAGATTCGAGACAGGCGAGTCCTTATGGGTGAATGACTGCGATAGCGACGACTCGTGGGATGACTCGGTCGAGCCCATTGACCAGGATGAGATTTTTGGTGAGGATTCCATGGTTTGCGATAAATTCAGAGTCGAGACTCATACATGCGGTAGAGCTCATACGCTCCATATCTGATCCCGAGCATCCAAACAGCCTCGAGGAGCTCCGCGTGGTGTCCGCAAAGCAGATCGGCATAGGCAACAACCACATCATGGTCGAGTTCACGCCGACCGTCCCGCATTGCGGGTTGTCCACGCTAATTGGTACGTGCACCTTTCACCTACCTCGCAGCTCTGATGAATGAACGTTTACTAAACATGATTGTGCGTTGGCTAGGCCTGTCTATACGCGTGCGGCTTCTTCGTAGCCTGCCGCAGCGTTTCAAGGTGGACATACGTGTCAAGCCCGGATCGCACCAGAGCGAGCATGCAGGTACGCAGTGCCCTTGACCCTTGCTCAACTCCTCCAGCTTATCAGTCATGTCCACCCGGTCCATCCGTAGTTAACAAGCAGCTCAACGACAAGGAACGTGTCGCTGCAGCTCTCGAAAACCCGGCGCTCGTGGATACGCTTGAAAAATGCCTTGCAACTGCAGGCACCCGCAGGATCTAGTTCTTGGCCATATCTCAATCGTGTGCATGTATTGCTAGCTTTGTATCTTTATCGTCATTCCTATTATGTCCGCAGTTGCCATAGTATGTATTCCGGGTGATCTATGCCATTCATGATTACTTGCGTGGTATAAGGTGATATGCTGTATGAGAGGGTCATGTAAATGCTACAGTGTGATGAGGATGCTACAGTGCGTGAGCGTATGCGCTAATCAGATAATGTGCGTGGACAAAAGAAAGTAAGAAGATGCTAATGGTGGTAAAAACACTATCCACCATACGGTTCTAAAACGAAGGTGCCAAACCCAAAGTCAAGAAAGGGCATGCATACAGCATAGAACGAAGGTCGCTGTGCATGACTCGATCGAGAGCTCAAACATAGAAAAAGAAGAAACGAAAACACTGCGCATCCTCATCCATCAAGCAGGAAATCCCAGTTGATGCCCGACCCCGACGCTTTCTTGCTCCCGAATATCCGCTTCAATGTCTCCCGTGTTGTCACCTCAGGCGCGCCCGTGTGTACGTCCCACATGCGGAACGTGACGGTCCCGCTCGTCTCGACGACGACCTCGTCGCCGTGCCAGCCATCGAGGTCTGTGTCTTTCATTTGTACGTTTGGCATGATGCGATTGGCAAAGCCCGCAGAAAAGACGGCCTTGCTGGTGCAACGGATGAGTCCACGGAAGTCAGAGGGGAGCCAGATGCAGATATTGGATCGGGACCCGCGGATGTCGAGGAGGAACTTTGATCGTTGTGTTATGCCTCGACACTGATCGGATGTCAGGAGACGGGATGGGTGAATACGACAGGAGTACTCACAACTTTGACCTTGATAGGCGCATCAGTAGCACTGACGAACATGCTGAGCCGCTCGCCAACCGGTTGGTTACGTGCGCGGAAGTGAGGAAGGGCGAGCGACAGGTCGACCGCTTCTTGATGGGACTTGCATATGAAATCCCATCCTGATGATGGTTGGTAGTGAACCTTGCGATTTCCAACTGGGCCAGTAAGGAGATGTTGCTTGTCGGAGCTAATTGAAGCGCTCTGGAAGGGTCGCGGTTAATCCCAATAAATCATTCCAGCTTTGGAAGGCTGTTCACCTCGGACGACATGCAGGCCATGATGATGTGCGTATGCGTTACAGCTTGAATGCTGGCTTATAAGATATGAAGAGAGAGAGAACGAAGAAGAGGCGAGCCAGCTAGGCCAGATTGACGCAGCGCCACTTGATGCAAGGATAAAACGGGGGGAGTATACGAGCAGGCCCATCTGCAACGAGAGGGGGATTATAAGTAAGCTTCGAGTGCATGGTCACAGAGAAAGAAGCACGGTGATGCCTTGTCCGAGAATAGCAACCCTTGTATTCAAAAACAAAAGGCCGCAACAGGCGCCGGTCCGCATCTCAACCGCATCCGAGATTCCGGTCCCCTCTCACCACACACTCCCACCTGCAACCCTAAATCGGGTTATCAAAAACGCCCTCGCTTTTTGGGTACCACAAATGCTTGTCCCGACTCTCTGAGTTGCCAGCCAACACTCTGGAAACGGACGGGTCACAAGTCATGCCATGTGGGACACCGGCGCTGTCTCACCGAGAGTCCGTTTCTGAACTGAACAACAACAATTGACCACAGCAACCTCGCAGCTCGAATCAGCCAGCTTGCTGAGGTTGTTTTGTTTTATCCGCGCGATCCAAATCGCCGGCTAACACCTATCTATGTCTACCCTACGTACAAAAATGACAATCGTGAGGCTTATTAATTTAGTCACTCGTCAAACGTTGTTCCTTACTGACAGTAATATCACGTCCTGAACAAGGAACAACCTTGCTCGCCACAATGTTCGTTCCTACATACATTCTTCGGGAAAACCTCTTGGCAAACGGCCACCCCAAGGCCAACAAAGGAAAGTACAAGCACGAATTTTACACCTATACATGGTCCGTTCTACCTTGTCTCCGTCACGGAGGCGAATTGTCGCCCCCATAAGTTCGTTCTACCAACGATCGCCGCGGTCCCAATCGCGGTCCCCACGAGCACCCGAAAATGATCCATAGGAAAGCGCCTTTCATCGCCATCATTTTGAGCATGTAACGCTATGTAACGCGTAACGCACCATGATACCGTTCAAGAGCCGTCCGAGGATGTAAGGAAAGCCCATCTGGATTCTGGATTCTTTGGTGTGTCACTGTGTGTCCAAACCCCGAGGGCGGCGATCGCACGTGGAAAGCTCGTGCACGACGTCCCTTTCCTTTTCCATGTGGAATTTTACCGAAATGTTGAGCCGATCGTCGATTGCCACGCGACCGGATGTTCGGAAGCGGGAACATGAATGCGCGACGGCGTTTCAAAACGTGGCTGCAAGATGGACGTGTTAGCCTCCCGCAGGCAGCCGTTTATAGAAAAGAAGGATGAAAGTCGTTCCTTCACAAAACAAAATCGGGTGTGCGTGCTATAGAAAGTCCAGCGCTCAGGGCATGTCAACTCCGACTTGGCCCATGTAGGTGCTAGCTGCAGTGTAGAGCAACTAGTGAATATGGGTCTTTCTACTGGATCTAGGACGCAGAGATTGAAGAGTATGTGCTATTTAGTATCTCCGTTTTAGACCGACCATGACGGAGAGTACGGACACTAGATTATCTCTTCTTCGCTCATGATCTAGTTTTATCCGGGGACTTGAGACCATAGGCGCAAACTTTGTGACTGGTGGCAATAGTTCGCATGTCAGACGCATCCATGAGAGTCAGAAAATTGCTAATAATATGACACAAACTGCCAAATCGACCGAACAGTAGATCTGCCAAGTGTTCATCCTTCAAGAGTTTGGGCTGCTTTGCCTTGAGACCGTAAAACGCCACCCGTTTGACACGCAGTGGGGTGCCCATGAACTTACCTTCAGCACGGATGTTCGTCATCTGCACTTGGCGGACCAACTTCATAAGGAAGAGGCTGAGAAAACTGACATAATCTTGAAACCTTCGGAGGGTGGTTCTTGAGTATACCACATAGAAGCGAATGTGGGATTTTTAACTCTATCTAGCGATTGCTTGCCACCTGACTGAGAGAAAGAGTTATGGCGTCACAAACCTTATAAACGGTCGGCTGTTCTTTCCATAATGATTATGGAAGGCAACCTTCCAAGTCGAGAAGTCTGAGCTCCGAGAAGGGGGATCATACCATGATGCTCGACAGCCTGAGGTAATGCAACAATGACGATCGCTAAGCAGTCACATATGTGCGGCTATAGCTTTCACGCAGAACACATCGACGTAATGGATTTTTTGTGAATTGATGAACCAATGTATTGTGAATTTTGGAGCGGAACAGAGGTATCAACCAACGTCACCCCCCGATGGTAGAATTTCCACCGAATATCAGTATCGTGTGCCAAGTACGCACCATCACAGTTGTTACTAGAACGCCGACGCACTGAGGTCCTCGGGAGTCGGCACACAGGCGGGCCAGTGGCGGCAAGCTCAAGGTATAATACATCAGCAGCTGAATTACCCAGCACCAGGATTGCGATCTGTAATTCGTCGATGTTGGGGTGGAGCGGCGGGCATCAAGGAAGCGCAGTCACTCGAGGTGGTGAGACGTCGGAAAAATGTGCTCAGGTAACAAATCCACTGTTGGAGTGGTGAACAATCAGTTACTCAGCATAAAAGCAATCTGCTTCCCAACTTTTGGATGTCTGCGAACTTCGAAGGGACAGTGGTACCCATCGCATAATTATATCGCAGCTCGCAGAATCACCGGAATAATAACTAATGGTGTCGCAGGAGTTACAGAGAGCGTTGGGAGAACGGGGAATCTTCAGCACACGGGCAGAGGCGATTTGATGAGCTATAAAGATGAACATCGAGCCGAGTCCGAGCAAGAGGATATAGACAGGGTAGTGCTCATGTAATGCTTGAACCTCCGTGAATGATATGCTGAATGGTTCAACCACGCAAACGAGGAGGTAAGATTGGAGGACAACTGCGAGATAAGTCCGCCGAGCATGCGTATATACGTCTTCAGGAAGGACAGCGTCGATTTGAAGCTAATCGCCGGTGGCAGTACATTCCCTCGCTGTGACAGTTGGAGTGTTGGGTGCGAAGAAGTCCCTTCATGGTTTGATGGAAGCCCGAAAGTTCAGTGCCGGCGGCGAGATATCTTGAGGAGCTCTGTAATCCCCTAGGTTCAATTTCTCCGTTCATACTAAGCCTACGTGGAGAAATATCCAAGAATGCACTAGCGCTAGAATGACGACAGTTTGAGGTTGTATCGTTCTGCAACGGATGATCTTTGATCAACTTATCAGCCAAGAGAAAACACTCAAGAGAGGGATCTAAATGGGATAAAAGTCGTCCAAAGACCACAAAGTCATAAGGATCATGCTTACAATAGCCAATAATATCCCGTTCTAGGAAGCCTAGCATTCGTTTCAATGGAGAGTGTCGTTCCCTGATGTATTGGACGATCATCATCGCGAGTTCCATCCACTGCCAGTCATTTGTGGCAACGGCCGTGTGAACCTAGTACATGGACGCGTTATTCCCACGCTTCTGATACGTCCAGCAGCTGGACCGAGCACAAAGCGAGAGTATTACAACGTTGGCAAGACAAAGCAGCACCTTGTCCGGGCTTCCTCCAATATCAGCCAACTTGCACGAACGTGTGAGCTATCGTGCTCTCTCCCACTGAAGAAGCTTGCTGTCTTGGGAAAACACCGTTGCCTTGTGAGACACATATCTAAGACACTCTTTGCTTCCGTTCCACTTCTTGCTCGTCGACCTCCTGGCTCTCGTACGCAACGTTCACTTAGCCACCAAACTCAGTAGCTCGACGCTTTAGGCATGGTCAAGGAAGTCTTCAAGATATTCAATCACACCTCCGGCGGCGTACGCATGCGAGACACCCGCAAGAACGGCTCGGAAATATCCCTGCTGAACTCGTCAAACATCACGTTCTGTGCACCTTTCAAGCATGCCTCGTTTCAATCCGACCGGCCGTATACCATACACCGTCAACGGGTTTGTCCTCTTGGTACTGCACTCTGACAACTAGAGGTATTGAATGGTGTTTACAGGTCTCCCGAAAGCTGACAAAGATCCTCCTTCTACCTCAGCGGGATCCCTCGACGTTCCTTTCCGAGATACCCGACACCGTCCCTCTTTCGGCTCTCATGTTACCTGGTAGGGGTGTCTGGCCATTCTTCTCAGCGTCTAGCAAGCTAATGTAGACTTAGGCACCCATGAGACGTACGTGCAGACGCTCAATATCTCACAGCCCCATGCTTACCGCGTTAAAGGATGGCATTCTACGGTTGGCCCATCTCCCAGTGCCAGAACTCATACGAAACCCTGGAGAGCCAATTCAATTCGGGCATCAGGGTCATAGACGTCCGTCTGTCCATCAAAAACAACGAACTCATGTTCTACCACGGCATCCAGTCAGAACACGGCCGATTCTCCGTGATGTTGAACACCATCCACGCGTTCCTGACGAATCCTTCCACGTGTCGCGAGACCCTCGTTGTGAGCATCAAGGAGGAGGACAATAACCCCACCCTTTTCTCGCAGCTCGTTCTTCAGGAGATCACGAATTCCACTGGAGGGCTCGATATGTGGCACTTGGACGAGCGGATTCCTACCCTGGGCGAGGTCAGAGGGAAAGCTGTTATGTTTAGCCGCTTCGGCAACGGAACCGGGTGGGCCAATGGGCTCATGGGCATCCACCCTACCACCTGGCCTGATAGCGACAAGAGCGGCTTCAGCTGGAACTGTGGCGATACCCTCGTCCGGACTGCGGATTGGTTCGTGTCACCTTGACTTCGCACTTTGTGCTCGGTCACTTTTGCCGTAACGCATGCTCATCTGACCCTCGCGGCGCACGCAGGTACAACATCATCTCACTGTATTCGATACCCGAAAAGGTGAAGGGCTGCACGGATCTGCTCTACCCGCCCCTCGACACGCCGTCTCCTGCGCTTAACATCGTGTTCTTCTCGGCTTCCTCCTTCCCGCTCGCCCTGCCGCCCTCGGTCGCCCGCGGCCTCGGATGGCCGCGCTGGCACCTAGGGTTTGAGGGCGTGAACCACCGGGTCAGTGACTGGCTTCTCGGCCTCCTGGGAGGTGAAGACGAAGACGAAGACCAGGGCGAGGGCGAGGATTCTCTTGCAGACGCGGATCTGGATAATGAGAAGACCGAGAAATTTACCGAGAGCCAGCCACGCATCAGGGGGTGGGCGATGCTTGACTTTTTTAATGAGCCCGTGAACCCTGGGCTCATTCAGATGTTCATCGAGTGCAATTTCCGTGGCAGGACGAGCGGGGAGGAAGGTTGGCCGTGAAGCCATTGTGGAGGTAATCATTATTTCTCCTTTTGCTTTAGACCGCCATGTGTTAACAGACCTCGGCCGTCTTGAAGCGCTGTGCCGTATAATATTTACGACATCTAACTGATGGTAAAGGAGGCTATGGGCTGGACAACACACTGCTTCACAGACGCTCATGGATACAATACCTGTCGTCGGTATCATTAAACATACCCTATAGGCTTTGACCAGATAGCAATAGTCTTCGAGTAGATACCCTATGTATGATATCTGTACACGTCGAGCAACCTAGACATTCATCGGAGATCAATAATAATGCACAGGCGTTTGAATTGATTTGTACCGCAGTGTAGAGGAACATGGACGACGCGGAGTAATGTTATCAATAGGAACAGCGGGCGCCGTCTCACTGGCTCGCGGCCACAACTAACGACCGAGCGCTTGATTTCTTCCCCTTTTCAATGTCACTGTTCCCCATCTCAACGTTTTCAACGTTCCCCCTCAGCTTTGCACACCTCACGTCCTAATCACTGCCCTTACTGCCCCACGCTGCCGCAAGTAAAGCGCGTTGCAGCAATTGAACTTGATCGTCGAGGCACACGACACAAGGCCGCCAAGTATCTCATAGCATCTCATTCGAGCTTGTCGGTATATAAGCCAAGCGAAACAAGGAAACATGAAGAAAGGACCATCTTCATCGAAGTCTCCTAGTGGGCCGCTTGACGCGTTCCTCAAATCCATACCCCCCGACGAGCTCAAACTCATGGTCCCGCCATCCGACTCACGCGCCGTAGCAGTCTACTGCGCAGCCTCGCTCGGGAAGCGCAAGGCGTTCCAGAATGCTGCCCTCTGTACGTCTTACTTCCACCCAACGCCTTTGCTCGTACGGTAGCGCTGAATGCGAAACAACGACAGCTGTGGGCCATGCACTCGCAGAGGCCAACCGGCCTCTCGTCTACGGCGGTGGGAACGCCGGAATTATGGGCGTAGTCTCGGGCGCGGCGCTCGAGCACGAGAATGCGAGAGTGATAGGCATCATCCCGAATGCTATCCTCGCTGGAGGCGGCGAGAAGGACAAGGGCGGCAATCCCATCCCCACCACGAAGCACGTCGCAGACGCGCTCAGCGAGAAGCCACGAGTGGTACGTGACTCTCCCCTTGCTCGGGTCTGCATTTGGCTTGTTATGAAATTAACGTTGTGATGCAGGCAGAAACGGCAAGTCCATTGTTATTGGGAGCGGCTATGAACACGAAGCACTCATGCATCATCTTCATTTCCCTTGATAGATTGTTGTAAGCTCGATGCACGAACGCAAGGTGGAGATGGCGACACGTGCGGGGGGCTTCATTGGACTCCCCGGAGGATTCGGAACGTTTGACGAGGTGCGTGTTGCATCATGCTTTTAGCGGCAATCTCGTCCGCTCAAAGCTATGTCTAACTTTATCATTGCTGCGCAGGTTCTTGAGGTGATCACATGGAACCAACTAAATATTCACAACAAGCGTTAGTCTCCTTCACCCCTTCACTCTATCAACTCTTTCAACTTCACGATTACAGCCGTCGTCCTCCTAAACGTCTGCGGCTATTGGAGTCCCCTCCGTGCCCTCGTCCGCACAGGTATCGAAGAAGGCTTCATCCGCCCCGAGAACGAGAAACTCGTCATTTTCGTCGACGGACCGGAGGACTACGACGAGCACGAGACATTCGAGTGGGGCAAGGCAGCCATCGCTGCGCTTGAATCGTGGGACACGGCCAACACCAAAGGCACCCTCCCTTTCCATTGGCTCAAAGACGTCGACACGAGCGCCGCAACTACTAATGAAAAGCCCAACAAGGGCTCCGGCTCGGCACGTTGGCTGCGCAAGGTTTGGCACGCGCGTATGCGCGGACGACCACTTGTGGTTGCATAGATTTCAGGCTACAGTCCCGATAGGACGGCACCAGAGGCCATCATCCCGCTGCACCACTTTGCTCACAGGATGCATATTTTTTGGACTGTGAACATATGCACATGCACATACTCCCCATGTTCATACATGTACGCACTCATACGGACCGATCACATTGTAGAGTAGACCTCATCCGATTGCGAGAACCCGGAGTTCCGCACGGAGATATGCTTGTAGAATTCCACATCATCACAGTACAACAGCAATAACGCCCATGTTACAGATATGTCAAAATTAATAACTTCAATGCTCAACGTGTCGTAGATGAGTGCTAGGCAGCTGCGTCCGCCTTCTTCCCAAACTTTGGCTCGATCTTGCGGACGGCCATGTATGCGTCCACGTCGGCCTCCGTGAGTTTCGCTCTCCGCTGCAGCGTACGGTCAGCATGTAACCCATCATGTGAATCAGGGTAACGTCGGACGTACCTCTTGGAAGCCCTTTACGAAGTCCTGCAAGAGCTTGATACATTGACCCTTGAGCTGGCCTGTAAGTAGGCGACCTGCTCTGTACTCCTGTAACCGCAATAAAAATGAGCGGGTGCTCCAGGACAAGGATAAGATGAACAAACCTCTCCTATCCGTGCGAGCTCCTCGTCATCATCGAGGAAGAAGCCCAAGTACTGATAGGCAACGTCCACCTCCGTGTTCCCACCATACTTACGGTGCTCCTCCTCCGTCTCTCTCCCGCCCGAGAACCCATGCTTGTTGATCTTGTTCTTGATCTGGTTGGGCGTGTCCGTCATGTAGATACTCGAGTTCGGGTCCGACGCGCTCATCTTCGTCTGCGGGCCCTGCAGGGCGGGGAAGAAGCGCGAGTGGATGAGCGCAGGCTTGGGGTACTTGAGCTTCTGCGCGACGTCGCGCGTCAGCCGGAAGTACGGGTCCTGGTCGATCGCGCAGGGGATCAGGCAGGGGATGTTGGACACCTCGCCGAAGATGTGCGGGAAGGAGTTCGAGAAGGACGGCGCGGCCTGCACCGAGGCAAAGTGGATTTTGCCGATGTTGTCACTACGTAGGCCAGGATTGTGGTCACCATCTGCCCGTCTCGTCCAGCACGATGCTGCAGGAAAAAGACACGCACGATTCGTTGAAGCCGAAGGTGGCCTTGGCCTGGTTGAATGAGATCTGGCGGGAGATCTTGACAACGTTCTTGTAGAACGCGCCGCCGACATACGAGAAATCGCTGAAGATAAACGTCTTATTTACGTCGAACCCAACCGCAATGATGTCCTTGGTGTTCGCGCGAGCAAATTCGTATGTCTGCTCGGCCTTCAGCTCATGCTTGAACAGGAACTTCTCGTCATCTGGAAACAACAGGTCAAGTTATCGGCATCAATGCGTGTAGGAAAGGTATATACCAGTCAACTGGATGACAAGAGGAACATCGAACACGTCCTGCAACCACCTTGAGACGATGAGCGGTCCGCACGACCGACCGACCGAGAAAACGACTCACTTAGTGAACACAAACGGAACCATATGTCCCAAGTGCATACTATCACTGCTCGGTCCACGCCCCGTGTACAAAAAGAACGGCTTGCCCTGCTCATGCCGATCGAGAATCTTGTCGAACTCCCTGTACCACCACACCACCACCACGCCCAAAAAGAACCCTCACTCAGCCCTCCTTCGCTCCCTTCGCCAGCCCTGGCACGAGCCAAAACAGCACAACAAACGAAAAGAAACTCACCGATGCGAGAAGAACATCCCCCTCCGTAGGAACGGATGCGGCCGGTGCCCTGTGAGCTTCTCGAATCGCTCCAGGAGCGCAGCGTCGATGCGCCGCGTGCCGAACTGGTCGAGCAGCTTCTCGTAGTCGATCGCGGCCTGCTGGCCGTCCGCGCCGACGGAGCCCTGCACGTCCCAGGGCGTGACGACCTGGGCCTGTGCGCTGGCCGCGACGGGCTTGATCGCGGGTGCGGACTCCGAACCGGGGTCGGTGCTGTTGCATTCGGGGGCGAAGTGCAGGTCAGAGGGCGGGCAGCAGGGACGTGGCGCGGACGGTGGTCTGCTCACAGGGTGGTGTTGCCCAGGGCTTCAGCTGCTGACTCCGCGCTCATGGTTGGGCTGGCGATCGTAAGCTGTACGATAATGTCACACTAAGTGCACGATGCACAAGGTAATTATGGCTTACAGAGAGGAAGAGAGGCTTGAAAGAAACGCGCTGGCAGGCCCAGTCATCTCGATCAAGTCAGGAAAAGATAATCTTGACTCATTCACGTGGCTGTTACTTGGGCAATCTCAGCTAACTCAGACACCTTTCATGCACATTGCGATCGCTAGTCATCTCAAGCTCACACAGAACGTTTTGCACTGTTTTACAATTGCCCGACTGATGTATCATAAAGTTAAATGTAGATATTTGTCAATGCAGGAGGGGGGAATTATGGTGATTGCAAGGTTTAGAGTTCGAGAAGAAAAGAGAAGAGTGAGAAAGGAAGAACCCAAGTAACCGTGAAAAGAAAGGTACGATGAGGGGTGACTGAGGATGTCCGTGCACTACGTTCGCCCTCGCCCTGATCGGCCTCGCATGTATGATTTTTGTACGCCCGCACGACCACGTCTTGCCCAATACCAGTGCAGTAGAGGCAGAGGCGGCGGATGTCGGTGGGTGCGGGCGTTAGGGAAGAAAACAAAAAACCAATGGTGGACAAGATCATCACGGTTTTCTGAACTCGCACAACACCGTATAGATGGTGTTGAATGCAGTGTAAATCTCCTCTCGGACCTGAGTCACGGAGTTATGAGGACATGTATCAGCACAATGGAAAACAGGTCTTTACCTTTGCACCAGTCAAGACGATCTTCCCAGAGACAAAGATCAAGAGGACGACCTTCGGTTTGAGCATGCGATAGATCAACCCAGGGAACAACTGAAATGCATAATAAGCTTCGAGAAGGATAGCGCAAACACAAAGCGACTAACCTCAGGCTCATAGCTGCTGAACTGTCCGTGACTGTAGGCGAGACCTTCCAGACGGATCGGGAACTTGACATCGCAAGAGCCGACGATGTTCTGAATCTTAAACTCCGAGAACTTGGCGTCGAAGCCGAGCTTCTGCACAATGCGGGCGTACTTGCGCGACGCAAGACGCGAGTCGTCTTCGCTCTTCGCGCCCGTCACGACCATCTTGCCCGAGGCGAAGATAAGTGCGGTCGTCTTGGGGTCGCGAATGCGCATGATAACCGCCGCGAAACGCTAGAGTACGGGCAAAGGCGTAGAAGCTCGGCCTGTACTCGACGAGGGGCACAGACTAGATACCCACCTTGGGATTATACTCTGCGTTGCGCGCGTGCAACGCGATCGTCTTGAGGTCCAAACGACAGTCCAAGTTGACGGTCGCGACGATGTTTTGAAGTGTCGGCACGATACCGTCGACAGCAGTGATGTGTTGCTGCTCGAGCGTGAGCGGGGCAGGAGTCGACGGGACTGTTGACGAGGGTGGCGTCGAGGGACCGGCAGCCGCGTTGGCGTGCACGCCATTGGTGACGGGAGTAATAGATGTCGACTGAGGAGGGGTATGGGACTGAGAGAGAGGCGAAGGACCAGGAAGGGTGGACGGTCCCGGCAAGCTATACGAGTTCGCGCCTGGCAGAGCGAGACCATGCGAGGGTTGGCTCGCGGGCTGTGCAGGCTGCTGGAACTGTTGCTGGGTGAACGTCGGCTGGGATGCCGACGGGCGACCGAAGGTGACTTGGCGTGTGGGGAGCGCGAACGACATCTTGGACAGTGACGAGGAGGACGTGGAGGCCGACAAAAAAATCCGATAGTCTAATTATCCGTGGGAAGATCTGAGAGGGGGAAAAAGCGAGGGCTCGTATCCTTCGAGCCCGTTCTGCTATATAGCCATGGATTGAAACTCCGCCATCGATTACGTCCCAAACCTTAATGATGTGACTCCTTCTTTCTGCCACCACCATCCCTATGGTCCGACCGTCAAGCCTTGTCCTCTCCTCCTTCCATGCTGCCCCTCACCTCTCTGCTAGTCCCTAGCCAACCATCTCGGTGCTCTCAGACGCCTCTCCGCCCTGGCCAGTCATCTGCAAGCTAGAAAGAGAGGGAGTAAACGCAGGGGAAGGGATCAGCGTCGTGGCTAAGAACGTTCCAGAATGATGGTATGCTTTCCCACGCCCTGCCGGCTCTTCCGAAACCTGCCGCCTCCCGATCCGGCCAAAACTGATTCAGCCACTCTCCGTTGTTCATCTGTCCTTTGTCATTGGCGCTGCTGTGCATAGCAATGGGCTCCTTCGCGGACACTATCAGCCCTTTAAGTATGCCTACTTGACGCTGCGCTCCTCATCGTGTTTGTTTGCTCGTGCGTGATGCTCCAGAGATGGCATCAAAGTACGAAGCGACCCTTCCCACCTGTCACATACCTTTCACAGGGTCGGCTTGGCGACGGCCCTGTTTAACAAACGCCCAGCCATTATCACAACTGGAGCATCAGCTTGATACTTTCCATGCACTTGTAGACAAGGCACAAAGGGCAATGCAAAAGTAGATTCATGATAGAATAGAATGTACACTACAGTCCAACAATGCTCAAACAAGACAACCTATGCATTCCGTGCTTTCTTTTGTTTCCGGGCGTCAAAAAACGTAAATCATTCTCCCGCTACATCCCACCTAAACCGAATAGCGTGCACACAAGCGAACTATATGGGTCTCGGCATTCTCCGGCCTCGGGATAGGGTGAGACGGGGCGAGAACGCGCATCCCTAACGGGATCTTTAGTTGCTGCCGACGAGGGGCGCGCGTTCGGGATCCTCGAGCGCGATAGCGCCGCTGCGGAAGCGCTGGGTGAGACCGTACGCGCCCTTGACAACCCAGAAGAGGGAGAGGATGGCGAAGGCGAGCGCGGACCAGTGGATGAAGCCGGAGTGGTGCACGTCCTGATGCGCGAAGATGGCCCAGAGAGACCAGGTGATGGCGATCGAGGCGGGAAGGTCACCCTCGGGCGTCGAGAACGCGTAGGTCGCGGCCGTGCCCTCGAGGAAGAACCTATAGATGATTGGTCGGGTTAGAAACGTGTTTGTTTCAGCTGGGAACGGAAGGATGCTCACAGGCCGAGGAAGACGAAGACCTTGGTCCAGACGCCGGCGGGGCGGTCGTGGACGTTGTTGCCGAACGCCTCGAACGCGGCGAGGACGACGAGGACTGTAGTCCAGCCGTGCCAGAGCGAGAAGGGCAGGTGGACGAAGACCTCATCGCCGGCGCTGGAGGGAGCGTGATGCTTCTTCACAACGTAGTAGATGTGCTACAAAGAGAAAGGTTAGACTCAGGGGCATAACTAATAGGGGCAGTGAGACATACAGTGACAGAAGAGCTGACGAAGAGAGCAAAGATGAAGGCTAGAAACGGGCCCTATGAGTTTTCTTCCGTGCATATTTGAGCGCTAGGCCAGCTTACCGGCGATGTAGTGGTGCGTGGCCCACAGGTTCACAAAGATGGAGTTCAGGACGGCGAGGAGGGGGAAGCGCCAGCTAATGCCGTCGACGATGACACGCTTGCCATTGGGAGTGAACTGGTAGATTACCGTGCCGAGAAGCAAGAGGTGGATGAGAGTCCTGAAAAGAGCAGATCACAGTGAGCAAAGCCATTGCAGAAAAGTGCAGTAGGGCATAGGGGGCATACCAGATGACGAAGGCCCATGGGGCGGGGGTGATGTACGTCTCCTTGCCGGTGTAGTAGATGTCCCTGGGGGCGGCAATCGTCCACACGTTCGAGCCCAGGAAGAGGAAGAAAGAGAGGATGTTCACAACCTATACACATACCCAATGGGCGGGTGTTAGTCTCATCGACACACACGCATAGCGTAGTGCATACTACGAACCTTGAGGACGATACCGTCCGTCCAGTTATTCGACATGGCTGTAGCTTACTGCTGCGGAGGCGACGTATGTGCGTGCAGAAGGTTGAGGAGGGAGGATGGGAGGAGGACGCGGGTCACCTGGGTGCGTAATGTGGTGTGGTTCTGCCTCTTTATGTACGGGAGGTGACGCGCGCAGTTCGCCTCCCCCTGATGGCAACCAACGGGCACATGACGCCATCTCGCATATGCACCGCACAGGTGCCCGGTGCCCCTCTCCTTCCGGATCTTCTTCCCCAATGTCATTGGCTTTCAAACGGCAGAACTTTGTTTTCTTGACTGACGGCTCGTCACTATTATAGCCTGCTCGCTACCGCTGTATCCGCTCGCTGTCCCAGAGAAAATACCTAAACACCCAAGAAATCAATGGGAACAGCACACATTCCCTTGAGGCTGCCGAATTTATTCGGGTTCGCGGAATGAATCGCTCTCGGCGTACGACTATGGCGTAGAGAATGACGCCTCTCTCTCACTTGACCGGGGCGTAACCGTATTTGGCCTTGGGTGGGACGCCAACCAATGCAGCCACCATACTTGGCACGCGCCGCGGCCCTTTCCAGTCTCCGCGCTACCCGGGAGATATCTTCCACCAGTTTTGAACACGTTCGGGTCGTGCCTACAGGTCAAAATGTAGGCAAAGGGGCTAGTTGTCTCATCGGCGCCGTGCAGACCTAAACCCCTACCAATGATTGCAACCTGAAGGTGCCTGACTGGGTTGTAAACTCGGGACAGAAACGAGTGCTGTCGCCGGACACTGCACGGGCTGCGCGACGGCCCGACCATTTACTGCGCAGGTCAAACTTGGCACAAGCACAAGTCCGCAAAAATAGTTAGCAACAGTCCATCTTTATACAAAGGGTATCTGATAGATGCGCTCAATGTTCACCCTAGATCTACGAACTGCGCCCCAGCATCCTGCGCAGACTCCGAGCCCATGCGCATGGCGGACATCTGCTCCTCGCGCCGCTCGTCTGGCCTGAACCTGGACCGGGGCTCGAAGCATCTTGCGAGCACGTTGCGAGGCCCATCTGCACCAGGTCGTTCCCAGCCTTGATGTAGTAGTAATCACCTATAATAAATATCAATGATCAGGAACGGTGCACGCCTCATATTTAGACGGCATGTAGCCAGGAACGCGGAGAATCACGCTCACCATATACGATCCCCGTGTCGTTGTTCGCCGATGGGTAGTGGTTATTCACCGTGCCGTTTGAGAGCAGGCTTTGCCAATCAGGGCGCCATGCTAATTGAGTGGCATTTGAGAGAATCTGGATTGGTATGGGCGAAACGTTGAAGAAGCAAGACGGCGGATGAAACACATGAAACACAGCGGCGCAGACGCTATGGTCAGATGGCAAATGAGAGTTGTCAGAAGCATCGGACTCACGTTCATGGCGGCGTTGCTCCAGTACGTTGCGCCAGTCGTGTTTGCAGGCGAGAGCGACAACTCCTGGCGTGCAAGTAAGAGCAAACCAGTAGCGACGATCGTCGCAGCAGATGTATCGGCCGGACGGGGTGGATCCAGAGGCGCATTGAAGTCCCTAGACCACACCATGGATGTCAGCTCAACGCAAACATGCATGCAGCCTTCGGCCCTTACCAAGGCACAATCCCGTCAGAAGGTAAGTTATTCACGAAATACGTGGCCATAGCACGGGAGGTCTCGAGGTACCGTGTGTCGTTTGTGTGGTAATACACTGTACAAAGAAGGATCTAGTGAGCTACCAGTATGCACGAGTGAGGACGAACATCGGCACGCACTATTCGCGAAGCCATACACGCCCCATGCCTGCCCGCGGCTCCATGTGCTGAACGAGCACGTTCGCATGAGCGTTCATCCCGAGGAAGAACCAAAAGACCAACGAGACTGCAAGAACTCTCACCTATTGTCCGCGTAGCCTTGTGCGGTGATTCGGTCAATAACCGCACCAGTAGTGGAGTTGTATTCCACGAGATGGAAAGAAGAACCTTTCGAGAACGAACGTTGTGCTGGTTGTTTGATGCAGAACGTGCTGAGACTTACCATCTGGTCGAACGTGGTTCTCCATCGTCTTGTTCGCATGCGAGATCGCGATGTCTCGTAGAGTTGTGTTCCCCGTTAGTGATTCCGACACAAATAGCACCTGGTAAACCACCAAGCGGTTACCATCGGTTTGAGCAGAGCAGTCTCAAGCATATCGTACCTCGAGATTCATCATGTTGTCAATGATAACCTGGAACAAGGTCGGATTGTTCGGCGTGTCCCAACTTCGGGTGCAGCCTACGACGGGATTGAAGCGCGCTGCAAGGGCAGTTGCGAACGCGTTGACAGCATCTTTCGCAGTCTGGTTCGACGGATTGCTGCGCATACGTTAGAGCGCATGCCCTCTCTCCATCCCAAACAACGCGAGCAAAACAACACGTACATCTGCATCTCCTGCGCAAACGGAAAACTCAGAAACCCCACATCGTGCCCCACAGTCGTGTTCGTCTCCAGCGGCACCTCGGCCGCCGCCCACTGCCTCCCCATGCCCACCCAGTCCGGCTGGCCCGTGAGGTTACATAGCGTCGCGCGTGTGTTGAGCTCGTACAGCGTCGCGGGGAAGAACCCCGTCGTCCACGTGTCGGGAACGAAGTATTGCCATTCGCCCTGGGTCCGGTCCGTGTACTGCGGGTACTGAGCTGGGTCGGGCTCCGCTTGGGCTGTCTTGAGGACTTTCTGCTGGACCAGGGATGAATACAGCTCGGAAGGTGCTTGGGCTGAAGCCAGGATCTTGGAGCCAGGGCCATATAGGCGGGTGTCTGAGCCAAGAGCGAGGGTAGGCGAGGGCTGCGTGAGGGTATTGAAGAGGAGGAAGAAGGCGCTGAAGAACATGATGAAGGGGAAGAGGAGGAGCTGGCACGGCGCATTTGGCGACTTCCTGCTGGGCATATGGCCCTCGAGGCGTTGTTACGCTTGTTGAGTGTGGGCCCTGTCAGCTGATTGGGAACATGCTGACGAGCCTGGCCTGCGAATACGAAGAAGTGGTGAGAACGGTCATCGCAACCGCCGCCGGCCCGCGAGCAGCCTTTCCTTCACGATCTTTGGGTGAATTATGATTCTAGCAGAGAAAATGACATGCTACGGCAGTGTGTCAGTAGCACAGTAAGAACGGAGTTGACGGGGTCCATCGAGTCGTCTGTCAAGATGTCCTTTCCCCATTTGAAGTGGCCTTATACTCGCGCGCCTATCCGAACTCACTCTACCAGGTACGACTCACGAACCAAAGTGTTGTTCATGGCAGCAGCATTATGCATTGCTGAGATCAGATGTCTTCTCATCCTTCACGCTTACATCATCTGCCAGTCCTAGCCTGCTATAGGTCGCTCCATCACACCCAACGCTCTGCAAGCATCTGATGCTCACTCGTCCTCCACGCACTCAAGAATTCCGCGTGTCATTTCATATTCATACAGAGGAGCCAGAATCAAGGAGTTTCATTGAAGGTAAAGTAAACTGTCTCGATCACAACGCTCAAGGATCGGGAAGGAGAGGAGCACGCTCAGCTTCATCAAGCGCGATAGAACGTTCGCGGATGCGTCTGAAGAGTCTGACTCCTCCTCTGACTATCCAGACGAGGGAGAGAATCGCGAAGCCGAATGCGGACCAGTAGATGAAGTCGTTGCGCCAGCCCTGGCGATCGAGGACTGCCCAAATGGACCAAAAGATGACGACCGCGCCAGGAAGGTCTCCGTCTTTCGTCGAAAACGCGTAGTAGATGGCCGTGAACTCGAGGAAGAGGCTACGTTGGTTGACGTCAGCTCGGGCCTTGGACTCTATGACCAAGGTCTGAAAGAATGCCATACGTACAGGGAGAGGAAGACGAGGACCTCCGTTGCTATGCCGGCGGTGTAGTAGGTGGGTATCCCGAACGCCTCAAATGCGGCCACGATGACGATGAAAGTCGACCACGCATGCCAGAGCGAGAAAGGGAGGTGGATATAGATCTCGTCGCCAAGGTTGGGAGCTGCATGGCGCTTCTTCACGATGTAGTATATGTGCTACGAGAAAGCGATATCAGAGGTTGCCCGTTCGTACATAGTCCGAAGCAAGCAGGATACTCACGGTTACCGAAGAGTAAACTAGCAGTGCAAAGACAAATGCTGAAGGTCGAGTATGTCAGATGTTACTAAGTCAAGAGTACGCAAAAGACTCACAAGACACCCATTGATGCGTAGCCCTCAAACCTACGAAAACGGTGTTCAGCACTGTGAGCAGTGGAAATCGCCAGCCGATACTATCAATGATGACACGTTTGCCGCTAGGAGTAAACTGATAGATGATGGTCCCTAGGAGCAGAAGGTGGATGACATGCCTGAAGTAATAGAGCGAGATGAAGAAGGTCTCTGGCCAGCGGTGACGACTGTGACGCACCAGATTAGAAAAGCCCAAGATGCAGGAGTGATATATGTGGTCCTGTCTCCATAGTATTTGTCCTTTAGACCAAACTTTGACCACGCGTTCCAACCCAGGAAGAAGGTAAAGGAGAGTATGTTTGCGATCTACGCGTGATGAAACCGCCTCATCAGTCTATTTCTTGGATGCAATGGTTGTCAGTACATGCCTTGAGCTCGATCCCATCGATCCAATTGGGGTCGGACATGCTTGAAAGTCGTGAGTCGTTTGATGGGTGTGGAATACAAGTAGAGTGTGGAGTACGGGCGCTTATGGTGGGAACGCCCAGAAAGGGGGCGCAAGCGCGGCGATCACGAGCGTATGGGCGTCTTTGACCTTATTTGTTTCCCGGTTGTGCGCAAAACCAACTATGGCAGCTTCAACCAAGTTTCAACGCATATTCTAGGCAGTATGAATCGGCTCCAGTTAAGCGCCCTACGGATTTGAAGCACGGGAATTCCTTCACGTTCTCATTACAATGGCATGGACAATACTTAAAGAGATTCGGTGAATACAGAGCGACACACTTGTGAGTGAACTAGTAGAATATGTCCTGAGTACTGTAAACAGTGGTTGATCAATCCACTGAATGCAGAACAGTATGTACTCCAGCGTCTTCTGGCAGAAAATCCCGTAAACACCCTCCGACAAACTCAAGGGCCATTACCAATGAGAGGAGTGCGCTCGGTGGTTTCCGAGTCAAGCGCGACAGCACCACCGCGCAGCTTCTTGATCAGCTTGACTGCGCCAACGCCAACCCAGACAAGCGACAGAACAGCGGAAATGAGGGTTGCCCAGCATATGAATGTTCCCTCGTGATGCTGGACATCAAAAACAGCCCAAAGCGCCAGCGAGATAACGATCGATCCTGCAACATCTGTTTCAGATCCGCAGTACGCGTACGCGGCCGACGTAGCTTCGAGGAGCAACCTGGGTTGACATTGAGCGTCATTTATACATCTCATAAAATGCAAAGAATTAACACTTACAATGCGACCACTGCCAGGATCTTCATCCCTACGCCAGAGGAGCGGGTCGACTTAGCAAATGCCTCAAATATAGACAGCAGGACGAGGAAGGTTGACCATCCGTGCCACAGCGAGAACGGCACGTGGACGTAGACTTCTTCTCCAAGGCTTGAAGGTATGTGGACCTTCTTGAGGCGGTAGTAGATTTCCTTCAGGAAGATGAGTACCCAAAATCTGCGAGAGCTTCGTAGTCACTTACCGTAACACAAGCATAGATTAAGAGCGAGAAGATAAAGGCTAGGCAGGAAAAATCAGCTACAATCTACAACGCCTCAAAAGCAAGTTGGCCACTTACAAGCAATATACACGCGTTCCGCCCTCAAGACCACGAAAATAGCGTTGAGAACTGCGAGCGCTGGGAAACGCCAGCCAATGCCGTCTATAACAACTCGTTGACCATTGGGGGTGAATTGATAGAGTACGACACCAAGGAGCAGTAGATCGATGACACTCCTATTCAAGAGCGACGCGTCAGCGATATAATGGTCAAAACACATGCTTGGAAATACATTGCACGAGAAATGCTCACCATGAGATGCCAAAGACCCACTCCCTAGCATTGAGATAGTGTGCGTATCTCCAGTACCACCAGTAACCGTTATTATTCGGTTTAAGGACAGTCCAAGCGTTACAGCCAAAGAGGCCAACGACGCTGAGAACATTCGCAATCTGTTTCACCGACTGTGTGCATTCATTAGCACGACTTCGCTACTACACAATATTAAAAAAAAAAGCTGACTTTCAAATCGGTCCCGTCAAAGTTACCCAGTAAGTCGCTAAACATGCTTCAGAATAATATCGGATGGAACAGGGGAGTGTGTGTGTGAGTAACTTGCAGGGAGGGCAATTGCAAGGCCTTATATATACTCTGGGAGAATCTTGCGGTCACCTTGTCGATAGGGCTGTACGACTCTACAGCAATTGTTGCATCACCGTGGGATTCGGCTGCGGAAACATGTACTAGGTGATGTGTTCTCGTGTCCATGAGACGTGGCTAATCAGAGGCATTGCAAGGAAGTGGGCAAGGTCGGGGTATAGAATAATAGCCGCTTGTGGAGATCGCACAGCACGGTTCCATCGCTGCGGCTTGGTACTGTAGGTTGAGTGAAGTACGCTGGTGATCAGATCGATCAACTGGCAGTGTAGGTCCGTGCCACTGCTGGTAAGTAAGGCCGTGCGTACGACAGTCATACTCAGTGGCGGCTCAGACAACGAACCTGTTGATCCACCACGGTATCTTGAACAAGGCCCGCACCTGCGTTTCACTCCGGTTTTTTTGAGTGCCCGACTCGGGGGTTCCCTAGCTTTGAGACGTTACATAAACAGTACAATACCCTCATTGCTCTCCGGCTGTAGTTTCAGCTTGTTTCAGGGCTCTACGACTAGTGACATGCACATGTACTGTACATACAACTGAAACATGAAATACAGAGACTGTTTACAGTGAGTCTCGTAAAATCCAAGCAGCCACTGAAAACCTTCACAAATCCCCAATATATTGCTGAAGGGCTTTAAGATGATACCTAACACCAATATACCATACGCAGGGCTACTTGCGATTGTAGGCCTAAGATACGATTTTGGAGCCAAGATACGATTGTAGGGCCGCGATTGCAACGGGCATCACAGAGCGATTATATGGACGGAGTGGGCTATCATACCAGGAAACATGCTATGATAGAAAATGAGCTGAAATGCGACAAAGAGCTGCCACTAAAGCAATTCCTACTGAGAGACGAGGGCATTCCAGCAGCATCAACGAACGTGAATAGCCCCAGAATTGGAAGCCTCAAGCAAGCGGTTTCCTAGCAGTCGCGTCATCATAGATCACTGCGTCAGGACACTGTAACACCCTGGCTAGACTCAGTCAGCTCGTAATGGAAATGCAGTGCCAAACACTACGGGAAAGCACCACGTAAATATTAAGCAAAAATGCCACTGGTGCTTCCGGGAAGTGCAATATGCAGATGGTAGCAAACATTATTTGGCCAAAATAGGGCAACACAATTGAGTTGATGGTCGGGCGAACATAGCATGGAGCTTTCAGGGTATCACAATGATTAATGATCAGGGATACAGAGTACTTATCAAGTCAATCGCAGTCAAAATCTACAGCTTCAGCGTATGGCGGAGTTTTTGCCATTTGCCCTAGAAGCACTTCTAGAAAACAAACCTTGGATTTTAGGTTCTTAGCGCCTGTTCACAGCATATGCAATGTCACTAACACACCGAATACTTCACAGGTGTGAGATCACAGTGGGAAAACACCAAATGAACAAACCCCGGTCTATTGCAATCTTGACTATAGCACATCGTGACAAAGGTCTTGCGAGAGGCTAAATTTTGCCCTAACCCCAGTTTGACGAGATTTGCTGTGCGAGTGAGCGAGCAAACCCTTGCTGTGCAAACGAGAGAACAAACACCAATGTTCCCACCATAGTGGCGCCAACAGCAGCGGCCCAACTGATAGTCAATAAAAACTAGCTTCGTCAAACAGCCACTTCCAAGAACCCAGGCACATTGTCCATGATACGAATTGCGCCCATTTATTGCATTTGTCACACTAATTCCTAAAACGATGAATCTCACTGTTAAAAAGATGTGACATTTTTGGTGCTTCAAATGCAACGGTAGTATTTCAATAAAGAAATCCCACATAAACAGGTATAATCTATCTGTGAGTCAGCTCGACATACCACACTGTGACGTGAGGTCCAATCTCGATGTTACACGCCACTGTATATTCTGCAGCTTGTGAAATCGGCAACACCAGCTAGCAAACCCGAGTTAAAACATTGATGCGGCGCGGACAAAATAGAAGTAGTAAATAACATTCACTTCAAGGATTCTCTCCGTGCTGTGCAAACGGGGACGATTAGCCTGTGCAAACGAGGAAACATCAACAGACCCTTGCTGTGCGATCGAGTGAACAAAACACTGACGATCACACCAAAGTACTGGCCCCAAGCGGCAGCCCAACCAAAATTAGTCATTAATTGGGCGCAAGCCGCCGCCTCAAAGACTACAGAAAAACGTAACAGAATCACCTGGGCAAAACACTGTCAGTGCTCCACGCCAACGCAATAAGCAAACAATGGTAAATAGAACTCAGTCAAAGTTACGACAGCACGGCTGAGCTGGTGATCAGCGGATAGTACTAGCCCATATCAAATATGCTACGGAATAATACAGAAAGTGCATGCTGGCAAAACCCCGAGACGAATACAACCTAAGTGCATTTGATACAATCTATCTGACCTAAATCTAGCAAGAGGCGCAAGCCAAAGTAAGGTACTGGTAGCTTGCATGTGCGTGGACCCGGCCTACAGCCTCCGGGACACCAAGAGCACTTAGGCTAGGCTCGCTGGCTAAATGGAGAACATTTGACACTCATTCAATGCAAGAAAATCAAGGACACAGGCCAGCTCAAGGGTAGCCTCAGTTCTTGGTATGCATAAGAGGGCCACTCAATCCGTCCAAACTACAGAATTTGAAGAGCAGTAGCTTGGGTTAATGATTGATTTCTCAGTATCAACACTTTGTGTATTAATGGACTCAATCACTATGGGAAGCTATACTCCGGTGACCGGTTAATCTAGCCCCACACTGCTGGATGCACTTGGAAAGTCAGAAGGTCAAAGGTGTTGCTCCTGCCTGCTGGACGAGCAGCCCGAGCGACCTTATACCTGCATATTTAGCTGTGTAAATCTGATAAAATAAAACGAACCAAGGACAAACCAAGGCGATGAAATATGAGACAGAAATATATCTAAAGGGAGGCCAACGAGGCTCGACATGAACTTTGCTTAGCAAGACGCGAGAGCTACCAACCGGCGAGCTGAGCATCTTTCCATCACACCTTCATATACATCTGGATGCCCTCTTACTTGGTGGGCAAACGGAACAACGCCCGGGCATGTTAGCATGCGTCACTGCTGGGAAGAATCTCGTAGATATGACCACTCAGGTTTGCAGGCCACACATCTACAATGATAGCTGCCGTTGGTCAAGGGCTACGAGCCCGAACAAAGCCCGAATGCAAGAGAATGCAGCTCGCGCAAAGCGCATGTACAACATATAAGCTTCAATGCAACCAGAGACGCGTAGTATGATTTCGTCCAAGCACAGATGAAAAGTGGGTGGGACAATGAGTTATGGAATTTATGAGCAGCAGCGCGCTGTGTTTATAGTCTCTAGCGTGACCTATATTCGGTAACTCAAAGGAGTATGAGTCAGATCTCAGATACGTCGTGCTGTGTCATTCCTTAGTAGTGGCGCTGCGCCCTCCTGGGCGTTCAGACCTCAGAATCGAGAACCAACCTAGGACAAACGGGGAACGCCGCAAAACCAGGTACGATCAAAAAGTCCACAATTTTAATGATACGGGTTATCATCATCGGAGTGCAAGGAGATGCCCTTTCTCCTGCATAGACCTATCTGAATGAAATGCTCCCATCCATCAATGATGACAAAGACATAGCATTGCCGTTCAGATATAGCATAGCACTGGCATTGCCACGAAACACTAAGACCCACTCTGATCTCAGTCGACTCGGGTGTCCCTTTGCATCTGTCCAGGAGTAACGACTCCGCACAGCACTTGGAAAAGGATAGATTTGGCCAGTATTCCGGCGTAGTTGCGCCAGTTATACCAGGGGTAAACAGCCAATCCAGCTGCCTTGAGAACAAGGGGATGGAGGGTGTTCCAGGAGCAGCCACGCCACAATAGAGATATGTAGGGAGACGTATAGCCGTTCGCCGAGACTGGAAGATGGGTAGCGTGTCTGGATTGCGTAGCTGATATACTGAAAGTGGGGGCACCAGAAGCTGTCGGGGAAGCTCACCCTGGCGGTAGCAAACAAGGTAAGTATTTGCGGACTCACGGCGACATTACAGTAGGCTAAGAGCGCAAGGGAAATTGCTGATTTGAAAGCGTTGATCACCCGGTGTAAGTATCCGTGTGGAGTGAGCTGACTTACAATCCCATTAGTTGACCTTCGAGCATTTGCTTTGCACTACTATCGATGCCCCCCCTGTGAAACAATGTACCCCCTGTGAAACACCTCCGTTTTGTGTTTTTTTCCCTTTACCTTGCATCTAGCTAATTACCTCTGAAAACTTAGTATTCATGTAATTCAGCGTCTTCCGTAGCTTTCCATTTTTCTGCATACTTTCTCGAAGCCTGGAAGAGATGCCAGCGGGATGCCGATCCTGTGACTCTACCCTCACTGTGGAAACCTGTGACCATAACGGCTATGTCACAATGGTCACGACGTTTTGATAATTGAATGACTTCATGCCGACGCGTGCCGCTGTGCTACTCCATCACACTTTTGTCACGATTGAGCCCCTGTCTTTCAAGCTCAAAATCTCAATGCTGCTGGAACGCGGGCAACTAAACATCAATGTGCACAATTCGTACTGTGATTAATAGGCATATGTTTCTAACAGACACCAAAAACCCAAAGTAAACGAGGCATATTTGATCAGGTGCTGGAGAGAATGAGTTTTGAGCAATGCAACTTAGAACGGTTTGTCGAGCTGTACAACACCCAGTTCTAATCTTCTCCTGCTGAGCTTCGACTATGCTATAGACTAGGGTGTGAACAGTGTGCAGAAAAATAATCGTGAGCATTGATTGGGGGATGGACGAGATATGCTCGAATATCTGCGATGTTTCACAGGGGGTACATTGTTTCACAGGGGGGGCATCGATAGTATGGCAAATAGTGGAAACCCCCTATCAATGTCATCAATGATGACGCGTTTACCGCTTGGAGTGAACTGGAAAAGTAGGGTTCCGAGGAGTAGGAGACGCATGGCAAGCCTAATTCGGCGGTCAATCCCCCAATGTCCCTGAGGCGGAGAACATACCAGAGGTGGCCCACAGAGTGGTGGTAGGATCGGTCGCTCTGTAACACCAGCCGTCACTTCCCTGAGGTAATACACCCAGCGAGGAACTTCAAGATGAAGCAGACTATGTTCACAACCCTTATATTGTGTCCACAGTAGAGTTGCTCAGCTTTGCTCTCGGGGAGGGTATGCAAGGCTGAGCGGTATACTTTGAGCTCGATCCCGTCTACACTATCGTCAGAAATGACGGAAAGAGAGTAAGCTGACACTGGACGAACGCGCGCCTGGTTGCTTGTCCAGGGGGTTCATGAATCAGAAAACAGAGCAAGCCGACGCGTTGCGAACGTGGACAAGCAGTACGCGCTCCGTTGGGAAATGTGACGTCATAGCCATGTGGCCGGGCTTCAGCTCAAAGTACCTCGAACATTCATATATTCATAACCCATTCGATAGCAGCCCAAGCGTAAGTGATGTCGGCCTCAAGTCACCTTGCGTTTCCAACACTTTTACCAAGGCAGCAAGACAAAAAAAAATAGAGCATGCATAGTAAAGGTACACAGTAGAAGGGAGATCACCGATAGCAACATGAAGAATCGTCGGTCCATTTACAATAATCGCAATGCTCACGGCAAGGGACCGTTAAAACTCAAACGTTTAGGACAAGACGAGAAAAACAGACCACAACTAATGCTTAAGATTTAGCGGCCGAGGAGTGGCGCACGCTCGGCACCCCCGCCGGGCAGGACGGAGCCGCTGCGGCGATGGAGGCGCCTGGCAGCCTTGAAGGTGCCCACTAAAACCCAGAAGACGGACAGAATCGCGAACACGAGTGCGGAGATATGGATGAACTCGGACTGCCACTTGATCTGGTGGTCGTAAACGGCCCACAGAGACCAGGTGATAGCAATGGCGCCGGGAAGGTCGCCCTCGCGGGTGTACGACGCGTAGGTTGCCGCATGAGCCTCGAGGAAGAACCTGTGATGTGCAAGCATGTGTCAGCGGTTTTTGCATTTGGGGTAGAGGTGGATACGTACAAGCCGATGAAGACGAGGGCCTTGGTCCAGTCTCCGGCCGGATCGTAGGTATGGATACCGAATGCTTCAAACGCAGAAAGGATGAGTAGGAAGGTCGCCCATCCGTGCCAGAGCGAGAAGGGGAGGTGTACGAGGACCTCGTCCCCGACTCGATACGTCGCACGACGGGTTGTCAACACGTAGTAGATGTGCTGAGGGGCTATGAGAAGTTAATGAGAGGATACATGTGAAGGGCTTACAGTGACGGTGGAGCTAACGAGAAGAGCGAAGACGAATGCTGACATAGGGAACGTCAATCTTTATCAGATGCATCGCACAGAGAAACTGCTCACCGACAGTGTAGTGGCGAGTATTCCTGACATTGGCGTACACGACGCTGAGCACGGAGAGCAGTGGGAAGCGCCAGCCAATTTCGTCGATGACGACACGCTTGCCGGTGGGGCTAAACTGGTATATATTCGTTCCAAGGAGCAAAAGGTGGATGAGAGGCCTACGAGAAAGCTCGATGTGAGAAGGGCTATCTTTAGACCAAGAGCAACGACGAAAGCTCACCAGATAGCATAGACCCACGGGGCGGGAGTCATGTAAGTGTCCTTGCCTCTGTACGGGTCGAACTGCCCAGGGGTAACAATAGGCCACCCATTTGAGCCGAGGAACATGACGTAGCAAAGAATGTTTGCGATCTATGTTCGGCAAGTTATACCAGAAGTATGACACAGTAAGGGCCTCAATTCATACCTTGAGCTCAATCCCGTCGGTCCACTTAGCCATGATTGTTCGCTGCGAACTACGACGGTGTAGTGAGTGGTCGAAGGTGGAAGGTAAGAGAGGATGTCTTCTGCAGTGAGGTGGTCCTATATTTATAAAGAGAACGAGGCGGACAATGCGGCATGCTCATGGACAGGTTTTGGCGCCCATGTACCTGCTCACCTCCGCCGACATGTGACTGCCTTCATCCATGCACATCCACAGCACCCATCGACGTGCTTCTGTGCATCATATTGGAGCATGTCAAATTAGAAGACTCGCTTTTAGATACGCTGTACGGCGGATCCGATGTGAAAGGGCTTTCTGGATTATGCACACGCACCACATAGATATAGTTACGTGACATACGAGTCCTCACCTTTTGGAGCAGCCGCCGTTCCACATAGAAACTTCTGAGTGGCGAGGCCTCAGGAATAACTCGAGGAAAGTGATTGCAATAACAGAAGCAACTATGACATGGCGAACTGTTATTTGACGGAACGGAGGCTTCCATGCGCGTAGAGAAGTCGTATCCACGAACCATAGAGGCTAGGTTCATTGCAAGATGAATGCTCCGGCTTACTGGCGCGCTGGTGGCTGATGAATGGTGCGATAGCGGGTCGTCTATGGGGGAACGGCAAATGCGATGGGGTAACTATCGTGTATCGCACGAATGCTAGTAGCTCGATGGCTAGAAGCAGCCACGTGTACCCGATTAGACGATTTCGTACGTCCAGCCGACGTAGATCCTGTGCGTTGATTGCTTTCCCCAGGCAGACCCAATATCAGAAGACAGCCGTTCTTGATATTAGGTAGGCAGTTTGATGGCAGACGAATATTCATCCGACTTGCGCGAGTGAGAACACCGGGGCAGAGCAGGATTAGCTACGGAAGCCAGGGGATTAGAATAGTTGGAGTGAGTGTGCCCTTGCGAGTTCTGGAGCAGCCGACGATATGTGATTCTGCAAATATAGGGTCAACGTAACTACCGATGGCTCCATCAACGAGAGTGCCTCATGCACACCCCGAGAGCATGAATCTGGATGAAGAGTTCTGATAACCCTACCACTATCGTATTTATATGGTCGTTTAGCTGGAGCGCAAGTGCCGTTCTCTTGCCTCCGGTCGGCAGTAGAGCATTCTAGAGAGTTCTGGCGAAAAGGCACAGGTATAGTTCAGGACTGCGCCAGCACTGGGATGAAGGTGGGCGAAGGGTGCAAAGACTAGTTAGCCGAACCGCGGAGCCTGCGGGCACAGTTTGTCTGGGTTTATTCTGTGGCTGTGCAACGCAGTCCTGGTTGCGTTGCGTCGCCTGTCCGCCGCGCCTACTGCTGCTGCGTCCGTCATCCTCTCCCTCTGAACGCTCCCCTCTCCTTTCTCTCATTCCTTGTGATTGACCACCCTGCGTGCTTAATATGTCTACAGGACTAGGACAGGAAATTGTAGCTGTCATCAACAAACTTCAAGATGTATTCACTGCTGTAGGATCGTCAGCCTCGTCGATAGACCTCCCCCAGATTTGCGTGTTGGGAAGTCAGAGTAGCGGGAAGAGTAGTGTGCTTGAGGTATGTTGATATTACAGCTCTGAAAGTTTGGCACCTTTTGCTGATCGTGAGACGTCATGATATAGAACATTGTTGGACGTGATTTCCTTCCTCGTGGTACTGGTATCGTGACGCGGCGACCGCTCGTCCTCCAGCTTATCCACCGGCCCGCGACCGTATCAAAGGAGAACGGTTCAGCAGGTATGCGCTTTTGCTTAACCTCGTATTGCTCACCTTATCAACATCTTGCTGTACAGTTCAAGCGAACGGCAGCACGGACAAGGCCGTCAACGAGAACGAGTGGGGCGAATTCCTCCATCTCCCTGGCGAGAAGTTCTACGATTTCCACAAAATCCGAGCTGAGATCGTGCGCGACACCGAAGCCAAGACAGGCAAGAACGCTGGTATCTCGCCACAGCCCATCAACCTGCGCATCTTCTCCCCCAATGTCCTCACCCTCACCCTCGTCGATCTTCCCGGTCTCACCAAGGTCCCTGTCGGCGATCAGCCGAAGGATATCGAGAAGCAGATCAAGGACATGCTCCTCAAGTACATCTCGCGCCCTGCTTGTATCATCTTGGCTGTTACCGGCGCGAACACTGATTTGGCCAACTCGGATGGTCTGAAGCTTGCGCGTGATGTAGATCCAGAGGGAACACGGACGATTGGTGTGTTGACGAAGGTTGATCTCATGTGAGTGGTTGGCGCGTTACCGTGCAATTGTTTGCTAGACTTTGATTCAGGGATCAAGGAACGGATGTTGTGGATATCCTCGCTGGTCGTGTTATTCCTTTGCGCCTGGGCTACGTGCCCGTCGTCAACCGTGGTCAGCGCGACATCGATTCTTCGCGACCCATTTCCGCTGCCCTCGAAAGCGAGCGTCAGTTCTTTGAGAACCACATGTCGTACAAGACGAAAGCGCAGTACTGCGGTACTCCTTTCCTTGCCCGTAAATTGAACATGGTATGAGCTACGCACTTCTATGAAGAAACACAAGGTGCTCACTGGTGAATGCTAGATTCTGATGCAACACATTCGCGCCACCCTCCCTGACATCAAGGCCCGGATAACCCAACAGCTTCAAAAGTACAACCAGGAGCTGCAGTCGCTTGGTGGACCCGTCGGCGATGTATCCTCGGGCAACGTTGTCCTTTCCGTCATCACCGAGTTCACGAATGAGTTCCGCACCGTCATCGACGGTAACACGAACGACCTCTCCCTTAACGAGCTTTCGGGTGGTGCTCGTATCTCCTTCGTCTTCCACGAGCTGTTCAACAACGGCGTTAGGAACATCGACCCCTTCGATCAGGTCAAGGACGGTGACATTCGTACGATCCTCTACAACTCCTCCGGTTCCTCTCCTTCCCTCTTTGTTAGCACGCAGGCGTTCGAAGTGATCGTGAAGCAACAGATCAAGCGGTTGGAGGAGCCTGGGTTAAAGTGTTGTCAGCTTGTGTATGACGAGCTCATCCGGATTCTTAGTCATCTCCTCCAGAAGATTGTGAGTTCATTTTGACATGCGACCTGCGGTGTTGCTGATAGCCCCTGAAGCAAGCATTCCGTCGCTTCCCCGCACTCAAGGACCGCTTCAATGCCGTTGTCGTCAACTTCTTCAAATCCTCTATGAACCCGACGACGAAGCTCGTTTCCGACATGGTTGCGTACGTTCTACTCCTCCTACATTCCTTCTCTGCACACTCACATCTGTCTCTGCTATTCGTTCAGCATGCAATCATGCTACGTGAACACCACCCACCCCGACTTCCTCAACGGCCACAAGGCGATGTCGATCGTCCAAGAACGACTTAACGCCAACAAGCCGCCTCCGCCTTCTGCGGACCCCAGGTCGGGCAAGCTCGCGCCTGGCCAGCTCAACAACAACCGTGACCTCGACGTTGACCCGAAGAGGGACGAGCAGAGCTTCTTTGGCAGCTTCTTCTCGAGCGCGAAGAAGCGGGCGGGAGGTGTTGCTGGTGATACTGGGAAGAAGCCTGGCCCAGTTATGGAGTCGGTATGTCATTTAGCTATGGGGGGATTCAGGGATGCTGATTGTTTCTGGAACTTAGCCTCCCGCAGTTATTCGGCCACAAGCCGCGCTCAGTGAGCGCGAGACGATGGAGACCGAGGTCATCAGTGCGTTTACCTCTCCTCACTCTCACTCGTTAACCCCCAGAGCTGACAATACCACGTCGCGCGCTCAGAGCTGTTGATTCACTCATATTTCAACATCGTCAAGCGCGAGATGATCGACATGGTGCCCAAGGCGATCGTGCTCACGCTCGTGAACCACTCGAAGGAGAACCTCCAGCGCGAGCTGCTCCAGGAGCTGTACAAGCCCGAGGTGCTCGACGAGCTTCTCAAGGAGAGCGAGCACGTCGTCAACAGGCGCAAGGAGGTCATCGGTATGGTCCAGGCGCTCAACAAGGCCGAGGAGTGCGTATCTCTTCCTTCCCTCCCATCCCCCAAAAACACGAGTACTCATTAACGTTCGTCCCGCAGGATTGTCGCAGGGGTTTAGATTGCCGACGTGTAAATTACTTCTTCTTCCGTCTTTCCTTGGGCCCTGTGCGGGATGCGGGCCGCCGTGCTAATAGATGGCTGTCCCATGGTGGTGGGCGGCGTCGAACATCGACTTTCTGCTTGCTTTGTGAATACCCTACTTCTCGCTCGCATGCGCATACATGTATCCTTGGCTATAACATTTCTCTTTTTTCCATCTCTTTTGCATCTTGTTCTCATGTGGGTTGAGTGTCATATGTCAGTGTTTGTAGGTAAGTATGTCGAAAGCAGTAAGGGGAAGGTTGGGTATGGGAACGCGATTGAGCACGACTCTTGTCTCGATGTAACAATCTTGATTTATGGGTATGAGAACGCAGCTTATGCCTGGTATGTCAATCTTCCCACTAAACTCCAGTCGATCACCCATACGTTAGTAGCAGCACATCGTTGAGCTAGCTCGGATGCGTCCTGTAGCTTGGTGGTGCCGTGACAGGGCGGCACTCGATATCACTTCCTGCGCCCGGCAAACTCCGACCTGCGAGTTCGCGGCTCAAACGCCAAGTCCCTCCAGCTTCCGATCCCGCTGCTCCGGACTCTCCGCCACCGCGACCTTCTGGATCCTGGCTCGACAGAAGTCGGCCCATGAGCTGCGCTATTGCGTCAGTGGGCATTCCTCTTCGGTGCAAGCCGTGAATGAAGTCGAGTTGCTCGTTTGTGAGTGATTGATGTAGCAGCGGAGGCAGCGGAGGCAGCGGAGGCTCGTTCTGGTTTGCATTCTGTCGACTGACGGTAGACGGGTATAGACCGACGCTGGTCTCGATGATGGAGACATTTCCCGAGCTCAGACGACTCAGCCGTGCAATCGAGCCGAACGGATCTGTCTCGTCTCGGATACTGGCCGAAGCTTGGGCTGAAGGGCAGGACTGTATCCGTGATGTAGAGTCTGCAGACGTCGACAGAGGATAGTCTCCATCATCGGCGATCTGGGGCGCCTTTGATAATTCTGGTGAGTTATCAACAAATATCAAAGGGTGTTTGTGACTTACGTTGGGACTGTGCGGGCGATTTAAGTCACGGGACTGTCCAGCCACCTCCGTCTTCTTCGAATAATCTGCATAGTCTTTGCTGGCTTTATTTTTTCTTCGTAAGATCAAAGTTGCGGCAGCTATCATGATCAATATTCCAGCGGCTCCACCAGCAACGCCGCCAGCGATCGCTGCAGTATCAGTACCTTGCACACTGGATCTGCTTGACGTCGCCAGGTTTTGACCTGATACAATGGTTGTTGTTGATGAGGTATAAGATGACGGTAACGAAGGAGTGGCCGTAGAGGTGATGTCAACATTGGAGAGGCTCGTAATAACACTACCCGTGTATGGCTTAGGCGCTGAGGATGGTCCTGAAGTGGTGGAAAAAGTATCTCCCAGTGTAGTACTGGCAGTAAAATAACCAAATGTTGACTCGCCCATCATTGCTGCTAGAGGGCAATCGTTCAGCGTCAGTGATCTACTCGGATGAGAAACTTGTGTACTACCCACAGCTGGTAGGAATCGGGATGAGGTCCCGAGGTAAGACTGGCGTCCCATCGCTTACCGTAATAGTCGTGTTGGAATCCATGCTTGCGAGGCAACTAGCCGACAAGCCCGCGTGCCGTGGCGCATGTCCTTACACTTTTTATAAGTAGTCAGCGTGAGCAAACCAGTGCCTGAGCGAACGATTCGCACCCTAGAATCAACCTACCTGTGAATCCACCAGGAGTCTTGATGAACAAAGGATTCGGATTGATGATCTTGTCCCTTCGCAACGATGTAACAGCAAAAGCACAATATCCAACAAAGATTTTCAACTTGAACTGAGCGGGGCCGATTGAATGGTCGTAGTATTTATCAGGGTTAACCCGATGATGGACAGCTGAGATTTATTCAAATATTCAATGAAATCTACGATGTTTACCCGCGCTGTTCGTAGGAATTTCGTGATATCAACGGTAGCCTGAAAGAACTTGATCTATGGTTTAGAGCCTACTTACACTCCCGAAAACAAGAACGAATATTGAGTACATGTAATATATTTGTTCGAGGATATCTTACTGCTGCCTTGTATGGAGCGCTGCTTGCGGCTGGTAGGAGTGGGAGTTAGTGGTGATTATTCGTAGAAGATGTACATTCTCAAGGGACAGACCGGAAAACCCTATAATTTGTTTGACATCATAATGGCTCCCGGCGATTCATGAGGGGCCCATATATATAACCTGAAGTACTTACCAAATCTCCCATTGGTGCCCAAGCTTTCCAAGTCTTAAGTGGCAACAACCTGATGGTTTCGAGGTCGTGGTTTTTCTTGCAATATTCCTTAACTCAACTGATCAATAGTACGGCACTGGGGTTGAACATGCCCTTCCACACGGTGCCAGTGAGAATTCCAAACTAAACAGGTTAAGTCAATCAGGTTTAGTTAAGCAGGTCTGGTGGGGGATGGGATGAGGGTGTTATATTAAGTCCCTAAGCCGGTATACTCCCTAGGATCTTCTGGCGCTCAACCGAGAATCTGAAGACCACATTGGTCAACACAGTATTAGCCTCCACACACTCAAGGCTCATGGGTTCTATAGCTTGGTGGCGCCACAGACCACACCCCACCACTACCAGCCGTTGATGGAGCAGCAACGCTTCCAACTTCCAACTGGTCACTTTGCGGTCGTTCTTCCATCCTCCACTCCGGCGCTCCGATACCACTCTGTACCTGCCGTCCAGCCAATAAGCGACCCATTACCTGCGCAATTGTTTCGGTAGGCATCCCGCTATGATGTAGGCCGTGAATGAATTCAAGCTGTCCACTGGACAAAGGGCGGTTGAGCAGCGGCAGAGAAGGGGACGGAAGGAGAGGCCGTGGCTCGAGGTGATGTTCCTGATGCTGATTTGCGCTCGGCCTCCACGAGATGGAGGGATACAGGCCGACACTGGTCTCGATGATGGAGACGTCTGAGCTTCGAAGGGTCATACAGGCAATAGAGCCGAATGGATCCGTGTCTTCAGGTGCATTAGCGGATGATAGAGGTGGAGTGGGAGAGTGTGGCCTTGGCCTTGTTTCATGCGCAAGCTCATCGCGATATGGTGATGCATCGCGCGATTCGCCTGTAAATTCAGAACCTTGAAGCTCGGGGACTTGACGCATGGAGGGTGAGTGTCCTTCTTCGCCAAGTGTGTGAGCTTGCCCTTCGCTCGTGCGATACAGCCTCCAAGGAGGCACTGAGTGACCTTTCTTGGGCCTCTCAGGGGCGTCCCTGGATTTGCGTGTTCTCCGTCGCAAAAGGTAAAATGCGAGCGCAATGAGAAAGATGCATATAGCACCGCCAACACCACCAGCGATGGGGCCCACTGACTCTTTGTGAGAAGTCACTTGTATAGGGTTTGAGCTCGAAATCGGGGCTGGTACGGACACAGTGGAATAGCTGGTAGCGGGGGATATTGATAAGCTTGAAGATGTATCTTCGGGACCAGGCATGCGACTAGTCCATATACTCCATGCGATTGAGCTCTCCGGCACTATGACAATGGAAGTGCTAGCGGCAAGGGAAGACAGTGACAATACTATCGATGCTGAGCCCCAGGAGGTCCTCATATCAGCCAATTGTTTTTCCACTCTCAGCGCAGCTCCTATCTAGACTCACATTGACTCTGGTAACTAGACACAGGGACAGTGGGACCATCCATTGCAAGGAGTTGTTGGTGGGCTAGAGATAACTGCCAAGAAGTTGGAACTCAAAGAAACCGAGACTACATTGCCCGCGCATCTTTTGAGCGACCAGCTGAGTCCACCTAGGTAGATATGTAATTAATCCCCAAGACAACCCTATTTTGAGTCATCAGTATCATGATAGATGGAGAGATTTGTTGCCCAGGTTAGCATAGGGAAGGCCTATGGTTCATGCTGTGAATGATGCCTGAAGGTTAGTATACTTGGTACCTTAATCGATGGTCCAACGCGGACTATACTAATAACCCATGCAACTAGTTATATCAATGTATCAACGTGAGTAACATCAATACCACTTACCGAATGACACATAATCGAGAGAAGACATCTTCCATAGTGAGATTATGATCGTGGACGCATGGCCTTTGATGACACCTGAAGTAAGCGCACGTTGCTCTCGTCCGGTGTCCAAAAAACAGAAGTGTTCTCCATCTGATGACGCATATGATGTTACGAGTACGTGTGAGAGCACTGGCGCCTACTGGCGCTGACAGGTGGTCGAGAAGATCACAGTGCTCTGGGTAACCTAGATCACGCGAAATTTTGTGCGGTGCCTTTGTGCGGCGCTCCGTTTATCCAGCATTCAAGAACACTGCTCAATGACATGGGCGAAAGTACTGCTGATGTACGATAGAAGGCGATCAGGCATGACATTTGCCTACAACGACAACTGAAATCAAAGAAGATACATCTGAATGGAAATAGAAACTGCTCTGGATTAAGGCGCCTCGCACAACGAGTGGTACACTTGTTCATGACTTCTGCTTTCTCCTCCTCCATCTATCAACGTTATTTAAGGTTTGTAGGTTGGTATCGCATCACGAAGCTTAGCCGTAGTTCAAGCGGAACATGTCGTTAAACCTGTTCCAAAGGTCGCTGAATGGGGAACGGCAGAATTTATTGGTATGTCACGTACACGAAGTATGAGCCAGCCTGCTGCACGAGTTGGAAGACTTGACTGAAAGGGAGAGGGTGCTCTATATCTTCATCGACCTATGGCGTATCGAACAAGTTTGAGATTATGCGGGAAGTGGACGGAGGAGAGGGGTGCTATGTGAAGAAGCACGTACGACGAGCTGGCCAGTAATAGACACAAGGATGTTTCTTCCATCTTCCGAAGAGGGCTGTGCGTCGATCGTGGTAATCTTGTGTACGACCGACTGGAAGGGGAGGTTCTGGAAAATATTCAGGACGCGTCGAGGGTATCAAGGCGCGATCAACGTGCCTGGAGGTGTTCTACGATCGACTCTGCGCCTACGATCTCCTTTGACTCCCAGGTCAACATCGAGTTGGGACGCTGTTGTAGGGCAAAGGTCAGTTGTTGAACGGAGGTGAAACTGGCAATGCTGGCGGCTGACGTAGAGGTCTTTGAGACCAGCCCGGCTGGAGTCAAAAGTCTGATAGTAGAACTCCGTAAACTGCTTTCCGACAGCCTTAAAGTCAGCCATTGTGGGTTTGTGAGCGAGAGGGAGCAGATGGGTGGAGGTGAGAGAAGGCACAAGACGCGAAACCCTCTGTCCCCTCTGCGGGACGCGATTATCACAACCCCGAAACACCTCCCCGATATGGCGACCCTGCCGGGATGGCCATCACGTGACTGGGGTTCACGAGTGGAACGCCATGGGGATGCGGCTAGTTGAGCGAATCTGATCTGGGAGAGGGAAGAGACAGCAGCGAGACAAGAGAGCGATGGCAGCAGGACAGTTCCAGGCAGCTCTTCCTTACGTCGGCACCACCACGATGATTGCGCACGAGTACACTGCGCCGCCCCAGAGACCGGCTATCCGCCGCAAGTCTTCGGCCCAGAACCTTCTTACGTCCTTCAAGCCGCCCCAGTCGGCTACCTCCCCAGGTTTCTCAGCCCCCACTCCGACTCAGAGTTACATGTCAGGCCATCAGAAGGAGGCAGACGCTCAGAGCCAGCACTCGGACTCCCATGGAAGCTCTTCGACATACGTGGGCTCGGGCTCGTCTAGTGTCAATGGCACCCCGTCGCTCCCTGCTGGGACGAATATCGAGTATATACGAGACCTTGTTCAGAAGCGTATCATCACCCTCACCTACCTTCGCAATGTACATGAAGGGTGCGTTACACTGTCATCCTGCTTTCCCTATTGTTCCTCTCATTGATAGAGCTTCCGCAGGCAAGCTCACTGGTTCCATACCATTCACCTCTCTCGAGCTGAGCTCAACAAGCACTTCAACAATAGCAACATGAAGAAGCGGTCTGTCTCCATCCTCCTCATGCCCACCCCTTGACGAACGAGCCTGCCGCTGCCACAGAACGCAACGTTTCACCATCCTCGCCATGTCTCTCTCCAATCTGCTCGACATCCCACAAGGCCAAGACTTTCTCCGTGGGCTCGTCAACACCGTTACCGAGTTCGAGACTGGCAAAATCGATTCTGTCAAAGAGGAGGCTGAGCGGCCCAAGATTGTGAGGGCCCAGATCTTTGGCGGGCACGAGGCACAATCTAACTCCCTACGTGTCTCTAGCGCCTGTTCAAAACGAAAGTGGGCAAGCGACAAGCAGGCGGTTTTGCGGAGTACACAATGCCCTATCAGGACGGGTCGGACTCGTACCTCGTCGCGCCTCACCTCGTAAGTCCCCTCACGACTCAGATGTCAACCTCACTTATCGGGGTCGCTGATACGACGTGTCTTGCTATCTAGCCCTTCGCGCTCGACTATCATGAAACCCTCCTTTCCCTGCTCGACGTTCTCTCCGAAACATACAATAAAATATCGCGCGTCCTGGGACCTTCTCCATTCCCACATGGCTCCGGGCAGCACATGATGGGCCCACTTGGCCTCCTCGCGCCGCACCCGGGCGTCTCGTACCTCTTCAACTCCAACTCGTCATCGACCAAGCCAGGGCCAAGCGAAGGCGGCGACAGCAGTCTGTGGGGAATCGCACACGCGGGGTACGTTGGCGTTGGCGGGCCGCTAGCGGGTGCGGGGATGGGCATGGGCGGACTGGGCAGTCCACCGCCGAGCTGGACGTCCGGGTTGGGGGATATGGTGATTAAGGCGGATGCGAAGATGAAGGTATGTTTCTTTCTGAATTTTTAGGATCGTGTTGCTGACATGTTTTATTGTCCTCGTACCAGAGATTGACGACGATCCTCCTGAAGGAGCTCGACGAGGTCGCGCGCAGCGGTATCAAGGACGAGCTCTCGAGCCTGAATCCACTGCTCCGCAACCTACAGCAGAGCTTCGACAACGGCACCAGCCTAGACTTCGAAGGCTAAACCGCCGCTGCCTCATCCTCTTTCGCTTGCGCTGCCCTTGATCTTGTCGTCGCCGCGCCCTCGCTGGCTTTCCCACGATCACTCGAACTGGCTCAGCTTCGAGTTCCCACGGTGCGCCACGTCAAGCGCGCCGCGAACATCAGGTCGAGTAGGGGCAGCCACCACTTATCTTATGTAGTTTGTACCATCTGACGCGTGACATATTTCTTACCTCTGGACTTAGCTAGGATTAACAATAGGGTTTTGTATAGTAGTGTACTTTTAGCACCCGGGATAGACGTTAGACTATGAGAGGATACCCCCCAATGATTTCAGCTTGAAGTGGCTGCATCTTTTGTACTGCGTGTTTCGTGATCTCTTCCGTCGAAAGGTAATCATGTGAGGTGAGTATGAAGGTATTCGGTGATAGCCTTGGTTGTTGGTGTTGTAACAGGACCGTATAGCCATGCTCTACGAATAGAAGAATGCGATCAACTCAAATGCATGACAAACTCCATGTTGCCGGCCGATCCTGTAGAATTCGTAAAGAACACGAACGGAGTATCCGCATCTAGAAACTGAAGTATAACAAACGTCATGATTTAAATAACGAGATCACAGAGACACGTCGCAATAGCCTTCACATAATACCCTAAAATCTCTCTGAAAAGTGCACAATATCACATAAATATAAGAAGGGGGGCGACGAGTATCACCCCGACAATATGACACCGACTACCAAGGCGGAGACGGCTGGGTGTGATAGCTTGGTGGTACGGTGCTCACGGTGCCTGCCCTCGAATCTCTGTCTCCCGGACCGCCAACATTGGCTGCGGTTAACGTCGGAGCTTGCAGCGGGCGAGAAGCTAGCATGCGGCCGAAAATCTGGGCGATGATTGTGTCCGGGACACCACCTTCGTGCAAGCTGTTGATAAGGTCCGTCTGCTGGATAGAGAGCAGAGGCGTAGATGTCTGCGCTCCAGACGAGGGCCGGGCGGAATCAGAGCTGCCTTCTGCTTCGGGTTGTTTGTCTTCAGTGGGTAGTGGCAGCGAGGGCAGGGGTCTCGCCGCTCCGTTGGGGGGTTCGGCAGGAGTAGGACTGGAAGAGGTGATCCTAGAGTCGCGGCGTTGAAGAGCTTCCGCGACGGTAATGTGTTGTTGTGCAGTGAGGAGGTCTGCAAACGAGGAGAGGTCTGGCGTTTCTATGTGTCGTGAGTTGCGCTCTTCGTATTCATAGTTCACCCGTGTGGCTGCCCCTTGCACTTCTCCATTCCCAGCGAATATTAACGATGTGGGACGATTCACGTCTGAGAATGGATCGACCGCGGCTTCGCGGTTAGGTAAGCCAGGATACGAAGGAACCGGACTCTCGATGATCGACAATAATGATGGAGTGACAGGCGGTCTGGCCCATGATGAAGCACGACTCTCAAGCATTCTCCGAGTTGACTCATGAGGAGAAGGGCTTCGGTATGCAGGCGGCGTTTCTGTCCAGTATGCTTGTGAAGGAGCGTAGCGACGGTTTCGGCGCCGCAAAAACAGCAGGAGAGTTATGAGCGCAATAAGCGCGACTACAACTCCTGCAGCGCCTCCAATCGTGGCACCTATTTTATTGACCTTCTTATACGAAGCACTAAACGTTATTTTGAGCACTGAGCAGTTTTGATACAAGGAAAGTACATACTAAGCCGGTGATGATACTCCGGATGACGGTGGTCCCGTTCTGCTTTCAATAGATATACTGCTTGTTGCTGTCACAACCGAAGTCCCATGGGAAGAAGGAGCTGGAGACTCGGAGCTTTGAGATGGTGATACATATAATCCTGGAGAAGTTGACAATGGGGAGGAGGAGGACGGTGAAGGCGAACTGCTTGTTGTAGAAGGAACTGTTGGCGATGAAGACAAGGGGGGTGATGAAGAAGATGGTGTTGATGGGGTCACGATTGACGAGCTGGATTGTGATGGCATAGTCGACGTCGATGAAGTCGGGATCGAGGTCGAGGTCGATGATTTGGCTGAAGTCAGACCCGTTGGATCATGACTGGCGATACCACTACAAGCGCGTCCCACCAACTGCCGGGCGACATTATTGTCATTGATAATTGGGCCTGGGCCGCCGCATAACATCAGATTCATAGGATCCAACTGAAAGCCATCCCTGCGCATAAGAATCTGGGTGGGTTTGACGGCGCGGTGAGATTGAGACTCTGTGGGGAGGAAACCATCCCTATCATCAGTTGCAAAAGCACCGAGAATGACATATGAGAATATCAAAAGAGAGAATACAGTAAGACATCGGGGTGACTTCCTATTACCGAAAGCCAGATGCATCTTCCAGGGGGAGTAGTAAATGATAGGGTGAGGGCGAGCATCTTGTGCGAATCTCCTATAAGACGAGGCAGGTCCTTTCCATCCATCATGATCTTCCGAGTTTGTGAGTGAAGCTTTGAGACTCTTCAAAAATCATAGGACCTGATCGCAGATTGCCGGAGGAGCAACAGCAGACTGGATGATGGTGTTGGCTGACATCAGAAACGGATAGATACATGCGTGGGTGATGTAACCTCGTGTCACCTCTGGGAAGTACCAGTGAACGTGCTGTGCTTGAGATAGAGTTTGGTCGAGTGCGCTAAATATAAGCTTGTGAGCTGATCCCTTCAATCTGAATTGACATGAAGAGCTGAGCGGCGGTGATGGGAGTGCGTTGGTGGGAGGAAGCAAAAAAGGATCACGATGCTTTATGGACGGGGACTTTAAGAAAGCATACGACGCGAAATATACAGCATCGGGATATCCGGGGATGTTCTGCGCCGGAAAGATGCTGATGCATTACAATAACTTCATGTAGCACTAACTATGTGCACCACTTACATCAAAATGGCCAAGTGGCTCCTACGACGAGGATCATGTTAGCAAGGAAGCCAGATTTTCGGACGCTGACACCGAATACCAAGTTGAAGCTGAAGAGGGACGTTGGGTGTGATAGCTAGGTGGCACGATGCTCACGGTGCCTGACCTCGAAGCCTGGTCCCCGGAGCAAACAGTTGCCATGTTGGGCGTCTGTAATTGAAGCCGACGTATGTCTCTTGCTTCTGTCTCTACATGAGGATTGGGCTTGTGTTTGGGGCGGCGCTTGTACCACACAAGGGATGTTATTAAAGCCACAGGCGCAGCGAGTCTTGTAGAAGCACGGATCACTGTACCATGACGTGAGTGGAGATAGAATAACTCGGCCTTTCCTTGGTCTCTCCTACTCTATAGCTACTTGGGATAAAACCGCTCATTCGTCTTCGCTACAAGTCCAGCAACATGTGTTCTACCAACATTTCGGCACGTAACAATATTTGGGCTTGGTTTGAGATAAGATATGTATTTCTATGCTAAAACAAAAGCTTCAGTCGAAAAGTAAGAAAGAAAGTTGGCCACCGTAACCCGTTCAAGCCATTTCCACCGTTTTAAAGACAACGTCAAGTTGGTCCAAGAAAAACAAGGGGAACCGAGGATCATAAGAATGACCCTCAAAAAGACGATGACTGAGTGTGATAGCTAGGGGGTATGGTGCTTGCAGTACCTACTATCGAAGCCCAGCGGCCCCCTGCGGTACCGACAACATTGTCCGCAGTAGTCGTCTGGGCTCGGGGCGGGTGGCTCCGTGCAGCCAGCATCCTCCCAATTATCTGAATGATGATTGGGTCCGGAACACCACTTTCGGCGAGGCTGTTGAGAAGGTCTATTTGCCGACTGCAGAGCAGAGGTGTCTGCGTGCTAGACGAAGGTCTGTGAGTGCTGGGACCACCCCCACGCTCTAGTCGTATGTTGTCCGCGTGTGGCGGCAGCATGGGTAGGGGCCTAGGTGCTCTGTCAGGCTGCTCTGCTCCGACTATATGTTGACCGTCGCCAGCCGGAGCTGCACTCCAAGTCTCGGAGGCGAGTCTGGAGTTGTGGCACTGGAGGGCTTCCGTGACTGTGGCATGTTCTTGCGTGGTCAGAAGGTCCGCAAACAAAGGTAGATTGCTTGCGTCGATGAAGCGTGATGGCTGCTCTCCGTGGCCAATATTCTCTCGCGGGTACGGTTCATGCATTCCTTCTTGTTGAGAAGGAGCGATAGATGTATCTAAGAATGGACTGGCCCCAGGGCTTGGATCAGGAATGCCCCGATATGAAGGAGATGGGCTTGCAATTATTGACAAGGATGGAGTAACGGGCAGTCTGTCCCGAGATAATGCAGTACTGCCAAACGTCCTCCAATGAAGGGACTCATGAGGGGGCGAAATTTGGTAAGTGGGCACCTCGTCTGTCGTGGGAGACCGGGAGGGAACAGAATGACGCTTGTGATATCGCAAACGCAGAAGAAGAACCGTCAGTGCAACAAGGGCGGCCGTGCCTCCTACGGCACCCCCAACTATAGCACCGAGATGGCTGGCCTTCGTAGATGATGTCCTGGATGGTGTTTGATCAAATTCCACAGTATCTATAAATAAGGTGACTTACTGCATTACTGACGTTGTTGATGTTGAAGACGAAGGTGTCAGCACTGAGCTGGAAGTGGTTGCCACTACAAGGGTCGTGTTAATACTCGCGTAGTCAAACATCATGAAACTGTATCCTCCGTTAGGTTCATAACTCAAAACCGTCATTGTAAGAGTGTGGCTCCCAGATGGAAGTGACTGAATATCAAACAGCTGAACCTGTGACTTGTAGTAGCTTGGTGCAGGTGGGGCTGCTAAAGTGTTGCTCTGGAGGGTTCCTCCGTCAATGGCCACATTTGCGCTCACGCCTTGGTCACCTGCTTGTAGCACGTAGATAGTAGCGACGCCCGACCCTGTGCACTGCGATTGAGATAAGGTAGCAGTCAGTCGTCACATCCCTTGCGTACCACTGAAAGTAAAGTTCATTCTACAGTTATCAGTGGTCCCGCATGATGCATCTGCGTCCAAGATCAATTTCTGATTGAAATATCTCGGAATGAATGCATACATGAGCTGAGGCTATTAGGTGTACGCATGCGATACAAAAAGGATGAAAAACATACTAGGTCTGGTCAAAGCATTCTGAAGCATCGACAGACATTGAGGTGCCATTGGGTAATGGAACAGTTGCATTGTCAGCCATATTGAAAGGGAACCATCATCACTAAATGGGTGGGAAAAGTTTGACCGTTATACCGAGTGATCACCGTTATAATATCGTCGTCGAGACAGTTTTGCATGATCACGAATGGTGACGCATTCCCATTGAGTTAACATATTGTTACGGTGTGGCAGTGAATTTCGGCCGAACACCATGTCGCGGACACTTTACCATTGATCAAAATTGATGATCTTGCTCGTACATTTGTTAGTCGAATATAAAATACGGAGACCATATCAGAAACAAAATTACCATTGAGCGATAACTTCAACTGCATATGGCATCCACCACTTTTGGCAGAGACGAACACTAATGAACATTAACAAATAACAACGAAAAACGACGAACAATAACAAACAGTGGAGATTCGAATACCCGCTGACCTTTACAATGATGCGGAGCCGGTCGCGTTGGTGAGAGTCTCGTCTTCACTAAACGTTCACTCAGGCTCGAGCTTGCCTTGCAAGACCCCGAGTTGCATCCGGGTGCATTGAAATAGGGACATTCCCTTTGAAAACTAAACTTGAACTGCTGGTATTTAAAGCCACGCGCTCACGGAGCAAGCAAGCATGTCTGAGCACCCATATTTTACGAATAGATTTGTAAAATGAGTTAGTGTGGCGGAAACGCCTGAGACAACGCATGAACTCAACAAACGGATAACAAGCGCCCATAGGCACTACAGCATACACACCTCGTCGTTTACACGGGGACGTCACTAATGCCTAAACCGACCGTCATCGATGTCATAGAAGAGGCATTGACACTAATCTTCGTCTTCACCGAGCACATGTGTCTCCTCCGCTTCGCCCGGCACAGCAGCGTACCACTTGGGCGCAGCCCCGCGGGGCGAGGTGAGTTCAATGGCGTTATCACCTGCCAGAGAGGTTTGAGAATTCAAGGACGCATTTCGGCCCGAAATGGTGAAGAGGTGAATGAGCGCTAGTACGAGGGTATACAAGAGGAATGCGATGCTGTAGATTGAAGCGAGGTGTCAGTCGAATCGATAAGAAGGAAGAATGGGTCGAGCCGTGTGACAGGGACGAAGAAGACAAGAAAAGGTTGAAAGGAAAGGAAGGAGAGATGGACCTGAACACGATAAGGATGTACGTGACATGGTCTATGCCTTCATCGTTGACAAATCCAAGCTCTTCATCCGTCGCTGACATGAACAGGATTCTGCATACGCGCATATAGTAGTTAGCCAGATGTACACCAACCCCAAACGGAATCGTGACACGAACCCAGAAACAACCAATAGCTAGCGACAAAAGTGAGCACAGATTGATAACACGCAAAGAAAACCGTACGAAAGGTGGCAAGTGCCTGAACGCTTTCTCAGCGTTGACTCTCCCAGCTTCCTGCGATGCCGACGAATCTCCCGGCGTGAGCGTGTGTTCGCTGTTGTTATCACCCTGCACTGGTGGGACATCGTACCTCGCCGAGGAGAGGAAGCACACTTCAACGATGCGTGCAAGCCCGGCAGCTGAGAGAGTGTAGCCAAACGTCGCGTGGACCTGTTCAAGCCATACAGCGTTAATTCAGCTCAATGGAAGGGGAGAAAGGAAGTGATAGAGTGAAGAGGTGAAAGAACGCTAGCTGACCATCGTCAAGATCATAAGCACTTGTGCATGTCCTGCCATAGCCCATCCTGTGAGGATAATGCTGTGGTATGTTAGTCATCTGAATTGCTATGTGGGCATGTAAGCGGATCGTACATAATACTAGGAATCACGGAACGCTGGAGGTCATAGGTAATGTCAGCAAAAATAGCGCATGTCAGGAGCGCTGGCGACATGCCTGGTTGTTCCGCGACAGGAAAATGCCTAGCATGCCTCCTGTCCACCCTGTAAACTCTCCGTGAGCCTCGGATCCTCGGACCAGAGTTCGCTATTACAACTTACAAAGAACACCGAGGATACTGATCACCTCGGTGAGTAGGTTGTAATTTGTGAGATTGTCCAAAGACTTACGTATGCTGCATATCCTTGACCGACCAAGCGCCCCCGTGATGCTCGGTGAACGTGTTGACTGTACTAGGGGTGAGCGTAACGCCAGGATGATGACGGGGCCTGACATACCAATCCCCTTTACTCCAGATCAGATGTTCATTGCTTAGTAGAGTGAAGGCACGAGGTACGCACCCACAGAGTAATAGCCCAGGAATCCCACCATTCTGGGCTCCTCCCGCTCCGCCGCACCCAAGACTCGCCAACGGTGAACATGATAGCCATGATAGTGCCATACGCAATGAACCTGCCTCCCTAAACCAGCGTCAAAACGTGAACACGCGCCCGATTGTACAACGCATGCGAGCAAAAGCAATGTACCATGATGTCATGCGCCAAACACTGTCCCAAGTGTCCACCCCGACAATACCCCCTGAACGCTATCGACCCAAACAACATCTGCACCCACCCCAGTATTGGGTACACCTTTCCAACGATTCTGTGTGCCTTGACAGCATACGGCCAAATATTACGCTCGTGGATGTGCAGTTTGAGGTACACGCCGAGTGCAAGCTGGATTGCGACAAGGAGCAGGAGGATCTTGGCGAACGGTCCATGCGCGGAGCGTGCTTAATAATTTGAAGCAGCGACATGCATTCCAGCTACAAGAACGACGGCAGAATGAAATAGAAGAATACCTCTAATAATTCTGGCCAATCAGAGACAGAGGATGAAGCCAGCCCTAAAGCTGACGGAGAGATAAGATAAGATAAGACATTTTGTTTGCCTTCGCCTTTTTGAACACTCTGCCCGCCTTTTCTCTCTCCTCCCTTCAACCGTTTCTCTTTCTTCCCCCCACTATTTATCCTCCCCTGTACTCTCTGTTTGCCTTCCTCACCTGTCTTACATGCCTCCACACCACCGATTGTCACCACATCCACTTGTCTTAGAATTGTCAAGTTCTTCTGGTGTTGTGGCTATGGTAAGTCTGGCACGTTTTGCTACGCATATAAGTACCTCCCGAAAGCCAGAACTCCTTAATCACGAAGCCAACAGCATTTTTCAATGCACTCTACTATGATGAGGTGCATGCATTGTTGCTGTTGCCCCATCACTCACTCATTTTTCATCCCTTTTAGCTCACCCTGGTGGAAAGTGATGGACGAAGAGCCATAGACGGTTGACGTGAGTAACTTGAGTTGTTTGGGATTATAAGCCACTAATATCTTAGATCACACAACAGAAACCGCTGGCTCCAGCAAACACGCGTTCACAGGACCACTAACGCGATCTCTCTGCCACAGATGACGTCCAGGTCACTTCTCAATGTCCGACCCGACAGAAGATGAGCAACCCAACAGCCTCGTTTAAGTATCGCACCACCCATTCCCCAGCTGTCGGCGAGGACCTGGATCACAAGCCTGAAGTCTGAGGCTATCATATTCCCGAGTCGATGGTCACTATTCGCGTCCCCACCCGCCTTCGGCTACCTCATTGTCAGAGTTGGAGCCCGAAAGTAGATGAGTGCTGTCATCGACTACCGGCTTCATGGATTGTAAGCTCTAATTCTTTCCTCAGACCTCCTGATCTCGTGTACTGCTGCTGCTCTTATGTATCATTGTTGCTCTCATGCTGCTGCCCTCGTGTTCCTGCTCTCGTGTATTATCCTCGTTCGTTGTTTAAACCTCGCATAATACTACATCATGTACTATATAATATTCACAATGAATGTCTTGTCATTGGAATCATGGGCGAGATTGCGAGTCCTCATCATATAGTCTGAGTTTTTATCATACGGCATAAATCACCAGCCGATCTTATCATGTAATTATCATGCAGGCACCGTCAGCGGTAAGATAGCCATCAATATTATAATATCATCCGTGATCTGACCATTTCACCGTCTGATTTTGGTCTAATTTCCCGTATGTTAAAAATGGACTTTACGCTCCACTCGTGCTGGAGATTCAAAATATCATTAAGGTACGGTGTCAGTTATAACGGATTCTACTACTGCTCATGTACTTATATTCGGTCCGCCCATTTAGTGATGATACTCGCCCTCCCGGGTCTTCCTCTGCGTAAACAATGCTAGGAAAGTCCGCGTCATCAACTGTATAGTCTGCTAAAGTGACACCAGCATGGAATAGAAGCACGAGCAGCAGAAGATAACTGCGGAGGTAAAGGAGCGACTTCCCGTGCCGTGGAACTTGGCGCATGACGGGGGAAAGAAGAAATATAGATGGTGTTTGGATGGGGTGGTACTGGCTGTGCGTTGGATCCATAGCTTATGAAGCCTCCCTAGGGCTAAACCTGGATGTTTTGAACTGCCCATGTGTATGATGCATAATGCACACCGATGCATGATGAGCGCCAGAAGCTCAATCCACCGCGATTCGGTAAGTCGCCGATTGAAGAGGTCAGATTACCTGGAAGTTTCACCTCGCTGGAAAGTAGATCCAATATGGACCAGAAGGCTTTTTTTTCAGTATTTGCAGACATATTTATACAATTCTGAAAGTAACATGATAACACGACTCTGGCCAACAAAGAGAATTTCCATTTATTATTCAGGCCGTGTCAGGGGTAGGGTACAACTCACATTAATGGTGCGGAAGAGTGTCTTCTATTCTTAACGCACATGCGAAAACTAAAGTCAACGTGACCCAACCTGAAACATCACTTAAACCTACTTGAACTCGAGCGATCTGTTCTGAACCCCGCCTATCTCATCGTTTTCGTCGCTTACATACAGATGCATGTAGCTCATGAATGTCTTACTGGTGTAAACCCATCTCCTTGCTGACTCGTACCATCGTCTAAGGTGCCAGTGATATTCTACAAATTATCATATCAGAGGCCGAACACCCGCCCGCTTACTCTCTCAGAGCCCCGGGCTCAATGCGCAAGAATTGTTCATCATGATGCACAGCTCCAAAACCAAAGATGCGAAGGCCAAAAACTCTGGCGCACAGACGTGTACGGCCCAAATAGTTAGCATAATTCAAACAAAAGTTATCCAATCTTAAATAGACAGTCGAGACTTCAAGATGATCGCGCGACATCGTAGCTAGGTGGCAACGTCCTCATAGTAGCCGCTCTTGAAATTCCGGTATTCGCATTACCTGCGGTAAATTCAGGTCGTCGGAGCGGACGGCTAGTCAGCATCCGCTCGACTACTTGAGCGATGATAGCATCGGGAATGTTGCTCCTGTGCAACCTGTCAATGAGTCCCGTCTGCTCCCTAGAAAGAGGCGGCGGGTTTGCGTTCGGTTCGGGAAGCATGGGCAACGGTCTCAACGCCGGTGACGTGCCCGCTTGATCCGTCTTAGCAATGCTAGGGTCAGGGTGACCTAACGCTTCTGCAGCAGCCACGCGCTGCGGCGGAGACAGTAGATCCGCGAAGGACGAGAGCTCACTCATGGGCTGTGACACGCGTTCGCCTTCTCCGATGGACCTTTGAGGTGCTTGCGACTGCCCGTCTGCAAAATAACCGGAGAGATTAGGTGACGGCGCAGCATGCTCGGCATCCGAGAACGGGTCGTTGTTAGCCATATTTGCCAATGCCATAGGAGGCAAGCCGGGGTATGTGGGAGCCGGAGACGCAATCATCGACACCGTTTGACCAGCTGGAGATCCGTTGAAACGCTCTGGGTGATTGTAATAGCCTGAGACGGGATATTCAACGTGTGATGCGAAAGGGTCTCCTTGAGTGAGAGTTATATGAGGGAAGGACGTCGTCGTTGACCGAGCTTCTGTCATAGGAGGAGAGACGGGCCGGTACCTCCGGCGTTGGCGACACCAGAGAAAGGCGATAATCGAGGCAGAGAGGATGGCGGCCCCTCCAAGAGCTCCTCCGACTATGGCCCCGAGGTTGTCTGATTTCCTATGAAGGAATTGAGTCCGTGTCAAGTTCAACGTGTGAGATTGATCTTACTGGGTCGGTTGCACTGTTGAACTCGGACTTGAAGCCGCGCTTGCGGAGGCGCTGCTAGGCGCAGAATTGTTCCCAACCCCGTTTGGTGAGGTGGAAATGATGGCGGGTGGGGTAGGGTTACTTGAGGAGGAGGATGAAGACGACGACGACGAACTTGAAGTTATAGATGTTGGCGATGACGTCGTGGTTTGTGGCAAAGGCGAGTTTGTCGAGCTTGTTGTTGGCGAAGGTGTTACAACGGGGGGTTCCTCTACAAGCGTCGTGTTGATACTTGCGTAGTCAAACATCATCCCACTAAACCCTCCTTCCCAATCCAGAACCGTCATCGTAAGATCGTGGCTCCCTGATGGAAGTGACTGGATATTAAATAGCTGAATGCGTGACTTGTAGTAGTTCGGTGCAGGTGGGGCTGCTAAAGTGTTGCTCTGCATATTGTTCCCGTCGATGGCCACGTTTGCAGTCATACCTTGAGGACCCGCTTGCAGCACGTAGATGGCGACGCCTGACCCTGCGCATGCCAATTCAAGTTAGATAACGTTGACTTATCACGTCTCTTGCTTACCATTGAAAGTAAACTGCATCAAGCAGTTGTCACTAGCCGTGCATGCTGCATCTAAATTGAGGGTGAGATTCTGGGTGAGACGTTTCGGAGAAAATAAGTACAGGTGCTGCGGATCAATGAGCATAACGAACGTGATACGAGGGTATAAACATACTAGGTCTGATCAAAGCACTGCGACGCGTCGATATTCATCATGGTACCGTTGGGTAATCGTATGCTCATCGACTCCCCATTGCTAGCGAAAGGACCCCACACTGGTCCTGCTGGTTTCTCTGAGTATGTGATGGCGGTGTAGTTCTGGTCGTCAATGGTATAGTCTGCTGAGGCGATACCAGCACATATCAGACATACAAGCAGAAGGAGAGAGCGACCAGTGTGAAGGAGTGACTTCCCGTGCGGCAGAGGACGCATGACGGGGGAAAGAAGAAAGAAAGACAGGATGGCAGGCTATGCGTTGACCCTGAAGCACAAGAGGTCTTTGTATCATGATTCTCTAGAGGCCTAGAACAGGCCCTTTGGACTGCCCATGATGAGCGCCGAAGAACCCAACAGTAGGTGCCTTTGCAAACAAGGTAAACAATAAGTCAAGACAGGTGCCGTGCAGTAGTATCAAGTAAAAACACAGTACTCAGATCCGCTTCGCAGAGTGGTCTGAGCATAAGTAGCTGGTAACTTCAGAGCAGAGCTATCCACCTTCTCAGAGTAAAAATGACCAATACCCAGAGCGAGCTCCTCAAATCATGATGAAAGCCACTCGGTGCGATGCAACGATGATGGTGAGAGAGAATAAGGAGCGGTAATTGAACCAAATAGACAGGGGCATGCCTTCTATTCCGAGCTCACCCCAGCCGGCTCGGCTTCATACAGCATGACGACGTTCAGCTATGCTCAAGTACAGATTTGAAAAGGCGCTGATTGAGCGATTGGATGGGCATGATTTATGTTGTGAAGCGAATAATTGTGTAGCATCGGATATGTGCGAGCTGGGCCAAACTTCAAATTCGCGAAGGGCTTGGGAGGCCGTCTTGAACCAGTCCTCAAATACAAATGTATTCAGTATCATTCTTGCCTTAGCTTCAACAAAAATCTCCGTTCATTTCTATATACAAGTATTACCTGATCTTCCAGGATACGGTGGAGCGGGGGACGTGATCGCCGAGAAAGAAGTTGAAACTCGGGCTGCTGCGTTGAGAGGGAGCGCGATCAATGCGGTTTGGACATGGGAGTCAGTGCTGCTGTCCAATTCTCCCTGAAAGAGACGAGGAGGCATAGTGTTCGGCCACGCCTTTGCCATGAGAGGCGAACGTCGAACAAGCCAGCGCTGCCGATACCTTAACAGCGCCGCAAATGCAGCTGTAACGACCACGAGAGCAGTACCTCCAATAGCACCCCCGACGATAGGCCCTATGTTCACAGCCCTCCTAAAAGCCCATTAGCATATGGCGTTTGGATAATCGAGAAAATAACAAAAAACTCACTGAGATGTAGACGCGGTGCTCACAGCTGTGGAGATACCAGCGGCTGAAGGAGACAAGGTCACTGTTGAGGTCAGTATAAACCCTGGCGACTGTGAGCTAATTGGTACTGTTGGGGAGGCGGTATACGTCGGAAGCGTCGAAGTAACTGGCACGACCATTGTCTGGTTGATCTCTGCATAATCGAACATCATTCCGCTGAATCCTCCATTCCAATCCAGAACATTCATTGTGAGAGTATGGCTCCCAGAAGCGAGAGATTGAATGTTGAATAGCTGCACCCGAGACTTGTAGTAGCTAGGTGGTGGGGGTGCATTCAATGTGTTCGTCAGAAGGTTGCCACTGTCAATTGACACGCTCGCGCTCATGCCTTGCGGACCTGCTTGCAGCACGTAAATGGCGACACCAGACCCTGTGGAAGATCAGAGAACATAAAGGCAGAAACTCTGCCCATTTCTAACCATCGAATGTAAACTCCATGGTGCATTCGTCGCTCGCTGTGCAAGCTGCATCTATGACGGGCTTCAACTACAGGAGACGCATGTAATGGTGTGCACATACAAGTACTGGGGAGGTGGTAAATCAGTACCATGGGCCCAGTATGTTATGCAAACAGCTCACTAGGTCTGGTCGAAGCACTCCGACGCATTGATAGGCATCATGGCGCCGTCGGGCATATGAATGCTCAGCGACTGTCCATTGCTAGCGAAGGGACCCCAGGCGGGTCCTCCAGGCTTCCAGGAATACCTGATGGTCGAGTCATCCGCGTCGTCGATGTCGTAGTATGCAGAAACAACATGTACCAAGAACAAGAATGCGAAGAGAAATAGAGGGGAGAAACGAAAGAGGACATTCCTGTCTGACTGAGGATGCATGATGAGGAGCGGGAAGAGAAACTGTTGGTATGATGGTTATGTATGAGACCCTACAGCATGCACAGGAGTTTATGGATCGTGATGCTGGGCACCGATGCATATTGTTGAGCGCTGGGCTGTGTGCTGATGGACCCTGGCGAGCAAGGTCGAGCAAGGATAGCAAAGGGCAATAGAATGTATAGTTACTAGATGAGCTACTAGATGCCACACGCGTCGCACGCTTGCGTGGATGATGATCCGTTATCTCAACAAGACACGCCGAGCTACGCTCCGGCTCATAATTTGAAGGATGGTTGACAATGCGACCCACTGACCCTAACCCTCATCTTGTTACCACACGTAACCAAGCAAAAGTAAGAATACTTAAATGTTGATGACAGTAAAAATAGACGTCACGCCTCGTTCCACTGTGTAAATTGCGTAGCTAAGTCTACATTGATGTATTGCAATACAATCAATCAAAAAATACAACAGAAGGATTCCGGATCCTGCCACGAAACGCACCCGCTCACTATCACCCTTTACTAAGGAAGACAAAATATGAGCACGGAAGCAGTGATATCAGTATGACATAGATCAGGAACCGATTGTCACGAAAAAACCTTGTATGCCCCACATCCCATCAGATTGTTCAAGGCGATCACCATCAGCCTGAGTGCCAGTGCAACGAAGCGATCACCACAATGAAGGCACTCATTTATCGATATCATTGATGCGGACGCCGACTCCCAAGTCATTCCAGCTCATTATTTGTAACATTTGCGGAGGGAAAAGGACAATGCACGGAATTAAGCAAGTTTAATTGTGGTACATTGAAATCGAGACAGATTGAACATTTAACAGAACTAATCTACCATAAGAAGTTGTAGCTGAAAGATACTTACGTACCTGCCTGTTAACATAATATCACGCTCAATAAAAGATAATCAGTAATATCAAAAATGAAGGCGAGGAACAAAACCTACCACGGCTGCATACGGAAACGGGATGAGAGCGATAGTGATATGCATCCACATATTAACTATGAGGGAGTGAAACGGCAGCGACCCGCGGTCAAGCGGTCAAAGAAACGCCGTGAGTAAGAGATGAACCTGCATCATAGTACCGCTTGCGAAACACTTACCTAGACCAGTGCCGGGAATCCCAGATACGTGGCAGAGCACACTAACACAAACAGGACACCCAAGCGTGTAGGAGGCTTTGGGCATGGGTGTGAGCTCGCCGAACGCGGATTGCCGGTTTACCCTTGCGGAAGGATAGCGTAAGAGCAAGGACTTGGCCATGGACGGACCGGCCAAGGGGCAGGGACGAGATAGGGCACGCCGGGCGGCGGGGCACAAATCGACCGTGGTTGAGCATGAGCTCATGGGTAGCGAGCTCAGGTCTGGTATGGAAATTTTCATCAGTGGGGAATGATGTTCAAGCGAGAGGGCGTACCTGCGAATTCTGCATCGGATGTCACGATGAGGGAGAATCATGAGCAAACTGGGAGTAGAATTGGACGGAGGCAAGGTGTTCTTTGCGAACATCAAGCGGAGTTGGGAAGAGGGAAGTTATCGTCATCTGGGAGCAGGTTTTCGCGACTCGGGAGCTCATAGCCCAAAAGCGATAGATATGGTACGCACTGAAAACATGCTCGGTAGTCCTGGCAGGGCTGAAATAAGCATGTGTAAATGTTAGAGAACTTGAGCGACATACCATTCCTGCGACCGTGAGGATCCACAACGCGAAAATGGGGAGGGGAAGAAGGTGGGGAGGAAAGGATGGCGACGAACGAAGCGCCAGCTCAGGGATTATCTTATCAACGGGAGTATGGCCCAAAATGATTGAGGATGTCCGGATCGAGAGCGCATCTGATCTCAAGGGGATCTGATCAATAGCACAAACAAAAAACCAAACAAAAGCGGGCAGAAATATTGAAGATACGAGTAATCTATGCTTGGATTGGCGTCAAATGCGGTCGGTCTTGAACATGTCTCCTTGAGCTCATAGAGGGAGGCGCTGAGGTGCCACGGGCCCGATGTCAGTGTGATAGTTGGATGATGGGGGGAGGAAACTAGGATAGGGGCGAACTTCCAAGACGAGATTTGGCACGTGCCCGTTAGGCGCCGAGGAGACGCGTCTTGAACGCGACGACCATGGCAAACCCAAGCGCGTCGGCACCTCCGCCCAGCGTACCATCCGTCCTTCTTCCCGAGATCCTCGCGTTCTCCCCACAGCTACTTCTTGACGACGTCATCAACTACGCAAACGATGCAATCACCACCAACGTTGATGGAATGGAGGAGTTCCTCACACGCTGGGCTCAGAATCGGACCAAGAAGCCAGGCGAGGAGTGGGACAGTACCCAGGAGGTTGAGAAGGGGCTTGTCGCGTACCAAACGCTGCTCGAGTCTCATACAGATATTGCCTTTGACTTCTTCGAGACCTGGTCTCTACGCAACATCTTTGCCGTACCCCCTGATCTCCCCATCGTTGTGCCCCACCAAGAAGGGCTGGACCTTAGCTGCCCGCCGGAGAGAGAGGTCGAGTTGATGACAGAGATAGAGGAGTTGCGGAAGAAGATTGATGCAGTGCGCCCTCTTGTCTTTTCTTCATAGCGCCTGTCTGACACTCAGTGTAGCAACGCAAGCTCAAGCGCCTTCTCAAGCGCGCAGCAAGGAAGGCGAAAGCTCAGCGGAGACGTTCTGAGCACGTTCTTTCCGAGCTTGCCTTCCTCCAGTCTCCTCACATGCAAGAACTCGCCGACCTTCCCGCACAGTTCGAATCCATGTACAACTCCGTGTCTACCTTGCCCCCTCTTACCGACGAGTACATCGCCACGTTCACATCGACACCTGTAGCGGATCCAGGGAAGCGGGACTGGGAGACAAGCAAGGCCGGGTACCAGGAGTGGGCTGTCAAGCAACTGCTAGCCAAAGCCCGGCAGCAGGACATCGCAGCGGGCAAGCGCAGCATGGCTGTCGATGCTGTCGTGGAGGACACTGCTGCCATAGCGAATGCAGGACACCTCAGAGCCGCGTTGGATGCGTTAACAGCTTCTTCCAGGAGACCACGGCAAGATGATGCTATGGACATCTAGGTGTTGGTGAGTCATTTCACGGGAATTGCGCTGCCAGGGCCCAGGTCACTAACGATATCCAAAGTCCTGTGTTCAGTCGGTATATGCGCATTATGAACTGCAGTGTATGATAAGTGGGGACTCTTGCATGGCCAAAAAATCAATATGTAAGCGATGCTCAAGACTTACGCGCAAATCGGGACAAAGTGAGGTCACATTACCGCTTCGAACCCTTCAGCATCTGCCATTCTGCCGTAGGCCGGTGGTCACCAAAGTTGTCGTATGACGCCGCTGTGCTGAGGTTCCGGCGCACCTCGCAGTCAATCTGCTCTGAGTGGATACGGCGCCCTTTTTCTCATAACCGGTCTGCTGGTGTTCCGTCTGTCCTTCATCGTCTTCTGCCTTCTGCAGAGCTGTCTTTTCCGCCTTAACCTTCGCTAAAGATGTAATGCTGAGGAGTTCGCATTAGGTGAAGTGCGAACAAATGCACCGCCTAAAATGATGACATCTCAACTCGGTGCAGATTCTTGCACCTTCTCCCACCATTTTCTTCCTGTAAAGTGCCATGCCCAAGTCAGGTCTCAGACGGTCGCCATCTTATCCACCCCCAACCCAAAGTATCCAGTTGCCTAGCCCCTCTCCGGCTCACCTATATACCCTATCAAGGCACTTTGTTGAGCGAGTCCCGTGCTATCCGTGTTCGTAGGCGCTTGCCTGATCGCGAGAGCTGCACTTGCATTACACAACCACACCGGAGCTGAGGCGACTCTTGACTCCCTACAGCGTGGTTCAAGTAGCTGTCACTATTGTGAATGCTGGCAGGCACATACATATGTTATGATCCTAGAGCTCGCCCCGTTTGCAGTGTCCATCCGCACAGAGGCAATTGACGGCGTGTAAGGGCGTCCTTGCGCTGCTCCGCCCGGACGGCAGAAGGCCAGCCGATTTGTTTGGCAAGTTTATGAACCTCAACTACGGCAACACCACAAAGAGACCGCGTGGTATAAGCAGAAAGTCAACAAGTGGGGCATCCCTTTCGACGCGCGCAACGTCTGGACCAAGACCGACCGGTAGCTGTGGACCGCCGCCTTTGTCTCGGATACTGACTTACGCAACGAACTCATCGACACGGAGTACCACTACATCGCGAACGTCCAGATTATTGAACGACACCGGAGTTGATTTCTTTCTCTGATCAACTTGGGCCAGCTCCTACATGATACGGTTTGACGACGTGATAGACCCCATATTTGGTGGGGTAGCTGCACTCGCCTGCAACAGCGCATCGTACAGCGTGGTATGAAAGCCGAGACTTACCCCCCAATAGTGATTGAGGAGGTCACAATGTGAAGAAAGAGAGAAACGGCGCCGGCAATTTGCAAGTAGCGATGCTTCACCAATGTAGCTGCTCATAAAATCCTATATCCACCCATTACAGCACCACCATGTAGATCATGCTCTGACTGTGTTGGCGACGAACATGAATTATTCACTGCAACGAACAGAATCGACCGAAGTGGCCCTCGTTGATCGAATTCATTCTATTACACCACTCGTAGGTATCATCAGTGCTGTATAACTGGGTCATAAAGTGGTACCCCACGGAATCGTTCTAGTCATGCGCGAAAGTAAAAATGGGGCACGTTCGCCTGGAACCACATCAGGTCCTGAGGGGTCATCGGAAGTTGGAAGGTAACCTTGAGGTCATTCATCGGGCATTGCTCCATCCGATGTTCGACCATGCGCCGCAACGCATCAGAAGAGATATAGCCCTCCTGTTCATCGATTTGAAGGTGAGTCAGATTCGGGCACATGTACTGATTGCCTGCAGGGCCGCCATACGACATGGCCCCAAGCAAGAAATCGTCGAAGGATGGACAATCACGGATATGTAAGTCGACACCTTGCCAGGAGTGAAGCAGGAGTCGCAGGTCAGCGTTGTCATCGAACCTCTGCAATGAGAGGTTTGCTGAACGGATGAGGGTAGCCTTGGTGGGTGTGCATCGAACGAGTCGTACAAGATTGATGGGCTTGCGTGGATCAACATTGCGAAAGATCTCGTGGAGGAAGTTACCATGTAGCCCCTGAAACTCGAAGTTAACCATGTTGCGGAGCGCAAAATCTGCCGACTCCGATTCGAGAGGGTCGTCGAAAGCGACGTCATCAATCATCAGCAAGTAACGCGTTCTGCTATCGAAGATGTTGACGGCTTTCAGAAACTCTCGCGTGGATAGAGGCGCAGATGAATCACCGCACGGATTGTAGGGTTTTAGGTCTAATGTTAGATATGTCATGGATCGTCCAGACTCGTTTCCCGAAGGCCAGAAAACGAGCTTGTCGGAAATGTCAACGAAGCTTTTGGCGTCTATCTCGAGATACTCCAGGGCAGGGCACTTGATGGAAGATATCTTCAGTGATGCTGTGCTGTCCGTGATAGCGGATTGAAACGTCAAGTCACCAAAGCATTCCGATGAAAGGCCATCAAGGTACTCGCTCGCGTTGACTATTGAGGAGCGGAACCTCACATTGAGATGCAATTGAACGCAACGGACGATATGAGGTTGCAGACAAGCCATGACCTTCTGGAGCAGTTTGTGTTCGGATTCAAGAGAGACTGTCTCATATGAAACTACCGCCACACTGAACGGGGAACTCCGGGAGGCGGCCGCAGCGAAGAACTTTTCAAGGGCGATTTTGGGATAAAAGTTGAGCGTGTTGAGGTGAAATGTCATACTTTGGAAGTAATTTGGCACTTGTATCATCACATCCAGGAACTTGCGACATATGCAAGCATAATCCAGGGGAAAGGGCCAAGGATGTTCTTCGGGAAAGTCTATGTCGGTTCCGTCCCAGCCTTCACAAACCAAATCGAAGATCATTAGAAGCGTTTCAGTCGGAAGTGTCGTGATTGAGGCACGAGGAAATGCAGACTGAATAGTCATGTTCAGATGAGAAGAAGGGTGGTAAGATGAAGTCAAACGACATACCATCTCAGGCCAAGTCTTGCTTTGCACTGGCGAAAGTCGGCGACAAAGTGAAGTTGAAAAGACCTGACCAATGGGGACAGGGCCGATCGCCCCGGATATGATCACGTGGAAGCGCGGTGAGCACGTCATTGGGCAAAGTTTGGCTGACAGAGACTCATTTGAAAGCATTGCGAAAGACTTTGTACAAAAAGTACAAAAGCACATCTTCAGAGCCTCATATACCCTCCAGCATCCGCAATCGTGGCTCTACGTTCTTCTTCAGCCTTGCACTTAGCGTCAATTGCTACGCAGTCACGAACAGCGACGTCTAAGCCCTCTTCAACAGCTAGACTACGTCAGGTATGAGAAGCTTCCAAATTAGCATTGGCGCGCGTGAACGGGATCTGATCAGTTCACCTTCTCTCTCGCCTTGTCCTCCTCCAGATCTCCAGAGCCTTCGCCTCAAGTAGTGTCTCAAACATGGCCCCCATCACCAAGAAGCCGGCGGAAGACGTGAAGTACGACTACCTTTGCATAGGAGGTGGAAGTGGTGGTGTCGCGTCCTCAGTACGTCGTGTCTTCTGGCCTCAGCGCTTTGTAGATAACATTGCTGATAATCGTGTCTACAGCGACGTGCTGCTTCCTACGGTAAAAAAGTCGCTCTCGTCGAAGTATCGCCCAACCTTGGAGGTACCTGTGTCAATGTCGGTACGTCACTTCACATTCTCTTCGTTTGCTAGTACCCCTGACTCTCTGCGTTGACAAGGATGCGTCCCGAAGAAGATTATGTGGCATGCTGCCGACCTCGCAGACAAGATCCGCCACGCCTCGTCAGGTTATCACTTTGCTGGCCTCTCTGAGCCGGCTTTCGACTGGAAGACGTTCAAGCCCCAACGCGATGCCTACATCCGCAGGCTGAACAAGATCTACGAGAACAACCTCGACAAAGAACATGTAGACTACTACGCCGGCCGCGGGACTCTCATTTCTCCCACCTCCGTCGAGGTCACCCCTCCCAGCGGCGAGAAGTACATCCTGAATGCCGACAAGATCCTCCTCGCCACCGGCGGAAAGCCCACTATCCCCAGCGACGACGATATTCCAGGCGCAAGCCTCGGTATCGACTCGGACGGGTTCTTCGACCTCGAGGAGCAGCCCAAGCGCGTTGCCGTTGTCGGTGCTGGCTACATTGCCGTGGAGCTTGCTGGTGTCCTACACACTCTCGGCTCGGAGACGCATGTCATCATCCGTCACGACAGGGTTCTACGGACGTTCGATCCTCTCCTGCAGGACACCCTTACTCCGTGGATGGAGCACACCGGCATCAAGGTCCACAAGAACAGCAATGTCGTCAAGGTCGAAGGCCAAAAGGGGCAGACCCTTACTGTGCACAAGGCGGATGGAAGCAAGGTCGAGGTTGACTGTCTGCTCTGGGCCATCGGCCGTCACTCCGACATTGCGGCCCTTGGGCTCGACAAGGTCGGCGTCGAGACGGACGCGAAGGGCAACGTCAAGACGGACGAGTGGCAGAAGTCGAACATTGATAACATCTACTCCGTTGGTGACTTGACCGGCAAATGGGAGCTCACTCCGGTGGCGATCGCCGCCGGACGTCGCCTCTCGAACCGTCTTTTCGGCGGGGAGAAGTTCAAAAACGACAGGCTCAAGTATGAGGACATCCCTTCTGTTGTCTTTTCGTAAGCTTGTTCGCCTCATAGATTCTCACTGGTGACTTACCTGCGTCAGGCATCCCACGATCGGCACCGTTGGCTTGACCGAGCCGGAGGCCCGTAAGAAGTACGGTGACGATAAGGTCAAGATTTGTAAGTATTCTAATATGTTTGACATAGGAGCGTAACTTACGGTGCATAGATAAATCGTCTTTCCGTAGCTTGTACTTCTCCCAGATTGCCGAGGAGCACAAGGAGCCCACCGCCTACAAACTTGTCTGCGTTGGCGAAGAGGAGCGCGTCGTTGGGCTGCACATCATCGGCCAGGGTAGTGACGAGATTCTTCAAGGGTTCTCAGTGGCAGTCAAGATGGGCGGTATGTTTTTATTGGTCTTTCTTGATTTGGTAATAGATGTCTGAAACGTCAAATTAGCCACAAAACAGGATTTCGACGATACCGTCGCTATTCATCCCACTTCTTCGGAGGGTAAGTCAGCTCTCTCTGTTGTTATATCTGCTGTTGATATTCTGTCGCAGAGCTCGTTACTATGCGGTAGATCTCGTAGACCTTGGGAATAGAATTAACTGCGGGGAGGACGGGCCTCTCCGATGTATTTGTTATCTGAAAACCTTGTTTTCTTCGATGGCGTCCACGCCGCTACCCATCTGGCTGACAGTTTATCCTTCCCCAAAGCTTTTTGGCTTTGCGGAAGATATGAATAGGTGAGCGCCGTCTAGAAGAACGAAAACGGACCACGGCCTTCTCTGTGGCTAACTTCGTCCACTATGCCACCTCTGGTCACTTCTTGTTCAATCGGTCTTGCTGCGGGACCGACCTGGTGGTCATGGGCTCTGGCAGCGGGCTTCGGTACGATTCTCCGTGCCGCCCGCGGGCGATTCGCATTCACAACCGAGGAGTCAGGCACGGTCAACGGAACCAGATTTGACGAGCTATAGCTGCAGTGACAGTTTTTGGTCCGGGTATGCTGACTCGGTTCTTGCTGGAGTCATGGCCAGGCACCACGTTCAGCACACCAGTTGCAGAGAGCTGAATCGGATTTTATCAGTGACAGCCCAGTCTCCTTGGCATCCAGCGCTCGTGCGATTCGCCTATGGGCGCGTGTATCCGTCGAATGCTCTTTTCAGGTTTAGTCCTTCCTCGTGTTCTCTTCTCAGCACAGAGGTGGAGCTTACAGTGATCTCTGCTACTAAATTGACAATATAAACTGAATAGTTAGTCATTACCAAGCCCCCGACGGTGCGCTGGTTTGCCCTATCCTCGGAACTGAGCAACACAATTCTTTCAATTGAAGTACCTTTGTAGGTAATTCTTCCGACCATTTCACGAGGTGCGGTCCTCGCTAGCGCACTCGGCCTGCGCGCGGAACGTCGCATCCGACCTCATTGCTCAATAAAGTCAGAAGAGCGACGTACAAGGTGACGCTTCCCATGATGATAACTACGATGATCCCATCGATCGCGCCCATCCACGCTCTGGGGCTCCTGCTTCCCTCCCCAGATGTGGTGTACGAGGTCCCGCCCTGACGCCTTTGGCAGGCGGCCCGTTTGGGACCTGGTGGCATTGCCAGGAGGCATGGCGAGGCGTGTTCCACGGCCGCATAAGTCAACACAAGGTCAGTACGGTGGGCAGATCACTCTAAATCATCTTTCACGCGCGGTCTGGAAAGGCAGGATATGTGCGCCTGTTTCATCAGGGCTCCAATTCTGACGTGGATGACGGCGGGAGGAGTAGCACAGTCATAAGAGCATAAGAGCAGAAGTCTGGCCTTGCGCTTGGCTCTTGCCACGCCCGACCTCGTTTTCTCCTGGGTTCTAGCTCCTCGCTCCCGATAGTTTCCCAATCCGTTTTGGCTTGGAGTCTGGTTGCCCTCTGAATGCGTAGAGGTAAGTTTGGCCGCATATTTGGGGTGCTCTACTCTCGTCCCAGGATAATCTCCGCCTCCGGGGTTCATCGTGGGCGTCGGTATATACTAGCAGGGCTCATTGTCGAGTCGCCCGATCGAGGGGCTTAGTCCATCGGCGGCTTCTTTCATTTCGGCGGCCCCGTTTGAGGAAGTCGGTCGTACATAATGAAACGTCTCGATCCCTCTGCCCACTCGGCGTTGGTACCTTGGCTGCTTGCGTAGTGCTCTGTCTCGTGCAGTGCGCTCGCCTTCATCTTCGTCGTTCCCTTCCTCGACAATGGGCCTTCCAAGATGGATGGGCAGCACACACCAGCTATCAGATTTGCTTCGATCGAACGCGACCGCTTCTTGATAACCATCGATAATACTGTAACACGTTGCGCGCTGCAGGCACCGTTCCCTGCGCTTGGCTGTGAGAGTGGCTCAAACACCTGCAGAGCTAACCTAGCTTGTAGAGCAACACTCACTGGAGTCCCCAGTTTTGTTCATCTCGACGCCCATCTCGGATTCACGAGCTAGCCGCATCTCTACTCCCCCTGTTTTATGCCCCACATCCCCTGAACGCTGCAGCGTTCATGAAACGCACAACATGCTCGGCGAGGTCAATTGGCCATTGACTGCTACCCGCCATTGCCGCCCTATGATAGCTTGGCCGCAGCACATCCACCCTCTCCAGTTCAGAAACCTATACACGGGGGTGCGTCCTTTGTGCCATTGACTCTGCGCAAAGGCGAGGTTACCCCGGACCCGGGACACCGCGTTTGCTCACCTGATTTCCATTTACCCCGCACTGGTGACGTGTTCCATCCTATTCCGTCCCCCTGGTGCCGGAGCGGAGCGGGGTATGGGGATGCACACCGATCGCTACCGCGACGTTATTGGTCCGCCGTCGGGCAACGAGCAGAGGATAGTGTCACGAGGTTTATGCCTGTGGGGTATCAGCGGGATCGTCGCAGCGCTGGTTTTTTCGACCAACGCGTCGCTATCGAACACTGTATTGGCGCCGCGAGCAAAGACAAATGTGCTGGCATAGCAGATTGGAAGGCTGAAATTTCTAGAAATGATAAGACGTCATGTGCGCGCGCCCCCCCAGAAGAAACGAGGGGTCGGTTTGGTGGATCAGAACATTTTCAAGGTTCCAAAAGGTTGAGAGGTTCTACTCCCTTGTGGAGTGAACATCGCTTGTGCAGAATTGACGAATTTACGGGACTTGAAGTCGTCAGGGCTCTATTGGACCTTCGCAGTCCCAAGCAAAGGCTTGGACTTTAATCGAAGAAGATTGATTAAAAGAAAATGTGGGGTAGGAAAGGGCGGGCATCAGAACAATACAGAGCGAAGTCTTGATCCGCCTTGAGTCGGCGACCACAATTGAGAATGGCCCCCGTGGTCAGCGACATGGACGGAAGTGGTACGGTAAGCGAAGTCAGGGGCTTGACAAAAACGGATGCATGTGGCGGGGATGGGTCGGAGATCGAACTGAGTTTGGAACGAGCAAAGCGCCGCTGAGCGCATAAACTCCAGCGTGATGGAGCGCTACAGTAGTTGGAGAGATAAGAAGCGTGGGGCACTTGCATCTCCATCTCTGACGTAGCGAAGGAGGCGTTTGATGTTATCTAAGTTCCGCCTCACAAAGCCGCCGGCTTCATTTGGAGTGATTGACGTCGACGTCGGGAAAAGACGCGGTGGGCGCAATGTGTGTCCCTGTGTGGTGCCGAGTGGGTCCTCGATGTTTGGGAGCGCTGAAATTGTGTACCTCGGCCTACCTCGGTGCACAAATGAGAAAACCGTTCTGAATCGAAGTGTCAAGGCGGATCTGTTGGAGAATCGCGATCGAGCGAGAAGTGTGCGTAGAGGACCCGGAAAACTTGTACGTGAAGCTGACGCGAAGGTGCAATTTTTGCTTCCGCAGCCTAGAACTGATAAGAGACCGTACATACAGATAAGACACTCGTGTCGTCAGGGCACTGCAAAACGTGAACGCAATCGCACCTTGAGCCCGCGCCTTGACGACACAAGTGACGGAATGGTGTTATCAACATGAGGTGTCGGGTGAACGCAGCCCTTTTATCACTGCACAATATTGTCGCAATTCAGTAGCAGAGTACAGCAGCGGGTGACGACTTGCCTAGTGGTGATAACGAGAAGCTCTTTCACGGCGCTCTCCCGGTTTAAGCGGATGAGAGCAGCGATAAGCTACTCGCGTTCCTGCCACGCGGATGGTGAATCAAGCGATATGAAACACGACGTGTAATGATGATCGCCACGAGTCCAGGGAAAGGTTGAGATTTTGGTCAGGGCTGGCTGAAGTAGAGAAAGGTGAAAGCGTGTGCAGTGATGCGAGTACGTGCTCGCCATGGCGTGTCGTCAAGAACTTGTGTGGGCGGTAGTCAAGCACGCAAAGAACAGGCGTTGGGAACGTTCAGAAGCAGTCAACGCTCTCGCGTTTTGTTCGCTCCCGCGAATATGGAGCAGACATCGGGTCGAGGATCGAGCTGTAGGTTCTAAAAAGAAGAAGCACGTCAACGGGGATCATCGATCAAGCAAGTCAATATCTTGAGCTAGAAGAGAGAAGCATAGGTAGCCCTAGAGCTCGCAATATTACTGCGGAGGGTGGTCTTCGATCGATCTTCCACGTTGGAAGCTGTGTGGACATTGAAGCTGAAGCAACACGGTCCTTCAAAATGTTGAGAACCCTTGATACATACCATTCCAGCATGGATGAACGGGTACGCAAAACATAACATGCTCACCCCCAATGTCAGAGCCCATAGCCTCGCCTGCTTCCTTTGAGGTACACGCTGAGGCCCTTCAAGTCGTTGTTCTTGCCTGTTGCACAGCAACGCAGACCACAGCCAGGGAGTACTTGGCCCAAAGACACCTTATACGAACAACTCAATAGGTGACTCCAACGTTTCTGGCCGGCGATTTGAGTTATGCACTAGGTGGGCTTCAACTGAATGCATCCATACCTGGTGTAAGTCGCCGCCGCTGACCAGGACCTCAAGCTAACCTCTCCAACACCGGCGCCGGTTTGTTGATAAAATGTACGCAATTCAAGCACTTACGTACAACATCACAAACGTGTCTCGCCACCTCCCATTGCTCTGTTTCTGGCGCTCCGAGGCTCCGGGCGTTTCGGACAAGGCCTTCTGGCACCGTCGAGACCTTCGAGTCGCGGATGATCGTCAGCCGCATTGTTCGGAAGAAGCATTATACAAGGACGAGCTCGGGAGTCGCCGTGTGCACGGCGGGCACAACGCTTCAGCCGGTCTGACGCGCGTCAAGCTTCACGTCCGCGCCCACGGCTGCGGGTGGAAAACGCTGAAACGTTGATAACGCGAGCGGGTCGCCGTCTGTCGCCGTGTGGGCGTTGGTAGATCCCGGGATCGGAGTAGACAAGTTGGAATTTGCTTCCGCGGAAGCATATGTCATCCGACGAAGCCCGCTCCCAGCTGCCCGATTCAGCCCGAGCCCGAGACTCGGGTGAAGCTCTCGACTGACAGATGAGGTCACGTCAGAAAACACGAGCGCTTAAGCGCTGACGAAGCGAGCCGCGAGGACGCGTGTTATGGTGCATACAAATAGACATTCGTCAGTCGCTCTCGTAAGGCCAGAATAAGGATGAGGTGAGCAGTTGCAATTGGCTATGCACCGAGGACTTTGCGCGACGCTCTGTCAGCTCGGTGTCGCTGATGGTGGCGCGGGTGATTCCGATGGTGAGTCCTATTCCATCGGAGTGGATGCTGACCACAGCAACGTCGAGAGCTGTCGAGGGCATTTACGCACGTCGTCGAGTCGATCGATGGTATGCGTTGTGGCCAGCTCAGGCGAGGCCTGCTCACGTCAACGTCAAACGACGTCAAAATGTTCCTTGCCGTTGCAAGCGACGCATTATCGTCGGGCCGTTGAGAGCCCAGGAACCCGCCGCACATCGCCCGGAGATGGACAGACGTTATGCGCGATAGCAATGCCAAGACAACACTCAACTCTCAAAGACCGCCGCTCATTCGCATCCACCTCGGTTTCCGGCCAGCGAACATCTTGACAGGCACTTACAGGTTCCTAGAGACGTGGTCTGCGGTTTGGCGGTGTACAAAGATATGATCAGGCAACCTAAAACCTTTTAAGATGACTCAGGTCAATCAGCTTTGGATGAGGGATGAAGTTGATTTATGACATGTCCAATCAGGAGAACGAAACCTCCTCGGTAAACATACATGCGCCCACATCTCAGGGGCAGGGCAACATGGGCCGCGACGGGAATAAGGTCCCGCGTAGCGCCCGCCCGTGTGGCACGACCGAATGTTCTGTGTTGTTGTGATCAGATCACCCTGCCTACGCTGAGGAGGACTCCGGGGAGTCCTGCCGTACTCCTGATCGATGGTGACGGTGGTGAGAGAAAACAAGAGAGAAAGTCCGAAGTGGCTGAGTGGGCACCTGTCCCGAACATATAAACCGGCGCGCACAAACCTCGGGGGTCGAGCTGCATGCATTGCGAGGAGTGAGAGGCGCCTGCGCTTAAATTTTCAGAAGGTCTACGACGTGCGACCACATGACAGCACGGACGATCACGTAGGACTGTTCCCTCTACCGAGCGGGCCGCGCTGACGATTGACATAGCGATCCCTGCAGGTTGGCGCGCTTCCCGAGTGGATCGGGCTTGCCGGAGACATTCCACCGGGTAAGCGAGACAAAATTGTGTAAAAACATACGCGTCACCGTGCCTCCGAATGCGACCCTGCGAGCGCACCAGGCAGATAAGGATTAGGTTCGGGATTTGCAAAACACGTATCGTGTTACTCGGTGACGGCAGCAGGCTGTCCAAGAGTGTTTTGAGTTAAAGTAGCTCGCACGGTTCGATGGACCCAGGTGGACCCCGGCGCGCGCCGCCCGCTTATTCATTCAGCTGTGAAGAGATGCGTTACTTAGCAGTCTCAATAAGCATAGAGAGAACAAAGGGCGTACCTTCCGTAGCAACATGGCCAGCATTATATGCACTTGTCGGCTCCTTGGATTCACGAGTGATCCCGATCGCAAAATGGCGCTTGTCAAGAGAGCAAAGAACGATGACGGAACCATCAGGGAGAGGAGCGACCTGGAGCGACCTGCGTTGACCTGCCACCGGACGGCCACGCGGCCCCACGCGGCATTGATCGTGTGTGAACCCCACCGTGATTTGGCTCGCGGCGGCCAATGGGCGGGCGTTCGCGCATCTATATAATCAGCCATCTAATCTAACCGCTACACATACCTAGCAGCGTGCGCACGCCGCATCCAGGGCCGCCGAGGACGGTCGTCGCTCGCTCCAGCGCGCACGTCGTCACTAGGAACGCCAAGGAGGTACAATCGTGATCTGAGATAGAGTTGCTGCGCTGACAGAGCCCGCGTTACGCAGGATGTTGGAGCGCGGGCTCGGTTGGCACGTCGGGCGTTGATGATGTCCGGAAAAAAACGAGCTGGAGGAGTGAATTGGGATTATATATGCGTGAGATGGGGAGTACGCACGTTGGTACAGCTCTGGAAGCGATAAGACGTGGTCGGAGGCTCGACATATATTTGCATATACAAATAGGCAGAGCACGAGAATGTCCCGTAGATAGCGCAATGCAGACGAGTGAGCCAGGCCTTCGGGGTCTGGGACCCTCTGCGTCAGAGCATAGAACATAGAACATAGAAGATAACGGGAGTGTATTTTGGGGACAAGTTGGCGCGCATCGAAAAATAGCTGTTGCGAGTATGCGAGTTCCATCTGATCGCCGAACGGAGAGATGGCGATGAAACGACATCAGTAAGACCAGAGCACAGTTATCCTGTCGTTGAATCAGATAGAATCCTATGCAACTAGCCTCGCGAGATAAGGATGCCGATATCCTCGGTGCTGTTTCGTGGGTTGATGCGTTATCCTGACATAGTTCAGACAATCCGGGATTCCTGCATTTGAACGAGGCACTAGTATGTTAAGCCTCGAGGCAAGAGAAGTGCGAAGGGGGCTCGTTGCTCGACGTTCGAAGAACCGAAGCGAGGGCGACGAGTACGACGGGCGCCTGATCGTTTAGATAAAGACCCAAGTACGATGCCTGAGGGAAAATGATTGTTAGGAAATGAGCATGGGTGGCCGGAATTGGCCGATACGAGCGTGGCGGATGCATTGGCTGGAAAGTCTTGGCTTCGGGGCTTTCCACTTGTCCCGCCGCAGTTCCGGAGGCGAAGGTGCAGAGTCAGAGGTGCACGCAAGCCTATGCAAGCGCTGCCGAGTTACGCAGCCTCACAGCATGGGTGACTCACTGAATGCGAACACAGTGGGCAGGGGAAGAGACGACGGAGAAAACACGTGATATTTTGGAGGGAAGGTACGTACGGATGTGGAAGTCCCGACCAGGTCCCGTACTTCCGTTGTCCAGAACTCGTGCGTGGACGAGGGGTAAATATGAAATTGAACCCCGCCCCAAAGAGAGGGCCATCAACGGAAGTATAGTGTAGGGGCATTGAGGCAGGAGTCTCAGTGAGTTTCATGACTGGCTGGAAAGCTGAGGATGAGGAAGAAGAGGAGGGTTGGTCTGCAGGAGAATCTGAGATGGATCAGGATGGATCTTGGTGTGAGATTTGGGAGAGATTGGGCGGCTTGGGGGGTGGAGATCTTCTTCTCGGGTTGGAGATGGACTTCCATAATGGGATGTTATATCTGCCAAGATTTCATTATTTATGATTGCAACAGCCTCCTTGACTGGACCCCTGCCACTCCCTAATCCGGATATCCTCTCCTCCCTTTGAATCAACGTCAACGCAACGGGATCTCCTCCCTTCGTCCAAGTCGGTCATCTCCTCTTTTTCACTCCACCCCCTCCGCTCTCCTCATTTCCTCTTTTTAAATACCATCCAACACATCGCAACTCACCCAACCACATATCCCTGCTTTCCCACCTCGATAACCATGGCTGCTGCTGTCCTCTCCCCGACAGCAATGTCACCCAGAGGAGGCATTCTCCTCAACACAAGCCCTTGCAACTCACCTCGACTGGGTCAATGTATCCCTCAAACCCCTTCATCCCAATCCCTATCTTCGTCAATGTCGGACGCGTCCACCAACTCATGGTTCAAGCATCCAACCCACGATATGCAGCGTTCTGCTTCCGCACCAGGAGCCGCGCGCCGTCAAAGGATCCGGTTTGCGCCCCTACCCGACCCTCGCGCCGACGAAAGTGACGACACCTCCCTAACCGAGCCCAGCGAGGAGCAAGATTCCCTCTCATCCTCTAAGCTATTTACAACGGAGGGCGTAGAGCTTTCCCCCAAGATTTCCCCGGCTTCGTGTGCTTCATCTACCCACTCCACCATCACTGCCCCTCCTAAAAAGCCCGCCCTCAACCTCCTTCGCCCCCTAGCATTCCTCAAGCGCGCACCCTCCCCCTGTCCTTCCGTTGGATCCGACTCGGAGCAAGGTGGCAGCAGCTCCCGCCTCGCCCGGATCTCGACCGAGGACATTCTCACTCTTGGCACTATCAACCTCTTCCGCCCCTCCTCCCGCACCACCCTCGACAGCGATCGCCGAGGCCGTCGGTACAGCGACTCTAGCCCCGAGAACGACAACGACCCAAGCTCCAAGAAGCGGCCTCGTCAGGGCTCCAATGCCTCTAACAACTCCAACGCTTCACCCCGTCTGACTTCCCAGCCCCTTGACCGCGCACGCTCGGCACCAAGCAGCCCGCAGCAGGGTATCACCATGCTCAACGGCCGCGTGTACGGGGGCAAGCGCAAGTCGAAGCGCACTCATAACCTCTTTGCCAGCGCGCGCGACGAGCCCGAGTTCGTCGAGTGGGGCTACGGCGGGATGGGTAGCGTGCACGCTGATCATGCTGGCAACTCCATGTATCGCAATCTCCAGAGCGGTGGTACCGCGTTGGGTCTCAAAATGGGCCATGGCAGCGCGAGTGGAGGCGGGACCGTCGATGAAGACGACGATGGCAGTGGGATGGGCTGGGTCAAGAGGCGTAGGGAGCAGCGCGAGCGTGAGAAGAAGGAGGCCGAGGAGCGCGAGCGGGCTGTCAAAGAGGCGCAGAAGCAGAAGGAGGCGGCGGAGGAAGCAGACGTCGAGAGCGGTTCCGAGGAGAAGATGGCGGTAGAGGCGAGCGAGTTGCCCGCGGAAGAGAAGATGGAAGATGAGTCTACCCGTGTTGCCTCTCCTAGCTCCGAGAACGCCGAGAACCAGCATATCTTGAAGACCGTCTCCATCCCCGGACATCACCGCAGTCACTCCCACTCGTCACATCACAAGTCGCCTTCTCTCTCCCGCTCTCTGTCTCCTGCTGCCGAAGATCAGAACCCCATTGAGGTTGTTCTCGAAACGAGTCCGACCCTGGAGAAAGATGAGAAGGACAGCACCGAGAGCTCCACTGAGAGCGATAGCGAAGTTGAGGAGCAAGAGAAGGATGAGGACGAGGACGAGGATGAAGATGATGCCGAGGTATGTTATGAACGAGTGGCTTATCTGTCGCATATACTCACTATTTTTTTTGCAGGAAAACCGCAAGACGGCCATTGGCGCTGGCATGGAGAAGATCAGCCGGCACAAGGAAGAGCGCTGAAGCTTTCGAAGCAACTGTCCCCCCCTGCGTCCTCAGCGCAAGCCCATCCACCCACCGCTGACCTGCTCAGCCGCTGTGCATGTTGTGGATATATGTCCATACAGTATATGCCTATGGGATGCGCTGGCGTCTGCGAGCTGAGGTGCCCATGCTGGCATCCTCTTGCTCCCCACCAAACTTTCAGAACCCCCCAAAAAACGCTCATCGTACACTCGATGTACTCTTGCCAAGTCGACACCGCCACCGACTGCTCTGTATATACTGGTCACCTTGCTCTTGCTCTTCTCCTTGTCCTCGTTCCTCCTCCTTACTCGCCGACTACCTCGAGAGTTCTTCATGAGCTCTCTCTTTACGGTTTAATGTGCAGCGTACCGCGCCCACACCTGCACCTGTGCATTGGGTCTCCTCGTCAGCATATCACCCCCCTCATCTTCCTTCTCCCTCGGCTCTTCTTATCGCATCTCTGCAATATCCATTCCGATTCTCGTGCATACGCATCATCTCATCGTTCCCCTTCTGCAACTATCTACTACTAAACCCTCCGAGTAGCCTGTGCGAATCGGCCACCTTATAATCCTCTACCTGTTACTATACTCCGCGCTCCTCTCCGCCTCTCATATCGTCTTCTCTCGCCTTCTCCCCTCTAGCTCTCCCAGTCTTTGCTTCTCCCTCCTACAAGCTGTGCCTTTGTCCTCATAATACCCTTCTCCTCGCCGTGCGCTTGCTGCTCTGCGACCTTCTCATCGCCCGGCGCGCCCTCACTCTCATTCCGTTCCCTTCTCGTTCCGACTCCAGATTGTTCATGCTGTTATACGTTAATGTTTGTATGCTACGCGACGAGTGCTATGTTGTATGATACGGTTGGTTGGCTGATGTGGATGTATCGGTGAGTTTTCCATATTCCCTTCTCCCGTTGCAGCACCGTACTCATCATCTCATCACAGGCCAGCCGACGATTTTCGAGGCTTTTCATTTCTCGGAGCTGGAGCTAGTCCTGCTTTTGACGTTTTACGACCTCCTCTTCAAGTTTAACGCTTCTTACGCGGCTAGCTGTATCACTTGACGGATGATTTTACGACTTTTCTTGCTCCTTTTTTCGGCTGCTTTATCCTTATTGGTCTGCGCTCTCATTGACTTTGACTGTGTATAAACACGGGATAGCAGCATGCTTACCCCCTTTTTCTTCTCCCCTCACCCCGTTTCATCTTTTGTGGCTCATCTCATACATTCTTCCATCATTCACCCTTATTGTTCCCTTGTCTCTCGTCTGCGTGGCCCTACATACTACAATGCTCATATCTCCCGCATGCATCCATTGCTCGCTTGCTTTACATCGCATATATCTTTTCCTTTTCCTTTTCCTTTTTTTTCTACTTGTGGGATAGGTTGCTAGAGCCTGGTAGTAGAGACAGATCCTCTTTATGTTTTTAATCGGGATATTCGTTTCTTTGGTTGGCTTGATCGGCTGCCTGGGCTGGTTGGTTCGGAGGGCGCGCGCCCAAAGTATAACGAACTTTTTTAACTTACAGTATACCCGATATCCGTACCTACGTAGTGGTTTCATCATTTGGACGGACAGTATCGAATCGGAATAATAGCATGCGTTTTTGACACTTTTGTGCGTGTTCGTGCTCAGTGCTGAGTTGAGTTTAGTTTCCGGCAACGTATGTATGAGGCGAGTCAGACGTGTGTGTCTTGCAGCGATGGGATGGTCAGGGCCTTTGGCTTGGCTCGGTGAATTAAGCCAACTTGCGAAGAGCTACCAAGACGGTGGCGGACACGAGGGTGGGGGCGTGCTTTTCATGTTCATGCAGCTACGAAACTTAGTGTAAATGGTGTGATATGAATTTGTAGGAGATAGTCTGTGTGATAAGCTAGCTTGTGCGGGCGAGCTGCACGATCGCGGACACGGGGCGTGGGTGGGTGCCCTGGCCGAGGGCTGGGCCGATCGCGATAGACGCTCGTTCCGTACCGGTACGTGGAGGACTCTGATTGCGACTCGCGTTCTATCTACGGCTATGGACTGTTCTTTGGTTTGGTCTAGAAGCGGGGCTGCGGCGCGTAGTCCGTGGTTCTGGTGGACGTGGTTCTAGGTCGCAAGTCTGCTGCTCTTGCCGACTCGTCATGCACTGCAGTCCTCTAATGTGCTGTTGCATAAGAGATGTGATGGCCGCGTACACTGTTTCCTATTTGACGTGTACGATGTTTCCAAAACTTGTGATCTCCTGTTTCAGGTAACCAATATGCTGAGTTGGGTGCTGTTGGGTGTCCAGATGGTATCCAAATCGGTTCCGCCACAGCTCAGCGGACCTTGTACTAATCCGTGGTACAGAGTACTATGAGTGTAGGATGGCGACGCACAGCAAATCTTCCATCCGATGTTTCGTTCTTACAGTACCCTTTTTCCTGACACGCACCGTTTGAAATGGACCTGCAATGATCGGTGACTCGGCGGTCATATGTGGACAGACGCCCGACGCGCCGATTGGCGCTGTGGCGGTGGATCGTACAGACGTAGCAGGACGTGGACATGCATCCGAGGTCCTAGTGATAATGTAAGCTGATAGACCTCGAGCAGCGCAGCACCGGCTGCAGTGCAGTGCTTACCCCGCGTTGCATAGCATTCCTTCGAATGCTGTATTCGATCGAATTGAGGGGGTGGCGGAGCTTCACCGCTGCATCTTGCCTTGGACTATATAGGCCGAGGCAGGCGCGGGGTACTTGTCATCGGGAATGCGGGGTATCCAGGGCCGTCAGGATCCTAAAACGCTAAACGACATTCCATAAGCCCTCTGGGACTGGTCGACTTGGTCCCGTACGGGGTCGGTCTCGATGGGATTCGCCCAAGTGACTGAACGGTATGGATGCGGCGTCTGCACTTGATCGATGATTCTAGTATCGTCTGGCATGCTTTTACCCTTTCTTTGCTCTATCGGAGCCGTCACCTCCCCGCATGGGGAGTGGCCCTAGCGCATTCCAACGAGGGATCCGCATATGCCGAGCTGGTGTCAGCAGCAGTGAGCGGCGAGGATCAGAAGTACTAATAACGGTGCCTCTGGGGTCCTGTATACGACTGTGCTAGTCAGCCGCGGAGCGTCCATTTTGCCAGTGGCAAGTTCGGAAGATGAAAGTCATAAGGTCGTGTGGTCTCGCAAGGGCCAATATCGCGCAGAATCATTGAGCAATCAGAAAGCTAATGTCGCTATAACTCTCAGCCTATAAGCCTTGAGGAGCCATCTGCATCAACGCTCATATACGCTGAGGAGCTCGACGGATATTGCAAGTGATGTGGCAGGTCGCGGTCGGAGTTGTATCTTGGTGGCGGAGGTGTCAAGGGATTGCGGGGGACGGACGTAGTTCCTCGGGACGTTCATCAGATCTCAGACCTCGACAGCTATCCCCGAGGGCTTATCGTGACGTTTATGTGGCCACTGACTTACTCTGGTGGGCCCTCGTACAATACAGGCACGAAAAGCGTCGCGCTCGCGGAATCCCAGATGATACCCCGCACGAGCGTCGGGAATGCACCTTGATGGCCGCGTCTCGCTCTGGCTGGAGCTCAGGAGGATTCTATGAAAGCCGGCTATGTTCCGTTAGTCGTCCATTGCAGTGCTACAGCAAGGGCCCAGGGGCAAAGGACCGGCTCAGACACCAGGCCAGGGGCTAGGCGGTTACACACGTAAGTGATCCACCTACGGTCGCCGGGCACGTCGCCAGACGGATATGTTTCTCATACAAGGCATCTTCGACCCGTTCCTCAAGTTCAACTTCGGGGTCCTCGCGATGGCGACGGCGACAACGGCGGATGGACGGGAAGAGAGCGCGCGAAGCAGGAACAGAGGGCAGCTGACCTGCGACGGCGAAGCTCACCGAACGTTCTAGCGACGGCGACGCAGGTGCTTCATCAGCTCGAGCCGAAGCCGTGCGGGCGTGCCGTCAGGGGCTATTTCGTTCATCGTCTGAGAAAGCTGGCATGATCAGCTTATGATTGGTGTATGATGTAGTTGTTATCTCACAGTGGGAAAGGCAAGGTTAGGTTTCGGCGCTTAGGAGACGTCTTTGCTGTAGCTACCATTGCTCGGGACTCATGTACCGTTCTCGGGGAGAGAAAAGGTGCCCGGCGGGGGAGGACGGCTACGCCGTGAAACTTGGCAGTGGACTCTTGACGTAGAGGGTCACGGCGACATCGAGCAACCATTGCCAAGCACGTTTAGTGTTAGCGAACGAGAGAAGATGGGCGGGTGCAGATGGGCGTAGCTGGGCGTAGCGGGGAAGAAGTGCGTGAGACTGGCCGTGCTCGACTTGGAGAGCGTTGTTGAGAATAACACCGGCAACGTCCAAGCGAGGTTGTTAGTACGCTGGACCCTCAGCTGGGGTTTGCTCTGCGAATGGTAACTAGAAAGAGCCTGTTCAGTACATAACAACAGACGAACGATGAAATCACGAAGAGAACCACAAACGCCAAAACCGGCAGGTTTCATTACCCATCGGCTGCAAGCGATGCGCACCTTTGTCCTTCCTTTGCCCAAGCCTTTCCCTCGTTCGCAGCAGCGATGTCATAGCTGCGGACACGTAAAACACGCCCGAGCTTACAGGTATTCGTACCCTCACTTGGCAGACCCTAGCAGTTCGTGCGTCGACGAGTCATCCAAAGGAAGCACCAGCTGGCCAAGTCGACCTGGGCGTCGCACGAAGAACACCGTTCAGTCGTGTGACTCGCGAGCGGGGTATAGTTCCACGCGCTGACCATACTGTGGTGAGTAGAGATGCGATCATCGTGCCTCCGAGGGAAGGGCTCGGAGAGCTGTGCTTCGGCAGAGATGAAACAACTTTCGAGCGCGAGGGCACGAAGGAAGCATACCTAGGGGAGGGGTACATCATGTGTCTTGCCAGTGTCTTCTTGAATTTTGTGATAACAACGAGCTGCAAAACGGCTTCCTGGGGTCCTGCTCTTAATTTGAAGAAACATGAGTATATGCGCTCAGAATGAAGGATGTACCATGACTTGGCAGGGTGGACGATCGTTCGCGCGTCACCCGAACGTGGTTCCAACGGTTATTGAGACAACTCAAACGCTCGCTTCCGAAGACACGAGATGAAGAGTTGCCTCCTGGAGAGCATGGAAATCGCCTTCGGGGTCAACGTGCAGGAGAAAGGCCCGGGGTCAAACTTACATAATCGTTGAATGTTATATGTCGAGACGTTTGATGTGGCACTGAGACTGCGAGGGTCGTTGCGCGTGCTATGCAAGTGCCACACAACTTTAACTTACACTCTGCGACGTCGCAGGCTGAAGCAAGGCTGACAGCGTTGTACTTGAAGAAAAAACACGATCACGTGTGCTGGAAAGCACATGTTCAAGCGTTCCCAGGGTCTGCCGCAACGCTCCTTGTCCTTCTGAATCTAACTTTGTTCTCCCCGCACTAGATCTCTCTCTACAGCGACGACCACAGGGATTATCGATGGATCTGCTTAACCTCTTCCGCTTACTTTTGTCCTCATCTGCCATGTGAACCAACGACACATGAAAACATTGATGCAGTCGCCTTTTACCTCGCCGCTGGAACTCACATCTCGATCTTGTCTCGATCTTACGCTGACCGCCAGCTCAGGCAACACCTCCATTCGCTTTCAGCTTTGCTGAGGCCGAGAGGAAGAATAGGACATCATGCATCAATCACGGTCGAGCACACTCGTCTGGCAACCAGCCTAATAGTCGGTGCGGTGCAAGTCCCGGGGGAGGCAAAACTTAGGACTCATCTTTGATGCACCGCATCGTCTTATGCGTCGGGCGTTTAGTAGTAAGCACGGAATTTGGGCTTGATGAGTGAGAAAGTATCTCAGGCTAAGCTATAGATTGGAACCCTCGTTGTTTCTCTCCGGAACTCTGATGACTATCTTGTCAAAACCTATATTCTCTAGTTCCATAAGATGTCCATGCCAGTGCATCACTGATCGTTGCTGAAGCACCGACCAGCACCACAAAGACTCGAATGATCAGGATTAGGCTCAGAACACCCTCACTGCAGTTCGAGGTACGCATGGGTTCTGTACCTCACTGGCCGAATCTGAGTATGTTTAACTGCGCCGGTCACCCTGTCATCAGTGCGATGATACAGCGTAAGTTGAGTTTTTTTTGTTTTGGGCACCCCCGTATGTCGTGATTTTTCTACTTCCATCAACACCTTTTAAAAACCCCATCACTATCACATCACCGTGTGATATACCCATAGCTATGTTTATAAGAGAGGACAACACTGGTGTACACGGAGACTCCCTTTTTGCTATTACCTTGAAGTCAACTCCCTCCTGTCGTTTCAGCCTGCAAGTTTCTTTCGACGTGTGAGTACTCGTCCGTAGACTACGAGCAGTTATTTGACTTGTAATCAAGGGCTTAACCACTACTCGGGAGGGTAGTATCTATCATAGGGCCCCTTCATCATATCACAAGCCACTCGTTTCAACTACCCGCTCTTTGTCGATTCCTTGCAGCCATGGATATTACTTTTTCATTTCCAGATTCGGGCGACTGCAGTCCTGGCGATACATGCTTCGCTTGGACATATGTGAGCTCTTTCGCTACAACCATTGAAGAAGGGGGACAGGGACTCGGTAACAATCCAAGTTCGACACCCGGAAATGGCCCTCAGTCTACTAGTGTCAACATTTCCCCAACTCAATCACCCAGCAGGCGTATCACCGCCAGTTCTCCATCTCCCACTCCTGGCACAACAGTCGACCCAGCCCCTTCTCCGACTTCCTCTCATATTACACCGTACACTGTGATAACTTCCACGCGGGCTAGTACATCTATTGTTGGGGCCAACATCACAACTACATCATCCCCACTGGCAGTCAAAGTTCCCTTGGTCTCGACGGTGTCGGCCGGGTACATCACAACGATATATTCTTCGTCGACGACTGTAGTCGATAGGTCAGTTTCGGTACTGCAGTTGAGGTGAGCTCCTAATACTAGAAGCCACAGTAAAAATATCAGATACTAATATGATTACGCAGTGTGTCCAATATCATGGTGATCGTAGCACTGGTCTGTGTGCTGCTGGTCATCATAGGTGCTGTGTTGGTTGTTAGACCATATCAACGACGAAACGCGCAAAGTGTCTTAGCTGCTGGGGATACGGAGGCCCTTGTAGCAAGCTCTTCAAGGGAAGAGATGCGGGAACACTCTCAAAACGTTCAAGATACACCTTCAAGTGAGGACCACAGAGCCGATGAAATTGACCCCACGACCATTTTTGCGTTTCTCCCTCCATCTCTGGACGAAAACATCGAAACACACGGTGAACTTACAACCATCGGCGCATCCCCTGATCATCAACCGCAGACTCCTAATTCCTGTGCGAGTGCATCTAGAACCTCATCCGACGATCATCACCAAAGTGATCTTGATTCGGCTTCGTTCCACACGACCCGGGCATCTTCTTCACGGCCCAACTCGCTTGCTCCGCGCCCTCTACCGCTAATACCTGGTTCATCCCCCCGCCCGGGCAGCAACGCCACAATTTGTCCCGGCGCCTCGCTGGCGACGGAAGCGCAGGCCGAAGCGCGTCTGGAAGAACCCAATTACTCTCCTCGTGAACCCAATGTCATTTCTTTTCAAAGGGAGGTACGCGGTCGGGAGTCCAGGACGGGACTTTCAACGGCGCATAGCCAAAGCTCGATGTTGTCGGCCCCTCCGAGCTACAGCTCCGCGACACTTCCCACATATCCTCTCCCAGACGAGGACGTCCCTCCCCTACCGAACAGATATCAAGCCAGTGGCGATGGCAATGGTGTTTGTGATGGACGCGCACGGGTATGATGAGCTAACGGATTGAGAACATGTAGCCCGTACTTGGAGCTCAGAGAAGCGGTTTAATCTACGTTGGTCTGTGACATAGATACCGATGAAATTTGGGTGATCTCGGCTGTGAATTAATGACGTGACTTCGATCTCACAACCGTGAACGATGTCGATTCGAGGCTAGAAGTTATAAAGAATATTATGGAATACTGCGGTGCCGACTTTTAGTCCCAGACACTGTTACGATGTGAATTGCACAAGTGTCTATATCCGTGTCATCAACGCGACTCATCGCCATACTTTCCTCCTTCGAGACGGGCTCAGTGAGAGGCGTCATATGGCCAGTAGCTTCTGACATAAACCCTCATCTTAGCTGGATCCATCATGATACCCTTCGCGCATTCTCAGTATTTGCTTCCGATGAATGGAGGGTACAGCCGAGTGTAGTACGTTACTCACAGCTCGTCAATGGTTCTATGACACTTGATCGACCCGTTCATATGACTGCTACACTCGGGCTCATCTCATAGGTAAAGCGCCTCCGAGAAGCTCGACTGGTCTTCATCTCCTTCAAGGAAATGAGATAAGAAACTCCCAGCCGTTCAGTCACATGTTCACATGAAAGAATGGCCTGCTGACCATCGAAGTTGTTCGTTGTTGCATCACTGATCGTCGTCGCGGCGCTAAATCATAGCATTCCAAACTTTCATATTGCGCATAATTTGTTGAGGAAGTGCCAAGCTCGCTCAAAGAACAACAATCCGTCCATGGACCTTCTTATATTTCACTCGAGTGAAATGCTCATAATTCCATCTGCTTGCTGCCTGGAGAATTCAAGCGCGTCTCCGGCCATTCTTAGAGCGCAACGTACGCATGCACATCAACAGCGCCGACCCTATGACGAGGACGCATCACGCAACAATCAAATAGCCCAAGATCGCATGCGTTTATATTTAACGAAGACGTCTGTAGAGAATACGTAGACGAATCTCCCCTTTCCCTTTTTGCCTCTTAGCTCCTGGGACTAGTATCGTGGCTTATCTACTCGTTACAGGTCTTGTAAGGGCGAGGAAGACACTGTACGGTGCGCAGCACGATCCAAAGCCATATTACACGGCCTCGCTAACCCTAGACCTTGTTTCATCCTCCTTTTTATTAGCGGGCCCTGCCATAAGTAAAGCCGGGCGCCACTGCTGAAGTTGTTGAACGCTCCATCAGAACTGTCAACGTCAAGCCTCGAATTGCTAAAGCCATGACACCAGCAATATCTGCGGCCTCGCATATCATCCTACTTCTGACTCCTTCAGTCTCTATGTATTCCTCTAATCCCCAAAGCTCAGATGTCACGAAGGCTTCTTCGTGCTTCTCGATGTCAACTCAAGCAGCCCTTTCGAGCAACAACCAGTTAACCGCTGCAGACGGCGTGTCATACCTCATGTTGAACATACGCGATGCAACGTCGAGAAACGTCAGCAATACAGATACTACTCGTCTGAGGTGAGACATCATCTATCACGCCCAATCACATCACCAAACTTACATTGTGAGAAAGTACTCTAGCCGATGTAATGGCTGTGGTGGGAGTAGTCGTTGTTCTGTTAGTGGCGGTGTGTGTTGCCCTCGTTATTAGGTCATATCGAAGGCGAAGAAAGCGGTCAAGTGTGGCAAAGGTCGAGGACAATGAGTCGCTTACAAGAACAACATCAACAGAGGAGGAAGCACAGGATTATTCTCAGTGTTTGCAAGAAACCATCAACGATACTGATGGCGGGGCTAGAAACGCTCCCTCTGGAACTGCTCTTGCCATTCGTCCCCAATCACAACCAAACGAAACTGTAGAACGGCGCGTGGAGCAGCTCGAAGGCGATTCCGGATCTTCGGATCAACATATACTGCACCCTGCTCACTGTACACGCTTATCCGCACCTGAAGGTCGCCATAACAATGGCATAGACTCTGTTTCCTTCCACACGACACGCACATCCTCCTTCCGCTCAGATCCCCTCCTCATCCACCCACCGCCCCTTATACCACCTTCTAGCTCCGATGATACCACCACAGCAAGCCCAAGGCTATCTCTGGCACCTATTCTAACCGAGTTTCGTACAGGGCTAGGAGAAATGGGCGCGTCCCACCGTATGTCCGATGCCAATTCTTTTCAAAGAGAGGTGCGCCACCGGGAGTCGAGAATGGGTTTGTCAACGGCACATAGCCAGAGCTCAATATTCTCCTTCCCACCACCAAGCTACAGTTCTGCAAGATTGCCTTCGTACTACTCCCCCGATGAGGAGATACCAGCGCTATCTGACCAGTATCAAGGCGACGGTGGCTCTCGCCATCATGGCGTTAATGACATCTCGCCGCCGCAATAATAACATGTTAGCTTAAGTTCTGGTGCCTGTTTTAGGCGCTCTTTCGAGCTTGAACGAAAGTGTACGAGAATTGAAACATACAGGTGCTATGCTATAGTCAAGTCCATTGGAAAATAATCACATTACTATGTTATTTTTGTAACACGAGATATATCTCAGTGCATTGGCGTGACGCCTTTTGTCTGTATTAAAGTACATCAAAGAGACCTATGGATTATGAACCGAGAGCTAAAATTCGCTCATCCATCTGTGCGTGACGAGACCTTGACTGCTACGCCAGGCACGTAGATGACCCAAAAGTATTAATACACTGGAGTGACTTTTCTCTTTTATCGTTATCTTTTTTTAAGGTTAGCTATTCACAACATGATCAGTTTACAGATCAAGAAATCTGGTTGACACCGAAGGTTCCGAAGGATTGCAAAGCCATTTGACAATAAAGTCGAGGGCTTCGGGTGCAAACAAGGTCATAAATGCGGACAGGCGGACGTTACAGACTTGGCAATCGCCCCTTTCATCTCATACCTTTTCCTGCATGATGACATGGTGCTTGAGGAGAGGAAACCGGTAGCTGATATTATTGTGGCAAGGTGGGAAGCTATCTCACAAATCGCCGTACTTGTCCGACTCGGAAACTACATGTGACTTGAATCATAACGCAGCGTGAATCTTGGCAATCTTGTTGTATAAAAAAATAACACAAGTATGCTCAGGTCGAATAAAACGTGGGCTGATGCGCTTATAACGCCTACTCATGGTGAAGTCGGCGATGTTTCGTGAGTTGCTTTAACACAACAAGTCAAAGTGTACGGTCTTGTGGAAAATACGTACCACGAGCCAAGAACCGACGCTGCGACTGATACTTGCAACACATGGACGTAGCTTCTCAAAGCCGACTCGGATGACATAAACATAACGTCAAGCGAAGTAATGTGTAACACCGTTTGACGAACTCATCCGAATGGCACGCCATGATGACCACGAGTGTCTGATCTCGTGGGACTGAAACACTAAAGTAGCTACGGAGGCTTTTTCTGACCCTGTTCCGGTCTCGTGGACTTGACGCAGCCAGTACCATGGATATCGAGTCAGTAAGCAATACTAGCTTTTCTGACCGTTTCATCAGTATCTATGTGTATTCTCGTTCTGATCGTTGTGTAAAAGCGCGACCTGTAGATCAGCCTCGCCGGTTGGCGAGAGAAGGGCTCGCAGTGTAGGTATGTGGGTTTCGTTGAGTGCTAGTAGTGCTGTGTGTATTCGAAGGTCTTTACCACATGCGCAAGTGCCTGGATTTGTGATCATGCCATTGCCGCCGGTTCCTTTTTGAGAACGGCAAAAAGGAGAAACAACGCCGTGCGCCACAAAGAAGTTCGGCGATCGGCGGCGTCGGACGATTGTTGATTGGTTGCTGAAGCTCTGACTAGCTTGTCTTTTACTCTTACCCGGATTTCCCAGTGCCCATGACTTCCATACTCTTAGTGCAAACGCTTCTTATGAATAGAGGGCCGCCACGGCCCCCCCAATCGGGAGGAAGTCATACCTCTTCAAGGTAATAAAGTCGATTCACAGGTCAGCTGGGCTGTTGAATACCTTACATGACTATCCTTCTCTGACAAGTGCTTCTTCGAGAAGGTCATACGCTCTCAGACATATGGAGCATGTTGGACTACTATTAGGCATCAAGGGTAAATACTTACGAATCCGTCCTGACTGACTGATATGCGAAACATGTATTAAAACGGTCGTGGTGAAAGAATAAGCTTCAAACGGTCGCTTTCTCGGATTTTGCGTCGACTCCATCCTTGCCCCTCACGTTCTTCTCACTCTGTAGGAATGATGAACGAAATTCTGTCCGATCCTTCTCCCTCGCTGCTTGCCAGTGCTGCCGCCGTGGCAACTGTCGCCCTGTATGCAATCAACAAGACCCGCGAAAGGTCCGCACGGAATTCCGCTCTGCCGCCAGGACCTCCTGCAGAGTGGTTCTGGAAGAAAGCAATCCCTGCCAAGGAGTATGTACTTTGATTTTTCCAACGGCAGTATCTGAATAATTCTCCAAGCACCCATCTGGCGCTGGCCGAATGGACTAACCAATACGGGCCTGTATTTACCGTGCGTCAGGGAAACAACATCACTATCGTCGTGGGTCGCATGCAGGCTGCCATCGATATCATGGAGAGGCAGGGTGGCGTTACCCTAAGTCGGCCGGAAGCTGTCGTTGGCGGAACGATGCTCTCGCAAGGGCGACGTCTCCTCATGCGACCTGCAGGTGACGTTTTCAAGAGGATGCGGAAGTGAGTTATCCAGCGTTTCGCTGGTCATGACAAGCATCTTACTAGTACTGTGGATAGAGCTGTGCACGAGCCTCTGCAGCCAAAGGTGGCGAAGACTTATTCGCCCGTCCAATTCGAGGCTGGGAAGAATTTTGTCCTCAACATCCTCGAGCGCCCTGACCTTTTCAGCCACTTCGCAGACCTGTAAGCCCATGATTTAAAATGCCATGCGTGTCTTCCGTAGCTGATAGTACCTGTTATCAGTTACGCTACTGCTGTCACTCTCAAGATCACATACGGGAAGTCTGCGCCTTCTACATTCGACGACCCTGATGTCGTCCGCATTCACAAGATAACTGCTCGCTTCTTGGGTACTTTAAAACCAGGGATCTACCTGGCGGAGCGGTTTCCCTGGCTGCAGCACGTACCTGGGTATGCGCCGGAGATAAAGCAGTACCGCGAAGAAGAGCTGGCGCTATTTCAAGAACAAGTCAATAAGACGCGTGTGTCGATGGTACGCTGCTACTAACCCTCAACCTTCATTCATCGCTTGGCGCTAAATCGGGATGATAGGGAGAGAAATCTGAGAGGCCCTCGTTCGTGAAGTATATGCTCGAGAATCCAGAGGCGCATGGATTAGACGGCGACACACTTGCATACTTGGCAGGGTCTTTGTACGGTGCTGGCTCGGAGACGGTGCGTTTATCTTATTAATATTGATTCTAATTCTGCTTGATCGACTTACATAAATTCTAGACAGCGGTAGGCATCACGAGGATCATCATGGCTGCGGCACTCCACCCCCAAGCTCAAGAGAAGATGGTGACCGAAATTGACACGCTCATCGGGGATCGAGGTACGAAGTGTCTTGTCGTCCCTCACATGCAACTGTGCACCACCCAGATTTAAACACGACGACAGCACCCACATGCGACGACATGGGCCACTTGCCCCAGCTCGATGCGTTCGTGCAGGAGGCACTGCGCTGGCGGCCGATCGTCCCTCTCGGCTTCAACCACAAGGCGACAGCCGACTTTGCTTGGAACGGGTATCATATTCCGAAAGGCGCGACGATCCTCGGGAATCACTGGTACGTTCTCCCTTTCTTCTGTTGCCCTGGTATAGAGTGAGCGGCCACTATTTGTAGGGCACTCTCGAGGGACCCAGATATGTTCCCGGACCCAGAGAAGTTCGACACCCAACGCTGGCTCGATGCGCAGGGAAAGCTCAGGCCGCAAAACGAGATCAGGTATTTCTACTACGGCTTTGGCAGACGGTACGTGCCCTTGTTTCGCTTGATGTAATACGCAGGCCAATAACAAACAACCCAAGGGTGTGCCCCGGCCAATACGTCGCCAACCGGTCCCTCTTCATCACCACGGCTCTGCTGTTCTGGGCGTTCCGCGTGTCGGAGGACCCATCAGCCCCAATCGACCCGAACGCGCTTGACGGCGGGCTCATCGCGCATTCGCTGCCGTTCAAGGTCGTGTTTGAGCCGAGGCGCAACGTGGAGGAGATCAAGCAAGCGATGAGGAGCGCTGACTGAGCATCTCGACGATGTGCAGGGGTAATCATCCGTGTAACAGTTTATGTGAACTGTGAATGATAAATACATGAATGCCATTATGTTTATGAGTCAGATGAGGAAGGACAGTGTGAGGTGCCAGAGCGAGGAAGGGAATATGCGATGCCGTACAAAACGTGGTGATGTAAACACGGAAACCAGAAAACGACAAAAAACGTAAGTGACAGACAGAAAGAGAGAAACATTTGAAACATCTACACTGTATATAGTCCTCACGACGATACCTGATACTCGTAACTCGGCGGCGCCTGCGAATGCACCGTCCCGGACCTCGCCAGCCCCGTCTCGTGCACCCAGTCGCTCACCCGCGCGTTGGGGTTCGCCACCATGCGCTCCATCAGACGTGCGATGGCGGGCGCGGGGACGTTCTGCTGGTACAAGCTGTGGATGAAGTCGGCCTGCTCGTCGGTGAGGCTCTGCGCCATGGTGTCCATACGCTGCTGAGACGCGTCGTGCGACGATTCGGCAGCGGCAGCGGCGGGCTGAATCACCTCGGGCAGTGGCCCGCGGGGGTGTTTGCGGTCGAGGGGGAACGCTACTGATGAGCCTGCCTGGCTAGGCGAGGATGTGGACAGAGCGTCGCTGGTGGAATGCGCGTCGGAGAAGGGGCCGGAGCGGACTGTAGGCTGGATGTCGGACGGGGTGTGGGCGCTTGTTCCACCGTAGCGCCCGTCGGAGCGTATGCTGCCGCTGTTAGCCACGTTTGGGGTGGACTGTGGCGCAGCCTGCGCGTACTGAGAGTAATTTTGCGTTGAGGGAGTGGGCGAAGATGGTTCGGGGAGCATAGGGTGAGCTGCGACCGTCGCCATTGCGACCGCAGCAGCAGACGCCATGGGGTTCGACGCCACGTTGCTACGCTGGATAGTCGAAGGCAGATGTCCGCCAGCGGCCTGCGCGCGCATGTTGGGAGGACCGGGATCGTAATGCGCTTGAGCAGGGTTGGGCGCGTCGATTCCGTCGTAATGGTATGGCGGTTGGCTTCTTCGGCGACGGCGCAGGTAGAACAAGGCGAAGACAACCGCGCCAATTGCTGCCAGCCCACCAATTACGCCAGCCACGATGGGACCAGCGTTGGACCTGGGGGCCTTTTATCAGCCACGGTTATCATAGAACAGAAAGTCCCAGAGACTTACTTCTTTGAGCCCGCCGAACCTCCTCCAGTAGCCGTAGGCGACGACGACGCCGACGTGCTCGTACTATCCTTCGCGACCAGCGTCTCGTTCACATACGCGTAATCAAACATCATTCCGCTGATCGAGCCCTGCATGTCCAGCACCGTCAGCGTGAGCGTGTGCGACCCGGTCGTCAGGCCCTGGAAGCTGAACATGGTCACGTTCGCGTTCGTGAACGCCGGTGCAGAGGCAGCGACGAGCGCCTTGTTGACCGAGCTACCGCTGTCGATCGCGGCTGTTGCGTTGATCCCGGCCTGGCCCTGCTGCAGGACCTGAATATCGATGCCGGAACCTGTGCGCATCAGTAATCGTCAGTGATTTTCGGGCATCGCGTTCGACTTAGGGGTAACACGCACCGGTGAAAGGGATGTTCAGGACGCAGTTGTCGGAGGTGTGGCATGCCGCGTCTGTAATCCCATAGTTAGGTTTCCTTTTCCTAACATCCCATAAGAGTGTTACTAACATCGGCTGAAGGACGCCACCATCGATAAGTCAAGCGCTCTAAAGGACGACTGAGTCGGATACTCACTAGGTGTAGTTGTAGCACAAATAAGCGTTGATGTTCTGGTAGGTGCCATTGGGGAGGAGCAGCTGGAGAGTTTCGCCGGCACTAAACGCGCCCCAGGCAGCGGTGGGATTCGAGTTGTACTGGAGCGTCGAGTTGGTGTCGTCGATGTAATAGTCTGCCCGCGCTCGCGAAACCAGCGCGACGAGGGAGCCTAGCACAGTAAATGCACGGGGGAAACCGAACATGACTCAGAGCCCGGGGAGGACAGAGGTGTCGCGGAGCTCGAGGTGGGACGGCGACCGCGAGAGAGGGCTACCAGAGGGTGAGAGGGAGGAGAGAGATAGTTATGGCGAGAAAGCGGTGCAAGACTGTGCGTATACATAATCCCCGCAAGAAAATAGGTCGACTTTGTCCCAGCCTTGCCGAATTCAAGAACTGGGTCCGAACATGTTCAAGCGCCCGTCAGGGTCGCCTTGGCAGGTCGTGCCGCCCATGTCGCCCAAGATGAATCGACGAAAGCCGGAGGTTGCTAAGTGCCGCCAAAACAATATTAGTGTATGTGCCGCAGGGAGATTAGTGGCGCTGCTAGGGAACAGCAGGAAGAGAGATTGCCTTGTGACAACAAAGTGAAGACATGGCGCCGAACAAAGTGTCAAGAAGCTTGCAGGAAGCTGTGAGCGCAAGAGGCCTCGAGGCGTCTTAGGGGCAGATAAAAGTAGGATGATAGAATGAGGAGTTGATCGTTGTCATCTTCAAAATGTTCTGTGACTCCCATGGGTGTAATGCCGACGCGGATCAGCCCGCTCGGATGACAAAGGAACTTGGTAAGGAAAAGAGAAGGAGAGAAATAAAACCGACAAACCAAGATTGGGAGGAAAATCTCACGCCCTATCTTCCCTGGGCGCTTAAACTTGTTTTCGAGCCGCCATCCTCCCATTGTAACATTGCGGCTGCATCCACCCGCAGCTGACTTACAACAAAAACGCATCCTCTATATCCAGTAGATCTAGTTATAACAATGGTACTCGGACTCGTTCATACTCGCCTCACCCCCGCCAATATCCGCATGTAGTCCTCCTTCACGCTCTGATATGTCTCCTCCAGCTTCTCGAGCCGCTCCTGCTTTTCTATCTGTGCGAGTTGCTCCTGTATACGAGGAAAGTACCATGAATGGTCGCCCAGCTACAAGAGCGAAAAATGAGGACGCACAAAGTTAAACCGGTACAACCGCTCCTTGACGTGCAGCCTGTACGCACGCTCGTCCGCGGGTTCGAGCTGCCGAAGTATGAGCATCTCGACGAGGCGGTTGAACTGGCGCTAATCGACCACGCCGGTACCGATACATGTCAGTTTTACGAGAGCAGAGGTTAAACGAGTGAGAGAACACGTACACCGGCGATCTTCAAATCCTTCCTCCACTTTTCCGCCCACGCCTTATCCACCGGCGGCCCCATCCTCCCCTTTCCTTTCCCCTTCCCTTTCAAACCCACGCTTCCACTCGCAGCCATACTGGCAGGAACTCCAGCCGGCGCAGGCCGCACCTTCGTGCGCTGCCTCGGCGCCTTGCCGCTCGCGTCCGCAGGGGCGCTCTCGCCCTCCGCCAGCGGAGCAAACTCGTCTGCGGGTGCCGTCTCAGAGGTAACAAGCGGCGCGGGAGAGAACGCCTCGTCCATGAAACGCGCGTCGGCGGTGAGCTCGCGCAGGTCGCACACGTCGCGGAGGTCCTCGAACGCCTCGGCGGGGTCTTCGACGGTCAGCTCGGCGATCGTGGGGTCCGCGAGGACGTATTTACGTATAGAGGCGTACAGCTCGGCTGTGGGCGAGTTTGGTTATGGATTGTAGAAGGGAAATGGGGTTGACGCACAGCCGTGGCCTTTTCGTTGGAATGGGGGTAGGATGACGAATTGGCTGGTAACAGAATGAAGAAAGCTTCGGGGAGGGAAGGAAGCGAGCACACCTCAGCCGCATCCGAACCTGCTCTGGGTAGCAGTAGAAGTTGTACAGCGATGAATAGCCCACAAAGTGGTACGCCACGTCTCCGGGGCCTGAACTGGATGTGCGTTTCCGTTTTTCATACCTGATATGATGCATTAGCTTGGCCTTCTAGGAAGGGACGAAGTAAAGAGAATGAGAATGCGCGGAACAGGAAAGAGGCATGAGTGAGCGCTGAAAGACATACAGGACGACAAACTCCCAGCCATCCTCTTCGTCGTCGATATACGAGCCAGCCTCAATGTAGAGCAGGATGAACAGCTGCATGCGTTGATGATATTCTTTGAAACCTGGCGTAGCAAAGGTAGCCTACGCAGAAATTAGTCAGGATGCGAGGGCAATAGAATTCTAGTCGCAGAAGAACGGGTGTTGAGTGCGGAGTGCATACATGATAGACCTCAAACTCGACTTCGCTTCCGCCAATGTTCCGCGTGTACTCGTATATGCACTTGCCGTACGGACGGAATGACGCGGCGTCCTTTTCCACTTGGTACGAGAACACTTTCTCGTCCTTTTCACATTCTGGAGCGTTCAAATTCAGTGTTGGCCTTGTCGGAGAGACGACAGTAATGACCTGGGATGAAATCCTGGAGCGTGGCTTCGGGGTCGTCCACGTTTGACGCGGTTAGCTTTCCGGAGTGACGAACGGAGAGGAAGTATGCAAGGGAGCCTGAAGTGAAGCGGAGCTGACGATGAGCGTGCCTGTGCGTGAGCAGCCTGTGAGCAGGGAGATGGACAACAGGACGTACGTCGATGACCAAGTCCTTGTATCCATATATCTTTTCGTCTTCCCCGTATATCTAATTCCATACTATCAGTCATGGCATCCCCGGGCTCCCGTTGAATGAGACGCACAGGGTAGGTGAATGTGGGGTGAAAGTCTGTGTAAGACTCATTAGGCGCGAGGACAGACGCGTCTTTAGATCCGCGCACTGGCATGTATTCGTATCAGCTAGCACTCCCACAAAGTAGGTTTACACACCTAGCGACAGATGGAGCGCTGTATTTGAGTCTGTTGTCCAGTCCTCGCTCATGGTTGCTCGTCGTCGCGTGTGTCGTTGACTGGGTGTCGCGTTGGCGCGAGGGAAGTCGCGAGAAGGAATATACCGACAGCTTACCGAAAAAGGAAAAGCTGACCTCATCGGCATACGCAGCTTCCCGCTTTCCCGCTGTCACTACACAACCAGTGCTCCCTTGTCCAATCTTTATAAACAAGGACTGCCTTATCCCTGCCAACCACCACATTTTACACTAGCACCACCACCCACCATGGCGGAAACTCACCCGCACGACACCCACCTGCCCTCCATCACCGGGGCGGCATCTTCAGATAGCCCACCCGCAACCCCAGACGAGATCCAGCTCTTTGGGCCGGAGTCATCCTCCACGACACCCCCACCGGCGTTCAAGAGCCAGGAACCCACTCCCCAGAATACTCTGATGCAGCCGACCGCGACTGTGCACGAGCCGTCTCCAGAACGCCCGACGAGCCTCTCAGGGGCTTCCCCGTCGCCCCAGGAGGGTGTGGTCGAGGAGCAGATCGCGCCCGATCCTCGCGTCGCACCGCTCAAGGCGATGTTCCCGGACATGGACGACTCTATACTGTGCGTACACCACTCGACTTGTCTATGGCTTCGTGTTGATCGAGTGCTCGTCGCTCTGAAGACTGTCAGTGCTGGAGAGCGTTGGTGGCAACCAGGACCAGGCCATCGACGTGCTCCTGGGCATGTCGGACCCCGACTACGTCCCGCAGCAGCATCCGCAGCAGCAGCCTGAACCGCCCATGGTGCGTCCTTTCCTGCTAAGGCGTTCGTCATAGGCTCATGCTATCTTATCGGTTACTCCGTTTCGCACTACGACCAGTCCCAGACCGACCTCGACGAACAGCTCGCTCGCAGACTGATGCTAGAGGAACAAGAAGCTGCCGCAAGGCACTATCAACAGGCGCAGCAGCGGAGAGACCCGCAGCGGCGCAGCACAAATATCGGCACGACGGGAGGCTATGCGGAGGGATGGTATGGTCAGGATAACCAGAACCAGGGCCAAGGCCAAGGACAGCGGGATACGGTCGCCGAATTCCAGGAGGCTGCTAACAAGATCGCCGAGTGTGAGTTCTCCCGCCACGCTCCCGTTTCTCGGAGCAAGGATTTCTTGCTTATGCTGCTTCTTCTCGTTTAGCGGGGAAGCGCACGTTCAACAGCATCGTGTCGAAGGTGCGCTCGAAGATGCAGGAGTACAATGAGGGCCGGTACGTGATCAGTTCCGTTTCCAGCTTAGATGGACGCCTAATCCGAACTTTCTCCACGTAGAACCAGTCCCGGCCAGCCCTCGAACCAGCAGCACGGCCAAGGCCAACAATCCGCGCCCTACTACGCCCCGCAGACAGTCACCCAGGCCGACTGGAGCGCCGGCCAACCACGCACAAATACGTACGGCCAACCCGTGGCCGCCAGTGGGTGGCAACCCCAGCCACAGTCGCAGCAGCCACAGAACAACGCCACGAACGCCGGTGGCGGACGATGGCAGTATGACTCCACATCGGCACCCGCCGCCCCAGGGGGCCGGGGCTACGACGTGGACGACGACCCCGAGGAGTCGCTCTACCAGGACGCAGCTGCACCCGCTGTCCCGCCACACGCTGGATCTGGATCTGGATCGCCGCCGCCCCCCGCCGGATCTGGCGCGACGCCGGCTGCGCGCTCGAGTATAGGCGCGAACCCGGGTTTCAGCACCCCGAGGACGTCGGTGGAGGGCGGCGGCGGCGGTGTGCCGCGTCCGCCGAGCACCGGTGCGGGGTCGCCGGGCTCGATCGATCCGAGTGAGTGTTCTGTGCCATTAGGGTAAGTTGACTAGAGGCTGACCGGTTGCGGGCGCTAGGTAAACTCGGGATTCTGCCCAAGCGCCCCGTATCGCTCCTGCGTACGGCTTCTCCGCCTGCTGCTAATACGGCAGTAGTAGCGCCGCCGCCGCACAGGGGGGCGAGCGACGACGAGCTGGAGTATGCTGAGAATCCGTTCGAGGACCGCGGTTGAGGTTTTGCCATGTCGTGAGCTGGATCGATGCGGGCTGATTTGGGGGTTACTTATTGCTAAGATTAGTGGAGGTTGGGATGGTCGATGTTATAGGAGGTGTAAGGCTTTGAAGGACTGAATTGTAGATTTTGACTCTGGCTGTAGTAGTGCACTTATTTTTTGTTTGATCGATGAGGTATCGGTGCGACGAACTTCGGATACTGGATGATTGACTAAAAACACGGAGAAGTGGCATTGCGAAGGGTGCGAGAGAGCGAGTCCAAGTCATACATGGGATGCATGGTAAGTACGTAGATATCCGAACGTCATGAACGAAGCGTCTGCGTTATAAAGTTACTCTGTACGTACATATAGAGTCCGTATCGTATGCGTCCAGGGATCAGAGTACTGCAACAGACAAGCTACGCAACTTGAGCTGTGGTATTAACAAACGTTTAAAATGAGACAAAACTCCATGTGTATCCGTAGTATCGCACAACACCCCTCCCCTCCCCGACTCTACAACGCGACCATGAGTTCGTCCGAGTCCGCTCATCATGATACCGCACACATCCACTGCAGGGCGGGCTACCGCCGCGCATACTCGTAGCTCGGCGGCGACCCGCTGTGCACGCGCCCCAGCCCCGGCCGCTCGAGCTGTCCCTGCAGCGGGAGCCCGCCAACGGGTACCAAGCCGGCCTCGTACACCCAGTCGCCGACGCGCGCGATCGCGGGCGCGGGGACGTTGCACCCGTATAGGCCGTGCACGAATTCGGTTTGGGCTTCTGTTAGGTCTTGGTTCTGCGTCTGGGTCTGGGTCTGGTTCTGGTTCTGGTTGCCGGTTTGGGGTATGGAAGCGGGTGAGGAATCTGAAAGGGACAGCGACGGGGGTGCGCCGAGCGGCGATGGCTGGTGGGACGCGCGCGCCGGGTGGGGTTGCGGTAGTGGCCGTTTCGACAACTGCGTTTGGGTCTGGGTCTGGGTCTGCGACTCGGGCGCCGTCGATGGGCGTCTTCGTTTCTCGTTTGGCCACGGACCACGGCTGGGACGGGGGAGGGCGTCGCTGTTCTGCTGCTGTTGCTGCGTCTCCGTTCGCTGCGCAGGCGCAGCAGCCAAGACCGGCGACGGTATCGCGCGCGCAGGTAACGAGCTCGTCGTTCCCGCGCGCAAGGACCGCGCCTGTTTCTGTTTCTCCCCGCCCCGCCGCTGTTGCTGCGTCCCACCAGCCCGATCACCGGAGACGGCGGTCATCATATCAACAAGGCTCCCCGGCCTCAGCACCTGCGGCCCCTCGTGATATGGCAAAGACGACGACGACGACGAGACATGCGCCATCCCCGAGTGCGGAACACCCAGCGTCTCGCGCGAGGGCACAGTCGTCCTGCTCGTGTTGCCAGACTCGTACGGATCGCGCTTGATGTCGTATATGAACGGCGGCAGCGGCGAGGACGCGCTGCTGTTGACGTTGCTGCCACTGGGTGTGGCGTCAACGAAGGGGTCTATATGGAGCTTGCACTCGCGCGCGCGGCTGCGCCGACGGAGGATCAAGAACGCGGCAATGAGTAAGCCGACGACGGCGAGCGCGCCGATGACGCCGCCGACGATGGCGGGGACGTGGCTGATGTTTGCGTTGCGCCGCAGATCGGTCAAATATCGTCGGTCATGAAGCAGCATCCAGCAATGCACGCTGAAACTCACCTCTCACCCGTTCCCGTATCTCCCGTCCCCGATCCTCCACCCGAACTCGTTCCATTCCTATTCCCACCATTCCCCCCATCCACAACACTCGCCTCGCTCACATACGCATAATCAAACACCATCCCGCTGAACGCGCCCTGGAAATCGAGCACGCGCATCGCGAGCGTGTGCGCCTCCGACGGGAGCCCCTGGATGTCGAACAGGCTCTGGTTGCGCTTCTGGAACGAGGGCGCTTCCGGCGCGAGCAGGACGCTGCTGTGCGTCGGCCCGGTCTGGTCGATCGTGGCGGACGCGTTTATGCCTTGGGCGCCGACTTGGAGGACGTACAGCTGGATGCCTGAGCCTGTGGCGTTGGCCGTTAACGACTCGGAGGACGGGATGTGGGGCTGGACGGAAGGAAAGTGTACCTGTGAATGGGACCTGGACGACACAGTCGTCGCTCGTTCGACACGCCGCATCTGCACCACAACACACAGTTTGTTAAGCACCACCACACCCGAGTCGCCATCCAAGCACAGAGAAATGGAAACCAAGACTCACATTGGCTACACCAGAAGCGCAACCTCCGTCAACGAACAAACACGCAAGACAACAAACACACCACGCACTACGTATAGTTATAGCACAAATACGGCACAATCTGCTTCAGCGTCCCGTTCGGCAGGCCGATCTGCTCGACGGGCCCGTTGGCGGAGAACGCGCCCCACGTCGCGTTTGTCTTCGGGCCCGTGGTGTACGTGAGCGTCGAGTTGGTGTCGTCGATGTAGTAGTCCGCGCGGGCCGTGGGCAGCGCGGGGAGCAGGATGGTGAGGTACGCTAGTAGGGCGAGGGAGAGTGTGCGCGTGAGGGGCAGGAGCGATGGCGGTATTGGATGCGCCAGAGAGGAGCTCTGCGGGCGGAGAGCGGCGAGCATGGTGGGTCGTTGGGGTGGTCGATGGTGCTGATAGCGCTGCGTCGTCGGTGATGGGGATGAGGCGGCGGGAGAGCCAGGCTGGCGTGTGTATGTGCGAGGATGGGTATGCGTCGTGGAGAGGGCAGGATGGATCGCTAGCGTGTCGTGTCAATTTTGCTGCAGAGCGAGAAAGAGCGACCGAGGCGCTGAGACAAAGGTATGCAGGAAGGAAACGAAAAAGACAGCACGAAAGCGAAGAAGAATGTTCAGGCCCGAGAAAGACAAGGAGGAGAGGCAAAAGGTCTAGAGACGTCTGGCGCTCCAAAACGTGGGCATGAACGTACTGGCCAGCCAGCAACGGGCAAGAGTGTGGAGTGGCCCGGGTGGTCACCCAGTCCCGGGAAAGCACACCGGCGACAAGTCCCGGCACTGCGCTGTGCACGTCCGAGGGCCGGAAATCGAATGATGATCATGCCCAGATGCCGCTATGACATACGCACATCTGCACCGTAACAACCAGCTTGGCGAGACAGAAAGCAGGAGGGCGCCGGCCGTCCGCTAGAGAGTGACAGCGAAAGGTGCAGACGAGCACTGCTGGGAACGAGGTGGGATTGTGGCCACTGTCACTTGTCGGGCAAAAAGTGCTTCGGTCTGTCTACAAGGGCTTATTAGGGATTTGTCCTCGGTCGTCTGATATGAATCGATGTTTGTCAGTGCACGAGTAAACACCGTAGATCGGAAAGAGAGAACACCGCCACTCGAGGAGAGAAGCAATAAGTCGGAATCGTCGGTGTTGCCTGAGAAAATGAACAGGCACGACGTCACTCGCGTCGATCCAAGAATCTCCTCCTCGTCCTCAAAAAATAAACATAATCCTATGTCACCTCTGGTTCTCCAACTGCAGACCAGCGTCTGCACACTGTCACTGTCCGTTGCGATGCGGGTACATTCAGATATCACCGTTGTTTCGCTAAGATCTACGTGCCCCACAAGGCCATCAGCATCACGCGTGGGTGGATCAGCGAAACGCGAATCAACCACAGCCACGCTCCTGTCCCGATGGCGACTTCACTCCGAGCCTCGCGCAAATCCTTAAAAACTCCAACTGACGTATCATCCACTGCCTTTTACCTTCCTTCACTCGTCTTGAGACATACTGTAGGTTCTAGATGGCGAACACAATCGGTCGACGTTGTGCAGAACTAATGAATAGTAGAATAGGATACAGCTGCTAGTCACCTCTAAGTTCAATCAATAATTATCCATCCAGAATGTCTCCAAAGCCGAATTGAACGCCTCATGCAACGCAGTGCCTCGCCCCTTCTTCTCGCACCCGGGGAGACCTGAAGCAAGAACTCCATACGCCCACCCTAATCCACATACGCCGTCCGCGGATCCATCCCGCCCGCCGCCCGCAGATTCATCGCGCCCCCCGCAACACTGCTCAACGCATGCGCATAAAAATAGTGGCTCCTTCCAATCAACGCCTGCTCCACGAGCCCGAGCACGTCCGTCACGAGCAGGTCCCACCCGAACGCGCGCCGGTCCTCGGGCGTGATGAGCGACGCCGCGAGCACGCCGCCGTTGTCGCGCAGGTGCTGCAGGTTCGCGGGGTCGCGTTCGTCTGTTGCGATGTAGTATCTGTCGTGGGGCGAGGTGTTAGCTGTGACAGGATTGGGAGGGGAGGGAGAGGGAAAACGCACCTGTCGCCCTGCTGCGGTGGCTCGTGCTCGTAGAACGCGGCGTTGACGGGCACATCGGGCACATTGTACGTCTGCAGCCCGCTCTGCTTGAGCGTCTGCAGGCGCTCGCGCCCGTCCTTGAGGTGGTTCTGGATGCGCTCGAGGTGCGCCGCAAAGTCGCTCTCCATCGCCCAGCCCAGCCGTGCGACTTTACGCGCGCGCACACATACGGTTAGTACATCGATCTGAGAATACACAGGGAGCGGAACGCACAGTCGCCCCTGCGCATATGCGCCGCCATCCACATCCGCCCCTCGTTCATCTCGAGCATGCGCGAGCCAAGCTTCGCAGCGAGATCCAGCACCTTCTGCGGCGGGTGCATGTCGAACATGACGAGCCGCGAAAAGTCGTCGCGCCGCTCGGGCGTCGTGAAGCGCAGGCTCGCCGGCTTGCGCTCGTAGTGGATCTCGCCCTTGACGTACAGCACGTCCTCGTCGTAGTGCGCAAAGTCCTCGACGAGCCCGCGGATCGAGTCGCGCGGGGCGGCTTGCAGGATCGGGTTCACGACGTTCTTGACGTAGTCCATACCCAGACTGTCCGCGTCGGATGTGAGCTGGCATCAAGGAAAAAAGAGGACAAGGACTCACGCGCCGTCGTACGTGTACAGCGCCTCCCACCCGTTCTTCTGCAGCACCCGCGTGAGCCCCTCGTCCGTCTCGACGCCCGCGACCGCGTACCCCTGCAGCACCTCGCGCGCCTTGCTAAACTCCAGCACATAACTGCGCCCCTCCTTCGGCAGCTGATGCACCAGAATATTATGTATCCCATCATGCTCCACACTCCAGTCCCCATACCGCTCCCTCTCCACATCCACCCTGCCCTCGTCCCACCCGCCCCGTTCCCGCATCTCCGCCGGCAGCCGGTCCACGCGGTTCACCCCGCGCGGATCGTACCACGCGTTCTCCACCGCGCGCATGCCCGGCGTCTCGCCCGTGAACACGTTCGCGCCCGCGAGATACTCGCGCTCGTCCCACTGGCCGTTGCTGCGCTCGAGCGAGGGCGCGAGCCCGTGCAGGCGCAGGTAGTCCGCGAGGAGGATCACGGGGTGGTTCTGGCGCAGCTTGCGGAGGTCGAGCATCGTGCCCAGCGGGATGCGCCAGGCCATCTGCTCGTCGGGCGGCAGGTCGCGCCATTCGTCGGACCCGACGGCGTCGCCACGGTTGACCATGGGCACGTACGCTGCGCAGACGTCGCTGGAGACGGGTGAGAACGCTGTCATAGAATGGGAGAGGGGGGACGCACTTTGGGTGCTCGCATGAGCGCGCATATACGAAGGAGGGGAGGACGACGGTGCGGTTTAGAAGTTTGCCGTGGTACATCGATGTTTCTATGATATACCGCATCTACGAGACGACATAATTCGCACAAGCAGACATAGCGGGGCTGGGCGTGCACTCACGTTGTTCCACCCGAGCGCCATACTGTAGTCTCGCGCATAGAACCCCTTCGTCTGCGCAACCATCTGGTGAATTGCCTCCAGATCCAGCTCGTCGTCCTCCGAGTCGGCCGCTGGAGGCGTATACGACGGCGTCATAGGTGACGCCGGTGGCGGTCTTGTTGGCGGCGGCGGTGCAGGTGGGATCCTGTCATAGTCAGGCGGGGACGGCGGAATGGCATTATCAAACGAAGGGTCGTGTGGCGGCGGCGGCGGCGAGGAGGAGTGGTCGAAAGGGAGGATGCAGACGTCGGTGTGTGGGGCGGGGGGCGAGATGATGTAGCCGGCGAAGGTGCCGATGAGGAGGGCGCCGCAGACGACGAGGCCGAGGGAGGGTGTGACGCGGGCGATGCGGAAGAGGGATGAGCGTTGTGGTGGGCGGCCACCGTCGGGCGAGGAGTGGACGGGGAGGTAGCCCGAGGGAGACATGGCTGGGTACCGGCGATGATGGCAGAGGGTATAGTAGAAAGTAGGAAATAAGAAAGTAGGAAAGTTGTGGGAGGCTATGGACACGACGCGACTCTTCCTCCTTGCCATGGATACCCCACATCATGATACACAACCTCTCGCACATTTCATCCCATCTACAATGTACACGACGACCGCAGCACGTCTGACACAAATTAGTGGCTCCATGAAGTTTCAACTTAAACACTTGCCCTTCCAGTCTATCGTCTTTTGGACTCTTAGCACCGAGCTTTGAGCCTGTTTATCTCGGCGACATTCACACTCTTCACTTCTGGACGCTGCATTGGTAGCTGCTGACTGCCTCGCTCGATGTCGCCCCACTTCCTATCAAGAAGGGGGAAAGCCTTATTCACTCTAGAGATCTCAGTGATTGTTCTTGGTCTCTGTACTTCACACCGTCCTATTTCCTATGCTCGGCCGAACCCACCAACCAGTAGTATTGCCAGGAAGCTAATGCGGTCATCTTCATGCTCACCGGGAAGAGATGCGAAACCACCATACGCAGATGTTCATCATGATGCTGATGACCTATGGGCTCATGTGTCCAAACCCTGTGCTTTGCTTCTCTCAAATTTAGATCCTAAACAGCACCACGTCCGATTTCTCTCTTGCTCTCTCCTCCACTATCTCGCTCACCGGCATCGTCATGCGGCCCTCACTCTTTTCGACCCCCACATTCGTTTTTACGCTCGTTTCCCTCTCCACGCTCACTTTTGCAGATGATAGCAATGGCCGCATAACCGATACTCGACCGTCTTCAGCCATACCTATACCCACAGACTCTTGGAGACAGACCCCAACGTCGCCCACACAGACGCTGGCTAAACGCTCCTCTCCATCACTGTAAGCCAACCTATCTCCTCGGTAGTCCCACTTTTCACGCCCGTCTCCCAACCGTTGCCCCGCAGCCGCTCTCTAGCGCCCATCATCGGCGGTGCAGCCGGAGCCGGACTCGTCCTCATTGCCCTCCTGCTCCTCGCCGTCTGCTACTTCCGAAAACACCGCCATCGGCGCGGCCGTGTCTTCCGCGTCGAGCCCTTCAAAGTCGAACAGCTCTCCCTCGACGCCGAGATGGGCACCGCCACACCGAGCACGCCGGGGAAGTGGCAGCTCGTCTCGCGCGTCATGGACGGCGGCGGCGGCGGCAGCAACACCAGCAACGGCGGCAGCAGCGGCGGCCCTTCATCCTACCCGTCCTCCTCATCGCCCGGCTTCCCATCCGACGTACACTGCACATTCGCCCCAGATACACAAACGCAACCGCACCGGCACCCGCAAAGCCAGACTCGACCCGAGCTCGTCGTCCGCATCGAGCCGCGCTCGCACGAACACACGCCCTCGCCCTCCCCGATCCCGCGCTCCGCGCTGAGCAACCCGGACAGCGTGCAGCCCGGCTCCATCGCGTCCGACGCGTCTCTGAGCGACGACGAGGTGCGCCTCGTGAAGAGCCTCTATCTGTGCGGCGTCGAGCCGGGCGTCGTCGCGCAGGTCATCCGGAGCATGCTCGACGGCAAGGCGCGCAGCGTCACAGCGCACGCCCACCCACACACCCAAGGCCAGGGACACGGGCACGGGCAGGGTCATGGGCAGGGTCACGACGTGGGTGTAGCGATCGGCTCGCTCGAGGACGTGCAGCACCGCGACGGCCCGCTGCGGTTCGCAACGCCATGCGAGCTCGAGGACGCTGGAGTCGCTGTCCCGGGCCCGGGAGCAACAGCAATAGCAAGAGCGGGTCCAGACAGCCAAATGCACTTCCTGGACCTGGACCCCGCCCTCGACCCGAACGCGAACGTGGACGCGGTGTGGAAGGCCAAGGAGCGCGAGGCGGAGCTCCAGCGCATGGGGTCGATGACGACGCAGAAGAGCGCCGCGCCGTCGTATACCACTAACCCCCAGGTCTGAGGCTAAGGGTGGCTGTATGATGGAGTATACCACAGTCGATTAAGTTATGCACGTTCTCCTTTTTCTGGTGGCTCACCAGGGCCGATGTACTTACTACGATGTATGTACGAACTTTTTGTCGGGACTTGTTCCATTTCGATCAATTATGTTTGCGATTATGCCTCCAACGTAATTTTGGTGGACATCATAAGTAATAAGATTTGGCACGAGCCACCAGATATGCATGGCTGGTACAAACATCGCCAACAGCGTACTACTCAACCACATCGTCGACTTCCCCCCTATCCCTCTTCCTAATCCGATTGATCATAACCACAGTAGCCGCAACATTCCACCACCTCTCCCAATACCTTACCCTCTCCATCATATCCAGCCCCACCGGCTCCTCCTCCTCCTCCTCGCGCCACCCCCACGCGCTCAGATCCCGGCTCCGCGTCATCTCAGGGACCACATCCGCCAAGAACGCAGCCACCTCCGCATGGTGCTCCCCGCCGATCCGCGAGTCCAGCAAATTCACCTCGACCCGGCGCGCGCCGGCCCTCACGCGCCCGTACAGCGCGTCGCCGAGCGCATCGTACGCCACGCGCTCGCAGTCCACCGCGACAGCGAGATCCGCGAGGCGCGGCAGGCGCTGCAGCAGCCCGCGCACGGCGTGCAGCGTCGCGGCCGAGCGCCGCCGCCAGCCGCTGCGCTCGTTGAGCCGCAGCGAGACGAGGTGCGGCCATGCGTCTGCCATGTGGAGCAGCGCGGTGTCGTCCAGCTCGACCTCGCGCCGCGTGTCGACGCGCAGCGACGTGAGGCTGCCGAAGGCGAAGAGGGGCTCGAGATCGCGTGTGCATAGTGTGATGCCGGGTGTCCGGTCGTCCCATTCGTCGATTTTGAGCGTTTTGAGCGTCGCGCGGTCGAAGTGGCCGGACAGTGCTTCGGATAGGTGGCGGATGGACGACGCAGACGCCATCCCCGTGCCGACGAAGAACTCAGTGGGGGACCACTGGCCAGCGCGAATCAGTGGGACGACGGCGGAGAGGGTGTGTCCGGGGGGAGTTTGGATATACACATCGCTTGCGCCGGAAAACGCGGGTACGTGGAGGGCGGGGTACGTTGCGTCGTTGACCGCGATTACCAGTAGACCGATAGAGGGAAGGGACGAAAGGTGCCGGATCGCCTCTGCGTTGAGATAATGACAGGCAACGTCGTTGAGATTGGGCCAAGACACGACAGTCTGGGACAGGGTGGCTATTGCTTTGGCGGTCGAGGTGCTGTCCAATAGCCCCGGAAATATCCACGTAAAGTGCCTAAGGTGGGGGCACAAGACACTCAGCTTAGCAGCCAGGCGGAGGACGCGCGTGCTGGATGAGTGCGGGGTGATATCCAGCCTTGTGATGGTTGGACTTAGCAGAAGCTCAAGGAAATCGAACCCCTCTGGCTGAACTTTGCGCCACATTAGTGTTCGCAACTTGGGGAAGAGCGGCTTGTCTGAAGCAGGAGGGCGGCACAGCGCCTCAAAAACGTCGTCGCTGATAACGTCCACCCAGTCGCTGCTATCGCTTGCGTTGTTGTTTTCATCGTCGGGCACGATGTCATTCAACACCCTCACGCGGGCGGCGTTCTTGCGGAAGATGGTCCAGTCGGCCGTAGTGAACTCTCGTCGGAGCGAGTAGACCCCCTGTCGGTCAGCGTTAGCAGCTACATAGAGGACCGCCGATCGGTACGACTCACTGAGCGAACAAGCTCGGTCTCCCCGCAGGAAACGAGGTCCTGCGGAAGACATCGCAGCAGAGGCGTCAAGTCATCCAGCTCCCACCATAAAGTATCCAACGCAGGCTCAGAAAATTCACGGCATGTCCGGGCCAGGGCGGTGAGGTCCTTCTTCTCCGAGTGGTAGGATGCGATGGTGTGGACGACCTCGGAGATGGAGAGAGCGCGGTGCATTCTGGGTCCACAAAGTCGAGCCCAGAAAAACTGCTGCTGCTGGTGAGCGTGATGAGCAAGCCATGATAAAGGCTGATGTAGCTGTTATGTGCTCGCTGATATGCAAATTGCTGGCTGGCGACAAAGAGACGAGATCAAGACAAAGATTGACAATGACATCGCGCCCTGGAAACACCGTGGCTATGTTCGGGCCTGTTCGGGCCGTGGGCCGGGAATAGCCCCTATATCGCGGGATCCGAGCACGGAAGTCATCACCGTGTCAAATTTTGTTTTAGCCAAGCTGTACCAGTGGGCTTGTGAAGATCTGATACAATTACACCAATCCTCCTCGTTTGCTTTTCCCTCAGTTCTTATCCATGGCACTTGCATAGGTATCTGCGTCTGGTTTCTCTTATATGGCCTGCTAACACGATACCCTGGCTTCCACTGTTGCCCTCATCTCGACCTCACTCCACCAGCCACTTTATGATTATTTGGACAGGTGCACAATGTTCGTGTTCCACCCGCACGCCGGTCGCACTCAGCAACGACTTGACAGACGGTTACTTATCGCAACCCTCAGTGTGAGGTCATTTACCTATCCCGATTGGAACACTGTATCTCAGGAAACTAAACGTGATATCGCAGCCCCAAGCTAACACAAATCATTGCTGGAGCCGTAGGAGGCGGTATCCTCCTTTTCGGACTCATAACCTTTGGTATATTGTACTTCAGAAAGCGACAACGGCAAGCCTCGCTGTCACATCCAGAGCCTTCGCCATTTCAGATAAACTTTATTGACCAATTCTCCGAAATTGAGTCTGGCACAAGAGGTCCCAAGAAGTTCGGGATTAAGTCACTTGCTAATGATATCGAACGTGCTTCCTCGTTCATAGCACCATCTTCCTCGATGTCTCTTCCCGATTCAATACAATCACAGGTGATTGTGGACGCATTCCATAAGATTTCGGCTGACTCTGCAGGCTCTGCAGGATATTCCGCAAAACCTCGCGCCGCCCAATCACTTAATAGACGACGAGCTGGATCTCGTCAAAAATCTCTATCTCAGCGGGGTACCGCCGTTCATAATCGCACAGGTCATTCGTTGTCTCCTCAACGTAGAAATCCGTACAGCTGCCTATGAGGTTGCCTGCGAGAAGGAGAACGACGAAGGGAACGTTGGCGTTGCAATAGACTCACTGGCAGACGTACGGCATCGACTGATAGCAGCCGCAAGGATGGGAAATTTAGAGGAAATGATGTCGAGTGCGAGTGCAGTTGCGGGATGGATATTTCCAGGCGAGGAGCGGCAGGCCGGTCGACAGAGGAACGGGTCGGTGACAACCCAGGTCAGCGTTCCACCGTCGTATACTACAGACCCTAGGTCCTGAGCGCAGGAAGCTTGACCAGAGGACAATGGTTTATTCACGCAGATAATCAAGATGCATATCTTCTTGTTGGAGAGGTGAATGGTCTCAGCGTTCGATATTCTTAGTATTACAGCCTTATTGAAATGAGTTTCTGCGTATCGTTCACTACGTTCAATGAAGATCCTAATGAGTTTGATAATTACACGTGGATTGATAGCCTTTCGCTATGTTCCTCTGACATTGCCCGCCAGACATCTTTCCGTCTCTCTGAATACTTTTCACGTTCCTCCCTAGTTTCTGCATTTAACTCTTCTTCGTCATAGAGATCGCACCAAGCCAAGACCCTGTGCTTGGCATGAATGTCCAGGAAGAGGTCGGACAGGAAATTCGTGATGCGTAAGATATCATCAGCGATCAACGAGTCCAGAAAGTTCAATTCAAACGCTCTGGTCACGGAAAAAGGATGCAACGTGTTGTCCCCAAGAGTAATCGAGTCCACTGCGCATGCTGCCTCGGCATCAACAGCGATACTAAGTTTTGTGAGCTTTGGAAGCCGCTGGAGTAAACTTCGCAGACACCACGGTGTTACGCCCGATGGCTGCCCCCAGCCCCATTTTTCATTGATACGCAGTGCGTCGAGGTTTGGCCAAGCATCAGCCATCTCCAGCATGACTGCATCGTTGAGATGGACATTCCTGCGGGTGCTGACGTACACCGTCGTGAGGTTTTGGAACGAGTACAAGCATCTAAAAGGGTCCGTGTCAAGTACATATCCCGGTCCGCGCGAATCCTCATCTATGACCGTGAATGTTTCTAACTTCGTCCTATCGCAATGGGTAGACAATGCTTGGACGAGATCCAGAAAAGAGCCAGCAGACGATGATTCTGCTTCGCCGCTGAAAGTGATTGGGGAAACATGGAAAGCGCGGACAAACGCCGCGATGGCGGACAGTGTTTCTCCCCAGGAGCTTCTGAGGCTAATGCTTTCTAGACTTAGGAAGGCCGGCATGGGACGAGGGGGAAGGGAATACGTATTGATGCCAATGATGTTCAATTTGCATAGAGATCGTAAAGTTGAAAGGTGTTGTATGGCACGTCCGTCCAGCGAGGTGCAGGTCACCTCTTGGAGCTCACTGCATGAGATGATGGCTTTGGATAACATGGATACCTCTTGTGGGGAAGATTGGGCGATAACCCATATAAGCTTCTTCAATTGAGGACAAGCCATCCCGAGTACAGTCACTAGATCAAGGATGTGCATCCTGCTTGAGATATGATGGATATGTAAACGAGTGATGGAAGGGCTAAGCATTAGTTTAAAGAGACAGAACGCTTCAAGTGTTACGTTTATACAGACTAGGGTTTGTAACTTGGGAAAGAGGGTGTTGGAGGAAGGAGGGTGACTCAGTGCAAGGAATACGTCGGCATTAATACGCGGGTGCCCACGTACGTCTTTCGGTATGAATCCTTCAAGTTCGTATATTCGCGAGGTATACTTGCGTAAGATTTCCCAGTCAGATAATGTGAATGGACGGCGCAAAAAGTAGGTTCTCTTTGGGTTTGGTGGTGAGCGCTCGAGTCTAACAACGGCAAACGCCACTCACGGCGCGAACGGGCGTTTGTCTTTGCCATTGCACAAGGTCATCCGGGAGACACTCGAGCAAAGGAGTGATGTCATCCAGATTTGACCACAAAGCGTCGAGAGCCGGTTCGAAGAGGGCATGACATGTCTGAGCGAGAGCGGCAAGGTCTAACTTTGACGAACAATGGAATGCAATGTTCCGCGCAATTTCTTCAATGAGCAATGTGCGGTGCATTTCATATGCACAACCTGTTTCCCGAGACAGACAGAAGGAGCGATGTTGAATGCGGATGGAGAAACGACAATGAGTCGAACGACAAGCAAACGATCGATCAACAAGAGTCTCGTGCAGTGCGCACGTTGCGTCTACGGCGATTTCCCCATCGGAAATCGGAACGTAGCATGCAGGGGTCGCGCCGGTCGGGCTCAACATTGTCACGATCTCGCAGAAATTCAAAACTTGGTTACATTTCCGAGTCATGCATTCTTCGCCTTTCACAGCCTCGGCACAAAACGTGCTTTAACGTACCAAACTTCACTCTTACGAGCATACAATAATGCATGTGGTTATGAGCGTCCAGGCTCTTACATGATGTCAATTAATTAAAAGCTACGTTGCTTTGCCCCTTCATCTCAACCATCGCGCCCCATACATTCTCCCATCTCTCTGAGTGAATCGTGCGTTCCATATCCCTAGCTTCATCGAAGTCTGGTCCTTCAATAAGACTCCAAGCGTAAAACCTGTGTTTACCGTCAATGTCCGGGAAAAGTTCAGATAGGAAGACTGCGACGCCTGCGATGTCAGCAGTGAGATGCGAATCCAGGAAATCAAGGTCGAGCTTTCCAGTCACCGAGAACCGACATGGGTTGTCGCCGTTAAGAGTGCTTGGCACAGCTGTTGTCTCAGCATCAAGAGCGATACCGAGCGCAGTGAGCTTCGGCAGTCGCTGAAGCATGCTTCGCAGACCCAGCAGCGTCATGCCCGATCGCTGCCTCCACCCCCATCTTTCGTTTATATCCAACTCGCTAAGGTTTGGCCATGCGTTAGCCATCTCCAGCATGGCCGCATCGTCAAGATGGACATTTCGACGAGTTTCGACGTGCACACCGGTGAGATTGTGGAACGGAAATAAGGGTTCAAAAGTGGCCTTGTCGAGTACGAAGCCTGGTTCCTGGGCGATTTCGTTTATGAAGAATAATTCTAACTTCGTCCGGTCGCAGTTGGTGGAGACTGCTTTGGTAAGGTCCAACAGAGAGGTTTCAGAGGACTCATCTGAGTCACCGCAGAAAGACATGGGGGACGAATGGAAACCACGGATGCACGCTGCAACGGCAGACAGGTCTTGATCGTAAGGGCTAGTGAGATTGATGCTCTTCAATCCTGGGAAGGCTGGCTCGTGAAGAGGAGGGAGAGGGGAAGTGTCGACAATGATGCGGAGTCTGTAAAGGGACTGTAGAGACGAAAGATGCTGTATGGCCTGCCCATCCAGTGAGCAGCACGTGAATTCTTGGAGTTCATTGCAAGACGTGACAGCTTCGGAAAGTAATGATCCTTCTCTGCGTGAAGAATCGGCATTGATCCATACCAGGTGCATCAAGTGAGGGCAAACCGTCCCGAGTATAGCGACCAGACCCAGCACATGTAATGCGTTCGAACAATGATGGATGTTTAAGTTGGTGACAGAGGGGCTAAGCATCAGTCTCAGGAAGGTGAATGCCTCGGGTTGTGCGTCGAGCCACATCAAAGAGCGTAACTTGGGAAAGAGAGGGTCGAAGGAAGGAGGACAACTCAGCGCGAGATACACATCGGCACCGATACGTGGAGATCCATACATGTCCTCCGATATGAATCCTTGAAGTACGGACACTCGTGAAGAATACTTGCGGAAGAGTACCCAGTCGGATATCGTAAGGGGTCGGAGAAATATGTAGCTTCTCTTCGCGTCTGATAGTTAGCGCCCGGTTCGAGTACTGACACATGTTGTGTAAGATCAAAAGCACTCACAGCGTCAACACGGCCGTCTGGTATCCAATACACGAGATCTTCCGGGAGACATTCAAGCAAGGGGGTTATGTCACTTAATTCTGACCACAAAGCATCCAGAGCCGATTCGGAGAGTGCACGACAGGTCTGAGCGAGGGCGGCGAGATCCTTCTTCGAGGATTGATGGAAAATGATGTTACGAGCAACTTCCGCAATGAGCAACGCGCGATGCATACTGTCTAATAAGTGCCACGTCGCGCTCCCCTTAAGACTGGCTTGCGTAGGCGAACTCGAACCTTGGAGATGGAGGTTTGATGACGAGAGTTTCACGGTTGCTGGTGAACGCGTGTCGCCTCGCATCCGAAAGCGACGCAGCCCCTGTTGGGATGTGCAGAGCGCGTCTGTCACGTCTTGCTCAACTCAAGCTTAACATTTGCTCATCCTCCTGGACCAGGAAGTTCATCTCCGAGACGAGTGACCCATGGGCAGAACCGAGAGAATATAATGGGGCCGCAACGTAAAAACGAGGACGATTGTGAGCCCGTCATCCTGACGTGCTCCCAGACCAGTACAAGAACGGCGCCGCCGGAGCCCGTGAGGGTAAAGTCCGGGTCCCTCCCGTGAGTACGTGTAATTGCTCGTAGCTGTGGCAGTTTGCTACGCTCAGTCGCGTGCTAATAAAATTGGTCTTGGATGTCTCCTTTTCTCGACGTTTCTGATTTGTATAACGTGCTTATTATTGTCTAAGCTTGGTCCAAGTCGTCCCTTTCAATCCCTTTCTCGTGCCACAACGCAAAAACTTTCCCCATACGTTCCATTATGTTCGTTCCATTTCTTTTACCACTGTCCTTGTCATCACGCCGTTCACTCTTTCCATACACAACGCTCGCTTACACGAACTATATCTGGGACTACAGTCAATTTGAAGACAGGGCTCTAGTATTGTAAGTGTAAGATGTGTATCGAACCATGGTCACCTACACTAGCCATACGCTTCCGCTGATGAGCGCCTTCCTTTTTATCACCCGGTTCATGACCAGGAGGGTTTGTAACACATGATTCCACCTGTTACAATACTTCGTCCAATCATCATCCATCTGCTCGAGCACGTCGGTAGAAAATTGGAAGTAGGAAAAGTCGGACCTCTTGTCTATCACCGGGAAAAGGTCCGACAGGAAAGCGGCCACCTCTGCGTGATTACAGCCTATTCTCGAGTCCAGCACATTGAGCTTGAAGGGCCTTGTGATCTGATATTGCCCATACTGGTCATCTTCGGTGATATGCAGTTTGACGGCTTGGGCGTCGATGGCGATGGCAAGCGTTGTGAGTTTTGGGAGTCGCTTCAGCATCGTGCGCAAGCCGTGGAGCGTTATGCATGAGCGCCTGCCCCAGCCCTTACGAGGGTTGATTTCGAGAGACTCCAGCACAGGCCAAGACTCTGCCATTTGCAGGAGAGAAGCGTTGTCAAGTTGTATTTCATGCGCTGTATCCACGCAAACCCCGACGAGGTTATGGAACTGAAGGAGGTGCTGGAAGGCCTTTCGTTTGAGAGTTGATTCTGATAAAGAAAAGTGGTCATCTTCCGCCATTATGTCTAGAAACTTCAGAGCTGAATTGTCGACATTAGAAGACACGGCAGTGCAGAGATCGTCGAAGGATTCTGAGTTAGATCCACTCGCCTGGGCCGAGAAGACAGCCAAGGAGAAGTGACCAGTGCGAACGAAGTCGGCGATGTCTGACAAGGAATAACTAGTGAACCTGATACGATAGACGCTGGGAAACGCAGGCTCGTGAAGAGCAGGATGTGGTTCTGACACCGATGGCGCCATGAGAGTCACATCCAGTGACCGGAGTGAGGGGAGAGATGACAGGCGTTGTAAAGCGCGCCCGTTGAGTGGAGCCACCAATGTCTCAAGTTCTGTGAGGGAAGTGACGGCCTCTGATATGAAAGCTGACCCTGCGTCCTCGTCCTCATCGATGTCGGAGAAATTTTTCCACTCAAGATGTTTGAGCCGTGGACAAAGGGTGGGTAGACTGGCTTCTAAGCTACAATCACCGATGTAACCAGTGTTCATTGGAGATATAATCAGCGAAGTGATGGATGGGCCAAGGATGAACCTCAAGAAGGGCAGGATATCTGAATGAATGCTGGGACATATGAGGCGTTGGAGCTTGGGAAACAGCGGCTCGAACGTGGGAGGCCAACACAGAGCGCGAAAAACATCGTCATCAATGTGAGGACTGGATGACGATTTGGGAGGTGTGATCGACTTCAGTTCGACAACTTTTGACGCGTACTTTCTGAATACTATCCAGTCGGTCGGGAGCAGCACCCGGGAAAGGCCATACATTTTCTTTTGTTCCAGGACAAAAGTGAGTGATAGCTAACGCCGACATGGGTAAGTGACTTACCTGACCAGACTGGAATGAAGGGCACCGAGAGATGGCATTACCAAGGCACTCTAGTAAGGGCAACAGCGAGTCCAACTCCCTCCACAAAGCGTCCAAAGCAGGCTCAGAGAACGCGCGGCAAGTCTGAGCCAAAGCCGCGAGAGCCTTCTTTTCTGATTGGCAGTAGGTTATGTTCCGGGCAACTTCTGAGATAAGAAGTGCGCGGTGCATGTTCACCGGTAGATAAAAGGAAAGGTGAGACCCAGTGAATACGATTATGCTTAAGTTGGCGGTAAATGAAGCTCTGGTCACTCTGGTGCAATGACGCGACGCGACGTCGGGAGATTCCGCCGGCCGTACCGAAAATAGGGTTGCCTAATTATGTAAGGTACGCGATCACAACGCGCCCCTCAGGGCGGGCGCCTAACTGCATCCTTGACTTGACGCGATGTGCGCGTTTACGCTTCATCTTCTCTGTAGCGTGACTTTGTTTCCAACATGAGCAGCAAGCCTCCAAGGAGCTCCTCGTCAAAGGCACATCAGTGGTCAGAAACAGACATGGTGGACCTGCCAGATCCATCCGGCACTCGACACACGCGCCCTCGACGCGTCACGGTTGGCTAGGCTCAGCCACCTGATAGCAAAATGGGTCTTTGAATGTTCCGTCTCTCGCCGTTTTTGACCTTTTGACCTGTATGACTCAGACTTGGTGTTGTCGTCTAGGTTATCCATTCATGATGAAAACTTTCCCTTATACCGTGACATTTCCTTCTGCTCAAGCCACTCTTTCGCCAACTTTGTCGTCATGCTATCCACACTTTTTGAGTAATACAATCGCTTAGACGAGCTATTTCAGGGACTAAAAGTAACATGTGTATCGTACCGTGGTCACACATACTACTCAAAATATCATTGCCCCTGTCTCGTGAGTAAGTACACTTGTTGGTGGAGAAACGGCGTATCATATTTTGCAACTACCGAACTATGCCTTATATCTGAGTCAAAAGTATTACTGTAATAAAGTAGGGGTACTATGAACCAATGACTAACATCGGGAATTTACGGAGGTGATATTACCGCAGTGAGTCGACGACCTTGCTCGATCCTTCTAATTCGGTTCATCGCCAACACTGTCGACACAACAATCGCCCATCTCTCGCGGTGAACGCGAGAATCATTCGCCATCTCTACGGGCAGTGTTAAACCAGGGAACCGCCAGTAGAGAATATCGCTGTCCTTGGCCATCCCAGGAAATAAAGCGGAGAAGAACGCGGCCACCTCTGCGTAATTGACACCCACCCTCGAGTCCAACAGATCGAGCGCAAACGGTCGTGTGACCAGGAATTGGCCGTACTCCTCGTCGATTGCGTCGAGAGCGGCACCATCAGCGTCAATCGCGATGCTGAGTGTACTGAGTCCGGGGAGCTGCCGGATCACTGCACACAAGCCATGTAGTGACACGCGTGAGCGCAGCCTCCACCCGAACACCGGATTGATTTTTAGAGAAGTCAATGTAGGCCATGCGTGGGCCATATCCAGCAGAGCGGCATCGTCCAAGTCAATTTCTCGCGGAGTATCGATATTGACGACTGTGAGTTTATGGAACTGCAACAAAGGTCCGAGGGCGCTCGATTGCAGTGCGAGACTGCGCGTCCAGCGGCATTCTACTATATTGACGTCCTTTAACGTCGATGTATCGATGCAGTCTGGTAGTAGCATGCAGAGGTCCCCAAGAGTCTGTTGCTTAGGGTAATGTGTATGGCCGAGAAAAGAATCAAGGCGTAGCTTAAAGAAACTGGCGCGCATGAATGATTCAACGGAGTTGGGAGAGGATTGTTCGAGAGGGGCGATGATCTGAAGAGTACGTAGAGCAGGATACGCACGATCTTCAAGAGTAGGATATGACGCTTTACCAACCAGTTGAATGTGTAGGGCGTGGAGAGTAGGGATAGACGTGAGGTGGTTCATGGCGTGCCCATCCAGCGGACAAGCCAACTCATGCAGATCCTTCCAGGAGGTGATGGCTTGAGAGAGAATGGCTGCTTCCTCTTCAGAGTCATTGCCGGGGCAGCGTGACCACATAAACACTTTGATGTGGGGACACATGGTTGACAGGTTAGCGACGAGGTTAAAGATGATTGCATCAGGTGTTTCCAAATCCAAGATAAGATCTGTGATGGATGGTCCGAGCAATGTTCTGAGAAAAGGCAGTGTTTCTGAATGAGCGCCAGACCATTCGAGGGCTCGGAGCTTGGGGAAAAGCAACCCAAAGGTAGGTGACCAACACAGGGCTCGTAGAATTTCGATATCAATGAATGGGCTTTGATCTTGGTTCAACGGAGATATTGCCCTCAGTTCGCGGACGCGAGAAGCGTACTTTCGAAAGATGCTCCAATCAGCCGGAGTGATTGGCCTCAGTAGTCTATACCGAATTGTCTGAGCAGCGGTGAGCGACAGACCAGGCAGAGGTGGAGTTACTCACAGAGGAGGCGGAATCTGGACGAGAGATGAGGTCGGAAGGAAGAGCGCACAGTAGCGGTATGATCGAATCAAGCACGGACCACAGCACGTCCAGAGCTGGCGCGGACAGAGCACGACACGTTTGAGCAAAGGCGGCAATGTCCCTCTTCCTGTATCGATGGCACGCGATGTTCTGGGCAACTTCTGCAATGAACAGTGCGCGGTGCATTCTGATGATATAGGATAGGACGAAAGCTTGGGGGACCACGCGACCTGCAGGTCCTGTCTTCGGAGTCGCGTCGCGCAAGGAAAACGGGAGCTGAGACTAGTGATGTCGGGAGATCCCGCCTGCAACCGTCGCGTCTCCCAGAATAGGGGCTGCCTTATTATGTAAGGTACGCGATCACAACGCGCTCCTCAGGGCGGGCGCTTAACCGCATCCTCGACGCGGCGTGCGCGTTTGCGCTTCATCTTCTCTGTAGCCTGACTTTGTCTGCAACATGAACAGCAAGCCTCCAAGGAGCTCATCGTCAAAGGCACACCAGTGGTCAGAAACAGACATGATGGACGTGCCCGACCCGTCCGACTTCCCCACACCCGACCTACGCGCCCTCGACGCCAGCTTGCGATGCACAATATGCGGCGAGCTCTATGATGGACCCGTGATGCTAACGGGCTGCGGTCATTGCTTCTGCTCTGTGGTACGTGACTGCTATGACCAAACGTTATGGTAATGATGCTTCAAAATGCCGTGCTATTTCTGACGCTTTCTCGCCCAAACAGTGCGTGCGACAGCATATACAGAGGGAATCAGACTGCCCTTCATGTCGAATGAAAACAAGTGAAGTCGCGTTTAGGCCCAATTCGGTGTTAGAGGAGGTAGTGGGTGCATGGAAGGAAGCCAGGTACGTCGCGTGTCCGTCCCCGTTGTACGATGTCATTCAATGCTCCTCCCATGTACCCTATATACACTGCTCTTGACCACTTCTGCGACTCAAGAAAGCACGTCCTTGATATGGCACGTGTCGAACAGACCCTTGCTGCCCGGTCTCATGCCTCAGTCGCTCTGCAGACAATCCCTGAGAGCTCCAACCCACCCTCAGCTTCTGTGACACCGTCATCGGCCAGGAGCCTCAAGCGCAAGCGAAGGAATGTAGACTATGTATCGGATAGTGAGTCGAGCGAAGTCGTGCTTGTAGATGGATCTCCAACGCCGAAGAAACGGCCGGGCAAGGTGTCGAAAGTCTCGCGGGCGAACAGAGGCTCCGAACAGCCGTCTTCGGATCCAGAAGAGATACCTCTGGACCCAAATTGTACGTGTTTGTCTCTAAACCTAGTGGTACCTTTGCACTGAATCTCGTCTGCCGCCAACTAGCGAACGAGATCATCGACTGTCCCATGTGCGGAAAACGCGTCCCTCTTAGAAGCATAAACCCGCATATAGACAGTGGATGCAAGGACGTGGGCCGTCCTCCCTCAAAGATTAGTCTCTCCCCAACAAAGGCTCGAAACAACAACGCGAAGACCCAGTGGTCTAGTCTTTTTGGCGCAGGGGGCGGTAGCAGCGGCGGTCCTGACTCTAAGGGAAAAGGAAAAGGAAAGGATCGAAGCTCGTGAGTAACCGCGTTGTCTTTGACCAGCCGTATACTTGAACGCAACTCACGACCTAGATGATGACAGACCGTCTGAGATCCCGACCGAGCGACTGGCAAACGCGTCGTACGATGTGCTGAAAGACAAGCAGATCAAGCAGCTTCTCGCTGAGCAAAATCTTCCGACGACAGGTGATCGGAAGGCGTGGATACGCAGACATAAGCAGTGAGTTCTTTCTCTGTTCTTCCTTTGAAAACACTATCTCACTTTTTTCTGACATCGCGTGGCTGCAGCTATCTGATTATACACAATGCAACATTGGATAAGGCAATGAAGAACCGGAGTACGTTCGCCGAGCTACGGCAGGAGCTCAAGCATTGGGAAGACGAGAAAGCGAAGAAGCCTGCGAGTGCAGGCGTGAGTGACGTGGTTGAGTACACGGTACGTACTATGTGTTCTCAGTTCAACGTGAGCTTATGACGAATCCAATCCAGAAAGCAAACGACGGCGAGTTTAAGCGCCTCGTTCAGGAGGCAAGACGCAATACGAAGAAGCCGCCGCCGAAGGATGCATCACCTGGCATTTCTGGTCAGAGCGAGAAGACGCCTTCCCCAGTAGCACCCGATATTCCAGTCAAGTCGGAAGATATGGAGACTTGAGCTGCAATCTGAGTTTGATTATCGGTTGTTACTGTATGATGCTTTCAAGGGCGCTTGTAGGCTCTTGCTCTATTACCTTAGGTTAGGACGTGGATATATTATTTTATAGTAACGTTGTCCTGTCGATAAGAGAGGTGCAAGGGAAGCTGTGTGTTATCTACTCGCCAGTGAAGGTATATGCACGTGGGGAGCGAGAGCGTCATAAAATAAGCGTCAGAGCACGTCGCGTGGAAAACGGACGCGCAGACCTGCAACGTTAACGCGTCTCTTCCGCGTCTCTTTACTTGCCTCTTTACTCGACAACTCCTTTCACCCCATCCCCGGTTTCTCTTGCCTGAACGCTGCTACATCGCTAGATCTCATTGCCACGTGTAATGTCGCAAAGCCAGCACAGCGTAGCAGACGACTCGGAAGCCAAGCCCGTGCGTGTTTCACCCCTGAATCGCCTGCTCCAAGTCCCAGTCCATAGGCCTCAGCATTCAGCGTGTTGACCACCGACGAACCTCTCAGCGTCAATGCTCACATCTACGTACAGGTCCTTGCCGCATCGCTGCATGACGTGCGCTACCTCGTCGCGCTCCTGCGCGGGATTAGCTTCTCTAACGTGCGCCTCCCGTACCTTGTCTAGTCGCTCCTATAAGCCGATGGTTGACGGACGACGCGTGTGATGGTGGAAGATAGCGCGCGACGGTGACGCTCACCGCTGATGGAGGGATGACGGTCTCCGTGGAGGAGTCGCGGACGCTCGTCGGTGCGTACTCTTCCTCGCCCCCCTCCTTTTCATGATACATATGGCATGTGCTACTGATGACGTCGACTGTATACAGCAACGTCCTACATCTACCCAGATCACTTCGACGAATGGACATACACGCCTCCCCCGCCCCCTCCAAAATCCGCCTCCGCCTCCGCTACCCAAGCCACTGAGCTCACAAACGACGACGACGACGAGGCAGACACGAACACAACGACGGCATTCGAAGTCCCCCTGAACACGCTCATCGACTGCCTCGGGATCTACGGCACCGCCAATCTCACGTCCCTCGCCTCATCCTCTGGCGGGCCGAAACACAGGCGCTGGCGCCGGGACGGCGAGTCCGGGGACGAGGGCGACGGTGATGGTGGGCGGCGCGGTGGTGGGGGCGGCGGCGGCGGTCGCGGGCGCAGAGACGAGGCGCCGTCGAATAATTCGCGGATCGATGCGTATTTCGGTGCGGCGAGCAACGAGAAGCGGACGAGCGCGCGGGTGTCGTACGGCGGGCCTGGGTATCCGCTCGCTCTTCTCCTGTGCGTCGTCTCTCGTCCGCGGTGTGTCCCGCTGACGAAGCCGTGTTGTGTAGAGCGGAAGATGCGAGCGGCCCGACGACGACGTGCGAGATTGCGACGTTCGATCCTGAGCCGGGTGTGGATTTGCCGTTTGATGGGGAGCGGACGTGCGTGTGTTTGTTATTCGGCTTTCGTCTGCGCAGCGGCTGAGTGTTGACTGTCGCGTGGTAGAGTGCTCAAGATCATCTTCAAGGTGCGTTTCATTCTCCTTTCCTTTCTCATTGCGTTCTGAACAACGCGCTGACGCGCATACACACACACACACACACACACACTAGTCCTCGTCATGGCTGCGCGACGCGCTCGCCGAGCTCGACCCCTCGTGCGACAAGATCACGTTCACGTGCAATCCGCCCGCCGCCGCCGCCGCTAACAACGCACCCCAGCCACAACAACCCCAACAACGAGGAGGAGGCAGCACAGCGAAACCGCTCTTCCGCATCCAAGCCTCCGGCACATTCGGAAGCACCGAGGTACGCCCTCTCCCCCTCGCTCGCTCCTCACACTTTTCTCACCGCACATCCCTCCCACGCATCAACGACGCAATGGTGACCCAACGCACACCGCCCGCGCGCAGATGGACTACCCAAACGACCGCGAAGTGCTCGAGACATACGAATGCGGCGCGCCGCTGAGCGCGACGTACCGCTTCGGGCACATCGCGCGCACGCTGAGGGCGCTGCAGAGCTCGACCAAGACGTCGCTCCGGATCGACGACGCCGGGCTGCTGAGTCTGCAGTTCCTTGTGCCTGTGCCCGTGCCGAAGCCCCGAGGCGGAAGCGGGGGCGGGGGCGGGGGCGGGACGTCGAATTCGTTTATTGAGTTTCGGGTGAGTGTTGGTTCGCGGTGCTGTTGGTTTTATGCTGAGGTTATTGTACTTGGTTCGCCTTTGCTAGTGTCTGGCGTTGGATGATGGGACGTCGTACTGAGGGCGGTAAACGTGGTGTAATGTATTGCGAATGGGCATCGTGGCGTATATAAGAAAAGAATAAACTCTGGTATGAAAAGGCCCTGCCAATAATGTCATCTAGTGTCTATGAGGCTCTAAGCATGCAGTATCGTCCCGGGCCCCGGTTCCGCAGACAATCTAGATGAGCCCGTCGAGGAAGGACGACGAGGTCTTGGGTGGCGGGACGACGGGTTTCTCGACGGGTGGGGCAGGGGGTGGAGTGGGCACGGGGAGGTAGTCGGCGATGATGGAGTCGAAGGTCGCGGGGCCTACAAGCGATACGCATGAGTATACAGGGAAATATGAGCGAAGAGCAAAGAACACGTACCGACGGGTGCAAGTTGCGCCTTGGGCTTGAGGCCAGCGAGGATGGCTTGTCGGAGTGCAGGGCCGTCCAGAGGCTGCATATTCCGTCCCCTCGTCAGTTCTCCGTAAAGCATCAAATAAGTTAAAAACGCACCTTGGGGGCCTCGGGTTTCTTAGCCACCTCCGGCTTGGTCGCGTCTTTCTTCGCAGCGTCCTGGAACGTGCCGAGCGGGCCGGACGCTTTCCCGAGGAACGCAAGCACGTCGCCCTTGGTGAGCATACCGCGCACACCGGTGCCCTTGATCTTCTCCGCGTCTGCGATGCCGTTCTCTTGGAGGATGCGGAGGACGGAGGGGAAGAGCGGCTTGGAGTGCGTCGGGTGCACGCCGCTCGCGAGGGCCTGCCCCGAGGACTGGGACTGGAACTCGGATTTTTCGGACGGCGCGGGTGCGGGCGGTGGGGGTGGCGGGGACGAGGACTCTTGTTTTGGGGCGGGGGAGGGGGCGGGTTTGGGCTCGTCTTTGGGTGCTTCTAGGTTGGAGATGTCGTCGCCTTCTTCGGCGAGGAGCGCGATGATTTTGCCGACGGGGACGTTCTTTGCGCCGTCTTGGGCCTGTGAGTGAAGTTATGAGCATAAAGTGAGAGTGGAGAGGGGTGGGGGCGCACGATGATCTTGCCGAGCACGCCGTCGTCCTGCGCTTCGACGTCGATGGTGGCCTTGTCGGTTTCCTGAGCAAAAGGGACGCGGTGAGAAAAGTGTGCAGGGTGGAGGCGAAAACGGACGCACGATCTCGAGGAGAACGTCTCCAGCGGTAAAGGTCTCTCCTTCCTTCTTCTTCCAAGAGGCAATGCCACCCTCGGTCATGGTTGGGGACATGGCAGGCATCTCGAGGTTGGTTATTGCGCGCCGTGCCGAGGACGGGTGAAGCCCTGTGACGCGACAGAAAATTCAATACGAGTACAAAGTTAGACTGAAAACGAGTGTACATCTTCTTTGACCGGCATGACGAGTAGCGGAGGCGGCCCGTGCAAGAGCGATCGACTTGTGGGCTGTGCTCATTGTGGTGGGGAAAACAAAGTGGACGCGGAAACGGACGGACGAAGAAACATGTCATCATGGCACGTGCCTTGTGGTGAGGCCGCCGTGCTTGAGTGCAGCCATTGACCACTTTCTTGAACATTGGAAAGAGAAACACATAAACCTCATGTCCTCGCATTTCCTGTCATAGAACTTTCTTGCTGCAGCATCATGGCGCGCCACAACGGGATGATGCTCTCCTATGGGCCGTCCATCCTCCAGCGCATCCGGGCCCTTTCCGACCACTACCTGCGCACATTCGGCATGCAAGTCCTCGCTCTCTCTTCTTCTTGTCTAAACTAATGTTGTCTCTTGCAGTCATTGCGCAACACACCAGATCCGCCTCATCATCATTTCTGGTCTCGTCATCACCTCGCTCACCTACCCCGCCCTCGCCACCTACTTCGCCCACCCCTCCTACTCCCGCCTCGTCGCCAGCTCAACCCAGGGCACCCTCGACTCCTTCCTGCAGGACCACCTCAACGGCTCTGCTTACGCCCAGCGCGACCTCGCCGACTTCTGGCACGCCCACCCCTCATCCATCCACATCCGCGACGACGAGCTCTCCCGCGCCCGCTGCGGCAACGACAGAACCCTCCGCGTCGAGCGCGTCTTCGTCCGCACCGACTCCGCAGACGATGCCGGCGCCTTGTCCACAGCGACCCTCCTCTCCACGCTGCGGCTCGAGCAGCACCTCATGCGCAACATCCACGATAGACGCCTGCCCTGCCTCCGCACCGGCCCCGCCCGCGACGCGCAGTGCTTCCTCCTCAGCCCGACATACTTCTGGGACCGCGACGAGGCGACGCTGCGCGGGGACACCAACATCTCGCGCACGCTCCGCAGCCCGCACGCGTCTGGTGTCCGCGTGGCAGACGGCGTCGTGCATCTTACACCGCAGATGGTCTTTGCTGGGCGCGACTCGTACGATGATGTTGGCGACGACGGGCAAGGGATTGATTTTGCGCTCTTCCTCGCGCTCACGTTTGTCTTCCCCGACTCGGACTGCTCTGACAATGGCGGGCATGCGGCGTGGTTGGACGTTATCCGCGCGTCTGCGGAGGACGTTGCGAAGGACATGGTGGATGTGATCGGCGAACAGGTTTCGCCCGCCCTTATCTCACTCGAGGTTCGTCTACCTTCTGCCCCCCCTCCTTCCTTTGTCTACTCTTTTCTGCAAAGTCGCACGCGGGCTCACAATGGACGGTGCTAACGTTGATCGTGATGCACGCAGTACGAGAACAGCCTCGGCAAGGCGCAAGGCCTCTCGACGATCGCGCGCTTCCTGTACCCTGCGTACGCGCTCTTCCTCGCCTACGTCACCTGGTGCATGCGCGCCATGCACGGCGTGCACTCGCGCATGGGTCTCACTTTCACCGCCCTCGTCGAGATCACCGTCTCGACGATCACGAGCCTGAGCGTGTGCGCGCTCGCGGGGTTCAAGATCACCATGGTGCCTTGGTGCGTGCTCGCGAGTCATGACATTCGAAGCGACTGTCGTCCTCATTCCTTGGTTGCTGTTGGTGTTTAGGAGTCTGCTTCCGATCGTGATCATCTTTGTCGGCGCCGAGAACATGTTCGCACTCGTACGTCCCCTCTCCACCCCTCCAACCCCGACGCTGACACAACGTTATGTTTGTCGCTGCGGTACACAAAACAGGTCGACGCAGTAACCAAGACCTCCGTGACCCTCCCCGTCAAAGAACGCATCGCAGAGGGGCTCAGCCGCGCGGGCAAATCTAACACGCTCAAAGTCGTCTTCTACAACTCCGTCCTCGGCGTCATCGCCGCGCTCTCGGCCGGTGCGATCCGCCAGTTCTGCGCGTTCGCGGTCGTCGTGCTCGTCGCGCACTGGTTTTTGGCGCACACGTTCTTTTTGAGTGTGCTGTCGATTGATATTCAGCGGCTGGAGGTGCGTGTGTGTCTTCTTTGCTTTTTATGAGTGGTGAGGGAGGTGGGGGTAGAGGAAATGTGTGCTGAATGCTGCATGTTTTTTTGGGGGTGTGGATGTAGCTGGACGAGCTGTTGAGGCACAACACGCTCGCGCCGACGACGTCGCCCTCGTCGGCGGATGCGCCGCCCCTGCCCTCTGGGTCTAGGGTCCGCAGACTCTCAAGACGGGCGAAGGATCTGCTCAAGAGCCGCGCGAGCAAGAACATAAGCTTGATTCTTGTACGTTATCTCACGCTGAATATCCAGGCAAAGTATCTCTTTCTCACTGGGTATGCAGCTCCTCGCGATCACAGCGACACTGTATACGATGACCCGCCCCTCTGCGAACGCGAACCCAAACAGCGCGCTCGAGAGCACTCCGCCGAGCTCGTTCCTGCGCACGGGGCTTCCCCGGCGCCCGCATGACAGTCGTAACCACACTGCGGTCGGTCACAGCAGCAGCGGCGACGACGCCCAGGACCCAGCGTGGCGCCTCTGGAAGCTGCTCAACCCGTCCGAAGACGTGCTCGTGCATCTGCGCGTCGAGGCGCCCACGATCGTCGCGTTCCACCCCGGCCCCGGCGCAGGAGACGACGCCGACGCCGACGGCGCCGCCGAAGGAGCGCGGAACACGGTGCCCGAGCGCAGCCAGCAACAGCAGCAGCGCCCACGCGCGAGTGGGCGCCGCGGGCGCACGATTCAGCTCGTGTGGTGGGTCACGAAGATCTTTGTGCTGCCGATGAGCGCGACCATTGGCGCGCTGTATGCGCTGCTGCTGTATCTCCTCAAGGACGCGGACAGGCTCGAGAGCGCGCCGCGGAGGTCAGCGCCACTGCACCAGCGGGGTGCTGCCGCGTCCCCGGCATCGTCGTCGTCGTCATCCTCATCGCGGCTGCGCCTGAACGAGGGGCTGTGCGAGAACGGCGGGGAGGACGGGTTGGAGGGCCGTGCGGCGTTCAGCACGCTGCCGCGGGCGTGCGCGAGCGATGTGGAGAGGGTGCGGGTGAGTGGGGACGGGAGGGTGATTGCGGCGGTGGGCATTGCGGATGAGGTGGTGGTGTGGAGGAGGGATTGGCATTTGCCGATTAGGGTCGATGCGGCGAGGGCGTTTGCGAGTGCGGGCGCTGCTGCTGCCTCTCAGAGCCAGAGCCAGGGTCAGGGTCAGGTTCAAGAGCAGGCGGAAGGGGCGCCGGCGCTTGCGGCGCTCGCGGTGGATGAGGCGGGCGCGTTTTGCGCGGTGGGCACGGCCGGTGGGATGATTGGTGTGTGGGCGGTTATGCGTGGTGGAAGAGGAGCGGGCGGTGGTGCGGCGCCGGGAGCTGGCAGCCCTGTTGCGATGCTCGGTGTAGGGGCGGGGTACAAGGAGGTTGTGGAGCTCATGTTTGTCCCGCCATCGCTGGAGGAGCGCAAGGTCAAAGCGGGGCCCGTTTCGCAGTCGAGGCCCGGTACGCCGGCACCCGCGTTTGGAGAGGAGCCACCTGCGCTGCTCGCTGTGTATGCGAATGGAGAGGTCATTTTGTGGAGGAAGGGCCGGCCGGTGCACATCTATGCATCGTCTGTCGAGACTGAGCCACTGTTGACTCCGACAGCGACGATGCCCAGTGCGATGGGGATACAGCAAGATAAAGGACAGGATGACACCGCAGCCCTAGCTTCAGCCTCGTGGGCGACGCTCGTCAAGCTGCAAGACGACAGCGTAGACCGCATCCTAGCCGCGTTCGGACTCGCCGATGGCTCACTCGAGCTCATAGAGGTGTCCGCATCACCCGACTCTTCCCCGCCAGGACCAGGTTTAGAGCCCCTGCGGTGCCATGTACCCACCGGAAGCACCGAGGACCCGGTCGCGTGCGTGGCCACCGCTATCATCCCGCTCGACGACGAGCCACACGTTATCATCGGCACGGCGACGATGTCGGGCGTCGTTGAGCTTTGGGACGCATCCATCCCAACGTCCCCGTCGGCCCATCCCAACACCAACACCATCTCCGTCCCCAGTACCGCCGCGTGCATAGCCATGTTGGACGACGCGCACGGGCGCATTGATCAGTTGCGTGTGTCCCCGCCGCGGCGCGACGCGTGCCGGTTCTGCGGCGCTCCCCCCGCGGACGGCGTTCTCGTTGCGCTGTCGTCGTCTTCCTCCTCGTCTTCCATGAGCAGCGCGAGCGGTGGTGGCGGTGGTGGTGGTCCTTCGGTGCACGTGTACCGCGCACACGTCGCCCTTCAGACGCGCAGGTGCTCGTGCACGCCTACCCAGGGCCTTGGGAGCCTGAGGCCGAGGTCATCCGCGGAGCACGGCGGGAGACATTCGAGGCGGGAGAGCTTTGCGAATGCTGTGTCGTCTGTGGCGGGTGCTGGGCCGAGTGGGGGGAACGGAAGTGCGGTTACGGCGGTGTCGGTGAAGGCTTCGGGTGCGCAGCACGAGTCATCTGTACCACCGTCGCCTGGGACATCCGCGTTTCCCGTGTCCGGGCACGGTATCCACTCGCGTCGGGCATCGGAGAAGGAGAAAGAGAAAGAGCGGGATACGCTGGGGCTGGGGAACGGCCATGCGCATGGGCATCGACGGTTGTCGGAGAATATGATGCTCTCGCTGCCCATTCCGAATGTGATCGACGAGTACGCAATGTCAACGGCAACGGGGCGCCAGCTGGTCTCTCCGCTCGTATCGCGGACCTCGCCGTGGCAGAGCATCGCCGTCATGCGCGTCCTCGAGGCACGGTGCGACCGCGGCTCGTGGGACGTCGCAGACGGCAAAGTGTTCGGCGTGCGACGCGTGCCGCGCACACGCCCGCGCGATCCCCTATCCATCACCACCAAAGGCGCCAAAGACAAGGACGGCCGCTCGGACGGTGCCAGGTCCCAGACCACCGCAGCATGGGCTGGCATCGCGCACGCGACGCTCGACCGGTGGGAGCTCTGGGCGTACGACCCCTGCGACGGCGGCGGCGCGCTGCGGTGCTCGTCGCTCGCCGCGCTCAAGGATGCGAGCGCGAACGCGCGCGTGCCATCGTTCCCGTGGTCGGACTCGTCCCTCTCGTCCTCGGCGCGCGGCCGGCCGCTGCGGCTCGATGGTGGTCTTGCGGAGAGCGAGCCGCCGCGTCTGCCGTTCACGCGTGTTGCGCCGTTTGTGGCTGCGAGCGACGCGCTCGGTGTGGCTGGGCTCGGGAACACGGTGGGGTTGTTCCATTTCTCGTCGTCGTAGCCGGGGACTGCTCGCTGCTCGTCCGGGTGACGAACGCTGATCTTGCTTTGCGGCCGCGGCTGCATGATGCCCATGTCCGCCTCTTACGATATATCTATGGCTCTCCGCTGCTGTTTTGTATATGGATCGCTTTCTTGTTACGCTACTTTACCTCTCAGCTTTCTGTTTTCAGATATCCCCCAATACCGAACTGCAGGACCCCCGGAATACACATGCGTTCGCAGTTTATTCGGCATGTTATGATACGGCCAGGAGTCGATGACTGCGACGATACCGAAGGTTCGATAAATGTCTCATAGTACCAACCATACGATAACAATGTAATGCCTGGAAACACATTAAACGCCATGATTAGTTGCATAGGACTTCGTACAATGCTGTACAATGGAGTACATAAATTAGACGTCTACGAACAGTGGCATGTTGTCATGTTGGTAGGTGGGCATCTGAGCCAGGATCATGGTCGCTGTCACCACCGCCTGCTCGATACTGGTTAGGTAGTGGCGGAACTTCCTCATCGGGAAGATGATATGTTGGTGGCCTCGCGGAGCTGTAGCTTGGTGGTGGAAACGAGAACATCGAGCTTTGGCTATGCGCCGTCGATAGACCCGTCCTGGACCCCCGGTGCCGTACTATCTCTCTCCGAAAGTCCTCAGTGTCGGAGGGTCTTAACTCTTCTGTACGAACTGCCATTTCCGCATCGGTCTCCGCTTCCCGTCGGAAATCTGTAACGATGGGCGCTGGCCAGCCGACAGGACCAATTGTGGCGTCGCTATGTGGACGAACAGATGAGGGAGGTATTGGTGGTAGCGGACGCGGGGTGAGAGAGTTGGGCCGCGAGGAAGATGCGCGGGTCGTGTGGAATGAAAGATAATCAAGATCACTTTCGTGATGATCGTTGAGTGCTGCTCTGGATGCGTTCGGGCACTGGGTCTCACTGCTAGGCTGTGGGTGATGATCAGGAGCTGCACTAGCAAATTCCCAGTCCTCACGTTGCTCCGAATCGTCATCATGGGACGGAGAGTGGAATCCGAAGACAGCTTCAGTAGTACCAGCTTCAATTGGCCTATGTTTATCATCGCACGTACCCGGTACGGCCTGGACGTTTTGGGAGCCTCCCCCGAGTCCTACTCCGAGTTGCGCCTCGATCGTTGAAGCTCTGGCACCGGCAAGCGCCTCCATGTCCTCGGCTTTCATACCTTCGTTCCGTTTCCGCCGGCGACGCGATCTTACAAGAAGGCCAGCAATAATGCCAAACGCTAATATGCTGGCTACTCCTACGATTGCCGCGACAACGCCAGAGCTACGGTTTCATGTCAGCTGAGCGCAATAGGTTGCTACCAGTGATAGCGGTTTCCTACCTCAGTCGTAGCGAACGTGAGCTGTTAACTCCAGTCTGCTTTGAAGGGTGCACACTCGTGGATGACCAATCTGTCTCTGTCGCATAGCTTCCACTGGTCGCAGATGGTACTAGGATAGTGGGGATCAAGGGAGTCGTAGATTGAGGTGTGAGAGCTAGGGGAGGCACCGTAGAATAAGATATGAGAGTTGATGTATGTGTCGTGGATTGGTTGGTTTGAACACGCTGAGAAGGTTGCGGGCTAGAGGTTGACGTTGGAATAGGATTCGGGCTGGACCTCTCATAGCTTGATGTTTCCATGTTATTACCCGGATAGGCCGTAGGAGTCGCTGGTATCATCGGTCCTCCGGGGTCTAAGGTGCCAATCTCAGTCTGCCTAGGCTGAACGCCCCTTACAGTGGCTGTGGCAAGAATCTCGCCTGCGGGGATGCACGGAGCGCCTGAAGCACATATTGAAACGAGTCTCTCGACCATGTTGTCAGGAAACTATAATGAATGGGATGTGTAAAGAGCGACGAAGGCGCAATGAAGGCGTTGCGAGTCACTCCAGTAAGTCAAAGGGACCGAAGCCGAAGCTTTGCTTGGGGAACTAAGGGTATATTCGTGGCAGCCTGGGCTTAAAACGAGTGCTTAGCACTTTTGAAAGATTCTAGTGATTTCGAATTCGTGCTAGTACTCACCCGAAAAATAAGGAAAGGGGGGAAGCCTAACGTACCAATCAGATGGAAGAAAAAGCCCATATCTCCCAGAGGGTCTCTTCTCTTATATGCCGATTGTGTATGCGTCGTGTCTAAAGATGGCGTTTACTACGCCCTCTTTGAGAGATAGTTAATGCTGATAGAAGGCGACGGATCCAAAGATGTCATGATGAAGCCACTCCAGGTTACATCTAAAATAAAGTCAACAGCGATATACATCAAGCCTTTGGTATAGTTTATTTTTATGAAGGATGAAGCGTAAACTCGTACCCTAAGATATTCGCCCGTGCATGAGAGGATCTCTAGTAGCATTTGATGTTTCGAAGATGAGAGATGATGATGGTGATCATCATGCACCGCGAGTCGTGCTGCCAAACAGATTCTGGTGTCCAGGGCAGCCGCCGGGTCAATACTAGGTTTACCATGACTGGTGTGTGCACCGATTTGTCCTTGTCAGTTGGCTAGATCCGGGACACCAGAGAGGACACAATCAGGTTCAGGAAGAAAGAAAAACGGACAAAACTTCCAGTAGATCGTGGGAACGCTCTAGGGTATGCTTTTGGACATTTGAGATCGTGCTTTTCTCTTCTCTGGCGACATCAGTGAAGCAGCCGATCAAGCAGGGGCAAAGTATCTGGCGTTCGAGAGGATTTGTTTGTTTATGTTTTCTGGTTCCTGTGTTTACATCACCACGTTTTATATGGCATCGCATATCCCCTTTCTCATTCTGGCAACTAGAACTAGCACTGTCGTTTCTCGTCTGACTCCTTATCATAATGGCATTCATGTATTTATTATTATTATTATTGGATCAGATTTACGTCCAAGAGGGCGGTAGCCCTATGACGGACGCTACTGTAACGAGTCCGAGGACTGTAGTCTTATGTAGTCGTATGAGTTGTCGTGTCGATGAAAAAGTCTGGGCCCGTACATGCCACCCCTCGGGCCATGGGGCACCGCCGCATCCGTTCGCCTTCCTCGACTCCGTCTGTCCTCTCCTCCGCCTATCTTTCATCCCTCTCTGTCCTCGTCCCCATCTGCCACAGGCCCTGAGCGTAACACGTTAATAACTCGAGTATGTCTCCCTGCATACATCTCCTAGGATGTCCTTGAATCCCCCCGTCGCGTTGATATACCGCATCAGCGGTTGTGTGGCCTTCGTGTTCGTTAGTAGGTATGCTAGTGATTCGGCGTTGCGGCCGAGGGTTCTTATGAGGTCGTGTCGTGCTCGCCCCCATGCGGGGCAGTCGAACAGGTAGTGATGGATAGTCTCGTCTGCGACATCGTCGCAGTGGTTGCAGAATGGCTCCTCTGCCCGCTTGAATCGGTGTAGGTATGCGTTCAGCGGCAGGTGCCGTGTAATGAGAAATATTAGTGCGCTAGTCTGTCGCTTTGGTAGATCAGCCGTGAGCGTTATGAACGATCGAGCACCCGCCTTGAGATTCAGTTTGGCCAACCTATGCGCCCGTGGCGAGTTGGCCCATAGTCTCTCCCATCGTGTCTTCATACTCGCTGCATGAGCCTGCTTTCTTGCAGAGATGCTGTCCGGTAGCTTGCCCTTTAGTGCCACTGGTAGTTCTTCTCGACTACTCGCCTCTCCCCCCCCCCCCCCCCTCGCGGCTTCTTTCGCCTCCTCGTCCGCCCATTCATTCCCCTCCACCCCCTCGTGGCCCGCGATCCAGGCCAGCTCAATTTCCACCCTTCGCTCCCCTCGCCGGTTCCGTAGTTTCTTCGCCATATCGTGGATAGGACCGACCAAATAGTGGCCCGGCGTTTTTGTCGATGGGCGTTGCGTTGCCCGGATCGCCGCTTGGTTGTCCGCGTATATCGAGACGCGGCCCGATATGGTGCGCTCTGTGCTAAGGAGGTGGAGGGCGAGTATCACCCCCACCCATTCATGTATTTATCACCCCCGGCTCGGTTTATATGAGTGTTATGCATACACGCGATTACCCATATTACATTCCAGTGCTCAGTCAGCACTCATCATCGCTTGCTTGATCTCCTCTACGTTACTACGCCTAGGCTTAAATGCGACCTTGAACGGCATCGAATGCGCGATGAGCCCGCCGTCGAACGCGTTCGGGTCGACTGGGCTCGACGGATCATGCGAGACGCGGAACGCCCAGAACAGCAAAGCCGTGGTGATGAAGAGGGACCGGTTGGCGACGTATTGGCCGGGGCACACCCTTATAAAAGGTTTCTTGTCGTTAGATTGAGCGTGCTGAGCGAAACACAGCTTGTACGTACCGCCTGCCGAAGCCGTAGTAGAAATACCGAATCTCGCTCTGTGGCTTGAGCTTGCCCTGAGCATCGAGCCAGCGTTCAGGGTTGAATTTCTCTGGGTCCGGGAACATGTCTGGGTCCCTCGAGAGCGCCCTACAGTACAGATAATGCCACCGCTCACTCTGTTTCGAAGCAATGGCAGAAAAAAGAGACAACGCACCAGTGGTTTCCGAGAACTGTCGCTCCTTTCGGGATATGGTACCCGTTCCAGGCAAAGTCGGCTGTCGCCTTGTGGTTGAAGCCAAGAGGGACGATCGGCCGCCAGCGCAGGGCCTCCTGCACAAACGCGTCGAGCTGCGGCAGGTTTCCCATGTCGTCGCATGTGGGTACTGTCGTTGTATTTATGTAAGTTGGTGTTGTGTGCATGAGGTATGACACGACGTTTCGTACCTCGATCCCCGATGAGCTTGTCAATTTCGGCGAGCACTTTGTCTTGAGATTCGGGATGGAGTGCGGCGGCCATGATGATCCTCGTGATTCCTACTGCTGTCTAGTAAAGTTTATGTGATTGGAGCAAGTAGAATTAAAGTCGAGAATATAGGCGTACCGTCTCCGAGCCAGCACCGTACAGGGACCCGGCCAAGTACGCAAGTGTGTCTTCGTCCAGCCCGTGCGCCTCTGGGTTCTCGAACATATATTTCACAAACGACGGCCTTCCAGATTTCTCATCCTATGATATGGTTGTAGGATCGGTTTACAAATAAAAACGGAAGGATAACAGCATACCATTGACGTGAGCGTCTTTTTAACCTGCTCCTGGAATAATGCCAGCTCCTCCTCGCGATACTGCTTTATTTCCGGCGCGTATCCAGGTACATGCTGCAACCAGGTAAACCGCTCAGCCAGGTAGATGCCGGGCTTCAGAGTGCCCAGGAAACGGGAAGTTATTTTGTGGATACGGGCGACATCGGGGTGGTCGAACGAAGAAGGCGCTGACCTCCCGTAGGTGATCTTCAGAGTCACAGTAGCAGCGTAACTAAGAACTGGAATTAGCTACGGAAGACATACCCAATGTTTATGGGCTTACAGGTCTGCGAAGTGGCTGAAAAGGTCAGGGCGCTCGAGGATGTTGAGGACAAAAATCTTCCCAGCCTCGAATTGGATGGGCGAGTATGTCTTCGCTATCTTGGGCTGCAGAGGCTCGTGCACAGCTCTATTGGAAGTCAGATACTTGTCATCTCCCGCGAAATGCTGAATTACTCACTTGCGCATTTTCCTGAATATTTCGCCAGCAGGTTGCATGAGGAGACGCCGCCCCTGCGAAAGCATCGTTCCACCAACGACAGCTTCCGGCCGACTTAGGGTGACACCACCCTGCCTCTCGAGAATATCGACGGCAGCCTGCATGCGACCCACGATGATGGTGATGTTGTTTCCATGACGCACGGTAAATGCAGGTCCGTATTGTTTAGTCCATTCAGCCAACGCCAGATGGGTACTTGAAGGATTATTCAGACAATGCCGTTGAGAAAACAAAAGCACATACTCCTTGGCAGGGATGGGTTTCCTCCAGAACCACTCTGTGGGGGGCCCTGGCGGCAGAGCGGAATTCCGTGCGGACCTTTCGCGGGTCTTGTTGATTGCATACAATGCAACACTGGCGACGGCGGCGGCACTGACAAGCAACGAGGGAGACGGATCGGATAGAATGTCGTTCATCGTTCCAACAGAGTGAGAAGAGCGAGAATAGCAAGGATAAAATCGACGTCAAACCCGAGAAAGCGACCACTTGAAGCTTATTCTTTCACCACGACCATTTTAATACATGTCTCTCATAGCGGTCAGTCATGACGGATTCGTCAGTATTTACCCTTGATTCCTAATAGTAGTCCAACATGCTCCATATATCTGAGAGCGTATGACCTTCTCGAAGATTCACTTGTCAGAGAAGGATAGTCATGTAAAGGATCCAACAGTACAGCTGACCCGTGAGGCGAGAAGTCAGTGCCTTGAAGAGGTATGGTTGCCTCCCGATGGGGAGAGCCGCGGCGGCCCTTCATTCATTAGAAGCGCTTGCACTAAGACTATGGAAGTCATGGGCACTGGGAAATCCGGGTGAGAGTATAAGGCAAAAGTCAACAACCAATCAACAACCGTCCGACGCCGGACGATCGCCGAACTTCTTTGTGGCGCGCGGCATTGTTTCTTCTTTTTTCCGTTCTCAAAAAGGAACCGGCGGCAATGGCGTGGTCACGGATTCAGGTTCTTGCGCATTTAGGAAAACTCTTTGAATATGTAGCACTACTAGCAGTCAACGAAATTCACATACCTATACTGTGAGCCCTCCTCTCGCTAGCCGGGCGAAATTGATTTACAGGTTGTAATTTTGCACAATGGTCACAGAACAAGCACACATTTAGAGACTGATGAAACGGTCAGAAAAACTAGTGTTGCTCGCTGACTCGACATCCAGGGTAGCTGCGTCAAGTTCATGAGAATGGAACAAGACCAGAAAAAAACCTCCGTAACTACTTTGGCGTTTCAGTCCCACGCAATCAGACATTCGTGGTCAGCACAGCGTGCCATTCGGATGAGTTCGTCAAACGATGTTACACATTACTTCCCTTGATGTTATGTTTATGTCATCCGAGTCGGCTTTGCGAAGCTATGTCCATTTGTTACAATGATCAGTCGCAGCGTCGGTTCTTGTCTCGTGATACTACTTCGCATATTCCGCAAGACCTTACATGAAGTTACATCAAGCGCCACACTTTGACTTGCTTCGCTAGAGCAGCTCAATAAACCTCACCGACTTCGCCATGAGTAGGCGTTCTAAGCGTGTTAGGCCACATTTTACTCGACCTGAGCGTACTTGTGTTATTTTTGATACAAACAAATCGCCGAGATTTACGCTGTGTCACTAATCAAGTCACATGTGGCTTGAAACCCGAGTCGGAAGAGTATGACAAGTTGTGAGATAGCTTCCCACCTTGCCACAAGAATATGCTACAGGTTTCCTTTCCTCAAGCATCATGTTATCATAGAGCGCAGCTGGAAGGAAGGTAAAGATGAAAGTGGCATTTACAAAGTCACTATATAAGTTGCATCCTAGTTGCACCCGATACCCTCGACATTAAGGTCAGATGGCTTTACAATCCTGAACCCTCAGTGTGGACCACATCTAAGGGTACGTAAACTCTTCACGTCCTTGAACAGCAATAGAAAGGTTGGTGAGTGGTGATTTGACGCACTTCATTCTACGGTAGAGCTCGTGTACCGCCCAATCTTCGAGTGCAGATATTGGAAAGTGCGAAGGGTATGAATCCAGCTGACGTGAGGGTTTGTATCAGGAGTTAACCATCCAACGCCCTTTGAGCGCATCTTTGACAGAAAAGGGAATTGTGGTGATGACTCGGGTTGATGACACGGAAATGACAAGTACTTTGTGAAATTTACATTATAACAGTGTCTGGGGCCAAAGGTCAGCACCGCAGCAGCACCGCAGCAGTCAACGACATCCCTACTTCTAGTGCCGTATTTGGCGTCATTTGGTTGAGAGCGCGCCATCGCGTCGTGAATGCATGATCGACTCTTCACCCAGAATCCATACATACCGATTCAGATCTAGATACATCATGACAAGTATCTCGAGACCGAGTCCCATGTATAGTATAGGTATAAAAGTATTCCTTTTGCATAGATCCTCGTATACTAGTCTAAGTACTGCTGTTTTCAAAAGCGTACAGTAAAAATCAGACGTTTAAGAAAGCGTGGCATATCGTCATGTTGCCAGGTGGTTATCAGGATCATGAGTACCATCCCCACTGCCTGCTCCCAGTCGATACTGGTCAGGCAGTAGCGGAACCTCTTCGTCGGGAAACTGGTACGAAGGCAACCTCGCGGAGTTATAGCTTGGTGGTGGGAGCGATAATATCGAGCTCTGGCTGTGCGCTGTCGACAAACCTGTCCTGGACTCTCGACGGTGTGCTTCTACATGAAAGGCATGGGCATTAGTCCAACGGCGAGAGGGTCCTGGCTCTGCTGCAGCCCTATGGAGCTCCGTAAGGATAGGCGTCGGAGAAAGTCTTGGGCTTGTGGTTATGGTCAGGATGCTGCCAGGGCGGGACCGCGGTATGAGAGGCAGTGGGCGAATGGGGAAAGAGCTGGGACGTGAGGAGGATGCGCGGGTCGTATGGAAGGAAGCAGAGTCAAGCTCACTACGATGATGATATTCAAACAGAGATATATTGAGAAAGGAAACTGAGCGACGCTGATGTTGATTACAAGACCCTTGTTGATTCCGGAGCTGCTCTGCGTATCCTGCTCCTACTTGGACCTGCAGAGATGGCACCTCCTCAGCCCTACCGTCGTTGACGTTGGATGTCGTGAGCTGCACGTCTTGAGAATCTTCTGAAATTTCTTCCTCTCTATGTGCCACCGTAGTGAGTGCTTCAGTGTCCTTGACATTCGCGACGCTGTATAGCCTTTGTCTATATTTTCGCCCCAGCATGCAAACTAAGGCAGCGCACATAACCACGATCAGGATAAAACTTCCTCCCGTGATGGACATGATGTCATCCAGGCTACGTAGTAACATTGAGTTCGCCCGCGAATGAGCGTATCTGATAGCCTACCTTATATGGACACGACGTGTACTGTTCGCTTCAGTCAGCGCCGTTTGGTATAGTCCACTGGTGATGAGTAGATATGGGATGACCGAACTTATTCTGTAAATCGACGAAGTGGAGTGTGGAGGTGTATGGTTAATAGTTGAAGAAGTTGGACATATGGAAGGTGGCGTAGTAGTTGAATGAAAATACGCGCGAACCGACGTGGAAGAGGCCCTGGCACTCGAAGGTGTCATTGGCATGATTACAACATCGGGTGTGGTAGTGTTGATAGGTGGTGCTGCGGAACCAGGGACAGTCATAATAAGCAGTGACAGTGTAGCTCCCTCTATATCAGTCGTAGCCAATGCACAGACAGGGTTGAGACACGACGATATGTTCATAGGAAGGCTAATTCCTTCCGGCCACGTTTCGGTCGGTTTCAATGGCAGGAGTCAAAAGCGTGGTCGAGTTGAGGAGTGACTGGTGTCGGGTTTGGCCAGCGGAAAGGGTGGAATACAGTCCATAGTCAGCGGTGTATATGGGTATTGTTTATGTTACATACTTTCGGCTTGCCTCGAGCGTATGCTATTCGGGATGAGTGGGTAAACCACGAAGTGCTGAGAAGCCCACGAGATATGGAGAGGTGATGCTGATACTACGTATCCCGCGGAATCCTTATCTCAGTATAAGTGCATGGGAGATTAGAGGCTCTGATGGTCGCATGCTCGTCCCAGGATCACTGATGGGGCGTGCGAGATAGATGACCATGAAACGTCTGACACTGCATTCTAAGCAACCACGGTGCGGTTTTTTGAACATTGCTTGCGAGTCAAGTGTCATACGCACGTATGTACGAACAGTGTCTTGATGCCTGGAGTGACCTTATCATAATATTGATCTTCGCATGAGACTCAGCGTAAGCATGAGAGGAGATCTGGATACTAGGATGCTGCGATAATCAGTGATGAGCAATGAAAGTTGAAACGTTGACGCATCAGCGAGCAACTCGTGTGTCCAAAACGCAATCTCCGAGTCCGAGAAAGCAAGTGCTATGAAACGGAGCATTTCACCCATACTGTAGTTTTTCGACCACTCGCTCGTGGGAAAGTGACTTCCTAATCCGATATGTCCCACTTTTTGGCTCGCGGGTCAGAACCGACGCGGGACACGCGGCTCGTCAGGGGCTAATTGTCCCGAGTTGCGGGACACGTCGCGTCGGCATGCCTCACCCACCTCTCGGTCTCACCTGTTGATGACAAAACTGCTCAAGATCTCCTTGCACTCTGGGGGGAACTCAGTCATGAAGCTTTGAAGACCCATTCACACATCACAAGGACATTGACAATGACACCTGGCTTAAGCCTGAAGATGTTATGGCGCAGATCCTCCATGCCGATGGAGAGGATGCAGTCAGTTTGGCTCAGCCTGGTCCGGGTTTGGCAAATAACCCTGAACTTGACGCGGATTTGATAAAATTACCCAGGGAAGGAACATCGCAACTGGGGAAGCAACATAAGGTTGCTAATAAGAAGTATAACAAGACATGCCGCGCTCCGCTACGGCACAGTTGAACGCTGATGGGCGAGGACATAAACAATTAGAACACGTATGAACTTTCGTCTGCTACATAACTTGAAGACAAAGGATAATAACCCATCCTAACCCTAACCCAGTGACCGCTGCCAAATAGGAGCAAACATAAGCTGGGGAAAATGTTGAAGATACGGGTAATCCGCTCCTAGGCCATTAGATAACCCTTGTACGGTATAGAATTTTTTTTACGATTTATTCGATTTTTTGGGCTATTTTTACCATATGTCCCGCTTTTTGGCTCATAGGGCCTCGGAAGGGTGGGACGGTCCTACCCTTTTTGGCTCGCTCTCCCGGTCTGTGGGACATGGGACGAGCGAGTGGTCGAAAAACTACAGTATTATAATCAACACGTCTGGCTTGGCATTGCATATGTTTGGTCTTTTGATGCGATGCGATCTCATAATCTTATCTTATCTCGTTCCAACGCATGTCTGTGGTCGTTCTTTCCACTTTCTTTTGCCCTCGTCCCCGGCGCTCCACCTCCTTCTGCTCGTGTTCCTTCACCGTTTCCGAGATGTAAATTCTCCTTGCTGAGTCGGTGCATGTCAACCTCTCTGTCATCAAATCTCACTCACTGTGTCCCCGTCAGTTGACGCCGTTCTCCCCTTGCTTAACCAACCCCCCTTGCCCCGCTCAGTCCGCCCAAAGCTTTGAGAGCTCCAATAGCTCATCCTCGAATTTCAGCAAGCAGTATACCAGTGCACAGTCTACGTGCACCAATCACTATGATGTTGTTCTTCATATTCCGCGGCCTTGATCGTTCTCGGTGGCCAAGAGTCTTAAGATGGATGGTCCCAATATTTTTGCTAGCGGCTCTGCCACCATTTACCATACGTCAATAGCTACTCTCCGGACACAATAGTGAGCTAACTCTACTGGTAATTCTCCGTGATTCCCGAGACGCTCCCCGCTGCGGTCCTCAACAAGTTTCACGCTTCCGGAAAGTTGAAACCCAGCGGAAGGTACGCATTTGCCTGGTGCCATGATCCATTGTATTTCCTTTTGATACTTAACGCGTCGCTCGTGCCCTTTCCAAGTAGGTAATCCAGACCTCCGGGCTTTCCGCCCGTCACATTCCGCAGCCCTCAGCTCGACCTTAGCGCATCTTACACCCATATATATAAGTCCTGCTATACTGCATCTCGCCTGTATCTGCCATTACCCCATCTTCTAGTCACCTACCCACGTGTTCCCTTCGCAGTCGCCGAGTCTACTACCAGTAAGTCCTCAACTCTCGGCCACGATTTTCCTTTGACCTCTGGCGGTGGGCCCGACTTGTCCTCGCACGAGTGGCTCGTTGACGTCTCGCGGGCGGCGGAACCCAATTTCTCCGGCAGAGCCTGAGGTCGCATTTTCATGGCGAACACAAGGATATAAACGACGCACCGATGATGCGTGACTCTGGCGATATGTGGCCTAAGACAGTGTACAAGAGGTGTCACCATCTCCTCGTGTTTGACTCCTCACATCTTCCGCTCACCTCTGCTCATTTTCAAGTGTTCTTGCTTTGCAAGGTCGTCTTTAATGTACCAGCCTGCCGGAGCGTGAGCGAAGGCATGTATTATAGGTATAAAGGTATTCATTTTGCATAGATCTTCGTACACTGCTGTACTCGGGAGCATAAGGTATAAATCAGACGTCCAAGAAAGCATGGCATATCGTCATGTTGCCAGGTGGTCATCAGGATCATAACTGCCATCTCCACTGCCTGCTCCCAGGCGATACTGGCCGGGTAGTGGCGGAACCTCTTCGCCGGGAAGCTGGTACGCAGGCAGCCTCGCGGAGTTATAGCTTGGTGGTGGGAGTGAGAATATCGAGCTCTGGCTATGCGCCGTTGATAGACCTGTCCTGGACTCCCGGCGCCGCACTTCTCTTTGAAAGACATGCGCATCAGTCCAACGGCGGGAGGGGCCTGGGTCTACTGCAGCCATATGAAACTCGGTAAGGATAGGCGTTAATGAATGTCTTGGGTTTGTGGTTATGCTGCTGCCAGGGCGGGAACGCGGTATGGGTGGCAGCGGGCGAATGGGAAAAGAGCCGGGACGTGAGGAGGATGCACGATTCGTGTGGAAGGAAGCGGAGTCGAGATCACTATCATGATGATATGCAGACGATGATGTGTTTGGATAGGAAGTAGAGCGACGTTGATGTTGATTAGAAGGCCCTGCAAGTGGCTGGTTCTGGATCTGCTCTGGGTATCCCTCTCCAACTTCGACCTGCAGAGACTGGGAACTGGGGGCGAAAGCGATTTCTGATGGCACCTCCTCGACCCTACCGTCATTGATGCTAGGATTTGTACGAAGCACGGCGTGAGAAACTTCTGGTTGCTCTTCCTGCCTCGATGTCGCCGTCAATGCCACTACAGCGAGTGACTCTGTGTCCTTGACATCAGCTATGCCAGACAGCCTTCGCTTGTAATAGGATCTGAAAACCAAGGCGGCGCACATTCCCACAAGCACGATACTACCTCCTCCCACGATCGCCATGATATCAGCTAGGCTATGTATAAATATCAGTTTCGCGCTACGAATGAGCGTGTTAGACGTCTTACCTCATATGTATACGATCTGTACGATCTATTCCAGATGGCACTGGACGGTATGGTACGCTAGTGGCTTGATTGGTAATGGGTAAATATGTGCTGACAGTATCAGTGGGTGAAATCGATGGAATGGAGTGCAGAGATGTTTGGAGAGTAGCTGAGGCTAGATATATACTAGAAGACAGCGCAGTAGTTGAATGGGGATGTACGTTATTTAACGAGTTAGAGAGCGCCCCGGTGCTCAAAGTTTTCGCTGGCATGAGTGTAGCATTGGGAGTCATAGCGGTGACGAGTGGTAACACAGGTCCAGGTCCAGTCATGATGTATGAGGATGAAGTTCCCTCTGCGTTAATCGTAGCGTGTGCAGACTCTGTGATGATACAGGAAACGTTCGAAGGGCAGCGGGTTCCCTCGAGCAACATTTTGAGCACTCTGGGTGTTAAAGGAGTGGAAGATAAAAGGAATGATTACTGACGGGGTCGGCTAGAGAGAGATGGAACGCGGTCTATAGTCAGTGAGATTGTAGATAGCTAAGGTTTACGTTGTGACCTTCCGACTTACCTTGTGCGTACACTACCCGGAGTTGGGTAAGCCACAATGCGAGAAGCCCAAGAGATATAAGGAGGAAAGAGATGCTGATACCCATTCCACAGAGACCTCTTCTTGATATAAGTGTATGGGACGTTTGCGACTCTGATGGTCGGGTACTCGTCCTGGGATCACTGATGAGGCGAGTACAGCTGCGTGAGATGCATGATTGGATAGCTGTGTTCATCATTAAATGTCTTGAACAGCGAAAAGACAATGTTTCTGAACACTCGCGAATGAAGTGTGAGACGTACATATGGATAGCATTCAGGTGCCTGAAACAACCTTAGTACTAGCCTCGGTGTGAGGTTTAACGGCAGAAGCATGAGAAGAGTTTTGAATGCTGTGGTTCAACGACGATCAATGATGCATCAGCGAGTGACTTGGGATGACCAAGAATAAGCAAGTAGCTGTATTCGCTCCAGAAAGTGGTTCTTCTCTCAAAGGCGGTGAAGCCTCTGGATCGCAACCTGATTCAAAAGTTGTAGATGGTGAGTGTCCCCTTTCAAGATGCATCATCCTCCGGGGACTTCCGAGCGGAATTCGCGGCGGTGGCGCGGTCACAAACTTGGGTGTAGGTCATTTGATAAAGCTGTTTGGTTATGATTCAGAACGCGAGAAAATCCTCACACCGCGATCCCCGTCATCACTGGTGTTTTGTGCGTTATAACTCGCCTTCATACTATGTCCATAACTATCACAACTTTACAGTACCAATATCTCGGTGCTCAGTCAGCGGCCATCATTGCTTGCTTAATCTCCTCCACGCTGCGTCTAGGCTCAAAGGCGACCTTGAAAGGTAGTGAATGAGAGATGATTCCGCCGTTATCGGCATTGGGATCGATAGTATGCGACGGGTCCTCGGAGACGCGGAAGGCCCAGAATAACAAGGCCGTCGTGATGAAAAGGGACCGATTCGCAAGATACTGGCCAGGGCATACACTATGAGCAATGTAATGGCCTTGATCAGCTAGAGCCTGCTAAAGAAGAATAGCAACGCGTACCGCCTTCCGAAACCATAGATGAAATTTCTGATTTCGCTTTGTGGCTTGAGCTCACCGTCAGCATTGATCCAGCGCTGAGGCTCAAACGTTTCTGGGTCCGGGAACATATCTGGGTCTCTCGACAGCGCCCTGTACCATTCATTAGCTCGTCACTCAGTGTTACCTAGCCAATACATAAGATAAGCTTACCAATGATTCCCGAGAATTGTCGTGCCCTCGGGGATGTGATATCCATTCCATACAAAGTCAGCCGTTGACTTATGGTTGAAGCCAAGAGGAACGATCGGCCTCCAGCGTAATGTCTCCTGCACGAATGCATCAAGCTGAGGCAGCGTGCCCATGTCATCACACGTGGGGACTGTCATTATATGTTAATAACAGCGTGCAAGCAGGTGTGTGGTATGAAGAGAAGATCCATACCTCGATCACCAATGAGTTTGTCAATTTCCGAAATCATCTTCTCTTGCGCTTCGGGATAGAGTGCGGCAGACATGATGATGCGTGTCATGCCGACAGCAGTCTAGGGGTCACGTTCAGTGAAAAGAAAACTAGCCCGAAACAATGAACGTACCGTCTCTGAGCCTGCGCCATACAAAGACCCGCCTATATAAGCAAGTGTGTCGCTATCAAGTCCGTGCGCCTCCGGATTCTCGAGTAGGTACCTCACGAATGAGGGACCGTCCGACCCTTCTTCCTATTATAGGGTTCAAGATCAAGGTAACAAACGAAATTTGTGGGCAAAAAACTTACTATCGACATGCGCGTCTTATTCACGTGTTCATGGAACAGCTCTAGCTCGTCCTTGCGGTATTGCTTTATCTCGGGGGCATACCACGGAACGTGTCGCAGCCAAGGGAAGCGCTCCGCCAGGTACGCACCGGGTCTGAGGGTACCCAAGAAGCGACGGGCCATCTCATGGATGCGAACGATGTCAGGGTCGTCAAAGGAGGTAGGTGCTGATTGACCGTAGGTAATCTTCAATACTACGGTAGCAGCGTAGCTTGTGACAGTACTAGTGATGAGATACGAGAAACGAAGAACGACATGAAATGCTTACAGGTCTGTGAAGTGCTTGAAAAGGTCAGGGCGCTCGAGAACGTTAAGTACGTAGGTCTTCGCAGCATCAAGCTGAATCGGTGCATAAGTCTTCGCCTGTTTGGGCTGCAGGGGCTCGTGGACAGCTCTGTCGACAATCAGACACGTGCATTGATACAAGTGATATCAATCAACTCACTTGCGCAGTCTCCTGAACATGTCGCCTGCTGGTTGAATGAGGATACGTTGCCCGCGCGAGAGCATTGTCCCACCGACGACAGACTCGGGCCTGCTGAGTGTGACGCCGCCATGCCTCTCGAGAATGTCGATAGCTGCTTCTACACGGCCCACGATGAGGGTGACGTTACTTCCCTGGCGCACGGTGAATGCAGGCCCGTATTGATTTGTCCATTCTGCTAAAGCCAAGTGGGTGCTTGGGGAGTTGTTCAGAGAGAGCCATCAAATGAATACAACGACGTACTCTTTGAAGGGGATAGGGTTCTTCCAGAACCATTCCGCGGGCGGTCCTGGTGGCAAAGCGGAATTGCGCGCAGTTCTTTCACGCGTCTTGTTGGCGGCGTACAAGGCTCCAGTGGCAACAGCGGCAGCACCAAGCAGGAACGAGGGGGGGATATCAGCCAGAACGTCGGTCATCGTTCAACCAGAGGAAAGAAAGCGTGCGTTGTAGTGAGGGTTTGTTGATCCCGAACGCAAGAAGATGATCGTCTGAACCTAGGCTACTTTCAGCATTGGTGTTTTAAATAGTTGTTTCCCAGCAGGGGTGCGGGATCAACGTGTGTTCCTGTCAAGGCTAGTGCGTCAATGATCCCCTAATGATTCCTAATAAGACGCCGATCTACACCGATGCTTTCCACGAATCCGGGGGGCAGCTGACATTGAAACGTCATCGGTCAGACGTCAGTAGTCATATAAAGAAGCCTGGACGGAACCTGATGTGTCCGTTAGGGAAGAATTCAGTACGCTGCCATCATATGGGATTTGTAGAGGCCACGATTTCAATGAAGGCCCGTTGAAGTGAAGATTAATGACAAGAGCGACAAGAGTCAACGTCCGTCCGATGTCGGACAAGCGCGCAGGGCCTGTCCGCGTGGCGCGCGGCCATTGTGTTTCTCAATCGTCACGAAAGTGGTCGCGGCGATGATGCGGTGGCATGATGGAGTATCTCCGCCCTCGATAAACCCGTCTGGTCGAGGTTCAGCATTCAGCAAACTCCCCACATTTCGTTCTCCTCTTTTGCCGAGAGGACGGGCGTGCTACTGTCTAAATGCAGGTGTTGGCACATACACATAGTTCAGTATATAGAAAATGAAGATGACATCCACGAGAAGGCTTCGAGACACTAACCAAAGCATTACGAGGGCATCTGCATGAGCATATGTCGTAATAAGGCCGGAAGGAGGTCAGAAGGAAGTACTCCGTCGTAGCTAGGCTCTAGTTGCATGCAACGCTCCCGTGCCATTAATGCAACAGGGGTCAATTGACACTCCAGCGATGAGACCCAGCTCTCGCCTCCTAATGCGGTTCATGGTGAGGATAGTCTGCACGACAATATTCCATCTTGCCCTCACGGCGCGGACTTCATCTGCTGGTTCAATCTCATCGAGTATATCCTTAGCGAAGGCGAAGTAAGAGAAACTGCCCGGGTCGTTCATTTCCGGGAAAAGGTCCGAGAAGAAAGCGGCGACCTCTGCGACGTCGTCCTCGTACACCCACGAGTCCTCGACGTGGATATCGAATGGTCTTGTGACTCTGAATTGCCCGTACCGATCATCTTCGATTATGCGGGATCTCCTCAGCAGCACGGTATCGACAGCAATGGATAGCTTCTGCAGGACAGGGAGGCGCTGAAGCATCGCTCTCAGGCCATACAGTGACACGTCTGACTGTGGCTTCCACCCGCGCCTGTCGTTGATTTCTAATGTGATGATGTTCGGCCAAGCATCGGCCATCTCTAGAAGAGCTTCGTCGTCGAGTTCAACAGCCCGGCCGCTGTCGATGCGGACAGTAGAAAGGCTGCAGAATTGGAATGCGAGCTTGAAGGAGGATAGTTTGAGTGGTATTTCGGTTTCAGAGTCTGTTTCCTGTATGTGGAGATCGCTCAAACGGGACTTGTCGAGCTGTTCCAAGAGAGCCGTCAGTAACTCCTGCATGGATATGGTGGTCGCTTTATCGCCCCTGGCAATGAGACTGGTAGGGGACGACCGACACTGGCCGATAAATGCTGCAACCACAGAAAGGGACTGATGATACGGACTGGCGATATCGAGGACCTTGACGAATGGGAATGTAGGCGAGGAAAGTACGGGAAAGGATATGCCATGTGGCCTGAAGGACAGTTTACGCAGGGACGGTAGAGATGCGAGGTGCTGTATTGCAGTTGAGTTTAGTGCCCAGCATATCACTTCCTCGAGTTCGTGCCAAGAGCAGACGAGGCGAGACACTACATCAACTTCTTCCATAGAGGGTTCAGAATGATTGGAGTGCTTCCATTCGAATGTTTTGATGCAGGGGCACGCAGTGCTTAGCATGGCGAGGATGTCCACGTTATGTTTTTCGGACGAAGGAGGACGGATGACCAAACTCGTGATGGACGGACCAAGTATCACCTTCACAAAGTCAAATCCCTTTGTCCAAAAGTTGCACCACTTCAAGCTCCGCAACCTTGGGAAAAGGGGTTCTGGGGCGAGTGGGCGGGTCAGAGCACGCAAGAGCTCCTCACTGAAACCAAACTCTTTCCGAAAGTCGCGATCGCTCACATTGTCGGATGGGACGGTGCCTAGCTCCAAGATACGAGAGCTATATCTGCGAAAGATCGCCCAATCAGAGGGGGTAAACGGTCGCAGCAAGGAGCATTCAATCTTAGTACCAACAAGTGACTTAGTTTCAGTCCACCAGAGCACTAAAGCAGACTTACAATTTGGTCAAAAACACGGTGACGTTGCTGCAAGATGAGCCCTTCTGGGAGACAGTTCAGCAGTGGTCTAATATCCTTCATCACTGCCCACAAAGCATCTAAAGCTGGTTCGTAAAATGCATGACACGTTCGGGCCATTGTAGCGAGGTCCGTTTTGTGCGCCTGGCAAAAGGCAACGTTCCGAACGACCTCTGCGATGAGTAAAGCGCGGTGCATGCCTCGCTTTGATTAGAGATTGGCGAGTAAGAGTTAACCAAGGGTTGGGGCTAGGAAGGCGTTGAGGTAGATAAAAGCAAGAGATATGGTCAATGGGAAGAGGTGTGTTGAAATTTCTGCAGACGCGCAGCGTGGCCGAGGACCCTCGCCCAATGCGTCACTTACCCCTATTATGATGCATCAACACTGATATTGAGTTTCAGACGGCGATAATTTCAGATGGAGGTAGCAAGAGCAAGTAGAGCTTGATTATCTCAACTTGAGATGCCATATCATTGACATTCGAATAAACACAAAAGGACAGAGAAACTGCGGCTACTCCGCCGAGACAAGCCCGTTGATTGACTGCCTCTTTTCCAGCTTTCTGACCAGGTTCATCGTCAACATGATACCTATCACGTCGTCCCACCGATCTGAGTGGAGATCATAAGTCTCCTGCACTCCCTCCGGCGCCTCAAAAGGAAGCGACCAGCAATCAAGATTGGCCCTATTCTCGATCTCTGGGAATAGGTCCGAAAGGAAAGCCGCTACATCGGCGAAATTGGTGCCCATCCTCGAGTCCAGGAACTGTGCCGAAAACTCTCTCTCGACATGAAACATCCCATACTGTTTGTCATTGACGGTATCGAGCTCGGGCGTTTCGCAATCAACGGCGAGAGACATCATCCCAAGCTTCGGCAATTTCTGAAGCATCGCTCTCACGTCAGTTTTACACAGCGTCAAAAGAGCGCAGCGACACGTGTAAAACGGCTGCAAAAAGGAGACTAAGGAATTAGCCCCTATCTGGCGCACTTCGCTTCGCCTTGGTAGTGACATCGCTAGCGGCTTGCCACGACATAAGTCACATATGTCGTTCCGGTTTGTTCAACGTGATGGTTGGGTGCAGGTATATAATCAGCGACCGCAAATCATCTAAAGATAATGAGGAAGTTGGGAGCATTTTACAGCATTGATTAGTTACTACTTACAAGCTTCAGTGGAGAACACAACAGAGAGGAGACCCTTCCGTCCCATTAAACTTATACTCTACTGAATGAACTTCAACGCCGTCTCCAGCACATGATCCCTCAGCTTCCCGTAGAACGGGAAGAGCCAAAACCCATGCACACCACCGTCCACCTTGAGCAACCGCACCTTCCCACTCTCCTCTCCCGCCGCCTTGTGAATATACCGCGATGGGTCGATGAGCTGGTCCGCCGTGCCCGTAATAATCAACGTCCTCGGCCAGCTCACGATGTCCTTGATGGGGGTGTCCATCGCCGAGACCAGCGGACTCTTGCGGTCGCGCGGCGGTGCACCTTCGAAGCGCGCCGGGAGGGACGGGAACGTGCCGGGCGCGAGGAGCCATAGGTCCGAGCTGAACCTGTGAAAAGATATGTCGAAGGGGTCTGCGTCAGTCTGGGCCTCGGCGTACGGCGAGAGGGCGTAATCGTGGTCTGCGGCGGGACAGAAAGCGACGATGCTGTGCGGGAGGGGTTTGGAGAGCAGGTGGAGCAGATAGGTGAGGATGAAGTACTTGTTAGCATGACATCCTCGTTCTTGGTTACACTTTACGTTACGAGTTTCTACAGTAGTACTGTCCGTCTTAGGGTGTATCGCCCTCCTGGACATTAAAATGACGAATCAAATCAAATCAGGTGAGGATGAACACTGCGCAACGGAAGATGGCAGCCAGTCAGTCGCCACGAAAAACACTCAATAGGACCGCGGCAGGGCGCACCAGAATTGCCACCGGCACTCTCGCCCACGAGGCGAATGTTCTTGGGCTGGTATCCCTGCTCGAGGACGTAATGGTACGCGTGCCATATGTCCTGTAGATTCGCAGGGTATGTGTTCTCTGGGACAGTCGCGAGGCGGTAGGAAGGCGCAAAGATCACGCCGTCGAAACCCGCCGCGACCTTGCTGATCGTCGGGACCCATTGCGGGCCCGGCTGGCCGTAGTCGGCAGGATGGCCAATGATGTTACCACCTGCCAGCGCAAACCAGAGTCGATTAAGCAGATGAGGATCCGGGCGAGAAGTAGACTCTAGGCGGACGTACCTGCATGCAACCAAAGAATCACATTTGTCTCCTCTAGTGGCGTCGCTGCCCTGCCCTCACGCTCATACGTGAAACACGGCACGGCGTCCGGGCTGATCCTCGCATCTTGAAGCTGGCTCGGGAGCACGACACTCTCGGATAGCTGCACGACGGTTTGGCCCGAGCCGTCGTCGGCGAACTGCATGCCGTGCGGGACAACGATGACACTCCCGATAACAACGCCAACGGGAATTGCCTCCGGCTTTGGCAGCGTCGCGCGCTGCGCTGGCGTGGCGGCAGTTCCGAGCGGAGGAGGTGGGGCGCTCTTAAAAGCGTCACGGATGGCGTTATTGCCTGCCTCAATCCCAGAGGTCCAAGAGGGGCGGGTAAACATCGAGGTGCTCATGATCAAGTGGCGAAGAGACTGAGGGCGATGGGGGAGACTTGGAGAGTATATAGACGTTACATGCTACAGTTGTCCTATATATGCGCATGATCAAGAGTCTGTGTTTGTTCATCCACATATTTACGGACCGGGTGCTTCTTGAAAATGTGATACGCTCTTGAACCGAAGTAGGGACACAACTCGAGTCACTCAACCTAATTCCTGCATCGAGGCTGATCACGGGCGCTGAGCGTTGCCAGGATTGTGTGGGCCTCGTTGTCTTCGAGCCGAGTCATTATGATGGATTATCGCGATGTCGCACGTGCAAGCGCGAGAAGCACACCAAGAAGTACGGCACTGGCACGGAGACAGAAAAGTCTATTGCGTTTGTCAGCAGCAAGACTCTAGGAGGATCTCCGAAACGTCAGGATCAACAAGTAGCGTCTCAATGAGTACCTGGCCCAGTCGGAGAACAGAAGACAGCGCTATGGGTGATGCGGTCGCGGGGGTGCACAACCGTGGCTCCTCGAGTGCGAGTCAGAAGTAAATGGGCGCCTCAGCCCTGAGAAAAACGTAGATATTACTTTGTACCAGAAGCTGCGGCGGAGTCGAGTGCCAAAAGGTCTTCGTGCATGACTCACTAGACACCATAGCCTCAGAGTGGGAGACGGAATGGCCTGTACAGGCTTTTGAAGGATGCTGCGGTCTGAAGCTGAAGGATGTTGTGGACAGGATTGAGCCTGAAATGAATCTGCTTCCGCGGCTTGCATGCGTTTTATATGTGGCTGTGCCCATGTGTCCCTAACTACTTTTGTGGCGGTTCCCTCTGATTAGCAAATGGCTTATACCTTGAGCTCCGGTTCAAGTTTACCTCGCTGATTTTGTTACCATCTAACCACAAATTTGAATAAGTAACTAACGAAACTAGTTACTTTTCGGAGCGCTCCACATTCCAATCCGCCCACCTCACCTTCCTCATCATACTCCAGAACTTGATCATTGTCCCCGGGAAAATCGCCGCATTCCTCCCGGCCCCCTTCCCATCCCTATCCACCCTCCGGTAATACGACAGGCACTCCGTCCACACCGTGTTCTCCAGCCGCTTCTCCACCCACGCGTTGTGTGCGTCCGTCGCGGACGCCTTCGGCGCAACACTCTGTGCGCCGCCCGAACCCGGCGAGAGCACGGTGTGCGAGAGAATGCGCGCGATGTAGTGCGCCTGCGTCTCGGCAGCGAAGAGGACGGACGAGTGGCCCGTCGCGACGTTGGGCCCGACGAGCGTGAAGAAATTGGGGAAGTCCGGGTAGGCGGTGCCGAGGTAGGCGTGTGGGCCACCCTTGTCGTCGAAGTACTCCATCAGAGATTTACCGTTGATGCCGAAGATGGGCATGTTGCGGTTGAGCTGGGCGCGAGAAAGTGTTAAAGTGGTGTAACGAGGAAAAGGAAGGGGCGAGGTGAAGACTTACAATTTCGAATCCCGTGCCGAAGATGATAATGTCGAGGGGGACAAAGGTGCCTGATTTTAAGCGTACACCGTCTTCTAGAACCTCCTCGATCCCAGTCCATTCTAATGAAACATTCGGTCGATACAAGGCTTCGAGGTACCCTGGGTCAACTATGATGCGCTTGCATCCTGGTGCTGAAATAAGAAACGTCAGGGGCAGAAACGAAGCGAGGACATGCGCCACGAACGGTATGAAGGTATTAACTTGTCGTGGTATTCCTTTGGAGCAGTTCTTTTCAGATATTTCGTGAGGACACTCAGTATGACTTTCCGCATGAAAAGACTGTCTTTGACGAATCCGTAGTAGACGATTTCACGCTATTTCGATTCGTTAAGAAGGCCACACTAGTACTGGTGTTACTTGTGAGCTGACGTACCGAAACCATCATCAGAGTGCGATAAACGCGCATAACACCTGGTACATTGCGGAAAGCCCATTTCACCCATCGCGGGTACTTGAATTGTTCCTATGATCAAGTTTAGTTTAATGATAGCTAGTACTACACGAGAGAGTCATAATACTCACACGAGGCGCGAACCAACTCGGCGTCCGACAAAAGTTGACCACTTCGACAGAGGGATCTTCCGAAATTTGGGGTATAAGTTGACACCTACCATCACGATCTGCGTAAGTCGACAAGAAGAGACAGGTGGATAACACGACTGACGCTGAGCATCCATTCCCAATCACACCGACGCGCTTCCCTCCAAGGTCGACGTCATTTCGCCAGGAGAGCGAGTGCCACGAAGGCCCCTTGAAGTTCTCGACGCCCTTCAAGTCCGCGGGGATGAGCGCAGAGGGAAACGGGCCGGCGGCCCCAATCACGACTTCCACCCAGGTCTCCTTGTGCTCGTCCGTTTTGGTATCGCGGTATCGCATGCGGTACGCGTGACGGTCGGCGCTCCACTCGACGGAGAGGACTTCGGTGTTGAACCAGGTGTAGTCAGTGAGATGGTGCTTGGCCCAAATGTTCTTCCAATAGGACAGGATTTCGGGCTGTGTCACATAATACGAGCCCCAATCAGGGTTCAGCTCTGTCGAAAGCGAGTAGAAGTGGCCAGGAACGTCAGAACCGCAGCCCTAAAACATGGTATCATTCAGCAATCGAAGTAATAGTGACAATTGAGAGATGCTGACAGGGTATACATTATCCTGAAAAGGATTAGTGTCAGAGAACATACAGGGAAGGCCATGGAAATGAACGTACCCTCCAGGTTCCTCCAATGGCATCGCACTTTTCGATGATCTGCACAAAGACGCGTTCAAGTCAGGCCGAGTATGATCACAAGGCGGTATAGCACGTACCACGAAGTTATCGTACTTCATTTTGTCCTTGAGAACTAACGCCATGTTGATCCCAGACACACTTCGTACACTGATGAAGATAAGATGTACACGAGTTTGCCGGACGACACTTACCCAGCGCCAACTACAGCAACTCTCGGTCTGCCCTCGTTCAAAGTTCGTGCTGTCATCGTCAATGGCCAGGGCTGAAAGGCGAGGTGCTCCCAATCGTGCTCTCCCTGAGTAAGTGTCGCGTGGGGGGCAGAACAACCAATCGTGGGCTCTACCCAGCACTATATACGTCGAAGGGGGAGCATTCACAGCGCATGATCCCTCAGGAGGTGCCTGCGCTGTCAGCGTAAAAATGGTAACATGAAAAGCCGTATGGGAGAGTCGTGATGTCAGCGGGGAACATATGTTTTCTTTTCGGCCCAGATACGGGAACCGGAAATGCCGGCGCAGTTCCCGGCGGCAGATGTGAAAACTAAAAATAGGCTTTCCCGAACGGAGTCTTCCAAGCCGATTAGCGCCCGAGTTCGCCGAGGGCAGCCGACCGACGCCGAGCGAGGAGAGACAACTTGAAGGTCTTCGTCATGCATGTCTCGAGATTTGACTGCGATTGTGCGCTGAATTTATCTACAATATAGACAAAGTGAGAGTCTGAGTCAACGAAAGACAAAAGCAAGACGTGAAGATCGCTATAGTGAAGATGGCGAAGAGAGCAGTGTCGCGTCGACAACTTGGTCGACATTGATGTCATTTTTTCCCACACAATGTTCTACCCAGACACACGCGTCCGATCAAAGCTGCGGCAACACTGCTGCGTTGCGCGATTCCCCTCTTACCCTCTACACTCTCTTTCTTGACCCACACGACCTTTGCTAACGCAGACATAACGTTTCTCCTATAGACGCGTCGTTCCGTATTTTTTTTTCGCTCGGTCTCCTATGCTCTTGCTCCGGTCACTCCCCAGACGCGGTGCAATCATCCTAGTCTTCTTCGCGTTCACATGCGGTATCCTCACTGGCTACGTGCTCACCCACGGGGGCGCAACAGAAACATGCTTCTTCGGCCTTCGCGCCTCTGCCTCCTCGCGGTTCTGGTCTAGCCTCGCGAAGGAAAAGGCACGAGAAGAGTTGTTGTATCTGGAGACCGTCAGCGATATCGTGTCGCGTACGCGAGGGTACTATGCGCGGGACTTTAGCCTGGAGCTGGGATGGAATAACGTGGGTCCTCATCTTTGGTGACCTTTGTGAACGCTGATGGACCGCGAAGGTCAGATGCGGTACATCATTGAAGCGGTTGTGTATCATGCTGCGCTCCTGAACAGAACAGCAATCATCCCGTCTTTCGTCTACGCCCGATCGTGCGAGTTCACCAAGTGAGTGTATGCGTCCTCTTCTATGCTTCCCTTCCCTTATGCGAGTGTTCAAGCTCAGTCTGTGTAGCGTACGCGCCTATGGTCAACCGCGGAGACGCTCTACGCACCGACCAATGGCGCGACCTTCCTGAAGATGAGCAAATGGGATGGAAGATACCCATCGACACGGTGCTCAACGTCACGCGACTCCAAGAGCACTACTCCGTTATTCTCGTATCGGACTACCTTCGCTTGCACTCCCTCTCTCCCGACCTCGAGAACAGCACAGGCCAGTGGGACACAACTCTCTACCACCAGAACCCAAGCGTGTTCGAGGCGAACCTAACCAAGGTGCCGAGCATGCACACTATTAAGAACGATTGGTTCGATCCCGAGGGCACGACGCGTGTGGATGTCATCCCGGAGGAGATGAAGCAAAGGGGACAGTGGGACGTGTTGGCTGGGGATCCCAACAAGGACGAGTCCGGACGCTTCCCCAATGTTACGCGGACGGAGATCTACGACGAGGTACTCACATATCGTTACATCAAAGCTGAAGACCGGGTTCCTGCGGTGACCTGGGAGCATGCGCTTCTTGCGCTCAGTACCGCGGGTGTACTGGGCGCTGGTAATCCGGACGAGATCGCAGAGGTGCTGCAAGGGAATGGAATGGAGGTGGTGTATACGTATAAGGGCGCGTGAGTACTCGTGATGGAGATACGTTTCTTTGGTAGGCTGACATGGTGTTTTGATGCGTGCAGGCACGGCATGGACTTCGTGAAAAATGTCGCCAGCGCAATACAACAGGTTGTTCCGCGCGAGTCTATCCGCGGGTTTGTGGACGATTTCGGCGACATAGAGGCCGATGTGCTGTATCTTGAGGGTGAAGTACATGACGGCCGGAAGCCAGTACGTGGACCATGCCTACTTTCCCAAACAAGTGCTGAGGTGGTGTACAGGGCTCGTTACGCTTTACGACTCCCGAGCGACGCGACACGTTCTCCGAGATGGTGCTTTACGACACGCATGCCCCACAGGCTGTATACGACCTCGCAGCCAAGCTTGCCAACAGGATGGTCGAGATGAACGAAGGTCGGATGTGGATTGCCGCTCACATGCGGAGAGGCGATTGTGAGTCCCTTGTGTTGATCGCTTCTCTAGCATATGTTCCTGACAATAGGACGGTCGTAGTCGTGTCCCTGGGCTGGGCCATTCAGGATGACTTCGTCTCGCACTTCAACCGCATAGCACAGCAGGTTATCAACGGGCGACTGATGCTCGAGCGCACCTCATTCGATGCTGAATCCATCACTCCATACAACGTTCCGAACGTAATCCCCAACATAGCCTTCTACCAGCGCGAGCCGCCCAAGGAAGGCGACAAGTAAGCATCTATCTCCCATCCATCCCGGGACCTAACCCGACCTCAATCTGCTCCCCTTCTCCCCGGCAGATTCTACATAGCCACAGACGAACGCGACCCCGCGAACCTGGCCTACCTCCGCGAGCACGGCGCCGTGCTCATCGCCGACCTGCTCACAGACGAAGACCGGCGCGCGTTCGGCTGGGGTCTCATGCTCACGGACGTGCTCGGGCTCGTGGAGCAGGCGCTGCTCGCGCGGAGCCACTTCATGTACGGGCACTCGCTCAGCTCGGTCGCGGGCGGCGCGATCAACCTGCGCGCAGCCGACGGGCTGGATTCGCGCACGGTGCGGTTCGAGTGAGTTTGATTTGAGGCTGCTCGGAGATAGAAGGTGAGGAGGGCACAGCGCGAGCTCGCTGTTGAGGTAGAAGACGGAGATTTGAGGAGTGCTGGTGATCTACGGACACGGACATGGACGATCTATGCAGGGAAGACTTTCTATCTATCGCGAGTTCTATCTTAGGGTTCTCTGATGTGCTGTAATGTGTGCTGACTATATTCCCTTGCCTAATTTTACCAAGCTACTTACCTACTCACAGACGCAACCATTCGTCGATAAGGACCCAGCTTGAAATGATCTTGACGTCGCCGCTTTAGCTCCAGGAGGCACGGTCGGTGTGCCACCACTTATGTCAGGTTTGCGTCGCGCATGAGCAAATGCCCAACTTTTCGGTGCACTATCTGCTCGTGTTGGGCATTGTTCAAACTCAATCAACACTAGTAACGTTCGAAAGGTGACTGGGAAGGACGCCGCTGTGCGTGTCTCATGAACCCATGGAGGGCAAATGGAAGAATTGTCGTGAAAGCTTGCTCGGTCGGAACGGCCCGAGCGAGAGGGTCAGGTCTTCTTTTAAAGCCCCTGACAGATTTACTAGTCCCTTGACACTATCTCTTAACATTTGTTCTTTTCTCCGTACACAGAATTATCAACCGCTATGCCGCTCGTCACGCTCATCCACAACGTCAAGGTGAGCCTCATTTCATAGCTTCATACCACTGGTTCAATGAACTTTTTCTCACAGGTAGAAGACACCCGCCAGCTGGCAGTCGATTTCACCAACGTACGCACGTCGCGTTGCGCTCGGATGCGTACTGCGATCTGAAGCTTCTATTTTTCCAGTTCATATCCGAGACAGTTAGCAAGCCCGTGACCGCTATTAGCTTGTCCATCGTCCACAATCCCGACTTTGCATTTGCCGCGACGTTCGAGCCCGCATGCCGGCTGCACATTGTACGTCCTGAGCTCCGAGCCCTCGAGACTCGCCGCGGCTGTGGAACTGTGACATGCTGACCCAGCGCTCTGTCATGCGATACGCTTCGTGCTACAGATCAACCTGTGGAACAACTCGCCGGAGAACGCTGTCAAGTGGTCCGCCGCGTTCGCGTCTTTCTTTGAGCTTAAGCTTGGCGTGCCCAAGAACCGGTATCACATGTGCGTTATCTACTTTTCTCTGTGACTGTATCCACTTGCTGAGACTGCGCATCTCCGCTGCTGCAACTACAGCGCATTCGAGGATCCCGGCCCGGAGTATGTTGGGTGCGTTGTCTTTCCAGATTGACCATAGTACCTGGGTCCCATGTCTAACTGATTGATCTACAGCGCACTTGGATCCACCGCAGCAGCTTTGGAGGGATAGCCGGGACGAAGTCTAAGTAAAGGCAGGGAGTGAGAGAAGGCTGGTTTCCCGTCTTGGAGGAGGAGAGGTCACATTACGCGCGGGGCGGCAGCCCGCTTTGTGCCACAGTATGTATGTTCTCTAAAAGTTACACGCGATGGAGTGTACAGTATGCTTTCTTGATTATTGTCCTTGGAAATCGATGACTCGTTCGTGCGCCTCTTGGTAAGCCACAGTGTTGGTAGGTTATTGGTAAGCCAACGAGGATTGATGCGCATGCGCGAAGAAGGGTGAATAACCCCGTGAGCGCTTCAGGAACCGGATTATGACGCGCGGTAGGGCGACTATAATAGGCTCGGGCTCGGAGCGGGATAATCTGCACCAAGGCTTCCCTCTTTTCTCAGGACCTCTTCTGCTTGCTGCCCGCCACCAGTATGCCGCTTGTAACGCTATATCACAACCGCAAGGTGCGCTTCGCCGTTCTTGTTTATGACTTTGCTCGCAGTTGAAGTATGTACACGGCGATCTAGTTCACGAGCGACGACCAGATCAAGACATTTGTGTCTGAGCTGTCCAAGGTAAGAGTGAATCGCATGTGTGAGTAGACCGCTGCTACGACATTGACCCAATGACAAACAGGTCTGCGCAAAGACGATCGGCAAGGATGAGTCCCTCTTCAACGTCAACGTGATCTATAACCCGTACATCATCTTTGGGGGCAAGACGGACGAACCGGCGTTCATGTTGAACATCGTTCGTTCTTTACCTACACTACTAATCGGCGGTTTCGTCTTGACGTTGACCTTGTTCATAGTTGAGCATCGGGACCAACAGCGTACCCAATGCTGACACGCCCAAATGGACCGCTGACATTAGCAAGTTCCTCGAGGAGAAGCTTGGGATTGGCAGCGACCGAGGCTACATGTGAGCTTTCATCCATACGAATGTCTTATGGTCAGAAGTACTCACCATCCTCTTTATGCAGCTCGTTCAGAGACCCGGGCGCCGACTATATCGGGTAGGAATCATTGTAAATGCTTCATTATCTGCACTGCTAACATTGCTCTGATTCCAGGTTCGGTGGAGACACCATCACGAACAACAGGCTCAAGGCATCCAAGTGAGAGCCAACGATAGGCGATCGTGTATAGAGCAGAGCTGAAGTCGATCTAGGATGTGATAAGGACATCTGTGTGATACCATGAAGCTGACTGTAGCCCATGTATTAACGTAACTATTCCCCAGCCCGATCATGAACGCAGCCATAATCTCTGTCTTGCATCGGTCTTCAATTAAGTCGTGTAAAGTGAATAGGGGCCATATGCATCCACTTCCGTCCAAACCTTGCCTTATTTCTGATAATTTATTCTAGCTACATATTACTGAGGCATCTCCTGATTTTTGTCCTTGATTATAGCGAGTATTTGTTCGTTCCAGGTAGATGATGTGGTTAGTATGAAAAACATCGCATATATGTATTTTCTCAGCATTTATATTTAAAGTCGCAACATTTCGAAATATGAATATCAATTTCCGTCTGAATATTGGGAAATACTAGGTCTCCTCCTCAAACCTGTGTATCGTCACCCTACTAGTACACGCAAAATATGTAAGACTGAGATAACTCCCATCTGGCGAATGGATCGCCTGATCTTATAGCTTACACAATTTCTAAAACGAATAAATACAGAGATGGATGTAGATAATAGGAAGTATAAGGGCTTGGACCTGTCCGACTCGTGCTATTACGTCTCTTCTTCCTCCAACACTGTAAAAATATACCAGGTGGCTTGCTTCTCACCTACAGCTGCCATTTCAAAGATGGAAATAAGCTTAGCTGGTAAACTTACGCGTAGAGAGATTTCATGTTAACGTCGTCCAGTAATCTCGAGCTTGTTCCGGCATGGCACCATTTCACGCCACAGTACAACTGTACGTGTGTGTCTGTGTTGCCGTTATAACAGTCGTAGTCTCCCTTGTGCCCCCAGTATATCTGCCTCTGGCCTTCAGTTGGCCACTCATCTACGAGGTTGGCAAGTGTTTGGATGTGCCCTTAGGTGCTTGGTTGCGGCCCTGGAGGGCGGGGCCTTGCAAGTAGGGGGAACACTAAGTTAACCCCAAGTAACGTAGGAACCAGGTAGAATAATTTGCGCCGCGGTCTACGTAGAATAATTGTACAAGAACGTTGCGCAATGGAGGATTTACCCCATCCGTAACCCGCTCAATTGTGACGAGGCCGAGGCCCGAGATCGCCATTTCCTCCATCCCGGTCGGTCACCCCGAGTTGCCAGTCTTAATATATACCGTTAACACGAATCCACCATGAGAATGAACATCAGACGTACGAGGCACTGGCCTGAGAAAACCTAGAAATATGTTCATGGGATAAGAATTCAACGTTCAACGATGACAACGGCCAAAATCGGTGTTTTTTTGAAAACCCTGGGGTGATTCTATGCGTAAATGTTCGTCTTGTGGAGTATTTGTGATAACCCCAGCGAGATGTAGAATGATCGCCAGGGGACTCAGTATTAGGATAGCAAAAGCTATGAATATCACACAGCACAATCATAATAGGAGTAACTGAGAGCGAGAAATGGTAACAATGCCGTAAGTATTTTTAGCTTGTTCTCAAAATGTCACCAGCAAAGCAGGCTGCAAGCACCAGGAGACAACTACGACACCAATAGATATATGTTGGGACAGCTGGTCGGAAGAAGAAGATGGAAGGGTATCAGGGTGGTTTTGCAAGATTGAGGTAATGAAGATTATTCTGCGCGACATTGATCAGAGGAATGACCTGACTCACTGGTCATGGTGAGAGAGGTTGTGGGTATTGAACATTTGAAGCGGGCGGGGCTCAGCACGGAAGTAGGAATATAGCCGTTTGTTAAGTAGTAGGGATCACTGACCGTCATGTACGGCGTATTAGTTAATCTTGTTGGCTTCATACAATATCACAGTCTTTATGATACGTTGCTGTGGTACAATGTTCTAGTACTCGGAGCTATGTGGTACTCGCCGGTAGACCCCCATGAACCTGGTTACAGGCATGTTTCCCTTTGAACCTGAGTGATAATAGAAAGAGACGCGTAAATATTAGAGGTATGGGCTTCTATTGGCTGATACAGAGTCTTTGCGATTCCAGTTGAAGACGGCCCGTAACCACTACTCAACGTTAGTCGCATAGCGTGCGATGGCTAAACCTCCCTGCCACGTTAACTTAGCCTTAACAAGCACTCGCGGTGAATGCTTCATTCATCTCAGAAACACATCATCACCGCAGTATAGTTGTTCCCATGTGCTGGCGCTACCGACTGTTGTTTATCCATAGAGAGTGAGGAAGTGAGATGCTTACAGCGAGCCTGAAGGCGGGTATTAATCAAGAGACAACGCCACTAAACCGTTTGCGCGCTCCGTCTGTGGGGGATTTTGGTCATCCTTGGCGTTTACACGCCATCTATTATGGAACCTCAATGCCAGCATTGGTCACCAATCGGTAAGTTAACAAGCATCGATGAAAGTATGAGCAGAGAATGGTTACATTTCCGCAGCCCCGTTTTGAGAGCTAGATTATTAACGCCCGATTTGAAAGCAACTATAAGAGGCTGGGGCTCGGAGCGTACATTCTGCCTTAAGACCTTCCTCCCTTTGCAGGCGTCTTACATTTACTACTTGTCACAAGGATGCCGATTATAACGCTATACCACAACCACAAGGTTTGCTCCATGATTTTTGTGGTTGAGTGTGTTTGAAACTGATGAGTTTATGCGATGTTCTAGTTCACGAGTGACGACCAGGTCAAGACATTCGTGTCCGAGCTGTCCAAGGTCAGAGTTGCATGAGCGAGGAAGCCACTGTCACGACATTGATCGAACGACGTACAGGCCTGTGCAAAGACGATCGGCAAGGACGAATCCCTGTTCAACATCAACGTGATCTACAATCCATACATCATCTTCGGGGGAAAGATGGACGAGCCAGCGTACTTGATGAACATTGTTTGTATTCACAGACTATTTTCTGTTGTCGTTGACATAATTGAAAATTCACAGCTGAGCATTGGAATCAATATCGTACCTCATGCAGACACTCCTAGATGGAGCGCTGAGTTTGGCAAGTTCATCGAGGAGAAGCTCGGAATTGGCAGCGACCGAGGCTACATGTGAGTTTTCGCCCATGTGTATTTTTAAGTACCAGTAATGCTCACCATCCTCTTCATATATATTAGTTCTTTCAGAGACACAGGCGCTGATTACATCGGGTATGCTTATCGTTAAAGATTTGTAAACTGATCTGATAATCATCAATTAACCAATCCAGATTCAGTGGAGATACCGTCACGAATCACGGGCTCAAGGCATCCAAGTGAGAGCCAACACTATGTAGAGCAGAACTAGTTGAGCTAGGGTATGGTGAGGACATATGAATTACTCCACAATCCATATGCTATCTACATGTACGATATATTACGACGTTTGGCCCAGTAAAATTCTCAAGTGAAAGTCTTTGAATCTTGTTTGAATCTCTTCGGCGGTTGAGGAGGTTGCAATACTAGGTATAAATAGGGGTTATTGTCCCAAAGCGCCCGCACTACGTCATCTGAGTCGCGCTCAACTCCTCCTTGCCTCCGCCACTATGGTGCCATGTCCTTCCTGCTTTCTTGCTGTCGTCGCCGCGATGGTCCGCTCGTAATTCCAGAGGAAAGGCAGCCGTTTCTGGCTGGAAACAATGATCAAAACACGCTGGGGAAAGATTCGTCAGAAACGACCCCGTGGTTGACTAAAGTTGTCGAGGTCGCCACCGCCTTTAAAGCTGGAAAACTACCATCTGGAGCGCAAATCGACAATGCGGCCAGTAGGGGTATCAAAGTCGTGGACGGCACATCTAGAGGTGATACTCAACACAGCGCTCTGGTCAGGAACCTGGCAAGGTCAACAAAGCAGCTCCTTCAGAACGTCCTCCGGTTCGATTTGGAGAAGAATGAAGACGACAAGTTGCAGGATGTATACTATCGCCTCAAGACCACGGAAATTGCAGAGCACGTCTCTGTGAATGTGAGTAAATCAGAGCTGGAGCGTACTCCCGCAGAACTCGAAGGCGAGCACTAGTCTCCCCTATTCGAGGCTTTCGGCTCATGCGGTCCATCCTCCTTCAGCTACTCAAGCCGACATCACCTCTCTTTTCCAGTCTATCCTGACCGTATCCAACTTCCTTCTCACCTCCTCCGTCCTTCGACTTATCTTCCTAGACTTCTTCCGCGACTCACGCGAGGCATTATCCAAGACGGCGGAGAATGTCGGTGAGCTAGCTGCAGCTGTCGAGCAAGGCGCAAGGATTGTCGAGGATACGGTGGGAGTCAAAGCTCGTGTCAGCCCCGGAGCCACTGGTGTCCAGCAGGTCATTCACGAAGCCGAGGACCGAGCTCACGAGGTGGGCGAGACTATCAAGGAAGAAAAGTCGTTGATAGTGAGGGACGTCGCTGTGCGCAGGGCCCAAGACGTGAGTGCCTATGTTTCTTGTCAGACGTCTCTCACTCATTAACCTTTGACACAACAGTTGATAATTCGAGCGCATCAAGACGAGAAGCACTTGACTGCAATAAAAACGATCATCGATCTCATGGGCAAATATTCTCAAAAGTCTTCCGTTCTTAGCCAGATGTCCGTTGAGACTACCCCTATGCTGGAAGACCTCCTCGGAGATAGTCGCACCATTCTCGAGCGTATGGCGTCGCATCAGTCACTCGAATCCGTTGTCCAAGCCCTCCGAGCAGTCATGCGCGACTTCTATGCCTTGTTGACAGGTGCAACAGATGATGACGAGGCCGACGACACATCCCACGTCATTTCCTATGTTTCTGACCTGAAACACTACCTGGACCATGCATTATCAGATCCTCAGTTTGCTGCGTCCCTCAGTAGCAAGAGGGAGCTGGAAGGGCTTTACACCCGCGCTGCCGCCTTCTTCAACTCTTCTTCCTCCAGGCTAGCTCGCGATATGATTGAAGTACACACGCAACTTCTGCTCTCCATCAACGCTCTTATTACAGATCGTTCCACCGGGGCCCTCCTATCATCTCTAGACGAGCTCAGTCACACGATCCAGCAGTCACGCAAGGGAGGCTGGACGTACAAGCTCGTTTCCGAGCTCCTCGCATGGACGCTCCCCCGCGCCTTGCGGGTAGTCCGCACGCTGCCTCTCCCCCGCGTCGAGTACAGGGACCCGTCCACCGAGGTCGCGCTCGACAACCTCTGTCTCACGCCTGTCGTTTTCCCGACGAACGGGGGCTGGGGCGGCGTGCAGGATTATGCATACCAGAGCCCGACGAGCGGCCTTGTGCCCGACAACGTGCGCGTGCAGACGTGGAACGACACCATCGTGGACACGCAGAATGGCGCTGTGAGCCATCGGACGTGGCTGAGGCTGCAGGCGAAGGGCGTGAGGATCGCGGCGGAGAATGTGGGGTATTATTTCAAGTATTCGGCGGCAGCGTTCCCGTTTTCGTATGAGGATGAGGGTGTGATGGGTATTGAGCTCGGCGGGGAGGGTGTTGAGTTGGATGTGCAGCTTGAGATGAGTGGATCTTGGAATGACGAGGAGACGGAAGGAGGGAAGCAGGCTGGGGCGCCAGGGACACGCGAACCGAACGGCGAGAGAAGACACGAAGATGGGCTAGATCAGAACCAACTTGATGAGCGTGCTGAAAAGACGCCACCGGTGTTCATCGTACACTCTGTGCACATCCATCTTCCGCCGATCAGACTCTCGCTCAGCAGAACATCGCACCCTATCCTTAACGCTCTCCTCATCCGACCGCTGGGGAAGCGCATCGCGCGTACCGTTGTCACGCACATCCTCGAGTCGCAGATCCGCGCGCTGCTTGAGCAGACGGAGCACCTCCTCGCCGACGTGCGCAGGCGGCACACGCAGCGCAGGGCCGAGTACGCGCGCGCAGGCCGTGAGGACGAAGCGGCGACGGGGGGGATTCAGCTCAGCGACATCGTCGACGCTGTGTGCGCTGCGCTGCCCGAACAGGACGCGCGCGTCGAGGTGCGCACGCAGGGAACGCTCAAGGGGATCGTGCGACAGACGGTCGTACACGAGCGCGTCGACGAGGGCGTGCGCGTGCGAGAGTTCGAGTCTGCAGCTGGGCGTGACGGCGGGGTGACGCCGCCGCCGCATGTGGTCGTCGAGCCAGGGGCGGAGGTGACGTTCGAGGAGAACGCGGTCGCGGTGGGCGTGCAGCCGCAGCTGTTCCCGGATAGGGATCCTGGGGCGCTCGTGAGACCGTCGACGCCTCCTGGGGAGCATGTACCACGTCCGCAGGAGGTGGTTGATGAGGCGCGTAACCGCGTTCGTGGAGCTCGAGATGATGTGGAGGCTATTCCCGGGCTGGTGCGGGAGGCTGCTGAGCAGGTCGACGATGGTCCTGGTTGGCGGAGCTCTGCGTTCGATCTTTGATCGGATGTCCATCATCGTTTCTTTGGTTTGACAAATTTTTCTAATGCTTTTGGGACTGTTGCGTAGTGGCCACTGGTCGGCTTCTCATTGATGTACAGTACATGTTCTTTGGTAATCCACTCCTTTGTTATCCGTACTTGTCTTTCTTAGTATTTACATCGATGCAATGAGGGATCAACGTTGGGCATTGGAGCACTACCTCTAGCACTATGCCGGGTTAATAGGCGCAACAACCTGCTTCCTCCCCTTGACCGGCCACACCTCCGTCATCGTGTCCGTCTCCCAAAGCCTGCCGCCCCGCATCACGTACTTCATGGACTGCGTGTTCCGGATGCTGTTCGGCTTCTCGTCGTCCAGAAGGTCGACGCCGGCGGGGTAGATGACCAGGTCCGCCAGCTTGCCCGGGTGCACGGAGCCGATAGAGTTCCACAGGCCGAAGGTCTTTGCTGCGTTCGCTGTGGCTGCTTGCAGGACCTTCAAGCGCAGGATTTTGATTAGACGGTCTTATGGGTAGATCGAGCATGTGAAGGGAAACGCACTTGGTAGTTGGACATGCCACCGACGTGGGCGAAGAAAATCTCAGCGTGGTAGTTGAGCCCGAGGGGCGGCTCGCCGTGCGCGCCGATGTTGGCGAGCAGACCGCGTTCGGCCATCTTCGTGATGGATTTGGAGACATTGAAGAGCGCGTATGCTACGAGATTCAGCATGTCAAGTTTGATTATCACACGGTGAAGTTTAATATATAAAAAAGGCTTACAGTTCAAAGGGCGGTTAGGGACCTCGGAGAGTCCCTCGAGTATATCGTGCCTCGTGAACTCTCGCAGCCTTGAAGTGGAGTTTGCGTTAGTATGCGGATGAAACATGTGTTTTGGAGCTCACTTGGGGTCGTTAGGGACATCGTGATACTCGTATACGAGCTGCTCGCCCCACGCTCCGCCATAGTCCACAATATGCGTCGGAGTAGCAGCAGTGCCACTCATAGCATACAGCGTCAGAACGTCTTCATACAGCTCCGGAATGGGGATATTGTGCTCGACAGTGGTCATTCCTAGAAGCTCGATATGAGGTCCAATGCGCACAGTCAGTGGTGGATAATCAAACGCACCGTCGATGATGTAGGCCAGGTCCCAGTTGTAGTTCATGCCCTTCACCACACGTCAGCCCATCTCCCCCGAAGTCGTTGCAGTGGAGAAAATAGCTTACACCTTCCGGAACACAAAGCATCGACAAGTTCTTAGCCTGCAACAACAACCTCTGGCGCGACGCCCTGCACCAACCAGCCTCATGAGCACACGATCTACCAACCCAACGCCACAAAAAGCAAAGCACGGCGCTCACCTCGAAGGAAGATTATAGTTCTTGTACGAAAAGCTCGCAGGCCCGCCCTCCGCCTTGATCCTGATGAGCGCCGAGCGCGCCTCCTGCATGTCCGCGATGTCCGCGTGGTAGTGCAGGTTCGACGCGCCGTAGATGATGTTGCCGACCTGGAACGAGCGCGGGCCGATCATGAGGCCGTTTTCGATGCGCCCGCGCTCGACGTAGCCGCCGACGTTTTCGAGACTCGGGCTGTTGGTGAGCGCGGTTTCGCGTTAGTGATCCGTATGCATAAGGAGCGGGAGGGAGGGGCTTACTTGTGCAGGGTGGTAACCCCGTACGCGAGGAAGGTCTGCATCTCCCAGGACGTCGTGGGGTAGTGCGTCTCCGTGCCGCTCCAGTGAGCGTGCGCGTCGATGAAGCCCGGTACGACGTAGCCTGGAAAGCAAAGCAAACAACAGTGTCAGCGATCGGCTCACTGCAGCACAAACATAGCAAAGAGGTTTTACCTCCGTCAGCTTCGATAACCGTCGCACCGGGTGGGACAACCGTCGTCTCAGCATCGCCCACCGCCTCGATCACACCCGCCCGAACAACAACCACACCTCCGCTCACCAGATCCCGCGCGCGCGCCCCGTGCTGCATCGTCAGCACCGTCGCATTGCGCACCACGACCACATCCGCATCGTCGTTCTCCGGCGACGCCGCGCGCGCGTCGCGCTTGAGCCGTGCGATGTCCGTCGGGAAGCGCACGTCGAGCTCCTGCACGTCGAGCTGCTCGCGCGTGCACGCGATGCCGAACGTCGATGCGTCGTTTTTGATCGCGCGTGTGCAGTGCCGGAGCTTGCTGAGGTCGATGGAGTGCAGATAGGGGCCTGTGTTAACGCACACGCAATAAGAAGAAGAAAGCGTCAGCATCGGAGCCCGGACAGTCCATGTATAAAAACGGGGCAGAACGCACCAAGCAGCCAAAACAGCCTCCTCCCGTCGCCGCTAAACGCAACATCATGCCCCCCGTCCAAACTCACCCGCGCGATCCCCCTCGTCGCCTTCCCAGGGCGACTCCACAGCGCCTCGTCCCTCCCGAAATCGCGCCCGTCCACGACATACACATGATAATTATCCACGAACGCCGCCGTGCGCGCCGCGTACCCTCCTTCTCCCCCCCTGCGCGCCTTGCGCGGGACAACGGCGAGCCCGTCGGACGCTTTGCCCGTCGCGAGCGTCTCGTGCGCGTGTTTCCCCGTGTAGGCGTCAGGCGCGGAAGCGAGATCGAGCACGTACGCGCGGTCGGATTCCTGGATGAGCAGGGTGCGGTTCGCGTCGATGAAGCGCAGGCGCAGCGCGGGGTCCTCGGTGGCGATGTCCGTGCGCACGTAGCGCAGGTTTCTGAGCTCGACTGTCTCCGCGTCGCCGGAGATGGCGCGCGGGAGCGCAATCTCGCCGAGATACAGCCCCGTGTTCGCAGTAGCGACCACGTCGCCCGTGAGCACGTCCCCGCCGGTCTTGACGAACGCGACCGTGCGCACCGTCGCGCCTGCGCACGCGCACAGCACGGGCGCGTAGTACCGTCCCAGCGGGAGACCCGCGATCTCAAGCGCACCGCCAGAAACATTCGCGATCTCGATCGCGCTGAACGCGCTGTCCGACCAGCGCGCGTGCACGACGAGGTCCGGCGCGCCGGGCACGAACGACGCGGCGTAGTACGCCTGCGCGGGGCGCAGCACGGGCACTCTCCGCGGCGCAGCGTCGCTTCCTTCCCCACTGACGGCGGCGACATCCTGGACGTACGTAGCGCCCGCGGCGTGGAACAGCACCCTGCGCCCGCCGTCGTCCGCCTGCAGCTCCTTGAACGCGTGCAGCCTTTGCGTCTCCGCCGTCTCCATCCGCACCAGATCCGCCGTATCGCCGCTGCGCGTCTCCGCGAGGCGCTTGCGGATCGTCGCGCTGAACCTGATCGGCGCGGGAGACGCGCCTGTGGCCGCGACGCGCTCGCCGTCGGCGTTGACGCTCAGTGGGACATTGTAGATCTGGCCGGCGGCCCAGAGTATGATGGCGGATGAGGAGGGGGTGAACGCGAAGGAGGGGTATGTGCCCATGGGCGCGTAGATCGTGGAGAGGTCGTATGTGAGCCCGTGCCAGATGTGGTGCAGTGTGCCGGTGTGCAGGTCCCTGCGCGGGGGCCGCGGTGAGATATATGCGTGGAGCGCTGTGGAGAAAGGCTCACTTCAGGACGAGCGCCTCGCGGTCGCGCACGCGGCGCACGAAGGCGAGCGTGCGTCCGTCGCGCGAGAGCTCGGGGCGGCTGGCGCCGCCGGGGAACGCGCCGACGAGCGTCTCGGTCTCGCCGGACGTGAGGTTCTTCGCGAAGATGGCGTATATGCCGCTGTGGACGTCTAGTTCGCGGAGCGATCAGAACCTCTCTCGCAGGAGCAACCCGAGCGCACCTTTGCTATACGTAAAGACCCCATCGTCTACGACGTTCTTCGAGTAGATCAGCGTGTCCTCGCCCGCCCAGATGAACTGCTCCGCGCCGATCTGCTGGCCTTCGTAGTCCTCCTTGGACCATCCGGGCGGCAGGGTTCTGCCGACGACGCGGGTGCCGGCGCCGACGGGGATGATGTTGTTCTGCGTTTGGGCGCCGGGCAAGTCGTACGCCCAGCCCTCGCCGGCTCCAAGACTGCGTTCGGAGAAGTAGCGCTTGGTCGCGATGATCTTGTCGCCCGAGGGGTGGAAACGGGCGTCGGCCACGAATCTGTACGTCTCGTTCGTCACGCGTTGGGCTAGTTGTGGCCACTTCAGTAAGCTAAACTAGGTCAGCCAAGGCACTGATACACGTACCTCCAAGCCGTCCCTCGCGCAGCAGCCTGTTGTGCGTTCTCTCCGCAGTCTCGGGGACGCCCTGGGCGAGGAGGTCCTCGTCGAGGTCCCTGGTCTCCAGCACACGCGCGAGGTCGGCGTTCGCGCGAGACGACACGCTCAGGTCCATCGCCTCGCAGCCCTTCCACTCCGTGATCCAGATATTATCCACACCAGACTCTGCATCGCTCGTGAACAGCAGCCTCCTCCCATCCGGCGAGAAATGCGGCTCCGAGTCGAACGGCACGCCCTGCGTAACAGGAACCGCGCGCGTCGGCGGCGCGCCCTCCAGGTGCAGGTTCGGGAGGTACGCCGAGGCGGGGAGACAGTACAGGTCTCCGACCATGTCGAAGACGATGTCGCCTGACGTGGGGTGCACGTCGAGGCGGAGCCAGGTGCCCTCCTCGACGTCGTACTGCAGGAGGCGCGGGTAGGGGAAGTCGGTGGAGATGTCCCACGAGGCGCTGGGGCGGAAGGGGAAGATGTCGTCTTTGAACTCGGAGGCGGGGTCGTCGGCTTGGGCTGAGTTGGGCTGGAGCGGAGAAGTGTCGAGGGCGCGGGAGAGCGAGGAGAGGACGGGAGGCGCGTAGATGCATATGAGGGCGAGGGTGGCTGCTGCGAGGAGGGCGCGGGTGCGCTTGTTCCTGGTGGGTGTGGTGTATGTGGGTGGACTTGCTAATGGGAGGCCACCTTTGCCTCCCGGAGACTCTATGCACTCGAATTTGGCCATACTCAAGGGTACGACCAGGGGAAGAGGCAAGAGACGAGGCGTGAGTGTGGGACAACCCCGGCCCGGCTCCTTGCGACCTCCTCCTACGTCTTGTTCACTGAGCTTTCGTCCACACATGCTACCACTGAACATGTAGCTTTATCTCGTTGCTCATTGACAAGACAAAGCAACAGCAAGTCGTCACAAAGCTCCCGATAAACATCAGCCCCTTGTAATCACGTACGGTACACAGGCCAAGTGTCGACTTATTAGTAAATTGCTAGTGATAATGCCTTGCAAAATGTTAAAACCCAAAGCAAGAAACAGCACACTAATCCGTGTCCATGTCCTGCTCTGGCTCACCCATCACAATCTGCTCAGGAACACCCAGATCCTCCTCGTCCCCTTGCACCGCGCCCTCTTTCGTCCCCGCCCCAGAGCCACCAGAGTTTCCCTGCATCGAACGTTGCCGCGGCATCTTCTTCCCCTTACCGCTCCTGCTCCTGCTCACGAGCTGCACATCGTCGTCCCCATCCCCAATCGTGAGCACAGCCGCGAGCGTGGACTTGGTGCGTGTGCGGTATCTGATGTCCTCATCCTCGTCCTCTGGCGTGACCTCGTCATGCACATCCAGCGAGCCCGTTGTGAGCGCCACCCGGATCTCCGACGCGGCGTACGGTAGGATGGGAGGCAGCGAGACGAGGAGAAGCGAGAGGTGCGTGATGGCCGCGCCCATTGCACTCAGGTGCAGGGTTTTGTACCTACCGTTTTATATGTCATTCGTTGAGCTTTCGTCTTCTTACGGGTTGGGGAGATGAGGAGAGACGCCACGTCGCAGGGGGGGGGAGAACAGAGATGGGGACGGCGCGAGGGTGTACGCACCCGTCTTTGAGGAGGAGGTCCTGGCACCGCCGGAGGTACGCGCCGAGCTTGGTCTTTCGCGTGATGCAGATAAAGTTCTTTCCCTCGTGGTGCGTTGAGCGCGGGCCCGTCGCAGACACCGAGCGGGGCACGGTGGGGTACGGGCGGCGCGGAGTCAGCTTCCTGATGTTGCTCGGCCGCGGCTGGGGCTGAGAGGGACCCGCTTTCGATGGTGCTGCTGCAGACATGGCAGTGACTTTCTTCGCGGCTCCGTTGTTATCTTTGAGTCGCTTTTCGTTAGTACTGGCGTCGTCGGGAGCGCCTGCCTTCCGCTTTCCGCCTGCCATAGAGTGACTCGCCTGTAGTCAGTGGCGGTAGGAGACAGAGATATAAATGGCCGGCCCTAAATGCGGCAAGTGAGCACGAAAACTTCCACTTCATAAGCAAATAGATCCCCAATCGCCCGCCCACCTGCACGCCCTTTCCCCCTTCCCCCCAATCCCTTTTTCATTGAAAGGACTAAAACCCGCTTGTGTATTTGCTACCCCGGCAGCAGCAAGACACTCGAATCGCGGCAAGCAAGGATGAGTCAAGATGTCGCAGAGCAGAACATTCAGATGTGGAAGGTCAAGAAGCTCATCAAGAGCCTTGACGCCGCCAGAGGGTGCGCTGTCCCGTCGCCTGTTCGCTTCCTTTCGTCTAACGTATGTTTGATCTCGACGCACAGAGCAGGCACGTCTATGATCAGCCTGATCATCCCGCCCAAGGTACGCTCGATCTCGCCGGATAGCCCGCCCCCTCCGCCCTGCTGCTAACACATGGCCTCGTTGCGCGCCTGTCGTTGCTAGGATCAAATCTCGCGTGCGTCCGCGATGCTGACGCAGGAGTACGGCACCGCGTCCAACATCAAGTCGCGCGTCAACCGGCTCTCGGTCCTCGCCGCCATCACGAGCACGCAGCAGCGCCTCAAGCTCTACAACCGCGTCCCGCCCAACGGGCTCGTGCTCTTCGTCGGCACGATCCTCACCGACGAGGGCAAGGAAAAGAAGGTCTCGTTCGACTTTGAGCCGCACAAGCCCATCAACACGTGCGTCTCTCCCCCGTCTGCCCTAAGCATACAGGCAACACGGCCCTGACCCTTCCGTTTGCTATCACAACACAGATCGCTATACCTCTGCGACAACAAATTCCACACGGAAGCGCTCTCAGAGCTGCTCGAGTCCGACTCGCGCTTCGGCTTCATCGTCATGGACGGCAACGGCACGCTCTTCGGCACGCTCGCGGGCAACACGCGCGAGGTCATCCACAAGTTCACTGTCGATCTCCCCAAGAAGCACGGCCGCGGTGGTCAATCCGCACTTCGTTTTTCGCGCCTGCGCGACGAGAAGCGCCACAACTACGTGCGCAAGGTCGCGGAGCTCGCGGTGCAGCACTTTATCACCGCGGACAAGGTGAACGTGAACGGGCTCGTGCTCGCGGGCAGCGCGGACTTTAAGACGGAGCTGAGTCAGAGCGATATGTTTGATCTGCGGTTGGCGGCGAAGGTGATCAAGGTGGTGGATGTGAGTTATGGCGGCGAGAACGGGTTCAACCAGGTGCGTCCGTCCCATTTTTTTTACGATGTCTCGGAGTATTGATCGGTATACCGCAGGCCATTGAACTTGCGTCCGAGTCTTTGGCCAACGTCAAGTTCGTCCAGGAGAAGAAGCTCATCCAGAAGTACTTTGATGAGATCAGCCAGGACACGGGCAGATACTGCTTCGGTATCGACGACACGCTGAAGGCGCTCGAGCTTGGCGCCGTGGAGACGCTCATCGTGTGGGAGAACATGGACATCACGCGCTACATCCTGCGCAACGCCGCTGGCGGTGAGCAGCATCTCTTTTACCGCTTAACGAGACCTCCGGTGCTTAACCACGCATCGCAGAGGAAATTGTGATCCACGCAAACAAGGAACAAGAAAAAGACCGCGAAAAGTTCACAGACAAGTCCACCGGGCTCGAGATGGAGCAGCTCGCGGAGCCGCAGCCCCTCCTCGAGTGGTTCGCGGAGAAGTACAAGGAATTCGGCGCGGCGCTCGAGTTCGTGACGAACCGCTCGCAGGAGGGCGCGCAGTTCGTGAAGGGGTTTGGCGGGATTGGGGGGCTGCTACGGTATAAGGTGGATTTGAGCAATCTGGCGAGTGTGGATGATGAGGAGGACGAGTTTTATTCGGACGATGATGATATTTGACGGTATTGTTGGCTCTTCGGAGCCCGGGATGTTCTGCGGGGCACGCCGGGCGGGGTGGAAGGTGGGTGTGGGGGCACGGGTGTCGAAAGAATGAACGGGGAACGGAATGGAATCGGAAGGGAGGACGAGGACGAGGACGAGGACGGGTTTGTGATTGTTGAGAGGGAGATGGCGAGGTATGCCCCGACGGGCCGGGCCTGTCATACGGTGGTCAACGGTTTTGCGGGTACGTTGTTTCTGATGGATTTGTCCGCGGAAGAACCAAAGTGCTAACGCTTTGGACTTTGCTTCCACGCAGCGTCATTCAATGGATTTTCGGACGCCCTTTTCCGGCCATTGTCGTTCAAACGTGGTGCCCCACGACGACCTTGTGAAAGGGTGAAGGTGTTGTTACCGCTTTGTAAATCCAGTCGGAGGCGGGAGTAGTGTAGTTGGAGCGTAGTACGATAACGATGCTTTGACACTTTTATTATCCCGTACTGTAATTCTATGTTGTGCTTTTCTTGTCTGTTGTGTGTTAGCCGATGTGGACTTTGTTCCGGCGATTAGCCAAGGTGCACAGGTCATAGGGAAATCGGACATGGCTTATCTTGCTAATATCATTATTGGAGATTTTCGAGGCAATACGATAAGGTGTACAAGTGATATGTGCTTTACAACTACAACTACTCGACGAGCTTTACCTTGGTGAGAGGTTTAGAGCACCTGCCAAATTGGGTCAGGCAAACTCGCGCTCGCCCAAACTCTCGATCCCAAACTCCTTTCCGAGCGGGGCCTTAGGTGTTGGGCAGAAGCTTGATGCGGACGCGCGGAAGGTCGGTGAGCGGATCGGAGACCGAGATTCAGCTGGCGTTGGTCTGCAGCTCGCACGCCTAAGGCCCCGCTCGGAAAGGAGTTTGCGAGCGAGAGTTTGGGCGAACGCGAGTTTGGGCTACCTCAAAAGGAAAATCTGAGACGCGGCGCGAGCAGCAAAATGTGAGCTGAATTCATCCTGGTCTACGCTCTTATGTTCTGTACACCCGGATTCCAGAGTCAATGTGTCCACGAAAATTTAATGCACGTTAGCTTATCTTGCTAATATCATTATCGGAGAGTGATAACGGAACCGATGGATCAGCTGGCGTTGGTCGCCCGGGACTCTAATGTCGAAAAGACCTTTCCATTCGAGCAGCTGGCGCGTCTAGCAAATCGATGATGGCTGACGGTACCAAGCTTTTGGACAGTCAATCGAGACCGTTAGTCCTCGTTAGTCCTGATGAAGCGACTCGGAGCCTTCGTGGGGAACTGGGGCATTGAACGGCTCGCTGTGAAAAATGAACGGTCTCTATTGACAGACGTGTGATAGTAGTACCATAAATCACTTGCATTTTCATTGTCCGCCTGGTGTGCGATCCTGTGCGATCGAGTAGAGGACTAGAGGTAAGCTTTCTTTCGCTGTCCGTAAACGCGGCATTGGATCAATCAACGTTTCACACCGAAAACTTCCGCTTATGCGCGCTTATGCGGCAAACATCAGCCTGAGAGGCACTTCTTCGGACAGCTCGCCAAACCAAGTCAACCAAGAAGTCAACGTAATTCTTCCTATTGCCTCATCGATGCAGTGTACCAAAGCTACGTCCGCTTTATCATTGGGGTGTGGCGGTAACCATAAATCGTATAAAAGGTGGTGAGACGTGCCTCCTAAAATCATTAGGTGAACCTTTCCTCACCTGTCCTATACCCTTTTCCTTACATATTATGGCACCATCGCTCCATTCACCCAGCGTCATGCGTGGAAAAGGACGGCGACAGAAGGCAAGAGCCACCCTTGAGCAGCAATAGCGTTCTGATTTTCTGTAGGAAGCCATCTTAAAGTGTATGGTAAATGGCTGCACATCAGATTTCACAAGCAGGAGAGACGCTCGAGTTCATTTTGAAGGCGTTCAGTAATGTTTCTCAATAATTTCATCTTAGATAGCAACTCTGATCCTAGATTGTTATTCTTAGCATGAATCATGGTCGCTTTCAGTGCAAGAAGTGCCAGTATTATACTGCGGATCATAGTGCGATTGTACGTCACCAGAAGGCCAAGCATGATATCACGTCGCCCCTCAAGTGTTGGACGCTGGTAGAATGTCCCGGTAAGTGATCACTCCCTTGGAAATGCTACGTTGAAAGACTGACGTACGCGAAGAACGCTGGGAAGAATACTGCTTGCCGCTCCGGAACTTCCGGAACTCAAGATCTGACGCCGGTGTCAGCTCCCCCACTGACGCCGCCGTTAGCCCCCCCTTTGACGCTGAACAACCTTTCATAGCGAGAGAAACCAGCTGCAGCGCCCCGTCTGCCGATACCATGCGGGCCCCTGTCAACGTCACTCCGGAGTACGTTACTAGGCTTTCAGAGAACGCCAATAATTTCCTAAAAACATTCCGTGGACTATAATCGTCTGCGAGCATCAACATCCTGTGCGTAGATGATAGAATGCGCTTCTATCCTGTACATACTGTATATCCTCAACCGCAATTCTCGGAGTAGAAGTAAATGCCATAGATAGTTATCCGAACTGATATCCCAACTCGGCTGGGAACGCGCATACGCGTAGCACAAGGAGAGCTCGAAATTTGAGAGAATAAGAGGGTGCAAAAGAAAATACTTACTACACTGAGTGGGCGGGTGCAAAGCGAGTGCCTGTCACGAACAAGTGAAATCAAATCGAGCGAGCGACGCAAACAATGAAAAACTGCTGGGTTATGAAAGTGTTATGAAGTTTTCAAGCAGAGCATCGCTCATGAGGTCGAAGCAGCACGGTGCAGATGTCGAAGCGCGTGGCCGATCCGATCAGGACCGGAGACGTCGCGTGTCCAGACGCGTCTAAGCGAGGCGAGGGAGCGCGCCTGTGGCAACGTGACGCGTGACGTCAGACTTTTGGACCAAGCGTGGGCACCGTGACGCGCCCGTGGCGCCGTTGCTTTGACACCCTCGTTTCAGTTTATAAAGGGCGTCACTGGGGCACTGGGAAACGGTACACCGAACAAATTCCCTCGAACCGATCAACAACATCAACCAACTCTCGAACGCTTTTGACGATATACAATCATAATGGCTGGTGCGTAGATCTCCCCGGGTCCCTTTGGGTGATGGGAACGCAAGCTGACTCACGTCCTTTCGAATCCTCAGGAGGTAGGAAACGCACCGCTGACGAGGCAGCCGCTGGCAGCACTGAGAAGCGCGAGACACGTAGTGCAAAGACGGCCAAGACTGAGGGCGGCGCTGCGGGGAAACCGAAGAGCGCGGCGGGTAAGCAGGCAAGAGGCACTGCGAAGCTCAAGGTGCGCCATAATGCCCACTACCCCACGGTCAAACGCTGACGATCCCGTTGTTGACGTGTACTCGAACCTGCACTGTGGACTGTGTACAGACCTCCGTCTCGCAAACGGCCTTCCTCGCGCGCGCGCTGCCGTTGCATATCAATATCACGCACACACCGCCTGCGATCCCTGACGGCGAGGAAGAGCGCGTGCCAGCGACGGACGCGGATCCGGGGTTCCTAGGCACAACTGCGCTCGTGCCGAGCGGGTTCGCGACGGGGAGCTATGGGTGGAAGGGCAACAAGCGGCTTACGATCGAGCTGCCCAGCGCAGAGGGTGCGGAGGGTGGAGGGGAGAAGGAGAGAGTGCATGTGATGATTACGTGAGTTTTGGATTTTGTTGCTCCGTGGCGTCTTTCCCCTCCTGCCCCAGTCGTCGTTATTGAAAGCTAACGCACTGGTGTTGTTCACAGGATAAATGCTACTGTTATTGGTAGCAAGGACGCTAAGAACGGTGACGAGGCTAAGGAGGGAGAGACGGAGAATGGTGAGGCGCCTGTGGAGAGCGCTGAGGGCGCTCTGGCAGCTACGGAGGGAGAGGGTGCGCCCGCGGATGAGAAGGAAGCTTGATGTATGTATATGACATCTAATCGTGCGCAGTGTACTGGAACAAACGTGGGATTCAGCGTGGTGTATTTCTGACGAATTTGAATTTGTTTTGTTGAATGTCTTCACAGTTCGAGGCTTGAGAATTTGGGTCAGCGTAGGGCATCACCTTCACTAGTACGACGCTGAGGTATTGTCTCTGTTGACTAGAGGATACAAAATTACAGGTACATCCTGTTGGATATTCCGTCAGCGTAGTTTTGAATGCTAATAAATGTGTCGCACCTAAGATAAAATACTCCGAAGAAACACTTTCTGGTCTACATGTCGAACTCGAACTCCGAATCCGAATCGTCCTTGACCGAAGCCCTGACGTTTTTGGGGGTCCGTGCGTTGGTGCTGGTCGCAGCAGAACGCATGCGTGATGACGGATCCCGGTCGCGCGCTTCATCTTCCTCATCCTCTATATCTGAATCGTTCTTGTTCTGGTTTGCTGGTGGGCGCTCGGGGACGTCGATGGCGCCGCATAGAATCAGAAGTGCTTCGAGTTCTACGAAAGAACAGTGAGTTAGAACGCCAGCCGAGTGGAGAAGGCACTGCGCACCCTCCATCCGCCGCTCTTTGTCAGAGCCCCATGAGAGCAGCTGGTTGCGGATCTCGCCTTTGCGGTAGATGATGAACATGGGGATGCGCGTGTCGGGGAGGTTCTCGATGCACTTGTTACCGACGATGGCGACGAATTTGGAGCGAGGGTACTTGGTGGCGAGCGCGCGGACGTGCTCGAATGTGCGGTCGCTTCTTGGGATGCTTTGTAAAGATGAAAGGATTCAATACAGAGGTGAGCGACGACTCGAGGAGAAACGCACCCATCCTTGTACAAGAAGCAAATGACACCTGTTCCACTCTCCTCCTCGTCCCCCTCCTCGTCGACCTTGCTCGCCTCTGTCACCTCCCGCGTGTACTCGTCCCTGTTGATGGGGATGATGCTGCCGAATCGGGCGCGCTTCTGCTCGCGGCGCTCCTCGGCGGCGCGCTGCCGTCGGTACGCCTCGATGGTGCGCTCCATCTCCTCATTGTTCACGTCCTCTTCAAGCGCCTTGAGTTCGTCATCCCCAAGGTCATCGAGCGTGTCTTCTAGTTTTGGAGAGCCGGGTGGGGAGGGTGTGGGAGGGGTGGTTTCGCGCTGGGGGATGATGCCGTGTTTGCGGAGGGCATCGTTGCTGCAAACTTGTTGGCTTAGTTGTGGGGTGTGGGTGGGGGGACTTACAATTCAGTGTCTTCGTTGTAGTTGATGTTCATGGTTGTTTGAGATGAGGATGTATGCGCAGATTTATGGTAGAGAGTGCACGCAGCCGCAGTTGTTGTGGTGAGATCATGATAGGAGCGATCTGATCAGCCGACAACAGCCGGTTTAGCGCACAAAGCACCTCTTCCTCATCCACCTCAGTCTGCCACCCCGCGAGGATCTGACAGGATATATAGTCGTCAGACGGACACGCGCTGGCCTCTACATGTCCTTTCTCTCCCTTATCCTTTCTCCTCTCGCATGACCATCTCCCAAGACACCCCAAATCCCGCGCCCGACAGCACCACCACCGCAGCCGCAGTCTCCGAGTCCCTCCTCCCGCGCAACTACCAGGAAGAGATCTTCCGCCGTGCGCAGGAGGGTAACGTCATCGCAGCTCTCGACACTGGTTCGGGGAAGACGTTCATCAGCATCCTCCTCATCAAATGGATGGTCCTCCAGGAGCACGCCCGCGACAAGGTCATCGTCTTCCTCGTCCCCAAGGTCGCCCTCGTCGAGCAGCAGGCCAGCTTCATCTCCAAGCACACGCCGTCGAGTTTCCGCGTCAAGAAGTTCCATGGCTCGCTTGATCTCGACCTTGCCGACCGGGGGAACTGGCAGAAGTCGTTCGAGGGGTCGGATGTCGTCGTTATGACAGGTGCGAGTGCGAGCTGGTCTCTGCGAGAAGGAGCTGTGTTGAGACGTCTGTTTTTGCTTTCGGGTGTACGCAGCTCAGATCTTCCTTAACATATTGACGCACTCGCACTGGAGTATCGAAAAAGTGAGATATGACCGCAACAGATTTTTGGCCTTTGACGTTTATGCCGCAACTGCCAGGTATCTCTACTTATCTTTGATGAGTGCCATCATACCCGCAAAAACCACGCATACAACGGCGTCATGCGCGAGTATTTCACTCTGTCTACGGTGCATAGACCAAAAGTCTTTGGCATGACTGCGTCTCCGATCTGGAACCCCAAGGACGCCCAGGGTTCCCTGCTTACACTCGAGAAGAACCTTAATGCCACTGTTATAGCAGTGCGCGAGCACCTTGCGGAGTTGTTGGAACACTCGCCACGACCATTAGAGGTGAGTATATGCATTGAGGGGGCATAAAGTTGGCTGATCCTGGACTCTCAGATAATCAAAGAATACGTCCCGCCTCCCGATAATTATATCTACCTCAAGCCTTCCCTTTGGGACTGCATATCCGTATTCGCCCAGGGCGACACCGCGCAGCTCATATCCTGGGACAAGCTCAAGATGCGGTACTTCGTCACCCGAAATACACTCGGCCCTTACTGCGCCGACCTGAACCTCTACCACGACATCAAGGCCAAGGTGCGGCAAGAGGTCGAAGAGATCTACGACACCCAGCTCAGCCAGCGGCCAATCGACCTCGAGGACCCCGCGTTCGCGATGGACGTCGACGACGGCACCCCTGACAACTTCGAGCAAGACTTCTTGGACCGCATACCCGACGACCTCAAGCACATCGACGCCATCGTCTCCGAGTTCACGCACTACTTCGACCGCGGCTCCACTTCCCCATCCGCGTCCCCCTCTCCATCCGCATCCACACCCCCCTCCGAGATACCCATCACGATCCCGCTCGCGTGGTGCGCGCCCAAGGTGAAGGCGCTCGTGGACGTGCTGCTCGAGCACCACTCGGCGTCGCCGGGCAGCTTCCACGGGATCGTGTTTGTGGAGCAGCGGCACGTCGCGATGTGTCTTGCCAAGATTCTGCCGCGCATTCCGGAGTTGAGGGAGCATATTCGGTGCGCGGAGCTGGTGGGCCATGGGACGGGCCATCAGCATAAGAAGAATCAGCCGCCGACGGCGCAGGCGAGGGGGATGGGACTGGCGAGGCAGCAGGATATTGTGAGGTCGTTTAGGGAGGGGAAGCTGAACCTTCGTGCGTTGTTTTTGATCTGTGTGGACGTGCAGTATTTAATGCTGGTTCATAGTTATCGCGACATCGGTTGCAGAAGAGGGGCTGGATTTTCCTGTGTGTGTTTTTCGCCATGTAGCAGATCACAACTGATGCGCTCGCTCGTAGGCATGCGATATTGTGGTCCGTTTCGACCCCGTCCACCATATGGTCGGCTACGTCCAGTCCAGAGGCCGAGCGCGCACCAAGACCTCCGCGTTCGTGATCATGGTGCAGGCGGGGTACGACACGCACCGCGAGCGCTACCGCAACCTCTCCGAGAGCGAGCCCGAGCTCAAAAAAGTGTACCAGTCGCGCGAGCAGCTCCCGCAACCCGAGCCCGAGCCCTCCTCCGAGTCCGAAGAGGGAGAGGTGGAGGAGGAGGACCCGGCAGACATCGCCGTGCGCGAGCGCTATGTCGTCCCGTCCACGGGCGCGGCGCTGACGTACGGCTCGGCGATCGGGCTGGTCAACTACCTGTGCTCGCTGCTGCCGCACGACCAGTACACGGAGCCGCCGACGCCCAAGTATTTTGGGGACTACGCGGCGACGCTTGATCTGCCCGCGAGTCTGCCGCTGCCGCTCGACAAGCGGCGCTTTCGAGGCCCGATTCGGCGTTCGAAGCGCGAGGCGAAGCGCGCGGTGGCGTTTATGGCGGTGAAGGAATTGCACAAGCTAAATGTGTTTGACGACTACCTGCTTCCGTCGTCGGGCGCGAAAGGGCGGAATACGGAGGACGCGGACGGGGTGAAGATCAGCGAGACGGCGGATATACCGGATGATCTGGATGTGATGGTCCGGGACCCGTGGGTGCTCGGGCCGACGCTGTGGATGCACAAGCTGCTTGTGGACGGGAAGGTCGTTGCGGGGCTCGTGACAGGCACGAGCTTCCCGCCGGTGGAGCTCATGGCGGAGGGCAGCACGCTGCGGGTGCGGTGCGCGTACGCGTTCAGGCTGGACGAGGACAGCGAGTGGGAGCGGTTCCGCATGCTGGACGAGTACACGAAGCTCGGGCTGTGGTTCTGCGTCACGGGGCGGCGGTTCGTGGCGCCTACGACGTGCTTCCTCGTGCCGCTCACAATCGAGGACGAGATCGACTACGCGCAGATCCGGGGAGTGCTGAGGGAGCCGTACGGGTCGCCGGACTGGTCGAGGGTCAAGGAGGAGGATCTAGGGAGGACGATGGTTATGAACACGAATCAGCATGGACGGCCGCTGATTTTGCAGAATATCAGGGAGGATCTCACGGCGATGTCGACACCGATGCCTGGGACGCGGGAGGACGCGTGGCCGACGTACTACGAGTTCTGGGTGAACCGATGGACGCGCAAGGACCGCGAGGCGGATGTGCCGAAGGACTGTCCGCTCATTGGTGCGACGTATGCGCCGCGGAAGCCGTCTGGGGCGTACAGGGTGCAGGCGAGGCTGGAGAACGCGGACAGGTTCAAGAACCAGGACGTTGGGCTCGGGCTGCTTGCGCCGAGAGACTGCTGTCGGATCGTCCATTTCCCCCCGCACATCTACAATGCGTTTCATCTGCTGCCCAAGGTGTGCCGGCGCCTGACGGACGTGTATCGTGCGCAGGCGCAGCGGTTCGAGCTGGGCCTTCCTCCCATCGCAGACGATCTGCTCATCGAGGCTGCTTCGCTCCCTACTACCCTGCATACGTGGAATAACCAGCGCTTCGAGACGCTCGGCGACTCTGTGCTCAAGCTCGGTGTTACGGTTCACATTATGAACAAGTACCCACATCGCCACGAGGGGCAGCTCTCCAAGCTCCGACAGAGCAGCGTGTCCAACCGCACGCTCCTCGCGCGTGCGAAGGAAATTGGGCTGGAGATATTCCTCAACAGCGAAACGCAAAGCCTGCAATCGTGGCGCTACGTCCACCCGTCCGAGTGCACCGCATCCGCATCCGCCGCGCTCACTGCCGGCACCGCCGAGTCACCATCGTCAAAAGCGCCCGCCCGGCGCGCAAAGCGCGAGTTCCCGCGGCGGAGCCTGCAGGACTGCATGGAAGCGACGCTCGGCGCCGCGTTCTACCACGGCGGGATGGACATGGCGCTCCGCGCGGGCACGGCGCTGGGCCTGTCGTTCGGCGGGGAGCTGCCGTGGTGTGCGCGGTACGGGCGTGTCCCGGACCCTTCTCCAGCTCCTCCGCTCTTTGAGGAGCTGCAGAGCGGTCTGGGATACGAGTTCCATCGCGGGGACTTGCTCGTGGAGGCGGCGACGCATCCGAGCTTTGCGACGAGTGCGGGGGCGTCGTATCAAAGGCTGGAGTTCTTGGGAGATGGTGTGTGCCCCATCCACGCCTGCGTGTCGTGGTTTTTTCTTCTTGTTTTCTTGGCGATGTGTGTTGATGATGGGGTCGTGTGATAGCGCTGCTGGACGTGGTGGTGATGCGCTACCTGTTCCACAAGTACCCCAGGGCGACGTCGGGCCAGCTTTCTGTTGCGCGCTCGCGCGCAGTGTGCGGGCCGACGCTCGCGTCTGTCGCGGTGAAGCGGCTTAATCTGCACCAGATTCTGCTCATCAACAACGTCGAGCTCAGCATTGCGATCAGCCGACATGTGCCGCTGCTGCAGAATCTGCCCACCCAAGAGATTGTGCTCAAGGCGTGGAAGTACGACCCGCCGAAGGCGCTGAGCGATATCATGGAGAGCGTGTTTGGGGCGGTGCTCGTCGACTCGGCGTACAACTACGAGAAGGCGGCTGCGGTGGTGGAGGAGGTGATGAGCGAGGTGCTGGAGCTGATTAGTCCGAGTGTCGCGAGGGATCCGGTGACGGATCTGATGCTGTGGTCTGCGGCGGCTGGGTGTTCGAGGATCACGTTCCAGTCAGCATTCCCTTTCTTTTGCTGTCATCACATATTGGTGCTAACATTATTATGCAGGAAAAGCCAATCGCACCCCGAGCTCAGGCGGAACGACAGCATCTCGGTGCTTGCGCACGGAATCGTCATCGTCGGACCTGTCACAGCCGCCAATCCCTCGCTATCAAAAGGTCTCGCGTCTGAGCGCGCCCGAGCCATTTTGGACGACCCCACGCACGAGTTCCACATCAAGAAGATGTGCAACTGTCGCGAGAAGCCGAAAGACACGTCGGAGGATATGGATATGGACGGCGCCCAGGATGGTTTGGGGAAGATTACCATCAACGAGAATGATATTACAGACGAAACGGAGGAGGGTTTTGCGGTGCTGGCACGGCAGAAGCTGGACGAGTCGCGCAAGGAGGAGGCTGGGAGTACACCGGAGGGAGACGAAGAGGAGGTGATGTATGAGGGGGGAGATAATCAGGATATGGACATCGATGACTGAGCGAGTGTTCCTGAGATAGCTTGCTTAGAGGTGGCTATCCCAGGAACGCTTACTCAGTCGTTGATGTCCATATTCTGTTTATCTCGTTGCTCATGCATTGTCTTTTTTTTTATTCAGGTGTACAGGTTGTGTCGCCTATCACCATCTCGTGTGCTGCGGTTTGTGCTGCAGCACGCGAGGGGGTGGCGGATTGCTTTCCGACGTTCCTCGGAGAATATGTATCAATATCTCGTCGCTGTCCATGCTTTCTTGTTTACGTTTTTGCTATCAATCAATATGCTGCCTGTACAACTGGCGTTTCATATAAAAGGGTTGTGTATACTGTAGTAGTCCATGTGTGGCCTAGATGCATTAGAAGGTTGGTGTTGTGGACGTCACGCGAGGGAGTTGAGGAGACAAGGGTCCACGGGGTCCATGGACCAAACCGTGGCTCACGCGCGTCGCGGATAGGATCACGCTCTTGACGAGTGACATACCCCCTCCTCCTCATCCACTTTCCTGTAACCACACCGGCGCGTCCCCAGCCCTCTGTCAACCGCCCACGTCCATCTATGGATGACCCCAGCAGTGACAGTGACTCGCCTGCTCCCTCCATCGTCTCCCTTCTTGGTATAAAGGGGTCCATCCGCTTTCGACGGCACGGCGCCAGCCAGAAAGCGCACGTCGTCCTCCGACGCGTCGACGACGACTCGGACGACGAGGATGCGGGCGAGGATGGCGCAGCTAAGCCTAAGACCACCGTGCGCTTCAGCCTCTTTGCCCGCAAACGTATTGAGGTCAAGCCCGGTAAGGAGATCCTGCTCGCGCTCGAGACCGCCGACGGCGTGTTCGGCAAGGATGAGGCTATAGTACTCGAGGGGGACATTGAGGGCGCACAGGCGCCCCCGGAGGAGGAGGACAAGACCCAGGTCGCGGACGAGGACATGCAGGTCGACATGCCACCGCCGCCGCCGCCGCCTGTACAGGTTGTTATCCCTCCCAAGATGCGGCGGACGTGGACGAAGCAGGCCGAGCAGGTAAGCGCAACCGCAGGTGAGTACAGCTCGAGCATGCGCTCGTCTATCGACTGAGCATGTGTTCGGACGTTTTCGTCTGTAGATACCTCGACGTCATCGACGGCGATAGCGACGACGTACGCAACCGTGGAAACGCAGACAGACCCCTTACCCGAGGCCACTCCTGCTCCCCCTCCGCCAGTGAAGCTAGACCACGGCGTCCAGGCGGACCCTATCCTGCCGCTGACATCCTCCAGTGTCGCTCAGACTGATCCCATACTCCCTCCGCCTACATCAGAAGGCGCTTGTCAGACGGATGGCACCTCATTATCGAGGGTAGATGATGCTGCTCAAATTGACATTCCACCTTCGCCACCAAGGTCTGATGGCGCTGTTCGCGCTGTGGAGACCGAGGACTCTCACTCCCCACCACAGGTAAACATGTCTGACGAGATAACTGTCGAAACTCTGGTGCGGCCTTCGCCTTCTTCTGAGTTGTCTTCTGTAAGTCAACGTCCAGTATGAGCGAATTTGCCTAGGCTTACGAGAGCAGATACCAGACCACACTTCTCATGCGCGTAGCTTGTCTCCCATGAGCCTCTCCCCAGTTTCTTCGTCACCCCAGTCTCCTCTCCCTCTCCCTGTTAGCTCGCCTTTGACAGAGGTCACACCATCTCCCCTTGGCAGCGACAACTTATTGCTTGAACAAGCCGGGCCATCCAGGGCGTCATCACGACCTCCGCCTCCATCCACGACAATGACGACGAGCAGACCCGCCTCTTCAATGTCGATCACCATGGCCGACCCTCATACGTCCGGCTCGGGGTCACACAGCCCAAACGCTACCATGGTCGACGAGTCACAAAAGATCGGGTTTGCTTTTCCAACACGCCCCAAATCAACCTCGCCGTTTGAAGTTCCTGGCCTCTTCGCAGACGATACTTTCTCATATTCGACAAGTTTCAACGACGGCGATCCGCCTTTCGACTCTACTCCCTATGAGCAGGCTTCCGAGCCGCCTCGGGACTCGTCACCCCGGTCCCCGCCTCGGGACGAGCCTGTCATTCATAAGCCGAAGCCATGGAATCCGTTTGTATCTGGTGGTCATATTACGGAGTTTTTGGGATCACCGAGGACATCTGATAACCAGTCTCGCTCCATACCTTCCACTCCCCAAGCCGATGAGCAGGTCCTACACCCACCGCCTTCGGAATCTATTCAAATCCCCACTCCGGTTACCCAGTACAGTGCGGCCCCGACGCCAGTCTACCACCAAGAACCGATACCGATTCCTCAGCCTCGGGTACGTGATCTCAACCCCTTGTTTTTCTCTCCCCTGACCATTTTTAGGTTACGCCTATAGCAATACCTGACATAACGTCTCAGAGCCAACTCACCCCTCCGTCATCTGCTACATCTAACAGCAACCCTCCCAACATGTGGGCACAACCCCCACCCGTGCCGCCTCCGGAGGTAACAGGCCCACGCACGATGTCCTCCTCGAATCGCACCCTCCCCTCTTCCTCCAAACCCAGCTACACCCCCACCACCCCCATCACTGCCGCCCCTTCCGTGTCAATGCAGACGCGCAGCCAGACCTCCAAGCTCGCGACACCAGCCTCGACCGCCGCGCTGCCCAGCCGGCCCTCGGACGCCGTCATCGCGGCCTCTGGCAGCACAGGGCGCAAGAGCCAGCGGGTAGGCCCTGGGCCTGGGCCCGATCTGCAGACGGCGTATCAGCAGATGCAGCTGCACGAGCAGCAGCAGCAGACGTACACGAAGGTCGAGTCTGCGAACGATCCGCGGCTGACGTTTGCGGCGACGGGCTCGGTGTCGAATCCGCTGGGTATACGGCCGGCGGCGCAGATGTTGTTGCCGAGGGCGCTGAGGTCTGTTGTGGACGTGGCTGCTGGAGCGGGGGCGGGGGTGGGGGTGGGTGGGGTTGGGCCGACGTATGTGCAGGGGGGCGGGGAGAAGGCGGGGGCGGGGATAGGGGTGCAGCTGAAGCAGCAGCAGAAGCAGGTACCGCAACAGCAGCAGCAGCAGCAGCAGCAGCAGCCGAAGCAGCAGCAACAGAAGCCGCCTGCTGGGCCTAAGAAGCGGCTCGTCGTAGGGCCCGGATGGAACCACAACAGGCTGACGAACGGGCACGCGCCGAGTGCAGAGCCTGCGCCGTCGACGGCGTCCGCGTCTAGCACGCCCGCTGTGCAGGTCAAGATGGAGTCGCCCACACCGGTGCTGCGGCCTGCTACGGCGAGAGTCGGGGCGTCTGCCCGTCGGTCCGGGGGCGCAAGCCGGGATGACAATGTGGATGGGAATGGGGGTGGAGAAGACGACATACCAGGCTTGTCGGGCTTCGTGCCGTATTCGTCACCGTCGCCGCCGCCGAGCTATTCGCCTCCACCCTCGGTACCGACGGGGCAGGGACAGGGGCAGGGGCAGGGTGCTCCTGGGGCTGCTGCTCCCTCGCAGGTGCCTTCGAAGGTGCAAGGGCAGTCTTCCCAGACCCAGACCCAGACCCAGACGAAGGCACAGGGGAAGAAGAAGTCCTCGAGCCGGTCAAGCAGCGTGCTGTACGACAAGTCGTTGAGGTCGCCGACGACCAAAGGTCAGTCCCAATCCCCATCTCCGTCCCAACCCCAGTCCTAGTTCCCTTCGAGTCCGCTGTCCGCCGCCGGTGAGGCCAACCAAGCCCTTACTCAACGATTGCATTTGTCCGGGATCATCATCCCGTCACAGGTCTATTAGCGGAGCTCTCGGCGGTAAAACAAGCGAGCGCGCTCCAGCTCGCGCAGATGGCGTGCTCGTCCAAGCAGCAGCAGCAGCAACAGCAACAGCGGCAGTCGCCCGCACCAGTTCTTTCCGCCTCCGCCTCAAAAGCGAACGGGCACCAGGTAGTGGTGGTGCCGCAGCAGCAAGAGGAGTCCCCGCGTTCGGACGCCAAGGGCAAGAAACGCGCGCTGTCGAATGCGGGGTCGGACGTGCCGCGCAAGAAGGAGAAGGCGGTGGATCTCGAGCACGCTTCTGCTTCTTCGAGTAGTGGTGCGGCTGACGGTATGGACTCGAGTTGGCCGGCGCATGCGCCGTCGGCTACTGGGCGGGTACACTCGGGTGGAGAGGCGGACGCAGAAGGAGAAGGGGGAGGGGGAGGAGAAGGAGGTAGCACGGAGGTTCTGGATATCGTGCTGAACTCGGATGGGCAGATGCTTGCTGTCATATGTGCGTCCTTCCCTTTCTCCCTTGTTCGCTTGTACGCCAGCGAAGAAAATGTGGTGCTGAGACAGCAGGGATTTCTTTTTCTCGTATACACGACACGACAGGCAACGACTCCTCGATACGAATATGGAGCAACGCGCAGCGGCAGGAGACGGCGCGGCTGGCGCTGAACGCGCCGGTGGTGGCCGCCGCGTGGATGATGGACGGCAAGTCGCTCCTCACGCTCGCGCGGGACGGGGTGGTGAGCCAGTGGACGCGCGATGTGCGTTTTCTCCTTTCTTTCTGTTCTGTCCTTCGCCTTCTATATTCATATTCATATTCGTGCTCATGCCTTTTCTGATACTTACGGGCACACGCAGCCACTGGGCCAGTGGCAGTGGACGAAACTGCTAGACGCGGGCAAGGAGGAAGCGGCGTGCCTCGCGCACCGGCGCGATCGGCTTGCGATAGGGTTTCCGCGGCTGGGTGTGAAATTGTGGATACGGAATAAAGGTGTGTTTATGACATAAATCTCGCTATGCTTCCTTGCTTCTTCTCCTGCTCTTTGTTGCTTCCCGGGCTTCTTTGCCATGGCGAGCGGAGAGATGTGGAGAGATAAGGGGATATGGACAAGGAGCTGACGGTGGTGGTGTATTAAGCAGGGAACTGGTTGCCGCAGCGGTCGATTCTGCGGCAGAATGTGACTGCGATACAGTTTTTGGACGATGGGGAGGCGTTGTTGGGCGGGACGGGGGACGGTGTGCTGTGAGTTGGACGAAAATATTGCAGACTTTCTCAGGGGCTTACCAGCAGCGTCAATGCAGATGGTACAGCGAAGTGCCGAACGGGACATTGAGAGCTTACGCCTTCCTCAAGTCGAAGATGTGCGTCTTTCACACGTGACATCAGTGGAACTAACCGTGATTAATGGTCGTTGCAGACAAAAGCTCTCGATACATCCAACAGGCAGGTATGCGCTTGTCTCACAGACGGACAGCGGGCGCGCGAGCCTCGTTAATATTTCGATAACGGACAAGGGGAAGGTGGTGCAGGTGTACCAGCCGCAGGCCGAGAGCGCGGCGAGCGCGTTCGGAGCCAGCTTCGGCGCGACGGGCCAGATGGTGTTGTTTGGGGCGACGGACCGGCAGGTGCTGGTGTGGGACGCGGACAAGGGCGGGGTGGTGTGCGGGCTGGACTGTCAGACCGGTGAGTGCAATATCACCAAAGAGCCCTGGATACGGGTTACTTTGGTGTGTGTTATGGAGGATTTTGCTGATGGACGACGGACGGTTGTATGTATGCGCCCTCGGGTGAACAGATGAGAAGGTACAGAGTGCCGTGGTGCGTGTGGTGACATTGCGTTGTCATGAGGATTGTTCGATGCTGACGGGTGGTTGTATGCGCACTTGTGCGTTCGTTTTGTGCATTCTAGTGCTTCAATCGGGCGACAGCCGCGGACACGCCGTACATTGTGGCTGGGACGAAGGAGGGGCAGCTTACCTGGTGGGATCTTCCACCGATGTACAGCTAGCTGATTGGCCATGCGCGTGTTCATTCTTACTCTACGCTCGGTTGAGACTTGTTGACGTTCGGACGCAGACATGATCTTGAGGTTTTGGTTGCTTGTCTTTGGAGTCGTCGTCGAGACGCTTTTTTGCATTGTATAATTTGATTATAATGACGCGTACGCGATAAGATAATTAATGTGTATCTTTATGCACACGTGGGCTGGGGCTGGGGTTGATGAACCTGGTAGCGCATATGGTTGTGCCGGTCGGAGCGGAGAGTAGTCGATTGCTGCCACTGCCTGTCTCTGCGTATGTCGGGTTATGTGAGGATCGCTAGGTACGATCTTGAAGATCATGGACACCAGGGGTTGTATGGCCTGTGATCGGTGATGGGTACCGGGTAGCCGTTGTGGCAGATGCGCTGGTGGTGGACGGAGGACGCGTTGGGGGCGTGGTAAAATACTGCCTTATAAGGGAGAGTCGCGCGATAGCGGTGCGTCTGAGCGTGGCCTGGGTTTCGTTCCATTTTGCCTTTGCCTCTCCTCCCGCACGCAACGCCAAACAGCCCTCCGTCCCCGACCCTTCCGCCGAGCACCCAGCCCCCTACACCCCCTCCAGCCCATCTCCTGGTGAGTCTCATTCCTCCAGCTCATTACCATCCCGTGCCATTGGCAGGAGCGGCAGCACGAGCACAGCTTCGTTGTCATGCTGTTCAACCGCAACTGCAACACGCCTTCTCCGACCCAACTCAACCTCTCACCTTCTAATTTCGGTCCCTTTGCTTGCCTCACCCCCCTCCCCGTCCTTTTGCCTGCTCACCCGCCTTCTCCTCCTCCTCCAGGTGCCAAGCCAATCGTCCTTGAAAGGCATTCTACTCGTAATACTCCACAATGCAGACAATCAAGTGCGTAGTCGTCGGTGATGGTGCCGTAGGCAAGGTACGCAGACACTCCATCCCTCCATCCATCCACCACATCGACCCTGCCTGTCCCCACCCCCTCCCCTCATTTCGTGCCCCCATGCTGATTAGTCCTCGCCTGTCCGCTCCAGACCTGTCTCCTGATCTCGTACACCACCAACAAGTTCCCGAGCGAATATGTCCCTACTGTACGTCGGCTTTCCCTCCTCCATCACCGTTGTCCACCCTCCGTGGGCTCCGGTTAGCCGACACGGTTGATGGACCATCGTCGTTTTAGGTGTTCGACAACTATGCCGTCACCGTCATGATTGGAGAGGACCCGTATACGCTAGGCTTGTTTGATACTGCAGGTGAGTCCCCCATTTCTATTGAGCCATTCTCCCGTCGCCCCAATTCTCCCTTCGGCTGGATCTTACCTCGCTTCGTCACTGTGACATGACTCTGACGTCTTCCCTTCCGATATCCAGGTCAGGAAGATTACGACCGGCTGCGGCCCTTGTCCTACCCGCAAACGGATGTCTTCCTCGTCTGCTTCAGCGTGACGTCGCCCGCGTCGTTCGAGAACGTCAAGGAGAAGTGGTTCCCAGAGGTCCACCACCACTGTCCAGGCGTGCCCTGCCTCATCGTCGGCACGCAAGTCGATCTCCGCGACGACGGCCAGGTCATCGAGAAGCTCGCCCGCCAGAAGCAACGGCCCGTCACGAGCGAGCAGGGCGAGCGTCTCGCACGCGAGCTCGGCGCCGTCAAATACGTCGAGTGCTCCGCGCTCACGCAGAAGGGCTTGAAGAACGTGTTTGACGAGGTATGTTTCTTCTTTTTTTATTTTCTTCTTCCTTCTCCTTTTCGCGACTCCGGAGCGAGCTTATCGCCACCGTCGTGTCGCGTGTCCGTTTTCCGTTCCCGCTTTCACCCATTGGACACCCATTGTACCACGTGACTCGTTTGATGGGCGCTGCTGATGCGACGTCTTAACTTCTGATCTGACGCTGCTTGTTTCCCCCTTGCACAGGCCATCGTCGCAGCGCTCGAGCCGCCCGTTGTGAAGAAGAAGCCGAAATGTGTTATTGCCTGAGGGAAAAAATATGCGGATTAGCACACATATATTGACTCGGGCCCTTCATTTCCACTTTTTTTCTGCATGACGATTTCTGTGTTGTTGCACGATCGATGCCCCCCGTTCACCACCCGCCTAACGACCCCTTTCTCTCTTTTCTTTTCTCTCCGGCTCGGCTCGTCGTAATCTCAATCTCAACCTCTTTTTAACGAACCACTCACGCTTCTTCTTCTTCCCTCCGCCCACGCCCTATCGATCGTGCCTCATATATCCCTTTTTTCCGTCTTTCTCTGCGCGTTCTCATGTTTTTCCCCTTTCCTGTCTTTTTATACTCTTCTTTTTTCCCTCCCCCAACCTGTGTTTGCGTTGTGCGTTAGGTTGGCTGGTCGGACCGCACTAGAAGGAACTCTTGGACCAGTTACCCCCCCTGCGACCAGCCCAGTTCCGGTTCCAGTTCCAGTCACTGTTCCATTCACTGCCCCAGTCCTGGATCTTAGTACCTCCTCACCCCACCCGTAACCGTAATGACACCGGTCGGTGCTCGTGCGCTGACCGTCTTTCTGCCTGCGTGCGGCGTGTTTTTGGTCGATGTTCGTCGGCATTTTAGAGTGGCGACTTGTGGCCTGCTTTGAGGCGCTCGGCTAAAGGGCGCTTGTGAGCGTGCGGGGTGGCGGTTTTGTGTCGTGTATGTGCGTGCGATGCGTACGCTCGTTCGTTCGTTCGTTCGTTCTGCGTGTGCATGGGTGTTTTCTTGTCGCCGTCATTGGAGTTCATGTGTCAATAAGGCGGTGGTCGCGGTGGTTTGGTTCCCTTGGTCGCGGTCACGGTTGAGGGCTTTTCGAGTTCAAGTTCAACCAAGTTCAGGTTCACGGTTTTCTTCTTAACGTACAACACATACACACTTGCCCTCCTTTTTTTGTCTCCGCGCTTTCGTTTCGTCTTTGGAAGCGCGCGTATACGGCTTTTTCTTGCATATATGGGGGAGAGGATTATGAAGAGTATACATACGTACGTAGTTATAGTTGGGATATGAGATATGGATCTTGCGCTCATGATCATTAGTAGCTATAGATGTCGTGGGGTGGGGTAGATGGAAAATAATTGAGGTTTGGGATATATGAATTGGGATTTGGGATGTGTGATGGGATGTTGAAAAGGTTTGCGGTTTGGTGGGCCTATGTATCACAGAAGCTGACGTCTGAGCTCATGTGGAAGTCTATCGCGTACTACGTACGGACGCATTTCTACCTCTCCATCCGTTCCTACGAGTCGGACCACTCGGCTTTACTGTAAATAAATCATTTAAATGCTCGGCTGTTCCTTTCGAGGCTGCAGAAGCGCCGGGTCTAGTTGTGTACTTGCGTTTTTATGGCTTTTGGCAAGTGATTAATGGGAACTTTACGTCCGTATGCTCTGACTTGTGGTTGAGAGAGAAAATGTGCATATGGAAGACAGCGATGCATGGTGCTGCGTTATATTACACCGGTCATACGGGATGGCACGTGCGGTTGCTTTACGTCGAGCGTGACGGTGTTGCTACCTATGCCAACCCGACGCATCTACAAGAAGCGGGCGCTGGGGAGTGGATCGTGGAAGTCTATAGTCGTCGCTCTCCCTCTCCCTCTCTGTGTCTCTCCTATCTCATCCGTATCCAAGTATTCGACGCAAACTTCATCTATACGGCAGCGGGATGGTGACCTGCGTGTAAACTCCAGAGAATGGATACACGTTCAGCGAAGGAGGATCTCGGGAGCCTGCAGAGAAAAACAGAATCGTCAGAACGAATACCTCAAAACGATGCAATCCAATATATGCGAGTGGAGAGAACGGGAGCCGAACGCTCACCGCGCCGCGCGTCTCGAACGCGAGCCAGTCGCCCGTGCCGGTGGGGAGCAGACCCATCGAGCGGCACTTCCAGAGGCCGACGGCGAGCGTGAGCAGGTTGCAGATCACGTAGACGGTCTTCTGCGGGATCAGGGTGTGCTCGAACGCCTTGAGGTTCGGCGAGAGGAACGGGGAGGCGGAGGCGGGGGCTGTCTTGGCCTTGGCGGCAGGGGATGACTTCTGCGCGGGGGCGGGGCTGGATGGTGCGGGAACGGGGTTGAATGGGTTGAATGCTAGGTACCAGAGGAGACAGGCCAGCGAAGAACGTCAGCGACCCTCGACAGGCGGACGTGGGCGGTCAGACGCACCTGTGTTCATCCCGAACACGTTCTTGATGGGCGAGAGCAGGAGCATGAACACGATGCCGAGCGAAAAGACCTGCACGCCCCCGCCGGACATGTAGAGCATGAACGCCTGCATGGGGAGCGACTTGGCGGGCGCGATGGCGAGGTCCCACGCGCGCCGGTGCTTGAGTGACGCGTGTGTCGCCGCTGTGGCCTGCGCTGAGGCGGCCTGTGCGCTGCCTATGGCGCCGGTGCTACCGCTGCGGGAGGACTGGGAGGGCGCGGAGGTAAAGCCGGGTGTTGGGGGGAGGTTGCGCCATCTGGGTGTGCCGTGGGGGGACGTGGGTATGGTCAGCAAGGGTCTGGGACGCATGAGGTTCGGATAGAGCGTACTTGGAGCTTTCTATTGACGCGTAGTCGAGAGTTGTTGTTGTTGACATTGGAGTAATGAGGAAGAGCGGATGGCAGACGCGGCTCGGACTCGGACAGTCGACAGACGTGTCCTCCGAATATTCGGTGCTACTTACGTGCAAAAGATTCTCAAATTCACCGCCCTGACTACTTGCTGAGCATCACTGTAAATAAGGCTCACAAGAACCTTTTGTTTAAGCTCAAAGATGCAAAGTGTAATATATTGCAGTCTACTTTTATCAAGCAACGAATACAACATCGATCATCCAGTACTTTTGAAGCAACACAGCCGACTCAAGCTACTGCTGATATTGCATAGGTGGAGGCATCCCACCCCCAGGCATGCCCTGCCCAAACCCAGGCGGCGGGGGTGGCGGGAATCCACCAGGAGGAAACATCCCCTGCGGCTGCATACCCCCCATAGGCGGCGGCGGTGGTGGCATCCCCATAGGCATCCCCATCCCAGGCGGCGGCATGCCCATCATCTGCGGCATCCCCTGCCCCGGCACGACCGTCTGCTGCGGCGCAAACCCAGGCGGGGGCGCCATGGGCGGGGCCATACCACCGGGCCCGGGCTGGGCAGGCGGCGCCGCGAGCGCGCCCGCGAACTGGCCCTGGTACGAGCCGTGGAATGGCGCGCCGGGGCGGTTCGGCGGGAGCGCGTTGTTCTTGCGCGCCTGCGCGGCGAGCGTGCGCTCGGCGGACGTGCCGTGGCGCTCGCCCTTGCCGTCCTTTTTGAACGCGTATTGCACGGTGAGGGGCTTGTTCATGAGGTATTGGCCGTTCATGGCTTCGACGGCGGCGTCTGAGGATTCGAAGTCGATGTAGGAGACGAAGCCGTAGCCCTTGGACATGCCGGAGCCGGGGTCGCGGGCGATCTGGAAAGCACAGAGATGTGTTGGAGGGATGGAGACAGATAGATGAGGGGGAGACGCACCTTGGCAGTCGTAGCCATGAGACCGAATGCGCTGAATGTGTCGTACAATAACCGCTCGTCGACATTGTCATCCAAGTTCCCAATGAACAGGTTCGCTCCGACGTCGAGCTGCTTCTTGTCTGACGAGGCCTGCGATGCAAAAAGGATAAGCATAATTATATCATCTCAGACAATTAGCATACACACCTTGTTCACTCGTATAGGCTTTCCCCACAGCTTAATCTGGTTCATGATTTTGCATGCGTACTCTGCATCCTCCTCCGTGAGGAACTCACAGAAGCCATATCCTTGGTGGGCCATTGAAATACGGTCCTTGGGAAGATGAACGTTGACTAAACATGACCGATAGTCCAACATAGTCAATGCAAACGTCAACGAGCGCGGCCTGGCCTACGCACCGACTGGTCCGGCCTGGAGCATGAGCTCCCAAACGAGCGCGTCTGAACATCGTTCGTCTAGGTTACCCTGTCCCTGTCCTCAGCATTGTTGACAGAAAACATAGTCAAAGGAAAGACTTACGAGATAGACTGTCGCCTCTTGGTTCCTGTCATCATTTGGACGGGACATAGCAGGCGAGGGCGGACGCGCAAGTTGGGCGCGAGCAAGAGGGGAGGGTGCTTAGGTAATACGCGTCGAAACGTCAAACGGCCCCTTTTGAGCGCTTGGTGCTCTTTGACCTTCAGCTTCATTTCCTAGGTTGTTGGCCCTCTCAAATTTCCGGACCTGCTAGCTTTGCTTGCGATCTTGAGTTTTGCTAGTCTTGTGTGATAGTGTCGCTAGCCTGACCAGGGTCACTCGCCCGCTGCAGGGTCCTTGCTTTGCTCTGGTGCTGGACAATTTGCTGATCGCTCTTGTCGAACAAAGCCACAAGATGTTATAGGGACATGTGCTTTGGCATTCTGGGTCTTAGTGCTTCGACAATTCGCCAACCGGGTATGGGTCGCTTTGTCTCTTTGAATTACGCTGAGCTGGACGCATGGCATAAAAGAGCCCTCTGTGTCGACCTTCGTCTCCTCACCTCATTCCTTCTCTTTTTGCTAGTTTCCGAAGCTTCGCGCTATGGCCCTGAATACTCGGAGTCATTGCATGGGCCTATCCGATGCCTATCTTAGTGAGTGTTTGATCTTGCGCCATCGCCGTTTTCCTCATGTCTCCGTGGTAGAAGAAGCCGACGTTGCTTCACTTCCTTTTGCATCAATCATGGACCCTGTTCTCATGAAACTTGTGAACACCAACAACTTCTGCTTTGCAACTCCAGGTCCTGTCTTAGACCAGCAGCTGAGGATGAAGACGCGATGGGACACGTTGTGCCCGCCTCTCTCTGATGGTAAGTCGCCTTCCGGATTTATTTCGCTTGCCTTTGAGACTGAACATGTGCAACGACAGGAATCATCCCAGGTATTGACTTCGAGCTCGAGACCCTTGAAACCTTCTGGCTCTTGCACAGGCATCGCTTCGCCCCAGCTATTGTGAGCACTCAGCCGACCTTCAACCACTCGCCCATCGTCATTTGCCGCGAGGATGACCTTATTGGACCCAAGTTCCTCCAGCCCTTTAGCTCGGGATTTGCTTACTTCGTGCCTAAGACCTCTGGCGCATGGGCCGACATGCGCCTGAGAGACTGTGGGTCGCAGCCGCTTAACTTCTTCATGCAGATCCCCGGCACGTCGAAGTGCAAGTACATCGGACAGTACCAGACGAAGCTCCGGGGCGACCTTGCTCTGAGTTTCTTCGACGCGCAGCTCGTCCCGCCGGTGTATATGCATATCCTACGCTGTGTGGTCCCGGACTTCAACGGTCCGCTAGAGCCGCGCATCCCGCGTGTGTTAATGGATATTGTAGGAATGGACCGCGACCTCCTCCTGAAGATCCACGATTTCGATCTCGAGGTGAGGAGGAAGAAGGCGCTTGTGGAGGTTCAGTCTGCGTGCGTGGCTTACCTTCGGCATCGCGAGCGCGATGCGCGAGTGGCTTTTCAGGGGCGTTTGATTGGTGGCTTGAGCGTGATGGATGAGATGGCGCTCGCGGTCTCGGTGCGTCCGCCTCTGAATGCTCCGCCGCGCATTGTGCGCTTGTTCGAGGCGCCTGTGAATCCTCCGAGTCTGCCCTCTTTGGTAAGGGCGGGTCGGGTTCATGATGAGGCCCCTTTGACGGTGCACCAGCCTCAGCCCATTCGACCGTTGGATTCTATCCTTACGGCGCATCCAAATAATGAAGCGGAAGATCTTTGTACAAATGTCGCTTCATTGAGATTTGCTCCCTTCGACGTCTAGTGAACTGCAGCTGGTACGGATTGCTGTTTCTATTGAATCTAGAATATCTGTGCTATGTAGATGTGAGTCTGAATAGAATTGTGACATACTGTGTCCATGTAGTGATGTGTCTGCCCTAAACCTGTTCATGTTGTGCGACTGTCGGAAATTCCCTAAGTCCATTACAATCACGTGGCATTTCGATGCGCTTGCCACGTATATTGCGATGCATCAAGATATAGCCGTCGGCGATACAACGTAGGGAGGGCCGTTACAGTAAATTAAAGTAGAGCTGACGGAGTTCAAATGTTTCCAGGGCCGTTGTAACACTTCGAAATAGCCCCTGTCGGAGTTACAACGTGCAGAAACCAGTCGTTCGAATGTGATTGCAATGCGAGATTTTCTGCGACTTAATCGATAAGCTGCAAACGCGCTCAGCTACCTCCGGTGGCTAGTACTAGCTCATCTAAGTCCACGAACACCACATCAAGATGCCACCGGACCGTACGAAGTTGGTTCAGTGTGAGATATGCCATGCACAGATGAAGGAGAAGGGGATGGGGCGACATCTGAAGTCATGCGCCGAGAAGCAGCGCCGCGATGAGGAAGATGAGGAGTATATGCGATCTCTAAGTGAAAGTAAGCATTTGCTTGGTGTGCAGCTTTATAAACTAGCGGGTAGTTCTGACTATATCAATATTAGGCCAAGCTGCTATAGCTGCAGCGTCTGGATCTTGGATGACGACGGCGGACATGGCAGCTCGTCATGCAGCCGCGGACGTTGGTGTCGCTGGGCCATCACTCTTAGATGATTCATGGCCGGATTCTGCCTCCCGCCCACCCACAAGGCAGCCGTTCGTACATCCGGGTGAGCATCAATACCTTTCATTGCTCTGTTATATTACCTAACCAACAATTATCACATATTAGCTGCTGCTCCCCCGGTGGTACAGCGCGAAGTTTGGGACTACGACGAAGGAGTGAGCATTATAAGTCATACCGAGGAACTGCAACAATCGCGTAAGTCTCCCTTTTAAACAAGTCTCCGAGCATTCTCATAGCTGACTTCACTCTCAAGCACAACCTTCGACATCGCAAATCGTCAATGACAAGGACGACATACGCGTTGAATACCACCCTCACGCCGAGAAAGAGCCGGAAGTGACGCCTTTCTCGCAATTCTCGCGAGAGCACTTTTCCAAACCCCAGATTGACGAGGAGAGCCTTGACCCATGGCACCCTTTCCGCTCTCGGCTCGACTTCGAGGTGGCTGAGCTCGCACTTGATGCGCTGATGACCAAGGAGCAGACATCGCGGCTCATCAAGCTTATTCGGCGCGTTGCTGATCACCGGGAAGATTTTCACATCCAGGATTACAAGGATTTGCGACAAACGTGGGACGCTGCTGGCAAGCGTGTCACACCAGTACGTACTACAAATTTCTATTCCAACATGTTCATAGATCTTTACCTGCAATGTCCACCAGTTCCGGCGTGAAGTCATATCCGTAAACTATGCTAAGGAGCCTGAACCACGGCAATTTGACTTTTGGCATCGTCCTCTGTGGGACTGGGCCACCGATCTTCTGAAAGATCCACGTACGGGGCCTCACTTCCATTTTGATGCCCAGCGGCTTTCAAAATTCGATGGCGAGTTGTTTGTGCGCTTCATCGATGAGCCATGGACAGCAGATGACTTCTGGAGCTTCCAGGTGCATTTCGTGCTCCATTTTTAACTTATTTTATATGTGTACTACTGGGATTGATACAGAATCGGATTCCCGAGAATGCCAAGCCGTTTGCGATCATCCTATATGCCGATAAAGCCAAGTTGTCTACTTTTGGCACCCAGAAGGCGTATCCCATCATTGCTCGCTGTGCCAACCTTCCCGCATCAATCCGTAATGGCACAGGATTTGCGGGCGGTAGAGTCGTGGGTTGGTTGCCCATTGTGGGTTTCTCATTTTTATTGCCGCAGGCGTTCACTCAATCGGATATGTCAGGTTAAGGAGGACCCTAAACAAAAGAAAAAGGTAGCGTGGAGCAACTTCAAAAACGCTGTCTGGCATGAGTCTTTCAGAGTCTTTCTCGAGGAGATTGCCATATATGCAAAAACGGGGCGATGGGTGAAGTGTTGGGATGACATTGAAAGGTGGTTTTTCCCGATCATTCTTATTTTATCTGCAGACTTCGAGGAGCAGTGAGAACATATTTTACTGTATTGACCAAGAGACTGACATATTTATCAGGAGCGTCATGGCATTGACTCGAGGCGTCAATGCCAAACGACCGTGCCCGGTATGTAAAATTCCCAGGAACCTGCTCTACAGCCACCAGGAGTGGCCTCGAAGAGTTGCAGAGCAGACCGATGCGCTGCTCAAACACGCTCGAAGTCTTAGCCGCAAAGAACGAGACGAAGTTCTTCTGCATGCTGGAATTAGAAATGTCAATGTGAGTTCCCCTCCTATCCTTACTCAATCTGATTTATAACGTGCGGTTCAGAACGCGTTCAACACTGTGGAAGGCACGGATGTCCACAAGGCTCTCTCCTTTGATCCGTTGCATGCAAACAAGGAGGGAATGTTTGGGTATCACCTTTGGCCCATCGTGCAGAAGGAAGTACATGCATTAGGACGCGATGCAGCAGCCACTGTTGACAACAAGTAAGGATATACAATCTCACTCTAGCTGTTTTCTGATTGCAGAGAGGTTAGCTTTGATCTAATGCCTCGGTGGAGGAATTTTCATCATTTTGACCATGTCATCGATGTAGCCTTCAACGACGGAGAAAAACATGGTGATATATCCAAGGTCAGTTCTAACACGTGTCATCGCTACGTTTATAACAAGCGTACTAATGCTGAGTCCTTATTATTTCTAGGCCCTAACATTTACTTGCCATACTGTCCTCACCCATCACGCGGAGACGGGCCCAAATGGCCATCTTCTCCTCCGACTTGTTAGGGCATATGTTGAATTCGACATGTGGCTAACCTTAGATGTACACACGGACGTCACGCTTGCGGCAGGGCAAAAATCCCTTGATGCATTGGCTGACCTGACCATGGTACTGTCACCTTTCCTCATCTGTTTGATGATCCTGATTCGCTTTAATTATTTAGGTATATATTCGGGAAACCGCTGCAGAGTCCGAGAAGGACTGGAACTTCCCCAAGAATCACACGCGTGACCACTCATTCAAAGATATCATAGCTAAAGGTGTCACTCGTGGCTTTGACGCCAAACCAAACGAGCGCATGCATGGCATCTTTCGAAGGATATATCACGGCACCACAAACTTCAAGAACATTATACCACAGGTCAGTATTATCGTTTTCACGTCTTGCGTTGCTTACACTCAAACGAACCGATTTTGAATAGATCCTCAAAGTCGAGCATGACCTCCTGACCTGTCTGCATATCCGAGAACTCCTTGACGATCACGACGCAATATACGAAGCAGAACTTGAGCCTCTTAGCTCATCGACAGTTATTGTAACCGGTCCACTGACATCATCTTTTCGTCACAGTGAGAACTCCCTCCATATACGGATAGGATCTCGCCAAAAGGCGGTGTCATTTGAGGATGTGGAGACTACATACGCAAACGATGCAGCGTTTGAGCGATTTCGAATCAAAACCTACGAGTTCCTCAACATCCTCATTCCTTCTATTGGTCGCTTGCTTCCGGGAGCTCGGCGTGTTCAATACAAGCCGCAAGATAAGGCCAGTACTAATTTAAAATTCACCTATGGACAAGTTCACAATAAGACTACAAACTGATCATATCTGCAGATTGTTGAGTTCAGATACATGAAGGTTAACTACGAGTCCAAAGTTGACTGGTGTCTGCACTCCGACTACCTGCGATGCAGTCCAGACTTCTTCGGCGGACCACGTTATGACTGTGTTATCATTAACACAGAACGGCGAAACATCTTCGGCCGTCTCCTTTTCCTCTTCGAATGCATAGTGGAGGGGCAGACATACCAGCTCGCCCTCGTCCTTCCATATGATGCTGCTGTTGGTGCGCGATCAGCTGCAGATCGAGACCTTAACTTTTGGCGAGTGCGATCGCAGCCGCGACGCTGTGCTGAGATATTCTCAGTGGAGTCATTTGTTCGGGGTGCTGCACTAGCTCTTGATCCATCCATGATAACATCGGATGAGTATCTGGTTGTGGATACAGTGGACTCCGATATGTTCCTTCGCATGCAACACATGCATGAGTCAGCTGGACATCAAAGGTACGTCTTTTCAACTACATCAAGTATACTAATTCACATCGTGATATACAGGCCCGCAATCCCTTCAGCTTGAGCTGAGATGAGCTCTCCGCCACCAGGCGTATCTTGTAGAGGCAAACCAGCCAATTGTTCCCCCGCTTGAGCTTTTGCCAAGCTGTCTCTGCCATTCATTCCGCTTCTATACTCTTTTATCATGTTTTTATTCTCTCCAAGAGCTTGTACTACATCCAATTCTAACATGACCTGCCACATGTAACTGATTTCTGATATCATCTCTTCGCGCTTTTCTCAGTTGTGCCTGGACTTTCGGACTGACTGTGGAGAGAATGCACAACAGGCTGCTGTGCGAGGGATGACTTGGAGCTTGAGGTATGCGTTTATCAATGCTTTTATTGACCTTGCTTAGCTTTCTGAAGCGGTCGCCTTTACGCAGCCCAGCGCGTGACGAACGAGACCTACAGATTTGTGGCCGACGCCCGCTTCCACCTCTCGGGTGACAAGATCATTGCGACCAAGCGCTACTTCTCCAAACGTAGTCTTGGAGCCGGCGAGGGTTGGACCTACAACTTGCCCGGCGCCCAAACACAGAACAAGGTCATCCCTGTCGGCGCCGGCACCCTGCCGCCCGGATGGAGCAAGGAGGACTAGCACGAGGGCCAGCAGATCGGCGCGGAGCAGCTGGGTGGGCGAGGACACGCTGATTTACTCGAAGAACGTCATTGACAATGGGGTCTTTACGTACAGCAAAGGTGTGCTTGGGTTGCAAGCCGCCGCTACTGCGAGAGAGGTTCTGATCACTAGACGTCCACAGCGGCATATACACCATCTTCTCAAAGAACGTCACGCCCGGCAAAATCGAGATGCTCATTGGCGCGTTCCCCCAGCGGCACTCTGTTCAGTCTATCGGGTGAGCCGCACAGAGATTACTTGTGGCGACAACTCAGCTGACATCCGTGGGTCTCTACCTCCCCATCTCTGCTTCCTCCACATGGTCCCCTACTCCTCTCTTTTTTGTGTACTCGAAATCCCTCGGGTATAGCTCTCTGGATAAACAACTCGTGGCCACCTCTTCCTCCACGTTTTCAGTATCACGCACCCGTGTTTACCTTGCACTTGGCTCATGGAGCTCTACCCACAAGCTTTCACTGGTATTGCACACTCCAGGCGGCACTGCCTCGAGCCGCGTTCCTGCAACACGCCTCTGTTCAGCAGGAACGTAGTCGGAGCTGGTTTAGCAAGCTACCAATGAAAAGTAAGCTCACCAATCTATAAATGGGCGGCTTCGGCTTCTTATTGATTCCACGCAGCACAAAGAAGGCTGCAACGAAGCGGCCAAAAATCACCGCAAAGCCTGCTACCGGCCTTCGCGCCGGATGGCAGACTCTTGCGGGCAAGTCGACCTCCAAAAAGGCCCACACTGGTTCAAGTTCACGTCACATTCCATCAACTCTGTCCAACGCTGACCACGACGCTGATGAGATCACCATTCCTTCCAGAGAGGTTTCGACTACGGAACCCTCGTCCATGCATTCCACCCCTCCCCCTGTCACTGGTGCATTCGACGATGATGAGGGAGCTGCTGCTCTAGCCGCAGCGCGTGCACAGAAGTCCCTCAAACAGAAGCGTTCTCAGCCACGGTCGGTTGAAGCCGCTGTCACTGCTGTCCCCATTGCAGCTGCCACAACGTCAAAGATGGGTGTGACCTCCACTGGCAAGCGTACCACCGCGCAGGTATGTGAATTGTACTGTTTGTATTATGGTGCACCACTACTAATTATGACTTACAAGATGGGGCTCGTCATCTCGCACAAGGACGTCGACACTGCTGTAGAGGAGCATCAAGGAGCATCAAAAAAGAAACCCAAAGCCGATATTCGCAAGGAGGACCTACCTTTCTTTCGCGAGCCCGGCTTCAACGATCGGTGGGATGCCATCAAGGCCGAGCTTGTGGGCTGGGCTGGCACACTTTCCGACCCCTTTTCCTCTAACTCGCACCCCGACATCTGGAGTGTCTCGCAGCATGCATGGGATCACGCGTTCAGAGAAACTGAGCATGTTGGATATGCAGTCCATCGAGACGAGGCCATCATGAAGTTTGTAAGTATTCCCATTACTATCCCTCTCGCTGTCGACACTGATGGTGTCCTCTACTTCTAGATTCCGGCAACCCTCGATAATTGGCGAAGCGACATCGGGAAGAAGGCCGTCAAGCTTATTGATGATGAGATGACCAAGCCATCGCTCTCGTCGTCATCTAGCACACGCATTGCCTGGGTCGCAGAGCGTCGAAAAGCCCAGTCCCCAGGAGAAAAGCGTAAGCCGTTTCTTTATGCTGATCCGAGTGTACGTGGGTTTGTTTTCATTCTCATTGCTTCGCTAACTACTTTTATTTCTCTCACAGACGTTCAAAGGCGTTTTTCGAGGGACTTTAATTATGAAAGTCTTCGCCCATCACGTCCAACGGGTAGCCAAGCTCTACGCCAATGACAGACTCACAGATGCGCCGGCGGGTGGTCTGGCGCTCAGTGCAGCCGCGGTACGCCAGTCTCGATTGCTACATGATGATCTGCTACTAATAAATACTGTCATGGCGACTCGTTTTTGCAGGTACAACGTGCTCTATTCTTATGGAAGGACGGTTACAACGCGAAAGGTGCAAGGACCGAGGATGGGGGAAAAGTGAAAGGTAAACATGGTTTCGAGGGCGAGTGGGCGGACCAGGCATGCAAGTATACCGCAAAAATGGACGGTATGTCATCAGAAAAGTGGGATCAGGTGTATGCAGCAGTAGCCCCGTTTGTCAAGGGATCTTCTGCGAGTTCTGGGGCTCACGCCGAGCAGTCTGACGACGACGATAGCGATGGCATCGTCATTTCCAGCGACGAGGGCATTTAATTACATAAGCGATGTACAATAATTGGCCAATCAGAGAGTTTCTCGAATTCGTGCTGTATTTGGAAGGATGATCTAGCTACGATATTTAACATCTGGCTCCAATCTGGCTCGACTAATGCCGTTTGGAGGCCCAGAAAGTCCATCTGGAAAGGGCTAAGTCATCTGTCACAGGATACAACCTGGACGGCTGGATCGGCTAGCGCCAGCTGATCCAGGCGCGGGCGGAAATGCTGATGAGTTGAGACAGAGACGGTTGCCCCTACTACCAGAACGCGCCGCAGGAATGCTGCGCCCTAGATTTACTTATCATACTTCGCTTTGTATTGAAACAAGTGAACGTCGATTGAACAAAATTTACGAGTGGCTATTTACTACGATATGCTATATTGAAAGAAATAAAGGTATTCTCACACAGGAGCGTAGTATAATGGTAAGTAAGTATTGCACACATCTAATAGTTTCAAGTTCGAATCCGCCGCAAGTCATATTATCAATGATTGTTTCGCTTGGTAAATGCTGATGTGGGCCTAGATTTGTTTTGCTGTTTTCCTCCCCCGTATTTTATCGGTGCTTATAGTAGCTATTGCCACGTCATTGACTTCCCCTTATGATGCTGATTGCCATTTCCGTTGTAGCATGCCCTCGCGTGATTGTAATGCGTTCCCACGCATGTCGAGATGTCAATTGTAGCGCCCACTGAGTTGATGATTGCAATGACGATTGCAATGCCTATTGTAATAGGGTCTTTATCATTGCAATGAATATTGCAACCGAGCCGTTTCCTTGTAGCATTTCAATTGATTGCAACGTATTTAAATCATTTTAGCAAATTTCCGACAACATGATCTATCTTGGCTTTCCCTTATGCGGTCGACATGGCGTCACTGCGCACTCCTTCGAAGACAATCCCTTCTGTGCAACCACTTTTTCCTACTCCTCATAGCCTTCCATAATGTCCGTCGAAGCCTTCTCTCTCCTCACGCTGAACAACGTCGCCCTCGTAGGTCCCGATGTCAACGAACATGGCTTCCTCTCCCTCGAATGCGTCACCGTGCCCATGCCCCAGCCCCAGCCCCATCCCTCTCCCCCAGGTTCATGGTCCAGCAATGAACCCAGCCGCGACGTCTTCCTCCTCCTGCGCGTAAACGCGTACGAGCTCCCCGTCGACCCGACCAAGCCCATCTCCGTCAGCGTCTCCAGCGCCGGCGCGCGCGTCTACACCCTGCGCGACCCGGACGACCACTCGCTCGTGCTCACGCTCGCCGCGCCCCCGCCGGGCGACGCGGGTGCGCATGTGCTGGAGGACATGGACACGCTGCATGGCATTCTGGAGCAGTATACGGAGGTGCGCGAGATGGCGAACCCGGGGCCGCCGTTGCCGTCGCGCGAGAAGATGGCGGCGCGTACGCAGTCGCAGTCGCAGGTACCCTCGGGATCAGGATCGCGAGCGGGGTCGGCGTTACCGAAGGATGTGAAGAGCGACTCGAGTCCGTCGTACGCAAAGTACGAGAATCCGCATGAAGAACTGCGAGGCAGGCTTGTCTTTATCAACGAGAACACTGGAGAAGTCGTGGGCGAGCTCGAGAACCACAATATCAGTGAAGATGCCTCCGTCCGGGAGAAGGGACAGGAGAATCAGCCAGTTGTGATCGAGATCCCTGATTCGGAGAAGGCGCTGGAGGAGCTCGCCGATGAGGATCCGCACGCATTGTTCGTGCGCGCTATTCCTCCTGAAGATCGTGACTGGATTACGCGCAGCGCAGAGCTCGCGAGGTGCGCACTTCGGTTACTTTACTATTAGACGGGACGCTTATGGTGACTGGTTGCACAACAGTCATGTCATTAAAGGATCGACCAATCTCTTGCTGACGACAATGACTTGGGGCACGACGTATTACATCAACCACTCCGCTCCCAACCCCTACGCCTCAGGGCAAACCCCTACTACTTCTACTCCGGGCACCCCAGGCTCAAAACAGGCCCCACCCCTCCCCCCTCGAGCTCTGGTGTTCCTCACTTCGCAGAACACGCGCAAGAGCCTCGCGACCGTCCATTCCGTCAGCGCCAAAGCCGCCACTGTGTCTAGCAAAACCATGGTGTTGCTGGATCGCATGATCAAACGCGGCGCAACCACGCTCTCAGGGCGAAGCTCTACCAGTACTGCTAACGCTGGAGTAGCAAGCGCAAACTTCGGCTACGCCGGTCCCGCAGTAGCTGCGGGCGGCACTCCTCCCGTCCCGGGTGCGTTCGCTGGCGGCGGAGCGACATCGACCTGGCAGTCACCATTCCGCTCGCAAACCGCTCCTGCAGGCGGCGGACTCAAACCTCCTCTCCCTGCGCGTGCACCGTCACCGTCACCTCCACCTCCTTACTCGGGATCGGGTCCAACGGGTCCTGAAAAGCCGGCTCTTCCACCCCGCAAGGGAATGGCAGACGTCTACGATGTTCAGTCCCCTGTAACCACCAGCGCAGGGCCCAGCAGCTCCAGCGTAAGCCTCGAAGGTGCTGCGACCCCGGGGGAGCGACAGCCGCTCAAGATGCGGCATCGCCTGCTGATTTCGGCGGACCTGCTCCTGTCGACGTTCGATAGCTCGGTGAAGCAGTTCGTTAATGTGGGGTCGGATAATCTCGGGCGGGCTGTTGCGCATAAGTGAGCTCGTTGTTTTTCTGTTCGGTTTGGGTCGCATGTTCTGATTTTTATTTTCTTCTTCGTTTCTTTTCTACGAATGTGATAGGTATGGGGCGGAAGCGGCTGAGAGCGCGGGACTGCTCACGGGAACCGCGAAGAACGTGGTCGCTGTGTATATCGATATGCGTGGAGTCGGGCGACGGGCGATCGTGAAGAGGGTTGGCAAGGAGGTGTTGAAGCAGCGGTTGAGGAAAGGCAATAATACCACTCGAGGCTGAGCGAATGGAATAAAGCTTGCTGGGGCTTCTCTCGCGTTGCTGTAAGAGCTGTGTATTGACGCTTGGATGGACGATCCGCTGTAACATTCATGGACCTAAAATGATGTATGGATACTGAATTTTGGGACTTTGGGAGACTAAATAGGGGCTATTTCCGGCACTGGTCCGCTGGCACTTGCTTTGTTGCAAAAACGCTCCATCGTCCATCAGCTCGCGATATGCATATGCCTTACTCTTCCCTTCCCCCTTGTTCTCCCGTACATCAGCTCCGACGTTAGGACGCATTGCGCCCTTCTCATTGTAGAGGTTGCCCGTAACATCGCCTTCCAGCAAATCTACGATGCGGATCTCGTCTCGCTGGCTCAGAGTTGCCCGAGGGTCAGAAGGCCAAGGAGACCATCATCAACTTCGAGATCTTCCACGCTTTGAGCTGTCCACCCACCTTCGACCCACTCTTCCCTAAGCTACGGAGGTTATCTTGGCTGATGGTTCACAGCTACTCGCTCTCTTTCCTCAGGGTGCTTCTTGGTCCTTCCCTTGAGGCCATCGTTCTGTATCCGGGGCACCTCAATAAGCACCTGTTCACCCTGGCTGCCACGATGGGCGTCCTCTGTCCTCGCATGAAAGACTTCACCTGGATGAGCGAAAACCCTTCAGCGGAAGAAGAAGCTGTCATATCCAAGCTAATCACATCATGGCCGAAGCTGGAGGATGTGACTTCTTTTGCGCTGGACAAGGACGCGCTGCAGTACCTCTCATCGCTGCCATCTCTCAAGTCGATAACTGTCGCGATCAGACGTTTTTCCACACCGTGGACGTTCCATGTGCCTGCTTTCCCCAATGCGACCTCCTTGAAACTTGTGAGCCCTTCCACGTATACCCTGTCCGACATCGCATCGTTTGTCGGCTCACTCCGCGCCTCTCCCGCGCATTTCAGTGCCATCGCAGAAACGGCTCACCCAACCTCCGTTTCGGACCTCTTTGAAGCTATCGCGGGCCATCTCGACAAGGCCAAGCTCGAGACCCTCTCCGTGAACGAGAAGCAGTCCCCTGATAGTCTGAGGCTGGACATGAATATGCTCAAGCGCATCTTTCACTTCCGCTGTCTCACGAGGGTCCACGTCGACACCTACCGAGAGGTCGACCTCGGCGGTGGCGATCTCCTGGAGATGGCCGACGCGTGGCCTGGTCTCATCTCGTTTAGCATCAACGTCGGATGGGGATGGCGCTGCCGGTCGCGCGTCACGCTTCGCGACGTCAAAGCGATGCTGCAGCGGCTGCCCAAACTCGAGATGTTGGCGCTCGCCGTCGACTGCGAGACCGTCGGGCTGGAGACCCTCGGCGACGAGCAGTACGGGAGGTTCCGCGTCGAGAGGGAGGTTGAGGTGCAGTTCCTGGACTCGAGGATCGGCACGAACTTTGCGGATATCGCGGCTTTCCTTTCGGACTTGTTCCCTGGGATCGAGGATAGGGCCGCCCTTGATTGTTGGTCGCTCCCTTCTGCAGCGCTCGAAGGTATGCTGGAGACGTACGAGGTCCATTCGGAGAGGTGGGAAGAGGTGGTGGATATCGTGCTGACGATGAACTAGGTCCGAAAACTGGAAAAGAGGCGTATCAATGAGCTCGCTGAGTAGCAAGGATTCAGTGCTTTTTTTTGTTCTAGTAAAATCCACAATGCGGCGTTCCTTATTATCATGGGAGCAAACTGAGTTGAATAGATGCAAGTAGGATGTGGAATGACGAAGACTGGGTTCACCTACTTGGGCAACCACGTCCGGCTGGAGCGCCAGACAGGGGCTATTTCCCTCACTACGCGTTGGCACCCTGTTTTGTTACAAAAACTATGTCTTCTTCCTTTACCATTCACCTCGTCTCTGCCATTCGTACACAAATCTCGTCCGTTAAGCAGGATTGAGCAAGATGCACCGCGCTCTACTCATAGCCGAAGTCGCTCACGCCATAGCGTTCCATCAGCTAAGCAAGAAAGATCTCGTAGCCTTAGCTCGGACCTGCCGGCTGTTTTGCGACCCTGCTCTGGACGCATTGTGGGCGGAATTGAACGATATCACGCCGCTGCTGGATTGTCTACCTGATGGCTGTATTGAGCGAGAGGAAACTATAGCGACATCCGTGAGTTGCTCGTTTGCTGGTTTTACTGGGGGATAGAGCTCACCTGAAACGACCGCAAGTGTCGCTACCACTTGCGAGGACCCCTTACCATAGAAGCCTGGACGACCCTCAGAAAGTATTCCTCCCGTGTCAAGATCATCGATAATCTCGATTCGGTTGATCCATATGAGGACACGATAGAGCGCATTGTCAATGCCGAAGTCTTATTCGCTCTCAGCTGTCCTCCCTTCTCCGAACATCTTTTCCCCAAGTTACAACGTCTGTCTTGGAAATCCGTGTTTCAAAGTGATTGCCCTTTACTGAGGATTATGCTGGGTCCTTCGCTTAGATCCCTGAAGATAGTCCCCGGGCATGCAAACCCGGTCGTCCTTGGGCTCGCCGCTATCACGGGTGTCACCTGTCCCAATCTCCAAGAGTTCACATTTATGCACAGTACACCATCACTTGGAGAAGAAGCATTGATCTCGCAGGTCATTACCTCGTGGCGCAATCTCGAGTCATTAGGTTGTTGCGCCTTGACGGATCAGGCATGGTTCTACCTCTCGACTTCGCCGTCCCTCAAGAAGCTCTCCATGAACCTCCGGGAACTTCCGTCTCGTCTTGTCTTACACGATCCCTCATTTTGCAACCTCGACGAACTCAGGCTCTTGGCTCCGCCAGGCCAAAGTCTATCCAGCATCGTCTCGATCATACGTGCCACCCATTGGCGCCCTGTTGAATTTCTGGGCGGCGCATACGCAGCTTCCACGGACTCCATCTCGGATCTGTTCTCTGTGCTTGTGAGCCATTTTGACAAGGCAAGGCTGAAGTGTCTCCGGGTCGATGAGAGAGACAACGAACCGGGCTGGTTGCTCGGGAGAGGCGATCTGGAACACGCCTTCAAGTTCCGCAACCTGTCGACCGTCTGTATCAACACCCACCGAGAAGTCACTCTCGGCGGCCCCGATCTCCTCGCAATGGCCGACGCCTGGCCTAACCTCGGCACTCTCCAAATCAACGACGACTGGGGCTGGAGAGTTCGGTCGACCGTCACGCTTCCTGATGTGAGAGCGATGCTCAGACGACTTCCCAAGCTCGAGATGATATCTCTGGCCGTCGACTGCGAGACCGCAGAACTAAATACTCTCAGCGATGAGCAATACGGGAAGTTCCGTGTCGAAAGGCCGTTTCAAGCGCAATTTCTCGACTCGCGAATCGGCGGCAATCTTGCAGATATCGCAGCTTTCCTTTCGGACTTGTTCCCGGGGATCGAGGATAGGGCCGCCCTTGATTGCTGGTCGCTCCCTCCGGCGGCACTGGGAGGCATGCGGCAGGATTACGAGGATTATTCGGAGAGGTGGGACAACATGATAGGTATAATGTTGACGATAAATCAGATTAAAAGGCTGGAAAAGAAGCGCATCAGTGAGCCGTCAGGGTTGTCCTAGCTTTTTTATGTTAATCGCGTTGATGTCGTATGAGATTACTCATTAACAGGATAGTCTCTCGATGGGCTGCACCATCTTTAAATAAATTATTGTTCAACACAGGGAACGTGCCTCCACGCGTCAGTTCCGAAGGCGCTATTATCTTGCTGAACGGCAATTTCTGTCATGGCGCTGTACAATCACAGATGAGACCAGAGGCCTATTGGTCAACAATTATGGTGCCCTCAGAGTCCGTTGACATTGCTAGCCGCGAGGTGATGGTGTTGATGTGGGTATTCTGCTTACAGCTATTTGCATGGTCGGCACCCATCACTTCGTCGAGAGCAAGCTCGCCGACATGTGGACGAATGCTATGCTCATCTCCGCGTACGTTCCCATTTCGCATTCGCAACTACTACTAATTAGCTTTATTTCTATCGTATAGAACGTCGGCCACTAGCTGCGCGACCACGTACGAGTTCGACCACGCTCGTAAGGGCGATTATATTCAGTCAGAATACTGGTCTCGCCCTCGAATCGCCTCAAGTAAACACAAGCTGCCGTTCAGTCCTACTCTCACTCAAGAGCAAGTGTGGTATGCATTCACCATATTCGCTCTTCTTCGGGATGCCATGGACCAGAAGACACCACTACGAGTTCCTCATGATGGCGAGCAACGAGCTCGCTTCACGTTGGCCATGCAGGAGCGTAACGAGCGGATAGTGCGTTTTGGCCAACACGAACTCAGACACTTCTGCGACCTATGCATGAGGGTCTTCGTCGATCCACCCGGTCCCGATGGTAAGCCTCGTTACCGTAAGTCTCATCGTATTTGATATTGTCGTGCTTCTCACTGAGAAAGAGTAGGAAAGTGTCAGGTTGCAGTCAGCGATGGCGTAACCATTGGGCACTATGTTTGCAGGAAGTTCCGATGCACAGAACCGCTCGAGTCTAACGCCGATCACTTCTGCAAAAACGACCAACACCTTGCTGGTATATGCGCAGTCGCAGACTGCGACAGCGCGATCTCGCCGACTTCCTCGTCAAGCCATACCTGTAGCAATATCGAGCATCAGGAACTGGAGATCAAGTCCCGAGATCGAGGCAGAAGCATGTTTACGCTCAAAGCTCGCCTCGCTCGTATGCGCACCTCGAATCCGGCGGCAGAAATGAACGGGGACGTTGATTCCCTCCCCAACGACGCTAATGAATGGTTCCACCTCGACGAGGATGGCCATCTCATTCACCACGTCGACACCAATCCCACCAACGTAGGCGTCAACGACGAACAGGCCGAGCAAGCAAACTGCCCGAGTAAGACAACGAAACGCCTCAAAATACACCTGTCTCGTCGCCGATCCTGCTGCGAAGAGACAGTTGTACGTCCATGCGGTGTCATTGTCGGCCGTGCAACTCTTAACGGCGCTGAAGCCGTGTCAAACGTGTTGGTATGTTGCTGATTTCTACTATTTCCTTCCGCTGTATCGTACTGAACATAACGAGCATTTTGTTAAAACATTGTTCAGCATCCCTGGCGCGCGAAAGCCGGAACACTGGATCTACGACACCGCGTGCGATGCCAAACAGCAGGCTATGAAGGATCCGTGGTGGGATACCGTTGGCATGTCGGTCGACGTATTTCACTTCCTCAACAAACATAAGACGACGCACGATTTTTGCCAGCGCTACTGCAACCCTGCACTGTTTCCCGAGCTTCTCAAAGACGACGGCAGCGGTTGGTGGTTCAACTCCAGCATCGCCGAGCAGGTCAACGTGTGGTTGGGCTCTTATCATTCGATGGTTCGCGAAATGACGCCGGTACGATTTAACTTCTTCCTCGACGAGATGGTTCGTCTTCGTAACATAGACGTTGTGCAGAGGCTGAATGCCCAAAAGCTCAACCCATGCCATTCCCCTATGCCTAAGCAGTAGATTATCAATTACACATTTTAAAATGAACACCGAGTTTTATTCAAAGAGCGTACACATAAACGAATGTGAAGAAGGGACTACACTAACATAACGAAGAGAGAGGAACTAATGAAGAGAGAAAAAACTAAGGAACAAAGCTCAAACCTTCCCTCCCTCAAGCGTCCTCGTCCTCATCCGACTTGATCCCTGAGATATCAAAGTATTCACTGGACTCGTTGTTGACTTTAGCTAGGAGGAAACGAGGGAGATCGGAAGAATCACTTGAAATCTCGATTATCTCGGGATCACTTGAGATCTCGATGTACTCGGGTTTCTTCTGCGACTTGCGAGACTTTGACAGCCTGGGCTTGGCTCTAGGACGACTTGAAGAGGCCTGGGACTTGGCCTTGCGTTTCGAACGAGCGCGACTTGAGGCAGCAGGTGCGGAGGTAGAGGTTGAGCGCGAAGGGCTCGAAGACCCGCTGGAAAGAACGATGTCGTAGGCAGGCAGACGTTTAATGGAAGGCTCCACGTCAACGGAGGGTTCAAGCTTGATGGAGGACGCGTCCGAGGGCACGTCCGAGGGCTCGCGTTTGACCAAGGACTTGCTGTCGTCTGAGGAGTCGCCATCGCTGGAGGAATCGTGCTTGATGGAGGGCGTGTATTCCTTCAGTGGAACGTTGCGACTAAATTTACCCCAGAAGGTGCCAGGCTGGTTGCGATACAAGGCAACCCGCTCCTCTTGTGGAAGGGTAGAAAACCGCTGGAGGGCGTCGCGCACAGTCGTCCGCTTGTATGGCACGCCAAACACGCGCATGAATGCTGAGGGCGCTGGCTCGTGGCGATGATCGGGGCCGAAGACCTTGAGAAGGCCGTCAAGGACCCCATTGACGTGCCAGCCCCTGGGCCAAGACCTGTACAGCAGTGGGGCGCTAAGCTCGGGCTGAGGAACTTCGGGCCGGGGTGGACGACCAGGTAAGGCGAGCGCGCGGTCGGGCGTTCGAGGGAGTCCAACGGCAGATAGTATGACAACAGCCTCGTCGTCAATGCCTACAAAGGCCTGAGCAAGGAGTGAGAGCGGGCGGGTGCGCGACAGTGAAACAGAGGACGATGTGGAGGAGGGTGGTGACACATAGCGAGCCTTGAGCGATGGGGACGGCCATGGTATTTCTACCGGTGAGCCTTCGAGTGAGGGAGGCTGAGATGGCTGTTCAAGTTGAGCTTCCTGCGCCGCTTCCTGCGCCATGATAGCGAGCAGATCAGGAGAACCACGGGGGAGCGGTGAGCGGGGACGCGGTGAGCGAGGACGCTGGCGAACAAGGGAAGGATCAATGGGCTTGAGGATACGGCCGACTGGTGACTGTTTACGAATTCGGGCACGCTCGAGAGTGATATCGTCGATGGTGTCGATAGGTGGTGGTGGCCCAAGAAGTCCTGAGTCGTCCTGTGGATCAGTGACACCAGGGAGTCGAAAGATAAGGGTCTCCCCGGTGGTGACCTTGTGCGAGGCGTGGATTGAGACGGTGACCCACTCGCTCCTTCGACGGTCATACTGCTCGATGCGGTGGACTTCGGCGCTAGGAGGAGGTATGGCGGACTCGTCCGAAGACATGTATTCGATGAGCGAGAAATAGGGCCACTTTGGTAGAGACCGCGAACCCATGAGCTTGGCATTCTCCCGTTGTGTGTTCTATGAATCAAAAAGCATCAGCGTCACGGTAGAAAAAATTAGAAAAAATAACGTACTGTAATCCACAAGAGCAGATTCAGTAGTTTCTTGCTATCCTGCTCAAGCACAGTCTGGATGTGCGCTTGGTTGGCGTTCATGACCGTGTCGACCTTCTTCGTCTTCCATATATCCACCCAAGGATCTTCGAGATGTCTTGTAATCAGCGAAGAGGTTGCCTGCTGCGACCGCGGTGGTTGTGTGGAAGGTGGTGGCTGTGTGGAAGGTGGTGGCTGCGAGGAAGGCGGTGGCTGCAAGGAAGGTGACGGCGGCTGCGTGGAAGGTGATGGCTGCGAAGCGCTAGGGAATAACAAAGCCAGAGAAGAAGGGGATAAAGAAGAAGGAGTGACAGTCGAGGAAGGGAGTGATGGAGCCGTAGATGACTCGGAGGAACCTGCAGATGAGGACGAAGGGACAGGAATCGAGGATAGGTGAAGATCGACAGGGACTTGAGAGCGACCGCTCAGCTGGCGCTCCTCCTGCTCCTGCTCCTCAGGAGTGAGGGGACGACCAAGGGAGTTGCCATCGACACAATGTTTTGCTGTGCCCGTGCAGCCACCTCTCGCCTTACAGTGGATATGACACCACTCACGATAGCAGGCGCCGCTTTTGATGGGAGTTGCAAGGTTGCAGTTACCGAACTTGCACTTGCCAAGCGGCTTAACGATAGGTGCGTGTCCTAGATCGGAGGGCGTCTGAGATGCTGAGTTGGCTAGGGCCTGGAGACTGGTAGCCGAAGAGAATGAAGGCATAGGACTCGGGAGAGGGGTGCTCGAGGGACGGGTGCGAGCTAGGACCGGCGGAGGGACGTCACCCTCGGGGAAGACATAGTAGTAGATTTGGCCATCCGGGTGTGGCTTAAAGCACTGGAGATACGTGTTTATGAGGCTGATTGCGTGAAGAACAAAGTGTGAGCTTACCTTGAGATGGACCCGCTTATGGTACCTGTGCTTAGGATTCGTGTGAACCGCCGGGTACAGGATCGTCACCTCGAAACAGACTGGGCAAGTGCAGGTACCGTTGTCGAGGACCTCCAGAGGCGGCAAGAAGATCCACCCGCTCATGGTGTTGCTAGATAGTGGCCGACAATCGAGAACAAGAGGTGTGTGTGGCGAAGCCTAGGTGTGGACGTAGTAGTAGAGAGAGGAAAGGATCGACGGAGAAGAATGAGAGGAAACAAAGAGGGAGAGAGGAAAGGATCGAGGGAGAAAAACGAGAGGAAACGAAGACGCGGACGGGCAGAGAATGACATTTATATTTGGTCCAAGGACGAATGCCTGGGGAGACTGATATGTACATTGGTATTCAGACTACTATCTAAAGCGCGACGCGAAGAGCCACGTGAATTGATTTTGTGGGCCTACACGCCGTCACATTGATTTGCGCGTCATCGTTTGTGCCGACACCCGCCGACACGCCGACACGCCGATACACCGCCGATACGCCGACACTAGTTGTTCGGGATTCCCCATCGACCTCGCTACACTACTCTAGAGGTCGCGAGTCGGCGCGGAGCACCGGAAATGGGTACGGACCGGTGGCCGATATAATTTTTGGCATTCACGGTGGTGTCATTATTTTCAATGTAATCGGGGACTTGGCTGTAGTAGAGTCGCTGCCTTACAGCGGTGGGATTCCCCTGTTCGTCGGCCACGAGTGCTGGGCGTACTACGTAGTTGTTGTGAAATTCCCATTTGCACTCTGTGAAACACAAACATGAGTCGTTATATGCGGCGAGAGAAACAATAACATACGGTTACAAGTGAGGTTCACCACCTTCGCGAACTGAACACCGTGGTCGATGGTAAACGCGACACATCTGAGGGCAACATGCTGCCGGAGCTCGGTGCTCTTTTGACAGTCTGGATTGATACAACTCCGCGAAGGAGGGTACAACGGGACATAAGCTAACAAGGATTCAAACCGAGGCCTCGGTCTGAAACAAAACCTGATGACGTACCTATCCCAATGTCCCAGCCACCGTTCTCCTCAAAGTCGTCTACCAAATCATCCAGGCGCTCTCGGGCCGTCATCATTTGCCAAATTTGATCCTTTAATACGTCCCAGAGAAGGTCTATAGCCGAAGTGGGGACGTCGAACTTTTGCGAGAACCAGTAGGTGTGCGCGGCGGGCATAATATCAGGGGCCGACCGTGTATCGCGCCTCCCTTGCTGAACCAGAGCAAAATCGTCGCGAAACTGACAACAGCGATCAATGAAAGCTAGGAGATGGTCGAGCGTGAATACATGAAGTTGTTCCTTGGCAGTTATGCGGCGGGCGAGCTCTGCTAAGGGAATTGACATCGGATTTGACAAATGGTGTAGATAACAAAGAGAGTTGTATCTAATCTAATAATAGGGACGCTAGCGGTTGACGCGCGGCGCGACGCCGTCACGGATGTTGATTTGTGGCTGGGCACAGACGTGTCGGCGTTTGCCGACCTCTCGCCGCCACCGACACCGCCACCGACACCGCGAGTTCGGAGATCACCTGCAACCTGAGTGTAGCTAGCTACGCTTTCTCTGTACTCGTACACTATGGGCAATCGTCGTATCTCCCCCGATGTCAAAGTAGCTGCGATCAGGCTTCAACAAGAACGCTTGTTGGACCTTGAAGACATCTTGCGCTGCTTGGACCTGTCTCGAAGCACGTTCTTTCGTGCCCTCAAGCTCTGGCGCGATACAGGAGATGTTGTCGGCCTCAGGTCAATCCATCGTGGTCGTCCTCGCAATCTCAATCGAGAAGATCACGAGTATCTCCTTGACATCATCAAAGCCCAGCCCGAACGATTCCTCGATGAGCTACAGTCCCTTCTCATGCACAACAGATTCATCTCTGTTCATTTCACGACTATCTTCCGCGAGCTTGTACGTGCTGGTGTAACCAACAAGAAACTCAAACGGATTGCCAAGGAGCGAAGCGAGTATGCGCGAGGAGACTTTATTTCAAGGATTTCTCAGTATGATCCCCGCTCTATTGGCTTCATTGACGAAACTTCCAAGGATGAGCGAACCATCTGCCGCCGACATGGCTGGTCAGAGGCAGGCACAAGGGCTGAATCAGGCCAAGTTTTCGTCCGTGGTCGGCGCTTTACAGTCACTGCACTGCTCACCCTTGAAGGTATATCTGCGGGAACAGTTGTCGAGGGTTCCATGAACCGCGACATGTTCCTGGACTTTCTAGAGAATGGGGTGGTGAGTTTATCCTATAATCCAAGCTTGATCTCGGAATTGATTAGTGTTTGTAAAGCTTTCTCAGTGTACGCGGCATCCAGACCCCGGTCTCAATGTTCTTGTGCTCGATAATGCAAGGATCCATCATGGCGAGGAGATTATGGAGCTTGCAGAGCGTTTCGGTGAGTGGTTCAGCCTTGATAGTCATCATCCTGTTTCATTATCTACTTCCTAGGTGTCCGTATTGAATATCTCCCTCCTTACTCGCCCGACCTCAACCCTATTGAGGAGGCATTCTCCAAAATCAAACACTTTATGCGACGACACCAGCACTACTATGACAGGCCACAGCCTGGTGATGGACTCCTCTACGACCTTTTCGAAGTTTTAGATATCATCACTCCCTTGGATGCGCATGGCTACTACATTCATGCAGGATATTTCTAGTCTACACGTGTAAACCTTGTCTCTGTAGTATACTGCAAGTGTCTGACATAGTGTAGCATACAGCTAGAAAACATAGTACCTATTTGTTGAGAAAATGGGTACACATGCGCAGCATGAACACGCGTTGATTATGTAAGCAACCACACTGCGATCACCCGCCCAACCGACCGCTTTGCCCACCTCCGGTCTGCCTCTCTGCCCGCCAAACCACCCTCGCCTCCAGCCGTGTACAGCCGCTCTCCTTAGTCTTCCTTTCTTCTTCCAAACATGCCCGCTTCTCCTTCCAAGCCTCCCAACAACTATGACACCGCGACCATCCGCCCCCGTGTCCGCCAGCGCTCCGTATCCGTCACTGACAGACAACTCTACCCGCAGGCCATCCGCAACGGACTGCGCCGTCCGAAGGCATCGCCATCCTCGGGCACCGCGCCTCGCCGATCGTGCACTTCTCGCTGCGCTCTGTCGCGCCGGCTTCGTTGTCTCCCGCGAGTGCGGCCACGCCCGCGGGCAAGGAGAGCTTCGCCCACCCAGTCATCCATGCTTCCGGCTTCCCACCACTCTACCACTGCCAACGGCGATCTCCAAACAACACCCCGGGTCCTTCGCCGCTGCACCGGCAAACCCTCGCAAGCAACCTTACCCAGGATCCGACGACAACGAGAACGTCACCACCGAGATCGCGTACAACAAAGCGGCGAGACTGACTCTGCGGTCGTCCAGATACGACTTCTATGCAGGTCTCAATGCTACACTCAGCAGGATCCCCAAAGAGATTCGTGACGACGTCTACGCAGGCGCGTTTGCAAAGACTAAAGGCGACCTAGGCGTTGCCGAACGCTACCTCAGCCGGTTAGTCGCGTGTCCCTAGTCCTCTCCAAGCCTGACACCGGCCATAATTGTCATCGTAAATCCGCAGTGCCTTCGAGACCGCCCTCACCCTTCCCCCGTCCGCCTTTGGCGACAGACCCTACCTCCACTTCTGTGGCATCGCCGCCTCCCTCGCCTCCGTGCAAGCCATGCAAGGCGGTGCCGCCGCCCGACGCGCCAAACGCACGTGCGAGCGCACCTGGGCCGTCCTCGAGCCCGCCGACAGCCCAAACGCCACCGCCACCGCCACCGCCAACACCACTACTGACGGGTCCACAGTGATAGCAGACCCCACCAGCGATGCGAACAAGATCGCACCCGAATGGCGGACGTACGCTGCGAGCGACGCGGAGCGCATGAAGCGCGTCGCGATCGCGTGCATGGTCGCCAAGCTCGTGGGCGAGCGCGCCGCGGGGAGCGAGCAGGAGAAGGAGGAGGAGCGATGGCTGACGTGGGCGGTCGAGGAGACGCTGAGAGTGTGCAACGCGCTCGATCCCGACTCGACTGTCGCCGCCGCCGCCGCGTCACCTGTGCCTGCGGGGCAGAGTCCAGCGACGGAGGTCCCCGCGTCGCTCAACGTGACGATGGAGCACGACCCGGACCTGACGGCGCTCTTCCCGATGAGCGAGTTCGCAGCGCCGTTCGAGGCGCTCGGCTCGTACTACGCCCGCAGTGGCAACGTCCAGTGAGCACCCATCTCTCTTTCCACTTGCCCACGACCCCACTTCACCACTCACACCGCTCTCCCCACCCCATAGATACGCATTCTCCCTATACCACCACGCCCTCGCCCTCCTCCTGCCCTCCACCGCCTCCGCCCCCGCCCCGCGCATCTTCACAGACGTCCAGCGCACCCCCGCCGACACATGCAACGCCGCGCAGATCCTGAACAACATCTCCGAGCTCGTCATGCGCCAACACCCGCCGTCCCCAGAGGTGCGCGCCATGGCCGAAAAATGGGCGCGCAGCGCACACACCGTCGTCGAGCGCGGGCTGCACGCGCGCGGGAAGCCCGCGCCGCTCGTCACGTCTGGGTTTGTGCAGTATGGCGGAGGGGGTGGCGGAGGGGAGGAGGAGATGGATATGACGTGCGAGAGCGTGTTTGGCGTTGTGTTGTTCAATCTGGCGACGATGCGGGAGGAAAGTCTATACCTATCCTTCCCCTTGAGGCGCTGATGACCGAATTGCCGTATTGCAGATGGACGGCGACAAGAACGAAGCTCGCGCGTTCTACACGCGGAGCATCGAGCAGTGCAACGCCGCTGGGATGGACGAAGGCGTGTTCAAAGGCCAAGAAGCTCTGCGGAAGCTAGAACGGAGCTCGGTCACGCCGGACAAGAAATAGTATTTTGCCTTCGCGACATAGCATCAACCTGTACTTTACCACCCACCTACTAGACACACGAGAACGTCACCACCGAGATCGCGTACAACAAAGCGGCAATGTCCTTCCACGATACGAGCGCGCCAGATTCGGTCAAGTCCATCATCGTCCCGAACGACCCGGACAACGTGTGCCCCGGCCAGCCCATATCCAAGTTCCACACCAAGGGCCTGGACGACGTCAAGGGCTGCGCATGCCCGATTCGCCGCGGGACATCTCAACGGATGCGTGAGCGAGTGGATATTGTCGACGCCAACGTCGGCTGCTCCTCGAGTGCTGTCACGACCAACAGCTCGTTCCGTGGGCAGACTGTTTCTGTCCCCATTTCCACGATCAGAGCTATTACGGTCAAGTTGTATTATAGAGCATGCATATACATCAGTCATCATACAAATACACAGTTTTTTTATCGGATATCGTGATCAGGTGCGAGGGACCGACCAGTTCTCGACAGCGTGCTGAAGGGCTGCCACCTCGCCAAAGTGAAGACCCATTTTCTCGAGTACAGGAAGAGTAGTGAATCGAAGGTGTTCGACCTGCCGAAACTTGTGTTCCTCAAGCTTTTTGAGTATGTCGCCATCAAGCTCATACTGCTGACAAAAGGCCACTAGGGGCATACTTGCTCCAGGGAGACGGTCAGGTGGAAGGAGCTGGTCACTGTTACCAGAGTTAGTCGCTTGCTGGAGAGAAGCACTCGGCATCTGAGGGATGTGGACATTGATGATGGGCTGTGCGACTGCGGGCGCATTTTTGGCAGCCAACATCTTTTGACGTTCTTCGAGGATATCCGGCTTCAAAGTGCTGGCTTGGTTGATGTCGAATAGGGAGTGGTTCGGCGGCTTCTCCAGCGTCGATTCTTCCGAATCACCTTTGAGCTGAGTCATGTGAGTTCAACAGCGAGCAAGAGTTTATAATGAGCTTGTTATACCAGTGAAGTGGCCCAGCATTCGAGGCGATTGAAGTTGAGGGGGAGATGCTTGCCACCAGTAAGCTCGAAACAATGGGTGCTAGAGCAGACTGAAGATGCGAGACGGCAGTAGTACTTCTCCTTGAGCTGCTTGATGAATTCGCTCTTCCGCTCGTTCACTGGAAGAACCTTGCTAGCTTGCTTGCTAGCCTTACTGCCGGCACCACTCTAACCCGGAAGACCATAAACGAGCGCATATAATGATCTAAAAAAGCCTAAAACTCACCCGTTTCCCCCCCTTTGCCCCATTAGAGTTCTCCTTTTCTGCCCCATCGGCCTGCTTATCCTCCTCGTGCTCATCAACAAAGAGGTGGATCTGGGCCTTGCCCCGAGGGAGTTTGGCGGCACGATCTTTCAAGGTCTTGAAGTCGGCTTCGTTGGTCAAAGAGAGCTTAGTAGTCTTCCCAGAATCTTTTACACTGAAAAGGACATCACAGCATTCAAACGGAGGGACTTTCTTGTTCTCGCCGCCCACTTTAGTGACTTGCGAGAGGATCTGAGCCTTCATCGTGTCCCACGGCTCGTCGAGAGCAAAATGGAAGGTCATCTTTTTGATGCGTCGCTTGGTTTTGGGCTTGCTCATCTCGGTTACAGGGGTGATATCAAGGAGGACCTCAATCTCGGTGATTGGCCCCTCATCGTCAGCTTTGTGTATATACAGTCAGGCACTGATGAGATGTAACCTAGTCAAATACCTGTACGCTTTCGCTTCCCTTTCCCCTGAGTTGGAGCCAGATCTGCTATTTCCTCATCCTCGGAAGCTTTGTCGTCCATGTCATCCTCCGAGTCAGATGGCTGAGCATAGTTGGCCTTCCTAGATGGTTGAGGGCTCAGAGGGGGTGGACTTGGGGAGGTTTCCAGTGGCTCCAGTCCGAGAATTCTCAAGGTTTTGGCGTCAAAAACGGGGGCCATGCGTGGGATGAAGAGCTTTTGAGGGATGTGTAGGTGTACAGGTACTCCACGCATCGCAAGCACAGAGCACCGGGGCTCGGATCTCACAGCCGCACTCCGGCAGCTCGGATCGGACAGGTCTGCCGCGTCTCACGATTTTCTAATTTCAGCCCAGGTGTCATTCCATTTGCAACTAGCTGTAAATGTCGGAACAGTCTACTGATTTGGCTCATCAGCACACCCCGTGCGGGCCGCTGTGTATAAATAACCTTTTAACCTTTCTGTTTTCTTGTGATAATCTTCTCCACTTGTTTCTTCTGATACTTCCTCACTCAGCGTGCTTGTTCTGCGTAACTACGGAGTGGAAACAGCCGGGAGCGCGATGCGTGCTCACAGGAACCTTGAAGCAGCGCGGACGCTATTTCATAACGACTTATGTGGTTTCGAGACGGGCCAGCGCACTAAAGAAGCACCACCAGTCGAATGTGAGGTGAGTAAATCCACCGCGGATTTATTGACTTACACCAAGGTTCGGGATGGCTTCTTACCTCTTCTATCTGAATGGACGGTACATTGTATGTAGTATTAGAGCCCATCTCGATCATGTGGCGAAAGCGTGCTGTGACGCAATTGAGACGAGAGGGGTATCAAATCGAAGACGATGGGAGGTAATCGTGGACAATGTGCCCTGATGTACGGTGCTCGTGGGATGGAGAGGGTGGCTGCCGTGAGCGGGCACAGGCCGTTTCAGACTCCTTCACCTGCGGCCACGGCCACGGAACCGTCGCAGGTCAAACAAAACCTTTTCACAGCACAGACCCAGCTACATCCCTACCGCAAGAAGCAGATGCAGCTGTGAGGCGGCCACCGATGACACAAATTATGACATAGCGGATGCTAAGTTCATCCTGGCCAGGCTGTGGTCGAGATTGATGCTGGTGCTACAAGTTCCCCCCTTGATAAAGGACTTACGGGCGTTCCCCGGCATCCTTTTGCATCGAATTACGTCTAACAGTCGTTGCGAGGGACGTTCGCAAGACGATGCATCTGTTTTTGCTCTGCGAGTGGATGGTGCGCGATTCTCGTGAAACTGGTTTGCCTAAACCCCGCATAGTGGGATTGATAGGTGTCACTGTCACTGTCAATCAACACCGTTGATGATCTACACAGATCTCATCTTGATGTGGCCACTCTCGGACTTTTTCGGCCATCAGATGCTCTGCTTTCCCCTCACAGCCTAACCAGTAGGGCGGTCTGATGCCACTCATGGAAGTCCCTGGAATGGAGCACGGCCAGCGAATTCAACGCCTTGCTTGCTTTGTCCTATTCCCTTCCTTCCTCTTGACTTGTCTTCTTTTCGACCTCCACATTCGAGACAGCTCTCGATAAACTCCTTGAAGGCCGACTCGGACTAGGGGGACCATGGACCCACAGAGAGAGCCTGCCAACGGCACCAGAGCCTCTAACGGCGTTACTGGCCATCACCATCATAACGTGGAGGCGAAAGAGAAGGCGGAGAGCTACGTCTCGCCCCCGTACTCGCGTTACCAGCGCGAGATTACGATGGGTGTCGCCCAAGGCACTCGTACGTGACAGTTATGGTAACCTTGCAAGCTTACGTTGGTCTAACTGGCCCGGTGTGTACCCTTTAGTCCCGCAGTTCTCACTCCAGATGGATGACCTGGCGGAATCCATGAAGGGCGTCATGGGCGAGAAGGCGTACGCGTTCGCGAACGGTGCGGCCGGAGTAGGGTGGACGGATAGAGCGAACCGGTGGGTGGCTGGCATGAACGTTGGCGGAGTCGACTTGAGTGCGTACTGACTTAACGTTCGTATCGCGCAGAGAGGAGTTCTACCGCTGGCGTATCAGGCCGAGGGCCATGGTGAACACAGACACGAGAGATCTTAGCGGTAAGCGCACTTCAACGGTTATCTGATGAGATGCGAACCCCTGACTCGCGACTTAGTGAACCTCTTTGGTCATCGGATACCAGCCCCAATCCTCTTTGCGCCCATAGGCGTAAACAACCTGTACCACCCCGATGGAGAACTAGTGCCGGCCAAAGTTGCTGGAGAGCTTGGTCTTCCTGTACGTTTTGTTATCCGGTTCAATGCGCTAATCTGACTGAGGTCCATCCAGTACTGCATGTCGACGGCCTCCGCATACACTATCGAGAAGGTCGCAGAGTCCAACGACCTTGGCGCTGCTGTCCGTAGCCCGAACAAGCCGCTCGTAAACGGGCAGACGGAGCGCAAGGCCCAGTCTCCGCGGTTCTTCCAGCTCTACATGTCCAACAACGAAGAGGTCGTGAGTTATGCTTCGTTTTCCACTCAAGGTCCTCGGTCAAACTGAACATGGTCAATCACACAGGCTCTCGGATATCTCCAGCGCGCATGGAACAGCGGATTTGACGTGTGTATGTTCACGATTGACACGGTTCAATTTGGCTGGAGACCAACCGCATTCAGACCTGGCGCATTCAAGTGAGTTGCTATCTTGTCTTTGCATCTAGATTCCCTCATGCGATCAATTTCGTCCCCTCAGATTGGTTCGTCGAGGTTTCTGTTCGTCATCGTGTCGTACATTTCACTAACCCTTGCTCCTAGGCAAACGGAGACCCAATCGATCCAACTCACTGGCACGGCGTCTCCCACACATGGGAGCGCATCCCATGGCTGATTGAACAGGTCTGTAGCCCGTCATGTTATCACTATGTTCATTGTCTACCATCTATCGACTACCTTCGTTTTTCGTTGTCTGAGACTGACCTGCGTATGCACAGTGGAAGCGCATCTCGGGTGGCCGCCCGTTTGTCCTCAAGGGCATCACAGACGCCGAAGACGCGCTTAAGGCGCTCGAGCTGGGCTGCGACGGCATCGTGATCTCAAACCACGCTGGTCGGCAGGTTGACGGTGCCGTCGGGACGCTGGAGGTCCTACCAGAGATCGTTGAGGCCGTTGGAGATAGTACGCTTCCATGCACCAGCTCTCTCAGAATCAAGTGCTGATCACCATTTTGTTCGCATCTATACAGAGATGACAATCCTGTTCGACTCTGGAATCAGGACAGGTTCTGACATATTCAAGGCGCTCGCACTGGGCGCACACGCTGTGCTCGTCGGTCGGCTCTACATATGGGGTCTTGCGCACTCGGGAGAAGAAGGCGTCCGGCACGTCATGAAGGCATTACTTGGGGTTCGTTTCAACTCTGGCTTGGCGTTGAAGGTATAGGCGCTGATATGATGCACTTCATGTAGGACTTGGACATGACCATGACTGTCGCCGGCTACCCATCCGTAACCAAGCTCAATAGACGGGCGCTGAAATACAACTCGAGCGGGGTTCCGCCCCAATAAATAGGTGTGGGCGATTTTGTTATAGTTAAGTTATGCCTGGTATGTTATCTATTCGTGGACACGTTGAATTATATAGACAATGTAAAGCCAAAAGCCCTCCTGGTCGACGTCCGTTCCCGTACACGCGTTTCGGATCTCGGATCTCCATTATATGTATCTCTCTTCTCTGCCGATACTAGTGATCGATCCTACGAAGATTCCTCACTAAAATCTGTCCTCCAAAAAGCTGTTCAAGTGCACATACAAAAACACCTTAGCATGTTGGTAAACATTGCTCTTGCCCATGTGGTCTGATTGAAATTGTGACAGCAACTGAGACAGTCGGGGAGTACCGTTCTTGCCGCCAGCAAATACTTCAACGAACGAAGTATTGTAATCTTTACACTTTCATCACACCATCCGACTTTGGTTATCACACGAATAACAGCCTATGGAACACTTCACACTAGTGATGTTCACAGCTTTTAACGTGCATGTCAATCCAGTACACATGTGAATTCCGTAGGCCCTTGATGAGCAACGTTTCAAGGGTAAGATTATGACGAGATGGGGCGCCGCCTTTGTTTATTTGCTGCTACTGTGGAGAAGGCGGCGGCGGCGCCAAAGAGTACCAGTGGACACTTAAAAGCTAGAACAAGAGGTAGACTGGTGCCGGAGATGGTGTCAGACTGTCGCTGATTTTTGGGTCTAGTTCGTCATTTGAAGTTGATAACGAGAAGTATTACACTCGATCAACCTTTAAATCAAGAATTCTTCTTTGACCTATCATGATCGTTCCAGCACGCGCCGATATCCGAGCCAACTATGCCCTCAGAAGCCCGTGTAAGGCTTGGCTCTGACCCCGCTGTTGTTGATAATAGCGCGTTCATCAGAATAGCAGAAATATACGATAAAGTGTGAGTAAGTTGTCGTATTTCTGTTCATGAAACATGCTTGAGTCTCTGAAATAGTCCGGCTGATATCATGAGGTTTCCAAAGTACCTCAAAGGGTTTTTGTCCAAACCGGGCCAGTAGCTCGCGAGCAGTCAAGCCATAACCCACGTCCGTACAGTCTCACTCTAGCACAGGCTCTGGTCAAAATGTGCAACGCCACACGAAACAACAAGCATATCAGAACGCACTACTGGAGTGGTATATATATTGAACTTGAATACTTGTATGTCGGTGTCTTGACGGATCCACTGTAGCAATACCTTCAATATTTATCAAATGGTACCTTGCGAGTACGGTGGCTTTGATCCCTAGGCCCCTTGAGCTTGAACGTTAGTCCGCAATGATATGATATACTGTATACGGTGAACCACGTGTACAAGCGGGTCCATCAAGTAATTGAGGAACGGAAACGCATGTTCCTGTGCCTCAGAACATGCATATGCGTATAAACTTGGTATCAAGCATACTATGCATGATTCTTGGACTCGGAAGTGCTCGCTCCTGGGGAAACAAGTTGCTACAAAAGGCTGCTGACTCGTCCACACAAACTTAGAACAGCGAGTTAAGAGACGGAGAACAGTACACCGCGATCAAAGACGGAGAATTCCGCTATACAATAGCTATGTTAGGGCTCGCTCTCTCACTGTGAGAGTAAGGCATCCATTGATCTAGCCACAGCAACGCATACAGATGAGGAGACCTGTGGATATGTAATAGTAGGTTTCAGCGTCCAAGGCAAACCACGTTGATATATAAGTTGACATCGACTAGTTACCCTTAATCCAACATCATAAACCGACACCTACGACACATGGCATATTCCGTGGTTGTAAAAGAACTAAAGTCTTCGGATGGGAACAAAATATACGCCGAAGCAATCGGAGACCCATCAAAGCCTAGCATCATTCTTGTGCATGGGATCATGCTGTCGTGTGCGATATGGGACAATTTGTTTGAAGATCAAAAATTGGTTGAGAGGCTTTACTTGGTGAGTCCAAATTCCTTCTCCTATCTTGCACTTTACAACGGTACAAACACCCAGATTCGTTACGACGTCCGAGGTCACGGTCGAAGCGGGAAGCCGGACAGTATTGAAGGACACGCTTCGTCGTTATACGCGGCTGACTTCAAGACGGTAGCGGATGCCTTCGGCGCCAAAAAGCCTGTTTTTTGTGGATGGTCAGAAGTTACTGACTGGCGTTGGATGCATTTTGCTAATTTCAAGCCTTGCATGTAGGAGTCTTGGAGGCGAGCTCCATTTCTCTTTGTCATTCATTGATCTAACAGCTTGAAGGAACTACCGGTGCTGACATTTGTGCGCACTTGGATCCCATCCCGTTGGCTGGAATGGTTTACATGTGCGCGCTTCCGTACGTCGATCCTGCGCTCATCCAAGCTGTTGCGACGCCAGCACTTTTGAATGTGGCCAAGGGCGTTACAGTCGACGACAACGCCGTGTCAGCCATTGATTCGCGCATCAAATTCACCGAGGCGCTTTTCAGAGATCACCATTCAGTTCCTTGGAAAACAAAGTTGACCTGCCTTGGATCAAGTACTCTCATGGCGCCTAGAGACTGTCGCTTCGTTATTAGTCGTCCGCAAAATGAAGAAAAGTTGATGGAGGCAGGAAGGAATGGAATGCCGCTGCTGGTTATTGTTGCGGCACATGACGAGGTAGTGAATGGAGAGGTGGCGGTGAAAACGTTTGAGCCACATTTTACGCGTATCGAGGTCAAGCGAATTTCGAATTCCGGACACGCAGCGCACATAGATCAGCAGGATGAATTCGTCAATGTGCTGCTGGAGTTTACGCTTGGGTGTAAACATTTGAGCAACAAGCTGTATGCCGTACTGTAAATCACACGTTTCTGGCCTTTATGCGAATCCTACGACTCCTGCTGATTCCTTTCCTGTGTATCAGCTGCAAGTGAACGTTAAAAATGACAGGGGATTGTAAACTGCGCAGGACGAATGCCATACTCACAACCCGATGAATATGGGTAGAAGAATAAACCTCAAGTTGTTACTTGAGCTTTATGGTCGATGGGAATTTTTGAGAATGCTAACGTGGTTGAGCTTCGAGTCTGGCCACCTTCCTCTACCACCTAGGTCGTCAAGATCCAATGACTCGCATAATTAAAGGCCACTATCGGCGGGTTCTGTTTGCCACTGATCCACGGACATTTCATGCGTGTTCTCCATATCGACATCAGCACCTTTGCTCGGTGCCGCACCCACGGCGCTGAACAGTGAGAAGAGAAACTGGGCATTCTAAATGTCGAGATTAAATTTCAGGTACAGGAGACTGCATGTGGGCGTCCTCACCATGCGCAAATGGTCTTTCTGTGACGACCAACGGGGGTTTACATCGGAGCAAGTGGGGTGCTGGGTAATCAAAGCATCTACATGGTTTGAAGCAAAAACAGTACGGCACGGGATATGCATGGAATTGGCTGATTGCAAGTACCAATACTAATATCACGCACGTGAATGGCCGATAGCGACCGACAAGGACCAACCTCGCACAGCACTTAAAGCGTCGAAATGAGACATCACACGCATTTAGTACAGAGCACTCACGGAGTTCGCCCATTGCAGATATCAAGCGAGTTAGTCACCAACAGACACGGGCCGTCCGGTCAATCTACGGAGTTGGTCGATGAAGACAAGATGGAGAGGGAAAACCTTAGATTCCGGTGGGTACGGAGCGGGATTTTCCGAGAGATGGACGGAAAGCCTTTGGTGTGATGATCGCGGTCGGTTTGTACCACGCAACATCCCAGAAGTTTGTCGCATGGATATACAGACCCAAGTTAGGGGCTCGCTGGAGATCTTGCAGCTTTGGTCCCATGCACCGTTGGGTACTTCGAACACGGTCGAATTCCTAGATCAGTAGCGCGACGATTTGTTCTACTTGACGCCGTGATGTCTACGACAGCAAGAAGCGAGGAAAGGGAATGGTCGGTGCACAGATCCCGCAGGTCGCGAGGGCTTGTATGTTTAAATTAGTTGAGAAGCAATGTTTTACTATGAAGTGGAACAAGCGAATGAAATACAAGACATAACATGATTCGAAAGGTAGCCTGTCACTTGCCAAAGACAGCTTACTCCTGCATGAGAAACCAGCTCCTTAAGCCCTGCGATCGTAGTCGTCCCTTCGCCGCCTATCATCGGGCGACCTCCGGTCCCGCTCCCTGTACCGATCCTTATCCCGTCCATAATCATCCCTATCCTCACCTGCCCGCCGGCCATATCCATTATCACGTCCTCCACGACGACCCCCATTCATCCCGCGGTCCCGTTCCCTCTCCACGTGAGGCGGTGGCGAACGCACGCGCCGGCGATCGTCCTTATCCCTGTCAGGCCCGCGCTCGCGCTCGAGAGAAGGCTCGCGGCGATGGCGAGGAGGGGGAGATGCCCGACGCGGGGGCGAGTGCGAGCGGGGCGGCGGGGTCGGGCTACGCGATGCATGCCTTCTGCCCCCACGCGGCGGAGGGGAAGGCGAGCGAGACTCGGAGCGCGGGCGACGGGCATACCGATCGCGTTCACGTTCGCGTTCTCTGAAGTCCCGCGGGACTCGGTCCCGCTTATCCCTATCGTCTCTGGGCCGACCGCCATCACGGTCGCGATCACGGTCCATGTCGACGTCGCGGGCGCGATCGTCCTTCCGTCGGGGGTCAGGTGAAGGAGAGCGCCGTCTCGGGCTGGCTGAGCGCCGGCGAGGACGACGACGCGAGTCATCCAAATCGTCCGAGTCGTCGGAATCAGCGTCGGAATCATCGTCTGAGTCGTCTGAGTCGGTGTCCGAGTCATCAGAATCGTCCGAGTCTGAATCCGACGAGGATGATTCCTGCTCAAGCATGGCGCGGCGTTGCTCCATGATGAGTCTTGGTGCATTCTGAAAGAGGTGTTAGCATTACAAACCAAAGGAGCAATAATGAGATAAACCGCATACCTTCAGGTACTCGCGCATATCCTCCGTGAGAACACCCAACCCAACACTCGTGAAGTAGTTGATCGAGAAACGTGTGTTCTTCGGGTTATCCTTGGGGAACATCCCAGCACAGGCGATGCGCACTTCATCATCCTTAAACCTCTCCGCGAGCGTGGCCAAGCCCAGCGACTCCATCATTTCCTGCGTCATGATCTTGATGAAAATACGACTCGAACTCGTCGTGTCGTCCTCATTCATCTGAATGCACCGAAGAGCGACCCAAGAAACGGAGTCGGTGGCGAAAATATGACCAAAGAAGCGAGCGATATTGCGCAAACGGTTCGTCTCGTATCGATGAATGGTTTCGTAATATTTGGTGAACGCCTCTTCCAGGCAGTCAGTCCAGACGCGATTGAGCTTGCTGAACCGTTCGCCGACGAGGCCGTAGAAGTTTGAATATGATCGTTCTTGAGAACAACACTCGATGATCATGTTGATGAGCTCAATCTAGAATATTGTCAGCACATTTTCCAAGAATAAAAAAGAGAAATAATACCTCCTCGCCTTCACGAATTTGGATTTTGAGCAATTTATGAACAGCTTCTTCGTAGTTGAGCGCATTCATGATTGTCAGATAAATGGTTCGTCGCAGATTGACGAGGTCCGTCCCCGTAAGGTCCTCAATACCCTCCTTCTCCTCGGCAGCTGTACACAAAATAAGTAAGATAAAAATAAAGAAGAATAGAACAACTTACGTGCTTCATCCTCGTCGGATTCCTCTTCAGAAACGCCGGACTCCTCGTCTTCGTCCGAATCTTCACCGAGAATCTCGGCTTTGATCGATTTGTACTTCTCTTCGTTTTCGACGTAGTTCGGGTCGAACTTGAAGATATCTAAGGGAAGGAAAATCGTCAATCTCCGGGAGAAACATATAAATCCGAGAAACGTACTTAAACCCTCCTGCACCTGCAGCTCCTCCTCCAAATGAATCTGATGCGTAATCTGCTCCTCCTCCTCGACAAGATCAAGGCCTTCCGGAACTATGGGGTTGTCCTTGTAGCGATCCTTGCGCACTTGCATGAGCACTTCGATCATGTACTGAACACGGTGCGAAATTGAGCCCTCGTTCAAGATGGCGCGGAAGCGCTCGAAGGCAAACGTGTTCCCTGCAGCAGAATGCTCAGCAAGGAACGCGCCGACTTCGCGCATGAAACCAACGGCAATTTCAATAGAGTCGTCGGTGGGGCGTTCGAGGAGGAGAACGATGATTTGGAGAGCAATGATTTCGTGCGCGACCATCTGGTTGACGAGGTGCGCGATGAAAGTGGTTGTCGAGTGGCATACAATCTGTCACGGGAAATGAGCTACGGCTGCGGACGGTGATTGAGTCTAGACAGAAGACGTACCTTGTCATTACGCTTGAAAGCCCTCCGGAATTGACTAATGAGTCTGGTAAGAACAAGCTCTCCGACTTGAGGCAGCTTCGTATTGAGGATAGCAACGAGGGCGGCGAAGACGGGGGTGAACGGTAAACTGGAGGCTTGAGCCTTCATGATGCTGCGCGCAAACAGTCCACGACCGCGAACGAGGTTCTCCGAGAAGAGCTCCGGTACGACCAGCTTGATGTTGGTGATGTTAACCCTGTTCACGATACCGGTGATGGACTTTCGGAGGGCGTCCCAGGAGAGGCGCTGGTACTCGGGGCTAGACTTGTCGCTCGCTGCTGCGGCCTGCAGGGCACGCAGACGAGCAGGAGGCATGTATACGCCACCGGAGCGGGAGCCAACGAGCTTGGCGAATTCGGCCTGGCTGTCGGTTCTATCTTTTGCCTTGGTTGGGTCGTCGTCCGCAGGCTTGGAGGACTTTTCAAGCTCGACCGCGGCCATTTTGGCAGCGAGGGCGCGCTCGCGCTCCGCACGCCGTATTGGATCTACATCCTGGACTCGTGGAAGGTCAACGCGTGCGCGAGGAGGTGGGGAGTAAGAACGACGACGGGAGGAGGGGGGGTGTCCGTCTTCTTCACCCGGGGAACGCGACCGAGACCTGTATGCCAGACATGTCAGCTCATCGAAGCTAGCGCAGGACAGCGGAGAAAGCCAAACCTCTTCCTTTTATGCATCCCTCCATCTGAAGTGGGAGCGGTAGACATGACTGCTGTCGCCATTGTCGTAGACAGAAGAAAAGGCGGTTTGGAGAACGCTCAGCACGGCGAGCTCCTGTGAGAAGACGCGTGGGAATACCGTGGATTATGGCATAAGCTTTGGTCCTGTTTGCCCGGTGGCAGTACCACGGTCTCTCCGGCAACCTTCTCGAGGTTTCTTTCGCCTTTACAACTCACCGCCAGCTTTCTACCCGCCTATCCTTGGTGAGCTGAAGGACCTACTGACGTTGCCGCATCATAGGCGGTTTACTCTGAGATAACAAGTTTTGAACCGGCCATGGAGAATATCACCCGAGTAAGGCATGCTCAACCCATACGCATGCTTATCTCACTCCATTTTAGCTGAGCAGTCGAGTAGTAAGAGTCCTAGGACAGGTGCGTATTTGTTCTCGGAGTGTCGGTATATGAAGGTCATTCTTGATAGAATCCAGGCAAATTCACCCTCCAAGGTAACTAGTCTCTTTGAACTGGCCATTCGTTCAATTAACCCCTGTCGTAAGGAACAAACACCTACCTCGTTGGCTCCGAGAGCCCATACACTCTCATCGATACTGGCGAAGGGAAAGACGAGTACATACCCCTTCTAGAGACTGCGATTCGCTCCCTGTGCCCTCTTTCGCCTTCCTCGCCAGTCCACGTATCCGATATTATCCTTTCACATTGGCACCACGACCATACCGAAGGATTGCCAGGCATACTTGGACTGCTTTCTCGCCTGTGGAAGGAGCAACGGCCGAATGCACCATTTGTGCCTCCTCGCTTACACAAATTTCCCGTGAGCAGCGCACCGAATTCACCATTTACCACAAACAAGCTCGACGAGCTTCTTCGTAACCTCGAGAAAGGGTCGTTCACGCCCAGTCCCACCGGCTCAGCCCTCCACAATCTCCACGACGGACAAGAGCTCCCAGTCTCCACCAATGATGGAGACGGCCGCGGTATGCGCATCGTACATACGCCCGGCCATACCACGGACTCCATCTGTATCCTCATCCCCGTCAATCCAAAGGAGCAGAAGCACGCTCCATACGCGTTGTACACGTCGGACAGCGTACTCGGGGAAGGAACTGCTGTATTCGAGGATCTCTCGACGTACATGTCGTCCCTCAAGTCCCTCGTTGATCTACCCAGGTCCATAGACCCAAAGCTCGCATTCGGCGAGCTCTACCCCGGCCATGGCCCTGTCGTGCCCGAGGACAAGGGTGTCGATCTCATAGAGACGTACATCAAGCATCGCATGGAACGCGAACACCAAGTGGTCGCTGTCCTCTCGCAGCCAGCACCTGATCCACCGGAGGGGACAGGCGACGAGGCGACGAGTAGAAACGGCCGGTGGACGATATGGGGCATCGTTGTTAGCATATATGCGAAGACGTACCCCCGGAACTTGTGGCTTCCTGCTTGCCACAGCATCGGACAACACTTACGCAAGCTCGAGGTTGAAGGGCGTGTGCGATGCACAGGTGGAGAGGGTGTACAGTCGCAATGGGAGCTCGTAAAAGAGAATTGAATTGTATGTATCATCACGATCAAGAGTCCGAAATACGCTCCGTGTACTCACATCACGCCAATATCGTGAAATTTTGCGTGCTTACTAGAGGGTTTAAATATAACAGTTTTTCTTTGCCTTCAGTTTGAGCAACCATTCAGTAACACTTGTCGTTTCGGATAGTTAAGTAGGGTTTGCCAGGGGGACGCGGTTTGATTTGGAAAGTCGCGAGTTGCAACGTTGCAGATTGGTGTCCGCTGAGTCAAAGTCCCGCGCCATCCACTTTGGATAACTAGCGGGCTCGCAAGTAGAGACGCTTTGAGCTATATTTTGTCTATGTCTTTCATCTATGTACTTCCAGAGATAATTTAAGTATTGATGATTACAAACAAAGCTACTAAAAGCTGGGCATAGGTGTGTCAAAACCCTCAATGAGGGAAAAGCTACCGACCTGTGAATCATTGAATATTATTCTCGAGTTTCAGTGGGCGGCGGGGAGGCCCAGAGAACGACAAAGTTTGGTGAATTCATGTTGCCAGATCCAAGTGCCAACCACTTATTCACCATAATCACCAAGCCCGAGTTGTTATAGTAAAACAACGGACTTCGAATTATCCAAACTCCTCGCGATCAAGCATCCAGCTGCCTGGGAATTGACTCTATTTTTGGCGAGAGGGCTTCGGACGCCTATGAAGCGGTTGGATGCCCCAAGCTCGAGGTCAACAACGTTTGGGATAACTTTTAGCAGATGGCTTATACACTTACCACTTGAATTTCGAAGACATAGAAAGTACTTAGAGCATAAAAGACCAGTTGATTTCCCTCACTGAGGGTTTTTGGTGCACCCGTGCCACTCTTTGCCTATTTCTCTTGTAATGACTGCACATTGTATCAAACATATCATAAATAACATGAGGTGAATCTACTCTAAGCTGTGACAGAGGACGCTAAGAGCGGATCGTAGCTTTGACATTAAGGTGTGACTAAGCAACTAACCCCTGAGTTGGCTTGGCAGACACCAATCCGCGACTCGCGACTTTCCAAATCAAACCGCGTCCTCCTGGCAAACCCTAGTTAAGAGAGTACTAGTGTCAGACGTCTCGCCTTTGAAATTATGTATATGGAATGATCTGAGCCTCAAGAGAAGATATCGACGAAAGTCTATCCAAAATAGTCTCGGCCCACTAAGCAGTCTTTGAGCCACGCGCCCATCTGTCACTTACGGCAGTCCGTCGCTGAAGACGGATGGGGATGAACATTGAGCACCGACCGTTAAGCACTTGTAAGTCTAATAGTACTTAAGTTGCAGGCCAACGCCAACGCGAGTTCCGACCGCCCAGAACACAGCAACTCTTGGATTAACGCCTAAATGTACCGCATCTACACACTCAGAAAGATGATTGAACGCTTCAGCGGGCGAGCGCCGACGGGCGCATCGGTGACCTCACGAGCGCAGTCCGACGGTCCCCAGTCGACATTCACAATTGCAAGATGTCAATTATATATGTGCTCGTATCATCTTCTGACAGAGCACGAAGAAATCAGATTATTAAACAGAAGCCAGAGAGTACCTATACACAGTCAAACGTCATGTCCCTCGTAAGTACGTCTATCACCGTCCCGATCGCTTAACAGCACTTGCTGCCGGAAGCCGGGGCAGCCGAGTCGATTGCGACTGGGATCGTGTCACTCGTGGGTGCCTTGATGGGGTCCGAGGACTGCTCGAGGGTCTTGCTCGAGACGATGCGGTAAATGTCTGGAAAGGGGTAAGATTGGGGATGAAGGATGGGTGGAGCCAACCAGCGAAGCTCACCCGTAAGAATGGTCTGGAAGGCCGACTCGACGTTCGAGGCGTCCAGCGCCGAAGTCTCAATGAACGACAATTCGTTCTCGGCTGCAATAACAAAGCCAACACATCAGCATTCTTCGTTCCTCTCCCCTCTCAGCTGCGCAGAAGCAAGCGACACGTACTAGCGAAGGTCTTCGCCTCCTCAGTAGGGACAGCACGGAGGTGCTTGAGATCGGACTTGTTGCCAACGAGCATGATGACGATGTTGGCATCTGCGTGGTCGCGCAGCTCCTTGAGCCAGCGCGTGACGTTTGCGTACGTTGCGTGCTTCGCGATGTCGTATACCAGCAGGGCACCGACTGCGCCGCGGTAGTACCTGCGATACGCATTGATCGCGTCAGCAAGTAAACATATCGGCAAGGCATTATGGGGAGTTTACGTGCTAAGCGGGTATGGAGGCGGGGTGGATATAACAGGAACGGAGACTGGGACTTACGCAGAGGTGATGGCCCGGTATCGCTCTTGGCCTGCGGTATCCCAAATCTGTGCCTTGACCGTCTTTCCGTCTACATTGATCGTCCGCGTCGCAAACTCGACACCGATAGTCGACTTGGAGTCGAGGTTGAATTCATTGCGCGTGAACCGCGAAAGCACTGTGGTAATGAGCGAGGTGGGTCAAGAGAGAATGCCATGCGAGGAAACAGCAGTATCAGTGGGCGTGGGTGTCCAGGAGTTGCGTAGTGGAATGAAGGTGTATGCGAGGTCAACGTCAGCGGACGAGTAAATTGAGAAGCAGGCAAGACGTACGGTTTCTGACCCATGACAACGCCGAATAAAACGACAAAAGGAGTTCCCATTCAGTTTTCCATCGTCGCAAACAAGTCTGCGGCACACTTACGACTTGCCAACACCTGAATCACCGATCAAAACAACCTGCACATGCGCCGCGCCCGTCAGCACCAAGCCCTGCACGTCTTCAAACTCCAGAGAAGAGCTTACGCACCTTGAAGAGGTAGTCGTAGTTGCTTCCTTCTGCCATTATTGTCGTAAGTGGTGTTCGTGAGCTGCACGAGTGTGTGGAGAGGTTGCGTGTGGAAGGGTTGCGGGCGGCTCGCTTCTATGTACAGACGGTGGTCGTTGCAGAGAAAGGGCACAAGGCTGCGGAGTTTGAATATGCCGCTAATGGCACAAAGTCACTCTCATGATGGTGCAGTGCGCTTACCTTGGTCCCTTGATTATGATGAAGTATCCTATCGTCCTGAACACCTGATGTGAGGAATCGGGTAAAATTTTCAGGTATGCACCAGCACCGAGCTTTCTTGGGGTGGGTAATAGAAGTGGCAACGCCTGGGTTTACACTCCGCCTGCACTCCAAAGCATGCTCGGCAATTGTGCTCGCAGGCACTGAGCCACTCTAATGCGTTTTCTTGCGATAGACGCTGGGATAGTCTGCGACGTCATTCGCCCTATGGCCTTAAGACGGATCCTGACGTTGATCAGGACAGTCCTTCGAATTCTTCCTGGGCGTCCTGGACTCAATAAGCAGCTTAGAGTTGTCTCGGAGCCGGACAAGCCTTTGCTCAGTATCTGCGTTCTCTGCGGAAGGAGCGGCCCGCGAGCAGGTCACACTGGGATGACGCAGCGGAGGGATATGACAGTGTCCAGTTCAGCCCAAAGGTCCTCTTGCACTTCTACATCATCAAGTCGAGCACGTCAGTATCATGTCTATCCCTCATACGAAGCGAGTCTGCCAGCTTATCAAAGTGAGTTGCACGCTACGTCGCCCCATCAATTGTCATTCACCACGGTGACCCCTGTCCATAGCTCAAGCCCGAGTACGAGACACAGTACAAAGAGGTCCATAGCGCCGTCTGGCCAGGCGTGCTCGCAGCACTGGAGACGCACAACGTTGCAGATTATTCCATCCATTACTTTCCACCGCTTCATCTACTCATCGCGACCTTCAAGTACACGGGTACGGGTTATGACAAGGACATGAAGGCCATCGGCGAGGATCCGATCACGCAGGAGTGGTGGAAGGTCACGGATATGATGCAGGAGAGCTTCAATGATGGAGCAACAGGCTCTGGAAAAGATATACCATGGTGGACAGTAAGCCATCAACCCTCGTTAATATTTCGCAGTGCCTCATCATGACTGTGACCGTGTCCTACAGGAAGTAGAGGAGGTATTCCGGATGGAAGGAGTACTACATCGATGATCTACTATAGAGGTGCTTCAATAAGAAGGGGAATCCAAGTACATTACACCGTCTGAAGTGTAAAATCGAGCACGAACGCTTTGGAAGGACTCAGGGGTTGTGGGCGGCAAGAGCGTGAGAAGGCTCTTAGCCCTATATTGCTCAGATGAAGAGGAAGTTTCGTCAGTTCCTTGGCTCAGCGGCTGTAATGGCCCTACAGCGGGAATGCGAGGTGGTTCTTCCAGCGGCCAACTCTGCGAGTGCGCTGTTTCAAGTCTGCCCCCTCCAGAAAACTTGGTCTCCACAGACTCTCACGCCGCAAGGCATGATCGGTCTTGGAATAATTGGTTCTAGACTCGCCAGGGAAGCAATTCCGCAACGGGCAGAGCCTGCCGAGTTAGTCGTAGGAGATAAGGGTAGTGCTGCAGTCGCGCAGCAGGGCGTGCCTCTCGCAAACCTTTTGCTTTTTCTACCTTTGCGTTTTATGTTACCGTTCACTCAGGTCGTTCCAACGCCTTTTTGCACACCTGAGTTGGTCCACAACGGCATGCCTTGCGAGTTTTTAGAGATAGTCTTATAGGCCTTTGAAACTGTACTGTCGATCCGAACTACAAACGACGATTCTATTTGTCAAGGTATTGATATCTACAGCAATGCTCGAATGCTTCTACTAATACTACATTTGCAGTCAGCAATCTGGATTCGCAGTCGTAACTCGTAAAGATGGTCGTAAATTGTGGGCATTCGCACTCAGTTGCGGTTCTTGATGTATGGGACCCCTCGTGTTTTACTGAGTCTTAATCTTCTCGCGAACGTCTGTAAACGAGTTTTGTGAGTCAAGGCTGTTTAATGGTACGAGCTGTTTCTCACCTTTAGAGACAGCTCCGAAGTTACGAACCGTCCTAACGGTAAACATGGTCGCCAACAAAAGCGCGCACGCGGCACGGGCACCCTCGTCGTCCAGGGCGGGAGCAAGTTTGCCGTCCGCATCTAGAGCACCACCGATGATCGCGTGGACGTTCTGCCAGAAGGGCTGCGCGTGCGTGAGAAGCGCGTAAATGGATGTGATGAGGGGAGCGGCCCAGAGGTCCGTCGTCGTCCACCCGTAAGGGCGAAGCTCGGGAGGAGTTGTGAGGGCGAGCGGGGTGGGGTGGAGGAATGAGACGAGGTTAGTGATGAAGAAGCCGCCGTTCGCGATGATCTATGTGTCTCCACATGAATTTCTGCCTTGATAAGTGCATGAGCGGAGAAAAGGCTTACGAGGGATGAAAGCGCGAGCGCCCACGGGGAGTTGGAGATAGCGGGCTGCGGGTTGCCAACTATAGCTGGAGGAATGAGGGTGCAGAGGAGTATGGCGCGAGTGAATCCGTCGACAAATGAGAGCGGGAACTCGGTCTGGAGAGACATTTGGGGAAGGGCGGGCACAACTTCGACAACGGCCTGCGCTGCCGCGTAGAGGGCGACACCGACGCCCGAGAGCATGAATGAAGGTGTGAGGCCGAGCAGAGGGTCTTAGTGATTGCATTCAGCTTAGGCATATACTGCTACGATTGACGATGCAGTCAAGCACTCACATGCGAGTGCTTCACCGCCGTATACGACGGTGAGGGTGGTAGCGAGATCCCGAACGAAAGACCGCTCCTCGGGCTCGACCAGTGTGCGGACTCCCTGCCCGTCCTTCTCAGTTATACGTGCCCGGGCGGTGATGTGGTCGCGATGAGCCCCTTCACGGAGCTGACGGAGGGCCACACACAGTCGGACGGCCGCTACGACATCCAGAGTGCTCACTGGCAGCCCTAGCCAGGCGAGTGGCGCGATAGGGGCGAGCACTGTGCGATAGAGTGAGACGAACGGCTGAAGGGCGAGCATCGGGATGGGAGAAGGAGGGAGAAGAGAGTGGTGAGCGGCGGAAGGGCCTGAGAGCAAGAGCAAGCCCAGTGACATTCATATTGGGCACAGGAGACATGTCAGCGCCGCGGGACAAACGTGCACTTCCCGATCACCGGTTATTCGCTTCTTGCCATCTCCCTGGCTCTTCGTCATCGTGCACGACGTCAGACTCGACAATTTCACGACAGGCACGCATATACTACGTTCGCAACATAACAATCTACTCCACTCTGGAAACATAGTTGATCGCCTCACCTGTGGACCCTCTAAAGCGCCGTCATGCGCTGCGCACTCCGGCTCGCACTTCTCCCCGCACTAGTCGGTGCACCTGCCTTCGCATTCTCTCTCTGGCCCTTCTCTACAAGCCGCTTCACCAAGAATGAGCTCATCCAAGCTGGAGACCTTGGCATAGGAGACCAACGCATCATTGCCTTCGGGGACTTCAATGGCGACCAATAGTGAGTACCTAAGCAACTTCTGCAGGCACACTCATCACTGACGTCTCGCGTGTCTAGTCTGGACGCCCTAACACTCGATAACGACCAACAAACGCTCTCTGTTTACCTCTGGAATCATGGTACGTCTGCCGACCTTCCCGTGCTCTGGCATATTCCAACTATCCACGTCCTCGCAGACAACTTCGCGTACAAACGCGCATCCTCTACGCGCCATCCCGCTCCAGTCGTAAACGCAGTTCCGGGAGACTTCACCCATGACGGCACGCTCGATGTTCTCGTCATGTCTACCTCTTCCAAGTCTGGAAAGCTCGATATGGCGCTTTACCTAGGAAAGCACGATGGCTCGTTCGGTGCGCGCTTCTCCTATGTTCGCCATACCGCCCCATTACTCATACGTGCATATATGCGTACGGAACGTAGAAAAGAACACCTTGTCAATATCTTCATCGACCGATTCGCAACCTATACCGGCGGACATAGACGGCGACCTCAAGATCGATCTTCTCGGCGTGCCGTACAGCCAGTGGTCGACGAGTTCCCTGACGATGTGGCAGAATGTCTGGAATGCATCACAAAGCAATCCCACCCTCTTCAACCTGTGAGTTTACTGCCTAATGCTCTACGAGATAGCCCTTCCTCACAAAGAATGATTGTCTCACCCCGTGCCCATCTCGCTCTCGTATACAGAGCGGATCCGAAATTCAACGGAACACCATGCACTCCAGCAAATCCTCATAGTAACGCGGTGATTGACTTCGACGGCGACTGCCTCGCGGGTGAGCTTAACCACGACGCTTGAGGCTCCCGGTATACTAATCTCGACTCTTAGATCTTTTCCTGCTTTGCGACGATGGCGGTGGACAGAGGTCTTTCGAGATTTGGCTGAACAAGAAGGAAGCAGGCTTTACACTAGCACAACGCGCGTCCCTTCCTTCCGGCGTGCAGAGCGTCTCGTTTGCCGATATGGGTGCGCCTTTCCTTTCATCCAGATCTTTTTTGGAGACGGCTAAGACCATTATGTTTACAGACCGTGACGGGACGACAGACATGGTGTTCGTTACCTGCTCCTCCGTCTCGCAGAGCACGGGTGTCGGATCCGGATGCTCGCTCCATGTCGCCTACAACGTTCAGCTTCCGCTCTGCGAATCTACGACGACTCCCGCCTTCAACAAGGACGGACAGCGCGTATGTCGGCAGCCCGAGAACCTGTGCGTCTCAGATCCAAACTTTCATATTAGCCTTGAAGAAGGCGGCAACGTATGTCCTTTGATCAATGTCTCGATATTTCGTCAACATGACTGGTCTAATCGCGTGCACAGTCTTATACTCGCGTTCCATTCTCGTCTTTCATCCCCGGCACCACTGGTCCAGTCGTACTCGACACGACGTTCTCGCCGTCGCTTCCCCTCCCTGTTCGCATCGGCGATGCGAACCTCGACGGTTACCCTGATCTCGCCTTCATCTTCGCGACCACGGACAATGCGCACACGCCCGCGCTTCTCTTTTCCGAAGACTGTAGTCACAATGCCGCTGGTTGTTCAAACAAGAATGGAAAGCGAGGATGGAGAAGAGTGACAAAGGGCGCAGACGCACTCGGGAGGATACGAGACGCCAAAGGAGTGGCATTCTTGGATGTCGACGAAGATGTGAGTATCACATTGCTCCCCGAGTATAGCAAAGCTAACGTATGAGTTATCCCAGGGGAGTCTCGACCTGCTCGTGCAGCGAACGGGTGCACAGGGAGAAGGCTCGTTGTCGTTCATTCAGAACAACTTCTACTATGACGCCTTCTTCCTCAAGGCTATCGGTGCGTCGATATTCCCGTTGGTCATTGGTTAGCACAACTGGCTCATGATTCTATAATGTATGCAGTTCTGAACGGCGCTTGCGACAACGGGTGGTGCACGGACGCCAGCGGCTCGAGCTACTCGGTACGTGCTCGATTCGCGGCCGCCTTTTGTACCGCGCCCTAAGTTGATTTATTGACTACAGCCGTTCGGGGTTAGCTACTCCGGAGCAACGTACAAATACGCAGTTCTCGACACCCAGGGCAAGCGTTCAGCCGCCCTCGGTACGTCGCAACTTCTCGTCCGCTTCTGATTATCTCATTTCCCCTGCAGTCGGGCAACTGCCTCAAATGACGTACCACTCGCTGGGGACGCCTTACGCGTTTGTCGGGCTCGGACGGACTAACAATTATATCGAGCGCCTGTTCGCGGGCTCGACGCGCCACGCTCGAGAGCACGCGACGGTGCTCGAAGGGGTGATACCGAACTCACGCGTCGTCTTATCTCCTCCGCCGCCTTCGAGTGAAAGCATTCATTGGAAGAAGGAGCTGTTCCTCCGGCCCGGTGAGTGGATCCCATGGGTCACAGTGGTTGTTATTGCGGCCACAGGGGTCCTGGCAGCGATTGTTGGGGTTCTTCACATGAGTGAGAAGGTAAGCATCTCAGTGTCTTGGTTAAGCTTCATCTGACCATGCCTTTTGGGACCCATTCTAGAGAGCGGATGAATTGGAGAGGAGGAGAACCTCACATAGCATCAATTTTGATGCACTCTGATTGGAATCTGTTATAAATTTCACTTGAATCAACGGAGTTACTAGATGGGGTGAAGTTGACCCTGTGTTTAGAAAACAGGGTGCATGCATGTTCTCGGAGATTAACACTGACAGAGGTGAACAGTGTGATGTGTGATCATCACCAGAATTTAATTTTGAACGGCAACGTAAATGAAACATAAGGTCAGGGTGTTATGATCTTTTGGCGTGTAACTGGACTCTCATTACATAACAGAGCTGTCTCGGGTGTTACCTCGTCCTTTGCCTGGCTTCGCCATTGCCTGTGACACACCCGTGTTTATGATAATGAGCTAACCGTGCTCATTGGTGTTTTCTCCGTCCATCACAGCTGGATGCACCACCAAGTGTGAGTAGCTGCGTCGGGCTGTTATGCGGCTCGCCTACGAGGAACTTCCTGCAGCAGCTTAGCGATCCGGACGTGCAAACACCACAGAGTTCGACCGCAGCGGCGATCGGTAGTTCCGTTGGAGGGAAAATGGACGCAGTGGGGGGATCACGACTGACCTTCGACCACAGTCCGCCAATTATATGCACCGACAAAGGTCCATCGACCCAATGCTTCCCGCGTTCATCCGCAACTCGGAATTCGACCTTGGAGAAACCCTCTTTGATGTGTACACAGTGACATAAAAGTATACGGCATATTTGACTCCGTGGACAACTTGAAGCACGAAACCACTGTCGAAATGCTCTTGAGTGGGTGGTATGATTTTGATCGGTAGTTTCATTGTTGAATTGTGCTCTATGGAGTTGACGGATGTCTGGGCCGCTGACAATGCTATTTAGGTTATACAGACTCGATACGCCGGCAAACTTTCATTCAAGTTTTAAGGTTCTGAAGTCATCTATGCTCCTACTTACGCGACATGTGAGTCACTAGTTATGTTGCAGACTACAGACTTTTCCCGAGTCAGTCTCCTCCCATTTGCCCGAACTTGAGTTCGTGTCGCAGCGAGACAAGCTGTTCCTGCATAGATGAATTCTCGCCCTGTAGGGTTCCAGTCGTGTTCCATGAACGCCGGTATGATGGACGGAAGTAACACATGCTCACCTCAAGTTTATTGACTAGGTCATTTGTCTCGGCTACGAGATCACGATGCTTTTTCTGATAACATCGAGAGGTAAGCTGGCGCTTCGCAGGTAGGTTATGAGTGGTATCTTACCAAGACGCGTTCAAGATGTTGACTGTCACAGTTTTCCTTCCTGCTGGAAGACGAGGCGCTCAGGGTTGGGGCGTGGACAGCGCGCGTTGCTTGGCATCCTGCAGAAGGTCGGCCCCGAAGTGGAGGTCTACCTCTAGGCCTGCCGCTAGGACGCCCGCGCCGCCCGGTTGGCGGCAAATACTCGTCGTCTCCGCGTCGGAAACGCGAGATAGTCTCATCCTCCGAATCGTCGTCCAAGTCTGACGCCGAACGTTTGCGCTTTGCCTTCAGGCGTCTTTCTCGTCTGTTATGTCCGTTCTGCTGGTCTTCATCTCGGGCTAACTGTGTCCCGCTCTGCTAGTATACGGAATTATTCAGCTAAAGAATCATCGTTGCGGGACAAGGAGAAGACTTACTGCATTGGGAGTTCTCATCCTTTCCGTTGGTGTGAGACCATTTATTCGGCATTTAAGACCTGCATAATTGCACTGCAGGCATGCGCTGGAAGCTCGCTTAGGATTAAGCCGGTGGTAGCATTCGAAAGACAGCTCCTGGCAACGCTCGCAGATAGAGTCACGGTCTAGAACACGTTGCCAAGGGATATCCTTCGCGCTGTTGCGCGTACGATCATAAATGATGTCTGCCAGTGGCGGAGGTGGCCCAGGCGGTGGGATCAAGGGCATGATGCGAAACGCTGGACAGAGACCGCAGCTACGTGTTATATACATCTCGGACGTTCTCAAAAGTGATCTCCCGGTATTGACGTGAGTGCACTAGCTCGACTAGTACTCTTTCCTCGATGTGAGATTCGTTCTCGCTAAACGCAATGATCCTTTGTCTTCTGGTCTTCAGGCCGTTCTCTTCTTGGAGCTTGGAAAATTGCGGCCAATTGCATTTATTGTCTTTTCTCACTGGTCTCTTCTCATAGCTCGTGCTTCCTTCAATCCCCGCTGTTTAATGCGCGCCGTACTCGCGGTTTCTTCTTTCTTCATCTGCGACTCCAACCTGCGGGTCACCCCTCGTTTTCCATGGGGCCAGTCACTTCTGCTCTAGTGACACTCTCAAGGGTCAGAACGTGTGCATTCTCCCTCCGCCATAACGGTCGTATCGTGGACATTTGGGTTTAGGTGGTTCGTTTGTTGATTTGTTCGTTTGTTAGACACGTATGCCCTACATTGCGTTGTGTTGGTTTATACACGTGAGCCAACGTCATTTTGTAAGCGTCTGGTGGAAGGCTTTCATCATGTTGGCATTTTAGAGTTGGGACAATGCACCAATAGCAATCTACTCAAATCAGCGTGAGATGGGTAGGCTTTAATGCGAAGGTCTCTCCTTGGCTTCTCTGTCAAACGAAGTCCCCTGGATCATTCAGGAATACATCATTCACCCCATTCTCGTCCATTGTCCTTCGTGGGAGCTTTACGTATTGATTTTCATGCACTTATCTTTGCTCAAGCTGGATCGCGGAGCCTTCTACGAAAAAAGCATCTTTGCGAACCAAGTCATACACACATTGGGCCAGTGACACAGCTAGGACCTAGGTCGGACATGACCTAGTATCATTGCAACGAGACTTCAATCAAATCTGAATATGCCGGAGCGTAGTACTGGCTTTCCTTGGCCATGGAATTCTTTCCAGAAGCGTCTCTATAGGACATGTGCATGTCTGAGATTCTGTCTGACCCAAGTCTGAACCATGAAAGCTGATCCGAGGTTTCTGGAACCTCTCCCTCAGTTAGAAGTTCTCCACGCATTCTTCAAAGACACAATCAAACAAACTTAACTTTGGTTTGCTCTCGGTCCGCTCAGGATGGATTCAACTGAGTTAGATGTTCTGGCAGATGTATTTGCCTAGGTGACAGTTCTGAGTCGAGACCAGTAACTGAACAGGAATCCCACTCTTGGCCCCAATTGTCTAATCTCCGATAGCGAGTCAGATTCGTCAAAGAAGCATTACTGCAGCGTAATAGCTTTTTGATAGAAATAAACAACATGATGGAAGCCGGCCGCAAGACTCAGAAGCACGTAATCGGTGATCTTGCCACGAATCTTCTTTAATCTCTGATTACCAAGATAGTAACTATATCTCTTTTTTTTGTAGGAGACATGGTCAGAAACACGACCTCTGGCCCGTATCGATATCACCGCTCAATCGTCGGCGAACATTTGTCGCCACGGTGGAATTGATTTGTTGGACCGTGTCAAGACAAAGTGTGCTTTGTGTCCGTGCTGTTTCTGCTTCCAATGTGGACCATTTTCTCTGCCAAATGTTTGCATACTTTGTAAACGATAGCTACTAGTAGTAATACAACGATTTCGTTTCGTTTATGGGACTGAGATTCCGCCTTTTAAAGCACACCGACTTCCTTCTTCCTTCTGAGCGTTCAATGCTCCAAAACACGGGCCTTTATTTGTTCTCAGGGAACGATGCTAACCTACGAGGCGACGTTGAAAGCGCGGACGGAAGTTGGTCAGAACATAACACGTACCTGTAATTCACTTAAAAGTTCTGCGCATAGTTTTACGAGGCCATGCTTCAATACGTCTTTGATTAAATCTCTTTATGCTCGTAAACCGAAAGAACCCACCGTGATGAGAGGAACGCGGGCGTCGCCGCATTTCTTTTTATTCGTAGTACCCGTAGTTTCCCTAATCCTTGTACGAGAAGGTTGCGAGCGACGGATTTTCGGGGGCTTGGAGTCATTGCCGTTTTCCTTGTTCGCGTCAATGTACTGCTTCAAACCCTCAGAACTAATCACAGAATTAGAAGGCTAAAACGTTACCTCTGTGACGCACTTGGCTTGCTGCTGCCTGGCTCGGCGCGACATGACGCCTGCAACGCGGCACTTCTCCGCCCTATTATGGCATCGAAGGCAGGCGCTTAGCCCCTGCTCCCCATCGTCCGCACGGTGGTAGCAGAGAGCTTCGGCTTTTAAACAGGATGTGCAGGATCTCCCTTGGTCTGCGCGCCGCCACATAACGGAGATGTTGGCGCGGCGGGTCCGCGCTTCAAGTAAATAGGGAGCTATGGTGGTGTCTGTGAGGTGGGTGCGCATGGGAGACATAACGGAGTGCACGTCGAGTTTTCTTGATGCTGCTGACATATAAACCGTTGGTCTGGAATTTGGATGACTTTGCCGTCGTGTGATCGATCTGAGCACTGGCGCAAGAAGAGCAAAACAGTTCCCGGTCCTCGGTACTTTCAGTGGTTCATTGAGATAAAGGTTCTAGCTGAACTTCCAGAGAACATGAGACGTTGTTCTGAATTTAGGTGTATAAATATCCATGAACTGCTCCACGTAGTCGCGGGGAATTGCGGGATCCGTCTCGGTATTATGGCATGTTACACGCGTACGCTTGAGGAGAAAAGCTGGCGAGTTCGAGAGAGGCAAATGCCGAATGAACCTAGTCCAGCACTCCGAAACCAATGACGACGCTGAAAGCAACGGAGCATCAGAAGTCCCGCGCGAGGAGACCGTTCATGTTTGCGGCACATTGTCCTGCCTCGTGGCCCCAGTGTTCAGGACGAGAACACAAGGACAATCCCGCCTTAGATATGAGGTGCTTGATACGCATCTTCCTGTCCTGGAAACGAGCCACAACACTGAAACTGAGACGACTGCCCCTTATCGGCCGCACGGAAATGACATGATATAAAATCATCGATGTGGATAGCGCGTGATCTACCCGGTTTTGCACTTCTTCGTATGATTGGTATGATTTTTCAACGCAACGGTGCGTCGAGCTGTTGTTTTAGAGCCTGTTTCTGGTATACTAGAGCGTGCGGACGCACAAATAGGCTTTCGCTGCGTTGATCGATCAAGGATAACATAGTAAATTCCCTCCTAGCTGGGTGCGCGGTGAGGAATTCAATGTTCCTGATTCCTGATTTCCGAGCCTTCGAATTGGCCAACGACCATGGAAGGTTCTCGCGAGAATTGTAGAGGAGTTTCCAGACGGCGAACTGATTTTCAATGGTGAAAAACTTAACCTTACCTAAGTGGGATGCAGCAGGTGATCTTGGAGACGGAAGACTTTGTTACATTTTACTGCCTCAGGTAACCTTAACGCGAGCACAATGACACGGGGATCGACCGTGATAGCATGCGGCATGCTACCTTTCTGTATCATCATGGCGTCAAACCTGACATTTGGGGCGAGATCAGAGTGAGTGGATGTCGATGGCTTCTTCGGAAACTTACCAGTGACGACACCAAAAAATATATGAAATATTGCCATTCTCCGCCGGAAGTGGTGTAGCAAATAGAGGAGCAGATAAAGCAGACTGAGGCCCAACTTCATGTGAAACATTCACCAGAAGACAGGTCCTATGCTGGTCATCTTGCCTTACATGACATCAGTAGTTGCGGATGCGGCGTGAAAGTGTTGTTTATCTAGCCTCAAATCTCATTGTCTGCGCGTGGTCGACAATGGGTTGACAATGAGTCCGAAGGGAACGACACCACATATATTGAACATACCCGTCCTAATGACACACTCACAGGATGAGGGAGTCATTGCGCTGCCGTAGATCTTCGAAGCTCGGTGTATATTGATGGAAATGAACGTGGTGTCGTCGGTCGAGTCAAGACGCGGGCCGCATGGGCCGCAAACTACTGCAGACTCTTCGGCATCGTTCGGCAATGTTAATGAGCGCTTGAGCACAGAACTTTAGCCCCACGTGCGTTGATTCTCGCTGCTTAGATGATCTCACCCAATACGGCGGTCGGTACACTTTTTGGTTCATTCTAAGTTGAGCTGCGCTCACGTTAGGCCAACATCTTCCACCTTCTCTCGCGCCTGCCTCAATCTCACACTTTCTCCATTCGAGACCCTCCACATTTATCCAATCACTTCAAGCTTGGATGAGCATCTTTACATGCGGCTATCCTGTCAACGTTGTTTCGTAGTACTTACGGTAAGCCTGCTGATGCCTCAAAAAGGACTTCACCGCTCTATGAAATGTACGACATTGGGTTTTGCCTTCCCTTCCCTTGATACATTAACATAGAAAACGCCCATCTTAGTTGTGGAAAAACAAATGCGATTGCTGTATTATATCCAGGCCAGTATTCGCCCGAGCGAAAACGAGTGCATCATATCTATGTCAAATCGCATCAACCTTGCCTCGGTTACCAGATTTCTCCCTTGCCTCCAGGCGATCTGAAGTGCGAGTCCCGTAACGCCGCGGATTAGACCCAGCGCCATCTCTACCTTTCTGCGTCGAGCTCGGTCGCGTTTTGCCGCCTATCATGGGGTGGGTATGTCTTGGTCTAAGCTGCCTTGCCGCCTTGACACGTTCCTCAGCACGGGGGTTTCCCTGTGAAGGTCCCGGTTTATACAGATTAGATATCAAGCATCATGAAAGAAGCGAAACGCACCTGCGAAAGGCGCGAAGCTTCCGCAGAGGGAGAAGAAGTGTTGCTTTTCCCGCCCTCTCTGGTGTCAACACCGTCAATGCAGCACTTTAGACTGTTTGTGTCGCAATTTTGGCATGAATTCTCGATCTTGGGCCGCGGACCGGTCCGACGATAGCATTCGTGAGGCAGCGCCTTGCAGCTGTCGCATATTTCGTCGCTGGAGAGTATGAGCTCCCAAGTTTTTGGGACGTTGGAGCCGCGCATTTCACGACATATGAAGGTACGCTTCGAGTCAGGAGCAGGGTTTTGAGAAGGAGACAGCGCCATGTGTGACGCAACAAATAAGAGACAAGAAGTCGATTGGGTTATCTATATATCATCGACGTTCGACAGACCTTTACTATAGCTAGTCGTTGGTTCATCACAAATATCAAAGGTACGGTTTGTGAGAGAGACACCCTAGATAAAATCTTGTTGGCTTCTACGAAAGGACGCAAGCATTCTTCTTGTCAGCGGCAATTTTGCACTCATATGGAGCTGTAGACACAAATGAAGCGTGGCACCGCCGCGGCGGACGAATGCGAACGAAGGCTCTCGGAAGACCTCCACGCCCTTCTGCCGCGAAAGGAGTCTTGGAGCTTTCCTACCGGAAAGAGTTTCAAACTGGCCGAGCATGGAGGTGGCACAATATAGCGAATTCAAACATGTTGATTAGATTTCTTCGGAAACTTACTCATCGCGAAGCCAAACGTAACTTTGCTGACTCCTCCAGACCTGGAAAAGAAATAGAGCAGCAAACACTCCAATGGGGGAGCCTTTTTTGCGTAATTTGGAGGGAAGACACGCCTGGTTCTGTTCATTTCGCCCTACTAGTACATGAAAGGTCACCGCTCGAGCATGGAAGTGCAGCTCTATGAGTCAAGCATCATGCCAGTGGGAGACCAACGTACTATGGCCCGCTGGAGCCAAATCGCGTACGTAATTACCCGACTGACTGGTAAACAAGACGATGGGACACTGCGCAAATCTTCATTGACTCGGGAACATTGCGGAAATGATCGATGTCGTCGGAAGGCCGAGAAGCAGTTCTACGACTGTACGGCGTACGCGGCACACACCATAAAGTTCAGTGCGGGGGACAGAACCTTATTTCCACGCGTCTTGCACGCGACGCACCACGGGCTCCCAATATGAACGTTTGAACCGCGGCACCCCTCCTTAGGCGCCACGCACTCCTCATGTCGTACTACCAGGTTGGTGGGTTCAGAGCCCACTCGGAGGCTTGGTCGAGGAACTATGACGACGCGTCTGTAATCGCCAATATTGGCGCGGCTCCTGGTCCAGGCCATCTCCGCCCTGATGGTGCCCAGGGGGCGCTCGAGCTCGTTTTTGGTGTTCTACCGAACGGCGCCACCAACATCCTTCTGACGAAACCACAAATGATAGAACTCACGAGGAACCACGGCTACCGCCAGCCGTACCACAGTCCGCATACGGCAAGCTCGTACCTTTCCCTTAGCCCGCTCAGCTTCGATTTTCCCTCACGCACGGCGTTGGAACGGAAGCTCGAGAAGTACAAGCAGAAGTCCAACAAGGGAAAGAAGGCTCCCGCGGACATGATCGACAACAGCCCTGCGAATAAAGCATACTACTACGATGGCAGCGATACCACCGCTACCCCGATAGGACGGGCGAGAGCCTTCTTTGAGCATAACAGGTGCGCAAATATAATCGGTCGTCTGCGTCTTCCGTCTTTATGCTGAACATTCTTGCAGAGTTCTCTATAGAACTTTAATGAACTCTATAGATCCTGCGAGCTTGTCTCTCCCGGAATATCTGCCTACTAAGCTCTCCGAATTACGTGTCATCTCCTTTGCGTACAACAATTGGAGAGTCGACGCAAGACCGCGCCACGAGCGCCTCGGATCACCTAGACTTCTTGACATAGGTTGGGCAGAAACCGAGATCAAGAACTTCGTTTCGAACAAATCCTGCATCGATCAGGTCCATTGCACCATTAAGGAAAATCAGACTTTCAAGAACGCAAGCGAGCCTTGGGTAGGTTCTGGAATCGACTTTGAATGCGGCGAACACTGACACGGTGGCCGTTCAGACTTTCCTTCACGGTGTCACAGAAACTATGAGATTGGAAGATGCCGGGAAGAAGCTGAAGGCGATCTTAACTCGGGTTGCTTCCCCTAAGAGCCAGAATGAGGAGTTCAAAGACACCAAGCGCCATCCGGTGCTACTTCTCGTGCACGACGCTGAGATGGCCATGGCGGTCCTCCGACACCTCGGCATAGACGTCCTTAACAGTAGTGGCATCGACTTCTTTGCTGACAACACCCGTATTTCTGATCTTCTTGAATTCCCTGCCGTGTCAGAGAGAGTAAGATTTCCATTCCTGTACACCACTCCTTCTGAGCTAACGCGATTTGTGCAGTACTACGACAGGAAGCGCGAGTATTCCCCGCGTCGAGGTCCGTCAGTCAAGAAGGAGGAGGCGGTCGACTACGGCTACCCCGACGACCGACGTGATTATCGCTACGCGTCGTCTGCCAGCGTCAAACGCGAGGACGACCGCTGGCGTGGCGGCAACCGTGCTGGCAAGGACTCCCGCTCAGCCACAGCCTCGAGCTCGAGCTCGTACCGCGAGAGAAGCACCACGTTCGAGGCGCCTCCTTCCGACTCGGGCGCCCGAGGCACGCAGAAGGTGTACGTCATCGACGTGCGCGCGCTGCACAGCACGATGATGAACGCTGTTGGCCCCGACGCGGGGAGCATCGGGCGTATCGCGAAAGATCTCGACGTCGCGTATGACGCGCCGTCGGAGCGCAATGGCACGGTCGTGACGTATAGGTGCTGCGCGGGCAATGAGGCGAGGTGGGTCTTCCGGGAGTTTATAGCGGGTCTGATGACTCGGATTTATTGCTCACAAACCTTCTCGGTAGGCTGTTACTCGAATTTTGGGTGGCAATGGCCTCCGGCGCCGACATCGATACGCAGAACGCTGAACGGTCGGTCACCCTGGAATACGACCCAGATGACCTGCCGCCCGCCGGGCCCGCACCCGCTCACGCTCCTTCATTCGATCCGTTCGATGAGAGCGTAGACCCGAATGACTTCGAGCCGGCTGTAGCGCCTGGTGAGTCAGGATCTGGTGGCGGACCTCACGTCGTGCGTGCAGAAGACTCAGATGGATGGGACGAGTTTTGAAAATCTCGCGATATGACAGAGAATGGAAGATCTACTGAAGACGAATTTAGGACGCGAACTTAGTTCCAACATACCTACTGTACATACCCACCTGTGTTTTGTTTTTCTTTGGACTACTCGTGCATTGCTAAATTATGGACAAATGTTTGCTCGATAAAAACGAGACGGAGGGGAATCAAGAAAATTGATACAATGATCAACTGATATCAAACGAAACACGTAATAGCCTACAAAAGTCCGAGCTGCACATCGCGCTCACTGGCTGACTGAGGGTACAGGAAAGTATTCATCGCATTCTACGGGTATAACACTCAAAAGTCCATTCCCTCATCCGACGGTTACAGAAGAAGCCAAGATACAAGTCCGATGAGGGCGAAGAGGGGAGAAGAGAGGGTGAAAGAGGGCGCGGCTGCGCTTGATCCGGGGACGGGAAGGAAATGATCTGAATCTGACTTCTGCTGGGCAAAGGATTGCTGCAATAATGTTAGCAAGGCAAAGTGGGGAAAGGTGTGGGTGAATGCATACCTTGAACGCAACAAGTCCAACGATGACGCCCAGGGCGAAGAAAATGAATGCTTGGATAAGCCAGATAACGCCCCAGACACGGGATGGGCAGCACCCGCAAATACGGGCGAAGGCGGATGCGTCGGAGTTGTTGACTTTGCGCTCTATAGTGTCGTCTGCGCTCGATATCGGTATGAGAACATTTTCAATGACGAGAGTGTAGAGATGCGGCGCACCGATGATATCCCACAGGCAATACAGACACGACATGACCCCGACGAATAACACGAAGAACCGCAACGCAACACCTCCCGCGACAAACCAGAATAAAACGATAAGAGCGCACATCCCAAAGATGAGCGCCCATGTCCTGAATCCAGGCCCCACGTCAGTATCATGATGATCTCATGATCCGAGAATAGCATAGGCGCGGACTCACAGCCAGTTCCTGCGAGCCCACCACAACGTAAAGAGGAAGAACACGGCGAGAACAAGGCACGCGACCTTGCTCGCGTTCTCGTCGAAGCCACATGCGATGAGGCAGGCGCCGATGAATGACGATCCGAGGTAGCCGGCGGGGAGGGTAATCCAGGCTATGCCGCCGGACATGCGCGTTTCGCCGCCTTCGTCGGCTGGTTGAGGAGGCGAGATGTCGTTAGTGTCGGAGGTGAGACGGGGGAAGGGGAGCTTACGGTCGAGTTCGACGGAGTGGATTGTTGCGCATGTGAGCATGCCGGCGATGGCGTGGCTCATCTGAGGCTTGGTGAGTGTCTGTCAGGGGTTGCGCGAGCGGATGGACGTACTTCATGGAATCCGACTGTGAGGAGCCTTCATTGAAGAAAACTCATGAGGTGAAGTGCAAGGTAGTTTGTCACGAGTGGACTCACTTGAAAGGATAGACTAGAAAGGGATCGTCAACGGAGGTTCGAGACGGTGTATATGAACGTGCTCACTTATCCAGCTCAAGAATGGTATATGCCTGCAGGAACAGATAGCTGAGGATTAAGGCACTTGATCCGTATGCCCGTGAAACCCACCATAGTATGCCGATAACAATGACATAGACTCCTGCTACGATCAATGTGATCCGTTGCGTGGAGTTCGGCGTGAATGATGTCTGAACATCTCTTGCTTGAAGGTAGAACTCGGATTCAGCGAAGGCAGGCATGTGTAAGTAGAAGTCGTGAGTAGGAGGGTCGTAATAAGCGCAGCAGAAAGAGCGCAGTAGGTCGTGCAGGGCCTGTGGACACCGGTTTGCAGAGGTGGAGAGCTAAAGGACAAGTTTAGCTCTCGGCGCCAAGTTGTTCAAGACTCTTCAAGTGAACAAAGGGTAACGCACTGCGCACGGTATGAATCACGTGGCTTAGGCTCAAGCTTTCGGCAGCCCGTTTTGGAATCGGCTCCTGGCTTGCTCGGCGCCGGCAGTTACCGGGTTGTTTGGTAGCTGCGCCAAACAAAACGCAGGAGAAGGAGCCCTCTGGCGTCGCAGTGCAAGTGGACGCATCCTACTGACTGGCAGCGCCCGTCGCATATACCACTAACGATCTTTACTCCTCTGACTTGGAGTTCCGCTCAATCATGGCGGACGACTACCCTACCATGTTCCGTGAGTGCTTGTCGCGTGTCCGACGGTCATGAATCCAGAGTGTTGACGTGCCGCAAGACTCGGAACAGATGAGCCTCATCCAGCTCTATATCCCGACAGAAGTCGCGCACGACTCCACCCATGAGCTCGGAGAACTCGGAAATGTCCAGTTCAAAGACGTACGTCCCCCTTTGCCACCCTTTTCCCTGCTCCCCAGACGCGCTGGAAGAGGCACTGCAATGGATGACTCATGATGTGCTGAGCTGACCATCCCTCCCGCAGCTCAACCCGAACGTGAACCCGTTCCAGCGCTCGTTCGTGGGCGAAATCCGCCGCACGGAGGACATGGCGCGCCGCATCCGCTTCTTCACCTCGCAAATCGAGAAGGAGAAGGACGTCATTCCCGTGCGCCCGCTGTACGACTCTGCGCCCCTCGTCGCGGTCGGCCCCAGAGCGGCGCAGACGATCGACGAGCTCAATGTCACCCTCGCGGAGCACGAGACGCGCCTGAATCAGATGAACGACAGCTATAAGACGCTTAGCGAGCGCACGAGGGAGCTCGTCGAGGCGAGGTATGTGCTGCGCGAGACTGCGGGGTTCTTCGAGCAGGTCTGTTGTTTTCTTCATGGTTGTTGTTATGATTGCTGATTGTTGTGCAGGCTGAGGGTCGTCACACTGAGATTCGCCAGTCGCTCGATGATAGTACGGCTCCTCTGCTGCAGCATGATGATCGCGAGAACCAGTTCTCCTCGTCCAATGTTCAGTTTGACCTCGAGTACGTTAAATTATGATGAGTTTCAGGAGAGGGAAACTGATTATTCATTGAACAGATTTGTCGCTGGTACTATCGACCGCGCTCGTGTCCCGACTTTCGAGCGCGTTCTCTGGCGCGTTCTTCGCGGTAACCTTTACATGAATCACATCGACATCGCGGAGCCCTTCGTCGACCCTTCTACCGGAGCCGAGACTCGCAAGAACGTGTTCATTATCTTTGCTCATGGCGACGCCCTCCTCGCCAAGATTCGCAAGATTTCCGAGTCTATGGGTGCTACGCTCTACCCCATTGACTCTAACGCCGATAAGCGTGCGGAGTCTCTGCGTGAGGTCACTTCGCGTCTTGAGGATCTCGAGGTCGTTCTCTACAACACCGGTGCCAACAGGCGTAGCGAGCTGCTGCGCATCGGCGAGAACCTCTCCAAGTGGCATGACGTCGTTCGCAAGGAGAAGCTCATCTACGAGACGATGAACCTGTTCAACTACGATGCACGTCGCAAGACCCTGCTTGCTGAGGGTTGGTGCCCCACCCGGGATATCACCACGATCCAGCTGGCGCTGAGGCATGCGACGGTCAGCCACATTTTACATTGTTACCGATGTTTTCCCATGCTCACACCCTTTTGTCATGTGCTCAGGAGGAATCTGGCACAAGCGTCGTCCCGATTCTGCAGGAGTTGCGCACGAAGAAGACTCCTCCGACGTTCAACCGAACGAACAAATTCACTGAAGGCTTCCAGACGATCATGGACAGTTATGGCATCGCGACGTATCAGGAAGCCAACCCGGGTCTATTTGCCGTCGTCACTTTCCCTTTCCTGTTCGCTGTCATGTTCGGCGACATTGGCCATGGTATTATTATTGCCGTCGCCGCGCTATACATGATTTTGCGCGAGCGTCAGTGGGCGAAGGCAGATCTCGGCGAGGTACGCCCCTTTTTGATCACGTTGATATCGTTGGTAAGGGCTAACTCTTATGCGTTCGTCAAATTAGATAGTGGGCCAGTTCTTCTTGTGAGTGATATGAGCCTCGTTTTAGGGTCTGATCTAATGCTCCTCGTGCAGTGGACGATACATCATCCTCATGATGGGCATCTTCTCGATCTACACCGGATTCATGTACAATGATATCTTCTCCAAAGCCCTCCACCTCGGCCACTCTGGCTGGGACTGGCCTGAAGGCAACGTGACCGGTACGATCACCGCGGTGTCCAATGGCCACGTTTACCCCTTCGGTTTGGACCCCGCCTGGCATGAGGCAGACAATGGGCTCGTTTTTATGAATTCATACAAGATGAAGATGGCCGTCGTCCTCGGTGTGATTCATGTACGTCAACCTCGTGATATTACTCACATCATGAACTGATTACGCCAACCATGTATTCAGATGACCTTCGCGCTCTGCATGCAGGTTCCTAATGCCATCCGGTTCAACCGCAAGACCGACATCTGGACGGTGTTTGTGCCGCAGATGCTGTTCCTCCAGTCCATCTTCGGTTATCTGGTCATCTGTATTCTCTACAAGTGGTCCATCGATTGGACGAAGGCGTCCACTCAGCCTCCATCGCTTCTTAACATGCTGATCAGCATGGTGCTTTCTCCGGGAACGATCGAACCTGAGTCGCAGCTCTATCCCGGACAGGGTTTCGTTCAGGTGGTGCTGCTCCTCATTGCAGTCGTGTGCGTTCCATGGATGCTCTGCACGAAGCCCTACCTGCAATGGAAGGAGCTTCAGAAGACGCATGGTCAGGGTTATGTCGGATTGGGCAACGATGAAGACCACGCTCCTTTGCGCGCCAGCACCGATGAGCATCTGGAAGGGGAGGAAGAGGGCAATGGGCGAGTTATTGTGGAGGAAGCGGACGAATCGGTACGTTTACGCCTGTTTTGGAAATTCGGCAGCACGGCCCCGGGCTGAGCAGCTCCACAACAGGAACATCACGACTTCGGCGAGGTGGTGATCCATCAAGTTATCCACACTATTGAGTTCTGTCTCGGCTGCATCTCGCACACGGCGTCGTACCTGCGTCTGTGGGCGCTGTCGCTGGCGCACGCGCAGTTGTCCGAGGTGCTGTGGGACATGACGATGAGCAAGGTGGAAGGGCTCGGTGGAATCATCGGGATCATCGCGATGATCTTTGTGACTGTGCTGTGGTTTGTTTTGACGGTGGCGGTCTTGTGTATCATGGAGGTGGGTGTTTCACTAGAACACAGCAACGTGTGTTGCCGATTGACACGGTTACCTATTCAGGGACTGTCGGCGTTTTTGCACGCCGTCCGGTTGCACTGGGTGGAAGCCAACAGCAAGCACTATGAGGGGTCTGGTTATGTGAGTGCAGTGCCTTCCTTTTGCCTGCTGGCGATGTATTTGTGTTGAATGATGCGCACGTGTGCTGACTAAATGGACAGGCGTTCACTCCGCTGAGCTTCGCAAAGATGGACGAGTAGATTAATGGGGCGGTGGTTTTCTGCGCTAGCTTTTTCTGTGTGTTTTATGCCTCGTTTTTGAGCAATCGATAGTGGTGTGTCAAGGAATGCGGGGTAGATGGCCGGAACATGGGGTAGATTGGCTGAAGCGAGGATCAAGGGGGCGGCAAGTGCGACAGCGCCGGGATCGGGGTGCAGGGATGATGGTAGCCGATGTGATAAGATGGACGGGTGGCATGCCAGCAGGTGCCGAGCCAACGGATTGGCTAAGCGGACAAGGCGGCGCACCCGTCAAAGAAGTTTTTTGAACTCCGACCATCCATGCCGTATATCTGCCCTGCCTCGTCGCCTTATCGCCTTCTCTTTAGTTCCGCTTCCTCCTTTCCTCTTTACTTTCTCTTTAGAGGTCCGTCCTATATCTTGACACACGCTGTCCTGATCGCCGCTGACCCTTGTGCTCCCCGACAGGCGTTTCGCCACCCATAGACAATAGAGCGTTCTTTGTCCTTTGGTACCACTTCGTTGGCTGTTTCAACCAGGAGAAAATTACCCATAGATCCATTCTACTAGTTCAATGTTAGTTTTACCTCCCTTGACGACCGTCCTCCAGTGCTGACATCTCCCTCGCAGACTTTTCAGAAAAAATCCAAAATGCCCGCTGTTACCGCCGCCTCCACTGCTACCCCTTCCCCCGCCACCCTTAAAGGTGCTGTTGACGGTCAGATCGACGTCGCCGCTCTCTTCGTTGCCGACAAGGCAACCCGCGATGCCGCCGCCAAGGCTCTGGCCGGTGCCGCTCAAAACGAAGGCCCTGCTGCCATCAGTGCCGTTGGCTTCACCGAGGCTGCCATCAAGGCCCTCGCTGACAAAAAATCGCCTGCCGCTCGCGAAGGCGCCGCTGAGGCGGTCCTCACCCTCGCACGCACCGGTGCTACCACGGCTCTTGAGCCCACCTTCGTTGACTCCGGCCTCTTCGCCGCCCTCCTTGAGGCTTTCGCTGACAAGGCTCCCGCTGTGCGCACTGCCGCGGTCGAGGCTGTCCGTGAGTATGCCGCCACCATGAACCCTTGGGCCACTGCCCTCCTTCTCCCCGCTCTTCTTCACGAGATCAAGACTGCCGGCAAGTGGCAGATGAAGACCGGCTCGCTGGTCGTCCTCGACCAGCTCATTGCCAGCGCACCTGTGCAGACTGCCCGTCTCATGCCTGACATTGTCCCCGTCCTTTCCGATTCGATCTGGGATACCAAGGCCGACGTGAAGAAGGCGTCCCGCGAGACGCTTACGAAGGCTACCGCTCTCGTTTCCAACAAGGACATTGAACGCTTTATTCCTGCCCTTATCAAAGCTTTGATCAACCCGGTCGAAGAGGTCCCTGGCACCATCCAGCTCCTCTCGGCCACCACGTTCGTTACTGAAGTAGACTCCGCCACCCTCTCGCTCATGGTCCCCCTGCTTGCTCGTGGTATCAACGAGAAGCTCACTGCCACCAAGCGCAAGGTCGCTGTCATCGTCGACAACATGGCCAAGCTCGTCGACTCCCCTGTCACCGTCCGCCCCTTCCTCCCGAAGCTCCTCCCCAGCCTGCTCAAGGTTGAGTCGAGCATCGGTGACCCTGAGGCTCGTGGTGTTGTCGGCAAGGCCATTGCCACCCTCCGCCAGGTCGGAGAGGTCCCCACCGGTGACGGTACCGACCTGCCTCCTCTCAAGTTCGCTGAGGGCCCGCAGCTCGCTTCTTCTCTCGCTTCCATCTACAAGAAGGCTGGTGCTTCTATCAACACCTCGGACGTCTCCGTCGCCTACGTCGCTCGTCTGGCTGCTGGCCTCGTCAACGCCAAGAACTTCGACGTCCCTGCCTGGGAGGCTCTTACTCCTTACCTCGCCTTCGTCGCCTCCACCCCCGAGCCCGTCACCGTCGCTCGCGAGTGGGTCGTCAAGTCCGCTACTGAGGACGATAACGACGATGTTCCTGAGGACGAGGAGGAGGGTGAGGACCTGTGCAACTGCCAGTTCTCGCTCGCCTATGGTGCCAAGATCCTGCTCAATACCGCTACTCTCCGTCTCAAGCGTGGCCACCGTTACGGTCTCTGCGGTAAGAACGGTACCGGCAAGTCGACGCTCATGCGTGCCATCACCAACGGCCAGGTTGAGGGCTTCCCCTCGCCTGACGAGGTCCGCACCTTCTACGTCGAGCACGACATCGACGGCAGCGAGGAAGACACCTCGGTTTTGCAGTTCATCCTCTCCGACAAGCGTGTCAATGCCTCTGAGCAGGAGATCATCGAGACTCTCGCCTCCGTCGGCTACGATGACGAGCGTCAGAAGCAGGCCATCGGCTCGCTCTCTGGTGGTTGGAAGATGAAGCTCGCCCTTGCCCGCGCCATGCTCTTCAAGGCCGACATTCTCCTCCTCGATGAGCCCACTAACCACTTGGACGTCATCAACGTTGCTTGGCTCGAGGCCTACCTCACCAGCCTCACGCACTGCACTTCCAGTAAGTCGTCGGCGTTGTCCGCACACACCACTGTATCCTAACGCTCTTTTTTAGTCATCGTCTCGCACGACTCTGGCTTCTTGAACAACACCATCACCGACGTCCTCCACCTCAACCGCTTCAAGGTCAAGCGCTACCGCGGCAACCTCGAGGCCTTTGTCAAGGTCGTCCCTGAGGCCAAGTCGTACTACTCGCTCGAGGCTCTCGAGGACTACCAGTTCAAGCTCCCCGACCCTCCTCTGCTCGACGGTGTCAAGACCAAGGAGAAGTCGCTCCTCAAGATGCGCAAGGTCGGCTTCCAGTACCCTACGCAGCCCGTCCAGCAGCTCTACGACATCTCCCTCCAAGTCTCCCTCTCCTCCCGTGTCGCCGTCCTCGGTCCTAACGGCTCTGGCAAGTCTACGCTTGTCAAGCTCCTCATCGGTGACATGGAGCCCAACAAGGGTGGTGAGATCTGGAAGCACCCCAACTTGGTCATCGGTTACGTCGCCCAGCACGCCTTCCATCACATCGACCACCACCTCGACAAGACCCCTCTCGAGTACATGCTCTGGCGTTACCAGACGGGTGAGGATCTGGAGGAGATGACGAAGGCCAGCCGCCAGATTACCGAGGAGGAAGAGAAGAAGATGAAGGAGGGCGCCTCCATCGTCATCGAGGGCCAGAAGCGCCTCATCGACGAGATCATCGCCCGCAAGAAGCTGAAGCAGTCGTACGAGTACGAGGTCTCGTTTAAGAACATGTCCTCGTCCGAGAACATCTGGCTCCCGCGTGACGAGCTCATCAAGCGTGGCTTCGAGAAGAAGGTCCTTGAGGTCGACACCCGTGAGGCTCAGCGCCTCGGTCTTCTCCGCCCCCTCGTTCGTCGCGAGATTGAGAAGCACTTCGCGGACTTTGGTCTCGAGCCCGAGTTTGTCTCGCACAACACCATGCGTGGTCTCTCCGGTGGTCAGAAGGTCAAGATTGTTCTCGGTGCCGCCACCTGGCGTCGTCCCCACGTCATCTGCTTGGATGAGCCTACGAGTGAGTACCTTGATGGTCGTCGTTGTCGAATATATTCTAACTTATCTGTCCAGACTACCTCGATCGCGAGTCGCTCGCTGCTCTCATCGCAGCGCTCAAGGTGTTCGAGGGCGGTGTCCTCATCATCACCCACAACCGGGACTTCTCCGAGTCCATCTGTTCCGAGGTCTGGGCCATGCGCGATGGTCACCTCGAGGCCTCTGGCCACAACTGGGTTGAGGGTCAGGGCTCTGGCGCTCGCATCGACAAGAAGGACGGCGAGGAGGAGGTCCAGTACGATGCCATGGGCAACAAGATCGACAACAAGAAGCAGAAGAAGCTCACTTCGTCCGAGGCACGCAAGCTCAAGAAGGAGCGCATGGCACGGAAAAAGCGTGGCGAAGATGTCACGGATGACGAGCTCTAATTTCTGAGCGTCGTTTGTATTCTTCACGCTTGTTGTCTGTATTCCCTCGTGTACTCTTGCTTGTTGTCTCGTTATGTGTTCTTTAGGTCTGGATTATGTACCTTACGTCTACTATCATATTCTTCTAATTGGATCTTACGCTTTTTTCATGACTTCGTTCGCTGGTGTGATTCTGAGTGCTCGACTTCGATCTTCTGAATTAACTTTGAGTATTGGGTCTCGTTCGCGTTGATTGTCACCGTGACCGAGCTCTTGCGCCTTACAAATATCAAGTGATACATCCTATCTCACAACCTCGACCACGTTTTATAGACAATGAGCACTACGCCGTTCAAAAAGATCGCGCTCGTTGGCGGCGGAGGTACTGTAGGCAAACCGATCCTCGAGGTTCGCCCCTCTGAGTCCGACATCTCAGTCGAGCCCGCTACACACCTCGATGACTTTATGCCGTAGGCTCTGCTTGCGACTGACACCGCCGAAGTCCTCGTCCTCACCCGCCCAGACTCCACCTCCTCGTTCCCCTCCCATCCAAATCTCAAAGTCGAGCGCGCAGACCCCACAGACGTCGACGCTGTCTCTGTTGTTCTAAAGAAGCACGGCATCGAGGTGCTCGTTTCTGCGGTCGGATCCGCGGGGTACGCATCTTGCAACACGCTCTCATCGACGCGGCGAAGCAGGCGGGCACTGGCGCCGTGCGGCTGTTCGTGCCCTCTGAGTTTGGGATGCCGACGGAGGGCGTTGGATGCGCCGCATGTGGCTGCGAAGGCCCGGGTTTCGAGTGAGTGCTGTAGTTTTGTTGGTCGACGTTCGTTTGAAGTGATATTGAGCTGGTGATTGTATGGTGCACTGGCAGGATACGCAAAGTCGATCGGGGTGCCTACGCTGCGCGTCTACGTGAGTTAGCGCATTGTGCCAAGTTCAATCGGGGATTAATACCTCTGACTGGCCCATCATGCAGAACGGGCTGTTCGAAGAGTTCATTCCGCGGCTGGGTTCAGTGACGCGAGGTACCTTTCTGGTGCTCGATCCTCCGGGAGAGCATGGGCCTCCTTCGCCTTTCTCTGTTACCGCTCTCGCTGACATTGGTGGTGCGTATCGGCCTCATATCTTGACTCGCTCTTCGGACGGTTCAGCCTTATAGCTTATATATGTGATATGCGTTCGCAGGCTTTCTGGCTCACGTTCTCACAACACTCCCGCCCGTTAAGCTGCAAGATACAACTCTCCGCATCGAGGGCGAGCGAATAACGCTGCCAGATCTCGCCAGCATGTACAGCAGGATTAAGTCGGTGCCGGTCGAGCATGTCAGCGAGGTTCCTGCAGACATTGCGCCTGAAGGTCTCAGAGCCTGGAAGAAGTACTTGCTGGAAGAGATTAACTCTGGAAGGAGCCGGGTAACTTGGGATCGCGTTCAGGGGAAGGAGCTAGGGCTCGAGGCGCTCTCGAATGGACTATGGGAGGGGCACAGGTGGAAGACGGCCGAGGAAGCGATACGGGGTGAGTAGTGAAAGTGATGTTATCATCTTATGTTCGAATATAGTGCAGACGTACTAAGCTTGTAAGATATTGTACATTAAGGCGAATAAATACAGCTGAGACAGCTGAGATAAAGCAGAAAAGAGATAGCCATAGGACCTATGCTCAATAAGCAATGCTCACCCGCTTCCCCTCCCACTCGTCCCAGTTCTTCGCGACTTTCTCCACTATAAAATGGGCAACATCCCTACGCGAGATCGTCCAGCTGCCGTTGACATCACCCTCCTTGACGCGGTACGCCTCCTTCCCTGCCCGCTTCGGCGGTTTATCCGCAGCGCACTCTCCGTCCGTGAGCAGCGCCGGCCGGATCACCACCAGACGCTTCAGCGACGCAGGCTCTGGCACGCGATCCGCCCAGCTCGTGCCGAGGATCTCCTCGCCCGCGCTGTCCCGGACATCCCACGTCCACCCAGCGGCGTGCGCGAGGACCTCCTCCGCGCCGCACTTGTCCTTGTGCGGCGCCGTGAGTGTGTAGCTGTACACGGGCTTGAGCGCGCGGGGTAGCGCGTTGTGCGACTCGCGCGTGAGGCCTATCGAGGAGATGGTGATGATCCTGACGTCCGGGCTGTCGGCGGGGAGTGTCTCGAGGACGTTGAGCAGGGATTGGGTGACGAGGTTCGGGGGCTCGATGATGAAGCCTTTGGTCAGTTTGAAGGAGGGCGTGCCTCCTAGATGATTGATAACAGCGGTGAGTTGTGGATCATTGGGGAGGTGGGTAAGACCGTGAACGCACCAACAGTGAATAACATGAAGTCGACAGCCAGATCGTCACCGCCCTTGGCAGCCTCAGCCCACGCGCGCTCGACGTCTGATTTGACCAGGGCGTCGCCCTTGACAAGGCGGGCTTTGCCGTCTTTCACGAAGCGGGTGATGGCCGCGTCGTGGTCGAAGCATTCTGGCTTCCTGAGAAGAAAGGTGACAGTGTACCCCAAATCTAATCAAACCGCTCGTAAATGGTTGTCTCACCCAGGAGAGAGAAAGGCGAACGTACCAAGAAGTCTCAGAGAGGAGTAGTATCCGATGTTGCGAGAAGCCCCTATGGCAAGAACCTTTGACATGGCTGGTATTGGAGTTGTCTGATATGCGAGACGGAAAGCTTTGGTGGACGACGGATGAAGACAAAGAGCTTGGTGGTTTGGTGTTGTGACTAGAGGACGAGATCGCCTCTGGTCTCTTTATACTCTAGAAGAACGCCATCGAGACGACCATTCCCAACATTGAAGGTTGTTTCACTAGCAATCTCGGCAGGGACACAGCAGTATCTGCCACCAAGGCACGAAACGCCACCGCGGCTGCGGCCTTAGATGGCTGAGCATTGCCCGATATATACGCGTGTTACTTCGGCGACGGTCGGCAGCGTTGTCTACTGCGTCGGGCAGCTGCTCCATTCGTATCCGATGCCGACTTTGCTGTCGTTATTCGACGGCATCGAGCTGCGCTTCCCAGTGGTTTGTTCCTGCGACGTGGAACGACGTGGATGTGGACTCCGGTGTTGGGGGTGTCGGGCTCGGTGTCGAGCAGAGTCCGACGGCGTCCCCGGGAACCGCCCTGTCATGTCCCCTGGATCTATCGTTTTGAGAGACGCCAATGTTTCGAGTGAAGATGGACATACTAACAAAGAAATGGCATATGCGATGCCAACGACAGGGTCAGAGGGATGCTCCGTGTTCTCAGGTGGATGACCGATGTGTACCTTGAAAGTGAGTGGCTCGGAGTCCCTCATCGTCCCAGTGAGCGGGCCTTGCCGTATAAAAGACTACCCTCTCAACCGTGGCCTCAACTTTCGAGGCGTCACATCTGCGCAATAAAACGGCTCCCACCCCCCAACCTCGCCTTATGATCGCCTTAGCCGCAGTAATAACCTCGTAATCGAGGAGGGGGTCGAGCCGAGAAATGCATAGTCGACTCAGCTGTCGTTCTTCCCTACGGGCCACTGGTGCTTGTTGTGATCCGATGGAGGATGCGCAGCTTCAACCCAACAACGAAGTAAAAACGTTGATTGTCGATTCATGTCCTCGTCCTCTTGTAACCTCTTCATGATACTGTGCTTCATAATAAGATGAAAATATATCTACGGCATCGTACAAGTCCAGATGTTGCGGCTTGGACGACAAGGCGATGACAGTACGATACAAATTAGATCCGAATGCTAAGACTGTGCGAGTCGATAGTAATGTTCAAATTTTATATGCGATAGACCAGAAGGTACATCTTCAAGTTCCTCCTTGTGACGAGCACCAATGTTCAAGAACTGCACGGTGCTAACGGATGGAGCCAATCCATGTATTTTGGTCAGAAAACTCCAGATATGCTCATAGCGAGCATCCTGTGTAAACCGCGAACGCGCAGGCCCAGGGGCGGCCGTCCGTAGTCCGAGGCACGTCACGGGCGGAAGCTCGAGCTCGAGCGGCAGCGGGAACGCCTCCGGATCGAAGAACGCGTACTCCGGTACCGACAGGACAAGGCGCTCCAGGTTCGGGCAGTGGCGCCCGATCTGCGACACCCACAGCTGAATTTTTTCGCGATCTTCGACGTCCCAGTGGATGGTGCGGAGGGTGGCGCCGACGGCGCGCAGGAACGTCTCGTTCCGTGTGTCGGTGAAGAAGGCGTTACCGTGTAGAACAAGGCTGCGCAGCTGAGGGAGGGAGCCTGACTGGATAAATTCTGGGCGGCTCAGCTTGCTGAACGCGACTGTGTGGAGGGGTAGATAGGGGATATTTGCGGAGTCGATGTGGTTCTGCGGGAAGGCGATGTGGTAGCACGCCAGGATGCGGAGGTCGGGGATGGAGCGCAGGAGTGCCTCTGTGTCCGTTGAGCGGAGTGAAATGTTGCGAAGCTGGAGAACCTTGAGATTGGGTACATTTTGGCACAGGGCTCCCATCATGGATGGGGAGATGCGAGCCTCTGGTGCGCGGAAGGTGATGACGAGTATAGAGAGACGGGGACAAGACCCGAATAATGTCGCTAGTCCGCGCTCAAGCATGTACTCTGTCCCTTTGCTCACAAGCAAACTATTGTTCGTGAAGTCAGAGAGGATGTCCATTCGTTCTGTGTAGTGCCCCAAAGGAGGTGCACCAGGAATGCGGGGAGGGGTCGAGAGGGCGCAGGTAAGTGAGGACAGCGCATCGTCTCCTTCGAAGATGACAGATTGATACAGGCGATGGATGAACATCTCGTACCAGTGCTTGCACACGAGCGGTAGCCATCGACGGGTCGTTTGTGCTTGCCTTAGCGAAGCGTTGATATCGCTGTCCGCATATTTACCCGGATCGTCATAAAGACCATTTAGCTCCGTGTGAAAGTGAATGTCAGGATCAAGTGTCCCACTGACAGTCGTAGTGTGGTCGTGAATCCGTAGCCAGAGTTCAGGAGGCAAGTAAGGGACGACAGCCATCGCAGCTAGGAGTAAGCTGAAGCTTGAGCAAATTTAGTGTAAGCGGAGGCCCTGATCCAAGTTAAGGTTAGCCCCTGTTGAATATACCAACTCGTTTCTGACCATGACGCGCACTGTCGTTTTGTGAATCACCATTCTTTGTGTCATAGTTTCTAGCATGCGTCAGTCAACAAATGTCCCTGATATCAGGAGTCGATCACACCCTATGTTTGGGTTGGTGGTGTGGGATAATTTCCAATACTTAACTACGTCTACGGGATATGCATCCCTCCGACAAAATACCACCAACAGAAGACGGTATCTTAGAGTCCAGGTGTGTGTTGCTCATTTTCGTTTTAACACACGTATTACTCACTAGTCTCTTGCACTCCCTCGCTCGTCTTTCTATGTCAACGCAGCTGCTGCATCATGCCCATCAGCACCCGCCTCCTATCTCTCAACTCTTCGCTCCGCCGCCCGAGAAGGACAGCAAAGTCCAATGGGATCAAGCAAACTGCGTCGACTGATGGCCGTCTGAACGGGAGTGTTGTTCCTGACGGGAACGAATCCTTTGAGGGTCAAGGTGCAACGTTGGTTGTAGCGGACGCCGGTGGTGGTGCTACTCCGACGGATGCCCCACCGACAGGCATTCTCCTTGCCAACAGCGACTTGCAAGGCCTTTTACAGTCGTCGCCCACAGATGGAAAGCCATCCAAGTTTTTGGAGGGGGATGAGCATGAACGGTCTCCTGCGCAACGTCGCGAGAGCGACAAGCCCAGGTCAGAGGTATGACGTTCATCCTTCATCCAACCCACAGTTCTCGCTCCAGACTCGACATTAACACAAACCAATTCAGGGACATATCGAAGACCACACGGAGTCACAGGTAAATAACCGCCCGTTGACTCCGTATGCAATGCAGCCCGTCAGGCTAGACTCCGCCACAACACCCAGAGGGGACACCACATCCAACCCTATGGCCATCTTGCGCTGGTCGGATAGCACGACGCAGCCCCCGTCAGAGCAGGATGGGACTCCAGGTTCTCCGTCACCGTCTTCGCCGTCGACAGCGCTCAACGAGGCCGGAGGCGATGGCAAACATCCTGGGTCTGGCTCAGGGGAGCATAGGTCTTCGGGAGAAGAGGAGACGTCTAGACCTGCTTCGGCGTTGCCTGATATGGACCAGCTTATGGTGAGCTTGCGTGAATAAGAAAGTGGTGGTTATACGATCCAAGGCTTACGATCTTCACAGCATGAATACGAGGCGGTGGTCTCTGAGCAGAAGGAGCTGAGGCAGCTGTTGGAGGTTCGTTGCCTTTACCTCGCTCCGTGCACGCGTTCTGACCGACGTCTAACGTTGTTGAGTTGCAGAAACGCATAACCAGCGAGAAGTTGGTGAACGAGAGACTGCGGAAGCTCTTGGAAGAGACTGTATGATTTTAGGCGTCGAATTTTGTAAGGATATCGATTCGTTTCAATACTTACATCTGCCTTGTAATGTTGTGCTACTAATACGAGCCCCGTATATTCGAATTTCTTCTGGAATCTTTCATGTTGTTAATGCTTGCTTGCTGACGTTTTCAAACCATTGAACATGAACTTGAACTCAGGGATTGGACGTTCCGCTAAGAACGACATGGAGCCATCTTCTGTGTCTTAGTTAGATGATCTAATAGGGAGAGTTTTCGGGTACGGTAGGAGAGCAGACAAAGAATGACTCGCACAGCATTTAGTGATCGTCAAAGCACAGTGTGCGGCATCGTCGTCGGGTTTCGGCGATTGACGCCCATTGCGCGCTTATTGACGATTATTTGTCTGCTGTGGCTGATGCGTCCATTCCTCCCGCTGCCTGGCTGCAGAGTGCGCACTGACCACATTTGCACTGCAAAGCACCGGGCAAGAGAGGGATTTGATTAGGCATACTGTCCGCATGAAAATATGGTCCGAGGGCTCGCTGGCAGAGGATAAGACTCGTCGCTTTCCTCACCCTCCTCTCTTTCCTCCCTACCACCACCATCTCTATCACTTCGACTCGAGTTTTCGACTGCAACCCTCGAGATATAGCTGCATAGATAAATCCTATGGCCCGTACTAAGGTGAGAATGCTTTCCATGCCACTCTGTAGGCTTTCCTCGAGGCGAAGATGCCTGTGCTCGCTGCCACGGACAGCGAGGGGAAGGAGAGGTTTCCTGTAGCGTGGGATACCTACCTCCCGCGCCTCATCCTGACCTCGAAAGAGGGAACCGATGGTGACGCGGAGGCAGGAGGAGGCTCCAGCCTCTGCCTCTCCGCCTTCCACATCGTCTCGGAGGCCTATCATATGTCTTCTCGCGACCTGCGAATCTTCCGTTAGCCGATGTATGTTTTCTGACGACCTTCCTTATTTAGCAAACCGCCCGCAAGTCCACTGGAGGCAAGGCGCCTCGCAAGCAGCTCGCCACTAAGGCTGCCCGCAAGTCGATGGCTGTACGTGTTTCATCTATGTTATTGTTTTTCGGCCGTCGTAGCTCACGGGTGATCTCCGTTGTCGTCGTCGCAGGCTACGGCAGCCACCGGTGGTGTCAAGAAGCCCCATCGTTTCCGTCCTGGAACCGTCGCTCTGCGTGAAATCAGGCGTTACCAGAAGTCGACTGAGCTTCTCATTCGCAAGCTGCCTTTCCAGAGGCTCGTTCGGGAGATCGCTCAGGACTTCAAGGTGCGTTCATCATAGGTCTCATATCAGTTCATCGTCACGGAGTCTCACTCTGCCTTTAGACCGATTTGCGGTTCCAGTCGTCTGCTGTCTTGGCGCTTCAAGAGGCTAGTGAAGGTACTAACGCATTATGCTCGGTTATTATTGTGTCGTACTGACTGTCTATTCACTTAAGCGTACCTCGTCTCCCTGTTCGAAGACACCAACTTGGCCGCTATCCACGCCAAACGCGTGACCATGTATGTGCATTCAATCTGTACCATGCTAGATTCTTGGCTGACAAATTGTACTCAGTCAACCTAAGGACCTGGCTCTTGCCCGGCGTCTTAGGGGGGAGCGCTCTTAAACGGGAGGCGCTCGGCGAGATGAGACCATATGCATGCCGATTCCTTATATTATGTCTCTCCACTCATGTACGCTGTACCTGTAATGTGTACTTTAACTGTACATCTCGACCTAGTTCTTGAATGCATGTTTGCTTGGGAATGAAAGCCATGGGGATGACTGAAACAAAAGTATGACGTCGAACGGAAAGTCTGAGCTCAGCAGTTGCGATGGACGAGTGTCGCGTGGGAGCTACAAGGGCCTTGGACAACATGCACAAACATTAGCACAATTTCACATAAGCACGTGCATGAGCTGAAACCCAGACGCGTCGCTCCTGTAAACAGTCCTAAACTTATCTCCCGCGTGTCCTTGCATCTTCATCCAGATCCCCCTCTCCCATCTCTTTCTCCGATGTCGAAACGCAAGGTTGAAGTCATCTTTGACGATGACGACACTTTCTCCCTCGGCCCACCAGTCGCCTCGAGCTCAGCCAACGCCAACCAGCTCAGCCCGCGCCGGACCCGGCGAACCGTGCAGAGGAGTCGGAGTCCTGACTCGGCGTCCACGCGACCCCCGCGCACGACTCCACCCACCGTCATCATGAAGCCCTCGGGAGACGCACAAGCTGCGCCCAGGTCCCCTCCTACACGATCCCGACGTGCGTTTCCTCCTCCCTCCTCTCCGCCCCCCAGCACCCTCATGAAAATCGCGGAGATAGGTCTGCCGTATTACTCGGGTGCGTCGCGCGCGCTTGCGACGCCTCGAGAGGGCATTCTGCGCCAGGGCGGATGGATCGATGGTCTGTCGAGCAGTACGCGGGATAGAGTGACGAAGCGGATGAGGACGAAGCTGGTTAAAGCTGGTGATGGGGTTACTGCAGACTCGTCGTCTGCGTACCCTACACCGCGCCCCCGCCGCAACACCGCCCCCGGATCCCCGCGCGCTCCTCTGCCGTCCTCATCCGCACACCAAAATCCAAATTCGAACCCAAAGCCAGACCCGCCTCCCGAGCCGGTCGCGTCCGCTCCGCTTTCTGTTCTGGGTCGAACGCTGAGGTCGAGGGCCAAGTCCGCTTCACAGCCGACACTCGAGGACCCCCAGCCAGAGGAGAGAAGGACAACACTTATGAACCGGCGGACCCGTTCCGAGGTTGAGATTGGCGAGACGCCCAGAGCGCCCTCGAATGCAGCATCCAACGAGGCCCCTCCGTCGTCTACCAAAACGGACACGGCGACCACAGCGACGGCCGTCGAGCAAGAACGTGAACGTCCTCAGCGTACGTACGCTCGCAGCCAGCAGCCCAGTCAGACTGCGGCGGCTGCTCCGCCCCTATCGCCCTCTAAACAGGTCTTCTCTCGACCTCGAACAACGGGCAGCTGTCCCGACCCCCCGCCGTCAAGGAGCATGGGCCCGCCCCCGGTGCCTAATCGCGAGCTTATGGAGTCTACGCCCCGCCCGCCTCGATATGTGGAGCACGATGAGACGGCTCGGATGCAGCATGAGGCGCTGGAGATGGAGACGCGTCAGCTGATGGTGAGCTGAGTCTCCCTTTCTGTTGGGCGTTTGTTTGCTAAACGCGAATGCAGGAGGAGTACGAGAAGGTTATGGCTGAGCAGAGGCAGCTGAAGGAGAAGCTTCAGGTACGTGGTTTAGGTTATTAAGAGTTGAGAGACATGCTAAAGATAGGGTGTAGGCGCGCATCAAAAAAGAAAAAGAGTACAATGCTCAGCTTAGGCGTCTTCTGAAGGAGGCGTAGCGGCCTCGTGTCCGTGCGCATATCATGATCTTGCTGGTATCTTGCCGTTTGCATTGGGAGACGAGAAAGTCATTGCTGTCTCTCCGACGGACGTATATTTCTAGGAAGTATGTAAGGCGGGTTGATCTTTTTGGCGAGCTCCATCTACTATATTGTTATTATGAACATTGAACCGATGTATTTGACATGATTAGACACCACGTAGATGGTTGTTGTATGTAGCGCACAGACAATGCACAGCATGTTTCTTGCATTCGAGACAGCGCACTGAAGGTCACAGCCACCTCGGGCAGTCACTAAAAATAGCGAGGCATGTATTGACGTGGAAGCTGCTTTGGAAAGTCGCAGGCTTCACGTCTTCACCCTCATTACACGTTGGCATAAGTTTCGCAGCAGGAGACATACTCCCTGCAGACTCAGCCCCGTGACGGTCCACCATGCGTTTCTTTACCAAGGCCTTCGCTTCTCTCCTCACCCTAGGCCTCGTTGGCCTCTCGGGTCTCGTCAGTGCCAAGTCCAGCACTGGCGACTCTGTCCTCGTCGTCCTCGACCCGTCCCTGAAGAGGGAGAACTACAGTGTCTTCTTCAGCAGGCTCGAACGTGAGTCTTCTGTCTTGGCTGAGGCTTGGCTGCTCGAGGCTGAACGGTATGCACAGAGCGCGGCTACCAGCTGACTTTCCGTGCACCCAAGGACGTGGCCCCTGCTATCATGGAGTATGACGTGCCCATGTTCTCGCACATCATTCTTTTCACTCCCGAGACCAAGTGTGAGTCTTTTTGTCACATTACCACTCAGCTCTTTTGAGTCCTCCACATCCCACCCAACTCACGCCCGCGCCCAGCCTACGCCCAAGACATCACCCCGCAGTCGCTCGTCAGCGCACTCGAGCAAGGCACAAACCTGCTCATCGCCCTCTCCGACAAACAGACCCCGCTCTCGTCCCTCGCGACCGAGTTCTCGCTCATCCTCCCGCCCCCGGGCACCCCCGTCATCTCGCACCACCCCTTCCCGCGCGACGCCGGCGTCGACCTCTTCACCGCGGCGACCATCCCCACGGGCGCCGCGCCCATGTTCAGCCCCGCGATCCCGGACGTGTGGTACCGCGGCGTGTCGCACGCGCTCGGCAGCTCGCCGTACCTCGTCCCGCTCCTGCGCGCGCCGGCGGAGAGCTTCGCGGCGGACTCGACGGCCGACGGTGCGGGCGCGGACGCGCTCGTGGACGCGGCGGAGAAGGGCGGGGAGGGGCTCTGGGCGGGCGGGGCTATGGGCTTGGTCACGGGCTTTCAGACGAATGTCGGGTCGAGGGCGGTGTTTACGGGCTCGGTGGATCTGTTCTCGAATGAGCTGGCGAAGAAGCATTTGCCGCTCGGTGGGTCTGGGGGCCATATTGGCGGTGCGCCTGGGAACAACAGGTGGGCGCAGGACGTCGCCGGGTGGCTCTTCCAGGAGACGCTGACGCTGCGGATCGACAACGTGACGCACCACCGCGCGGGCGAGGATTTCACGCCGGAGACGTACACCATCAACGATGACATCGTGCGTTTCCCCCCTATTCTCCTCCGCATACACTCATGCTCAGTGTAACGCTCTCTCGTGTCGTGTATGAACAGGTGTACGAGATCCAGATCTCCAAATACGACATCCGCGCCGAGACCTTTGTGCCGTACTCGGACATCCCCGACCTCCAGCTCGAGTTCACGATGCTCGACCCGCACGTGCGCACCGCGCTCCCCGCCGTCCCCGGCAAGCCCGGCACATACCAGGTCGCGTTCCGCGCGCCCGACAGACACGGCGTGTTCAAGTTCCTCGTCAACTGGCGCAGAACCGGGTGCGTCTATCCCCCACTACATTAAATTTAAGATAACAGCTGACGTTGATGTGATGATACAGCTGGTCCTACCTGCACAGCAGCGTGACAGTCCCGGTCGTGCCCCCGCGGCACGACGGCTACCCGCGCTTTTTGAGCGCCGCGTGGCCGTACTACGCCGGCGCGGCGAGCACGAGCCTCGGCTTCGTCCTCTTCTGCGCGCTCTGGCTCGGCGGCGACGTCCGCGGCGAGCGCAAGCGCGGGGGCAAGAAGGTCGAGTAGAGGATGGCGGCTTGCTAGAAAGGCTTTGGGCCCTCTTGGCTTGCTGTACTCGCGTCCATAGAATGGTGTATGCCAAAAACTAATGCATGTATTTGCACGGTATCGCTGATGCTCATATACCTACAAAACTCTGAACGAAACTGAAGAAGCGAGCATACGTGTGGCGATCTTGAACAAAACGTGCGCCATCCACACAGTCCTCAAGGATTTCATGACGAACGATGAACGAACTGTATTTCATGCGGGCACCCTGTTGGCGCCACCAAAATGCTCATAAGCCAATCTAGGTACATGAAAAAACTCGAGCATGAACGATCACAGCGAACGAATATATAAAAATGGACGTCTGGTTTATAATCTTCTCTATACAACGCACTCTATGGTAGGTCTACTCTCGAAAAGAAAACAGTCCTTACACGACAACAGCAGAACACGACACGACACGGGCACCACGAGCGCGCACTGGCCCGCCACACCCGTGTCAATGCCAACGCCATTGCCAGCCAAACACAAGCGAGCGCCGCTCACGAGGACTTGTTAGCGCGGAAGACCTTGCTGAGGTTGTCCCACACGAGGTTGGGGCTCTGCGCGGCGTCGATGCCGGTCCAGAGCCCGCGCCGGCGGTAGTACTCGACGACGGGGCCCGTCTGCGAGTGGAACGTCTTGAGGCGCTTCGTGAGCGTCTCGACATTGTCGTCCGAGCGCTGGATGAGCGGCTCGCCCGTCACGTCGTCCGTCATGGGCTTCTTCGGGGGGCTAGTGTCGACGTGATACACGCAGTGCGCGGTGGGGAGGTAGAGAAGACGTGAGATGGACAGCGGGGCGAGTCAAGAGGGGAAGGCGGCGCACCTGAACTCCTTGTGGTACGTGCGGCCCGAGCCGGGGTGGATGAGGCGCCCGGTGATGCGCGAGATGAGGAGCTGGTCGTCGATGAGCAGCTGCACGACCGAGTCGAGCTTCTCTTTGCGCGCTGTCAGCATCGCGTCGAGTTTCTCGGCCTGCGGGATCGTGCGCGGGAAGCCGTCGAGGACGAAGCTAATGTGACGCGTGTTAGCGTGAGCATATGCGATATCAATACGAGTCCATATGATGGAAGGTGGGGGTGGGGACGCATGTGAATTTTCAGGGCCGGCGCGCGTCCAGCCGTACCCACAAGACGCGGGGAAGCGTAGCAAAACACGAGAGGATGGGGGATGCAGATAAGGGGGAAAGAGCGTGGAGGCTCACCCATTCTTGCACTCCTTGTTGTTCTCGAGTTGGTCCTTGATAATGCCAATCATAATATCGTCATTAACGAGCCCGCCGGCATCCATGATCTTCTTCGCCTCCTTGCCGAGCGGCGTGCCCTGCTGGATCTGCTCGCGGAGCATGTCACCAGTCGCGAGGTGGCAGACGCAGTACTCGTCCCGGATGCGGGGCGCCTGGGTGCCCTTGCCTAAGAGTGACGCGTGTCAGAAGGATGCATATGGGCGCTCCGTTTCGCGTGAAATGGGCGATGAAAACGGGTAGGAGCTGACCTGCGCCGGGGGGACCCATGAGGATGGTGCGCAGCTGCTGGGCGGGTGTGGGCGCCTTGGGCGCGGCCGCGCCCTTTGCCTTCTTCTCGAGCGCGGAAATCTTGTCGTTGAGCTGGGCCACGAGGGACTTGAGGTACTCGAGCTCGTCGGTCGGAGCCATTGTGATTTAAAGACGAAGAAGAAAGACTGAGTGGGGGTTGATATGAAGCTTGGGACAGAGTGAACTGGCCTGCTAGACCGAGGACGAGGACGAGAAAGGTCGAAGGAAAAGGGACGAGGAGCGGTTGGAAACTTTGGGGCGGCCGGACGCTTATTGGCGCACGAGAGCCGGATGCGCTCGGAGCGACACGTTCGTTTTCTCACGGGTATTGTCCACGGACGCTGTCCCATAGGGGGAAATCGACATGTCTTTCTCAGAACGCGATGCACTCGTCTGCGGCCCAACTAGCGACCCCTGCGTCACCGGAGGACAACGCCACATGCTAACATCTCTTAGAGAACGTCTATATGTTTTACGTCCATGTGCACGGCGCATACAAGTACACTAGGCCTCGCACTAGGCCACTCTGACTCCCGCTCCTCGCAACGCAGATGGATCGCGCTGCCAATCACCGCTGTTCATTGCAATCCTTTCCTTCAGCATAGCGACTGCCCAAGCAGAGGCTCGGCGCCATCAGTGCCTCCCACCGCCCTCCATTCAACGTCTGCGTCTGATGCTTGGGGTTCAGGCGTGCGCAGCAAGTCTTGGACGGTCAGAGCAACGCGTGCTGTTCGCTTCCGCTCAATCTGCATCCAAAGTCCATCATCAGCAAGGGTCTACTTTAGGCAGCACCGACGTACCGTTCGACTCATATCGCTCTGGCTTGCTGCCCTCGTGGGTCTACTCCGGCCGTCTGGGACTATTCCTTTGCCCAGGCCATAGCACTCGGACTTCGAGGGCGTCAAAAGCGTTGTGCGAGGTGGTTGTAGCTGGGTCATCGAGGAGCTATGGTGATAAGACTGGATCTGTCGTAAAGGTTTTCGTATGCAGCTGCAGTGAGGCTGATAACGCTAGAGTACTGCAGGCTAGCTCGATATAAGCATGGTGTTGGTCCCTGGTCTAAACCGACATCGCCTTGGACTGGGACGCTTGATTTAGAACCTAGGATGCCTTTGGGCGTTTGGAGTATCGAATTCCAACGGAACACCCCGGCCCGGCTATTTGGCTTATCTTCGTACCTTGCGGATCGCATACCAAGAGTCGGGACGCTGGTTTCGAAGATGGAAACCAGGTTTTGCTTGACGAACGTCGACGTCTCGTCCTGTTGCCTATATGCAACTAATTACCGATATTCTCGGAATATATATGTCCATTCTGGAGGTCATGTGCTGATTCTCGTCGCGTTTTTTTCTGTGGATCACCGCCTCGTTCATTATAGGTACCATGGAATCTCGACTGTAGACGTGATGCTCGCTGACGGTGCCTGCGAGAAGCGGACGCTCAAGTACATTGCGTAGGTCCTCGGCATCGCAGTCCATATGTTACCAAGGCTCCCGAGCCTATCTTGTGACCATTGCGCGAACTTGTTCGTATTTGCTTCCGGTTCTCAGCTCAATTGATTAACTTACAAATCACTAGACCATCGTGCCGATCGCGTCCTTCTGCATCCCCCACGGACGTACAACCCCTGACTCACCCGCAGCGTCGACGTCACTCTCGAGTGGGTCTCGAGTCCGATGTCGTCCGTTGTACGCGTAACACTTTGTCCCTCTAAGGTCTATATAACCTCGCAGGGAGTCTGGCAATCATCCAGAGCACTCTTCAAGCGTTTATTCTTTCTCGATCAACCATCTACTATATCATGAGCAACGCAACGTACACCTCCTTTGCTATCTTCGGCGCCGGAGGCCAGATTGGCAAGTTCATCACCGAGGTGAGCACTTTCGCTTTTCTTCTTGAACCACCTGTCCTTGCAGTCGTCATCCCACACTTACGCTCGCGCTCGACAGGCTCTCGTCGCCAAGGGCGCCAACATCCTCATCCTCACCCGCCCCTCGTCCAAGACATCCGCCGCCCCGGGCACGCAGCTCGAGCGCGTGGACTACACCGACGTGGGCGCAGTGGCGGCCGCGTTCAAGAAGCACCGCGTCGAAGTCGTGGTTTCTGCCGTGGGCCTCGAGCCGCAGGCGCTGGACTCGCAGGAGACGATCGCGCGCGCGGCGGCGCAGGCGGGCGTGCAGCTGTTCGTGCCGTCCGAGTATGGCAACCCGACGTATGGAGCCAAGGAAGGGCTGTGGGGGAAGAAGAGCCGGGTGGTTGGTGAGCATTATGCACAAGGAGTTGCGCTCTGTTACAATGGATGCTTACCCGGCGATAGAGTTGCTGAAGGAGCTCAAGATGCCGTTCCTCTGTCTTTACGTGAGTCGTGCCGCTGTCTTTGGTATGCAGGGCACCGGGTGGCTGAAATTTCCATAGGCTGGAGTCTTCACCGAGTACCTCCCCGGGCTGCTCTGCGTCGACTCTGGAAAATGCCTGATCGCGGGAGAAGGCAAGACGCCGTTCTCCACAACTTCCATGAGCGAGATCGGAGGTCCGTTTTCTACCCAACATCTTCGCCTCATATCCGTCGTATAGACCCCACTTACACTGCGGACCTGTCTAACATAGGCTACCTCGCGTTCGTCCTAACCACCCTCCCGCCGTCACAGCTCTCCGACCGCTTCCTGCGCATCGAAGGCGACCGCGGCTCTTTGCACGACTTCGCCGTGAGGCTCTTCGCGGACAAGGTGCCCGTCGTCGAGCACGTCGCCGTGCTCCCCGCCGCGAGCGCGCCGCACGCGGAGTTTCTCGCGTTCTTGCACCGGGAGTTTGATTCAGGCTCGGGCGACTCGCGCTGGGACTGTGTGTCGGGTAAGAGGATCGAGGGCGCGGAGGGGAATCATAATGCGCTGTGGGAGGGGCACAAGTGGAGGGATGCGAGGGAGGTGCTTGGGCTTTGAGGCTGAGGCCGAGGGATTGGCTGCGTAAATTGTGCAGAGCATTAACGGTGCTGCGTGTTCTTACTTCGGAAATTGATGGCAAAACGTGCTTTCCCTATCAGTTGGCCATACTTTGCTTTGAGTTGGAGGTTATCCGGGAAAATCGGGCAGTTTCTCTAGGTGGATTACGGATCTCTGCGACCTTTGTGGCAATTTTCTGCAGTGATTATGAGCAGAACTGGAAGTGCTGACTGAGTTTCACTGAGCTGCCAACGTCAACGCGTCAACTTCATCTTCTTCAGCTCTTTATGACGTAATTCCGGCCCCTATCCAGCATCCACATCTAAGCTTGAAGGAACTTTTCGTCCTTCCGCGTAGAAGTCCCCGTTATGCAGCTGACGGGACTCTGCAAAACCTAGAAGCTGACTTACTAAGCAAGTTGTTGGACGTATTCCGACCGGGAGCCGTATTTCGCTCGCATATTTAAGGGCCACGCTCGAAGGAGTTCTCAGCCATCTGCTTCGAAACCCTCTCGCCTGAATCACCTCTAGCCTTCGCACTAATCCTTGCCACGTTCTATCATGAGCAACATACCATTGTTCAAGTCCTTCGCCGTCATCGGTGCGGGGGGAAACATCGGCAAATACGTCGTTGAGGCAAGTATCACTCTCTACCACCCTCGCTTCTGTCGCTAACGTTTGAGCATATCGACAGGCTCTGCTAGCCGAAAATGCGAACGTCCTCGTCCTCACTCGGCCCTCTTCTACGGCAGCGAACGCGCCTGGCACGCAAGTCGAACGCGTTGACTACGCCGATACGGACGCTGTCGCGGCAGCGCTGACGAAGCACCGCGTAGAGGTCGTGGTTTCGGCTGTCGGTTTCGAGGGACACGCATCTCAGGGTCTGCTCGCGCAGGCTGCGGTGAAGGCGGGCGTTCAGCTGTTTGTCCCGTCGGAGTTTGGTGTGCCGTCGTATGGCGCGACTGAGGGGATTCTTGGGGAGAAGAGCCATTTTGTCGGTGCGTGACTAATTTATACGTGTATTTTGTGCCAGATTCTGAGGTGATCTCTTTGGCAGACATCTTGAAGCAGCTCAGGCTGCCTTACCTGTGCTTATATGTGAGCTGTTTGACCTTGGATCCGCAAAAAATGGCGCGCGATTGTAGCATTGCTGACTTTGCTCTGCTCAGACGGGCATTTTCACTGAGTTCTTCCCTGGACTGGTCAACGTTGAGTCGGGAAAATACATGATAGCTGCGGAAGGCAAGACGCCGTTCTCGACGACTGCGATGAGCGATATTGGAGGTTTGTCCCCGTGCTCAATCCTCGCCTGAGTTGTTTATTGATAGAAACGATATAATTACTACTGTAGGATATCTAGCACACGTCCTCACGTCACTTCCAACGTCCGAACTCAAGAACCACGTTCTCCGTATCGAGGGCGACCGCGGCTCGCTCCTTTATTTTGCGAAGCTGTACGAAGGCAGAGCTCCCGTCGCCCGGGTTGAGAAGCTCCCGGAGGATGCGCCACATTCGGAATTATCCACTTTTCTCCACAAGCGCTTCGACACTGGCGCGGGGAGCACGCGTTGGGATATACCGTCTGGCAGGGAGATCGAAGGTCCGAATGCGAACGGGCTGTGGGAGGGGCATAAGTGGAAGTCTGTGAAAGATGTGCTCGATTTGTGAGAATGAGTTTGGTCCTGCTGTACGATCTGAATACAGACTTAGTCACCTACTGCTGTACATAATACAGACGCCACTTCGCCACATTTTTTCCCTTGTCGTCATGCGCGGCAGGATTAAACTCATGTTCTCTTGACTATTTTTGTCACCGTCCACGATGCATTAGCATCGTAGACTCACAGATTTAACCTACCAGCTACTTTCTTTCCAAAACTGGTTGATTCGCTGATACCATGCACACCTATCACGTCGGATCATGGAACAAGAACGTTTTCCCGAGCGCTTAAGACAAGCCACGGCCCGGGTGTCTCCTGGCGCCCATTGATCCCCGCGTCCATACGTCCACAGTTAATAGCGTCAGTAGCCCACGTACCCTCAGCCCAAGTAAATATCTCGGAGCCTTCTTGCCTACTTAAGAGTAAGCGCCCATTTGGAAGACTCCGTGAACTATAACGTTACGCTCAAGCGCCGAGACAATGAGACGTAAGTGCAAAATCCCCACTAACCCATGAGCCATAGACTTAAAAAGGCCGAACTGTTACCTGGCGTTTACATTACGTGTTGAAGCGCTGGATTGTAGTTAATATAAAACTTCGGAAGCCATGCAGATTTCCTCACCCCGAATCCATTCTTACTTTCCCCACATTGCTGCTCATTCTTTGTGCGCAGTCGTATCCTATTGTCCTCTTAGCGCTTTATATTTTTCTGCACCACTAGCGCTGTATAATATGCCGGGACTAGACTATTACCATCCCAATCATCTCCGTTACCGGTCCAATCAGGGCCCCATCGTTACTAGTGTACGCTCAATCATCAATCCTGTGGGCACTCTTGGAATTGTTGAAAGTAAGAGCCCTCTTAGAATTGCGTTACCTGTTGCCTCTCGGACCCGCGTTTGCTCACAGTCCATATGCGATCTTGAAGGAAATCAACATCTTATGACCTTTGGCTCACCCGGGTCCTCAGCTGCGTCCACCAACAGCCACGCCAAGTCTTACTTCATCAGTATGTTATTATCCTGCTTCTGACAGATACAGTCAGTGATTCATGTACCTAGACCTTGCTACTGTCCATTCTTTACATGAAGGAAGATATACATTGAAGCTTGACTTTGTTGATGGTAAAACGAAGGAGACAGTTGAGATTTCTGGATGTGAGTTTGCGAAATGGCATCTGACCCCTCATCCCTTGTAAGTCGATCCGTTTTTGACACTATCGTACGAAGAACTGATCGAGATATGACATGATATATAGTGAGGATGGCGCCTTGATCTACATAACCCTGTATGAGCATCATCGTCTGCACAAGGGCAAAAAGATTGGCCATGCAGTTCATATCTTCGATGAAAATTCCATTTCCAGTACGTTCATTGAGCGCCCTCAGTGGGTGATTGATCTCATGGCTTTTCATGTAGGAGTCACCGAAAAAACCCTCCAGATGGCTGAGAGCTGGAGCTCGACCAAAATCCCTGTTCTTACGCTACATACTCATGAGCATAAGGCAGCAAGAATTTCTGAGCATACTGCTCGTGACCTTACTCACAGTGCTGTAGCTCTGCTGCTAGCCACTGAGTTGAGAGACGTGTCGGGCGTCCTTGGGGGCATCTCTACCTTTCTCGGGGACATATCCAATGTTGTTGGGGTTATACTGGGTGCAGTTGGAGACATATCCCAAACGCTAGAAAAGCTTCGCCCCCTGGCCCACCTTGCCCATGTTGTGACAGAGGTGAGATTATAATTATGAGCAAAAAGAACCGCAAACACGACTAACAGTTTCCCTCCAGATACATCCATATGCCAAAGCTGCATGGGTTATCATAGCCCTGATCCCAAAGGTGTTAGAGATAGCTCTTCTATTTTATTAAACAAGCTGACGTTACCCGCAGACTATAACAAAGCAGCTCAAGAGGGATACGGATGTGCTGAACCTCCTCAAATTGATACAGGAGGTTTATGGCCTTATTGAAAAAGACGTTCAAAGTTTACTTGAGGATGTTAGGTTGCGCGAAATTATACGAGAAATCCTGAAGCAGACAGCTGAATCTGCGCTCTTTGCCCTGCAATACTTTCAGGAGTCGTTCGGTAAGTACCGAGAACCTCAGTCCTATTTTAACTGGTTTATATTCTTACAGGGAAGAGGCTCTTGCATAACATCTGGTCTCACGTAGATACTCAAATTGAGGGATTCACCAATGATATCGCAAGTTTGAAGGCTGCTCTGATGGATCAGGCACAACTTCAATGCAAATTGCAATTATCACGTCTGTTGAAAGATATTATAAAATCAGGTTGGTAGATCCGATTCAATGAATTGACCTCACCGAAATTCAAACTGATTCTTTGAGAAAGGAGTGCTCGACGTAGGAAACATTGCTCACGTACATGGGCAAGTTGTGCGGATGATTGAGACTGTGCCATGGACAGGCGCAGGAGCTGTGGCGGTTGCAAGAAGCGTTACACAGTAGAACTATTGGTTCAATAGATTTGTTTGGCGGATCAACTGATGGTGCGAGCTTTGCTCTGAGGGACAAGTGTACGTATACCCACTTTCCAGTAAAGAGACGAAACGGACGAAACGGGTATGCACAACTGGGGAGGCTCACTCGGCCTCCTTCAATGCTAGCCATAGAAGCGTGATATGGACCCATCTGCGTCAGGACACCATGAAAACGTACTGGCATGGTATCACATATGATATGGGGTGGAATGTCAACGCAGGGCGTGAAAGAGTAGTTTATACTGTAATATTTAAGGGAAAATGCGGGGTGAGTGACTAGTGAATGAAGCTGATCATCACGAAATCTAATTATCTTCCTCTTCTTCGTCCTCATCTTCATAGTCATCAGTACCGTCTTGATCATTCTCGGATTGTTCTGAACTTTGGTGTCCATATTCATTATCAGTCTCACCAACTTGACCGTTTCCGGAGTGGTCTGCATACTCATTGTTCGGGTGAATCTCCCACAGTCCCCGCAAGTAAGCGTTGCGTCTCTGTTCAGTAACGACCCGCGCCTTTCGTACACAGATATATCAGTTCATGCCCACATTTTCAGTCGCAGCACATACCTCAATCTGTTCCCTGATCCATCTTTGCTCCGCCAACACGGTTTCGAGATGTTGCTTTAGCAAGCCATTTATCAGTTGTAGTAAAACAACATAAAAGAAGTGTGAACCATACCACCAGGCGCTGGATATCTGCCTCTAATGCAGAAAGTTGCGCGAAGAGTCGTTGTACATGCGCGACATGGGCAGGTAGTCGTGGTGCGAACGCGTGGGACTGGAGCTGGGCGAAGACCACCCGTGGCTGTGGCGGCAAAGGCGCTGGACGAGTGGCACCTCCAGCCTGAGATATAAAGCGACCATCCCGCGGATACGCTGGTGCCACTCCCGTTGGACCGAATCGAAACACGAACCCGGGTGGGTGGTGATGTACCACAGGTCCATAAGTGTGGGGTTCCAGTGCAGTGGCGCCAACGGGATCAAAGACGTTCTGCGCTCCAGGAGGGCCTTGAGGACGAACTTGAGAGGCGGGAATCAAATCTATTCGGGGGTCCTGAGCGTTGAACCAGTCGGCCCATCCATGTTCGAAACCTATCCCAGCATTTCCATTTTCTCGGCGTAGGGTTCGTTCCACGGATGCCATGAAGTTCCGAACATCGTGATGTCTATTGTCATGGGTATTGTATCGCCCATCCGACATGGTGTCGGCGAAATCGTTGACCTGCTCGGACATGTTGAAGGCCAAGCGCTATACGAGAGATCAGCGAAAGAAGAGAAGTGAGTGGCACCACCTCGGTGGCTTAGTGTAAGCAGTCTAACACATTAAATTCGAACTCGCAGCGCGATTCAGTCGAACACAGTATTTGCGCGTGTTGTTCAAGGGCCTCGTGAAGCTTGCCTGTCTGAAATCGTCTGGCTCGTTCATTGAAAAGCTTCTCGTCATATGCGACTAAGATAAGAGTGGATATACATTCCTTACGATATCGATGCACGACCGAAAATGAAATAAGCTAGATCAACTGGACAGATCACGTCGACTGTCGTTTGACACGCTCAATAAGATAGGGGTAGGGGCATCATGCTTCATCTAGAAGCCTTTTCAGCTGTTCGTTGCGCTTCTCTTCGCCCGCAATCCGGGCCTGGAATCCAGCATGAGCATATGCTCCGACTTGAAGAAGCGTGGCTACATACCTCGAGCTTCTCCTTTAGCATTTTCTGCTCATCCATGACGCGCTCGTACTTTTGCTACAAAGGGTATTCAGCGATTCATCGCGATAACGTGGGAGCAAAAACTCACCATCAGGCTATCAGTCTCCGCTTGCAGGATAGCCCTCTGGACGGGATCGTCCTCTCTGTTAGTTGCCGCCTGCAGGGTAGCCGCCTTTGCGAAAGCGTTATCCTCACGCTTAATGGGCGTGGCCGGTTCAGCAGGGCGTTCACCCGATGGAGATGCTATGGGGGACTGAATACTTGGAGGGGGAGGAGGTTGCAAAGGGGATACGCCTATGCTCTGAGCGACGGAAGCGGCTGGCTGGGAGGATGTGGACGCGATAGCTGGGGCGGAAGGTACAGAGCCGACCAATGAGCTCTGCGAGGAAGTCTCTCCGATGCTTGAAGAGGAAGCTACCGGCTGGCCCTTCGTATCTTTGTCCTGAACGGTTCTGAGGAGAGTAGCATTGGCAGAGGGAGGTACGGGCTTTGAAGAAGTTCCGGATCCGCTATTGAGATGGTTGTATTGCACGAGGGGCTTCTGAGGGGGTTTTGATAGTTGAATCGCCTGTACAGGAGTGCCGGCTCCAGACCATGGCGCGCTGCCTTGAGGGGGTGCAGTAACCACGGATGGTTTGGGTACCTGACTTCGGGACGACGAGGCGGATGGCCTTGTGGTCTGAGCTGTAGCGCTGACAGGTTCTCGAGGACGGAAGGATGATGAAGATGAAGGCACAGACCCAGGGTTTGCGACCTTGGCACCAGTAACGTTATCTTCGTCGTCCACATTGCCAATCTTTACCCGTTTTTTCGGCCGTTCCTGGGCCTGATCGCTCGCCCTGCCATGGGTGGGGGGAAGTACACTATTGCCGCTATGCCTTTCTGCGACCCGCGAATCTGTCCCGGAGCGAGCAAGAGGATTCAAGAGTGGAGAGTGCGGGTCCATCATGGTTGTCGTTCGTCGGCGCTCGCTCGAGAACAGGTCAAAAGGGGCCCAGGCGTTTCTTAACTCGGTAGCAAGATCGACAGATGCGGGGTATGGATGTTTGCTTCTACGTGTGCCGCGTCCCCGCCTGATCGTTTCTGGGAGACTTGCTTGCCTACCGAAGGGAAATGGCTCCATGGTTTACGAGGTGTGGATGTGAAGCCAAGCAAAGGCAGACAAATCGCGCCTAGCCTAATGTTTGCACATGTTGTCCAGGAGCTTCATCAAATTGCCTTTTTTGGTACGGTAATGCTCGTCCATCGCAAAGTAAAGAACATAACATACACATAGGGAGCATACAAGGTGCAGTGGTACATAAAGTACAGAGTAAGACAGGAGGAGCATGATTATGAAGCTGATCGTTCTAAACTATATCCAGTTGCTGTTGTGTAAGCACGTCGGATCCCAGGCAAGTCATGGGAATTCAATCCACTTAAGATCGTTCGCCTCTGAGGCGGCGGGCCAACGCGAGGTCTTTGGGTTGGCTAGGGTAACGGATTTAGTTTGAACAGGGGGTACAGTAGATAACCAAAACTTACATGGTCACTCGCTTGGCATGGATTGCAGCCAGGTTGGTGTCCTCGAACAGGGAGACAAGGTAAGCTACGGGAAAAGACATAATGAGTACAATGCGAACGCGATTACAGGAAAACTCCTCACCTTCGCTAGCTTCTTGCAACGCCAAGACTGCGGATGATTGGAAACGCAGGTCGGTCTGAACGGAGGGTTAGATACGTGAATGTGCCAGCGAAAACATATGTCAGAAACATACCTTGAAGTCCTGGGCAATCTCGCGGACGAGCCTCTGGAAAGGCAGCTTGCGAATGAGAAGCTCGGTCGACTTCTGGTAGCGCCTGATTTCACGCAGAGCAACAGTGCCGGGGCGGAAGCGGTGAGGCTTCTTGACACCACCGGTAGCGGCAGTGGCCTGCAATGACGATGACGAGCACAGTGAGCATCAAAAATAGAGAGACAAAAGTAGACAGAGGACTTACGGCCGTCTTGCGGGCAGCCTTAGTGGCCAGCTGCTTGCGAGGCGCCTTGCCTCCAGTAGACTTGCGAGCGGTTTGCTAAATAAGGAAGGTCGTCAGAAAACATACGTCTCAAGATGGAAGGTTCGCAGGTCGCGCGGAGATATGACACAAGCCTCCGAGACGATGTGGAAGGCGGAGAGGCAGAGGCCGGAGCCTCCTCCTGCTTCCGCGTCACCATCGTTCCCTCTTTCGAAGGTGGGATGAGACGCGGGAGGTAGGTATCCCACGCTATAAGCCAGCGGAAACCCCTCGCTCTCCTCATCGCTCATCACGACGAGCGAAAGCCTCTTCGTCGCGATATAACGTCTCTAGGAAGGCATGAAAGCCAATCTCACCTTAGTACGAGCCATGGGATTTATTAAGAGAGGTTTCGAGGCTTTAGTCGACGATACAGGTCGAAGTTGGTGGGATGATGGTGGTTGGGAGGAAAGAGAGAAGGGGAGGGGACGAAGAGTTTTATCCTCTGCCAGCAGACCTCTGTCTGGTTTCTCGCGCTATTTTCTGGCTCCTCTAGCTACGTTGCGGTGCATTTCCGATCCTGGTCAGTGCGCACTTGAAGCCAGCCAGCGGGAGGAATGGCGGATCAGCCACATGCAACAAACAAGCGTCAATAACGTATATCGGGCGCCAAAGAGGGGCGCGTCTCAATTCCGACGCCCGACAGCACAGCTGCCGGCTACCGCGCCTGTCTACTCATTGCTCCCAGTCCTATAACTCCTGCTCAGTAACCTCGATTCGCCTGTAAAACTCTGAGGCACATCAGATCCAGCCAATTCGCTAAACCACGGGTCACCTTGAATGTTCCCGTAATCTTTTCCTGGCACGAAAATGACATCGAACGTCCCCTTACTGCTTCCTCCGAGTGCGCTCGCTCCTTCCACACCCAAGGACTGTGCAGAATGGGTTCCAACACAACATCTTTCTGAGCCTCAGCCTCCGCCCGTTGACGATGTACGAATAATGGAGATGGAGTTGGCAGCAGCCCGGCAGCTTGCGGATGGGAAGACGGTAAAGAAGACGCGGCCTCGGCGGACAGTAGACTTTAATGGGACAATGGGAAAGTGGATAAAGGTACGAAGCGATTGACTCTGGCGTATATAAATCTCTCATATCAATGACACCTGGAACTAGCTGCGCAAAACGCGTCCAACCTCAAGCTACGTGCCGTACATTCGGCCTGCGCCTCCATACATTATCGACGTACGGTGTTCACTATGTCCTTGATGCTACCCGGGAGACTCACAAACTGCTAGCTCCTTCCTCCATCTGCATACCCTAACAACGTCTCTACATCCATATGCACCAAATTCGTCCACACCTCCACCAACAAACTTCGCTGTCCAGTCAATGTAGTAACCGTTGAGTACCTCGCCCTTCTCACCCCACCCTCCACATCCTAAGACAAAACATAGTGGACACCAGAAGCCCGCCGCATCCTAACGGGTTCGACGAGCGGCGAATTCACTCTCTGGAACGGCCTCACCTTCAACTTCGAGACCATCCTGCAGGCGCACGACACCGCCATCCGCGCGATGAAGTTCACTAACTCGGGCGCCTTCCTCGCTTCCGCGGACCAGAGCGGCGTCATCAAGTACTTCCAGCCGAACATGAACAACCTGACTGCGTGGAACGGACACCGCGAGGCCATTCGGGGGCTGAGTTTTAGCCCGGACGATGGGAGGTTCGCAACGGCGAGTGATGATTCGACGATACGGATTTGGTCGTTTGAGGAAAGCAGGGAGGAGCGGGTTATGACAGGTGCATTTGCAGCCTTATTGGGATGAATGTTGGACTGATTCAGTACAGGTCACGGTTGGGACGTCAAATGCGTTGAGTGGCATCCGACAAAGGGTCTCCTCGTTTCGGGGAGTAAAGACAACCTCATCAAGTTCTGGGATCCTCGGACGGGGACTGTCCTCTCTACGCTGTACGCCTGCCATGTTGTGTTTCAGGATCAGTGGACTAATATCTTTTCTCGCCAGCCATCAACACAAGAATACGATCCAAGCCCTCGCGTGGTCACCCAACGGCAATCTGGTCGCAAGTGCTTCTCGTGATCAGACCGTCCGCGTCTTTGATATCCGTGCGATGAAGGAGTTCAGGGTACTCAAAGGCCACAAGAAGGAAGTCTGCTGTACGTAGTCCTATCTCCCTCCCCTTTCATTCCTGAACCCCGATCTTCTTTTCCAGCCGTAACATGGCACCCCGTCCACCCCGTCCTCGTCTCCGGTGGCTCCGAAGGCTCCATCCTGCACTGGGACCTCTCCCAGCCCGAGCCCTCGACCATCCAGCCCGCCCTGCCGCCCCGCGCGACCCTCGCGCAGGCACACGACTCCAACGTCTGGACGCTCGCGTTCCACCCGCTCGGGCACATCCTCGCGAGCGGGTCCAACGACTACACGACGCGCTTCTGGGCGCGCGAGCGCCCCGGAGACGCGTCCTCGGTGTTCGCGGGCGGAGGCGAGAAGCCGCCCGAGGCGGACGCGGGCGGGCAGGACGACGAGGACGATATGATGGTGCCTGGGTTCAGCTTCGGTGCGGGTGCGGGCGGCAACGGGTTCGGGTCTGCGGGTCCGGGTGGAGGCGGGCAGGGGCAGGGGTGGTGGAAGCAGGAGGACCAGGGCGGGAATCCGCTGCTAGGTCCGTCGTCGGATGGGTATGTGCATCGGGCGTCGTTCGCGGGCGATGCGATGGACTCGGACGATTTCATTCCTGGGCTTGGCGGTGGGGGCGGCGGAGGCGCGAGTGGAGGTGGAGGTGGAGGTGGCTTCGGTGGGGGCATGGATGCCGGGCCTAGCGAGCCACCGCCACAATCGGCATCTTACGCTTCGCAAAACGACTCGTATGGTCGGGGAGGCAGGCAGGATGACCGGGACAGAGGCGACAGAGGCGACAGAGGCGGAGGAAGATTCGGAGCTAGTGGATGGCAAAACCGGAGAGGTCGTCGTGGTAGATACTGATAGCTTACTTGTGATTACTGATTCAGTCCTTTTGTCTCACCGCCTATTTGCCGCCATAATCTATCGTATTATTACCACGCGCTCTGAGCAACAAGGCTACTGAAAGATAGCATAGAAATTCGACGTATCAACGTTATATAGGACATAACTTCAAAGGCGGATAACGCTCCACTCCAAGAAAAGCAGCTCTCCATCCAAGCTAGCATAGGGACGTAACACAGCCTCCGTCCTGACCGTTCCTTTCTCAAACACGCGGCCGTTCCACAGCTCTTCCCAGCTCTCGGGAGAGTGGCAAAAATACTCGAAATCGGTCGACCACGTTCGGTGAGAGCGCCAGCCCTTGGTGTGGTAGCCGCCTTGCGCGCCGCAGATCACGGAGCCCGGCTCCGGAGAAAGAAGGGAGGCCAGAGCGCGCGCGAGCTTCACTTGTTTCTCTTCGTCGAACAGGTGGAAGAGCTTGGAGGCGTGTAGGACGGAGACCTGTCCATACAGCGCGTCGAGTGACTTTACATCTGACAAATCCGCGATGCGCTCGATGTCAACGTCGTGGACGGGCTGGCGAGGTTCCAGGTCGAAGATGTTGGTCTCAATCATTGTGGCAGGAAAGGTATCGGGTGTCGTTTTGAAGAGCTCGTGTCCAAGTTGCAGGAATTCTGCAGTTCCATTTCAGTGCCAGTGTACAGTAGCGTTCAATGATGGCTCTGGTCATTACCTCCTCTGAGATCTGACAGAACGATATTCTCCACAGGATATCCGTCAGCAACTGCTTTCCTGGCGTCACCTCCGACTAGTACATGTTCACCTTCTTTGGCTTTCATGAAGTACAGCTTGCCACTTACAACAGCATGCAAGATCCATCAGAATGGATCCAGGCTTTGTCTTCCCAATCTCAAGTATGTGTGGGTATATGTCCAGGCGTGACATATCCAAGCTGAGGTTCAACATAGTAAGCACATGGCAAAAAGCGAAGTTCAAATGAACCCACTGGGTGAAGGTAAATATCCGAAGGCATGGGTATGGGACGACCTGATTACGACACATGAGCACTGGAGCACAAATGACGGAGCACAAAATGGTTTCATCACCTCATACGCTTTCCGCTGCACCGCCAGGATATGGAGCTTGAGCTCTTCGTCGTCGTATATTCCCGTCTGGGACTTGAAAAAGTCGCTCGCCTCTGGCGAGATATGATACAGGGCAGCATCCAGGGCCGGGATATTGTGCATTCCGACGTTTTCGTCCCAGTGGTATTCCAGTTCATGGTCCTGTAGCATTTTCGGTTAACTCGGAGGTGCGGTCGACGAGGGGGAGGGCATCGCTGCCAAACCAATGGCTTTACATACCTCTCCGAACGAGCGTCAACAAGCATTGTGAACGTTCCGGTCTTGCACTAGAACAGAAGTGTCACAGCGCCTCTCGAGCCACCGGGCGCCAGGATGTCCGCGTCCATCGAACGTTTGAGTATGCAGGAGAAGCCTGCAAACCTATCTGGTGAACATTAATTGGAGGCTTTATCAGCTAACATTGTTTATGAGCTAAACATAAAAACGCACAAATCAAGTAATGGTTAACCTGGACCGTAGGGAAAAGACATGCTTGTTATCCCAGAGCGGCGCGCGGCAAAGAAGTTCGTCACGGTTGTGCCATCATTCTCTGCCCCACACGCTAATCATGATGCGGAAGGCTGGGAACATACCCAAGAAGCTGGATAACACCAGATAACACCATAAGAAATGAAGGTGTTATCTCCACCCCGACATACAAAGCCTACGGCCGTCTGCAGGTTATGACGCATCGGGCAAGAAGAGCATATGACTTAGTTGCACAGCCACCGACACGCTCACCCGAATACTGCCACCTAGTAAGAAGGGCAGAGCGCAGCTCATAAACGTTAAACGATGGTCAAGATGAATAAGCCGTCGAGGCATGTAACAAAAACATGCAAACGTCCATACAATTACAAAGAGCCATCCGCCCCGAGCTCGCGGAATGATGCTATCCTACAGAAGAATTCAAGCCTCGGAGGCGCCATTGAAAGAGTTAAGTTACGTTACAGCGGTTTGCACAAAGATGCGGAAAAGCCTCTGACGCGAAATGGCCCCGCCGAGACAGCCGAGTGAGGACCCCGAGTAGAACTCCGCATCGTTCGCCCGCCTCATGCCAGGGGTCCTGCACCGGCCCCAGTGTGCACTGCCATCTCTCCACCCAGGCTTCCGCATTCACTTGCAAAGCGCTGTAAGCTGCAATGGTCGAAGGGAGGCTAGCCGTGTATATGCATGTGCGAATGCGCCGGGGTGCATGAGCATAAGCATGAGCATGAGCGTGTCAAAAAAAAAAACTGTATGTGTTATTGGACTGGAATGGGATGAGTGGGGCGCCATGGGCCGCGCCATGAGGCTGCACCATGTTGGCACTACCAGAATGGAGCCTCGCTGTCAATAGCGAGTAAGTGGCAAGTGGAGATGGACATGAACAGGAGAAACGGAAAAGTGTAGACAGATGAGCAGAGGGTAGGTAGGTATGTATCGGAGGCGCCCTAAGCATGCGAGTAACAAGAGACCCAAGATATAAAATGAGCGATAAGTAGAGATCCCCTGACTAAATAACGATGAAGATCGATGATTCCACGGTCGGTTGGTGGACTTCGGTGGAGCCACACTGTAGCAGTAGCGCGCTCAGCCCCCCGTCGGAGTCGTAGCGCTTGGCGTACTAGATGACGACGACGATGGCTGCTTGCCCTTGGGCGTCGCGGCCCCGCTGGTACTAGAGCTGCTGCGCACGTCATCCCAGCTAACGGCACGCGCCGGAGTCTGAGCGCTGTCCTTGCTCGCTGGCGGGGCCAACGCTGCGCCGGGCGAACTCGACGAAGAAGTCCAAAGCAGGCCCTCGACGTCCGACGTGGACGCCGAGCGTGGCACGGCATCGGGCGGCGGGGGCGGCTCGAGCATGCTGTTCGAGCCCGTGTAGAAGCAGAATCTGCGTCACGTCCTTCAAGTCAGATCTGGCGCACGGAACGAGAAGGAAGTGTAAGCGGATAATACGCACTGGTTCAAAAACTGGCTATACCCGTCCTTGTGGGACCCGGTCCCCGCCGCCGTCGGTGCGAAGGCGGAAGAGAGATCGCTGTAGAGCCCCCAGTCGCCCGCGGGAGACACCATGGGCGAGCTCGCGCTGCTCGACTGCGACGTGACCGACGGCGTCGAGTCTTCCGAGCTCCCGCTGGCGCTGACGTTGATACTCGGATGCAACGACGCGTTCAGCTCCGTTTTGATGGTGGAATCGACGACACTCGGCGCCGGGACAGCCGGTGCGCCCCACACGCTGCTGGAAAAGTACGAATCCGGACCCTGCTTTGACGAGGACGAGGGCGCCGCAGCGCCTTCATGCAGCGCAGGCGAAGGCAGTGGCGACACGCGCATATGGGGCACCGTCTCGGCCGCGAACACGCCATCGAACGGAAGCTCCGAAGGCACGTCGATCGGCGAGCCGACAGGCGTGCGCCGCAGCGTCGGCGCAGCCACGGGCGAGTCGACCTCATTGTACGACCGCCGGTGGCGCCGCTCGCGCGGCGGGCTCGTGTTCAAGCCCAACTTTGGCCTCGCCGCCGCCGCCGAACTCGGGCTCGCGATGCTCTTCGGCGGGCTCGTGCTCAACCCCGGCCCAGCGCTAGTACCAGTCCCAGTCCCTGGCCCTGGCCTCGTCGGCACTGGGCTCGGGCCAGTCAGACCCGCCCCGCTCTTCGGCGGGCTCACGCTCAACCCCAGACCTATACTCGGTCCTGGCCTCATCGTCGGACTAGCGGGCGATGCGAACGGCAAGTCCTCGATCTGCGCGCGGTCCCACACCGGCGCGCCGTGCCGATCATATGTTGCCTCTTCGGTGTCGCGCGGCGAAGGGAGCGCAGCCCGGGGGCGAGGCAGGGGGGACACTGCGGGTGAGGTCTTGGATGGCCAGGGCACCGACGGGTTGACGCTGAGCGATTTGCTGCTATTGCTATTGCTGCTGCTGCTGCCGGGATGATTATTGTTGACGCTGCTGATGGAGCTAGGAAACGTGTGCGTGCGCGCGTGCCCGTTCGCGTTGCTCTGCCACGGCGAGCTGACAGTGTTGAACTTCCACGGCGAGCGCGACGCGGACGCGAAATCGTACCGCGCGCTGGAGAGGGACGGCGGCCGCTCGCCCGGGCGGCGCGGGAGGCTCTGGAAGGACGTCGTCGGCGACGGCGCGTCTCTCCGGTCCTTGGCGACCTGTTCGAGCCTGTTCTTCAGATCGCCCATCATCGCCTCCTGTTCCTGCTCGGACGACTCCTGGCGGTGCATCACCGCCGCCGGCTTCGACTCCGGCTGCGACGGGGGCTCGACCCGCACAAAGCGCGCGACGTAGTTCGCGCCCGCGTTGTTGTCCCACAGCTCCTTGCCCGCGACATTGTACCGCACGGCCAAGACCATCGTCTTGTCCTCGATGTGCGCCCAGAAATCATGCAACCGGATCGTGAACGAAAAATCGTCGTACGCGCCGCGCTCGATCGAGTCCGCGAACCGCGCCGTGATCTCGCTCGCCGTCTGCCACCCGTCCAGCGTAAACCGCACCACGACGCGCTTCTCATACGCAAGATTGCGCACGCGCACCCGCCCGCTGATCGTGCGCTGCTCCGACGCGAACGCGATCGTCTGCAGCGACACGTCCACGCGCCCGCCCGCCGTCGTCTGCGCCAGCGGCGCAGGCATGTTCTGCAGCCGCATCTCGATCTGCTTCTCGTCCTGTTGCTTCCGCTGCAGAACCTGCGCGCGCGTCATGTACGCAGACGGGAACGGGAACCCCTCCGTCTCCGTCCCGCTCGTGTCGTCCGTCGGCGAGCCGTCGCGCGAGACCGCGAGCGGCTTCTGCTCGGCGAGGAAGAGCTTCACGCGTTCGAGCTTGCTGTCGAAGTGCACGGCCTTGGCCCCTGGTGTCGTGGGGGCGCTCTGCGGGAAGATGGTCCGCGCGTCGGGTATGGCGATGGACGTCGGCCGCTTGGCGGACTTGAGCGAGGGCTTGACGATCTCGCCTGACTTTTTACGGAGGGTTCCGTCGAGCGCCTTGCTGGGCTCCGGGGCGGCCGAGAGCGCGACTTTGACAACGGGGTCGACGGTGAGCTTCTTGGTGTTGATCTGCGACTCGGAGAGATTGCGAGTGTGCAGGCCTCCGAGGTTTAGTCTGAGCTTTGGCGATTTGAGCAGCAAGGGCTTGGCATTGCCTTCGTCGCTGGAAGACTCGTTACTGGGCCGCAGACTAGACCGGCGCTTCGGGTTAAAGTCAGGGTGGCCCCGGTGTTGATCGGGCTTCTTTCTGTAAGTGGGGCTGCCTATTGGGGCGGGAGTAGGAGTGGGAGCTGATGTGCCTGCCCTAGGGGGACTTGGGGCTTGCGTGATCACGACAGGAGGATTGCGCTTCGATGAGGGGATAAACGTGATGGGGCCATTTTCTGGGGGAGAGGACGATGAGCCCGTGTCTGAGTCGTTGAGGAGAGGCTGAGGGATGGGTATAGGTAGCGAGGACAGCTCGTCTCTCTGGGCTGTAGCTGCGGCGTTAGACGATATTGATAGCTCTGCGAAGGATGGAGGGTGGTTCGAGCGAAAACTGGTGCGGCGGGGGATGCTAGGGAGTGGCGAGCCGGCAGTGTTGGATGCTTGGGAGTATGTTCGCTGAGAGGATGGAGGAGAGGTGGGCGCCGAGGAGGGGGAGGGGACAGAGGTGGGTGGAGAAGAGGGGAATGCTATGCTGGATTGAGGTTGAGACATGTGCAAAAGGGTCGAGGACATGTCGTCGATAGTGGGAGCCTGATAGGAATAAGCACTGGTCAAAGAAGCTGTCCAAGAAAAGCGGTCAGCACTTCATCTCTGGGTAGAAAATGCCGTAAGGAGGTGCACGGATGCAAAAACTATGGGGTTGAATGGGACTCACTGGTGTGCTGCAAGGTCGCATTGGACCAGAGATGTAGTGTAGATAGAGGAGGAGAAAAAGCGCGAGAGAATGGACTGAGCGTCGATGTCAGGATACTGCAGGCACGTTCTCGAACAAGTTGACCGCTCTATCGAAAAAGTAAAGAAGCCGAGTAAACTGACGTCAATATTGATCACCGAATATATTGACAAGTCTGAGAAATGTCCCTTGCGTCCATTTACAGTCATTTCCGGGCCCCAAAATGTCACCATGCCCGCCTGAGAGGTCAGGAGGTTAGCCGATCCAGAGAGTCCCCCACAAGGCTGTCCTCGTGGATAAGCAGTCCTCGGCACAGATTTTATGATGTGGGTATCTGCGCTGATTCGGCTATGATTTCTTGTTATCGTAAGAGCGCCATCTTATCCTCGAAAATGTGGAGAAAAGGCAAGACATTCGCTGGAGTGAGACCGGCGCGTCGCCAGGCCCAGAGAGCGGAAGACAAACTCAAGATCGGCTATCGGCAACTCAATTTGGACTCGGGGTGGGGCTTGCCTTTTTCGGTCATGTCACGCTATCGATGAGGTCATTGTTTCATCTCATTTTCTCAGACCTTTGCATCCCTCCGACCCCCATTGCATCTTCATACCAGGTATCAATCAATCCATATCCCTCCAATGATCAAATCTCCTCGAGGACATGCCCAAACACTATTTTCATGCCCATAATACTGCGACGGACTGCTCTGTGGATTGCTGTGGAGCTCTGGCCCACCTGGTGCCTTGGCTGGCCCACTCGATATCAAATCCCCACAACGATACACCCCACTAATTATAGCTCGTGGCTTCAAACTCGCCTTATGTGCGGGGAGACTCCATTATGCTCGAACCTTGTGGGGAATGCATCCACCTTCGTTGAACTTCGAGCCCCATATCGAGTCGGCCGCTCATCCCCTTTCGCCACCTGAAGCTTGTCCAATATCAATGAGCGCAGGTACTCTCTCGATAAACTTTCCCTGCGACTCCCTATTCTCCGCGAGACTCGAGCGGAATCGCCGAGCGTTCGAATGCCCCGTGAACCCCTACGCGGACGCTGTCGCCGGTTGGCCAGAAGGCCAGCCCCAACGCGCAAGGATCCTCTTTCACTCGTGAAACGACGTCATACGTTGGCAGATTCCGTTCTCCTCGCCAAATTCTTGTGCTTCGCGCCGCCATGCGGACGCTCGGTATTGAATAATGCCAAGTATCTCCATGACTCTGATCAGTCGTAGCCTGGCGGATTCCACAGCACATATAGCGAAAAGACTATCGACGCAAAGTCGCGCTATAGCATGCACATGTTCGTTATTCATCGAAACCTCATTCATCCGAGGACAGCTTCCAATCGATTCGCCTGCAATCGCGACGCCCGCAAAGACTCGGCCGATAACCATATGAGTCGGCTTTCAGCACCCGCTTCAATTCGGGCACGTTTGCCCGCGACGATCAGACTTTAATCTACCCTTTTTGGCTGCTGAGATTGCCGCGGCGCGAATGTGACGGTGAGACGTTCTGCTCGGCCGAAGCCTGGACTTCAATTGCAGCAGATATGAGGGCTGAGACACAATCAAGACGCAATTGGGAGGCGCATATTCTCCTTAGCTCTCGGTTTTTATTTACAGCGCTCCACAGAAATCCGCTTATTTCTTCATAGAGTATCGTCCTTAGGCTGCTGAAACGAAAAACCTCTATTTGCGCTGGAGTTCTTTGAGGCCATTACTGTTCACCTAGAATTCTTCTGAACCAGTTCAAAGATTGTTGTATATGCGAAACACGCATCCAGAAGTTGGAGTCTCTCTCGTAAGTTTCAGTTACCGTCTCAGGGAAAGCCCCCCTGAGCGCTTTTTTGACTCTTCGTCCTCATCCTTTTTGTGTTGACTTCTTAGCAACTACTTCCGACTCGACGACTAACATGGAGATCAGTTTGATCACCAGTCCAAGCATGACCTGGTCAGCACTTGACCGTGATCGCTCGAGCGTGGCTGACTACCAACCACGAATGCAGCATGAGCTTGCGAGCACCGGCAGACCCCACGACGTCTCGGTAGCATAGCGGCGAGGCAACAAGCAACCTCGAGACTCAGAACAAATCCGTCCAACCTCGTCAATAAGCCTTGTATAAGCATCACAAATCCATTCAAGAAAACCAAACAACAATGCCCCTCAGGAACACCACTATCCCCCCTCCCTAATTCTCGTCCACCGCCGACACCAACACGTCGATGGCTGCGAGCTGCCCCCACGCAATGAGCGCGCTCGGGCCTGGTCCGGGCCAGTTGGTGGAGAACCATGTCTGCCCGTTGCCGCTCTGCGTCGACGCGAGGCTCGCGAGCGCGTTCCACTGCACGTCCGTGTACGCCTCCACGAGCGCGGTCAGGTCCCCGTTGCCGGTGTTACGCGCCCAGGCCTCGTGCAGACCGCGGATGAGGACGGCTGCATATAGCAAGAGGGGAGGGGCATGTGAGTGAGCAAGAGCGCAATGAATGGATATAGTAGACGGTTGGGTACGCACACTTGAAGCCGACATCGTCGTTGTCGGTGCTGTCGCTGGAGCCCTCGGTGATGACACCGTCGCTGCCCTGCCAGGGCGAGTCCTTGGTGGCAGCGACGATGGTGTTCTCCAAACTGGATGAGGTATATCACCAAGTTTAGCTTCAGGCATTTTATAACGTCGAATTGACTTACAGAGATGTCCACGAGCTATCACTAGCGGCGAGAACAGAGAGGCCCTCGATGTACTTGCCAGTGTTGTACGTGAAGATCCAGCTGGCGTCGGACCGCGAACAGTCGCTTGCATCGACGCTGTCAAGCGCAAGTCCGGCGGAGTTCGTGTTGACGTTCTTGATCCAGTTTGCACTGGCCACGGCAGCGGTGGTGTAGGTGGAGTCACCAGTCGCCTCGCCGAGGAATGCAGAGAGACTATTTATTTGGGTATGTTAAATGGAAGACTGTAGGCGAGTATTAGTAGAACATACGCTGCGTAGAGGCCAGTGGTGATGGTGTTTACGGAGGTATCATCGTCGGTCGGGCGCCAGAAAACGCCGCCAGCCATAGATTCTGGCATCTCATGAGCTTAATTTAGAAGGCAAAGGGGCGAGAGAGAACGCACGGCCATTACAACTGCCCTCAATACTAAAGTTCTTCGTAGAGATGCTGCCTGAACTCGCATCGGCGGAAGTGATAACGCTGAGGAGTGCATCAGCATTCACAAGTAGGATTGTCAATGAAGGGGCTTACTAGTTGCTGACGTGCTGCCAAGTGGCGATGGCGTGGTCGAGGAGGTTCTCGTCGCCATACGCACGGTACGCGTAGTACGCAGCAGTGGCCCACCATCTATTTCATTGTGGTCAGTTTACAGCGCCATAGCACCATTGACTGCAATACGGCACTCACGTCGCGTCGTCGTTGTACTGCCATCGCGGAGAAAGAAAGAGCAGTTAAGCCTCCGCAAACTCCATACTTCGATGAGAAGTCAGATTCGATTCGAACTCACCCTGTCCAACATAGGATCAAGGAATGATCAGTTGCCACGGACCTGATGGGAAAACTTGAAGACACGCACTGATATTGATCAAAGTCGGTATACGAGGCAAACGCGCCGTTCAGTGCGTCGGTCACGGTCTGCTGATTGGTGGTCTGGCCGGTGAAATGGTCGAGGTTTGCCAAGGCCGAGAGCCAGTTGGCGCTCTGCCAGTAGCCAAGACCTGTCCGCGACGCAAACTGTGAGTCGATGATTGTGGCGGAAATTACGTAAAACGCTGTGTACCCTGAACGCCGCCGTTGCTGGAGTCAACGCTGAGGGTGCCAACGAGGTTCTGGGCGTCGGTAGCGAGGTCTGCCTCGGACGTAGAAGTGCTAGGATCCTGAATGAGAACATTAAGGGATGATCGCAATCAGCACGATAACAGGAAGTCGAGCCAGTCTGAAGACGTACCCTCCATGCAGAGGGAATGCTAAAGTCCTGAGCAGCGGCAAAACCAGCGAGAGCGAGGGCAACCCAAGCAGTGTTAAGCATTGTGGAGTGCGAGCGGAAGCAAGAGGGTGAATCTCGCCTTAAAATAACCAAGGGGGTATATAACAGTTGAAAGAAAGCGCCAACGATCGTCAGTCAGTACCATGCCTCACCGCCTCATTGTTCCTTTACTTCGACAGCAAAGTCAGCCTATAAATAGAAGTGAAAGTAGGATTGGGCATGGAGCCAGGCAGGATCATGCAGCACCTCATGGAAAGGCGTGCGGAATTGAGGCAATATCGTGACGACAGACTCGGATGCCGCGGTATGGAGAAGCAGGTTTGCGGTCCCGTTCGCAAGCCAGCGCGACAAAGGGGGTGAAACATGTGGTGACAATGAATAGGAATCCCACAGAGCTTGTTACGTTGGGTGGTTTCTAGGTGTTTGATACGCCCACGGGATCCTCGCACCAGATGGTAAACGATCACGATGTATGAATGAGCAGTAAAAATAGAGATGCCTCGCGCGAGAAGAAGCTGTGCAGATCAAAGGGACCATGCACCAAACCGACGCTCTGCGCCTTAACGTGCTGCTTAAAATTTCAGACTCGAAGTGAGTATCTAATAGTACAATATATTTGACAGTCAGAGAACGACGTTACTTCAATTCGCGAATGACCTCCCTAGCGGACTTCCAGCTGTGTCCCTCCCAGAGACCATTCGAAATCACCCCTTGTCCGAGATCCTTACCCTGGACGTGACAGTAGGTTATAACACCCTTGCCCTCGTTGACGACGCTCGCCAAGGGCACCTTGAAGTCAGCCTTGGGCACTTCCGCGCGGAACCTGTCCACGCCAAGGGACTCAGCAGGCAGTCCTTTGACTTCGTGGTAGAGAGCGGCGAGCTCAGCAAATGAGGTCCGTTCGCCTTCGATGCGGAAGGTAACGCCTTGCAGCTCCGCGGGCGTGAGGGTAGTGAGCACATGTGCCAAGAAACCTGGGGAAGGTGGATAATTCCAGAGAGGCTCGCGAAGCTGAGTAACACTTAAAACTCACCGCCAATGTCGATGATCGAAGTCACCGAAAGGGGAGCGGTGCCTCGCTCGAGATACACGAACTTCCCTGTCTCTACTGAACCCGCCGAAGGGATGGACTCCATGAAAAGCCCCGTCTGCGGAAGTGCCGAATCAGCGCTGCGTACAACCGCGGCTTGAGGGGCTCAGTAACTCACGTAAAGGCGCAGGAAAGGAAGCCCAATGGACTTTGCGTAGTCTGCCCCGCATACAGTGAGCTTAGATTCTCGGAGACAGTGCCTAACACAACCCACCGCAAACTTTGGCCTTGCTCCCCAGCAACCCCTGTGCGCCTTCCGAAGGTATGCCGAACTCGGAAGGAACGAACAACTGGACGTCCGCCCGTTTTGCAGCGTCAGCCAAGGCGGTTTGGGTCCCAAATCCTACGATCGCAATCGCCGAAACGAGCACTTCAACGCCATGTTTCTTCAGAACGGCCGCAACGGCATCGACATCATCCAACTTCACTTTCTCTACCACCTGCTTCGGGTGGGAGGCGAACGTCTTGTCGGAGTCAGGCCGGCTCAGAACGACAACCTTGGAAGCACTGCTGGCGAGAAGACTCTATAGCGTTGAAATAGGTCGATGACGCTAGATTAGACATCGATATAAGCATTTAGAAGGACGTACCTCATATATGGGCCTTCCCAGGTATCCTCCAGCTCCTATAATCGCGAACGACTTGAATGTATTGCTCATGGTGTATGGTTGTTTGATGGTTGCGCAGAGTTGAGTCGTGCTGATTGAGGACAAGTTTCACGAGGTTGCGTTAAGGACAACAGAGGCCAAAAGGGGTACGGCTAGAGCACAGCTGTCAAACGAAGGGCACTAGAACCTGTCAGGATCTGGAATCATGGATCGAGGGACGCGTCTTTCCATGTTAATGAAGTTGTTGAACGATGAAAAACGGTACTTTGTGGGCAAGTATTGAGAAACTTATGACGCGAAGACGGTGATGGTCAACAGAGCAAGGTCTCGCGGCCAAACACGGCGCCTATATCACCGGCAATTGCCGCACTCAACAAACAGACCAACTTAGCTAGCGGTTCCTTGAGCTGTTCACCTCAGATCAACCTCAAGCGCACAAGGCACCTCTGTCAGAAACTTAAAAGCTGTCGTTTGGCTAATACCTTGACACGTCACACTCGATTTCATGAAGTAATTTAGGCTCTGTGATACATCTGACAAATATCATCCTCGAACTTACTGTTCGAGGACATCCTTCACAGATTTCCAAGTATGACCAGCCCAAAGGCCATTGGAAATCGCACTCGTACCCAGATCCTTTTGCTGCGAATTATCCCAGCTCACAATACCTTTCCTAGAGTTGAAGTGCGCAATCAGATACTGCTTGCCTTCGGCCAAAGCAACGTCCTTAGGAACTGCGTCGACTATCTCGACCGGGATCGACTTGACGGTGTTGCAGAGAGAGGCGAGGTCACGAAGCGTCATACGGTCTCCTTCAATGCGGAAGGTGGCGTCCTTCAGCTTGGTTTGTGGGAAGTTGATTAGAACGTGGGCGACGAATCCTAAGGGAGTGGGCCCCGTCAGATCCACCCGTCTCGTTAGCGAGCGGTGAAGAAGCGTACCGCTGATGTCGGCCACAGCGGTCAGGGTAAACTCTTTGTCGCCAGGCTCAACCATAAGAAACTTCCCTTTCTCTTCGACAGAGCCCAAGAAGAAGGCATAATCCGCGAAAAACCCATTCTAAAAAGTGTCGTGTTAGCGTTTTGTTATCATCAGGCTACACGCGGGGATGGCTCACGTAAATACGCAAACTTGGCAAACCTTGCGACTTTGCGTAATCTGCACGCCGGAGAGTCAACTCTCATTGCATCAACTTTAGTACAGCAGACATACCAGCAACACGGGCTTTCACAGCCAGGAAGCCTTCATCGGTGATGCCTTCCGTGGGGAACCCAAACTCAGAAGGTACGAAGAGTTGCACTCCGGACTTCTTCGCTGCGTCAATCAGCATGGGCTGCCCTTCGAGGGCCGCATGGCCGACTACGGAGACGAGCACCTCGATGCTGTGCTTCTGCAGGGCGGCCGCGAGAGCATCAATGTCACCCAGGTTCACCTTCTCTACAGAGAGGCTTGGGTTCGGAGCGAATGTGCTCGTAGACTCTGGCCTCGTGAACACGACGACTTTAGCGGCGCCGGCTGCGAGGAGTCTCTTCGATTTTTGAATGTGAGGTCTGAGCAGAGCCAGAACGTTCGACGTGGACTTACTTCGAGCACTGGTTTACCGAGAGCTCCTCCACCGCCAACGAGTGCGAAGTTCTTGAACGTAGTAGCCATTATGATAGAGATTATGCGAGGCAGTGAGCTAAAGGAAGCTAGGGCGTCGAACGCCTAATGCTGTCTTCTTATATGTGCACAACGCTGGGACTGTGTCGAGTCACCTTCAAGAACATTGAGTCACTTATCTTCGTTAGACCGGAGCCTGAGACGAGACCGAGGCATGCCCGAGCCGTGACCGAGACAGGCGAAGACATACACCGTGGCAAATGAGATATGGCCGCTATGACAGCTGTCAACGATAGCGGGCAAACTTTAGGTCAAGTCAAGTTTCGGATCCTGAAGGAGACCAAGTACACTGTTCATTGGAGTGATTGGTAAAAGGTTTTGTTGAAGTAAGATTTTCTGCAAAAGACAACGAACAGGGTGGCGCTGGACACTGCGAGAGTGGTTCCAAGAGAGATACGTGTAGCAAACGTCGATGACTATGGCGAGAGCAGACCGTGGACTTGACCATGAAGATGTCCGGAGATGCGACGTCTTCTCGACGCGTCGCGATGCGCCAGCAACTTACGCGGCAGCAAGTACAGTGATGAGCGATGCATTCATACCGGCGATGCACAGACCCGAGTTAGCCGACTTGGGCGTATTAGTGCTGCTAGTTGACTTCGGGCTGGGTCGAGTCAAAGTTGACGTTGAGCTGTCGCACCAAAACTGGCGGATTGAGGAACAATAAATTGTGGTTGAGCTGGACTCGAGCTCTCACCGAAGTTTGGCGACGTCGGACCTTTAATTTGAAGCGTGATGGATAACAGTCGCGTCGCGAAGCCTTCACTTGCTTACAGTACTCTAAGCTCATACGTTCAGGAATTGTTCAGTTTCACAAACACCGGCCACTCATATCTGCTGATTATTACACAACAATACTCGCACAATTCCTACTTGGTCTGCCGTTGGTCTCCTTCAATGGCACTTGAATCTGCTGATTATTACACAACAATACTCGCACAATTCCTACTTGGTCTGCCGTTGGTCTCCTTCAATGGCACTTGAACATGGGCACGTTAGCTCGACCGAACGACATGATTTGCCTTCGCATTGCCTACCTCTCCAAGAACAAACGCGATCAGAGTCTTGACAAACTCCTCCTGCTGGTCGAGATGCACAGCATGTCCAGCGTTTGCGATGCGTGCGACCTTCATGTTCTTAAAGTGCGGAGCAAAGGTTCTTACCGTTCCTTCTCCATCCAATTGTTCGTCATCACCTGCAGCGATCACCAAAAGGGGCAGGCCGTTGCGTCCCGCCTCCAGCAACTTCGATCCATCTTGCGGACGGCCCAGTGCGAAGCGACAGTCGGCGGGCGTCATGAAGACGCCGGATCCCATCCAAGAGAACTTGGTCTTCCAAGGGACGGAGCGGTGGTCTTTGAAGAGCGTCTCCATAAATTTGATGCGGGTGTTGATGGAATCAACGACTTCGCCATCGGTTGAGACTGCAGTAAGCAATCCTCTGAGGTCGGGCCTTCCGGTACCTTCGACGACGGATGGCTCAAGGTACGGAACAGCGCACATATACACCAGCCCGGAGAGCGGAATAGGGTCAAGGTAGGTACAGATGTCGGCGCCAGTGCTCCCTGAGAACTGTCAATAAGCGATGGCCTTCGACGCTCGAGAGGGTGCTGCACCTCCAAGACTCCTGCGTACATCGACGAGGTGAGTATTTCTGCCTGAGTCAAGGTAAATCTACCGACTGACCATCCGCAGAACACAGGTCTTCTTAGGTTGAAGGCTTCTATGACAGTCTTGAAGTCGTCGGCATACAACGACGACGCGTGACCCTCCATTGTTTGCGGCTTCCCACTTCGTCCATGGCTGCGTACGTCGTAACGGACCTGTAAACCAATATATTCACTCAGCACTCGCCGAATGAGTAGACGCGAACGTATATACCAGGTAAAGTTTGTCCAGTAACTTCTGATCTTCGAATAGATTATCAAACGATTCACCAGACAGCAAGAAACCGTGCACGAAGACCACACTGGGCTTTGATGGGTCTCCGGTGGCTTCTGCGTAGATGAGAGTTCCGTCGGTAGACTTGAGCTCCTTAACCATGGTGGAATATGCCATATCACCTTGCTCTTAGTCTTGTTAGCTGCGCTAACCCTCCCATTTTTAAAGGGCATTGTCTTTTATAGGCAAAATACATTTTCGATGCTGACTGTTATCATTTCCGAGGACCTCCTTTGCAGTCGCATCAAAAATGAACACCGCCCCAGATAACCTGCTCCCTCCAAGTTGGTTTCATAACAGTGTGAGATCTACAACTGATTCTATGGGAAGTGAGCTGTCGCCTTGTGTGTACAGGTTGCCGCAATCTAGTTCTCCTTTGATAGCAGCCTCAGGTCACATACCGACGGAATGGTAAGTACGAAGTCCGCTGGTGGCGGAATCAGAAGCGTTTATCATCATTTCTCACTATTTTTATCACAGCTTTCCACCACGCTGGAGCTTCCAATGTAACCCAGGAGTTCGATATTTCAATGATCGTTGAAGAGGACCTGGATTGATGTCAGATGGGAACTTATCTCAACGGGGAACTCGGTGTTTTCCATTTACAGCAGGAAACTAAACACCAGTCCAAGTGAATGTTATATTGTAAGACATTTCCTGACACTTTTAACCTATTCAGCGTCGTGGCGTTGGTCTCAAGTCAATATTTTGGTCCTCATACCGTAGCTGTAAATTGACCTCACACCTTGCGGACGTTGCATATGGCTCCTCGGAGATCTCGGCTCCTGGCAATGCAGTTCATTCCATAGACTGAAATTATATCATAGTAATTACGGGGTAGCTGGTACGCCGTAAACCCGACGAAGAGAGAAGGTGATCCATGCGTAGGTGTTACCGAGTGCCCAAGTGATTGGATTGGCGTGACTGCAGCGCTACACCTCAGAAACTTTGGCATCTGAAACTCCTTCAGATAACCGCTGCGAGTAGCCCTCCTGTGGAAGTTTGACCTGGTGCTCCGAGAACGTCTCCATAGTATACTCGACACCTATGTCGATAACAGGGGTCAGTGGATCATGCGGCCGCCTTCGCCTGGTGGGGCGGATAGGAATGGAACCAAATGTGACGATCGATCTGGAGCCCGAACTCGACGAATTCTGGTTGTCGGTCCCGATGCGAGAACAGAACGCCACAAGCACGCTTAAGCTGGCAACTATGAGCGTGATCGACATCTATAAACGCGAATTTAAGTGATTGTATCAGTGGAAACAAACCCTGATAATTACCTCTACGACTGCGGCGAAGATCTCGTCGACTCCCCCATATTTCAAGAGATAGTATATGTGCACCAAGCTGACAGCGGTAGTGATGGACGTAGACATGAATACGGCAATGAGGCGAATTTTCTGAGAGGTTGGAAGATTGACTCTGTAAACCATACGTATAGGCGTGACAACCAAAAGGAAATCCGAGATCACAATAGCTAAGCATGACATTATGAGCATGCGAATTTGAACGCGCATGGCTAGCGAGACACATACTGATAGTCTGCGCAATAGCGACGTCTTCCCCAAGGTTGCACTGGGGAACCAAAGCCTGCTTCCAAGCTGTGTTGCGCTCGCATTCCCCAACCACTTGAAACACCAAGGCAGTCAAGACGATACTGAATGCACTGGCAATTCCGAGGAGAACACGACGTTCAGTCTTAGCCACTGAGATTCGCACAACAGTAAGCATGATGGATATCCTCGAGAACCAGATAACTCCGTAGAACGATTCGGCAGCCCTGTTATCATTACTGTTTGAGCGCCTTGACAAATAAACCCATAGCTTACATGTAGTACGCAGCGACCATCAAACCGTTGGAGTGATCCTCTGTGGATGCGTTTTAATCACTGGTTTGTCCGAAAGTAATAAAACGGTATACATACGAGGTTCGTATCGAATCTCAGTGAATATGATTTGAAGGAACTGAATAACCATGGCGAAGGCTATCGCAGCATCATCCCACCATAGCCGCCTACCTAGAGCGCGGATAGTGAGGCGACATATAGTAACGATGATGGAGAGAATAGGGAGCGCCAACGCAACCGCTAGTTTTCACAGTAAACCTTCGCGTTTTACTTTTGTTGACCAAGCGTTGAGACTTACCTTTAACTGTTTGGTCGGTCAGTGCCATAAGAACGGCTTGGCAATGGTGGCGTTCAAGTGAGTTCTGCGAACTAGAGTGTCCGCTCGTGTAGGACAGCCAATATATGATGATCGCTGTGTTCTATAACAAGCGTAGGCGAAGACACGTGCAGGCGGGATTATGATTTCCCGCAGATGTGAGCTCCCTGCATAAGTGATAGCAGAAAATAGTCCAGACGTACCACCGCTAGACCCGGGGTCCATGTTGCCGGCTGATCAAGCGTCCTAAGAGTCGAAGACGACGACGTGATATTCGAAGTCCACATCCGGTACCGTGACTTCATTATTGAAAATCAAACAAGCGCGTGAGTAACCAGGACCTATTTTCCTTGGGATGTGACGAAACCCTTCTCGCCTGTATCAAACCTTACCCACGAGCACTTGCTGAACTTTCTTGTCATGCCTCTCCCACTCCCAGTATATCTGCGCATACGAGCTGTTTGCGACCGCAATAACGACTCCACGCCTGCAAACAGGGATATAACGCCCTCGAACCGCCCAGCGCGAGCTTGGGGTCAGCAATGTCCCGTTAACACGATCATATGAGTTTAGAATAAACTTCACCGTGTCTCGCAGTTCATGTACCCGTCTGGTCATCGCATGCAATATGAGGCTGTCCATGGGTTAGCCTAGCAAACGTTGGTAAGTGCGAAGACTTAGCGTGTAAACTTGATGGTATCTCCAGCGCTAGCGCTAGCGCTGATGCATGATGCAGGCCGACCGCCGAGGTGCCGTATTTACATCCCAGGAATATTGGAAGACGCGTTTCTGTGGAAAAAGGAAAGAGGAGATGATGTGGACCCTTCTGAAAGATCAACAAAGACACAGGTTACAGCACGAATTGGGTCTCGGCGAGCAAAGATTGGATGAAGCCCGTTTCTTCTGGCCGATAAACCGGGAAATCGAACACATATTCTGAAGGAAGACCGAGAAAGGCGGAATGACAACAGTTGATACCTGACATCTATCACAAATGAACGTACTCTAGTTCATTTTCTTTTACTGACCTTAGCCCGATCGCTCCAAATCCCTTTAGAACTGTCTGCCACTTCCGCGCATAGCGATGAGGTCAAAACCGCGGGGATATCGTTTCTTATCCAGTAGTAATGTCACGCCAGCTTCCTCTTCAGAGACCAGTGCAACACCATGTGAAGCAATCTTTAATTATGCCATAGTCTCCTGCCAACAGGAATTTCCGCCAGGCTGTGAACACTTGTGACGCGAGGTGAGGCCTCAGAAGAGCTGCAATAAGCAAGGGAGGTCATGACAAACATATCCAGCAAAGCTCTTAAACGCCGCAAGTGACGGGGCCAAAACCTTGTCCACAATGAGCCCAAGTCTAGCGTGCGTATTGTCGAGGGCGCGCCCACGGCTCTGAGGATATCTAGAAATAGGCGTGCCAATCACGAGGCAGACCACGGCATGGGAGGTGCCCGCCTCGCAACGTGACTCGTCGATGATGGAAATAATAGCTCAGCTGTCCTCCATGTCAGTGAGTTGAAACGGACATCCAAAGGGTAAGATGAATAAGATGATCTGAAATACACACAAAAAATCCACGAGACCAAAAAACTACCGCCGCTCCCTGACCTTGAGCCAAACCACACCAACGACTCCAATCGCGAACCCAACGATGAACGCAAACAGTACAAGCACATCGCGGTAGTAGTTGTTCACGCCAAATCCGAACAACTGCCACAAGGAATTGAGACGGTGGTTACCAAAGACATTGTGAGACGAGAGTAAAAGGAAAAGAGAAATACTAAAGGGACGCACCAGCTCCATAATCAGCGTCGCAGACACATCCACCGGCACACCCTGCAGCGTATCCTGGATCATCAGCCCCGAGCCCACCTCGTTCACCGACAGCGCCTCGAGGGTATACTACAATGAACGCGTCAACACCTCAAAAAGGCCAATCAATTATCAACGGTAGGGTTGAACGCACCTTGAGCGGACAGAGCCACTGCAGCCACCGCAGCACGGGCGGAATCGACGTGAGGTGGACAAAGAATCCCGCATACGTCATCTGGTACAGCGCGGAGAGCGCCGAGATCAGGATGGCAATGCCGCCGTTGTAGAAGAGAGTGCCGAGCAGGAAGTTCTGCCGGGGCGTTAGCACGAGAACACACTGTAAGAAACCTAGGAGATAGAACGTACAAAAAGCGTCATGACGAGCGTATACAATACGAGAATGAAAAGGAACTTGAAGAAATGCGCCGCATCGTGCGCAAGGCCGGCCATCCAGTAAGTTCTGTGTAGTGTAGGCGGTGGACGACATCAGCACGCAACCCCGTGAGGCACAAGGCATTGGCGGTTTACTTACACAGCAGACACGATGATCGTCGGGATAATCCGCAGCGGGACGACATCGAACAGGAAACGAGAGAGCAGCCACGCGGTCGGGCTGTAGTACGAGTTCGAGCGCTCGCGCAGGAAGAGCGGGCGGATCTCGACGATGTTGTACAGCGCGCTGAGGGACGAAAACGCGACGAGTGCGCCCTGCAACCGATATCGTCAACACTGAAAACCGGAGAAGGAAGGAATGCAAGGAACATACGAGGAAAAACAGACATCCAACGCGAGACTGGAACCCCGCAATCGTGATGCCGGTTTGGTAGTACAGCCCGCCTACATATGCGCCTTCAGCCTCTGATCGGCTTGATAAAAGAAACGGTACCACGCACCGCAGAAAACACCCAACACAGCAGCGACGAGGACATGCGTCAAAAACAACGTCTTGTCCCTGTCCTTCCACGTCAGCCCGCCCTCGAAGCTCACGTCAGCTCAAACGGACCAGAAACTCACCTGCGCAGGATCTTCCACTCCCGCCCACACAGCACCTCAAGCTGCGTCAAAAACGTCGCCGCATACTTGCCCCTCCTCCTCCTCACCCTCTTGCGCACGCCCGCGGGCGACACCCCCGCCTCGATATCTCCATCCGCCTTCTCGTCCGTCCCCTTCCCATCCTCCCCCTTCTCGCCCTTTACACCGCAGAGCGAGCCCGAGCTCCTATTCCCGTTACCCACGCTAGGGCTGGAGTTGCCGGTGGCGTTGATGTCGGTGGTAGTGGCAGCAGCGCCAAAGAGCCCGACCGGTGGATCCGACGCGATCTCGAGCAGATAGTCCGCGACGTTGTACCCCTCCTGGTACGGCTGCACGGGCACACCCTGCGTCTCGCGCACATGCGCAAAGTGCCGGAGGGGCGCAAACGCGCCGCGGCCGGCGTAGAGCGCGCGGCCGTGCGCGAGGAGCATGATCTGGTCGAACTTCTGGTAGAGCTGCGAGCTAGTTCATCGCGATATATCACACCCAGATCAGCATCGGCATAAAAAATAAAAATAAGAACAAGCACGCACCTAGGCTGATGCAAACTACACACAACCGCCACCGGATTCCTCTCGTCCCCCGCGACGCCCTTCAACACGCTCACGACGCGCATCGCGCTCACCGAGTCCAGCCCGCTCGTCGGCTCGTCGAGCACCAACACATCCGGGCACCCGACGAGCTCCAGCCCGATCGACACCCTCCGCGCCTCGCCGCCCGATATCCCGCGCCCCGCCCCGCCGCCCCCGCCCGAACCAGACGTCGTGCCGATGCGCGTGTCAGCGACGGCGCCGAGGCCAAGGCGTTCGATGACGCCCTCGACCAGCGCGCGTTTTTGCGCACCCGGGAGCGACTCGGGCAGGCGCAGCGCGGCAGCGAAGGCGAGCGCTTCGCGCACGGTGAGCATGGGAGGGAGGGTGTCGTGTTGCGGGACGAATGCGATGTGTGGGGCGCCGTCGGATTCTCCAGCAGTGCCGGGGGTGTGGGAAGGGAATGCGATCGTGCCTGAGGAGACGCCGGATTTGTGTTTGCCAGCGAGGAGCTCGACGAGGGTGGTTTTGCCGGCGCCTGCGCACGCGCGGACGATGAGCTGTTACTAGTACTATGGCGGAGGATAGAAAAAACTGAGACGCACCGCTAGGCCCAAGGATGGCCATCATCTGCCCAGGCTCGACCGAGCCGCTGACGTTGTCCAGGATCGTCCGCTCGTTTCCGCCATCGCCCATCGCACGCGTACGCCTCCTCCGCAGGCCCGCGAACGCAGGCCCGCCAACGGGCTGTACGAAATACGACACATCGCGCCAGCTCACCGCGATGTTCCCTGACCTCTCCGTCTCCTCGCCTGCGCCCACTTTCCTCGCTTTGCGCTGGACGATCCACCCCCAAGCGATCCCCGCGAGCCCGAGCGCAACCAACCCAGCGACAACCGCCAAACCGGCAATAACACCCCCGCCCAGCTGCCGCCCGCCACCCCCTCCACTGCTGGAGTCGCTACTGCTGCTCGTGTCTATGACGTCCTGCGTGACGCACTCTCCGTATTTGCAGTTCTGCATGCTGAGCCCGTTCGCACCAAAAAGGTTCTGCAGCACACTCTGCTTGAAGTAGCACGTGCCGTCGGTGCCGCACTCGATCGTGAGTGTGCCGCCGAGGTCGTTGATCGTCGACGTAAGGTTCGTGATGGGCACTGCGCCGCAGAAAGAGGTGTTGGTGATACAGGTGCATTGCAGGTTTTGGCATGTCCATGTGTTGGTTGACGAGCTATCTGATGAAGAAGAGGAAGAGGATTGGGATTGGGATTGGGTGCAGGGGGAGGCGGAGCAGTAAAACTGCTCGACGCCGGCGTAGAAGAGCTGGGCGAAGACCGAGGAAGTGGAGGAGCCGCCTTGGGGGTTGAGGGTTGTACCGGATGCGTTGGAGACAGGGGACAGGGAGGCGTTGAGGGTCCGCAGGATGTTCAGTGTAGATTGGAGGGGGTATATTGCTTGCAGTGTGGGATTCTACGGCTGTCGTCAGAACGAGTTTTATGTAGCACGGATCGCACACGCACATTGACATCGCAGCTCAGCTCCCCAGCAGCATACACCTGTGGCGAACTGCTGCACACCATCGTCTCGTTCAGTCCTACACCGCTCATCCCATCGCTGCTCGAACTCGAGCTACCTCCAATCTTGGAAGACCCACTCGAGCACGCATTCGCGCTCGTGCACACATTGCAGCCCTCGCCTGTCCATCCATCCACACACGAGCAATCCGACGCGGTGAGGTTCGAGAATCCGCCATTAGACGCTGGAGCAAGCGAGCGCGAAGATCCATCAAAGATGGTACCACCGCAGGCTGATTGAGCACAGGTCGCACCACCGAAGCCCGGGGGACAGAGACAGGCAGAGGAGTTGGACGGGTCTTGGAAACCGTAGTTGGAGCAGGACTGGGCGCTGGCGAGAAGTGGTCCGAGCGCGAGAGCCACGATCGCAAGACTTGTCCTAGCAGTTAGTGACCTGCCAGTGGTCCTTTGTGAGACCATGGTGGGTCGCAGGAGCAAAGAACAAGCTCGACACGGTATGTTATGTACTTGGAAGCGAACAGAGTGTGAATTCAGAATTGGATGGTCCCACTTTCGGGCCTCGACACGGACCCTTTTCACGCGTCAATAAATGTGGGGGAGGCGGAGATAACCCGGTCCGGATATGTTCTCGGCTCTTTCCGGCTGTATCTGACAAAGCTCCCCTCCGCGTCCCGGTGCCCGAGCTCCCACTGGCAGAGCACGCCATCCGTCCCGTCCGTTTTCTACCTCTCGTCTCTTCACCCTCTTTCTACACCTTTCCTTCTCTTCTCTTCCTCGTAACCATGTTCGAATCGGTGCGTGCTGCTCTCTTGCAGCCTGAATGTTCTCGCGAGCTTACCCGGCGATCAGGTCACGTCCTGGATTTGGCCCAAGAAGGAGGAGAAGTACGACCCAACGAACCCGAAGATGAACCCGCTCAACCCCCAGGGCCTCAAGCCGTCAGTGTACTCTACCTCGCACTAACCTCGACGTTGACACGTCTCTCCTTAACAGATGCTGCGCCTGCCCAGACACCAAGGCTGCACGCGACAAGTGTTTCCTCGAGTCGGGAGGCAACGAAGGACAATGTGCCGACCTCGTCCGTGCGCACGTTGAATGCATGCGTGGCCTCGGATTCAAGGTCTAAGAAGCTTCATCTCCTCCGCTGCGTTGGGTCAGAGTTGCTGGGCGCGAGACGCCGTCGGGCAAGTTGCCGTCACCGACGGCTAGAGCTGCATATATGTGAGTCGCAACCAGCGAAGTCCTGGCATGTGCTTAACATCTCAACCGTTCTCACAGATACGCACTATCTACACTAGACGCATGTCGTAACTTATTCACTCAGAGATAATGCATCGTCACCCCCATTCACTACACACGTCGCCGTTTATGTTCATCCGATCCTACATGCACAGGGCTCATGGCTTAACGCGCCGAACATTCCATGTACCAAGCCTTGCCTGCACTGCAGACACCCCTTCTACGAGCCAATTAGCTGGTGCTAGGGTCCGGCCTCTCCTATTCATTCGGCCTCAAGTGCGACTCGAGTTACCTCAGTATGACTAATATCACTAGAGCCTGCAGCCGTGGTGAAGAAGCAGCAACAACCAAATTACCGGGTTAACTAACCCTAAACAGTGCGAGTACAGTGTAACAACAGCCAAGACCCTAAAAGCGCCACTAGCCCCGACACGGTATGTACTACGCGTCCATGAATCAACAGAGTCCCAAAAGATGATATGTACTAATCAAGTCCGTGCGTGCAGAGTCCGTATGTGATTTTGTGCGTGTATCTGAGTGTCCATGGCACGAAGCCCACCATTATACCCACCAAAGCCCGTGTCAAACTGCAAGAAGGAAAAGCATCGTCAGCATCCATTCGCTCAAGCTTAATTCACCCTGCGACATACCATGAAAGCAAAAAAAAAAAACCCTCGACCGCTCAGCGCTCAGCATCAGAAGCCGCAGTTCGACGAGTCGACCTGCGTCGCAGTCGCACTGATCCGTCCAAACGCCTCCGCATTCCCGTCCGTAAGATTGTTCATCGTCGCCTCGCTCAGCACGAACCCGTCCCGGCCCACATCGACGCCCGTGACATACACCGTCGCGTTGATGTCGCCCGCGGCGTACGACAGCTCCCAGCAGCTCCCGCACGCCGCGCTGTTCCACCCCGTGATGGCGGGCACGCCCGCGACGTTGGGGAAGTTGGGCACGTTGGCGAACGTGGGCCACTTGGACGCGAGCCCGTTGGATCCGTCTGAGCATGCGACGGTCGACATGGAGCCGGAGCCGCTGTCGTATGTGTTGTCGTATGAGACGGATTGGGTGGACTGTGCGAACGCGGGAGCAGCAATGGCGGCGAGGGCGAGGATGGTGGAGGTGGAGGCGAACATGATGATTATGGTTATGGTGTTAGAGAGAATAAGGCGCGAAGAGAGAGGGGAGATGCGAGAGAGAAAGAAGAAAGGATGAGACGTTGACTAAAGAGCTGGCGGGGTGGGATGAGGACTCTGGGGCTTGTGAGCTCTGGCTTTATACCTCTCGTGAGATGAAGCCCCTCCCTGGCACATCGGACCTCTCCAGATTCCAGACTCCAGCCTCAGTCGTAGACCTCCGTGGACTCTTCACAGGTCTACACGGAGATGATGGTCCGAGCATACCATGTACAGTATTACTCCTACTGCCTTGCTACTGCCGTCAGATCGATCGCAGGTTCCAGGCTTCTCGGGCATGAAGCACCGCCTTGAACTGTAGAATCACGTCCTCGAGGGTTTCTCCTCTCCCGCGGATCCCAACGAAAAAGGAGAAACCGCCCTCTTAGTCAGGCCAACACACCATCGAAAGCAATGCAAATGGCTTCAAGTGAGTATCCAGGCACAAGCACAAAGTACCGCTCCGCACGCGACTTTGAACAGCGCGACGCGTCGCTCTCATTCGGATGGATCCTGACATTGCTTGAACTCGGATCAACAGCGACAGCCCCGCACCTCGACGGGCTTCCCTACCCGCCTGCCATAGCCTGCCATGTGCAGATCCTCCTCAAATCAGCCCCCGCCTCCGATTCACTGTCGACAATTAATGGACATGCCTGCATTGTGGCTGCGTGCATCAGACGGACGCGGCCATCCAAGCCCGCGTTCGAACTTGAAGAGGTCGAATGTTCTCCCGGGCTCAACGGCGACGGCCATGAAACTGAAAGGCATCTGTCATCGATCGATAGAGCAGTGCTTGGTATGTATATGCATGTATGTATGAAGTTCTCGTGAAATCATGAAACCGATGCTTGAATTGAAGGCCTGAAGCCTGACGCATCAGACTCGGAAGTCTAGACCACCTCAAGGCTGATGCATATGGCAGATTGCGTCCACACGCTCTGTCAGCGGACGTGGGGTGCCCGAGCCGGTGTCGGGAATGTCGGGATCGTCGGGAAATCTTGGAACGCGGTTCTCGATCTTCACATCGTACGGGCTCGAAACTTGCTCGAAACACCAGCTGTCTCAGCTCGGTGTGTTGTCGGCCGGTGTGTAGCTCGCCGGAACTCGACTAGAAGAGTCCCAGCTGCGAAGCTCCGGTGTGAACGAGAAGACGCGACGCTGAACTTCGCGAGCGTCTATGGCATCATGTGGCGTAGCTTTGCACATGCTTTGGCCGCCGGCATCTCGTCTCGTGCCCTCATCTCGCTACTTGAAACCAGTTATCACCGTGCTTTGGGCCGCAGGAATAGCTCGTCAAGTCATGATCGATAAGTATAACTTGAAGATTGGTTTCAACTAGCGTCAATATATTCCTAGCAGAACGTTCGACACTGTGCGCTGGGCGAGACTGGGCGTCTAATACTGAGCTGTCAGAGATCTGACCTCAGTATCGGAACTAGCACCCCGTCTACCGCGTCTTCAGGCACGCCCCGTTGGTCGAACAGACACTGGCCAAGCTACTGGCTTGGAACTTCGCGGAATGTCCACGAACGCGGTGCCCTCTGCCCGCTGTGGGCCAAAAGTGCCGCGCCATACGGCGGCACCGCTCGGGCCATTTTCTCCGTTGACGTCCAATGGACATCTGTACAGGGTCTTCCAAGGTCTGCTGAGAGAGGCTGAGAGTGTTGAAGGGTCCGATGACCCAGGGAGAGACGCGGACCGAGTGCTCGAGAGGGTATAAAACCAGAGCTTTGCGAGCACTAGAGGTCCTCATCCCGTCAGCTCTTCAGCTTTCGCCTCCCATCACACCTCCCTTTCACGACCTTCCGCTTCCGCTTCCACTTCACCGCAATAACCATGTACGCCTCCTCTGCCCTTCTCGCTCTCCTCGCCATCGCTGCTCCCGCCCTCGCCATCCCTACCACCCTCGCCCGCGACACCCAATCCGTCTCATACGACAACACCTACGACGACGGCTCGCAGTCGATGGACACCGTCGCGTGCTCCGACGGCGTATACGGCCTCGCATCCAAATGGGCCACATTCGCCGACGTGCCCAACTTCCCGTACATCGCCGGCGTGCCCGCCATCACCGGCTGGGACAGCGCGCAGTGCGGCACGTGCTGGCAGCTCACGTACGCCGCGGGCGACATCAACGAGTCGATCTACGTGACCGGCGTCGACGTGGGCCGGGACGGCTTCAACCTGAGCGAGGAGGCGATGAACGGGCTCACGGACGGGAACGCGGAGGCGTTTGGGCGCGTTAGTGCGACTGCGACGCAGGTCGCTACGTCCAATTGCGGCTTCTGAGCGCGGCTTGGGAGGGCTGTTTCATGGTATGTCTGGGCGTGCTGGAACGAAGAACGACAAACTCAATTGACCATGATGTTGTTTCAGATATAACACGAACTTGATGGACAACTGGCCTCGCGCCACGGACACTTGACACCACTTACACAAAAGTTACATCTGGACTCTGCATACAAGGACTTTTTTTAGTACATAGCATTTGTGGGACTCTGTTATTGATTCATGGACACAAAGTACATACCATTGTCGACACTGTTGTTGTTTTTAGGTGTACTCGACTAGTTTTGGGTTATACTTCAGGGCGTAGTACTTGCGAGCTTTAGTGTTGTAATCGATCGTCGGGTGTTATCTTCATACAGTTTCCAGGAGAGTGAATATCGAGGGTTGTCACTATCAGATGCTCGTGGATCATGCATGTCTCTGAGGCTGCCTCGGATTGAACAATGTTGTAAAGGGTGCATGAGCCAGGAGCCTCGCGTCCCCCAAGACCGTTACATCTAGTCACACTATCACGCGTTAGCTTTCTTGTGACACCGTGACTTGGCTCCACCCCATCTTGCACTCTTCTTCCTCTTCCTCGTGTCTCCAGGATGCTACGATCATTCATACATCGAAAAAAAAACTACCTTGGCTTCCTGCTGAATGAGCCAGCCACCTCGTGCATGCCTTTCAGAATCCGACTTGGCATCTGTGTCTTGGGCATGTTCACTCTCTTTCGCTCTTCCTTGTGATTGCCGGGGGGCGCGTTCTGCGCGAGGTTCTCGGTCCTTTGACTCTTCTCTAACGCAACTCGAACGGTTGGCAGGCATTTTGTAGGAATGTCAAGTCCCCTACTGCATTCCCTGCTGCTTTTAATGTTGTGTATATGCTCAAGTGGTGCTATGGCATCCCGTCGAGCTCATTTCATATGATCTAGACTTTGGCCTGCGATCGTGGCCCAGCTTGCTGTCTGACGCTATAAATGCTCACTTGACCACCTCATCGACCTCATCAGCTTCCTCGAGCTCCCTCAAGCCTCTTAAACGCATCTCGCTGAGCATACGTCGAATCGCTCTCCCCCATAACCATGCTCGCCCACCTCTCCCTCATCGCTCTCTCTGCCCTTACCCTCCCCACCCTCGCCCAAACCCCTGTCTCAGTCGGTTACGACACCACATTCGACAACGGCTCCGCCTCCCTCTCCACCGTCGCCTGCTCCACGGGCACATACGGCCTCGAGACCGCTGGCTACACCACTTTCGGCTCGCTCCCCTCCTTCCCCAACATAAGCGCCGCGCCCGCCGTGACGGGCTACGACTCGCCCGCGTGCGGCTCGTGCTGGCAGCTCTCGTACGCGGTGCCCGCGCGCAATGCGACGCTGTCCGTGTACGTCACGGCCGTCGACGTCGGCCGCGATGGGTTCGTTGCGTCCCAGGCGGCACTGGATGCACTTACGGGCGGGCTGGCGCAGGAGCTGGGAAGGGTCACGGCTAATGCGACGCAGGTCGCGGCGTCGAACTGCGGGCTCTGAGATATGGCGTGAATGTAGGCGCCTTTTTAAATAATGAGACTTTGCTTCCTTTCTGACCTTGATTTGAAGGGAGCAGGTTGTGGATCATTGCTTGCATCCGGATTTTACAATGCGGACTCTGTTTTCTTCTCTGGACATTGTTTTCGTGTATGATTGCTACTGCACTGGGACGCTTGGGCTACAATAGTTTCAATGTTAATACGGGTTTTTGTGTTTTGTTACGGTGGTATGCTCACGCAATACTGCTTGAGTATCCTCAGCCATATTTGTTTTCGACAAGGCCTTGGCTAAGATTAGCTGTACGGGTAGGCGCTCACTGTGCCGTACAAGGGCAAGTGCAGCGCAGAGGAGATTCCCGCGCACTTCGCTGGGTGGGACGCGCAGGACAGCGCGCGCGAGGAGATCCTCGGCGCATGAATCTGCAGTGCTGCTCACGGAGGGCGAGTGCGTTGCGGATAAGCCGCCGAAGCAAGCAGGAAAGAAGGCGTACCGCATTAAGGAGGGAGATGTCGATGGCAACTGGTTGATATATCCCGCAAGGATGTCGACCATTTTATGGTGGAAAAGGTCGTGAAGAACTAGGATGAACACTTGAGCATTGTTTCTCGAGTATGCCCTGTAGTCGTCTCTTTTCTGCTTCACTACATCTGCCTTAAGTGTATTTATTCACCTTAATGTACAACATCTTACGAAATCGCTGCGTCCGTACCGTATTCGGACATGAATGTACTACCCCATCACTGCCCACCCCGTATCGCTTCCTCGGCCGTCTTCCACTTGTGTCCCTCCCACAGTCCATTCGAAAGCGCCCCGAGTCCCAAGTCTCTCCCCTGAACTGGATCCCAAGTCGCCCGGCTCCTGCCAGAGTTCATCTCTTCCAGCAAGTGCTTCCTCCAGACTCTGAGACCATCGGGCCCAACGTCTGGGGGAATGTCGCTGACATGCTCAACCGGCACCGACTTGATTCTGCTGTACAGGTAGGCGAGATCAGGAAGCGTCATGCGCTTGCCCTCGATGCGGAGAGTTGTGTCTTGCAGCTCAGCGGGCGGGAGTGTTGTAAGGACGTGGGCTAGGAAGCCTACGAGAGAGCATCACATGCGATTAAGCTGTCGAAGCAAGTGGTTGCGAGAGGTTTATACGCACCGCCCACGTCAGCGAGAGAAGTGATGGAGAACGGCAGCGGAGGTCCGTGCCCTTCCAGAGGGTCGAGCACCAGGAAGGTGCCTCGCTGCACTGAACCTAACATCGGGATGAATTCTGCGAATAGGCCGTTCTGCACGAGTCAATCAGGGGGGTTTCGAGAAGGGGCGATACACTAACTCACGTAGACGCGCAAAGTAGGCAGTCCGATCGACTTTGCGTATACTGCCCATTCAATCGCAAGTCAATATCACACGCGATTGGGCACGTCGGTCGACAAGTCTATCCCATAGTGCTCACTCGGGACGTTGGCCTTTGCCAAGTGGTGCACATTCGTAACACCCTCCGTCGGCAGCCCAAACTCGGAGGGCACGAACAGCCGTACCCCCGCCTGTTTCGCCGCGTCGATGAGGGCGTGCTGCGATGCGGTCCCGGCGGATCCGACCGCAGAGATGAGGACCTCGATACCAAGTTTCTTTAGAACGACAGAGACGGCGTTGATGTCTGTGGGGTCTGCGCGCTCAACCTCGAGGTTTGGGTGGGCGGGGAAGGAAGTGGTGGAGTCCGGTCGGGTGAGGACGGTGACTTCGGTGGTACCAGTTGCAAGCAGAGCCTATGACATTAAGTCACCGGGATGTGTATCGAGCTCAACTGACATGTCAGATAGTGGGACGTACCTCAAGGACCGGTTTGCCTACGGCGCCTCCGCCGCCGACGAGGGCGATCTTCTTGAATGGTGTAGTGCTCATTTTTTACGACCGTGATTGAAGCTGTGAGAGAGATAAGGATGATTGTGAGAGCATTATGCGATTCGCTTTAGTATGTGTAGCTGCGCTCATTTGAATATGTGTAAGCACAAGCTCGGTCACATCATCATGGCCTGTCATGGGGTGCACGAAGAGCTCCGTGGACTGGATGTGCAATGATTCAGAGCAATGCAAGAGATAGGTGCGTGAAAACATCCCTCATAGACCGTTAGAGTTCGCGCTCGGCCCCAACTCAGCTTGCTACTATAAGACGGCCGGCTACACCACCCTCAGCTTGCTCCTCTCCTTCCCCAACACCAGCGCCACGCCCGCGTCACGGGTTACGACGCGTCCGCATGTGGCTCGTGCTGGCACCTCTCGTACGTGGTGCCCACGCGCAACGCGACGCTGTCCGTGTATGTCACACCCATTGACCAAGCCGCAGTGGGTGTTCGTCGCGTCGCGGGCGGCCCTGGATGCGCTTGCGGGTGAGCTGGCGCAGGAGCTCGGCCGGGCCACAGCGAACGCGACTTAGGCAGTGACGGCGTCGAACTGGTAGGCGTCTGTTTCGATGATATAGGTTTGCGTCCGTTCTGACTTTGATGACGGAGCAGGTGGTGGATCACTCCTTGCATCCGGATCTTTACAGCGTGGATTTCGTTTTCTGTTGTCGTGTATGAGTGCTATTGCACTTGGAAAATCAGGCTAAAACGATTTCAATCTTAATGGGGCTTGTATGTTTTACCAGGGTGGTGTGCTCACACAACGCCGTTCAATCAACCACCTTGCTTGTCGACAAGAGCTTAGCTGCGTTATCTACTCAACATCCAGGGTATCAAAGTGGAAACATTCACGCCTGTCTCCGCCTTTGTACGTTCGCCATCGTGTGTTCCACCAAGGCTAAATGCCAACTATATGTAACTTCCGATTTACCGAACGACCCGGGAATGCGACTGTCGGCCATTGGTCATGTCAGTGAGTGCAGCCACCGAACCTTCTCTCTGGCAAACAGCTCAGTCAGCAACATCTTATGAAGAATAAAGTACTAATCACCCAATGACCGGGCAAATACAGGCAATGTCCTATAAAGGACCTCTATGGATTCTGTAAGAGCATATAAGTACAACCTAAGTACAACCTCGCATCCCAGATCAGGCACACATCTCACCCATTTGCATTCACGCTAATAGTCGCCCGCAATGTCTACATTCACAAAGATCGCACTCGTTGGCGCCGGAGGAGCTGTCGGCAAGCCCATGCTCGATGTACGTATCTTCAACGAACTGGCATCCCGGAACTGACCTAGCTAACCGCTTCAGAGCCTCCTCGCAGGCGGTGTTGCCAAAGTCGTCGTGCTTTCTCGGCCGGAATCGACGACCACATTCCCGCCGCACTCGAGCCTGACCGTGGAGAAAGTGAACTACGACGACGTCAATGCGATTGCGGCCACCCTAAGGAAACACTCCGTCGAGGTGCTGATTTCAGCGGTCAACAACGACGGCGTCGAGGCACAGATCGTGCTCGCCGATGCAGCGAAGCAGGCTGGTGTGCAGCTGTTTGTGCCCTCTGAGTTTGGGATGCCCACTGAGGGCGTGACGGAGGGGCTTCTGGCACTGAAGTCGGAGGTTGCTGGTGAGTCACGTTTGCAGGTAACCGTGACACGCCTTTAGATGTGGCGTTAACATGCTGCATGCCTAGAATATTCCAAGTCAATTGGGCTCCCTGTCGCCCGCGTCTACGTGAGTCTACTCGATGTGGCGCGTACTATTGATAGACGTCTGACTATGTTGTGCTTTTCAGACGGGACTTCTTACAGAATACACCGAGTGGGTGGGCTCGATGCCAGAAAAGGGGAAGTTCTTTGTCCTGGGCTCCGGCGACAAAGAGTTCAGCTTGACCTCGCGCTCCGATACCGGAGGTGCGTTACATACCTTCCCCTATAGCCATTTCCATCCCTCTGACACTATACACCAACCACGTTAGGTTTCGTCGCCTACGCCGTGACCTCCCTCCCACCCGCCAAACTCCAGAACGCCACCTTCCGCCTGGAAGGCGACCGCGTCACCATCGCTGGGCTTGCCAGTCTGTTCCACGAGCTCAGATCGATAGATGTCGAGCGCGTAGACAAGTTCCCTGAGGACATGTCCTACGTCCAGCTTAAGACGGACCTAGTGGATCGATTCAACGTCGGGAAGGGCAGCGCAACTTATGACAGTGTTCAAGGAAAAGAACTGGGGCCGAGCGTGAAATCTAACAGTTTGTGGGAGGGGCATAAGTGGAGGACAGTTAGGGAGGTGATTGGTGCTAGTCAGTAGGTTAAACGAAGATGTAGCAGTGTGAAACGTATATTGTAATTGCTTACTAGCATGGAATACTTTGACTAAAGATCTGCCTAGCGTGCGGGGTAGTTAGGATGTATGTGTTTGAGCAAGTCAGTCTCGACATGATACAGGGATGTAAACTCATAACCAGTAAAGCTGTTGCGTATCCAGGGAGTACCGAGCCCTATTAGACGCGCGGGCTACAATACTTTTAATGTGCATGCCTGCTACTAGGTCTTATCAATGTGGTGTGATTTCTTCAGTTTAGTTTTCAATGCTTCGTTTGCTAAGTAATTACAATACAGATTTTACATGCTATGTCTTCATGCAGGCTACTGACCCGCACTCAGCACCTCCCTCGCCGTCTTCCACTTGTGACCCTCCCACAGACTGTTGGAGTTCGCGCTCGGGCCCAACTCTTTGCCCTGCACATTGTCGTAGCTCGTGCTGCCCTTCCCAACGTTGATCTGCCCCACAAGGTACGCCTTGACCTGGACGCCGGGAATGTCCTCGGGGAACTTGTCCACGCGCTCGACGGACACCGACTTGAGTTCCTGGAACAGGTTGGCGAGCCCGGCGAGAGTGAAGCGATCGCCTTCCAGGCGGAAGGTTGCGTTCTGGAGTTTATTGGGAGGTAATTTAGTCACTGCGTAGGCGACAAAGCCTGAGGCAGGCGTGTGGTGTCAAAGATTTGGAAATAGCCACAGAGGAAGGTATGTAACGCACCTCCAATATCGGGGAGCGCGGTCAAGCTGAACTCTTTGTCGCCCGGGTTCAGGAGCAGGAATTTTCCACTCTCCTGCACCGAGCCTACCCACGGGGCGTACTCCGCAAATAGTCCGGTCTGTAAAATGTGCATGCTTAGCCACCCGATGACGGTACGTGTTAAATTGAGTTTACTCACGTAGACGCGGGCGACAGGGAGCCCGATAGACTTGGAGTAGTCTATATTGGATCAGCTGAGCACTTCCATACACCGCCAGCTGTGGGAGCGAGCTCACCAGCGACCTTCGCCTTCAACGTCAAGAAACCCTCCGTCACGCCTTCGGTCGGAAAGCCAAACTCGGAGGGCACAAACAGCTGAACACCGGCCTGCTTCGCTGCGTCGGCGAGCACGGTCTGCCCCTCGAGTCCCCCAAAGCCGACCGTGGAGACCAGCACCTCGACAGAGTGCTTCTTCAGGGTGGTCGCGACGACGTTAACGTCGTCGTACTTCACTTTCTCCACGGTCAAGTTCGCGTGCGACGGGAACGTGTTCGTCGAGTCCGGCCGAGAGAGCACGACGACCTTGGCGACGCCGCCGGCGAGGAGGCTCTGGAGTACCAAGTGTTTGCGTCAGCGAGGTTTACAGGTGGTTAGTTGGAGAGTAGAGGCGTACGTCGAGGGTGGGTTTGCCGACGGCTCCACCAGCGCCAACAATTGCGATCTTGGTGTATGTAGCAGACATTGAGAATGAGTTTGGGTGTGAACGGGTGAGAGTTGTGTGTGTCTGGTCTGGGATACGAGGTCGTGCTTATATGTTCTTCCTGTGCACTGCGCCTAGACTAGACATTGCCTACTATTGTCCCGTCATTGAGTGATTCGTTCTCATAGGGGTTGGCTGACAGAGGTGTTCGGGGAGAAGGTACGGTGAGGGCATCCGTGACCAATGGCTTGACAGCTATTCCGAGAGCATTCCCGGGGCGCTCGGGGGTTCGGGAAAGTTGCCCCTACTTTAGGCAGGGAGATGTAGTTAGTGTTTAGCCTTCGGGGCGAACATGTAAAACCGGCTGACGTGCCTCGGTGGCACACGATATGACGAACAGAGCGTGCTTGTCTGAGGCATCGTCGCAACTCACCAAAAAGCGTCAACAGGCGTCAACGTCATGTCGAGTAGGTACCTCAGCTAAGGCCTTGTTGACGTGCGGTATGGCGGAGGATGATTAAACAGCATTGTGTGAGCGTGCAGATGTAGTCGGGATGTAGTGAGCAAATCTCAGAGCAAGTAAGCATCATAAAGATGCAGAACATTCTCAAATTTATTATTATTTTCTATAGTTTCCTATATAATAACTCGAGCCCGCGTCCTCGACATGGGATCGATGTCTCTCGCGCGCTCATGTCCTGCATCTTGCTCGATCTCAGTCCATGCTCGGTCAACCGACTCAACCGCCATGACATGCATGACAGGCCATGACGTGACCGATCTTGCGCTTACACAGCGACACGTATAAAACGGCTGTATAAAGGTGACTAGCTTGTGCTCACAACTATCAAGTGCTACTACAAGCTAACCCCCACCGCCCTTGATTTCTCACACTATCTCACAGCTTCATTCACGATCACACGCAATGAGCACCACACCATTCAAGAAGATCGCGCTCGTCGGCGGCGGAGGCGCCGTAGGCAAAGCGATCCTCGAGGTTTGTCCCACTGTCTGACACCCCAGTCGAGCCCGCTACATACCTCGATGACTTCACGCCATAGGCTCTGCTTGCGACTGGTACCACTGAAGTCATCGTCCTCACCCGACCGGACTCCACCACCTCCTTCCCCGCTCACTCAAACCTCAAGGTCGAGCGCGTAGACCCCACAGACATCAACGCCGTCTCTGTCGTTCTAAAGAAACACGGCATTGAGGTGCTCGTCTCGACGGTCGGACCTGCAGCGACCGCATCGCAGCACGCCCTCGTCGACGCAGCGAAGCAGGCGGGCGTGCGGCTATTCGTGCCCTCCGAGTTCGGAATGACAACGGAGGGCGTTAAGGATGCGCCGCGCGTAGCTGCGAAAGCTGAGGTCTCGAGTAAGCACTATAGGCCTGTCGATCCGTGCCCATTTGAGATTGACTGCATGGCGCAGGATACGCAAAGTCGATCGGACTGCCTACTCTGCGCGTTTACGTGAGTCAACGTATCATGCCTTCTCGAAATCATCCTGATCAATTCATGCAGAACGGCGCACTTGCAGAGTTCATCCCGATGTTAGGTTCGGTGCAGCGCGGCACCTTCCTGGTGCTCGACCCTCCAGAAGGGCACGGAGCTCCCTTGCCGTTCTCCATCACTTCTCTTGCTGACATGGGCGGTATGTCCCGACATTGCATATACACTGTGATATCTTAATTTTATGTGATGCTCTCTCTCAGGTTTCGTAGCCCACGTCCTCACAACACTCACACCCGCCCGACTGCAAGATACAACTCTCCGCATCGAGGGTGATCGTATGACGTTCCCAGATCTCGCCAACCTATACAGCAGGATCAAGTCGGTACCGGTCGAGCATGTCAGCGACCTTCCCACAGACGTTGGGACCGATGATTTCAGAGTCTGGAGGAAATACCTGTTGGAAGAAACCAACGCTGGACGGAGCCGGGTGACTTGGGATCCTGTTCAGGGGAGAGACCTGGGAGTTGAGGCGCTCGCGAATGGACTGTGGGAGGGACACAAGTGGAAGACGGCCGAGGAGGCGATACGTGATGGGCAGTAAGAAGACGTAATCAATGTTCAAACGCAGTACAGACGCAGCAAACACGTTCGATATGTACAGTATATCATAGTAAGATCAATAAATACACTTGAGGTTGAAGAGATGAAGTAGGAAAGTGAAGACGACAGAACCTACGCTCAATAAGCAATGCTCACCCGCTTCCCCTCCCACTCATCCCAGTTCTTGATCACTTTTTCCACCATGAAGTGTGCGACATCCTTACGCGAGATCGTCCAGCTGCTGTCAATGTCACCCTGCTTGACGCGGTACGCCTCCTTCCCGGGCTGCTTCTGCGGCTTATCTGCGACGCACTCCCCGTCCGTGAGCAACGCCGGCCGGATAACCACCAGACGCTTCAGCGCCGCAGGCTCGGGCACGCGCCTCGTCCAGCCCGCACCGAGGATCTCCTCGCCCGCGCTGTCCTGTACGTCCCACTTCCATCCGGCAGCGTGCGCGAGAATCTCCTCCGCGCCGCACTTGTCCTTGTGCGGTGCCGCGAGCGCGTACCCGTACAGGGGCTTGAGCGCGCATGGGAGCGCGTCGTGCGACTCGCGCGTGAGGCCTGTCGAGGAGATGGTGAGGAGCTTGACGTCCGGACTGTCGGCGGGGAGCGTCTCGAGGACGTTGAGGAGGGATTGTGTGACGAGGTTCGGGGGCTCGATGACGAAGCCTTTGGTCAGCTTGAAGGAGGGCGTGCCCCCTGGATGAGTGAAAACGGTGGTGAGCTGGCGATTATTGGGAAGTGGGTGAGACCGTGAACGCACCGACAGTGAACAGCATGAAGTCGACAGTCTTATCGTCGCCGCCCTTGGCGGCCTCAGCCCAGGCGCGCTGAACGTCGGCTTTGACCAGAGCGTCGCCCTTGATCAGGCGGGCTTTGCCGTCTTTCACGAAGCGGGTTACAGCCTCGTCTTGGTCGAAGCATTCTGGCTTCCTGAGAAGAAAGGTGACAGTGTAGCCCAGTTCTACACAATCGCTTGTCAGGGGCTGTCTTACCCAGGAGAGAGACAGGCGGACGTACCAAGAAGTCTCAATGAGGAGTAGTATCCAATGTTGCGGGAAGCCCCTATGGCGAGAACCTTTGACATGGTTGGTATCTGATGTGTGCTGATGTGTGAGGTGGAAAGCTTTGGTGTGTTGCTGAGGAACAGACAGAGCTAGGTGGATTGGTGTGGTGACTAGAGAATGCAATCCCCTCTAGCCTCTTTATACTCTCCAAGAGTGCAATCGTCATGTCAAAGCACCCGAGAGCGCCCATTTCCGACTACCTGCAACTGAAATTTGCTCCTGGAGCGACATTGTCATGAGCACAGCAGCGTCTGTCACCGAGGCAAGATGAAACGCCACCGCGGCTGCGGCCTCAGCCAGCCGAGCCTTCCCCGAGCCCTGCCTCGCGCTCGCCGGCGACACGCGCATTGAAAATAGACGCCTCGGCGACGGTGGAGTGGGTACTCCTGGAGAAGACGACGACGAGACACCTCGTATAGCAGGGATGAGTGACTACTGACACGCGCGAACACACTATGTACCGACTACGCTGGCCATGCCGGCCCTAAACTACGCATCGTGCCTTCCTCAAGGCTCGGTCCGATCCTCCCTAGTCCAACGGTCGGTGGCGTTGTCTGCTGCGTCGGGCAGCTGTGGCTGTCGTGTCCGATGTCGTGTCCGATGCCGAGTCCGGTGTCGTCGTTGGGCGGCTTCTTATTGAGCTGCGCCTTGTGGGTTTGTTCCTGGATCCTGGATGAGAGTCCTGCTGTTGTCAGGCTCGGAGGTACTGACCGGGACCCCGTCCCCCGACGACAGCCGAGCCTCTTTGCTGGCAACTTTCACTCTCCAAAGTCTCTCCACATGTCATTCGTCGTTATATCCTTCGGGCTCTTTCTCCTACTTGGAATCTCCATGTATCATCGATTGGTGCAGGATGTGATCGAAGCATGGCAGTGGATAGAGGTCAAGGAGATTTGAACATATTTGTGAGGCTACGTTCACTGCGAACACGTCTCATGACATGCAGAAGCTAATCTACAAGGGCCTCCAAACGATCTTGCTACCATACTCCGTCCTACCATCTCCCTTCTTCCCGTCTTTCCCCGTCCAGAACGCAACCTCATATATTCCAGGCCCCTTGTTATCGAGCGCCTTCGTTTCCTCCTCGTCTGCAGGCGCACCCAGGATCAGCAGTGGTTTTGGGGTGTCTGCCTTTGGGACGTCCAACGTCCATACGTGCAGGCCATGGGATACGGTTGGCTGCTCCCCGATGACCGACGACAGCTGAGAGGCCAGCGTCTTGAGCGAAGGCGGACTGGCTAGCAAACGAACATGCGCGATGCCAGCAGCACCAGAGGGATGCTCCGTATTCCCGGGCGGATGATCGATGGGCACCTGAAAGGCGAGTGAATCCCTGGACCTCCACCGCCCTAGTGAGCCTTGCAAGTATGGAAGACGCACCCTCAGCTTACGAGGCGTCACGTCCGCACAGTAGAACGGCAGACTCCCCCTCCCCAACCTCGCCTCAGGCGCAGTGATCGCCCACTTGAGAGTCTCCCCGTCAGAGCGCGTCCGCCCGCCGTGGACCTCCGGCAGATACGCCACATCCGTGTCACTGTCCTTCGCGCGCTGATTGATGATTTCCGCGATCGAGGCGGAAGTCGAGCCGAGAAACGCATAGTCAATCCAGCCGTCGTTCTTCCCTGCCCACTGGTGCTTGTTGCGATCCGAGACGGGAGGGTAGTCCTTAGCGGGTTTCAGGAACGAGATGAGCTCGATGTATACCCCATCTTGTAGGAGCTGTCACGATACTGAGCAAACCGGCGGTTCGATGGGTTTTGTCGTACTTACAACAAGTGCATTGGCAGTCAACCCGTCAGCATGTGTGCCGCCGGGAATGACCCTGTTGATTCGCGTGTGTATGCGTATCCCAATGTGATGTCATCAAAAGCCCCTAACTCACTGGAAGCCCAAGCGCTTGAACTCTTCGGATACCTGAGCAACCGTGTCCGGAGGCGAGAGATGTATGATGTGATCAAGGATCTTGGTCGAGGGCTCAGACATACTGGTGAAGAATGTAGGGATGGGATTGTAAAGGTACCTTATAGTAATAGAATAAGTAATAATACACACGCGAATCATCTCGAGTCAGCCTGACACCAAATTAGCAACCTTTCGTGCTTGGCATTCACTATGGCATCAGGCAATAAAACTGACGGGAGCCAAACCAATCTATCCAAAAAATAACATAAACGAGATGTGTATTATCCACTTGAGACACCCTTTGTTAGCTCAAGGCACCCCACTCCGTGGAATTCAGGCTAACTCGGCAAACCCGACTCGCAGGCCACCAACGTCAAAGACAGTGTAAGTGTTTCGGAGGAACACGTCCCCAAGAACCCAAAGATCTACAATAACAAGAAGTCTTTGAGCTTGAGCTCAAACCGTGGATATCACACAACACATACCTCCAAGGCTGTCGCTCTCGCCTATCCCGCCGACACAGTCGACGCCAGAAGAGTTGTATGCTCCCATGCTGAATGTATCCTGCGACATCATAAACGTCGTGTTCCCTATCGTGACACCGACCTCTGGGATACTATCACATGGGACTAGCATTGGCTATCAGCGCAGTGACGTATACTAACCAGATCAGCGCTGCGCACCTGTATACAGACCGTTTCCAACGCTAGTCCCACCTATCGCTTCATACAACTGCTGAACGTACATGCTCTCCGCGAGGATCATGGTCGTTCCAGTGTCAACGATAGCACCGAAGTCCGCGAAGACTTGCTGGCCACCGACAGATAACCCGTCGACGCTAATTTGCCAGTATCCCTGCGAGCTCGTGTCAACAGGCCATACCCCGCGGATGAAGGAACCGGCCTACCTTTTGTGTGACAGGTGTGTAAGTTAACGATCCCGTGTAGAGCTCGTTGTTAACACCCCCAACGGACAGCTCCGATCCCGACGAGGCCAACTTGAACGCGAAAATTGGCTCGGATAAGGCGCCCTCATCGACAAGTGTCTGGAAGGCGGAATTGGTCCCATAGTTGGAAATCGCTTTGAATGCGAATCCTATAAGGCCGTCTGGCGGGAAATTTGACGAAGAGAACGCATCCGAGAACTCATTTGCAGCGCCGAAGGTCTGGTCCTGGGCCTTTCGCGGGCTGTTTCTTAACCAGAAGAAAAAGGACAGATACAGAAAGCCACGCACTGCGTATCCAGCAAGCGAAACAGTGTCGCGGTACTGATCTCCAGTAACGTACGAACCATCTGCGTACGTGAGGTTGAAGCTCTCATCGACATATACGGAAGTCGAACTCTTATTTGCGATGTAGAGATTGTGTCCGGCGCAGGACGAGCGACATTCTGGGCCTGCCAGGAAAAGGTCTGTGCTTCCGGTGTCCATGTCCACTAAGTAGATCGTGTAAGATGCAATCGAGGTTGCGACGCTGGCCCGTGCTCACCTGAAAAAGTCTGCGAAGGTGTTCCAACTTCTATGTTACCGTACCAGCGTAGATTGTCTCCATCGATGAGAGGAACATCTCGTTTCTTGGACCCAAGTTGTGTTTGATGACGAGCACGCTTCGCTCTACCATGCCTCCTAGAAACCTCAAATCCCCTGGTGAGCTTTCTGATAGTGTGTGAGCCTGGACCCGAAGTTATCTCAGCGACCGTATTGACTCACTGCTCCGTGTATGCTATATGATTGCGGAGAGTTTGCAGCTTCGCGGTTCCATCCACATTGAGATGGCTGCTCCGTTGCGAAAGAGGGATATGATAAGCAGCACAGACCTGGAGCTGAAGCACGAAAGCTAGAATCGTCCAGATGGACCACATCCTCTCCAGCCAGCGATGTGCCTGTCACCGTGATAAGGGATGTTATACGGACCTAGCCTTGGACACGAGTTCCACAGGCTTCTGTGCGTCCACCCACGAAATGTCGCGCAGAACGTTGTCGTATGTCGAACACGAGACGTGCGCTTGCACGGCACACGGTGCCAGTAGACGGAAATGGAGGTCAAGAAGCCGGGTTTGCGCTAGAGACCGCATTGTTGCAGCGAGACTGACGGGTTGTACCCAAGGACCCTTGAACAAGGTTTCTTATCTGCAGACCCTCGGCCGTCCGAATGGGGAGATGGACATGGCGTGTCTGGAGGTAATCTAGAAAATGAATGTTTTTGAAAGGATCAGCAGAGGACGCGAGGCCATGCTGCGGCAAGCCGCAGCTGCTGCACAATTGATGTTTGCGTGTGTTGTCCAAGAGCTTCGTGAACCTTCCATATTTAGTATGTCTTTGCTCGTCCATCGCGACGTTTCCTGGTGTCATCACACATGTCATTTGAGGAAGCCCGTAAACTGATATTCCAGGGTAGTGATGTCAATGATTACAAAAATGCGTCTATGGATATAACTAGGTTAGAAATACCGTGAAATGCGAGTGATACGAGAGCATGGATAGCAACCAAGCAAAGTACTCTATCGTGATGTTTTCAAGTTCATCAGTGTGAAAGCCCGTGGCAAAGAAGGTAGATAATGTCCATCATTTTGCGTCTAAGGTCGTGGTTGATTTGTCTAGTGTCATTAGCGTAATTGGTTGGATGCGGCAACTAAATTTGTATGATAAGAGTCGTTATCGGTCTACTTGCCGTACCGGCTGGCAAGCCTTATCTTTTCACCGTAGAACCAAAAGATCAGAGGACTTAACGTCATATGTCAGCAACTTTTGCCTGATTTTTCAATGAAAAAGGTACTCACGCAGGTCCTCCGATCACCACCGCGGCAGCGGCGAGGATTGTGTCGCCCTTTCCATACCCGAGCGCCTGGTACATCGTCGGCGCGAACAGCGGAAATCCGAACCCGGCAATTGAGCGGAGACAATTTACCATCGCCAACGCTGTCAATTAATGATAGCCTCGAGTCAGCAGTGACTGAGCCCCAGGGAGTAAGAAGACGCACCGGATGCGGCATGCAAGGTGAACGTGTCGACGACGTACGTCTGGATACACTGGAAGTTGAGGATAACGCCGGCGCCAACAATCGCGATGCCCTAAATTGGTGATAAGCAACGGGCGTGGGGGAAGTAGAGTGAATATGTACGATGTCTGGTGCAATCCAATGAACTTGTGCTTGAGTAGTCCATCCCGTTATGAGCAAACCGATGGGCAGCATAACCGTCCCTATCGCCATCGAAGCTTTACATGACAAAAACGCCTCAGCGATCCTGTAAAGCGTAAAAGCAGAGTAAAAGTCACGCACGCAGACGGTACTCTGGCTTGCCCTCGGTCCCATTCTTCCGCTTGAGGTATGCGTAAATTCTGTCCATGGTCCGCGAATTCAGCTGCGATGCGCCTGAAAGACCTATACCGAGTGCGATGTAGTTCAGTCCTGCGGGGCCGAGTTTCATGTGGTAAATGTCTTGGTAGATGGTCGGCATGGTCGTGAGGCACACTGCGATGATATTAGATCGACGAAGATTGGTAAAGAGAAGGTCGAACGCACAGTACAAAATCCCGTAAAGATAGGCCATGTAGATTCCGAGAGCTTGGACAATCGGCTCGTACCAGAAGAGAACGAAGGGACGGAACATTGATTGTTTGAATATTGACTTCCAACTAAAGATTGTTGATACGGAAGTGAGTATTAGCATGAGCGAGCTCATACGAGTGACTTACCTCCGCTCGCCCTGCTTATCAAATATCGTGCGCACAACGCGGTGCTGACTCTTTTCGGGATCCATAGAAGCGCGTATGCGCTTGGCTTTCCGCTCCAAAAGGACGACAGCGTACGCTGTATGCACTTTTTATTCAGCTAATGTCCCAAATCATTGAGGTTGACACGCACTCTCTTGAAGAAAGAAGAACCCTAGGATGACGACAAAGACATCGGCTATACTGAGGGACCAGAACTGCGTATACTCGTTAAAAAGCAGACAGGAGAAGTTGGATCCTAACACCTACCACCCATCTCCAGTTCGAGTATTGAGCGACCCTTAAGTGACTGTAAGCATATGTGTAGAAGCCTGAACAGTGATGACGTACCATGACCCCGTCAATGGACCAACGACAGGTCCAAGAATAGGTGCAAGACCATAGAGTGCCATAGCCGTCCCTCGCTCCTCTGCCCTCCACACATCACCAATAACTCCACCTCCTATCTGAGGGTGTGATGTCGGAAGGTTGCATCGCATGGTGGAGCAATAAGAACCTACCGATAGTGGGGCACCACCGCCCAGACCTGAGAGAAATCGGAAAACTAGAAGTTGTGTTTGGCTCTGGGCAAAGCTACTTCCCAAGTTCCAAGCTTCGTCAAGTCAATATTACAACCGGAAGAAAAAGGCAGGATCACTTACCAAGGAACCATAAATTAGACAGCTGTAAGACGCGGGAGCGACCAAATATCTCGCTCAAAGGTCCAATAAACAAAGGCCCAACAGCTGAAGATTAAAAGGCGTATAAGACGAATAGGTTGAGGCGGGAATACAATCCAGATACGCACCAAAAGCAAGAATGAATATTGATGTATCGAGAGCCATCACGACGTCGCTAGTGACGCCAAAGTCATGTGCCACCTGCGGACTAGCGGGGGCAATCATAGAGGAACCAACGGGGGTGATGAAAGTGAATGCGGACGCAATGGCAGTGACCACCCATTTGCGTTTGAAGCTCCAGCTAAACAAGCATTAACATTATGCCTTACAACTTTCTGCAAGGTAAGGAGACGCACTTCTTGGGGTTTTGGGGATCGTCGGGACCGTCCCAGTCTACGACCAAGGCGTCAGGGGTGGCTTCGTCTGCCGTATCAGGAACGGAGTCGGCGGGCCCCTTCGGAGACTTGACATCACTCAAGCTCACACGGGGAGTCCGCATACCACCGTGAAGCGTCGGTGTCGGCGAGGCGTCCGGAGACTTGACCAGAGCAGTAGGGGTCACTGTCCCAGTAGACATGAGCACTGAGGCTGAGGAAGAGTAACCGTCAGATGGAGGATTGTCGTGAGAGCCAAGCTGGCCGACAGCCCCGACGATGCTTTTATACCATGGTTTCGAAAGTGGTGTATCAGACGGTATGACATCCGACGACCTGTTGGTGGTGGGAAGACTTTCCGCGGCGCTTTCGATTCCAATAGACTGCCGGGCTACTGCCGTCTGCCGCTTGGGGAAAGTTCTTCTCACGGCGCGTATCGCTGTCGGTCCTCCCATCCGAAGCTGCGTCAGCCTTCCTAAAATTGGCTTTGCATTCAGTGTCTTTGAGTGAGAATGTGATCTAAAGATCTATGCCAGATAGCTCATCTGAGGATATACAAACGGTTTGAGAGGTTAAGCAGATGAATACAACCGTCGCATCTAATACTCCCTCTCGCGTGACTCGCTCCGGCATCCAAGCAAGGCCCGTCGGAGCCTTAAACACCCTAGAAGTCTAAGCAACGTGCACGGTCTTCACGGAGGATCCAAAGGTTCAACACAGTTAGTAAAATATGGTCTTACGGTGTTGTGAGCACTTACATTTGCTATCAGGACGTTGTTTTCCGGGCTCTAGACCTTCTCATATCCATCCCACCTGTGCAAGCCGAAGAGGGTGAGTCTTCCAAATGTCAAAACAGCCATCCTTTGATCACCTCGTGGCAAAGTCCTACGCCTGGATCTGACGACAATATATACGCTGCCGTCTTGATCCAAATCAGATTGACGTATACCTAGAGACCTGCTCCGTTAAGGTATGATCAGGCCGGTGCAAGGCGAGAGGTAGCACCGTTACCGAGAGTACATCAGCCTCGCCATCAAACATGAGCGCTGAGCCCGAGAAGGCTGTGGGACATGCCGCATTGGCATCCTTCTTAACTTACGTCCTCAGAACAGTAGTCAGTGGCTTTGAACGTGTGATGAAGATCCCTACACAGCGAGATGCAGTTCATAGAATCATACGTAACGTTTGATTGGCTCCCGTCCAAACTCTGATAGCGTGTTTTGGGTCGGCCGAAGCATGAAGGCATTGCCACGAGATTAGGGACCGTGAGGTTTACTTCTCCGAGGGTGGCGGACGCTAGTAACCGCCCATCGTAGAGGTTTGATAATGCTTGCAAATGCATCTGTTGGATGTTGGTAAGTCATCAATCGCACCCCAGAACGGACCTTGAGCCGAGATTGGCGCAGAGAATTTGTTGCCTTTTTGTGGGCGCGAGTGAGCGCCCGTCTTGTCAGATGTCAGTGCGGATCTAGTCGTCGCCTAGTGGTACCAGTCAGAAGGCACGAGGAGTAAGACGCGAAATAGAGGTCATCGCAGAACCTACGGGTTTTATCTCGACGCTCTTTCCCTGTCCATCATCTATCATGAGCGTATCGGAGATGGCGCCAGCGTCATCTCGAATCCCTCCGGAGACATGGCACGACATCTTCGACTTTGCCACTTATGTTCAGGATGCATTCGGAGACAACTTATGCGCTCGGATTGAGGCACTAGAGCCTTTTGCGGGGTCTCGCCTTGAGCAGTCGCTGTGCCACTCGCTCACGACGCGGCGCTCCTTGCCACTCGTATGCAAGACGTGGTACAAGGCATCTATCAGGTTTCTATACCGGTCTATCTGGCTCCATCAATGCTCTGAACCAGTGATGCATTCTCTCATTTCGGCCCTTTGTGAATCGAGGTCGCAGACGAGATTCGGCGAAGGGCCATTGGGATCGTACGCTGATAGAATAGACGTCCTGTTTCCGGCGGAGATCAATGAGAGACTGGCCATCATGGACTCCTTGGTGAACATCCTCGAACTCTTACCAGATCTTTCCATTGTGGTCTTCAGTGCACTGTCCTCGTACACGTCGGCAACTCAGGTACCGAAGCCACTGATAAAGATGCTGTGCAACATTGGTCCGTCCTTACAAGCCATTGACTGGAGCGGCGTTCCCTTGATCATGGACTCCTACGATCTCCTAACGCTGTGCTGCTCAGCACCAAATCTTCGCGTTCTTACGTTTGATACGTGTGTTCGCCGCTATAGTCCGGGATCCATCGCAAAAGGCAACCAGGATGTTGTCCATCTGCCTCTAATGTCCTCGCTCGCTATCTTAAAATATGATGTTCTTACCAATCAGGTAGACCTGTCACCGAGCAACTTCCCCCGCATGCGTCAGCTCGTCCTATCAGCTCATTCTGATCGTGTTCAGGTTTCGAAGGTTCATCACTTGACGCCCCTCGTGTCCACCCTAGAGTCCATATCATTTGATCCATCAGTTGGACGAGGCCATATTCTCGACACATCTATACAGGATGACCTAGACAGGATTGCCCGGGTATGCCCTAGTCTAAAGCGCCTTACGTTCATCATCAACGTGACCGGGATGTATAGACTCTGGCGCCTTGTGCGTCTTCCTCCTGTGTTCACCCTCGGCATCCGGTTCAAACCGCAGCATCCTCCCACCATATCAACTATGACTGACGAAAGGTTCGGGGATATGGACTATAAACAGCTTTGGTCCTTTCTGTCAGGTGTGCTAACGAGGCAGCCTTCGGTTGAGACCATTCAGTTCATGGAGGATATTAATAATCCGCATCGCCTCAAGATACAAGAGGCAATCGAGAAGCACCCACAGATTAGGATGGAAAACCATTGGGATACGGCGATGAGCAGCTGAAGTTAACGATTGTAGTGGTAGAATAATCATCGATGCACTTAAAGGTATGTCTTGTTGTAGCTTGCATGGCGCATACATCATGTATTAGAAACTGCTGTGTATGTACTGGTTGTCACGGATGTCAATAGTCGCTTGTCCGGTCCGGTAGTTTCCGGGTTTGGGGCAGGCTCGGATGGGAGGGACCAACGTGGTCCACTCAATTACGGTCTCTGCGTTCGCAGCTACTAGAGCCATCCATCGTCTCTAGTGAACCGGTGAACTCTAACGTCTACACGCTAGGCTACCAATATGGAACGCGCAATGCCAGAGTCTACCTTACCTCCAGAACTTTGGGAAAACATCTTTGACCTTGCTACACACGTCAACAACGTTTTTATTCCTGGGATTTATGCTCACATAGAGCGCTTCGAAGCGTTTGGATCGCCCCCCAAGCCGGCGCTGCGTCTCTCACTTGCAATACGTCGCCATCTACCCCTAGTATGCAAGACTTGGTATACGCTATCCATCCGGTTTCTCTACCGTTCCCTGTGGATTGGAGCATCCTGTTCCGATTCAGCCCTTTTGTCTCTACTTGCTGCGCTTCGCGAACCATCTCGTTTGCGATCTGAACTAGGCGTGGGCTCACTCGGTGCGTTCACTGATAGGACTGACATTTTGTGCTCGAGGCGGATCCAACAGGGATCACCCATGCTGGAGACCTTGGCGAACATTATCGCATCCCTCCCGTGCCTCTCCGTTTTCGTATTCAACTGCCCAAACATCAATGGCGGCCCAAGTGTATTACTCAACGCGCTCAGAACCCTTGGAACATCTCTCAGAGTTGTAGATTTCAACAACAGCAACACGGTTATAGACCCTTCTGATCTCCAGATGTTATGCGCCGCGGCGCCTGGCCTGCGCGTGCTTGGCATTGACAAGTGCTATCGGAGAGGAGTCGCTGATTGGATGTGGAATCATTGGGATATCGGAGACGGACCCATCGAAGCACACATGGCACAATTACCCATCATGCCATCGTTGTCTACGCTCAAGTATAACCTCGTTGCGACTCAAGTAGCTCTGCAACCGGAGGGCTTCCCTCAGTTGAAGGGACTCATGCTGCGAAACAACGGCCTGCTGGTCACAAAGTGGCACTACTTGGCTCCTTTGACAAACAATCTGCAGTCGGTGACTCTTATACCAATGAAGAATGATATTCCATCCTTTCAAGCAGAGCTAGATCGCGTTGGTCGGTCATGCCCCAGCCTGCAGCGTCTCGTCCTGAGAATGAACGTCTCTGGGATTCCAGAGATTACAGAGGAGCTTTCGCTTCCTCCTGTGCGCATTCTAGGCATTTATCTCCTTGAAAGGTGGCCCTTGCCTGAGGAGCTCCGTGACATCTATTACACGTTTCTGTGGGAAGCGCTCGTCGGTATATGCGAACGTCAGCCTTCGGTCGAGAAAGTCCAGTTTGTGGAGGACCCTAAATCTTCGCAAGGATGGAGAATAGCAGACGCCATGATTTCCTTCCCACAGCTGCCGATAGAAAACCTGTGGGCGGAAGCGATGCAGTGAGAGAGGAGTAAAATCAGTGGTTGGCGTGTTTCACGGTATGATCGCATTCTCACTGTGAGTCTAATGTTTCCTGCATGACTCTCGTCCGAAAGCTTACAAACACGTTTGATGGAAAAGCTATACGAAAGGACCCTCTGCTATTGCGTAGGCTATGAATGATCGGGCAGGTTAAGAATCCATGAAGCCTCTCCCATATCGGGCGTTTCTTTGGTGGGGAAGCCACCCGGAGAAACATATTAAATATCTCCTCGATTTTGGACCAGACCGACGGCTCCCGTATCTCATCCTTGGCTGCTGGTTTTAAACCGGGCTGCAACCTGCTCAGCCCTCTCATCTCTTTCTTCTAGACGAGCTCTCGAGTATCATGGTACACACTGGCAGGTCTGGTATCCTGACCGTCACAACCATGTTCGCTCGTGCTCTGCTGTTTGCTTCTCTCGCGGCTGCTGCTCCTGCGGAGTTGCCTGTCACTGTCGTTCCTCCTATGTCTGCTTCAGCTTCATTGATCACCACAACATCTATCCTTCAAACAGGAACCGGTCCTTCACTTCCAGTATCAGCAGCGTTACCAGCAAGCTCTCCTTCGGTCCTGGTCACCTCTGCTTCCTCGCTTTCTACTACTCCAATTATCCTTACGTCGAGCTCTATGCCCTCGTTCCCCGTTTCGCCCACGCCTACTCTAAATTCGCCTCTGAATCCAGTCAACTCTACTTCCTTGCTCGCCTCTCCGCCCATTCCTTCATTAAGCTCTGCTTCAGCACCGTCCAGTCATGCAGCGGTCTCTTCGAGCACCTCCGCATCGCCTTCGGCTGTTCCCACGTCTTCGTCTGCTTCACCAGCTTCAAGTCAGCCTACCTCAGCGACAGGAGCCTCATCCCCCACTTCTGCGCCGATACCATTGCAACCGCTCACTTCAGCCTTGCCACCAACGCCGGAATCTGTCTCGGTTGCCACAGTCACAGACGTGATCACCATCACCCAAACCCAGAGCGTCGAAGTTCACCAAGTCACCACCACTACCGTTGAGCAAGTCACCGCAACAATTACCAAGACCGTCACCCCAACACCCGATTGGGCGACCCGTACGCTCTGGGCACAGCCTACAGCGATCTCGGACCTAGACATGTATAACGTATCATCGTTTCCGAACGGCCAAGACAACCTTGCACTCGTCAACGTAACTCGCTTCAGCGCTCTCCACAACAGCACCTCCGACTCCAGCTCCAACTCCAGCGCAAGCGTCAGTAGTCTCGCCGCTCATAGCAACCACACCACCGCTCTGCGTGTCCTCTACGTCGCCGGCTCCAGCAACCCTGGTGGCTCGCCCGAGGGTGGCGTCCAGTTCTACGCATCGCCTCTGAATCTTGATGGTGCATGGAACGTCTCACTACGATACGGGGTGTTCTTCCCAAAGAGCTTCGACTGGATCAAGGGCGGCAAGCTGCCAGGTTTGTATGGCGGGCACGAGTCGTGCTCTGGTGGAGCGTCAGCCAAGGACTGTTTCAGCACACGCTTGATGTGGAGAGACGACGGTGCGGGCGAGCTGTATCTCGTACGTTGTTTTTCTCTTCCTCGTTGGTCAAATTATTCAACGTTCTGGTCCTACGGCGGCAGTACGCCCCAAAGGACAAGCAAACAGCAGCGCTGTGCGGCGACCCCCAGTCCGTCTGCGACGCCGACTACGGGCTCTCGATCGGCCGCGGGTCCTTCAAGTTCACCGCCGGCGGGTGGACGGACCTCCGGCAGGATATCGTGCTGAATACTCCCGGAGAGCAAGACGGCGCGTTCGTGCTGTACGTGGACGGCAAGGCCGTTATCAACCGCATGGATGTCTTCTATCGTGACCACCCTAGTGTCGCTGGCGATAAGTCGCAGCGGCGACGGAGAGGGGATGTGATCTTAGAAACGGCGACTTTCCTTGAGGTGCAGACAGTCGCCCAGGCAAAGTCAACGGAAACTGTCGGGGCGGCGACTACCACTGTTGGAGTGTACCCAACTGCCCTGCCAAAAGTCCATGCGACTAGTGGTGAGTCGTCAAAGCCTGTCGGATTCATTGGCCTGTTCTTCAGGTAGGTCCCTATCACCTTAAGGACCGTCGGAGGGCTGACAAGTCCTTTAGCACGTTTTTTGGAGGGCACGGTTCATCCTACGCTACTCCGAAGGACCAGTACGCCTGGTTTCGAGACTTTGCTATCGTCCGAAATGAATAAATTATACCCCGTAAGGACCTGTACCTCTAGTCTAGTAATCGAATGCTTTCCATCAGCAAATGAAACAGCAATCAGAACATGACCTTAGCATTGAGGGCAATGAATGCTGCAAGGAGGGTGAAAATCAACAAGAACAGCGTCCATGGTGTGGGCACCAGCCCCATTGCGACCGCGTCTTGCAGCGCGTTCTCCAGACTCTCCGCCATTGCGTCCATACCAAACGTTCCCTTCGCCCGCTCGACCGCACGCATCTTCATCGCCTGCCGCTTCTCGTCCGACAGGCCCACGATCTCGCCGAGCGCGCTCGCCCACGCCTCGGGCTCAGGCTCGCGCAGCCACCCCGTTCGCTTGTCTTCTGGCGTGTCTACGACGCTCTCCGTCGGCCCGCCGCTGTTGCATGCCACGACGGGGATGCCGTAGAGCATCGCCTCAACAGGCCCGATACCGAAGTGCTCGTTCGCAGGCGTATAGAGAAAGGCGGCTGTGTTGGGCGATTTGAGGAGGGCGGAGCGCTGCGGGGAGGTGAAGTTGAGGAGGAACAGGACGTCGGGGTCGGAGCTCGACGTGCCGTCGATGCGAGGGAGACGGTCAGAAACGTGAGATGGGGTCGTAATGTTAAAAGAGAGGCTGTGTGTCTTGACAAGCGCGACGAGGTCCTTGAGGGTGGTGACGTTGTCTTCTAGACGTGGGTCATATCCACCTACATCTCGTGTAAGCTATGAAGGGAGAAACGATGGGGTAAATGGTACAGACCGGCAAGGACAAGTCTATAGTCGCTGACGACTGACGATGAAGCTTGGCTCCTGAAAAGTGCAAACGCTTTGATGGCCAATGCCGCATTCTTTTTCTTCTCAAACCGGTTTAGCGAGATGAACGTAGGGCGAGTACTATGAATGTTCGGCAATCTTGCACAAGCATGAGAGCTGCAAGACTCACGAGGCAATCTGTGCGTTGTCTGCTGGAGGTATGTCAACCGAGCTGAAATACGCTTCGACGTTGATGCCTGGGTAAACGACTCGTAAAGGTTTGTGGATGGATGGGAACTGAGACCGCGTCACTCGTGCAGTGAACTTTGAGTTCGCAAGAATAACGTCCGACTGAGCTATGCATTGGTGGGCATGTTCAGATACACCACACGCAGCCGGCGGCAGGAGAACACGCACCTGTCGTCACCTCCTCTAACCAATCCATCGGCATCCGGTAAAGTGACTTCACTGCTCCAGCCTTCCGCTTCTGAATCTCTCCATCGACGAGGATAAGCTCCCCGTTTGCAAGGAGTTTGTCGGGGAAGTGGCAGTAAAAGAGTGTGCGTGTGTGAAGGAACGACCGGAGGAAAGGAATGCAGGCTGAAAGTTGGTCAATGAAGAAAACATCATATCGTTCTGACGAGTTGAACAAAAGGTGCTGGGTGAGATGAAGCTGCCGGGCGACGGCGAAGACAATGTGCAATTTGCCCTTGAGGGAGCGAGGGAAAGGGGACTTTATGTGGTAGACTTTGAGGGTACCTGAAGGGCGAGTTGTGAGTCTAATAGTGACGTTTTTACAAGGACGCTGGGCTCACCGTTCGCCGTCTCTTCAAAGCAGTGACTTGGGTCGTGATGCGAGGTGTAGATGTGGACTGTGTGACCCCGGTTCTGTAAGCCCAGAGCTGCGTCCACCACGAGACGCTCCGCGCCGCCTGAGCTGGCGTGAACAATCAAGCACGAGCGTAAGGGGAGAATTGCGCACCTATCCCCAGGTCTGGATGTATAAAGGCAATCTTCAGCTTCTTACCAGCCATTGTGTAGAGTTGGAGGGGAGATGAAGTTATGGACGCGTCTCGGCGCGCCTACCCTGTACAACATCTGTCGTGGCACTTTCCAAACCCTGTCCCAGGGTTAAGGTTACTCGGCCCGAAGCTTCCCCACATTCCCAGGCACTCCCCGTTCGCGTCTCCTTCAACGTTCAACCATCCAACCCACCATGTCTGCAGAGCCAAGCACTGGTTAGCCCTTCGGCTTCACGAATGCTTCACCTGTGGAATCTGGATCATCTCTTCAGTCATAAATACCGAATCGACGGCCGCTTAATATTCAGGGTAGATAGAAGGTGTTCACGCCATCGATCTCCTGCAAATACTGCGTCGCATGTGGGCACCAGGACCCATCAGACCCTATCTGTTCTACAAACTTGATTCACATGCCGGACGCTTCTATCACCCTACATTCTCAGCGGCTGCCATCGAAGCCTAGCTTCCCCAAGATTGTCCGAATCTCATGCATGAGGGCCATGGGTAAAGTCGCTTGTTACACTTCTCGTGGTATCACAGCTATTCTTACTGTCGTGTATGATCAGTTCCATCAGAGACATTCAAGCCTGCAATTGAAGTTTTCCCTCTCGCCTCCCCGCTTCTTATGACAGGCGCTGGTTAGATCCGTATGCGTGCCCTAGCAGGTCATATCCACTCGACTAACCGGGTTCCGATTCGAATGAAAGGCGGTTCTCGCCGCATTCCTCGGCGAGCAGATGTTGATGTAGATCTTTGAAGTCCGATCCTGCAGATCATAGTGGCGTCGAGGATGCGGCCTCACTATCCCGAAATGTCGCTCAGGAACTGCTCTCGTGATGTCTATTCTTGGCGTGCCTCACTGTGCGAAGGGAACAGGAGCAGCGGTCCCGGCCCAGTGGTCAGTCACGGGTGAGTTTGGCTTGGATATTTGATGAATATACGATTGAAAATCTGCAGCTCCAGTCCGAGCAGATAATCCGAGGCTAAGAAAGCCCTGAACTTTGTATGGCAGTGCGTGCCTGAAAGGAGGCACTGAGGTCATGCGCTGCATTGCTGAGACTCTCCGGCAGTCTAAACGTTTCACCCAAGCTGTTGCAGATTAGACATCTGGCGGGATCGTATTCAGCGACGCTGAGGCACTCACGGTGCGATGTAGCCGTCGTGTGTGAAGCGAGGCGACACGAGACCGTCAGGCCATCCTAGTCCTCCCGTGGTGAGATGCTTCATTCGAACTCGGAGTGCTATGGATGAGGCTCACGCTCAGATATAAAAACAGGCCCTATTTTTCCTCGTCTCAGCAGTTCACGACTTCGTCTAAGGAACTTTTCCAACCACACAACCTCGTTCACCACCCAACACCAACACCTCATCTCACAATGTTCACCTCCCTGATCGCCCTGGCCGCCCTCGCCCTCCCAGCCTTCGCGCAGAGCTATGTCAGCGTCTCGTACGACACCACGTACGACAACTCCGCGCAGTCAATGGACACCGTCGCGTGCTCTGACGGCGTGTACGGCCTCGCCTCCAAGTGGCCCACGTTCGGGTCGGTCTCCAACTTCCCGTACATCGGCGGCGCGCCCGCCATCACTGGCTGGGACAGCCCTTCGTGTGGCACGTGCTGGGAGCTGACGTACAGCGCCGGTAACATTGACGAGACGATCTACGTCACGGCCATCGACGTGGGGGAGGACGGGTTCAACCTGAGCGAGGAGGCGATGAACGCGCTCACGGACGGGAACGCGGTCGCGTTCGGGAGGGTCAGTGCGACTGTCACTCAGGTCGCCACTTCAAACTGCGGCAACTAAGGATTTGGGAGCGCGTCGTACGTTCTAATCGCGTGTTGTCGGAACAAAGTGCTGATATTCAAGCTGGTAGCCCGTTGGGGAGACTTCACGGATGACATCATAGGCACGGACTCAATTGACATCACGGACTATCACGGACTTGCTCTCAAGGGACTTTGTTGTATAACTCGGGTACTTTTGGGACTATGATACTGAGCACACAGAAACAGCATCTACGTTCATACTGGACTGTCTACTTAGTACTGGCGGGCATTTCATGATGCGTACTGGTTATTCTGATAGTACTTGTAATACTTTGATGTGAGCAGATCATTTGCTGCTGACGTCAGTTGTGACGATAAGCACCCTTCTTTCCTGTCCCGAACGTTGCGATGCGTTTGAGTTTAGATTGAGTTGTCGAAGGGGTGGACAACGGCGGCGGCGTGGGTTTAGATGACGGAAGGTGAAAGACGCTCTCGGTACTCGGATGGCCACTTTCAGGCGACTACCTCTGACTGCCTCCGCCTCTTCTCTCTCCCGCATTCATTCCGGGATGTCGCTCATCTCGCTGATCGCACCGGGATCCCAGCCTTTCTCGTATCATCTCCCATCGCGTCACGAGGCCTCCATTTCCCAACACGCCGGCGTCAACCAGATGGACATAAAGTCAACACAATGTGCCCATTTGACAAGCTTTGCATTCGACCTCTTCGGGAGTCCAGTTCCGCGTCTCGCCACGCGTCATTCTGCAGCCTGTACCTCACGGGTTGGTCATTGTTGGAGGACTACGTCACCGCTTCTGCACGCGGAAACAGACTCACACTCCGTCACCTTGGCTCATCATTTTTGGCCCACCCTCCAAGTTTCTTCCGCCGTACGCTGGAACACTAGACACCCTCGTTTGTCGCCGAACCTTAGAATCGTTCGCAGAAAAAAGTGAGCAGGCGTACAGTGTCTTACTTAATGCAAGCAGCGAGGTGCTCAAATTTCCCTCAGGCTTATGAAACAAGACTATCATGGGCTCTATCGCTCGTACGACTGCCGGTCACCGTCCACCAGAACTATGCGTTGAACTGTGGACGCTCATCTTCGACTTTTCAACATATGTCAGTGACATCTACGAGCCAGAGTTCTACGATTACTCCGAGCGAATAGGCCCGCTCAACGTCGACCCTCACTGCAAGCCAGCGTTCAAGCAATCGCTCGAAACGCGGCGTTTTATACCGCTGGTATGCAAGGCTTGGTACAAGCTTTCCATCCGCTTTCTATACCGATCGTTGTGGATAGAAGGCTTTACCACACTTCCTTCCCTCATCACGACGCTCTCGTCATCCGGTCTGGAGAAGCGTGATGGAGATCCAACCCTTGGTCTGTACACGGAGAGGATCGACGTCGTTTTTCCGGCCAGTCGGGCGATTGACGCAACGGAGCTCAAAGGCATCGAGGGCTTGTCCAATCTCACGAAGTGTCTTCCCAACCTCTCCGCAGTCGTCTTCGCGGCTTGCCGCCCCACCATTACCCACTTCGACCTTCCTCACGAAGTCATCGACGCCATGTACAACTTGGGCGCACGTCTAAAAATTATCGACTGGCGCAATTGCCACATGAGAGTGTCAGTATCACAGGTCCAAGGGCTTTTCTCTTCCGCACCCAACCTCCGCCACTTCTCCTGCTATACATTTGTTTCCGCAGACTCCGCAGCGCGCCACCCGCTCCCCATGATGTCATCCCTATCGACATTCTCCTACCGCCACTTCAAAGGACAGCTCAACCTTGACCCAATGTCCATGCCAGCACTCCGGCACCTCGTCGTCGAGTCCTCGAGAGCGCCGCTGCCCGTCTGGCACGGCTTCCTCGAGGCTTACGGGCACCAGGTCAGATCTGTCTACTTTTCATTAAGCAGCGAGGAGAAGTTCCAAGAGGAGATAGACAGGATCGGCGCATCATGCCCCAACCTGGAGCGGCTGACGCTGTGCGTGAACACAGGACACCACCTCCCCCGGCATCTCCATCTCCCGCCTGTGCACGTCTTGGGCCTGCGCTTCGACGTGAATACGGCGGTGGACGCCGTGTGGGATTATCTGTGGGGAGTCCTTTCGGACGTGTGCGAGCAGACGCCATCGATACGGACCGTCCAGTTCGTCGCGTTTCCGTTTGGGCAGCTAGGGCAGCAGGTTGCGAGAGGGAAGGAACGGTTCCCGCATTTGCCGATTGAAAACCACTGGGATATGGCGGTACGGGACTAGCGAGCTTATTTTGTAATGTAATTGTATACCTTCTGCCTTACGACATCGTGCAGCCTACAGTGTGTTTACCCAATTTCTTGACCGATGGAAAAACTATCAAAGCAGCCCTTTGTCTGCACGCCTGGCCATGGGACCTCATTTCTAGTCCTATCGTATAATTGGAGAATTATTCACGTCGTGCCTTATTCCACTGCTGCTTCTGATATGTAGATCAAATGCGGACGGTTAATGCGTGGAGTGGAAAGTGGAGTGGATTTTGCGTCAATAGGGGCCAACCTTATTTTTGGGGTTATCGGTTCCAGTTAGGAACGCTTTCCCCATTTTTTTTCGGGTTTCTTCTTAATCTTGGTCTAGATTCTGCCGATATGCCTCCCGAACTTTGGATTCAAATTCACGCATTTGCTACGCTACCTGATGAATCACTGAAGCCAAACATCTCTGACAATTGGGACTCTTGGGTGGTAAATACGTATAAATAAAACACAAGATAACGGATCAAGGCGTACGAATATTGTCATTGGCTGATACTCAACACGTCCATGAAGCCATCCAAGGCAAGTAAAATACTACTTATCCTTTTGGATGTAAATTGGCATAGAGTATCAGTGCTCTATACTAATTTGTGCTTGGGTACTGAAGCGCTGAAAACTGAGCAGGACTAAATATGGCCTGTTGGTTTGAATTAACCTCACTCAGGATGCATGCGCAAACAATCCTTTGGTACATTACCACTCATTTACAAGCGGTGGTACGAGCTATCTATCCATCGGATGTATTGATAGAATCTCCTTGAAGAGACTGATACGCTTTCGTGACTCAAAGTCACAAATCGCCCACTCGTTAAGACATTGGCAAGGCGACAAAATTAGCAAGTGAGTGACTGGTTATGTAAATGAGGTGTTGTGTCCGCCAGAATGTGCGGTGCTTTTGCGACATATATCCTGGGCAACGTTGCTCTCAAGCTGAGATTGGTTTCTCAGACAACCTAGCATCAGTCTCGGAGTCGGAGATCTCGGCCTCGTGGATACCCAAAGTTGAAATGTCGAAACCGTTCTTGGAGAGGTATTGCAGAAACTGCTTGATATGTCAATATTGCGATAACGCTAAAGTGGATGGGACCACTCACCCTCTAATCCTCTTCGGCCATACCGTCGTGAGTGAGCGGCTTCACTAACATAAAGACAACGATAGCGCTGAGAATCGCAAGGCCTGACGTGACCATGATCAAAGCATCACAGTATTAATGTACCGCTTCGAGCACTTACCACTGCCGATCCAGAAAGGCCCAGTCTCCCCCATTTTGCTGCTTGATCCGCCAAAACCTATACTAGCAATTGGAAACGGTACGCGATGATGTAGCCGTCTTCAACGTACTCTCCACAATATAAGGGAACACTGTACAATTCTTAACAAGGTAACGACCAAGACGGTGATACCACGTACCCCCAGTGCCAACGAAGGCACCCACTTTACCGACGGCAGCAACTGCGCCATAATACTGTCCGCGGACCGCTGTGGGGCCGCTCTTTGCGGCCAAGACGCCCAAGCAATTACCGGGACCTGCATTCACGTCAGCAAACTGCGGAGAGAATTACCAGTACCTGCAATTACCAAACTCTCCGAGACTGAGGAATATCCCATAGACAACCTGCAAAAAACTGAATGGAGATACATGTGTCGCGACACAAAAACCTACAGCAAATGCAGCTGTTGGGTGTATAATCCACACATGATGAAACCAATGACAGCCTGAAGTAGGAGACCAATTATCTGACAGAACATCTGTCAGTCAAAAAGGGTGACCTATTGAGATATCATTACCATAGTGACTTTGGGACCAAGATAGTCAATAACGAATGCGCCGATCACGGTGCCGGGAATGTAGAATAAACTACAGACAGTTGAGCAGGTATGGCGTGTGGTAGCCGGAAGTCTCACTTAATAACCACGTTGAAACCGAATACAACGGTGAGGGAAGAGTCTCCGCCGGTAATTCTGGGACGAATATGATCATACGCCCAAAAGTCGGGGGAGGAAAGACGTGAACTCGCGCGTCTGTGATGGTGGACGCATAAATTCCAAACGTTGCCCCGGTCAGTCAATGAAATATGCGCGATCTGAGACAACCTTACGGGGTAGGTAATGAAGTCGTAGATGAACCTGTCCATGATAGTCTGTCCCACGCACTCTAGGTGATGTTCATGAGTTTACGCACCAGGCAATGGAAAGGCCGAGGAAACTCTTCCAATATCGCTTGATGATAAGACTGTACGGGATGCGCACGTTCTTCATGGAGGACTTCTTGTAGCGTGTGGGTTCTTCCATCTTCAGGCGCCAAAAGAAGACTGCCATGGCCGGGATAAAGCCAAGGCCCAGAGACATCCTCCACGCCGCGCGCAGGTGATTATCGCCGAAACTTGGGAAATAATTCAGAATAATAAGTTTCGTGATATTGTTAATGATCCCGCATCCAGTAGAGCACCAAAGGCACGAAAGCACCAATAACAAAACCAACATCGAGCATGGTGTCTATAGCACAGTATCAACACGTCCTGGGTACAGGAAGCAATGGTTCTCACTGGTATCTAGAATAAGCCAACGATGCTGGGAAAACTTCGCAATACCCGGCTCCTCAGACTGTTCCGAGGCAGAGACTGAACCACAGGGGTATTCAGCTCCAAGACCAATACCAAGCATGAACCTAATTGAACGACTCCCAATTCACGTGAAAGTTCATGTTCTGCAGAACAATACTACATACCGGCAGAAACTGAGCATAGCTACAAGACCGGATAGGCTACCATGTGCACCTGCAGACGCAGCGGAGAGGAGGGAAAAAATGCGATGATGCTTGTGGCAGAGATCTAGAGAGCGAAGTTCAGGCCCAGGAAAACAACCCAAGACTACTTTTGAAATCAACAAGACGTGCCATGCCAAATTTGCGCCCAAGTTTATCGGATAGCCAGCCAAACGCGAGCATTCCGACAACAAACCCTAATAGAGCAGATAAAATGGCTTTCAGGATAGGACATTGTGATCTGCATAAGGGCGCACCAGCAAACGCAACGCTACTAAGAGTGTTGCTGTAATCAGTACTGCTATTGAGGGCGGCGGCACCATAGATGCGTGTCAAGTCTACGGCACATGTCAGCTGGCCATGTACGTAGAGCTTGCTCATCTGGATAAGGAGAGACGTACAGGTGTTGACAGCAACTCACCAGAGCCAATAACATTATTGGAGTAACCTATACAGTAAGTTGAGGGAGAACTGGTAGCTCGGGGTTGAATGGACGGAAATGTGAGTTACCGTCGGAAAACAGGGCAGTTCCTCAGCTAGTCAAGATGCTCTAGATCAGCAAAGCACGGTAGAGAAACGACCCAAGATGTAAACAGCCACTTACGCAAAAATGAGGGAGACCTGAGACAGCTTTGGTTTCGTGGTTACGTCGGCCATTGTTGGAGCAATGAAGTGGGAAAGGCAAGTCGGTGAGGGGCAAGTAGGTGTGCCCTTTATCTGCCAACTGCTAGTGACGGACTATCCATACGTTACTCTAGCTCTATCTGATCTAAGATTTTTGTTGACGAGTCGGGGCCTCCCATCACTTCCAGGGGCTCTTCTCGCATTCCCATTGGTCCAATGTAGCACACGTTCCTTGACACGTTCGTCCACAAAGGCATCACTTCGGCTGGTCGTATGATTTTAGACTCGATAAGACCGGAAAAATACTCACTCCTGGTACAATCAACATCTATAAAAGCTGGGACCCAGGTCGTATTTTGCTGCGGAGATCTTCGAGCCTTGCTCACTCAGACGAGCCTGGCAACTGACTGGATCCTTCAGATTCGATACTGACTTACGTGCGTGGTAAACATCTGAGGGTGGTCTAATAGGAGGTAAGAAGCTCTAACATACTGTTGGGACCATCCAGGGATGAATGGCAGGATTCGCCCTGAGCAAGACGTGAGACGTTATGTGCTGTGAAAAGGCTGGGAGTATACCTTGTGGGAAGCCACGACAGGGGCTAAAAACCGTTAGTGGTAAACCGGTAACCACGGACTGGGGTTAGGGCAAGCGTGGCCAACTGTTCTCGAGCGCCAAGTCGCACTGTACAGCATCCTGTGCTCAACCTCCATGATCGAAACCGAGGATCTTACTCCACCGTTGACTGATGCATACCGTCTACCGCCAGAACTTTGGCTAAAGGTCTTCAACTTTGCCACGTTGGGGGGAACAGAGCTGGAACGCGAGTTTGATACACGGGTAGCAAGGGATGGGCTCTACGACAATGACCGTGTAGGCCATGTTTCTTCTCTCAAGCGAGCGCAAGCTGCTCGCCTCAACATCGCCCTCGTATGTAGGACATGGTACGACCTATCCGTTCACCACCTATATCGTTCAATGCGGGTCACGAGACCTGGTAATCTGATTCCCCTCACGAACACACTCTTGAAGCCGCTCCCAATAACAGCAGACGAAACCCCTCGTCGGTTGGGAGAGCTTACACAACGCCTGGACATCGTCCTCCACTTCTCGTGCGTCAAGAAGGGAGATGATCCACCACCGGATGATTCCCGCCCAAGTCTACCGGAGTTTTTGATATCCCTTCCCCGTCTCACCAGCCTTGTGCTTGATTGCCAACTCGTCTCGTTACCCAGTCCCTTGCCAGTGGCTTCCAGTGAATTCTACGTCCCTTCCTCCTTGATAGATGACCTCTGCACCCACATGTCCGGGTTGACATCTCTTGAGATACGCAGGCTCTCCCTTCACTGGAGGGATGCAGAACGAATATTGCGGCGCATCCCTGACCTTCGTACCTTGTCTGGCACCTACATTGGCTTCCCAGCGTCTTTTGATAGTCCGGGTCTTTCATCGCCTTCCATTATTCCATCCCTCCACACCCTTTCGCTCAAGAGCATGAACCACCACACGCGCGTTGAGCCCAACTGTCTTCCGAATTTGCGCCATATCACACTTAGAGACGACAGATTTCTGAACGACACACGCAACGAATCATTTTTACGGTCCGTTGGACACACCCTCGACACTGTTCACTGCGCCATCGGAGACAGGAAGATTCAGTCGCGAATTTGGAAGATAGGCAGATACTGCCCTAACTTACAGCGTCTAGTGCTCTCCATACCAGAACGCACCTTCTTTGATTCCCAGTCTTTCCCTCTGCCCCTACAGCTCGCGCTTCCGCCGATCACATGCCTCGGACTGAGGACGTCTGCCTCTGCAGACTCGTCCGATGACGTCTCCTACACGCATATATGGCGTTCGCTTCGAAAGATCCACAGGCTCGCCCCATCCGTCGGCGTTGTCCAGTTCCTGAACATTGACGTTTGTCACGGGGAGGCGTTGGAGAACGTTCCTTCTGATTTACTACATCTGAAGTTCGAGTACTACTACAGGAATTAAAGCCTTTACGCGTCGGAACCATACGGCTTGAAAAGCAGTCTTACTTTATACCTGGCCTAACGTTGCTAGCTACATACAGCCTTTTTGATACGGGCTCAAACTTATGGCTTCATCGTTACAGATTGTACTCTAGTGTATTCTGTTGAAATTCATCATGCATATTGCTCACACCAAATCTCAAATTCGCGAGTTCGGACCGAAATTGCAAACGGCGTGGACGATCGCTGCCTCCGTCTCGACGTCGGTATCGATGACCCTTAGCACTCGTTTCCTTCTGCCATTGGTCCAGGCGCCCTAAACATCTAGATTACTTTGAAACCACTTGTACGGAAAAGGCGTCAGCACCCGGGAAAGGCCGACCAGAGACCGATTCGTGCAGCTCATCGACACCTAGACCGGAATATGAATGTATGAGACGTAATAGGCGTGGAGGAGTGGAAGGACGTGGCAAAGAAAACGCAACTAGAGCCTACCTTGTGTTTGCATCGCGTCTTGCCTTGAAGCAAAGGCAGACGGTGTACGTTCTTCTGCGGCCAGGGTGCTGAATCAAAAGGTGCCCATCTTGTTCGCAGTCCCGTTGCAAAGTCTCTGACGTGTTATATTAGATCGGAGACCAGCAGCGAGCGTTGCAAATGCCGTAAATAGGCGGATCAGCAACATTCATTCCGAACTGGAGTCCGTGGTTCCAGGACCGAGCGCCGAATGCGCTAGTACGCATTTGGTCAAATGCCGACCTGCGTCATATTGTCCTTTGCTGCGTTAACGTTAGCGCACCGTCACATGTCTACCGTCCCCGACGACCATATACGTGCCGGCGCGCTGACTCGTGCCTTTGCTCTGATTCGCGGAGCCGGTGATACAGAAAACACCCCAAACCTGAACGGAATGACTCGAGAGGATAAGATTATGGGCTCGGCGCGATTAAGCTTTCAGTCTCTTAAGCTTTAGCTTTAGCTTTTCAGAGCTCAGAGATCTGAGTCGAACCTTCATAAACAGCACGGACCTTACCGCGTATAGTTTTATTCGCCTATCCACCCACCAGTGGGCATCCAGGGCAGTGTGTGGGTCGACACGCCACCAGTCGGCGGTCGATAAACCTCAGTAGGAAGGGCGCTCTGCAGCTGTCGCGAGCATTTGAGTTTCGCGCCAGCATCGGGAGATTGGCAGGTGGCGTTAGCCTGTTTTGAGAAAGACAAAGCTTGGGCGAGCAGGGCCACCCCGACTCCGAGGAGTGCGAGGAGATACGCAAAGGGACGACGGCGCGACATCGAGAAGGCCCGCGGTCGGGACTCGGTATGGAGGTGCGACATATTGGCTTTTGTCATGGGACACTGTCACATGGATATCTTAGCCTCGATCAGGGACGCTCAACGACCCACCCTCCAATCTACACGCCGGGGCCGAGAAGACAAATTGTTCGTTCCGTGAAGTTCGGAGTGGGGGTGAGGTGAAGCCAAGCACTGAAGCAGTCCTTGAGATGGTGACTTTCAAAGTGGGTCGCCTGCTTGGCCGAGACACCACGTTAGATTAGGGCTGGCCATTTTAGATCTCACAGGTACATGTTCAATTAACGCTAGAACAGTAATAATTACAATGAAACTGATGACAGGTCCACTTAGTATATTCGACTTCAAACATAGGATACGGTGAACTCACTTCATGAAACAGGTATCATCATATTATAGGCAGTATTGCACTATGCGCTTGGGTTCTCCGAGATTGATCAAAGCTTCACTTGGAACAAAGGCACCTTCAAGAATACCGCCTCGTATCTCTCCATCAAGCTTCCAAACGCGAGCAGCGGCTCCTTCGAAACGAACCACAGGCCCGTAAGGACAGGCAGCGCAACGGCAGCCGCCGCGACCTTGCGTCCGCGTGGTCCCAGACCCTGCATACCGCGCATATATGTAGCACGAAGAATGTTAACGCCTTCCATCCAGTGCGTCGCAATACTGGCAATTAGGCCCGCATACAACGCCCAGTTCTGGATGGGGAAGCGCGCGAGTCCGGTTTTGACGAACTCCCAGTCGAGCTCGGAGGGGCCGACGGCGCCGATGGGCATTGTCACGTCCTCGGGAATGAGGCGGTGTAGTGCGACGTGCACGGGGTAGAAGATGAGCGCGCTCCATGCGGAGACGGTGAGCGCACTCCGGAGGGGGCGGAGCCGGGTAGGCGCGATGAGGCGCTTGACGGAGGCAGAGAGGACGTGGATGGCGAGCGGAGCGACCCAGAGTGCTTTCTCGCCGAGCTCGGTCTGGTAGTACTCGCGGCCGAGGAGCTGATGATTGGGTTAGGTTGGGTGCATATATGCGCTATGAGATGGGCCACGCACCATCATGTTCGAGGCTGCATGCGAGCCGCCGACATTCGCTGAAATAGGCGCAGACAGATGCACGAGCAAGAAGACGGAGAGAAAAGGCGCTGAGCCGTGAGCGAGCTTAGTGAGGACCGACATCATCTTGGTGCGGAAGCCTTTGGGTTCCTTCTCATCCGACATTTTTGAACTGTTCTAGTTGGATGGGTAATGTAGGTGAGAGTATCTCGAGCAGAAAGCGTGAGTCAAGAATCTTTTGAGAAGTCTGCTGAAGCTCACCTATGAGATATACTGTAAGTCGATGTGCTGGTGGTTGCGCGTCGTGTTGCCGAAGGCAAGATGCAAACGTGTGGCCCGACGCCCGATCCCGGAGCGCCCACGTCGCGTCGCGTCATCAAGCTGACCTTTAAAACCAGTAACCAATCAACAACATTCTATTACCGTGCGTAAGCGATCTGCAGCTTAGCGCTCATTGATGCATCTCGCGCCGCCCCCCACCCAACAGCGAGAGCTACGACGCATCCATTGACATCAGTAACAGGGCGGCTCCAGCCAATATTTAACGTTCATGGCACCACTGACACTTGCACTGACAAGTAAACATCGCGCCAGCATTCACCGGGTCCAAGTAATGCCTGCGCAGTACCCAGCTCAGGCTAGAAAGTTTATCACCGCCGACGCCCGAGCCCGTAGGAGCCCGTGGCCAACTTTTGTCTTCTGAAAGCTCTGATATGATCGACAAGCTCTGATCCCCAACGCGAACCGGTAGCGCATGGCGCGAGATCGCGTGCGGCTAGTCCTGCCCGCCGCCTATACCTCCCTCTGCCTTCCAAGGTTCAACTTGCTATAGCTAGTAAGGTTCAAGGGGCTCCAAAGCAGACGTGACGTGTCTGACAGTCTGGCCACCCGCCGCTCAAGTTCACGAGGTTTGAGGGAGTCCGACTCGGTAGGTAGGTTGACTGACAGATCCGCCGAAGATTTACCTCGACCTCGACGGGTGAGTCATTCAGTTCAAAGGTAGGCTACTAAGTACTAGATACGCGGGACTCGGGGGCTTGAAGTTACCACTGCCTCTAAGCACCATCACAAAGGAGAATATCGACCTCCACTATAATCACATTACTGAGCCGCCGTGTTCGAATTAACTTTACAATGAGTCATAATACAGTATACAGAAGAAGACGCGTCGCAGTCACGAAATGAAGATCCGATATCAAACTCCACTATAATCACATTACTCGGCGTGTTCGGTATGTACAATAAGTCGTATACAGAAGATGCGTCGCAGTCGTATTGGTGTAGTGTCGGGGGGCGCAAACAGCAGTCACTCGTGCACACCTGGATGAAGCAAAGAAGCCAGGCGGCACATTAGAAGTGGGCGTAAATTAAAGGCAGGTAGCGCGATCAGGGTGATGGGCACGAGCAGATATTGACGTATCAACGCGGGGAGAAATGGGAAATGAACTGATAAAGGCAATGTGGAGAGGAGGAAAGGGCAGGGAGGAGGGAGAGAGAAGGGTAGAGGATGGAGGGGCGCATGTGGATTCTATGGCTACATTAAAGTATAATCAATAAGATTAGGCGTATAAACACACGAGGAAACAAAAACAAAAAACAATGAAGATCATTCTGTGGCGTACTCTACGATAGGCACATGCCCACCGCTACAACAAAAACTCGCATAGCGTACCAGCGCCTCGCGGGCCCAGACTAGTGGCGCGTCAACTCGACGGGCGTGTCCCGCCTCTCGATGAGCTCGTGAATGTCCACCTGGCCGCTCTGGAGACTAAAGTCCTCGTCCAGCAGCGTCGAGCCCCACATCCCACCGGCGTCCTCGTGGTCGCCGCCAGCGTAGGCATAGCTGCCACCGCCATCGTCAACGCCGTACTCGTAGCCATAGCCGTAGTTATCGCCGCTGACGAAGGGGTCGCCGACGCGGAACGCGCTGATGCCCCCGCCGGGCAGGATGCCGCTCTCCATGAGGCCGGTGTGGTAGTTCGTCAAGTCGACCACGCCACCGTTGCTGTATCCAGCTCCAACGCCGACAGAGCCCTCCGAGCGACTGCGGTACAGGCTGGGTGCGAGATGGTCGAGCCCGTAGCCGCTGGCGTTGGCGTGGTCCGCAGGAGTGTAGGCAGCGTGAGCGTGCGAGGTATCGTCGTACCCAGGGAGCCCCGCGCCATTCTCGCCCTCGCCCTCGTAAAAACGGTAGATAGGCGCAGGCTCGGACCGAGCTGGTGACGCGAGCTGTTTCTTGGCCGCCGTCTCCATCGCGGGAGCTGCGACGGGCTCGACCGCCTGCGTCGTGTAAGCAGGAGGAGGGATCGGTGGGCTCGCTGGTGTCGGCAGGTGGTTCGACGCCGGGGAGGTGTCCGAGGGCGATTCTGCTAGCGGGTAGGAGAGGTCGAGGTCCTGAGACGAAGTAGAGGGTTCGCTCGCAAGGCCGTTCCAAGTTGTAGCAACGTGCGCGAGTGGGGACACGTGAGGTTCGGGAGGCTCGACAGGAGGGTACGCGGAGTGAATGCTAAGTGGCGAGACAGTGGCAGGCTGGTAAGCAGCGCCGGGATTCTGAGTAGGGCTCGAGTAGGCATCGTTGGGAGGAAACGTATACGTAGGATCCTAGATACGAGACAACAGTTAATCATGTGAAATTCGGACAGACGGGACAATGAATCTCACTGGAGTGGGAAGGTACATATAATTCAGAGGCGACGGCGTGTAGTCAACCGGGAGACTGCCCGTCGAGTACGCCCCGTAGGGATGAGGCACGGGCGGCGGACGCACAGGCGTGCGGAACGGACCAGACACATGCGTTGCGAGCGACCTAGACCGCCGCATATTCCGCGAGAGAGAGTTAGATGGCAGCAAAAATTGTGGATACGCCGTAGGCGGCGGGAGCGAAGCACGGCGCCGCGCAAGGAGCTCTGCGTCTTCACCGTCATCAACAGCGCTCAGGACCTCGAGCTCAGTAGGTGTGGGCGAAATGTGTCGGGAAGGCGCCTCGCTCGCACAAGTGCTAGCCGGGGTAGACTGAAGCTGAAGTCGAGGCCGTGACAACGTAGAGGCTGCCCAGCACTGCTCGTAAACCTGAGATGGGTGTGCGTCGCCAGTAGACCTGGAATTGGGCTTTGCGGGGCGGAACTTGTACTCAGGGAACGTCTCCTGGTGCACCAGCGCCTCTTGCTTGGCTCTGATCTTCCACTCCTCTTTCGCCGCCTCGGGCAACGCGCGCCATGCTTCCGCCGCGCGCTTGGATAGCGTCTTCGCGGGGAGGTTGGGCTTGCTGCTACCATCCTTGTTGCAGGCGGCAGCTGCGGCGTTGTCGAGTTTGTGCTTTTCGGTATAGTCGCAGCGGAAGATGATGAAGGCGTTGCGCGGGCGGGGGATGTAGTTTGGGTCGTCAGCTGCCTTGCGCGAGAAACGGCGGATGGTAGATGGTGCCTTGCCGGTGAGAGATGGTTTCGACGACGGTTGAGAGGATGACGGGAGGTTGGGTGTCGGCGGGCGGGTGGAGATGGGTGGGGTATCATAATTTAGGGACGGCTGAGCAGCAGCAGAGGATGGAATGGAAGGTGTCGGTCTCGCTAGTGGGAACTGGGAGGGAACATAGGCCGGGGGTTCGCAGTACGACATGGGGTAGGATGGGACGGGAGCGTCTCCCTGATGATGGAGGAGAGCAGGACACCACCCGTGAACTTGATTCTGAGCCATGCCTAGAGTGGGGGAGGAGGGGGGAGGAGAGGGAGCTGCGAACGCCAGAGAGGTGTCGCGGGGTAGAAAACGGGGAGAGGGGGGAAGGCTAAATGGGACAAGTACGAAATTCGTGGGGCCCGTCATGCCTTTATAAGAGGTCGATCGTCAGGGCAAAGGCGAGGCAACGTCCCGGTAGAAAGAGAGACCCACAGGCGACGTCGACCTGTCATAGAACCGACGCAAATAGGCGCGGCGGAGTGACTAAATGGGCTGCATAATTAAACGCCCAAAATATCGTAGCAGATCACTAGCAGATCCCGCCAGATTTGATCATACACCCGATCCATTATTGAGATCAGGGTAATTGCCATTTTGTCATCCCGCCCTCGCCTGTTATTGTTTGGCGCCCGCGACAGCCTGCGACCCGTCGATGGTGCACGGAAGCGTCACCAGGGTGAAACCTCCGCCCGGGTGCCCGCTTCATGACGTACCATGCGCATCCACTTCTCCGTCGTGAGGGGGTACTTGGTTCTCCATATGTCGTAAATGCACAGACCTTCGACAACCCCGACAGCAACTCGGTTGAAAGGGCACAGTATATCTTGATAATAAGCTGCATTCGTCGTCGCTATCTTCACGGTTCGAACACCCGGGAATCTGGCGCTCGTACCATTCTACTTAGCTGCTGACGCCGCTGCATCGCCTCGCGAGCTCGATAGAGACAAAGGAAGTCAATGCGTTGGAGCTACCAGGGGAAATGAACTCCACGCGAGCCTGCGACGAGTGGTCGAAGAACTCACGAAGCTGATTGCCTTTCGATGCTGTGCCAGGGACCGTCCCCGCTGGCTGCGTGCAAGAAGCAAAGAGCAAGGCTGATTGCCATGCTGCTACCATGAGCACGCAGCTTCGCGGATACGGAGGTTCTTCTTCTGCTCGTTTCTGGTCTGCTGCTCTCCTTCTGCTGTGTGTTCCCGTCATTTCGTGGCTACCGAGGAATGACCGATCTGCTGCCTGCACGCTAGCGCATACGATCGGTAGCTACAATCCCGAGGGGATGTCGGAGTAGCCCTCATGACATGAGATATGAGAATGATTACTCGAGAACAATGGAGATGAAGTTGGAGGGAGTCTGGAACGGAGGCTGGAGGCACAGGTGCCATTGGCTAGCGACGGGACCTGCCGAACCCGACCGACTCCCGATTAGGCATTTCGTCGCTATGCTGTGTTGCCCAGATGTATGTGTACCTGCCTCAAATGGCAACCGTGGAGACCCCTACACCAGCAACAGCCCACCGATTTCTCCAAACTGAGCACTCAATTGTCTCGCTTTCAGAGCAATCGTGTGCTCTATGTCGGAACCTTATCCAACAGACAGGGAGCTAGTCTTCGTGAAGCTTGAAGGATGAAGCGCAGAACGTCCATGTTTTGTCCAGCTGCCCTCCGAACGTCCTGATGACAGACAAGCACCGCGGATCCCGAGGCTTTAGATGCTCCGAGCCCTTTCGCGCCCTGTCCCGCCGATCAGCCGACGCCGAACCTTCCCCTTATTCGACCAAGCTAGGCTGATCTTCGTCCGCTGCGGGACATTTTTAGGGCAGTCGTTTGGCATCGGCCAACATCGGCCTGTGAGTACGGTGCCCGCTCAACACCTCGCATCAGTATCGCAATATTAGGCGGGCTCAAAGTTAACGCAGACAACATGCCTGACAGCATGACCCGCCTGTTAGGCGCGCGCTTGCAATAAGCGCTCTCATTGTGCATCTCCGCCGACCTGGAGCAGCACTAGTGGCGTCGGATGGACGAGTCTTTGGCTCACCCAGAGTATAGACCATATGCCTCCTTCACCCTGATTTTCCTTCTTAGATGAACAGGTGGCTACCTAAACAGCGTAAGCACCGGCTAAGATATAGAACCAAGAAGTAGTTCGAGACAATAGGGATAAAGAGAACGTGTGATGCCTTCTCGATGAGCAGTAATCTGAACAGAACATTCGGTCATTTACACCGCAAATGGCGTGAGGCCTAGGTTCTCGTGATCAGAACTCAGCAATGTTGATGATATTGTGTGCACAGGCCTAATAAACAGATCGCACAGGCATGAACGCCGCAAATAACATGGTTTCTAGTAACAGAGGCCTAGAAACTCGATATACATTAGGAGACAGTGGCAACTAGGAAACGAGATGCGCTGTTGTGTATACACTTGTCTGACACATCCCGCAAGCTTGTAGCCTCGCAATGTACTCCTACTTTGCACTCCTGTTTCATTCTGTGCTTCGAAAAATTCCAGAACCCGCCATTGCTACTGAGTAGGTGCTGCGTAGCATGTTAATTCTGCGCTTCGAAAAGGCTAGAGCGCAGTAGGAGGTATTTTTCAATCAAACTTCCTATGTCAGAGCGGCGATCATGAGTGTATACATGAACGTTGCCGCTATGTACAGTCGATCAGGTTTCACATTTGCAACCGTTAACCGCTCAAAGGGCACTCAAGAAGTCCGCGGATGTTTCTCCTTGTGAAAGTATGCGCTTTACAGTAAACTACAAACAGTGCCTTAGACAGCTTGTCGCTGCTCGTTCACACATATTTCTATCAACATTACCGGACCTGGGCGGTTTTCTACGCAAACGAGGTACATATTCATGGTTATCCATTCTATGTTCTCCGTTACATAGCAGTGTCTACAGGGTGACTAGATTCTGTAATCCGAATCGAACGGCTCGCCGTACTAGTCCAACACAGTCCTAACTCCGACATCGTGACATAGTCCATACATCCAGCATCGCGGTTCTCGGAGCGTAAGACCCCTGCCGCCGGTATAAACGCAGGAGCACATTGTGGTTCGAATACTCGTCATGTGGTGGCAATAAATTTACCCGGTTCTTCGCGCTCCACATGTCGAGGAAAGAGAGCCAAAGATCCGGCGGTAAACCTTCCGGGGATAGCTCTGCTACTAGCCACCTCGAAGGTCGCCAGACGACGGCGATGTCCGGTCCGAGCTGCGCGGATAGGGCCACAAAGTGGCGATCTACAGCACTCAAACACGCATAGAATCGTGACGAAATCGGATCTCTAGGTCCAGGACCAATACGCTTAGAACAGATCGTCTTGGACCCTGAATTCTACCCCCTGGGTCGACCGTCATACTAACATGAGACTCGAATTCAACGCCAGCCGCCCTCGAGCGTTCGCAACCCCGAGTCCGCGGGAAAACGGACGTTACCGTCGTGACGTTCCCGCACAACCCATTGAATGGACGGTGCCAAAACTACCCAAGGTCCGTGCTCAGCGTTACGCTAGAAAGAAAGAAAAATAAATGTCTCCCTTAATACCACCATCCACGAAGAATGCACGCTTACCCATTATCGGCCTGCGCCAGCCCATGCGTGACCCATCCAATATTAATGTCGCGTCGCAATATAAATATGGTGTGGGTCGGCGCAAATTGGCCGTTGCACCGAGCCTCGAGCTGGCTCCCGAGAAAGGTAAAATTGAATGGGGCCCGTGTCTCAGATGCGGATCTGCGGCCTGGTGCGTTGGAGACAGAAATGGAGATGCCGCCGGTTGAGGAGCGTGTCCGAGCCTCCGAGGGGCACGGAGCCAGCACCTGGGGATGCAGTTAGACGGTGTCGATGCGAATGGAGAGTTGTGATAGGCGTCCGGGAGCGGGGTACGTGTTCGAGAGGGTGAGGCAACGGCGGAGAGGATGATGGCCGAGGTCACTGAATTTGGTGGGATGAGATGTTTGAATGATAACACTGAGGAGTCAGGGTTCGGAACGTTAGAGTGGGACATCTCTAGAATATGTTTTATCTTCATTCGAGTGTGTCATACATGCAAGAAACGCGTTACACAGTACAAGGCACTGTCAAGTAGGATTTGCGGCAAGAAGGATTCTGAATAATCATACAACAGACCAAACGTAAAGGCAGCTCCGAAGGTAGTAAACTGCAGCCGGGTGTGTACCTTCTACCAGCACATTTCTGTAAGAAGAAAGGATGAATTAGTTCTCCATCTGACTTAGAGGCGGTTAAGCCTTACCCGAGAAGACCGCCTCGCTCATCATTTACGGTGGAAACAAGTCGTTCCAGCGGTTCACGATAGGGACATGAGGATATCTCTCAATCGCTTCGGCTACTTTTCTGCCGTGTTTGCTGTCCGGGTGAACAACGAACTCGATAGACTGGATTGACTGGTTGTGTTGGTACAGGGCGTCAAGTGAGGGCCAAAAGGAGGAATAGTTCTGGTCCTCCAGTGTAGGAGGTCTGATTGCTGAAATACGGATCGCTGGGAGCTCGACCAGGGGAAGTTTGCACATGCCCGGGAGGTTTAGCGTAAGACGTTCTAGGCGGGGACAGAGAGACATAAGGCACTGCATTTCACCGACGAGATCAATGAAGAAGAACGTATTCGTCCCCATTTGGACGGACGTGAGTTGGGAACCGAAAATCTGGAGAAGGGTCTCCCATTTAGTCTCCCAGCTTCTGCAACATCCGCAGTACAAGTGACGGAGCGAGGGGAAGTTTTTACGTGGCATGATGAGGTCGGCCCCTTCGCCACCAAAGGCGAAGGCGAAATTCGTGAGGTAAGGCATCGGCGGAAGTGTTGCGGCCTCAGCCGTCAATGCTCGAGGTTCTCCTGCCCACGTATGTAAGGATAACGAACGAAGATGGGGTGTCGCGCTGCATAGTGCTTTGATTTGAGAAGGAGAGGTTCTCATGAGAAACGAAGACAGGTCCACGACTCTGAGTGAGGCTCCATGGGAACACAGAGCATCAACAATGCAATTTGGAACGACGTGATCCACAAGTTTCACTGATGTTGTCCTGAAATCGACGATGGAGAGGTTGGGGGAGAAGCGGATGATCTGGGAAAGAATCTCAAAGACGAAGGAGATATCGGCCACAGTACCTCTCTCCCCTAGCTCGTGCCGATCTGGGAATTCGACGTCTAGACGATGGACGAAAAGTCCAAGCGCGGTATCGATGAACGTCGGATGATCCTTCGACTTTTGCAGAGTTGCCGCCAGCGACCTGAAGGTCGAGGTACTGTAGACACGCAGCGACTTGTAGAGGAAGCGTATCGAAAGCTTGTACCATGATTTAGAGACTAAGGGGAGGGACCGGCGAGTCAAAAGAGACACTTCCAAGGGCAACTTGAATGGGACGTCCTCCGGGGGGTGAACGGGATAATAGGCCGACGTATAGTCGTAGATCTCTGGCACGAACACATCGTTGACGAATGTCGAGATGTCAAATATTTGCATCCACAGCTCTGGTGGTAGTGTCGGAGATGAGGTGACTTCTGGTTCAATGACGTCTAAGAGATGATCCTAGATACGACAAATTCTTAGTACGCGTTGAGCTGTTCAGACGAGAGGACGTACCATAGCAAGACAGGGTAGTAATTCAGACGACGGGCTGCAGTCAGACTTCTGAGCTCAGAGATAACCGCTGGAAGATGCTTGTCTCTGAAGGCTCTGATGGGACTGAATCTAGCCTTCCGTGTGCAGACTTTTCAAAGGCGTTTATTACTGTTTACAAAATTTGAGGCGGTCAACTTCTCGAACCAGCCACTCCAAAAACAGCTCCTCTTCAAAATATCCAACTCCGCAAAGGGCGGAGTCACATGCCTAATATCGGCATCTGTTTTCCCCGCTACATATAACTGTACACAACAGCAAACGTTAACGATGAGTGCGTCGTCCTGCGTCGTGAGACGGATTGCTATCTGTCGCTTCAGATCACCCAGTTCATTTCAAGTTGGAGGTTGAAGCCATAAAGTGCGAGCTCTGTCCTGAAGATGACAGAGCAAAACAGACTTTCTGGTAAGCCTCTGTCCTCTTCGGCATTCGCTGATGCAGTCCTGAGGTCGAGAATTTCGTACGATCTATTATAGAGGCACCGTTGAACTTCGCTTCTACCAACGAAGCTTTCTTCAACGAATCGGCCCAATCCTATAACCAGCGCCCGAACGTCGACCAACATGTCAAGGTGCTCGTATCTCTCTTCACGGCCTATGCAGACCTATTCGCATCAGACAAGGAGCCGACAATGACCATGATGGATTTTGCGTGTGGCACAGGTTAGTTTCATCCAATGAGAAGATTTAACACTTCTTATGCGGCGATAGGTCTCATCTCCAAGGCGCTTCAGGACTACACGAAGCGAATCGTCGGCGTTGATATCAGCCAGGCAATGGTTGACGAGTATAACAAGACATTCGCCGGTTCTGGTAGAGATATATCAGCTCGGTGTGTCAACCTTCTTGAAGAACCTAATATGCTCGGTGAAAAGTTCGACATCGTCGTTGTATGTTATTTTTTCCTTGACGTGGACGACCCCCACTTACAACCCACCGCTTTCTATCATGATTAGTGTGCATCCGCCTACCATCACTTTGAGGACGTCGATGCGTACACGCGTTCTTTGGTCGCCCATCTCAAGCCCGGTGGATCCCTCCTAGTTGCCGACCTTGTCAAGCCTGAATCTGCCTCGGACGACGGGAATCCGTCGCTTGCACATGACGGCGATCATCATCACGGACATCATGATGGCAGTCAAGCCCACCAGCACGCTCATGCTCCAGTTCGTGGGCATGCCGATCTCTTCCCCAAAGAAGTGCACCATATCGTCGCTCATCGTGGTGGGTTCTCCAAAGAAGATATGGAACGCACTTTCAAGGCTGCCGGCCTAGAGGAATTCTCCATGAAAGCCACTAGCAGCTCAGCGCAGATAACCATGCATGGTCGACATGTAAGGCTCTTCGTAGCTCGTGGCAATGTCAAGCGCGACGCCCCTCCGGCGGATTGATTACCTGTAGGGCAGTTGAATAAGACGTAACGTTAATGCAGAAATTATCTTGGTGATGTATCACTGTTACTTTACGGCAAATGTAACATACGTATGTAAGAACCTGTCAAAATGTTCTGGAAAGTTGCTAATCTCAGCATCACTAGGTGTTCCTTGAAGGTCTTCTGTTTTAGTTCGAATCTTAATGCCGTACCCAGGACGAAGGCCGTCAGGTACGCATCAGACACCGAGCCGCCACGAGGACAGTGCAAAGAATAACGACAGTACGACGATCTCATGACGACTCGGGCCTGAGATATAGGAGAACAGAGGGGCCCGCCGTCCACACTCCGCCTCCTCCCATACTCACTTTCTCCCATCGTCGAGCACCATGAGCGAGCAAGATGTCAGCCATGCCAACAAGGCTTACTTCGACGGCTCTGCTAGCGATTTCAATGAACAGCACGATAATCGACACCGGGCGCAGAGCATGGCAAACGAGATCCTTCGCACGCATGGGAATCTGTTCAAGCCGGATCAAACGTCGGTGCTCGACTTTGCCTGTGGAACGGGTACGTCCGAGCCTTTGCGCTTACTGTTATCTCCCTGCATCTTTGCAACGTGAGGACTAACTGACTATGATATATGGCAGGCTTAGTGTCGCAGGTGCTCTTGCTGCATGCGAAGAGCGTTCTCGGCGTCGACATTAGCTCCGGAATGATCGACGAATACAACAAGATGGCTGCTCAGCTGCAGTCGAATTCTCCCGGAAAAGAGATTTCCGCTCGCGCTGTGGATCTTATTGCGGATCCGGGTGCCCTAGGTGGTCAGAAGTTTGACATCATAACCGTGAGCTCTGTCCTTTCTTACGAGAATCCAGTACACACTCCAGGTTGACCACCCGTCCATTCCCAGTGCGCAGCCTCGTACCACCATTTTGACGATATCGACGCTGTCACCGAGATCCTGTACGAACGGCTCAACCCGGGCGGTTCCCTCCTTGTAGTCGATATGCTCGTCCTCGATCCTGGAGAAGAGCCCGATGTTCATCCTGAGACGGCTATCCAACCGGAGGAAGTGATTCGTATGGTTCCCTACATACATGGATTATCTGAAAACCAAATGAGCAGTGCTTTCGCCTCTGCTGGATTGAAGAACTTCTCGTTGTCGCGCTCGGACCGCAAGCAGGTACGCGTGCATATCCATGGCCGATACGTCACGCTATTTGTCGCACGAGGAGACCGTCCAGCAGTGTAGCACGATCACTTACGAGCGTCGTATTGTGAAAGTCTTCATTTTCTTTCTACAGCTGGAGTACATAAATTAATGAATAAGATAGCACATATATATGCGACGATTTCATACAGATGACCGGGTAAGATTTTCTGGCGACCACGCTAGAAGGTATCACGCGATCGAGAGCTTCCCACCAAACCGTTTCCTCGCCGCAACATCTGCGCGCGTCTTAATCGTTTGAAATGCCTCCCACCAAGCCTTAGCCCGCGCCTCATCCTCCGTATTGCCGACCTTGAAAACATCGTCGTCATCTTCATCCTCGCTGTCCTCCAGTAACTCAATGTTCTCATATATACCCCAAACCCGCCGGAGGATCACAAGCCAGCCCCTGAGGACCTTCACAGCCCTCTGCATCCCGTTGTCACCAGCATCCACGCACCGCTCAACGAACTTGCCAAACCGCTCGATGTCCCCGTCCTGCGGCATCGTATGCTGGCACCCCTTCACCCACACATCGAGCATCCCTAGCACATCGCCCACATCGCCCACAGCCACCTTGACCTTTTCCTCCTTCTTCTTCTCGCCGTCCGGGCCATCCGGTCTGACAACAACGACCTGCCTCTTGAGCGTCGGCCTCTCCTCGTGCTTCCCATACGGCGGCGGCATCTTCGGGATCGCGCGCACCTTGCGTTTCCGGTCCTTGATCACGCGCGGCGCCTCGATCTCCCCGCCCGCTGCGAGGTGACGGGCGGTGACGAGCTGCTCGCGCTGGACGTTGTACGGGAGCGCGTGGTACACCTCCGGCTCGATGGCGAGCGCGCGCAGCTCGTCGTCCGTTGGAGCGAGCGACTTCACGCCACGGTTCTTCTTCGGGGGTGTGACCCAGCCGATGTAGCCGCCTCCGCCTCTTTTGAAGCTTGTGCCTCTTCCTCTGCCGTAAAAACCGGTACCGCGGGTGCTCGCGCCGCCGCCCCGACCACGGGGAGCAAAAAGGCTGTTCTTGCGTGGAGAGATGGAGGTGCGATTATGCGGTCTGAGCTGACGGGTAATCTGCTTCACGTTTACATTCGGCTTGATACCTTTGACGAAGATACGCGGTTTTATAGGATCACCTGCACCAAAAGCCGGAGGAAGTAAGCCTGTCGAACGCTTTTCAGGAGACACTGATGCCCCAGTGAAAGGTGATCTAGGGCGAGAGACGGACCGCGAGCGAGAACGGCGCTCGTACTCGGAATTGAGCTCACTCCGAATACTCGCAGGTAGAGCATCGAAGACGGATCGATCAACTTGCGAGAAAGAGGGCAGATCAAACTCGTTTGTAGTTTGATTACCTTGATTTGGTGGCAGCTTGGCTTCAGGGCTCGGTTGACGAGGAGGCGGAGGCGGAGGAGTCTTGAAGCGCGCCTGCTGCTGTTGCTGTGGAAATGTCTTGGATGTCGAAGCAGTTGGAGCTCCATCCATAGGTTTCGTAGGACTGACAGATCCCGCTTTCTGATTCGGCTGAAACAGCAGTTTCCCCTGGCCAGGAGCAGCGCTGGTGGCGCCACCAGACGTACTCTCGAGTTTCGTAATCTGTATCGCGACCCCGCGTAGCTCCTTCGGATCAAACGCGAGGGCTTTCAACAGACACAAGGCTTGTTCTGCTATGTGCTCTGGAGAGCTGGTCGCGCGTCCTTGGGCGTCACCGAGTGGCGCTTGCTTGTTAAAGGTCTCGCAAAGACCATGGCCAAGGAACTGATACGCTGTTATGTATCATCTATGGGATGTAACATTTGATCAGTACACACCTTTGGGGCTTCGACAGGAGCGCTGGGATCGCGCTTCATGATCTTGAGTGTCAACGATCGACCACGCATGTTAATAGCATCCAACCGATGGGAAACTTCCACTGCCATATTTCGGATGAACGCCTCAGCCTGTTGGACATCCTGGAAGCGGATGCCGTACTGTGAGAAGGAGCAGAGCGACGTCAGCACAAATGAGGTGCCGCAAATCTGACTAGTCCCTCACATTAATATCGCACGAAACCGACTTCCTCGGCTTATCCGACTCCAGCGGCCTTTCGTCCACACCTCTTAGCGCTTTATACAACACCTCGCCTGTACCAGGGCCGAGCGCTGCACATAGCTGTCCCTTACTCTTCTTCATGAGTGTGCCTAGGTCTGTCGCGCCGAGCTTTTGCTGAGCTTTCTGACGAAGGTGATATCCGAAGCCATGCAAGTCACGAATGTCGAGGGGGGCAAGGTATTCGGAGACATCGGTCGCGTGTAGATGGAAGGACCCTGCGGGTTTGGCGCGTCGGGTTGCGAGGCGGGCGAGAAGGATGTTCTCGCCGATACCAACGCTCACTGGATAGATACCACGCAATTAGTTGAGTAAGCAAGACGAAGGAGTGACGTGTGCATGCCTTCACAGTCCGTGAGTCGTCTGACCTTTGACCTGATAGTCTCAGCCAACTCCTTCGCGTAGTCCCTTGTAGCGCTACCCGGAGCACCGGAACGAGTGAGATCTCCTCTGAGCGTAGCCACCGCCGTGGAGACATCAACAAGAGCCTCGTCCACGGAAACGGCCTGTAAGTCGTTTGCATACCGCATGAGGATGGTGTAAAACTGAAGAGAAATCTGCTTGTATCTCGATGGCCGTCAGTACACAACAAATGATATGATACATTCAGAGCAACGACTAACTTCTCAAACTCATAAGGCATAGTTTGCACGTCCGGACACAGCTTCCTCGCTTGTTGCAGACTGACGATAATACCATTAGTAACACACCGAAAAGGAATGTCATGTACAGCTCACCTCATCCCGCTCTTAATTCCAAACTTCCGCGCCTCGTAGCTCGCACTAGCAATCTCGCTGGTGCTAGACCCTCCACCCTGCCCACCCTGCGAATGACAAACAACAACAGGTGTCCCACGCAAGTGAGGCCTTTCGATAAGCCCAGCCGAGACGAAGAACGCATCAAAGTCGCAGTGCATGATGACGCGTCCGATTTCCTTCCCCTTCCCCTTGCTCTTCTTGCTGGGTGACCGAAGCACAAGCTCAGCACCCATCATGCTCACGCCTCCGCCACCTGAGTCACCGCCCCCTCCCGCACCATCGACATCGGCCATGATAGTATCTTCTGTGTCTTCAGCAGCGGTCCCCTCCAGTCCAATAGCGAACCCGTCTCGCTCAGCTCTCTCCTGTGCCTGCGCGACCAACGAGCGAAGCTCGGCCTTCCAGCTCGAAAGGTGGTGCAGGCGCGAGTTCTTGTAGTAGCCCTCGATGAAGTCGGGCGCGGCCGATGTGTGCGCAGCGCGCCATGCCGGATCGGCCATCACGCGTTGAGCATTGAGATTGGACTCGTGCGTCGCATAGCCGGGGACGCGACGCGCGTCAGCCTCACGGGCAGGGTCGGTGGTGAATAGTGAGTCCAGGTCTTGCGGAGCCGTCTTTGAGGGACCAGCTGTTGCTGCGCTCGTCTTGATAGGAGATGTTGATGACCTTGACACTAACGAGGGACCTGCTCTTGTAGATGCCGCCTCACGCTGGAGTGGTTTAGGTGCCTTCGACGCTGCAGTAGCAGGGACTGCCCCTGCACCAGCGATGCCTGTAGAGGATGCTTTTGGTTGATTCTGAGCCTGAGTGGACGTCTCTTCCAGCGATCGCTGCTGCTGGGTGTTCTTCGCCCCTTGGGTCACCAGCGCTCGACCCTGTCCGCTGGCCTGGAAGATGTAATCACGCCAAGGTAGTAGCGTCCCCGCTTTGATGCTATCCGTGATCCATTCGGGTCTCACGACCTTCATGTTCTTGAACTCGCGAACCTTGGCGGGGGTCAAGGAGCAGGTAATGATGTGCGTCCTGTCAATAAATTAGCGATATCCGCATTCCAACAGCGAGTGATTAGGCAAAAATGTATACATACACTATGCCCTTTGCGTCTAGGTAGGGCTGAAACACGCCCCCATATTCTATGACTAGCTTGCGCAAAGTTTGGACTGATGGCGTGGTATATCCATTGACCTTCGATGGTGTCAACGTGGAAGTGAAAATGGCAGGTTGATTGATCAGCTGGGAATCAGAGCACTCACATATATCGCTATCCCAGTGAATATCCCGCTCTTCACCCCGTCCTTCTTCCCTATCATCTGCGCATTCTGTATCTGAAGCTTTGCGCGCTTGCGTCGCATGTACTCGCCGAAGTTGCCGAAGTGAGCCTCTCCATAGACCTCGGTACCGTCATCAAATGTCTGTGCATAGTCGCCTTCGCTGACGATGACATCTCTTCCACCCGCGTGCGTATCACCTTCCTCCCTTTCGCGCTTCTTGCCTCTGGTCTTGACAGGTTCGGCTGGATTCGACTTCTTAGAGACACCATCGCTACCCTTTCCATCATTGCCGGCGGTAGTTTGTGGGATGTCATCGCCCGATAGAACGGCGGACTGGAGGATTTCGAGAAACTCGGGGTCGTCGGGGTCGTATAGCGCTGAGGAAGAGTTGCTTGCTGACGGGAAAGTCTGTGTTCCTTGCGAGACCATGAATGTCGGGGTCAGTCCAAGAACATGACGGTTTCAATGAGTATGATACGCGACAAGGTTGAGATTGAGGATTCTGCAATGAGTTGGGAGAAAAGGAGGAATACCCAAAGTGGACACGAGTCGACGTGTTTGGGTGCTTTGTCACTTTGTTTGTTCCGCCGCTATAGGGGCTAATTCGGCACTTCAACGTAAACCAGCAACATCGTGGTGGATGCAAGGTCATTGCATTAGATAAAATCATACGTTGAGGATTCCTGGAAACCAAGACACACAAAATCCTGTTTCCAGGTCCGTTTATGACTGGCGACGTCACAGTGATTGTTCGGGTACCATATGCCAGCGTAGAAGTGTACGAGTACGCTGCAATCGAGTCTATGTTTATCTACGCTACTGGAACCATTGTTCCTCTTTGAGCTGATCCATATCTGACGGCTGGTCAAGCTTGGTACTAACTAACTGAAGATCTGGATAAAATTCTCTCATATCCTGAACCCAGCTCTCTGCCCACCCGTGACGACGCCCGTCAACCGTGCTAATCTTCCGTAGAGGGCACCGCGAGCGAGCAAAAAGAGCCTTAAAAATTACAGGTTCGGGTCTTCCTTCCCGAGCAGCACAAAAAGAAAACTCGGACAGGTCCGGCAGAACCAAAGCGTTGAAAAGGTGTTCTAGCTCGCGATCCCACGTGACACTAACGACGAAAACCCGGAGTCGGCGATACGTTGCTGACCCTCTGGGTAAAACGATCTGTGATGTTCCAAAGCGCCGACGTTCAAAGCAAGGCGAAAAGAGATATAGCTCCTCCAAGCGAGGGAGGAGATCGGGGGCACCTGAAAAAAGGACCCAGGATGAACTCATAGTTAAGAAGCCGTTCTTGGCCCGGAAGTCCAATATCAGTTTGCGCAGGTTGGACGACTGCAAACTGACGTGTGCACCAAGGTGGAGCGCCTCTTGACGTGTTTCATCACCGTGACCAGTAAACATGACGTGCAAGTTTGAGACCCGGGTCTTATCCAGACAGAAGTGCGTTTGGTTGCCACTACGTCTGTCTTCAACGCTGCAGTTGACGACGGATAGGGACTTCAAATTGGGTAGGTCATAAAGGCACTCTTCTAGACCGTCCCACAAGACACGGTCACCGTGATAGTCAATCTCCAAAGCCTTGCAGGTGGTCTTGAAAGCGTCGATACCACTCGCTGCAAGTCCTCCGAGACCTTCTTCGTTGATGTAACGGACATGAATGTGCATTGGGAGAAAACGACACCACGAGAATAGCCCCGGGCAGCGAGCAGAGCGCGTGGCCGAGTTGGACGGACTGGCGTTGAAGTGTACATGCGTCCATAGCTTGGGCATACTGATCGCGACAGCCCTCCAGTGTCGACAGACGTGTGAGAGGAAGAGGGATTGTATGAAATTGAAGTGAGATCCACACCGAGTGTACTCGAAGATGATGAAAAGGACGTCATCTGGCACGCAGCGTATGGATGATAAGAGTCCTACGGGCTCTGTCTTCGCGTCCTGCAACTTGGTCTTGGGGTTGTGAACCTGGGCTACGAGAGAATCGAGCCGGACAACACTCGCTGAGAACTTTACGTCGGTGTCGCGAAGCTGACTCTTCTCGACAGCTAACATGGTGTTATGGTTTGATGCAAGGCAGGGTGTCAAAGGTGTCTGGATCTGAAACTGTTTACCAGTGTCCATTAATCTCGACGGATCAAGAGAGGTGCCCTCAAAGCGCTTACATCAACCGCAGTAAGACTAGCAATCTAAGTGAAGGCAGTCAGCCAGGGCTCACTTCGGGTAAATTTCCACGTACAAACTGTGCGTCTCTGTTGAATGCCATAGCGCGTCGCAAGTCCTATCCAAGTTGATCCTTCAAACGGTCTCTGAGGATGTTCCCGTCGGCGAGCCAGAACCTAGTAGTCTCTGAGACGCGGTCAGGTATCAACCGATGCACGTTGCATGAGCGAGCATAAAACGTTTCGGCAAAAAATACGTGTGGTGACCGTAACGTGGTCACAACTTCATTGGCGGGCGTTTTGAGATACTCTCCTAATCTTTCCGGCGACGAGCGGCGATTAACCTTCTTTCGCGTTTTACGCGCCGTATAAATATAGAACCTCCCTCCCTCCCTTTCTCTTACACACGAAGAGCGGCGAAGCTGCAAAGGAAGAGTTCATTTACAAATAAAGACGAAGCGCTCTCTCATACCATAGATCATAGCTGTGGCAGAGTTGTAGCGCGGCCGCTGATCGCGGCGTTTGAGTCCTTGCCTCTACATACAGACTCCAAGTGCAGTCGCGAGGACTACACTAGGCCAGGGGACACATAGAGTGCATACCCACATGACCCACACTTTGCTTCCTTTTCCATCTGAGGGAGAAATACACAAGTCGTTTGCGGATGCATGGGTGCAGTGACTAGTGAAGCAATGACCAAGGTCAAAGAGCGCCCAGTCGTGACGGAAACCCGAGCTTAGGGCAGGCGGGTAATGCAGAACCGTGCGAACGTACAGAACTGAAGGATTTACCTTGTTCGTGAGATTTTGACTTTGAGACACTCCGCCAACATATAGTACTATAGTGGCTCACCCATGCCCATTTTCACGCGCAGCAAAGACCTGACGTAGACCGACAGCATAGTCACTATTATCTTCGTACATATTGTCCTTGAGTAAAAAATGGAGATATAGAGGTAAGTCGACGAGCAGCAGGGTAGCAAAAGACTATGATATAGAGACAGAGGATGGTATATGAACGACCGTATATTTTGCATATCAGCGAGAAACTTGCTGCCCTAGGATAAAGCAATCAAGGAGCGAGATGGCCTGCGACATGTGGTAGCCAGCGAGGGTGCGGGGTGATGCAAAGGAGAGAAGAGCACTGCTCTTAAGAAAAAAGGTGCGGACGAGTGAGAGCCCTAGTAAAACCCTCTCTGACTAGGCGCATGAGACGGCGAAACGACATTCGAAGACGGATACCCCGACATCTGATACGACTGCCACAAGCACCATCAGCCACACACACATCATCGCAGCAGCATCCCGACGACCCACTCACCTCAGCGCTATACGGCGGGCTCATCGGCGGATTCACATAGCGCGACTCGGACCCGTCGCGGCTCCGCAGATCGTTCCGCAGGTCGTACGTCGTCCCGCTGACCGACTCCGAGCCTCCCGTGAGCGCGCCCGACGTGAACGCGGTGGGCTGCAGGGGTTTCTGCGCGTAGGACCGGTAGAGGTCGACGTAGTTGGCTTCGGTGTCGCGCCACTTGCGGAAGAACCAGAGCGCGGCGCACGTTGCGACGAGCGTGGTCACGGCGAGGACGGCGAGGCCGGCGATGGCGCCTGAGTCGATGCCGCTGGTGAGGTAAAGAAACGTCAGAAAAGGAAGGACAGGAGGAGGGGAGGAGGGGAGGAGGGGAGGAGGGGAGAGGGCAGGGTGACATACTTTGAGGATGAACCAGAAATATTGTTAACGTTGTTATACGTTGTAGAGTCCCCGCTGCCGTGTCGTTAGCGCTAGTACCAAAATCGGCAGAATATAAACGAAGCGTACCTTGCCAGCGTCATGACCTCGGCGTAGTCAATGTTCAAGAGCTGAGTTGCAGATTGTGGAAGATTTGTGAGCTTTAGTTGATGTTCCCCGGGGCCGAGGTTATCCGCGTGGAAGAGCATCATCTGTGTATACCGCATGGCCTTGTTCGAGCTGAAGTTCATGGCTGGCTGGCTGTCCAGCTGCACGGAGTACTGCCCGGTATCGGAACCAATGGTTCCGTATAGCGATATTACGTCGCCTTTTGAGATGAACTGAGCATGAACCAGAAGATGGTGCTGGATGATGACGCACCCTAGAGTAGATGGGAAGTCAGTCTAGATGAAATGTGAGGACAGCAAGGGTACGCACAGTGAACTTTAAAGTGGCCGTTGCGCTGGAGGTTGCGCTCGAACTTCGCGCCTGTCAGTCTCTCATTCACACCGGCTAAGAAATAGAATGTGCTCACTGCCCAGTCCCGTTATTATAAAGCTGAACGTATGGTGGGTCTGTGCTCCAAGCCTGAGAGGGTTGATACGAGAAGGCGGGCTCCGTGTCTTGTATGATACTAGAAACAAGCTGCTGGTCGCTGTCGCCCACTTCCGACTGCACGACAATCTGATACATGTCAGTCACGTCTATTCCGTGCTCCCATGTGCAAACCCCACAGATAACACGCACCAGGTCAAGGTCAACGTAATGTCCCGTCGTGTCCGTGTTGGTGATCGACAATTTATGCGTCCCCTGCATCAGCCCACTCTGGTTGAACAGCAATTGCTGAAAAACCTCGGTCCCCGAGTAGCCGCTGAGGTTCGAGTAGGTGCTGTCGTCGACCTGGACGGTGTACGTTCCATGATTGACCCGCTTCGCACCGTAAATCCACACGCCGGTGCCGTTGAAGGTGAGGGTCGCTCGTCCGCCGGTGACGTTGCAGGTGGTGAAGGTGCCGGCATAGTAACTATGCAGGTGAGACAACGTTTGCTCGATCAATTGAAAAATGAGAGGACGTACAGGCTGGCGAGGTCGTCATCCTGGGAGCTGCCTGCCTGCCAGTTGTTGTCGAAAGTGATGAGGGGGACCTGGTCATCGAGGAGGGTAGTGTAAGACGGCATGATTAGTGGAAGAGGATGGTGACGGGAGACATGGGCGTCGTGGTCGCGGGGATTGTTTTGTATTATGAGCTGGTCTCATGTCGCCCTCGGAAGATCTGGGCGGGGGCACTGGCGTCGGTAGAGCGTCGGTAATCATGCCGACTGACAGCGAAGCCCCTGAACGTGACTGCGAAATGTCAAATCCTATTCACACCACCAGAACAACTTGGTCATTCCACCTCACGTCAACATCGACGTCGACACGGACGATCACCAACATGCCTGCGTTCGACACTCACAAGACGCTCCCAACAGAGCTCTGGATCAAAATCATCGAACACGCCACTTGCGTAGACAACGTCCTCGAGCCGGACATCTACACACACGCCGAGCTCATCGGACCCCTGTTCAACAGAGACCACCACCCTGCGCTGAAGAGGTCGCTGGTCACACGGCGCTACCTGCCACGGGTCTCCAAGACATGGTACCAGCTCGCCATTCCCTTCCTCTACCAATCAATATGGATCGGCCGCAGCCGCGTCCTCGCGTCTCTCAGCGCTACCCTCCACGACTCCGCATGCAGATCCCGACGCGTCGATCCCCCCGACGGCGACGACCCCCGCCGGCGGCCGGTGGGCGCGTACACGATGCGACTCGACGCTGCCTTCTCAGATCAGAAGCCCCACCGCGATATCTGCATGGAGAATGAGCTCGACCTGCTCGCGGCCGTCATCTCCTGCCTCCCCAACCTCGTCATCGTCTCTTTCGCGATCAAGACGCCCCTCTACGACCGCGTCCGCATGCCCAACGAGGTCATCGACGCCCTCTGCAGCGTCGGCAAGTCGCTGAGAGTCGTCGATTGGACCAACGATCGCCTCCTACCCACAACTTCAGACGTGCACGACCTGCTGAAGGCCGCACCCAGCCTGCGAGTATACTCCTGCCACGCGCTAGTCGCCTCCGCAGGCCCCGAAGAGCTCCACCTCCCTCCTCTACGCTCTCTCACCAGCCTCACCATCTGCGACTGGCCCATAGAAGACACCCGCCAGGACCTCATCCCGTCCTGTCTCCCCTCCCTCCGCCACATCACATTCATCCAAAGCAGAGACACCGCAGCCCCAGGCCTGCACATCGACCCCCTCCACACCCTCGGCGCCAACCTCACCTCCGTCTTCCTCTTCATCACCACCTTCGAGCACAGCAGCTACTTCCAAGCCGTCGCATCCAAGATATCCGCCTGGTGCCCCCGCCTGCAGAGGCTCGGCCTCTCCCTCCCGTCGTGGCTCACGTTCCCAGTCCGCCTGCAGCCACCGCCCATCGCCTCGCTCGCGCTGCGCAGCCGCCTTCTGCAGGCGCCTGACGCCGACTACCGCTACCTGCTGGAGTCTCTTGCAGCCATGAGCGCGACGGCGCCCTCGATCAAAGTCGTCCAGTTCATCGACCGCTACAACGTCAGGGACTTGACCCTCAAACATCGCAAGACGCTTCGAGCTGGGCTCCAACGTTTATCGACTGTTCGGCTTGAGGATCACAACGGCGAGGCTATCAGCTGAGGTGCGAGCGACGCTCTTTCGAGTAAGGTTGGGGAACTGAAAGGACTCGTGTACTGAGGTAAAAGCCAACGTTCTTTAACGAGCTAGGCGCATCTGCCTGACTGATATTGAGTGCTCTCTGAAGCCCATCAGAGCTGCCCTGGTTTTCCTCAACCTTCCGAGCTTCTGTCCTTGCGCCAGGGACGGCACCGAAAGGTCGCTCCACCATGGACTCGTACGACGCCATCGTCTGCTCGCGCAAACTATTCCCGCTCACACGTGCGGCGCTCATAGGACGCGCGTTCAGCCAAGATCCAAATCCAAGAGGTAACTAATATTGTCCCATGATATCGATGTAAAGCAGAATATACAGATGCCAGGTATGTGATTCGTGTGAGATACAGAAGTCCGTGTGATGACCTGCAAAGAAGAATGACAGTTAGTAAAACGCCGAGAAACAGCAGGGGGTAGGGTAGTTCAGATAAATAAATTGGCAATGTAAGATTGTCTCCACAGCGAAGCAGAACAGGTCTGAAAGGTTCATCCGAGGAAAAGGGGGGGTGGTAGAGGTGTACTCACGCTAGGTACAAATACAAGCCGTGATGGCACGATGCCAAAGATCAGAAGGAATGGGCGAAAAGTCTGCGGAAAGGAAAGTCAGCATAATATTACAAAACTGACATCAATAAAAGAATCAGAAAAAAAAGGCAATGTAAAGTTTCCGCAGAAGAACTCGGTACAGGTCTGAAGTATATCATCCCGCTAAAAGCTGAAGGAAGCCCGCCACTCACCATCTATAAAAACAATAAATCATCACAGAGAAGCCGGGATCGGAGGCATCGCCGTCGCCACTGGCCGCCAGCGCATCTGTCTCCCCGGCGACGGCGCCCCGTACTCCCAATCCTGCTCCTCCTTGCCACCACCCCCCTCCGCACCGTCGACATCGACATCGTACGCATCGCAGTCCTCGACGTACACACCGACACCGACACCGTCCTCGGGCTCGAGGAGCACCTCGCGGCTCCCGCGCTTCTCGCGCAGCTGGAGCTTGCGCAGCGCGGCGATGAGGTCGTCCGCGAGCGGCGCCGCGTTCGGCGGGTCCTCGCGGATGGGTTCCCAGCCGACGGGCGGCGAGCCGGGCGGGGAGATGAGGAAGTTCTTTTCGATCGGAGGCGGGTGGAGGAGGTGCGACGAGGAGGAAAATGAGGAGGCGGTGAGGATGGGGTTGGGGTCGGAGCGGTAGACGCGCATGATGGTTGGGGAGCTGGAGGGGGAGCTGTGCGTCAGCATTCATGCATATCAACAAATGATTATTGGTGGAGAGAGAAGGGATTTCAAGCAAGAATGCATCTATGGTGAGGGAACAAAACAAAACATACGCATCAGCATGCTCAAGCACCAACGGATCACACGTCCGCTTCGCCCGCTCTGCCGACTCCTCATGATAAAAAACGACGATAACACGCGCAAACGACGGCATCGGCGCCCACTGGTTGATCTCGCCGAACGTCGCAAAGTGGCCGCGGAGGAGATCGAGCAGCTGCGGCTGCCGGAAAAACTCGGGGGGCACCCGCGCGATGATGAGCGAGTTAGTGCGCTCAGATTCTTCGGGCGCGAGCACGCCAACGGCGGGGCGGGTGAAGGCAGAGGCGTCGGGCATTAGTGGTATGTAGCGTTAGGTTGCGATGAAAAATGAAATGAGATGAAAAGGAAGAGGAGAAGAAAAAAAGAGGAGAGTGGATGGATGGATGCAGGAAGAGAGGAGCAGTACTTGGACGAATCTCAGCGATGGGATTCTGGACATTTTTATCCGCCAGGGTATCCGCTTATGTAAGCGGAGAGCGACTCCGGCTGCCCACGTGGGAGCACCGCCTGCACCGCTTGTCGCTGCCCCAGCTCAAGCTAGCTCAAGAGGCCGGGCGCTCTTCGTCACTGGGCCGACTCTTGGCCGATACCTGCTGCGTATAGCACCGGTGTTAGACGCCAAAGGTCCCCGACTTGCTGCAGATGTTCCCGATGGAAGCATCGCCCAGTGTCAGGCGGGATGGCAATGTTCCGATGGAAGACTTGACTCGTCAGCCAAGAGCCAAGTAGTGATCATGAGAATGGAAAAGTATACAATGGGTTACAGTTGTCTACGAAGATACACAGCACACGTTTGTATTCGTAAAACGTCGTTATTTTTTGAGATCAAGCATCAAACATCTCCCAATGGTCACCACTCAGACACGCGAACAGCGACACTCAAGAACGCAACCGCTTCTCCACAGCCTCCTGCTTCGCCTTGAGCGCCTGCACCTTGTCGTCCTTGGACGCGTTGAAATCGACCGTGACCTGGTTGAATCTGCAGTATACGTTAATGTTCGCAAGTGCATCAGAAAGAACAGCAAAAGTGTCATCGCTGTGACAAGGACGCACGGGTTCTCGGGTGATTTCTGGAACTGCTTGAACAAAAGATCCTGCGGAATGCGCGATTTAGCACCAGTACACATTTGCAACGCACGCTTGGAGCTGCCAAGCCCCGCTGGGAGTGCGACGTACCTGGTATTGCTGTAGCCGCAGTCCGGGGTGCTGTGGAGGGATAACCGTGTCAGCGATGCTACCCTCACGCCTGAGACACAGTGGAAGAATGGATAGACACGTACGTCTTTTCTGGCTATGGGCAGCTCGCGTTCCTTGTATGCCTCAAATGCAGCCTAAGTTTAGTGTTGATGTTAGATATACGGTGCGATCCAGGGCACGGCACAGCACTTGCCTTGAATCGTCGCTAAGATGCAAAAGACAGGGGGTCAACTCGAGCCCTCTCGGTACGTCAAAACTTAGCGGACACGCACCTCAGGATGCCGCTCGATTCCAGCTGCCTGCGTACCGACGCTCGCCTTGTCCATCCTCGCAGTAACTATATCCAGGAGATCGAGCGCATTATCAATTCCCGTCGCAGAGAAACTCTCTGCCTCTACCGGCTTAAACTCCTCCTTCTCCTTCTCCTTCTCCTTCTCCTTGTCCGCCTCTGCCTGCTTGCTCGCGCTCGCAGCGATCGCCCCAGGGCCCGCGGGCGGTAGGTCTTTGCCCTTGCCCTTCTTCGCGCCGGCCTTGGGCGCAGCCTTCACCTTGGCGGGCGCCGCGCTTTCCTCCTCCGCGAGGAGCCGCGCGAGCTCAGCCTTGCGCGCTAGTTCGGCCTTGCGCTTCTCCTCCTTTTCTTCTTTAGACTTGTTCGACTTGGAGCCGTCCGTCCATTTCTCGGCTTCTTTGCGCTCCTACACACGACAGAGATGCCACAGCCGTATGATGCACGCGCGACGTGCGCGGACGGAACACGAGGCAGAGGCGAGGAAGGGGAGCAGGCAGGCGCCTCTGTGTGAGCAGATCATCGCAGCGCAACGCAGTGACTCACCCGGTCGGCGGTAGCTGCGTCCGCCTTCTTTGCCTCGTTCTCGGCTTTCTTTGAACGCCCACTTTCCTTCTTTGCGTTTCCTCCTTTGGGTGCCATGGTGTTTAAACCTGCTGAGGAGGAGGCGTGTGTGGATGATGGACTAGGGGATGAGTGAGCTTGAGATTTGGGCGGCTGATGTCACACCGGGACCGGATCTTATCTAATCGGGAAATATGACTCGCGGGCGAACAATTGCTTCCGTGGGCAGTGGGACACAGCCACCAAGCATACCCTTGGACAACCGCTGTCTTTTGGGTCTTTCCGTTCTCGTTCTGCAGTGTGCACGTTTCCTCGCGAAGGTGCTGTGTGCGATACGGGCCGATACTCAGCGATTCAGTTATAGGTAGGTTTTTGGACCTTTCTCGCACACGCATTTGCTCAGCTTCTTTCTCCTCGCCGTCGCCGATACAGACGCTCTCCCTCTCCTGAACAACACAAACATCTGTTGTCGAAATGGCTGATATTGGAAAGTGGACGGCCGGAGGGAGCTGTAAGTACTTGCCTCGCCATACTATCGACGTCTCCAACATGCCAGACTAGATGGCCCCGTCCTTACGCAAACCGATCTCTACCTCCTCCAAACCGAGCTTCAGCTCAACCCGATCCTCGAGGGCAACTCCGCCTTCCACCTTCTCTTCAACATCCGCGACGGTACGCATCGATATCGCACTGGCTACTAGCTTCGCTTTGCTCACGGGAGAACACAGGCCAGACGGGCGGCTTCAACCCCGAGGATCGCGGGCACGACCTGCCCTTCACCGCCAAGGACGAGCCCGCGACGCTTCCCCGCGTGACCGATCTGATCATCATCAGCGAGCTCACCCCCTGGTGCACGATGGTGCACAACGATCGCGGCGTCACCATGAGCGACGTCTGCACCAGCCTCTGGAAGGAGTGCGTTTTCTCTCCCTCTCTCTGGCGCCTTGGCTGATTTCGCATATGAAACGAAACACAGGTACACGGAGAACTTCATCACGGAGGGCGAGTTCGCCTGCCTCGCCCCGCGGGTGCAGGAGCAGGTGAAGCGGACTGCATCGCACGGCCAGGGCGGGGGGAACTGGGGAGGAATGTACTACACCCCTTCGTCTGCTCCGAACCGGTACAGGCGCGTCGGTACGTTATCCCTCATTGCCCCATCCCACTCGAACGTTCTGTGTTCTTGGACCTGTGCAGACAACGCTGACTCCACGTGTTTATCTTTTGTCTCTTTGGATCCGCGGTGACAGATTGGCTCCGTGATAAAGTGTACTTTGAGACGCTCCAGCGCAAGGATGGCTATGCGATCTCCCGTCTGGGCTTCAAGGCACCGAACATCTTTGTGATGAGCCTGACTTCGTGAAGCGCTGGTGATGGCATATGTGATGTTTCAGATCTATACTTTTATTTTCTTGCTTTATGTCGTTTCTATATCTTTGCTCTGTCGATACCTTCTATCTCGTCTTGTAGGCCTGAAATGCATCCATGTACTAGCTTTGCTGTAATCTTATCTTGGTGACGGAGATATCTCGTACCCTGAACCACGAGTGCGGGCCGTGCTCCAAATAGCCGCTGGCAGCCTCGCGGCGTCCTCGAGGCGAAAAGGCGCGATGAGCCGAGATGAAATGGGATGACAGGGAGCGGAGGCAAGGGGTATTCAATTCTAGAATATTGCAAAGTGGGTTTGTAAATTTCGTAAGGCCACTCCGGCCACTACCCCCCCTCCCCCCTTTCTATATATGGAAGGTACATCCCAATTTGGTCACCTACGTCAGCTACTTGACATAATACATCCGCGACCTCTAAACATACGATGAAAACATAAGATATCCAATAAAATACATGAATAAAACATGGCGGGCAGCGCCGCACTACTTCTTGCCACCACGTTTAGCCTTCTTAATGGGCCGCTCGTGCGACTGGCACCGCCAATCGCTCACGACGTGGTCCAAGTACATACAAGTCAAGTGGAACTAACAAAAACATACGAGTGAATACATTAGTATGCAACGAGCAACGGATGAAAGGCTGAACATACCCATCCTGTCTTGCAGCGATTGTATTTGCACCGGATTGCAACACCGTCGCTGATCTCCTTTGGCGTAACAACCTTGTCACAGTCGCACACACGCAGCATCGCGTTGAGGTCGCGCTTGCGACTTTTCCAGCCGGCGCGTGTGACAACGTCATTTTCGACGGATTCAGGCGCGTCGAGTGAATCCTCGTGCACTGGTACGGAAAGATATATGAGCCAAAAGAAAGAAACAGACGAAAAAACAAGCTCACCAGCCGGTTCATCCTCGACATCTGACACCACGTTCGAATCGTGATCGTTGACTGCGCCATCCACGACGTTCACGCTGTCCGGATGGACGCCGTCGCTCGGGCCTTGCTCATCAGCGAGTGCAAGACCCTCGTGATCGTCTTCGCTCGCGTTTAAGGCCAGCTGTGATGTTCGGTGCGCGTCCGAGACTGCGATGGTGAGTGTTTGATATGCCTTGCGTGACTTGCGCGACTTGATGAACCGTTTCTGCCAGACGAACGTCTCCATCTTTGTAATCTCCTCCTGGGGAACCTCAAACTTCTCGACGAGAGGGGGGAGCAGCTGAGATGATGCATGGTGGATACGTAGGTGGGCAACCATCAAGTACCGCCAGACGGCCGGATTGCGAATGGCGAGCTTGTTAGTGGGAGAGCAAATAGGGCAGGCGATGGGGACGTTTGAGCAAGGCGTGCTGTCACTTGTTGTTGCGGCGGAGTGATACGAGAAATAGATGAGGTTCGGGCATGATGAGCGGGTGAGGTCGACCTGGAAAGTGGCCGCTGCTGATCCTTTGGTGGGCCGGAGATAAAAGACGCACCCAGATTTTGCCGCTGGTTGCATGCAGAACCCACACAACTCGACGGTACAATCCAGCCCATCATCCAAAAGGATGTGGACGCCAACGTGCTCTATCATCCGCGGACCGCTGTCACGCTGCCACTCGAACGTGGGCTTACACCTGGGACATACATCTAATGCGCTGTCGAGGGTGTAGGTCGGCCAAGCTGTCAACGTCAACAGCGAACGCAGCACGACCTGACAAATTGTCAGTGCAAGCAAGGTACATAAAGAATAGCGAGTGCTCACCTCCGGGTCTGTAAGGGAAAAGTTCGTTTGTTGGCACAGAAGGTAGACGGGATAGCCCCGTTGCTGAGCGTGCAATCTGCAAGTGCAGGCTCACAGCAAACGCTTGCAGCACGTGTGTTGCGATCACTCATTAGATTGCCATTTGTCTACATACTAGTCTATAGGTTCCTTAGTATAAATCATAGTAGATCTCTGTTGCCATTCCTTGACGCGACAGCACCAAATCGCCCGAAAATCGTCCCCAATCCAGCGCTCTGGACCTCTAAGATAGGAGCCTACCTTCCCCATTTGGATGTCCACGTGGACATTCTGGCTGTACCCGAGCTCAGCCAGTGAATTTCCTAAGGCCTGCCCGGTACACCCCCCCCCTAGACCCTATATGCGGTATTCGGATTCTGACTACCCCTTGAGCGGAGGCAGAAAGAGGCAGGTGCACAGCCACCGATTGCCCGATCACACAGCTCACCAAAGACCTCTTAGACGTTCTCTCCCATCGGATGCCCTGCGATGACCTGCTTGTATTCCTGACGTGCCCTTTTCTTCTTCTCTGAATTTCCTCATAGTCACCCCAACTGAACAGTCGCAATCAACATATCATCGCCAATATCCTTTCCTCGAGGCCACTCAGCATACGGACATACCCATCGCTAGGTCGGACACACCCACACCTCCTTATACATCTTGCTTTCTCAGACTTTCTCTGGCTGCCATATCGCTCTCAGGATCTGCGCCGCTACACCTTCCAGTACAGATTCTGAGCCTGCCATATCCGAATACCACCAATATCCACAACATAAACAGCTTTTGACTCATTTGCTGTGCGGCTCATTGTGCTCCAGCTCATTTTCTTTTGTGCGTAGTCCCTTCCTAGAACAAACACACATGGGTCCCCTGATCATCGGCTCTCCCACCGCCTCCCCAGTCCAAGACCCGCGATACCATTTAGGCGCCCCGTCCGGCCCCACCCTCGCTCAAAAAGGTCACCATGTATAACGGCTACACCAACTCGTCCGGCTCTGGCACCCCTTTCATCCCCCCACTCCCCTCCCCAGAGAGCACTGTGAACCCACATCCGCCCGCGATCCCGTCCCCAGCGGCGAACGAGACCGCGCCCGCTTGGGCACAGCAGCCAGCTACGTCGACCCAGTACCCATACTACCCCCAGACGCCGTACACCAGCACACCCTTCATCCCACCCGGCCCGCCCCCCGCGCCGAGCGTGCACGCCACGCCCGCGGGGCGCATGCAGCACCCCCCGGGTTCGTACTTCCCCCCACCATCGTCCCTCCCGCCCGTGAACCCCGCGGCCAACCCACCGGGCGGGTTCAGTCACGATTACACCGGATATCCGAATCTGCAGGGCACACCGTGGGCGCCGCCCGCGGCTGCTCCGCCTCCTCAAGCGGCGCCACCGCCGATGCATGCACACGGGCACGCACCACATTCTGCACACGGTCCGCCCCCGCCGACGCCGTGGCATGCGCCTGCGACGGCGTACAACCCGTTTCAGCAGCCGCTGCCTGGTGGGTATGGGCAAAACCCCGCTGCAGCGGCAGCGGCGGCAGCGTGGGGCATGCCCCCGGGTATGCCTCCGGGGATGCCCCCTGGGATGCCTCCTATGGGGGGTATGCCGCCCATGGGCTACGGTATGCCGCCGCATATGACACCTGCGGCAGCTGCAGCTACGCCGTGGTGGGCGAACCCGTACGCGGCGCAGATGGCGGCGGCTGCTGCTCCGCCGCCACAGGCGCCTCAGCCTCCGCCCGCCGACCCTGGTGTCGCGGGCATGCGCCACGACTTTGACGGCGCGAAGGATATGATGTTTGCAGAGGGCGAACACTGTGCGTCATATGCCGATTCTCCTTCTGACACCGCATACTTATCTTATCTTATCTCGTATCTTTTTCTCAGACGGCCCCGTCCTGGAGCCCTTCCTCTCGCGCGTCGTGAGCGCCACGATCACGATCAACCCGCTCATCTCGTGCCTCTCGAGCGCAGAGGGCGACGACTACCTCAAGTGGGTCATGACGTTCCACTCCAACACCTGCTTCCGCACGATCGACCCACGGCGCTCGTGGATGAAGGGCCGCAACGAGCCGGCGACGCACCCGCGCCTCACGCACTTCACCCTCATCTCGCGCGCGTTCCCCTGGATGGTCGTCATCCAGGCGCGCAACCGGCACGTCGGCGTCACGTGCGGCGACGTGCTCGACGGGATCTCGGCGGTCATGTACGAGAGCGTGGGCAAGGGCGACTACGAGGGCCTCTCGCGCGCGAAGCAGCGCGCGGTGTTCGAGGCGTACGAGCACAACCGCTCGCGCGCGCCGAATGTGCCCGGGGGCGCGCTCGGCGACGGGCTCCGGAAGCTGGACTGGCTGTGTCGGGATACGAACTTTGGCGGGATACAGCAGAACGACGATTTTCTGCGGGAGATCGCGGGCGAGATTCTGCCGTGTATATTTGAGCTCAAGTGCTTGAGGGCGTATCCCGAGACGGCGGAGGAGGCGAGGGAGCGCAAGGCACGGGAGGAGGCGGCGGACCGCAATCAGCACAGGGCGAAGGTGCGGGTGGCGACGCCGCATGCGCCCAGCGTGCGCTCCGTGCACTCGTCCCGGAGCTCTGCGGGGCGGTCGTCCAGGGCGGGCTCGGCCCGCGGAGCGTCGCCGCCGCCGGACACGGATTCGGATTCGGACTCCGAGACCGATTGATTTAGAGTTGTGTGTTTTCCCTCTCATGACTTTCTTTCTGTTCTGTCTCTCTTCACTCGATGTTATTTCTGTGTTTTATTCTCGCGTCTTTCTAACCAAGATCAAATGTTGCTGTTGTTCATCTATTATGTGCTTTTTACGCGTCACACTCACAGGTTCTGGAATGATGTCAATTATAGGTCATGTTATGCGATACCGCTGGCTCTGGAGTAGCTAATACCGTTTTTTCTTTCTGTTTTGTAGTACATACCATTCTGTGTTTTCTGTTTTCCTCATCAATGATCAATCATACACATCGCATCCACAAAGTTCGGCGCTACGTGACTGGCTGTGCCTTGACCTTGATTCTTGGTTTAGTCGTGAATGTTTGTAGCACTGCAGACAAGTTGTGATTGTTTTGCTTTGGAAAGTGGTTGAAAAAGGCCGACCGATGGAAGCCTTTTTCAGTCAACGTTTGCTGTAAGCAGGACCACTGAAGAAGTTATATTTTCCCTTCGGAGTATGAATCTCTGGACGGAGAACGCATGTTGGGCCAGGTTCTCTCTGACCTCCGCACCATCGATATCTGTCCGTCATCTGTCCATCCATGCGGTCCGCTCGTTATTTCTTTGACAAAATGATCAGCGAACACTGGATCCAGGTGTCGAACGCACAAGTCTCGACGTTGATGGCGCTAATGGAAATTATGTTCCGGCACGAAAAGCAAAGGATCCGACTTGAATTCAAGCTGAAGTCCGCGTCTATCGACGCCTTGTATAACATTCGGCGAGCAGCTTGTCGGAACATCCCTTAGGGGCATTGTAATGAATTTGCTTTCCCATCGCTTGAGCAGGTTTTTAGAATGCGATTAGAATGGCCATTGCCATGACGCCTGCGGCGATAAGAATGCGGCCTTCGGAATGACAAAGCCGAGGGCTTCCATCCCAATGAAACCGAAGCGTCGGCGATGGAGCCGAAGTCATGAGAATCCATGAGAATGACATCGAGGCCCATCCGAGTGGGGCCGGCGGGACATCACAATGACAGGAGTAAGGCACCCTCCCCCATTGGGAAGGAGTCTAATCCAGCTACCCCTGAGTCACAGAGATCACAGAGCGCGAGCATGCTGAATCAACGATTTGGCATGGTTTTCCTCAAGTATCCAACGCTCAGCGCTCAACATTCAATTGTAGGTGCACGGTCAATTCCACGCTCATACGTGTGAGACACGGATAAGTACTGATTATCAACAAAACAAATCCTTTCTACCCTTTACCAGTACCCATCAGTCGCCCTTTACCCATCAGTCGCCCCTTACCCACCAGTCGCCCTTTACCCATCATCGTGCTTTACCCATCAGTCACCCTTTCAGGCCGTCGTCTATATTCGGAATGTTCCCTTGATCTTCTCGAACCCTTCGCCTCAACGCCACCTTCTCCGGTTTCTGCAACGTTTCGAGAAGGTGTTGTAGCCCGGCTTCCTTGCCTATTTATACGGTGAGTGTCGTTGATCAATCCTCGGCGAGCAGCTGTCTCTAATCCTTTACTCTAGTGATTGATCCCATTCGCGTCTCTTGCATCAAGATGCCCGCTGAACGCCCCCTCAAGCGAGGTGCTCGCACGCGTGTCAGCTCGGAAGACGGGAAGGTCCAGTGCATGTACTGCACGAAGATGTTTGATGCGAAGGCGAAGGGAGCGAAGGCAACTCACATCAACGCGTGTAGGCGAAAGCACGAGGAGGAGGAGGGGAGTAAGATTTACGAGGAGCGTCTTTCCAAGAGCAAGCGCAAAGGTACGCCGCTACAACTATCCCTCTATGCTCCATTGGTACGACTAAACTGCTTGACTCGAATAGAAAAAAAACGAGCTCACCGTGAGCTGGCCGCTATTGCTGAGTCAGCGTCTTCGTTTCATGGTCCCAACCTCGCATCGGATTACGGTAAGTTTGTTGTCTGACAACTTCGGAGTCTCTCAATTCAATACATAGCAGATGCGGACAGTTTCTCTCAGTACATGGAGATCGCAGCGACCGAACCTGGTTTCCAGGCTTTCGACGATCAACCTATCGACGATCAGCTCGACGGACAGAATGCAGGTGATCAAGGATCAGACAAATATTGGATGCGTAAGTGTCTTTCAACCTCGGTTTCATCTACGAGCATATCACCCACGATTCATGCAGGCTCAGACTCGCTCTTGAGTTCAAACACACAGTCTTCCATGGCAGACTCGGGACGCGTATCACCCCCACCCATATCAGTAAACTTCTCGTCGAATCGGTCACGCGGTAATCCTAAGGAATTCAAGACCGAGTACCAGCCCAAGAGCCGACGGGCCGAGTCAGCTCGCTACGACTCGTACGAGACCTTCCGTTCCCGTTCGTACGTACCCGAGGCCAAAGAAGACGCCAAACCCTGGTTCCCTTTCCGATCCAGAGGAGATAGCGAATTCGCTTCGATTGCTATAGACGCCAACCTATCCGACTCTCTCGTCAACCGACTTCTCTCGCTCATCAACGACGCGATCGAGAAGAAGAAGGAGATCACGATGAAAAACGCTCAAGAGCTACGGAACGTTTGCGATGAAGCGGCAAAGGAATTCACGCCTGTAAGTTCTCTCCACGCGTAAACACATACCATATTGTACGTATTAGCTACATGAACTTTTGTTGTATAATAGTTCCAGGAGTATCCCATCAATCTCGAATACAAGAAGAAGGAGGAAATCGAGCTCAACTTCATGGGGCGAGACCTGTGGGACTGGAGCCTCGATCTGCTCCACAATGAACAGCTTATTCCTCACTTTGTGTGGGATGCTCAACGTGTACATAAGCACAACGGAAAATCAGGCCCCGAGAGCGACTACATACGGTTCATTGACGAACCTTGGACCGCCGATCGATGGTGGGATATCCAGGTCAGTGAGGCTATGATCATTATAGTACTCACTGCAAATTGATACTCACATTGCGAACAGGATTCTCTGCCACAGTACCCAGACGCTCCATCGGCACCCCTCGCATACGTCTTCTACGCCGACAAGACCCGCTTGTCAAGCGCCGGAAACGTGCAAGGGTACCCGATCGTCGCGAGGTGTGCCAACCTCCCCGTTGATATTCGGAATGGCCAAGGCGTTGGAGGTGGTTGGGTTGTGGGGTGGCTACCGTTCGTGAGTCCTCCTTATCGTGAATATGACACTCGCATTAATAACTAATATAAAATTGACTGGCTAGCTTCCAGAAGACGCCGAGAAAGAACGAACGTTAAGCTGGACAACACTGAAGCGTGTCGTATGGCACGAGTCGGTGGCCAAGCTGTTTTCTGGCGCTCAACATTCCTCACAGACCGGCTTCTATTTTTCTGGCTGTTTTGACGGCATTCCCCGGTGGCTATTTCTAGTCATCCTCATCCTGTCTGCCGATTACGAGGAACAGTACGTCGAATTAGTTTCACTAAAGTATCTACTTCTTCTCTGACATCATTGGCAGTATAGATGTGTCATGGCATTGATCCGCGGAGCGATGGCCAATTTCCCGTGCCCGATCTGCTTGGTGCCGTCTGAGCACCAAAGCAGGTGAGCGGAGGACTACCCTCGGCGCTCTGCTGAGGTTGCCGAGGGTCTTTATGCTGACCTTAAGTCAGACAATCGGTCTAAGAAAAAGAAAGCCAAGGAACGGCTCGAGAGCGAGAGCTGGCGGCCTGTCAAGGTGCGCATTCGACCTCCTTCGAGCACGCATACTATACTTTTCTTGCACTAACATTGACATGTCTATAGAATGCTTTCTGGATGCTTCGCAGCTCCGACCCAGCCGATGCAGTATCGGTCGACCATCTACACGCTTTCCACCATGGTGTATACGGAAAGCACATCCATCCAGAACTTATCAAGATTCTTGGCAGCTTCGATAACAGTCGCGAGTATCTCAGCATACTAGACAATCAGTAAGTCCTCGAAGATCTTGTTGTCCGGGTGTCTACAGTCCACTTATAACTTGCAGATTCTCCCAACTCCCGAGTTGGCGCGGCCTTGCTCACTTCAGCGGGGTCAGCACCGTCTCCTTCAGCGATGGAAATAAATTCCGAGACATCTCTCGGGTGAGTTTTTTTTAAAGTCGTTCGCCTTAATTGCTAATGAGATGTTATAGCAAATGCTTTTCGCTGCTCATAACGTCATCCCCCGACCCATATCACCCGAATTCCACGCATTGCTCTGTTTACTCAGTAGTTACCTCGAGATCGACTCGTACTTTGGGCTTGAGGTTCAAACCGACGAGACGCTTGCAGCTCTAGACAAGGAAGTCGAACGCTATGGACGACTCTTAGATGTGAGTAAATTATAGGACTTAGACTCTGTGCTGAATAATTCTTATATATTCCTCAGGTATACATCGAGGTCGCGAAGGCTGCAAAATTGCGGATCGAGGATATCAAGACCAACTGGAACTTTCCAAAAAACCACGCCATCCTCAAGCACGCTGTCGAGGACCTCCACCGAAAGGGTGTCAGCCGGAACTCAACAACAAGGATTAATGAGGGTATACACCTGCCCTTCAAGAGATCGTATTTCCTTCGGTGTAACGGTAAGAAGGTCGAAAAGCAGGTACGCGGATTTTGAGTATGCATCACGGAGGCGTCAGTACTGAGATTAACATCATTGCATTCATTACAGATCCTCCGGGTCGAGGACCATCGGCTTGCCGTGTCCATCGTCGAGGACAGAATTCAAGCTCAAGATAAGCGACTCAAGGCTCGCTCATTGGTATCTGACCATCACGACGACTGGCTCGGTCCAGCGTTTGAGGGTCACTTCCATGTCGGCTCGCCTTCCCCACCTCAAACTGTGAAAGACCTCGTTAGCTCCCATCGCTCCTCCGACCGAGCATACATCAACTTCCGCAAGTCACTCAAGATATTCATTAACGAGGTCTGCCTTCCGGATCGCAGCTATATGGGTCCACCCGTTACGGTTCGCGACCACTTCATAGTATGTTTTCCTCGTATCAGGTGCACTTTAGTTATACTCACTCGTTGTTGCTATTCTATAGATTCAGGAGTACCGCTATCTCAAGATAAACTATGAGTCGATGGAGACCTGGAAGATGTGCACGGATCTCCTCCGGTGCACCCCCAGTTTCTACGATAAGCCACGGTACGACTGTGCGATCGTTCACCTCGACGATGAACCAGACGTATATGGTATTGTTCGCTTGATCACTTCTTTCAAATTTACCATCCCCGAGCTCGGCGCAAACAGCTCTCCTTTCCATGCTGTTCTTGTGCAGCCGTATACCTCCGCAGTGGAGAAAGGCTCTCGCACTCGCCGTTTAGATACTGACCTTGGATTTCTTCGAGTCAAGGCTCAACCCCGCTCCGACGCTTTCATGATCCCCATCAAATCTATCATACGGGGCGCCCTCCTTTTCCCCGATTTCCGCCGACCTGACGAGTTCCTTGTGAACGACTACATCGACGGTGACATGTTTATTCGCATGAAAGACCCCAAGTGGATTGGAATACAATAGTGGGATCTTTCGGTGAGATATATTCCTTCGTAAATCTGCTATCATGTCTAAATCTGAATATTCGAGCGCGCTGCAATGACCCGCTACCAGGTCGACTGTTACCCTATGTTTGGTTCCTTTTCTTCACTATCCAGGTTATCGTATCCCCTTGCCTTCATGCCGCCTCGTCTATGTTTTATCCATCGCCACCGAGGCGTTACTGCCCAGGCCGCCGTGTCACTCCTTTACCGGCACAATCTCATTCCACCCTCGACTGCCTCCAGCCTCTATACACGTAGGAATCCCTTTAAGGTGTACCCACGGCCCGTCAGTACATATTTCTCGCTGATCTATTCCGATCTTCACAGCTGACTTCCTATTTTCAGTGACGGTTGTCTTCCTCGCGCACCCAGCTGTGTAGCTCAATCAACCCTACACCCAACCTCTGCCTCCAGCGGAGTAGCCGTACTCGAGCGGTTCCTGCACCGCTGCACTTCAACCCTTACCGCGCGATCACATCAAGTGCCCGGAGATGACTACACAGCAGCACCCCATCCGTCTGCAGCAGGCTGAGAACGAGGTTCAGTACCTCCGCAGCGTCAACAAGGCTCTGCTGCGCGGCACTGCAGATCAGCAAGATGCCGCAGCCTTGCCTCTCACTGGCAGCATCCCAACCCGTTTTCTATATGCTCTATCGCTTGCCATCCCAACCCGCTTTCTATATGCTCTATCGCTTGCGGACATTACCCTCAGGTTCGTCACGCCATTTCGCACAGCTAACAAAAGACAAGGACCCGCGGACGAGCGAATACGACCACGGCAGTTCTACCTCGCCAGGGCCACGATGAACCCGCGAGCATCAAGGGTCCTTATGCATTGATGTCCCCAGTGCCCAGTCCCAGTACATCAGGTGGGCGGTTCTTGGATTGGTGCCTTGTTTTTTCTATTAATTCAGTGCTGACTAGCATGCTGCAGACGTGTCTCATCAGCATGGATTTTTACTCATTGATACGGTGCATGAATCATTGTGAGTGCCTCATGCTCGGTTATCGCCCACTACTCAAGATCTATTCGCTCCCTTGTATTGTGCACGCGGAGTTAGGGTCGGTATCGTACATACACGAGGCAGCATGGCAGTGACACAGCATCCAAATCGTCACTGCATCATGGCTCCGGCATGCTTTACCACCTCATCCTCACCGGGATCAGCCTCAGTCGCTCGCCCCAGTCACGGTTAGATATTTATACGGTACGTTGTGCGACTCTCATTTATCCCCATCCCCTTAACATCTGAATCATGGCTACTGCAGGCGAAGATTTCCGCGACGCTATGCGCGACATCCAGTCGAGCTCCTCCAACGAGCAAACCGATCAGGAGGAGGAGGCCAATGGCGACGGCGACGTTGCTGAGACCAGGAGCGCTGAGACGCCGGAAGAGTCGATGATGCACAGCCGAATCATGGGCGTTGACGCCGACAGCGCGTCTGTGCCTGAGCTACGTGGGGTAAGTCCATCATGAACGCCTTCCATTTCACGTACTCACCATTCCAGGCCTTGAAACATGCACAAGGGGGATGGACCAAGGCCCATTCGACGCTCTTGGCGCTCTGCCGTCGGATTCAAGAGCTAGAGGAGGAGCTCGCGCAGGCCAAGTCGAAGAAGAAGGCCACGTCCATGGAGTCAAAGGTCATCACGATTGGCCGCCAGTTCATATATCTCTTTCGCCTCGCCCCTCCCAGCTACCTCTTTCCGCTTCACGGCGTCGAACCTCTCGACCCTCGTCATCCATCAAGGTTCAAGAGCGTCGACAAGAAACGCCGTTGTTTAGTTACCGAGTTTGTGAAGTTCCTGTCGCCTGAACTTCGTAAAGCTATCGTCAACTTTCCGAATTTCCAGGAAAAGGTGAATACCTTGGTATTTTTCACTCTGTTCACTCAATCTCACTCTTGATCATAGTTTCTTTTCGGTGTGCGGTCCGAGATTGGCACCATGGTCAACAGCGTCAAATCCCAGTACCCGCGCATCTATACTGGGCTCCACATCAGCAACCACGGGCTCCTAACCGCGGAGAACCTCACGAAGGACCCTACTGTCAAATGGCTCCTTCAGGACCCCTTCAAACCTGACGACCAGAACACCAACGGTAGCGGCAACGGCAACGGCGCGGCTGAGGGCGAGGGCAAGGGCGAAGGCAAGGGCAAGGGCAAGGGCGACTCGCAGGAGGAAGCGGATGTCGTCCCCATCTTTCCGAGGATACTCTTCCAGCACCTGTACTTCCCTGATGGCGACGAGCTTTTCAGGCAGGAGGCTCTGATAAATGTGAGTCTTACAATCTGTCTTGATTCAATCTCAAGCTAAATTCACGTCTCAGGCAGCTAAAGGCGCTTTATTCGGGCCAACGGCGTTGACTGGTCGCGGCGGCGCTGGCGGTTCAAAGCCGAAGGCGACTAGGTGGGGAATCAAGGCAAGCACGACTGGGCTTATCAGCAACATATCAGTCTTGGTGCGTAATCGGCATTACTGTTTGTGATGCTAACTAATTGTATTCCTAGGTAATACATCGACTCACCCCGGACCAAGAGTTTCACTCCCCAGGCAAGGTCACGCATGTCAATTGGGAGGCTCGGTGCGACGAGTACCTTTCGGTGCTGAACAGGAACCCCGATTGGACCAATAAGCTTCTGGCTTATTGGGACTCGTTCCTCTTCCCCTCCCAATCCAACTCTTCAAAGACGACTCGCGCAGCGCCTCGTGACCCTATCGATCACGCCAACTCCCTATTCGACAAGCTCCAGATCCGATCATCCGAGCCATCTGAGCCTGGCCCCGATGTTCAGGCCCCGCAGATCCAGGAGCAGATCGGTCAGCCACCCGTCTCACGAACGGACGCGCCGGCGCTGCCTGGCCCCACACCGTCTGCCACGGCTCCGCGAGCGCCCTTGAGCTCCGCTTCGGCAGCTCGTCACGGCACCCCGACGACGACTGCACCTATGGTCCCTCAGCCCCAGACTGTCGTGTCCAAACCCGCCCGCAGAACCCGCCAGATGGCGCAGGTGGCTGAGACTGAGGCTCAGCAGGAGACTCAGGCTGTCGAGCCGACGAAGGGGAAGCGCACCAGACGTACTCGGGCCACTCAGGAGTAGCATATTCGATGCATATTCATCTTATTACTCATGTATACTAATTGCTGTCATTAGTATATTTCTTACAACTTCTTACAATGTGTCCTTGTAATCAATCCACTTGAGTTCTGTTACTTTGCATGCATATAAGTGCGAGTGTAGTTGAAACAACGTCGCAACAAAGTGTTTACCTTCTAACCAAGTACAGGATATAAGAAAGCGAGTATAGACAGTAATAAGAGCCATTATGGCCTAGCGGAAGCTATGCCGGTGAGTACTAATAACTTTAATACTTAGAATGCTTAAGTTCGAATCCAGGTAACGCCAACAAATTATAAGTAAGTTCAGCTGTAGTGTATAGTAAGTATATCATAGGTAGTTTCTATAAGTAAAGTTAATCATCGCACTAGTACCGTACTAATAGAAATGTAATGAAAGCTACTGATCGGTCATTCTTTTTTGGATTTATCCCCGATCATTCCGATCCATTCCGATCCATTCCGATAGGGCGTTCCTGGCGCGCTCACACGGGCATGCTGATGTGATTGTAATCCATTGCCATGGTGCATTGCCATGCGCCATCGGGCTGATGGGCCGACCCATTGCAATGTCATGGCCATGATTGGCTCGGCTTACTGACATGTTGGCCTAGCCGATGGCAAAGCATGGCAATGAAAAGTGCCTTACATTACGATGCAACAAAATGCTTCACGTCATTCTAAAGGTTCCCAAACCTTGGCGATGCTCGTGAGAAAGTTCCGACACTGTTATGCGCTTCAGCTTCTGGACAACAGCAACGACCTTACCTCTCGGGTTGGCTCGGGTCGGTTCCTCTTCTGGTCCTAAAAAGGCTCAGTGCTATGATAGGAATCATAATCAACGCGATACCTCATCATATCCTGATTGCTAATCCGAGCGGCTGTCGGCGCGTTACTCGTGCCGTCACAGATTGACTCGTTAATCTCTTCCAGCGCTGAGAGGGTCAAGATATTGTATGTTACCCACCGTTGTTGTTTACTTTAGGGATGATGCTGCACGGAAAAAGCGATGAATAATGGGCAAGCGTAAACCTGATGGAGCACTTCATTATCGTATGCCCGTTCAGTATCGTCGAATACTGCGGATAACACAGACTCCAAGGCACGAGCTGATGAACCTATTCCAGGACTCTATTACTACGGGTCACTGGGCCGACACGAGGACACCGATGTGAGCTTCCAACAGACCGGAGAGCTCGGAGGAGTGATATGCTATGCTAGCCTTTCTCGAGTTGAACTTTGCAGTCTGGAGCTCCTGCTAACATTTGGATGGGCGTACGGGGGATAAAAAACCCACTTGCACTGATGCTAGCACTATTAGGTACTGCCGCGTACGTGTCACAGTGTTTATAGGAGCATCCGCTGGTACGTCAGTTCGAAACATGGCATCTCGACCATTCATGAGAACCCAACATTTTAGATGACAGAACTATTGAAAATAGCTACTTTGGAACCCGAGCACCACTGCCCTGCTTGGCACCCCTCGCAGCTATAAAGATGAGCGAATGAGTTTCTGGCGCCTGGTCCTAGCTTCTCAACTGAAGACCCATCTCTTTTACTCTATCCCTTCGGGTGCATAATATGTCGACACCTGCCGCTCCCGTGGTCCCATTGCTCCCAGAGAACACGCTGGCTAGCACGTATGGTGCGCTGTATATCTGTGTGGTGGTCGCGGCCATGTAAGGGATTGTGAAGTTTTCCGCGGAGACCGGTTGAAGTCTAATTATATACGCTTGCTCAGGCTTTTCGGGCTCACTAATCTCCAAGCGTTCTTGTATATTCGGATAGAGAACCCCGAGAATCGCAGCCTCATGCGCTACAAAGTCATTGTGCGTACAGGCCTCCTGATTGCTATAGTGTCTTGTTAATAACTTGCGACTTAGGTCTGCTGGCTGTGGTACGCGTTTTATCATTATTCTGTATTTGCGTTGTAAGGAATGCTTATTCTTAAGCGCGGGTCTAGGCTCTTGGATGCGTTGCACCTCGCACTTATCATCCATCTTGTATACTTCTATCTCGTTGAAAACTTCGGATGCCACAATCCTCGACCAAATTGTCTGGAGCTTCAAGGTAAAAATCCCTTATAAATCCATCATGCTCTAGACCAATGACCATGACATATCAGCTCCAAATAGTTGTCGATGTGAGTTTGTTTTATGACCATCCTTCTTCTCCCTGATACGCTGATGTTGATCATTAGGTCCTGGTTGTATACTCTGTCCACTGGTAAGCACACACGGTGCAAGTGAGACTGCTTAAGAACAAGCTTAAGAGAGCTCATGTACCCGCTTTCAGCTTGTATGCGTACCGCTTGTATCTACGTGAGGTTTTGATCATATCATCAAATTTCATTAACTGACGGAAGGCATTGTGTAGTCAGCCGTGGGAGGCGGATTTACGAAAAATTTGTATACCTCGCTGTAAGCTACTATATTTCGTCTACTGATAACTTGTTGACCTATTGACACTCGAAAGTGTTTTATCGTGCTACTAGGAGCTGGTAAGCGCCGTGGCCATCATGAGGCTTTGTATTACTTTAACTGACACTGGTATCAAAGGTGTGGCCATTTGTGAGTTTAGGACGGCGTACACGTCAAATGTGTCTTACACTAATCATTTAATTTACTACAAGCACTCTGCTGGGCAGTGTAAGCTCTTTAGCGCGACGCAATTAAGATCACCACTGATACTATTCCAGCTACCGCGCCAACGTCTACCCAACTCTCGTCACACAAACTCGGGTACGACATATACGTGACTGTTTCATCCGATAATCTGTTTCCTTATAACTGTGTACGTCTAGTGGGCGACATACATGGCCCTTGGTTCCATGGTGGTCATAGACTTCATGCTGGCATCGTCTATGTGCTACCTCTTCCAGGTCTCTCGGACTGGTTTAAGGAGGTATGGTGCCCAATGTCAGTGATCTCAGGAATGAAATACTGAGCGTTTAAACAGCACAGACTCAATTCTCAAGAAACTAATGCGTTATGTCATACAAACCGGCGTCCTAACTAGGTATTTCCCATCTTTGCTATGTGTTTTATTGAGAGCTAAATTATCCCTAGCCTGTGTTCGTTGTCTGCAGTGATTTGCGTAAGCGTGACTTTGGTTTTTCGAAGATCATGATGATCTTCATTCTGTTGCAGTTGGCAGCCATGCCGGGAAACTTCGTCTTCCTTGGAATCGAATTCTTTATCACAAAGCGTACGCACTTAATCGATGGTTTTGTATGGCCTGTTGCTGATAGACTTCGAAAATACTAGTCTATGTCAACTCCTTGCTGGCTTTGCTTAACGCGTGCTACTACGATAGAAAACCCTTGCACGGCACGTCTTCAGCTCAGCGGAGCAATCCTTCGCAAACCGGCGGACAAAATATTGTCGATCAGGGCGAAGCAAAGCAGTCCAACGTCATTGTCATCTCGCAGTCATCGACAACCGAGACCTCGGATGACGCATATCCACCAAAGCCGCGGTCCCTTGACGTGTGACACTGGATTGTATTCTTCTTAGATTAGCTCCCATATAAAAGCGGTTTTAGGAACAAGTGTGGAGCCATGGATTCGACGAGGTTTGGAGCAAAAAAGACACCCTAGATATATCCTCGTTGTTCGGTTGTACCCTAGGGCGTACCACTGGTGCATATCGCACTTGTGTAAAAGATCCTACCTTCAGTCAACCGTTGTAAGAATTATGTCGTATCAAATGACGGTTTCAGTATATGGTCCAGAGTTCTTGGAACTACAAAGAAGTATTTGTTGCACTTCTGGTAAATGCATGCAAACCGATGTGTTGCTAGTACTCTACTGCCGATGCATCAGCGTAAAATCAGGTGAGATAACAGAGAACGTCCATCGATCATCGGAGGATGAAGCGGAGATACTGGCCATTTTACGCCCACAGGATGTGCATTGACGCTCAGCGAACCACAGCGATGCATCTGCATCTGCATCAAGCTTGGCCCCAGCTCCCACACCACGCATAGAATGCAATGGCCCGCTAGATCAGAACCGCAACTTTCCCTGTTGTATGGGTCCCACTCGACGGCCAATAAAGGAGAAGCCGGTGGTTTGGAGCTACTTATAATAAAGGTCTGCACATGGTCCGTTCGCATCGTCATTCGTGCGTCCGGACCCTCATAGTAGCCCATGCCGCTAATAACGACCATCTTGAACGACCAGGCTCCATTGCTCCAATACGACGATAACTGGTCAGCTGGATCGTCGCAGTCAGACAATAACGCTAGCTTGTGAGTGTAATATTTTGTTTCATAGCTTCTATCTATCTGAACTTTGCATTTTACCGCAGCTATTACCTTGGAACATTCTCGACATGCACCGCGGCGAGTGGGATTGTCAAATTTAGCTTCAATGGCACGGGATTCGGAATCTATGGCGCCAAACGCCCTTTCCATGATTCGTACACGATCACCGTCGATGAGAAACAGGCCGCCACTCTCTCCGGAGACGAACCACAGAATGAGGAACAGTACCGACAGCTGCTATACAATACGGGCTCTCTAACGCAAGAACTGCACGAAGTTTCTTTGACCAACGTGGGAGGCGGCTATGTGGATATTGATTTTGTAAATCAGCTTCCGTTCACTTCTCCAGTCAGATCACTCAGGGTGTCTTTGTTTCCGCAGGTTACAATCCAGTCTCAACTTGGCAGCAGCAACCAGATCATTCAGACTCATGCTATCCAGGACACAGACTCCCGATTCTCATACAGCGGAAAAGATTGGAATGAGAGTCCCGCTAATGTTAGCATGTTCAACAATGGCACTGGACAGTGAGTCGTGTTCTGTAATGCCATAGTAAGTCAACCTGATTTGGGCGATAGCTCGTCGACGTTGGATGGTTCGAGTGTTGTGCTGTCTTTCACGGTGTGTATTAACGAGGTTTCTGATGGTCCTGACTGAAACTCTTTATGAAGGGTTTGTAAGACTGTTTCAGGTTCGTCGAAATGCTCATGTTTATAACACAGGAGACGCCGTGTCTTTGTTTGGTTCAGTCGGACCCAACAACGGGTTCTACCAGGCTCAGCTAGACAGCGAGCCGACAGCCGACTACAACGCAACGAGGCAGATACTTCTGACTCAGGTCATGCTCTACCATGCCGACAACTTGGGATCGGGAAACCACCAGCTCACGCTCACTAATACTCCTCAGACAGCTAGTCAATCATTGAACATTGACTATGCTGAGATCATGACCTATCAAAGTAGGTTAGCATGTTAATACAATCTCATTGAGCTTTCTGACGTCTACTACAGTAGGTACAGAATCCAATCCTAGCAAAGGTCGCTTTCTGTTGATAGACAAACATTAGCAGCACTATCCCTAGTTCTGAGCTCAACGCATCAACATCCCAGTGAGTCATCAAACTAATACCCTTAACAAGCTAACGTATGTTTCCCTAGTTCTAGCATCAGTAATGGGGGCATTGCAGGCTTAGTTGTACTTGGTGTTACAACTCTACTCCTTGCCCTCTCGAACTTTTATCTTTTTCGGAGACTCCGGATCACCGAGAGCCAGCAGGTGGACATGTACAGGTCCTATGCTGGTCGACCTATGACGGAGTATCAAACTGCTGCTTCTCAGGCGTTTACATCGGCTATAACCACAGACATCTCTTATGATCCCTCGAGCCGCCTCGCTCGCTCGTCTCAGAATGGAGCATCCAGAGCTAATGTGTGTCACGCGCTGTGTCCATAATCTCCTATAGCTGATGTCGGATACCTTGCGATAATAACAGCCCTTTGCTCAAGAGCCCCTGAACAATGATACAGGTAAGCATTTGATTCCATTATGTAGGGGTCGCGCATGCCTCACAAAGTGAGTGAAGGTCCATCCGCAGAAGAAGGCCTCTTTGCGGATCCGCTCCGAGACTCAGTCACCCCAACCGTCTCCACTTCTCTTCCAGACTATGCGCAAGCAATGTCCCGAGGTGTGCGGCAATAGAACACAAAGAAGCACGTCCGTGGTACCCAGAAGCCCGACTGGAGTGGAAGGGTTTTGGATAGTGGGGCATGGTCATCACGATAGTAGAGCACGTTTCTACCTAATTCACGTACTTGTTTGCCTGTGCTGTACATGCTTCCATTGTCTGTGCCTTGGAGTATGAGGCGGTCCTCGGACAGTCCACGAGTCCTTATAAAACTGCGATGTCTACCGCCCTTGCACCCCCAATGCAACACGACACCCTCAATGCAACATCCACTAAATGTGCTCTCCCTGACCTGATCCTTGGCAAAATGTATCAAAATTGGTCTGTAAGCTTGTATAGATGTATTCCGCTTGCCTACAAAAAACTGTAGCGTGAATATTAGAAATTTAATGATCTGTGCTCGAAACCACCCAAGTTTTGGCGTTGTTGAGAGATCAACACTCAGGGCACCTATCTTAAACTTGACCAACTGCTTCAAAATCTCATATTGATATTCCTATGGCGTTAATTTATCGTAGTATAAGTTTCTGTAGGCCATTGCCGTCTCTAGCGCGAACGGTGACCGTCATCAGTGCTACAGTGAGAGAAGCTGGAGAGAGGAGTCACGATTCCGGCATCCCTCTGGCAAGCTCAAGCTTTTACGCTATATTATTCAAAGACATGTACACTAGCAGAAGACCCTCATATATATGCTCATTAAGTTTGCGGGAGATATGCGTGAGCATCGGAGCCATGTGACAAGGAACAATCTCACCCTGTTGCATTGAGGGTGTCGTGTTGCATTGGGGGTGCAAGGGCGGTATACCAAGCATCTGCAGGTGTATCTTTCGGAGCATGGCGTTACACAGGCTCATATTTAGTCTGTGGATTGAGGAGAGCTTGTGGTTTTACGATAATGGGGGGCGGAATTCCGCGCCAAAGGTACGATCATTGGACTTGATGGTGGTGGGGAGCAACTCAAGGTACACGAGGCCTACTATAATTGTACACAGACACAAACAAAGACTTAGAATGGCGTAACTCCTCACAACTTCCACCGAATCCATTCAACAACAGCATCAGCGGCGACTATGTTTAGCCCGTCTGCTCGTAATTCGGCTCATTGCTTTGATGGATGGCGCGCTTTACCCTGATGCTATGACCCTATGTTCTCAGGCGAACACAGCTCAGCTCAATATCAAACAAGCTTTCGGCTTAAAATGTAAGTGCACAGGTGCTTAGAGACCCTTTCGATCCCAGCCCGTCTTCTCTAGCGTTGGACGCGCCTTAACTGCCAACGTCCACCATGCCGACATTGACGACGGTCTGGGACGACCAAGTGCCCCTCATTCAGTATGATGCTACCTGGGCGCCGGGATCATCGTGGTCAGATAGCTTGGCTAGCAGGTGAGCAGCGCTCGTTTGAGACTCCTGGACCCTGCCCTACTGACGGGACCTGATTGTGATCCCATCTCCACTTATTGAAGCTATTACCTCGGCACGTTCACTACATGCAACGTCACCAATGGTGTAGCCAACTTCACCTTTAACGGCACTGCATTCTCGATATACGGCGCAAAGCGAGGGAACCATGGAACGTACTCAGTTAACCTCGACGGCTCGACGGTCGGTACAGAAAACGGACAGTCGAACGCCAATGAATTTCAGCAGGTGCTATGGAGTAGCACCGGCCTGGCTCAGTCACAACACAGTGTATCATTGACGAACACGGCGTCGGGATCACTGTACGTCGACATTGACTATGTGAGACGTTCGGAATCACTCCGCTACGCATCCAAAGTGCTGATTCATCCATACAAATAGGTCGTGGTGCAGTCGCAGGTCGGGAGTGATGATCAACAACTTGTGTCCACGATCATAGACGACACGGATCCTCGCTTCAGCTATCCAAACGAAGGGAGTCAGTGGAGTACGGGTATCAGCAATGTGGGGCTGTATTACAATGGTACTGGACAGTGCGTATCGATACCTCTTTCACTTTGCCATAGTACTCTGAGTCCGGCTCCTGTAGCACGACTACGGCATCCCAAGCTCAGGCCACGCTCTCCTTCACGGTGCGTGCTATATTTGAACACAATATCGGTGCCTGACCCCATGACTTTACTCACAGGGTACGTAGCAAGTGTGATTGTCATCTGGAGATTGTTGCTGATACAATGCGGACAGGGGACGTGATATCCTTGTACGGGACCGTCGGCCCTTCCAATGGCTTCTTCTCCGTGCAACTCGACGGCCAAACTGCACAGCAGTACAACGCTACGAGGCAGTTGGACCATACACAGGTCATGCTCTACCATGCTGATAATCTGGGATCAGGCGATCACCAGCTCGTCCTTACGAATCTTCCGGTCAGCAATGCTGCGGCTTCATTGAACATTGACTACGCGGAAGTCATGTCCTTGTCCAAGTACGTATGGAACTTCCCGTTGCATTATTCGCGGAACGCTGACAATCACCTAGTGCTTCAACGAGGTGAGAAACACTACGAAGAGATCGAGGATGTGTCTAAAGTGATACCCGCAGTGCATGCACTGATCCTCAGGTCAACGCATCTACGTCAAAGTAAGTCTGTAACACTCTTTTGCCATATCATATACCCATACGGCATCCAGAGGAATCGATAGCGGAGGAATAGCAGGCCTTGTCGTTCTCGGAGTAACCACTCTCCTTCTCGGTCTCTCGACGCTGTACTTCTGGCGGCGATGGCGGAACTCGGAGGCCGAACAGGTCGAAATGTACAGATCGTTCGCCGTACATCCAAAGACAGAGACGGATGGATCAGTAGCCTCTCCGCGCGCTTTCTCTGCGACGGGCACTACTGAATTTTCCAGCGAACCGGGCGCTCGCCCCTCCCCCGCACAAGAGAGCTCGGAGGTGCGTACTCATACGTTAACTTGACCGTCAGGTTTGATTTTATTGAACTGATGCCGATATTCTGCCAGCTACAGCAGCCGAATGCTCGCGAGTCTTTGTACGGGCTCTCAGGTATTCGCCCCCTTCCCAGTATACCGGGTGGAGCACTGAGCGATTCAAGGTGGACCGGCGACGAGAAACGCGGGACGCCGTGAGAGCATGCGGCGCTCTCTTGCTCCCACCGTCGCGACGATGCCCCCTGACTATGCTCAGGCCACATCTCCGTAGTAGCGGGTTGAAAGCGCAGTATTGACGCTGAGTGGTATGAGTCGGAGTCTGGATCCGTCGTATGGGGACTATCTGTACTCGGTGTCACCACCATCATGATCCTTCCATTTTTTCGTCACTTTATTTATGGAAACGTTGAAAGTTTTGCCCGATTTTAATACCAGGCAAAGTTTAGGCGCCCATCGAATAACATCTCGTCATTCAAAGGCCCAAATGATACGAGTGAATTGTGACCTTCTGCTACTTCGGTCTTTTTGTACTTCTCACAATGAGTCCGACCCGAGATATCAACGTCGAAGTTTCATTAAAGCATGTAGCTTTGATTCCGAATTGCTCAAAGGAGGCTATACAGTACCTCTATGTGAAAACAGACGAACTGCGATCCTATGATGACGATATTGCAAATGTCCTCCAAGCTGCCGAAAGCAATGAACAAGACCAGCCGAACCACCAATAATACATGGGCGCTTCGAAACCGGTGACGCAGAGCTGCCCGAGGCCGTCCCCACGAGGATGATCCAATCGTAGGCTATACCGCCGAGGTGTCCAAGATTATAAGGTTCCGCGAGGCCGTGCGACGGGGGGTGCTCAACCTCCTCTTCCTTCCTTCCCTCCCCTTCCGCTCGTTTCTTCGCTCCAGAGGCACATATGCCCACTATCACTACGATCCTCGATGACCAGGCTCCTTTGATTACTTATGATAGATTCTGGGCGCCGGGTGCGGCCTGGGACGATAATCTCGCGACCGCGTGAGTAGTGCACGTTTATTTGCCGGCTCTTCTTAATGCGGTTTGCTTGTTTTGCTTGAATCGACCGCAGTTATTACTTGGGCACGTTCACCACGTGCAATGTCACAAGCGGAGCAGCTTCCTTCACCTTCAACGGCACGGGTTTCGCGATCTACGGCGCGGAGCGCAGCAATCACGGCTCGTACAGCGTGACCGTGGACGGAACATTAAGCACGGCCGGATTGAACGGCGGGTCATCAAATGCCCAGTTTCAACAGCCGCTTTTCACCAGGACCGGCCTGACACAGGGAAACCATACCGTGTCGATCGAGAATACGGCCTCTGGCTCGCTTTACGTCGATATTGACTTTGTGCGTCCCCTTCCGTAGTCATCGGCTGCCTGAAATAGAGATGGGCTGACGGATGAGCCGTCCGGTCAGATTATTTGGGAGGCGGATGTTCCGGGGGAGGAAGGACAAGAGCTCGTTCCGAGTGTGTATCAAGACACGCACCCGAGCTTCTCATATTCGGCAGGACAGTGGAGCACTAATCCGCCAAGTGTTTATTTGTACAACAACGGGACGGGGCAGTAAGTGCTGCACACATAACGATGGGGGGCTTTCTCTGAAGTCATGCTTTGCAGTACAGCAACGACGCTGGATGCAAGTGTAAACTTCACGTTTACGGTGAGTCACTAAATCTGTAGTTATAGAAGTGGGTTATGAGAACTGAATATGCAGGGTGCGCACCCTTGTATCAATGGTTTGTGTGCAACAATGCAGCTCACGTCCACTCCCAGGCGACGTGATAAACCTGTACGGCACCGTCGGGAACAACAATGGCTGGTACACCGTGCAAGTGGACGGTGGAACGTCGATGCAGTATAATGCGACACGGTTCCAGCCGTACTACCAGCAGCCACTCTTTCACGCCAACAACCTCGGTGGGGGAACACATCAGTTGACGGTAACAAACCAGCCGCAGGTGCAGGGACAGGCACTTAACATTGACTATGCGGAGGTGTATAGTCTTGGAAGGTGAGCGAATCTCCAAGTTCCGGCGCCGAGATCATCATTCCAAATCCAAATCCACTTCTTGGGGCAGTGGAGGATCATCACCAGGATCTACTAGCTCCTCCGGAGGCGGTGGTGGCTCCACAGGAAGGTGAGGGGCAGTTCGTCTTCCTTTGTGATCCTCGCATCGCCCTCATACGCCACTTGTGCCACGATCTAATCAGCAATCGCAACAGCCCACAGACACTTTCTTCGTCAGCGAAGTGCCCACCTTCCCCCTGAGCAAGCTATTTCTAGTGCTGACCACGGCCCAATCTCAACAGAGGCATAAGCTCGGGCGGCATCGCGGGCCTCGCCGTGCTCGGCGCGACCACGCTGCTTGCGCTGGGCGCCGTATACTACCTCTGGCGGCAGTGGAAGCTCGCAGAGCAGCGGTACACGGACCTCTACCGCAACTACGCACAGCGCCCGCTCGACAGCCTAAATCCGCCGTACTTATCCTCGGGCGGTGTCGCCGTCGCGAGCGGTCCACAGTACTCCGGCTCGTCGCGGACCCTGTCGCGCAACAACAGGTCGTCGCACTCGCACTCGTGGACGCGATTCAACGGTGGATCCGAGGACGGGCTGACTGCGGAGTCGGCCGGGCACGTTCCGAGGACGGCGTACATGCAGAACTCGTCGGCGGGCGGGGTGGGCGAGACGATCGAGATGCAGAGGCAGCTGAGGCATGGGATGGCGATACCGGAGGACCAGGAGGATACACATGTGAGTGGGAGGGTTTCTTTATTTTTGGCGTGTTGACGAGGGTGCGATGTACTTAGCTTTTGTTCGGACAGCCATACTATGATGCGGCGGCGGTCGTGGCTCAGCGCCGCCCTCCGGATGTTCCTGATGATGTGCGCAGCCAGCCGACAGCGACGCGCCATTCTTTCGCGCCGACCGTTTCAACAGACCTTCCTGCGTATACACGTTGAATTGGGCAGTATCCATTGTTTTGGTGTCTTTACAAAAGGCGCATCTGTTGACCTATGTTGCGGCTTTGTATGAGTATCTTTTCCGCTCGTCGAGTTATAATAGCGCCTTGGACTTACACATACCTTAATTATACAGACACAAACAGCATCTAGTCTATCCCATGATACGCATTGTTGAAAGTCGGCAATTAGGCAAGAACCTACGGCGTATTAGTACGAGAGTGGATGCACTACACCAGTACTAGTACTATGTAATTGCATTGTTGATTCGTGTAGCCAGTGTTTCAAATCAATGCTCAGCGTGCTGCGCACTTATCTTTTCCTCCAGCTTATGAACCGTTCGCGTAGTGATGTCGTAGACCATGGGTGAGTGTTTACCAGTGTATTGCGGTCACGTAGCATGCATGACTGTCAGTAATACCAAGATTTCTTGACGTGATTGAAATCACGCCACGACTCGCCGGCGTCTACTTGAAGACAGGGGTAAGTCTCTTTGAGGCGAATCGCCCATTTGTCAATCCAAGGTTTGGCTCTTGGGGTGTCGATATACAGCCTTCTCAACGGGCATTGCGAACGCGAGAGACACGCTTCTACAGCCCGAATCTCTTGTTCCGAGCCATGAGTCTGGTACGTGAAGCTGAAAGTGAGGTCTGTAAGAGATGGTAGGGTCAGGGCGTGGAACGTGTCAATGAGGTAGGCGGGATGATCCCATTCCAGCTGGAGAGATAGGAGCCGAAGGTGGGGCAACCGCGCGGTTCCTTGAGCTGCAACTGGAGGTTCAGTGCGAGCAGTGATATCTGACGAAGAAAAGCGACTCGATACGAGATAAAACTCTTCCAGGTTCGGGAAATCGACAGAGAATTTGACAATATCCAGGACTATAAAACTGTCCTCGGCAACATGATTCACTATGAGACGCCGTAGATTGGAGAAATGGAACGGGAAGACACGGCGGAAGTCGAGTAATTGGCATTCCTCTTCTCCATCCTCCTCCTCATATCTGTAGGGGTCGCGGTACGGATTGTTCTCTTCGGCGACTTCAATATGCAGATTGCGCAATCGGGAGAGGGCTCTATATATGTCAGGGGATCCAGTTACGTCGTCGTTCTCTACCTCGCTATCATCATATTCTTCGTTAGTAAAACGCCAGGTGGCGAGGTAGCAGTCCAACAGGCTTAACGACTCCAAATTTGGGAAGTGCTGAGCGAGCCAGTTGTCCAGTTCGCCGAAACTGACGGACTCAGCCCACGTGCGCCTGCTATTATAGGAGAGTTGAAGGCCTTTACACGTATCTCTGAGCCCAGCAAGAACCCCGTTCTGCTCCATCGCCTTCATACTTTCGGTATTGACGCCGTGGATGAAGAGATGAGTAGGAAGTAGACGAGACCTCGAGATCATCTCCGCGCATCGGGAGGAAGCACGCTTTGAACCGGCCGTGATGTGTATACTGTTCCATAACTTGGGGTCGGCAAGTGCAACCGTCCTCCAACGGCGGCAGACGCGGGAAAGAGAAATCGGAGGAACTGGGATCTGATATGACCGGGAGACGTATTTGAAGATGATGGATAGGACGTCATCCGGCACCCGGATGACGACGGACAAGAATCGCGAGTGCTCTTTCTTTGCGTGTTGCATCCTGACCTTGCTCTGCGATAGATGCTTGATGATGGCGTCGATCTCGTCGACGCCCGAGGACAGGCTCTCGACAAGCTCACAAAGCTGGTGCTGATTGATGCTTGACGTTACATTGTGGTTCGTTCCCAACAGGTGTGCAAACGGTGTGTGTAGGAGAGCCTGATGTTGTCCGTCGGTAACCACGATTAGTGTATTTCAGACAAGTTTAGGTGTAAGCACGTACGTCAATCTCGGAATCGATATTGGATCTAGCCTGAGAGATCTGGGAGGACGCCAGTAAGTGTCGTTCGTCTGTTTCATCAAGGAGATAACCATACACTTTGCGACAACCCCGAAGCCCTCGCCATTTTGCGAAAGATATGAGGAAGCCGAGGCTAGAAACTTCAAGAGGATTGTGTATGATTTCTGTGAGAGCGAACGAATTCTAAGCGCTCGAGAAACCGCAGCTGGTGTTTATGGCAGTCCGTTTGTCCTCGTGTGGCGTGAGCAGAGAGAAACAAGAGCGGAGGAAGTGCGGGCCGGCGACAGAGAGACGCGTCCCACGTGAGCATTGTTCCCGAAAAGGAAGATACAACGCGCCTGCCCCTTATTGTTTTCGAGGTTATTGTTCTGTGACAAGCGAGGCTGAACAAAAAGAATGGCCCAGCAAAGAGAGCGCCCGCTTCACCCGCCCTCTCCTCCCCTCCTTCTTTCTTTTCCACCACGCTCTTTCGCTGGGACGACATGTTGTCGGTCCTCTTTACTGCTTTCTTTGCATTTAGCGCGTCAGTGGGTGAGTTGTCTGGTGCTTGGCAAGTCTGGGGAGGGCGCTGATGCAAAAGACGTAGCTGCGCAAAATGTTTCTGTGGTTTGCATTGCTGGGCAATGCCTCGAGGGATTCACTAACACTACCAGTACGTTCTTGCTTACTGTGCAGAATCATGCAGTCATCTAAACCACCATTCAAGTTGGCGCTACGCTATCAGCTCCGGGAGCTCAAACCGACGTGATTCTTCTCCCAGATACCTACTCGTCCACATCGAACCCCGAGCTCCTCCACAACCTCCTCACCGCATCATCCGCATCACTCTCCCCCGCCACCGGCTTCTCCAACTCGAGCGGCCAGTCGTCCGTTTCGCTCCCCCTAACACTCGCCCTTCAGCCAGGCATGGCCATCTACCCACAGGCCCTATACTCAGGCCAAGCCCAGTTCTCGACGCTCCCCAGCACCCCACAAACAAACACCTCCATCCCCTTCAGCGCCAGCTCGCTCTCACTCGCCCCCAACGTCTGGGCCGCCGTCTCCGCCGGCTCGTCCAGCACCCGCGTCATCCTCTGGTCTTCCGTGCCCGACACCGCCCAGCTGCCTACCACCGCATCCGGCTCGCTCGCGCTGCTCGACATGCAGTCCGCGTCTTGCTCCCCGCAGTGCTCCGGCAACGGCGTGTGCTCCGCCTCTGGCACCTGCACCTGCCCCGCGGGCTTCACCGGCTCCTCGTGCGAGTCGTGCGTGTCCGGCCACTTCGGGCCGCAGTGCGCGGCGTGCCCCGCAGGATGCACGGAGTGCGACGATGGGATCAACGGCTCGGGTGTGTGCGCCGCGTTCGCGGTGAGCGATCCGCCGGCGAGCTGTAATTGCGTGAACGGGGAGTGCGGGAGTAATGGACAGTGCACGTGTTTGCCGGGATGGACGGCGGCGTCGAACGGGACGCAGTGTGCGCAGTGCGCGTCGGGGTATTTTTTGGACTCGTCTGGGAACTGCGAGAGTGAGTGCGTCGTGGCTCTTTGCTCCGAGTCGGTTTATTGAATACGTGTCTTTGCAGTCTGCCAACTTGGCTGCGCGGAGTGCTCGGATGGCACGGGCGACTGTATCTCCTGTGCCTCGGGCTTCACCCAGGACGCGAACGACAAGACCAAGTGCGACTCCACGGGCCAGACGACGTCGAGCGGCACCGCGTGCCCCGACGGGAGCTTCAGCGCCGGGTCGTCGTGCCAGGCGTGCTCGCCATCGTGCCAGACGTGCCACGGGTCGACGTCGAACGACTGTATCATCTGCGCAACGGGCACGTACTCGCTCGGCGGAAACTGCGTGCAGACCAACAGCGGCGGTGTGTGCGCGGGGACGAGCATGATCGCCAACAATAACAAGCACGAGTGTGACAGTGAGTGTTTGTCTTGGCTTCATTCCGCTTATGCTTTCGGTGAGGAGCTGACGAATGGTGCTAGCTTGCCCGTCGAAGTGCACCTCGTGCCAGATCAGCTCGTTTAGTGCCGCGTCCACGATCAACCAGGCCCAGTGCACGGGTTGCCTGCCTGGTTACGTTCTTTCTCAAGGCCAATGCGTTGAAAGCTGCCCGTCGGGGACGTTCCTGTCGCCCACGGACAACCTGACCTGCACCGGTCCGTCGTTCTCCTCTTAATCTCGTCTCTTCCCGGCGATCTGACCTATCCTCCAGCATGCAGCTCATCCTGCGGCACCTGCGCCGGCTCCGCCTCCTTCTGCCTCACCTGCACCAACAACCAGATCGCCGCGAACGGCACGTGCGTGAACACGTGCCCGTCCAACACCTTCAGCGCCTCGGGGCGCTGCATCGCGTGCCACCCGGACTGCGCGACGTGCGCCGGCGGGTCGTTCGACCAGTGCACGAGCTGCGCGAAGACGCTGCCCGTGCTCACCAGCGGGCGGTGCCTCGCGACGTGCAGCCAGAATCAGTACCTGGACGGCACGTCCGCGGCGTGCGAGGCGTGCGATAGCAGCTGCGCGAGCTGTTCTGGGCCGGGGCCGAACGCGTGTCTCGCGTGCAGCAGCAGCAGTAATGTTCTGCGCGGCGGGGCGTGTGTCGCGGCGAACTGCACGGGCGGGGCGGGCGTGGTGAGTGGGCTCGGGGCGTGTTTGTCGGAGCTTGTGCTCGTGCCGAGTAACACGTCGAGCGGGGGGTCGAGTGCGCCGCTGCCGAGCATCACGGGGATATCGTCGCCGACGGTTGTGAGTAGCAGCTCGGGGCGGCTGCAGTGGTGGGAGATACTGCTTATGGCGCTTGGGTGCGCGTTTATTTTCCTGGTGGTGGTGATGTGCTGGCGCCGGCGCGCGAGGAAGCAGAGGCAGAAGGCGACGGCGGCGTTTGCGAGCGCGAAGCAGCTGGATAGGAAGGAAGGGTGGCGGTGGAAGCTTATCCGGTTCGGCGAGCGGCTTATGGGTGGTGGTGGTGGCGACGCGCAGAAGCACGCGGACGCGGGCGAGATCGCGCTGTGGAAGATGCGCGCGGCGGAGGAGGCGCGGCATAATCAGTATCGCGAGCGCGAGATGGAGAAGATGATGATGAGCGGCGGCGGCGGGTACGCGCATTCGCACTCGCACGCGGGCTCGAGCCGCGGACCGTCGCCCCTGCCCTCGCTCTACGAAGGCCGGCACGGACACGACGGCACCAAGGAGTGGTACGATGAGGCGTTCGAGCGCGAATACGACGCGCCGCCAAACGACCACCGCTTCTCGTCGCACTCGGTGTTCTCGCAGGTGACAGGGGTGCCGCGGAGCGGGCCGGAGCCGCGGCAGCCGGTGCGGACGAACCCGCTGACGTCGCGGTTCAGCACGACGACGCTCGGGACGTCGTCGGGCGTGTCGCGCTCGGCGGGGGAGCGGAACAAGAGCAAGCGCAAGACGCCGTCGCCGCGGGCGCCGAGTGTTGCGCAGGAGTACGCGATGTCGGTGCGCAAGGGGTCGCCATCGCCGCGGTTGCTGCAGAAACCCTTGGTGCCGACGCACACGGGCGACTCGGGGTCAAGGAATCCGTTCCGCCAGTGATCGTGATTGCTTTGTCTCTTGTTATGGGTTATCGAGGACACGTTTCGCACCGCATTGTGGCTGCGGGGGCCATGAGGAGAGCGGCGCGGCGACGGAGGCCACGTCCGAGGTCGCCAAAAGACGGGAGGGGGAGGGGAAAAGGGCGGGTGAAAAGGTAGATGGGTAAGCGAGACGCGGACGACTGCTCTTGGTCGCTAGCTGCAGCTGGGACCCCACGGGCATGGGGACGGGTGAGACTGGCGGTTGCAGCGGCGGCCCTGAGTTGTCGGGTATTACGGAAGGGAGAGAATCTGAGGCCGAGGAGGGGTGTGGCGTACGAGGCGAACCACACCGCTGGCTCTGAGTCGACGCGGGGTGGACTCGGAGTGCTAGGAGGGCTCATAAGAAAGATGGGCGAGGATGGACTGGGTGGAGTGGGCCATTTGTACTGTTGCTGTCAGCTATGGATGACTGGGGAACTGGGCAATGCCATCCGCTCGTCTGGAAATCAGGATCTCGGGTCTCGGGATTACACGTTGGCGCTGGTTCCAGGTTACAAAACTTGCAGCTTGCAGCGGGACACGGACTAATGGGCACATCTGCCATCTCATCTGTAAATAATTGCTGTCAGCCATGACACTCACGAGGACGTCAATGCACACCTCCATCGATTATAACATCGGACCACGGGACGCACAACCCGGGCCTTCGAGAAACCCCAGACTCTCCCCAGGTTCTTTTCAGATCGCGCGTCCGTGGAGGCGTCCGCATTGCTTTATATTGCCTCGCTCCCATTCGACGATCCCCACGGAGCCTCCACCCATCCGGATCACCCACAGTCCAAACATGGCCGCAAGTTTCAGAAAAGTACGACGGAGCGCCCATCTCGGCCTCGGACCTTGCCTTTCACTTCGGCTCGACGCGCCACCACACCACACACGGAGAACATCACAACCGCTGTACTATTAGGCTATATGAAAAGAGACCAGGCAGAATATTCTAGGATACAGGTATATGAGCGTGTAGCGTGGTATGTGGCACAGGACAAGCACTATGTTGGCGTAATACAAAAACTTCCGTTCTAAGATCGTAAAAGCGACGTCAAAATGAGATGAAAGCAACACACAAACAAGAAAGAAAAAGGTTCAAGGTCCATGCGAGATGCGATGCGGTATGATCGTCCCTCGCTGCCCTCTGCGCACGTGCACTCGACGCTGCCATCCCCGCTCGTCTCCGCAGACGCTCCGACACGAACTTCACGGGCGCTACTCCGCCGCAGGAGGTTCGGAAGGAGCATCTGCGCGGGGATAAACACAAACGCACAGGCAAAGGTCACGATGAGGGCAAAGACGACGACGGCGGAGTGGTCTGGTCGACCGACATCCCGGGCTCCCGCTCCGACCCGGAAGACGCGGACTGGCCGCGCCCGTACACGCTTCTCGACCGCGCCGCCATATTCCGCACCATGGCCGCGTCCGCCGACCCGTCGCGCACCCAGCTCGGCGGCGGCGGACGGCGCGCAGACGCGGTCAACTTCCAGCCGTGGGGCGGGCCCGAGGCGTCGCAGGACCGGTATGTTGTCAAGCAGCTCGATATTGGGGGGAGGTTGTGGACTGTGAGCGCTGTTTTTGACGGTGAGTTTTCCTTTCGTTCTGTTTCTTTCTTGCTCCGAGCCGAGGCTTGGCCTGCGGGTGGGGCTTAGGCTTAGGCTTTAAAGTTTTCGAATACATTAGGCGTTGACCGACATTGAGTCGATGACTCGGCCCTTTGGACTCTGGGCTCTGGGGTGCATAAATGAGGCACGGAGAATCCTCGCATCGCCCACCCTCTTGCCTTTTTTTCGCTTCCGCTCACAGCCACGCTGATGCTGATCACAACGCTAATGCTAAACACCGTATTCATCCAGGCCACCTCGGCAACGCGACCGTCGCACACGCAGCACACCACGTCCCGATCATCATCCTCGAGCAGCTCACAGCGCTCCTCGCGCGACACGGCGGCAGCGCCGCGGACGCGCGCGCACTCGAGACGGTCCCGCCGCCGCTCATCGCGGACACGCTCTCGCGCGCGGTGACCGCGTTCGACGACGCGATCGCCAACGACGTGCTCGAGCTGTTCCCGGGCGGACTCGACGCGCTCGCGCACACGCCGGACGACGAGATCAGCGCGGTGCTGAACGACCAGCGGAACGGCGGGGAGAACTTTCGCAAGGCGCAGTTGTGCATGTATGGGACGACGGCGGTGGTCGCGCTTGTTGATCCCGAGGGCGAGAATCTGTGGGTGGTTAATTTGGGGGATTGTCAGGCTAGTGAGTGGTTTTTTCTTCTTCTTCTTGGATTGGTGTGCTGTGGGTGGGCGCTGAAGTTTATGGGGTTAGTTATGGTCGCGGTGGACGCTGAAGGCGAGCCGACGGTGGAGGTCCTGACCAACGTCCACAACGCGGACTGTCCGCCCGAGGTCGAGCGCGTGCGGAGCGAGCACCCCGGCGAAGAGCCCGTCATCGACGGCCGCGTGCTCGGCGCCATCGCTCCCTCTCGGTGTGCGTCTTTTGTCTCGTACTACGGTCTAACATCCACTGACCACCAATTTATATCGCGCAGGCATCGGCGACGCCCCGTTCAAGCAGCCCCCGGAGTTCACCCGTCGGATACTGTACAACCTCTTCCCGGGGCACCACGCCGACACGTCGCCGTGGGAGGAGTTCCTCGTGCACAACCACACGCCGCCGTATATATCCGCAACGCCTGAGATCACGCATTATCCGATCGCTGAGCCCTCTTCGCCTACCGCTGCCCCCGCTGGTGCTGGTGCTGCTGGTGCTGGTGCTGGTGCTGGTGCTGCTCCTGGCGGCTCCGCGTCTGGTACGAAAATAGGTGCGCGGAGGAATCCACGACGGTACCTCATCCTGTGCTCGGACGGCTTCACGGACGTGTGCGCGCTCCCGAGTCAGCGGCAGCAGCGCGTCGTCGAGGCGTGGGCGCGCGAGTGCTGCCGCGGCCCCGCTTTGCCGGCGGCCGCTGCTAATAGCGACAAGCGCGGGACCACGGCGGAAGAGGAGGAGAACCTCGCGCTGCGGCTGCTGTGGCACGCGTTCGGCGGGACAGAGCGGAGCGTGTCGCGGGCGCTCACGGTCGATATGGGCACGGAGGCCGCGTGGCTGGATGATATGGCGCTTGTTGTGCAGACGCTGTGAGGGGCGGTTCGTCTCGCTTCTTGTCTTTTTCTTTCTTTCTTTCTTTCTTTCTTTCTTTCTTTCTCTGGTTTCTTATTTTTTCCTCGCGCGACTCTCATTGATATCTCCGCTTTCCCGATACCTACGCTACCCCATTGCGCCCTCAAGGGCTGCCCTAATGCGTCCTGTCTGCTCTTTTCAAGTCATCCGCTCGCTCGCTCACGACCATTCATGGCTTTTTACTATCATCCATCCATCCATCCAGCAAAATCATACCATACCATACCATACCATACCATACCTTAATCGCTGTTACCCGACCTAATGCTTTCGTTCTTGCTGTTTTCCAAGTCGTCTTCACGTTGTTATCAAGTTATACCTTAGCCGCATATTTAATACCCGCGTCGTATTATTGCCCATCTTACGGATACATGATCAAATTTAATACTTGATTTGTCGAGCTACATTTGCGTTTTTGTTAACTTACCAATCTATTAGTATGCCTTGATTTTACTATGGTAAATGCTGTATCGCTCAAATTTTAAAGTGAGAGGTGCGGTCTAACGCGGTGGACTAGGGAGGGTCGGACCGAACGTTACAGTGACAGCGAAAGCGACAGTCACGCTATAAAGTCACATTTCGGGTCTCACCACTTTGCCGTACGCAAGCTACACCGCTGCTCTTGTACACCTCGTGGTCCAAGGTCTCATTTACTCTCCCCCTCGTGTCCCCGGACCATCAAGGATACACTAGAATTGCTGCTGCGATGGCGTTCTCATCGACCTTTGCACACTGTGTACGGTTTGCTTCTTTGGCGTCTGCGCGATATGTTGCTGAACCGTGTCGCTGCCTCACTGGGACGGTTCCTTGTTACAGATACCTACTTTTGACGCTGAGATTAATGTGAGTGCACACCCGTCTACAGCATGTACTCCGTTGTGCCTTCGTCCCTCCTGATTATGCTTGCGGAATGCAGAAACTTTCGCGAACACCTTTTGTTCACCTGTATGGAACAAACTACAACAGCTCATCAGAGACGAAAAGGGCCAGATTAAGGGCATCACCGAGGATCTAACTGCAGCCCTTGAAGACATTGGCTCTATCATCCAGTATCTTGCTGAAAAGAAGGCTTCGCTGGAGTGCATGAGGCGCGAACATGCTCGGTTCTCTTCAGTGGTGGGGCGCCTACCGGGGGACGTCTTGTCCATCATCTTCGAGCACGGCATACCCTCTCCTTCAGGAGGTAGATCCGACCCGTCTCAGGACGATCCCTTGCTCTCCGTTAAAGTCGCCTGGGTTTGTCGACGCTGGAGAACTGTTGCACTCAGTAACCCGAAGCTGTGGAACAAGATCCATCTCGACGGGAGCAAGGTAGTGCCGGGCGCGAGCTCGCCTCGTTTCGCTGAGCTGGCTGCACGGTGTCGTGCGCATCCAACATACTTGTTTATTCGTAGCCCCAAGTTTTCAGAGTTGGAAGAGAGCGGGATGCTTGAAGGCCTGAGAGGCGCGTGCAGGGGCATTGAAGCACAGTCGCAGCGGGAAGAGCCTTCTTCCGAGTCATCTGGATCGCTGGCTCGCTCGAATCTTTCCCAACCTCGCGTCCCTATCCCTGACAGGCTACCACATTGTTCATGAACCGGAATGGGCTGCTGAGCAGCTACTTCCAGCCTTTTCGCAGCTCTCCAATCTGTACATCCAGTTCGCAAAAGCAAGGAACGCAGGCTTCCGTGCATTTGATCCGCGGGCTATCTACCAGCTGCGCTCGCCCACTCTGCGACGCCTAGTTATCCATGCTCTCCCGATACCCTGCCATTCGACACTCGACACGAATCAACTAGCGACTAGCTTTCCTGGTTTGGAGGAGCTCCGCATCTTTGGCCATCCCGTACAACGGTCACGCGCGCAATCGCTGGTATCTTCGGAGCCACCCACAAGGACAGCGCTTTTCTCGCAGCTGAGAGCCTTGTCATTGGTAGTGGATTGGAATAGTGTTGAAGGCTTTATTCGTGCATTCCAGCCTTTGGTTCTCCCGGCGCTTTCAGAGCTCAACATCGCCATCTGTCTGCCGTGTAATGAGGAAGGTGTGCAGACTCTGGCTGTGGAAGGATGCCTTGCTCGTTCGCGTTGCCCGCTGGAGCGGATGAACGTGGTTAACATGAGGGAGAGTGCGTGTTGGGTCGATGCATGGGTGGAGCGCCTCAGAAACACCTACCCGCAACTTCGGCTGGGCGATTATCACTGCGACATCGATACGACCAAAGCGGCCTGGTATCAGTAACCGAAAACACGTTCTGCGGTGTGCCAGATGATACCCTACTCCGCATTTGGACAGCACGACCAACATTGACAAGCGCCCGAATCGATACTGGAACGTCACAGAGGAGCGGACACTGCAGGTGTTGCGACGGCGCTCCGCACAGTCACTGCGCCCCACTGGAGCAAATGCGGAATTGAAAGCCGGGGAGGAATAGGGGAGAATCACTCGCTATGCGACTGGGACATGTTTTTCTGTTTCCGGTTCGCTCTTGCTTCTTTCTGTTCCCTTTGGCTGTTACCTCATGAGGACAGATGGACTGCCATAATCTCCCCACTTCCAGTTCTCAGGCGCTCATACTTAATACAAAACATCGATATAGACTTCGTAGGTTGCGATCTTGTTTCCAGAGTTTGACGCCCACCAGTACGTATTCTTCCGCGCTCCTCGGGTTCCGAATTTCACCCCATACTTCCGCATGCATTCACGTCTGGGTTTCTGCATGTGACTTGCGGACGCAGCGAAGATGCCCTCTAGTCTAACAATGTCCAAACGCGCCCCTAAAAACCGATCACGTTGACGCCATGACCATTTGCGTGCTTTCCATAGTCCAATCTTGTCGCGGACGCTCTATCGTCCATTAGTGATGATGCCATGCTTACTCGTGCCCGCTCTCACACTGCTAATTATGGCATCACAGGAGATCATAGGATAGGACCAGTACTTATAAATCATCAGCATTATGACCACGCCTCACATACCAAGACCTGACCCTTTACTCGCGTCTTCGTCTTTTCTTTCACGCTATGGCTGGCTCTTCTGAGGTTGAGGTGCGAATCTATTTCGACCTAATCCGCCCCATATCCCGTGCTCATCGCTATCTCTGACACAAACATAGCCTCCTTTGCGGAAATCTTCCGAGACAAGATACAGCGCCACATCAGGTGATAATGAGTGCCAGCTTCGCGAGATCAACAAGGAGTTGACCTCGTGCATCCACACACTATTGATACAATCACGGAGCATCTTTTAGAGAGCAAGGCCAAGCGACGACGCATAAAAATAGAGCGCTCCCAATTCCTATCTGTTGTCGGTCGAGTGCCAGACGACGTTCTTATCATCATCTTTGAGTTTTCTGGCCCTCTTCTCAACATTTCCCGTGTCTGTCGCCGCCGAAGAGTGGTCGCACACGCCAGCCCGAGACTCTGGAATAGAATATATGTCAGTGCTCAGCAACTCGCAAATGCTCCTTCTCGGTGCACGGAGACGATCTCACGATCTCACCCCCATCCCTCCCAGCTAATCAACCTGCACATTGACATTGACGGGGGTCCCCGCCAACATCTCCCGTTTGAGCGCACGTTCCCCTTTGCTTTCCGTGACGTACGGTTTCTCATATTGCAACATTCTGCCGAGAGGGGACTTCTGATGATCGACTTCACGCAACTCTTTTCCAGATTTCCGCGTCTTGAAGAACTCTATCGTACTTTCTTCCTTTTGCTTTGCTTTGCCAGAACCATCTAGCGCGGGGATGGCACATTTCTCTCGTCTAAAGGTCCTTTCTCTCCAACGGCAATGTATTCTGCACTACATAGAATAATAGATTAATTTAAACCCTGTAGGGAATAAAATTGTGACCTACCAAGAATTGATGCAGTGTCAGCCATACAATGATTAATGAAGGCTGTAAACGGCGCGTGACACGGACAATGGATGAATCGATGACATTGTGATTTGTGATCAATTGTCACGGTGACTGTCACATTCTACTTGCATTCAACTGTCACTCCTTTGCTTGCTCCTTTGACGCAAACGTCTCTTCTTCTCATACAACAGCCGCGACTCTGTTCCGTTCTGTGCAGCAGTATCTTATCAAGGTCATCTCCCTCTGCAACAGCACAAACTGTCTCTATATGATGGTTCTCTCGGTCTGTGCGCACTTCGTGCGTTTTACTCATTAGGGACTTCGGCACTGGATTACTGAAAGTCACCGGGTCCGTTCTCACTACAGATACCCAGCCTTGATGCTGAGATTTATGTGCGTGTGTTTACACTTCCAAGCCGCGCTCTGCCCTATCTTCACCACTGCTAACATCGGCACCTCTGGAGTCTAGAAGCTTGCACGAACGCCTTTCGCTCATCTCTGCGGAACGAACTATCACACCTCATCAACGATAGACAAGAGTCACATTAGTGAAATCATCAGAGATTTAGCTACGGCCGTCGACGAGATGGATGCTATTGTACAGCAACTAGCCGAACGGAGGGCCTTCCTTGAATACGCGAAGCATGAACACGCTCGGTTCTCGTCCATTGTGGGGCGAATACCGGAGGACGTCTTATCCATCATCTTCGAGTACACCATACCGTCTTATTTGACGGGAAGAGGTGGCTTGTCGCAGCGGAGGTCGTCCCTCTCCCTCAACGTGTCTCGAGTTTGTCAACGCTGGCGGACTGTCGCACTCGGCAACCCAAAGTTATGGAACAAGTTTTATGTGAACATGACCAAGGTTGCAATAAATGCCGTTCCTCCTCGCTTCTTCGAGCTAGCGGCAAGATGCCGTCTACATCCTACTTATTTGTTCATCCGCAGTCTGAGATATTCACGGTTGGAACAGAGCGGAATACCCGAAGGCCTAAGCAACACCTGCAAGGGCGTTGAGCTGTTTTGTCCGCGCGTCAGCTATCGGTCCATGTCCCCTATTCTTCTAGATAGATGGCTTGCTCGAAACCTACCTAACTTGGTGTCCTTATCTCTCTTAGGATACCATCTTCAAGTCATCAAACCCGCTCAGGTTGATCAGCCGCACCTTCCAGCCTTCTCTCGGTTATCTAACCTGAATGTCCATTTTGTCAATGACTTTGATGTACAAAACTTCCGGGATGTGGATCTACGCGCTGTCTACCAGCTGCGGTTGCCCGCCTTGCGACGTCTAGTTCTTTTCCTTACCCCGGTACGCTACCGCAAACCCATAGACATGATTCAACTGGCCGATAGCTTCCCCGGCTTGGAAGAGCTTCATATCTATAGCTGTTCAGAATCAAATACAAAACCGTCGTCCACAGGACGGACGGCCACTTTCTCTCACCTGAAAGTCTTGACATGGGTACACAAGCAGTGCACGTTGAATCAGTTTCGTCATGCATTTCAATCGTTGGTGCTCCCGTCACTCTCGGAGCTCACTTGTACCTTCACCCTGAAACCCGCCGGAACGATAGACAGTCGGTCCGTGGAAGTACTAGAAGCATGTCTTACTCGTTCTCAATGTCTCCTTAAACGGATGAATGCCGCCAGTGCCGCCAGCCTGGACAGCTCTTGGAACCGCCCATGGGCTGAACGACTTCGGAATGCCTATCCGCAACTTCAGTTGGTCAACGAAAAAACCTACTTCGATGTCAACGAGATCAAGGCTGCTTGGTATCACTAGCACAGAGGAATGTATGTGACACATAATTGGACGTGGTAATGTCAGTGTGCTGATCTGAATAATATTGCAGTCGATGAGCACATAAAAAGGGATTCAAAATACATATGGGATGCGTTTGCGTTACAGGGCTTAGCGGAGGTCAACAGGAAGAGCTACGAGTGGTAATATGACTCCTGCACATCAGAGAGGAACTGGCTTGTTCTTTTGTTGCGTATTGGCTGCGTAAGACTCTTGCTCATAGTATGCTAAACGTCGACATGAAACACGGGCGCGCTATGAAATACTAATCACTGACGCAAGTATTTACGTTGGAGTTTGTTGATCACCGAGGTGTCTGATTCGAGGAGTGCATGCAGAGTGCATGTGTGCATGTGTTTTAGGGTGTTCTAGCGCGTGGATGCATTGCAGACCACGCTGGGGAGTGTGAAAGAAGATTATTCATGGATACCGAAGGTAAGAAGGCTGATGGATGCGCAATGGAAGCGCGTGGTTGCTGTCGGGGTGAGCATGCTGTGTATGGCACGCCAGGTCCGTGCGGTGCGTGCAGGATGCCCTTTGGGCGCTTGTCCGGGGTTTGCCCACATGGACGCGACGCGCTATCACAGACCTTCCCCGCTCAACCAGCACATCTCTTCGGTCGCCATGGCCAGCACGTATAAATCCCTCGGTCCCTCCGCAATGGAATCCCCGCTCTTCGCCTGCAGCCTCCTTGCCCTCTCAGTCGCCTCGTCGCCGTGATCATGCCCTCGTTCAGCACCCTCCTTCCCCTCGTCGCGCTCGCGACCGCCGTCCAGAGTTTCGTCACTGTTCCTCTCAATCCCATCACTGGACGCGAGGGTGCTTACCTCAAGGGCCTCCCCGAGGCGAACCGTCAGCGCGCTGCTGCGCTCAAATCTGGAAAGAGCGCAACTGCACCCGCGTCGAACCTCGCGTACGTGCAGTACACCACGAGCGTTGGTGTCGGTAACCCGCCGACGTACTACAACCTCGTCGTAGACACGGGAAGCTCGAACACCTTCGTCGGGTAAGCAGTGTATTCCATAATACTGCGCACACATGTGGCTAAAATGCATGAACAGAACGGGTAAGAAGTACGTCCGCACGAACACGAGCGTCTCCACCAACGAGAATGTCAATGTCACCTACGGCCAGGGCTTCTTCACGGGCAAAGAGTGTGAGCATCTTCTTTACGTGTGATCCTGTCCTTCCTTCTCACCTGGAACACTACGGCTAGACATCGACCAGGTCACACTCGCGCCTGGCCTGGTTATCAAGAACCAGTCCATCGGTGACGCCCTCAAATTCGCGTACTTCGACGGCGTCGACGGCATTGTCGGCGTTGGGCCCGTTGATCTCACCACTGGCACGCTCGCGCCTGACGAAAACGAAGCCATCCCTACAGTGCTCAACAACGCGCTCAAGCAGGGCCTCATCGAGGAGGAGATTCTCGGTGTCTCATTCAAGCAGGCGGGCCAGTACAATGACACGAGTGCGTAAACTTGAATATATGCGCCTACTAAATGAATGCTGATGCTCCTTGGAAGACGGTGCTCTAACATACGGTGGCATCGATTCGTCCCTGGTACCTTTTTCTCGGCTTCATTGTGAGTATATGCGTGCGATAGCTAACATGCTCGTACCTCTAGTACACCGGCGACCTAACCTACACCCCGCTCACCAAGACCGAGCCGGCAAACTACTACTGGGGTATCAACATTACCAAGGCCACCTTCGGCAAGACCTCACTCTTCGACAAGTCCTACGCTGGCATTGTCGACACCGGCACTACCCGTACGTCTCTTCGCTTCCCTTTCAGGTCTACCCCGCATATACTCACCATCCCTCCCTCATCGCCCGCAGAGGTCCTCATCGCCGACGACTTCTTCGCTAAATACACCGCCGCCATCCCAGGCTCATACCAGGACAACAACACAGGCCTGATCGTCATCCCGCCCGCGTCCGTGTCCAAGATCCAGAACCTGACGCTCGAGATCGGCGGCAAGGACTTTGTGCTCGACGTCGGTGCGCAGCTCATCCCGCAGGACGAGAACGAGGCCTGGGGCGGCGAGAACGGTACGCAGTACGGCGTCGTCGGCGGGCTCGGGTCGCCGAGCGGCGAGGGGCTCGATTTTATTGTGGGACAGACGTTCTTGGAGAGGTATTACTCGGTGTATGATGCGAAGAATGGAAGGGTTGGGTTTGCTTACACGTGAGTCGCTCTTCGGGCTTGAAGTTGTTTGTGGATTGGTGCTGACGAACGGCAATAGTAACCATACTTGGTCGACGTGATCGACTGCTAACGACGCTTTGAGAACAGCTTTTGTGCCGTGAATTAATTTAAGACTTCGCGAGTTATTAGACACGTATATCGCATTAATGTTATCATTTCGCTTTCGCCACACAGCCCAAGAGATAGCAGGGCGCGACATGAGCAAATAGTTTACTTGCGCCGCTTCGCAAGTCATAGTCACTTCTAGGCTTGTTTCGGGCAGACCTTCACCTCTGTTTCCATGTGAGTTTTCTTGTGATAAGGTGCACTGCCTGGCTATCCGATCTGCAGCTTCGGCGAGCACTCAGCGTGACCTGCGATGAACGTACGTCGTCCTTCCGGACCCTCTTCTTGGTCCCCTCAGTCATTCGTGATTGAGGCGGGAGTTTTGAAACAATTATGAAGTGGAGCAACCTGGCACTGCACGACTTTCTCATTTTCGAACTCAGGTGCACCTAGCGTTCACCTGTGCCTTCTTCGCCTTGCGTAAAAGGTAGCCATGTGTCCAAGCACTGCTGGAAGAAAAATAGAAGTAACACGCCTTTGTACCTTACTAAGTTTGGGAAAGTTCTGCCCGCCCTAGTTCGTTCGCCTATGTCGCACACGCTTAAGCTATGCTTATCGTTCACCGCGAACCTCCGCTACTTGACGGTGACATGGCTTCTGGCTGTGATGTTGAGCGCCGAATGACGGCCGCCCGCAATCTCTGATGTTTTTAAGGCTAACAGCCTGCTCAGCCCTAATAATAGGACATACAGCCACTAGTGTATGAAGGGCATACACTTAAGACACTGTCAGTGGACGCGTCACGATACTTGGTAGCTTTTCAAAAACCAGTATTCGGGCTTACTCAAATATCGATTTGAGGCTCAAACATCTTTTTTTTTTCGCGTAATCTAGATCGTCATTAAGTGATGCGAAAAAGGCGTTAGGTTCAATCGCTCGCATAAGGGTTAGCAGTGAGCGGACATTTGCATTAGGCCCGAACGTTTATTTTGGGCACTCATAACATCGCTACTGTGAGTCAAAATCTCACCCAATCCGTGATGTAGAATGATGCCCCAAGCACTGGCAATCGATTGCTGAGCATAACGCTGTGGTGTATCGGGCGTTAAACAAATCGACATAAAAACCTAGCTGGTATTCGATTCCCATTTAGTCCCTCAAGAACCACCACCAGTCACCCCGTGTCTTTTCCCGCCATGGCCCTATACTATACATGGCTGTTCGTCAAAGCGGGCAGTTATGCAAATGGTATTTGACCGTTTTCTCCCTGTTGACAGAGCAATATTACTTGACACTGTCTCTATTTAGTGTCAATGGGCGCTCTAATCGTCTATGACTACCGTGAGCTTGGTTTTATCCTTGATTTTATTAGGACAAACTCACGCGTAAATTAGTCATTCACCTAGATGAAGAGGTAGGTCTCGATTATCATGTAGTGCTCCTTTTTTAAATCGATTCCATGACTGCCTTAGGTGGACCTCATATGGGTAAGCTGTTGGCCACGAGGACGGTTCTCACGACCATGAGAGTGTACAACCTGACTTGGTTATGCGCCTTCAGATTGGTAACGCATCAAAATTTACCAAGGCTCTCTACGGATTTGTAAGTTTCTTCCATCACAACGTCTGAAATATACAAAGCCAATGTCTATATTTTGTATTTCAAGTTACGATATGGAGGACTTCTTTTTGCAATGTACGTCCCGTCGTGACCACAAAAGCCTATAATATCCATTGCAACGTTCTAACTCGTCGTTTCCTTTCATAGTTACCCGGAATGTAAGAATTTCTCTTGAGGGATTGTCACCATCCGACCTTATAAGCGCAAGTCACTTTTTCGGCAAAGTTTTTGACAGTTGAAGTACGTCTTATATCTTGTACGTAAAAGATGACTCAGTGTTTGAGGCGTCTAAACAGCTGTAATCTGCATTTTATTCTGCCTTTGACTATCGATAACATCACTTGAGACAGGTGTGAGTACTTGACGCTACTGACACCATCTGGAAAAACTAAATCCTGGAGAAATTTTAAACTAGGTTCGGTATATTTCTTTTTCATTCAAATCGCACTCAGTACTGCTTTATCGCTGGCATTGAGTGGTAAGTACACGATATCCAAAGCCTCACTAGTACTTCCAACATCGATGGCCAGTCGTCATGGGCCTCCGTGTTGTGGCACTATATGGTGGATCAAAGATAGTGTTTGGGCTTCTCTTAGCCACCTTTTTGGCCTCTCAAGCAGGCTCAATCGCTCTCTCAATTATAGGCGTCCTGTCAACAGTTATAGAAGGTAGACTTGTTATTCCTTCTATTAGTATTGGCACATAGTTCATAGTCCGTTCAATCTTTAGTTTACCCCTCGCTTATTCCTGGAGAAGGCTACTGCTCATTGAATCTTGATAACAAGCAAAACTGGCTGATCGCTGCTGGTTCTTTTGCTCCTGGGGTATACGAGCTGCTACTGGTTTTGCTGGTGTTGCTGCGGCTCGCTTCACATATCATGGAAGACTCCCGGAGAGGGCTTCGCTTCACCCGCAGCGAATTCAAATCTATCGTCATCCGAGACAACGTCATGTATTTTGTGGTGTACGCGAGACTTGCGCTCCATGAACAAAGTCGCTCACTAATATCATATTTAGGACTCTGGTCGAATTAATCATCAATGTCCTTTTATATCCGCTTTGGATGGGCGTAACAAAGGTTCGAAGAGTCAATTATCTAGAGGCCTCCCAAGCAGACTAATGTATTTACCCAGTCAGGAGAAACGGGGATGCTAGCTTTCGATACAATTCTCACCGTTGTCTCGTGTATACAGCTTTGCATGATCGGGCCTCTTATCATGCTCAGTATTCGAGCATACGATGCCAAGCAGCAAGCTGGAGGGACCTCACTCGAGGTGGATATGGAAACGCTGCAATTTCGCGTCCTTCATGCAACTCGCGATAACCCATACGCCGATTTTTAAGTAGGTGCATCAAAGCCACTAAAACATGCCTCTCATGCCTTAGTTTACAGCGATAGTAGTAGCATGTAGCGAGGATGCAACCTGAATAGGGCGAATGAGTCGAAAATAGTGAGAATGAAGCACTGTGAAAGTACCGATTGTTATATACATCAATCTGTACCAATGAGCACGGCGAAGTGCACCAAACCTGTACCCATGTCATAGTCTTTTTATTTTTATTTTGAACTGTTGCATCGGGGCTTTTGACAGTTCAATTCGTACCGGCGACTTAGACAACACTGCTGGCAGAGGTGCTGTTGATGGGACCCAAGAACGTGGGAATGAATAGTCCTCAAGAGACTCAAATAGCGTCACAAAGCGGAGTAGACAAAGCCTGTCTTCTCTCTCTTGACTCCCATGATCAAAATCACCGAAGTACCTGTCGAACTGATTCTAGATTACATTCCGCGACTTTTACCTTTACCAGACTTTGTGCACCTCGCACTCACCAGTAAATTCTTCGCGTCGTTGTTGGACGACGAATTGCTGTGGAAACAGTTCCTGGAGTGGGACTATAACTTCTCCGATGAACGCACAGCGCGTGTGCGGGGATGGAAGTTCCTGTATAAGGGCATGCATCGTCCCAAGATTTTTCTCTGGGGGTAAGCAACCGTGACTCTTCTCGTTTACTGGCCCCGGTTCGCTGCGCTGACGAGCGTGCATGTGATAGGGAGTCGGCGAATTGCAGGCTTGGAAACATCAAGCCAGATACTCGTATCAACGGTGTCTCGGCTCCTCGCCCATTGAAGATGCCTGCAGGAGTGACTATAGTCAGCCTTGCGGCAGCGGGATGGTGGGTGCTCTTCCTGCCGTTTTGCCGGACGTTCTAGTTCCTACTAATTCTCGTCAAGGTCGTTCTTCGCGTTAGATTCGAAAGGATCCATACATGTGTGGGGTGAGTGGTTTGTTACTCGTCGCTTGCCTAGCGAATCGAATGTGCGTTCTGGGTAGGTACACTTAATGATGGACATTGGTCAAGCGCCTCTTCGACTCCGCTGAGGCTGGTTCTTCCTGCGCCTATTCGGTCGATCAGGCATGTAGACAAATGCATCACCGCATAACGTCGCTCTTAACACTTGACTACAGTACTGGAAGGCACCATGCTACCACTCTAGACAGCAATGGCGACGTGTGGACGTTCACCTCTTGGGTTCGACCCTTCAGGCTTGTTTCTCCGCTTCTGGATCGTTCCTCGGACGAGTCGACACCAGTACTCGTCGAGTCTGGATGGAGATTCTCTTCAGTGCTTACGGCGTCTGGCGATGTGCTCGTCTGGTGGCCACCGGCTGCGACGAGAGAACCTAGCGCTCCGGGGATTTACAACGTCGCCGATGGCATAATCCCATGCAAACCTTGGGACCTCCGCTTGGATCCTTTCCAGCTCCCCCCGATTCCTGACGATCTTCCGCGGCGCGAGGACTCCCACATTGAGCTGGTCAAGATTGCTGCTATGGAGAGTTCGCTGATCGGATTGACGAATCACGGCCACGTTCTCAAGTTTGATGACCTCTGGACCCGGAAAACGGCTGAATCTAAGCGGTGGCAATATGTAAGTTTCTGGTGATTGATCGTTGATTGACAGAACTGAATCAGGGCGACACTTAGCTACCTTTATTCTGTGAGACAAGCGAGATCCAGGAACAGCTCATCCAGCAAAAGATAGAAGTCCCACAAGACGTCAAGATAACGCATGTAAGCTACCAGCGGGACTTCTCAGTTGGCATGAGCTCATAGATGGTCAGATAACTGCCCAGTATCAGACTTTCGTCGCGTACTCTACGGGCTCTAGCTCGGTCGTTCTCATGGGCCGTGACTACACCACGCCCACAAGTGCGCCGAAGGTGCATTCCTCACTCCAGAACAACGATGTCATATCCGTTGTCATCGGGGATTACCACTTCGGAGCGTTGACATCCACAGGCAAGCTCTTTACCTGGGGAAGTTTCTCCAAAGGCGCCCTGGGCCTTGGCGACCCAACGAAGCTTCCAGTTGGGCAGCCAGGTGGGTACAGGAACGACGCGCAGAAACGGCGGTCCGCCAACGCGCACTTCATGCGGGACCCTCCCGCCGTGAGCAATCCGTCCGAGGTTAGGTTCGATCATGGGTTCGCGGAGAAAAGGGATACGTTTTGCTTCGCAATTGCTGCTGCTGGATGGCACACTGGTGCACTTGTCATTGATATGGATGTAAGTCATATCGCTGTATAAAGAGATACTGATTGGTCTCACCTCTGAGTCTTCGATGTTGGGTTCTTAGGAAGGTCCAGACGACGAGTGAGTCGCAATGCTCTGTAGCAACCCATTTTGCTGAGTGCACAGGCAGGTAGCGGCGGCAGTCGAAGAGTCTGAAGTGGAATTTATCGAGAGTGAAAAGAAGACTTCTGGGGCGGTAAGAAATTGGGCTCGAGAATTCGGCACGAGCTGGAGGGATAAACTTCGTCGAAAGTCAATGATATAATTATGATGCCCTCAATATACCCTCGATACCCTCGATTTCTGTAACTGTTCCAGGGCTGTACACTATTTTATCGCAATAATACAAACCTGACGAAGAACGTTGAACATTCGGCGCTGGAGAGCAAGGTATATTCTCCGTGGCTGTATCATATGCGTGACAGCGCGTATCTGATAAGATGGTGGGAAACCCTTCTGGACACCGAATCACGTCAGTACGCCTGCTTGTTACTCATCAGCTCATTCTCTTCCCTACCTTACCGACTCACCCGAGGACTAACCCGTTTATTTAAGGCTACTTTATTATGTCGTTTGAACAGTTTCATCCCGCTACCGACCTCAAGGAGGTCATCGACACCGAGATCAAGTGCGTCACCAATCTGTCGTCTATGCAGCCCCTACTCACGCGATCTGCAGAGAATGGCACTTTCGTACGCTCAGCTCGCTCAGTCCAAGACAAGGCGCTCACACGCATCGTTAGACATCTACTTCCACCAGAAAAATGCCGCGGAACATCACGCTGCACTTGAGCTTCGCGACGCCGTCCTTCGTCTAAGGCGTGACGGCGCGTTCATCGCTGTCCCTCTCTTCCGCGTCAACACGGATCCCATTGGCCCCCATCCCGTCGGTGCGCACTGCAGCGTCTCGTCAAAGTGGACGATGCTGAAAAGAGATTGGTTTTGGACCAGGGTCGTATGAGATATGGGTTCCCTCGGAGTCGTTCGCGAGCGTGTTCTCGTATCTGTGTATGAATAGGGGGGAGCTGAGGCGAGTCTTCACTGCGTCCCTCATTTTGCGTTTTTGTAACCAGACACTGTGTTTAGCATCCTGATTCATCCATTGACTCGCGAAGAGGTACGTTGATCATCCTGCTCTCGCTGGGTTGCCAGAGCTGATCATATCTGGGACGTTTCCAACCAGAGAAAGTACGCCTTCTCTTCATCGGCTGAAACAAGCAGTTCTTACCATTATGATGCAGAGACCACGACATACGCCGTGCATGGTTGGGCCAGCCCTACCCTCTCGACCTGACCAAGCTCCCAATTAGTAGCGAAGAGCTCCCCTTGCAGTATCCCAGCCTAAGTGGGTCCTGCTTATGTCGTCTCCCAATCGTGCGTAAGCTAACTTCTTGCGAAGAATTTGGCTATTCCTCGACCGAACCCGACTACACTTTGGACGAACGACATCAGATCGGCGCGAACCTGGAGCGGCGACTGAAGAACGAGAAAGAGGCTGCGAGGGCGCCGGTGGATTGAGGGTGCTGCTTCACGGAGAGGATACGATCTGCCCGGATTTATGACTGTGCTTTGATCTGAATTCCGGATGAATGTACTTTATGTAGCTATGATATTCACAGGAGGAGGTCCCCCGGTTTACAAAACCTTTGTGGTATTTGGCGTCCAGTAAGGGTTGGTTGTAACAAGTCGCGACGGGCGCGCGGTTGTATGTAGGCGCCCATAAACTCCTTGCCCTCCCACTTCCATGTACTAAACCCACGATGCGCCCTTTACCCACTTTCCTTCTCTCTCTCACCACCCTCCTCTCCCTCTCATGCCTTGTTTACGCCTCGGCGGGCGACCGTGACCAGCGCTACCAAACCTGCACCACCGTCTGCTACGGCACGCGGTGCCTCACCAACCCTCCTCCGACTCTCCCGCTCTCGCTCCGGCTAACACAATGGTCCTGCGTCGACGACTGCAAGTACCAATGCATGCACGCGCTCACGGACGAGGCACTCACACTCGGGCGGGATGTGCTGCAGTACCACGGCAAGTGGCCGTTCTGGCGCTTCCTGGGCGCGCAGGAGCCCGCGAGCGTGGCGTTCTCGCTGCTCAACCTGTACTTCCACGTCCGTGGCGGGCTGCTGGTGAAGCGCAAGGTGCCGCGGGGGCATCCGATGAGGCGGTATTATCTAGCGTGGGCGGCGGTTAGTGCGAATGCGTGGGTGTGGAGTGCGGTGTTCCATACGAGGGGTGAGTGCTATGGTTCTGTGCTGTCGGGGGTTCCGTTGCTGATCGCAGAATGCGTTGATTCTTGAAGACTTACCGCGAACGGAGAAGTTGGACTACTTCGCGGCCGCCTCTGCGATCATGTATGCGCTGTACTACACCGTCATCCGCCTCTTCCAGCTCTACTCGCCCTCGCCCTCACGGCCATCCTCTATGCCGTCAGCTACTGCCCCCTCTTCCCCAAATCATCGCTCCCTGCGCATAGCCTGGTCTCTCCTCTGTGTCGGCGCATACCTCGCACACATCACGTACCTCAGCGTCCTTCCTCGATTCGACTACACCTACAACATGGCGTTCAACCTCATCCTCGGGCTGCTGCACAACCTCCTCTGGGCCCTGTACTCTCTGCCTTCCTCGTTGACGCCTTCCTTCCTTCGGCGTTTCCCCTTCGCCGGGAAAGGGTACAGGCCACCGTACGCGGGGCAGGCAGCGCTTTTCGTGCTGCTCACGACGGTTGCGACGTCCCTCGAGCTGTGGGACTTCCCCGCATGGGGACGGGTCATTGACGCGCATGCACTATGGCATCTGAGCACAGCGCCGATTGTGAAGTTTTGGTACGAGTTCCTCGTAAGAGACGCGTTGGACGAGGGGTGGTATTCGCAAGCGAAGGACATGAAAAGGTGCGTGTCATATTAATGTGTATACATGATGTTGAGATTAATAACTAGCTAGGTAGATGCGATAGAATGGAATACGCGATAGACATTGTTGTCCGTGATCAAGATGTGCAACATGATACATTATAGAATCTTCGTGAAAAGCGCGTCATTTACTCGGATCCTCAGGCTGCGGTGCAGATATCGTACAGGGTATGCGTGGAAACGGGCGGTATAGCTCCCAATTACTAGTGTCGCCGGAAGCTCTCGACGATAAGAAGCGCGACTGGTTCAAACGTCAACATCACGGGAGATAGCTGAGAAGACATGGAGAGACGAACCAACAATCGAATCGAGCGAGCCCAAAGCAGCTGGGTCGACGTCGAGGGTCGCGGGCTGCGAGACGGTGCCGACCATCATGAAACGCTTGTGGCGATGAAAAGTAGCCACCGGCGGCTCGTTTGCCGAACTCCTTCCCGAATCTTTTCTGACCCGACGAAGCTAATTGCACATTAAATTTCGTTGCACTCGAGATTCACAGAAAGCAAACCCACCTCAAGCCGCTGCCCAACCACCTCCCAGCGAAACACATTCCAATCGTCGTCCTCGAACTCCCACCCGCTCTCCTCTCCCCCAGGTCCCTTTTCAGTTTCAGCCTGAGCTTGAGGCCTCGCCTCCCAAACGAACTTGTTCACGTCGCCCCACTCCCAGCCGTACATCGCGAGCCCGACCGCGCGCCCGTGGTGCAGCCTAACGCGCGCGACCTGCTCGAACCGGCTCTGGCTCTCGCGCGCGGAGCCGGGGACGGGGAGGCGCCGGATGTTGGTGTCGCACGGTGCCCATTCGGGCGTGCTGATGTCGTAGTAGAACGTGTCGGAGGCGTCGGCGAGCACGGTGTTGCGCAGGGAGGGGGTCGTGAATGTTAGGCGGAAGGGCTCGGTTGATGATGGTGATGATGGTGACGATGAGGAGGAGGAGGAAGGCGAGGGGAGGGACATGGCGGGGAGCGGGGTGGCGATTTTTGTTGCCGTTGACATTGATTTGAGTGCTTGGGCGATGGGGCTGGTAAACGCAGAAAGGTTCCGGTGCGCTATAGACGTTGGCTTCGATGTCGAAGATTGCTGATGAAGGCTCCAGGTATTCGGGATGTGGGGAAGCCCTGGTGTATAATTTCGTGTTCTAGCCCCATACCCCCATCCTCCGCGCTTTTATACCCGACCTGACCTAACCCATCTCGCGCAGCTCAAATCACCCTGCTCCATCGGCGGAGCAAGGTCCGCCTCTGTTCCAGCGGACACACTGACATCTCCGGTTATTGCTCATCTATGACCGCGTCACCGCCCTCGGACGCCGTCTCGCCAGCTTTGCGCAGGTCAGCGCAGGATCCCCGTGTGCGTGTCCGCGCCAGATGCAGAGGGTTGAGCCGAGGCTTTGTATAGAGATAGCAGCTGAATAAGCCTCTGGGCTGGCACAGGGTATGATCCGTCAGCTCGCCGTCAGCCCATGGCCGCCGACGAACCCGTCACGAGATGCGACTGCAGGCCAGCGTTTGTTGAATGCTGGACATGTTTGACATGTTTCGGACACGGGGTGCCGGATGCTAAGAGCAGCACTGTCGTCTTGGCAGACGCAAAAGGCCCCCCCTGGGTACCTGCTTCCCTGCCGCCGGCGATAAATTGGAGAAGCAGAAGAAGCAGAAGAATAGGCACCCACACATGCCCTCGAGCGCAGCTGAGAAGCGCGCACAGGTCCGGGGACGGGGATAGACACAGAGCATGGGTGCACGCGTCTCCGCGCGTCTGGGTTCCATGACGCACACCGACGGGCCAACGTCCTGGGGAGAACACGATCGACCGCACCTCCCTCCTCACAGTCCGTGCGAGGGCTCAGCCTGCCGCGGAGGCATCGCAGCACCGTTTCCAAGTCAGCGTGGGGTGCACCGAGCGCTCGCGGAGGCCGAAAAGCGCCCGCCGCTGACGTGGGTAGCATTCCGCCCGGCGGCCTGCACGGACTCCAAATGTATGAACATGTTTATGAATTGCAGCGGAGATGATCGTGATCGGATGTGGTGTCCATACAGTAGTGTCAGGATCTTACCGGGACCTGATGCGTTCGTCACCTAAGTATAAGATAACCATTAATTGCGTGTGACGGTATACATATACTTGAAAGTGGATTATGAAGCATGCGCACCTGCTGAGCAATACCGAACAACAGACGAGATGAGAGCATATCACCTTTGTGTGAGACAGCGGCCTTTCACCCTTTCCACTCTTAATAATAACAAAGGCCAGCAGTGCGACGAGGTGAAAACCCAGAAAGATCGGGAACAAAACAAGAAACGATCCAAAGATATTACAACGCCGTTCTTCTATTTCTGTGGCAAAGCTCTACACATCCGGAGCTGTTTTGACTAGCTACTACACAAGCAGCACCAATAATAATCAAGACGGCGTCCAAGGATCGGATTAGCAAGGCGCCAGCGGGCGATGGACCAGTGGGTGCGGGAGAAAGCGAACGAGGCTAAGTAGTCGCTCTCCGAATTAGCTGGCTCTGAGAACTACTGTATCGTCTCGACACCGCGCCCATCGGCCCACTCGCCAAAGAGCAGGCTGATGCTCTCGCCGTTGTGCGTCCGCCGGATGGACTCCGCGATCGTCGGGCTGATGTCCATCGTGACGAGCTTCGAGCACTGGGCCATGTGCTCTTTTTGCGGGATCGAGTTTGTCACCTGCGTGTGCGCAAATGGTGATGGTCAGACGTTGTTTAGTTAGAGTCATGTTGTTGTTTCATTGTTGTTTTGGAGTCATGGCGGAACGGGAGAGTAGAGGACCGGTGCGGTCGGATGACGTCGGGGGATAGAAAGGAGATACAGAAAGGGGGCTTACCACTATCTGCTCCACAGGAAGCGCCTCGAGCGCTTTCATGTCTGCTTCCGCGAACAAACCTAATAATGACGAATAGGGTCAGACACGTTGGGTATGGCACCGGGAACTAGATGAAAGAACGCACCATGCGAGATGACGACGTAAATCTTGCGAGCACCCTTGTCGTGCAACGTGCGTGCAGCAAGAGAAAGAGTGTGGCCGGTGTCAACCATGTCGTCCACCAGGATCGCGACCTATCATAGGGGATAGTAGACATGAGCGCTTCGAAGTTAACGCGCGCCACAGGAGTGCGAGAGAACGGAGAGAAGCGTACCTTGTCATGGACGTCGCCAACGAGGAGCTCCATGCGCTCGGGCGCGTTCTCCGACTTTCCATCACGTTTCCGATGGATGAGCGCGAACTCGACACCGAGCTTGTCCGCGATCGCCGTCACCCTGTGTGATGCATATATTCATCAGCGCTTCCGCAGCTATTATGGCGCCCGCATCCACAGGAAGCAAGAGAAGCGCTGAGAGAATGAGAAAACACGAAGGGAAACGCACCTCTTCGCACCGCCGGCATCGGGACTGACGATGATGCTGTTGCTCCACTCCTCAATATGCCTCTTGATGTACGTGATCATCAGCGGCTCCGAGAACAAGTTGTCCACCGGAATATCGAAGAACCCCTGGATCTGGCTCGCGTGCAAGTCGACCGTGATAACGTGGTCGCACCCCGCGCTGACGAGCATGTTCGCGACGAGCTTGGCGGTGATCGGCGCGCGGCTCTTGTCCTTCTTGTCCATGCGCGCGTACGGGAAGCACGGGATGACGGCGGTGATGCGCCGCGCGGAGGCGGTCTTGCACGCGGAGACGAGGATGAGCAGCTCCATGAGGTTGTCGTTGACGTCGCGGCAGCCCGACTGGAGGATGAAGACGTCTTCTTCGCGGACGGACTCCTGGATCTTGACGTTGATCTCGCCGTTGGAGAAGCGCTCGGGGACGCATGAGGTGAGAGGGGCGCCGAGCCTGCGGGTGCACGACGTGCGTGGGCTGGGATGAGGGGCGGGTCTGGGGCTCAGTGGTCAGAGCTGGCGCTCACCGCTCGGCCACCGCCTGTGCGAGGGCGGGGTGGCTGCTACCTGACGACCAACAGAGTGCTTCAGGTCAGCTCATCGGCGAGGACAACGATAAGCTTACCGGCCAGGAGTCTAATGGAGTTTCCGTGGAACATGGGGAGGATAGTGGAGGTTTAGAATTACAGAGAGTTCAGCACATATGACAATGAAAGTGGAGAGAAGAAAGTGGATTTCATCACGAACTGGATTCGATAAAAAGGTGCCGGCAAAATCTGTTCTGTTTGCAACCGGCAAATAGCATAGCCACCCCCTGGATCACAACTGTAACTTTGACATAGTTGTCTCCTAATAAAATAGCTGCGTGAAATCCCTTCACTATTTGAATCCCTGAAGAACGTAGAACAAGTCTTTTAAATAGAACTATCGACTACTCAGTGTTTCCCTCGCTACGAGTGGCAGCAGGAGCATTTGAGGCTAGCTCATATTCAAGTTGCTTGCATCTATTCCATAGTCGAGTGGTCGCCTCCTTGATCGTTGCCTCTGAAATTGTCAAGATCGCTTTCACTCAGCGTTATCCCCAGATTATCCAAGATACATACCTGTTTTTGGTTCATAATTGATGAATGGCAGTCTCATCAACGCCTTCTGCCTCCACTTCAGTTTTCGTTCTGGATGATGAATTGATATCACTATACTCATAACACAGGCAAGACGAGAGAATCGGGTACCTTGATCGAGTCTGTTGCACTTGTCCAACAGTCTGCGACACACTTTTTGTTTCTTGACGAGAGACGCAAATGTGGCTGGGAAAGATCATGATGGTGAGTGTAGGTCTTCCACGACATGTTATGAAGCTCATCCGCACGTAAATGCACCAAAGCTGTCAGAAGGCTAATAACGGCACGGATATTGACCGGGATCGCTTGAAGATTGTTTGCCTCCTCTTCATCTCCCGCATCGTTTTCCATATGTGAAGATTCAGCGTCCTCCAAGGTTTCTGCGTCCCCAAAGACTCGTCCATCCAATGATCTTCCGTACTCCCTAGCAAGGGGTAGTCGGTAGTGCGTGGGAAGACCCGGGGTAGGGGGGGGGAGGGTCCCAACCATGTGGCTTAGATTATTTCTCGACCTACAAAATGACTGTCCCGAAATGGCAATTACCACGTGCTATCTACTATATGGGGATGTAACACATAGGGGCTATTACTATATTCGTCGTATGTGGCAGTGCTCAGCCTGAGGGGTACTCGAAAGACCCAGCAGCGCCGAAAAAAACGTAGAAGGCATCACAAAGATGCCTGAAGAAGGTGAAGCTCAAAAGAAGGTCAGTAAATAAGTGTCTAAGCGGTGCTAGATTACTTACATGGAGTAAAGTGGAAGGTAGACTCGACACTGGAATGCCTCAACTGCAACGAGATAATCACGGTCGGGTTTGGTGGCACTCACAGTCTCAAAGAGCACCAACGCTCGAAACGATGTCGTGAGGAAGTGAGGAAGCGTAAGGAGGCGGAGGAGCCCTCAAAGCCCAAGGGTATCACCTTGTTCAGCCTAGGTGTCAAGAAAGTGGCTGGGTCAGTCATGAAGAGGAAGAGCACGACAAAGACGGCATCGGCAGTGGACCCACCGAAAGCACCTACTCCCTCTACATCATCCTCTCCTACACCCTCAGCCTCTACTTCCGTCCCGGCGCCGACCAATCCACCATGCCCTGAGGCCCTTGCGCTGATACAACGTCTGCGGGCGGCACGGAGGGGGCTACCTGCCACTGTTGAGGAGGTGTCTCAGGAGACGACTACAATCGACGGCCCTCAGGGGCTTGCTGCCGTGGTGTGCTGTCGCAACGCCCTCGCTGCCCTTCCAGAGGCGGAGGTGTGGGAGAATCTGGATCCCATGCTCAACAAGATAATGGGCGGCGATAGCAAGCAAGATGACTTACAGGCGTTAGTGAGGATAGGCCCTCTCGGGCTTGACGGCTTCATCGAGTTCTTGGAGTTTGTGGTCATTCAGCGAGGGATCAAGGGCGGGCTACTGGAAGGGAAGTTGACACGATTCATCAGCGCGATGGAGGCATTGTGAGTCAGTCTGAACTCGGGACATGTACGGAGGCTTACCAGCATGCGATGACAGGCCAGGCTACTCTGCAGTATCTGGTCCGAGCGTTTGCGCGGCGGCTCCCTTGGTCGTCGACCTCACTCGCGATGACGAGGAGATGTTGATCCCTGCTGCAGCTCCTCGCTGCCCTGTCCCTGTTGTCGCACTCCCTCCACCGCTCCGGCCACGACTACCGTGCAGCGGCTACACGCTGGCCATCCCCGATTCGAAGACAGCCGCCTCCGGGTATCCGCTTGGACTTCACGACGAATATGACCTACCTTGGTCCGTCCGATTTTGGAAGAATACTATCTGCCTCCATGCCGACGAGTGCATTGGGCTCACAGACGATGGTGAGACATGCGCGTGCTGCAACGCGCTCCCGGGGAATATGCGACTGCAAGGCATCATGGAAAGAATGAGCACCGGCGTACACAAGAACGCGCCGCACGCTTACCGGTCGTTTGGCGAGCTTCGTGAGGTTGTTCGTCAGAAGACGGTCCAGCTGGACCACATGCGTGTCGGGAGGATGAATGCGAGGCGCCGTTTGGCGAGAAAACTTACGGCGCTGGCGGACTTCAAGAAATTCATCATGGCTGCAGCCAAGGGAGAGGTAAACCGCCTGGACGCACTGCTACGTGTGTGCATGAAGAGACGAATGTCACCGAAGGCGATGTTAGCGTTACTGGACAAGGCTCTTTGCAAGGTTTACAAGCCGAAGTCCTTCACGGAGGCCGAGAAGCTTCGAGGCCTGGTCATGCTACGATTAGGAGGAGCTCGAGTTGCGGACATTGCCCACCGATCGTCAGACTCACCGGCCGTCAGCACTCTACGCCATCACTCATGCACCCGTCCCATCCAAATATCACCAAGGACGCCCACGCAAGAGGAAATCCGCGCAAATATCCAGGCATCAGTTCCCGACGTCAACAATTCCCCCAACAAGGAGACTCACCTAGGGAAGGGTTCACGAATATCGTTGATAGATGCGGTGGATGCGGTGGACGTCGCGGGAGACGGCTATAGCATTATGGTCGATGAGATAAAGACGGAGCTGAGGGTGAGGTGGGACGAGCAAACGAACATGATTGTGGGCGTTGGGAGGGAAGACGCGGACAAGTTAGAACTGGAGTTCAGCTCTATAGCCGAGGTGGAAGCCCTGTGGGAGGCGGTGAGAACGGAACATATTCATTTAGCGTCGGAGGTGAGAACGCGTGCCTTCACTATTGAATTAAACAGCTTACCATTGGCTTCCGAATCCTCAGGCCACTGTTGCCGCGATTGGCCATATCCCGAGTTCGCCGCATAGTCGCATGTCCGCGTGTCCGATTCTCGTGTCAGGGACATGCAAGCGGGAAGACGCGGTGACGCATTCTCGGCTTCTGCAAACCATAATAGATGCATGCCGCGCCGAGTCCGTCAAGCTGGCGGGACGTTTGTACAGTTTGGCATCTGACGGGGAAACCCGCCGTGGTGCAGCACTGGTGATGCTCACTATGAAGAAAAAGCTAACTGCCGAATCCAACATTTATCGATACGTTGGGCTTCTGAAACTCATGAATTCCTGGGTCGGCGACGATGACATCACTGCCGACAAAGATTGGAAGCACGTCTTCAAGCGGCTTCGCAACCTTCTCCTCCGGCTTCTTGGCGTCCATATCTTTGGTGTTTCTATCTCGACTCAGAGTCTCCGCGAGCACCTCACCTCTACTAAGACATGCACTGAAACACAGGCCGACGCTTACACGGATCCCAATGACAAACAAGACGTACCACTCGCCTTCAATTTTCTCAAGCGCGTGTGGGAAATTCCCCCTCCTTCCGACAACGATGAGCCAACTGTGTACGTCTCTCGGGTTGCTATCCGAAGGTTCGGTCTATTTCTCAGGTACCTTCTCGCGCCGTACATCACGCCGACTATGTCCCTTCATGAGCAACTTGTCTCTCTGAGTGCTGCCGCTCACCTCGCCCTCTTGATGTACGTTGACGCAGGTCCGGGCAACGATTTCATGCCAAAGACCCTGTACCAAGACATCCAGATCATGATCAAGAACGTCTACTATTCGGTGGCAAAGGCAAAGGTTGACAAACCCGGAGGCAATTTCTACATTATATCCCTTGGTACCGATCGCCTGGAGCAGCTATTTGGGATCTATCGGACAATGATCGGGAGCGACGCCAACGTAGACATCCTCCAATTGGCTCTTCGCATTGCGAATGTAGCCGAGGTGGGGAAGATCATGGTCAAATATCCCGAATGGGATGTATGTCCGCGCCGCCTCAAGACGCCGTCACTCAATGCTTCCGCGGAACTTTCTTCAAAGATTGATCATCTCAACCCAGCGTCGTGGCTCGGCGACACCTCCTTGGCTCCAGTCCAGCCCCTGACGGCGTGGAATGAAGGTCGTCGTCTCATTGAACAGGAGTTCAGTGACCTTGGGGCAGTGGCATGCTTTGAGCGTGTCGAGGCAACACCAGACGCGGATATGATGTTTCCGTGGGGTAACTCCCGCATTCCCACTGAGGTGCCTGTCCCCGAGTCTCCAGAGGAAGAGAACAGCGATGAGAAACCCACCGACCAGCCCACGCTTATCCCCGCTCCGTCCATGGACCTTGACTTGGAGGAGTATGTCAGCGAGAACCTCCCTCCTGCTACAACTGCGTCAGCCGCCAAGGTCAACCCTCACATCCTTGTCGAAGGCAAGCCAGTTTTCAAACCGGCTGTCTTATGCCTCTTCTTCCAAACTCTCAACTCCTCTGGTTCCACCGACCGACTCAAGCGCGTGGCCGGTCTCACGCGCTTCCCTATTCCCGAGAAGGATATCATCTCCACGACCTCAGCGCTTGGCGATGAACGCCTCGTAGTCAACGACCCGGCGTTTACGGTCGTCCGATGCAACGGCCGCATTTTCTTGGCATTAATGCAGGTGAACCTCATTATGTTTAGGTCTAAATCTGTTGGTTCGATTGCAGAGCGCAAGCTTCATGAAGACAGCGTTGAGCTCAAGGGTCAGCTAATGATCCTCCGCGAGCACTCTACACCAATCGCCTTGGATGACAACGCCGACAATGACGACGAGAACAGCGAGCTTTACGACTGGCGCTGGTCTGGCGCCCTCGACAAGAACTTCAAGACTTTGGGCCGGTTTGCCCAGATTGTCGATGCCACGGTCTCAACGGCAGTTATTGGCCAGCCAACGTATTTCTTCCGGACCCCCGAGCTCTCTGCTATTGCTGCCTCACTCTACGCTCAGGTCATTCCCGACGACCGCCAGCTCCTTCCGTCGATCCCCCAGACAGATACATTCCCGTACCGGGTGGCCTCAGGTACGACTCACATTTATTCTTGATTCACACTTTCTGATGAGGCTATAACAGGTCGAGCAGCATTTCTATGCGAAACCGAGAGCGCTGACACCCAACTCGAACGCGACGGCAACTGCTGCCCTCGCTGCGGGCCGCGGCACCCCTGGAACCGCAAGTCGGGTCCTCGCGTGCTCGAGCATGTCGGCGCCCATATACTATTTGACCCCTCGCTCGACAAGACCGCCGAGCTCTGTGGCATGTGTGGGAACAACGTGACATTGTCTGGCTGCGTTTTTTTCCTCCGCAAGCCCAAGGGATCCGGCACCTCAATTCAAGTCCACCATAAACGCTCGCGCTGCACAAACTACGTCAAGTTTTCGTACCAGCCTGCGAATGTTTCGGGTGAGCTCTCCCCATGTTCTAATGTTCCAGTTGCATGCCCGCTCTGCCCCGACGACAAACCGGCTGTATGGAAATACAGCATCGAAGCCCATATCCGGCTCCATCACAACTTGAACACCCCGTCCGCGCGCGACCTCATCAATTCGTGCGTCCTCACAGTCTCCGAGAACGCCGGCATGTTGGGAAAGTGGACTACTCGCTACAAGCATACGCGGCTATCGAAGAAGTCGAAGCCGTCGCAGCTTCTCGTGTCCGACGCCCACTCTGCTGCGGCAGCTACGAGGTAAGCGTCCTCTTATTCATTCGTATTGGCTACTGCTAAACCTATACTATTTAGTTACGATGATGATGACGTCGACACGTCCTCAGTGAACCGGTCAGGCGGCGAGGACGACGACACCAGTACTGACACCGACATCGACACTGAACCCGGTGCGAACGTCAACGATATTCCCAACGACGACGGCTATCAATTGCTGTGCGACGACGAGGAGAACGCGGCTGGACCCTCGGGGTCCGGTGACCATAACGATGGAGACGGTGAGTATATTTATAAAGGTCTAGAATGTTCCTACTGACATTATACACGTAGACGAGAACATTTTCACACTGGAGGGGCGCCCGACGCGATCAGGTCGCATTCGCCGAGCGCGCGACATGAGCGATATCCATGCATGCTATTGCATGGATACCGTCATGCAGGCGGAGATCGACGCTAATATTGCTGTCAGGTGTACTGGACGCGGATGTGAGTCGCAATGGGTATGTCTTTGTCACACTTTCAAGTTTGCTTTACTGTTCTAACATTCCCATCACTCTAGTACCATATGAGATGTGTGACGATCATCGGCTCTATATCAAAATGGCGTTGCGAGGCTTGTCAGGAGAGCAGCCGCAGGCCTTCTAAGCGTCAGAAGGCATGATTATGTTGTATTGTACTATCCTTTTCGCTTGTAGTTTCCTCGTAGTTGTTACAGTACAGACGTTGATCTGCAAACAGCGGTAGCAGTCCGAGATAAGATAACAACTTCCATTTCGGGATGACATCGGATCTTCCCGACAGAGATTAGCCTAATGGGGATAGGGGGAGGGGGGGAGGGTAGGCCGTCGACGACTTAAATTATTTTTCGACCCACGTTTTTATCATACATTTTCGACTACCCCTTGCTCCCTAGCGTTGGATCTTGCCATGTCTCTATGGCCTTCTTCGTCAGCATCATCAATATCTTCGGCTTCTGCTGCACTTGCTGGATTATCTGCGCTGGTTATCTCTGCATCTTGGTTTCTCGTGTTCTTCAAAAACATCCTGCGTATGGTTGCCTCAAGATCGAAAAGCAACCTGGATCTAATTGATTCTAACAGTAGGGATGATCTTCAGGCTCGTTTTGAGAAGGAATGGTCTAGGAGACCTACCACTGATACTAGCAATTTCGGTTAGAGTTGGTATAGAGCTTTCATCTCCCTGCTCTATTTTTTTCAACATCCTTCGCACCAGTTTCTCTACAGCTTTTGAGTCAAACTCCGTCAAATTCTGAGGCTGTACTGTATTTTTCGTTCCAAATGAGCTACTACAAAATTGACGGGAAAGATTTTCCCCACCTAGGCCCAGAAGCACGAGGAGCTCAAAATTGTTTATCCCATTGATGCGGCGTTGCCGATCACTGGATGTTAGATTCACCATTGTATAGGAGAGAACGCCGTCTTTGAAATGCGAGAGCACCTGCTTTGGTATTTGGAGATTATCTGTGGTGAACATGTGAGTTTATTTTTCTCGAATGAGATCATGGCGGATGTTCACCGCTTTCAAGCACTGTTCTCAACACATTTCCCCAATTTGCCTGCATCTCAACAGCTTCCGTTGACACAAAACGTCCCCGACGAATCATGTTCGCGATTTTCTCCGGGGCATTGGATTTCCCTTCCTTGATCACATTGATGATTTTATCCGGAATCTCCTTAGCATTTGCAATCACGTTATGAAGAAGATAGACGGCTCGAAGGGGTTTATTCTCCCATAGCTTTTCGATAAGCTCATCAGTTTCGGGACTCGATGTGTGACATTCAGTCGCCCTGTACTCGTTATGTAAAGATGCACCGTGGAAGTAAAAGCTGTCATACCCTGCGCCTATAATGCTAATGCAGGTACTTTGCAAGCAATCCTCCGCACCTATCCGGAAATCAGTCCCTTCTAAATATGGCGACAACCACTTGACAACTGTGACGTACTTGTTACTAACTTAGCTTTCTTCTTGTTCAGCGTTACAATAGTTTCAGTTGCTGCCATATAACCGGTCGGAGAATATAGGAGCTTAATGAGTTTGGAGGTAAATCCCCGCTTCATGATATCATTTGCCATTTCTTCTGCTCGCCGTTCATCTCGTTAGATAACTTTAATGCACACATATGAAACAACGAACCCTTTCGCAATATCAAAATCAATGAGTCAATGGCCCACTGACGCTTAATGAACGTCTTGTCTAGAAGGATGTCCGATAATTCCGTGGTTATCCCTTGAGAAACCAGCAGTTTAATAGCATCATCTTGAGAATATGGCATATCAGCTACAGCGCACAACATTCGCCTCAGCTACTTACCATGAGACGACAAACGTAAGACAGCCTCCCTGACGGCCGCCAAAATGTAGATGTCACCTTTACCAGCGACGAGGAGTGCAGGAAGAGAGTTTATCACGGTGTTGATGTTCTCGTGCGTCAGCTGCAAGATTGGTGCTGTCCCTTTTGACTGCTTGTTGCTCAGGAATGTGATGATACGAAGAGCCGAAACCTTGATTACTGGACCTAGAGTGTATTCCAAATATCAATTTTCAGACACAGTAAAAGAAGATGGGTCCTCTAACTTTGATCGTTCAAAAGCGCTATGATTTCTTGAACACGACTCTGGGTCAGGAATTTTTCCGATGTCTGTAGTGCCTTACCTTTGAAGGGAATAAGCACCATTGTGAACAACAAAATACGATTCACGTACCAGCGCTTTCACTAGTCAACAGCGATGCAAGGGCCTGAGCGCTATTCTCCCGGGCTTTTGTAGTCAAGTTGCTAGCATAGGTGGCACGAAGGAGTCTCTTTAAAACCTTACGTCGAACTATTTTGTCTCTCAGCGAATCGTCCTTGCACAGTGAGCCAAGAGCGATGCAGGCACGCTGGTGGTAATCGTTGAAGTTATCTGACGTATCCAGTAGAAAGAGCATGTCGACGGCATAATCAGGTATTTTTGACGCCTCCTTTTTCTCCCTCGTGCCAAACGAATGGCCTAAAAATATTAGCATTTGATTAAGTCGATAGCTCTCAATGCCTCACCGAGTTCACAATGTGCAACTGCAGCATTCAACCGGATAAGTGGATCATCATGATGCATTAATTGGAAGTCAGTCGAAACCTCTAGAGTTCTGTCCGAATCGTTCTTCTGTCCTCGTGCGGTGCTCCCTTGTACACCCCGATCGCCTTGTGACTTTAGTGTATGTTTTTATCTGATAAATAAAAGAGATAATACCGAATTTGGCGACAAGCGCTAGCTGGTCCACCGACTCCCGTAGGTGGTCCAGATTGGGTAAGTCATTGTTGCGCAGTTCATCTAGTAATTTTATAGCTTGCTGTTGGTGTGCAAAATCCTTCTCCCAAGCTTGACTCAGATCCCTAAGATACCTGTCGCCTACCGGGTTGCTCCAGTCGACCCGTTCCGGCCATGAATCCCAGTCGTTCTGAAATTTTGCTCTTGGTTCGTAATCTTGTTTGAAAAGAACTGAAACATGAATCTTTTGTCCGGGCACAATGATCCGTGCATCTCCCGAATGGGGCCTGAAAGATTACGCCATTAACCTTAGATATTTTCAACGTCATCCCTGTCGGTTTCACTTACGGCCATCGGACTGTTTCAGCTTCAGACGCATATGAGAGCCGCTTCACCGGCAATAGCTCACAGAGTCGCCACCAGAGTCCTGTCAGAGACTCAGTAGGCTGCTCATGAATCTGTCCAAGAGGTCGGTGGTTGGGTATCGATGTAGACTTTATTTCCAGTCCTGCGCTCTCTGCTTGCATTTTCATCCAGAGAAGGGACGGATTTGTCATCTGAAAGTCGTGATTGATCTTGTTGCCTCCTCCTCTATTATTTTGATCAGCAGTCAAATATTGGCATGTTAAATGTATAAGCATACACATCGGAATGACACCCTGCGAACCAGACTTCCTTTACGTGAGGAACATCATGAGAGTCTCCGTGACTCGCATGCTCAAGCGCTGTTTGATTGTGCTGTTTTCCCCGCTGAGGCCTTCGCATTTTGTACATGTTGTGCTGGTCTCGAATGTATCCTGCACCGCCGTACACGTACTCAGGAAGGAACTTGACGCGTCGCTCGTCCAGAGCTAGGGCATGGCGAAAGTAGCATATGTGCTGACACCTAGTAGTATATGGGAACGGCTCGCCCCGTACAAGCCCAACGGATGATACAGTATCCCTGGACCGGTTTTCAGTCTTGATAGAACATAGTTTCCATAAAACATCAAGTCTTACCAAACCCCGACAAAATGGATTGGTACATCACGACAGAAAGTACGCTTGAATGTTTGAGCTCGTTCTAGATGGGCTTCTCTGGCCTTATTTCCAGATCTCCAAGGTTCAATGTAATGCTCCATTGCACTGGGAAATCATTATGTTTGGATAACGGTTCGTTCAATATTACATACAAATCCAATTGGGATATATGTCCGGGGGTTAAGAGTCCAACCTATATGGTGTATATGGTGTATGAGGTCTCAAATATGCTAATGTGACGATGAATAACTACCTTGTATGCCATCCCTGCAACCGCCCTCACTTGATACGCACCACGAGAGAAGCCTTGCTTTAATATAGAATCATGTTAACCAAACAGACTTCGATTGGGTCTCACCGAAAAGAAAGATTCTATCCCCCGGCTCGTAGTTTTCACATAAAAACCTATAGGCATCCTTAATGTTTTCTTCAACTCCGCTGCCAAAATAAAAGTGAGATAAGACTGGATGTTAACAATGCTGATTTAACCAACGATGCAATAGCCAGATCAAATATACTGAGGATCCTATTGAACCAGTACTTAGGCAAATGCGACCACGATTTTGGCACGGTCCCCAGACCCGATTTATAATACGTTTTCAATTGTAACTTAGGCGCATCTCCGTTTTGCTCTTCATCTTCAGGTGAAGATGGCGTATCTTTGTCTTTGTTGCTCTTCTTTTCCAACTCTTTCTTGTATTTCTCCTCTGTTTCTCTGAGGTGATGGACAAGGGTAACAACGTTGGAGTTCTTTTTTAATAAATGTAAGTGAGGGTTATACAGTGTGTTTTATTGGAAAAAAACCCCACCTTGTCGGAGAACTGATTTCCTGTTCCATCTATGCATACTACCAAATTACGCTTGGGTTGACCCTCAGAGCTGCACTTGCACTTAAATCAATCAGCAACAAATAACAACCGGAGGCTAGATAAAATCGTAGTGCGGCATCGAACATACCTTTTGAACTGGAGGCATGATAAGAACCTTCCTCCAGCTGCGGTAGTATTTGATGGTGATACAGTTTCTCTGGCGTTAGGGAGAGAACGATGAGATGTGAGGATTTTAAGGGAGCCAACAAAACGACCCAGGAGCGTGGTCTTGTTAGAAAAAAGGAAGTCAGTACACGGGATGGCAGTATGAGTGAGGAGGATGTATTGTTAATGTGTGAGGGTACTGCGCCGTTTCTATAGCTGCCTGGATACCAATGAAACCCTTCTAGGAGAACGCGAAACGTTTACGGGTTTCTCCCAAAACAGTCATTTTGAGTTCCTGAGGCCGACACGGTTTACAGCCTAGTGCTCGGAGGTTTGCTGACGGCGGGTGTAAGGAATGACAACAGTACTGCTTTGCTAACAAGGGCGATGAGAATTTCTAAATAAAACCTAGTTAATTTGTAATGCCAGCAATATTCACACTGCAATTCGTTCTGGTCAGCGCTTCACCCTGCGCTGATTTGATAGAGCCACAAAACGCCCGTCGCATGCTGTTTGAAGCGCTGTAATCCTTCCATCTTTGGAAACGATTATAGTGGTCCACTTGGCTGCTACCGAAACCGCGAGATGTGGAGGTCGAGATCTAGATACAGCCGATCAAACGGAACGTTGATCTAGGTGGTACTACTGTCCAAGTCGCTCTCGTGCCGACTCGGTGATGGGCTCGAGTTTGATGAGGAAGATCGCGGATGTCGCCAGAGAGATAGAGAGCCCAGCATTCGAATTTGAAGATCAGTGGAGCGGCCGCAGTGGAGCTAGTATAACGCCACTGAGAACGAATTAACGCTTTTCGGAGCCATCGGGTTTAAGAATTGAGAGAAGTCAGCTGCAATGTCGCAACCAGCCGATCACAGCAGTGGAAAATGTAAAATTATATGCTGAATCCAGAAAATAACTACAATGCTTCGTCAAGAGCCGCCCAGGTCGCTCTGTTGCATAGACTCCTCTGGCTATCAGCTTGGTAAGAAAAGAGCACTCGTTCAGCTGGTAAGCGTAGGGCTCATGTTTTTACGGATCACTTTACTGCACCTGATTGCTTATGATGACAGTGCATGTTATAATCAATATGAATGTGGTAAGCCGAACGTACATATTCCTGGGGTGATTATTTTTGAAGAGATAGGCCTAACAGAATTATCAGATGAGATCTTACAGGAAAGACGAGTGCTTGAGTAATAAAGAGGCGCCAACAGGGTGGTGAACCCATATCGACGTTCAGTTTCTGGATTGAGCTAGTACCCGAATCTTTCTTCGCTTCCGAGAATGGGAGGAGCGTTGAAACAGAGGGCACTGGGAAGTAAATCAACACTAGACGAATAGCCGCTCTGAATGACTCCAACGGCCGGAACGTGCGCGTGAAACCCGACACTAGTATAGCGCTCTCTCAAGGTACCGTTCCATGGAAGCCAGACAATGATTGGCGCCAAGAGACAGAACCTGTCAGAACGTTCCGCAGCAGACTCGCAGGCGTTGGGGCGCCTATGAGTCGGCATCCAAACTGGACATTTTATTGTCTTGACAGCATGATGCGATGACTGCCATTTAGGAGATGAGTCGTTGACTCATGCACGGTCAAGTCTGGAATACAGTACAGAATACAACTGATTTGGGTAGTAGTGCAAGGATAAGCACCATGTAGGTTCTGTAGGCGCACGAACCGTGACGCCTTGTCAGGTCTTCGTGAACACAATTTGCACACTCCTTTTAGATTGTGAAAAAACTCGAGAAAATGATCTCACCATCTGAGCATACAGCCCTCGGCGACGAGAAATTTCGCATTCAATATTCAAGGTTGATGGCTAGTGTCATGCCGTTTCAGGGCCGTCTGCTATGATAGAACTGCCCCATGTGAGATTTCTCCTTACCATGCCTAGAACGTTGGCTATGTGGCCGTCATATTTTTGGGCTTATCGTTCTTCTCCCACATGGAGATTGTGGCGGGGGCCCCCGAGGCGCTAATCTGGCGTGTAGCGCCACAACCGCCCAGGCGGGGACTCGGAAGTCAGGCGACACCTGGAGGCCAAGGCAATTAGAGAAGACCTTCCCGGACACGTCGGAGGAAATATTGCCTTATTAAACGACTATTCCAATGGATCTGTGTGCGTAAGGGACGTCAGCAAACTTCCGCACAGTATCAAGTGGTACAGCGCCATACCACAGTTACTCAATACAATGAAAAGGATGCATATACATGGCTGCAGCTGGAGCTTACTCATCACTTCGTCGATGGGATTCGAAGGTTCATGACTTTCACCCAAGGATCAAAGTTCTCACGTCAGCTCAAGACTTACCGTAGATGCTGGTCAGCCATCTGGTAAGCAAAAGATCGCCCAAAACGAAATTGGATAGATTCGCTACAAACAAGCTTATGTTTAGGGACCTTTGAACTGGACTGTAGTGGTTAAACCGCCTAGCGTCAATCAAACTGGGGTCATTCGGGTTCTACCTTTCATCATGCTTCTATTCAGGACACATGACGAGGGTCACTAAGGAGTGGCATCCAGCGTCTGGGGCGCTCGAATACACGGCCCCTAAGCACTAGTACGAAATCCTGTAAGTCCTTTGAGAACGCATCAGAACATTCTAGGGTCAGGCAAACTTTGCGATGCTCCCTACAAAGCGCGTTATTCGGCTCCAAGAACAACCAGTCCCTTGTGTTTACGATGGCGGTACCCTAATCGTAATGTTCTCCACCACGTACTCCGTGTCCGCGTACTCGAGCAGCTGCGGAATCCGAGAACTGGGACATGTCAGCGAGACGACTTCTAAGATACCACACTTAGCCCTCACCTTTTCAGACCTTTCACCTTGAAGATCTGCGCTGAATTATAATTCGCAAGCCCCCGCCCAACCTCAACCACATCCCACTCCCCCGTCTCGTCCGCCTCCTCCATCACCGTCGCATCGTCATCATCCGGCACCGCACCCCCATCAGCCATCCCATCCAGACTCGAGCTCGACCCCGCGCGCGACAGCGCCCCCTCGCCCATCCCCACCCCGCGCCCCCTTGCAGACGCAGACGTCGGCGTCCCCGGCACCGCCGGCGAATCCCCGCCCTCAGCATCCTCACTAACTCCGACTCCGACAGCGCCCTCCCCACCCCTCCTCACCAAAACCCTCACAGCCTGCCCCGACGCAAACGACCCCCGCACACCAAGGACACCCGCAGGCAACAGCCGCCCGCCCGACTCGCGGCGCGCGAGCACAGTGTGCGCGCCCCTGTCGATGACCACGGCGCCGGCGGGATAGAGCGTGTGGCTCGTCCACGCTTTCAGATCGCGCATCGGGAGCGCCGAGGGGCGGAACACCGTGTGCGGCGGGCGTGTGCGCGGTTCGGCTGCGGCTGCTGCGGCTGCTACGGCGAGGTCGACGACGTTGGTCGCTGCCAGTGCGCTCGAGCTGCCCAGGTGGGGGGAGGAGGTGCCGGAGCCGGAGGGCGCAGAGACGCGGAGGGCGGTGTAGTACTCGATGATGTCGAGGATTGTCGAGGGGGATTTGCTGGATGCTATTACGGTTGTTACGCCGGCTGCGGTAGCGATTTCAGCGGCGATGAGCTTGGTCTCCATTCCGCCTGTGCCCAGGCTTGAGCCTAGCGTTGCGGTGCTGACTGCCCGTGGTTGTCAGTTCTATTTGATCTGAGTTGAGGAAGAGGGAGGTTGAAGGACGTACCCTCGGCACGGATGTCAGTAACAGACGTGACTGTGTCAATCTTTCTTGCGTTTAGGTCTTTCCGGGGGTTTGATGTATAAAGGCCGTCGACGTCGGTGAGCAGGAATAGGTAGTCAGCGTGTATCATGGACGAGGTGATGGCTGAGAGCGTATCATTGTCGCCGAATTTGATTTCCTGGTTTATGGCGACGTTGGGATGTCATTGCAGAGAGCATAGATGAGAGAACTTACGGATACAGAGATAGTGTCGTTTTCATTCACGATGGGCACAACACCCATCGAGAGCAGCTCTTTGAAGGTATTCACCGCGTTCAGATACCGCGTGCGCTATTCGAGTGTGAGGCGGCCTTTTCAAGAGCTCGATGTGGGGAACAAACTCACGTCCGATATATCTCCTCTCGTCAACAGAATCTGCGCAGTTCTCTGATCAAACTGGCCAAACAAGTTGTCCCAAAGCGCAATCAGCCGCCCTTGCCCAATCGCAGCTAATGCCTGGTCAGTAACGTCAGTGTCAGCGCTTCGCTCCGATCTTCAATTTAACTCATGACTGGTGACATACCTGCTTGGCAGACAAGCTCTTTGGCCTCTGCGGCATGTTGACGGTCCTCAGGCCGACGCCAATGGCGCCCGAGCTGACGAGGACAACCTTGTGCCCTTGGCTACGGAGATGCACGACGGTCTCGACGACGGAGGAAAGGATGGAGAGGAGGGGCTGATGTGTTTCTTCATGTACAATGGAAGACGTGCCTGCGCCCAATGCCTGTCAGGTGGTCTGGTATCAAGTGTGTTAAGAGGAGCGCGCGTACCAAGCTTGATCACGATCGTACATGACGGCGAGCGTTTCGAATGGCGAGACATGTCGTAACTAGGAAGTTCGCCGGGTACCGAAAGCTAGTATACGAAGATGGAGAGGCTCCCCAAATTTGAAGATGAGTTACTCGCGTGTTCAACGCGTGCGTTTGCAGCGACTTGAGCGCTTGAGCTTCCGAGTCCTGCCTCGAGTTTAGACATCTTGTGCGCAGTCGAGAGGACACGAGGCAGCACCGTGGATGACTTGCAAGTCCTAAAGAGCAACGATTCCAGCGAACTTTGGTTTTCTTAGAGCAACAGATGTGTTTGATGAAGCACAGACAGCGACACGGAAAGTGAGAAGCAGAACGCGATCGCTGTCAAACCAAACGGTGACTCGAGCAAGCGTCAATCGGTCCGCATCTCCGATTCTCCGAAGGACAGAAAACATATGTTAGGGTTAGGGTTGCTTGCCTGTATTTGTCCTTGTATACAAGGACAAACATTCCGCAAACCTCGGCAGCAAGAATAGCGCGCTGAGCAGATGCGTAGATGTCCATAAGCTGAATCGTGTTCTCTGTCCTAGGCGTTCACTTGTCCTTACGCACGCACCTGGCACGCACACAACTTGCCTCTCTCCGTCTGACACAGGCAGATTGAGCTGGCATGGTCCGTGCATCACAGGCACGCACCTTCTCTTCTGAGCCGTACTTTGACGACCGAGGCCGTTACGGAACAGCTGAGCCAATCCAGGAATATGTGCACGTATGTTTTTCTATTTCCACATAGCACGCCTACGTACATTTACTGACAAACACACACCAGCCACATTCAAGGCCCATAGTATCATACTTCTTTCCGAAAGGTGTCGGGGAGCACCACTACGGGGTAAACCTACAAATCCACCCATTGCCACTTGGAACTACGAGCTGACTCTGTTTCACTTTGTGTACTTCTTATGTGTTGTAGGAAAGACATCCCATGAAGCCGCACCGGCTCACGCTGACGAACGCACTCGTCATTGGGTATGGCCTCGACAAGCAGATACACCACATGTACAACCCCCGCCCAGCGACCCAGGAAGAGCTCGAGACGTACCACGACCACGATTACATCGACTTCTTATCTCGGTCGGTGCCATCCGTTTTCACAAAGTATGGCCGCGGGCTAACGTGTAACCACACCGAACTTGCACTGTCTCACCAACAGAGTAACCCCCGGAAACCAGAAGGAAATGTCGCACATGATCGACACGTTCAACTGCGTCGAGGACTGCCCCGTCTTCGGGGAAATGTACGACTTCTGCCGTATGTACGCCGGTGCCTCTATCGCAGGTGCGCGGAAGCTCTGCGCGAACGCGTGCGACACCGCGATCAACTGGTCCGGCGGGCTGCACCATGCCAAGCGCGGCGAGGCATCGGGGTTCTGTTATGTCAACGACATCGTGCTCGCCATCCTCGAACTCTTACGGTACGCTCTCACATATCTGCCACTCACTACAGCTCCTTACACGTGGGTGCACGACAGATTCCACCCGCGCGTGCTCTACATTGACATCGACATCCACCACGGCGACGGCGTCGAGCTCGCCTTCTACCACTCCAACCGCGTCATGACCGTCTCCTTCCACAAATACACCGGCGAGTTCTTCCCAGGCACCGGCAAGCTCGACGACAACGGCGCGAACCTCGGCAAGCACTTCTGCCTCAACGTGCCCCTCCTCGACGGCATCGACGACGACATGTACCTCACCATCTTCAAGTCCGTCATCGAGGACACCGTCACCGCCTTCCGCCCCTCCGCCATCGTCCTCCAATGCGGCGCGGACTCGCTCGGGTGCGACCGCCTCGGCGCGTTCAACCTCTCCATCGCCGCGCACGGCGAATGCGTCAACTTCGTGCGCAAGTTCAACGTGCCCCTCCTCGTGCTCGGCGGCGGCGGCTACACGATCAAGAACGTCGCGCGCTGCTGGACATACGAGACCGCCGTGCTCGTCGGCGCCGCGATCCCCGACGAGCTCCCCGCGACGATCTACGACTCCTTCTTCCGCGACTCGCAGTGGAAGCTCCATCCGCCGCTCACGGGCCACGTCGATAACCAGAACTCGCCCGCGTCGCTACAGCGCATCACGATCGGCATACGGAACAAGCTGCGCTACTTGCAGGGTGCGCCGAGCGTGCAGATGCAGGAGATCCCGCCGGACCTGGAGGGCTTGCTCGCGGATGAGGAGAAGACGCAGGAAGAGAAGGACGAGGAAGCCGGGACGGCGCATGCGGGCGAGCGGAGGAGCGAGAGGACGACGGCGCGGAACGAATATTATGAAGGCGAGAACGACGGCGATCAGGACGACACGCCAATGACAGCCGGTGCGCGGCGGACGGCGGCTGCGCGGAGAGCGCGTGGACAGGGAAGAAGAGGGAGAGGGAGAGGCAAAGGACGGGCATCAGCCGCTGCTGGCAAGGGCAAGGGCAAGGACGAGGATATGAATGGCGATGCACCTGCACCTGCAGCCCGCTCAAGAGGGAGAGCTAGGGCAGCCAAACCACGGGCTAAAGCGCGTACAAAGGCTACGGGGAAGGACAAGGAAAAGAATGGGAAAGAAGATGAAGGGGAGAAGCAGCACGAGCAGGACACGGACCAAGATGCTACGCCACGGATACTGCCTACGCCGATGGACTTGGAAGTCGACATACAATGATACATTCCGGTACGTGCTGCTACATATATATGCTATATATACACTAGATCAACCCACCAAGAAAAGCAGCCCTCTCCCAACAATCAACACCTCTACTTATCCCCCTGCTTCCCCCCAAACCCATCCATCACCCCACTCTCCTCCAACGCCTCCCTCGCCGCCCGCGCATACTCCTCCTGCCTCTCCCGCACCGTCCCCTTCATCCCCTCAAACGCCCTCACCACCCTCTCGCGCTCACCCGGCGCCGCACCGCCGACCGCCTGCTGCCCCTCGTACACGCGCGTCTCGCGCTGCGGCTGCCGCGCATCGCTGTGCCACATCTTGCGGAGCGACTTCCACGCGCCCTGCGCTGGATTCGCGACGAGCCCGATGGCCCCGGCCGCGGGGCGCATGTTGACGTTGACGACTGCATGAAATGATGCGTATATATGAGTACGATTGAAGTATCTGTGCGGACTGGGGTAATGGATGCTTACAACTGCGCGCTGAGCCTTTGATCGCGCCCAAGAACCCCTATGTGCGAGCCGTCAGCGCCAGTCGCATCCTGCGTGTAAATCCACCGTGAACCAACCTCTTTCTTCGCTCCCTGAACCGGCTCGCGAACGAGTCCGGTGATTCCGTCGTAGTATCCGTAAAAGAACCCCTATTCCATGCCGGTCAACGCTGCTTATAGCACCAAAGAGCGGAGAACCTAACCTTTCCAGCCTCCTTCAGACCACTAGAGAAATCCGAAACGTCTCCCTTCTTGCGTACATCAGATCCATAAAGTTTAGGTGCATTGTGCAGGCCCTCGTGTATAGAAAGGATAATGTCCATCACACCTAAAATGCTATCAGCGCCGTAGTGCGACCACTGTTGTAGAGGATACTTACCCGCCGGGATGGCCTTTGTAGTCTTCACGATGCCCTTAGTAGGTTGGCTTAGAGAAAGCATGAGCCATAGCGTACGCGCGTCCAGTGGCACAGAAAACTCACTAGAATATCTGAGCAATACCGGTGTACCAGTTCGTCACAGTCCAGAAGATCGCACTTCCGCCGCCAGTGATCGGGTCGGATATGTCTTTCCGCGTCTCGTACTCCTTCGTGCCTAGCTGCGGATGAGTGTGTTGCTCGTCATGGAAAAAAGCGACTACGAACGATGTATGTCAAGCTCCTTGTAGCTGAGTTCCTTCGCATTGACGAGCGTTTCAGCTGCGAATGCGCTCAACTTCAGGCACTGAAACAAAGCAGTTATCAATCTAGTTTTGATGGACTCAAAAAGGATTAGCGCACAAATTTCGTTGACCACCACACGGCAACTCGGCTTGGATCCAAGTCGCATCTAAGGACGTCCTAAGTCTCGTTTCCTAGCCTCTAGTATAAACCATTATAACGAACCTCATATTGAGCAGGGGTAAATGCCGATAAAACGAATCAACGCCTTTCTGAACGCCATTCTACAACACTTTCAACGCCCATCGGATTACCAAGCAGCACAACACACACCTCGCTCTTGATCTTCTCTGCAGCCGCCTGAGCAGCATTCCGCGCCCGACTACTCTGCGTGAACTTGATCGCCTCTCGCAGATTATCGACAGTCATTTCCTTGTGCGGTATCGGCGCGGGTCCAATCCCAGCGTTCTCTATCATCTGACCTAGAGCAGCACCTCAACCTATTATTTCATACTCAAATACCGATATCATGCGGACGACTTACCCCAGAAAAGCTGGTCCCCGAAGAACGGCACAACCACCGTCGGCCGGCCCATGCGCAAGCCTATCGCAGTTGTCCCGGCCCCGCCGTGGTGCACGACGGCCGACACGCGGGAGAAGAGCCAGTCATGCGGGACGTTGCCGAGGAGGAAGACGTGGTCGGGGACGGACATCCCACCGAGACCGCCCCATCCTGCGGAGAGCAGGACGCGGACGGAGGCTTGGGAAGTGGCTTGGAAGATAAGCTCTGTATGGGTTGCGTTAGCTGGTGGGGTATTAACAGTAGGAAAGGGGTTGTGAACCTGTCATGGCTTTGGGATCATCGACTACGACGGATCCGAATCTAACGGGAAGGAAAGGTGAATAACGACTTGAGCGTAAAGGTATCGAGAAGCATACCCAATGTAGATCGGCGGCGGCCCCTTGTCGAGGAATGCCTTCAGATCGGCAGGTGGCTCATAGCTGGATGCGAGGTCCAAGAAGTAGAATCCAACGGTATCTGTTACGTGAGCTTCAGCTGAAATTCACCACTGTGTGACATGATGCGCACCAATATGGTTCTTCCAGTCCGCGGGCTTTTCAATGAGCGCGGGACTAATGCAGTATGTCCAAGGTATCTTCAGCCTATCTATCAGGCCAGCACCCGACCGATTACTCAGAGACTCGAGGTTCAGAACTTTGGTGCGAAACAAGTTGACGATGTCGTTCACCCTTCCAAGTTACCATGAGAGCGAATAAAGGATATTGGAGCTTTAACAGACTTACCCTTGCCACATTAAGAGATCCGCAAGAATGAAAGTGAAGAAGTTGGTAAGACCGGGCTCGGCGTTCGACTTTGTGACATTCACGAGGGGATGAGCGAAAGCTTTCGTTGGTGTCCTAAGAGAGTACGCATCAGTCTCGAGAACGTTGATGCTCACGATTCCGAGGTTACCAAGGCATGGCTATCGGGCGGTCAATGTGAGAACAGGTCATCTAGCATCATGCTCACTGAAGGTCAAGAGCAGGGGTATACCCATCGCCTCGGCGCAGTGTGTATGCGCGAACCCAGGGGGGTTCGAGATGATCGCGTCGGCTGCGAAAGGGATGTTACTTTGGTCGTCCGGCTGGTGACATGCTCTCCAGCATCCGTTGAACATCTGAGTGAGGCCTAGTTGAGTGGTCTGAGGCTGTGGCGACTATGTTTGTAGCTCACCTCTGCAAGCATCTTGCGTTTTCGTCCGATGTCTCCATTTGTGAGGGAGTCGAAGCCTGGGATAAGTCCAGGATCTAGCCGGGTAAAGTTCACGAGGACTCTCGGATTGAGACAAGTGGATACTCACTCTTGACCATGTAACTCATGAGTGCTTGCGGGTCACCTCCAATGTCGAAGAACTCTAGACCAGACTCCAGCACGAACGAACGGAACGTCTCATGCGTCGCGACCCGAACGCGGTGGCCGTCTTCTATTAGTCTTCTTCCCAACGCAACGTAAGGTTGTACATCGCCTAAACGGTGAGCGCATATAGTCACAATCAGCAGGAATGCGCCGTGGATAGGAGATGCTCACCCCGACTCCCTACAATCATGATAACAATGCTCATAGGAGGCACTTCTCTCCAGTTCTCCTCGTCGACTGCGAACTCTTGAACATCTGGTGCGTACTCTTGCGGAAGCTCGGGCAGAGCTTGGGTCAGCTTCAGGGAAACGACAATCCGTCCATCGTCTGTCAGTCTGGCATTCGACGATAGACCTTCTCCGATGGCTTCGTACTCCGCATAATCTACAAGACATTATCAGAAGACATCAACCACGTCGATGGAGGAATGAGCACGTACGGATCTGTGGGTTTGTGCGAATGGTTCCAAGCTCAACGTCCCGATAGAATTCCGCTTCTTTCTCCGAGCTTGCTGGAGGCGATGGAGGCGCCTTTGAAGTCGACATGAGGGGTGTAGACAGTGGTGACGGGTTGAGCTCGGCGTGCAGTGTAAGGTCTGAATGAGCTCCATGGTCCCTGGATGGGCGTGAGGTGTACAGTACGTCACCGAGGCCAAGTAAAGTATGTCTCCGCTTCGAGGCGCGCGACGCGTGGCGGCAGCTATAAATAGCACGTGCGTTCGCTCCTCCCGCGCACCAACATCGTGTAAGCTCCATGTTCAAATTTTTCGTTGATGTACAGCGAAATACAAAATGTGTATGATAGGGCCAGAAAAATAGAGATGCGAAGGAACGGCGATGTACACTAAGACTATTTCGTACGAAGTGCAAGAGAGAAGTCCGAATAACTTGAGATCAAAACATTGCGATAGCGAAGCATGAAGATGATATATGAGTACGAAGCTGGATCCTCCTATCTATCAGTGGGGTTAGATCTATAAAATCTGGGGAACATGATAGAACGAGTGCGGGCGCGGACCGGGCTCGGCGGGAGGTCCAACATGGTGATGGCGCTCCCATAGATGGACTCGTCGCCATCATGAACAGTGAGGCAGTGGTTTACTGTCCGATCCATGCTCATGTACATGCGTGTGATGGTGACCGGAGGGATAACGAGGACCAAGGCGTAGGTTATCTGTAAAGAGCGCATGGTGCCTACTTTGGCCTGAATGGTGCAATTAAGATACACGAGAAAGTTTCTGTGAAAGCAAGTAAGGAAATAGAAGCGATGTGAAGGAAATGGATATCTCACATGACGAAGTATATAAACGAGTCCCGTGCAAGCACCCGTAAAAGTCGAACGGCAGGCCACTCCTTGTGTTTGGTTTGGATCACATGCTGAATCGCTTTTGAAACGGCCAGAACCGTCAGTGAAAAATCAAAGATCATTACCGGGACCCTGTGAGGTGTTAGAGCGCAGTCATATACTATCGACGCGAACCTCACCAGAAGCAGAAGGCCAGTGTCGTGGCAGAGTGGGGGAAATGCGACTTGCAGGAGCCATTGATGAAGTGGACACCTCCTGTAACACCCAAGTCAGGCTCTATTCGCATCGACTATGGACAAGGCTACGGAATATTGAGACAAAATAATCACTAACCAAACATGACCGTGATCTGGGCAATGCCGATCATCAGAAACAAAGCCAATACGACCGTATAAGCCACTCCGACGGCCCAGACTATGTCGTTTCCTGATAGAGTTGAGGTGGGAAGATGTTAATGAAGAGCCAAGATACGCACTATAGCTGTAGATGGCGCAAACGCGCTGGTGGAGAACCACTTCTCGAAGGATGAGTATACAAACAAGTTAACCAATCTGGGACTGACTTCCTACGTTCGCGACAATTACCATGACTATGGGAACGTATAAGAGACCATCAACGACAACAAGGTTTGCACGTACTGCATACATATGTGACTACACCGAGGCGACCTAAACCAAGGCAGTGAAGCGTCTTTAGAAGCATAGCGAACAGTAAAAAAAATCGCAAACGCACATCTGCAGTATTCGTTAGTCACACGCACGGTTTAAAGAAAGGAAAAACCGCACCCAGCTGCTGATGTTCCCGTGTGGAAGAAATTCACTTCACGATCGCGTTCAGTACCGGTTAGTGAAGGCCGTAAAACGTACGCACGAAAGTTCTGAAAGAGAACAGCGAATAACGCGACATAACGGTTCTTCGTCATGGTCAGTGGAGACTTGATGCATCGAATCAGACGTTAAGCTCTCACCAGAAGGAACGAGATCCTGAATCGCGTCATCTTGCCTCCCTAAAGACACAATTACTCCGCAGTCCCCAATAAAGCCACCGTGTCGCCTACCCAGATGTTATCGACCTGTAGGAAGCAGCCATCAGACAACGTGCTATTGTGAACCTACGAATACTGGACGCACCTCATAGCGAAACGTGAGCACTGTAACATCCACGGTCAGTTCCAACGCGTTTGGCAAGAGCTAATGATGGATTGATACTGACAGTAGTCCCAGGCATAAAATGCGGCCGATGCCACTGGGTCAACGAGAGTGATGCGTCAGTCCCAACGGACCCAAATCCCACATGGCGCCGAAAGCCACTCACCCGAGACATAGCGATAGAACTGAAGCACCTTCTCCGGGTCCCAATGCTCGTGATGCTCGTGGATTCTCACAAGCATGGCGGGAGAGTGCGGTTTAGGACGTTAAAGAGAGTTAGAAGACCGCAAGTTCATGGAGGAGAGTGGAAGAGCGATATGCGGGCCCGAGGCCTCAGGGTACCGGTACAGTAAGCGGCAGCAGTAATTAATGGGGGTGACGAAGGGTGACCAAGCAACTGACAGCCGTCTCCCTGGGCCCTGGCGGCTCGGACGGTCAGAGCATAAAAAATTAAGTGTGCAAAAGGTACATGCGGCACACGAAAACGTCATGGCAAGTCTATTCTTTTAGCCCAGAGCATTCTGCCAGATCAGCAACAATATTTCGTGCCGTGGACCGCCGGCGGTGCCTACCGCAGGCTGCATGTCTCCGGTGGCCAATCGAAGGAGGCGAAAACACTGGGTACAAATTACTGTTTTGCATCGATCAAAACAAGATCAAATTGTGATCAAAATTATATATATTACGCTAATATTGCTGTCAACAATACATGAGCATTATTTAGAATTTGGTAAAGGTTTATTCCTGTATAAAATATGGGCAAAACAGGAGCAAGTGCTGTTATTTTGCCAATGCCAATACATAGGAAATAAGCATGGTATTGGGTCTAGGTTAATTGTGGAAATATATAATATAATGCATCCATTAACAACATCATATTGCCAACAGGTTGCTGTTGTTTTATTGCTGGCACATCTTAGACTTTCATTATCATTTTGGGGCAGACAAAAGCTTGACACACAAAAATCAAATCATAATGTTACCAGTAGCATAATGTGATCAAACTGCCACAAGCAGATTTGAGATTTTATGAAGACAGATATTTACCAATACGTGAGAGAGAAAA